AGATCTAGCTACTTAGATTAATATAGAAGATACTAGTCTTATTACTTTTTATAATAGTAGTAATAATATATTATATAAATTAAGTAATTTAATAATAGGGAGTTAGTATATTCTAACCTTAACTTCTACTTTAACCTTAATTTCTATTTTAATCTTAACTTCTACTTTAACCTTAACTTCTATTTCTACTAGGATATCTTTTTTACTAGCTACTTCTATCTTTATTTATACTCCTTCTAAATCTACTATCCCTATTCTAACTTCTACTTCTAATATATTAACTATCTTAACTTAGAGCTTATCTATAGAGTCTTCTTATAGCTATTTATTATAAATCTAAGGGTTCTTTATATTCTATAATTCTTTAAGCTTTTAAATATTATTTTTTATTCTATTTTATTCTTTATCTTTTCTATTATCTATTTTCTTTATACTTCTTATTTATATATTTTCTTACTAGCCTTATATTTATTATTTAATTAATTTATACTCTCTTATTAGATTCTTATACTTAATAACTACTAAGTCCTCTATATAAATATAATTTACTAAATCTTTTAATAATCTAAAAGTATTTTTAAACCGAAAATCATATCCTTATTTTCCTAATAATAGATATATTATCTTCCTTATCTATATTATTATAGACTACTAGATATATAATTCTAGATAGTATTTAATCTAACTAGATTATAGTAATAATATTAATCACTAGTCTAGATTAGTCTACTTCTATAAACTATAACTTTTAGAGTAGGTATTACTTACTAGATATATTATTTAGATTGATTTTAATTAGATTAACTCTAACTATATATCTAAGCTAAATCTTAATCTATAAGAATATGACTTATTAGATTTAAAAAAGCTTATTAATTAGGTCCTAATAGCTCTAAGCTTAGCTTATATAAAATAGTAATATAGTCTAAGGGATAAGAAATACTAAAAGATAACTTTAAAAATATAAAGTATTATTTAGTAAAATAGTATTTATATAGGTAAGAAAGTTAACTCTAAGCTTATAATTCTTTTTTATTATAGTTAGTTACTAACTTTCCTCTTAGGATTATAAAATCACTTCTATAGCCTAGAATCTATAAAGTTATTACTATAAATTAAAGGTTTAGGCTCTGATTAGGGTTTTTACTTATATATAAGATAATTTAAGTATAGCTTATTAATAAAATATATATTATAAAAGTAGTAATAAAGGTTAGAAATACTTAAGTATTATATACTTTAATAATATAGGTATAAGTAAGTAATAAAACTTAAAAACTCTATACTATCTAAATATATATTAATATAATTTAAAAGTATTACCTTTATAACCTATTAGTTAAATTACTTATTTAGGCTCTTACTATTATCTCCTAGGTAGATTAGATAAAACCCTAGAGTAACTAGTATATAATAGAAAATAAGGATATTATATTAAGATTAGAGATTATTAAGATAAGATTAGTAATATATTTACTAAGACTTCTTATTATTAAATAGCTTAGTATATAAGTAATAGAATTATAGAAATATATATAGGATATATTAATATACTTATTTTTTATTTTTATACTATTATTAATATAGTGGTCTATTTAAGGACTTTTAGTAATATTATAAGATATATTTTACTTATCTTTATAATATAGTATTATATAAACTATTAAAGGAGGATAATTAATACTAAATATTATATTTATAGACTTATCTTAATAATAATCTTAAGTAAATTAGATATTTATTATCCTTAGGTAGTATTCTAGGATAGAATATAATATACTCTATTAACTTATATAGAGTAACTATATTATAAAGATAGTTTAGGCTATTAATACTATCTAGGATTACTTCCTTAAAAAGCTTTATACTAAGGTAAGTATATTTAGATAGGTATTTTTTATAAATATTAAAAATTTAAGTTATATTATATTTAGAAAATATATTACTAGTAATATACTTATTATAGGAAGTATTCTATTAGTCTTTAATATATTTCTCTTTCTAGATATATAAGAGCTTAGCCTTTTTATTATAAAGCTTTACTTTTTAAAGAGCTAAGTTAATATTTTTAGTTAGATTCTTATTAATTATCTTAGTTAAGGATATAATTTTCTTATTAATATTAATAATTTCTTCTTATTCCTAAAACTTAGTAATAGAGGTTATACTAAGTCTTTATAAGATATTTATATTATAATAATATAATATATTTTACTCTATAGAATAGTATTTATAGTTAGGCTCTAGGTTATAAAATATAGCTTATATATCTAAGGCCTTTAGTATTAATTAATATTTTAGGTAGGTATTATAGTTTTAGTAGTTAAGTACCTAATTATAAGTAGCCTTTAATATCTTAGCTATAGATATTTAGTAAGAAAGCTAAAGAAAGTATTTATAAGATACTAATAGTTAATTATATTTATAATCTTACTCCTAACCCTATAGACCTATAAGATATCTCTAAAGCTATTATATTTAGTTAAGGTAGTATTATTATAATATAATAAGGAGAAAGATAGTATTTTAAGCTTCTTAGGTCTATTAGTAGTAACTATATAAAAGAATAGAAGTTTTTTTATACTTTTAGTCTACTTAAGTATCTATGATTCTTATCCTTTAGGTGGTTTTATACTAAGAATCTTTTTAATTATATTAAGATCTTTAAAAGTATTATTAGCTATCCTATAAATAATAATCTAGAATATAAAGCTCTTCCTAAGGACTAGATATTTATTAAATTAATTCTTTAGTCTATATAGTAAATCTTAGTTTAATAAGTATATATTTAAATTTTAAGATAATTTATATAATTTTATTATTTTAAATATAATAATCTTTTAAGAACCTAGGATTAATAGTTACCTAGTATTTTAAATATCTATTCTTTTTACTCTATTTTATATTAAATAATATATCCTATATAATATCTATTAATATTCTTAAAATTAAAGGGTAGTAAATATATAAACCTAATAATATAGATATTTATTAGAGCTAGTATATAAACTTAATTCTATAATAGTACCTATATAAGACCTAGAGCTTATAAAAAATAAAAATAAGCTAGTAGTTTAAATATATACTCTTTTATACTTAAAGTTATAATAGTTATTATTAAAAAGATAATAGAGAAGATAGTTAATATCTTTTATATTTATAGTAAAGTACTCTTAAGACTTTATTTCTAGGTTATATTTTTATATTAGATAATTATAGATATATTTTAGTAGTATCTTATTATTTTCTATAAAAATTAATAAAAATAGTATAATTACTTATATTAATAATATCTTATTTAACTTTCTTATTAAAGGTTTATAATAAACCTTATTCCTAACTTAAAATTAAAATATAAAGCCTATTATAAATTATTAACCTAATAGGAAGATCTTACTAAGATATAATATAGAACTTAGTAAAGCTTTTAAGCTATTATAGTATTAGGTTAGGTTTCTCTTTTAGATTTAAGAAATCATTCTTAGGTTCACTATAAGAAAGCCTCTATCTAGTTATCTATCTAGTTAGCCATTAGGTCCTAAATTTTTAAAGGATAGTAATCTTTTAGCTTATATATTCTAAGTGAATTTTATATATTTATACTTAATATTAGTAGGGGAAGTAAGAGTCTAGAGTAAGATAATATTATCTTTAGACTTAATCTATTCTTAGTATTTAAGTATAAACCTATATGATTTGGTATATATTATACTCTTCTAAAGGGCTTTCTAGATATTTTTCTGTAATAATATCTTAAATAATCTGCTTAGAAGATATAATAGAAGAGTGATAAATGAGCCTTCCAAAGTTCTGCTTTATAAGGAAAAATCCTGAGGGTTATATGGGTGCGAGCCGAATCCCGATCACCTCTTTGGGTGACAAATCTCACCCTGTTCTTACCTGTATCACCCAGTCTGTAAACTTCTCACCCATATCACCCATACTAAACTAAAATGTTCTCTGTTGCCGCTCTAGGGTGATAGGGCTATAGGGATAATTGTCCACCTGGATATATGTGGCTTAAGTACGGCTGAGCGGACGGGAAGCCCTGTTCTCCACACCCTATGGTCGTATGTACTCGGGTATGTACTGATGAAGGTTATAAAGAACAAATGTGTCAAAAGTAGATTTAACAGGACCGGTCATAAGGAGGATATGGTAGTATTACTCTTTGTCATAAGGAGGATATGGTAGTATTACTCTTTGTGCTGAAGGTTTAGCTTATATCATACTATTTAAATTTTATTTTTTTCTTATCTTCGTCAACCTTCCTAACTATTAACTAAGGGAATACTATAAAGGTAGCGAGCTGTAGATCTGAATGAACAATCAATCAAAAGCTTTTGCAAGCTTGGAATACGGTAGTTGAATCAGATATCGGAAGGATTTTGCACTTGCTGTCTCCCTCCAAACCGAGTACGTGCTCTCCCCGGGCAGTGCCCATAGTTGCCCATGAATAAACCTTCAGCCACTGCGCCGCGCGAGCCTCGAGGGTGTCCCAGGCTTATCTGACGTACCAATTTATCTGATTACTCGAGATTGAATGCTAATATTGACGATTGATGAGGGAATGCATATGTGCAATGATGCGGTCATGCCGCCACATGGACGCCACATGGCCACCACATCCATGGATGTTGTAAACCTTGAAGGTAAAGAGCAAAACCCAACCCCAGGAAATTATACTTGTATAGAAGATAGAAACGAAGATAGAGAATGAAGGAGATTGAAGTTGAAGATGATGATAATTTGATAATTTTCTTTTTTGGGTTCGGATTGGCATTGGTCATTGGTATTGTAAAAAAAGACAAGATGAGACATCATCAAAAGAAAGGACCAGCCTCGATCTCAAATAGATCAGGGGAGAGAAAGGAAAGGAAACCAAACCAACCGAAAATCCCGCCCAAAAGCAATTCATCAACGAAAGTCATAAGTCTATATCTATAAACGAGCAAAGGCAAACTGGCAAGCTTTTTCTTCTTTTCTGCACAACTCCAAACTTAACCGCTGTAGTCAATGACGACAGCGAGACGAACAGGGCCAGAGGAGATGTTACCACCAATACCACCGACATCAGTCTCAGCGCTAGTGTAGGCGTTGGAGACAGTACCAGCATCGGTAGTAATGGAAGAGCAAGTGGAGCCAAGAGCATCACAGATCTGCATACCCTGAACGGTAAGACCGGCGTTCTGGGCCTGGATAGCAGAGACATCAAAGCCAGACCAGCCGCTGTTGGAAGTGGAGCCAAAGTCGAACTCACCCCAGGTAGAGGCATAGGAACCCAAGCTGTTGGTAGGGATAGTGGTACCCTCAGCGGCAGCCCAGCCACCCTGGGAATCGGTATCGAAAGCGTAGTAGACAGTCTGACCAGCGGAGAGAGTGAAAGTGTGGCAAGCCTTGCCGTACCAGCCGTCCATGGTGCCGTCGGAGCTGTACTTGTTCCAGATGACGACGGTCCAGTCATCGGTGTTGGAGCCGGTGAACTGAACGACGTACTCGTAGGAGCTAGCATCGGAAGCAGACACCTCGATGATGTTGCTGCCGTAGGGGTTACCGACGTTGCCCTCGTAGGTATCGCCGCTGCCGGTGGAGCTGGTGCTAGCGCCAAAGCCGGAGGTAGCGTAGCTGCTGGTGGAGGGGACGGCGGTCCAGGAAGAAGAGGCGGCGGCGGTGGTAGCGGTAGCCTGGCGACGGGCGTTACCCTGAGGACGGGCGAAGACACCGGTAGTGAAAGCTGCCAGCAGCATAAGAGACTTGGAGAACTGCATGATGGCGGATAAGAATAGAAAGGACCGAAAGGTGGATTTTTTTTTCAAAAAAAAAGAAAAAAAGGATTGACTGTTGTTTCTGAGGTCGGAACAAAGAAGCAAAGTAAGGAATGACAAGAAGTTATGAAAACTTCTTAGAAGAGAGTGTGGTGGGAATCTGAAGAGACTGTGGTTAAGAGAATGTGGGTTGAGGTGGAAATCAAAGGAGGATCAAAGCTGGGATATATATACCCTTCGCCATCCAGAGGAAAAGAATCTTTGCCATCCCCCGCCACGTTTGCCTCTCCGAACCTGGGTCTCCAGTCTCCAGTCACCGGGCTCCGTACCTGGTACCTGAACGGGGCATCCATGGGAGTGCGCGCCGGGGATGGGCATACGTCAGGGAGCTGCGCACTAGATTACAGTGGGGAAGAACGAATATGCGCATAGTGTGGCAGAGTTCCAGAAGGGCCGGCGCCTTGGGTTGACGTGTAGGTCCAGCAGAAGGCAGTGGAGACGCCAGTAGAAAGAATGAACTTGGATTGGCGCTAAGATCGGGGGAGTGATCCATCCGCGGTTCCGCCTTGAAGTTGGCTGGTGGAGATCCGTGATTGGTGGTCCATGCAGGAGGAGTCGCAATCGTCGGGCAAATCAGACATGTCACAGGCTCACAGGGCGCACCCAGAATTGCATTAAGTTCTGTGTTTTTCTTTTTCTTTTCTTTTTCTTTTTCTGTTTGGAGAGTGGGGCTGCGAGGAACTCAAGTACCACGGAAAGCCGTGTGGGCTTGAGATGTATCTCTTGTACACTTGGACCACCGAATCATTGTGCTTCAAACTCCGGGCGAGTCCGTTGGAACTTGCTGTATGTATTTTCCGCAGCTCTTGAATTTTATTGTCCAGTAGCTTGGAGTTGAGGCATCGGTTGTATTACCCGGTCACTGCCAGGTAGACTCTTTCAATAAGGCGTCGGAATCTGGGTGGAACTGGCTACTAGGATTTCAGTATTGAGATTCGAACCGAGTTGAGAGCGGGGGATCCAGCGCATAGGAGACGCGGCCATGAAAGTTTTCATTGGAAAAAGGGAATAAAAAATAAAACGAACAGCCGGGGAAGGTGAGAATGGGTTCAATTACACGATAGGAATGGAATTGGCGCAGTGGGGTGGTCGGCAATGAAGTCGGTGGATTGACCCGGATGTTCTCCGTCCACATTGTTCACTAGCGTTGAAATCTTTAATTGAACTGGATTGAGTGCTACGTAGTGTATGTATGACATGTACTTTGACGCTGGCTGTGTACTAGTATATGATTATGGTTGTCTTTGGTATTATTTGAACACCATAGATAAAGATGCAAAAAAGGCGAAAATCCAAGAAAAACGAAAGCTCTCAAGTTTGATTACGAGCAACTTGACTTTTCAACGTTCTGTGGATCAACCGCGTGTGGTTCAGGGGAAAAAGTAAAGCAAAAGTATAAAATGTATTGGCAAAGCAGTCTGATTGGCTGAAATTTCAATTAAAGTGGACTCAGCCCCAATCAACTCTGACCAATCGCGGAGCTTTGTGAAAACTAGGGCTCAGCCCTTGACCAAACATCAACCAATCACGTTTGATCCCCTGACGACCCAATTATTCCAGTTTGCAATTTCCACCAAAGCGAAAAGAACCCATGGAATAAAGAATTGTACCTGACCCCTTTTGCTTTCACCCAATCCTTTGCCAAAAGCAACCAGTTGTGCCGTGCTGATAATAATTATACTTTGGTACCTGATGGTCCAAAGCTGCAAAATACTCGAGGAAAAGACTCACGTACATGGCATACGTATACCACACTGCAAGACTGTCTCAGAATTAGGCTTTTCAACGTCATTGAAGAAACTGCTTGGCGAGTTCAGATTCTACTGTATAATAATGGGGCCACAGGCTTGGTCTAGACAAAGGGAAACCCCACGCGCTTGCGGGGCCAAGGGTTCGTAAGGGCTTTTAGTCTGAGAAAGAGGGTCAGGGATTGCGAAAATCTTACAAAATGCCCACCTCTTTTTGACCCCTTCTACATCACGGCCACTCCACAACGTTCCACTGAGGGGCAGGATAAAAATGCTAGAGAACTGCCCAGAGAACTGGCCAGGCTCAGTAAGAAATTTCAAACGCAGATCTAGAGCTGATCATCAAGGCCTGGGCTCTTATGGATTTGTGTCGAGTGACTTGAAGATGAGAGATGGTGATCAAATACCAAAAGTAGGTAAGAATGAAGAAGGGCTTATGGTGCTTCAAGCAATAATTAATACGTACTATACTGCATACGTATGATGGTTCGTTATTATTGGAATTTGCGCCCCATCAGTCTTCATCAAGAATATTATGGAACAGTTGTTGGAGACTTGCAATGTCGCTACATCATTAATTAATCCTTATCTTCAATCAAAGACCTAGCACGCTAAATGGTCATTTTCAATATTTGCATGTCAAACAATGACCCAGAAATTATAAATTCAATTCAACCCAGCCGGAACTGCCAGAGCTTAAACGCGATATTCAACCTGTGTAGTGATAGCCTTTTCGCCATCAAACCGGCTAGCCTCCGTGGCCTGACCAGTAATCTGCTGAATCTTCTCACTAGCAGCAGCGCCACCCAGAATAGCATTATCACCATCGAACTTCTTAACAATCTCCTCCAAGGGAATCTCCTTAGTCTCAATGTAGTATTTCCACACGACGAAGATCTCAAAGACCAAGAACACACAGTAGAAGATATAATACTTCCAGTGAATGGCCTCGATGGCGATCGGGTTGACGTACTGGTTGAACCAAAGACTGAGATCAACACAGAAGAACATGAGAGTCAGACCCTTGGCACGGAGACGGTAGGGCAGGATCTCAGACGAGTATGAGACGAGCATGCCGCTGAAACCGATGTTGTACGAGATGTAGTAGAGGAAGATGAAGACGACGACGGTGCGGGCCGCGCTCTCGTTGCTACCTGTGGTATCGGCGGAGAAACGAGCCAGCGCGATAGTAGTCGCAACATAGCACGCAAGCATGCTGCAGCTGGAAAACAGGAAGAGTCTGCGACGGCCGAAGAAGTCGACGAAGAAGCAGATACCCGTTGCGGAGACGACGTTGACGGCGCTGAGGATCAGGTTGATGGTGAGTTGTGTGTTGCTGTTGGTGATTCCGATCATGTCCAGAACCTGGTAGTACTTGTCAGCTTCCGTGTTCACCGAGTAATGACCAATGTGGTTAATGAAGAGTTCAAGCAAAGCTTACCTTGGGAAGGAAGTAAGACACGATTCCGTTTCCAGACCACTGGGAGAAGAAACCGATGGAGATGAGAATGATCGAGCGGTGTCGGTTTCCAGCGGTAGACCAGAATTCAGACCAGCCGTTATTCTCCAGCTCCTTCTCCAGCGCGATAGTTTGTTGGATTTGGTCGAATTCCACATTGACCAAAGCGTCATCTTCGTCGCCCTGGGCGTGGACATAGGCAAGCACCTTCTTAGCCTGCTCAAGCTTTCCCTTGGAAACGAGCCAGCGGGGAGATTCGGGGACAGTCCTATTTGAGAATGAGAGTTAGGCCGAATGCATGTGTTAAAAAGTGAACGGGTGGGCTTACCAAATGAAGACCAGCTGGCAGATAGAGGGAATACCCTGGAGAAGACATGGTACGCGCCACGACCACTGGCTTCCAATAATGTGGTTGGTGCCTGGAAGTCCATGTAAGAAAGTGCGCGAAGAATCATTCAGACGGGAAAGACTTACCCAGAGCGACGCATGCGCCAATCAAGCTTCCCACATACCACAGGGAGTTATAAATGGAACTATAGACAGCGCGGTGCTGGGGGTGAACCAGCTCAGTCACCAGCAACGGGGAGCATTCCTAGTGGCAGGTATTAGAAATCGCGACCGGACAAAAAAAAAAAAGGAGAAAAAAGCTTCCAACTCACCTGCGCGATTCCAAGTCCGAATCCCAGGACAATGCGACCGACCACAAACAAGGCAATGTGGTAACCAATAGAGACCATGGCGACACCAAACAGCATGATAATGCAGCCGGTAACCACACCAGCGCGTCGACCGAAAACATCTGCAACATATGGCACCACAGGGATGGAGAGCATCGAACCGATTGACATGGACGCGGCGAGAAGCCCAAGGGTGGATCCGTTAGGGAAGTTGTAGGCTGAAAGTAGATAATTAGTGAGAAAGAAAGGCCTTGGGTAAATAGACTGGGAGAACTCACATTCGTTCCATGATTCCATAGCTTCCAATCCATTCATCAACGAACCATCGTATCCTGCATATTCCCCATCAGCGAAAACAAAGTCATGAAGTTAGCAGATGTGGGTAGATTGCTCACCATTGGTGGCGGAGGTGATCATCGCCGCCCAGAGAGTGAGATAGACAAAGCGCATGCCCTTCATCTTGTACCAAGTCACCTTGGGCCATTGCTGGCCCGCGAGCTCGAATGTATCCTTTCCCATCGTGAGTGTCGCTGTTCACTACAAGGTTGATTCTGACAATGACTGGAACAGGAAATTCGGAAACCCCAACCATGCAGGGAAAGCGAAAGTATTTAAGAACGCCGAAAAACAGCAATCGGCATGACAGACCAGGGTCTGATTGAACGGCAAAATAGGATAAAGTCAAGGGTCTTATTCACACTAGCAAGCTCATTTAGCATCGGGTCCAGCAGTGGCGGGGATAAGCTTACAGTGTACTCCACCACCTGCCAGTCCCACCCCCCGAGGTCCCTTCTCACCCAGAGGAATGAGATCAAAGCCCTAGAAGCTAGAACATTTTGAAAAAATAGTTGCCATTTGCCGCTTTGGAACACCTTCAACAGCCACTCCATTCAGGCTAAAATGAATCTCCCAGGGTCATCAGGCGTGCGAAAAAGCTTCGACAGTCCGTATTCAGGATGGTTGACTCGCCTATGAAGCCAAAGTGAGAAGGGTACATGGTGGCCGTAATTTGGGGCGTCAGGCTTTTGGAAGCGATTGGCTGCGAAGTGGAGATGATTGAGACGTGATACGAGGAATAACTAGCTCTACAACCCTTTTAGGTAAAGCTCGATAGCTATTGATTGGATTGCCACGACAAACTTGAAGAAGCGAGGTGGTTAGTCCGGACGCTAGACTCAGTCTGACAACGCCCCACTGACTAGTCTCCTTTCCCCGGATTTTGTAGGGCACGGCGGAGTCTCCGGCATTTTCTGTGTAGGATCAGACCCGATTGCTGATTGAGAAAATTCGATCGAAGAAAACGAATCAAAATTGGAAGCTTCATCGAGATTCCTGACTTTTTTTAGATGATGGACGATTTTGCCGTGGAGAGATGGTTCATCGCCAAGGACGCCGTGTTTTTTCCCTTCTCATTAATCCCTGCTAATAGATAGCATGGCGATAGTGCCGCATGAGCCCAGAAAAGGAACTGCTTTCGACCTTAAGCCCGAATAAGAAATATAATCAACTTGTTGGCTGGGGATTCAAGCCAACGCCATTGAAATTGATGTTCATTGGCTGACCCCACGGGTAAATGTGGATGATGGTTTTCCTTGGAGTTTTGTCTTGGGAGAAGCGAGAGACGGTTAAAATCAAACCCCTGGGCCTTGGCAGCTGTGGCGTGCCAGGAACTTGATCTTAGCCACATTTTACCCCAGAAATCAAATCCAAACTCTTTACAATATCCAGGTTGAACCAAGCGAGATAAAATGGGTAAACAGATGCGATGCCTTGAAACCAAGAACTTGGCCCTTTCATGAAGGTCTGTGTGGTTCGTTCATTCCTCACCCTCACGTTCTGCAGGATAAAAAGTCACTCGTGTTGGTTCATCCCTCGCAACTTCTTGGCTGGACCCATAATAGCTCTTAGCTGTATTATCTCTAGTAACAAAAGTCAGTCTAACTGATCACGCATACATAGACGAATCCAATAAAATCCGCGTTATGTGTTATCTTATGCGACACCGAGTGCGTCCTTTGCCTTTGGCTTCCAGATACCGTATTAGGTATCCTTGACCGAAAGCAATCCCGAGGAGCCTAGCCAAGGGGCAAAATCTGGGGAGTAACCACATGGAAAAGCCTCATATAAACAGAGGGCCAATGAAAGACCTTGCAAGGATCCTCAACTTGAGTTTGGCGTGGGGAATGCTTGCTGGTGGCGCAAGGCTGCACTTGCAGACCGGCATGGGATCTGCCCTACGCCTAGATAATAACTTGCCATGCAGTCGCACATCGGAGAATGTCAAAGCGCGTGTCTTGGAGATGAGGTAATAATCGCTGTTAGTTTGACACTCGTGCATGTTGGACTCGGCCCCTTGCAGAGATCCCCGTGGACCGTGGTGTGGAGTCCCAATGGGGTCCATCCCTAGATAGTGCCGATCGCGCATTGACGGGGAAAGCTATCGTTGACATATGGCCTGAAGATCTTTTATGTTTGAGCGGAGCACTTGAGGCAACAACAAAAATCTTGCGCGTTAAAAAACGCGTCGAGAAATTTTCAAGCGCCCGGATGTTCAATAAAAGGTTGTCGTCATTATTGATGGAAGACCAGATATATTTTCCCTACTCTATCCAGATGTCAAATTGATCAATATCTCCGGGTCACACCTGTCATCTATGACCATCAGTACATACACACATATTCTACCTATCTATCAATTCATCTACTTGGAGTGGCTACGTCACTTCCAAAGTTAACAGAATCTGATGCACTGTGACCTCAAGTGACCTATATTGACTCAGGCCACAATGTTGATATCGGGCTTTGACCGAAGCAAGGAGGACCAAGAGCTCCGTTTAGCTTTGCTTGCAATCTGTACATCGGTGTTCGGTTGAGGCGCCTGAAGCATAGAAGCTGGACATCTCACCAAGCTACAATTCTCCACGAGAAAATATAAATACGATCAAAAGGACCCCTGATCAAATCTTTTCATCAACAATCAACTCACCTTCGCATTCAAGAACTTCCACTCAAGCTCACCAATTACATCAAAATGCAGTTCTCGCTTAAGAGCCTCGGAATGGTTTCCCTCTTCATCATGGCCGTCTCCGGTGCCTCCAAGTTCGCAACCACATGCGAAAACATCGAAACCTTCGGCACAACCCTTCAAGCCGATTGTCAAGAATTCGAGCACGGAACCCTTGCACCCACGAACATCGATCTGAACCGGTGCCTCAAGAACAACAAAGGATCCTTGGCCGTGAGTAACCTTCCCTTCTGAGTGGATAGCCGGTGGAAAAAAAGACTAACTCGATTACAGTGCGGAAAGAAGTGAGTCTGATCTCAACAGATTTTTTGACGTACCATACTAATATACACCAGTGGCAACTATCAAGGATCTTGTATCAACTGCAGCCTCCGAGGGGATACCGAGCTGGAGTGCATGTGTCGCAACGTGGCGGAGGGTCACCGTTTTGTCCGCACGCAGATCGACCTGAGTAAGTTGACAAACCATAATATCGACAGAGCCGACGCTGACATCTTTGATTTTTCAAGACAAGTGCATCAGCAACAACCACGGACAACTTGGATGCTAAATCAGAGCCAGCGGAGCAATCAAATTTTGGAAGAATGGATGGACTGGGAAGGATATAATGCCACGAAACGTGAAGCCTCAGATTGCAACGGCTTATGAAATCATGATTATCATTCGGAGACACTCGTTTAGACTTGAAACGCGACACACATGCATGGTGTTTTTTAGATAGTGCGGATAAATATAACGATTTGCTTTGCCGTATTGAAAGGTTTTCAAGAAGCAAAACAGTTGGGCTTCGTAAAATTTTCTGTCTCACGCCGGCTTGCAGGAATCAAGTTGAAAGATGATTCATCAATGTGTGGGTATCATTCGCTAACAGTAATCGTGTACGGCTGTCATGCCATGAAAAAAGGGGATCTAAGTATGTGTGAAACGACATATGCAAAAAAAAGAACAAAACAAAAACAAAAGCAATGTGGTCCTCCGGAAAAAAAGCAATGAAAAGATACTCGACCGAGATCAGTTTCCAGCGAAGGAAATATGGGCCTGCATCGCCTCCTGATCCAAGCTCAAAGTCAACGACTCAAGCTTCCGAAAAATCCCCATCGACTCATCAAGAATATCCTGCTGCTCTTGCGGATTCAACAGCCGATCAACCTCAACCATAAGACCCCTGAACTTCACCTTGACAGCAGCAGCATCCTCGATATGCCAAAACGACAAAGGACACGGCGTCCTTCCACCCTTGATCTCCGCAGCCGACAAGTCCCAGAATTCCGCCCCAGCCCTGAGAAGCTGCGATCGGAGTTCGCGACCTCCATACAGGATAGCCGAGTACAAGATCCAAATCCACGCGACGAGAAGATGAGGCGTCCGTCCCACGTGGTCATGGATATATTTTCTGATCTCAGAAGCAGGATTGTATCCACCAATAAGCTCCACACTGGCGGGGTCGACAGATTGTAAAAAAGCAAGATCGGCCTGCAGCGACCGTGTCCGCAGGAGCTCGGGCACGTACAAAGTCCGCAACAGGGATCTTACGCGGTGACAGGTGTCAGACGACGAATCGGGATGGTGATCGTCCGATTCCTTCCCGATCCAATCGATTGGGTCACCAATGCAAGCGACCCACTCCTCCTCCAGTCCATAGAAGATTTCGGCATAGCGCGAGATTCCGAGCGCGTAGAGGGTGGGTCGGGGTGTGTGGGGAGGTAAACTGAGGCTCATTCGCGAGAGATTCATCTGGTGGATGGCTGCATGGGGTTCTCTGTGAAGGCAAATTCAAGATTAGGTGAATGAGATCAGAGAGAATGTAGAGCGGGACATGAGGATTAGGACTCAAGGGAGTTATCGCGTACTTGATCGCCTCGCGAAGCTTCAGAAGAAGACCTTCGTTTGCCATGATTGTATGTGTGTTGTAAGACTGACATGCACGTATGTCTGTGCGCAACGTGGTTAACGGGTTGCGAATTTGCGATCGGCAAAATCAAGGAAGAAGCACTCTGTGTTAAGCCCGTTGATCGGGGCCGCAATTTCCTTAATCCGCGGATGTTGATTATCGAGTTAAAATGAAGAGTAGGATATGGTATAGCGATTTATTTTTGAAGTGATGAAAAGAATATAGTAGCTAGGAGATTAATCCAAGTACAAAAGTACAAGACGCGATGCAAGTTCGAGTTCGATTGGGAATTGGCCCACGTTTCCCGAATGACGTCATTGCCGATGTATGTCTGGACGACATACAACGCCTCGATATGCGAGTGATGATTGATGCAAGACATTCTTCTGCAGAACAATCAATTGATGCCATTGAACAATATGGATTTCTAATTTAGAAGATTTAAATTGATCTTGAGCTTTGGTTGAATCTCGAGGGGAATAAAAAAAATGCACTTTCACTACAGGTGCTCCTATAGTTCAACTGTAAACATGGCAACTCCCACAGCTGAATGTTTGTTTACTTTTTAAAAAATCATGTCAACACAAGACAGGGGGCTTGTGCAGGGATGTAAATAAGCTTAATTTAAGGTTGATTATGCAATGCAACTAAGAGTTTGCGGGGAAAGTGGACCAACTCGAGATACTTCAAAATTCAATTTCAACAAGCATTTACTACGACACAACATGGAATTAATGTGACGAGGAATTGAATTGAGCAATAGATCGTTCAATTAATGCCCTCTAAGTAAGCAGTAAACAATTGAATGGCAGGAGAGCAGTGAATGGGATGTTGTTTGTTGTCTGGTTGCCAGGGTAGCTGGGGTGCCCGGGTGCGTTTGTTGCCCCCCCCCCTCCTCCCCCCCTCCGTGGTATAAATACCCCGGATTTTCCCCTCCCCCTCCTTCCTTCCTTTTTTTTCTTTTTCCCCTCGCGCCATTTGGGACGTTTTGCTTTTGATTAAGAACTTGTTCAAGATCATCTTGCTCTGCTTTTTCCTTTGGCCTTTGCGATTGCCTTCCTGCGAGGAGGTACACCATTGCCGTTTTCTCTCTGCCGATTCTCGTCGCGATGTCTTCATCCGGCCAGTTTTGGTTTTTTCCAGGTTTGCAGGCTGGCCTCATTCCTCCTCCCCCGCGGTCCGAAGGCGCTGGTTTTGAATCAGTCAGACGGCTTCACCGGGACTACAAGGTTCTTCGTGAACGTTGTGAAGCCTGGCGTAAGCGCGATCTGGAATTGAGCAATCAGTTGCTGGAAGCTTCGGTTCCCTCTCCCCCTCCGTCTCCCCCTCCCCCTTGTTTCCGTTCTGTTTCCGCTCCGTCTGCCTTCGCGTTCCTTCCCCCTCGCGTCACTCCCCTTTTTGCCCCCGGGACAGCCGGGATCTTGAAGACCACGTACGGTCCCCGCAACAAGACTAATGGTGGTTGCCACGTTTCCTTCGGGGAAACACAGGTCCACATAGTTGAGCGATGGATTAAGCGTAGTAAGAAGGGATCCCGTTCCAAGCCCAAGTCACGTTCGCCTCGTGTTACTGCTCACCCCATCAAGTTCTATGGGGATCGTTCGTTGCCATACAAGCCGGCCTCTGTCGACGGGCAGTTGGTGTCTGGTGAGTATCCAGTCCCGTTTGTTCGAGAGCTCATAGGTATCTCACGCAAAGAACTACCCACTGATATCCCTGGTCCGGTCACCTGGGCCAAGGCCATTGGTTTTGGTATTGCGGCCTGTGCAGCTGCTCTGTTCACTCGGTGGTTGGAGGCATGATTCATTTGTGATAGTACGTCTCGCATTTTACCGCCGGCACTGGAAAGAATCCTACACGTTCTTGATACGAGTACTACGTGCGTGGAATCCTTTGTTGGTCATTAAATTTGCTTGGTCGAAATTGCAGTGGATGAGATCTTAGGGTCTTTTCGATTCCTGGCTTGGTGGAGTGGGATCCCAGTGGCCGGGGAGTTCTTGTTTGGGTCTTGGGACGTCCTGCTCCAAACATTCGGTTGTTACGCTGAAGCTTCACAGGATCAGAATCATCGACCGGTGCAGGGCATTCGAGACACGATGGCCCACAGGAAAGCGCCTCTTATGGCTCTTTCTCCTATCTTCACAGGCAAGTACTCCCTTCTGATCTGCTCTTCATTGTCCCGACTAACATTTCACTGGCAGGACCCAGCCACGCCGGCAGACTTAGGGCATTCGAGACCTGGCCCCACAGGAAAGCGCCTCTTGTGGCCTTTTCTCTTTTTTTCATAGGCAAGTACTGCCACCCGTCGTGTTGTTGATCTCGGTAACTAACCTTTGCTGGATATGAACAGTTTGGACTTGCGCTGTTAGGTTGGTCGATGGGGGTCAGTGCAAAGACTCAACTCCCTTTCCCATTCTGCTTTTGCTGACATCTCAAAGTGGTTGGCGGGTTACATCGACTTGTATGCATTATTGCATGTATCGTTAGCGAGCAGCACAGCACCTCTTATTTTGTATCATTATGTAAGTGAGTTTGTTATCTGTTGCTTATTGCTGTGACTAACCCTGGATACAAACAGGTTACTGCTTTGGATCGGTCGATGTGGGTTAGTACACCATCCAATTCTCTTCCCCCCGTTCTTCATCTTACTAACTTCTTGAAGAGGTTGGCTGAAAAAAAAAACACAAAAACACCAAAAAAACACAAAAAAAAAAACAAAAAAAAACATCGGGCTGCACCTATTATTACGAAGCACCTCTTATGTTGTATCATTATGTAAGTGGTTTCGTTATATCTGTTGCTCATTGCTGTGACTGACTCTGGACATAAGCAGGGTACGATCGGTTGGTCGATGGGGGTCAGTACAGAGATCCAACCTCCCTTCCCCATTCTTCACCTTACTGACATCTCAAAGTGGTTGGCGGGCAAAACATCGACTTGTATGCATTATTGCATTTATCGTTAGCGAGCAGCACAGCACCTCTTATTTTGTATCATTATGTAAGTGAGTTTGTTATCTGTTGCTTATTGCTGTGACTAACCCTGGTTACAAACAGGTTACGGCTCTGGTTGGTCGATGGGGGTTAGTCCAGAGATCCAACTCCCTTCCCCGTTCTTCATCTTACTAACATCTCAAAGTGGTTGGTGGGAAACATCGATCTGCATCTTTCAAGTTTATTACACACATCATCTCTTATTCTACATCTTCATGTAAGAGACTTCATTCTAATTCCTTGCTCATTGCCGTGACTGACGCTGGATATAAACAGGCTACGCTTGGTCGGTCGATGGGGGTCAGTACAGAGATTCAACTCCCTTTCCCATTCTCCATTTTACTAACGTTTCAAAGTGGTTGGCGGGAAACATCGACCTGCATATATTATCGCACAGCATCTCTTATTATGCATATCATCATGTAAGAGACTTCATTCCGACCTATTGCTCATTGCCATGACTAACGCTGGATCCAAACAGGTTCCGATTGGTTGGTCGATGGGGGTCAGTACACAGATCCAAATCTCCTTCCCATCCTTCATTTTGCTAATATCTCAAAGTGGTTGGTGGGAAAAAAACAAAAAAGCAAAAAAAAACATCGACCGGTATCTATTACCAGAAAGCACCTTTTACTCAACGGTATCTTTTATTCAAGATCATCATGTAAGTGATTTCATTCTGATCCGTTGCTCATTGCCATGACTAACGCTGGATATAAACAGGTTACTATGGTTGGTCGATGGGGGTTAGTATACAGATTCAATTCCCTTCCCACTCTCTGTTTGACTAACATTTCAAAGTGGTTGGTGGGAAACATCGGCCTGTATCTTTCATTGCATGTATCATTAGCGAGCCGCGCGGCACCTCTTATTACATGTTATTAGGTCGGTGGGTTCATTCTGTCTCTTCTTGTCTCCAGCTAACCAGGTCACAGGATGGAATGAACCTGGACTGGGCTGGATGTCGTTGTGCGAGGGAGGCTGCATGGTGTGTCGAGGTTCACGGGCTGCTCTTGGGATTGCTTGGTTGACGGAGGTTGATGCATCGGACTGGATGTCATGGTATTCTTATTGATGGATCGGGCTGGATGTTATGTTATCTTTATTTGGAGGTTCGCAGGTTGCTTGATCAGTCACGTCTTCTCTTCATTATCAACGAGCAGCATGAACATACAATTGACGCAGTTCATCGACAACCTTCCCTGGCTCATCCTGGAGCCCGAAAGATGCGAAAGTTCTTGGCTGCGATCGATACGTCGACCATTGCTTGGTCTGCAAGCGCACCAAACCTTAGCGTGACAGGAAGCCTGGTCTGTTGAACCCCCTCCCCGTTCCCAGTCGACCCTGGATGCATATTGCAATGGACTTCATGGTGTTGCCCAAGGATCGCAAAGGATTCGATGCTGCTCTGATTGTGGTGGACAGATTCTCGAAGAGAACCGTCACCATCCCCTACCTTCGCACCATCACTGTACTACAGACTGCTCAACTCTCTGTGGACTACATCTACCAGTTTGTTGGTCTACCTGACTCAATTATATCAGATCAAGGGACTCAGTTTACATTAAATTTTTTCAAGGCACTATATACAATTTTGAAAATCCAACAGAATATATCTACCGCCTACCATCCCCAGACGGATAGTCAGTCAGAGGTATAGGTTTAGTACGCGAAGTAGAAGCTATATACCCAGATCAGCTTTCACCAGGACAATTAGTTAGAGAAGCTTCCCCTCATCAACTTCGTATAAGCCATCTTGGTATAAGAGTCTATAGGGAAGTCCCCTTTCGAGGTTGAATAGGGGTACCTGCCGAGGACTTCTATGGACTGGAGATGAAGCGAACTTAAAGGCATCCCTGAGCAGGATGCTAAAGCCGCATGATAGTTCGTAGAGGACATAGAAGGAACCTGGTCAGAAGCCGCCTAGGTAACATTGAATAACTGCTGCCTAGTAATGTATGAGGACTTAGGTTATTCTTCCCCCTCTTTATAAATTCATTTTCATGATCTCCCCCTTGACTACTTGGGGAGCTACGTAAATTTTCGTGACATACCTGGTTCCCCCTGATTGAACTTCAGTAGACTGGTTGAAAAGGTAAGCACTGTGTGCGATATCTATGTTAAGTAAAGACTAGGTACTAAGGTTATAATCCTCTCAAGCAGTAAGAAGGTACTGATCTTGAGGACTGGTAAGGACGGATCTCGAATACCGAGTTTATGCCCATCTTGAGTGTTGAATTAGGTACGTAATAGGCATGCACAGTTCAAGGGTAGATACCCCAGGGCTATATAATTAGGCACCTACCTAGAGACAAGGCTGTCACTTTACCTGAGCGCATCACTTGTATTTTGAAGTGTGTACGGGGTACTTTGCTTCAGGCTTCATGTTTCCAATCCACTAGTTGACGCTAGTATTTGACAGCTGGACACGTGGCCCGCCAGGCTGCAGTCAAAACACAAAACAATAAGCTTTACGGTGTACAATTTGACCATTCTTTAGGCCTTTTCTCCACGACAGATCAAGCGAGTACTCGATTACAAAACAGCATGGGTGAAGCGCAGCTCCCCTGGAACGCCGGGACCCACGATGGCCTAGTTTCGATTGGCAGCCATGAACTACATCTATACGCGTCGGGACCAACCAGACAAACTCTCAACGGCACCTACCAACCCGCAGTGATTATCGAAGCAGGACTAGGGAGTAGCCAAAGCGAATGGGTCGCTGTGCAGCGCCTTATTGCCTCCAAAGCTCGCGTCTACACGTACGACAGAGCAGGCTACGGGCGTAGCCAAGCCTCCCCACTTCCACCAACGGCGCAAAACCGGGTCCACGAGTTGACCCACTTGCTCGACGCCGCAGCGATAGAAGCCCCCTATATCCTGGTGGGCCACTCATACGGCGGCGTCCTCATCCGCGAATTTCTCCGCCAGCATCCGGGAAAAGTGGCGGGGATGGTCATCGTGGATTCTAGTCGCGTTCGCACGCGTCTACCGACCTCTTGGCCGAATCTAATGGGTCCATCCAGCTACCCTGCGATCGTTGGCCTAGATACAAACCACATTTTGACACCCGAAGAATACGAGGCTGTCGAACGCGATCAATCTCGCAATATGGCTACCGCGCAAGTGGAAGAGGGGTTTATTGCGTCGAGTACCGAGGCCGTCAATGCCGCTTTACCACTTGGATACCGAGCGCTGGGTCACAAACCACTGAGCGTGATATTTGCCAACGAATCCGTTGATTTCGGCAAGATCTACGATTTCAGCGTAACGCACGGCTATGGATCGATCGCGGAACGGGAAGAAATGCGCGAGCGCCTCACAGACATGGAGCAAGTAGATGAGCAGGGGCAACGGGCGCATCTGGGGATGTCATCTCGGAGCCGGTTCGTATACGCACAAGACAACGCCCGAACACACAATGTGCAAATTGTGGCGCCGGAAATGATTCGGGATGAGGTATTTTGGGCACTTGGAATCGCGGAAGAAAGCGAAGAATAGGGAAGAAAGAGGGGTTGGGGACGGCCCGTTAACCCACATGGCCACCGGGGTCCACCGCCACGAGGGCCAAGTGGCATCATTAGCGAGGGATGCGAAGGATGAAAAGGTCTAAGGTCGCAGTAGCCGGCGCCCAGCGTTGACAGGCAAGCTTTAGCGATATTGGTGGATTTGTGAATAGGTTTTGACGGACGAAGTTTTCGAGATCGGCAAAAGGGCCGAAATTCGAGCCAATGGAAAGCCGCGTAAGTTATTGCCTTTTCATCAGCGCGAGCGGGTGGATCAAGTTGCAATCAGCCCCACAATTCTGCACTGTAGAACACTGAGGATGAGTGGCGAGATGCATTCTGGCTTCTTTAGCTTCAGGATTTAGCAACCGCGTCCAATGGCTTAATTTGTTATACTTTTGCGCACAGGGCAACTCAGAATAACCCCTAATCATGATTCTTGTATTTAGAGTGTGCCTTGGCCCTGATGGGGGGGTTTTCAGCCTTTTCTAGAGGAAATAAAGAAATTCTCAGTCCTAGGGGGGTAATAAATTGACCAAAATGACTGGGCAACTCACATGGCTGGTGACAGGCTGTACATCGGGGATGGGAGAGAGTTTGGTCCACGCAATTCTTGAAGCAGTAAGTTTTTGTCTCGGTTTTTATTCAGAAAATATCCAGTGAAGAAAAGACAGAACTGATTATGATTAGGGCGACCGAGTGATTGCCACAGGAAGAGGACGAGAAAGCAGCGGCGTTGAACGCTTGTCCCACTTGAAAGATGCCGGAGCTGCCGTGATGGAGCTCGACGTCACTGCACCGGAGCATGTGATCAAAGCCAAAGTTGCAGAAGCTTGGAATATATACGGTCAGATCGATGTCCTGGTAAACAACGCCGGGTACATCGACGTGGGCATATTTGAAGAACTCGAGTAAGTGACCCTCCAATCGATTTTTTATTCAGTCTTGGTCTGGATATTATTTTCATTATGAATTCCTTTCTAACTGTTCCCAGTGAGAAATCTTTAACGCGCGCTCTTCACACTAACGCAATCGGTCCGCTAAATTTAACACGTGCCTTCCTCCCTTACATGCGCAGCAGAGGAACAGGAACACTACTCTTCATGTCCTCTGTGGGCGCATATTACGGCACGCCCGGCGCCAGCTCCTACAGTGGCTCCAAGGGATTACTCGAAGCGATAGTGCCCAACATTGCAGCTGAAGGAGCGCCATTCGGCATTCGAACCTGCATGCTCATCCCAGGCTTCTTCCGCACAAAAGTATGGACGCCCGGAAACATTTTCTACAGAGCGCCCAATCCGTTACCGGAATATGCGGAGATCAACAAGGGCCTACACACTTTCTGCATTGATGGAGACGGGAAACAGCCCGGAGACCCTCGAAAGGCGGCAGATGTTATTTTGGATGCTGTGAAGGGGCAGGGGTTGTGTGCTGGGCGGGAGTTGCCGCCTTTCCTGCCGCTAGGACCGGATGGGGTGCAAATCATCCGCGAGAATTTAGAGGGGAGATTGAAGGTCGTCAAGGAGTGGGAGGAGGTGGCTTCTGCGACGAACTTTTCAGATCTCACGCCGATTATCGAGAAGGCGAAGCTCTGAGGATCTATAGTATATACGTCTTGACAGAATAATCGAATAATTGTTAATAGGAAGATCGGAAATACAAATCTTTACGAATTTCTTGAACAAGAAGCTGAAGACTCTTCAATGTTTATGGCTAATATACATTGTTAACTTCCCAAATCTCTCCCAGCAGACCATATGCGACCTCAAATATTGATTTGTCCACTTGCGCCCGGCGGAATCCTAGGCTTGGAAATATTCTCCGTGCTCTTCGTAAACTCCGCAGCCAACTGGGGATCAGTCTGGACATATTTCAATGATTGAATAGAGTCATGTCAAATATAGAGTAAAACTTTGATCAATTCTAGGACACGGTATAGGGAAAGCTAGTCCAAACTCAAAGCATTAAAGCTGGTTTTGGCATCGGGCAGGCATAATTGTCCAAAGTTGTAATGCTTCATCTTTACCATTTATGGCCGCGGACAATCAAATCAGTTCGGCCCTTCTTCAAATGTTCTCTTCAGTCTTGTCCCTTCAAATGTTCCCACTCCCTTCAATTGATGCTTTCCGTCAGCTAGTCTATTCTTTTGAACTTATTTTCAGCTATTACAATCACTAGTTTGCTCGCAAGATTCTCAAATCTGAATACATCTTGACAAGTACCCCTTCTTATCAACAGCCATCGGCGAATTACAGTATGAGACTTAATTATATCTCACGAGCCAAACTTGCCTCGAAGAGAAAGTCACGTTCTATCCCAACTCCTGCGCCTACCACTCTTGGTGGACTAATCCCCGAGTTATTATTTTCGATATCGGACTATCTTACAATCCTTGACTGCATTTGTTTTTCCTTGTGCAGCCATCGACTACGGGCTGTATTTTTGAATAAATTTCATCGCTGGAATGAGGCTTTCTCCTCTAAAAACAAACTTTTGATCTTAAACCGCTTAGAACGAGATCTCCCGGAGTACGTTGCATGCGACGTTTGCAAGATTCTTCATTATTACGATGGATCTAAGCCATTCCGACTTGAAAAATCTTCCTCTCCAAGACGCTGCCCATTTAAGTGTGTTAAGGATTATAGCTGGTACAGCCATGATTTCTATTTGGGAGCGCACTACTTGATTGATCTCCAATACCATGACCAATTAAGCTTCCTGCACATCAAAATGGCGATGAAGAGGCTCTACCATGGACCAAGAGCTGGCATAAGCACTGATTGCCTTTCTTACGTGAAAGTAAGGGAATTCTCACACAACCCACCTGACGACAGTGCAGTCTGGCTATGCTCACAGGACGCTCAAATATGCCCCAGCCCCCCTGGTCTTTATATCAGACTGCAGGATGTCTTGCTTGTTTCTAGGCCAGAAACCTTTATCTACTATAAAGCAAGCTGGTACCTCGAAAACTATTCACATTTTCCAATCGTAAGGTCTGTTGAAGTATGCCGTCACATACTATCTCGTGACTACATCTTCCCTCTTGCGCAGTTGATTTACAACAAAGAACAAAGATATATCGCTCGCAACGTTTGCTGTGAGAAATGCAATACACAGGCACACATTGAAATCACGGCAATAGACTCGAAGATCGCTCTGGTTGTTACAAAATGGTTCAATCTCGGTCCAGGTATTACAGAGAATGACATACTTTGGAGAGCTCATAGCAGTGACCTCCGGAAATCATGGGATCCATGCACTATCCCGAAACACCTCTTCACAGATACCCGCTCATTCTTCGAACATTCAGCGACCCATTCATTTGAGAAGCTGGGATCTCGTAGCCTCGCGATCCTCAAAGATCGGCGATACCGGAGCTCCTCATCTTTTCGTTCTCACAAATATGGGAATAGTGATATGTGGTCCATGAAAATGAAAGCTGGAGACCGTTTCAAGTTGGCAATCCTCCAAGGAAAAGGAGACTATTGTCGTCCTTGCTAGGCTGGGCGGTCTTACCTATCTTGAATTAATCATGACCGTCTATGGAGGGCTGTGGAGGAGGTTTGCTTCTTCATGCAAGGCAGTGTGATCTTTCATTTAGCTCTGATGATAATAACATAGCCCATACAGCTATTCGTGCTACACTGTACTGATAGCTATGGTAATGAGCATATCTTGGCTTGAACTTTTCTTGACTTGGGTAGTTCCCAAGGTGCCATCCATCTTCGCCACCTAAATTTCCACACCCAAAGTTCTCTTTCATAGCACTTAAGTACAGAAGGTCTTATGCGGTCGAGTAAGAGGTCCTTGGTAAACAAATCTCCCATGCGAAGATGATGTCGCAGTTCGACCCGCCCAGGTGTTTGAGGCGCTTTCTCATACGCAGGTGAACCCGGTCTAGAAAGCCAATCTCTGAGCTTTCAGCGACGAATATTGCATCTGAAATGACATGATCTAGGTCCAGGACCAAAAATAATACACTGTCCAAAAAAAGACACTGCATACTAGCGTTTTAGATTTGCTTCAACATTCAACATTCAACATATGTGTACTATCAATTGCTCCCTTGCTCGTCAAATGGATGTCTTTTAAGAAATCTTTTATTAGTGTCTTTAGACGCCTATGAATCCTGTGCAGATTCAAGACAAGCCAAGCTAGGTCCAAAAGGGTAGTTAGTAGCTTGTTGCTCCAACAAGGTCCGAAGTGGGGACACGGGTAGAGCGGCGGGTAAATCAATTTGCGAAGATCATGGCGTTGAATTTCAAGGCCGTTTGATGTGATCGCTAAAAAAAAACATCACCTCCTGGTAGAAACATAACTGGCTTCGATTCAAATAGTGAACCTGGACGATATATGTTTAGAGGAGGTGGAACTTGGAAAGAAGTAATAGAGAAGGAAAAGAAGGATCCAAGTCGAAACAAACTTGAAAAGCGGGGATTCCCGTTGGTGTCCACACCAGCTCCAAACCAGTCACATCGAACCATATTGCCACCCAGAATTCTTTTTCGCACGGCGAGATCATCCAAATTATTGAAATAGATGGGGAAAACTAGCCAAATGGCAATCACAGGAGAACGGGCGCGTGGTGCGGCGCGTCGCGTTGGAGGTGATGCGCCAGAACATGTGAAAAACGTATCAACATTCGAGCAAACCTCGTCAATATTCATCGAGATGGATTTGATTGTCACTCCTCATTGGACTCTGAGTGAAATTTCGTTTTCCAGTTTCATAGGCGCTACCACTATCACTTTATTAGCGTACTCAAATCCTCAGGCTAAATACGCCTGAATACTCTCGGGCGCGTACGAAACGATGGCAATTGGAGGAAATTGAAAATATTACAACGTGATACCGATCGATCGTAAAACTGGTATTGGCTGTGTGACATGAGCGTAATCGGGCCAATCACAATCCCCCAAATTCTGAATCATCTGATATCGACCTCGGCTAAATACGTTAGTCTGCAAGAGAGCTGCAAGAGAGGGGTCGGTCCGTTCCTCAACCCAGGATCCACATATCTCCAAGTGAACTTGGCGGCTTGGAAGCTCAAACGCTAGACGCTACGCATGTATGGCTTTTGTGACGAAGGCGCACTGTTCTAACGAGCTTCTGCAGTCTTTGAGTACATCCATGACCTGCCAAGGCGCAACGCTTGGACAAAGACCTGGCAAAGTCGGAGCCTAGAGTCAGACTTACCGCGAGCTCAAGCTCTCAAACCACAAATTCAAGCTTCTTCCCCCCAAAAATTTATCTCCTAGCCCTCTCGATCATTTACAATCTCCCCTCCAAGAAACCAGTCTCCTCAGCGCCATTTCCCACTTGAGATCTCTCCCATAGCCATGTTCCTACCACATCTCACAGTCAGCAATCAAATCCAACCGCGCGTGGAGAGCCCAGAAAGGCCAGAAACAGATTACGAGCGCTCGCAAAGGAAGTCCAGCGATCACCGCGTATCCCCACGTCCTCAATATGGCCCCTCCGATAACCAAGAATTGCAAGATGGCAGTCCGCTGAAACCCGGGGCTTCCTACGGCAAATACAATCAACCGATATCGCACGAAGAGGGCTCTTCATTTGGCCGCCACATTAGGCATCGCGACGCCTTTGAATCTCTCTGCAGGAACTGGGCTTGGGTTATATTTTTCACAATTCTGATGGTTGTTTTTGCTCTGCGTATACGAAAAATAAGGAAAAGAAAGGCATCTATTCTGCAGAAGAGGGAGATTTCTCGGGCTAGATTAGGTGAGATATACTTACATTGATTCAGGCTTCATCTCTATACAGTTCTTGTGATCATATATCTGACTGGAATATACTACTAGATACTGCCGCTGTTTAACATGACCCGTTCGAGATACAATGAACTTTTCACGTACTATGAATTTCGCTTTTTTGGGGAGGCGAAGAAGTTTGTCGAATATCATATAATATGGAACATTGAATATTATGAGTTCTTTTCTGGTTCACAGTAGCGTGCATATTCCCAAAGTCATCATTGTAAAAACAAGGAGGCAGACGAGAGCTTGAAAAGGTAGGCGATGATCTTTTACAACCGTATGAATCGATACCAAGTCTTCTTTCAAGCTGTGACAGAAGCGGCAAATAAGGAACCAAACAAAAAGGGAAAATCGTTCTCCCAAGGCCATAATGTCATCGCGGCTCGTGGCACACACTCAGGGCCCTCAATGAGCTTTCACCATCATCACTTGTAGCTATCTAACAGCTTAGCCTGGGCTATGAAAGTAGCGCTGCTGGAGAATGGAGCATCGAACCTTTCGTTAAACCCCTCACAGAAGAGCCTTTAATCAATGATATCCCTGGTGGCCACCAAAGCGAATAAGGTCAGCTTTACTGCCGAGTAGATCGATGAACGATATCCATGCCTGAGACATTTTGAAGAAGTAAATGATGAAAATTGATGGAAAAATTGTTGTTCTTGGTATTGTTGGGTATTGTTGGGTATTGTTGGGTATTGTTGGGTATTGTTGGGTATTGTTGGGTATTGTTGGGTATTGTTGGGTATTGTTGGGTATTGTTGGGTATTGTTGGGTATTGTTGGGTATTGTTGGGTGTTGTTGGGTGTTGTTAGGTGTTCTGGAGGTGGTTTATACTGGATATATATATTCAAATTATGCCCATCTCGATAGGTTGTCATTTCAAATGTTTCAAGTTTCTGCTCGTTCGTCTTCCAGATGTGGCTCAGATAGTACCGTTTGCATCGAACAGGCCTAGAGACATGGCAAGGATGACCAGAAATCGATCCCTGCGACAGCTGAGTCGTCAAGTAGCATTTGAGTAGCATCGCTCATGACAGGGACCAGGAATCCTGATACTCATGAGAGGACGACATTATCAGCTAGTAGATTCGAAGAGGGACCCATGGAGAATACAGGAGTAGATACTCCCATGACGAGAGGAAGAGTATTTCAAATGATGAGCCCCTTGGGTATGTTCGTCAAGCTTAAGCAAGGCTGTCTATCGGGAGGGCTTGAAGCTGGGTTGAGATGTAGATGAACGTTTGATGAATTTGTGAGTCGGTAGCGGAACTAAATGTTGTGTGCAATGCTGGTGTCTGATGGAGCATGGGGGATTCATGATATATGTGATATATATTTATAAAAAATTAGATTTAGGAAGAAGTGTGAATGACAGCGAGGTGTGAATCAACCCCTTAATATATCCGAGAGAAGCACGTGATGTGTTAGCATATTCAACATTGAATGAAGCCTGAGCTATCAGTATGTATTATTCCGGCGGTATAGGGAGACAAGGCCGCGTGCCTTCTTCACATGTGCAGTAGACTTCAAGTTCTTCCTTCGGAATCTCCACCAAGAGCCGATCTATAAGCGGATATGTCTTCCTATGACAGGATTTGAATCAAAAACACCGACATCGAAACATTTCCAACATTGCGTCTTTTCAAGGTCTCAGCAAAATCTCTAAGTCATATTCTACCTGCTCAGTTTTCCTCTCATTATTTCCTCTGCCTCCTACGCTTTAAACCGAATTATTCACGCGTTAACTGCGACTCGAATTGCGAACTGTTTAGACTATTTCAAAGATGAACCACATTGTACGAGCAGTACTGCCAACCTATATAAAGCGAACAGATAGTTTTGCTGTGATGAAGGGTTGTCGGCCTTTGAGCAGCAATATGGTTGGGTCGGCTGTACAGATGACATATCCGTATTGAATGTCAATGCAACTTTCCTTTGCAATTACCTCTTCAGTCTCCAGTGAGTACATGTCCAATTTATCGACTGCGGCTGGAGAAGATACGACATAGTTCGATTGCAAGATACTAATATCGCCGTTGTATTTCTGTAGCTACTATGACAGCAACTTCAACAGCAACCTCAACAATAACAACGACTACTCTTAACTCGAATAAAGCGTCTACCACCGGCAGCACAATATCAGCTTCTATTGTCTCAATATCACCTACCTCCACGAGCAGCGCCGTTTCAAATAACTCAACCTCAAACACGGTCAGTGTCGCTGCCATTGCTGGTGGGGTTGGTGGCGGTGTCGCTGCTGTTGCCATCGTCGCGGGCATTCTTTGGTTCTGTTTACGTCGTCGCCGGAATAAGAACAAAAGACCCAGCGATAATCTCATATTCGAAGAGGCGCCTCCATACGCTGCTACTATAACCGAGTCCTTTGCGAAGGTTAGGGGGCCTCCCATGTCAGAACTCGACAGTACGAAGAACGTCGGAGTGGTTGAGTTACCTGGGCATGCCATAGCTGACTCGGTAAAGTATAACCGATTCTAAGTAAACTGGGGCATAGGGGACCCACAATTGCTGTTCTGTATATAATTTTGAACGAAGTTTTGAAATTATTCCACCAGCATGTGTGCATGTGATATTGCATTCAGAATGCACTATGACGGAAAAGAATAATATAAGACAGTCGAAACAGTTGAAACAAGGAAGAAATCAATGTCCAAGTTCAAATCTTCGAACGAAGTAGACAGAGAAACCTTTACTATCCAGCTGCACCTAAGGCAGCAAATGTCATATTCCTCATCTCGTAGTTAAATCGGCCTCAACAGAAGATCTAAATGCAGAGCTTGTCTCGTTACCGCACCGAGCGCCACGTACTCGGCGCACATCGAGGAGGGGGACGATATCTTGCAGTCTCGACTTCCAAATGATGTGTGTTCCATTGTAGAAGAAGATGAAATCTTCTACAGATTTGCGCATTTGCGTGTGATGCGTCAACGCAAAATTTGAACCGACCAATCCCGTCATGTCATTTGCATCAAACACGAGTCCAAAGCTTGCGTTTCCCTTTAAATACCGCAATACGTGCTTTGTAAGCTTCTGGGATACAGTTGTTGCGTACGTAGAAGAAATCCTCAGCACAGCAACCACATAACAGAGATCTGGCCTTGTTCGAGAAGTCAGCCAGCCCAGTTTTGCGACTGCCTTTGAGAGCTCTTTTGTGTCAGTTTCGTTCAAGATTTGCCCATTGTCATTCTGCTCAACCAACTGCTCGTATTCAGTCTTTGTAGGAATCTCTGTTCCCGACGTCATTAGCACTTGGTTAGAAGTTGCATTTGTAAGATTTTCGAGCGCTAAAAAATCTCTCAAGTGCTTGTGTACTGAGCTTGATCAAGCGTTATTCTGCTGCCCAAGACAGTGATATAACAACCGAAGAATTTGGAAGCAATCCCCATATCTTCTATTCTCAAATCAGAAGATACCCAAGAGAAAAACGAGGAAGGTTCCAAGGCTGAAATGTTCAAAGTTTGCTTGGTGCATATGACATGAGGAAGTGAACAAAGCCGAGCTATCATTCAAGTATTTGTTCTACTCCAGAGCCGGTAAAGGGAGATAAGGCCCTCATACCTTCTACTTCGGAGTCTCCAGCTTCCTGCAACTCAGTTCATTTGTTTTGTGGTGGTTGCAACTACGATTGATAGTCACAAGACCCCAACAATCTTCCTTTCCTTCCCACCCCACTACTTTCAATCGAGAAAGAGATCAACTCTGGAAGCTGTCAACGATAAACAGAACGTTCACTGGGGGACCCGAGGCCTGGGTAGGTGATAAAAGTCACCCAAGATCTCCCCTCTCTTTTTCCTTTCTTCTTCTCTCCCTCCTCACTTCCTCTTCAATCTCCGCCCTGAAAGCAAACTGTCTTTTCCGTGACTCCCTTTCTTCGATCAGTCTACAAAATCTGGCAAGCAAACATATTTCTCCCCCTTGACCGCAAAGCATCTTACTGACTTTGGTCTAGCTCTCAATTGTCTCCCAGATGTGCTACTTTGGTGATCTTTTGGCTCAGGCCAGGGCTTCCAGCTCCCAGGCGGCCCAGGGCGTCCACTTGAATGACAACGAAAGGCAACCTATCGTCAAAAAGGTGACCCAAGCAGCTGTCAAAAGTAAGATATTCATTTCTCGCAGCTTCCCTCCCCACTCGATCAATATGTACATGAATACGGGTTTTGTACCTTGAAGTTGAGCTGGATAGCTAACTATGCATTGGGTATTTTAGAACTCAAGGCAGACATGGGCTAGAACGCCAGAATCCTGAAGATCTGCAGAACTGTATTCGGAATGGCCAACCAAGTCGATCTTGGACTTCGATTTATGGTTCTGGCAGAGGTGGCAAGGACGTAAGGAACGATATCTTCAAGAGCCACAGGGGGAGAATGACCATGACCAGGATGAACTCAAGGGAAGAGCCCTTGACGCCAAGCAAGAAGTCTTGACACACACCATACAAATCACTGGCTAGAAGAGGACGGTCAAGAGATAAAAGGGGTTATGGAGTACTTCCTGCTTCGGGGTTCTGCAACCTAATACATGGGGAAATGGCGAGCTCGTCCGGGGTTCATCCTCTATACCCCAAGAAAAACCATCTCCTACGTAGCTTCAAAGACGGCCGCCAGAATTTATCCATGCTCATTAGGTGCCTGGCTAGCGCAGATGGACCAATACAGAAATAAATTTCACATCAACATTTTGATTTTAATAGTAAGATAACCTTAGATCATCGAATGTAAGTTTCTCAGAACCTTTCTCAGAGCGTTCCCTGATGAAAGCTGTTATCAGAATTCAATAATTCAGCCTCTCTCAACTTCCGCGCATCCGAATCCGCGTCTCTAAAGCTACGAATGGAGACGCGGCCATTTCAGAATTGAAAAGAGACCTTAGTGTACTGCCACCAACAGCTCCCATCTATTCAAAGAATAAAATCGCTAACTATTCACCTAATCCTCTTCATCCTCATCCCCAACCTTCAACTCCAGCCTCTCACCATGCCTCGACAACAAATCCATACAAACAACCCAAGCTCTCATCGAAGAAAGATCCCGACTAGACATCATCTCCAACCAACCCATTGCCTTCCTCACATTCGTCAAAATACCCACAGCCTCAGGCGTACCCGCTTCCGCCCTCGTGAACAATTCAACCAGCAGCACAACCGTCGACTGCATCAAATAATGGAAAACAACCCACCACGGCGGAAGAATGTCCAAGTGCGCCATATCAGGCGTATCGGGGAGGATATCAAGGATGAGGCTCGCCATCTGCACACACATTGTGGCCATATTCGTACACAAAGTGACAACGGAGTTAACCTCAAATAGCTCATCGGCTAGCGGGCGGAGGCATGGCTGCGAGATGACAAGCTTGGTGGAATAGAACTGGAACGCGAGGCATGTTCGTTGGCGGAGAAATGGTTGGCCTGGACGGAGATCGGCAAATGACAGTTCGGGCGGTAGGCGGGAGAGCCATTTATCTGCGTCGCCGTTGAGTGTGCACAGGGCGATCTCGATGCCGTGCCAGGACTTTTGCACGGCTGCTGGAGCGTAGAGCGTTGTCACGGCGTCTCGCATTAGGAGCGACAATTCGACGGTGTATAGTAGGAATAGCGAGTTGTTGAGGATGGGGGCCTCGGCGAATTCTTCGGGTTCGAATTTCACCCCGGCTTTGGTTTCTTGTTTCACTGGGTGCGGGCTGCCTGTCATTATGTTGTCCAAGGATGTGCTTGAACTGTTGGGCAAAACGCAGGAGATGGCGGGGCTTCGACTGGTGTGATCCGCGATACGGTGCATGCCCAGTTCGTTCCCGAAGTCCTCCTCCGGGTATGGGACTGGCAGTGGTGTTGTGCAGAAGTTGACACCTGTACAGGGGGGACGTCCGGTCAACTCACACAGTACCATCTCGAGAATTATGAGAGCCCACCAGAGTCGGTATCTGGTTTCTTTTGATAATGGGGTAATGCTGTCGGCGTTGCTGCGGAGGTTGATTCCCATTGCTATAGCAGATCTGATGCCAATGCCGATGATTCGCCATGATCTGAAGACAGGTACTCCATGTTAGACGATATCATGGAAGCAGCATACGCGTGGATAGAGGAAGAAATCACCGATTGATATGACCAACAGAGAACATGTGATAGGCCATCAGGCCATCAATCTGTACTTGTTGCAGGTCCGAGTGATTCAGTGGCATTGCTTTATCCGTATTGAGTTTCCAAGCTCGTGAAAAAAAGACCTCGTGATCATCGAATTCGATTGAAGGTTGGACATCACGGAGAAGTAAATGTCTCGCTGCGATGGCGAAAACCATGTTCAAAAGTGCGCGCCATCGGTTGCCCGGTCGCACATCTGCATTTGAATAGAACTTCCGGTACTGACTGGTAAAAGCCAGCTTTCCAATCACCGGGAAGGTGGGGTGTATAACCTCGAAGTAGTGACATACAAGGAGATCCGCTGCTAGCTGAGAGGGCCACGTTTCTAGGTCTGCATCCTCGCCATGAGGGAAAGGGGTATCGTCCAAGAAGTAGTTCGTGTGAGAGATCGATTGATCAGAACTGAAGGTCGAAGCTTGAGGATCTTGATCAAGTTGGCGCTTGAGTCGGTGTAGGCATGCCATTTCCGAAGGCTCGCCGATAAACCCGATGGACTGCAGCCTAGAATCATGATTCAGATCTTCTTCCGTATAATCTGAAGCGCCGAGGGAAAATATCGAGCCGTATGGCATCTGCGGTGCCTTTGGAGTTTTGACAGGTGTCTTGTATATTGTCAGTGAAGGGCAAGGGTGATTGGGTCAAGTGTTCAATGGTGTCTCACGGAAGTCAAGGCCTGCTCAATGAGTTCTGCAGATGATTTATCCAGGTGCGGGTAAAGCGTACGTAGTAAATTCTCGTACGTTTGGGCTCGCACAGTGAGGTCCGTTAATTGCCTGATGATGGTCAGAAGGGCATCTCAGTCCCGCTGTTTCAACGCACTTTATTATCTTCTCCTTCTTTCGGTCTCCATAAAAGCACTTCACGCCCGTTTGTTGACATCGAAAACAAGAAGGTTGTTGTCCGCTGCATTTTGCTTTCTGCTCGCGACAGGCTTCACACGCTCGACTGACTCGACCGCGGACCTTGGTATTGCCTGGTGTAGAATTACGCGGGATCGGAACTTTGGCGTTTAGCGAGTGGCCGGTGTTTGGAACATTTGGAACTGCGGTGTTATTATTAACAGCGCCAACTGAGACACTGTGCGTGTAGTCCAATGAAGCCCATTCCACATCCGAAGGTGCAGAATCGTATTCCGATAGCCCCAGAAGATGCTCGATGAACGAGTTGGAATAGTTGTAGTTGTAATTATAATTGTAGCCCATGGTGTGACGCTTCCTATTCGCATCCCCTGAGTATCGGAATTCGGAACATGGGGAATAGGATATGTAGTAGGTAGTTGGGCAGCATTTAAACTCAGGGTCCAACGATCTGCGGTACAGGCTTCGGTTCGAGGATTCCCGGTTGCAAGGGGGTGAGTGGAAGTGGCCAGTGCTCAAAAGCTGTTGAAGCCCCTGCCCGGACCATGGCGTGCGTGAAGTCGAACCGCGAGCCCGTGCGCATCCTTCCATTTACGAAGGAGTGAGATTATGCACGGCATATACGAAAGCGAGATTATTGATCTCGAGTTGGAATGTGGGATTTTTGCACCTAGAAATGCGTAGACCGCCGGTGTATGGAGCTATCTCCCGTAGAGGAGAAGCCGTCCCATTCAATTGTCCCCGCTTTCATGGTGGAAAGGTAGACCTGTCGACTCATGAGCAACAGCCATGGAGAATTTTCATGACCGCTGAAGTGGTTCAGTTTGCATCCTTGCTGGTACTTTTGACCCTTCAACAACGCGAACCAAACCTAAACCCCGCCATCGCTTGCTCTTGCCTGACAGAGCCCCGCCGTTGTTGAAATCAACCATTAGCTGACAACGATTCCCTAACAATGGGTAGGGTGAATTTTCTGCAATCGACCAAAAAAGGGAACACTGGCTTGTCGAACCACAGTAAGTCCTTGGAGATGCAGACGCCGCATGCGCATGATCGAGCCCAGCTTACCAGATATGGAGGAGACACGCCTTGCATCGGGGGGTTTTATTTATAAAACCCGTGGTGAAATGAAAAGGCTCAACAGGGAGCCTTTGCCTCAGAATAGCGATACACAGATGTGGGGCTCGGCTTTAAGACTGGGCCTTTTGTTGTTAAGTGAAAACCCAAGGAGTTTGTCCTCATAATCGGGCTCTTTTGGGGTGAAAGTCAGGATAATTGCAGGTCACAGAAGAAGATGAGATTGATGTGTCGAGCGGCACCGGAACAACTCTATCACCTATTTTGACGGAAAATGATCCCGAGTCGTCTGAATCGAATAATATAACCCCGTCATATTCATCTGGAGCTGTGGGCAATTATTGAATGTGGTATATAATTTCAAATAAAGCAATCGACTGGTAAAATACCAAATACATAACGTTTCACGGTATCTGGGACGACGCGGTAAATTCAATCGATTGGGTATCATTCATTTTGACATATATTTGACATATAGTCTCTGGACTTTTATTTATACAACATATCCTTGGCATTTCGTATTTCCTTCATGACCTTATAGCTGACCAGAGGAAAAATGGATTTCCCCACTGCTAGCTTCCCTCCCGATACAAGACGCGTTTCATAATTCGTACTTGATCAAAGCTTTCCTCGTAGGCCTTCAAGGCATTGCACATATCACTGCGGTATTTGGTCTCGGATGGATAACAGAAATAGTCCTCGGCTTGTTTGGATGTGGGATGTTTTGCCGAGCAGGAAGAGTATTTGATGGTTTGTGATGGGTCAAGTTGGTTCCCACTACCCGGAGATGGAGGTGGGGATGCGTCGGAGAACTCATCCCATTGGGAGAATTCATTTGGTGTACTCATTGATAAGAATTCACCCCAGAAAACTGATATTTCAGACCAAGTGGGCATGTGGAAGGATTGCATGTCGGATTGACCGATATGTAAAGGAGTGATGGATCATATGTTTGTGCAATCTGGGTATTTCTAATCTCTTCCCTCACTACACATGCATCTAATATATGATTCCCGACTGCATGGGCTGGGGAAAATTCTAACTTCGATGATTCAATGAAAGTTTGATATACTTTTTTCTTTCAATGGGGGGAAATCCTATCATTGGAGTATAAGTGTCCTGTCACTTAAGGACGTGGCTTGATTTTCTTTGTCCTGGGGGAATCCGCCAATAGAGTGACCAGAGAGGGTGTGCAAATAGTGGATGACTTCACGAGGTACCAAAATTTATCAATGACAAGTTTCTATGTTCCTTTTATTCGGTTTTGGGTTTATTGGCTGGATTCTCGGCCCTACCATACATCGGACCAAATTCGGCCGGGATATACAGGAAATGGGGGCTCACAGGTATAGCCGATTATACACATGTGCAGGATTCGTAATATTTTTTTTCAAATGAAACATGGTTACTCAGCTCAGGATAGTTTTGAAATGTGGCACATGAATTGAATGTTTTGATAGTGGCGTACTAATCAGTCCCTTTCGTGAATACTAATCTGCAAGTTAACGGCTATTTTGTTCAGCCTGAATTAATGGGGCAAAATGCATGCCTACAGTACTTTTGTTAGCCACGCCACTAGTGCCAAATTAAATTAATTTCTATTTCTTCGATAATTTGGTCCTGTTCCAAGGCTACAATCAATGACCCGAAAAGGAATTTAGCTAGCATTTATCCTTTGGGAGAAGCACTAACTAACCCCTTATGGTCTTATAAACCCGACGGACTGGGACAAGTAAGGTCTGGCCGGCTCTATTTGGCTCCGGAATAGTAACAAGTTCAAAGAATTTGACAATTCAAGGAAGGGTGGTACTTTTTAGGTACTTTTTCCTTTGTATTCCAGTACCAAATCCCGGTTAAGTCTACATATCACGTAGGACTGACCTGGATTTGGTGATGCATGGTCCAAAGTGGGGATGATACATATTTTAAATACCGTCTTGTACATGTCCTTTTTCACCATGCAATGCTTTCTTGAAGAGACATTTGAAAGGAGAATGTTTAGATATCTGGCAAGGTTATTGCATTCCTTCAAATTTCTCCCCCTTGCAGAGTTCTTGGGAAGACCGCAAATGAGCGAAAGCTAAAGGGCCAAATGTGATTTCAAATTCTCGGCGTCACCACCTTGTACGTGGAGCAGGATACGAGAGGCAAGGAAGGCTTCCTATTGGTCGCGAAATATTTCCAACCAATCAAGTCTCTGACTGGGAGCCCACGGTCCACGGTACACCGCCTGTCATGTTCAATGCGAAACTTGCAACTTGCCAAGTTCACCATTTGAATCAACGACCACCAATTGCAGGGTTCAAAGTTTAGGGAAAAAGTACGCGGTATTTTTCTTCCTGACAATGCTCGGTCAGATGACTGTGGTTACAACAAGATTGTGACCCACAATTCTTCCAAAGATATCGTGGTGCTTGACAGCACCACGCGTCGCGCCACCGATTTTGAGCGGCTTTAAGCCTTTGCTGACTAAGCATGCAGTTACACAATCTTTGAACCTCTACCTGCATGAAACAAGACGAAAAAGAAAAAGACTCGACAATACTTTTGAACAAGCAATTGAAATTTATCGAGCACCGTGTTCTAGCCATGATGGAGCCAGTGGCACTCACCCTCAAGCGCAATCCGATGCCCATCGTTTTGTATGGCGGAAAAGCCACCGGCTGACTAAATACCGAGAGTCCAGAAGATCTAGGCTATTACCCCGCAAAATCTTGGGTTAGCCCCACAGAGAACAGCTGCGAACGATATACTATCATTGGGAGTACGGATACCTCGAACCCTGCGCGGGCTATAACTCTGCATTGCAAGTTGGCATGATGGTGAATGTCCTCCAGGCACGTGGACTGACGTTCTCTCGCTGATCAAAGAGTAAGCATACTCAGAGCCAGGGGAGTGTACATCTTCTGGTTAAAGGGAGTCGCTGGAACATAATTCAGCACGATATATCATTGTTCTTCCATCATAAGCTCCAGATCTGAAATACGCGAAGAACGGTCCATTCGTGACCATTGGCCTGCCGGTGAAGAATTCCATCGCCTTGCTCAATTATCACTTCCCGTGTTCATTTCCACCGGTACTACATGTCGTATATTACCGGATCCTCAGTGCAATCCAGCTGAAAGTCTTGCTGAAATTCTTGCTCGTTGAGGTAGCTCATTGCAATATTCCACAACTTATCATCTCACGTTAACTCGTGCTCTGGAATGGCCAAAGTCAGGCAAGAACAGCGTTCAGTTCACGATTTCAAGAAATCGTGGGTACGATTGTGGTCCTTGAGAGCCCCCTCTCACTTATTTCACTTTCTAGGCTTCTCGGATGTACTGAGGAACTTATGGCTATAACACTCAGCACACTGCACTTCGTTGTCAATATGCCGACAACTGTCAGTCATTGCAGTGGCAGTTTCTCCCAATGGGGAAATCGTGGCATCAAGATCTCTTGACGACGCTATTCGGCTATGGGATGCAAATACGAGCGTTCATTTGAAGACTCCCCGAAACTTGGCCCCGCTGAAATGGGTTGATGTTGTTTTTTTGCTTGAGATTTGCCAATCTGCAGGATACCTGGCCTTCAGCTCTGGTAGCAGGGTGGTCTATGTCTGGCATTACAACACCAATTGGAATGCATCAGCAGATGGATGGCTGATGGCACGCCTCCGACTTCCATACGGTGCGCAACCATTCAGATTCTGTCTGACCGGATTCACTCATTGGCATTTTCTCGCGACAGTCAAATTATTGCGGTAAGCTTGTCGACCCCCACTGTTCTCTCATCGGACATTGCTCTATTTGCAATGAGCCTGTCGCAGCACAGTATTTTATTACAGAGCCTTAGTCTATTGCGCGGTTTTGAGAAGGTCATCGCACTTCTTGGGGGAAGCCACCACTCTCGAATTCTCCGAAAATGACTTTTACTTAAGGGCTGATCAAGAGATTGTGCCTACTAAAAGGCCACCTCGGTTTGGCCCCAAGGATAAGCTTGACCGTTGTGCTAACAACTAATTCCCACGGGAATAGGAGGTGTTCATTCATAACGATGAATGGATAACCTAAGGTGAGAAAGCGATGCCGCTTCCCCCTGAATGTCGAGCTATCTGTTTTTCAGGACAAGGGAAAAAAACTAGCACTTGGCTACCACTCGGGACGCATTTCCTTTTGGGAGGTTCACACGGAGCACCTGAATTGTACATACTACTTGCTCAATAATTGGAATGTGCATATACTCAGTACCTGAGATAGGTATTGGACATATTGTACTCTCTGCTCAGTGACTACTTCTATCATTATTTCCCAGGTTATTTCTTCATCTCCGCACTCAAGTGATTGATCCACAGCCGATTTGACATTTCTTACCCTACCCCCCTCCCCCTTCCTAAGAACAACCTCCTACTTCCGAATATCTCAACAATCACTCTCCTGCTCCGCTCTATCTCCTTTTGGTCTCACTTTGAGTTGACCTACACCTCACCAACGGTAGTTCAAGACATGGGAGCCGACCCTAAAACGAAACCATGCAGCGCGATCTGCAGAAGAGGAACCGATCAAGGACATCCGGCGATGAATCTGGCTCGCTAAGCAGACAAGATAGATGGCGAAAAGGACTCAGAGGCAGCAGTGATGATGAAGGAGAATTGACTGAAGATGGTTACTCAGATGAGGATCTCCGAATTGGTGGTCCGGACCTCTGTTATCTTCCAGCAACAACCAGTACCCCTTACCAAGAGTGCACTGCATAGGAAACTTTCACTGGTCAGCTCTTGAGACCTCACTCTTCACAACAATATCCGCAAAGTCTGGAACAATCATCATGTTCAAAACCGGACTATCGAAGTTGTTGAGCGGCGTTCGGTATTCAATACCAGGCCAGAGGCGGTCACAACACTGCTTATTATGGCACAGAGGGAGATTATCGATGGCAACTGGTTGCAGTGTGTCTGCGATCTCCGATGCTTTCTCCACGATGAAAGCTTGCCGCTTCCCTCATATTCCCGTCGAGATCTCGGATCCTCGGTCATTCATGCCACCTAACCCTGATTTTTGACTACTCACGGGGGAGATTATATAGAGAGAGAGAAGCATGACAGCAATGGAACCCGCGCGAAATAGCGTCCAGATTGACAGCCAACTTCCTCGCCGGTTCAGTCCACGAAGAGCAAGTTTTCGTGAGTGACGAGCGAGGTGTACAAGGCAGACTCGAGGGACGAGCAGGAATAGCTCTAGGAGGTGTCTTCGGGGCCCAGAACCATGATCTTAAGCTAGGTGCCTCTAAGGGTTCTTTGTCGCCGTATCGAAGGATACAAAAAAGCCCCTGACTTTGTGCTTATTACCTCGGCTCCCGAAACAAATGTTGTTGGAGATAAGACCCGAGCAACGGGCTCGGGTCGCATGAAAGGGAATATATGCTATAAAGAACCAGATGGCTCATGGATCCCATCAAATCCTCCTCCAACCGACGATACATGGCCTTCTGTTGTAGTTGAAATTGCATACTCTGGATCATCGCGAAGAAGTCAAGGTTCCCTGGAAACGCGAGCACAACCTAACGAAGTTGATCACTGAGTTTGAGTCTGGGCCTGGGTACACGCAAAAGTTTTGGCTTTAGAGTACAAAAACGTTCCCGTCTATCAAAGAGCATTCGGACCCCCCGATGAGCTGGCCTTAGACGACGTTGGCACTCTTTATGCAAAGATGACTCAACCGCGTGTGGACCTCAGGACGAAAACGCCTCCTTAAAACGCGCGCTGCCTATCAAATATTTCGAGCACCGCTTACCGACGCTGTGGCATTATCAGAGTATACTGTGGTAGGAAGTAAATCTACCTAGCCGCTAAATCAAAATGCACATTTACTTCAACCTTCAACTTCAACCTTACCCCTAACTACCGTACCGCATGCAACTCAATCCCCGCCAGATCTTTTTCACCTTTTAAAATTCCCCCCTTCTTTCTGTACTTCCAAGATCTCTCCAAAATTCACAATTTTTCACAATCAAACAGTATATGTAAAAAGACTCGGACTTCTTTTTTACAATACAAGCTTACAATATATCATAACCTTGAAAGACCTCTGTAACTTCAATTATTTACGTGCACCCGATGCATGCTAAAAATCCAATACAAGGAAGTGAATCCGACATACCGCATTAGTTCATCTGCATAAACCCATTCACAAAAATATATGATAACCGAATCAAATACAACATTTACCACTTTGACGAATATCTTAGATCCGAATCAAACTTTGAGGTCTCGTAGATGCCTTGTTCGGAGCCCTACCAAAATCAAAGTGAGTGTCGCCAAGACCTCAGGGAGGAACATCAACACAACGCGCACAGCAATCGACCCATCTATCGGACTGAGATCTTTCTTCTGAGTGCAGACCGCGACCAGAGTATAGATAACACGAATTCCGATAAACAAAAGTGCGATAAACGCGCCTTGCAAAAGCTGCGACAAAACATGTAGTTAGAATACCGCCATTGAAGAAAGAAACTCGATGTGCGGATCACATACTGCAGTACTGCTTTGATAGGCCTGATCATGCGTCGCATCCTTGCCTGAACGCAGCGAAAAGAGCGACCAAAAGACCTGGAAAGCCCAAAGCACTACAATAAGTGCAGACCCGGCTTTCCAAAGCGCGTAGCTGTCTGGTTTCACGTGGCCTTCGTATATGTTCAATGCGCCGACGACAGACAGGGACACGGCGGTTGCCATTGTGGCTGTGGAGCCGACTATAACAGACCAGCCCAGCAAGTCGTTCTTTGATGGGTAGCGGTATACTCGACTGTTGAAGCACGAATGGATGTTGTTAGTTGCCGGCGTACGAGAAGCTGCAAATGGACACACGAGGAGGGATATTGCATATTTAACGCACGCTTCATGAATCAATCCGTCAACACTCAGAAGCAAAGGTGAGATTCCGACGCTTTGGATAATGTTGGCGGCGAGACTGTTCCTGTCGTGGACACCGAGGGCACCGCCGATGATTCGTGCCACGCAAAAGACGCTGAGATAGTACCAAGGTAAGAAACCGGTCCATCTGTGGGTTATGAAAATGTATGATATGACTGGGAAGAGAATGAGGTAGACCGCGAGGTCAGCTGGAAAGATTCCGTTCATCTCGTTGTTGGTAGTATATATCCGATGCAAATCAATGGAATTGATGGTGCAGGTGGTGGTGAATGGTGATCAATGACCTAGCACTATGGAGTAAGAGACAAGACTTGAGGAGACACAACGCATATATAGTGACCATTTTCGATACATCGACAAAAATTTGAAATTTTTTCCAAGATTCAAGCTATGAAGCCCAAATTGGTATGTGGTTCGGAGAAATAAGCATTTGATGGATTTGATCTCGAAATGGGGTGCGCTTGTCTCAATCCGGCATAGAATCTCCACACCTGGATCTTTCCATGGAATCTGATTTGCGATAGGCAACAATGTAATCCAAGTAAGCCCAATGGCGCCGAGTGGCAGCTTAACTCCGGGCTGATCTCGGCCTAAGCCTGGGGGCTGAAAAATGGGCTGGAAAAAAAAAACAACTGCGCCTGGTTCCCGCCAATCTCACCCAATCAACTTCTTATCAACTCACACCCCCACTACGGCTGCCTTGTACCGACACCAAGCCACAAGGGGGCTTAGTACTTTCTACCCCTCGTCATTTCCATTTGGCAGATTTAAAAACAAGACGCCGCTCCAACTTAGCGCCTGAGCCCCATCAACCTCGTGTTTCCGAACCCCTTACCCCTTTAGGGAAAGCCGATCGTCATCTCTTTATGGTTTACAGAGGAAAGCCTGCGCTTGGCTGTGCGTGGTGTCGGAAGCGTCGACTAGCAGTAAGTGAGCGGTCCAGCGAATACTTGTCATTCGTCATTGACCAGATCTGTAGTGCGATCGGAAAACCCCGTGTTCGCAATGTGTAAGAGCGGACAAGCAGTGCGGCGGATATCATGATCCAAACACACTGAGGATTTATGACCAGACCAAGGAAGTTGCGGTGAAGGCCCAGGGCCGCAGTGTGGTTGTACGCGGATCGAAATCGACAACAGCAAACACACCCATGCCATTCAAATTCGTTTACGAGCCCATCTCAATAGATGAACGCGCTACATCTCACATTTTCACTTATTACGTGGGCAAGATCGGCGGGCGGGGGCTGCTCTCTTTTTTGCCCGAGCTGCTGAGCACGGACCAATCCGGTACACTTCAAGCTGCAGTCAAGGCTATTGGACTTTCAAGCATGTCGAGGATTCATAATTTGCCGGATTTGCGACGGTTGGCGAGCGAAGAATATAGCACAGCCCTGATGTCACTCAATAAAGCTTTGCAAAGTCCAATAACGGCGAAGTCCGACTCTACCCTTGGAACCGTTGCAATGCTTTCCATGTATGAGGTGAGATTCCCGATCCGACCACCAATTCACTCTTATCTAACCATCGAAACAGATTGTTGCCTGTCACGATATGATGTCAGGCCGGGGATTCGATATAATGGATCGCTGGTTAAATCATGTCGAAGGAGGCATGCGACTTCTCGAGTTGCGAGGCGTCGACCAATTGAACACCACTGCCGGAGTGGAATTATTCACAACAGTGCGGTTGCAGACTGTGAGTACCACTTCTACAAATAATCCGGCGTTTAGATGCTAATATGAAGATTCCAGGCAATCAGCGGAGTTTTCTTCAGACACAACGGTTATAATACACCCTCAATAGCAGCAATATCGCAAGTTGCGCGTACTCGGCGAGACGCTGTCACTCAGCCGATTGAGGATTTCTACAATACACTAATTCAGTTTAACGATCTTGCTGGCGAGGTCAATGATGACTGTTCAAATTTCACAGTTGAAAATCTAGGCTCCTACATCGGGAGAGCTCTACGCCTAGATGCTGATTTACGGTCATGGGCAATGTCACTCGGCCCAGGCTGGTCCTTCACCACCGTGACAGAGCCCAATTTCAACAGTAGCGATGACACGCAATTTCCTATGAACGGAGGCAATTATCACATCTACAACAACGTCAATCTTGCCTCGATGTGGAACCACTATCGTCAGACACGGATTGTTCTCCACGAGATGATCCGAGTACTGGCGTTGTACCTATCGGAGCTTCGAGATTCATCGGAATGTCAACAAACCATACTTGAATCTGCTGCCATAAGTAACCAGATGGTGAATGATTTATGTTCGAGTGTACGGTATCATTTCATGTCCGATGAAGCTCGCTTTGGGGGCGCCGTCCGTCTGCTATGGCCATTATTCCTTGCAGCTGGTGTTCGTGGCTTGAATCCCGAGATCAAAGAGTGGATTATTAAAATACTATCCCTGATTAGCAAGGCCATGGGTATACAGCAGGCTGCCGTCATGTCGCAGCTTCTACGGGAGGGACGCTTAACAAACCTCATTCCTGGAACATAAATTGTGGCAATTGATTTCAATGTAATATATATTCATCTGGCAAATCAAGGGAATTTCGCTGTACATTTAAGATTCGAGATTCGGTAGTTGAACTGAAGCAATACAAAAACGAAAAAAAAAGTAAATACAGTATGTATTTAAAGTGTGGAACGAATGAACTGATTCCTGCCCTGATTCTTTTAGCGATGTCCAAAAGAAACATTGAATGCGGCTCCATACCTCAAGTTCTCAGGTCAAGTATTTCCGTTCGGGTCAACACGACCAATTTCATACTGATTCATCGCCGGGACCGGAATCGAAGCCTGCGACCTTTTCTCTGCATCAGCAGAGTGTGGCACTGGTCCGTTCGCAGCTTCGGCTGCTAGACGCTTGTCACGCTTCTTCTTGAGGAAGTAAAAGGTAAGGCACATGTTGGATTGTCTCCCACGTGTGCTTCTTTGTGAGGCAGAAATATAATGTACAAGAATAATATTGAGGAAATTCAAGTTCCGATATTGTTGAGATGGGAAGTGCTCGGTAGAATGTTTAATGGAGGCTTGATCTAAGTACAGGCCAGTAGATCGGGATTCCAGCCATTTATACCCATTGATGATGTATGCCAAAAATCTGGCCCCCAAAGATTTCCGGGGCTTTGGAACAGGCCAGAAACAGCATTTGGGATGTTGAACTATTGGAGAACCAATCTCTATCATTGAACAAAACTATCATTGAAAGCACCGCTGAACCTGGGAGGCTCTAACGCGCTTTGGGTTGCAATCCGTTGGCATAGAAGTGGATCTGACTCCATCCTTTTCGAACTGCTAACCGGATTAAGCAACCAGTTCAGAACTTTCCAAGGTTATTGTGGGGCCTGTGGATCCCTTCACGACAGAAGATCTACATCGCTGTCATAACATCCCAATTACCCAATATGGATGGCTTCTAAAATGCTCATCATTATTTAAAAAAAGAAATGACGATGCGGCGCCAACCCAGAATCAACAGCTTAGAACTTGTCGCTAAGCCTCAGGGGCGCCGATCAAGTACCTGCCTAATCGTGGTTGTCCTTCAAGTGGGTATGAGCTCGACCAACCATGCCCACAAGAACTCACTGCCAGTACCCAGCATATCGAGGGCAAGAGCAGTAGACTGGCCCTTTGGGCCCGATCGGCCCAAGCTCGGATAGAAATTTATAACGTAAAAAACCCTAACGGAGTTCTCCAGAGTGCAGATCCCCCCCCCCCCCCCCCTCCTGTACATCCCACACACATAACATCCATAATAAAAATCAAGAATATATCATCACTCTTGCCACGGCCTCCAATATGAAAATATAAAGTAGGTATTGGGCCGATTCCGGATGGGGGCTTAAATAAGCAAAGTAAGAATCTGGGAGTGAAAAAGCGTAACATAATCAGTTTTTGTTAAATATGAGCCTCACTCGCTGTTTGAGCTAGAGGCTTGTCTGCGGACTTACCGTAAAGCATACTGGTATGGTGATATAGGAAGATCTTGAAATCGAAACGAAGTTGTTCTCGGTTTTCTCCGGTTGGAGAAAGTGGTTGCGTTCATGTTGCAGATAGGGAGGTGGCTTGGGAGGATGAGGAATTAAGGATAGTAGTGATCAAGATGAGATGAGGAGGGGAAAATGGGTTGCGGCTGGATGAAGAGTAATCATTGATTGAAGTGGTAAGAAGTGAGAGTTGGGGTCAAAGTGATAGGAGAACTGGGGAGGGGAAGTTGTAAGAGAAGAGAATCACGAGGAGTAAGTTAGATTGAGACTTGAGTGATCGAAATCGATAATATTGAATTGATCGCGGGGCAGAAGATTGTTGTGTTTGGTAGAGAGAGGGAGAGAGAGAGAGTAGTTGGTTGAAAAGCTGTTCTTTATGGTTTGAACTTCTCTCGGAGTGGATCACATATAAATATATTGAAACGAGGATCTTCATATCAGTCCGCGTCGGCATAGAAGATGAATAGCTTGAGACCAGCATGGTGATGATGATATTGATCAATCGATATCGGAGGGTGGACATGCAAGGTAGAGATGTCCGCGGAGCTATATCCCTAGCATTTGCCAGTGGTAGACAATGTTGAGGTAAAAAATAACATTTGGAAAGAGCCGGGTTCGAACCCGGGCTGCATTGATTTCCCTATGTACTTCTCCGGAATGTTGCGAATAGCTTCGCATGCATCAGTCCAGAAATCGACCCGCCGCGATACTCTCATTTTTCCCCACCACATAGTCGAATTTAGATTCAAAAAAGAAGCGATTATTAAAAATTAACTTGGTTGATTATAAAAAAACGGCAAACATCAACCCCAGAGGGACCCCCCCCCTCTGGCGGCATATAGCCACCGGGGGGAGATCTGCTCTGGGGGATGTTTCCCATGTGACTGACTACCCACCAGTCCGTCCGTAACAATCGCTAACATCTTTTCTAGACCCTGCACGGAGTAGTTCGAGAGCACACCTCCAGCTACCTCGCACGACAGCAGTCATTAACGGAGTCCGGTCGTAATGGTTCGGTATATGAGGATTGGCATCATAGGCACAAAGCAAAGAGATGGACCTGGGCCAGTCCATGACCGTAGTTGCGTAGAGAACCGTCCATCCGTCCTCATCCACGACGTCTTTATCCAAGATGTACTTCAGGCAGAGTGCCTGTAACGATATTGACCTGTACCGAAATACCAAAAATATTATCGGATCAGAATCGGTGGGTTGAAAGTTAGGATTTGCGTCATGTTTGATCAGAATCTTTGTAATGAGCGGAGGATCACGACGATGAGGATCATCATCGGAGGGGTTTGGTAGAATCCTCCTTTTAAGTTTTTCTTGAAGAACCCCATACTGCGTGTGCGGTCTCAATGCCCAGAGGGTTGGCTTGGTCCGAGAAACGTATAGCATTTCTGTCATTCGATAGTGCTAACTGGCACTACTGATGAGCGTGAATTTGGGAAATCCAGTCTGGTATCTCAGGATATCTCCGTTGTGTACACATCCACCGCGGTTGATCTGCCAACAGGCCCTTATTTTCTTCATGGCACCAACATTCACCAAGCCTAGCGGCTTTACCCCGATTATCTAGATGCATTCATTTTTGGTGTTTTGCCAGACAATGTCTTCCAACCCGAAAGATTCGTTACTAGCACCCTCAAATGGAATCGTGGTGCAAAGATAGGAGTCCATACCCTAACAATGTTAATAGATTCAATCCTACCAGCTCTATCAGTGATGATGGGATGTGGAAAGAGGTCCCAGTGCCTAGTCGTCTCTATTCGCGCCCTTCGTCAGAACGCCCACTTGCAGGTGTTCGGGTGTCCTTGAAAGATATATTCCATCTCAAAGGATCCAAGACTACTATGATGAGTCGTGCATACACAGCACTATACCCAGCGCAAGAGAAAAGCGCATCGTATGCTCAGAAGCTGATTGACCTGGGGGCCATAATTGTTGGAAAGACGAAGATGACTCAATTTGCTTCCTCCGATGAGCCTACAGATCAGTGGATTGACTTTCATTGCCCAGTAAACCCCCGTGGCGATGAATACCAAAGCCCGTCTGGAAGTTCTTCCGGTGCAGCCGCAGCATTGGCAGGGTACTCGTGGTTGGATTCTTCTGTCGGAGGTGACTGTAAGTCCCTTGAACTGAAGAGTTGCCATTTGAATTAAGGTCCTGATCTTCAATACCACAGCTGCTGGTAGTATTCGAGCACCTGCAACCTGTAATGGGCTCTTTTCTATCAGGCCGTCTACCGAATCCACTTCTATGGATGATATTGTTGTCAATTCTCCGTGAGCACTCTCAACAAATTTCGAGGAAACTTTCTGTCTAATGAGCAGCCTTAGCCATTTCGATGTGGTTGGATTGTTCGGCCGCAGCCTATCGGACCTTCATCATATTGCCTCTCGTACTCTGAATCTTAGCGATGGCTCGACCTCATTCCCAACGAAGATCATCTATCCGCTTGACTTTTCCCCCCATAGCAACCCTCAGCATCAGGCGATGGTAGAGGAATTCGTTGGGGTCCTCGAGAGCTTCTTGGGCACTAAGAGAGTTGAGATTAGCCTCGCGGACAGATGGGAAGCATGTCCCCCATTGGAGGCGAATGGCAAGCCACTGAAAGAATACCTGGCGAAGGCTGGAGCTCACAATCATCTACATAGAGTGCATTCTGGTCTATGTGCTATGACTACTACCATGGATTTGACGACTTTCGATCCGAGTACAAAACAAAATTTGGAACAATCCCTTTCGAAGGTCCAGTTGTGAGCTATAGATGGTAAGCTTTCGGCCCTCGATGAGCGAACGATTTTGACAATTGGTGTATTAGGGGAATTGGCAAGGAAGTTACTGCGGAAGAGTATGCCGCATACCGCCAAGAATTGAAAGTGTTCCGGACATGGTTTGTGGACAATATCTTCGCCCGGGATCCAGATACTCTGTCTGATGCGATTATGATCATGCCATATGGCTCCGCCAACCCAAAATATCGAGATAGGCCTAATGGGTTGTTTCCCACTCCTTAAAATTCGACATGATTGCGCGAGAGCTAACAATAACCAGGAGTCCATCAAGTGCCAATACCATCGGCGAAAAGTTCATCTCTCCCGTTCTAGGGATTCCTCAGCTCTTGCTACCCTGTTAGTACTTTGAATTCAGATTTTCTTCTCTTTACCAAAATATTCAAATGTTATGTAAGCGACGCTGGAGATTTCAATCACTAACAAATTCCGTCCACAGTTGGGCAAATGCCTTATCAATCACGGATCTCGGGCAGACTGGAGCACAGGCCCATAGGAAGCACTATCCTAGGCGCAAAGGGAAGCGACATTATGCTCATCAAGCTAGCGAGCGCTGCATTCCAAGCCGCTTCGTGGCCCACGAAAGTTGATGTTGGGAGATATATGTTTCCCTTGGCGGACAATATCCGTAATGTCGCTCCTGTCCGTGAATCCTCTAGTCAACAAGGGCTTCTACAGCTGCCAATAGGGGCGCCGAATTGCAGATTGTAAGGATAGGCCAGCACATATGAGGAGTCACACATACGCACGGTGAACTTGAATTTTGTAAAATTTGAATGGACTTGGATACAAAACAGCCAATCTTTGATCTGGCCGTCATGTTCTTGCAATATATCAGAGTACTAAAGTGGAAGAGTTGTTATCTCAAGTGCTGTCACAGGTATTTTTTTTTTTCGCTAGCGCATGCTGCAATTCATGGTCACGAAGAGGATGAGAACCAAAAAAAGACCCTATATTTGAATGCGCGTTTGGAGTACTGCCTTGGGAATTGACAGGAAGATAGTAAAGTTGGACAAGAAAAGCGAAATAAACCTCAAAAATTCGTTTCTTTAATGCTACTTTCGTGCTCGGTAATGTCTGAATGGCGTGACAAGGCATCGCTCATACTACCCTGGTCAGCACATGAGCAGCATTCTGCCGTTCGGGGTGTTGATAACCAGAAAAACAACCAATCTCACATCATGTTAGATGCCACCACACTCACTAAAATTCCATGAGAGCTGAAGTTTTCGTTTTCGTTTGCGACGCTCGGAAGGAGCAAGGCGAACCGATCCATTTCTTTAGACATCATCACAAAACTCAGCTACCGCCGCCTACCGGCGAGCCCGTGTGATGGCTCATCGTACGCGCCGGATGCGTTCCCCGATGCAACATATAGGGGTATTGAGTTCACTCAGCGCCACATAAGAGCAACAAGACCGGCATCACCGAGTCTCACGTTTAGCAGACAGAACTCCAGTTCACCACTGCCAAAATCCACGATGTTTGAGCATTGGTGGCGGAGCGGGCACCAATCAGTGGTGACTATTCCAGGTGTGCGCGAAAATCTAGGCTGGAAATTTAAGGCGAGGGAGCTCGGAGCCGACGCCATCGTGGTCTTCAGCTGCCCCACATGGGCCACATCTGCAGGAACCAGTTTGAAGAACCTAAGTAGTTCAGTGGAGCCGACATGTGGGGCGGCCCGTGCCGAACTACTAACGACAATTTCAGGCGAGATAGCCAAATTTGGAATACTTGCAAATCGAGCAACTATTGTCGAGACAGGAGGCCCAAACACCGAAAGGCTAGATAAAGAGGCACATTTCCCATCGGAAATTCTTCCAGACAGCAAAGACAATCACAATCATTTCAAAGGTCTTCAGTTTCCATTGGACAGAATCATCACAATGGCTCCTTCCACAATGTCAGCTTCCTCCCCTGTTACCAGAAAGCGAAAGGGTCTTGCTGACTCTCCCAGCAGCGCAACGGATAATACCAGTGCCATAGCCAACGCCAAGGCTGTCGTTGTTGCCAACGGCACCAACGGCACCAACGGCAATGGTGTCTCTAAGACTAGCAAGGTGTCAAAGGATATTGTTACCAGCCAGACTGTCTTGAACGTGAAGTCCAAGACAGAGATGAGAATCCAGACCGAAATTCGCGAGTTCAACTGCGTGAAGCATGTAAAGCCAGCCGACTTTCCCGAGGTGATCAGCGCTTTGCCATTCCCCGAGGAGCTTAGTGGATTGGTTGCCTGGACTGATGCCTTTGTCGAGCGACTGGGCTCGATAGCCATGGCGGAGAAAGAGGTAAGATTTTTTTTGAGCATTTGGTGATCTATCCCATTAACATTGATGTGCAACAGCAAACTACTTTCCAACGGAGCACCATTGACCGTATCAACAAAGAGAAATCCGATCTCCACGCCCAGATTGCGAAACTCAAGGCCGAAAATCACCGCCTCGTTGACGCGAAAACTCACTTGCAAAGCGAGAATTCTCAGCTCAATGCTCGTAACAGCTTCCTTGAGAAGCAACACCAAGACGATGTCAAGCAGATCTCGATCTGGGAGAAGAAGAGCCATAAGGATGTCGCTAAGATCTGTGCCCTGATTCACAAGAATGAGGGTTTGGAGAACAGCATCAAGAGTCTAAAGGCGACGATCCAAAGACACATTGACCATCACAAAGGAGACGAGGCATCGCGCACGGCCTTGCTGGAAGTTTTCAAAGCTTGGGTGATTGCCGAAGAAGAAGAAGACCGAAAGCGAGATGAGGAAAATAGAAGCCTGAGCACGCAACTTGAGGCCCAGCGCACTGCCACAAAGGAGGCCATCGCGGCTCTGGACGCCGCTAAGCTAAGACTTCAGGAACTCGAGGAAAAGAATGCGGGTCTCGTTACCAAGTCTGCGCAGTATGAAGAGCTCATCAAGACGCTCCGCGAGCAGCTGCTTGCCTCTGAGGAAAAGTACCGAGTCGCAGAGGCTGGAAGAGTGACTCTGCAAGGAACGTGCGAGGGATTGAACCAAAAGCTAGCAAGTTCCTTGAAAGAGAATGAGAATCTCCTTCTGCAATTGCATGATGCGCAGTTGAAAATCGTGGCAGCCAAAGACGAGGTGCGCAAGGCAGAGGATCATGCCAAGAAGCACTGGCACGTTCTTGAGTCCATCCGTGTTGAGGGCAGTTGGGCTCGGACTGACGAGGGTGATGATTGTGAGACGTTGCTGGCGCCACACATTATCTACTGCCCTGCTGGCGAAAAGTTTTCTGAGACCATCCCTACCCAGACCACTGTCGCTATGGCTGAGCCCGTCGCTGATGTCCAGAACCCAGTCACCAACTAGCAGGTAGTTGAGAATAATTTGGGTTGGGTGGTTCGAAGACTTCAAATGTATCAAATGTTACTCTTGGTTTCTTTTATGTTTTTTGCTTTCTCCTTTTAGGTGATTTTCATTGTTTCATTAATTTTTGACTGTGCTTTTTCCAGTGGTATATTATAGCTATTCAATTCTTTCTTTTATTGATTAATACACGATTTCTTATTTTTGCAATATGAGCAGCCTAAGATAAAACCCTCGGGTTTAACAAAAAATTTTCAACATCTGAAGGTTGAAACTGAGATTAAAATTGAATCTCGCCGTCAATCTAAAAACATTGTTTCAACCCGAAACGCCTAGGAAATCACCAAGATCAGTGGGGTCCCTGATCGACCTGAAGAGAAGCGGGGAAGAGGCCCTGCGTAGTCTCCAGCTTATGTAATGAAGCATTGTAACGGGTGTGCTGTGCAAGCTGGTATCCATGTTGGGTGGAATTGAGTGGTTTGTGAATGTTTTAGTTAATTGTGTAGATTGCGACCAGGCAGGGGACTATGCGTGGACGGAGCACTTCAATGCACCTGGAATGGAGGGTATTTGGCTACAGCGATTGCTACTCTGGCACTTGCGGAGGAACCACCGTGTGATGTGAAATGGTGGTTTATATGTGAGACTTTTATCTTTCTATGGCTAGTAATGGGTTGGTTTGTCGAGTGAAATTGGATGGTCAATTTTATCATGCGCCCTCTAAACTCCATATATAATGGACCCGATGTTTGGTGATGCAGCAGTACCCACTAGCAATACCTCAACGCAGCTATAAAGTAGCAACACATTCGATTTCCACGTCGGTGTTTAACGGTAGTGTCTTCACCGCAACACATCTAAGAAAAGTAGGCTTTTAGTAAATAATCCGGCCCAGAGCAAGATGTTTCATGACGTACGTTCGACAAGGTTTAATATCACCCCAGTAAAGGGTATAGACCGAGTTCATTTCCGCGAAGTCGTCCATGTTGGACAAGAAAACATTGACTTTGACCACCTTGGTGATGTCGGATCCAGAAGCTTCCAGAACCTTTGTGAGGTTCTTTATGCATTGATGCTGGAGTCATAGGATGTCAGTGCTTGAAATTCAAGGACAAAAGAAAAATCGCTGTGGAGAACAATTTAATGGACATACCGTGTGCGCTTTGACATCGCCATCAATGATCTTGCCAGTCGTAGCGTCCATGGGTACAGAGCCAGAGCAAAAGACAAGACCGTTGGCAACTATGGCTTGCGAGTAAATGCCCGGCAAAGGTGGGGGTGCATCTTTGGTAAGAACGGCTCGTTTTTCCGACATATTGAATGGGCTTTTTTCGATGAGAATTTTTATCTTGTAATTCCATTCAACTGTCTGACTCGCAGGTACTTAAGTACCTCCGACAAGAAATCTTTGAGCTTCAAAAACCAAATTTCTGGTTTGGATGCAACTCTACCCACGCATCCCTCGTGCCCCACTCAGGAAGCTGATCACTTTTCACCCCCACGCAAGATGTGGGGGTAAGTATGGAATGATTGAAACTTCATAATAAAGAGATAAGTTCACATTGATCAGCTATAAGTACCAGGGGAGTGACCATTGTCTATACACAAAGTAAAACAATCTTGGAAAACAAAATAAAGAAGTCAAGACACGCTGCCAATATTCAACGTGATCAGCCATCATGTCTGTCGCCAGCGCCCCTCAACCGCCTTATCCCATCCATGAGTCCGTCCGCGATAAATTAAGCCCCGAGTATGTCTCATTCTACAATCAATACATTATCAACAACCAGCAAGTCCACTACCAGCCCGTGAAAGCATCACGCACAAGTGGCACTCTTATCCCAGGGGGTGGCTCATTGCTCACTGTGGGGAACACAGAGGACATCTCCATTCAACGCAAGGAAACTCCCGGACCCGACGTGAAGGTACGCTGTTTTACGCCTGCAGGAGGAATACCAAAGGGAGGTTGGCCGGTGTTGTTATATTTCCACGGTGGCGGATGGGTCCTTGGAACGATCGACACCGAAAACACGGTGTGCACCAATATATGTGTTCGCTCAAACTGTGTCGTCGTGACTGTCGACTACCGGTTCGTACCATTTCCCACTTTGCAGAATTGTCTCGACTCTAACTGAACCACACACAGTCTCGCACCCGAACATCCCTGGCCAGCCGCGGTCCATGATAGCTGGGAAGCCTTCCAATGGCTAGTCTCCGATGGTGTTTCTTCACTCAACATCAACACGTCCAGGATGGCCGTAGGCGGGTCCTCTGCTGGAGGAAATCTCGCGGCAATCGTCTCGCAGAAAGCCCTCAAACTATCTCCACCCGTCTACTTCAAGTCCCAGGTACTCTCTGTCCCTGTGACCGATAACACGGCAATGGTCGCCAGCAACAGAACATATGCGTCGTATGAGCATACAGCGGCTCTGCCGGCGGAAAAGATGCTCTGGTACCGAAAGCACTACCTGCCCGAGGAGAAGGATTGGGCGCACCCCGAAGCTAGTCCCCTATTCTACAAAGGTGACTGGTCACGGCTTCCACCTGCGTTGATTTTAGTCGCTGAGCTGGATGTGCTGCGCGCGGAGGGCGAGCAGTATGGAGACAAGTTGCGCGCTGCTGGTGTAGCGGTGGATATACAGGTCATGGCTGGAATGCCCCATCCTTTCCTCGCGATGGATGGTGTGTTGAAGGAGGGGAAAAGGGCGATTACTTTGATGTGTGATACGCTGCGCAAGGATCTCTGGCAGGAATAAGATTAGGCTAGAGCTAGTACGCTTTGCAATGTAACATGGGCAGCTTTTCAAAAAAAAAAAAGAGTCTTACGTGTGCGATAATGACTGAGAGGTTATTTGGAATCTGGGATTGATTTCCTAATTTCTTGTCAATATAGTCCACATTAAATGATGTTCTAGTACATACGACCATAGGGTGTGTAGAACAGGGCTTCCCGTCCGCTCAGCCGTACTTAAGCCACACGCCGGTCAGTTAGTAGTATGGTGGGTGACCACATGCGAATCCTGACTGTTGTATGTTTTTTTTTTCTTGTCTTTTAGTCATCTGGCAAAAGACTCCTTGCCGCTCTACATTTCAGGATATTCAGGCGTCAGGCCTGAATCAGAAGAGGACGTGCGGCTGCCGATAGCCCTCACCCCAACGACACATCCGAATTTCAACTTTCAAATGTTCAGACCGGCAGAAGGTAAATTAAACCTAATTCCAAATTCATATTTATTTTTGAACTCCATTATATGCAGTCAATCCTACATTATATATCAATTGATTGAATCCTTAAACTCCGTTATAGGTTGAATCCCTCCAACTCCTTCTATTTGAAATCCTTGAACTCTATTCAAAATATACCTATAATGCTATATTTATGTATCAATTACAGCGCTTCTCATGTTTCTCCAAGTATATTGTCACAACAACTCGTTTTGAGGAAAGAGAGGCAGAGATCCTAGTCATATAAACTATTATCAAGTCCCCTCTCAAGTCTATTCTCAAGTTCATTCTCAAGTCTATTCAAAAGTGATCCGTATTTGGATCAAATCCCTTAAGATATTCCTATATGTATGTGATAAATACAATCGGGCGGGAAAGATGGCAGTGCGGTCAGAAGTTTAAATTAGGATGTGTCGTTGGGGTGAGAGCTATCGGCCGCCGCAGGTAGGCGGATTTAATTCTGTAAGCCGTGTCGAAACAGCCGGACCACCAATCAAGCCTTGCCGGCAGCACCGGAGGTCCTGATCTCATAGCCAGGAGGAGGAACGAGAAACCGGACGCCAGCTTTAGCAGCTCCAGCAGCATTCGCAAGGTGAGACAAAGACAGTGCTTGTTCTGGTGGGAGTTGCCCGCCGATGAAGTGAAGAGGGAGTGGGAGTAAGGGCTCAGGGTCCTCGAGGGCTTTGACAGTAAGCGGGTTAGCATAAATCTGAAACCCTTTCTTCTAAGTTTCAAACAGGTTTCCTACCACGACCCATCAACAGCTATTTCGACCACAGTCTCTTCCTGTTCCATCGTCCATGCTTTCTTCTCCACTGCTCTTCTATTCCCCACTGGATGGGGTCTTGGTTGCTACATTAACTCATGGTTAGTATTCTCATACTGCAACTGGTTCATCCTAAGCAAGCTTACCGCTGCAGCGCTTTAGATTCCCATTTCTTCGCCACAAGATAGGCTCCCACAGCGACCAACGCAAGAAGAACAACGACCCCGAGCACAATCAACATGATTATCAGCCCTTCTAGCCATTCTGGCTGGGATTTCGTAACCACCCATGTGGATGTTGAACCGGGCCCGATGTCAGTGGTTGTGTTGACAACCGAAGTACCCCCCGTAGGGGCCGCAGGCAGAGGCAGAGGAGGTAAGATAGGTAAAGGCATTGGGAAATTTTTGGTCATTTAGAAAATGACATGAAGAGTTCAGAATGTGTCGGATCCTCAGTGAGGATCTGGGAAAACGAATTGAAATGAGGAGGAGGAGAAGAATCAATGTAGTGGTATTATTCATCACTACTAAGCGGGATAAAGAGGGGGAGAAGGAAGGAAGGAAGAGAGAAGCTCTCACTTCCTGGACTAAATACCAACCCTAAGCCTATCAAGAAATCGACACAAGACCCACACGCGCTGGAGCATGCCCAGGAGCGGAAAATTTGACCAGAGGGTCCTATGGTTCACCTCTCCTAACAGAATGTATTTATATTTTATGAAGTTGGGGGGACCTCACATTTGTCTACTAGTATATTTACGACATCTGGATTTTAGCATGCCTTCCAATTCTATACTTAGCAGGATTAGAAGGTACAAAGTCACCTTTTCGCGGCTGATGAGGTCAAGATTATATTATGCGATTGATTACTGAAATATAATCCCTTCTCAAGTCCCTTCTGAGGTCCCTTCTGAGATCCCTTCTGAAGTCCCGTCTCAAGTCCCGTCTCAAGTCCCTTCTCACATCTATTCTCAAGTCTATTCCCAAGTCTATTCTAAAAGTGACCTGTATTCAGATCAAATCCCTTAAGATGTTCATATATGTGATAAATACAATACGGGTGGTAAATAGGGCAGTGAAATTAGAAATTGAAATCGGGTTATGGCAGTAGGGTAGCGGTTATCGGCCGCCGTAAGTGGCCCACATATCGCTTCGTGTCCTCCTTGGTACTGACCCACCAGAACTCCTTTGTAGCCATGAACTTTCTCATGTTCCTGGCTTATAGTATCATGGTACTAAAGATCATAGTGTAAGGGATGAAAGGGTATGATATGCTGTTCTATAATGAAAGGCGTAAGTGAGTATGTATATCAATCGGGGTGATATAATGAAGGACTCGGAGATATGAGATAAAAGAGAGTAACCTTTAGAGATTAGAATTGAGAAATGAGAAATGGATTGAGAATTGAATAGTGAGAGAGAAGTGTGAAAGGGAGGAGAAGAGAAATGATGAGAGGTTGCTGAAGGAAAGGAGGGAAAAAGAGAAATGGAGACATCTGGAAGAAGACAGAAAGTGAATACAATAGGGAGGCTCCAACACTACTTTATTTATAATCTTTTGTTGTAAACTGAGAAGATGACTTTAGGCTATAATTCTACAGAAGTGATGCACTAGACCTCATTCTGCTGTCTCTTGTCATAGTCACAATATGGTGAATTTGGGGATTTTGAACAATTTGCATCTCATTTATAAAACTTAACACTATCCTGCGAACTCAAATTTTGGAAATCCCACAGCACCCTGAGGATGATACTTGAACATATGCCCGCCCTCATCATTTGGATCTGGGTTTGGAGTCCGATCCTTTCCACTCGCCATGAAGATGATATCGTGATTCTTTCCTCCCCATGTCGTGCAGGCTGGATTCTTCGCTGTTACCACAATATCTTTCAGGTGTTCACCCTCTGGACTGAAGACCATGATACGATGCGACGCAAATACAGCAATCCACAAATTTCCCTCGGTGCTAAAAGTCAGTTGTTAGCCAGCAAATCCCGCTACACAGCTGAGTTAAGCGAATAAGATACTTACTCGACAACCATCCCATCCGGCTCGCCATACGACGAACGCCGATCAACAAGAAGACGTTTATTCGAGATGTCACCCGTCTCCAAGTCGAAGTCAAACGCAAAGACCATCATCGCGACCGAATCGTTGAAATACACTACATTCGTCAGCAAGAACGACTTCATCTCACATTTCACCACAGAACAGACAAGTACTCACTCGTCTTATTATCAGGACTCCACGCAAGCCCATTCCCACAAACAATCCCATCCGGAATCATAAGATGCAAGCTTCCATCCGGATCATACCTCCACAGCCGACCTCTCGGCGTCCCATAACTAGCCGGCAGCTGATTCGGCCCGAAAGCCATCGCCCGCTTATCGATCTCAGCCAGCCAGAACCGGCCCTTAGCGTCAATGCCGCCGTCGTTGAAACGGAGCTCTTCCCTTTGATCGGTGGGGATGATCTCCTTGACGACTTCAAACTTGCCAGTTGCCTCATCGAGGAAACATACGCCTTGGTAGTACGCGGCGATGTAACTGCCAGGTTGGTCCTTGCGGAAGAAAGCGACCGTCACGCTGTCTTCCAAGTCGAGAACTTTGGCCTCTCCGATCGCGTCGCCGGTTTCAGGGTCTACTTTCAGAATGAAGAACTTGGGTGGCTCGGATAGACAATCTACCCAGTGGAGGGTTGAGTCGCTTGCTCGGTAGATTGGGCCTTCGCCCAGGACCATTTGTTCGGAACAATGGTACCAGGGCGCGCCGCCGTCGATTGATTCAAGTGGTTCGGGCATTTTGGTTTATGTTTCTATTTGGGAAAGTTCAAACTCAGAATTTTTGTTCATATTTAATGTTTTTATGGTCTTTAGGTTATATCCTGTTTGTTAACTCTTGGCCTGCCCTTTGGCGAAGAGTAAAATCGCACGCTTTCTTCATCCCCGCATATCCCGCATATCCCACGCATCCCACGTACCAGGCACCTTCATGGATAAGAAAGCCGTCCATGGTAATTCCCCGCATTACAATCAACCCCACCCACGCATGTCGGCTAATCGCAGCTTATCAGTTCCCCCAAGAGAGCGGGGAATCAAGTCTGTGATAGCGCCATGGCCAAACGAACCTGCTGCCAAAGTCGACTTTGTGATGAACACTGATTCACCAAAATAAGTCTCTTCGGTTTCGGAAAAACACCAGCAGTTCATCGTCATGTCCAAAGTCTTCTTCATCACGGGCGCTGGGAGCGGCATTGGACGTGTCCTGGCTCGCGAACTTCTGCTGAAAGGATACCGCGTGTTCTTAACAGATTACAATCAAGCTTTCTTGGAAGACACTTGCACCGCACATCTACCATCCGTTCTGCCCAGCGACAAGCATGAAAATTTCCGCTGGTCCGCGATGGACGTCAGCGATGGGGAGCAAGTTACCAAGGCAATTGCAAGTTGTGCTGAAGGGTTTGGAGGCATTGATGTCCTTGTAAATAGTACGACTTTCGCTTTCCTCCTGTACTCTTTGCGAACTGCCAACGTGCCTCGGCCAGATCTCCAGCTAACATTTCACCTTCTCGATACAGATGCAGGAATCAACGTACGTACGCACAGCATTCGCAATGCTACACCTTCTTCGCGCGCAAAGCTGAATTCCTTCTAGAGCCAATACATGCGCGCCGGGACCAGAATGGACCAAGTGCCTACATCCGATTTCGAGCGAATCCTCTCCGTGAATCTAGTCGGCACATACCGCGTTTCCCAGGCAGCCATCTCTCACCTCGAGAAATCACCCGGCGGCGGTGTAATCATCAACATGTCCAGCTGCCGGGCCACACAACAGAGCAAGCACGGCGAGGCGTATGCGGCTTCGAAGGCTGGAATCGAGGGTCTGAGCATGGCCATGTCGGTAAGTCTGGGGCCAAAAATCCGCGTGCATGTGGTCAGTCCGGGGATGGTGGATGTACGGTGCGAGCGAAACGGGGATTTGCTGCCGGATGTGGAGACGATTCGGGGTGATTTGAGCCGGGATTTCCAGAGCGAGTATGCGCCGGCTTGGGGGGCGGGTAAAAGTGATGCGATGAGCGAGGCACATCCTGTTGGCAGGATTGGGAGGGGGGAGGATATTGCGCGGTATGTTTTTGCTTCTCACATGATAAAGTGTGGTTCCGACTTGAAGTGGGTTTGAATGTTTGCTGATCTTGAGTTTACTGGGAGGAATAGGTGGGTGGAATTTTTGGGCGTTTTGGAAAGTGGATTTACAACAGGAGGGGTATGTATTTTCAACATTCAAATGTATGGGTATTCTGGGATCGTTCAATGCTGACCTGGTGTAGACATATTTGGTTGATGGAGGTTATTCTAAAGTTTTGTCTTACCCTACCTAGTAGGATTTTGATAGTATGGCCAACTATAGGAATTGAAAATAGAGACAGTTTCCATCAATATCACAGAGATAATTTTGTTCATGAATTTATGCAATAATCTACTGTGGATCACACTACCCACTACTGCCCAGGTGTTTGACTTGAAATCCATCATGTCTCGATTGGAACCCGCTGGGGGTCATTTACGTGGGGGGGCGGGGGCGCCCGGCGCGCCCGCCATTGCAGGTATTAATAAAGGGTCCAGCCCCAACACTCGCATATGTGTAAATGAGCTTGTAAACCATCAATTCAACGCATTCTCCTCTTATCTTGCTAATTAGTACCATACACCCTTCTCAAACATCATGGCGACAGCTAGAGTGATCATGCTAGGTACCAACCATCCACACATTTTCCACCGATATAAATATCTGCAACAATCCCCCACCATAACACTACTCGGTTACTACGAAAGCGACGAGGAAGTCGCACAGCGCATGCAAGAACACGCAGGGTGCCCACGCTTCACAAATGCCTCCACCCTGTTATCTCTACCATACGACGCCGCAATCATCCACGGCCGCGATCACGAAAACGCCGCATACATTCGAATGGCCCTGAACAGCGGAGCAAAGGGCATATTCGTCGAGAAGCCCGGAGTCGCACAGCCCGCAGAATTCTACCAACTAGAAGCCGACATCCGCCAGCGCGGAGGCAGCGTCGTGTTCGAAGTCGGCTGGGAGCTGCACTACCTGGAAACCGTGGAATTTGCGCGAAAAGTTCTGCGCGAAGCTCTGCTTGGCTACATCACGGGCGCGCGGTTCCACGGCGGTTGTCCAGGGGGCGCGGGGGCAGAGCCTTGGCAATCTGATCCACGGAACATCGGCGGGTTCTTCTATAGTCTTGGAGGCCATGTGGTGGAGATTGCGGTGGATCTTTTTGGACTGCCGGTGCAGGTTGTTAGTTCGATTCGGAAATTGCCGGCGCAGGCTCCTCATCGGGGGTTCTCGTGGGTGCCGGGTGTTTTTGAGGAGCGGGAGTTGAATCCGTTGCATGCGATTGGGACGCTGGTTCATGAGGATTTGGCGTCGGCGATTCTGGAGTATGAGGGTTTTAATGTGCATTTGGACTTTTCGGCGTGGGAGGGGTGCAGGTATTTGAAGGATTGGAGCGTGGAGGTTTATGGTGTTGAGGGTTCGTTGCGGCTGAATGTTGATGGGCCGGGAAGCTGTTTGTTGTTGAAGGAGAAAAAGGGAGACTGGGAGATAGGCAGAAATGAGCTGTTTTCGGAGAAGGAGGTAAATTTGGCTGCTGCGTTTGAGAAGCAGATGGATTGCTTTTTCCAGAGAGTTGGGAGCGAGGGGGCTACGGATGGGGAATATTGCGATGAGGTGGTGGTACTTAAGTTACTCAAGCTTTACAAGGCCTTGTATGAGTCGGCTCAGACTCGACAGTGGGTTTCTTTGCAATGAGGCCTCTTGTGAGGCATGAAATTCATCCATTGAAGATGATAGAGCGGCAATTGCCAATCCTTTAACACCAGTCAATAATATATCTCGGAATTGAGAAGCCAATAGGGATCCTCGACATTGCTTCCTGTCCAGCAGTCCACTGTGCACATAGAAATCCATGACTCGAGAGGAACAGTAAAATTATTCAGACTTTGGCCACTCTCCGCCAGTGCCACGACAATAGTAGCTTCGGTCGTCAGGGATGGTAAACGAACCGCCACGTTGTATATTCCAGAATTGGTCATCTCAGAACACCCGGTATACGCGTCGCAGGGATCTGTGTTGACAAGTTGAAGATACGCGCCCGAGGGCTGTAATAAAGTGATTTCCATGGAAATATCGTCCTGGGTTAAAGTCGCCGTGCGATTATCACTGCCAAGCGTGACCACCGCAGAGGTATGCCAACTCGCCGCAATATCGACTGCGCTCGAAGCAACGATCTCATCGCGGACTATAAGTTGTGAATCGTCCAGAATTGCGACCCCACGCAGGACGCTGGTTGTGACGTTCGAATATGCGTCGGTAAGGTTTGCTATGCCAAAGCGACTGGATGAATCGAAGCTCCCAGCCCAAAGAAGAGAGTTGTTTGACGAGGGAATCTGGTTTGCAAAGTGCAGTGCAACCTGGGCCTCATTCGAGATACTGAGGGTGTTAGCACCTTCTGAGCGACAGCGGTAATATGTCCAACGCTGCGGCCCAACAAAGTAGTTCGTGAGGCTGTAGCTGTCGGATCCGAGGAGCTCAGCCCATCGGTACCCCTTGTAGTCTACTACAAAGGAGCCGGCGTCCAAGTGACCATGCGACCGGCCGTTAAATCCGCCCATGAAGCCAAAGAACCAGCCATCGGAGTTACTCCATGAGGTGCGGTAGGTCATTCCCGCAACATTTTCGAACTGTGCGTAGCGAGATATATCGGGGAGGACATTGGTAGTGTTCAGCGTGGAATCGTAGAAAAGGAATGCTTGGAATGTCGCTGCTTCGGCAGTTGTGAATCTTGATAGCATTCCCTGTAACCATCCGGCTTGATTGAACTTTGTGGCCCAATAGCCGACACTCCATAGACTGTTTGCGTTCGAGAAGGTCCACGCCCCGTCAGCCCAGCTGAATCCTCCCGCTTGTCCGTATCCATAAGTTAGCCATTCTCCCAGGTTATCAAGTCCTGGGAGTTGTGAGATTCCCAAATCGTTTCCAAGTGCGCTATCTAGAGATCCCATCGTTAAACCTAGGAAGATACCGGCGTATGTTCCGTAAGAATAGCCCTCGATCCAGCCACCATCTGGAGCGTACTGCTGCAGAGATACGTTCAATTTAGGAAGACAGAAGTCGACGATTTCCTCTGCAAGAGTGGTATTGACGTCTCCTATAGCTAGAGTGCCAATAATCAAGCAGCCATTCGTCACCTGTGCCCAGTTGTTGGTATGCTCACTCCATGAATTGATAGAGGAGTTAAGAGCTGGCACGAAAGCCTTCTCGGATATTGCGGCTTCAATAGTCTCACGCTGGGCCGCAGTGAGAGTATCATAGACCCAGTCGTACCCCAAAGAGACCGTCATTGTTATATCTGCCGTATTCAAGAAGTCCGATGGATCCCAATCAGACAGAGCGGCAATGGTCAGGATTGTATCTGTGACCCAATCCGAATAGGCAGTATCATTTGTCAATCTGTATGTGCCTGCTACGGCACCGAGGTTCATTCGGATGGTACTGGACCAGGAGCTTGATGAGGTCAGCGACACCGGTGTCGCGATGGCAGTGTTTGCTGTTGTCTGGAGAGAACTGAGTAATCCCCGATAGTAGACATCTGTGTCATTCCATGACAGCACAGATTGGACACGTTCATCGGTAAACATCAACCGTGGGTGGGAGGGAAGGGCAGAGAAGTCAATTGTGGCGACGGCGATTGAGGCAAACGCCATTACGACGCCGTTACTGAGAAACATGTTGCCGAAGCTCCACGAAAATACTGAAGTAATGATGACAAGAACTGCCTTGTAGATATTATCTGGCCATAGCTGGGGATTCCCCTTTCATTATCTACGATTTTGACATCCTTATTCCCGACACCTGAACTTTAACCACTGGTTGTTTCATCCCGCATAACCCACAGAGGAGAGTCTGAGAACATGATCTGAAGAAAGTGATATCTTCTATCGGCGGTAGAAGATTCGTCGTATCTGGTCTCTGATAACCTATCTACATCCCGTAAATTGCGTGGGATATTGGTGTCTGAGCGTCCCCCCGGGAAAGCGGAGAAACTGTAGTATATAGAGAGATTGGGGTAGCGGGAAGCATTGACGTTTCATCCACCGCAAACACCTCCTTCACTACCTAACCCCAAAACCTTATTGGAGATGGACACTCAAGTTTCCAAGAAAAGTGACACTCGCGATGATGCCATCGAAGACGAGGGTCTGGGCGAAAGCAGTTCTTTCTCCTCCAAGATTTGCTTCACTCGGTACAATGCGCCATTCTGGCAGATCGTGATCGTCAGTGTGGTTGCCTTTGGGTGAGACCTATTTCAATCATTCGCCAATGATGACTATGCTAATTTTTTCACGCAGTTGTCCTGGAATGTACAATGCGCTCTCTGGAATTGGAGGTGGTGGTCAGCTAGACACCACTACGACAGCCAAGGGCCACATTGCCCTGGCCTCTGTCAGCGCCTTTGGAAACATCTTTATCGCTCCTATTGTGACCAATATTCTGGGCCCAAAATGGACAATCTTCATTGGAGGACTTCCCTACGTGCTCTACGCTGGGTCCTTGCTGGCATATAATCACATTGCAAGCCAGGCTTTTGTCATCGCGGCCAGCGGTATCCTGGGAATGGGAGCCTCGCTGCTTTGGATTGCACAGGGCTCTATAATGACTGGATACCCCTTGCCACAGCAACAGGGAAGAATGATCGGAGTCTTCTGGATTATCTTCAAGTAAGTTCTAGGATATTTTTCGGACTGCTCAAGATGCTAATTTGAGGTCCTCAGCTTGGGTGGATTCCTCGGCTCCATGATCTCTTTCGGGTTGAACTTCAACTCTAAGAGCGGCACAGTCTCTGATTCCACTTACATTGCATTTATCTGCATTATGGCCTTTGGCTGTCTATCTTCACTCGCTTTACTGAAGCCTTACAATGTTATTCGCGAAGATAACTCTCGTGCTTCCGTTGCGAAGAAGCCCAGCGTCCGGGATGAATTCATTGGCTTGCTGAAAGTCCTCCGCGACTGGAGAGTGGTTTCCCTCGTACCATTCTGGATGGCTGCCAATTGTAAGTTTTACTTGTCTTTACCACGGACCTGTCTTTAACAAAAACACCAAACTCTAACAAATTATCTAGACGCTTATAACTACCAGCAAAACACCTATAACGCAAAGCTATTCACCCTTCGCACCCGCAGTTTCAACGGTGCGATGTACTGGCTAGCCCAAATGGTTTCCAGCTATCTATTCGGCCTGTTTCTTGACAATCCATACATGAACCGCCGTCAGCGCGGCATGTGGGGATTTGGAATCAATGCCGTTATCTCCATGGTGGTGTGGGGTGGTGGCTTGGCCGCTCAGCTCAAGCGAGCCCCCAACAGCGATTACTACGCGCTCAACGAGATGGATTTGATTACTTCCGGAGGCAAATACGCCGGTCCGTTTTTGCTGTACTTCTTCTACGGCAGCTTTGATGCTATCTGGCAGACACTTGTTTACTGGACGATCGGTTATCTATCTCACGAATCCCCGGAGCAGGCGGCGCGCTATGTGGGGGCGTTTAAGTGTGCGGAGGCAGTGGGCAGTGCGATTGCGTCCAAGGTCAATTCTCAAAAGACGAACTACAATATCGAGTTCGCTGTTGATTGGGCGTTTATCGCACTAGCCCTGGTCTGGTCGATTCCGTTCGTTTTGTCGATTAAAGATGCTCCCCCGCACGAGGGGCAGGAAACAGTCTATGTCGAGGGCGATAAGGGGGATATGGTCAGGAACGAATAGTGATGTCCACTCTCAGGGATCCGGAGCTGGTTTTTTCTCCTCACCGTCCAAGTTGGGCTTGGGCAGACCTGTATTTACCGCGGCCCGTGGGCAAGTCATGGGGTTAATATATTTAAATGTTTACAATTCAGAAATCTATCACACATACAGTGACGTATAAGTTTCCACAAGAAGAATTGCAAGTTCACAGAATCTGCCTCCATGATTCTTACGTGTGATTAAAATCTATAGTGATTATTTTGCGCGAATGTGCAAAATAGAGCTTTTGATACGGAAAAGTGAACAAAACAGAAATTTGACGATAAGGAAGCTGAAATAATCAATACATTGCCCGCGGATGCGGTGTATGACTGGAATGCGCGTTTGGCCAAGTTACGCCAATACGCCAATACGCCAATACGTTGTAATACAGGAATTACACGCGCGTTTCCTACGCATGTGAGCCAGATCGCGTAATGAAACAAAATGATGAAAAAAAGACAGAACGAATTTCATCAGCCTGTCAACTATACAAGCATGACCATTGATTAAGTGGAGTTCTAAGAGCACGCCAAATGTTTGGCTTAAGAGTACAAAAACAATCTCGTGTGCGGACGTCGAGACGAAAAACCCTCCTTAAAACGCGCGCTGCCTTACAAATTGTTCGAGCGCTGTCCACCGCCGCTGTGGTATTATCAGAGCGAGGCGTTGTAACAAACAAGCTTCACTTTCCCCCCTCAGCAAACAACTCCTAGCTTTATCTCAAAATGTCCCTTCATTGGTGGGAATATCTTATCGTATCAGCCAATGAGATACTGCATAGTTTCTTGGCGTTCCTCTAACAAAGCATGGACATCGCTTAACAGTCTTTGGCGTCCAGATTGGCACTTATCCATTGGGTGGCCCGTATCGGCCGCCACAAGGGAGTAAAAAGAGGGGAACCCTTGCTACTCCACGTAACTTTCGGGTGCAGCTGCCGATTTACTTTTACCCAATCGTGCGAGCCATTGCCGGGATGCTGTCTAATCTCAGCCGAAGAAAGACCTTTCCAAGTCACTGCATGTTTTCAATAAAAAAATTGCAAGGATCTGGACATGTCAACTCCACGGACACGAAGCCGGCGGTCCTTCAGCTGCAAGGAACCGGGGTGTGGGAGGACATTCATTCGCCAGGAGCACCTCCAACGGCACCGACTGAACCGTAAGCAATATTTTAGTCTCTGATCAAGCTGGGCTTGGCGGGAATATCTGACTTGACGATCACGGCACTTATTTTTTGTGATAGACCAACCGGCCGAGATATTCTCCTGTGATCTATGTCCCAAGTCGTTTGTGCGGCAGGATCTATATCGGAGGCATAAATTGCGCCATGAGAGAGGCATGTTTTATCGAAGCTCAGGGGGAGTTGTCCATCCCTCATCATCCACGTTATCTTCTACACTAGAAGATGGTGCGCTAAAGCCTCAACTGACCGAGGCTCCGCATGGTCAAGTACTGCAAATACAGAATGTCAAAGATGATTTTCGCGACGACAGCGTTCCTCCAGAAAAGAATATGTCGCATCCAAATAAAGCCAGTGACCTGAACTCTGTCTGGGCAGGTTATGCTCAGGTCCCTAATTTCCCGGATGGGTTGGATTGGTTCTTTGAACCATTCCAAGAGACCGACGAACTTGTTGATCCCTTCGTACAACAGTACCAACCTGACCTGTCTAATATCATTCAAATGCCCACTCCACACGACTCTGACTGGCAAGGTGATTCGGTGCCTCCTGCAGACATGGAAGATGTGAATGCACTCATGGACACTAACATAGACTATGAAACTGATTGGACCTTTGCCCGATCGATTCTCATCGATTCCCTTAGCCAGCTCGATATAAGCGTTTTGCAATCTGCCTTTTTCGAGGTCGACAATTTGAAAAACTTCCTGGATCTCTATCTCAAGCACTATCATCCACATTTCCCCATAGTTCACCACCCGACATTATCCGTGATCGCCTGCCAGCCCCTACTTCTCATTGCAATATTGAATTTGGGGTCTGCGATGAGCACGGATGAGACGCTTTTCCACCTGGGACAGAAAATTCATCACTCTTTGAGGTTGATCATCCTCAATGTACGCTGCCCATTCATACCAATGCATATATCACATCACTAATCTTGTATTCACTTCTAGAGCGGACACTTTGAGCCTCCAATCTCCCTCTGGTGCCTTCAAGCCCTTCTTCTAGTCCAAGCTTACGGCAAAATGATATCTTCCCGAAAGAATTATGAGATGGCGCATATCTTCCACGGCACGATCATAACTGTTGGTTTGCACTCATTCCATTTCCCACCATGATATAAATATAACGAGGCTAACGATCCCACCTCAGATGATGAAAAGAGGAAGCATTTATCTCACAGCCTCTACAGCGCAGCCGTCTGACCTGAACGAGCTCCCCGAAGCCAGCTGGCGTCGCTGGATCAGCAGAGAATCGTGGCGACGAACTGCATTCTTTGCCTTTGTCATGGATGCCCAGCACGCCTGCGTATTCGGACACTCGCCCGTTCTCTCCGTCATCGACATGCGGATTGCGCTCCCCTGCCTTGAATCATTATGGGAATGTACCTCGGCAGAGACATGGCAGGGGATGAACCAGCCCGAACCAAGCGCACCACACTTCCTGCCAACACTCAAGTCTCTACTTCGAGAGAACGTAGTCCCAGCGTACTGCAGCGAATATGCACGCTTCGTGCTGCTGCACGGACTTATGAGCCTACAAACCCATCTTCAAGCCGGGACACGCTTGACGCTTGGGATCGAAATGGGCAGATCAAGCGCGACGACAAGAGTCCAGGAACTCATTCAACACTGCGGGTCGGAAAACAGCGGGGGTGGCAGCGTCGATGGCATTCCCGCTTGGGCAGACACGATCGACGCGGCATTAGATACCTGGTCCACGTCCCTTTTCTCTCTCCAACCATCACTCTGTCTTGAAGCAGCTCGCCCGCTCCACCGCGTTGCCCAAATAACGTTGCATGTGAGCTTGCTCGATATCCACACGGTTGCCGTAGACCCGCTTTTACCACCTGATCTCCCACAGCAAAGTTCAGCATTCACGACTTCCCTCGCCAACAGCAAAACTGCCAAGGCCCTGGTACGTTTACGGCGCTGGGCATGCACCGATTCCGCACGCAGTGCTTGTCGGTACGCGCTCATATTGGTCAAGGAGACCATGTTCAGCGGGCGGCGATACTTAGCCCGCGAAGATAACGTTGCGCCACGGCCGTGGTGTCTCTATATTGCTGTATTGACGCTCTGGGTGTATGGCCTTGTTACGGCAGGCCCGGCATCGGACGGCGACATGATCCCTGGCGCAGAAGAATATATGATTCGAATGACCCGTGCGATGAACCAGGCTGGTGCGGCGAAGAGTCATGTTGGGGGGACGAAGCAGATCGCTGGCTTGATCCGTGCTATGAGGGATGCTTTGATGGGATGTCGGTGGGAGTTACTCCAAGAGGCTCATTTAGTGCTTCGGAGGTTGGGGGGAGAGACGGTTGCTAGCCCTGGGGATGATAAGAAGACTCTTATTTGATGGGGGGCAAGGCTTAATGCCGCAGGTGTTATGATACGTACTAGGACGGATATTTGGCAGATAGTTTCAGCTACATAGTTGGCATTATTCATTATTGCTACATGTTTGGGCCATCTCACCCACACCATTCTTTTGTCAAATGGTTCTCCTCAGATTAGAGCATGCGCCCATTTTATGATCGAATGTCGTCTTCTAGGACAGGATCTTCCGGCCAGATGACAGGCAGACCAGCACCAGATCGCTTCATCAGGGCCATCTTTTTCCATGTCCAGAAGTACTTTTTTCGATCTTTCCAACTGAACACAGATCTATCACACTGAAACGTCAAGGGTGCTAAGCGCTCTGCTAGGTTAAAGCTCTGATAAACAGTACCTTCAACAAGGATCTGAATATCACCAATATGCTCGTACAAAACCCCACCATAATAAAGCTCGTGATACTCCATACGCAGCAGCCGGTCTATCTCGCCAGACAGATGCGAAGCCACCCATTTCGGCCGGGGCATCACGCCCGCAAGATCATGCCCAGGCTGAAGCGGGCGGCGCATTAAATGCTCGCAAAGCCACCGCCAATGATCCTGACTTCTTAACTCCGGCGAAGCTAACCGGTACGTCTCATCCGGATGAGCCGTGACGTCGATGACCAGAGTATCCATGAAGAATTTGCGACTTTCTTTGTCCGCTTTCGCCTTCACCTGATGGCTAAGAGGTCCATGGATTAAGAAACGCTCCAACAAAGCGTAGAAACACCATTTCAGGATATAAGGGCCGGTGTCGGTGCGGTGTGCGTGGGCTTTCTTCCGATCTAGACAGTGTCCGAAGATGCGGAGATTCATTCGCACCTCGCCCAGGTGGGTCCGGAGAGCGGGCACTAAAAGCCAGGTGGGCCAGAGCTCGAATTCATCGATCGCCATCACGTCCAGGCGGTAGGGTATGCGGGATTTTCTGCGCATGATGGATATGGTTTCGTCGTGGATCTGGTGGTTCAGGAGTAGTAAGCGGATGTGAGGTATTTCTCTACTGTCGTCGGCCTTGTAGAACACGTTTTGCGGGCCAATTTTCTCGGATTGGTAGTGTACATCTTGCAGGGATATGCGATCTTCTCGGCCACTCCATGGTCCTGGTGGGGGCGTTAGGGGCGCAAGAAGGACGTATTCGAAGATGAGCGTCCGTATCTCCGGTGGGAGATCAAGAAGGCGAGACATGATCTGTTCAATGTTATGATTCTAACCCTGAAAGTGGAAAGCATGTCAGGGACGCGACTGAGGACGGAAAGTTTGCGTTTCAATAAATATATGGTCAGCGGTCTGTGAAGGTGTTGTTGATGATGGAGGGGTAGCTACTACGGTGTACCATTATCGCGTTGCTAGGCCGCACTAAATCTTGATCGTCCTGTGTTTACCATTCGCCAAATCTGGGTGATTTGTCAGCTCATGGTCCCCAGATCACATGACCTTTTTGATTGGATTTCATCGATTACTAGTTTCGATCTTAGTAGCTTCCTCTCCTTTAAACAACTCCTCGGAAAAACAAGAGTTCACAGAATGTCACAATGAAATCTGATGAAGAAACAGGAAAGCTAATGCATTGCCTGTATTATTCCTGTCACCGATTGAATGAGCCCAAACAATAAACCCAAAAACAAGGCTATCACCGCAATCCAAAATGTATACCTCTGGTTAGGCTTCCGTTTATCGAGTATCCACTGCCGCAAAGTCGTTGGCTCTGTTCGGTCATATTCGTTGCGAAGCTCTAACAGCTGACGGCCCCAGAAAGTAAAATCTGCAACGTCACGGGATGTCGCAGGCAGTTGGCCCATTTCTAGGTCAATCACTGATTTTCGATGGGCTTTGCGGATCCAGCGCTGGCATTTGAGGTTGGAACTAGGAATCAGCAGCGATAATGTGCGTGCGGTCTCTTCCAGGAAACCTGATGGTAAGATGGGGCTGGAAAGAGGTCAAAACATCAGACATATAGAACCTTGGAAGTGTGTCTTGTCTGGGGCAGCGGTCATACCGATCATTGCTATGCCTATAGAGGTCCAAGAAAGAAGATAGGTGAAAGATCTTGAGTTCCTTGTGTTCGTCCTCCAAACTCAATGAAAGATGATCCTCAAGACGTTCTGTCCAACTGATTTGGAATCCACCAACTTTCCTCAGGTTGTCGATATTAAACGTCAACAAAAAAGACGGCGCCTCGGACGGCCCTGATGACTTTCGGAAAATCGACTGGATGTATTGCTCTAGCGTTTGCTTATCATCCCAGTCCTCGATGGAGAGAAAGAGCCATAGTTTGACTGCAACTTCAATGGCACGTATAGCAGGCCCCAAGTGAACGTAGGTCGTCTCGACGGCCTGAATGAGTTCCGGCCTTGTATAATTCACCTTGGCTTTGATAAAGCCGGTGAAATCTATGAGCTCTTCATTTTTATGCAGCTTAAGTTGATAACACTCAATGAAAACAAGCTGACCATAGTAATAATCCAACAAAGCATCAGAGGGTTCGGGGGCATATTTATCTTGCGGCAAATTCCATAGTGCAGGAAGTAAGCTTTCCAAGTTCTTCCTTGCACTGGGGACCTGTTTGACAACAGTAGTCGAAGACGTAAAGTCTGCGCTTGGCATATTTGCTCTACAAGGTGCGAAAGTAGTAGGCAAGATGAAGGGAAGCTGCAGATCTCAATACAGCTGGGCTCTGCGTGGTGACATGTGATTCGGGCGTAAGCACGATACGTGGGTTTTTTTGTCTACTGGTAGTTTCTTACCCCGCCCTGCCAAGGCTGTTACGCGGGTCAGATTCAACTCCCGGGGCCTGCCAACTGAGTGACAGGCAGGCATAGGTCCAAAATCAAGATGAGAACCGTTCTGCAGACTCGGATGGGTCGCGTCTTCGACCGGGAGATAAGCATCGCCAAGCCAACATTCTGGGAGAGTTTGACCGCGGAAGAACGACGAGATTCCGTCGATCAACAACGATCCTGGGGCTTCAAACAGCAATCGGCCTGGAATCCAGCCGGTCGGGCCTTGGAAGAATGGAACAATTCCATCTACCCGAATTTGCTAAGGCCGCTCTTCAAAGAGAATACTGCCGCATTATTTCGCGGTGCTAAGAAGCAATGCCACTATAATATCACTTGCTGGATGATCGGAGATGAGTGGCAGTCATCCCACCCGGCAGCAATAGTCCTTTCTGGTGACCCCAGAGTCTCCAAAAACGGCGTGAAATTGATTGTGAGGCATGGTCAGTTGCTCAAGTTTGGATATCGTGTTTACCAGTATGAGAGCAATATCCTACCCAGCATGACCACCTTGTTGATGGATGAGCTTCAGATGACTGCCTGCCTCTGTGGAATGCCGTTTGCTGTTGGTGAATCGAATGGTGGATCCTCGCGAAAGGCAAGGCTAGGAGGCGTTGTCATGCTAGGCGATGAACCTTTTGCTCTTACCGTACTTCATCCCTTCATTAAGGATCGTCAAACTAATGATTCCGATAACGACGATACCTCCAACTCGAGCGATGGTGATGGAGATGTTTCCGGTGCAGAAATGAACTTACATTCCCAGGATTCTGCGTTGGATGCAGACATGATCTACGTACCAAACTCTGAGTCGCACGGAAGAGACCTGGGTGCCATTCTCCACGACTCAAGTTATTTCTCGTTTAATATGGATTGGGCTCTCGTGAAAATAAATAAGACGCCTGATGTATTAATTGTTAATTTCGCCACCCTTGACGACAAAACTGTCGTTCCATCTAAAGTTTCAACAGTCTTCCCGCGGGGTCCGGTCTGGGCAATAGTGAAATCCCAGGCACCAATATCAACCACAGTCTCCCCTGCCATACAAGGGCTATTCATACCTAATTGTGGACTCCAGGATGCATGGGCATCTGATATGAAGCCAAGTGAGCATTGGTACCATCCTTCATGGGAACCATCAAGTTGACGTCTGTCTTGTGTCAAGGTCGTGGAGATTCCGGCACCTGGGTCATAGATCCTGAGACTGAATCAATATTTGGTATCATTGTGGCTGGGTCAGAACTCACTGAGACTTCATACATATTACCCGCACAGAATGTCTTTAGTGAAATATGGGAGCGCTTTCCGGATATGCAATTCCCGTTGTCGGGGGATGCACACACACTTCTCCGCGCAATCCAGCTCAATATGCCCGAGATTGCCAAGCTAGCTATAGACAAAAGCACCTCATTTGATCTGAATTTCTCTTACATGGACGACTGGAATGCATTGGCATTGGCGTCTGCCAAGGGTCTCGCTGGACTGGTTTCCTCTTTACTCCATGCTGGAGCTGACCCCAATCTCGCACGCTCCCCATCGAATTCAGGCCCCTTACATCTAGCGACGGAGGGGGGGTTCTTGCAAGTCATGCAAATACTGTTGGATTTCGGCGTGAATGCGAACTCGAGAAGTTTGTCCCAAGGACTGACACCGTTGCATATTGCATCAAAGAAAGGCCACGAAGACGCTGTGAAACTATTGCTTAAATACGGCGCAGATTTGGAACTCGTTCCCGATGCGGACTTAGCAAGGCGCGCTGAACTTGGTGTAGCCAGAGAGCTGCTTTTCGCCTATAAAAAGCATCCAAACATATCGTTGATCTCCGCAGCTCAGAGCAAATGTGAGCTGGTGATCCGCTCATTTCTTGGCAAAGAGGAAGATCCAAATCAATCGTCATATCTTTCGATGGCTGCAAAATTCGATAAAAGCGTTCAACTAGTTCTGTACTTTGGAACATGTCAAGCCCTCACCCTGGCTGACTTAGCTGAATCGAGTTTTGAGACGGCGTTCTTACACTTCGACTACAAAACACAAGATCCGACTTCAGCATTGGACTCGGCTGCCTGGGCAGAATACAAGATGGCCATTCGACGGATCTTGAACCATGACGCGAGCCCGGGGCTACCAATAGATGCGACAGCATGGTCGTCATTTGAGACAGCTCTTTGTTTACTTTTTGGGCACTTTGCACGCCCAAGTGATGCAGTAAAGTCCGCAACACGGGAAAAATACGTTAATGCTGTCCAATTGCTCCTCGACCATGTGGCTCCTGGTCCTTCCACAGAGTCCGAGATAACAATTCAATCAATAATTCAGCAACTTTTGGATAGAGAGGCGAATACAAGTCCAGGTTCATCCAAATTGAGTGAGTCTGACGACCAGGAACTTGATAAGCGATCTCAGCAGAAGGGAGCAGACCCAGATTTGAATAACGTTCATGGTACCAATCAATATGAATCTGCCAAGGATTCCGGAAAGTTTGAGATCATTGAACGGTCACATAGATACCCCCAACATTTGATGGATTTCAAGTTAGAAAGAACGCCAGAAAGCAAAGCAGAGGAGCAATTTACCACCCTACATGGTCAACTGCCCCGGGAGCAATCAAATCTAGGCGATAACGTGCCGAACTCAATGCGCCAAACTTCATCTGTGATGGCCGGCGAAAAGTCATCGCAGGCTAGACCTCCCATCTTACGACCTTACAACTTCCAATCACGGTCGGATAGCGAAGAATCCATACTGAGCGATAGTTCAGTGAAATATGTGCAAGAGAAGCAAACGCCCGATTTCGATGCTATGGGTGATCCGGTTGACCCCAAGGGGAAGCGCAGAAGAAGAGAACGCCAGGTCCGGTGAAATATATCATGCGAATCTGGTTTCACGAGCATCTCGACCGTCTTTACCTCAGTGAGGAGGAAAAGCATAGGTTTATGATTCAGACGGACATATTATTGAGTCAGACAACAGCGCATTGCCGTGTCATGGTGGCGGAAATAGGGCAAACATTCTTTGTGAAAGATTAACAATGTCTGGAGCTCTAGCCGCCAAGGTTTTTGCTCTGCGCAATGAAATTGGATATGTAAGCAGTGATGGTCGTGAATTTGCGACATCTGGAGGAAGTCACCCACGATTCCCGTTATCAAATTGGATATGTTACCACAACAGTGAGACACAAATTCCATCAATATGAGACAGTACCAGTATTACTAGTCCTTCTATCCTAACACATGATTGAAAACAGTTACACAGAGAGTTTGCCTTCAATGTTCAATGACCTTTGAAAGAAGATTTGAACGAAAAGGGTTTATTTATATGAAAATAAGTGTTCATCGTGATGCTTGATCGCAGAAACTATTGTACAGAGACTTGAACGCCGATTCCCCCATCGACAAGAGAGCTTTAGGCCTATCAAACTCGACGACTCTACCCTTGTCCATAACCGCGATTTTATCATATTCCAGAATGGTGTCCAGTTTGTGTACGATGGCAATGACAGTCTTGTCTTTGAAATGCTTGCGAATGACGCTCTGCATGAGTTTCTCGCTTTCCAAGTCCACGCTATGGCCTGATTAGTGACTGCTTGATGAGATCGAGCCTGTATAGCCATTTACCTGCTTGTGGCCTCATCCATGATCACGATCTGGCTAGATTTGCACATAGCCCGCGCGAGACATAATAACTGCTGCTGTCCATGCGAGAGCAGCTCTTCCGACATCTCTATGTCAAGCCCTCCTTTCGATTCGATGTGAGACCAGAGGTTGGTTTCTTGAAGAACATGAATGATTTTCTCGTCCGATACATCTTGTTGAGGATTTATATTCAGCCGAACACTGCCGTGGAGGAAGAAGGCCTGCTGGGGAATCGTGTTCAATGAAGATCGAATAAGGGATCTTGAAAGAAGTGCTATGTTGACACCATCAATGAGGATACTGCCACTGTCAATTTCAAGAGTCCGGAGAGTTGTCGAGATGAGAGATGATTTCCCGCTAGAAAGGAATTAGTCTCGGAACTCTATAGAGACGTTTGAAAGACAGCTCGCTAACCTTCCTGTTCGACCGCAGATTGCGATCTTCTCTCCTGGTGCAACCTTCAAGTTGATCCATTCTAGGACCGGCGACGAAGAGGTCCTGCAATACGTTAGTTTCCAGCCTCCCGATGAATTGAAATCCATGGAACATACTCATAAGAAGCTGTCATATTGATAAACTCCACCTCCCCTCGTACTGGCCATGAGCTTGGGACAGACTGAACCTCAGTATCCAGGTCCTCGGTCTTGGCCTCACGTACATATGAGCGGATACGAGAAACAGCCCCAATCGAGGTCTCAAGTCCAGTCCACGAGGAAATCAGCGATTGTAGAGTAGAGCTAAAATTCACAATGTTGAACAATGCAATGCCAAGAAGGCCGAATGATGAGTTCCCTCTCAAAGAAAGCGCAATCGCAATGACCATGACGGCGATCGCAGCGACGATCAAATCAAGAACCAGATTGAGCCAGCGCTGGATGCAGAAGAGCATATAGAATGGTCGCTGGGAATTATCCAGGGCAAATCGGCTCAGACGACGATACTCTTCCGTCCATCCATAAGCACGAATACTGGAAAGGCCACTCAAAGTCTCCAGAAAATGAGAGAATAGCGGAGCTTTCATCTCAATATCTAGCAGACGGACTTGACGAGATGTTTGAATATAGAATCTTGCCACGTAGTAGACTGTGATGATGCAGATGGGTATTACTGCTGCCGTGGCGTACGATGAGCCGAAGAAAACTAGGAAACCTTCCACGAGACAGCTCAGAGCCTGATCCATTGCCAATTCAAAAGCCGCTGGGAGCTCTTCGTCAATTAGCTCCAGATCCTGGGTGAACCTGTTGGTTGTAGTTCCGATGTCTGTAGATGTTAAAAAAGAGGTGGTGGCACTCATCGTTGTACCCAGAAGGATTTCATGAAATTTGCGAGCCGTCTTGGGGATAACGAGGATGTCGAAGACGAAGATCGAGCAGAAGACGGCGAAAAGAGTTAGGAATCCCACAGCAGCATAGCCACCCAGCCAGTACGGAATATCGGCATTCGGATGGTTTTCGTTGGCACGAGTCCACCATTGAAGCCAAATTTCTGAAAGCTGGTCAGTTCGGGAAAGGAAGCTGAAAGTATCAGGACAACTTACGTGGAATTGTAGACCCGGCAATGAAAAACACGGAGCATGCGACCGCTAGAAATAGCAATCGGTACCCCATGACCTCGAAGTAGTACAAGTAGACTGTCCAATCGCCTGTTCTTCGACTGAAATGATCGGTTTCTTCACCCTGCAACTTTAACTCTTGCAGCTGCTCATCATCAAATGCAAAATCTGGCTCCCTGTTTGTGTTAACCTGCTCTGGCTGGCTGTCAACAATAGCAGTATAATCCTTATTGGCCATAAAATCCTTTGATGATATTTGCTGGGCGATCTGACCTTGCCTATTCAGCGAGATAACGCAGTCAGAGTAGGCAATGTGGTGTACTGTGATGCTGTTAGTGGGTTTATTTTCTAGCAAGAAAAAGGTAAGAACCAACTGGAGTTTGTAGCGAGAATAACAGTTTGGCCGAGCTCCTTCACAATGCCACGGGCTCCAAAAACAGCATCTAGAACGAGCTTTTCCGTCTCACGATCTAGCCCTGTCAAGACATCATCCAGGATCAAAACAGGTTCTCTCGAATAGAGCGCTCGAGAAAGTGCCTGGAGGTGTCAATTTCTGCTGGAAATCAAAACCGCTAGCTTTGTTGTATACTTACCACACGCATTTGTTGCCCGCCGCTAAGCCTCGATCCACGAACACCAACTTTGGTCTGATCTCTCGCTGGGAGTTGTTGTAGGTCAAATTCTAATGCGCAGGCGTGAATGACACGATCGTACCAAGATTTATCCCACGGAGAGGACCCAACAATATTCTCCTGAACAGTTCCAAATTTGACCCATGGAGACTGGCTACAATATGCAGCAGTTCTGTATGATGTGAACACCTGACCAGAGCACTCTTGGACTTCACCGAGCAGAACCTTGAGGAGAGTTGACTTTCCACAGCCCACTGGGCCGATTATCATAGTCGTATTGCCTTGTTTGATATCGAAATTCAGGCCCTTGAGGATAGGCTGGTCGTCGATTGCCCATGCAGCAGATAAATGGGAAGCCTTCACACACAATTTCCCCTCACTCTCATTCGTGTCAAGAAGTATCTCTTCTTCTTTAGGTAGCTCTAAACGATGGTCTTCTCGTTCAGTTTCGTTCAAGTACTTCTGGATTCTTTGAAAACAGTTGACGACCGTCATCAAATCTTCCGTTCCATAGACAATCGAGACGATCGGTGCATCAAGAAGAGAGAAAAGAGTCAATGCCGCAAATGCAGTTCCGTTAGTCAAGGTGGGTCCATCATTTGCCTTCGCAAGGATAATATAGAGTCCAAAGCTGACTACTGGAGCCAGCGCGTCAGAGATGTAAGCTGCGAGCAGGTTAGCTGGACTCTTCGACCTGCAACGCTTTACCCACAAATCGTGTTATTGATGACTCGAATGACTCGCATCCTCTGCGACGCTCCAATCTCATCTGTTCTCAGCTTCCGGAGGCTGCTGGCAACTATATCTGTCAAGCCTGTCATCTTGACATTTTTCATGACGCCGAGGACCTTGGAAGTCACGGAAACACGCTTTTCGACGTATTCTAGCCATACCCCTTGGGCATTAGCCCTCGCCATAGAGACAGGCAATCCAGCAACCAAACAAGCTGTAGCTCTTATGTCAGAGGAAAAATGATAGCACCAAATTGGAAAGCGAAGACGTACCGATAACGAGCACTGTAGGAGCGATAGTAGCCACACCAAGAAGTCGCGCCAAGAAAATAAGAGCGAGCACGACCTCGGCGAAATTGGAGTACACTTCATGCATGTCGAGAAGACCATCTCCGATGCGTTCCATGTCTGTGCTCATCAGAGTAACTGCCGATGCATCTGAAGCAGCGGATGTGCCCATACGGAGCGTTTTATCGAAGATCATGCTCACCAAGCTTCCTCTTACCATCGCAATAACCCTGTATACCTTGGAGCGGTAGACATTGTGTGTAACCTGTTTGGATGGTGAGTGGCAGGTTGATGAACGGGTTGATGAAACATACTGCAATTCCCACGTAGACGATAGCATATGCTGCGACAAGGCCACGAGCGTAGTTCGATGAATTAACGTCTTCAGGCTCGGTCATGAAGTCCAGCACCCTTTGGACAAGGAATGGTTGTGCGAACAAGAAGCCGGTGAATGCCATACGTGGCAGGATGCCACCAAGGAATTCCCATTTATAATGTTTCATAAAGGTCCATAGCAAAGCGTTGCGGCGGTATTTGTTGGCTATTGAAAAGTCAAATGGCTTGACACGATATGGGCAAAGATGCTAGATCTGACCTTTGTTCCATTTGTCAAGTAGAGTCTCAGGATTCGAGGCTCCTTTAATATCGTCATCAAGAATAGGGAGGTTGTCGACAGTTAAGGTGGTTTTCGAACCCTTCCACAACAGGCCGCCCACCCACAAGGACAAACTGCGATTGAAGATTCCACTCGTGGCTTCAATAGCACATCCAGAGAATGGCTTCTTCAACAGGAATCTCTTTTCTGTAGCCTCGAGGATAACAACAGCAAGTCTGGAAAGCAAGGAAATAGCAAATATGATAACCACAGTCCGATTATCCGGCAAGAAAGAGAGAGTTCGAAGACGCGGCAGGTCAAGAATCAGAGAAAATGCATGAAAGAGGCATAGGGTGTTGGAGGGACGTAGTGAGCAAAAATGCTCCAAGTGTGACAAGTACAGACAAAAAAGCGACACCACTACCGAAACGAAAGCTACTGGCACAGTTGCTCTTGTCGTGGGGGTGGATGGTTGACACCAGAAAATTAGTAGTATAAACTGAAAGGCTATGTGAAGGAATGAAACTGTCTAGATTCTTTTTAAAAAAATGAAACTGTTAAAGCAGACTCTTGTCGAGGGACTGGGAGAACGTGTGGACTTATCAGACCTCTTTCGTGAAATAGAACCATGAACAGTTGACCTTCACTGAAACATTGCGAAGGTTGCACAGCCGTATCACAACAATAGGCCAGGCAATTAAAAGAGGCAGGAATGTGAGAACTGTCTCCTCGAACAAAAGAGTGAAATCAAAGCCATGGCGACACGAAGAGTCCACAAATGGGCCGAAGACATCTTCGTGAGAAACAGCACACGGTAGGTTCGGGTCCTTCATAATTGTGAATGTAAGTGCATACCAGGTGAACCAATGCAATGCTTATTGTGCCCTCGACTCTACGCGTAGCTCTTTATAAGCAGCGGCTCAAAAGACGGGGGAATGGGGCCGTTGTGAAATAGCGAGCGCTGATTCGTCGGTGCCCGACTGCGGGTCAGCAACTGGGGATTACGCGTTCTGATTGGATAAGAACGTGTCGATCCTGCCAAAACAGGTTAGCCTTTACTCCTACTGACTCTTATTGAGTCAAACTTGAGAATGTGGGAGCCTTGACACGCTGCTGTGGACTCCAGTGGTTACGAGCGCATGTTAGTAACCACGTTCTATATAGCCAACGATCCATGGTGCTTGCATATCCCACGCATACCGCTCAAAGCCTACGGTGGATAGTTAGGGAGTGTTCAATGATACCAAATTTCAGGCTAAATTACACACCGCGTTTATCACTGCCCTTGGTAATTTTGTAAATATCGAAAACGCTCGAAAAACATGCATATATCTTAACAAACTCAATCAACCGCCAGCACCAGTGAGGGCTTGCCTTGAGTGGTAGCCCGGTGACTTGAAGCCGTAGCTTGTGCAGATTGGCGCGTGGTGATATGTAGGTAATTGGTGTCTTTCGGTTTTCGTATTTTGCCTTTGTTTTACTCGAATCTCAGTATTTTATTCCATAGCAACCCTTCTGAACCATGGAATCAATATCTTATAATATGTATGCACATGTGGTGCCCAGAGCCTCAAATTTGAACATTCTAATATCCAATTTGCAGGTTTCAACCTCCTGGATTATGCAAGATCTGATAATTTATATAAGGGGAATAGCTTCAAAGTAGCACAGCCTCATACACTGTAGTAATGAGCTCTATCACTATTGAGATAACACGCTGTACAGCAATACTGACATCAGAAGCTTTTAATATGGCGATTCCTGCATTTCTATCACCTGAGACCCGCCGTATCAGTAATTTACTGCGACCGAGCCTTCCGTCCGGACAATCTTGTAGAAGTTCACATGTGTAAGCGAATCTATGGACCTTCTTCCACTGCTTGATGGCAAAGATCCCTTGCGATCTGGGACTTTTGAACGATCTCAAACTCTTTGTTTCGTCAATTTAGGCCGATCGTGTTTTATGTATCGGGCATAACACTCCAGGAAGTATTTCAAACGATCACCCGTCTCATCTTCACATCCGCATAACATTGCACTCCACATAGCATAGAACTTGGGTGAAATATGCCGAATTGAGCTTAGGAAAGACTTGATCATATAAAGTTCACCGTCGAATTCACATAATTTAAGCTCTCTTCCTAGCAAATGTGCAAGAAGCCACCTGGGAATCCAGTCTTCAATATTCGATTGAGGTGGTTGACGACGACGTAATTGGTCCCATTCCCTGAGGAATTTTCGTTGTTGAGCAAGGAGAGAAGGTTCATACATTCGCTTGAGATTCTGTAAGATGATTCGGACGGAACGTTCGGTCCCAATAAGAGAGCGGTTCTTGAGTGACAGAGATGCCATAATCTCCGTATAAACCATCAAGAGGTTCTCACGCACGTCATCCCAGTTTGTCATATAAAAACGGTAGAACTCGAGAATATTCTCATATCGCTCTTTTTCCGTATCATTGAGGTCGCAAATGGACCTCGAAGGGTCGTTAAACAGGTCTTCGACAGTAGGGCGAATTGGTTTGGGTTTCATTTCAGGTTTTCTTGTTGCTCCATTGTTTCCTACCCAATGAGGGGTAATGTTTTCCCAAACACCGGCCATCTCCGCAATAATTTCAATATTTGTAATCCACCGAAACCAGTCTGTAGACGAAGTGAGGGTGATGGGCACCTTGTTGATGTTTGAGGACTTTTTTTTGCCATTCTGGGCAAACAAATCGGATGAATTGGGTTCTCAAGGATGAGAACCTCAAGCAAGGTTGTTCTTCTTCAATTTTGTGCTTCAGCTCAAATGAGTTATAGCCGGGCTCATAAGTGTCGGGGATAGTCTCATGGGCTCCTGAGGCCTGGAAATGTGTAGTAAGGATTGAACCGTAATCGTGAATCCCAGCAAGAAGTACGGGATTCTACGTCCTTTTATGCGTAAAAGAATTTTGTCATAAAAAAGACAAACGAAAACAGGTAAGTATAAGTAAGAAAAGAAGAACAGGAAGTAAGGGGAAAGAGGGGTAAATGATTCATGCATGCATGATGTATCACTTATTGGCGGTGGGTGAGCGATTTCAGTGTTGATTGGGCAATACTCAATTGCGGCGGCCGATAGAGGCCACCCCTAGGTCATATCCCAATTTCAGTTTCTAACTTCACGCCCTGTTTCCCGCCTGTATTGTATTTATCATATATAGGAATATCTTAAAGGATTCGATCTAAATACGGGTCACTTTTAGAATAGACTTGAGAATAGACTTGAGAATAGACTTTAGAATAGACTTGAGAGTAGTTTTGAGAGTAGTCTTGAGAAGGGACTTAAGAATGGATTATATGACTAGGATCTCAGGCTCTGTTTCTTGCCAGTCGTTGTGATAATTTACCTAGAGAAAGAGAAGTACTTAATATAATATAGCATTACTAATATATAATAGAGTTCGAGGATTCGAGGATTTAATGTACAATAATGCAGCGCTGAACTGCCTGAACATAATGGAGTACAAAAACTAGTAATATGATTTGGAATTACTCGTAATTTACTTTCTGCCGGTCGGAAAGTTGAAATTGGGATTTGACCTAGGGGTGGCCTCTATCGGCCGCCATAACTCAATATCATGTGACTTTGGAAATTCCAAGTTCCCAATCACTCAATTCACCAACCTAAGGTTACTTCAGATCTGCCTGCTAGAACTGCTCTGCAATTTACGCTCGATAGATCAATCAATGGCGTCACCACCTTATCTCAATGGGCTAGCAGCGAGAGGATCTAACGGCAACGACATAAAAGCTGCCTTTATTGAGAGCTATCTGGAAGACCTCGGGCCGATGAAAGCTGCGATTGGTAATTGCGCTCTTGTCCTTGCATGTCAGCTCGCTCTCGAAGGTGGTGGGCCTCCAGGCCTCAAAGATGAGGTAATAGCGACGATTGGTTGGCAGGCGACACAGATACAACAAGTTGGTCAGTTAGAACATTTAGGCAGACAAGGACTGATCACGGACGTGGTTGATGAAGATGATGAAGTTGATGAAGAGGCACTCTTTCAACTACTAGCAGATGATCGAGATATCGTGGAGCCTGTCTCAGAGAGGCTCAATAAGATCGACACGCTGAAGAATATGGTCAGCTCTCCAGATGAAGGCCATGTTCCTGTTTTTTTTGGTGATGGAAAGAAATGGCTGATTGAAAATCTGGAGTATAACCGGCGAATGTACCCGGATAGCTTTGATCTCGATCGTGTGTTGGAAGAGGCACCTGGGTGCTTAGCTTCTTGGCTTAGTGTGTGCCTCGCTGTCTCTAGCTGCTCTTCTTCTATATAAGAAAGAGTTTACTTATCACGAATACCTTGCTTGACTTTTACTGACCATTCGAGAAACTTATACGTAACAATCTGATCATCGTCAAAATCAAAAAAAAAGTACTGGAAATGAATAAGCTGGACCTCACAAAGATGAGACACAATGAGGGTGCTCGGATTTTTATGAGCAAGTGCTGAAGTGTACAATGTACAAGCGCGCTGGCTGGGGTACTGTAGGCTGGGGTGGTCGAATCAATCGAGTAGTGTGGCCACGCGCTACCATTTCGGGTTAAGGTGGTAGGGCGGAAAGCGCACTAAACCCGAAGAATCAAAAAAAAAAGACAAGAAAAAAAAACATACAACAGTCAGGATTCGCATGTGGTCACCCACCATACTACTAACTGACCGGCGTGTGGCTTAAGTACGGCTGAGCGGACGGGAAGCCCTGTTCTCCACACCCTATGGTCGTATGTATTGGACATCCGGTTAGATTGAAATATATAGATAAGCATTTTGAGTGGGAGTTATGGACGAAGGAGTGGCGGTGGTATTACGAACATTGAATGTTGAAATCAACTCGAGAGACACAATTTGGAGAATACTTGGTCTGAAAAGAGCATCGATCCATAGCACTTGAGTACACATACTATATTAAAATCGGGTGACTTAGTGCGAAAATTCTCGGAATAGGACACCGCACGTGTGTGATCACCTGCATAAGATTTAAACTTCTCTTGAAAGCTGAATCTACGTCAAATGAGAGATAGGGAGAGAGAGTACAAGTTCAATTGAACAAAAATGATGATTGACTGCAAAGACCCAGTAAGGACCTGCTGAAAACATCATAAATTCTTGACCCCTTGATCAGCTATTCGACGGATAATCTGGAAATTTTCTGAGGCATTTCCACTTGATGCATACCACACAAAAATATACCCGACAGAGAATTCAAATGAAATACAATTCTCCAAGTCCCAGTCTTACTTTCCCCTGCAATTTCGCCTTACTGTGTCCAAAATGCAACGGCAGACCAGTCAACAGTAATTGGACCGTCACCACTATCAGTCTGGTAGGTTCCGACTTTGTCGTAGAACTCCCCAGCGGGCGAGGTAATGCTGTACTTCTCAACCCCATTGACATAAACCGTGTAGGTGCTGGTACTGACATCATGAATGGTGTTGACAGTCACAGTCGTTCCAACCGTGGCCACACCACTGGCGATGATTGTACCGCCCTCAACATTGTAGAGGTCACCATCGCTGTTCACTCCCAAGAGGAAGAAGAGCGAACCGCCTTCATTGAAGGTCTGTTTGATGGAGATGTTGGTACCACCAAAGGAGGTTACCTTGAAAGTACCAGCAAACTGATGTGTGCCCGTGGTGTAGTCGTTTACATAACGACGTTCAGCACGCAAGTGGCCGTTATCGCAATAAGAGCCGGGTTCACTTCCCGTAGCGGTCGAGGGGAGGGTGAAAATATCGCCATCAATTGAGCCGCCCTCGCATGTTTGTGAGTTGAAAGTGGGGCTCACGGAAGTCCAGGTACCAGACCCAACTGCACTAAGAGCGAGAGCTGAGGTCGCCCAAGTGGCGGCAAGGATAATGTTCTTTGCAAACATTTTGTTTTGTTGGTGGCAGGAAGGGTCTCGTGTGTATTTCTGTAGTGGTTGAAATCTATATTCTCCATTTGAATGCACCGCTTTTATATACTTCCTCTCTTCAGACTTTGGTATAGTACAAACTCAAAATTTGACGCATGGAAGCTTCAATATTGCGGGATGCGGGGTAAGACTTCTCCGAATATTAGCGGCATTTTCCCTGAAGAAACGTTAATTTGTTTGAAGTGTGATACTAGCACATTCCAGCAATGGATTTGAAACATTCGACCCGGAGGATCAAAATCCGAACAATTACCTGTGGGTTGACATGCAGGTATATTGAAAGGTTCTCGAAGAAATGGGAAGCGGGGTGTAAGTGTTCAATCAAACCTTCAATGTTCCACTCAGCAATGTTCCACTCAGGAATCGGGTTAAATTAACTGGTAGTACACCGTCTAGCCCGTGAACACTTAGCCTGAAAGTGGAAAATTTGCTCCTCGTCCATCAGTGACAAGCCAAACCTACCATACGGAATGTGATATATAATTTTAAGAAAATTTATTATGCGCATTTTGAGATTTGTTATGATTCACTTTGGGGTTTGATTTCGACATATAAATAACTACAAAACTGGTGAAGTAATCTAAATCCTCAACCTCTTCACGATAAGAACCCTGAGCGACCCCGTTTGATGCCATTATTAGCAACCCTCTGTAAATATTCCAGTGATCAAAGAACTAGTCCGAAAAAGGGAACGAGCAAAGTGTCGAGCTGTATACGTGCCTATTGAGGACAACTTCAACCGGGCTAGCTCAGATTACCCTTCAATAAAATTTGCCTGTTTCAGTCAAAGTCACTCGGGTTGCTGGAAGCCGGGGTCACGATAGCCCGATATGCCGTTTCAAATTGCGCAAAAACCGGACTCCGGGGAAAGTATCCACTAAAAATCCCACATGAAATAAACCGGGGAAACTCTCAGACGATGAACTGTGTCTGATGAGTTTCGCTCGTGGGGAAACCCCTTCCCGAGGTTGCCAAGCCACAGCTTACTTAAATTGTAGATGGTAGGTCTACGGACGGACTTGCGTGTTCTTATTGTTCCGTCGCCACCCGCTGGGGCCTTTGACTGTGAGGCGGCTGTTGCCTTTACTGGACTCAATTAAGAGTCCCCTCCATTGCCCATTTACTAATTTTGGCCTAGAAATGATGCGATATCCTGATTCTGCCTGAAAGGTTTGCTTTAATAGATTCCTTGGTCAATTCATCTTTCATCATATGACAGTACCTAGTATGATCTCTGTGTGAATAGTGCATTAAGTCTCAACCACAAATTGAATTTATTCATTTCAAAATATACCCTGCATTTCTAGTAGAATTTGAAGGTTCTAGATGTCTCTTCACTCGGCTCCCTTGGCCCAGTTATCCAGATCTAGTCTTGAGAACATACAAGGAGTCTCCTGACAACCTCGTAGTGACATTCCCAGAGATGTTGCCACATTTTGAGATCCTCAGCCTCCGTATGAATGGGATCACATTCTTCGCACTCCCACGCGGCTTCGTGAGTTCTCGGGCTGACAATTAGAGTAACATCAAGAGAATGTTCGTTAATGAGATGGTTGATTGCGCTGTAGTAATTTCCGAATTGCTCGTCGTGACTGAGACAAATGATTGTAAATTCGAACGACATTTCGTAGAATGCAGTGCTGATCGTCGTGTTCTTTCTCTTAAGATGTAATAAAGAGGTGCTGTGAATTCGAATCAAGTCAAAAGTAGAGGGGCTGTCCTGAATCGGTCTCGGGTTGGATAGATACATGAAAGACGAAGGAAATTGCAGAAGCAAAATTTGAAGTTTTGTATCCACAGAATTTCTTTCTTGTGCGGCGAGATATTATTTAATTTTGAATATGCTGAAATTGAATGAGTCAATTCAATACTGCCTGAAGTGCAATGAATGTCACTGGCTGACCAGGTGCTTCTGAGCAGTGGCACTGCTTGAAGCATGTATTCACTAAATATTCCTATCTCCTTTTGTAACCATACGATACCCGTCGACCTCAATAGAAGCGTTCTGGATTTTCCATTATTCAAGAAATACTTCTACAAACTTCAAGTTAAAATTATTCTCCCAGCTCTGTTCCTTCGCAACCAGATCTCGGACCGGAAGAGTATCCGCCATTTGGATGAAGCCCAGAGGTTTGAATATAAGTATACTAGGAAGAACCGAGAGCTCTCCACTTCCATATTCTGCCTCCATTGTGGAATTTATTCCCAAAAGGTTTCTCGGAGCTCCCCACTGTGTGACTAAAATCTGAATAACTCGAACGTACTAGGTTCGATGAGAGTTGCAACCGCGATGTGAGGCACGAAAGAATCATGTGGAATTTCAAGTTTCTCCCGAAGTCTCCAACCAGACTGGAAAATTTACGTGAATCTTTATTAATAATATGTTAAGTTCAAACTCATAGACAGAAAATGGCCCGCTGGCTCAAAAAGAGAAGAAATCCAAATTGCGTCAAAAGGCAATTTGCAAGACAGCAATAAGTCCACAGATCATGCTTAGTCCTACAGAGAAAGTCCGAGTCTGGGAAATGGCTGCACCGGTATATATAGCACCACCGGAGGACAGAGTCGAGGATGCTAAGAGAGAGCTAGCCTCCACGACTGATGAGGAGATAGGAGCGCGAGTGCCACTGGCAACGGTAGTAACAGTGGGAACTGTGGAGCTTGGGCTATATAAAACAGAAGGAGCCGATTGCAAAGAGGAGGCAGAAGAAATCAAGGTCGAGTGTGAGTGTGATATAGTAATATCCAATCTGGTAGCTTCAGTAGTCGTGACAGGATTTGCGACTCCAGGGGAAGTATAGGTGTTGGAGACAACGGTCTCAACTCCCGTGTTGCTCAGCTCCCCGGAAATTGCGGTAGATAAAGATTGAGAACTTGAACCGGAAGAGGTTGCCGAAGCATCGAAGTTGGACCCTGAGCCAGAAGATGAACCTGAATTCGTCATAGAGCTAGTTACAGACCCCGAGCCTGGAAGAACCTTGTCTTGGCCAGTAGTCGCAGAATCAGATTCGTTTCCGGAGCTGGATGGGGTTAAAGCAGCACCAGGCGAAGATTTACTGGAAGAAGAAACCCAATCGCCGATGACAGAGTCGGAGGTAGCGCTGGAGGTTGGGATTGAGCTAGAGACTGGCTGGACAGTAGAGCTGGGAAGTGCAGAGTTTCCAACAGGATAGACTGTGGATCCAATGGCTGCAGTCGTAGTCGCAACATAAGCAGTTTTAGATCTTAATGGGCAGTCGGTGACAGAGGCAGGGCACTCCCAGATAGTAGATACACTGGTGGCGTAGATTGTTTCTGTGGTAAGTGACCCAACAGGACTAATAACAGCAGCCCCGGTGCTTGCAGAAGAAGCACCGATCGGTGAAACTGTGCTTCCTGTTACGGTAACAGGATAAACTGTGGTTCCAGCGACGAGAGTTTCGGTCGTAGTATGAGGTGTCTGTTGAGTCAAAGGACAGTCGGTGACAGTTGTCGGGCACTGAAGAATTGTGGAAACGCGAGTAGTGAGAATTGTCTCGGTGGTAACCTGGTCACTAGATCCGGGTCCAACTGCGCCTTGGGGTGTAGTAGTAGCGGTCTCCTCGTTCACGCCAACAGTGTCGGTGGTCACGTAAGTTATACGCTGCGAGGCTGGACAATTGATGCCAGATGAGGGACACGCAGTAATGGTTGCAGTCCGGCTACTGAAGACGGCTGAAGTAGTGGATGCATGAGGTCCAGAGCCAGAACCAATAGGAAGCCCAGATAAAGCAGAGGTCAACACCCTTGCAGTGGTAAATGAGCTGGAAGATATAGCCCCAGGAGTAGTAGGCTTGGCTACCTCGCCGGAGCTCGAGCTGATATGAAGCGGGGTTGAGGTATGTACTGTGGCGGAGCTTGAACTTATCAAGAGTGGAATTGAGGCGTGCGAGGCGACTGATGGGCTTGTACTGACTACTAGAGCGGTCGAAGTTTGTACGATAAAGGGTGAACTCGAGCTCGGCATCAGAGGAGTTGATGTTGGGGGTACTGCTGAGCTTGAGATAATCACCAGACCAGTCGAGGTAGCTACAGGAGCGGATGGCTTCCTGCTTCTAGTCCGGAGAGGTGGTGTAGGTATAGCGGCAGATGAGCTTGAGCCAATAAGTACAGGGGCTGAAGTGTGCGCCACATGAGATGAACTCAAGCTCACCACCAGAGGAACTGATGAGTGCACCCCGGCAGAGCTCGAACTGACTGTGATAGGGGTGGATGAGGGGACGTTTGACGATGAGCTCAAAATGGCACCTCCGCGGGGGATTGAGGTATAAACAGGGATGGATAAGCTCGAGCTAACACTCAGTGAGGTTGTCGTTGTGGTAGCCACTGTAATCGACGATGTAGTGCACTCATCTTCCTCGTTTGTGATAGAAACCGCGTCGAGGTTAAAGGTCGGATAGCCACTACTGCAAGTTCCTGTGAATGAGGCCAATATATATGAGCCTTGCAGTGTAATAGTTTGCGACACGGTCGTCCATTCGGTCACGTCGCTCGTGATTGAACTAAGTTCAAAGAATGTCGGAGCCGAAATCGATTGGTCAAATCTAGCGAGCAAGGAACAATCTTCACCCCCATTCAGGCTATATTTATAGTCGAACGAGATGGTATACTGGTCACCTTGTATCACATCGTAGACGTAGTTTTCGATTAAGAAGCCTGTATAACCATCCTCGAGCGAAGAGATCACCTCCCTATTTATGGCAAAACCTGTCAGTAAACACTTTCTCGAATAGATTTTTCGGATTTCATGAATAGGAGAATGTACAGATAATATGAGCCCTCAGCCGCAGAAGACGCATCCTCCACGGCACCACTTCCAGATCCTACCACCGCCATCAACCATGAACTAGTTGTGCCACTTTCAAACCCGCCATTGGTAATAAGATCCGTGCAAGTATTTGTGGTAGTGGTAGTAGAACTATCCCCGGATTGAGCCAACGCAGGGACTAATCCCAGGGCGAGAGTAGCCAGGAAAAGGCATTGGTGTCGCATTTTCGAGCAACGGACAGGTCAAAGAGTGGACGAGAGAGCGAAGTCTCTCTATAAACGAGTGAAAGTATACGCGTCAAAGGAATGATATCGACAGCAAATATGGAAACGGGGAAAGAAAAGAGAAAAAAACAAACAATCAAGGAAAAGAATGAATCAAGGATCCTGACTCCTGAGAGGCGAATTTGTGGTCTTTGTTTGTACAAGTAAGAAAAAGTAGAACAACATTGCCGACGATCAGAGCTCCGTTAGTGGATTCAAGGCGCCATGGCTCCACTAGTTACTTTTACTCGTGGCGTGGCTAGATTGAAGGAGTACCTGAGGGCTAAAGCTGTCACTTTCGACGACCGAGATGTCCTCGTTTTCAGCCCTATATAACTAACTCCGAATGATATTCTAGTACATACGACCATAGGGTGTGGAGAACAGGGCTTCCCGTCCGCTCAGCCGTACTTAAGCCACACGCCGGTCAGTTAGTAGTATGGTGGGTGACCACATGCGAATCCTGACTGTTGTATGTTTTTGTTTGACTTTTTGCCCAATAAAAATCAATTGTTATAATAAATCTTGCTTGCTCAGAGGAATCTGCTAGTTAGTAGTTAGCAGTAGAACGTGGTTTCGTGGTTCGATAGACTATGATGTGCTCGTATATTATGTCCCCATGGAATTTCTCGGATACGCCCTACTTCTCACCGCGATGCGACAGCAGGTATTCATTGCATAATGGTTATTCTTTCAATTTATCGTCTGGAGCAATGCGACCTCGGGAACCTCCAGATATCACTGAGTGGACCCATGGACAACACCTGAACGCTTGAGTCGGACTTCTGTTTTCAGATACCGTTCAAAACATCGAATACTACATATTGTCCTTGCAAAAATGGAATTTTCTCTGGTCTAAACAAACATTGAAATTCCAGATATATATGGACTTTGTTCGAACCAGTTGACGCATTGTTGGAATTATCCGTTATTCAACTGCCGCCCCTACATGTGTGTGCATAAGGCGGACTTAAACTTGGGGGAATAAACAATTGTCGGCTTGGTTAGCGGATCCGCTTTTTTCTTCGAGATATATTTAGCGTACTGTATAAAGTTGTGATTTAATGACATTATGTGGAAAATGCAGTAAAGAGTGCAACATTTGAGTGGTCGTATACGTATTCAGTTAAGCTTGGCGGGCTAAATAACCTTGGAATGAATCCCACGCGATCAAGGCGTCGGCCCCAGTACCTTAAAAAGCAGCGAACAGAGGGTCCCTTAACTTAACAGCCAATCATTCCCAGGAAAGTGGATCCCAACTTGACGCTAGAATCAATAGTCCCTTAAATGTGGAAGTATCGTAGCGGATATGTCCGAGCTGGTACCTGATTCACTTGCCCCGGTCGCTTAAGTTCCCTGAGTACAGCCTTGATATTATCGAGCGCCAGTCTATTCCAGTGGAGATCCAAGGCCTGGTATTTTCTATTATTTCTTTCCAATCCCATTTTCAGTTTTTAAAAATTTCCATGTTCAACATGTCCCTCGTTTGATTCAACAACGACATTCTTTTGATTAGTTGATTTGATTTTTCCGATATACATTATTTCACTCGTTCATTTTGATCTCCGAGATTCTGAGCCACGCGAAATATCCAATGAGGGTTCTGAACGCTCTTCTGCCCCTTGCTGGGCTACTGGCATTGAGCGAAACTGCCCTTGCCAAGGACATTGATAAATGTACTCAGGTCACCCGAAATTTCGTTACCAATGGCGATTTCACAACCGATTCCGACTGGACCACATCTGTGACAGACGCGACAATTGTCACGCCCGAGGAATCAGGTGGTTCTGGATATATGTGAGTGATCCTCTTTTTTCCTCCTTCCTCCTCTTTCCTCAACGCAGCTCATCCTGGTCTAACTTTGATGAAAAAGAGAGATTCCCTTCACCGCGGGCGAAACTTTTACCATTCAAACACCGGTCTCCGGTATCCAGAGCGGGCCTACCTATCAGCTAAATGTGGATTGGAACTTGATTGCCGACACGGAAGCGCAAGCCACATGTGAGATGGAAATTCTTGCCATTACGGACACTTCTAGCCAATATATCACCTACGCCGTCGACTATACAGATGAAACGACGGGTTTTCAAACGGTGTTGGGACAATGGTTTTCCGACTCATCAGACATCCAACTGCAGTTTTCTGTCACTTGCTATGATGGTTCTGGGACTCTGCAGCTTGCCGCCGCTTCTTTCCTAGGACCGGAAATGGTGTGCACCTCCCAGTGTGCCGCGTCCACCACCACCTTGTCTGGTAATCTCATACAAGATGGTGATTTCACGCACTTTGATGAGGACGACGATGTATGGACAACCTACTATCCCGGCTCTACCGCAGATGACGGTGCTCCTGGAGGTGGTCAATGCTTGTAAGTCACCGCCAGTTGCCCCTAAAATCGCCCGATGCTGATTTGTACAGTGTTATTACCAAGGATTGGTCGGACTTTTACCAGCTGAATCAAACCATTTCGGATGCTCAGGTTGGTCAGCGGTACCATGCCAGCTTATCATGGAGGCTCAAATCCTCAGAGGCCAACGGGGATATTGAGCCGAGCTGCTCCATCTGGTTTTCCATTTATAATGATACCGCCCGTGTTCTTTTGAATATCGCATATGATTCATACACCCTGTCATCTTCTGACAGTGGTTGGATGAGTTTGAATGGAACTTGGAATGCGACTGTTTCGGCTGGGGTAATCATGATACATGTTGAATGCTCAGCATCGGATTATGAGTATTACCCTGAGGTCGAGATTGCCAATGTCGAGTTGGCACTTCAGACAGTCAATTGCATTGCTCCGTCATCCTCGGCAGTAGTGGCTAGCTCGACACCCCTGGTAAAATCTTCAACCGCATCGTCTTCTCCAGTTTCAACCCCTGTCATTCGCTCAACCTCCGTGCCTAGCTCGACCCCTGCGATCCGTTCAACTCCAGTTACTCGCTCTACCTCTATTATTCGCTCAACGCCCCTTGTTCGCTCAACTTCAGCGTCTCACTTGAGCTCCCACCACATTTCTTCCACTCCAGTCTCCAAGTATAGCTCAACTGTGGCTGTGGTTCCTGAGTCGACCCCGCTTTCATCTTCGGTTTCTTCAGTCTCGTTGATCCGGTCCACCAGCTCGAGGTCCTCTTCCCCACCTGCCAAGGTATCAACCCCTTTATCTTTCACTAGATCTCGTGCTACGGGTTCTTCTTCAATTCCGATCCCGACAACACTCGCTCCGTCGAATCCACCTTCTACACAGACCACAGACTCGTTGCCTTCTTCTAGTACTTCTCTCGAACCATCTGGAAAGGCTTCGCAGACATCGCCCTCCGTATCAGAGACTGAACACACATCAGTTATCGCTTCATCTGTGACCTCCAACAGCCAGATAGTAAGCAGCTCGACGCCTCTCGAAACAGCGTCTACATTTTCTGCAGCTTCCCTGCCGAACAAGTCAGCCTCCACGCTGTCACAAACTGTTCCCGCAACCCAGACCCAGCCGCAGTTGACCACATCTACGGTCTTCAGCACGAGCACAAGAACTGTTACTGCGTGCCCATCAACAATTACAAACTGCCCCGCCACTGCCAAGACCACATATGTGACTACGGAGACAATCGTAGTCTCGACCACAGTCTGTCCAGTTACTGAAACAAAGGAACCTCACCAAACTACTACTCCTCAGGGCGGCAATGGTGACTACACATCCACAATCCTGACAACGCGTGAAATCACTATCACGTCGTGTGCCGCCACAGTCACGGACTGCCCTGCACGTTCTCAGACCACCTTGATCAGCACACAAACACTTGTCGCTGGCACTACCATCATTCCAGCTGGATCGCTGGAGACAGCATCTCAAACAGAGAAGGGTGGAGCGACGGGAAGCGCCAACCCCGTACCCGTGCAGAGTGGAACGACGGCATCTGCGGCTAGTGGAGAATCCAGCACAGCTACTCTCCCAATAATTCCATCGGCAGATGCGACAGGTGTTCTTGCATCAACTGGCTCCTCGCCTGATAACTCTGGTGTCCAGAGCTCGACATCTTCCACCGAATCGGTTCATGCTACATCGCGTCCAGAAGAACAACTATACACAACCTCTGTCGCAACAACCGTCGCGGTAGCTGAGGCCAGTGCTTCTCAAACCACTGGTGTCTTGACTTTGAACGGCGCCAATCCGGCTGTGACTCTTTCTGGAGCAGCTAGTAGCTCTGAGACTCTCTCTTCATCTGCTGCGTTGAATGCCGGCGGCAGCGAAGGCTTCGCTGTTGAGTCGAAGACAACTCTCGGTCCAGTTGTGACGAGCACAAATCCAAAGCCCTCTGCTTCTTCAAGTGCACCCCTTATCAGTACGGGAGTGGGATCCCATTCTACACTGGTCACTGCAGCCTTGTCATCGACTCACAAAGCGACGGCTGCAAGCCCAGGGGCTTCCGTCTATTCTGGTGCTGCATCTGTTTGGACCGTCCACACAGGCCTTCTCTCATTCATTACAGTCACCCTTGCGGCTCTATTGCTGTGATATATTCGTCAACTATAATCTTTCTAGAATTCAATTACTTTTTATAATACTCAATCTAAGGCGGAGTCGGAAGTTTGTGTTCTTGTAGAGTCTGGAATGTAGGTTTACCAAGAATGCTGCTACGTCTGCCCAACCAAACCACAAATTCAAAACTTGGAGCGACATAACTGGCGTGCCTGCTTCTTATCCACAAATCCAAGATTGACTCTTACTCAACTCATAAAAAAAACAAAAAAACATACAACAGTCAGGATTCGCATGTGGTCACCCACCATACTACTAACTAACCGGCGTGTGGCTTAAGTACGGCTGAGCGGACGGGAAGCCCTGTTCTCCACACCCTATGGTCGTATGTACTCGAAAGGTAATAGTTGAAGGTCATATTCAGGGGTTTTATTGATAGTTACCGGGTAATTAACTGAGGTTATGATGTACAATGTGTTTATTTCTGTATGGTATTGAAACCGAGCTGCGCCGAAGGTCGCGAGTCGCGACTCCCAAAGGAAAACTGACGACTAAATTTAAAATACCTGTATTGACTCCACTAGTGTCATTTTAATTACTGCGAAGAGGAGGATCCTTAAAAACAAGCTTCTTGACCAAACAGGACTCGATGTCAAACTGAAAGACATCTTCTCGGCTCTAACATGGACGGAATCGCAACAGCTTTATGCTGCATAAGTACCTATTACTTATAGTACACATGCTATTCTTAACCTTGTGCTTGATTGAAAGCCTGAATATACTATGGGATCATACTATATCAACCTTAACCAAGTACGAAACTGAGCGAGGTAAGCTGTCTCTGAATCCTGCCCAGATGAGCATATTTACCAATCCCACGGCTCATCATTATTCATCTGGACATCAATACATACCAAGGTGACAGTTCAAGGTTCGGTGGATTTATCGCGACGCACGCGTGGCGCCCTATGCTTGTTAAACTGCGGCTGCAGTCCCGACTGGAGTTTGTCCAATCAGCACGTGCAGCGGCTCAGATGCGCTGGGAGAACACAGCCACGCGCGATCTGACAGACCTATTTCACCTTCCCCGCTTCTTTTCAAACCTTCAAATATTATGTTTATTACGAGGTCCTCCGCCGTCCGGAGGGAAGCTCATAGGATTCAACAGTGAACCTTCTGGCAAGTCGCACTAGCCCTTCTTTGCCTCCGTGTCCAGGGTTCTACATGGCCCTCCAACTGTTGCGCAAAGGCAAACAACGGGAATCAGTGGGGGATCCTACAAAGTGTTTGGATAGTGCCTTGGCAAGATTCAAGGGAATTTTGACTGCAGTTGAACAGCAACAGTTCACGGACAGTTCAGCAGCAGTGCCGGATGCAGGGGGTGTCCTATTCTTCGTTGCCCAGCTTGATGCCGAAAATGCCAGCAAATCAAGAAGAAGCATTGCACCTCGATTATGCACTTTTTTGAGTGCTACGCAGCAATTTTCAGGCGCCATCGGGACGTTTGTGAGCTCAAATCCAGCGATCGCGGCTCTGGTATGGGGTGGGATAACGACTGCTATAACTGTGGCGAGCAATGTGGCTTCTTATTTTGACAAGGTCACCAATATGATCAAGGATATTGGACTCTTCTGCCCGACCTTCCACCAATTTGGTCAGCTGTACCATGGTCACGTCGGCCTTCAAAACGCGCTCTGTCAATACTACGCTGTGATAGTTGACACATGCACTAGGATCATCGAAGTTTCTCGCCGACCAGCAAGCATTCAAACTTTTTGCTTGATCTGGAATCCCTTCGAGTCGGAGTTCAAACCATTCTTGGACCGCCTAATGGCAGCCAAGCAGCATATAGATCTCCAGGTTTCCCTTGCATCGAAACAAGCCGATCAAGAGGCGAAGAATCTGTTGGAGCATGAGAGCAAAGAGAACTCTTTGTTCCGACCGTCTGCATTGAACCTCCTGAAGAAATCTACGCACCAACAGGACGAAGCGAGACAATGGCAGATCAATCGGGCGAAGAGGGAGATAGCGTCCTTGAAAATCAAAATACAACGAGATCTTTGTCCTGTTGACCATATGCAACCATGGAAACGAACACTGAAGCAGCGAGTCCATTCGACAGCTGAATGGTTAATCCACCAGCCGGCATTTATTGAATGGCGTGATAGTCCTCGCAGTACAATCATGTGGTGCTCCGGCACGATGGGCATGGGGAAGACTGTTCTGATGTCCAACGTGGTATCTCATCTCCACTCGTTCTGTCGCCAAACAAATTCCGTCGCCCATTTCTTTTGTATGGCAGAGAATAAGGAATCGCTGTCCGCAAGGAATATCATTGGTAGCATCGCCCGCCAGCTCCTTGATTCTTTGATCCAGACCAGCAGCCATGATCACCTACTCTCTATCCAAAGCGAAGTTCAAAGCCTTGACACAGATGAGACTGTTGAATTTTTGCTATCAAAGTTGAAGATTAACCATTCATACTATATCATCCTAGACGGCCTAGATGAGTGCGAACAAGCTCAGATTCGAGGCATTGCTAAAGCTTTGGAAGCGATCTTCCAATCCAAGACTTTAAAGCTTAAGATTATATGTGCAGGTCGGCCTGACTTGGACAGGGATTTGTTCAAAGCGATTCGACCAGAGTTCCGCATTGTGATCGACGAAGAGAAGCTCAGCATTGATATGGATCGATTTATAACTGCCACTCTGGACGAGTGTTTACAAGAGGAATTACTTGTCATCCAAGATCCCAACATAGTTCTAACGATAGCGGATGCCTTGCGGAAAGGCGCCCGGGGAATGTAAGTGTGGTTCGGAATCAAGGATCCGGACTCTCAGTCTGTGCATGCTATTTTGTTCACCGTACCCAGATCTGACTGTATTTAATTAGGTTTCTCTGGGCTGGTCTATGTATCAAAGACTTGTGCGAGAAAAATAGTGACCAGGAAATCCTTGACGCCTTACATCATCTGCCGCGTGATTTAGCCGATCTTTTTGATTCCAAAATTCGCCGCATTCAACACGAAAGAAACTCCCAGCAGACGATGGACCTACTTCGATACTGCGGTGTTGTGAAACGCCCCTTGACAATCGAAGAGTGTAGAGAGGCTTTGAGTGTTTCGCTCGAAGACAAATATCTTGATACGAGAAAACTCCCTAACGACATGAACCGCGTTGTGCGCGGATGTTTTGGCTTGACATTTATCGATGACGAGGAATATACCATTCACTATATTCATCAAAGCGTCAAAGACCATCTTTTCAATGGCGAGAATGAGCGGAATCCCAGGTTTGATGTTGAAAGCATCAACAAACAGCTTGGCGCTTTGTGCATGACGTACTTGAATTTCTCGAACTTCAATCGCAAGCTCACTAAAGTAGAGAAGCGTGTACTCATTGATCCTCTCTCTCTTGCTACATCTTCCATAAATCCACAGGTTTCCCGGGTCAACAAAATTGCGCTGAAGTTGTTGTCTTCCCGAAAAGACAACCCCACCACTTTCGAATTTCAGCATGTCAAACAGACCGCATTGGAAGTACTCGAAGATTTAGAATCTCGACGCAATACCGCCGGAGTGATGACAAACGCTGCATTTTTGGTTTATGCACAAGAGAATTGGGCATTCCATTTGACTGGCTTGCAACCGGACGAAGTGAAAATATGGTCACTTTTTTGCAAGTGCATTGAAGACAGATCACTGCCTTTGGAACGACATTGGGAGAATCATGACGCAGTAACGAGCTTTGACACTGCACAGATAGTGGATATTCTTCCTTTTGTTGATAGACTCTCTGCAGCTTTGGGGTACGAACAATCCGAGTTAGCTTGGACGCTGCAGCACAACCACTTTGCATTGTTCCTATACTTCAATGATCATTCAAAGGGCCCATTGCACTTACAAGGAATAAGTTCATTTCCAGTCTTCAAAAATGGTACCAGCCATCGTTGGCTCGAAGCACTAATCCATGTCCCACAATCCACACACGCCTGGCGCATGGCATTGGTGAATGTGGCATCGGATGAGGGGCTACGTGAAGCCGAACTGCGAGGGATTTTTGTCGCGCTGCTTGAGAAAATGGCAAAAGTCGATTCGATAGCAGCGAGCAATGCCCTTGGGTTTTTGCTGCGCTACGCGTTTGAATTTCAAAGTCTTTTCATCACGTTGCTATCAGTCGATAAAGTCTTGAATCCGGAAAACAGGATTACTGACAAAACTTACAATTCCGACTTTCATTATTCGCATAACGGTCAAATCAACCCATGGCAGATAAACCCACTGCTTATCATAGCCGTCACACAAGGCAAACAGTGGATGGTAGATGCCATTCTGGATTCGGGCGCAGATCCTAATGTTTGTGCTCAGGAATCCAGCAACACCGCTCTTCATCTGGCTGTTTGGGAAAATTCAGGAGACTTCCTCAAAAGCCTTCTCAGAGCCGGTGCGGACGTCCGTCTCCTAGACCAGGATGGAAAGACAGCTTTTGATTTGGCTGTATCTGTTGATTCATCATGGAATGGAGCAATGAAAGACTTTGTTGCGGCTGGAGTAAATATCGATTTGAAAGATAGTCTTGGCAAAACCGCCCTTCACAGGGCTGCAGAGGAAGGACGACTCGAAATGCTTAACTCGCTTGTCTCTGCTGGTGCAAACATTCATTTGAGAAATGGGGACGGCAAGACGGCCTTTCACGTGGCTATAGAAGACGACCAACTCGAGAAGGTCAGGTTCCTTGTCTCTATCGGTGCTAATGTGAATACTTGTAACGGGGATGGCAGAACTCCCCTTGGCATGGCTGTCGAAAACGGGAAACTAGACATGTTCAGATTACTGGTCTCTGTTGGTGCGGATGTCGACTTGAAGGACTTCTTTGGCGAAACTGCCCTTCACATGGCTACAAAAGATGATGGGAAATTTGACTTCGTCAAGGATCTTGTCTCTGCCGGCGCAGATATCAACATGAGGGACTTTCTAGGCTATACTGCTCTTCACGAAGCTGTCAAGTCACAAAAGAGTGGATTGGACATGTTGAAATATCTTGTGAGCGCCGGCGCCGATGTTAATCTCGCAGCCGATGATGGACACACAGCCCTCACCCTATCTCTGATGCGGTGGAGATCTGCCGGGTTTGATCTAAAAACCAACCTGACAGCAATTGAATACATCGCAGCTGCAGTCCCTGCTGGCCAAATTTATCCACGGGGATTCCAATCATTTATAAGTGACTGTCTTCCCCAACTTGCTCGATTTAAGGCGCTGGCTGTCGTGAAGCTGTTAGTCGGCAGTGGCGCTGATATAGACTCTCGGGGGTTTCACGACTCACAAACTGCTCTTCATTGGGCAAGCGCGCTGAATCACTGTCCTATGGTGTCATTTCTCCTTGAAAGTGGAGTCGACCCGAACAAATCTGACAACCGTGGTCAAACAGCATTGCATTACGCTGCGGAGGGAGGATTTGAGGAGGCGGTGGCCTGTCTGCTCAGGGTAGCAGATGCTTCTATCATCGATTTTCAGGGACGAACGGCGCTGATGTGTGCAAGAAACGGTCCCCATTATCCCATTGTGAAGATGCTGCTGCCATTTGCTGGTCCCCGTGATGATTGTCTAGATGATCATTCAAAGACGTTGCAATATTGGGCTAATTTGGTAAATATTGAAGGACGTATTGAAGAAGTCTTTGACTAGCGAAGTTGATTACAGGAAAATACCCACTTACGTACCCTTGAACATTGAATGCGCAAGATAGCATGTTTATGGCGGCCGATAGAGGCCACCCAAAGGTCACATGATGCTCACATCCCAATTTCAACTTTCCGACCGGCAGAAACATTGAAGTAAATTACGAGTAATTCCAAATTCATATTAGTTTTTGAACTCCATGATGTTCAGCGCTGCATTATACATTAAATCCTTGAACTCTATTATACATAGTGCTATGTTATTTTACTTCTCTTTCTCCAACTTCGTTTGAAGTAAATTATCGCACATGAGAACTGGCAAGAAAGAGAGGCAGAGATGCCAGTCGTATAATCCATTCTTAAGTTCCTTCTCAAGTCTATTCTCAAGTCTATTCTCAAGTCTATTCTCAAGTCTATTCTCAAATCTATTCTCAAATCTTTTCTCAAGTCTATTCTAAAAGTGACCCGGGTTTAGATCAATTCCCTTAAGATATTCCTGTATGGGATAAATACAATACGAGCGGGAAACAGGGCGGTGAAGTTAGATGAAAATTTGAATGTGATCCTTGGGTAGCCTCTATCGGCCATCAACCGTCATGGCAAAGCATATTAGCAAGGACCTCACAATTATCCCCAGCCGAGAGGTGAATACGTCGACATGACTTAAACTTATAAAGACCAGACCTATATGGGATAAAACCCCAAGTTGGCTTTCTACTGTAATTGGGACCGAAACCTTGAGCAAAATATACTTCTATCGATCCAAATTCCACTAAATTTCTAGAATTGGACATTTAACCATATCGAGATCATAACATTGAAGTACTAGTCCAGATTGAGAAGAAGAAGAAAAGCAAAGCTCCAAAGTTGATGATTCGGACCGCGATACCTTGGAACCCTCTGAACCCTCTTGCTTCCATATGCCCCCTCTTGTCATCGGCGAACGCAAATAATCTCGGCGCAGGGCCACAGCAATGGCTCCAGTATATCTTTCGCCCATTCCCTTCCTCCCTCTCTTTTCTCCTTCTTCTTCCTCCCCAGTGGCGCCACTTCATCTTCATCCATTATAAATTCATTATATCATTGACATGTCCAAACAAAACACACAAATACAACCCCCCACGGAGGTTCAACCTCCTCAAGGATTCGAGAACGTCCTTGTTGCAGTCGATGTGCCAGTGATGGTTCACATCGGCTCTGATTCCGAGCACGAGCCTGTTGTTGCAACTTTCTTCACTCGCATGTATTATCCCGCTCAAGTTGACGTGCAACAAATGCAACAAATGCAACAAGCGCAAGAGTTGGAGCAGTTGCAGCAATCATAAAAAAAAAAAAAAGCAAAAAGCAAAAAGCAAAAAAAGAACCGACGGGTTGATGATCTGGAATCCTGTTTGCGGTAGACCATGACCCGTGAATGGGGGAAGGGGAGTCAATACCTGACGAACAAGACAAAAAAAAAAAAGTTGGAGATTTGATGATTGTCTGAGTGTGAGCTGGATCTTGCCTTTTTCTGTCTTCTTTTTCTTCTTTTTTTTTTCTATTTTGCCCAGTCGTACGGGCCCTGTGTACGACACCTGAGCAAGACTTGCACCTTTACGTGGTGCTTGGGATAAGTAGCCATTCGTGGTGAAACCAAGCAAGTCAAATAGTTTAATCAATTTAAAGATCACAATTTCCTTTCTTCCAAAGATATAATGACCAGCATTATGTGCATTGAAGTCCTCACCATCTACTATGTAAATCCCTATATGCCCTGTTGCAAATCCTGGTAAATGCCCAGGCGTACATTCCGTTCTCTCTCTCAGAGCGTTGGCACGGGGTTTCTCTCGCATGAGCAGCTGTAGTACAGTTGGAAAGACGGAGACAGGCTTTTTTGATGCGAAGAGTCGTAAATTCGTACGTGTGTATCTTACTTCGATGCCTCTTCCTCCACTCCCAGACCAGCGATGGTCCCCTCTGCCTTCAAAATATCAGCTAGACACAGTCCAATAGAACGTCCCATCAGATCATATCCATCGGCAGTCAAGTGTAGTCCATCATCGAAGATCTTCTCGATGAACTCATCTGATGAGCCACGGTACGGGATCTTGGGTCGGAGATCAAAAGAATAGCTGTAGAATGTTCAGCTGAGAAATCTGGAATCAAAGAACGAATGAATCTCACAATCGATCCATCTTCGTATCAAGAATCAGCGTATTCACCGCCGTGCGCTCTTCATCCTTAACCGTGCTTTGACATTCGGGTATCGTCAAGGCAAGGACCTTAGCACCAGACTCGAGGGCCACGTTCCAACAATCCCGGAGAGCCGCATATATCGTCTTGGCATCATGTCCCCATGCCAGATCGCTAAACGTCGGATGAATTCCATGATGAGTTGAGTTCAAGCTGACAGTCAGAAGATGGAGTGAAGACCCACTTAGTGCCGCCGAGAATAACAACCCAGTCATACTTCTTTTTGTCACATTTGAGCTGGATACGAGAGAGGAACCCGCCTCGTTTGATTGCCCCCTCGGCATATACCACAGTATCACCCGGTTGACCGGCGACGTCGGCTGTGATTTTCAGCCGTAGACTGGGGAAATGTTTTTCAAGGACGTCCACGAGCTCATCGGCGTATGGGTGCTTGCTAAGGCCCCAGCTATGGAAGCCTTGGGTGAGTGAGTCACCGAAGCAAAGAATGGACAACGAGTTTGCAGACATAATGAGATTTCCTTCGTCTCTTTGTGATACTCTGGGTTGTGGCTTGTGAAGGGGAGATTGAGGCAGGTAGTAGAGGGGAACTTGGGATTTTGACTGTCCTGTTTGGGTCCCAATCGGGACTAGTGGCCTTCTGTTTCAAGAGTGAAAACAAAGCAGGACCTGGCGCTTGGTGCGACTTGCACCACTATTTCGTCAAGCTACAGAATGTTTCATGAGCATATTGGGCCTTATCAATTTTCCGCTGACAGTTGATAGAATCCTTTTGCTTCGATATTCTACAGATGACAGGTAGCAGATGACAGGACTGAGGCAGCAAATAGCAAACAGACCAAAATAGGACTAGTGCTAATTACCCAATCGGGATTCAGCCTCATGTTGCCTGAATTATGCCTGAATTGTGCCTTAGGCCTCAGGCATCACATTCCAGAATTATTCACAAAAATCCTCCAGTCAGCATCTCGTACTTACTAAGTAGTAGTCTTGGCCTGCATGCTATTTTGGATCTGATAATCAGCTTCTTGACGTTTGGTTGGTAATCCAGTCTTCAAATATGTACTGCACTTCAATTTGTCCAAGCTACACCTTGGCGAGTTCATACTTCAGCAACAAGGGTGACAATTTCAATTGTAGGTTTGGGGAGGGACCTTGACTCATTATGAGCCCTAAGCTTACAATAATGCTTACTCCGTAAAATCCGACGATAAACCCACCAAGTAAGACATTTCATCTAAGCATTCCGAGGTTAAACTCTTAATTGGGCGCCTAATCAATTTACGAACGCCACGATAGTCGGTATCCTGATTAGGTTTAGGTTCGGATCCCTGATAAAAGCAAGCGCAATCCCCCCAGTCAGCTCTGACTGAATTCCATTCCCCACTACATCTCAACCAGTTTGATATACATAATTCATTCCAATGGGATCCGCAACCCCCAACTCCGCGGGATTTAAGATTCTCGCCGCCACCGACGATGACTTCTTTGCCCTAGCCCAAGTCGAAGCCCTAGCCAACGACACAGCCACCCAAACACCGATAGAAGCCAACATCTCTCGCCTAATGTTCGGTCTTCCCAATGAGGAAAACCACAAGTTTCGCTCCAAGGGCATGATCGAGAGGCGTCGCGAAGATAAGTCCATGAAGGACTACAAGGTCGTTGTGGAAGAAGATGGAAAAGAGAAGATTGTCGCGTGGGCTTCATGGAACTTTTATACCGACGAGCAAGTCATTAAGGATTGGACTAATATTACCTGGCCCGAGACTGCTAAAGGCGATGCATGCAACGATATTATCGGGCGCATGACGACCTTGCGACAAAAGCACATGTCTGGCAAGAATCACGCTTGTAAGTGGCCTTTTCCCAGTATTTGAAGGTTCTTAACTGGTTTTCTGACATATTTTCTAGTCCTGCAAGTACTCGCTACGCTTGAGGAATATCGTGGCCAGGGAATTGGATCGGATCTTCTCCGACAGGGTATTGCGGATGCTCAGGAGCTGGGCTTGCATGATTTCTGGCTGATGGCCTCTGCGGATGGTCGTCCTTTATATGCTAAATTCGGTTTCCAGGATGTCGAACCTTTGACCCTGGATCTTGAGCAGTATGGGGGATCGGGCGACCCAAATGTCATGGCTATGAGGCGGTTTCCAAATTGAGCCTCAGGATACATACCCAACTATATGATTGTCCGTGTACATACACATAACTTCTGTTTATATTCAATGTTCTCCATGTATTTAGTGGTGGGATAATCAATCCTGCATGTACTTGTCACAATGCAGCGGTTACGAATACAATGCTTCATTGTACATTTTCCTCTCAAAATTTAAGGAACTTTGAACAAACTGATTATACTCTCATTTCTAACAATTCCAGTCATTTTCTATTTTAAAGCTCTTCATATAAATATCTGTGCCCAATCATAACTGATGAAGTACAGGGATGAGGTCATCTCGGCTAGCTTAAGGTGGGATGATTGTGGAGAACTGCCCCGCAGCTCTCCTTCCAAGTTCATGAGATCTCAACTCCAGCTCCAACTCAACCCTGAACCACAAAGACCGACCGGGAAAATATTCTTGCATTCAATCATTTCCTATCATACGCCACCCTCCGCCTCGTTGCTAATTCCCAGCCAATCACAAAATGTCTCAAACTCGAGCTTTAGGGGTGGGAATCATTGGTGCCGGGGTAAGCCAATCACATCTTCCCCAGACACAAATCTATATCCCTAGCAGTGCCAGCAACTAACATACGAATCGCTTTAGGAAGTCTTCCAAGTATGCCACGGGCCCTCCTTGCTCATGCTATCCCATCTCTTCTCAATCGAATCCATCTGCGACCTATCACCAAAAACAGTAGACCACTGCGCCACCAAGTTCTCCATCCCCCACAAGACAACCGTCCCCCAAGATGTCATCGACAACCCCAAAGTCCAAATCGTCTTCATCCTCACATCAGACGAGAGCCACGCGCCCTTGACAAGCGCCAGTCTGAAAGCTGGCAAACACGTCTTCCTCGAAAAACCAGTCACCCTCTCCCTACCCTCCATACAGTCGCTCATTGACGCGGAAAAGAATGCGCCAGAAGGCGCCCGTGTTTTCGTTGGATACATGCGCCGCTATGCGCCCAGTTTCCTCGAGGCGTTCAAGAGGGAGGTAGCCTCCATCCCTAAAATCATGTATGCGCGCGTCCGCGACTTCAGCGGGCCGAACTTCAACTTCGTGAGCCAGAGTGGGACTTTCTCTGTCAAGCACGATGATTATCCTGCTCATGCTGCGGAGGAGCGTAATGCACGCCTCGAAGATCTTTTCGCGGAGGCATTCCTCGGGCAAGAAGTCACGGATGAGAAGCGGAAGTTCTGTCGCTTCCTTGGTAGTCTTGGTTCGCATGATATCTCTCTCATGCGCGAGGTTCTTGGAATGCCTGAACGCGTTGAAGGGTTCACGGCCAATGATCCTTTCTATAGTGCCATCATGTCTTTCCGTAATAAGGATGGCTCGACGTACTCGACTACCTATGAGAGTGGCATTGATCAGGTTCCGGTCTTTGATGCTCACATTGCGGTGTACGGGGAGAAGAAGAGAGTGACTTTGAAGGTAAGAGTTTGGAGTTTGTGATATTCTGCTTTGTTTTACTGACTGTTTTGCAGTTTGATAGCCCTTATGTTAAGGGTCTTCCTATTTATGTGGAAGTCGATGAGGTGAATGAACACGGGGAGATCCAACACCGCAAGATCCTGTCCTCGTACGAGGATGCATACACTGCAGAGCTACAGCAAGTGCATGATGTCTTCCAATCTCAAAAGCCATTTAAAACGACCCTAGCGGATGCGAAGAACGATCTTGAAATATTCAACATGTTTTACAACACTTGGGGTTACTTGACAATGAACATTGCATTGGGTGATTCTCAAGATCAAATGAACGAAATATAGTGAAACGCAATCTTGCTCTCATCTCATCTGTGTTATACATACATTTGCATACATACATACAAACGACAAACTAGAAATTTTTGTTTCAGTCTCCAATTTACAATTTCTTTCAAAAACTTGTCTCCTCACCATTGGGAACAGAATTCAGCGGATTTGATCATGCATTGAGGTTGAGTGGCGAAACACAGGAGAACGAGTTCAGCTGCGGAATCTTGAACGCGTCAACCATTCCTAATACCAAAGTCAGCAAATATCCTAGAAGAAAAACAGCTTCAAAAACTTACCAATAACAGCAGCCCACATGCCAAGACCACACATGGAGAGCGAGGCCAAGAAGTAGATGACATGCCAGATGTTGATGCACACCTGGAACAAGCCACCGGCGAAGAAGCCACGAATCCATCGCTGGGTAGCTGTACCGGTTCTCTTTACCCGTCCAGTAACCGGATCAAATCCATCGCCTTGGTCCAGCAGAGCCGAGTTCTTCTGGATGTCGAAGCCCAACGCAAACATCGGGGGTAGCGTGTAGCTCAAGTTGAGCAACATAGAGGCCGACATGACACTGACGAAACCAAAGTAATCGGGAATAGCAGCACCAATGATAAAGGCAATGATCCACCACAAAGGAACGAGCATAGCGTAGATAATCTTACCCCGTCTGCTCTCCATGGGCGGGACGGAGAAGATATCGACGAGAATGTTGTTGTACACAACCTTGATACCGATGTTGCCGTAAAGACCACCAGCAATCAGAGCGGCAATCAAAGTAACCATATTACCCAGTGTCTGCCACGCGTAAATGCTCACACCCTGGTAACTGGGATTAAAGCTGTATTGACCCTGCAAGTGGTAAACCACACATCCGTACGCAAGGTAAACACTGTAAATAAAGAACTGAGCGCTCCACATAGCCTTGATGAAGTCCTGAGGACGTCTCATCTCAGCCATGAACTCCACAAACAGCTGAGCACCAGCATACGCCAACACACCCGAAAGCATACCGTTAACAGCACCCAGCAAACCATTACCCATGGGGATATTGCTGTAGTGGATGATAGCCGGGTAGACACCATCGACGGGGGTAATAGTGGTAGCATTAGTGGCACTGCCAGCGGAGCCGAGGGTTGAAATAGCGAAGTTCGGCGGCGAGTTCGCCATGACGCCCATAGTCATGAAGATAACGAAGATATTCAACCAGACGGCCAAGTTAGCGATCCAGCCGTAGGCCTTGAGCGTGCGGATCTGCGTGATGAAGAAACCGGCCACGGCAAAGATGACGGGGCACACGGCGTAGCACAGCTTGAACTTGGACATCTGGGAGATGTTCTCGCCGTACTGGATTGTGACTTGGCCCGTGATCAGGAGCAGCCCGATACCCTGGAGGACATTTGTGAGGTGGCGACCGCCGTTGCCTAGTGTGCGGAAGCCGAGATCGCCGTAGTTCTTCACGGGGAATTCGTAGCTGTCGACGCCGAGGTAGACGCGCCAGATGAGGTAGCCCGAGTAACCGACCATCACTCCGAAGACGGTGTAGAAGGCGATACCTGAATTACATCGTTAGCATTTTGAAATGAAGGGATTTTGGGAGTGGGAGTTTCCGTGTCCATGCGAATAACGGAATAACAACTTACCAGGTCCCCATCCAAGCGTGCCGAGGGTCCAACCGGATCCATAGGGTCCCAAAATATCAGTAGTGATCAAGTAGAAGCCTGCACATATCAACGTTAGTCCCATTCTCAACTCGCACGCAAGAAAGCGAAATCCAGGATCAACTAACAAGCACCCCAAGAAGCCGACCGAAAAGCGCGACTAGCATTCGTCCACTCCTCATCCGTAATCTCCAGTCGTTTAGCCGGGTTCGTAAAATCCTCCTCAGTCAAGGTAGTAGTAACATCCTGGGGATTGGGACCAGCATCCTTCTTCTTCCCAAACCACTGACGAATATTCAAAACAGGCGGGTCCAGCAACTCCTGCTCGGCCCTAGTCTTCTGCGCATAGTGACAATACTCCTCGAAGGAAACGCCCGAATCATACGGCGCACGAGCCTGCGGCTTAATCAACGCCGCAGTAGTAACCGCATGATCATGATCGCTCGAGTAGACCTCGGCACCAGTCTTTTCGTCCAGATGTTTCTCCATGGCAGCGAATGCTTCCTGTGGTAGGGAAATCCTAGCGGGAAAATTCTCGAAATTTTTCTAGGGAATGCACGGGATTAATATGCGGAGAAGCTAAGCATCGGTCGGCTTGTTAGTCCGTGCATACGGGGACAAGCATTGCCAATTGGGGGTCCACTGTTGCTTGTAATTTCTCAAAGCGAATAGGATCGGCGCTCGTATCTCGCCCACGGTCGGCTAAGTGATAAGCTCCACTGCTGTCAGTGGCCCATGGACCGTGGTTGGGTTGGCGATAATTTTGATCCGAATTGTATCGAGTCGGGCTGTAGATTGTGGGTTTGGGGATTTCGGAGCTCGGAGCTCGGGATTCCATGTGGTATCATTATGATTCAGGGTTTGGGATTTGCCAATAATGGGCTTGCGGACCCTTGTCCGGTGGGATTCGGATATTTGGGGCCAGTGACGGGAGGTTTTGAGATGGGCTGATAGGCTGCTTTGGTGGGTGGGGAGGGGGTCTAAGCGAAGGTTAGTTGCCCCTAGTCCGTTGGTATATTGTCTCTTTGTAGGCATTTGGCGTTGCTTGAGCCGTTGGGTGGCAAGCGCCATGTTACTTCGGTCCCGACGTTGGCTTGAACATGGCTTGCATGTCTTGATTGAGCATAGTGCCGGGTATTTGCAGTTCAAGCCTGCACGGCGTAATTCTTCAGGTGAGAAAGATTTTTCGGGGTTTTTTTTACTCATTCCTGTCAAGCGCCGGAGTCAATCACGGAGTAAATCATAACAAAATAAATTCATATGATTTTTTTGCTCGCAGTGTGTTGTTCTGGAAGGGAAACAAAGCTGTTTTCTGAACCAAGTGGCAAGAATATATGGGAGATAAGAAATCGAATTCCGAACTTGCCGTCATCAACTGGTCAACTGGTGAACTTTCTGTTGCAACTTGCCACTCATGTGATACAGAATGATGTACAGAGTATATGTACTGTAGAATAATGATAAAACCCCGCTACCCCACCATTCCAAGCTCCTGACTGTCTATGCAGAGGACTTGAATCATTCACAGATACTATATTTCGCCGAAAGCTGCCTCCTGTTGTCAGGAACGCCAAGATCATTCTAGAAGGGAAATTTTGCCCGCGTCGATCGATGCGGGGAAATCCAAGCTTCCCCTCACGTCCATAAGTCATTGACTTACAATCCCACGCGCAAATGCCCCAATCACCCAACAATTGACCTATGAGGAAAGCATGAAGAAGGAAGTACATTAGAAATGCCAAGATGAATGCGTGTCAACATGTGCAGCATTTTCTACAAATTAAATCCGTTTCCCGTTCAAATGTTTTAACTCCAAGGTTTCCGTGCCGAAAATAAACTTCTCGCATACTAGTATTTGTTTCTCCAACAGCATATTTCACGATGTCTGCCACTACTATGAAAGCGCTCAACTACCAGGGCCCGTACAAGGTTCGAGTGGAGGATGTCGAGAAGCCGAGATTGGAACATCCAGATGATATTATTGTCAAAGTCACCACGGCTGCGATCTGCGGTTCGGATTTGCAGTAGGTTGAACCCAGCGAAGGCAATCAATTGAAATGCGCGTGGAGACTTACTGTTGCGCAGCATGTATGAAGGCCGAACGGCTGCAGAGCCTGGGATCACTTTTGGTAAGACTGGATTATACGAATCAATTCATGGATATTGTCTAACAATCAATCACAGGCCATGAGAACATGGGAATTGTCGAAGAGCTCGGTGAGGGGGTGACATTGTTGAAGAAGGGTGATCGGGTTGTGATGCCATTCAATGTTGCTGATGGCCGGTGTCGCAATTGCGAGGAGGGAAACACTGCGTTCTGCACTGGTGTCAATCCAGGATTTGCTGGTGGCGCTTATGGTAAATTCTGATTCTTTGCAGTCCCTTTGTCAGGTTGCTGATGTGATACAGGTTATGTCGCAATGGGTCCCTACCGCGGAGGTAAGTTCTCGAAATCACTCTCCAGTTCCCCATTATATCGCTAACAACGCCAAGGTCAAGCGCAGTATATTCGCGTCCCCTATGCAGACTTCAACGCTTTGATCCTGCCTCCCGGAAAGGAACACGAGGCAGACTTTGTTCTTCTGGCTGGTAAGTGCTAGCAGTCTCTCAATGGTGGTGGAACATACACTGACTGGTCTATATCACAGATATCTTCCCAACCGGTACAATACCTTGCATACCCTCACCCTCCAAAACAAATAACTAAACTTTAATATGTTGAAATAGGCTGGCACGGTGTCGAGATCTCAGGCTTCCAAGCAGGCGAAAGCATCGCCGTCTTCGGCGCAGGTCCAGTCGGCCTAATGGCAGGCTACTCAGCAGTTCTGCGCGGCGCATCCAACATCTACGTGGTCGACCGTGTACCCGAGCGACTCGAAGCCGCGCGAAAAATCGGCTGCATTCCCATTGATTTTACCAAGGGGGATGCTGTTGACCAGATTATCGCACACAACGGTGACATGGTTGATCGATCGGTCGATGCTGTGGGTTATCAGGCCGTTGATGCGAAGGGTTCTTCCGAGAAAGCGAATATTGTGCTTGAGAATATGATTCGCGTGACGCGCGCGTGTGGAGGCTTGGGTATTCCGGGCCTGTATGTGCCAAGGTATGTTGCTGAGGGCAGAAGTGAGGAATGTCCGATCGCAAAAATTAACGAAGTATTTTATTAGTGATCCCGGTGCCAAGGATGCTGCTACGGCGAATGGAATGATTAGTCTTAGTTTTGGAAAGTTGTTTGAGAAGGTCAGCTACTTTGAAGTTTGAGTTGGGTCATTGAGCTTCTGGCTAATTCTTGTTACAGGGTCTTTCTCTTAGCACTGGGCAGTGTAATGTTAAGGCATACAACCGATACCTACGGGACATGATTATTGCAGGGAAAGCAAAGCCTAGTTTTGTTATATCGCATGAAATTGATCTGTCTGATGCTGAGACTGCTTATGACAAGTTTGACAAGAGAGAAGATGGGTACACGAAGGTCATCATTCACCCAAACGGGGGTTTCTAAACAGATACCTCCAAGCTACATAGAATAGTTTGAAATCCGAGAAGCCCTTCAAAGAACTCATTCCACCACATCCGTGGCCAGTTCGTAATTGTAATGTTTTTTGGCAGCTTTCATGAACTTGTCGGCGAAGGTGATATCTTGGTTGGCATCCTCCAGTCTTATGCGTTCAACCTTGTATGAATCGGCAATAGTCCCCTGCATCCATAGAGACACCAGCCTTGACAACCTCATCCACTTTTTGCTCTTTTCGTCATATTTCCTCGGTCTCGGTTTGTCGCTCACCAGACCATCTAGGCCCATGATTGTCAATATCTCCATTGTTGACGTCAACCACTTAGTGAGCTCGCCGCTTTCCTCATCGTAGCTTTCCTCAACGGCCGGCGGTGCTGTCCTCGTGATTTTGAAATGCTCAAACATTCTAAGGACTTCTTCAATGGACGGCAGGTCTTCGCTTTGGTTAACCGTGGGAGGCACAAAGCTTTCCCAGTCTTCGATGTCTGCTAGTTCATTGGCTCGTTTCATCTTGCCGGTAATCGATTGTTGTTCGATGATTCTTCTTTTTTTTGTAGGATGCATTTGAGTGACTGAGCAATTGATTACTCTGCGCTATTCGAAAACATGTCAGTCATTGTGGAGTAGAGAGTGCATCATTGCCCCGATGTTGATAATCAACGATAGAAAATCAACGTTGGAGGCTCATAACCTCATAAGTATAAGGACTATGGGAGAGAGTCATACCCTGCTGGAAATGGGGGTGGCAGATATGAAAAAGTAACTGGCTTGGAGATGGATGATGAAGAAGAAGAGAGAGGGAGCGAGGGAAACGCTTTAATATACAAATGATGAACAAAGAAGAATGGGGCACCTGACTTCTGACTTCAATATGTGGTTTGCATTGCAGAATCAATCGCAATTGAAAGAAAAGGCTGGCTCTAAGGTTACGTTACATAGAGTGGGAACTTTGAATAGACTGACAAACAGCAATCTTATCTGTATGCAGGCCGCACACAGTCTCATCATATTTGCTATTTTTCAAAGGATTTTCGACGTCGATTTCAAAGAAGTATGATTACTATTGATTTATCTTGGCTGGGGGGTATATTTGTACCTACAGGAATGATAGGATATGTATTGCTCACTCAAATGGCTATTCCCGGCATTTACACTTAATCCATCCATGGATGTACAATGAATTGCCCCGGTCCACGGGTGCCTCTATAGAGGCGGCTAAAATATACATTCACTGTTGCTAAGTTATAAATAGATGAAATTTACATTTTGAAGCACAATTAGTATTCAAGAAGTCCATTGACCATGGAAATTGGCCTATCTATAGCGCGGGGTCAGGTAATATAATTGGCAAGTGGGGTTGTCTTTGTATTCAAATGTTGCCCAGTTGCACTGCAAGTGAGCACAACATAAGAAAGAGTAAAACACGCCGCGGTGGGGCAGGAACTGGCCAATCATAGGACAGTACCCCACAGCGGGCAACATTTCCCATTCGAGATTCAATCGCAAGCTGTAGATCAGATCATCAGCTTGCAGTTTTCTTCAACCATAAATATCTTGAACCATTTCACTTCTTTTTTGACATTCTCTAAAGCTATTCTTTTTAAATCCGCCGATTGAATAAATCTGTCATAATGAGAATTGACCGTTTTCGCACTATGTGGGGCATTGAGCCCGGAACCAACTTGGATAACTGGGCTGAGTGGTTCAAAGAACTGAAAACGCTTGGCTACAGTAAGCAAACCACCCAACAGTCGAGCTCTTTCTTTGTTGTGTTCATGGAAACTTGCTGACCACTTCATGATTGGCAGACGGCGTCGAAGTCAACATTCACCAACTAGATCCCAAACACGAGATCCCGCGACTACGACAGATTTGCGATGACCTGGACTTTGATATTAGCGTCCTGTCAGTCAACCTCACAATCACATCTAGATACACCAAAACAACAGAACCGGGTTACTAACGCTGTCACAGAGGCCACTCCTCCTGGATCGATTACTTAGGACCTCGCCCGGTCGGCTTGAAAGCGAGAGACCACTTGCAAAACTATCGAGAGGCCATCCAGCTTGCTGAACCTCTCAGGCCAGTGTCTTTTAACTTTCAGTCCGGAGAGTCAGTAACACAGCTTCAAGCTTCTCTAGAAATGCTTTCATAGCTGACATTGAACTCAGAGATGCCTGGGATATCGAAGAGTCCATTTTATTCTACCGCGGGACACTTGAAGTGGATAAAGAACTCGGTCTTTCTGGTCGGGTCTACCACGAGACTCACCGCAACCGATCATTATTTACCCCATATGCAGCCCAACGTATATTACATGTCGTGCCTGAGTATGGACTCCTCCAGCTCCGTCAACTCAATAAAACATAAACCTGACTTACATCTTTCCGACAGGCTTCGCATCACAGCCGATTTCTCACACTGGATGGTTGGACTGGAGCGACTCTTGGATATCGGCGAAGGTGATCGAGCCATGATGGATGCTATCATTCCGCACGTGCGTATCTGAAACATTTGAATAAGAATCCCATCTATGGAACTAATTTGTGATTTAGGTATATCACATTCACACGCGAATCGGAACCACCCAAGCCTCCCAATGTCCCGAGCCCTTGAATCCCGTCTTTGAACAGGAAAAGCTCTGTTTTGAGAGACTCTGGATGAAGGTCCTTCAGTGCAGGTTTGAAGAGGATCCGGATTCAAAGATCATCTTTGTGCCGGAATATGGGTGGGTTGGAGAGCAGTTCACGACAGGAAAACTCAACTAACTTGTTTTAGACCTTTTCCATACCACCCCATCGGCAGCTTGAAGTCCCATGGCCAGGTTGCGGATGAAGAGGGTAAACGACTACACGTCGCCTTCACACAACTTGCGACAAGCTTCGCGACGGTGAAATAAGTGTAGGGTGAGGCATAGCTTGTAAATGACGCATTTACTGAAGGGCACTTGTTACAATACGTGCCAATGACTGGATGGAGGAAGTTTTACTTCAAGGACCTGACCCGGAGAGACGGTGCCTCCTGCGAATTGATCAAGCATGGCATGTAGGTACAGTCTACGAGTCTTCTGTTACGAAACAGAAAAGATCGAGAAACTCTAACGAACAACATTTGAAGAATATATATTCTTCTTTTATACAAGTATGTAGTAGTCTAGAGTTGCATAGTATACGACCACGATGCAGATAACAGCATCGCAATATAATACATCCAAAAGATCTCGCAGAGCCTAAACCAATAGCCAACATCCGAAAAGAAACGCAATCAAGCGCTCCATTCAGAACCCAGCCAGTCAAATTTAAACCCGGATGCCTCGCGCCTCATTGCGACGGGCATGCCCGGTGCTCCGCTTCCGAGAAGCAAGAGCAACAGTCAAAGTGTCCGAGATACCCGCGGTACAAACAGTACCATCAGCAACACTCTGCGAAGCATCCCACTCTCCATCAACACAGCGCTGGAAAGCCGAGCCTGCGTCGCAGTACCAGTAGCCTTCATCAGTGCAGGAGCCGCTAAGGACACCGGAGGTCGTGCTGGCCGAGCTGGAGGTGGTGGAGGACGCAGAAGCGACAGAGGTGGTAGTGGAAGCTTGGGCCTCCTCAGATGAGCTCTCGCCGGAGCGGCCGCCGCCAGATGAGCCATTGCCGGAGTGGCCGCCGCTGGAAGGGCTACCGCCCATAGTAGGGGCAGTGGTCACGGCAGTCTGCGAAGAAGAGGACGAGGAAGGAGCCTGAGTAGTCTCGGCCTGAGCAGCGACGCTGGTAGTAGCGGCCTCGGCAGCAACGCTAGTAGTAGCGGCTTCGGTAGTAGCTGCTTCCGCCGCGGCGGAAGAGGCGGATGCAGCGGTGGTCACAGCAGCGGTAGTAGCGGTGGTCGTGGCGGCGGCAGCGGCGGTAGCAGTGGCGGTACTACCAGCGGTGTACAGAGTAGGGCCGGGGATAACGTAAGTGCTGAGAACGTTCCAGATATCGACGTAGATACCGGGGTCGGTGTCCTTGTACAGATCCTCGCCCAAAGTGCCGCTAGGCGTGGCCGTGCCGCTACCAGTGACGTTCAGGTTGATGCATTGCGGGTAGTTCTGGGCGCCGTCCAGATCCTCGGCGCCGTGCAGGGCAATAATCTCGTGGCGCAGGACGTATTCGCCGGCAGCGATATCGGTGGGGATGGTAAGAGTGCGGCTGTAGCTATCGGCGATCAGCTCGTCAGAGGCCCAGGTACCAGGCGCGACGGTGTCGTTGATCAGACCGCCGGCGTCGATCTTGAAGAATTGCAGATCGACCTTTTCGACGTCGGTGCAGGAGCCGTTGCAGTTGGCTAGGTAGGTGATTACGGGACCGTGGTGGTCGTCGGGCCAGGTGCTCCAGGTTAAGGTGACGGAGCCACCTGGGGCGATGGGGGCGGAGAGTGCACCTGGTGCGGAACCCTTGTGGCAAACGATGTTTGAGGAGGCGTAGTCGGTGGGAGAGACGTAGCCGTCGTCGGTGGCGTTGGTGGACCAGGCGATCAGCTCTGGGGGGTCGGTCTCGTAGTAGTCGATGTCGACGAGGTAGCCGGCGTATGTGGTGCCGGCGACATCGATACTGCTAACGTAGCCGTGGCCGGCGACCAGCGCGGCGGAGGCTAGGAGGAGAGATGCGGTCTTTGAGAGAGACATCTTTGCCGGAAAGAACGGTGAAAAAGAATGGTAAAAGGTAATGCGAAAGAATGGAAGAGACTTCAATCAATGAAGCTCGATAGAAAAGAAGGAAAGATGAAGAAGCTCTGCTTTCTGCATTTCATCAAGTAGGGGAAGGACATGCTATTTAAGCCTCTGGTTCACCTTGTTGGTGATCGATCGGTTCTCTGTATTTAGCGTTGATATCGCGATCGTAGCTAGTAGTTTCAAGTAAGCGAAGGGGCAAAAGCTCGAATGTTTCAATTATGGAAGATTAAATTGTCAGGAAAGTGGAGGATTCTCCATAGCTCGTAGAATGTGTTGAGATGATGGGAACACTGTTCAATATTTGCAAACATTTCATAACCTCGCGAAAGTGGCTGCATAGCCTGTTTCATCTGAAAAATGACCCATCGTAATCCATTTACGATCGACATCATAAGTAAGGTCAACTCACACGTACCAGTATCAAACTCCGAACCGTAGTAGTAAAGTATGTTCTTGAGTATCAGAGGCAGTACACGCCGTTCAGTGAGATAATCTCTTCTGGACAGCCACAGCGGCTATCTTAAAGACAAGATATGAATACTTCGCAAAGGCCCGATACAAACCTCGCAAGCAAACATTTACATTTGCGGGATAGTTCTTCCACAATTGCCGATAGAATGAAACGCGCTAACGGTTAACCGAGCCCCATTCATCTGAACTATACGATCCACCAATGGCGGCATCCACCTTAGTCTTGGCGCCCGTCCTCGTCTCATTTAACTGAAGCACTTGAATCATGCTCATCCCCGCAGCCAAGCTGGGATCCAGCGCTAAAATCTCCGATGGATCTGGGACGTCAGAGTAACTGCCGTCACTCAGCCCTTTGATCTAAAATGCCAAGCATTCCACGGACCTTCCGCTGCCAAAGATTTTTTCCGGCCAGAATGACATGAAACAGATTCGGCATTCCTGGGTTCATGCCCCATATAGGCTGTTTGCTATTCCATGTGCCGCTGTGGTAGAAAGGGAGGGGGGAAGGAAAGAAAGAAGGTTCAAGACACCCCATGGTATCGAACGAGATTCATGAAAGATCTTTTGCATTGGTCAAACGCACAATTTTTCATGATTCTCGTGTCTTTGGACCGCAGTTTGTAGCACTACCAAAACAGCATTATGGATGGATGGTGTCAATCAGGTTCTTCCAGCAGGAATAAACTGAAACACGCCCGCATCAATTACCCACAAATTTCACCCCGTAGACCTGCTGAGAATACTCCACAGCATCATCCACCTCACGGGAATTCTACCAGCCACATGGCGGTGCGCCAAATGTAGTCAGGATGTTCAATGGGTTGCGATCGTGTTTTTCTTTTTTTTTTCTTCCCAACTGCGATCCGTATCCCCCGGGGAGCTCTGCACAAGTGCCGACTATGATTCGTGAGAGGGATATCTATTGATGATAATCAAGGAATCTATTGTTTCGTCTATCAAAGTTTGTGGGAAGATCTCGTGTAAAACCCTTGGATGTTTTCCCAGGCATACCAGATCAGACTCCACGGATGGCATATTGACCTGTCATGCTCAACGTGTCACGCTCTAGTGGCAGAGCTTTGACATTAACAACATCCACTCTGTATCACGGCTGACTGTCAAACCCTTTTCCTGGCCCTCTGGACTCGCGTGGCAAATCATTGTGGTGCCAAGAGGTACATTCAATACCTGGTTGATGTTGTGTTGGACGGCAGACCTGGAGGAAGTCGCATAGGAAGTAATGAGGGTGACTTCGTGGAATGAGAACATGATTTTTAGCAGTGGGTTACATGCACGCTAGACAGCTCTGGAGCTTTCAGATTTGGGTTACTCGAACTCGCTTTGAGATCTCACAGGCGCGAGGGAACGAAAGCAGGAAAATGTTTGTGAAGTGCGGGTAGAGGGCAATCAAGTCTGGACTTCGGGAACATGTCCTGCCAAGTGGTACTTGACTCTGGAAACACAAGTGGAACATGTACATTTGGGATATGATCTTTTTTCGAGGATTCGATATAAATAGCCCGAGTGACGTTACACGCCAACGTGTTTACTGTCCTGACGTATCGCTGATAATCAATCTTCATGGCTCTCGTGGCTAGATTGTGGCAGGATAAACTTTCCTGTCTTTCGCTCTTCGATAAGTATACCTATCATATCCCAAGGAAAGATCAAAATCCAAACATGTTGAAGTGCACATCTGGTGGGACAGTAAAGGCAGCAAAAGGAAGATACCTGTAAACAGTTTTCACATTGGAAGACATTCTTCTTTTTAAACACGAGGGTCTAGTGGACATCTGGAGATTCTTTGTTTTGTTCCCAACATTTGAACATTTGAAGCGAAATATATATAAACTGCCTTTGAATATTTGAATACCTGTCTCTTTCTTTCCAATGTTACGTTTGTTTGTTTACTTCTGGCTGCTAAATGATCCACATCAGGTGCAAATTTCATCTCGTTCCGGGGTACCCGGTGTTCGATTCACGCACGGTTTCAGAACCTTTACCTTACACTGGGGAAGCGATTCGCCAGTTTCTTCGTCCTACATGGAAGGATAAGACCATCACTCAACAAGCAATCAATCATCCCCCGCTTCCGTTGTCCCCGATTGACAATGATGCAAAGCAAAACGGAACCCTTGCAACAAAGTTGCATGGATCAAGGATCGCTGATTGAGATAGTGTGATGGTCAGTGCGAAGCTACAGCATAAAAAGGCGTCAGTTCAACTCGGTCCACATTCAGAACTTGCAACTCAAACTTTCAAAAGTCAACTATACTCCACTCGCAATTGAGCAAATCGTCAACATTAGGTAAAGCGCCCTTTCATGTGCACATTTGAATTCGAAAGAATCATCTAAGCCCCGACTAGGCATCATGAAGAACTATTATCTAGCCACCTTGTTCCTCGCTTTGATGGGCACCATATCAGCCGACGAGAGCAACGCCTGCCCCGACACCAGCGACTGTGAAATGCTTCACCATGGCCTGCGACTTCTAGACCGGGCTTCTGATTTCGGTCAGTGCTTCGATGGTTGCTTGGATGATGAGAGATCGTGTTGCAACCAGACCTGTGCCCATCCACTAACCTGCCGCACCAACTTTGCCAATTGTCACATCAAGTGTCGGGACTATGGTGTTCCTGAACACTTCCAGTGTCTGGACACTTGCATCATTGCTTGGAACAACTGCAAAGTGGAGCCGGTTACCGATGATCAACTTTTGGATCATAACGAACATTGCAATAGGGATTTCCTTAGTTGCAGACGCCGTTGTCGGGAATAGTAGGCCCTTGGAAGGAGCCTGGGGCTGGGACTGGCCACTGGGATTATCGGGACTGCAAGTGGTGTCGGATTAACTGGATGATTGAAGTGATTTTATTAGTTACGTACAAGGACTACCAGAATCTCGAGTCCTCTATCATGTTTGTGTGACTAGTTATAGCAGACATCCAATGAGATGACTTTTTATTCAGAGAATCGATCTCACAGATCTTGTACGACCTTCCTCAGCGCATAGATGCGGAGCCCGCGGGTCTACATTCTGGCTTTATTTTTGATGAGTTCAAAACTTAAGAACAAAGATAGGTACAAGCTCAAGATAGATATCAATTAAAGTCGCCGTGCACCTCCTCCGCCTTCACACATGTGCAAAAACTTTCTACCCTTGCTTGTCAAACACTGGGCATAAGCCAGCACTGAGACATCCCGATTAGTCTCGTGGCCTCGCAAGAGGACTGAATGGATGATGATTTCTTACCCCACCTCATCCCCCAGATGTTTTTAAAGGTGGAAAACAACCCCCGAATTCTACTATGTATCTTAGTCAATTAAAACACTCATTGACAAAACTACTACACCATCTAAAAGTCTAAACACCAACCCTGCACGCTTCTGCCAATATGAAGTTCCTTCTCGCACTCAGCTCTCTCGTGGCCTTCACACTAGCGTCCCCACTCGATCCCAATTATGTTTACCCACTTCCCCATGAAGGAAATGAAGAAAATGTCACTTTCCTATTTTCCAACGATTTCTCTTCCCATCCGGACCCAGTTCACGTCACCGTTCCGCTTGACGGGTTTTACCGCAATGTTGGAGACGCTGGATCAGACAGATACGTGTCTTCAATCCTCCTGACCGACCAGTCCTCTGCACCGAATTCTTTCAGCTGTGATGTCTACGTGGTGGGAAGACTTTTTGACACCCTCACGACTGATCACTCGAGTACTTCTCTCGGTAGGGATGTTTTGTTCAATGGCGTTTCGTTGCAATGTAGGACCCAGCCTACGTGATCGGCAGATGTAAAAATTTGAAAGTGGATGAGGCTGAAGTCGATGGGGAGCCCGTGGCTTACTCTTGACTGCTACGCCTCAAATTTTCAGTGGAGGTGTTTCTATATCATCAGTTCATGTGTCAGGTCTCGATATTTTTCTAATCAAAAACATTTGAATATTTCTGGTCTCCAGCATGAGGGCTGCCGCGATATAGGTTTTTGGCCGTTCAAGTCGGATTTTCCCTATATCATATTGCGAATGCAGTGGCATTTGAAAGCTTTTCAACCTTCAAAGTCCAGATGCCCATTGAAAGACCACAAAGCAACTGAGCCCAAGTATATTATGATGAAAATCATCCATGGATGTTTCAAATGTTTCGCAATTTGTAGGTGGCCAAAACTTAATAAAGATCCCCACTGGGCAACTATAACACGCACGGGGTTAGGGTGATACATTTACATACATGTATATTTGGGGCTTTAATGTTAACACAGCTTACTCTCATACTAACACCAGTCGGGTTATATGACGCGCTAAGCAGGACGCATTGATGTTTTATTATGCCTGAATCTGGCTCAAATCCCTTCTTAAGTCTATTCTCAAGAAGGGAAAAGAAAACGATGTGGGAAACCAGGGAGAAAAAAAAAATTTAACAGAAATATTTAATACTATTGTTGCATATATCACTAGAATATTTTCTCCGTGAACGTGGTGGTCAAGTGGGTGAATTATTGAGATGTTGCCCACAAATGGCAGAGATGTTGAGATTAGTTGCACGCAACTTTCTTTGGGGGGAGGGCAAATAGGCGAATCACGATTGATCTTGGCGTTTGAGACCGCGCGTAGCATCATTAATTTTCGAAAAGGGATGTGGAATTATTGATACGTGGTGTGGCAAAAGCCAAGTTCAAATTTCTGATAATAGAACCATCCTAAATCATGTGGCCTATTATACTTAGTGATCCCCCGTACCATATTCTGAGTAATCCGACCTCAATCACCAGGTATTATTTATTACTTCGTTTACCAGGTTGTCCACGCTGATCCCGCACAACTCGAAACCCGGAGACACCATCATTCGCCAGTTGCGCCACAAGCCCATACTCCCAGTCCAGATACCCCTGCATATCCTTGCGTGCGTTGCTTGTCCCCTCATATGGCCGTTTATACACGTCGATGGGCTCACTTAGCCACCGCGACTCAATTTCAAGGGCATGACCGGCTTCCACCCAAGCCTTTGTACCTCCTTCCAGATATAGAATTTCCCGTGAGACTGAATTCCGCGCATCCTCAACATTCGCTGCAGCGACAATACCATCAGGTGAGGTGAGAACAATAGGCCCATCGCCGGCGATCTCTCCAAGATCTCGAACAAGTTCAGGCCCAGAAGAAAACCATGCTCCGGGAATATGGCCCTTCCTATACGCCGGACTGCGAGCAAGATCAACCACAGTTGCTGTCGCGAGACTCTTAAGGGCACCGATTGAGATGGATGACGACTGCGGGGGCTTCCAGGATGTGACCTTCCCGAGTGGTAGATCACCAGGCACCGGGGTCTCCTCGTCCAGGACATACACCTCCCATCCCAATTGCTGCAACCAGCTGGCTGTCATACGCGCTCGCACGCCGTCGCTATCGTACAGTACGAGACGGCCACCTCGCACGCCAACCCATTCCTCAGTTGCTTGAACCAATTGGCCACCAGGGGCATTTGAGAATCCCACAGGATGGCCGAGTGCAAATTCCTCCGGATCTCTCACGTCCAGTAGGTACAAGGTGCGTTCTTCCGACTCCCCAGCAAAGCGCCGAAGCTCATTCTCCCCGATCACAGAGACACCAACATACTCTGCCCAAGCAACAGCATGTTGCCGTGCTATTTTCACCGCATCGCCCGAAGGCTGCGAAACCCGGCCCGTTTCACCCGTCTTCAATTTCAGCTCCTCCAAAGTCCATCCAATCGTTCCATTCCGGAGCGCAACCACCCGATTGGGAATCCCAGCATTGATCAAGGACTGTGTCCCCACAATACTCCGCGTCCGGCCCGCACAATTTACGATAACAGTAGTCGTCGGGGAAGGCACGGCTTCAAAGATGCGATAAACAAGTTCTCCTCCAGGACAGCTGCGCCCATGCGGAATACTCATGGTATTATACTCCTCGAAACGCCGCGCGTCCAGGACAGCAACATCGCTCTCTCTTTCCAACAGGTCCTTGACCTCGCGCGCAGATAAAGATGGGGTGTGATTGATGGACTCGACCAGTTCTCCGAATGCTTTGGATGGTACGCCGACATCGCGATATACTTCGCCGACACGCGCGTATCCAGCAAGTCCGCCCTCCAGGATGGAGACGTCGCGGTATCCAAGCGCTAAGATGCGGGCTGCCGCCCGGTCGGCATACTGCTCCCCGTTATCGTACACAACGATCGGGGCGGATAGTCGGGGAACGAGGGGCGGTAGTTTCTGTTCAATCTCTGATACTGGCACGCTTATAGCGAAGAGAGGATGAGACTCGGCATACGGTCCTTCTTCGCGGACGTCGAGGAGGGCAATTTCTTTGCCATTTCTCCAATGCTCGCGTACTTGTGATGGGGTGATTGATTTAGCCATTTCTGACTAGATTTCAGAATGAGACTTCTCCGGATGTTTGCAACTGCATGACCTTATTTTCAATCCAGACTTAACCTAAGCAGGGTCAACTCGGGTGTTTTTCGCGGCTCGGATGTTTTTCGTTTTGGCGGGGAAATTGACCCGCAAACAAGAAACCGAAAAACACTGTGGCCCGTCGGTGTCGATTCACATTGCCAATCTAGAGGTGTTTATAGTAGCGTCTAGGTGTTTTTTGCTGCTGGTGGAACTCTCTGAGATATTTCTATCAAGGAAGTCGGTTTATACGCAAAATACTCGAAATTCTGTGATGTCTGAGGGAGATTAGCCCCTTTCATGGATGATGACAGACGTGTCCACGATTCTGACGGACTGTCCAGTAACGGAACCTCCCTTGAAGTCATTGTGATTTGGCTGTCAGCTTAAATTTCTCACTCTTAATAGCAGAGCAATATCTCTATACCTTCATATCCGAATCCCAACACAATGCCTGGCAGTACATCTGCTCAACAGGCTTCTCTCGCCCGCTGTAACTTGACCCCGCTCAATTGACGCCATGTCAGCGCAGGATGACCAATATCGAAATCCGCAATTACACATCACTTGCTCTCTAGCCTGTTGAAAGATACAAATGGCACTGTCGCTAACATGAATACCATTCGACAGGAACGAAAATCGTGCGAAGCATGTCGTTAGTGAGCCACGGGCCACAGGCCATACTATTTGAGCCTACGCAAATCAAGAAGCTAACAATAGGCAGGCTCACGGAAGCTAAGATGCTCCGGCGAGAAAAACGGATGCTCCCGTTGTCGCGGCTTTTCATTGCCCTGTGAATTCAAAGACAAGGGTCTTCCTGGGAGGCCGAGAAAGCGCGTACGACAGGAAGAACAAGACGCGTTACGGAGCAGAGAGGAGAGAACAGGGTCCTCCAGTTCATCACATTTCTCATCGATTTTGTCCAACTCCCCTCTAGCCACCCAAGGGGCATTTAACATGGTAATGGGATCCTACGACATAGACTCATTACCGCGGGAGCTGGCCGGGGGCTGTGGCCTTGATTCCTTCCATTGGGATATGCTCGGCAACACGGATATATGTTCCTCGCCCTCGGCCCCGTGGCAAATATCGCGTCCAAATGAGTTCCATGATCCCGACGTACCTCAAATTACTATGGATCCATACATATCACCGATTTCATTTTCACAGTCCTGCCAATGCGATGAAGAGGTCTCCGATCTAGTGCGGAACCTAAGCCGTGCAAACATGTCTCACAATACCATCCAAACACTTCGCACAGGGATATCTTTGACAGATAGACTTCTTGTCTGTCCAATCTGCTACGATATCTCCAAACCGCCCCGAGTAACGGTTCAAAACGTGCTACTTATTGGCAAGCTCATGATGGAAATAACCGCTAGTTACCAAAAGTATTTACGTTGGCTGAATCAACACTGCTCAGAACTGGATGATCGCAATGACACCGAAGTCGTGTATCTAGACTCTGGTCTAGGAGGTCCTTCAGACCTATCTTTACAGCTTAGCGGAGAGAAGTTTCGCAATCTTGTTATGCATGGGCTTCGAAAGGACGCGGAACGGCTTACGGCGCTGGGGAAAACATTTGCGCAGCGCCAGCGCAATCGACATATGGTTGGCCATGAAGCTTGTCCTAATTTAGACGGTCGATGTCGGAAAAATGATGAATACGGAATTGATCATGACCCACTAGATCTCTGTCCACAGGATCCAGTGGCTCGGAAGTTGGTGCCTTGTTTTCGGATCGTGGATGAGGTTCGGGGGATGATCAAGCAAGTCGAGGATGCAGTTGCGTGATACCAGAAATACCGCCGAAATTTAGCAGATGCACTTTTAATAATATAGCGAGTTTTCAAATTGCTCAATTTGAAGAATCTGCCTGAAATTTTGGCTACAAGCCACCTAATGACAACCGTTTGTCTTCGTCTTTCCACAAGAAGAAACATTCCCAAGCCTACAAAAGCAAGACGATGTAATCTCCACATCAGCCTCCACCAAAGCAAGCGAAAGCTGCTTCTTAATAATATTTGCCTCGGCATGACGACCCAAAAGCATCAAACATTCATTATACCCATGAAGCGCCCAAACATTATTCGGATGTTGATGCGCCCGCTTCGGCGTCGGAATGAGTCCCAAATCCTCCGCATAAGCCCGCGCAGCCTGTTCAACCATCCCCTGTTCCAAAGAAAGGGCAGCATAAGCATGCCGAGCCGGAAGCATCCATCCCCACGGCTCCGCAAAAGGCAGCTCATCTTCCAAACGAACAGCCTCCCATAGTCTATCAAATGCAACCTCATACCCGCCGCGCCTATATTCGATTTCGCCATCCAGCATCGCAGACGCGACCTTGAGGATATCGGTTATTTTATTAGGGAAGTCGAGGCGCGTAGGCGGGACAAGCGTAGAGGCGGCTTTGAACAACTCGCGCTCTTTATCAGCTTCTTCAAGCTGCGCCGTAGCTGCATACGCGATCGCCTTGCCGTAATGCCTCATCACATTCGTAACGCAATACAGCTCCTTATCTTCAAGCGGGCCGAGCTTCTTCAGCTCGTCCCACATCCCGAACCGAATAAGCACATGGACCCGGACAGCCTTGAAGAATTCCATCCAGTTCGCGAGGGCGGGCGTTTCGACCCGCAAAATGTCCTCCGTGATAGTCGCTTCCATGCGCTCGGTCGCCGAGAGCGCGGCCTTGGATTTCCCGCCCAGCATCGCGGCATAGATGAGAGAGTGGTAGTCGTGTAGTCGGTAATAGCTGTAGAACGTCAAGCCACCATTCTGCTGGAAGAATCTATCATCTGCGATCGTCGCTTTTAAATTATATTCCACCGCGCGCCGATAATCGCCAACCAGAACATCAATATGCGCGGGCATGTGAAATGTGTGTCCAGTATCGGGAAACATTTCCCGAATCATTTCCGCGGCAGGGAGGGCCGCTTCGGGGGTGGCCGACATCTCCATAAGATGGATATACATATGTGCAGGACCAGGGTGTAGCTCCACATTCTTCATCTTCAGCGCGCGATCAAGTAGATCCTTAACCTCGAACACCGGGGACGAATGAATCGGCAGTCCAGTAGACGCGTCGTATAATTTTCTCGGGGCGCAATTCATCAATGCGTCCGCAAAAAGCGTGATGAGATCGAAATCCTCGCGACCAAAGCTCGTATACACCTCTCGCATCTCGTGCGCATATGCGATGTTACACGCGAGAAGGTCTCTACCCGGATCATCGTTAGGGAATCTTTTCGCAAGCGCGTTAATGAGCGCCTGTTCCCACGGCGATGCGGATCCAGCACGCTTCAATGCTTCTTGCGAGAAAATGAAGCATTGCTTGATTGCATTGACGCGGTCGCGTTCGTCGAATAGGGCCCAGGTCTTGTTGTAATTTGAGCCTGAGCAGAAAGATACGCCCCAATACGCCATGGCGCAGTTTGCGTCATGCGCGATGGCTTGTTTGTAACATGTGATTGCCTCGTCGTGGTTGAAGCAATATGTCCATACGAGCGCTCTGTTGAACCATGTTTGCGCTTCGTGGGAATTGGTGCTGACTTTGCGACCGAATGTGCCCAAATCGAAGTAGGGGTCGCTGGAAGCTCTGGCTGCGACGCTCATAGTTGAGCTTTATGAGGCGTATACTGAGTTTAATGTGTCTGCGTCCTTGATTGTTAATATGGAAGAGTTGTTTCGATATAAAGTCACATGGAATGGGCCCCGCTTGTCATTCAGGGGAATTGATGTATGGAGTCGGAGGGTTTTGTTAATGTGGGGAAATCGCGCCATTTTGATTCGACTCTCGGACCTTTTTGTCGGAATCGACCGAGCAAGTTGGAGATCGGAGTAAATGTTCAAATAGAATAAGGAGGTCCAGAACTCGGCAATGAATTTTCAATCTCGATCTGACACGATTGCCCTCGGGAACCCCCAGCCCGCGATACACACGACGTCTGCGAGTCGCTGTCCCCATCGAGCCGCGTCGTTAATGACTCTCGATGGGCTGTCGAGCTAATCAGGTGACCTAGCTGGGGTCATGTGACAATAAGTGCAGGCTGGCGGCCGATACCCGCCACCCTATAACCCAAATTCAACTTTCCGACCGGCAGAAAGTAAATTACAAGTAATTCCAAATTCATTTTTGTTTTTGAACTCCATTATATACAGCGCTGCATTGTATACGGAATCCTTAAACTCCATTATAGGTTGAATCCCTGCACTTCCTTCTATTTTGAGTCCTTGAACTCTGTAATCAATTCATTCTCAAGTCCCTTCTCAAGTCCCTTCTCAAGTCTATTCTCAAGTCTATTCTCAAGTCTATTCTCAAGTCTATTCTAAACGTGACCCGTGTTTAGATCAAATCCCTTAGGATGTTCCTGCATGTGAAAAATACAATACAGGCGGGAAACAGGGCGGTGAAAATGTCAATTGAAATTGGCTTATAGTAGTAGGGTGGCGGTTATCGGCCCCGTAGGCCTGTCGCGCCCACTCAACCCCAATCTTTCCCCTAACTTCAGCCCAGAATCTTCTCCAATAATTATTACGACTTATGTGAACATATCTGTTGATCAATTGGAATTTGAGTCTCACTTCCGCAACACAATCCAACGCGCAGCAAATCCTCAAGTGTTGGTTTTCACAAAAGTGAGCTCATCGTTGGGGGAACAAACAGTGGACTCGATCAACGAAACAAGGGATACTCAACGCGGTAAGTTAATGAATGTAAGCTTTTTGGTCGACACTGTTTAATACTGATTCTCTTAGGAAAAATTACAATTCTTAGACTAAAGTTTTACAGATCACAATTATGCCGACGGTTATAACTTATACATGATTGTGCTCAATCTTGGTGGCGTGTTTCCGAGATTGCCTTACTAGAAGCTAGGGATCTTAACTCAAGTGCTGCGTATGAACAAATGCAAATTCAAACTTTAGTGGGCACAAGTAAGTTATAACTCAGGATTCATTTGTTAATCTGTAATTAACTGTCGGCCTTGTATGTTCACAATTTCTGCTATGTTCTCCCCTGGCTCAGCGATTCTTCAAATCGCGATCCACAAGATCCTCCAAGAGCGTCTCACCCCTTCGTTCCGCCGCGATTTTGGCCAATTTCAGTCTCCTTGTATCCCGCTCCGTATCCCAAGTCACCCACCACGTCACCAACGTCAAAATTGCACAAAGACCCACAAGTCCCATAGCCACCGAAAAGGGCACAGTATAGTGTGGGGCGTACTTGCTATTAAACAGTTGCGGGCCGATCGCACCGCCGATTTGACCGTAGCTGTTCACAAAGCCGATTGAGAAGGCTGATCCGGTGGATCGAGAAGTGGTTTGGACTCGCCATGGCCTATTATCACGTCCACCACTGTTAGCATCTCAAGAAAGAAGGTGAGGACTGGGAAGCATGGGCAACGTACCACATTACTGGATACCAACCCGCAGTCAAGGCGTTCCCGATAAGAATCACTGCGTACACTGCGCCTGTGCTTGGGTATGCGACAAAGACACCGTAGCAGATTATGATGATGAAAAGGAATGTAAGAGGGTATAGAGGGCGGGGTATACGACTGCGATCTGCCATGATTCCTGTCACGGCGATGAATAGGAGACCGCAGACTGTGATTGGGATGTTGAGTAGTTGGGCTGCAGCAATGCTCCTACACTTAGTGTCAGCATGCTTGTTGACGTCGCGCTATTCCACCGTATGAAGAGAGAGAAAATGGCAACTTACGTGAAACCGAGGTCGGCAATGACTGTCGACTGGTAAAAAGTAACGCCGTTCGTTCCGACAGTAAAGGTTGCCCAGATCAATGTAAAAAGCCACAGTCGGATATCCTTGAGCGAGTCGATTACTTCTCGGAATTTGAAGTTTTTCTCGCTAGCACGAGGTGAGTTGGAAGGGAGTCGCGCTTGGATGAACTTTTTCTCTTTGTCGGTCAACCATTTTGCTGTTTCAGGAACTGTTGCCAAAATTTCAAGTCAGTTTGGTGCATCTTGTGAGGATTGGAGGGTATGGCAGCGACACGTACAGTCTGGAAGCAAAAACCAGATCGCAACACCAAAAATTACGGTCGCGATTCCTTCTGTGAGGAACAGCCTGAGGAAAAGTTTCAGTTAGCGTGAGTCTGCGAATATGGGATTGCATGTGGTACCATTGCCAACCTGAAAGCCCTCCTGCGCCAGATACAGTGTCGAATCCGTAGGCAAGAAGACCACCGAAAATGCTCGAGACGTTTCCGCAAATATCTGTGTCAAGTCAGTTGAAGAAACCTTACAGTATATCCAGTTATTTTAGACTTACAAAAGTAGAGCAAGCGCAAGGACATCTCATCAGGACGATACCAGTATGTCATTTGAAGAATCACACCCGGGAATTGTCCAGCTTCTGCCTATCTCTAGGTCAGTCCATGTCTTTTCCCCATGCTGAGACCACACTAATCTCTGCACATAAGAAATCTTGAAATGAGATACATACCAACCCCAGCAAAAAGCGGGCTGTAAACAAACCACCCCTGTTTTTCACAGCGGCGTTGCACATTAGAACAATCCCCCAGCTCACCATGATCCTTGACTGCCATTTTGAAGGCGAGAATCTTTTCAGCAGCAAGTTCGACGGCGCTTCCAACACAATATATGGGATCTGAGCCATTCTAATCAGTAACATAAAGCATAACGCAACCTTGACAGTTGATACTATCTTACATAGTAAAGTACAGTCACCAGATTATACTCATTGGACGTGATTCCCAGCTGTGTCATGATATTTTGATCCGTTCCCTTGTTCATGATTCGAGCATTCGACACATTACTACTGTCCAAGTTCTTGAACATGAAAATAAGAGAACAAAGCGTCATCAACCGCCAGTCAATTTTTCGTAGTAGTTTCTTTTCCTCTTCCGCCGTGAGCAGCGTCCTACCACTCATGAGCTCCGCATCGTAGCCCTCAATACTTTCCTGACTCGACGAGGCTTCGACAGCCTCCTCACCTCGCCGGGCAAAATGAAGTTGGTGGTTGACATCGCTATCACTAGTGGATACCGTATCCGTGGCCGTGGTCCGAGCGAAGTCTTTGTTTGCAACCTGCTCCATTGCCTTTTCTGTCATAATTGTGACAGTGCGATATGGGAAACGAATTGTCTTCGGATGGAACGCAAGTGGCCATTGCTACATAATATGCAGATCTAAAACACAACTGACCTGCTCCAGAAACCCTCCGAGCTTCGCTCTCCGATCGAACAAGTTATAATTGTATCATGAGCCACAATTATTGCAAATGCCATGGCCTGGGCCGTATCATTTTGTCCATTTTATGCGATGTTAATCAGTACTAGTCTCAGGGACATTTTTGGCATAAAGGGGCGAGTATGCGGAGGTTCCCCGAGCGGAGATCTTAGGTTGATTTACAAAAGTCCTGATCACGCAAACGGAGGATATCATGATGAGATCTAGACGAAAAGTGGAGATCCACGTGGAATCGCGCCAACATCTGACCCGCATTCAACATCGACATGGCGGGTGGCTTGTGGCTTACATTGAAAACTGCCGATTGGAATGAAGTAGGAAGTACTGGGTTTGTCAATTGTGACACCAAGTTGAAGCCAACAGCGTTGAGACTAGGATAGTTGATAAACCCCTTCCCCTCTCTCAGATCCACTGCATTTGACGCGCTCCATTGTCTCCACAGCAGACAATATCGTTTAACCCCTTCTCCATTTTCTTCTTCTGTGCTACATTAATCTCCATATCTCGCCATGGCAACTTTAACTCAACCACCAGCGTCAGTTCTGCAAGGTTCTGATATCCCCACCTATCACCAGGTCCCGGAGACCTCTTATGATTGTAAGTTTATCTCCTTCTGCCGATGAACCACTAAATGAATGTATACTTTCATAAGCAGATAGAATAAGTGAGGCTTCATTACTAACTGGGCACATATTCAAGTGGACTGGGCAGACCTCGCTACCTTGGATTTGTCTCAATTCGATCAACCGGGCGGCAAGCAGCAGTTGGCAAAACAGCTTTTCGATGCGATTCAAAATATAGGTGATTAAATTCTTCAAATCCTTTCATCACTCTTTTTCCATCCTGACTCATTTTATCTTCAGGCTTCTTCTATATCGTCAACTTTGGCCTCTCCCAGGAAGATGTTGACCGCCAATTCTCAATTGGCAAAGAATTTTTCAATCTTCCGATAGAGGAGAAGCTCAAGTATCGCGCCGAGCTTGAGAAGGGTGGTTATAATGGCTACAAGCCAGCGGGTCTCCGGGTAAAGCTCAAAAAGTCCACCTAAGCTCATTAGCCCAGCGTCACTAACCCCAGCACAGGAGATCAGCCCCGGCGTATTTGACAAGACCGAAATCTTCAACATCCCAAAGTTCATCCCCGAACTCGAACGTCCACAACCAGAAATTGTGAACAATAATCGCCCCATAATCGAGAGCTTCGCACGCCAGATTCACGACGAGATCGTGCGCAAACTCCTCACGCTCTTCGCCATCATCCTCGAGCTACCCGAGGACCACTTCCTCAAGGTACATCGGTACGACGAGCTAAGCGACTGCCACCTGCGGTATATGAAGTACGGCCGTCGCTCCGAAGAAGAAAATGAGAAAGCAGCGGGCATCTGGTCGAAAGGCCATACCGACTTTGGTAGCTTGACTCTCCTGTTCCGCCAACCGGTTGCTGCGCTGCAGGTTCGCACTCCGGAGGGGGAGTGGAAGTGGGTCAAGCCTCATCCGGGAAGCATTACGGTCAATCTTGCCGATTCGCTTCACTTCCTCACCAATGGTTTTCTCAAGAGTAGTATACACCGCGTTGTTGCACCGCCGCCAGATCAGAGGGATGTGGATCGGTTGGGGGTCTTGTATTTTGTTCGGCCTGAGGATAGTCTTGAGCTGCGGCCTGTTGTGAGCGAAGTGTTGCACCGGTTGGGGTATGATCAGACGACTGATAATAGTGCTATTGGAATTACTGCTGGGGAGTGGGTGAAGGCTAGAGTGGCGAAGGGGGTTGATAAAGGATTGGCACGGAGTGAGATTGGGGATCAGCCAATTATTGGTGGTGTTGTAGCTAAATACTATGATTGAGAATATGGGATGTCGGTATTATCTATCTGATGACATGACTGCCCGGTTGTTTTCCCGGTCCTTGGACCCAAATTGAATATGTTTACCAAAGAGAAGAGGAAGAAATATCAGGCAATTATCTTGGTCACAATCAATTACTAACTAAACAACTCTGCTACATGTATCATCCCCTTCCGGTTCCTTTCACAGGTCCCAGCCTGAGTGATCAGCTGCCTGTCGCAAACGGGCTTCCTCCTCATCTTCCTCATCCTTCACGTCCTCATAATCCTCATAATCCCCTGTGTAGTCTGGCTTGGACTCATGATCTTCTGGCTTATGCTCACCCACTGTCGGCTCCGAAGCCTCTGTCTCATGGGATGTTGGCTCCTCGGAAGTTGGCTCTTGAGAAGCTGGCTCTTTGGGCGCGGGATCTTGAGGAGTAGGGTCTTGAGGCTTAGAGTCTTGAGAGATCGGCACTTGAGGGGCTTCCTCCTGAGGCTCGGTTTCTCCCGACCCAAGTTCCCTGGTAGGTGCTTTGTCAAGGTGTCCAGATCCGGGGTAGGCGATGGAACCGAAATCCTTCGGGTCGGTTCCATTGGCAACGCGAACCACATAAGGTGGGGAGATCGCGTAGTGGGTCTTGTCGACGCCTTCCCGACCAAGTACAGCTTCAATGAGCCGCCTGCGAGTTTTGTAAGTACCTGGCGCATCGCAGTCCCTGAGATTGACGTCGAGGCATTCAATCTCCTTGTCTTCGGGCAAGCAGCAGCCGTCGACAGGTTGATAATCTTTTGGACAGGTGTTGCGGCCTTCGCATGTCTCGGTAACGGGGTCGAAATCTCCATTTTTGCATTCGACTGGCTTTGTCCATCTGCACTCGCGGGAGTCATCATCCCATTCGAAGTTCTCGCCTGGGCAGTGCGGTGTCTCGAGTCTGACGCATTTACCACCGGGATAAAGAAGGAATCCATCAGGACATGGCTGCTCTGATAGATAACATTTCTGCTCTTCGAAGTTCCATACACCTCCATCCTCGCACAAGGGTCTCATACAGCACTTTCCGCCTTTTGGATAAGTGTTACCTGTGCAGATTTCGGCTGGGACGATGCTTTCGCACTTTCCGTTGTTCAACTTGAAACCCTCTTCACATTTGAGGATCTGTGCACAAGTGCAGGATTTTGATTGGGGGTCGTAGAAACTGTCGTGGTCGCATCCTGGGATCTGGACGAAGCATTTATCTCCTCTGCGTACCTCCTTTGAACCACTTTTATTGCCGCATGTAGGGAGAACCACGCATCGACCGCGCTTGTCAATTGTCGCACCCCTAGCACATGTGGGTGTGCGGTCTGTTAAAACGCATTTTCCATTGACAAAGCTGCCATCACGGCACCATGGTTTCTTATCTACTGCAGTCACCACACAATTGTGACCATCGAAGGTGCTCCCTGATAGACAGGAAGGCTTTTCAGTAGAAAGACAGCCCTTGGAGTCGAGAATGTGATTGTGTGGACAGCGCGGGACTTCATTCAGTAAAGCACAGTAGCCGTCTCGCAGTGCGGATCCATCTTTGCATTCCACGGCTTTCTTGTGGTAACACTTCCCATCGGAAGCATCGAACTCAAAATCTTTCGCGCAGATGGGGTTCTTTCGCTCGACGCAATCACCATTTAGAGAATCATATTCATGCTCGCAAGTAGGTCCAGCAATGTTAACACAAGCATCCCCAACAAGCTTGGCACCGTGGGGGCAAGAGGGCTGTGTATTGGCCAGAGTCACGCATTTGCCGTTGGATTTGATGAAACCGACATCGCACTTGCTCTGGGCATGCTGGCCATTCTTGACGCACCGATTAAGACTGCCGTCCCAGTAGGTATCAATAGGGCAGCAGCGGGAAGTCTTGTGCTTCTGATCATATGAAGCAAAAACTCCCTGGTCTTTGCAGTGAGGCTTTTCTTGGTGGTGACATTGGTTGGTGTATATGTCCAGTGTATAACCCTCGTCGTGACAGAAATGCTTGGTTGACACACATTTCTTCAAGTCAGGTTTGTATTCATCTTCTGAAAAAGAGCAGGTGGGTGGGCTATCCGATTTGCAATTGTCGCCTTCAAGCGTGCTGTTGTCCTCGCACTTAGCCTCACCCCAGACACAAAGACCCAATTTGTCGTTATATTCTCCATTTGTACAAAATGGTGTGCTAACACAATCCGATCCATCCCACGTCAGGTCCGGTACTGCCTGCGTGGTACAATTTGGTTCGATGTGAGTGATGCACTTGCCATCAAGGAATAAATAGCCCGGTTGGCACTCTGGGCCTTTGTTGTAGACACACTTTCCGATTTCAAAGTCATAGTAGGATTTTCTACCACAAACTTTGTTCATGACACAGATACCGTCCTCCAATATCGCATCTTTGTCGCAGTCGGGAGGATAGATAGAAAAGCACTTGTCGTTTTGTAGAACGGTGTTGGGGGGGCATGACGGCTTCCCTTGAGCAACACATTTGCCGTGCTTGTACTGGCAACCAGCACCACAGACCGGTGTCACAGCACATCGCGCGCCGTCGAAATGATAGCCGTCTGGGCAACACTTGAGTTCGCCTGAAGCAGGGTCGAGAGAAGGAAGAACATGGTCCAAGGCGGTTTCAAATTGATTCTTGTGATAAGTAGTAAGCGATAAGCTACCTCCATCGGCTTGAACCAGTGTTGGTATAAGAGGTAAAACAGAAAGAAAATTGAAAAGTATGAGTGGCCGCATAGTGATGCGGTACCCTCACGAGTGAGGAAATATTTCAAGAAACGAATGTGTAGTAGATAGATTGAAGAAATGAATGTGAATGAAGAAAAGATATGGCTCAGTGTGGTTCAGTCGCTGTGATTTATACTACCTTTTCCTGACCCTAGCAAGGCCGCTTGAGGTTGGATGTCAATGAAAGCAAAGACATGATAGCCGAGCTTCAGCTCAGCATGGATGCATAGCATGATCATTAGTCGCCTCCGGTGCCTTCTTTTCTCCCCCTGTCTGTTCTTCCGCAGTCATTCAGCGATGTTATTTTCGCAAATGACGCGGCCTCGTACGATCGATTGCCAGGGCGAGCTGAAGACTGAAGACCAATTCCATTTTTGAAAACCTAATTAGGAATTGTCAGTCAGGGGAAATGTGATAGTGGAGCACATCACAACATGCGACTAACTTATAATGGGAGTTTCATGGCAATTCCGTGAAGACCTCGTTTCGAATTACCCCAGCGCACGCGATAAGCAGCCAAACTACCAAGTGGCTTGGTGCCTGCAGTAAAAGCTTGGTGGGGAGCTGAAAAGCACGGCGCGAACTAGTGAACTGTGGATTTGGGCTAGTCCGCGTCGTGGCTCACGGAGCTCCCGATGTTCCACATGGGGTGACGGGAACACCTACATTGGGAAGTCTCTGAAGAATTTTTCTTCAAACTGGAGGTCATATGCATTTGTGACTGACTGCACATGTGACGAGGTGCGACCTGTCTACCCCTTCGATTCTAGGCTGGTAACGCCGATGAATAAACATGTAATTCAGGACCATGCTCCTAAACGGGGTTGCAGAAAGACACGCAGGAATAGCCGACGTAAAGCAGTGAAAATAAGAAAATAATCAAGATTACGGGAAGGTGGAGTTCCCGACGCAAGAACCAATGTTTGCAGGTTCGTCGCTAAATTTGGCCTGAATGATCAGTGTATTCATTCTACGCCAATCGCCTGTTTTATACTAGAGGCTTTACTTGCTTACACAATTATCGAAGGTTACAGCTCTCTGTATTGCAATATTAGTAAGCACCAGCATTGGTGGTCTAGTGGTTATGATTGCCGCCTTCCAAGCGGCAGAGCGGGGTTCGATTCCCCGTCAATGCATTTCTTTTTGCTCCTTTTATGCTGTTGCCTGCTTTGCCGTAGGCAAAATGAGAACAGTTCTTTTTGACTAAGTGCTACTTATTGCTTCCTGAGGTGATCGCAGTAAGTAAAGTCGAATGTGTGAGCACTTGTTGCTAGTTTTTAAGTACTTTGAACTACGGAGATCTTCGAGTTTTGAACGGGTTTCATGGGACTGAAATACAAAAAAAAAAAGAGCAAAAAAGATGCATTGACGGGGAATCGAACCCCGCTCTGCCGCTTGGAAGGCGGCAATCATAACCACTAGACCACCAATGCTGGTGCTTACTAAATCTTGGAAAGTGTGCTTGTTATTGCTTGTACCTTGAAACTGGTCGCTCTGGCTTCTTCATTTCCTCAGTTCCTCGTCCTTTCTCTAGCCTCTCTGTGATGTGATTTAATGGAGGGCCGCATGTTCTGTCAACCTCTATTGTCTATCGGACTCAATGAATAATTCAATTAAATTAAATTGACATGCGCTTTTTCCCTAGTTCTACTTTTCTTCTACCCCTTCATTTATTCCTTCCTCTTCGCTGGATATCGACGTTGGGCTCTGAACACCCCGGTCTTGAGGATTACTTTCCACATCTGTTTTTCGTTGTCTAGCTGGCGATGTTGGAGCAAACTTGCTCTTGATCCTAATTTGCTTACCATACCGATAAAACAGGAACGGAACCACAGCCAGCAATGCAGCCACGCCGCCGATCAAGCTCCCTCCCCCGCCCACACCCAACGCGGTAAACATCTGTTTGGTGAAAAGGGGCGCCGCGGCACCACAAGCAGATCGGGCAATGGTGTTTGCTGCAATGGCGGAGGCAGCATACATTAGGTAGACATCTACCAGGTAATTCAAATATGAAACAAATAGGAGCAACATGCAACTTGAGAGGAAACATCCTGCGATGGTGGGGACGATCCAGTGGATGGAGCTTCTGCGTGTCAGCATTCTCGTGTCGCAATTTGAATTTGAAAAAGCAAGAGACTTGGACCTACTCAAACTCTGCTGTCCAAGCAAACCAAAACATTGTGGCAGAGAATCCGACTCCTCCAATCATGGCTAGTGGCAAGCGATCTTCGGGAGTAGCATCTTCCATTTTCATCTCGCCTCGCTCGACTCTTCGTTGACGCATCCGTGTGTCGGCCAGTACTATAACACCACCCAAACCCGCACCGACAATGGTCCCAACCAAAGGCAACTCACCCACACCAGAATTCCACCCGCGCTTCTCCTGGAAGACAATCGGATAGATGGTGAAAAGCATGTACAGCAAAGTGTACACAACAGCCATATAAATCGCACACAGAAACGAAATCGGGTCGAACAGAATAATCCACGGGCGTGTCAACGCAACCTTATAAATCGCCACAAGCGTCCGGTCGCCATCCTCGACTGCAGCGCGAACATGCTCATAACCAGGTATTTGCGCCTGCCGGAGCCGTTTCGCCTTGTTGTATAGAACAATCGGTGCATAAGTCTCGGGGATGGTCAACATCACCACTGCAGTCGCACCACCAAGCCAGAGCAGCACATAAAAGCTCCACCGCCAATCCTCTTTCAATTCCAGGAATCCTGCGACAACCGGACCTAGCGCTGGGCCAATCCACACCATCGCCGAGAACCCAGCCATGGCATTCCCGCGCTGCAGCGGATCCCATAGATCGGCGAGCACTCCAGGGCAATTACTCAGTGGGGCCGATACGAAAGTCCCCGTCAGGAAACGACCCACTAATAACGCGCCCAAATTGGGCGCAAAAGCGCAAAGAAAGTTGAAGGCAATGTAGAGTGAGAAACTAATATAGAAAATCCATCGCCGACCGTAGAATTCACTCAACGGAGCGAAGACTAACGGGCCAGCGCAGTAGCCCAGAAGGAAAAGTGTGATTGTCAAACCAGCAACCTCGGTTGAAATGTCGAATTGCTCAGATATAGACCCGAAACATCCACTCGGGGAACTCGACGCAAAAGTCGCATTCACAACTAGTAGCACTGCGCTCATTGTTATGGTCGTACGGCGCGTCATGGACCAGTTTCTCGGGTTTTCAATATCGCCTGGTGCGAAGTCGACATATCCATCATCGTTCAGGTAGGGAATTTCCTCGGTGAGTTGCTTTGTTCTGTACGGTTTGTTCACGGCGCGAGACAGGACCCGCACGATTGCTGCCATCTTGCGGGGGAGAGGGGCACTGTCTTTGTTTCGCTGAATACAAGTGAATGAATGAAAGACAATTCGAATAGCGGTTTCGGTGCATCACTTGTATAATGTTTTGTGTCTGACTGTTATTGAGAAGGAATCTGGGCCCCATGACATCAATTTCTGAGATCTTGATTTGATTTGCCATTCTCCTTCCCAGTGTCCACAAACCGCGGTTACCTCCGTCTGATGTTTGGGTCGCTCTTGATACCCGTGCGGGGGTGCCGGTTAGCCGAGTCGGGATATTAGAAATCAACTGCTAAGCTGCTAAACGCTAAGCTTTTCTCCTCGGGAACCAATCAATCTCCCTTGAGGGCTTGAATGCTAACGTTATGCTCAGATCTCAAGCTTACCTACATAAACCTTGGAATGTTATGCAGAGGTGCACTGTCGCTTGGACCTCGAATTATGGTTCAGCACCTGACATCTGGATACATGTAATCAATGTGCAGATGTCAAGAGGCCCCGGGGAGGCGCTCATGAGTCATGTCCACGGGTGCCTCCAGTTTGATTATTTAAAATCCGTTCGTGCGAGGAGCTTACTTTCAAATTTGAAGGTATTTACCCAATATAAGGGCTGTAATGTTCCAATGTTCTGTTGAAAATAATGCGATACATAAGCGATTTTCATGTTTGGACCCCTGAAAACATTGAAGAACTCTCCAGGACCTGCTCAGGTAGGTACCGTGCGTGGACTCAAATGTTCCCAGGTTCAATGTTGGAAGGAGGTGCACATGTGGGTTGTCAAGGTTGGAAATATATATGCCCTATTCCAGAACTTTTGGGGTGGAGTTCCAACCTCGAAAGGAACGTTCAACATTTGAATCATCGGAAAATCGAATGTACATTAGGGAGCTATGTATAAAATGGATGGAGATCTGCATTCAATCATTTGAATTATTCGCAAGTTTGGAAAGCATATACAAACGACTTCGAATTTTCTTTGGAAAATGCCGGCGGGAGTCCGACGCTTGCAACACACGCCAAGACACACCTGAGCCCAATTGGGCAAGGGGCAAGGTATACCAGTTGACATCTGGACAAAGCCTGGCAGGTACGATTACGAACTTTGAAGTACTTAGAAGCTAATCTCGCCCGCTTCTTCAAGTGCTTTGATCTCGCATTACAGGTACTTTTTTACTTTTACTTCTAGGATAAAGTTGAAGAGGACGCCCCGCCCCGTCCGCCCACACCCAATGTGGAGGTTTGTTTTGGAAATTTAAAGTAGACAACTTTAAATCCTACAGGAGGTGATACAAAACTACCCAAACGGGCCAAACCAGTCAATCACAGGAGCCAATCACCACGACAATTTACTTTTCTGCAGCACAATCATTACACACGTTTCCTCATGTCCTGCATTGAATGGCCACGCCAAGAGAATGCAACCCTCCGTCTCTCTCGTATACGGGCTGGTCCCTGATTTTTGTCTGCGGGTGAGATTGTGCAGAAACCAGAGATAACCCCCACGTGCATCTTATCGATGTTCTTCATGGACCCTTTTTGGACCCTTCACGGACCCTGAATCAACTTAGTCCCTGAAAGTCGCGCCCGAGAAGCACTAAATCCCCTCGCGTGCCGGTGGAGTCCGGTGCTCGGGCGGCCGTGCCCTGCAGATCTTCGCCAAGCATCGCTCGCGACTGCTATCGACCAGTCGAATTGTCTTATCTTCCCACTGGCAGCAGTCCACGACTCTCGAAGCAATTTGAACCTTACTATAGCATTCCCTTGGCGAATGTAACTGACACAAGCCACGTTCAAGGTGGAATTGAGAATTGAGTCAACAATATATCTGTACGAGACGAGGAAAGAAGGACCTATAAATACCCCCCGCCTGTGACACATCTTGGAGTTTCTCATCAACGCAAAGAGAAAAGAACCATCGCATCCAAACATTCTGAAATACATACTCTGGTTCAAAATACCTGTCATGGCTTCTTTCTCGAAGATCGCTTTCGTCGCTTTCGGGCTCACGAGTGGAGCGAATGCGTGGGGCGCACTCGGACACGCAACAGTCGCATATGTTGCGCAGCACTACTTGGCTGCCGACACGGCAACATGGTGAGTCCCGACTGAATTTTATCCCTACTACCCAGCAAAACTAACATCAAGCTCAGGGCCCAAGGTGTGCTCGGAGACACATCCACCTCATACCTGGCCAACATTGCCTCGTGGGCCGACACATACCGCGCAACGACCGCAGGCAAATGGTCTGCCCCATTCCACTTCATCGACGCAGAGGACAGCCCCCCTACAGACTGTAACGTGGACTACGACCGCGACTGCGGCGACACAGGATGTTCCATCTCCGCCATCGCAAACTACACGCAACGTGTCGGCGACGGCAGACTCACAGCAGCCAATACCGACGAAGCACTCAAATTCCTCGTGCACATCATCGGCGACCTGACCCAACCCCTGCACGACGAAGCCTACGAAGTCGGAGGCAATGACATCGACGTGACCTTCGACGGCTACAGCGATAATCTGCATGCCGATTGGGATACGTACATGCCCGAGAAGTTGATCGGTGGCTACTCGCTATCCGACGCGCAGTCATGGGCCACCACCTTGATCGCCGAGATCACCTCCGGAAGCTATGAGTCCGAGGCCGCAAGTTGGATCGAGGGCGACACGATTAGCGATGCCGTGACGACCGCTACGCGATGGGCATCGGATGCCAATGCCTTTGTGTGCTCCGTTGTTATGCCGAATGGAGCCGCTGCGCTGCAGACCGGCGATCTCTATCCGACCTACTACAACTCTGCTATCGGTACTATCGAGTTGCAGATTGCCAAGGGTGGGTACCGGCTGGGCAACTGGTTGAACCTGATCTATCACACGACTGTTGCGAAGCGAGACCTTGAGAGCTTTGTCGAGACCGGAGATGAGGTGGTGGCTCGGGACTGGCTTCCTGCTTCTCAACCGTTGAGCCGGGCTAAGATGGCTAGAGCTGCTATGGGGGGTTCGTGCTGTGGCTCAGAGAAGCGCCATGAACATTAATGGCTGATTGTTTATGAGTGTTTGTTCCCGTGCGGCCTTGTGGCGCCTCGTGTGTTTGTTTTCATTTTTCGACAAGTTCATTTGGCGGGATTTTTTTTTTCTTTCAAATTTCTTTAAAAGACCCAAAAAAAAAGAGTTTTCCATCAGGCATTGGTGATAATTGTCTCATGGCCCGAAGGGCTCTGAAGTAGCAAATACGTTAAGATGCAAACATCTCTTGGAAAAATATCTCCGATAGGGGGAATCGAACCCCCGGCTGTCGTGTGAGAGACGACGATGTTAGCCACTACACCATATCGGATTTTGTATGGGTTACAATGAGAATTCTGCCATTATAAACCATTGCATGAGCGGTCGGTCGCTCTGTCCTCCTGTGCGTGGTTATACTATATACCCCTCCCAACCGACAACAACTTTTCTTTTCCTCGCCTTTCTTCTCCCTGCACGTTGCAGATAAGACAATTTTGCTATTGATACGCCTACTAGTATGTACTGAATATAAAAGTTCCGAACAGTTGGAACAATAAAAGTTATTATCACAATGTGCATATTTAAATATTGATTTAGATGAAATATTCCAATGTTAGATCAACAGGTATAATAAGTAGTAGACAAGGAAATGCATATAGAACACGGATCAGGGGTGATTGGAATGGACGGGTCCCACATATTATACTACTAAGCAATGACCTTGTTTCTTAGACGACCTCTCATCCGAATTGGTGCCTTCGGTTGGCGTGACAAATGTTCTTCACCAGCTGCTTGCAGCGCCGAACCCCGTCCTCCTCGTCCTCGCCCTCGCCCTCGCCCTCGAATTGGATTTGGCCGTGAAATCCGAGTAGGTCCGGCTCTTGGACGAAAGCCCTCTTCTGCCTCCTCCGAATTATTGCACATATCAGTGCACAGTCGAAACATTATCGCACCACGCATGCGTGGTAGTCTCTGTTCCGGTGTCCGCAACTTCCGTTTCAAGCTCCGATCAATCTCGGCAGTGAATGTCTCTTCAAACTCTTCACAAGACTTCCTCTGCAAGTCCTGAGCAGCGGTAACATGGCCCTTTCCCTGCGTTTCCTCCGCTAGAGCAAAGAATTCATCGAGTCTCTTTTGATCTGAGATATCAACAAGTTGAACTGGCGCATCGCCCGCGAGTCCAAATAGACCCGATCTCAACCCGTACTCAGCGCTGGCGTGTATGATAATCTTTCTCATAACGACTAACAGGTTAGGTATCGATTCGAGGAGCTTTAGGTCGTATCCACGAATATCGTTTATCATTAAAGAGCCACCCTGCGCGGAGTGTATCGCATGCCAAGCAAGATACTCAACAGGATTTCCCTCACATTCGTAAATGACATCCCAATAGAGCCAGTTGAGATGCACAGTATCCCGTGATGGGTCCAGTCGACCGAATACCATCGTCTCCGATTCCCAATAAGCTTCCTCGATCATCTCATCATGCGGGAGCGGGATGCGGCTCTCCATAGCAACGTTGCGAGACTCCCGACATACACGGGAAATGGCAGGTGGCCTGATGTTCATCTGTGTGGTCATGCGGTTTCCACAAATAAGTGGAAGGGCCCATTCGCCTCTTTCGTAGAATTCATCCTCGTCCAGTTCGTAGACTCGACGTGGCAGACATTCACGCCAAATCATGAGTCGGATCTCTGCCGGGAATTCCGGAAACCGCGGAAAGGCCTCGGTGCTCGGTAAATCCACCATTGTCATAATTATTCCTCACAAGGATGGATGACTTTAGCGTATTGAATTGGGGGCCGAGGAGACGAACTTGAAAGCTAGTCGGCAGCAGTGACCTGTAGGCCTTAATCGTGTTTCCGCTGAAAATTCTTTCCGGTCAATTTGGCTCCCGATGTCGGCTTGGGTGGATCCGTGATAGTTGTAAAGTTGAAAGGTTGAGTGCAAAGAAGCTGGATGTCTCGTACTTGATCGGATGTTGAAATCCTTCAATCCTTCCGCCAATGTCAAGAAGCCGTATCCACTTTGTTTTTTCGAATGCCGACCAAGCTAACGGCCTAATCCACGGATTGATCGAGGCCGAATAGCGAAATATCCCCTACTAAGCGATCACACTAGAATACTAGCGTGGAAGGGATTATTCAATTGTTCCAACCACACTCATGAATTAGACATTTTGGAAGCTCGGCATTCGACTACTGGCAAAACTCTCAACGAAGCCAAAAACCTTGGAAAACCACATTTTTACTCCACTGCAGTGAGACGGAATAAGCCTTGGTATTGCTTAGCGACGTCCGAATGGAATCGGGCTGATCAATCCAGATCTATAGATTTATTCCTAGAGCGACCTTTAAGTTTGGACCATGTGTTTTTTTTTTCTGCCAACCATACTTCGACAGAAAAAAAGATCGTCCTAATTAGGCTTAGTGTATTATGTGACCTGTATTAGCATGAGAGTGACCTGTGTTTCTATTAAACCCCTATAACTAAAAGATAGGCAGTGAAGAGTAATCATAAAGGATTAGGGGGGGAGGGGGTCGATCTAGCTAATAAAGGGGGGGTCAAAATAGGCTTACAACAACCTCTTGATGGCCTCTCAAGAGGTGACCTGGAGAGAGTTACTATTTTTACCGCCCTGCTCGTCAACGTCTGCTCCCCTTTTCAAGGGCAGTTTGACAACCTCCTGATAACCTTTCAATGAGGCTTTACACGATGGTTGACGTGTTTGCCACCCTGTGCGTTGACGTCCGCTCCGTTGTTGGCCGTCCTGACTCCTGGATGCAATTGCCATGCGGCCGTGAATCCCGTGATAACCAACGAATAGCCGCCCGCCAACACTGACAATGCATGCACCTCAGCGGCTCAGCCCCGGCACTGCCTCGTGCTATGCCCAGCCTCCCCCTCCTTCAGGTAAAAAGCTATAAGTCAAAGACAGAGAACCGAAAGAATGTTTGGATTTAATTCCATCGTCCAAAATGTCCGACCCATTTTCCGTCACCGGCAGCGCGGTCGGGGTCATTTCCCTCGGGCTATGTCTTTGCGGTGAAATTGTTCAATACGCGCAGAGCGTGCAGGGCCAAGACGATGACATACGATATCTTGAAACAAAAGCGACCAATGTCCGACTATTGTTGAGAGAGCTACGCTATTTGATTGAAGAAAAAAGATACGACTTACCGGAGATTGCCGCTGACCTCGAATCAAAAGCACTTGATTTAAAGGTATACCTGGATAGCCTGAGTGCGAAGATTAAGCAGTATGGACCGCCTCAGGTTGCAACAAAGTCTACACACAGCAGAGCAAAATCGACCATCAAAAGGGCTTTTTATCCTTTCAAAAAAGATGCGCTCTTTGAAGTTCGTGATTGTTTGGATAGCATGGGAAGGGATCTAGATGCCGCCTTGACGGTGTAAGTTCGTACTTCTTTAGCTTCCTTCAACTTCACGCTAGCAATGCAGAATCTGACAATGTAAAAGCTTTTCAGCACGTGAACTTCACAGGATAGGGTTGAAACAAGATATTTTTGGCTTCAAACAAGATCTACTCATTCAGAAAATAGTATGGGTACTAAATCAACTGCAGTCAACATCTACTGAGTCTATTTTAGGACACACTTCAGCTTTCCATCACAACTACCTCACACCAAACGATTTTCCAGCAACAAACGCCTCAGTCAATATCTTATAGTGTGACCTCCAGAGTCCAGAGTTGTCGCGCACCGCTCATGCACAATCGGGAGAATGCTCGAACAAAACAGATCAGAAAGCAGTACAATTTTTATAGCAGGTTGCTGCGGCGCACTTTCACTGGAACCTTTTATCTCTCGACTGGATCAGGCTTCTTCTCAATTGCACCATCATTACACTGCCATGCTGTTGTTGGGATCGATAGTTGGATGAGTACCATGTTGAGACAGATACAGGATGGTTTACTTGATTCTGTCAGGAGCAGCGAGCTTTTTTCAACCAAATTTCTATCAAATGTCGACGATTGGATTCAGCAGTTCCAATTTGCTGTTTCATCAGGGAAGGCCAGGCCTACTGACAAATTATTGGAAAACCACTCCCGCAGTCTTTCAAGTAGCTGCGCCTTGATAGATGTAAGTTTCCCGGACCCCACTGGCATCGAGGTGTCTAAATGACTACAAGATACCACTAACACTATATAAGCTTCCTTTTTGCTTCCTTTTTATAATCGACCGTGATATGTTTCCGGGTATCCGCAAATTCGTCACATACATGCTAGACCATGGCGTCGTTACGGATTATCGGAATCCAGCATCAGCATTGCGCGTGCTGTGTGTATCATATATCTGGACCGAGGAAGAAAATCAACTTGCCCGGTATATCATTGAAAGATGCGGGCCGATAAACTGGGCCCCGGCATGCTGGATCGAAAAAAGAAATATGCAAAGCCTTCTAGCAAACGGGCAAGACGATTGTATGAAAAAAACCCGGTCATGTTGAATTTGAATCATTTAATTAACACGCTACTGTCCTAAAGTGTTTGATCTGCCCCCCGGGTACATAGCAGCTCTTCGAGAGTCCGATAAAGATTTGCGAGCCCTTCTCGAGTCAAACTTAGCGTCCTCCGAAGATGATGTGGATGGGATCACGTTACTTCAAATTACAATGGGCTGGCCAGCGGGTGTCATATTAATGCTCAGTCCGCAATCAGGCAGCATGTTCCCCGAGAGATATCATGGAGGCATAGAAAAGGGTATAACAGACCAAGACAGCAAGATCGAGAAATATGTCGACTCTTGTAAGATCTTACTCGAGGCTGGATACAGATTTTCGCATCGCCAAATTATCAATAACTCGTCCAAAATATTGAGATCTGTCTTTATCTCTGAGCTTGCCACACGACGCAGGAAACTTCTAGAAGTTTCCAAAGCCCAAATCAATCCAAGTGAATTTTCTGATCTTAGAGGAGAGGAGACTGGGCTCCCTAACTCTTCTGCTTCTAGGATCTGGGCTTCATTAATGACAAAGGGACATACAATCGATCTTCCATTGAGACCTTCTGATGAAGGTTATCTATTTTGCCTTGATGGGCACCTTGAGATCTTGGTGGAACTATATGAGGCTGGATTCACAGACCTTGATCAAACACACCCAGACGGCTACACACCGTTAATGGCCTACTGTAATGAACTTCGTTTTGGTTGGTCTGCCCTACAGTGTATTGCGTGGTTGATTTCAAAAGGAGCGAATCCTTTACGGGAGCTACCCGACTCAAAGACAACTACGATGCACTTAATCAATCAAAGATTGGCGCGCTTGATCTGTTTTGACTATAGACGGAGCCTATTTGACCCGCATATTGAGCTACGCCCTCTTCAGCAAATTGAATTTGCTTTGTTGTCTACGTCACCTCAGGATTCGTGTTACTGTTCTTGCTCCGTTGGTGGCTGCACTCCATTATCAGTGGCTTTGCGGGGAGTCGTCAATGATCTGTATCGGTCTACGTATCACCCGGAGGATGGACCATCAAACTTTCAGCTATTTCTTAGGACTGTCATTGAATACAACCAGTCCAAAACTGAGGTATGCCACGCAATGATCAGAATTCTCACATTCGATGGGCTAGGCTTGAATCACACATGTTGCACCGAACTCCAATATATGAACCCTTGGAGACATACTCGAGACGAATACGACCTTCAGGAAATCAGAGACGAGCAGAAAAATTCTGTTGAGAGATTTGAAAAGCTTGTTTCTGAATTTAGAGCTCAATTCGATGCTCTTGAGCTTCCGTTGATGGACTTCTTCCAGGAGGTTTGGTATAAACGAATGGTTAAATTTCTTTCAGAGCGCGACATTTATGACCCCGAGCACCACGAAGAAACAAGACGACTTGGAATCTCTTTAGAGACGGATGAGGTTGAAATACCTCTTGTTGTTGAATTTATTTCCAAACGGGTTATGGTGGTCGAGGATGACTCCGAGGGCTTGTGATACAGTGATTGGTCTCTGCGCTCACATCGAACAAAGCAGAGAATGGAGGCTTTTTTTTTTTTTTTCCAATTTTCAATTTTCTTTTCAAGTCGGAATTTTTTAAATCTGAAATATGCAGTTTAGTTATCTTCGAATGTCCAAGTCTGCATCGTAAACCCCCTCCTTTGAGCGGTTACCGATTGGCAAAAAGAGGCCGATAGGAGCATGAAAACATTGCTAGAGCAATTTTGTATACAAATACAGTGAAGCCACTCGAAATTCTGTAATGAAATGCTTTTTGGAACCCTGTGTGAGGGCTGTGGTCTCTGATATTGTGTGTCCTGGAATGCCGTTGACAATTTGTAGAGTCGTCGCGTGCGTCGTGCCACGAAATTGGAAAATGAGGCGTTTGCACAGATTATCCAGGAAATCTACTCACGCACAACCGTGGTCTTTCCGCTGCCTTCCCGGATTGCATCATTTCGGATGTTGTATGCAAAAAGTTAAAAGTTCTGCCATTATGAGCCCGTTTAAGAAGCACAACCACGAATTTTCCCTGTCCCACCAGAGTGCATCAATTCCCGAAATCCCTGGGCCAGACGCGTGTGGTGGCCCCGGTGGGTCTGGAAGAAACCGCGTTCAATATTAGGCTCTCGCAGCCCCCAACCTATTTATTTCAAATTTTAACTAATCACCAAACCGAGGTCACCGCGACGAATTGAGTAAACAAATCGCTCGAAAAGTCTGACCAAAATGCAAAATGTCAAGCCTTACAAAATTTCCCCTCATAAGTCTGCCAATCGAACTTGTGAATAGAACTTGCAGCTATCTGGAGCAACCGGACTGGGCCGCACTCAGATTATCTTGTCGCTCCCTGTACGCGAAATCTTCGGATGCATTCGCAGATCGCTATTTCAAAAGCATTTGCTTCATTCTCACCAGCGAAGGAATTCGACAGCTAGAAGAATTTGCACAAAGTGAAAATGTCCGAGATCGAGTCCGACAATTATGGATGATTCCGACCGTCTTCGAAGGTCGCCATCGACGGAGCCTTAACGATTTCAGACGGTCTCCATATTTCATAACGTCAAAAGACATTGGCAACGATGATGATGCGCTACTTGCTCAGTATGCGATCTACCAAGCTATAGAAGCCGATCATTTAGCCCTGCTTGAATCAAACACGCTTGCCTCTAGGCTTCACACGTGCTTCGCCTCGTTCCGAAACCTCGATTCTGTCGGATTAAAGCATTATGCGACGAACTTTTTACTTGATCGACGGCAAGAGGATTTTCGATATCTTGGATTGCAGGAGTTGAAAGACCAAGTTGAATACACGTATCACAATTCAGGCATGAACTCCCTTCAACGGCACGAGGTAGCCAAGGTCAACTCTCTTGCCTTATCGAGGGTTCTTCTAGGCCTCAATGAATCCAGTCAAAAGATTAGAGCCTTGAACACATGCGGTACCAACTTCTGCGGCTCAAATTCTCCTAGCCTTCCTCTCACAGACGAGCAATACAACTCTGTTCTTCTCAAACTTGGAAACTTGGAACATCTTCATATGTGCATCTGTTATGACAAGGACGACCTAGATTCTCCTCCAAATTCAAACACCTATATTGATCTTTTTATTTACCTTGCACCCCAACTGAGAACTCTCGTTTTCTCACAATGGTATCAAGGTCCACGCGAGATGGGAGAACAGTTTTCAGAGCTCTCACAGAACATCAGGTTTACTCGACTAAAAGAGCTTCATCTCCACTGGATTGAAATTGGATTTGAGTCATTCAAATTGTTCCTGAACACCACCAAAGGAACTCTAGATTCTCTCTCACTCGAGCTAGTCACTCTGAAAATCGATACTGCCCTGTCAACCAATTCAGGGCCGAGTTCTTGGGAGCAGATATGGGAATTCCTTGGAGCGGAGTTTTCACTGAAGAGTTTTTACATGGGCAATATTGGCTATCGGAGACAGAAGGTGATGATTCAAGGACCTGACGAGTTGGTTGAACCGACATACTCTGTCACTTTCAATGCATATGCAACCAAAATTTGTTTCAATGATTGGATCCGGCAGCTCAAGCCAATCATTTCACGGGGTTTCGATATATCAACACGAAGCTATGCAGGTTTGCAGCCCACCAAGCCCCCGAAGCCACTGCCTTATTTTAATATCAATTTTTAGACTCGCTTCGTTCGAAGAAACCTCGATCAAACGATCGATCAGCTTCTGGCCCTCAAATACACGAGAGACACCCCACACCCCTAGGATTGGGACCAAAGTATATTAGGTGCTTGATGACCTGTTACCCAGGGAGACGAGGGTATTCGTGAGCCATTTTCATTGGCTACACCCTGCCCGCCTCAGGCATCTGCGGCTCTTTGTTTGCCTGCAAGTAAGACATACGCCTGCATAGGCGCGTGCGTAATCGTTGTCAGCCGACTCTTCAATTTTCTCTAGGAGATACTGCATGCTCACTAGTTGATCTCAACTCAAGTGAAAGCCTTGTATTTTTTCGCATGGATATGCACGTGAAGTGGTCCGTATGGAAGAACAGTGACGCGGGGAAAAAGGTCAGACGAGAGAGGAAGGGGTGGGATAAGTCCGAACCCTGAATAACGAACATGAATATTTATTTTGAATTTATTGCTGGGAAACGCCTCAAGGAGATGGTCGGTTTCTCTTTGTAAAAAAAAATTTCCCGCAAGATTTAGACACGTTATTTAATTGTGCGCATCCTGACCGCGGCGAGGTCATGGGGGTGTGTAATAAATTAACAATAACCATTTCCGGTTGGTTAGTAGGGGATCCCTCTGCATAACTGAGTACCATATAGTAAGCCAAGCTCGCTTATGCACCAAAAGGGGTCTGTGCATCCTGAGGTCTTTGTCTCATCTACCTTGAGAATTCACCCCGCCCAAATGATACAGGAGCACCTCAATCCTTCTTTTTGTAGAAATCTCTGCTCGCTCACCTAATTATATTCCAGCTTGACAGAATGGCTGCGGAAAATCAATTTCTTGTCCCAGATGAGAGGATTCTCTCTGAAATATTTCCGGGCGTGGTTGGTCTCAAGCTAAGTAGCTGCAACGTATTATCGAATACGTTCGACATCTGCACCTTCAGCGTCCAGGCTGAGGACATTCCATTACCAGTTATCATCCGACTCGAGAAGGAAAGCCTAGATATATCGAAAAGTCGCTTGGCCACTGTTGCAGCTCTCCATAGTCTAGGGCGCTTCCAACTGAAAGACATTGTTCCGTCAATTCAGCAGATCGGTACTGCGACTACCTTGGACGCAAAAAAGGTTAATTACCTCGTGACTGAGTACCTTACGGGGACCATTCTGCTCGAAGACATTTGGAACACACTCAACGAAACCGATCAGCTAGAGCTGGTAGAGTCAATAATTTCGGCTGTGAATAAACTTCACAAGCTTGGAGGTGTTGACGATGTCTCTGAACATCTCATGGCAACCCCCTACATCAACAACAAGGAGACCCCTATTATTATTGGTGGTCCAGGAATTGGATATTTTCGAGATATCAAGGATCTCCTAAAGGCAAGACTACAAAATCATGGGAGATCGCCAGGCTGCAAGCTATTGGAGATTGATCTTGGACTCTTGATTTAGTCTGAATACGATGATATCGGCCAGATTGATCTATCACACTCAGATCTCGATGAACTTCAGCGTCATGTTGTCTTTTGCCACAATGACCTCGAACCTCGCAATATTCTTGTCAGAGAATCATCCTCTGAAAAATATGAGCTTGCTGGTATAATCGACTGGGAAATGGCAGGTTTTTCCCATTTGCCTACGAATATGGGTTGAAAGATACTATTCTTGGTTCCAATAACTTGTACTTCAGTTGGTATGCCATGTTCAAAAGAAGGGCATCCTATCTCCTACCACAGACGGAGTGTCACACCAAGCTCATCAGAGCTATACAGATTATTGAGAAATCTAAGAAGAAAGATATGGCGCGAAATGTTGGCGTTCAAGTGCAGGCAAAGTGGATACAGAGAGAGAAGATAGAGGAATCTTCTGACATTCGTGAAGGTTGGGTCCGTAAATCCTTGGAAGCAGGTGAAAAAAATCAAGTCTTTGGTAAAGAAGATATGCAAGAGCTTGAGAATGAGGTCCTGAGAGAACTGGGATATATCTAGGAGGAATACTTGAGACCTACCATTGAGTGGTGAACTTTACATGACCCTATTATATTTTCCTGCGACCTGATTTACGTACTGTAGGGGAGAACTTCCCTACAATTTCATATTGCTAACTTGAAGGTTTTGATGTTTGGGAGGCGGTAAAGACTGGCAGTCGAATGGCGGCGCGCGCGTAGTAATGTTTGTTTGATGCCATTCATGATTGCCATGCGCGAAATGAGCACCAAGTGGAAGTTCATAGTAGTTGGAATGCCGCCAAAAGTTAAAATCTGGGACACGGAGCGGGCCGTACCCACTTTAATTGGAATGTCTTCAGATGTAGTGTTTTCCATGTCAAATACTACTGAATCATCTATTACAGCAGTAGCTGATGATGAATTGATTCATGATGAAAAAAAAAAAAGCTTCGTGGGTGCGATGTAGGTTTGAATTATTGAGATCAAGTTTTTGCAAAAAATGACATAGGACGTGTCACGTGCGTTCGCCGGTCTAACAGTTAACCCGATCTGAATCCAGGCGTATTTGGTGATCTTTTCTTTTTTGTTGAGCAATAAAATATGGCAAAAAGACGCCTATTTGACTGTTCCACAATTATTACTAACTCCAAATTTATTTTTATTCGAATACTGCCTCTTCGCGTACAGGCTTAAGCAGACGCGTCATGACTGATTTTCGCGCTCCCTTAAAACCACGCGTCTTCCCTTGTTCAGAGTGGGATACCATCGACCCTTTGGTCAACATTGAAGAGGAGTCAACTCCAATCCACAAGCCTGATAAGCTTTTTAAAGTGCATATTGGTGAGGTATTCAACAATCGATATCAAGCGGTGGGCAAGTTGGTCTATGGCTCCAGCCCGACAGTTTGGCTCTGCCGTGACTTATTGTAAAGACGCGCTGATACCGGCATATTGACACACGCTAACCCGAATAGGGACCACCGCTGCATATTATTGAAAATTCACACTGCATCAAAAACTGTGGCTTAAGAAATAAGCTTTTCCAACCATTTAAGAATAAGCAAATCTTGCCATGATGGCCAGTCATGTCTGCGACCGTTGACTGAGGTCTTTCAGGCCCAGCCCAGAGGGGAATGGTACGCACACTTGTCTGGTGCACCCATCTCTTGGTATCAGCCTCGACCAGCTTGCTCCGTTACTACTTAGTGGGGTGCTGAGCAGCGCCAAGGTAAGGACTACCATGCGGAATATCCATGCTACGATTTTCTTCACACATGTGCACGGATGCAAGGGTTATACATACCGGCGTGCAACAATAAGGTATGCAACAATAAAGTTCACAAAATGACATGTAATGATAACCAATGGTGTATATCTGCAGCTAAACAATATTCGGCTTTGCATTACAGATGACACAGTTCTGTCCCCAGTTCGAAGAAGCAGAGTTCAAAGCACCAGTACCACGAAAAGTCCTCCAGGATCATACCGTCTACATGTCAAGACTACTCAGCATGTCGTATGGGATCTCTTCAAGCATCGCCACCTTTTTATCTTTAGGGGACGGAATGTCGAACGCGAATTAGGTGATGCTACTCACCTCACCGAGATATAAGCGGTCCTAGGAGCTCTACCTAAATGAGTTCTTCACCCGGAGCGAAGAAGTGACTCTTTTTTGGAATAATAATGGTTTGCACTGCCCCCTTTCTCCTTAGAGATTCCTTGACATGTGATATAATTTGACAGAATCAACTATTTTTTGACTTCTGTATCAGATAACTGCAATGGTGCAGCTTCAGTTCCAGATTCTAGTCTTCACACGCTAGAAGAAAGGCTCGAAGGCGATGGAAAGGACCGCTTCCTACGATTTCGCCGACGAATGCTTGCTGACTTCTAGAAGAAAGAGCCCCTGCAAAATATCTTCAATTGATCTGTGGGTGGTGGAGGGTCTCCCCCTGTGAAGTTATGCAACTGTCCCAACAACCACGTTCAATGATGTCAGGAGGCAGATTGAAGGGTGGCGTTTGCGCAAAGTCGACGCCAAAATCCCAGCTAGTACGTAGCTCAATAAAGCGCGACTATGACTGCCTGGGGTATCTGCAGGTAGGAAATCTGCTTCCAGTCGCCCAAATCCGCCACTTTCGTAATAATCAGCTGGATGGCTCCGCCAGGTGGACATGTGCTGTGGGCCGTGGATATGAATGAACTATAATGCTTGGCAGACCTGTGCGTGTGTACAAGCGTGGTGTTACTCCGCGGAATTGTGGTGCATTTGTCGATTCCTGGAAGAATTATCTCACATGCTTGCAGAAGGTAATAGTTCTTGTTTTCAAACCGGTTAGAGTCTCTTAAAGGACTCATAATCTATGCATGTGTTTTAATGAATTGACTTCCACTCTGTACTTCGTATAAGTTTGCTAGGTCTAGTTTTGTTCCTTCGATAAACCCAAGGCTGAGCGATCTCTAAATCGATCGCTCGAAAGCCGAATTTCTCCGAAAGAAATCTTAATAGAGGGCTTGGAATAATGGATACCACCAAATAGCATACGGCCACTAGAATGTGTCATTGGAAGCAGCCGGCACGGAAGTAGATGAGGATTGTCGGTGGCGCTCCCGAGAATCTGGACAAAGTGGATATCAGGCTGTACGAGCGGTAATGGCATACTCCGTACTTACCAAGTGTTTCGTAAATAACACAAGCTCTAAGGATCTCGATCGACAGGGCGATGTGGAGAAGGCTAGCCTTTCTAGGACTAGAGGATTTGATAATCGCCCAATTGGAATACCGGCTATTCTTCTTTAAACCCCCGCATCGTCGATTATTTACTGCAATGAGATCTGTGGATCTCAGATTTTAACTTATTGTCGGAAATTCGGAGGGAGAATCACCATTTTGGGTGGTGGGCAAGTTTGGAGGAGCTGAGCGACCGCTATACCCCCTTGCCTTAGCAATGAGTTTTGGAGAGCCCCGCATTGAATTTGTAAGTAGAAGTATGATTTTCTGTAAAAGAAAGATTTACTCCATAGCGGCCGAGCAGGGAAGCCATTTAAAGACCCAGGGTCCCGGCATCGAATTTGCTGCGTCCCAGAATCAAAATTTCTTCTTCTCATTCTCCTGCTTCAAAACTACCTTCACCATGAAGTTTGCTACTGCTATCCTCCCTCTGGTTGCCTCGGCCACTGCGTCGTGCCTCCACGGCACCTCGCTGATGCCCCGTTCCGCCGATGGCACCGTTGACGTCAACTCCTTCAACTACACCAACACCGGCGGTCCTTTGACTTGGTACGGCCTTGACGCCAAGAACAGCGCCTGCTCCAAGGGCAAGCACCAGTCCCCCATTGACATCGTCACCGATGAAATCGACTATGCTTCCAGCAGCTCCGTCAAGTTCCACGTTCCCAGCGCCGACAATGTCAAGTTCGAGAACCTGGGCTCCGGCCTTGAGGTCGTTTTGACCAACGGTACTTTGGTCACTTCCCAGGGCTCCTACACCCTGGCTCAGTTCCACTTCCACACTCCCTCCGAGCACCGCATCAATGAGGAGTACTACCCTATGGAGGTTCACTTTGTCTTCGAGAACACTGGTATGTTCGGAATCTGTAACCGAAGTCTGCAAATCTCAAGCATCTACTAACAAAGATACTAGCCGGTGCCATTGCCGTCGTTGGCTTCGTCTTCGAGCTGTCCCAGTTCGGCTACTCCACCCCTCTGTTTGACTCTGTCTTCGACCACATCGACGACATTGCCACTCCTGGCACTTACACCAAGACTGGTCACTTGGACTTCAATGCTCTGACTGCCCACTTCAAGTCTCACGGCATCTACCAGTACACTGGCTCCCTGACCACCCCTCCCTGCTCCGAGGATGTTGCTTGGTTCTTGAGCACCGAGCCCCTGCCTCTGAATGTCCAGAGCTATAATGCCGTCAAGCACGTCCTGAAGTACAACGCGCGTTACACCCAGAACGCTCTTGGCCAGGACAACCTGCTCGAGGTTGCTGCCCAGGAGCTTAACTAAGTGCTTTTTCAGCGGACTACATAATTTTCTGCAGATGACGTCGCATTGAGGTTTTCACCTCTTGAGACCGATTAAACAGCAGGCAAAATTTGGAGGACGATTGTCTGAAAATATGCGGTACATACTATATTCTATTCTTTAATCTATAATAACTTCCAACGGGAGAATTTCAAAAGTTTCAACCGATCTGCATTCATTCGCACCTACTAAGTATGCGAAGAAAAGAAACTGTAGAAATTTCCAGTAAATCGCCATTCTCGTATTCAAAATGCATGATCCATCAGTTCTCCCGAGATCGACATCTACCGAGTTCCTGGGTTCAATAGTTAGATAGCAATCCGCACCTGGGTACCTAAAAGCCAATAAGGGTACATGCATGGATACAAACTGGGTAATATCCATGGTCAAATGTGGATGACACGGGACATAATAGGCCAAGACAACTGAGGCTGGAGAACCACGTCAAAGCGCAAGATCCAAAAGCGGGTCCACGTGCCCCTAAACCGAGAAGTACCGAAGAAAAAAAACACGAACAGAAGACGGGATACGCGGAGTACTCCGTAATACGCAGAAGGGACAACAGTGGATAATAGACTCAAATTGGAATTTGCTGGATACAAGCGGGTCCGATCTTGGCCTACCCTTTTTGACAAGATCGACAAGTCTCGAGAATAACGAGATGGTAATCGGCTTTGACCGGGAATTATGCTGTATAATGGGATCCACTGGCTGTGGAATCTCAAAGAAAATTTTCTTTCCGGGCTGTCCGAAACTAAGGAATTAGACTCTGCAAAATTTCAAGAAGTTGGAGAGGGCATTGTAATGTGAATATGAATTATAGAGATAATCTACCGATGTGATCTTGATTCTGCCAAGGTCCTCATCTATAAGCTGGGGAAATCCGTCATGTTCAAGTTGTTTGTTGACTCGCAGGGAGTTATTTTCCACGCAATGGCGGGCCCCACTTGCAAACCATCGTGCTGCCGTGCACTAGCGCGATTCTCAACCCCTGGGCTCGGAATTGTTCTGGAATTTCCCTTCTTTGCCAAGGCTTTTTTGGCCCCGTTATTTTGGAGAGACGGTAAATCATTCCGCCCAATCAGAAGCCGTGGCTAGTAGCTAGCGAGTCGCGACAAGAACACAGTCCTTGCCGAATCCAGCTACCAAGCCATCTTTGCCAAAAATCCATGAGGCCAACGCCGAACACACGCTTTTCGCCCTTCATCCACGCACAATAGCCCGAGACCAAGGGCAGCTGGAAGGAAATAATACTCGGCAGGAATACCCGAAGTACTCAGAACGACCTGTAGACTTGGGACATAAAGCCAAATGACCGAGATACCCAGCGCAAAGGCAATGGCAGGGAATAAATATAAATTCTGGGTCTGCTTGTTGAAGGCTGGAGGATGCTGGAAGATTGACAGATGACGTGTTCGTACTGCCATCAGGTTGAACCATTGCCTGGTGAATGATTAGCAGTGAGAAAAAATGATTATGTTAGAAGAAATGGGGTGGCTCACATAACTACAAGGTTGATGAAGTAAATTGAGCTCGCCTCATTAACCTTGGCTGTGTAGTAGTCCTCATCCACATTCGGAGGCAGTGCTCCGAACTTGAACCAGAGGTCCGAGAATTTTATGCCGTTTCTTTCGAGGTACCAGAATGCCATTGTGAACGATAATGCTGTTTCAATCATGCCAATGAAAGCATAGGAGTGGAACATCAATTTCCAATTGACCAAGCGTGTTTTCTTCGGGTGACGGGGTGGTCGGAAGAGCACATCTGCCTCTGGAGCCTCGTATGCCAACGCCACAGCGGCAGCACAGTCGGTGAAACAACTTCAAACAAGTCAGCCTAGTAATAAAAGTGTGCATTGCTTTCTTCCAGACACTTACCAGATGATGATCATCAGGAATGAGGACAAAATCTGAGGCAACCCAAAAACGAGATTGCAAAACACAGGCCAGAACTCAGACCACGAGCCAGCTGGGAGGAGATAAGCAACTGTCTTTTTGAGGTTATCGAAAACCACCCGACCATAGCGCACAGCCTCAACAACAGCGCCGAAAGAATCAAGAAGAACCATATCAGCTGCCTCGATAGCGATGTCCGAACCGCTAGCGAGACTAATTCCGATATCCGCTGCTTTGAGGGCGGGTGCATCGTTGACGCCGTCTCCTGTCATTGCGACAATCTCGTCTCTGGCCTGAAGCTCACGCACAATGCGAAGCTTCTGATTGGGAGTAGTCCGGGAGAAGACGATCTCAGGATACTGGCACAGTTGCTGCCATTGGTACTCGTTGAGAGTCATCAATTCTGGTCCACTGATCACCAAGGCGGACTCGGAGGTATATGGGTCTTTTTCGATCGACCCCGGGGATTTGGCAAGAGAGGATATGTCGTGGACGGAATTAGTGGTGACAATGTTGCACTGCCGGGCAATTGCAAGGGCTGTGAGACCAAAGTCGCCAGTGACCTGTATAACACGGTTAGTAAGACGTATTTTGGTTTTCGAAAGAGAGACGAACCATGAAAATCCGGATCTGGGCCTGTCGAAGCACCCGAATAACGTCTGGAATCTCAGCGCGCGGTGGATCAATCAAGCCAACCAATCCGACCAGGGTGAGGTCAGCCCGAGCTTCTTGCAGCATTTGAATCTCGAATTCCGCCGAGCTGGGATCGCTCAAGATGTTATCTTTCTCGATGATCTTACGAGCCAGCAGAATGACTCGCTTGCCCTGAGAAGACCATTCATCCTTCAAGCGCTTCACAGCTGCAAGATCAGCCTGAGTCAGAAACTTGACTTCACCATCTGGAGAAAGTATCTTGGAACATCGCTCGATCAGAATATCCGGAGCTCCTTTGATAGTGAAAAGACTGGAAGAAGTTAGTGATAGTGTGTTGATGAGAGGGGCTGGAAACGTACACATCGCCAGAACGGAAATTTCCAGTCTCAATAGGCGAGAGGCAGATGGATGGCGCCTCTGGGCTGATGGTTTGCATCGCCTTGATCATGAATTTGTTCTTACTATCGAACGCCAGGTTGAAAATTGTCTTCCAGGGTTTGCGAAGCTCAGCCACTGATCCCAGACTCTCTGAAAATCTCAAAATAGCCTGATCGGTTGCGTCGCCGAAAATGCGCCTTTCACTGAGGGGGATATTGGATGATTCGTTATCGAATTCGCCTGCATTGCAGAGGCCGGCGATGGATTGGACCTGTCGAAGGACATCTTCATTCAGCTTGGGGGCAACGTGATCACCAGTAGAATCCAGCGTAGATGTTGTAATTTGAACGGCATAGTCAGTGACGGCCATGCGATTCTATAAATCAAAAATCAGCAAGAGGTATAAGCTAATAGTGGGTGAATTTTGTGAGTCTTGCCTACCCTGGTTAATGTGCCTGTTTTATCGGTACAAATGACCGAAACTGAGCCCAAAGTCTCAACTGTCTTGAGAGACTTGCACAGAACCTTGTGCTTCTTCATGAGATTGGCTGTGATGGTCAGACTGGCTGTGACGGCGATGGGAAGACCTTCGGGAATATAGGCGATGGCTACGCTGACACAGTCCACAATGAGGGTCGGCACATCGATGTAATCGGGGTGCACTTTACGGAGCCAACCTCCCCTAAATTTGGAATGTGTTAGCTTCAACAGACGAGAGCATAGACGAGCGAACAGGTACACATACCAAACAGAAGCGAGGATAATGATCCAGCTAACCATGATGACAAAGATAAGAGCCACAAAGCGAAAGACTTCCTTTTCAATAGTTGTGAGGCCCGTCTTCGGCTCGCCTGCCAGCTTAGCAATACGACCAAAAACCGTCGAGTCACCGGTGGCGACCACAATACCGAGCGCACTACCAGCGGCACAATGAGTTCCCTGAAGACCAATGCATCTTGTCTCGAGATAATTGTCAGATGTACTCTCGGTGCTTCCCTTGACCGGGTTCGACTCTCCCGTGACTACCGATCTGTTGACGCTGAGATCATGCGAGACTTCTGCAAAACGCACATCTGCAGGAATCTTGTTTCCAGATTTAATGACCAAAACGTCACCAGGCACAAGATCGGTAGCCGACATCTCCACACGAGAGCCACCGCGGAGAACGGTACATGACTCGGGAAGCATTGCAGTAATCGAGGCCATCACACGAGAGGAAGAGTAGTCCTGCCAGGCGTTGAAAGCGGCTTGAATGGCAAATACGGCGATGAGAACAATACCAAGGGCCAAGTTGGCGACTGCTGGTGGTTCACCCAGCGGCTTCCATGAGATGAAGACCAGGATACCACCGACGAGGAGGATCGAACCAAAACCCTTGAAGAAGTAACCGAAGATTTTCCAGAGCCAAGGGTTTGGTAAGGGGGAGATCTTGTTGGGGCCATATTTCTGAAGTCGCTCCTTAGCAGACGCGTCCGAGATTCCCAGCGAAATATCCACACCGAGGCGTTTTTGAATCTCTTCGACAAATAAAGTGTGCCACTCGATGTTCTGCCATTCTGTACTCCGAAAGTTAGCAATCACCCCTGATCTATTGATAAACACAGGGACACTTTACCATCGGCCAGTTTGTCTTTATCCGCCAGGGTTTTAGAACGTTTCTTTCGTTCTCCTTCGTCCTCAATCTCGAACGAGCTAGTTTTGATTTGTGAGTCGGGTCATCCGTAATGAGGCAAAAGGGATTGGGGTCCATACAGGCTTCGATGTACAATAGGAATTGCAGATTTTGGATCAATCGTCTTCCTGCGAAGCTTCCATTGCTTTTCTTCGTCGTTCGTCACAGTTTTTCTCTCTATCGATATGCGATCCACCACGTCTGCATTGCTAGATTCCCAGCGCAGAGCTGTTGTTGGATTGGCCATGATGAGGAAACCACGGTATGTTGCCACAGAGAGCCAGGGGAAATGAACAGAGAGAAGAAGAGGACAGAGGTAGAGAGATAGAGGAAACGAGAAATGAATTAGGGTACGAAGGGAACTCTTTATAAACCCATCAGTCTCCTTTATTCTCCACTTCAACCAATAGCTAACTTTTCACGCACGGTAGCAAAATATCGATTACATTTGTCGTATTGGATGGCTACTGAGTTTTTACGTACAGAAGGAGCGATTATTTTGAATGAGTGGTTTTGGGCTACCAATAATCAAATAGAGATTCAATGCTGACAGCTCCTGAGGGTAATTCAACTTTAGTGTCTGACCAGACATTGAGATCCACACGTGGTGTAAAGTACGAGTCAAACAAGAGGGCCGTGGCCAATCGGGGATATGTAGTATGGATTCCAACGTTGATGTTCTAAATTCTGTGCATGGATCTACTACATCTTTCCCGATCGCTATATGCGCTACGTAGTAATATGTGCATACTACGTTATTTCAACATAAAATCTTTCTCCCTAGTGCTGTTTTGCCATGAATACTTAAACACGAAAATCAATAGCTTGCTCTGAGCCGAGTTCTGGTATCTACATTCACCTGTGTGCGACCGAGTTTCAACTCCAGATGTCCAGAGAGCAGAAATATTGCCTCGACTAAGTTTCCTGGGAGTAATTACATCAGGAATCAGGATTCAAGACTTGGAAAACAGCTCATGCATTTAGCCGCTTTTCCCCATCCGTGCACGCTAGGGACTTGGCCGACGGCCCGCGCAAGAGAAATTTATCGAGACCAATCAACAACAAGCAGAAAATCGCGCATGTACTCGTCAAAGTAATGAAAATTTCAAAAGAGGAAGGAATCATCCCCTGGAAATACTATTTGGGGGGCACAAACGCTCACGTTGATTTTGCACCACGTTGTACGTTGGCCAGATACAATGTCTTTGATCGCGACCTGTTCGTACATGTTACCCATGGCGGCCGATAGAGGCCTATCCCAATTTCAATTTCTAGCTTCACCGCCCTGTTTCCCGCCTGTATTGTATTTATCATATATAGGAATATCTTAAGGGATCTAAATACGGGTCACTTTTAGAATAGACTTGAGAATGGATTATATGACTAGGATCTCAGCCTCTCTTTCTTGCCAGTTGTTGTGATAATTTACCTAAAGAAAGAGAAGTAATATAAGACAGGCATCATATATAATAGAGTTCAAGGATTTCATGTATAATGCAGCGCTGAACATAATGGAGTTCAAAAACCAATATGAATTTGGAATTACTCGTAATTTCCTTTCTGCCGGTCGGAAAGTTGAAATTGGGAATGTGAGCATCATGTGACCTTTGGGTGGCCTCTATCGGCCGCCGCATGTTACCCTTTTTTGGACTAGCTTATGATCATCATTAGAGAGGGGTCAGGTGACCCCCTCTAGGTATATCTAGATCTAGTGCTTGCTTCCTTCCTTCCTTTTCCCTTATCTCCCCCCCCCCCCCCCGAGAGAGATTGTCCATAGCAAATCCAGTTGCTTTTCTCTCTCTGTTCTCCGTTCTTCACTTTTCCCTGAGCAGCGGCTGTGTTCCACCGCTGACAGATTTACCTGCAGCCCCTACGGGGTTTAAAACTGTTGTCAACACATCAACAGAGTCCGAGCCAAACAAGACCTTCTCATCATCTGTCACGGATACTGAGCCCCGCGGATGGGAAGACTTGCAAATGCTCGCTGTTGCCGGTGGCATTGCGATCGCCATCCTTGTTATCGGCCTGGGAGCCTGGCTTGTTTCCAGATGGTTGAAACAACGGTAAGCTTGGGATGAACCAATTATGGTACAAGAATGCTAATCATAAGTTAATGTAGTGATTCACCTCAACGCGCATTGAACAAGAACTGGCGGCTTCGTGCAGATCGATGGAAAGCTGATAAAACTCGTGCAGCAAAGGCCAAAAAGGGTATGAAAATTGTTTGAAACTTGGAACGAAAGGGTTTGGGATATATGCTAACTTGCTCGCTGTGAAATACTTTGAAACTCCGGAGCCGAAACGCACTCTTGCTGTGCACGCCCGCGACAAATCGGCAAAGCCTCCGGATATTAGACACTCCAATAATGTCGAGTTTGCTGCCCCCCTAGTGGGTATGAATTCTGGTGTTCGAATGATATCACCGACAATTTTGAAATCAATCTTTGCACCGACCAAAAATCTCAGGAATAGTCATCCCTTCCAAGGTCGAGGAGTCTCCACTAAATAAAAAAATACAAAAACATACAACAGTCAGGATTCGCATGTGATCACCCACATACTACTAACTGACCGGCGTGTGGCTTAAGTACGGCTGAGCGGACGGGAAGCCCTGTTCTCCACACCCTATGGTCGTATGTACGAGAAGGAACATTGATGTGGGATATATAGGGCTGATGAATAAGGACATCTCAGTCGTCGAAAGTGACAACTTTAGTTCTCAGGTACTCCTCCACACCAGCCATGCCAGAAAACCTGCCCCATCCACTGGCTTTTGTGCCTCCATGAGGCAGATTTGACTCATCATGGATTGTCATGTGGTTAATATGAACAGCACCAGTTTCATAGCCCTTTGCAATCCTCAGACCAGCCGCCATATCCTCCGTGAACACAGCACCAGCCAAGCCATATTCAGTATCATTTGCGATGGCCAAAGCCTCCTCCTCCGTCTCAAATGTATACAAGACCACAGCCGGCCCAAAGCTTTCCTTCAGGTGCAGCTCTGAGCTCTTTCCAACGTTCTTCAAAATAATCGGTCGCATGCGAGTAGACTTAAGATCCATTTTCACGGATTCGTCTGCATCACCCAGCACGACTGTGGCGCCATCGGCAATTGCACTCTTGACCAATCTCTTGGTCTTGCTTGCTCCAGCAGCAGTCACGAAGACTGGACTTTGTTTGCTGGAGGGCCATCGTTGATCCGTAGCTTTCTTCAAGGCCTCGGTGAAAGCGTCCACAATCGAGGCATGCACAATGAGACGCTCGGTCGACATGCATACCTGGCCGGCGTGCAAAAAGGCACCCATCGCGCATCCCGCGGCAGCTTTCTCAAGGTCTGCATCCTTAAGAACGATGGAACTGGCCTTGCCACCAAGTTCGGTAATGATGGGCTTCAGATGCTTTCCAGCCATCGCAGAAATGATCGAGCCGACCGCCGTGCTGCCAGTGAAGTTGATTTTTTTGACGGCAGGGTGCGCGATAAGCTTTTCTGTAACCGACGCGGCATCTTGCGGTCGGTGATACACCACGTTCAAGACGCCATCGGGGAATCCAGCTTCCCTGAAGATCGAAGCGATGGCATAGAAGCATCTTGGAGAAAGCTCCGATCCCTTGAGAATACAGGTGTTTCCAGCTGCCAAGGCGTATGCGACAGCACGGCACCCTAAGGGCCATGGTGCGTTCCTAAAAAGTAAGGACCAGTTAGCGACCGAAAAAAGATGTCGAGACTGACTTGCTCGGTATAAAGCACTAACCATGGTGCAATTCCAAGCACCACGCCATAAGGCTCCTTCAAGATAAGAGCGCCTCGGCTTTCGCCCGTGGACTGCGAATAAGTGCCATTGATCATTGAGCACTTTCCGGCAACTTCTCTCAGATTCTCAATGGTAAGAGGCAGAATCCAGTTCACAAAGTTGGGGTCAGCGCCGGTTTCTAGCTGCTGATATCCCACAAGCTCATTGTATCTCTCTTGGAAGAGATCAGCGGCTTTGAGGAACAGGTCTCGGCGATATGATGCTTTTGTCTTGGACCATGCGGGGCGTGCAGCCTCGGCCGCCTCTGCGGCCTGCACAGCTTGTTCAAGAGAAGCGCCTCCAGCTTCCCAAACCTCTTCACCCGTCGCTGGATTGATGACGGGGAAAGGCTTCGATCCAACAACGTCCTTGCCTCCGATAATCAGGGGCACCAGATAGGTGCCATTGGTGCCATTGGGAGAAGTGTTTGAGCTCATTTTGTTTCTATCGAGGCGCCTTGAGAACTCTTTCAGGATGTAATGCTCGAAAGGTCGGCATGTAGGGTGAGCGAGGATAATAAGGGAAGCGGCGGGGATTTAAGACTGCCAGCTACTGAGGAAACCGGATCAGTCTTGATGGGCAGATCGATTGTTGCGTGGGGTCATTGTATTTTCCTCATAATAGTCTCGGAGATAGTTGCGGAGAACGAGCCATCAGATGTGATTTTTCAGGTCTAAGCCCCGCTGAAATGTAAGATCCATGCGTGCACATGTGGGGGGAAACAACCGTTTCAGCTCGGGTGCGGCACTCGGTCTGACAGAGAACACTAGCGGGGCGGGGAAAAGGCCGGCTGATACTGAATTGACAAAAGCAGGTGGGGAAATATGATGATCAAAAAATATTGTTCGGAGCTCACCGTTGACTGAGCACTTTTGCTGATGTTTGACAAAACCAGCGCTATAGTGTGAGTATCACTGCCTAGTAGGTAGATCTCATCAACATCAGTGTGTAATAAAAAAAGTAATTTTAACATACGGATCCTCCTAGCGTCTAGATAACCGCAGGCTTAGTCGGGCACGCAACTCAGTACTAGTAGAGTAAGAATACACTGCTCTTTGGCTTTTCATAACTTCCTAGGAATGTGAGGAAACTCCATCGCCAATCAAGTGACCCACTTCAGTTTCTTCACTCCGCTCAGCCGCTCAACCCGACCAATCGCAAATTCCTCATACCAAGACCAAGAAGAACCGATGGTTTTATCTTCAGTCCGGATAAATCCGTTTATCTCCGTTATATTTCTTATTGTGGGACGGGAACGGAACACCGTAGGTGCATTTCCTCTACCCTTTCAAACCCTCGAGACTTGAAAATTAAGTTGTGGAAATGAAACAAAACTTTTGTTCATCTCTTTCATTCTGCTTCCCTCAGCGTCAATTTTTCGACCGCACAGAAAAAATAATGCAAATCATTGGGCGCGAGGTTGGCTCCACGGGCTTTGGCCTCATGACTAGTATACATATTCAGCCCCATATCTGCTTAGTTGATTAATTTACCGGTCTTACCTCATCAATAAGGCCCCCAGCGCCAAATACCCAAGCTTTCGAAGCCATGTATTAGGACCGGAGCAAACGTTCAATGTTTGGAATGGCGGTTCGTTTTATGGAACGCGCGACCGCAATTCTCTTCATCTACTGTACTTCGGGACTACTTCACCGAGCAACCAGAAGATGCGGATAAGAATTTTCTGAGTATTAAAGCCGGCTTGACTTCGGATCACTTACTGGATGCCCTTCGCCCGAAGCTCGTCATGCAGTGTGTAGATGAGGCCCTGGAAATTCTGCCACCAAGCCTGAAAAAGATTGACATCTTCGAATGTGCCAGAGTGGATCCCAACACTCCCATTGAAACGACAATGGAGGCGCCGCGGGACTTGGTGAGAGAAAGTAAGATTGATGCAGTGGGTTTTAGTGAGGTTAAGGCCGAGACAATCAAAAGTAGCAAACGTCCCATCTCTACTTTAGTCGTCGCCAGTATGGTTTTAACACACATGCAACGAAATACATCGACATCTGCACATGTGAACTGTACAACTACAAGCCTACGCAAAAATATCCTTAGCATTACATGGTATCAAATTGGGTTCGTTTCTTTTTACTGGGCAAATGTGACACGGCAGGCGAAGACACAATGGTATTGTGCTAAGGTCCTAGAAACTCAAGAAAAACACAGGCAGAGGAGAGAAAGAGAAATAGAAGGAGAAAAAGACAGAAAGGAGTCAACCTTAAGGTGCTTAAGGTTGACTACAGGAACTAGAAACTAAACCCTAATGAATGGGAAAACCTTCTCAGTGAATAAAGACTGTCATCTCTGCAACTATCAGACAACGGAAACAAAGACTGTCAATGCGTGACAGCCAACCGAGAGCAAGAAAAACAGAATACAGAATGGCAAGATTTGCAAGATTCAAAAGAAGAAAGACTTAACATTTCTTTCAATCATTGAAAGAAACCTGGAACACTGATAAATACCACGAGGAGCAAAGACCACCACATAGACCTCAATAAAACATATACTCGAGGTCATACATACGTAAGCGCAGCCATAAAGCCAGTCTGGAGTGTAATTTCATCTTTCGAGGCTTGCGCACTTGATTCCTGAATGGCTTAGGCACTTGATTCTTGAATGGGGAAAAGAAACAATTAACCTGTAGCTCCAGAAAACACTGCCCCTTCTCAAGCATGTCCTTATAGTCCTGCTGAGCCTGTTTCTTGTCCTCATCCGAGAGCTCAAAGCCCCGTTGACCCGAACAGCACCAACACTCGGTAGTGCAATGGCCCCTTCCTTTCTGCGGTTTCGATTGTGCTCTTCGAGCGCAGCAACCACAGTCTCGACTACAGCAGCCACCTGTTTCTGCACACTCTCGGACCATTTCTTCGCGCATATACCAGTCCTCTTTCGTTCTTAACCAATCGTACTGAGATCTTACCCATGAATTGATCCCCGCTTCTTCTCGGTAAAGTGCTTGTTGTTTATGGTAACGTTGGACACGAGTTTCATTCAGTTGGCTTTTCGCTTCTGCGTATGCAAGCTGGAGTTCGCTATCAAGTTCAATAGCCGTGGCCTTTTTAAGAGCGAGGACCTTGTATTGTAGCCTTTCCTCACGTTGAAGTGTTTCACGTAGTGCATACTCAGTGACCAGCACATTAGTGAAGATTGATAATTTCCATCGACTGCCCCCAAACCAGATTACAATGTAGTCAGGCCCAAGAGCACGGGCCTTTTCGGTGAAGCTTCCCATTTTTTGACAAGGGGGATTCAAGGTAGTCAAAATTGATTCTCGGGTTTGGGCGAGTAAAGAAAGTCGTACGGACTACTAGACGAAGCGGATGACAGAATAAATTAAAAGGAAGAACAAGAGATAATACTGGATATTATTTGGATAGCATTTGAGGTCCGGGACTCCGGGTCTACAATCTGGTAAGCCGCTGTCTAAAATGGGATATTACCTCCGAAGCATAAAGCATGTATAGTGCTTGGTTTAATACAGAAACGGAAGTATAGTACTAAACTTAATTGATAAATGGATCCTCTTGATGCCTGAAACTCTGCTATTCATCGGCACTATATTCAAAATGTAGCCAATCAAAATGCAAAATGTAAAGAGAAGTATCCAGGAAACTCACACGCGGTCACCCACAACTTTAGACTTTTAACCAGTATGTGGCTTAAGTATGACTGGACAGGCGGAAAACCTACTTCTCATAATGATCGTATGCCTTAATGATGATAATGATATTCTATTAATCTAATGGAATCTAGTGAAGGGGGGCGTTCTCATATCACTACTAGTATGGAGTGATGGGTGTGAGGCGGTAACGTTTGAAAGAGTCAAAAGCGGCAGCCGAGTAGCGGCGCTTGCGTAGTAATAGCTAGACTCGAGAATAAATGACTAGAGACAAAACAAAAGGGGTGACTAGTACCCGTACAGGTAATAAATCCTCAAATTACCAAATTCCCACAGAATAAATCCCACATCCTACTTCCTTCTTTCTTCACCGTATTCAACCCCTGCCAGCATCCCTAGCTTATATGTCTTCTGCTTCTTCCATACATTGATAGTACTAATCAATTACAATAATTCCGGTAGTCACCTCAGTGATCACAGGTTTATTGATTCATCATACACAGCATCTTCATTACCTATCCCTACAACCTATAGCCCTCCAACAGGGCTAATTGCGTCACAAATACTACGACCGAAGCTAGGCCTTCATCAAAATTCTGCTCAACGATCACAGAATCAAAGCCCTTCTCCCACATTGAGAAGGCCCCTTTTCCCTATTGTTTGATCACTTGTCATGTGATCCGTACTCTCACTCCATCTCCTGTAGATAGCTTGTTCTCTTCCTTCATCAAAGAGGCAGTCAAGCAAGCCAAGGAGGACGGAGTGACTGAGAACCAGATTGAGAAGGAGGAGACTGGGGCAGAAGACGGGATGGAGGAGTAGTGTGGGGAGTATGATTTAGGCTATGAGGGTATTGACGGAATTATTACTGGTTGATTGATTACTATAAGTATAAATACTGTTCCTGGGTTTTGTTTCTCTTCTTTCTTTTCTTCCCTCGTCATCTACCCTGTTTCCCCCCCCCTCCCCCGTTTTACAATCAAAAGGCTCAAGCTTTTGACGGTTAACCAACTACTGTTATTACTTGATTATTCACTTCCAGCTCATTACTCCTCTTACTTTCTTCCCAAGAGAACCTGGGGCAATTCCACCCAACTCTCACAAATACCTGATCCAGTCATCACTTCAAAAGCAGATTGGTGTGTGTCAACATGGGTTTGAAGGATCTTGTTAAGAAATTGGGTGGTAGATGGAGATGACAGGATGGTGAATCATAAGGTTCAGTTCCGGAACGAATTGGTGATGTGAGTCGAAATAAGAGTTAAGTGAGAGAGATTCACGCATTGACGGGACTTATTGGAGTTCAACCCGATGAGAATGTATGTGTTGAATCCGTAAGACCCACTGAGACTTTGAACCCTCCTAATGCCCCCGAAATGAATTCCAAGCTAACTTCCGATTTAAATCTAGAATCTGTGTTAATAAGAGAAGAAGAGGAGGATAATAATAAGCTAGGGATGGTTATGCTATAAGAGTTTTAGTGTGAGGTTGATGAGGCGACTCAGGTCTATAAATTAATTGAGACACCGCTGCCTATTCGGTGCCGATGCCGTCCATAACCCTTATCTCGCCTAGTACCATAAGAAACTCCTGAATTGCTAACTTTGTTACCACCTTAGCTACTCCGACCCGAGTTCGACGATGACTAGGATGCCCAACTACCAGACTTCGGAAACGGATATTCACCAGTAATCCCGTCCGCTGCCAATGCTACCAATGCCGTGAACACGCCGGAAAAGTTCCCCTGGAAGTCCGGATTCTTCGACTACTTGCTTACCCCGGACGAATCGAGTCCGACTCATCGCCACAAACCGCCATCGCAGCTCCGCTCACAAGTCTCTCCCATCCCGGATTGTGAATCCAGTCTTGAATCACCCACACCCAGGCATCCAAAGAAGGCACGAACTTCCTTCTCTCTCTTCTTTCTTTCTTCCTTGCAGCACTCAATATTATCATATTGCGTTCCTCGCCCTCCTTTCCCTCATAGACTCGATTCCTCGTGTCTCTTCACCTATCCCTTCTGCCCCTACAGGGACTGGTAGTTTCAGTTGTTAATACAACGACAGAAGCAAGACCCTCGTCCACGTTTAGCTCCGTGGTCACAGAGTCAAAGCCCATATGGGAGGGTACGAAGCTCTGCGGCATCGGTATTGGAGTTTTTGCGGTCCTCTTTCTTTGTGCCCTGGGGGCCTGGTTCATCATTGGGATGAGAAAAACCCGGTAGGCTTGGGATGAACGAGTCGCGCTGCGAGAATACTAATCATAAGTGAATGTAGTGATAGGTCGGTGGACCCCCTTCAGCGCAGCCTCACAAAGACCTACCGGGACCTACACAAGCAATGGAGGAAAGAAAAAACCAAGGCGGAGCATAAGGGGAAAGGTATGAGAACTGTGTGAAACTTGGAACGAAACATCTAAAGTGTTTAAGATCTATGCTAACCCGCCAGTATTAAAGACTTCAAAACCCACATGTGCATGAAAGAAGGGACTTGAGACGGGATTTGAGACGGGATTTGAGACGGGATTGGAGACGGGATTTGAGGCGGGATTTGAGACGGGACTTGAGACAGGATTATACTTCATACTTCAGTAATAAATGGCATAACATAATATTGACCTCACCGGCCGTGAAAAGGTGACTTCGTACCTTCTAATCCTGCGAAGTATAAAATTGGAAGGCACGCTAAAATCGTAAATATAGACAAATGTGAAGTCCCGCCACTTTCATGTAAGTGTAAACACATTGATTCTTTTGAAACTCTTCGTGCCATTCTCAAAATGACGAAAAACCTCTTGGTCTTGCCTGTTCCTGCGTCCCCTACGGGGGTACTTTCAATCAGAGGGATGACGACGGAAGCAGAGTCCGTTTGGCCTGAGTGGATGATCATTTTGGGGATCATTCTTGGAGCACTTGTGCTCATACTGCTTTGTTATCTGGGGGCCTGGCTCTACAATGCCAGCATGAAGATCTGGTAAGCTTGGGATGAAATAGTGGCGGTGCGAGGATGCTAATCATAAGTTAATATAGCCAAAACCCTCAGCACATCCTCTCGAAGGAGTACCGGAGGAAGCACCGACAATGGAGGAGGGATAAAACCCGCGCGGCGCGTCAAGACATAGAGGGAGGTATGAAAACTGATTGAAACTTGGAACGAAAGGGTCAAGATCCATGCTAACCCGCTCACTTTTAAAGGGTTCGACATCCCCGAGCCCAAGTTTCCCATTGCTGTGTACGCCCGCGACCCATCAACACCGTTGCCTCCTCCCGTCCCTGACGCCGACTCCTTCCCCTACCAGTTTGTCGTCGTCCCGAGGGAGTATGCGCAATGGTACTCCGGGAATTTCGGCGAGGCTTGATTGATGGTTTGGCCGTTTCGACACGGCCTACAGTATTAAATCCGCCCACCCCCTTTCTCTCAAGCAGGACCGCCCTCCCCTGCTCCAGTATTAAATCCGTCCACCCTACTTTCTCTCAAGCAGGACCGCCCTCCCCTGCTCACAGTATTAAATCCGCCTACCTCCCTTTCTCTCAAGCAGGACCGCCCTCCCCTGCCCCTGTTGCTTCGTTCCTTTCTTTTGGTTTTCTTGTCACTCTTTTCGGTTTTTTCGTCGCTCTTTTCGTCGCTCTTTTTGTCGCTCTTTTTGTCGCTCTTTCAGTTCTCTTGTCACTCTTTTTGTCACCATTTCAGTTCTCTTGTCGTTCTTTCGGTTCTGTTGTCACTCTTTCAGTTTACTTGTCACTCTTTTTGTCACCATTTCAGTTCTCTTATTATTCTTTCGGTTCTGTTGTCACTCTTTCAGTTCTCTTGTCACTTTTTCAGCCTTCTGTTTAGCTCTTTTCTCAGACTTGAAATGAACTAAATGGCTGATTTCCAACTTGTCGGTGTCGCCCTTCGTAACCTTGTAGACTGCGTGGTAGGTATGGAATAGTAATTGAGGGTGAATCGACCCATCAGAGTCTATCTCCCGCCAAGAGGCCCGCGGAATGCCGATGGAACCATAATGGGTGGTTAAGCTGACCATGCTCGGGATCGAGGGCATCTTCGACCCAAAGCAAGATATGAGAACAGCAAAAGTCAATGACGAGGTTCATCAATTTTAGCTCACGGGCGAGCACGCTCACAGGCTCCGAGCTTTCTGCTCTGTTTCCATGCAAGACCTGCAAGCAGTCGCCGTAGAGGCAGAGCGATGGGTCAAAGAACTAGGCTTCGTCAGCGTTCTTATCAACGGATACACGCAAAGCGGCGATGCCGAAACTGTACAACATCTCGACGAGCCCTATCGTAAGCCCCTGTAGGCTAAATTAGAAGAATTGACGTTCCGGTGTATCTGCACCCCATGTTTCCTACCCCCGACCAAGCGCGCATCGACCGGGATTGTGAATTCCTTGCGGGTAGCCCATGAGGCTTCGGTGTGGAAAAGTGACGCATGCAATCCGGCTGATAGTCTCAGGCTTGTTCGACACACACCCTAAGCTGAAGGTTCTTCTTGGTCACTGCGGAGAAGGGCTCACTTTATCGCTCGCGGGTATAGATCATCGGATGCGTCACTTCAAGCCAGAAAACTTCAAGTGCAAGCTGAGAATGCAGCGATTCTGGGAGAAGGAGTTTTGGATCACGACTGCCGATGTTGCCAGTGGAAAACTTTTCTTCGACACCCTCCGCAGCTGTGGAAAGGACCGGTTTATGTGGGATGTCGACTATCCGTATGAGGACTATGGCGAGGTAAGCACTTGGTATGAGAGATTGGAGTTGAGTGAGAACTCTCGGACCAGCAAGATTGAATAGAAGAATGGCAAAAGACAGCTCAAGATTACTTCAAGGGTAACCAACTTACTTTTGTGTGTGTGGGATCCCTTTGTCGAAAGAGGTCACTCAAGACAAATGGTGTTTGACAGACTGACCATGTGACCAGTTGACTGACTCCACGCTCAAGGTCACCTGATTCTTCGGGAATACATCGGGCCGAATGATGACACGGAGCCGGAAATACTAGGTTCCGGGCGGAAGGAACACTTAGCCTTCAGGTACCGAGAAATGTACTCAAGAGTATGTCGTCTGACTCGTGCACTGTGGTGCACATGTGTAGTATCTTATTCTAATGCAAGAGACAATATAGTTACATCATGCTATTTTTCAATGTTTTCACAGACTACGTTTCAACTCCCTTCGCACACCGGTTTTCCACAGAAGCACCTTCAAAGTCAATGTCTGTCAAGTGCGAAAAACATATTCTCTCCATCAAACGTCTCGAAATTAAAGTCCATCATGTGACTCATGTCACAAAAGTCTTCAAAACCAAAGCTACCAAACAGGTCATTATTATCATCTGTCGTAATATGATCTTCCAAATTTGAGCATATCCCGTGTTCCATTGAGCCTCTGTTGTCGAGCTGGAGTTGCTGCCCCGCCGTAATCGCCGATATATTCTTGGCAGAGCTCTCTATAAATGGCTTTCTAGTGCTCCCATCTGCATTTTGAAAGATCGAGACCACTCGTTCCCGCAAGTCAGTGCATGTCTGAGTAAAATCATGAGAAAAGCCCCATTGAAGATACCAAGTTTCAACAAACTCAGTAGCAGAAGCCAAAAGCTCAACGTCAGATCTAACAAGCCTATTGTTAGGTTGACGTAGAATACCAAGGCCGAGTATCACCGTAGCTAGATAAGTCGGAGGAGCCGGAAGCAGCGTTGATTGCAAGCGACTGTCGGCTAGTTGAAGCGATTGAGTGATAATTGATCTTGCTGCATTGGCGCATATTGATGCACCACTCAAGAGCCGGGAGTGATTCGGTATAATTTTCATGTGCTTAGTTATCTCTTTCTCAAGACTTTTCTGAGGGAAAAGAAGCGTGATGCGTAAAATGCTGAGTTGGGCCTGTGAGATTGGTTAATATCATTCTTAAGAACCATGTTTGAGTTCAACTGACGTGGTGATACTGCTGGGCAAGAAATGTGGAGATGATTCTCTGTTCATCTCTAGCGTAAACTGGATATGTGATGTGAGGCTTCAGCGGGTCTGGCAGGTAATTGGCCCACTCCGTGAGCTCTTGGTCTAGTTCTGCAACCAAGCCAAGAATTTCGGCGGATCCACCCATAAATCTGTGGAAGTACAGACGATTTGAAATGCGACCCATAATGCTACCCAATGCGACCCAAGCCCTAAAGTAGGGGAAATTAAGCTCCAGGTCCACATCCATAGAGAAGCATACGGACAGCGAATCATAGCTTCTGTCAATGATGGACGGTCTGCCATACTCTAGTTGCATTAGTTTTTCCAATGCAAAGCATGACCACCAAAGTCGTTCATCGGGGCTTGCTGGACTAGAGTCGATTGTGAAGGCTTGTGTGGATGGACCTACTTTAATTAGTTTGTGTAGTCCAATAGACTGTGCCATTCGGACCGCATGACCAGCAACTTGCCATGCCTGCCCAGCTCTTGCGGCAGACTTCAGTGCCAGAGATAACAGGAATAATGCTTGTACAGTCGATGTCGATGGAATGGCAGTCAAGTGACCATGAAGGCAGTGGCCAGCTGTCAAGTATTCAATGTTCGAACCTAGGCTTTCAGGTCATTATTTCCAGCTTTCTGTTGTAACCAAACAATCTTGTTGATATCTTCTTCAAAGGCGGAGCGCTCAATAACGGGATAGAGTGGCCATAGTCGCGTGAAAAATGCATCGATATAGGTGGAGAGCCTTTGTGGGGTTGGTAGGAGCACCAACTTTGGTATAATAGGCATTGGGAACTCCTCGGCATGTAACATACCATGCTTGAACAAAGGGGTGGCATCACCGAAACCATATCTTGTTAGATGTAAATCGACAAAGTTGACAAGGCATTGCACGCTACTCGCGCCCAAGTGCTTTTGCAAATTAAATCCAAGTCAGACCGAGTTATAACTCCATGAAAAGAACTGATCCTGGTGTCAACGCTTACACATGTCTTGTCTCCTGTATCATCTGTGGTAACGATCTCATCTGGTGACGTCTCAATTGCCACCTGCTCTGTTCCACACTGCCCTGGTGTGACCTCTTGAACATGAGCCTCGGTACTCTCCTGGTATGCCCTGGACTGCCAAGAAAAGTGGTCTTCTCCTAGTCTCTCACTGTGATTCGTTCTTCTCGATGACGAATCTTGGCTCACCGATGACGCAGCTATGGGGGAGCTTTTCGAGGCTCTCCTTGAGTCTGGCGAAGCCTGATCCACTTGATTGGCTGGAATGGGGACAGTTGGATTCAGGACGGAATTGATTGATGATAATGTAACTGGGGTGCGTGTTCCTGGGGATTGGTAAACTGGTGACAGAACCGGGCCAGCCTTCGGTCGAGTCTTCAAATTCCAGCGCTTCATGGCCCGTCGGCGCACAGCAGGGAAGTCTCCCGAGTTCCTAGGATCCGATGTCTCACACAGATCCCCACGAACGCTGCAGTTGCGGCACTTCGGTTGTTGCGCGTCACAGCGAACCTTGCGCTTTCGACATTGGTTACAAGCGAGAGCCAGCCGAATCGGCTTACTCTGTGTCGAACCTCCTGCAGATGTCAGACTTTCGTGTTCGGTATTAGCCCCGATCGCTAGTGGGGTGGGAATTGGCCCAAGATGGGCTTGAAACGACATCGGAGGCAGCTGTGCAGAAAGGTAATATCGTGTGATATGGTGAACCGACCCGTGGCAAGATCATTTTTTTTTCGGCAGGAGCCGGCACCGTCAGTTAGTACTAAAAATATCACGCGATATTTCCCTGTCCCCCACATTCGCCGATTGTTACTACTAGTAGTGTTACGGGATACTATATTCGAGCCAAAGAGTAATATTAACCCCGCAGTTCCCCGCATTTCCCCACATTGTGTTTACCGAACCGAACGCGATTCCCTTTGTTATCACGCATAGTTCAATCTATCACGTCAGGTTCGAAATTTTGATAGATATCCCAATAGAGTAGATTAAGGTAGCCGAGGTTAAGTCTCGTATCTCAATCGTGATGCAGTGCTTCCAATATGCCTTTCATTTGCTCCACTCTGGATTGCAAAATTTGCTGTTGAGTCCAATGCACACCATTTTTTCTTGATATCTAGATCTTCAGGCTACAGCATCAACAATTGGCACTAGTTACAATAGGTAATATATACATTCTTACTAAAGAAACCAGGCCGAAATCCTAGCCATGTAATCCCTTCTCAAGTTCCTTCTTGAGTCCATTAAAGATCACATGACCTCTTTTTCTGCCAACAGGGGCCGCACTGGTGGGGAAAAAATACGTCCCGATTGGGCGTAGCGCGTCATATGACCCGTGTAACGTGTAGCAAGCGATTCAGCCCCACGCCCGCATAATGCCGCTGCCGTTTCCCCCCTACCCATCGATCTAGAATAGACTTAAGAATGGACTTGAAAATAGACTTGAGAATGGATTTGAGAATGGACTTAAGAATAGACTTGAGAAGATTTTGGTGCCTGATTTTTTTGTAAGGATATGTACATTTTTTTGGAGTCAATTTTTTACTTCTGGCCTAAGAATTAAGGCATTAAGTTTTTGAAGGCGGTAAGATGAAAGGAAAAGGCGGTAAAAGAAGCGGTCAGAAAATATTACTGCCTAAGGCATGATGAGGAAAACTCAGGCATCAATCTATCCTGATTAGGCTTAGTAGGTCATATGGGGGTGTGTTAGCATGAGAGGGGGGTGTGTTTAGATTAAACTCCTTTACTTATCTAGACATTTCTTATTTACTATGAGATTATAATAAGACACCACTTTATATTGAAGCTGCAGTAATTGTAATCAACTTAAAGCAGGAACGCTATAGTGGGATAAAGGGCAAAATAACTCGGCTTGGGAACTCAGAGCCAAAATGAACGACGTGATCACCCTTGTTTTTCTCGTGCTCAGGTCTGGGCTTGGAGAAAGCAGCAACTTCAGTGAATCCAGGATACTGGCCCAGAATGTCAATTTGGATACTCTCACCTTCCTCATAGTCCACACCCATGGCCCAGATGCCGATTTCCAACTTGACGATCTCGCCCTTCGTAACCTTTTGGACTTCGTCGTGGGGATGGAATGGGAATTGGGGGTGAATCGATCGACCAGAGTCTATTTTCCGGTGAGAAGCCCTCAAAATACCGATGGAACCATGATGGGTGGTTAAGCTGACACGGTCTTTCTCCGCGATCTCGTCCATGGTATTGACGGGCGCACGATCGAAAGGGAACTGCAGTTGGCCAAGTTCTTTCCCCTCTTTGCTGAGCTTACGCAGTTGAACAAATACAACCATATCATCAAGCGCGTCACAGCTCATGAAAAGCTCAATCTTGGGAAGCCCGAGAAGTCGACTTGGCTGCAAAAAGGTGTGTTTGAATTTTGAGATGGACCATCGGTCTTCTGAATTATGCACGGAGCTGCCTCTCTGAAGAGGTAGCTCCGCTGAAAGAGAGCCGTTCGGAGCAAGGTATAAAGTGCGATAATCGGTATTTGGCACCGGGAAGTCGGGAAGCACGATGTCACTATTGACTTCTTTGTCCCCGAACGGGAGGGTTGTCCAGCGTACTTTGGGCGTCTTCTCCCAATCGTTATCGATTTCCTTGAGATATTTATCGAAGAATTTCTGCACCCGGTTAGTGATATATCCTTGAAATTTTCGCAAAGCCTAACTGGATCGCTCACCTTCAACTCCAGATAACTCTCCGGTACCGCGTATAGCTCGAACCACTCTTGATAACCGCTCCATTTGATCCATTTCTTCTCGGTATTGACTTCCATCCATCCTCGGATCGCGCCCATGGTATGAATCTGGCTGAAGTCGGATCCCGTGATAAAACATGGAATATTGATTTTTTTCATATCGACTCTCTTGTCGTTCCAGTAAATGTTGGCTTGAGAATCCCGGCGATACATTTCCGCGAAGTCCTCAACCCCGGAATTTCCTTTAATCACCACAGTGGTGATAAGGTCATAATTGCTCATGTTGAACCATCCTCCTCGGCAGAACTGCTCTCGGAAAATATCTCCTGACCCTTCCCATGGTGCAATAGCTTTGAGTGAGGGCGGATTCTGGGCAGCGGCGTGCCATTGCATGATGGCAAGATATGAATTGCCTGCCATCCCGACATTGCCGTTGCACCAGGGGAGCTTTGCAAGGGACTCAATCACGTCATGAGCATCTTCGGCCTCTTGCAAGCCCATACACGGTACATCCCCATCGCTGTTTCCCGCTCCCCGGACATCAACACTGGCTATGGCATAGCCTTGGGCAACCCACCAAGCCGGGTCCAAGCCCTCAAACTTCTCTAACCCGCTGACATCTCCGCGCTCAAGGCAACAAGCCCAAGTGCAGACATTGAATATCATTTCTAGCGCTGAATACTTCTTCCCATATGGGGACCATGAGATAATCACGGGAACTTGATCGTCGCTCGTTGGTCGATATATGTCGGCATGGAGTCGACAGCCGTCTCGAACACGGATCTCAATATCATGGTCGATTCGAACATCGGACTCCAGCTTCCTGGCGTTGAATGGCGCGGTGCCTTTCGCGATCACCTCTGACCTGCCCGGCGAAGGCTCGACATAGCCATTGACACCAACCTCGGGCTTGGTCAAAGGCTTGTATGCGACTTGGTAAGGAATAGGCATAGCTTTGAAAGATTAAGAAGATTATGAACAAGGACGATTGATCATTCGTTTACAACAAAATCCTCAATGGGAAACAGACAAAGCAATTCATTTAAATGAAGCGACATACAAGGATATATCACAGCTGCACAAAGCTGGGTCTGGAACTTCGGCTCGGATCATGGGAGAACGAGTCAATGGGCGCCCACCTGGGCGTTTCATCCTAATTTCCCTTGCATGGGCAAATTCACGGCTCGGTTGGCCAATTCTCGGAGAGCATCGATACACTTATTGGACTAGTCCATTCATGGTCTAGCCTGTAATTTACCCCGTACCCGAATTGTGGGGGTAAACAAGCCAATCAACCGAGCCGAGCCGAACCGAACCGTAAGAGTCGGTAGGACCCTGAACTGAATGCTGCCACAATGCTCATATTTCCTCATTTGTGATGTCTGCAGATAAAAGCAGGATAAGAATCTTCGAGTTTGGTTAAATTTGACAAGGTAATTCCTCAATTACATCTCAGTCTTCCCTGACAACTATCTACGCAATAATGTCTAGCACCATAGAGACTAAGCCGAAAACAGTCGCAGCTCGCTTCGAAACCAAAGACTTGGTTACATTTGACAAAGACCAAGTCTATGGCGACTGGCGCGATGAGTTCCACAAGAATGGCTGCGTGGTGATCAAGAATGTCATCACTCCTGAACGGGCCCAGTACTACTGTGACAAGCAAATTCAGTGGTTGAAAAACTTCGAGCTTGGTTTCGATGAAAAGGATCCCAGCACATGGACGGTCGATCATCTGCCAATCAGTTTCAAGGGTGGGATGTACTTCTCGTATGGTTCGACCCACGAGAAGATTGCTTGGGAGGCTCGTACAGAGCCTAAGGTCGTTGAGACCTTTGAGAAGCTGTGGGGCACCAAGGAGTTGATCTCTTCTTTCGACGGGATGAACATTTCATTGCCAAATCGCAAAGATCTAAACTGGAGTCCTTGGCCTCACTGTGACCAAAATCCAGAGCGAAAGGGGTGAGTCCTCCGTTTGATTATTGGAGAAAATAGACTGACAATCAATAAAGCATGCAAGCCGTCCAGGGTCTTCTCAACTACGCCCCTAACGGCCCCAAAGATGGCGGTCTCATGCTAATGAAAGGGTCTGCCAACCAGTTCAACGAGTTCTTCGAGCACAAGCGCGAATCTGCAGATCACGAAGATGCCCCACCTCCTGAAATCCAATACATGGATCTGTTCCTTTTCAGCGAGAAGGATATCAAGTGGTTTGAGGAGCGAGGCTGCGAGCTGGTCAAAATTAACATGGAGCCTGGCGACTTTGTTCTCTGGGACTCCCGGACCATGCACTACGCACGCCTGCCTGAGGGCGACCAGATTAGACATGTGCAATACATCTGTATGACCCCGAGAAAGTTCGCCGATGAAGAGGCTTTGGAAGCAAAGAAGAAATGCTTCGAGACATTCACTGGGACTACGCATTGGCCGCATTGGTGTGTATTTCTCATACACAAAAGCTCCGCCATGAATACTAATTAACGCATCTCCAGCAACATCCGTCCTGCAGAGGAAAAGCCCATGCGGGATGGAGAAGTTTGTCCCAAATACCGGACGGAGCCGTTCGAGAAGCCTACCATTACTGAACAGGTGCTTCGGTTAGCCGGTGTGAAGTCTTACTGAGATATTTTTTGGATGATATTTGCTTTGGACAAATAAGAACCACTGAAATTGCGAACTTACAATTCCTGTCCAACCGTACTGTTACATGATGATGATGCACCCTACTATTACTCGAATATACTACTAGTAGTAGCGATAAATCTACCTTCCTGGCCTTTCTTATCTGAGTTGCTCGAACATTTCTTAGAAGATTTAAAATCGTATTCCATGGAGTCTTGTTTGTATGTTTGTCCACTTTGCACTCTGGATGAGCGTGCGTGCCGATTGGCAGTGGGCCCATTAGGCGTGTCAGGACACGTCAAACAAGACAAACTTCCCCCTTGCATATATTACCGCAGCGCGGCGCGCATCGCGCGTCTCTCTCTTTCCTGCCTATGTGTGCCAAAAATACAAATATTCTGCCCAATATGCACATTACCACTTATCTTATTTCCATGGAAATATGAGCGGGTAGACCGCAGGGAATTCATCATAGATTTCCAGAGACCATATTTGCTACCGGGCCATGAAATTTGGGTTCGCAGTATCCACCTCGGGTCGGTTGGCCTAGACTAACCCGACTAACCCCTCTTCTTTCCCCATATTCCAAGTCTCCTCCCCCACGGGGAACAAGCCACGGAAAGTGGGGAATTGCAGGGACTTGCAGTTCCGTGTGGGCGGGCGCGTCACGAAAGAAGAAAACGGCTTGAATCTATCGAATCGGATTCGCAATTTGGTCATCTTCCGTATCTACGAGCGAACCGTGAACCATGCCACCACCAGAAGAACCTTTGACACTAACGAGGTAGTTCTACAACCTGACCGAGCTCATGATTTCGTGGAAAGACATTATAAACGTGATGACAGTCCGCCAAATGTTCCAATTTTCATCCGCAACTGGCGAAACACCAGTCCACCTCGCCCGTTGAATTTACAAACACTTGGCTCACAGTCGCCATGGACAAACCGGCAGGCTCGAAGCATGTTGAGAACATTGATGTTGAAGATATGAGCGAGGGAATCGAGGTCACCAAGTCCAAGGTGAACGTCAGTGGAACTGTCCAACTCACTGCAGGCAAAATCGTCTATATTCCGACCCCTACAAGTGATCCTCAAGGTTTGTTCCCTGTTGACAAGCTTCATTTTGCCTTGTGTCATTAACAGTTCATAGACCCGTTGAATATGGGAAAGTGGCAAAAGACCATGGTTTTAATTGCTCTCTCTCTTTGTACGCTCTCCTTCAACAATCTACAGAATGATACTGACTCGTCTAGTCTCAACTGTCGGCTTGTCCCTAGTGTCTGGTTTCGGCGGTCTTTTGACCTTGTATATTCCTGCATACACTGCCGCTGGAAAAGACTACGCCGATATTACCTCACTCATGACATATCCGACCTTGACCATGTAGGTGAAACCCTTACCTTTCAATGCATAAGCTCACCTTTTTAAGGGGTATCGGCAACTTGATCGGAATGCCTATCGCCATAGCCGTTGGTCGCCGTATTGTTTTACTCGTTGCGACGGGCATAATGGTCATCGGCGCCATCTTGTGCGCGTATGCAACCAACTTCGATTGGCATTTAGGTGCACGTATGCTTATTGGTCTCGCTGCGGGTCAGAGTGAGGCTCTAGTCCCCATGATAACCCAGGTGAGTCATAGAAATCATTTCAAAATCTCCTTGCTACAAGGAAGGTGATTTTAATTTATGAGTATAGGAAATTTTCTTCCTTCACGAGAGGAGTACATTCCTCATGGTTCAGCAAAGCGTTCAAACAATCGCGACAGCTATATTCGTCCTTTTTGCCAGTCCTATTGCTGCAGCTATCACAACTAGATGGTGGTATGGCCTTGGTGCTTGCCTTGCTGGCGTTTCTTTTATCATGGCGTTCTCATTTGTCCCCGAGACAAAGTACTACCGTCCTCAATCCTCTTACCAGGAGAACTCATCCACCGAGGCATCCGATGAAGAACATGGTGATCAAGTCACAAAGGGCTCTCACCATATAGTCGTAGAGAAGCCGGCTCTGGACTTCGACCTATACGAAGCTCGTACATGGCGCTCTGACCTTCGCCTTTGGGTCGGTTCACCTGAGTGGCGCAAGGGAATGGAAACTCTTATAGTAAGTTCTGTAGCAAGCATCCAGACACACTTCGCAGCTAATGTTCCTCGCAGGAGTCTTTTCGGCTACTTCTCCTACCCAATGTCCTTTGGGCTATGGCGTTAAACGGTCTCACTCTCGGTGTCAACGTCGCCATTGGTACAACCTACGGCACCATTGTTACTTCACTGTACAACTGGCCAGAACGGTCGGCAAGCTACGTGAACTGTGGCCAAATAGTCACCTCATTGGTGGCTTTGCCAATGTTTGGTTTTGGTTCCGATAGGCTCATCGCTTGGTTCGCAAATAGACGAGGTGGCATCCACGAGCCGGAGATCCGCCTGCTGCCGCTCATATTCCCCATCATTATCGGTACATTCACAGCAGTACTATACGGCTATGGTGCCTCTCATCCAACATCGTATCACTGGTTCATCTACGTTTGGACTGTTGCTGCTTACTACTTTACTTTTGTAGGCGCCAATATTGTGGCTATCACGTATCTCCTCGACAGCTACCCCCAGCGGGCTAGCTCCTTGTTGATCATCATTTGTGCATTCCGTGGTATTATATCGTTTGGTGTCAGTTATGGCATCAGTCCATTTATTGAGAGGAATGGCTATGATGGAGCATTTGGCACATTTGGAGGTCTAACTGCTTTGTTTGGATTGCTGGGAATTCCTGTTTTCATATGGGGCAAGAGGATTCGTGCGATTACGGGTATATACAAGGTTGATAAGGAGTGATCGTGTGGGCTTATACTGTTGAAGCTTCTTACGTTGTGCCCCTCGTGCTGGCCGTTATAAGCGAATCAGGGTTTGCTGGTGCCCAGGAGGTCCTGGTAGAACAATCAATATCTCTTTTATTTATTCCAAGCTTGGAACGTTCAAAATTTCAAATATTTTAAGCACATATTTTTTAGCTGCATGACAAAGCACGATACCTGCTTGTATAAACTCATCAATGCAATGTGATCTTGTGTGACCGCATGCTGACAAAGCAGATGATTTATGACTTTCCAGATCTTTGACCCCACGCGTCTTCCTTGGGTTTTTTTGGTCTTTTGTCCGAGCTCCACTTCATTGCTATGACCGGTGTTTACAAATAAGAAGCCGACGGCTAAATCTCGGTCCGGAGGGGCAGCTAGTCCCTCTGACCTGTTCATAATATGGCACAATCCCTGTCGAGCTACGGCATTTCTGTCATGACAACATACGATCTTCACCGGAGAAGGGGGTCACCTGGCCATACTCCATGGGAAGTGGATACCGGGGCGGGCTCTTCCGACCTTTCAAAGAAAGATCGCGGGAACGAATGAAATGAGTGGAGGATCCCGGTGAATGGAATTCAATTACCGAGTTAGCCTGTATCCCGGTCGGCTTTCGAAGGCCCAAGCGCACCGGATAGAAATTTGTTCCCGATTGGAGGCCGAAGTTGAGGGAAAAGTCAGTTATGAATGTCGGTCAACGACCGAGTCAATAATATGGCGGTCCACGGAATTTTAAAGGGTTGAGTTTCGCAAAGGCGAAATTACTGTGGGTTTGACTTTGGGGGGCCACGACGTTCACCGGAGCTTTTTCTTTGTCGACAGATCTGGGGATGCTGGTCAATGCTGGTCAATGTCCATTCTATGGCTGGTGATTGGAAGACGTCGCCGTAGAACTGGGGAAACCCCTCCAAAGTACCTGTACCCCGGGTCCACATGGCAAGGATGTCGGTCAACTTCCGGTTTCCCCAGCTTGGGGTCCCCGCAACCCCCCTCGAGTCGAGGTATCTACTAAAGACGGACACGTCCCTCGCACATTACTTTTTTCATTTTTCTCTCACTCTCGTTTTCCTCGGAGACTTTGCCAGATTTATTGTGATTTGGGTGAACGTCTGGGTTTTTTTTGTGTTCCGTGATCTATACAAAGCTTATCTGTCTGCCAAGCATCATGGCAAGCCTTGCCAAGCTGCGTGGAAAGAATCTTGGCCGCGTCATTGGCGTTATTGGTGCCGTCGGCTTCATTTTACAGGGCTACGACCAAGCGGTAGCCAACGGACTACTTACTTTGGCTTCATTTATTGCCGTCTTTCCACAAATCGATACTCTGAATACTTCTGGTGCTCAAAAATCACACAACTCCACTATTCAAGGTGAGTGCCGAGATGACATTCCAAGACCCGAAAAGGAAAATCCCCCATTCTGACTCGAACAGGCACCACGGTCGCGATTTATGAAGTTGGATGTGCCCTCGGTGCATTTTCATGTGGTTTTCTGGGTGATCGACTCGGTCGCAGAAAGACTATCTTCTTAGCAGGATGCATCGCTCTAGTTGGAATTATCATCCAAGCTACGCCTTTCTCTCTGGCCCAGCTGATTGTGGGTAGAGTCATCACCGGTATGTATATATATAACATCCACCTCCCTCAAGTCATCTTTCAATTGATAACTAACAACCTCTAGGTTTGGGTGTTGGTGGCTTCACAGCGACAATTCCCATGTACGTCTCCGAATCCTCCGATGCCGAAGCCCGTGGACGTATGGTTTTGTTGCAAGGCTGGTTTGCCATTGGTGGTGTTGCTTTTGCAACATGGTTGGAGTTTGGTCTATACTACGCGGGCAGCAACTCCGCCAGCTGGCGATTCCCGATCGCCTTCCAGGCTATCTTTGCCATTTTCGTCGTTTCCTGCATCCTCTTCATGCCCGAGTCTCCTCGTTGGCTCGCCAAAGTAGGCAGAATTGAAGAAGCTGCAGAGGTGCTGGCACGTCTGGAGGATGTTTCCGTTGACTCGGAGCATGTTGCCCAAGAGCTGGAGATCATCCGGCAATCACTTCTGGAGAACGAACAAAATGAGGGCTCAACCTCTTCTTCTCCTTTCGCTCGTACCAAGAACCGCCATCTCCACCGCACAGTGCTTGCCATCGGCGTCAACGTCCTGGCCCAGATGACCGGTGTCAACATTATTACTTTCTACTCCGATACGATTTTGGAAACGAACCTGGGCTACTCAGGAACCACCGCCCGTATTGTTTCAGGCTGTCTACAGATCTGGCAATTTTTCGCTGCTGGTCTAGCTGTTCTCCTTATCGATCGCTTCGGTCGGCGCCCACTTCTTATTGCCGCCGCCGTCGGTATGACAATCGCGCAAACCTGCTTAGCAGGTCTATCTAGCGACCTCACAAACACAGCTGCAGCAAGTGCCTCGATCGCATTCTACTTTGTCGCGCTCTTCTGTTTCCCGATCGGACTTTTCCTCGTGCCTTTCATGTACGCAGCCGAGATCGCGCCATTGCGTACTCGTGCCAAGGTCACTGCCATGTCCGCGGCTGCGAACTGGATCTTCAGCTTTGTTCTGGCCGAGGTGTCGCCGACTGGATTTGCGACTATCGGATACAGGTACTACATTGTGTACGCTTGCATCAGTGCGTCCGCCCTTGTATTCTTTTACTTCCTCTGCCCCGAGACGAAAGGACGGACTCTGGAAGAGATTGATGAGATCTTTGTCAACTCCAACTCCTTCTTCGATACCGTCGCTGTCGCAAGGGATATGCCATATCAAACCGAGCTCCTTGCCCATGCCGAAGATACGGAGAAAATGGGCATGCAAGCTGAGCGGATCGAGAACGTCGCCTTGGAGAAGTCTTGAACGAATGCAGTCGTGGAGCACATGGCTTGATGGAAAATTTCCGTTGGTCTATGGACTCCGTACCATATGTTAGATATGAATGTCGATATAGAATACGTACATGTGAAACGATATGAATGAGGATTAACACGTCACTTTCGCCGCTGAACTTACATGCACCCTCTCTCATCACACAGTTCTCCCTTGATTGTAACTCCGTCACTTGCGTAGATCATCAGCATCACCATACGACCCCGTTCTCACACCCAAACACCCTCGGAGTTGAAATCTCCGCACGCGTAGGTTAATTCTTTCTCTCCGCGCCCAACCCACCCACCGACGTACATGGCGCTCACAACGGGTCTTCCGTGTGGAGCCGCCGAGGAATCCGGCAAATTCACCCGACTAACCTAATGAAACCTTGCACAGTTTCAGCGATTCCCCAAGACCGTGTTCAGGCAATGGTCAGTCAACTCTGCGTTAAACTTCCATGAGGCCAAGGGGCAAAATGTATGACCATTAGATCAGGAACGAGAACCTCACGAGTCCACTTGGATAAGAAAAGCAGGTTTGCAGTCGCAGTGCGAACAATTGAGGTGGAGACTTGTTTGTGGACTCAGTGAGATGAGACTATGGTAGCCTCAAAGCATTCCTCGTGGAATTCAGGTCACATTCCGTGGGCACATGAATCAATGTGAGGCGTCAGCATGATCCGATAGGACGGGAGATTTACTCCCGGTGGCCCTTTCCCTTCCCCATTTTCGGAGGTGGCTTTTGAGGCTTTTTTAACTTTCTCTATTAGAGAAGTTTATTTCGAGCTCTCGTGGCTTAGTTTATGCTGATCTATTGACTCACAGGACTCTAAGTATGCATATTTCCAAGCTTGTTATCTACTAGTACTAACTTTGCTGATCGATTCCATGGCTGTTCACAGGATTAGAGTAGATCCATCATCGGCTTGGTCGTTTTAGGTAAATCGTTCCATCTTTCTTCACCTTTCTCTAGCTTTCTCCAGATTTTTTGCCTTCCTTGTAAACTCGGAAGTGTAAGGAACCAAAAGTTTAGGGTCGAGGGGTCCACCAATCAAACTAAATTTCCCGAGGTGGTGAGGTCATCGAGCATACGGATTTAGCTGTCACTTTCAATGTTTATTTTTATCAGTGAATCACATAGTGAATTACAATCATATTTTGTGGGGGAGATTGGCTAGAGTTCAGGAGACATTCCGACGCTCCACATTGAAGAATTTTCATGCTAGACATCAATTATCAGTGCGCCAATATTGATATCCCTTGACCTTGATATGAGATCGACAGAAGATGCACGAACACGGCGATGACGGTCGGCTTACTGTTGTCAACGACTCGATTTTAAAGCTCATCACATGTAGCTCACGATTGGTTGACGTCGGAGTTTTCATAGTTCAAGACTTCTTCAAAACCTAAAATGAATAGGGCCTAAAGGTTCAATGTTGCCTACAATGCTTAGTGTGCCTCGTGATTTTATAGACGGGCGCTCTTGGTATGCTAGATGACCATACACTACTATCTACATGCTATCTACTAAACAGTTCAGTTATCCACAGTTCAAATTAAATACTCCTATCGTAAACATTTGAAGGGGTAGAATTTTCCACAATAATGCGTACATAGTACTTTGTATGTTTCTAGATCCACTGAAGCATGTAATAAGCTCTAGTATGTAGGTGGACTTGTCCATCTTACCCTCTTGCAGTGAAATTAAAGAAACATTTGAAGCCATGCTCCATAGATCATGAAAAAAGGAACGATATGTTCATATCCTTGGATCCGAGCTCTGGCCAAGGAATGTGAGAATTTCCGAAAACAGCGAGCGTGCCTACATTACTGCCAGCCACAAGGGGTAAGTTGCATTCCACGAAACATCTCCACAACTCCCCTCGGAATCCTCGCCAACGTTACATGACTATCCATCGACGAGAGTATTTAAATCATTTGATCGGTCGCCTCATTTTGCCGAATATCATCTCATCCACAATCCTACAAACCCTATTACAACCACTCTTGTAAGTCACCATCTCAACAAGCACCTGAAGTTCATCAACTTATACGAAACAGCCACTCTTCTACCATCAAAATGAAGTTCATTTTCGCTACCCTCGCCTTGGCTGCCACTGCCCTCGCTGCCACCACCGGTGACAAGGGCGGCTCCACCACTGGCTCTACCTGCAAGTCTGACCAGCAGGTTGTCTGCAAGGACAACGGCAACGGTGGTATCCTCACCCTCGGCAACATTGCCCCCGGTGCCCTCGGTGTCGACTGCTCCGGTGGTGATGTCTACTGCTGCAACAGCGACGATGTTGAGGTACGTTCACTGCTATTATCTTCTCTAATCTTTCAAAGACTGATCCTATCTTTAGTCTGGCCTCATCAACCTCGATGTTGACGCTCAGTGCTCCCTCAACCACCTCCTGTAAGCGTCTGTTGCAATTTTACTTGCAGCCGTATGGCAAACAGATCGCTCCTTTGTACCAATGGCTTCGTCCCTATTTGGGCGCCGCGCATGTACTCTATAGTTAGAAATTTACAGGACGTTTAATTCTCGAGCTACCTCCATTTCCTCACACTTAGTTTTAAACCTCCCCCCGCTGTTGCGCCTTCCGCGGTTCCAAAGCCGGAGTGGGGCCATTGTTCATTGAATTCTCATTTCAATTGACCCCACTCCCTTGTCCTGGATTTGAGAACAACCGTAATTCTTCCTTTTTCTCTATTCACTGAGATATTTTGCCGGTCGCGCCTTGTGTCCAGACGAAAACCACCACATTATTGATATCGTGAATTTTGGTGGCTTTCGCGGCGGTAACGGCCATAGAAGATAGAGTGGGCCAAAAGCTTGATCTTCTACATACTCATCCGGTTGATGCCACTGCTCTCACAGATCCCACTCAAGATTATTCTCCGAAAAGCCACATCAGCCACCTCCGAGTCTCCACAAATTTCAATTTCTCGTCTATACATGAATTATCTACAATGCAAGTCAAATAAACAAATATCTTGGGGGTATGGATGAAGGTTTGCGAGGGACATCTGGAAAAAATGCGGCAGACGGAGCCTCTAATTCAACACAAATTTCCTTTGAACTAAAGACGACAGACTTCTACAAATTTTCCATGGAAAAATCACTTGGCGGAAACTTTTCATTAAGAATTATGTAAGATACATATAATCAGTCCAGATAACGAGACATTTACAGCAGGTGGTTCAAGCTGCACTGGAGGTCGAGGTTGAGGTTGATCAAACCGCTCTGGAATTTCAAATTAGCGTTTGTTCTGCAAGATTCAAATTTTAGAGCGCCAACATACCTGCTCAACTTCCTTGCTAGAGCAGCAGTAGACATCACCACCGGAGCAGCTCTCGCCGAGAAGACCGGAGAGAATGTTGCCCAAGGACAAGAGACCACCATCTCCGTTGCCGCTGCAGACAACAGTCTGGTGGCTCTCACAGGTGGGAGTATCGTCACTCTTGTCCGAATCCGAATCCGTGTCCCCGCGTGCGTTGATGGTGGGCATGGCAATGACAGTGGCAGCCAAGGCAAGGGTAGCGAGGATGTACTTCATTGTGAAAGGCGTGTGGGCAGTAGACGGATCTGCGATCAAATTGTCGAAATCAGATAATGATCTTCAAAATCGTATGCAAGGGATGCATCAAAGGCGCATGGCATTCAACTTACCGGGAGAGTGATTGAGAAGGGTGATGGAAACTAAAAGTCTTGCACAGGTGGACGGTCTCGGGGGTTTTAAATGATTAGCATGTGGTCTTAGCAGAAAGGCTTTCATAGTCATTGACGTCTATGAAAGCAAAGTGGTTCCTAGTCAGCGTAGTATAATTCCTCTCGAACAGTACTATTTCCTATCCACTTGGCCAAATTTGGCTAGGAACATGGCCGAAAACGGGATCTACATCGGGGGCGGAACCATCAAAACTACGAAAGAGGCTGAGCCGCTCACTCCCGATTCCCCACATAGATCCAAATGCGAAAATGAAAATTGAGACCAAAGATCAAAAAAATCTCTCAGGAATTACCGAGAGTCAGGAAAGGTAGGTACCAATGATGATCTATATTCGTGTCTTATTTAGGTAGCTCAATGTCACCGTCTAATGCAACTGCGATAATCAATCGGATGAACTAAACGCTTGTTCCTGAGTTTTTGATTTCTTGATTAGACCCCTGAATCAAAGATCGCCCATTAACTACGGGTGCAGTCAACCATAGCCGCACTTGTTGATTATGATTTGGGAATGGGGAAATGTATGGAGGCCAATTTGAACAATTCTAGCCTTAGCTGGAGTGGCTAACGCGAGATTATAGGAGAGAAATCAGGAAAATTTTTGAATCATTCAAATGCAATGAAACTGAATCTTGAACGTTCATGCACAACAATTCTCAAGCCACCAAAAAATTGTAGCAAGCCACCGACACGTTCTATATCAAATTTTGGCTGATTAGTGGCTTGCACGCGATGAAATTCGCCAAGAACTGAGGCATGCTTTCATCAATACTGAATGTCAATGACCGATAGAAAGATCAAAACCAAGTAGTTTGAATTATTTTCCGCAATCCCTCAATCGCATCCATGCCAAGATTGGAGAAATTGATGAAGCCATTGCTAGATTACTGAGGCGTCCGAAAACGGCCAAGTCGGGAAAATTGTTGCCTGAGGCCTCAGGCCGAACACCTACTATCTTGACAATCCAAAGTGCGGGCAACAGTGAATTGGGAATACAGAAATTCCTTTAAACTACTCAGAGTTGTAGAGGTAACTATGATGAGGTAGCTAGGGTTGTCGGAACGTGCTCTTAATAATGGGGTGGTCAAAACTATAGTTACACATCGCTTTGGTTTGACATCTTTTTTCATATTGCTCAAATCGCATTCATCTAACTAAATCTCTGTTGATAGACCCACTCCGGTGATTTTGAAATCCAGCAATCATAAAACCCAAGAAATGTCAATGTTCGTCAGGGAGACAGTCGTCTGGTTGCAAAGGCAAGCTAGTCCAACAAGTCCACCAGTCACTGTATCCAGGCACCTGGGGCCAGATATTGTGGACAACGGATGCCATTCTTTCAGTGAGACAGGGCTCCCAATCAGGGTATTTCTTCGCTCGTTTTACCTCCCACGCCCTTTTCCCAATTTGCTCGATGACTAGTAATCCTGGATACTCAAGGTTGTAAGATGTCAGCAGCCATGATCGCGCAAAACAGCAGATCAACAAACGCTCTTCATGAGCAAATACCCGGTTTCCAAATGGCAAAAGACGTAGGTCTCTCAAGCCAGAATCCTTGTTTTTGATCGTCTTCCAAATTTGGAAGGCCAGTTTCTCATCCATGGCTGCATTGATGAAAGTTTGTCGGAGATCGTCAAGATTTTCCGTTTCAAAATTGGGCGGCGATGGTAGCCGTGACCGAGCATCGAAATCAAGATCTAGAAATAGTATTTGGAGATTGGGGAAGGTACCGAAGGCTTTGTACATCTCACACTCTTCTTGGCTACCCATGGATCTTTTGATCTGGAGACGTAGCTCTTCCAAGTTCGGGCAAAGAATCGCCATTTCAAGGAGGTCAGAAAGATGAAGTCTGGGGTACTCATAGATTATGTCGTGAGGTACTAGTGCTAGTCCCTTCAATGAGGGGCCATGATGTTGGATGATGCTGTTCAAATTTTCTACACTGTCAAGGCCCTTGATAGAAAGATATTCCAACGGGCGAAATGCAAGTATGCCAGCGGTTGAGTCTTGGAAGAACAAAGACTTGCAATGCTTGTATTTTTCAAAATTCCACATTCTGGCATCGAGAGAAATAAAAAGTCTCTTTAGGTTTGGAAATAGCCCAGCAACGCTGACTAGAATTCTCGCGTCGCCTAAAGAACCGATATCGAGTGAGCGAAGTTGAGAAAGATTTCCGGTGGCAACTAACTTGCAAAGAAAATTTTGATTTCCCACGGACGTGGAGGTGGGAAGCGTAACTGATTCTAACTGGCATATCGGCTTAGGCTCATACATTGATGTCAGTGGGTGGACTTCGGATAGGTAGACAAGTTCCCAGTCCGAGATACAGAGGTGCTTCAGCCCAGGGCCAGAATGTAAGAAAGGAAAAATCTCCTCAAGCTGGTCAACTTCGTTTCTAGCAGTCAAAGCATGAAAAATAGATGTGGTCAGGGTGTGAAGGCCTGACAACCGAAGGGTATCCATATTGAATTCGTAGTGCCGAGAAAACTTGCCTCTGGTTGGCGAAAAAAGTGGTCTGTATCCCACTCTTTGCTCTCCGAGAATGTTGATCTTGCAATGAGGATGGTGGCGCGACAAAACATCCATCAAGCTGGATGTAAAACCGTTGTTCGCGACAAAGTCAAATTGTTCAAGGCGGTCCAAGCTAATGATGAGTGACCTAACCGCTGCCCATTCTTGCGTTTCCAAAAGTCTCGAGGGAAGATTCGAAAACATCCTTTCACCACATGGCAAGTAGCAAGAGGTCATCGAGTGATCTAAAAAGTCTTTCCTCGTCGCCGGTTTTCGATCGATTGCTTGAACAATTGCCCATGGCTCCAACATCCATGCCTCTCATGGTTTGGATTCATAGTCAGTCGTCAAGTTAACGCACACAACAGATAACCTTCTAGCATATTTCTCGAAAAGGCTTCGTCCGGGAGCTTCTGTCACTTTTGACCACGCGGTATGCAGGTCTTCGATACTTCTGAAGATAAGGGTGATGTTTCGAAAAAGGATAGGGATTGCCGCTTTGTTGCAGGCACGGTTGACCTGGCTGAAATGTGAAAGGTCTCTGGGTGGACAGTACTCAGGTCCCTCAAGCTAATTCTCATCAGCATTCGAAATAACCTGGAGGGCGTATGGTGACTTACATTCAGGCATATTTCATGTAGAATTTCATTCGCAAGGAGATCCATTATCTCAGATTGGTGATTCAGTGTGAGAGAGAAACTCTGGCTAAAGGGGAGAGACACCAACCAGCTGGTTTTGTTAAAACCGTCCAAAATACCTAGTAGACCCTCTCCAGCGTGTGTGGCGTGAGCTCAGTGGGTTCGATGGGAAGAGGCTACACTCAGATTATCAAGATGATAGATAAACCAAAGGGTGCGATCTTCGTTGTAGGGTGTGACGAAGAGATAGAGATAGAGAGCGAAGAAGAAGAAGAACAAGAGGGAAGAAGCGCGACTAAGTACTACAACATTAAAGAGCGCGTTAATCACTCTAGCATGTGATACTGAAGGAGGGGGGAGAGGCATCAGCCATTGTACTCAACAGGGTGGGCATTATCTCTCACTTCCTAAACTAGTAGTAGTCGCTTTGGATCCAGAGCCGTGAGGTAATATGACATACAATTTCAAGTGTTTGACAACTTAGACCTGATTACTACCAACTACATAGAATATTGGAAACTTGACAGAATGCATTATCTAGGAGGTGAACCTTCCTATCAATTGATGATAGCAAGGTTATATATAGTATTTACATTCATTTCCATCCATCCAGGAAGGTTGGATATTCTTAACCATACATAACTATCAATGTCTGACATGAAGCCGGAGATGGGCGATAATGTCAACCTTGGAAGCATTTCAATTGAGCAGTAAAGTTACGGCGAATCAAAATACATGGAGAAAATTGTTTGTGGTGTTGGTGGCGCGAAGTCTTCTTTTGACACATTTGTATGGCGGCCGATAGAGGCCACCCAAGTACGGGGGCCGATAACCGTCACCCTACTGCCATAACCCAATTTCAATTTCTAACTTCACAGCCCTGTTTCCCGTAGTGTATTTATCACATACAGGAACATCTTAAGAGATTTGATCTAAATAAGTGTAACTTTTAGGATAGACTTGAGAATGGATTATATGACTAGGATCTCTGCCTCTTTTTCTTGCTAGTAATTGTGATGATTTACTTGGAGAAAGAGAAGTTTATGTATAATATCGCACTATATATAATACATATGTAGAGTTCGAGGATTCAAAATACAAGGAAGTGTGGTGCACATGGATTCAATGTGTACTGGAGCTTCAGGATTCAATCAATATATATTGAATTGATACCTTCAAATGTTGAGCGCTGCACATAATGGAGTTCAAAAACAAATATGAATTTAGAATTACCCATAATTTAGCGGTAAATCAATCGCACTTTTCAGCCGAATAAACGCAATGAACGCCAAGACTTCTTCCAATCTTCCCGTACAGGCGTGTGTTGAACAGCACTGTAATCTTACTGTATAATTGAACGGCCGCAACCCCTTAATTCTAACAGAAGTAGTGAAAAAAGGTGAGAAATTGTATCTTTGATATAACTTACCTTTAATCAATTTTCTCTAGTTCTTTGATTCGATTTGTTACTTCCAAATCCTGTTGCGGGCTTAAGATATTGGAATAGTTCTTAAAGCGGATGGAACCTGGTAAATTGAATTTCAGTGGGGGACTACGTAGATCTCTGTAGCGCGATCATGATGATTTTAGAAATGTGGCCAGAGTGAATGCCACTTTAGCGTCATGCGACTGGGATATGTACAAAGGTGAGCCCGAAATACTAGATATATGTAGTGTGAGAAGCCCGATTGATGAGAGTACATATTACCTTGCATCGTCCCCGCACTGACCCTTTCAGCTGAGCCGCCGCCCCTGATTTACTACTAACTGAGCTAAAACCTCTCCCTAAAATAACGGATCTCTTAGCACTTGAGTAGTATCTGCACTTCGCCATATGTTGAAGTGTTAAAGTATAAAGCAAAAAAATAATTAGCATTGCTTAAGTGAGACGAAAAACACGAACACCGGGTCCCGCCTCCACACCACATAGTCCTCAGGGTGTAGTTAATCTTTTTCATGCTAAAGCTCCCCATAAACCTCGAGGCCAAAGGGAAGGAGAAATCAACATTTGAGTCAGCAATAGCTATAAAATATAAGATAATATAATCCAACACCCCGTAAGTCTGGGTTCTATGGACGAGGAAAGAATTTTGGAGAGAATTTTCGAACGGTTCCCGCAGAAATCTTGGAACATATTTGCTTTTTCTCATGCAGCTGATTGGCAAACAGCCAATAAGGAAGCTGGAGCTTGAAACTTCGAATACGAGGTTCATGCATTCAAATGCGACGCAGACATCTGAAGTGGGGTTGCACCCATGATGATTGAGGGGCGCAGTGCCTAGTGATTCAACGTTGAGGTGTCCCTCAGCCTCCTCGTGGGTACACTTTCGCCTTGCTTTTCTCTCCCAGGGGTCTTCTTCCCCTCTCCCCAACCCAGATATAGCTAGAAGTGCGTATTATCTTCATGCTCCAATCTTCTATATCTCATCGAAAAAGATCCTAGAGACCCTTTGCAAGGTGCCTATCTCGAAAATCGACCATAGTGAAGCACCTGCTCAGTTTTACCAACCAATTATAACCGGTCTACACAAGTGATTGCAACTATGAGCCCCCTCAGCGATGACGAACGGCACTATGCAGCTACTAGTATCGAACTCTCAAGATCATCATCCGACCACCTCTCTCCCTACACAGCAGTGGCCCACCCAGGAACACCCTCGAAGGTGGCCGAAGAAGACCTGGCTCAACAGGATCCAGCACAACCATTCAAATCATCAAACTCAAAATCACGAACATGCGGAGTCGACCTAGGTGGATCCTGGACATGGGAGATCAGCAGTGCGGTTCTAAGTGTAATTGGTATCGCACTCCTTGTTGTGTTCCTTATCAGTATTCACGGCAAACCATATGCGGAGTGGCAATATACAGCCTCACCAAACACCATCATCTCTATCATCTCAGTCATCATCAAAGCCGCACTACTCAACATTGTTTCAGCCTGCCTCGGCCAGCTTAAGTGGAGGTTATACAAGAGATCAAATTGCGCTCCCCTTGAGTATATGCAAGCAATCGATGAGGCAAGCCGTGGATCGTGGGGCTCGCTTAAGATTCTATCGAGAGTGGTGTCAGGGTCCAAAATGGGCGCTCTGATACTCTCAGGTGCCTCTTTGACCTTTCTGGCAATCGCGATTGACCCGTTCGCTCAACAAATCCTCAGCTTCCCCTTGCGGCAGGTGCAGGCGTTCAATGGGACTGTTTTTATTCAATCTGCGCGTAACTATACCACCAAAAGAGTTATCGATGATGGCGGAATAGTAGAAGACTTACAAGAAAGAGCTATCACAAGGGGGTTGTCAATTCCGGATACTGGCCTTCAGGCGCAATGCACTTTGGAAACATGTTCTTATCCGGGGTTCGTTTCCTTAGGGATCTGCAGTCAGTGCGAAGATGTCACTGAACGAACGACCCAGGAGTGTGTGGGAATGGTTGTACCTTCTGCCACTGGGCCGATCGTAGATATGAACTGCACATATACAGCGCCCTATGAGTATATTATTCCTCTATCCCTCCATGACCTGCTCACTGGAGATACAATGTATTATGGTGGTGTGAACATGATCTCACTGGAGCTTATGTCATCCTATACAAGAGATCTGAGTTACGACCTCGACCAAGATACATACAAGATATTTGATATTGAAACGCCTATTGCTTCATTCATTTCGGCCACCCAGAGCGTCTTTGTGAATTATACAACCCAGAACACAACAGCGCCGCCCCCCAAACCTTTGTTCACTGAGTGTGTGATGTACTGGTGTGAAAAAGAGTATGCTCCAAGTAATTTCTCTGCAACGAGCGATCCAACTCCCATTTCCCGGACACAGCAACTTCGGTTCGTTATGCAGCCTGAGGAGGACGATTTTTATGAATGGTTCAAGGTTTTATACAAGTTTGTGCCACCGTCAAATTCAACGGCATTGTCTAATAAGTCTTCAACCTACCATATTTCTGAACATCTTATGCTGTCTTTGGTACCACGACTTGAAAGTATCTTCAACATTACCGGACTCGGATATGGCGAGCGCGGTGTGTCTTCTGGAACTTCTTCTATACAAGATATGATCTTCACAAATAACATCACGGATGTGGTCAAGTCGATGTCCACCACCCTTACCGACGCTATCCGTGCTGGCGATGTGAGCAGCAGAATACCTGGAAAGGGCTTCAGGACCGAAACCTATATCCATGTGAGATGGCCATGGATAATTCTTCCCCTCTTTGTTGTTTTGGCATCTACTGTACTACTTCTCGCCACTACAATAGTGACCAGGGATACCGTACTTTGGAAAAGTTCAGTGCTGCCTTTATTGATGAGCTCCCTTGATATCGCGCCCGGGGCCGAATGTAATTTGAGCGGGCTGCGGAGTGTCAGTGAAGCGAATCGAATCTCAAAGAAGATCATAGTCACAATGGAGCATGAGGATGATTTGATACTACATGTTAGAGAATTGGACAGTTAGTGTCACACTTCGACACTGCAAGTGTCATGAGTTGACAGTTGATAGTCTGAGAAGTCAACAGGATTTTCTTTGGGTTCGCTGAGAAGGTTTTGGACCTGACAGTCTTTGTTCGTTGAGAAGGTTTCTCCATTGGGGTTAGTTCCTATAGTCAACCTTAGTAAGTACTCAAGGTTGACTGTTTCCTGCCTCCTTCTCCTTCTCTTTCTTCTTTTATTTTTCTCCTCGATTTAGGACCTTAGAATAATTGTATTGTTTTCTTGCTTGCCTCGTTACAGTTGACTGTCAATTTTGTGATATGTGAACAGGAGTAGAGCATTATTTTTATTAGGTCAAGCATTTAGTACCATATATTCACCATCTATTCTGTTTTATATATAAGTCCAAAGTAGACTCAGAGAGGTTTCGGTGGTATGATGGTACGGACACTCTGGTGCTCATCATCTGTGATGATTTCAATTTTGCCTGCTTAGCTGTCCCAAGCAGCCTTCACGACAGGAACACCTCGAAGCTAAGAGGACTCGATGATGTTGGCATCCGAGACGGCGATTTTGGTATTCAAAGGCTTCAACAAAGGTGAAGGCGGGTTTTATGTATCCCAAAAGCTTAGAGCTCTATCTCAATACAAAGTCAGGATTGACTGGCGATGCCGTTGCCGAGCAAGAGCCAGTAGATTGATCACAAATTCAATGCGATTCCGAATGGCTAAAGCGACTCGACTGCCAGGACCAATTCCTAGGTTTGCAAGCTGGCTTTGTGCTCTGGCGGTGGCTTCATGGAGGTCGCGGTAGGATATTTGAACAGGTGGTTGAGTGTTTGTCGACGGAATGATCAAAGCAGGATCCACAGAGCTTTTAGAAAATAGCAACCCCTTGCCAGATATTTTGTGCATCAATTCCAGAAATATTGTAACTCTTAATCAAATATTGTCGTAATAAGTGATAAAATTTAAGTCAGAAAATTGTGACTATATAGGAATCTATATTTATATATGTGATATGGTTTATTGAACCTGTAGTAATTATGTGTTATAGTGGCTAGAAAAGAGTATTTCAAGTATTTATGCCCTATCTCAACAAATATGGACCCTTCAATATTAAGGTGAAAATGCCTTTTGTCCACTATAAGCCCAAAACTCCCCTTTCTCACCGGCGTCACCGCTACGTGGAATTGCTCTATCCCAAAATGCTATGAAACATTTTCTATATATCTCAATCCAAAAGGGTGTCCAGTACATACGACCATAGGGTGTGGAGAACAGGGCTTCCCGTCCGCTCAGCCGTACTTAAGCCACACGCCGGTCAGTTAGTAGTATGGTGGGTGACCACATGCGAATCCTGACTGTTGTATGTTTTTCCTTTTTCCTTTTATTTTTTGTTGATGTAAATTTTGATCATTCTCCTCTATAGCCCCCGTCACCTGGCCGGTGAACCTGCCGTGGGCTGCGTAGTATGGACGGTTGAGATTTGAGTCTGAGTTCGATTCGTGGTTATTATCCGAGAAGGCGCGTGACCCAATGCCCGAGAGAGTCAAGCTTGTCGACCTTTGGCTTGACACCTAGTGCATGCTGGGCATTCTTTGTATCATCATGGCTCGTGAGTAAAAAAATGAGTATAGTGAAGGACAGAGGTGAAAATTACCTGGACGGCTGTCGTCACATTTGGTCTTTCTTAACCGGCATGCCTGACAAGCTGTGGTGACTTTCAATCACTGTCTGCGTGTTACCCACGAGTCGTTGTGGTCTGGTTGAATCATGTTGAACGTTCTAGCCGTGGCCATAGTGGAACTCCCATTATCGTCTCTGGCTAGTGAACACCCAGTAGGTATTTGACAGAGCACCCAGCACAGGGACGAAGTAAGAGGGATGTCGCGTAAGGCTGAGTGTTTGAGATTTTAGCCTGGGCGCTTGGTATAATTCCGATAGCTACTACATACCTCAGCCGCTCACATCTATTGATTTTGACGCCTTGTGGGGCGGATATCGATTGGGCTGCAGTGAGGCTAAGAAGATTTTGCGCGCGTAATGAGTTCATAATGAAACCCACTAGGAGTAGGTAATCTAAGCCTCCAAGCTCCCAGACGAAACAGCAAATAATAACTTCTATTTTCTTGAATGCGGAACGCTGGGGAGGCAGGGGTAGGTGGGGCGGCGTGTCGCCAAAGTACGCAGCGCATCGTAACTTGGAAAATTGATTGGATAATGAATTTCAAAAAAAAGAAAAGCTTATTTATAGTCTGTACTATTACTTCGACCTTTCGCTCTGCTAATTTTCTCTTTGTTTTCTACTAAGCTCCCTCTTTGATTTCTTGCTCTTACACCTCCCCCCATCACAAAGCTGGAATGCCGCGAAAATCATACCCTGTACCGCTAGTTATCTCGCCTGTCCGCAATGAGCACACTCATACCATAATTGCGCTTCATGGGAGAGGAAGCAATGCCGAACGGTTTGGTCGTGAGATTCTCGCATCAGCCAATCTACAAAATCGGCTCCCAACCGTGAAATTCGTTTTTCCAACAGCGTCTAAACGCCGATCAACAATACTGAAAAGGGTGCCAATAAATCAGTGGTACGACAACTATTCCCTGGATGACCCTGGGGAGAGAACAGACCTGCAAATCGAAGGTCTTTGTGAGACTGCCGAATTTCTTCGCGACTTGATCACAAACGAAGCGCATATTCTGGGTGCGGGAGGCTATCGCAAGATCATCTTATGGGGTCTAAGCCAGGGATGTGCTGCCGGCATCTTCACGGTCTTGGGTGGCTGGGGCGATAATTCTACAACGAACGCTATTGGAGCGTTTGTCGGGATGAGTGGATGGCTGCCATTTGAGCAGCATCTAAAAGAGATTCTCCGATGTGATGATGACTCTGAGCTGGCTGGAGATAACAGCCGCTATGAAAGCCAATCAGATGACCATGATGGGGATGACCGGGATATAAGCAGTGATGAAGATCTAGAAAAGGATGAGTGGTCTGATTCTGAATTAGAAGACGATTTGTTTCACCAACCTGGCCAACCAAACGATGACTTCAATCCATTCATGGAGGAGGAGGAAGAAACAGACATTCCTCCTGCTATCCAAGCTGTTAACTATATCCGCGATATCCTTGATCTTCCTATGCTTTCGACGGATGAAGAGTCACCATCGCTATCGCCTAAAGATCCACTATCGCCCTCGAATCTATATCAACTTCAAATACCTATATTCATTGGCCACGGCGCAGAAGATCCCAAGGTTTCCGTACGCCTTGGCGAAAAAATGAGTCAGGTGCTTTCAAAGGGCCTGGGAATGGACTTGACATGGAAGTCATATGAGGGACTTGGTCATTGGTATCGTGCTGAAGATGAAATCCAAGACATTCTTAAATTTCTTCAAACACGCGTGAACCTACCAGTGGAAGATGACTTGCCGGTGTCCAATTCCTGATATACGAAGGCCTTTGTTGGGCATTAGCAATATGTTAGCTAGACGCTGGGTCTATTTTTGACTCGTGGATCCTAGAAATGTCATTCTCAAATCTTCCAGGCTCCGAATTCTATTCTGAATCACTTTCCTAACTTCCGAGATTGGCAGTTAGAATATAGCAAAATGATATGTCCTATATGGCAGCCTGAGTCTAAACCGTCCACAGGTCTAGGTCAATTCAATGTTGGCTCGCCATCCCCCAAGTGCTAGATGGTTACTTGTACTAAAATACCTAATGGTGCTTAGAGCAACCAATTCTAATTTGCAGTCATGGTGTTGAAGATTCAAAGGTTAGTATTCTAATAGACATCTAGAGTAACGACGAAAGGCACCTGTCCCACAAACGACAACGAAACCAGAAAAGCAAAAAAGAAAAGAAACGAAAAAGGAAAAACATACAACAGTCAGGATTCGCATGTGGTCACCCACCATACTACTAACTGACCGGCGTGTGGCTTAAGTACGGCTGAGCGGACGGGAAGCCCTGTTTTCCACACCCTATGGTCGTATGTACTTGACACTTCTTTGGATTGAGATATATAGGAAATGTTTCATAGCATTTTGGAATAGAGCAAGGAATTGATAAAAATTGAAATGAAATGGTCATTTAGTGTCACCTTACTACGTACATGCCAATAATTTAAAACTATAGAAGCCCCAAACGTGGTTGAAAGCCATGAACCCAGTATTTCAAGATCAAAACCGGATTAACTTGCGACTGAGACAAGTTTCGGAGGGCAAGACATCTTCTATCAGAAAATGCAACACAATTGATGCAAGAGAAATTTGAAGTCCACTCAGTGGAGGTGTTTGATTGCTGTGCAAAAGGCTGCGACATTTGATATCACGAACGGATCTCATGTCGCTTACCAAGAGGCTCCAGGCCCCCGGTCAGAATTGCAGTCTTGCTTTGTTCTTCCTGGGTGCTTTCAAAAACCTTGTATTTTTGATCATGCCAGGATGCAGCGCGTACTGGTTGGTTGTCGCTACCAGTGAAAACAGCACTATCGCTAGGGCGCAGAAAATAGGCAATTGTGTAGCGATCAACCTTTTGTCCAGGAACTGGAATCACTCGGTGAAGGCACGACCTCAACGCCTTCTTTGACAGGAATCGAAGAGAATCACCAACGTTGATCACTGCATGTCCAGGACGAGGTTCGATGAATTCCCATTCTTCGGAATCTTTTGCCATGACTTGCAAGCCCCACTGGTCGGTAATGAGGAATGTAATGCTGCCGATATCGGTGTGTTTGTTGTGGCCAACCTTGCTGCATAACTCAGCTGGATTGGTATAAGGGTACTTCAGGAGCACGAGTACAGAATTGGAGTCGATATCAGATTGATGGTAGGATTCTAGCCTTTCTTCTGGCGATAGATTCATTGCGTCCGACAACAAAGCGACAAGCTTCAAGCTTACAGCCCTGGATCGTTCCAAATAGCTGATTATCATGGCTCTTTCGTTCTCATCCTCAGTGGGGAATTTTGCGTTCGGGTCTGCGAGACTTTTATGGGATACCTTAAAAAACCACCATTCATCAGCTAAGTGAGACATCCAGACATCTGGATAAACTGAGAACGTACTTTGAGACTTTCGTAGGCATCGCGAGTATTTTCATAGGGACCAGCAAATGCACCCGTAGGCTTGTAGCTGGGATCATTAGTTACTCTATTCGCACGTCATATTCTTAGATCTCTCTCATACCCATGGATATAGCTCCCTCGAGCAAAGTCCTTTTTGATATCATCAGACTGGCTAAACCACTTCTCAATAAAGCCTTGGAGCATCTCAAGCTCGGCGAGGAGGGCAAAGTCGTCCCTCATATCCAGATAGAAAAACCCCTCCTCTACACACACTGATAGCAATTTGATAATCTCCTTGGGTTCATTGTCAACTAATACGCGGTAGTTGATTGTTGGTAAATTTGCGATTTTCTGGCCCGTTGTAAGGGGTGTTTTTTGCTCTTGGCTCGAAGGCATAGTGATGTGAAATGGCAGCTGAAGGAATCAAATTGCTGGAAAATAGTGGCAGATTGAAGATAGAAAATTTGCAGCATAAGTAGTCGAACGAATTGAACCAGCGCTCACAAATTGATAAAGCTGCCCCACGCCAAATTTCTCCAGAAATTACCACTATCCTCAGGACAGAAAAGACTGCAAGAAATGCTGATGAGTATCTTCTCTACCGGGCTGAGCTGCGGCTGTATTGAGATTCGACAAACATTACCATACAGTATTGCTGTACTGAAAGTAAATCTGCTTAAGTCGTGATGTATCCACTCTCGACTTGCACCTTGCTCGCATGTGGGTCTTTGCATTCGATCGACATGGACTGTGGATAATCTTTAGCTGAAAGTCAAGACTCAGCTGTAAGCTCTTTGAGACCTGTAAGATCTATGTAGAGCTACTCAGAGGCGGTGTGAAATTTGAAACGGAGCCGTGCTAAGAGTGACTTCCACGTAGCGGTGAGAAAGGGGAGTTTCGGGCTTACAGTGGACAAAAGGCATTTGCACCTCAACATTGAAGGCTCCACATGTGCACATTTGTTGAGATGGGGTGCAAATACTTTCACTACTTTTGTCCAGCCACTATAACACATAATTACACATGCAGATAAATTACAGCATGTGTAAATATAGATTCCTATACAGTCACAATTTTCCGACTTGAATCCTATCAAATTCTTATTCCGACGATATTTGATCAAGACATCTGGAGTTACAACATTTGAATATTTCTGGAATTGATGCAAAAAATGTCTGGCAAGGTGTTGCTATTTTCCCAAAGCTCTGTGGAGCCTGCTTTGATCATTCCGTCGACAAACACTCAACCATCTGTTCAAATATCCTACCGCGACCTCCATGAAGCCACCGCCAGAGCACAAAGCCAGCTTGCAGACCTAGGAATTGGTCCCGGCAGTCGAGTCGCTTTAGCCATTCGGAATCGCATTGAATTTGTGATCATTCTTCTGGCTCTTGCTCGACAGCGCGCAACGGCATCGCCAGTCAATCCTGACTTTGCATTGAGAGAGAGCTCTGAGCTTTTGGGATACATGAAACCCGCCTTCACCTTTGTTGAAGCCAATACCAAAAGCGCCGTCTCGGATGCCAACATTATCGAGGCCTCTAAGCTCCAAGGTGTTCCTGTCGTGAAGGCCGCTTGGGACAGCCAAGCAGGCAAAATTGAAATCATCACAGATGATGAGCACCAGAGTGTCCCTGTAGTACCTACTCCAGATATCCAAAGTGATGACGCTGTTCTTCTACATTACACGAGTGGAACGACTGGGCTCCCCAAGGCTGTAGCATTGACACACAAGCACATCATTGCTTCCTGCGATATCATAATCAAAGCCCATGAATTGTCGTCACAAGACCGTACTATGTTGGTCGCACCAATGTTCCATGTAGGCGGAACTTGCTCCTCACTCTTCTCGACGCTGTGCTCTGGTGGTTGTGTCATCATCCCTCCCTCGCTCTCCGGTACCTTCTGGCATCAGTTCAAAGACTACGAGGCAACTTGGTACCATGCGGTTTCGACGCTGCACCGTCTTCTTCTCTCATTTCCGAGACCAGCGGAGCCCCCGATGATTCGTTTCGTTCGCTCTGGTGGGACAGGTATCTCCAAAGACTTGGTCCAGTTGCTGGAAAAGGAACTGAGCTGCCCGGTACTAGAAGGGTATGGAATGACGGAAACTGCGCAGGCTGTCTTTACTAATAATCTTCGGCACACGGTACGAAGAGTCGGCTTCTATCCTATCCCAGAAGAAATCAGCGTCAAATTCTTAGTTCAGGATAAAGAGGGCATATCAAGCCTGATCTTCGAGCCTGGAGTGCAGGGTGAAATCTGTGTTCGAGGCGATTGTGTGATTGATGGATACTCTGACTTCCCTGAGGCCAACAAGGAGGCATTTTTCGATCACTACTTCCGGACCGGTGATGTTGGAATTGTTGACAGTGACGGCTTTCTTCAGGTGACTGGACGGATCAAAGAGATGATCAATAAAGGAGGGGAGAAGATCAGCCCTCATGAGATTGAGGAGTTGATGATGAGCCATAACGCGGTTAAAGAGGTCGCTTGTTTCCGCGTTGAAGACCCTGCTTACGGCGAGGAAATCGGTATGTTACTCGTTCATCCTACTCTTGAGAGAGCAGTCTGTTTAATAATGTACACGATAGGAGTTGCTATCGTTCCTCACGAGGATCACATCCTGAGTGCTTTGGACATCAAAAAATTTGCCAGACAGAATGCTACGCTTTTCAAAGTCCCCAAAAAGGTAAAAGATATTGATAAATCTGCTTTCATGTTCACATTTCCCACACTCTTTACTTATCATATCATTGATAGGTTGTCTTTTTGCCTTCGCTTCCTTTGAACCGAACAGGAAAATACCAAAGAGCCCTGCTAGCTCAGCAATACGGCACTGAAGCCCAATAGAACAGAACAATGATACATACATTTATATAGAGTGGCTCACTAACGTGTTCAATGTTTCACGAGCGGGTCGTGCACTCAGGCGGCTTGCGCACCGCCAAGTACCATCAATAGTAAATGCGATATTTATTACGTATCCTTAATCATTTCGTATATTGGCCGATAGACATTCACAAGGAGTTTTAGACGTATATATCAGTTTTGAAAATTCGTCAGCGCTTCAAACTCACATGTGCATGGACCCCTAATGTGCCTCGCTGTAATGATACTTTCCTAGCGTGCATGTTTCTCCGTCGCATATATACTAATTAAAAAGGTTAATACCGATCGGAGCTCTGTACTGAAATTTCTGTATATGTACAGTGCATGTGGGGTAGTTTGTAACAGCCCCTGAGATCGTCTACCTTAACACCATTTTAAGCAGGTGGATACCTCCAAGCTTCTGGGTCGATCGATCGATGGAGAAAAAAAAACAAAAAAAAAACTACTGTACAATACAGAAAATCAACATTTATGTGGGTCCATTCTCCTTACCTTGAGCTATTGATACGTGGCAATTCCCAAAAATACAGTCTCACATGAGGAGACTAGCCAGCGGAAAGCACCGAAGCAGCACTTGAGTGCTTATGCGTAACAGCACAATTGAGGTCGCCGTGTCCCGCCGCAAGCTACTCCTGCCAATCATTTGGGATAAGGACTCAAGTTCTGTTCTAAAATTTCTCTTCTATACTTGAATACCACCCCAATTTTCACCCTTAGATATCCAAGGCGGTATTGATATGGCTAATATGAGTGAAACCTTAAAAAGGATTTGGGCGGCGACACTGAGCCTAGATGTGGGAGAAATCGGAGACGATGATAATTTATTTGAGTGTAAGCTATTTGAGCCTCAGAGTTGATCAAGACATCACGACTAACATGCAATAACAAGTGGGGGGTGATTCGGTGCGCATTTCCTAACCACAACACTTGCGGTCAGCCAAGGCTGAATATAGCAGGTGAAAGCAATCCTGATTATCGGCGAAGCAGCCTCCCATGGCATATATTTTGATATTGAGACATTCTATGCTAGTAAGTTTTCCCACCAATCATCGAGGGACAGTTATCAATGAACTTTATCCTAGATCCCACAGTCGCGGGAATATCTGCGCTGCTCTCTAGCGGTTACAACTCGCAGAAGCCAAATGGCGACCGAATTGAAGCAGAGCAAACGGGGGGAGCGAACTACACGGTTTACAATATTCCAGCATCATGTTTCGAAAGCTTGGGTATTCCCACTACCGAGGTTAGCAAGGTAGCACCTACGGACCCAGATCAAGGTATGTTCCGAATGCCAACGCTTCAATGGACTCTTTACTCATTCTTAGCAAGATTTCTATTTCTCGGAGTCTGCAAAGGGCGTCCCTGGGTCAACAGTCTCATTCGTATATGAGATGAAAGGACCAAGCCTTCTGGAAAAACTGCAAAGGGCTGTTGACCTGCTGTCCATTAAAAATCCTGCTCTTCGCAGCACCTTTATCCAAGTCGAGGACACCTACTATCAGGTCCTGTTGAAAACGGGGAATACCAAAATTGTGCATCATTCAGAGGATATTAAGGAGTTCTTGACACATTCAGTCAAGAGAATTGTCCATCCTGGCGATTCAGTGACGCAGTACGCTTTGGTTCAGAATCATGGGAAGACATTCTTTGTCTTCTCCATTCTACACTCCTTTTTTGACGCTTTCTCTCGGACTATCCTAGAGCGTGATCTTCTTGATGCACTGAAGAGCCCTGAATTATTCTTAGAACAAGCTGAGCGTCTATGGTACGGCGATTTTGTCGCCCATAAGCAGAAAACGCTCGATAAGCAAGCAAACTCCGCCTTCTGGGCGACATATCTTGGAAATGCCTGTCTCGAGACCTTTTATGAAGGGAAACCAAAACAACGTCACACATTCGACTCGTCCCTGCGTGAGACTTTGCCCAACACCTTAGTCCAAGGCCGTTCCATACACATCGCAACCGCTGTACTTACAGCATGGTCACTGACACTAATGAGCGAATCGGGTCAGAGAGATGTCGCATTTGCTATTGTCGCGCTGGGCCGCCTATATCCATATGAGGGGATTGAGCGAACCATCGGGCTTTTTGTCAGGGATCGTATCTTCCGCTTACGGGCTACCTCCGATGAAGTTGACATTGGATCCCTTCGTGGCTCGGTACAAGAGGACCTCGTCTCAACTGGCACTCAGGAGCACGGCAAGGTCGCCGGAATTTTACCGGGTATTGATGGAGCCCCAGTCGCTCAGTCCTACATCAACGTCAAAGCGGGAGGCTCCAAGTTGGAAAATCAATCTATTAATGGTCTTGTTCTAACGCCACGGCGCGATATGGAACATTGGACGTTCTCCACAAGATATGCGATTTACATAGAAATGTGGGTGTCTGATGATGGGTACGTATTTGAAATGCGCTACCAATCGACTCTAGTGCCACTGGCGAGAGCTCAACGACTTTTTGCGGCTTTCATCAAGACTTTGAAGTTGGTTGTGGGCTCTGACGATGGCATGAAACTTGGGGATTTTGTTCTATAATAGTGAAATTGCTTCTGGGCATCGAACGCCTTGCTGGGAAAAACTAAGATTGATGCAATACATATATTCAATTTGACTGTGCTTTTTTTCCCCCGCCCTTACTGCCAAAGTCCTAGTTTCATGCAATTCAAAGAGTACCACTTTTGTGCAATGTGATGTAGCTTGCGACGGTCTGTTTTGTTGGACCGCGTCCGAGGGACCTTGTTCACCAGAATAAACAGCGTAGGTACCATATGGATGGGCATTTTCGCTGATAGCTCCGCTTTCATCTTTTGCACCAATTCACTGACCGGATGACTGTCCATGATGGGGTGAAAAGAAATCAAATTGTCAGAATCGGTGGCACTAAGGTTCGTCGTAAGGCCGGAACGATAGACAAACGCCACCAGAACAGGATTTTTGTGCTCTTCGACCAAGCCCAGTATATCAACGATTGTAGCGTCTCCTGTACCTAGCAACCTCCGTAAAACGTACTCCACTCCGGTACACTCGATACGATTCCCGTCTAACTTTAGGATAGTATCTTTGCGTCCCATATGTTCCACAGTCCCATCGTGTAAATATCGTCCCAGATCGCCACTCCGATAAATTCGCGATGTTCTCGCACGGGAGGGATGAAGCTGGGCGATCCATGCCGGTGTAGACTTGAGAAACCCAAGGCCAGGCTTCTGGCAGACCTGATCGAGATAACCACGGGCAAGATGGGGGCCTTCGATCAGTATTTCCCCCACTGCACCGACAGGCACGGGCACTTCGGGTGATGCAGGACTGGCGATCCAGATAGCACCGCTGCCACTGCGTCCAACGATTGCGCTTTTTCCAACCTCCAGGTGGTCATTATACGCACAAAAAGTAGCGGCTTCGCCCATGCCGTACTGATTGACCAATTTCACATGGGGCTTCCATCTCATTAATAGGTCGTCTGACACTGACTCACCACCAATACAGACGAGGTTCAAGGAAGGAACATCTTGAGGAGAAAATTTGGCAGCGACCGTGGGTGTTAAGAAGGTGGTATTGGCTTTGAGGGCGTTTAAATTGTCAATCAGAGCTGACACGGCTTTATCTGGGGTTGGAACGCAGCAACATCCACCCGCCACTAGCGTTGTCAAATAATCGTTATTACTGATGTCAAAGGCATAGTCATCGAACTGAAAGACACGGCTATGGCGACCTAGTTGTAGAACTCGGTTGTAGTCCTTTATGGCAGTCGCATATGATCGATGCTCTTGGATGATTCCTTTCGGCTGACCTGTGCTCCCAGAGGTAAAGAGAATAAGACACGCATTTCGAGGAGTGACCAAAGGACACACGATGCCGGGTAAGAATCGCAGTCTATGTAGCATTTCTAGTGTGATACTGATCACATTTGAGACCATAGAGGAGTATCGGGACTGATAGGCCGGAGAAGTAAGTATAATCTTTGCGTCGACTCGATTGATGACATCCTTCAAGAAGATAGGCGGATCTGTCGCGTCAATGGAAACGTAGGCTCCACCAGATTTGAGGATTGCCAGACGGCTGACAATTGCCCATGTAGATTTTTCGAAACAGCTAATGACAACGGTCTCAGGCCCGACTCCCATATCAGCGAGGTGCCACGCTAGTCTAGATGTCAAATTGTCCAGTTCGGCATAGGTGAGGTTACCGTCCCAAGAACAGATGGCAAGATCATTAGGATGTGTAATAGCATGTTCCAAGGCCATATCGTGGAGAAGGACTTCATTGTACTCGGAAACATCCCGGGTATAGTGCTGAATAAGTTGTCGGTCATGATCAGAGCATAAGCTCAAACGCTCTAGTGGGCTGCGTGGAGATAAAAGTACTGCCTCTAATGTGATGTTGAAAGTTTGCAGTATGGTGTTCGCAAGGGCCTTGGAGATATCCGAAGATAAGAAAGCAAGGTGAGCTTGAAGCTTGTCATCTTCATGCGAGATTCGGAGAATGAGCTTTGTGTCAATGCACTTTCCAAGGCAGTATAATTAGTCACGGCATTTGACAAAGACGAGGGGAAATACATTATTACATTTGAAGTTGAAAAGGCCAATTCACGTTTGGCCATAGAAGCACTGTCAACATGGCAGACAGCCGATTTCAAAAATCCTTGGCTGTCGGGGGTGAAACTGACCCCTGCCAATCGATTAGGATTGATATTGGCCTCAATGAGACGGTAGTCTCGTAGTAGATCGGCAACTGTTTTGTCGGCATTCATTTCAAGCAACGGAGTACTTTGTCTCGGCTGACATGAGTCGCTGATATGGCAAAACCCATATTCGGAATGAAGGTCAAGATAGATGAATTGGGTGGGAGAGAAGCAGCGAACTGCGATAATCCAACAGATGTTCAACACTGTCGTGATTTTGAGAGAATGAGCCGCTTCTCTACCCATAGACTCGTCAAGTTGCGAACGTATTCCAGCAAGGAGTTCTTTTGCGCTCATGGAAAGTTCAAGATTAATCACATCTCTGGAAGAATGCGATAACTCGGTCATCCGAGACTTGACCATCGTAGATTGATGCAAACGCCTGTCCTTGGTTCCGATGAGGGCAGTCGCCATGATTTGGGACGACAATTAAGTTCAGGCCAGTGAGGAGCAGGGGAAATATATCAACAGATGTTATGACTGGTAGATTTTAACACTGTTCTGTGTACAAATTTTGACTAGTATACGTCAAAGAGGAGAATGGCAGTCATAGTGCTTGTGGGCTATATCTACGAGCAGAATCAGGAAGCATGTTTATTTGCGCCATGAGTATGGCTCTCATTCGATTCGATCCCAGTATGTATCCACCATCAAAGTCAAATCGATATACCACGATACTGTATACCCGTGGTCATAACAGGTCGTTCTGTTGAGATTTCATCTCTACCATTGCTTACAATACAATAAAAAATGTTGAGATAATACATACTTCAAATGTTCAACTATAGACCCACCTCTAGTTATCAGTTCCTGGGCAGCAACATATTAAAGGCCATTGAAATCGTGTATTAAACCGAAATTTCGATCTTTACCAGTATAGATAATACGCTACAAACCGTATCGGCATAGAATCGGACGAACTAAACCTCAGCTCGATTCACCCCGCCACATGGTCCTAAACCTGAATTAAAAAGTGGAGATTGTGTTTTATGGCGTCTGGCTAGTAATAATTCTGTAAGATACGCAGCATGATGGCTAAAAAGAACATCATACAGCCCGAGTCTAGTACACTGGCCCACATGTTTGCAAGCCGAAGGCTACACTGGCTACGTGTTTGCCGATATCCCCAATCGCCAAAATCCATTAGCGCTGCAGAATTGAAATTTTTGAAGATTTACGGCTTTACGGAGAGGTAATATCAGGTAACTGAGATACGTACAATATAGTGGTGTTTCGCAAGTATTTGAACTTGGGTACTTAAAGACCCGCTTTATGGCCCGGCCGCTTCACAGACCACCTCCTGAAGTATCTGTAAAGTTAAATACTTGTGAAACAATGCCATTATCAATGCGCCACAGTGGGGATACCGAGAAATCTATAGCCAGTAAGTGTAGAGCTATAGATCACGATTCAGTTGTATGTACTCCGTATTCGACTCAAAATATGCACGAATTTTTACTATGTATCTTCACAGTACGTAAGGAGTATAGGCAAGTCAACTCATTCTTTCCCCTTGCCGCGCCCAGCTCAAAACCCAAAAATTGACAATGGGGCTCAATCAGACTGGTCTCGCGCAGGACACTTGAGTGGAGGCCACATAAGCAGCAATGATCTCAGGTGAATCGCCTCTCTCTCAAGAACTCGTAATCAGGCAATGCAGACTTGACCCAATCCGCTATCTTCCGAGCGTCATCTTCACCAAATTCCAATTGCCACTTCTGTACCTCTTCCTGTAACGAAATCTCCCGTTTGATCTTCTCCGGGTTGATACATGTTGAAGCGAACAGCGTATCCCGCATCCGCCTCTTCCCCGGGTCGGTATTTTCCAAGGCTTCCTTGCTTGCAGGTTCCCATGAAAGCTGCAGCTTTGATGAATCGAGTCCAACAGTATCGCAGAACCGTTCTATCATTTCTGGGTCTGACATGTAGTCTTCTGCATCAAGAACGATGGGTCGAGGAAGGTTTGCGTCTGAACCAATTTGCTCCCACAATGCCAGATACCAGTCGTACAGGCTGCGTGCCCAACGCAAGGTCATGGCAGTTTGAATTTCGCCTTTCATTGCCTCTCTTTCCTCGGGAGTTTTTGCCCAGTGCGTGGAATATGTTCGGTAGTACGAAGGAAATGCAACGGCAGGATGCCTGATCAAGAGCACAGGGAACCACGATGCAAGGAACTCATCAGGGAAGACTGTAACGTTCGGTGGAAGATCTGGTAGGCTTAAGCAAGACATCTCTGAGTTTTTCACTTTACAGAGCAGTTCATGCTTTGCCGCAGAGTCGGCAGGGCGGACTCTTGTCGCGGGGTCAATCACGAACAACGCATGCTCTTTGAGGACGATGCGCTTGTCCCCTGCTGCTTTCACAAAGGCCTGCAGCTGATCGAAGCTTTCTTGGTAGATGTTTCCAATTTTGCTGATTTCATGGCTGGACCAATCTCCCAGTGGTTTTTCCAGACAACCCGACTCTTCCAATACATTCAATGCTTGCTGGCAGAAGTACTCTCCGGGGATAGTATTCGGCTGTCGGTCGGTGGCCAAAATGCGGATTAACAGGTTCGAGGCTGTACGAGGTGTTGTGATGAACCATAAGCGATTGAGCGGCATGGATTCCACTCTGGGAGAATTCGTACACATTGCGAAGAAATGATTGTAGGACCAGTAGCGTCTTAATTGCTGATCTTGTAGACCCTTAAGTATTATTCTTATCACCTTCATATTATTTATAGTATTCCTTATCAAAGAAAACTTCCGAGAAAGATCCCAATTCTAATCCTAATTTAGATAAATATAGACTAATTGTTGGTAATTTGAGGGGCTCTAAATTACAAGATGTTATGTACAGGCCCGTTCAATACAGGCTGTACTGTAAGATTGGAAGAAGGCTTGGCGTTCTTTCGGCCGAGGTACAGGAACCGTCGATCGGAAGATCGAGATTCAAGAACTGCATTTCCCTCTCTTCTACATACCAGCCCACTGTATATATCCACCTGCTTAAAGTGCATGTGGTGTTGAGGTGGGCGATCTTAGGGGCTGTTACAACATTGAAACTATGTATACATAGTCGATATATCAGGTTGAAGCATTCATTATGCGCAATCCTGCATGCTTTGGATTATAGCGGTAAGTTCGCTCACCGCTTATTTTGTTGTTGTTACGTCAGTTTGTTGACGTTATTGTTTATGTTGATCGAACCTGAAAGTGAGCTTTTGCGCTCGAATACTCGATGACTCCCGCACTTCTTGTTGGGTTTCAAGCCAAAGGTAGTTGATATCTTTCTACTACGTTCTTTGGAGACAAGCTTGAGTCTCATTCTTTATTCTAGACTCCTAGATTCCTTCTATTCCTTTGTTTATGCGTTCTTCCTTTGTTCTTTCTCTTTGAGCCTCGAACTCTATTTATTGTTCCCTTTGTTTTTTCTATTCCTTATCCGATGTCATCTGAGTCTCCTCTAGGATCTTCTGGATATATTTCTCTAGTTATATTTTACTAGTAGATATTAAGCTATAAAAGTATATAAAATTAAAAGAGCCTTTAGCTACGTGTTTATATATTTTTAAGAGGGAAAATAATGAGAAGGGATATATAGGAATTTACGACTAGGTAGGCGCTACCCCTTAGTCCCGATCACCCTGCTTGGTGAGAAATTCTACCCTATTCTTACCTCTATGACCCAGTCTGCAAAAGTCTCACCCATATCACCCACACTCGCCTAGAGAAATGACCATCGCTGCTCTAGGGTGATGGGGCTCTATTGACTATTAGCCATGCGTATATGAAAATTTACCTCAACAAAAAAAAATTTAAAAAAAAAACATACAACAGTCAGGATTCGCATGTGGTCACCCACCATACTACTAACTGACCGGCGTGTGGCTTAAGTACGGCTGAGCGGACGGGAAGCCCTGTTTTCCACACCCTATGGTCGTATGTACAAGATTAACAATGAAAGAGGCTGATGTACTGTGAAAACTATCAAATGGTAAAACTTTGAACCAAGGTACGGCTGTGCAGAATTTTCCGAAAAAGCAAAAGTCGAGGCTCTTTGAAATGGTAGGCAGGCGGATATATATCTGGTCAAGTCGCTGTTGACACTTGAGCCAGAGGCGCCAGGAAATCGAGCTTGCGACCACATCCAGATAGCAAGTCGGATACTTCAAATGTTCTTCTTCCTCGGTATACCATCGATCTGGCGTCCAGCATCGGCAGGCTTTGAACTAGCTAGACAGATGCAGCTGGGGTACTTCATAAAAATTGGAATAGACAGAAGTATGTCAATATACATATTAATGCCAAGCAGGGTGCCTCACCCTCAATGTTCCCCAAGTTTGCATGGTCCCGATGTCGTATATATATCACGACTTGGGCGCATCAAAATTGAGCACCTCTTCCATCCTGAATAAGAATTCATCGAAGTCAAAGCGGACATCTTGGAAAATACCGTCAAAGCACATTCGTGGGCCTTCCACCAGGGACTCACACCTACTCTGTGCGACTAGACCAGTAGGCTGTAAGATCTTGGCGGACAGGGCCTCAAAGGTACAAATGCACTGCTGAATATATGTACTCAGGTAGACATATGCACGGAGACCTGTCAAAACACCCTGCCATGATTGAGCGACTGAGTCAGTAAAGAGATCGGATCCGACCATGGCTACGAAGAAGATTACGCCAGCGATATGAAGGTAGTAAATACGCATTCACCAAGGGATGATATTGATAGGCTCACAAGGCTTTAATGTTTCGGTCACCAAGGTAGTGACACCTTGCGCGGCATCAACGCATATCCTAGCACATTCTCTCAGAAGCCGCTAGCTGATAGTTGCGGGATTGGTGGACCTTGATCGGCAATTTGATTTCATAGAGTCAAAGTGGGCGAGTATTGGCCTGCAGAGATAGATACGAGAATGGAGAAAACTATATAGTGGACGATAGTAGAGAAAAAATTCTCAAAATACAAAGAAATATCAGGACTAGCTTACCGAAGGTGTATCAAATAGCGCTCTATTAGGGTTCATCATCCATGTCTTTTGCCGATGACTTGTGCAATGGAGGTATTGATCGGTTCATAAGCATCAAGTACTGCACACACTCAGGAAACGGGTTCCCAAATAACATTGAACTAATCGACTCGGTCGGGAATAGCGCCCACACATATTGAAAATAAGTATTCCCCTCTTCATTCTGTAAATTGAATGGCACCCACTCCTGTCTTTACACTGCGAGCGCAAATATCACATTAAGGATACTGAGCCCAATGTGATGGTCTGTATACGCGAGGCAACTTTCCGTCGAAAATGACTTCGCATACATAGATCTGCGAAAACTGATCATAATCCAACATAGGCTCAGCCGGATATATGTGTCGCCAATATATATTGACGAGTTGATCTGCACGAGCGTGGGAGCACTTGAGGGCAGCTCGGTGGACCCCGAAAAAGGGAAGATCACAGGGATAGATCCAGATCTCCAAACAAGGGCACATCGACCAGTGGAAAAATATATGTCGTAGCTGGTGGGGCTCAACTAGCTCTCTCCTCTATAGCTTCTGCACAGCCATGCCACGAATCAAAGCTTTAATATTTTATGATCTTCCCAGTACATGAACCTCTTTTATTTGAAGTTCAGTACATACGACCATAGGGTGTGGAAAACAGGGCTTCCCGTCCGCTCAGCCGTACTTAAGCCACACGCCGGTCAGTTAGTAGTATGGTGGGTGACCACATGCGAATCCTGACTGTTGGATGTTTTTTTTTTTTTTGATCTTCTTGTTTTAAAGAAGCTTCATTTTCATTACTTGTGAAAAAACGGATTTGACCTGGGTCGAGTATAGATTGAAGGAGATCGTACAAAAAGAGACAGGTAGACAGACAGCCTGCGATCTTGCACATGTGTCTAATAAATTGCATAGGCCTCCAAAATCTGGAGTCAATAGGTATCTGTGTTCGTTCATCCAACCAGCTAGATGTTTTGAATGCAACCCACATCTAGTCGATAGTTAGTATATCTTCAAATTGGAAGTTTGTATTGTCGCTTGACACGCGGCTGGCCACACACTGACCCTTAATATGATAAATTTCATTTTCCTCCTCTCTTTGCCAGATTTTTGTTGAAATTTCCATATTGACAAAATGTTTAATTACAGCAATTGTAACCCCAAAAGAGGATCTACTACTCTCATCCGCCAAGTAAAGAAAACCGATTTCTTTCGATTCACGAATCACCTGAAAACCAGGTTATGTACGCTTACGTAATGGAATCTCCGTTGGAAACCGGCAAGTTACTAGGCAACCCCCTAGACTCTAGTGCTCATAGACACCAGGGCGGCATTGTGAATTTCATGATGTATAAGACAAGAAAGTCACAGCACGTATACAATCCTGGGCGAATATTTTAATTACGATCATAAACATGGCGACTGTTGCCAAAGGCCGACGATCCCATCGAAAAACAAGGACCGGCTGTTTGCAATGCAAACAAAGAAAAGTCAAGGTAGGACCTAGATGAATCCACTTCACCTAGACAATTTGGGAGGTCCTAATGTGTTCCAGTGTGATGAAAACAAACCTGGCTGTCAAAACTGTACAAGACGCGATGTCGCGTGTTCGTTCGCTGAAGTTCCACGTCCAATCTCGTCCAGCCATGAACAGCCTACCGCCTCACCAGGAAGTGCCACTCCAGTCGCCTTATCGCTATCTCCAGCTCATCAAAGTCTGGACTCACAACCTACCATTCCAACAAACCTCCAGGGATTTGACATCTTCGACATGCAGCTCTTACATCATTTTATGACGACCACTTGTTACACTTTATCCCGGGCCCCAGTTGTCCAGGCAGTCTGGCGTGACGAAGTACCTCAAATTGCATTCACAATGCCAGGTGTACTACACGCCATGCTGGCCGTCTCGGCCCTGCATCTCGCCTGGTCCGACCCATCCAAGGCGACTGCCTGTATTGCCCAGGCACACCGGCACCACAACGTCGCAGTCCAAACCGTGACACCAAACATACAGTCCCTCGCTTCTGAAAATAGTGCTGGGTTGTTTGTTTTCTCATCACTTACGTGCATTTTTGCATGCGCCAACGCTCAGTCCACTTTCGTTGGTTTATTTGAACACGGCCATCTCGCGGAGTGGGCTCACCTTTTCCGTGGAACTCGGACAGTCGTGGACTACAGTAGTCAAGACTTCCATTTCGGACCCCTTGGTCCAATGTTTACCCACGGGACTAATGCATCGATTAATCGTCGAAGCCCAGAAGCACTACAACAGGGACAGATGTATGTTTGGGAGTTGAAACAACTGATCTCTCGCGAATGTTTGCACGACGAAAAATTACAGCTTGTTTATGACCGGTCTTTGGAAGGACTAGCACGGACACTGGCGGTTGCTATGAAGCCTGGTGAGGGGCCAAGGCTTCAAACTGGTGAGGTTTTTGCCTGGTTGTTTGAAGCATCAAATGACTACCTAGACCTTCTGGGACAGGAGAAACCAATCGCAATCATCATCTTTGGATACTTTTGTGTGGCATTGTGTCAAATTGAATGGATGTGGTGGATTGAAGGACTTAGCACTCGGCTTATGACACAATTGCATAATGTGTTAAATGACGAATGGCAAAACTGGCTGAAGTGGCCGAAAGAGCAAATTGGTTGGACTTTACCCAACGCCAAATGAGAGCGCAAGGGGCTATATATAAGTTATACTTATGCTATGTCTTCGTCTCCGAACACACATGACTATTCGAGGGAAAGCGGTGAAGTGAATGCGAAATTACAAGCACCGCTTGGTTGTGGGTCAATGCACGGAGGGAAGAATTCGACCTGGGAGAACTCTCATGAGTGGATAGGGCCACTAGTCCCCACCAGAACTTTACCTTATACACCCCTCCCAGCCGGTGATTGTCCCAACCGGGAAGAAGTACGGAGTGACTAAATTGGGCCTGGGCCTACATAGGCTTGACGCCTCCTGGTCCTTCATAGTTCCTGATCTGCCGGTACAAGTGGGGTCGGAATTAGCTTTCCTGGCGAGTACAATCTTATATAAAAATACTAAATAAATCTTAGCAACTGTCATATCCGTCTCTTTGCAGTCTTTCTTCCCTCCTCTGCATCCTGCTATGTCTTCTCTGGGTCCTTGTCTCCCTCGAATCTCTCGAATGTCTCCTTTGGTTCCTGCTGTCTCTGGAATCCCTCGAGTCCCTTGTATGCAGAATAGGGAGGCTCATATGGGAAACCATCTCTGTCGTGTCTCGACACTTGCCCGGCAAATACCAGATCGCCCAAGCGCCCAGAACCACCACCATCTGATAGCCGTCGAATGCATACGATGGCCATTCATTCTCGACGAGAAAGGCGATTCCACCATCCATAGTCAACCGCACAATATTGCGACCGACTGCAATGATGGAAATTGCAAGTCCAAAAAGCTGGTTCCAATTTTTCCAACGTGGAAAAGCCGTTTTGCTGGCCTCTGTCGGATGGCGGCGCAGGCAAATCGACATGTAGATGTTTTCGGCAAGTGTGAACAGCCAAAACACCAATTGAATTACAAAAATTGCAATGCTCATTTTGGAAGCAACTTCTATGCTCTCCAAAGACTGAGATGCAACTGTCATTATACCTCCGACAGTCTGAATGATAATCAAGACTGTGTTGATAGTGAGGTATAGTGGTTGTTGCAAATCAATTGGAACCCAGCAAAACCTCGTCGCGCTGAGTGTTCGAGTAAAGTCGGTCATTGTCAGATTGACCGAGAACATTATCAAACTTGGTCCCAATAATAATAAAACGGATTGGAAGCCGTAGGCGACTCGGTTACAAGGGTCTTGCGATGAAAACAAGCGCGCTGTGTATCCCGACATTTGCGCTGCATACGAATATTTAGAAATTGAACATGAAAAATACCGACACTTCTTGTTCTCACTTACCAAGGCCTCCAAGGACAAAAAATATACCGGTCCATGCTTTAGCTCGAATCATGTAGAGGAGATGAGCAGTTGTCAAGACTGCAAAAACAATAACTGCCACTACTGCCAGAGCAAGGCTAGGGGTATACATGTACAGCTCGCATTGTGTAGACGTCATTGCGATGTGATGAAAAAAATGCGCAAAATGATGATGTTAAACAAAGATTGTGGCTAAGAAATGATTTCAATGCTTGCAGTCGTTGTGGTCATTGATCGATTCGGTTTCTTGAGGTCGTCTTTATAACGCAAGGTGAGTTAGGCAACCATTTAAGGAGATAGAGAAGTTGAAGAATGTTCAGTATTCAGAAATGCACGTCGTCCGGGGCGCTTCTGAGAGATTTGCGCTCCAGAGTGGAGACTACGGAGTACATTCGGTATTCTCCGCACCTCGTACATCTCTATTGTAGTTTTCCGAGGCTGGAGATCGACAAGCCAACTAAGCTTCAGGGTATGTGGGTGCCTATTTTGCAATTAAGCCACAACTCTAGCTTAAAACAACCTTATAGCCCCCAAATCAGGGTTAAGATGATGTAAAAATGGTTCAAGTTGGGCCGTGAGTGGATCCATCGCAAAATTTGGAGATGCCAAGCTTATTTCCGTCCATGGAGGTGGAGAAGACCCTCGGATTCGGACTTCTGGTAATGCAATTGGTTCAATTCAATGTGGGTCAGAGTCTCCACTCCTGGCCATTAAGGCCTTGACTCTTCCAGCCCACCTTGAAATCGCTAACTCTAAAATAAGAATCCGAAGTGCGAGCCAAAGTTCAGCAACCCGAGCAAATAACATATACTATGCCTGTGCAACAGAATTTGTTTTCCTGTTGCCTACGTGAGTGGCTTAGGTGACGCACTTCTACGATAAAATGGCACCGCTGGCCACTTAGGTATCTGAGGATATTAAACTGCGCAGATCACAACAGGATTTAGTTGTCTACTTTGTTCAAAGACTTTTTCTCGAGATTACGCGCCATCATGCTTCAAACGATCAACATATCAATGAGTGTCAAGTCCTTTGTGGAAATTTCGATCGGCATGGTATTTCTTTCCTTGTCTGCTCTGATGTAATGCACATCTAAGAACTCTCAGGACTGACAATTCTTCCCAGGGATTCTTGTATCTCGCCACTAACGTCATTTACAACCTCTTTTTCCATCCACTCAGTCGATATCCTGGCCCGATTTCTCACGCCATTTCCCGACTCCCATACTGTTACCGCGCCTGCAATGGAACCCTTCCATTCGATATGCTGGAGATGCATAAGCAATACGGCGACATCGTCCGCATTGCTCCAGATGAGCTGGCCTTCTCGCATCCTGATGCGTGGAAGGACATAATGGGCCACAAAAATGGGCAACCAGAAATGGCAAAGGCTAACTGGTTCTACCGTCCTATCCCACAGCCACTACATATTGCGAACGAAGATCACGAGGAACATAAAAGGCTGCGTCGGCAAATGGCTCATGGCTTCTCGGAAAAGGGAATGAGAGAACAAGAGCCTCTTATTCGAAAATACGTCGATCTGCTGCTTGAAAAGTTACATGACGCGTCCAAGACTGGTGGGCCGATCGTTCTCTCGGACTGGTACAACTTCACAACCTTTGATATCATCGGTGACTTGGCGTTTGGAGAACCCTTTGGCTGTCTTCAAGGCTCAAATTATGACGACTGGATGAAAAGTATCTTTGAATCGGGACGCTTTGGTACCATATTGCAGGGCCTGTCTTTTTATCCACTTTTGAAAAACATTATGTTAGCGATGGTCCCCGAGTCTCTAAAGGAAGCTCAAAGAAAACACACAGATCTCACAAAGGCTAAGATGAATCGCCGGATGGCTATTACTGAAGAACGCCCTGATCTGATAGAGGGATTGCTGAAGAAAAGAGATGAACTAGTAAGTTTTTCCATTCCATGATCCTTAGCATCTCTTACTGAATCTCCCAGAATCTCGATATGGGCAGGCTTATCTCCAACGCCGAGATTTTAATTATCGGTGGCTCTGAAACTACCGCTTCCCTTTTAAGCGGAGTCACCTATCTGCTTCTTTCCAACCTCGATGCTTATGAAACTTTGCGGGATGAAGTCCGTGACACATTTAGCAATTCAGAAGAAATTAATCTCGTCAGCGTTGGCAAGCTAAGCTATATGCTGGCTTGCCTTGATGAGGGGCTGCGTATGTACCCCCCCATTGCCAATGGGCTCCCTCGAGTCTGCCCAAAAGGTGGGTCCAGAGTCATGGATGAGTATATTCCAGAGAATGTAGGTCTCCTCGAAGTCCGTTCAATTATTTTATGTGATATCTCGTTAACTTTGGGGACTAAAGACATATCTCTCCGTCCATCATTGGGCTCTGTACCGTCGCGAAGAATACTTCACCGACCCCGACAACTATCATCCCGAGCGCTTTCTATATGATCCTCGGTTCAGGAATGATCGCCAAGATGCATTTCAGCCGTTCCATGTTGGCCCAAGAAATTGCATTGGTAGAAAGTGAGTTATCTATAGAGTCGACTGACAAACAATGCTAACTTTGGTTTAGTCTTGCCTATAGCGAGATGCGTCTCATCTTGGCCCTTATTATATTCAACTTTGACATGAAAATCGCCGATGAATCTCGAGATTGGATCAAACAGAAGAACTATTTGATGTGGCAGAAAGGTCCGCTGAAGGTCTATTTGACTCCGCGAATCCGTGAATCTTCATAATCGCTTTGGCCTCTAGTGTAGTAATTTTAAGACATATGGTATAATTTGGCTTGGATAACTTCATATTACTGAGTTGAGATAATTGAATTGTCCGTGCCGAAAAATCCCCAGTGTATCGTATGATGAATGAATGATTGAAGGTCAATCAATGGAGCCAAAGGTTTAGCAAAATTCAGGGGTCAAACGCGGTGGCAAAGCGGATACTTACGTTCTATCCACTTTTTTAATCTCTCAAGCGGAGTCAATGGAAGAGAGATCAATTGATTGAGGGAACTCGCGAGGGCGTGACAATTGACGATAGGGATAAAGCAGAGCAACTGATAATTATGTCGTTCTCAGGGCAAGTGTTACTTTGACGAAATCCGGATAGAACTTTTCATCGCCAAAATGAAATTCATGTAGATGGAACCTTGTAATTTGAAAATAAAACGGATGAATTTCAAGTATATCCAGGTATAACACGACATAGGGAATCTATAACACAACCAATCTCAAAATGCAAAAAGTCCAAAAATGAAACCAAACTCCCAAATAAAACTTCTTTTTACAGCGTCATGCCTCATATATGAATCACAAGCCGCTTGCAATTAGACGCGCAGCTCTCCCAATTCAGTCTCGGCACGCGAGCTCTTCTGCTCCCTGGAGTGGATAGAAGGGTTTCCACGAAGAACAACAGAGGGGTGGAAGGCGTTCATCACAATCATGACCAAGAACATCATGGTAGCATCGAAAACATACAGGAAGACCTCATGGCTGATAACGTAGCCACTGTTTCCTTGCGCGAATTCAATAACACGGTACACAGACCGGATCAAGATCAAAGCACTGGCGATGTAAAGAGCGAACAGAAGGCCGCGCCAATCGCGGGGAAATCCACGGACTTTTGAGTTCTCCGCTTCCTGGGTGGGCGATTGGCCGATTCTGATGTGGAAGAGCATGGAAGTGACGATGAAAGCTCCGAAGAATAGGAGCTGGACGCAGAGACCAGCCACGATGATCCACTGGCCAACAACAAGGAGGTTTGCAGATCCGCTGCTGCTCATGACACCGCCACCTGCACCCTGGAGAACGAATGAGAGAACATCTCCCATCACGAAGATCTTGGTCAGAAATCGAACGGGGACCAGGCTCAAATGCTCGGCGTTGAGGAAGACAATTATTCTACCGAGGACCATGTAGATGGATGCCGCGTAGAGGGTTGGAGCCAGTAGGACGAAGAGGGTTTGCATGGCATAGAGGGTGGTTGACGTTGTGTGGAAATGAGAGACACTGCGAGCTGCATAACCGATGATCTGGACTTCACTGGGTATTAGAATGCGCTCAAGGGCTTGATTTAATGGATGGTAGGGAGATGTTGTACTCACAGATACCTCCAACAATGAAAGGGTTGAAGTATTTAGAATGGGCAATAACGCGCTGGTAAAGGTGGAAAACAGTGGTCAAGAAGAATAAAGCTGTGAAAATCACCGCAGCCACCAGGCTGGGGGTGTACTGATAAAGCACAAAGGTAGAAGAAGCCATAATGGAGTAAAAGACTGAAGAGACTCTGGACACCTGGAAAGCGAATCGAGAGTCAAGTACTCAAGTTGGAGTAGAAAAGTTGAGATGGATATTCGACATAATTCAGGAGACAGCTTGCACCTTAAATAAGATTGTGGATAGAAATTTCTGATCTCAATCCACTGTTTTCGATCTCCAGGCAGCCTTGAATCGAGAGGCTGGGTAGTATACGAAATATGCTTATTTTAGGACCCTATCTTCCCCCACGGCGTATTCGTGGTTTTTTCCGAATCAGGCAAAAATACGAAAACCCGAGTACGAAACAATTGCTCCACTTTCTCGGCATTGAGCAAGAAATGATAATGCCAAGATTGAAGATCAATGATTCTTCTATGAATCTTCTATGAATCTTAAATTTTGATTGCGAATTCTTCTCCACTGATGTATTAAGTAAAGCCATGATCCTCAATTATTTCCATTCAAATGTTGCAAAGCATAGATAAACATTACATGCATCCAAATCCACATCGTTAGGTGGGTTTCGCCCGTGCGTCCAGGCCCTCGCCAGCCCCTGGGGAGATATGGGTTCTATACATACTAGTACCTAGTTCCTGTACAATAAGAGCATACACCACCTGGACGAACTTTGGAATGTGGTCCTGTCCGCCAAGATTGATAAAAAACCTGTAACTGAATCAACCTTGGGACAAAGCTCGTTAGACCAAACTTAACTATTACCGCCACTTTGTTAATTCAACTTAATTATCAAGCTATATTAACATTCAGAAGTTGGGGTTTTTTTTTATGTATTGAAGAGAGCGGGTTTATTGGGCGCCAGTGGAGTAAAATCAAAGTCAAATTGAAACCCTTCGGATAGCATCTACGCTATTCCTAAACAGGACAGTTCAAATGTTCTGTCTCGGGTTCGTATTCGCAACGCTCGCAATCGGAACTGGTTCTCTCTAGTCGAAAATCTTTTCAGGCCCCAATTAATTGATTTTGCCTTCAATAATCCCGTGTTGTTTCTCAGAATACATAGCATAGAGTCAGAAGTATGATTTGTCTTCATCAGCTAATAATTAAGCTGATTAATCAAGTACAATGTTATTGTTCATGGGAATCTGCGCTATCTGCGGTGATGCTTTCGCCCAGACGTTCTTTTCCACCAAGACCATAATCCTCTACGAGTAGAGAGCAGCAGAAAGACAGACCCGCTAGAAAAGCAAATGATATGAACACCGCGCGAAGACCTCTCATATATACTGCCAAGATGAGATCTTTATCACCTTGCGGAATATCAAGAGCCTTCAAGTTGAAAGCAGACGATACCAGTTTTGCAAGTACCTCTGGCCTTGATTTTCCTTTCAATCCGTTGAATAAAATATTGTTGAGAATAGTGCCAGATACTAAGGAATACGATCAACAATAAAAGAAAGGCATACTTCTTTAAGACTCTCACCTGTGATCCCCAACCCTCCGCCGATATCGCGGAGGAAATTTCGAAGGCCAGTAAGAACTGCACGGTCGGAATTTTCAGAGCCTGCCAGAAGACCGACAAGAACTAAGAAAAAAGAAACATGATTAGATTGATTGAGAGGTTCGGCTTTACGTTTATCGAACTTACTGGGCTGTAAGGAACACCCCACGCCGACTCCTTCAAAGATACCAAACACAACGATCATCCACGCGGGGGTTATGTTTCCATATAGGGTCTTCGCCGTGGCTCCTATCACCCAAATACCCGCCCCGGTAGTGATAACAGGGGTATATCGACCGAGCGATGCGACCACGGGGCCGTTCAACCCAGATGTTAATCCATGTGCAATGACCAACGGCAGTATTAAAGATCCCGCCATGGTTGGACTCCAGCCTCGAACATTTTGAAAGTAGAGAGGAATGTAAAAGAGGTTGCAGTGGAAAATCCAACCAATGATAAAATTCATTGCAAGAAGGATATTGGTTGAGCGTCCATATTGGAATAAGCGGACTGTTGCAGAGACGATCGGTCAGTGTGTTTTTCTACCGTTGCTCAGCGCACTTACATGGTAGAATTGGCAATCTCACATATCGCCATTCAATAACTAGAAACACGGAGAGCAAAGCGACACCACTAGTGAGCATCGCAATGACCGTCGGTGATGTCCATGGCATAGAAGCGCCCCCTTGAGACAAAGGAATCTGTCTCGATCAATAAATTTCGGCAATGAAAACTGTTGATGACCCCACAAACTTACCAAAATTAGAACAATAGCTAGCATGCTGCTAACAACGCCAAACCAGTCAACCATTTCGAGCTTCCTCCGCATTCCCCTCGTGGTCGGCGACCGTGGCAAAGCCAGAGCAAGATAAACCACAGCGACGCCCGCTAACGGACCAATGAACCAAAATGTGCATCGCCAACTAGTGCACTGTGTCAAAGCACCACCGATCAATGGGCCCAGCCCATTTCCCAGGGCAGTCGCAATTCCAATGATGCCAAACCAGTAGCCCCTCTGTTCCAGCGTCGTATAATCAGACACAGCTATCTGGACAAGAGCGTTGAGAGAGCCGGCGCCGAATCCGCTAAAGGCACGCGTGGCGAACAACTGCCCTTGTGTACGTGAAAATCCGGATGTCATGTTGCCCAGGGCCATTACAATAAGTGCAGTTATGAGGCATAATTTCCTTCCAAAGATATCGGATAGCCGACCGTTGATCAACTGAATGCTGGTGCTGGTAATCAAGAAGCTTGCGCCGACCCAAGAGATGGAGGGGCCAATATTGAGGCCATGTGCGATCGCTGGTAAAGCAGTTGAGACGGCGGTCTGGTCCAAGAAGGAGGTGAAGTGAACAAGTGCCAAGGCTGGAAATACAATCAAAAGCTGCCGGCGTGGTAGAACCTGGAATTGCTCATCTTGGAATGCTTGTGCTTTCGTGTTCCCCAGTAACGGGGTTTCCTCATCGCCCTTCTGTCTATCGTTAACCCGTGTGGGCGTGGAATTATCCATTTTAATGGGAAGAGGAATCGCCGCTGAAATAATTTTAATCTCGTACCTCACTCGGCGATTGCGATTTTCTTCACCCTTGTACCTTCCCTCTTAAACACCACAAGCGTTCATGATACACAAGAACAGGTACAGCAGGGATACAGTCACCGGGATATTTAATGTCTGCATTTATCATTACGTACTATGTATACTGATTGTTCAATAATGCAAACGATTAGACAATAATGTTGGTTTACCAGCCGGCCACAAAATGTGAAGTCGTACAGACCGAAAAGAAGAAAAACGAAAAATTATCCTTTAGTGGGAGTAATCTCCAAAGGGAAAGGGGGAGCATCCAATATGCATGACCTCCCATCGCTTCAACCAGTACCATCCTACCCACAATTCTTTTGCTTGCTGGCTACATCTTGGCATTTTCGCCGAGAACAACCCGGATCCACTGTTGCATGAGAAGGTCTTGATCTAAAGGCATCTCCGCACATGCACGTATCTTCATGTGCTTGTGTGAAGATGATTCATACTGCCCAAATGCTATACGAGGTACCAAGTAGAAATTCATTTTTTTTTGGATCACGCATGAAACAAAAAAAGAGATTGAAGAGTCATTGATTGGTTCAATTAAATTTATACCAAAGCAGAGCATGCGCTTTATAAAGCGTGTGTTACCGTGCAAGAAGTTAGATACTCGAATCTCCAAACGAAGTCGCACCCCATCGAACCCTCCTGAGATGCCGCCGCGGATCTTTAACTTCATTACGCGAATGCAGCCAACGTTGATTATCCATCAAGATAATCGATCCCCGCGGAAGACTCTCCGGACTCAAATGAAGTATCTCCGCCTGAGCAGCCTCGCTGAACAAAACACCCTTGGGTTCATCCAGTGCCTTCGCACAGTCCTCTGTCAACGGAACCATAATATCCTCCCGAAATCGCAGCCGGCTGCCACCCTGTTGACCCGCAGCCTTCAACGCAAGGACATTCCCTCTAATATGCTTCTCGCCAGGCTCTTTCATAAACTCGGGTGGAACATTTATCCGGTAGTTTGGGGTGGATAGCCATTTCAGTGCGAACGGGGAGAGAAGTGTAAGCATCCGATCGACATTTAGTACGGACAGAGTCCCACCGCCGCAACGATCTGGTTGGAGAACTTGCAGCGCAAAGTATCGCGGTGGGTGTTTCTCGTAGCTGCAGTCGGTGTGCCAGTCGAATCGGTGCATTGTCTCCGATCGCGCTTGGTGTCCCTGAGTTTGAAAGCTGTCTGGGCTAGGTCGGACATCCCAGAACCAGCCGCGCTCGGCGCTGTGTGTTATGGGGAGGCCGTGTTGGTGTTTTCTGTGCAGGTTTATGATGAGTTTTTGGAGGTATTTGCTGTCGTTGTCGGGAAAGCCTAGTTGCAGTTGGAGGACTCCCTGTGCTTCCAATGTCTGGTGGACGGCTTTCAGGTGAGAGGATTGAAAGGCGAGATCCAAGGTGTTGACATTAAGTAGGGGAACGAGACTTGAGACTCGCTGGTTTCCTTATGGCCGTTAGCATCTTGAACACGAACTTCGGAGGAGGAGTACTTACTGGTGGGCTGACAGTAATGACTTGTTGCCTTCGAACCAGAGGTGTGGAGAGAGCGAAGAAAGCGGTGCATTTTGCGTGGTGAACAACTTGAGAACAAAAGTTTACCAAGCGGGTGTGCTAACGGTAGATATTGAAAGCCTTACCTAGTGCATATTGATTTAATCCCTATAAAAAGATTCTATTTGACATCAAAGATCCATGCATAATTGATCATGTCGTGTTCTGCGTCCATGAATGTGATAATGTATGAATCTCACTGCGTCGACGCCCAATTTCAATATTGAATCCATTCCATGTGCCTCCATGTGCATATGGAAATACTATCGTCCATTGGACTCTCAGTGTCACACATCGACACTGCAGATGCCACGAGTTGACATTGTCTGTTGAGAAGGTTTTCCTAAGGTTTTCTTAAGGTTTTCTTTGTTTCAAGTTGATTGAGGTTTTTCCTTTGGAGTCAGTTCCTGTAGCCTTGAGGTACTAGTAGTTTACTTCAAAAATGATTAGCCATCTATGGATGATTGATTGAAAATCTGTGTAGCCGAAAGTCCATATAAACATGACAATGCTGTAACCATGCACGATTTCCAACATTAATGACAGAGGCCCCCGCCCAGTAGTTTGGCAGCTTGGTCGACACGGGCAGCGATGATTCGCTCCCATTTCTTGTTGAAAAATGTCAGCTACGAGACAAACAAGCAGAATAGGTGGGAAAGGCAGAATACATACATAAGCATTTGTAGCATTACCCTTCGCCAGGCTTTCTCCGAGTCCCGGCAGTGGGTCAACTGTCTGATGCCATGCTGCCGGTTTGAAAAGAACATGCTTGGCATGTTTAGGAACATCTTGTCCCGGCCCATAGTAGAACACACGTTCAAAAAGGATAGAGATTTGATTAACCTTGCGAATCTCGGAGAACAACCTGATACGGTCCCAGAACTTCCACCATGGGCGTGTCCGCTTGATTTGGTCGACGAGGGAGGCAGTATAATTATCAAACCGGACTGCAGCCTTCTGTAGGCGGAAAATCGAATCTTCAAGCACCGTGAAGTTAAAACCAGTAGCATTGGACGGCAACTGTCCCTTTATGATGCTCACATAGCCTTCGAGTGCAGTGCCATAATCAATCATACTCTCAGAAAGGACTGGGGCTTCAAGCAGATTAGCGGCTAACAAAGACCAGACCTTCGCAGTAGTCGTATGGTATTCATAGCCTGGATCTCCAAAGCGGTCCCTCCATTCCACGGTGTCGAACTGAGAGTGGTAAGGGAGAATTGGCTCGTTGATGTCCGGAAAGAAGCCCATATCCAACGCTGTGATGCAATTATCAATCAAGAATGTAGCCCCGTCTCCACCCGGGGTAATACCACCTCCCCAGACGTCGAGTACAGTTTGACCTTCAATCGTTTGGTTGGGCGACAAGACCCTGCCGGTGGCATGAAGCGTGGGCTTCCTGAGAAGTGGGCTGGCCTTGACGTGGAAACGCGTGCCACTCGCAGCTACCACGACGTTAAGGTAAGCCACAGCCGTGCGGTTCAGCCAAGGCCAATTTTCATGAATCCATGAACTCGATCCGACTCCAATCTCTTCGCCTTCGAAGCTTGCAAAGACAATAGTGCGACGGGGCCGCCATCCGTTGTTGAGCGCAACACCGAAGCTCCGCACTACTTCATTCAGAGCGCTAGACCCACTGCCGGGGTCTGCTGCGCCTGGGCCCCATGAATCGCGATGACCTCCAACAATGACTACCTCATCCTCCCATTGTGACCCTTTGATGGTACCAATAACGTTATGAACTGGACCAGTTGTGTAGGTAATGTTGTTGTACAAGATGAGCACGATGTTGTCCGGCGTGGGGCCAACATTGTATTTCACACCCGCATTGGCCAAGCCACCGCCATACCATCTCGAGGATAGATTGGCAGCTTCTAAGCCATGCCCATTCAACGCCGCGAGGAGAGGAATAGCATCAATGTAAGAGATCGGGATGGATGGAATAAGCGGCAACGGACCATTGGGGGCAGAGGATGGATCGTTTGGGTTGCCTTCTTTAAATACCAATGACTGTTAAATGCAGTTTCTTTTGCTGATAAAACTGAAAGAGAGTAGACTCACTAGCCATGCCAAGGGCTCCTCGTTCTATCATAGTCTCTGGGCGAGCAGGCCCATACGGAAATGGGAGGTACCCATTTCCCTTGACCATACCAGCATCAACCTGCGGATCGGGGTAGATAACGACCCCAACTATTCCCACAGCTTTCGCATTTGCCACTTGCTCGCCACGAAATATAGACAAATTCTTTTGCTCCGCGTACTGAGAAACTTCCGCCCCTTTGATGATAGCAATCTTCCCTGTGAGGTTCACATTGGCTTTAATCAGTTCTTGGAAGTCCTCTACCGCACCGAAGTTGGCAAAGACGTAAGGTGCTGTGACATTCCCGTTGGGCGAGTATGCATGGTAGGCCGGGGCGAATGGCTCTGGCCCTCTCTCCGGCTCCTCGGTCATTTCAGGATCTTCTTCAAGACGAGCCTCATGCAGCACTTGGGATTTGTTGAGGTCAAGCACAGCCAAGCGTTGGCCGTTGGCGAAGTTGAGGTACACCTCATGCGAGGTGATTTCCGTGTCGGGGATACCAAATTCTTCCCATTTCTCTCTCGTCCATTCAGCCTGGCCTAAACCCTGACCCGGCAAGTGAGACTCAGAGGAGTGGAAAATACTCCATTCTCGTGCCATGTGGCTATCAGGCACGGACAGAAGCAGATTCTCGAGTTCCTCGTGGGAAATGGATGGTCGTCGGTGTAACAAAGACAGCGGTAGGTTGCTGCTGAAACCAGATAGCTGCAACAATACCACGGTGGATAGCAGGATGAATCCGATCGCGGAAGATACAGTTGGTCTCGTCCACCGGCGCGCTCGGGGCAGATCTGGGGACCATCGGGCTTTGAATGATTGCCGATCCTTCTTCATGGTTTGCTGGCTGTTTAATCTCGGCTTGAAGGCTAACAGCCATCCAGAGTCAATCTGAGGGGTGAGGGGCGATATTTAAGTGTCATTATGTATTCGGAAAACACATAGTGATGAAAAATGTATTGTGGTAAGATCAACTGCAGTTTGACATCAGCTATGCAAGTATTCAATGTTACCGCCATTAGCCATTATAAAGTGTGATGGGCTCTGCAGATGCGTAGGCAAGGAGCTGCTGATGCGTGTCGTGTAACCTAGAAACACTTGAAGCGCCGCAACTGCAGTAGCTTTGGAGTCTCCGGAACAACAAGCGATATGATAATTAGAACTAGGTATAACCGGACAAACATTGGAACGTGATTGATTCTCATCACTAGGCGTTAGACTCGTATCTGAGTTGGATTGACTGATCTTTTAAAGATTTTCCACGATGCTACGTTGTACAGCTTAGAGTCTACATTGCACCTACTTGCAGGCCCCAGGGAGAAGTGGGGATAGCCCTTCTAAGGTTGACCCGATTAAGATCAATGTACTAGTGAATCATGCAATAATGCATGCAAATACAGTCTCATTTGAACTTGGCTTGACAATAAATGAAGTAGGCTGTTCTGAGATAAACCGTACTTAGGGCCTTGGATTTTGAGGCCCATGATCAATGTAATAACACTATTGGATAAATCTCTTGGTACCCGATGTTTCTTGAGCGACGCAGGGATGTTTGTTAGTTCCAAACCCATTGATAAATGGTGATATGTCGGGATTTTATCTGGATTTTTATTCCGATAGCCATGTTTGCTGCCCCTCTTGAGTGGTCCACCCAGTACTGGCAATCCCTGCGCGGTATCCGTATTCCAGACGTTTCGCTCCATGCGACTTTGAGGACAACGGTTGATCTTTTCGGCGTTTTAGGAGGGCGTCTTCGGGCGCTCCACACCGCATCAGCTTCTTTGCTTGAGCCATAATTATCTCTCAACCGTCCGGATCCCCAAGAGAGAAAACTTTTGTCTAACCCCATCGGTTGTAGCAACAATCCTATTGACTCCTATTCGGTGTTCATATGGGTGAAGTTGACCTGATTTGGCCACGGAAGCACAGGACGTCCGTTGTGAAAGTGCACGTCTTCGATAGCCATATAATCCCATCTCAAGTCTCATGGAAACGAAGGACAGAAGAGAGGAACAAGGAATGTAATGAATATGGATTGTATTGTGTAGTGAAGAGAGAGAGGGGGGGGGGGGGGGACAAGAGAGACGCGGCCTGCTATCTAGAACAAGAAGGAAGCACATGAAGCCTGTCATCGCCGGCGATCATGATGATGAAGCATGTCAATCATGATCATGTGATTCCATTCTCAAGTCCCTTCTTCTTACTAAAAACTCACATGACCTGTTTTTCTAGCAGAAAAACTGCATCCCCATTAGGCTTAGCGCGTCATATAACCCGTGAGAGTGACTTGTGTTTAGGAAAAAAAAAAAAAAGAAGAATGCCCTCGTCCAGGATCGAACTGGAGACCTTCGGATTGCTATCCTGTTAACAGGAAAGTCATATGAAAGTGATATGAGACCAACGTCATAACCAACTAGACCACGAAGGCTTCTTGATGAATGTCGCGCAACTTTTTGGCTACATCAACCCTTTCAAATAACAGATATTCTCTCATCCACAACATTGAAATTCCGGATGGCCCCACAACCACATCGTAACAAGCTGAATGCAAGAATTACAACCGCGATCCATTCTTCATAATTCACAGCCTAGCTCGCGTAAATTTTGATTCTAAATTCAGCTATTACGAAATTGGAGAAAATAAATTATTGATTTTAACCTCGAGCTTTCCAGAATTAATTGGAACTTACCTTGAAAGTAGTTTTCATTCAAGGATATATGTGTGCACAGTGCATACATATCATACATAGTACACAACATTAAAGTTGAAACATTGAATATTGTTGAATTGATGTAAATTTAGTTGCGCCTAATATGTCCCTTTGAATGTTTTCTAGTCAATGTTTGAAGCTTCTAACAACGCCTCCCTATGCACATATATTCCTTTGCCAGTACATGTGAGACGGACTGTTGATCAATCTGTGGATGTAACATTTGAATACTCCAAGGTCATGCATTGAATTGAGGGTTCACTGAAACATTTGAAACCTTGAATTTGGAACATCATTCAATGTTGCTAGATATTTTTAATGGTTAATCAGTGTTAAACACCACGCGTTATATGCACAGCCGATAATATTGACATCGAAGAATTTTGTGTCTTTGAAAGAGTTCGACGGTATGGCTAGCGTTCACAGCCACTTCAAACGCCTTGCAAGATAACTGCCTCCGCCAACAACTCCTGTAACTCCCGTGAAAACAATCAAAGACCCATACCCACTGCCATACCCATAAGCCAACTCACCCTTCCATGGTAATCCCTTAATAAGAGCCTCACTAAGGGGACCGGAAACCAAGTTCCCAATACCTCTGCCAGCCGCAAGACAAGCAAAGACCATGCTTGATTCCGCGGAGGGCTTCTTGCGGACTACATCCCGCATGATGCCGGGCCAGGTACTCGTGTATGAGCCCGCAAACAGACCGTACACGATCGAGAAGATGAAAAGCGGCGCAAGGGACATCGAGAATCCCCAGATCAGAAAGACGCCAATTGAAGACCCGATAGTCGAGACGAGAATGCAAACTGTCACATCCAGCTTATCGATAATGGCACCCATAAGCACACATCCAACGACAGAAGCCAAGTTAAAAAGAATGACAGTCAACGCCTGCAAGGTGCTCGACGCGCCAATCATGCCGGCATAGGTTGGCAGATAGAGTGACGGCAAGAAGAAGCCCAGCGCCTCGATGATGTTGCAAAACTCGAATAGCGCAAAGGTAGACGTCATGATGAAGCGCAAGTTCGGCGGCGGCGGGCTAGGTCGGTTGTCCGGGATCGGCACGCGCGGCTTCACAAAGTAGACCAGTGGGGCAGTCAGGATGAAGAGCGCGATGGCAAATGCGCGCAGGGTGGTTCTGAATCCGAAGCGGTTGAGTAACTGTTCCATAACGATGGGGAGGACAACACCGCCAAGTCCGGTACCGGCCCACATCACACCGAAGGCTAGACCCTTTCGTCTGTCGAACCAGTCTTCCATCAAGAGAATGCAGGGGGAGTAGGCGATGCTGCCTCCGATGGCGTAGAAGATACCTTGGGTAATTATCAGGTGGGTGGTGTTGGTGGCCAGGGAGCTCAGGCCCAGAGCGAAACACATAAGAAGGACACCGACAGCGCAGCCGAGGCGTTGATATTTGGGCCATTGTCTGTAAGCTGCAAAAACGATAGGAAGATCAAGGTACATGATTCCCTGAGGTTAGTCCGTTAGCTATTTTTTTCTTCATGTTTTTCGTTGATATTATGAAGTGTTCTTACCATAGCACAAGTTCCGACAACAGCGATGTTCCCACTATTCTTGAATTCAGCACTGGCGGTGTAGTATTCTTGGAAAACACCATATGTGAATGCGAATCCCCAGACTAGAGCTTCCATCACGAAGCAGGCCGCGAGGAACAGCCAAGCGTCCATGCCGCCATCCATGGGCGGCAGCTTTTCGCCATTGTGATCATTCGATAGGTGAGTAGCACCACTTGTTTCTTCCAGAGGGGTGTGCAACCCCTTTTCGGTCTGACTGACCGAGGAGTGTGAACCTCCTACTTCCTCCATTGTGAAAGACAAGCGAAGATGGCGTTGTCGGCGTCAATGGTGAGGTAAATCAAATAAGCGGGACAGATCCCACGTCAAAGTGAAAGGGGATTGTGACGTGGAAAGCGAAAATTTTAATCAGATTCAGAGAACAAAGAAATCATCCACAGGGCGCCCCGGATGCGAGATCTGGAACGGGATTGGTTGACGCTGACACCAGGCTCAATGCGGGAAACTCCGAAGTGGAGATGGCGATGCTACTGCGGGGCCACGACGATCACCTCATCTGGTCATCATTCACTGCGCTATTGATTGGGCGAACCAACAATTCTGCGGTGATAAGGAAGGTGCGCTAATGATGAGCGAACACGTTGGGCGTCCATTCACAAAGATTGCAGGAAACTTGAAGCTGAACACCGCCATTTTCAATATATGATGAGTCGGATACTGGGGTGGTGGAGATAATTATCCGCAATATCTCTTATCTTATCTATGCGACTTTCACTATTTCCACGCGTCGTGCACCGCCCTGTCTCTTTCCTCTTTGGCAAATCTACACATGAATTGCACCTTTCTTTGGGGTGCACTTGGAATAAGTAAGATTGATTTATCATCAAACTTCCAAGGCTTGAATCGATATTTCGGGACCTTGCAGGATCTTTTTGCGAGGTGTCTAGTGCTGAATAAGCTATGGAACTGACCGGAATGCATTTTTGGCCCCCGAATTAATGAAGATACAAAAGTACAAGGCCGCCACATTGAAAATAGGCCGCCCCTACGATCTGCGCTGAGCTGAAAGTCGTAAGCTTCACACATATTAGAAAGATTTATATCTTTGCCTGAAGAATAGCCAAGTGCCACTGTAGTATTTCCATTATCAATTTATCACCCACAATAAAGTTCATTCACAATGCCGACAGAACAAGCCCCATCAACGGCCGCAAAAGCACCCTCTAAACTGGCGGCCTTAGATGCAAGTAAGCTGCGAATAATTCGCAACCCAAAGCCGACTGAGTTGCCCGATCCTGATACCCTACAGTTTGGGAAGAATGTTACCGGTATGACATCCAGACTAGATTGACGGTGAGTATAACATTGTGAAGCTGACAAGTTGCATAGATCATATGCTGCAGGTGCAGTGGACAGAATCCTACGGCTGGCACGAGCCTCAAATCGTCCCATATGGAAATCTCAGCGTCGACCCGACTGCAGGAGTCTTCAACTATGCTTTCGAGTGTTTTGAGGGCATGAAAGCGTACAAGGACGCACAAGGCCGAGCGCGACTATTCCGACCGGAAGTGAACATCGCTCGCCTGAATCGATCAGCAGCACGTGTTTCGCTGCCGACATTTGATTCCACAGCCTTCTTGACACTTCTTGCCGAGTTCGTAGCAACAGAATCTCGACATATCCCTGAGTAAGCAGACCTACCCCAGAACAATAATCTTTGAGAAAAAAAAAACCGCGGATTGGAGGGGGGAAGACAGGGGTTGGGGGATGCCAAGCTGTGAACAATATTGACCGTCATAGTATCCGAGGGTACTCATTATACCTACGCCCAGTCTTGATCGGAACAAACCCAGGACTAAGTGTCTCGGCACCCACCACCGTGCTTCTGTACATCGTCGCCTGCCCCGTCGGCTCTTACTTCAAAGACGGACTTAAAGCGCTCACGCTGGAGGCAGTCAATAGTTCACAGTGGGTGCGTGCGTGGCCTGGAGGAAGCGGGTCTCACAAAGTTGGCGCCAATTATGCCCCCTCCTTGGTGGCTGAGGGGGAGGTCCGACAACGGGGGTCAGATCAGGTACTCTGGCTCTTCGGTGAAGACAATCAACTAACCGAGGCCGGTACGATGAATTTGTTCGTTGTACTTCGCAAACCGGATGGGAGCCGCGAGCTCGTGACACCACCGTTGGATGGCATAATCTTACCGGGGGTTAACCGGGACTGTGTACTTCGACTGGCACGGGAGAAGTTGGAGGGGCATGGTTGGATAGTCCGAGAGCGGAGTATCTCCATGCGTGAGTTGGAGGCCGCTAGTGTGGCGGGTGAGTTGGAGGAGGTGTTTGGTACCGGAACTGCAGCAGTCGTCAGCCCGATTGGGTCGATTCGTTGGGAGGGAAGGATCATTAGCTGTCACAGGTCAGCCGTGCAGGAAGTGGGGGATGTGGCGAGGAAGATGAGAGAGTGGATCGAGGCTCGACAGTATGGTGAAGATGAGCATGAGTGGAGTGTTCTGGTTGATGATCTTGCCAAGGGTCCTGGGGCGAAACTCTGAAACCAAGCCACCAGTAATCATGTATATTGGTTAGCATTTATCAGGGATTGGCTGAAATAGAAGAAATGTTGATTTTGTGTAAGCGAGCCCCACTCTCTCCTGACGAATCCACACGACTGCGCTACGGGCCGCTGCCAAACACTAAAGAATTGGGGCAATACGGAGACGGCAACTCCAAAAAGCCTGTGATAGCGGGGCAAGTACGAAAAGTTCCCCGGTGCCCCTGACGCAAAAAAAGTTGGAAAAGTCATACTATTGGGTGGGATTTGAAATGATCGTTCACGAACCATATACGGTATACGTGTTTCTGAAAACCTTACTACTTTGTTTAGAGCGAGAAAAAAAAACTTTCTACCGAAGCCTCCTATCACTAACCAGGGTAGTGAGCAGCGTTGCGCAGAGTTTGATACTCCAAAGCCGTCAAATCTTCATACACTGGCTTCTCATCACCCAGAAACTCCCCAAGAGGACCCACATTCACATCACGGTCCGCCTTGTTGAAATAAACCAGACTCCACCGCTCCGGGACAGTCTCCCCGTTACATTCCCTAGGTCGGGTTACACGATGGAGGCCACCGCCAATCTTGTTGTTAGTCCATCGCTGCATGGTCTCGGAGACAATCACAACGACCTCCTCGTCAGATCCATAAGGCATTGGAATGAAAGTTCCAGGATTACTCCGATCCTCGTACTCCAATCCGGGAGTAACATCCGGGAAAACTAGTGAGATGATGCCAAAATCCTTGTGTGGCCAAATGCGGCTGATTTTTCCTTCGTCCAGGGTTGCACGGTCAATTGGTGGGAAATGGTTGATGCGGATCGTGCTAGCCTCGTTGGTGCATCGGGACGTGAAGACATTGGGGTCCAGATTTAGCGCTGTCGCCATTGACTCGAGAAGGACTAGCGTGAGATCCCCGCACGAGAAGAAAAACTCGTCCATCGTTTTCTGGTATCCAGGGAGATCGGACTCCGAGGGCCACTTGTTGGGGAATTGCTCGTCATCGGGGTGTCCGCAGTCGAAGCTCTCCTGTAGCGAGCACGTTAGTTAGAATGGGCCGGCGATTGTGTTGGAACGCGTGTAACATGCCTTGTTATCGCCAAAGTTGGGCTCTTTCACATCGCCAGTGTTACTTTCAAGCCACCATGTTTTTTCCTCTCCTGGCACACTCCATCCACGTTGCTGACCGTTTTTAGGGTCATTTCGCAGTGGGGCCTTGACTTTGTACGGAAGTTTGAAAAAGCGTTTGATCTATTGACGCGATTGTCAGTGACAATTCCTAGTGCCTGGTTGCAAATTGGAGAATACCTGATCAAACGTCTCCTGGACAAGCGGAACAGGAACAGTGTGATTCACAAGCTTCGCAAAGCCAAATGTGTTCAGACTATCAAGGAGCTTGGCAGCAAATTCAGCGCGTTGCTCAGCATCCCCTCCAGAGAGAGCAGAGGCATCGAGAGCGGGGATTGACATGATGGAGATGGATGGAGTCAATCTAATTTACTAGTAAACTTGTGGACTATACGGGCTTATAAGATATTCACAGGGCATCAGGGACAATCAGGCCACCGTGGTTTGCCCCACTGTACACATGTAGTCGGTAGCGTGAGTCTAAGTTCTCTACTCTATGGATTTTCGTGAGATTCTCGTTTCTACATCCGGAAAATGCCCGAAACTGATCAATCCACCAATTCCCGGCTTACAGCCAGGTGGTCTGAAGGATTGGGTCCCGCATTAGTTACTGGCGGAGTCTCAAATAGGCAAGCACGATGCATCTGCTGTTAGATGACCTCGGTGGTCTGACACTTAGCTCATACTTGGACAACATTAGCTCAATTATGCTGACTTCTGCCCTCAAATATGAAAATGGGTTACAGCACGTTTTGAGCGACGTTGCATTGCCACGTTTGGTGGCTTGAACTTACTTCAGTACCTAATCAAGCCGCGCTATTCAGGAGAGAAGTGGCCACGAGGCCAAGGATAAGCCAAGCCACAAGATATAAACTGCTAGACTTCAGAATATTTCGGACCCCAAAGTTTCAACAAACTCAATCAAAGATCTAGAGCCAGTAAGCAATAGAGAAAACCCGCTGATCCTCTGGTTTGTAATATCGTCAACGTAATCCATCAGGTTCGCCGATGTATAAAGCCGATGAGATACAAGTGAGACACGCCGACGTCGGGAAGTCCGGTACTTTTGAAGCCACAAACATAAGTACATGCATGGCGAATTCTGCAGAGAATCTCACGCTAACCAATGGCTCGACATCGCTTACCATATCGAGGCTCAAAGGATTTCCTGCCAAATCTGAGATCAGCAAACGGTTGACCATATCCAAAAGCACTCACATGTGGCGCGCCTAACTAGACACTAAGAATGCAGCTATACATCCCTGTAGTTAGACCAATGGAATCGGCACTGTCTCACGTTGAGCGAATATCGGACCATGCAGCCATGACTGAGAAAGGACAAATATGGTGGTCTGTATGGATGGGAATGCGGACCGTGGTGTCCGTACTACGTTGTGCCTGAAATCGCATGTGGGGTAAATGAATGGATTGCAATAACAGCTGATTACGATGACGAGATTTATCCTGCATGAGGAGGTTCCTTTGAGGTGAGGGGAAAAGAAAAGTAAGCGTACTATGCTTTAAAATGTAGATTATGGGCCCACTGACAGCGAATGGAAAATCTAAAACACAAACAAAAAAGCACACTCGCATACAGAGAAAGATCCCCTGGAGTCGTACTAGTCATGCCTATGTATGTGCCAGAAAGAACTTGAAGATTCAATCGCATGCCCGATCTGATTCCTTACTCTCCTCCTCCACCCTATGCATCGACTAAACCATCGTAATCTAGGCTTCGCAATCCCTCCGATAAATATGACGCGTTCAGCCCTCCAGATCTCCCAGACAGAAAATGGCCCTCCAGGCGGCTGACGAAAAAACCTCGCTGGCTGGCGACTGATCTGCGCGATGGAAATCAGGCTCTGGCATGCCCAATGGTATGATCTTCCCCCTAGAGCTCTCAATACATGACCTAACATCATCCCTCAGAACGTCGAACAGAAGTGGGAATACTTCCAAATGCTCCTCCGAGTCGGATTCACAGAGATCGACATCTCATTCCCCAGCGCATCCGATACCGAATTCAACTTCACCCGCAATGTCGTTGCAGCCGCCCCCTCAGATGTATGGCTACAAGTCCTCTCTCCTTGCCGAAAGGAATTGATCCGACGAACAGTCGACAGTGTCACGGGCGCAAAGAAGGCAATCATAAGTTTGTACATCGCAACCAGCGACAGCTTCATCACAACAATGTTCGAATCCACACAAGAAGCCGTTCTTCGCACAGCGGTCGAATGCGTGGAATATACTCGATCCATCACGAAAGATGATCCAACACAACAAGACACAACTTGGAACCTGATGTTCAGTCCCGAGGCATTCTCAGATACGGAATCATCCTACGCTATTGCTGTTTGCAAAGCCGTGAAAGAAGCATGGGGCCCATCCGATGATATCCCCATTATTCTTAATCTACCTGCGACCGTTGAGCGGTGCACACCAAACACATACGCGGATCAAGTTGAGATCTTCTCCCGCGCGTTCGCGGATGCTGAAGACGTCGTTGTCTCGTTACATCCGCACAACGATCGGGGCTGTGCTGTCGCAGCCGCAGAACTTGGACAGCTGGCCGGTGCTACCCGCGTCGAAGGCTGTCTGTTTGGCAATGGCGAGCGAACGGGTAATGTCGACCTTGTTACTCTTGCGTTGAACCTATACAGTCAGGGTGTGGATCCGGGGCTGGACTTCTCTGATCTTCCTTCCATTCGTAAAACAGTGGAAAAGATCACCCAGATCCCGGTGCACATGCGTGCTCCATATGGTGGCGAGTCGGTCTTCATGGCATACTCCGGGTCTCACCAGGATGCTATAAACAAAGGTTTCAAGAAATGGCGCGATGGCAACTCTGCGCCGGATCGACGCAGTATCTGGAAAGTTCCTTACCTGCCCATCGATCCGGAGGATATCGGTGAAACATATGAGGCCGTTATCCGCATCAATTCTCAAAGCGGAAAAGGTGGCGTTGCCTGGGTTCTTCAGCGCACGTTGGACTTGGAGTTACCCAAGGAGTTCCAGCAGGCGTTTTCCAAAATTGTGAAGTCCGAGTCAGAGGAAAAGGGGCGCTGGCTTACAGAGGCGGAAATCACACATTCGTTTCTGCGCCATTACTCCATCTTGGAGAAAGATCCCCGCATTTTGGAGTGCACAGTGACCACGAGCCCAGATAACTCCGGTCGCGTTGAAATGCGTTCTATTATTTTGGTCAAGGGTCGCCCGCGTGAGGTCCTGGCCACCGGTGAAAATGCTGCTGATGCGGTGTCTTTCGCGTTTTCGTCTTTGGCTGCTCTGAACTTGGAGTTTGAAGTTGTGTTGCGCGATATTCAGGGCAGCGACGGAGAGCCACTTATTATTGCGCTTGTCAAGTGTAGGGATGTTTGGCGTGCGAGAGCTGCTAAGCGTGGTGATGTTGCTATCGCCTTGGCGTGTTTGTCTTCCGCTTTGGTATGTTTTTCTTTTCCCCCTTTGCTCGATCTTGACATTGAACTAGAGGCTGACCAAAACAGGATATGCAAGAGAAATTGCCCTCTAGCCGGCAGTTTCTGAGACTTTTGCCGATCATCCACGTGAATTGAGGAGAGTTTCGAAAGATTAATTAGTTGTTTATTTTTGATTTGTTTTGCGCGTTGGTGGCATAAAATGATGAACGCCGCACCCAATTACGTATAATGCTTGCCAAATGCCTTGTATTGATGTCACCAGAGAAGGCTTTTTTACAGGGGAACGAAGCTTGAGAGGAATAACATTTGAACAAGTGGCTCTTCAATTGATCTGCAGTCGTACTCAATTGATGATTCTGTAAAATTATGGGTGCCAGAACACAATCGCTAGCCCATCTGTAAATAGTACAGACCCAGCGAGCACACCCCGCATGTACCAATCTTGGAAGAGGACAAATAGGAAATAAGGATAAAGCCTTCGAACGTAAGCAGAATAGGCCGATTTCGGAATGGCAGGTTATATAATGGGCTTCCCCCATCGCTGATGGGTTTTGTGACCTTTATTTCAAATCACCCCGCGGAGCCCAACATCTAAATCATGCCGTCCTCCACGCAAGCACGAAAGTTTAAAATTGCCCTTGTGGATAAGGATGAGTTCGACATTCAAATGGCATCTCTTGCTAGAGAGGTGCTGGGATTTATCCAAAAGAACAGACCTGGGATCGGATTCGATATTGCCGACTATCTTGGAGAGGAATATCAAGTCGCCTTAGAGGTGTGTCAGCAATCTGATGCAGTGATTCTGTGCGGAGACAGATATTCTCCAATCGATCAAGATCTGGGCAAGAAAGTCAGCACCTTGGCCAATGTTCAGCCTGTATTCTTTCCAAGCACTGGGCTCATCCCAGAAAGGCTATCAAACAGAAACGCTGTCCAAGGTGTTGATATAAATTTTGTTAGCGATGCCATGCATGGAAGCGTTGAGAATGAGGCAACTCGTGAAAACATTGAAAGTCTGGCGGTTTGGGTGGGAGTCTATGCTATGCGTTCTCACCCGCCGAAGCCTGTCCACTGTGTTTTGTCAGCAGTGCCAAGTTGGAGCTCTGTTGTTGCTGAAGTATTCGAAAAGCAATTTCCGAGTGTCGAAATTCGGTATTTGACTATTGAGCAAGCAACGAATATTTTGGGTTCAGAGCCGACCAAGATGAATGGTATAATTCTCGCAGACGGAGAGAGCGGTGCTCTCCTATCTGGTAAGACATGCACCAGCCTCGGGCTACAGGGTCTGCTACTCTCGGCCGAGGTCTCATCTTCAACCAAGGGTGGCACGCAGCTTGCGGTTTTCAAACCAGGATTCTTGAGTGAGCAAGGCAGAAAAGTGGATCCGATTTGCATCTTGTCTGCGATAAGCCTGATGCTCGACTTGTCCTTCGATCTTGGTGCAGAGGCCTTAGCTGTCACCAGGGCAATTCGCCGAACGATGGATCCGATTGAACTCGTCGGTTCCAACATCCGAACCTCCTGTGCCGGCGGCGAAGCCACACCGCAACAGTTCATGGCCAAATTTATGGAGCACCTGGATTCTTACCTTGAAGCCGCTGGTTCCGAAGCAGAGGCCCGGGTTGTTCCCAGGGAACTGAACTTGAGTTATACACGCCAACGGCGTCCAATGGGCGTGATTGAGAAAATCATGACTCACGCTGCGGTGGGGTTGAGCAAGCCAGAAGTTCAAACAGGGGAGATAATATGCGTGAAAGTGGACTGGACTTTGACGTCAGAGATCCTCTGGGCGGGAATGGATAAAACATATGATCAAATGGGCAGACCTCGTCTCCATCGCAATGATCGTATGTGGCTGGCAATTGACCACACTGTCGATCCACGAACTAATCATCAACCACGACAACGAGGTCTTATTGAGAAAGCAGAAAGCTTTCAACGTGAATCAAAGCTTGTTAACTTTCTTCCGGCGAATACGAGTATCCTGCATACGGACTTCACTCGCGACCGAGCACTGCCAGGACAGATCATTGTGGGATGTGACTCTCATTCCTGCTCTGCAGGCTGTGTCGGAGGCCTAGCCGTTGGACTTGGAGCTGCGGATGTTGTGATGCCAATGGTGACCGGAGAGACTTGGTTTCGCGTGCCCGAGATTTGCCGAATCAACTTTGTTGGACAACTGCCATTTGGAGTTGGAGGAAAGGATGTCATTCTTCATATCCTCGGCCTCTTCAAGCGGAATACAATCGCCTTCCAGCGAGCGGTCGAATATGGTGGACCGGGGCTAAAGGAATTGTCCATGGATGCCAGATTCGCCATTGCAAACATGACAACTGAATTTGGCGGCATGGGCGCGTGTTTTGAAGCTGATGAGAGCACCGCAGAGTGGATTTCTCGCAGACCACATTCTGAGCACCAGGGAGGTCTTTACTTCAGAGCCGATCCTGGTGCACAGTATGCCGAAGTCCGAACCGTCAATCTTGCCGATGTTGAGCTCACCATTGCTCTCTATCCCGAGCCGGATAATGTTGTACCCGTCACAGAAAAGGTCGGCACAAAGTTGGATGGGTGCTTCATCGGAGCCTGCACCACCACAGAAGAAGATCTCATTGTGGGAGCATTGGTGCTAGATGCTGGACTGCGCGCGGGCATGATTCCTTGCGAAGGACGGAGAAGAGTCACTCCTGGAAGCCTGAGCATTATCAAGCACCTCGAGCGGCACGGCATTTTAGACATCTACCGACAAGCGGGATTCGAGATTGGAGCACCCGGTTGCTCGTACTGCGTTGGAATTAACGATGTTGATGTTGCCGGTGAAGGTGAAGTCTGGCTTTCCTCGCAGAACCGCAATTTCCGCAATCGAATGGGCAAAGGAGCCATCGGTAGCATCACCTGTGCAGCGGTCGTTGCGGCCTCCAGCTTTGAAATGGTTGTCACCGACGCACGGTCACTGCTGGCTCAAATCGACAGGGGAAGGTTAAGCAGGATTTTGGGGAGCGAGAAGGCGCCGTTGACAATTTCACCAGAGATCATCGAGCCCAATCCCTTTATTGCATCGAATGTTACTGCGATCGCAGGCAACGGAACGTCTTCCTCTGAGATTGGGGTTTCCACAGAGAAATCTGTAAAGATCTCCACTGATGCGATCCTGCGGTCAAAGGTTCAACGATTTGGGGAAAACGTTGATACGTGAGTTGTACCGGTTCATGGTGAAATTTTGTTCTAACATCATATTCAGCGACGCTATTATCCCTGCTGAGTTCGTCCCGGGTGTTGATAATGCCGAACTGGGTAGTCACTGCTTCGAGTACGACCGCCCCGTTTTTAGAAAAAAGGCAAAGGATGGATCTAGGATCATGTAGGTGGAGTCGAGCTGATATCCAGATGGATGCAATGCTGACCCTTACCAGTGTTGCCGATCGTGGATTTGGAAGTGGCTCATCCCGGGAGGATGCAGTGAGAGCATTGCAAGGGGCAGGCATTGAAGCAGTCATTGCGCCTACATTTGCCTTCATCTGTAAGTGATCATCACAGAAAATCCACTCTTGTGACCAGGGGATACCAATACAATATCCAGATGACCGTAACCAGCTGAACATGGGCCTGTTCAACATCACCTTACCGGATCCCAAATTCTACGCGCTTGCAAATGAGGACTCTGTCGTGATTATCGATCGACAATCGCGTACTGTCCAGGTTGAGGGTACGGATCACGTATTCCATTACCAGCAGTCGGAAATGGAGAAGACCCTCCTCGATGCCGGAGGTGTGCTTCCGCTGTATAAGCGATTTGGCCGCTCAGTGTTCCGGGAGATCTCAAACACGAAAACAACACGAAATAAGGGTGCAAAGGCTTCGAACGGGAATCTTGACTGGTGATGTTCGCTAGATAAATTTAGTAACAAGAATCAAGCCTTGTAAAGGTGTATTTCAAGAAAAAAGTAGGAATAGAGAGAAACATACGGCAGTTTGAGGCTGAATCAGGAAGGAATCCAACATTCAACGCGCGTTATTTTCGTTATTTTCATGTAATTTACACAGTGTAACAATATGGATCATGTGATATGTAACGCAGATCCGCTATCACGTGCAGCTGGCCAGTGCTTGGCGCAACATTTGAGTCTCGATTTCAACAGCCCCACAGTCCAAGTCTTTGCAAATCTTGATATGAGAGATCGATCATCGTACTGGACTTATTGATTACTATTTAAAAGTCTATTTTTTTCGCATTGCGTGATTAATAAATCTCCCAATCATGTCGGCCACGAACGCGAAAGTTATGAAAATTATCAATGAGAATGGCGTCGGTATGTTGAATGCTGGGCTGTTTTCCCTTCACTTCTGCTCTAGTGGGGAACTAATTGCATCACTACAGTAATTTTTTCCAAAGCATCCTGCCCCTATTGCACTGCGTCCAAAAAGAAACTTAAAGCTTTGGGTGCCAAATATTTGGTCCTAGAATTGGACAGAACCAGTAAGTCATACTCAATTCTATCCTTCATTCAAGTTCTCAGGCGTCTTTTTTGGAGGATAATACTGACTTTTGGCAAAAAAGAGGATGGAGCTGCCATACAATCTGCTCTCCAAGAAATCACGAATCAGCGTACTGTGCCTAATATTTTTATCAAGCAGAAGCACATTGGCGGGAATTCGGATCTTCAGGGAAAGTCTACCAGCGAATTGAAGAAAATATTAAAGGAGGCTGGAGCTCTTTAGATATTGTTTGACGAAGCTATGATGTAAATTTTGAGATAGATTGTTTGAATACTCAAGCACTGATGATCACCAACGATTGCTTTCGAAAGTATCATCTCCCAGTGTCCCCCAATACATGTGCAGATTTTGAAAGATATTTTATCCAAGCACTTGACAAGTATGAAAGTATGAATCAGAAAAAGAACAAAACGTTGAAAAGGAAAGCATAGACGCTCGAATGTTCAAAAAATAAATAAAAAAAAACAAGGTAGACTTTAAATATCAACGCAAGCTGACAGAATCAGCGGTGCTTTCAATTCGCAACGGAAATGACCTATTTGAAAACCCAAAAATCAAGACGTTCCCTGATGGACAACCGAGAACAAGTAAGGTCTCCGACCGCGCAATCCGACTGGAGTAGTATGGGCCTGACGGTGATCGATACCCAGGTGGCAGCAAAAGAACATTCTGCTCATTGAAGGTGATCCAACTTGATACTTCATCGGTGCCATAACGATGACCCTGAGCCATAACGGCTGTTGGACCAGGTGGTGAGGATAGCTCAATTTTCACTATCTCCCTTTCAGAGCGAAGAACACCATCAACTACCACCCAGCTTGGCGGGTCTTCAGCCTCGAGGCATGTATAATCGCTGACATCCCATTTCCTGTAACCTCCATCTAGCGTGCGCGAGACAATACGTTTTCCTTCTTCTGCGAAGCCTACCATGTATACTGCGCCTTGGTGACCATGGAGAGTTTTGAGACACGTTCCATGAAAGTCCCAGACTCTGACAGTTTGATCATCCGATCCAGACACTATAAGTGTACCATCGGGTGAGATAGCAACTGCGCAGATACATGAATTGTGACCTTGGAGAGTCTTGAGACAAGCGCCGGAAACATCCCAGATTTTGAGAGTACTGTCAAGTGACCCGGATACTATCCGGGTACTGTTGGGTGAAATGGCGACATGATCGACTCGGCCACTATGACGCGTAAGAATGGGAAGGTAATTGTCTGTAAGATCCCAGACTCTGAGAGTCCTGTCCTCGGAGCCAGATGCTATCAAAGTGCCACCGGGTGAAAAGCAAACGGCGTTGACCTTCTCAATATGACCCTCAAGGATCCTCGTACAAGCCCCTTTAACATCCCAAATACGGATGGCTTTATCGCTTGATGAAGTGACGATATAGTGACCGTCTGGCGAAAACGAGGCCGATGTCAAATAATCAGTGTGACCCTGGAGAGCCTGAAGGCAGACACCAGCGGTGCTCCATATCATAGCTTTTGAAGAGCCATAAGCACATGATACTATCTTCGTCCCATCGGGCGAGAAGGCGACAGACCTGATGGATCTTCCAAGGTCCCGGAAAGTTATCAGACAAGCGCCTGTGGTATCCCATATTTTTATGCTTTTGTCACCAGACCCAGAAACAATTCGAGTACCATCAGGTGAAAATTGCACTGAGCTGACACTATCGGTGTGGCCCTTGAGGATTTTCAAGCAAGCTCCAGTAGCCATACTCCATATCCTGACAGTCTGGTCCATACAGCCCGATACTATTGACAACCCGTTGGGGGACAATGAGGTTGAATATATGTAATCTCCAGAGCCAGTGGTTGGTATGTGCAAACATTCTCCAGATATGTCACAAATCATAATGTGGACTCCACCAGAGGCACATACACGTGTGCTATCGGGTGTAAATGTAACAGAGAGCAACGGCTGCCAATCTTTACCCTCAAAGGTTTGGAGCCTGGTACCAACAGCATCCCAGATTGTCAAAATGTTTGATGATATGGATGCGATAAGTTTGCCATCGGGTGAAAAAGAAACCGATACGGGGCGGTGTATGTCATGTTGCTCAAGAATCTGTAAACAAGAGCCCCACTCCTGTTCCACGGCTGGTTTTTGAGTAATCCAATTTGGCTCTTGGTCTCTGAAAAGCTCTCGAGTCAAGCTCTTGCTTGGACTAAACAAAAGTGCGGAAGAGTAAATTTGAAGAGGATATTTTTCAACAATTGGCGTATGAGCCATGATAAATCGACGTGCATCTTTGACAATGAATAAACGTTTGCAGCTTTCTGAGCCTCTCTGGATATAGTATTAGTTGAAGAAAACACTCGATGCGTCGTGCTACTTACCTGCAACAAATCAACGAGCTTCGCTACTCCAGATCCAGCGATTGAGAATCGTTTCATGAGGCTGAGGGCCTCTAACCAATTTAGGAAAAACTTCTTCCAGAAGGTAGATACCACCCCGTCGTCAAGAAAAGTGTGATAATCTTCTGCTGTTTCATATAAATGATCGATCCAATAGACACAGGAGTAGCGAATCGCGGCAAGTGGGTCTTGTGGGGGAGCTTTGAGCTCCGTGATTGAAAGCCCAGGATGCTTCAGTTCATAAATATTCATATGCAACTTTTCTGACATAGACTCTAAAGACCGTGAGATGATTCTCTGGTGTCCCTCATGGTGCCCTTTTGGAAAGATTGCGGACGATATGTCTCCTTTCATGTGTTGGATAAGATAGTCCTTTGCCGATTGGTGAACGAAAGATACAGTTTCTTCGTCACCCCTGAGGACAATGATATAGCATAGCCTGATAATGCGTCGGATATCGGCCAGAGGTCTCAAAGCTGCAAGATTTCTCAATTCAGGCAAGCGAAGTGGAACGTAGGAATTGAGTACAACTGAAAGTACCTTTTTGCAGTCATCGAAACTCTGCGATTCGAGTATTTGGCGCATCATTTTGTCGTAAATTTCGTTCAATCCTGAAGGCATCTTGCGAGTAATGTCAAGAACCATATTGGCATCGCATTCCGTTTCTTCAAATTGCTTGAAAATGAGTGCAGCCCATAAGAATGTATCATCTGCCTTCTCATGAATTGTATCAGAGACTTCTTTCAAGACTGCTCCGAGCTGCTCGGCAATTTCAGGGTCTTCAATTTCCACGTCATAGCTGTCTCTGAGCCTCGTAGTAAGAAACGACATTTTGTGATCAATGAAAGCTTGTACTGCTCTTGAAACATGACCTTCGACATTTTTCTCGAGATGAAGTTCTAGCTTTCCATCAAGAGACAAAACCCTTTCAATAGTGGATTGATGCCGACTGGATATAATCCACTTAACTGCTTGGGACTTCAACAGACTTTCAACAATCAATCTCAGAAGATCGTTTAAGCCAGATTGACATTCGTCCAAGGCATCGATCATCAAGTAGATATTTTCCAACCGGGAATCATTGATCATATCCAGAAATATACCCCGCAAAGAAAAATAAGCATTAGGCCCCTCGAACAGCTTGGGTCCTGCTTTGTCGTAGTGCTCCCTAAGGTGTGACATGAGAGACGGCGCTTGACAGAGTATTTGATAGATCAAGCCTCTGAGCACTGCTGTGGCGTTGTTGATATTTGCATCAGTTTCCTGACAGAAGAAGAAAGAAAGCAAGCTGCTTCTAGCTGCATATTCGGGTGACCGCAATTCTTTCGCAATGCCAATCATAAGCATTGTCTTCCCTTTGCCGGGCCCCCCTCTAATCCAAAGTAAGCGAGTTGCATGACTATTCCTCCAATCGATGAAATGAGGATGGCTTAGAATCCAAGCATAGGACTCCGTCAATAACGAGCCCTTGCTATGTTCAATGCGCTCGATATCAACAGAAGGGTCGGTGACCCGTAGGTCTCTCAAACACTGGTCATTCGCTCCTTTCTCATGAAAGTCCTTCTGCTCCAAGGCTTGATTCTGCATACTGACTTGGATGTCCTTCAAAGTCATGGAATCTTGCTCATGATATTCCAAAATCTGTTGATCGGTGTAAACCTTGGAATTTGTTATGACAATTCTTTCAGCGTCTTGAACTTCTGTCAAGCTCCCATCCCAGTCATCTAACTGGATGACATTGTGGAGGAAGCTCCGTGACGGACTTCGATAGTACGAGCAAACACTCATCATCTGGTAAATGAGAATTGTCTTGTAGAGATTGACAAGCTGATTCTTCAACTCAACACGGAGCCCTGTGTAGGAGTCGCTTTTGAGATTGCCCTGGTGGAGAATATGACCAGATAGGTTCCAGTACCAGTCCATCTTCCTTAGGACAAAGTCAAGCCCAACGCGATTTTTCTCGGTCGCTACAACGGGGTTTGATATCATCTTTACCGTTATTAGTTCGAATTGATATAATCTTCTTATGGGAAGAACAGTACTCACTTGTATAGCCAAAGAGACTCCGGCCCATGCAAGAGAAGCGTCTGGAGATACTTGGACCGCACTACTTATCATTTTATTTGCGGAAAGCGCAACCTTCATTGCATTTCTCACGCCATGATTTGACCTCGCCACTTTCTCTGTTTTCTTGAGAGCCTTGGTCACAAGCTGCTTCATCTGATATCGTCTCACTTCTGGGTTGTTTGGTACGATCAAGTTCTGGTCGGCTTCTGGGTCTTCGTCAATCTCAATAGTCAGGATCCTCTCATATGCCTCCAAAAGAAGACGTCGATCGTCTTTGAGTGCATCATAAGCTTCGTCCCAGAGCAGTTTTGGCTCGACATGAATGGTGGATAGAGGGCTATCTTGAGAATCTTGGCCCTGTAGCTTCAAGTCTTGCAATGACATAGACTGAGTTGATTGCGCAGCGCAGCCATTCTTGGTTGAGTTTTGGGAGGACGCATTCAAAAAAGTGGCTGAAAGCTGCGAATCTTGTTTTAACTTTGCCTTTGGGAAATCTCGCTTGGCGGCTTTTTCTCGCCCTAATATCCTAGAAAGAGAAAAACGGCCTGCTTTGTCGCTTTTGCTCATATCTTTTCTCAGAAAATCCTAACTTTTCAGACGATGTTTTGTGATGGAAGTTGAATGTTGAATACTCAGCGCATTCAGCTCAATGGAGGGGTGAGCTTACCGACTTGCAAGGCCAGAGGCGATATTAATTACGTGTTACTTCTAACCCAGCGAAACGCTTAGTTGCCTGTTTTAGTTGGACTAATGGTGTAGTGCACAGATTAGCGTCATTATCTTTTATTTAAGCGCCCGGGTTGTCTACCCCTGAAATGCATCACTGCTGCTCGTGCAGTAGTTCTGTTTGTAAAAATTTGTTACAATTATAGGTGCAGAATAAAGGTAACCATAAACAAAATTCAAGCACCAGTTTTAATGAGCCAGGATTAACCAGGAAAGGAAGAAGCTTGGTTGGAATGTTGAAATTATGAGCTGGTGCGGTACATTACTCAATACGGGAACTTGTACAAAGTACTGCGCGAGTTCTGGGAGGTGGGTCCAACTTAACCAATCAAAAAGAAAGTAGAATCGATTTTTTTTTGTCACCTTCAGTCAGAATCAGGCTTTCGTTCAGCGGCGAGCGAGCCCCACTTGCCTAATAGAAGATGTCTAGTTTTTGAATTTCTCCCGCAGGCTTTCACAAGAGCTATCGCCATTAGGAGTTTTGCATGTGCATCTTCCTCCAGCTTCGTTCAGCAAATCGAGGATTTTTGCATAGTTTGATGGCCGTAACATTGCAGCCAGATGAAATGGTGTACTCCCGTCATTATCACGTATCCCCAGATCTTCAGCCCGGCGGATAAGCGCAGCCTGGTAGATAAGCGCAGCCAAATCAGTCACATCCGTCTCGCTATCCTCGTCGGCCTCGTCATCTTCGTCGGGTTCCCTGTCAAAGATATAGTGCTCAAGTATCAACTCAACAGCCCAGTGATTACCAATTTGAGCTGCCATATGGAGCGGAGTTTGACCATTTCCATCCTGCAAATTGAGAGGTGTGTCACGATTGAGAAGAGCCCGCATTCCTTGCTTGATACGCTCAGGATCTTGAGGTGTATGAACGACCGCCAAATGAAGAGGTGTTTGGCCAAAAGAATCTTCAACAAGAGGATTGCCTGGCTTTGTCATGATAAAGCGAATCGTCTCCGTGCACATCCAGTATCCTGCCTGGTGTAGCAGAGTGCGACCGAGTGAGTCTTTGCAGTGAACAAATGATTTACCGACAAGACTTTTCAAAGCTTTCACACACTCGCATTTTCGAGTTGGGCGTCTACAACTCTCCCTGTAAGATGTGGATTCGTAGAGTTGTTGGTATTCAGAGTCATGATAGTCGGCTTGCTTACCCCATAGATCGAGGCATTGTGGGCTTGATGGGCCAACAATAGGCTCTCGTCGAGTTACGATGTTTGGTGGTAGAGACACTCCTATAGAAGAATGCTCATACTCCAAAACTCGAAACATCCAACGGTCTCTTACTTCTCGAGAACAACGGCTGAGAAGAAGTTTAACGGCTTTAGAGATTTCTTTTTGAGAAAAAAAGGTTTCTGAAAGCAATGCATAGTAAAAGGATCATATCCCAAGGCGTCTTCCAAATCGAGTCTTGCTCCGTTTTCAAGCAAAATGGCCGCAGTTTCCAGATTTTTCCGTTTAAGAGCGATGTGAAGAGGCATCTGTCCGTTAGGATCAACACCATTTGGATTCGCACCATATTCAATTAAGCACAGGGCAGCTTCGTCATGATTCTTATCTGCAGCAATGCATAGAGGTGACAAGTGATCGAATTCAATTGTGCTGTAATTTTCATCCTGCCCATCGGCCGTTCTGTCGTAGAAATCACCATAGAAACCATCATAGAAACCATCATAGAAACCATCATAGAAAACATCATGACTGCCTTCAAAGATGTCCTCAATGAAATTTGGTACGCTGCCATCGATTTCGAAACTCGGACCATCGGGACTGAGGCCAGCGTCCAGCAAAATTTTGAGTACGTCTGCTCGTCCAGAAAGAGTGGCAAGGAATAGAGGCGTAAACTCGTCGAATTTCTTGGACAGGTCTGCACCCTTATCCAGGAGTGCCTTGACAAATTCTGCGCAACCCTGAGTTATCGCAAGAATGAGCGGTGTTCTTCCTCGCCGGTCCAAAGTTTCCAAGTTGAGGTTGTGTTGAAGCAATGCCATGAAGACTTCCCGATGTCCCTGCATTATGGCGATGTGTAGCGGTGACTTCGTATCTGATCCGTTTCCATAGCGATAGAAACCACTCTCAACAAGAAAGTCAATCACTGCCGGTTGATTATACAGGGCTGCAAGATGGTCTATGTTGCACAAACCCCACTCATCATCTTCTTCATCAATCTCAAAGAGAGCCCACGGGATCTGCTCGAGTAGAACTTCGATGGCCTCGATTTGACCGCATTTAACCGCTTTAATCAGTGCTTCACGATACAAGCACACTATCCCAGTTTCAAAGTAATCGGGTGCTTTTCCCTCGCTGCGGAAAACCAATACGCGGTCGAACCCATCCAACCCCTCCTCGTCAAGCATCTCGGGGTCAAACATTCCAATGTCAGTCCATCTTACATTAATTTTCCAAGGACCAGCAATGGCGAGGCCTGGTGTTACAGCGGCGAAAAAGTGCTCAAGAGTCCCAATTTCGCCTTTCATAGCTCCCCAGAACAGCCCCGAGAAGTCGACTTTGGAAACAGCACGGACGTAGAGATCATGTATCAGCATGGCATACAAGTGGCGACTTGTCTGAACCAATGCTTTGAAATCTTTTATCGCGTGGATATATGACGTAATGTGAAAGAGGAGCTCAGCTGGCAAGGAGTGAAGAGACATGATTGCATCGGCGATGAGCAATGTCAAAGACCGGGATGGGCTTTCAAACAAATGACGGCGTCTTTGTATGTGTATGCAATCTCGTTGGATAGCTAGCCTGTAAACTTAGGTAGCTTTGAGCTCGCTCCGCTCAAGAACAAAGCGAAGGCAAAGTTGAACTCGCATCCAACCTCGGGAGTCGGGATGAATGTTGTTGTTGACCAACCAAAAATGGAAAATGAAAAATGTTCGCTGAGCGGGATTTGTTGTTGTCTGGTTTTGCAGGCCAGAGTTGCGTTCCGTTGGACCGTTGTTATGCAGTGTGGTGGTCACTGTCAGTGCATCTGTGTTCGATCCACAATGTGTGACTCTACCCTTGACTATCATGGACCGAGGGAAACGAAAACGAAAAGGCAAGAAGGATCAACAGTAATGGTGTTCTTCGTGCAAAGCGGGATGGAGAGGAGAAAAGGAAAGAGAAAGGGAAAGGAGTGAGAAGCTCTCACTTCATCCCCCAGGCCTGACTGTTTATCTAACTATCCATCTACCCGATCAGGACTAGTCGCACGCTGATAACTGAGGCATATCCTGTGACCAGGATGTGGGAAAATGTACCTCGCACCCTGGGAAACCACATGTCCTAACAATCTGGCGTCACTACTAGAGTACTACTAGTATGTAACAGTAGTTATAAAGATCTTCCAACCCAACCCATTGATTAAAAATTCAAATTCTTTGGCGTCAAGTTCGGGGGTTACTTATTAGGTAGGAATTTACCTTTTTGGGAGTGGTGAGGGTCGGGAGTCGGGAGTGCGTCAGGAATTCGGACATGCTCTTTTTCAAGCATGTTTTATAAACAATGTTCAATTTTTTTTCTAAAGCTCAATTTCGAGGATCCAACATACACAGTTCTTCTAAGATTGCTGGCCCAATCATCAACTACTCGTTCATTGCATACAGCTGCAACCATGTCGTTTTTGAAGACCATCATGGCCTCTATCGCTCCCAGTCTGGTATCTTCTACTGGTGGGAAATATGGTCGCTCTTCCGTCTTGAGCGACAATCTGCGAACAACGGCAATATTGGAACCATAGAATGGGTCCACTAAAGAGAAAGACGCCCACGGACAGCCTCAGTAATGACCCTTGAAGACTTAAAAACAGCACTTTGAATGGTGGTGGGGATTTGGCTATCTAGGTCAATGTACAACTCATTGTACATGGAATGTGTCTTTAGGCAATCAGCAATAGAAACTCGAGATTCCATGGCTCAAAATATTGTCTAGCTTTGGCCATGCTGACTAGCCTAATTATACGAGAAGACAGACAGAATCGGAAAAATACCAGAAACTTGCAATATCTTCTTACCAGGATGCTAGTTTAATTTTGGTTGACAAAACAAGATAAGTTCTCACTTTTGAAGCAAGTTATCGAGGGCTCATTTTATTATATAACTAAGCCTGTTTAACCAATGATCATCATGGGTTAAATCACCTCTAAAGCTGTCCAGACTTGTCAATGGTGATTTTGGCCTTGGGAGCTCCACTATCGGTACCAAGAGCCTCAATCTTTTTGACGACAGCCAGACTCTCCTCATTGGCAACCTCTCCAAATACGACGTGTTTTCCATCGAGCCAAGATGTCTTCACAGTGGTGACGAAGAATTGGGATCCGTTACTGTAAAGAAGAATGAGATTAGCCAGTGCTCAATATTGAAGCGAGAGTATGGTATGATATTAGGTCAATGGCATACGTGTTGGGACCAGCGTTGGCCATGGAAAGCAGACCAGGCTTGGTGTGCTTGAACTTGAAGTTCTCATCGGGGAACTTCTCTCCGTAGATGGACTTTCCACCAGTGCCCTAAGAAAAGTGTTAGTTGTCAATTCCAGTACACCTGACAGTACACCTGACTGGTCGTTATTGCACAGAGGGACTTACGTTGTGATTGGTGAAGTCTCCACCCTGGAGCATGAAGTCAGGGATGACACGGTGGAAAGTAGACCCAGCGTAGCCATATCCCTTCTCACCAGTGGCAAGGGCGCGGAAATTCTCAGCTGTCTTTGGGACATCTTGGTCGTATAGCAGGAACTCAATTCGGCCGAGGGGGCCTATTGAAGGGCCTCATTAGCACTTATAAATAGAGTGAATTGAACGTTGTATCCATACCTTTGCTGGAGGAAACGTCGAAGTAAACCTTGGACATTGTTGCTGGTTTTTCAAGATATAATTGGTATGAAAGGTGGAAGAGATGGAATGAGGTGAAAAGAGGGAAAGTGGGGGAAAGAAGAGAGAATAGAGGGGATCGAAGCCGTGAGCGAGGGGTCAGCTAGAAGCTATGTCATGAGTAGCTGACGGCGTTTCTGAGTGGTCAAATCCGGAGACCGGAGAAGAAAGGATGGCCAATGAGATGGCTGAAGATCTCAAGTTTGGTGAACTTTAAAAAAACGCCATCGTTATGTAATTCACGATTGCAACCGGCAGGACCCGATTAGTGAAACATGATCCCACCGGAAAATGGCTTAATAATAGAACAAGTATTTCCTCTATTAATTCATGTCAAATTGCCCCTTTGACTTTGAAGTCGTACTTCAGGGCCCACTTAGTGGTTGGTGGGGGCACTGGGGGCTGGCCCGCCTGGGCAACTTCTTTACCCAAATAGGAAAGTTTCGAGACCCACCGCCTACTGTAAAAGGGCTTCACATAGAGCCAAGATATTTGAAGGAGAAAACACTCCTAATGTGTATACGATCCTGAAACATTTCATAGGAAAGTTCTTCAAGCAGAGACGCAGCATGATGGCTTGGCATCAAGATAAAAGGCTAGAGATTTCCTCGACAATCCAGCATCATCAATCAACTCACTTCAATTCAATCCAATTCAAATCAGATAGTCAACCAACGCGATCACCCGATCAACAACGCTCAATCTTCAAAATGCAGTTCATCACCGTTATCATTGCTACCCTGGCCGCTGTTGCCACTGCTACTCCTTCTCCCGATGCCTTTGAGAAGCGCACCTGCGTTGGTAGTGAGTTTACTTTTTCTTGAAAACTTACATGGGTTATAGCGAGCTGACTTTTCGGATTGAAGACTACAAGGTTGCTTGCCACAGCAGTGGCCCCTCTTGCTGCGACGGATGGCAATGTGTTGGTGCTACTGAGTGGAACGCTGGCGTTTGCATTCCCCAATACTAGAGAGATGAAACCGTGATACCAGACGACAGTGCAGGATCTCGAATATCTCTTGTTTGTCTTTTATTTTGCTTTTTATAGATTTATAGCGACTTCAATTTGATCGTTTTGGTTTTTTCTTTCTTTCACAGATGGAATCCCAGTGCTGGGAGACATTCTTAAAATTCAAGTCTAGAAAACCGAATAATTCCCGATTATCGCCAAAAAGAGTTCCAACGTCATGGTGGTTGGATTCATTGTCCACATGTGCAAACAAAAAGAAAAGGAAAGGAAAGTCAAAAACAAATACAGCCCAACAAGGCAAGAGGCATACATTTTCGGCACAATCATCATTTAATGTATATTCCATTCAAGGTTATCATCATGGACGGCATGCCAGTGCTTATATCTCAATACGGCAAAGTGGCTAGCTAGTAGACATAAATAAAGTCCTCATTCCGGAGATCTGTTGTATCCGCGAAGCCCTTGTCTGCAACGTTCCTGTTTGGAATATCGGTGACATTCTCAAGCTCAAGAGCTTTGCCAGTCTCCATTTTATCCTTCGTAAGCATCGATTCATCGACGGCATTTGCGCATTTTCCAAGTTCCTCTCTCTTCTTAGCATGCCTCCTGTTAAGCGCGATCAAGTAGAGCTCAGTCAAGCTTTATCACGGTCAGCCGGTATTTGTCATCTTCGAGAACCGCTCAAACTTACATTGTGAGTAAAGCTACAAGAACAAACATTATTAAGCTTGCAATCAGGCCGGGACGGTAGGTGGGGGCTTGGGAGGTCGAGAAGAGTTGCGGGCCAATGACCTAATTTCAGGTGAGCAAGATTGTAGATTTGGCAAAGAGGAAAGATTCCGGTTCATTCACTAACATTTCCGGTGCACATGCCGACAAGTACAACAGCTGATGTGCATTTTCGTTTCGTGTCACCAGCTGTATTCTGAGATTCCCATGCATAGATCATTGGTGTGATGGCCGCCATGGTTGAGACCTTGAGCATTTTCACAACGTCAGTAATCACAAAATATCAATTGGAAGTGCCCAGTCTAAAACGCACCAAATAGTAGCCAAAGAGGAGAACACCCTTATTGCTGCGCGGGATGACGAGCATTAAAATAGTGCCAATCGATGCAAGCGTAGCGACTATCACAATGACTAGTCCTTTGCTTCTGAAACGAGTAGCAATCCAGCCACCACCAACTATAGCAATGATTTGGATGACACCAAATGGCAGGTTGAAAAGAATTGACTGGAAGTTAGTATAACCGAAAGACTCCAAGATGAGATTTCCAAAAGTGCCGAGGCCGCCACTGGGTATTCTGTAGATGCGTAAATAAATATTAAAAATTTCACATGACGATGGGGAATCACAACTTACGATATGGAAACGACCAGGAGGAACCAGCTCCAGGTCTTTGGGTCATAAAGCGTCTCCCATACATGATCCCAGCGCCACTCCCGAGACACGATACCCATCTGATTAGCCCGCAGACGTTCAACAGCAATGAATTTCTCACGGTCGCTGAGACATTTTGCCTCCATGGGTGAGTCGGGCATGAACGCCAAGACAATGAAAGAGTAGCACACAGTCAATAGACCGCAGAACAAGAAGATTATCTGATACGAAAACAGCGTCTTGCTGTGGATGTGACCGAGTCCATAGGTGAAAAGACTACCGACCTAAAGAAATAATCACATTAGTACTTGCTAAATATCTCGTCAAGAATTTAAACACGCACAATAAATGTCAAGCCATTCATTCCATTCCACATAGCCGCGCGTAAGGTCTGTTCGCCTCGACGCCACCACATCTGGGTGGCAGCTATACAAGAGGGAGCTATAGAAAATATCAGCAGGGATGATTGAGCTTGGCAGAAAGTATTTTCCGACCAATCATCGACTCGAAAGCCCCGAGCGCAAAGCGCATTCCCAATAGGCTCTTGAAATCAGTGCACGCAGACATAATCGCCAATGTACTTCCCCACAAGAATATGGCTATCGAAATCACCTTTCCCGTGGGCGCTTTGACGAGCAAAAATGCCGCGAGTGGCTGGAACACCAGTTGTGATAGATATAAAATGGATCCGAGCCACGAGTACTGGTGACCAACGAGATGGGCGTCCTCGGACAGACCGAAGATCGAGGTGTAAGAGAGCGCAGACTTGTCAAGCTGTTGGAAAAAGTACGCGCCTAGCAGGAGGGGTAACACGCGGAGATCGATGCGACGCAAGACGCGCCTCTCTTCTTCCACTGTGAAACTGCGGTTGTCCTCGCCATTCTCCACGCTGGCCAAAAAACGCGCGACCTGTTCGTTAGCGGGATGATTTGAGGCCCTTGAATTATCAACAGGCCCGATAGTATCTGGCTCTTCGGCCTCTGTGGCTGCCATGGTGAAGATAGGGATAAAAATGGAGGAGAAAATGCGAGCAGAAGATTGGTGATTTTAATCTCAGTCAAATCACACGATGTTGAAGCAAGGTCTTAAAGGGCACCAATCACCACTCTACACCCCCTCACATTCACCTCTCGATGCGATAAACAAAGAAAAGGCCATCTTGGCTGCCCCCACGAACCTACTAATTTCCCCGCATTTTGGCTTTGTGGGGCCCACGTATCAGATGCTAAATGAGAATTTCCATCAATCATGATAGCAAGGTAATAGGCTGATGTTTGAATCCGGTTCTAATTCGTAGAATCCCGGTCAAGTCGGCGCAAGATAAGCCGACTATCTTGGCACTCAGCACTCTCGTTACCCGAAGTAGTGTTTACTTAAACAGCGAGAGTAGTGTCTTGTCAGAAAGACAGTAGGAGAAGCAGTTTCTATTGTTCTCATCCACCGAAAATTCCAAATATGTGTGTGGGTATGACAGATCCAAGCTAATCAACAGAGCAAAACACGCATGGTGAACCTGCGATGGAGTACAAGATACATCATATCATGTGGGACCTCTCAGCTCGGCCCTCAGAAAGGATACATTTAGCCTATTCTGCCCCGGATTTCCACCATGCGGGAATGGACCGAGCGTCAGTGCCACAAGACAGGGACCCACTCCAAAATCAATATAACAATAACAACAACAAGCAAAGCGTCTGGCCGGCGAAAAGTTCATAATGTATACACGCCGACGCATCATAACTGCAAGACGGAAGTGTTGCAGGTCGGGGAATATATCGACATTTGTAAGCGAAAATCAAAGACGGGAACGGGTGCAGGAGGCCATCAAGACGAGTCAGTTTGGGGCTGTAGGTCTTTCTGGTGGCACGGTATCTTCATCCGCGTGCCTCTTCAGTCTCACGCGACGTGGGTTTGGATTCTTGATGCGGTCGCTGAAGCTCGGCTCATCGGTAGATTGGGTCGAAGAACTCATCGGGTGGCTGGTTTCCCCAGTATCCACAATCTCGAGGACCATTTTCTCCAAGATTCTTTGATTATCTAGCTTTGTTTTTGTTGTTGGAAGTAGAATTCGGCCAGAGAGTCCACGCACACAGTCGAGAGTCGCTTCGAGAGCTTTTTCGTAGCTGGTGTGATTGGAAGAAAGAGACACGCGAAGGTCACTGTGGTTGCTTTCTAAACGGTCAGCGATATTCCGAAGAACCACGCTCGGTGGGTATCTTTCCGGCGAATCCATCGTGGGAAATCAGCTGGGCGAGTCTGAATTTTGAAAAGGTGGCAGGTTAATGCGATTTAAGGGGGAAAAGGTCGGTTGGGAGACAAAAATGCTTGCGAGGCTTCAGTGATGAAACAAATTAGTGAGGCAACCGTTCTATATCAAGATTCATTATGTGGCTCCGATTGGTTTGTTGGGCGACTTCCGGGCACGTACTAGTCGCCGCTTCCCTGAGTCAGGTCCTACGTGTACTTACTACAGTTTACTTAGTAATATTAGTACTAGTACATGTTTGTTATGTTTGTACTGTTTGCATTAGCGGCAAACTTATTCTCGCATTTCCCCAAAGTTCAAACATCTTCACTTGGATCTTCCAGTTGGCGCTTTCCATAATGCTTTCGTTTCTTCTGACTAACTAAAATTGAATGGAGGGCACGGGACTCATCTGAGTCACGCGTTTCACAATAAAGTGTCATCATCTTCGGCATGATTTCCCTGCGTTTCTCGGCTCGGTTCCGTTGCCCAGCGGCTAAGATAGTTTCACGGATACCCACTTCCGACACCCCTCAATCGACCCTTGGAACACTGAGCGAACTCAGCCAATGACGGCATTTCTATAAAGCCTCAGAATTTCCAAAATGTGATTGAAGAAGGACGATTGGAATAATTGATTAACTCTAATACCCCTGTTCCAATTAACCTATGGCTGATGTCATTCCGTTCCGAATGGCGCTCGCCTCAATTGCCTCCCCGCGTTTTCTCCGCATTTTCCCCCGTAGCCCCAGTTTCTTGGAGGTAAACAATGTCGGCATTGGTCAGGTCCAATCCACTTCCTATAGGGCGTCGTGAGGTCAGTCTCAAGATACAAGGATCTTACTCACGTCTTAGTGTATTTATACTGCGGTGGAACCCCCAAATCATTTGACCCAAGTCCACGTGCCTAGAAATTCTAGCGCACATATACCCATTTCCATTGCGATTTTTTACCTTCCAGCATGACTTTGGCGACGAGGCAGAAACAGCCATACTTTGGTTTAACGGGAGGATGGCTTACGTTCTGGGTTACAGTATGATATCCACCTTTCGTCTCTGAAATGAGGACTTAATTGACAAAACACCAGGTTGCTTGCGCAACAGACATGTCCCTATTTGGCTATGACCAGGGTGTTTTTAGTGGTGTTGTTATCTCACAGAACTTTCTCGAGGTCCATGATCTGGTCGGGCCCACGAAGACCAAAACACTTTCCACAGTGACCGCTATCTACGACATCGGATGTTTCTTTGGCGCCATCATTGCATTCACGATCGGAGAGTCTCTTGGACGGAAGAAGTCAATTCTGATCGGAACCACTATTATGGCTGTTGGTACCGTCCTTCAGGCAAGCTCGTTCAGCTTAGAGCAGATGTTTGTTGGACGAGTTATACTAGGGTGAGTGACATATCTGAAAATGGGAATTCCCAAAGAAAATTTTGTTCTGATTTAAATCTCGAAGAATTGGCAATGGAATCAATACTGCCACAGCACCCATCTGGCAAACGGAGACATCACAGTTAAAATGGCGTGGTAAACTAGTCGTTCTTGAGATGATGATGAACATTGCTGGCTTCTGCCTCGTCAACTGGATCAACTACGGATTTTCATTCGTCGGTGGCGCCGTCGCCTGGCGCTTCCCGCTTGCCTTTCAATTTGTGTTCATCTTTATTCTTGTGTTCACCACGCCCTGGCTCCCAGAGTCTCCTAGGTATAGTGACCCGATCTCTGAAGGCTAAAAGAAATCCAAATCTGACATGTCGCGCAGGTGGCTTCTTGCTCATGGGAAGGAAGACGAAGCTATTGAGGTTCTCAGCTGCCTGGAAGCGAAACCAATTGACGACCCATTCATCGTTGCGCAGTGTCGCGAGATCAACTTCAGTGTACGCTACGAGCGTGAAAATGCTATCCGATGGAGGGATCTCTTCAAGACAAATAATGCAAACGACACTAAAACCCTCCGAAGACTTGTTCTTGGCGCTGGAAGTCAATTCATGCAGCAATTTGGAGGCATCAATATTATGTCTTACTATTTGCCCACAGTACTCATCAATGTGAGTTATCATCCACAGCATCAAACACATTGATGAACGAGGAGTAGCTAATCCGAGACCTTGTATTTTAGTCTGTCGGCCTTAGCGATGAGCTCGCCCGTTTACTATCTGCGTGTAATGCCCTGTCATACTTGGTTTTCTCTGGCATCGCGGTGCTCCTAGTTGAAAAGGTCGGTCGCCGAGGCCTGATGCTTATTTCAACCTTTGGCCAATTCGCATGTTTCTTAATCATCAGCATTCTGCTCTGCTTTTCCGAGTCGAGCGCCCAGGGTGAGAAATATGCGTCGGCATCAGTCGCATTTTTCTTCCTTTACTACGGAGCCTTTGGTATCGGAATGCTGGGCATTCCATGGCTGTATCCGACCGAAATCAACTCGTTGCCAATGAGAACAAAGGGAGCCGCTGTCGCGACCGCTATGGACTGGTTCGTTTCAATTCCCCCTTATTCCAATAAACCCAGCACCCACATTCTAACTGAATTTGATAGGATTACGAACTTTGTTGTTGTCGAGATTACACCAATTGGAATTCAAAATCTGGGTTGGAAATTCTGGATCGTTTGGACTGTAGCCAATGCTTCTTTCCTGCCGGTTCTTTACTTCTTCTATCCCGAGACGGCCAATAGAAGCCTGGAAGATATGGACGCATATTACAGATCTAATCCGCCTTTGATCGTTACCAAGGATCCGGATGCCATTTCTCGACACCGCCCTATCAAATATATCCAGCATGAAATCACGATTGTTGAGAAAACGGCTGCTGGCCTGGGTTACCCATCGGATGGGGTAGTGGATCATGTTGAACGACTTGATGAAGAAAAGGGCAAGGACTGAGTGGAACTGTTATTTCGTTTCACACATGGCGCTGGCTGCCATACAGAGGGATTGATAATGGATCCTTGAACATAGTATAGGCTACTCTACTATGATCAAATTTCAATGAATTATTGCCAAATTCCAAGCCCCACTCTCCTTCTTAGAGTATTTTCACATAGTAGACTGGGTGCGTACCTGCTACACGCAGGTCAGATGGATGCCAGGAACCTTGTAACGCTGCTTGATAAATCCTGTCGGAAAATGTTCAAGACCTCAGTTATCTGCCTTTTCGGGACCGAGGCGACCAGCGGCGCTCTACTCCGTAGCCTTCCAAGGGTTTTCTTGTTGTAAACCCCAAGGTTACATACAAATAATAATAACAATACAATCGCGGGTGAGTGGGGCTTGCTTGGGAATCGGGATTGACGGCCCCTAGATCCAAAAAAAAAAAATTACAAAAAAGATTGAGGCCAGAGAGAATCGAACTCCCAACTTTCAGATGAATTCCTTTCGGACAATGTCCTAATTGGAATCTGACGCCATACCATTAGACTATGGCCCCGGCGAAACTTAGATCCACTCGAAGGATATAAGAGGAAGGGGCAGTTTTGAGGGAAAGATTCGCGCTTTCTCCATTTCTGGTGTTTGTTTCCCCCGCTTACTAGGTTAACGAATGAAAACAAGCTAATTGCTAAAGTTTCTCTTACCATGATCTCTGATTCCCTGAACCGGAAGAAAGTTTAGTGCCACCAAAGGCTTTTTTTTTCTGGGCAATTCAACCGAAAATAGACATCTCGCCGAAAGAGCCTCGATACCCTTGGACTGGATCTTCGGGCTTTTCCCCGAGGAAAATCTGCGATCGCGCAGACGTACCCCACGGAATGAAGTCCGGGGTAATGCGCTTGAAGTACCTGGGCAATGATGAGCATCTATTCCAACAGCAATGCTGGTGGAGGTCGTGATCAGCTATGTATATAAATAACGCGGTCGCAATGCTGAAGTTCCGAGTCTTATTCAACACATTCTCTGACTGTGTCTCGTGAAAGAATTAACACAAGACAATCAATTGTCCACGCGCCAACCTCGACATTACAACAATCCACCAACAAGAAACGCAATCATGGGCCGTCAATATCTCAAGGAAGTCACCGGCCTGCCAGGACTCAAAGCAGCTCCGAGCGTGGACGTCTCCGCCATCGTCAAAGAAGTGATCCACTCCATCCGAGAGGAAGGCGACGTAGCCGTGAGGCGATACTCCGAGAAGTTCGACAAGTGGTCGCCGCAGAACTTCAAGCTGTCGCAAGCCGATATCGATTCAGCCATCGCCAATTGCCCCAAGCAAACGCTCGACGATATCAAAGAAGTCCAACGAAACGTGCGAGCCTTCGCCGAAGCGCAGCGCGCCTCTCTCACAGACTTCGAAGTCGAAATCCGACCTGGCGTGCACCTCGGGCAGAAGAATGTTCCAATTGAGAATGTTGGCGCGTAAGTTCGCACAAGCTTCATGTCCCCCAGCCCATCCTGCAGAAGAACGATCCAACTAAGCTTCTCATCTCTCCTACAGATACATCCCCGGCGGCCGATACCCCCTCCTTGCATCAGCACACATGACCATCTTAACAGCCAAGGTCGCCGGTGTCAAGAACGTCATTGGCTGCACCCCGCCGATCAACGGGAAGATTCCGTACAGCACCGTTGCCGCCATGCACCTGGCCGGCGCGGATGAGATCTTCCTCCTGGGCGGTGTCCAGGCCGTGGCGGCCATGGCGGTGGGCACGCAGACAATCCAGAAGGTCGATTTTCTCGCGGGGCCTGGAAATGCGTTCGTGGCCGAGGGCAAGCGTCAGCTATTCGGCGAGGTCGGAATTGATCTCTTTGCCGGTCCGACCGAGATCCTGATTCTCGCTGACGAGACCGCTGATGCTTTTACTGTGGCGACGGATTTGATCTCTCAGGCGGAGCACGGCCCTGATACCCCCGCTGTATTAATCACCACTTCTGCTGAGCTTGGACGTGCCACTATGGATATTGTGGATCGCCTCCTTGCTCATTCTGATCTCAGCACCGCGGCTGTTGCTAAGACTTCGTGGGACGCGTTTGGTGAAGTCATCGTTGTTGATACAATTGACGAAGTGTGGGAGCTGGGGAACCAGTATGCAAGCGAGCATGTGCAGGTCTTCACGAGGAATCCGCGCGATGCGTTGGAACGGATGACCAACTATGGTGCGCTGTTTCTTGGCGAGAAGACATGTGTGTCTTATGGTGATAAGGTATCGTTTGAAACTATTTAATTTCCGGTTGTTGATCTTCATTTTCCTAACTATGTTCCTCCTTGCAGGTCATCGGCACTAATCACGTTCTTCCTACCCGTACCACGGCACGTTACACGGGTGGTCTATGGGTGGGTAAGTTCTTGAAGACATGTACCTACCAGGAGGTCACCTCTGAGGTCGCTAGCGGTGATCTTGGAAGGCTTTGCGGACGCGCTGCCCGAGCCGAGAACTTCGAAGCACATGCTCGGTCTGGGGATTTGCGTGCTCACAAGTACAAGAGAGATGAGATTGCGTGGATCGAGAAGTCGCAAACGGCCAATGGGAGCCGCTTATGAGTGTTATGAGTGCGCAAATAGTGGGTTTGTAGATAGTTTTGAGCTTCAACTGTTTCGAACTGCGTTATGGGGCTGAGTTTCTGCATATTTTCTAGTCAAGTTCAGGTGTTGTAGCTCCTGATTATTATGGTACGTACTAGCATGTATCAGGAGAACTGGGATATTCAAATGTTTGTAAGTAGATTTTATTGAGGAATAGATTTGGAAATCTTCACAAAATATTACTATTGGCAAGATAAATACAATTGAGAAATATTGAAATACAGCATTAAGGCCTAAGTGATCTCTCCCTCTTAACATTCAACGCTGATCGCACCGAACTGGAACCCTACCGAAGAAGTGCCTGGGACAACCTCAAACACAAGCTCCGAAGACGAGGAAGTAGCCTCGTAGGTGAATGATTCTTTTGTCCAGACGGCAAGATTATTCGATGTCTCCTTGTAAGTTTCACTGGTGGATCCAAGTGACACAATCAATGACGCGGTTGTAGTTCCATCTCTCCACCAAAACGACACGGTGTATGTAGTTCCCGCGACAGTGGCCACCGACTGAGAGATCGTGTATGTCGCCGGACTGACTCCAACATAATAGAACATGTAGGTCTCACCAATTGCTGACCCACTGAGAAACTCGACTGTGCTCCCACTTCCTGAGGTTGTCCAGTCGGCAAAAGATCCAGTAGCAAAATTTCCATTCTGCACGAGATTCACTCCACAGGTCGCAGTTGCGGTCACGGTAGTGGTTGTGGTTGTTGATGATGTTTGCGTAGCTGTGACATCTATCTCGGAAGTGACCACTGCCACATCGGTGACAGAGACGGTGCTGGTGACTGTTGTTTCAACGGTGGTTGGCACAGTCACGGTCACGGATGAGGTGGAGGTGACAGTCAGAACGTCTGTGACGTCCAGAGTAGTCGACTGCGTGGTGGAAGAAGTGACGTCTGCGGTAACGGCGGTAGTTTCATCCTGAGTGACTGTGAAGGTCGCGGTATTTGTGAGGGTGGTGGAGAGCTCGGTGGTTGCGGTCAAAGTCTGGTCTGTTGTGACATCTTCAGTCAAGACAGTTGTTGCCCAAGCAGTGACGTCGACGGTGGTGGAATCAGTCACCGTAGTGATATCATCTACTGTGGCGGTGACTGTAACGGTGTCTGTTGTAGTCAATGAAACATCTGTCTGCTTTGTGGACAGAACATGTAGAGTTGTGGTGGCATGTTTTGTCGTGATATCGGTCCGGGTCACTGTGTGTTTGGGGGTGGGGGCAGTGATGGTCTCCCAGATGGTGATGAATTTAGTAATAACAGCCCGGGCGCCTCCAGCAGCAGTGGGGTAGGTGGTCTTTGTTTCGGTCGCGGTGAAGAACTTCGTGGATGTCTCTGGCTTAAGATCCAGCTTGTGACACGCACGGGACAATCTTTCGTGTGAATAGACGACCAAGACCTCGGGTGCAGAAACTTTGGTGGGTTCCGTGACTTCGCGCTTAGCGGCAGATACAAGGGTGGTAGTTGTCGCAGTTATTTCATCAGTGAGGACAGTGGTCGTCGTCGAAGTGACAGAGGATATGCTGGTCGAGGTAGCCATGTCGGTAACGGTTTCCTGGTCGGTTTGTGTGGTAGTAGGGACAGAGGTTTGAGTTGTGGTGATATCCTGAGTGTCTGTAGCAAATACAGTTTCCGTCAAGGATACAACATCGGTCTCGGTATAGTAGTTGGTGTAAAACTGAGTGGAAATATCCGTCGCGGTGTTGAAAATAGAGTCTGTCGCATAGATTGTTGAGTACTCAGTGGCGGTGTTCGTGAAGGATTGGGTGATGGTTTCTGTGGTGATATCCGTAACCGTGGCAGTGGTCGAAAGAGTGAATGTGTCCGTTGTCATGCTAGTCAAGTCTGTCACGATGGTCTCAGTGACAGAATCAGTCAGATGCACGGTCGCGACCACATCGGTAACATGTACTGTGTGGACATCGGTGAGGGTCGATACAGAGTGATCAGTGCTGGTGATGGTCACGTAGGCAGTCTCTGCTCGGGGAGTGGAAGTAACTTTGGATGTGATCGAGTCAGTTATGGTGCTGGTAGGCTCCACGACTGTCACAGTTCTCCATTCAGTGGTAGAAATCACATCGCAAGGAATGTCAAGGAATTCTCGGCAAAAGGTCCGTCCTTTGGGTAGGTCAGAAAGAAGCTCAACCAGTTCATGTTCCAAGCGGTGCTCTTCCTCATTATTCTGAATGGGATCGGGCGTAGGAACAGCCGTGGTAGAAGCAACCAATGCGAGGAGGAAAGAGAGGCGCATCATGATGCCTGTAAACGATTGAACAGGCCCACGAGGCTTTTGTCCTTTGCTGAACAAAAATACAGAAATAAATACAAAATACAGAGTAGCTGGCCAGACATTTTTAAAAAGAGACGCGAGGCCTTCATATAGAAATCCGGTAGGCAATATCAAGCTCTGGTTTCCGGGAGTTCATTGCGACGCTTATCGGTTAAAATGTCCATGTGTTCACACTAGCGCGTGAGTATTGTTGACAGGTTGAGTCTAAACTTCAATAATGCGGGCGCGCTAATGAGTGGCGCCGGCTACTTTTGCCCCCGGCGATTTTCTACGTGGGGCCGCCCTACGGCCAAGTCCGTCACGAAAATCCAAAGATTGCTTGATTATAGAAGCAATAGGCCTTAGGCCTGTACAGAGGATCCATAATTGTTCTCTCACTCCCATGAGTGGCATTCGAGAGCCAAAAGACCTAGTCAAGTCCTCGGCTAAAAGTCCAGTGGTCATCCATGAGTGAGAAAAACTTCCAGTCTGATTCGGGCTTCCCTATAAAGAATGGGGCCGGTCCAGTACTGGTGCTCATAAAGCTGACCTGACCAAGTGGTGAAATTTGCCGTAGATAAAAGACCAAATGGCCAAAAGGACCAAAAGGACCAAAAAACACGGGTGATTGACAAAATGACTTGGAAACCATGAAGATGACAAGGGAGAGGAAGGAGACTCACTTTTACGGGTAGTAGGCAATCAGCCAAATAGAACGAAAATGGAGCGCTCGCTTTCAACCGGGGAGCCAATTCAGAGCATCGTTTTGGTCGCAGATGGACTCTGAAATTCAGAGGAAGGATTCATGAGCTGCTTACAGTATGCACTGGTAGTTATGTCTCCAACTGTTGCGCCTTCAAATGGATGCCTGTATTTGTCGTGTATGTATTTTGTATTTGCGTTATGCACGAGTTGAATATTGTATGTGAACGTATAGCCTATGCGCGGTATTTCAGGGGACGCAAAACGAAACGAGTCCTGGTTGTAACCCTTATCAATCAATTGATAGGCGGCCTTATCGGCCGCCATAGGCTACACGGGTTAATTATCCAAAAACACAAAACACAAAACGGTGATTGCGTATTTCAGTACAGTACTACGATGTGCTCGATGCAGAGAAAATGGCCAAAGATTTTTTTTCAAGGCTTAGACCAAAAATTCTGGGTGTGACTTATTTTGGTACTCTTTAGAGGTACCGAGAGCTGGTGGGTTTATGGTCTGCGGAAAATTAATCCTGACTCGTACTAGTAATATAAGCGCCACGAACAGGCACAGCCTCACAGGAGACATCATTTCACGAACCAATGATAGTCACATGTTCCTGAAAGATTTATGCCGAAAGTCGGGGGTGCAACGGGCCGAGAGGGGCGGTGGGAGTTCGGCTGGTTTACCTAAAGCTAACGGGCAACTGTGGGGACTTGGGCACTAATGGCAACCTCAGCGAGAGCATTCGATACAATTGATAGTTTTATGTGATACTAAAGAATTAACCCGATTATATCTTTGTTTTTGAATCGTGGAAGAAATTAACTTCTTGCTTTCTCCTCATATTCCTTGAATTATCAATTTTTGGAATTATTTTCGATCTTCTCTCAATCTTTTATAAAACGTTCCAATCACACATATCCATCAGATAAGAATATGTTCGGACCCAGGCTTTCACACTTGTCCATTCAAGCTCTCAAGCTCTCATCTCGTCCAAATGGTCTCCATCTCCTTTCAACCAGCCGTATCGTGGCTGTCAACAGTTCCAGTTCATACTATACCCACCAAAGTTCACCCCCCGCGCAGTATTTCAGCAGTTCCCACGGCCCTCGATCGAACTCAAGGAACATCAAATGGACAGATTCCACCGAGAACTCCCCCACTGAAGATGATGAAGGAATCGCACGTATAAATGAGAATATCAGCATTGAATACCCCGACCAAAGCGAGGTCCCTCGAACCCCAGTGATCCAGGGCAGAGGAGGCATGCATTTCAAGCGCACCCTTGCTCAATTTTCTCTCGAGGACAGAGTCACAGTGGTGACAGGAGGTGCCAGTGGTATAGGTCTTGCCATGTCTCAGGCCATTATAGCCTCAGGCTCACATGTTGCCATTGTTGATATGAACCGTAAGTACTTGGCCAGATTCGGGCCCCTCATCTCTCTTCTTGACTACGAGCATTGCTAATTCATGGACGATATATAGAAGATGAAGCGCACAGGCAGGCCAAGACTCTCCTGGAACAATTCAAAGCTGAAAATCCCGGGATTGAAGAGTATGTTACTGTTCTATTCCTCATCTTCGACAAATGTCCATTCAAGATACTGATGCACGATCAAAGTATACCCCGAGTAACCGCCCACTACGCCGACGTGGCCGATCCCACCTCTGTCAACGACTCGATCGCCGAAATAATCGCCACACAAGGAAGAATCGACCACCTGGTGACCTGCGCCGGGTTCACTGAGAATTTCAGCGCAGTCAGCTACCCCCACGATCGCATGCAGAGATTGTGGGGTGTTGTGGTGGACGGAACATACCTTTTCACGACTGGTGTTGCAAAGCACTTGATTGAACGCCAAGCTGCTGGGAGCATGGTGGTTATCGGCAGCATGTCTGGAACCATTGTCAACGTTCCTCAGCCGCAGGCGCCGTACAACGCGGCTAAAGCAGCCGTTCGACATCTGGCTGCATCGCTCGCGGTTGAGTGGGCTAGTCATGATATTCGCGTGAACTGCATTAGCCCAGGATATATTTTGACCGCACTGTGAGTTATACTGGTTGTTTTGTCTTACGTATGGGACCCTATTGCTGATTGACGCTGTTCAACAACATAGTACGAAAGAAATCTTGGACGAGAATGTTGAGTTCCGTGATAAGTGGATCTCTCTTATTCCCGCTGGTAAGGTGGGGAAGCCGGAAGATTTGATGGGAGCGGTGGTTTTCTTGCTTAGTGACTCTGCCAGATACATTACTGGGGCTGACTTGCGTGTTGACGGTGGTTATACTCTGACTTAATTGAGGAGCTGCATTGCCTCCTCTAGCAATAATTATTTAAGACTTATAACTTCTCATGGGTTGAATCCCATAATGCATACAGATCCCTCGCTCGATATGTGGCCGCCCAGCCAAGCTCATTTTCAATATCTTCCAACAACAGAGCCGCAGCTTTTCTTTCTTCTTTATCGTTAAAGCAACAGCCCGCTGTGATCAACAATTCTTAGTCAACGATGTCTCATGCTCTGTTGAGACATGGGGTAGTAAGCGTACCATAATAGATTGGCTGAACTGAATTGACCCGGCAACTTCCATCCGGCTTGCTTTGGGCAATTCCACATATTTGTCGTGCGTGATAGAGCAATTTTGCCTGCAAAGATATTAAATTGAAGCTAGCTTCTGTGCACTTTGTTCGACTGACCTCGATATTCCGAAAAGCAAGCAGACAGTTTGAGTCCTGTAAGGGATTTGTGGTCAAGAGTAGTATTTTTGCAAGGTGAAACATTTGCCAGGATGAGGCTATTCATAATTAGTCGTCCAGTGACAACCGGATTGTCCAGAATTTGGGCGTGGGAAATTACTAACCGCATACGCTCCTCGTAAACCATATTGTTTGAAACACTTTATCCCCTTCGTCAAGTACCGAAACAGGATCCATGAATCCTTTATTCCTTACAGATAACTCCCAGTGTTCGAGTAAGTCATGACGTTTTTGCCACTCAATGATTCTTCTCTCGCGAGGGTATGTTTCCGAGAAGGCCATGAAGTCGACCACTTTTGCGAGCATGGTAAGAACCCTTTATTTATCAGATAATATTCTTTCAATGTGCAAGTTTGAGAGAATGGTGAGGCTTACTGGTTGTTAACCAAGTCTTCAAAGCCTTCCTGTCCAATATTTTCAAGATCAACAACCCAAAAGTCCGGGTCCAGCCTTAATTTCGAGCTGTTAATAATGGCGCAAACTACTTCTTGTCGAGCGATCGACCAGAACGCAGCTTGTGCAATGCCTCCAGATGATCCGTTCACTCTCTGCACCCTGCCAAAGGAGAACACACCATCCAGATGCCTCTGCCAGTCAGCTGTGGGAGCATCTAGCATCTCATAGCAAGAGCAAATGACAATGGCCGCAAAGCCATACCCAGCATATGGCTCATCCAGGTCTGAGAGCCGATTAATAAGAAGTGAAATGGCAGTATCATAATTCTTTCGCGCAATTTGCATTCCATCTTCCATTTTCCCAACTAGATATTGTTGTTTCGCAGCACATGCAATACTAGCTGCTTTGAGCAAGGGGTCTTGCACGCCTAGTCGACAGACTTTTTTGGAGAATGTTTCTGACAGGTCTGATAGATCCATCCAGGTTCCTACTATGTCGCTGAATTTGCGAAGTAAATCTGCCTCGGCCTTCGATGTAAGCATCATTGGGGCAGTATTTGCCGGAGATGTGATGCTTCTGGAGCCCCATTCACTTGTTGAGCCGTTCATTGAAGAATTTGGAGAATTCACCGATCCGGGTATGTGAGTTTCGAAATCGTGGTTTGCCATCAGAATCAAAGCTTGTCCAGCGGCTTCTTGCCTTTGACTGATACCATCATGGGGACTAGAAGTGTTTGTGTTAATGGGTAGGTTGTCAAATAAATTATCAAGTGCAGTCGTAGACCTTCCAGGTAGGTGGACATGAGGCTCAACATCCCGGAGAGGACGAAAGGTGAATGGGGCTGGGCAGCCTTCGGACAAGGAAACTGTTCGATCGCATGGAGATGTCGGGAGACTTGATCTCTCGGTGCCAGCGAAATCCCAGTCAGCATCCGACTTTTCATTTGCTTGCGATATTAATGTGGATTGAAGCGGTGTTGCAGGCACGTTTTCGTCTTCGGCGCTGTGCACAGGATCATAATTTCGATGGTGAACTGGGACTGAGGGATCTTCTCCCGGGCTCCAATCCTCATTATGGTATTCTTCAACATGACCCTCATATTCTTCGGTAATCGTGCTCGTCTCGTCAACAAATCTGTCTATGGAATCATTAGTCAAGTAAGCATTTTTTGGTTTCTGGAGTGGGTGATGAGCAACCAGGCTTACATACACGAGGGAACTGTATCCACCCAGACATGATCCAATTCAAAAACTCCATCGCCGTTGTTTTTAGACGTCTTCCTGACCGACGGATTACGCCAATGCTTGAACGAGAGAAGGTCGCTAGGGGTACACTGCAGGCGAGACTTTTCGCAGTTCCTACATTTGGGCCTTCTCTCGTCACACTTGACCTTTCGAGATCGACATGTCAAGCTAGAAGACGCGTCAGACGATGCACTTCACGGGCGATATTTCTTCCCGGTCACCTACCATCCTGAAAAGAGTTAGATATTAGGCATTAGGCATCTGGGGCAGTTCATTCACTTCCCACGTCACTTACCGGTCCATGTGCGCATTGTCGCCTTGTTAGCCAAATTGGCTCGGAAGCAACTAATGCAATGTGAGGAAACAGGTCACGGAAGCTGGGGGGATGAAGCAGGTAGTGGGGAAATTCAGGGTCACTGAATCTGGCATATCTGCCGAGAGGGCCTGTGGTCGGATTATTTCACACGGTCGCTGAGTGGCTGAGTGGCGGTCATGTGGGGGAAATATGGGGTAATGCGTGGAGATTACCCCGCGCAGTCAAGTTGGCCACTTAAGGCAAGGCAACCCAACCGAGAAACTTTATAATCGCCCTCACGTCATTGGTGTGGTACAGGCACATGCAATGTGCCAACCAATATGACCAGTGTATTTGCAATCCGCGTGAAAGTAATTTGAAGATGTGGATTTTTTGAGCAACAAAAGGCAAGACAAAGCCAGTTCCGCAATCCCTTCAAGGCCAGCAGGCACATGGTAGTACTAACTAATACAACCTACATACTTGTTTTAGGCATAAGAGATAGAGGAGATTTGATATACAATAGGCGTTCAAAGCTCAATAAATTGACAAGGTCGTAACTGAACGACTAGCTAACAAAAAGCCCCAAGTACTTTGATGCGTCTAGTACCACAATCCATCATTGGGCTTAATCCCCTCCTTCTTGCAGTGCTCATAGTACAGATGAGCATAGCTAAAAACATCCATGGTGTTTTTCAAGCTATCATCATCGTGGAAAAACTCAAGACTGCCCGAGACTGTGAAAACAACCTCCGCCCCTTTGCCCATGTGAAGAGTGTGAATAGTGCCGGGGTTCTCGACCACGTAGTCGCCAGGTCTAGCGACCCAGTCATATCTAATCACCAAAGTTAGCGTTGGTTCAAATCTCCTACTCTTCCAAAGACATGACAAACTCACTCTTTATAGTTCCACTCTCCGTTCAACGTGACAGCAGTGACATTTCCACGGTGACGATGCTTGCCCAGCCAAGTGTCTTCGGTGCTGCGCAACACAACCACAAATGTACCAGTCCGAGTCTCGAAGCGCAGCGGCTTCAGCTCAAGATTTTCATGCCAAGGGTGCCAGCACGTGTCCCGCTCGCCACTAATGTAAACATCGGGCGAGCTAAATTTCTCGGCGAGGGCCAGTTCTGACTTTTCCAGTTCAGTCAGTTTTGAGTCCTGATGGGCGCTCTTCGCTGGTGCCGGGTGGATGGGAAGAGAGGTGTTTGATGTAGCGGAAGGAGGTGACATTTTTGAAAGATTTATCAGAATTCAAATGTTTAAAATGATGGGAGTGAATAAGTTAAATAAAGAGACGAAGTTCGACCCAACCGCTTCTCATTTATAAGTGAATCTGGCTGCGGTGCCCAGGCGGGGTTGGCTGCATGCATGCGGTCGGGAGCTGCGACGTGATGCTCAGGTTCTGACCTATTAATTCATAATCAACATTTATTCTCGCTATGTTTTCCTAATACATGTGGTCATCATGTGGCAAAAGTCCCCGGGGACTCTAATCGTTCATCGCAAGGGATGAATCACGGGGGTAATTGCTTTTTTTTTCTTTTCTTTTTGTGAGACGTGGGGTAACAAGACCGAGGGCAATGCGGCCGAAATTTCCCCTCTTAGGACTTTGAATCCATGGTATTTCCAAACATCGCAGACCTTGGGAATTGATACATGAATTCCACATCCCCGGGCCTGCATTGAGTTAATATTAGCGACCTCAGGATTTTCCCTTATAGATTGACTCTAGGGGCTACCCGTTGTGGTTTATCGAGGAAATGAACCTTAGTTGAACGTACTCCCTCCGCTTCGCATAAATGAACGGAAGATCTTCAAAGTCGACATCTATAAAATGCCGGACTGCCTAGATCTTTAGATTGGTCTGTTCTTACAGTGGCTGCAATGTTGTTCCAGTCATTGTGTGTCGCTTCATGTCGATAAGCACCTCGGGTGCTTGCATTGTTCAGTGCAGTCCCAGGACGAGACGTCTTTTTTGTTGTCGAATGAGCCTGGCTGTTGTTGTTTGTATTGTTTGTACTATTAGCACACGAATCATGTTCGAGACTGACTTTCCAAGCAGAGCCTTGTCTTAAACCGCGTCAACGCGTCTCGTCAGAGCCTCGCAGGTGGCGCAATTTGCGGGAAGGGTGGGTCCCGTCCAGGGCACCTCGCTTAAAAACGCGTAAATCGTTGTTTGTGGAGATTGAGGAAGAGCTAATAACCTAGCAACTTGCAAGCGTGTGAACAGATTTGAACAATTGGGTTGAATTCGCGTGTTGGCAAAGACTCGGGAGTCGTGTTGGGCGGGCGCGAATAATTAAGGGATGTTTCCAGACATCTCAGGACGACTCGCTCATTTAATTTCTCACATCCCAAACCAACTGTGATGGGGGCCATAACACATATTACTAGTCTGATACAGTTGGAGAATACCCATGCGGGGAGGGGAGACATACTACCAGTTGTAAGTTCTTCATTTACCCCTCCATCGTATGTAATTTTATGACACCTGATTACTTGACGTTAACTTGGGGAGAAAATACATAAATAAAGACATCACTCCGTTCCAATGGAATCGTTATTCATCTCTCAATTCTCTGCGCAAGATTGAATTTCGCAGCCCCTGCCAACAGTATCCTACTATAAATCCACTTGACTGATTTATTGTCCATCACATCATGCCTTCTCGAATTCTTCTCACTGGTGCTACCGGGCTGGTTGGTTTCCGCATTCTTCAAGAGCTTTTAAAGAATGACTACGAAGTCCGGATTACCGTACGGTCGGAGGAAAAAGCTCAGATAGTCTTTTCCAACCCGGTTATTCAAAAACTTCAACCTGGCGATCGACTTACCTACATTGTTGTTCCGGATAGCGTTGCGGGTCATGCCTTTGATGCTGCCCTGCAAGATGTCAGCTACGTGATCCATGCGGGAGGTCCTATCCCTGTACCTGGTTTTGATCCTCTCGCCCACGTATGGAAGCCTACAGTAGAGGGTACAGCGAACCTCCTATCATCAGCGCTTAAATTCTCCGGGATCAAACGGGTGCTGATTACCTCTTCGATTCTCGCGAATATGGCTCCGATGCCCGACCCATCCGTTACAGTCACTGCCAACTCTCGCGTGCAACTGCCTGGGATTCCTGAAATCTTCTCCGATGTGTTTGAGGCCTATCTTCTTGCCAAAATCACGGAGATCAACTATGTGGATTCGTTCGTGCAGGATCGGAACCCCCATTTTTCGGTCGCCAATGTATTCCCGGGCTATGTCTACGGGCGCGATGAGTTGGTGTTGAATTCAAATTCTGCGATAACTAAGGCTAGCTCATCTGGTCTCTTGTTGCGCGGTTTGACTGGTACTGATTGCCCGGCCCCAATCCACGGAGGCTATGTTCATATCGATGACTTAGCCCAAGTGTATGTGAAAGTGTTGGAACTACAGACCAATGCCGGCATCCCCCACAATTTCGGTGCCTGTACTCTGGTCAACGACGATGAAGCCTGGAGCTTAGCTCTGGCAAATTTCCCTAAAGAAGCCTCGGAGGGCTTACTCAAGCAAGGTGCTTTGCCAACACTGCCCATTTCATATGACTCAAGTGAGACGGAGAAGTGTCTGGATATGAAGTTCCGCCCCTTCGAAGATGCCGTTAAGGACGTCATACAGCAATACTTGGATGGGCTTCACAACGAGGAGCAGTAGAGCTCGGTGTGTATCTTTGAGTCTTGATCACATGTGCAGGTATGCCCGATTAAATCGGTCTTGTCGGGCATTAGATATCCATTCAGTATATGTCCACGGGTCAAACTGTTGAAAAGAAAATTAAATGCCATTCAATGTTGGTTGTAGCTACCAGTTGACCAGTAGACATTTTGATAGTAGTTCCATTCAATTGATGTGTACAGTAGACTGTTTTGATGAAAGACTTATTCCTCATACTACATGTATCCGTAGTATGCCGTGCGGGGTTATGCAATTAATTTCCGTAGGTGGTCGGTTGAAAGACATATTACCCAAGCTTTTGAAATCAGCTGAATCACTACGTATTTTTGGGTAAAATTATCAAATCCTGCTATAAATTATGGAAAACTTCTGGATTAAAGTATTTATGGCTGTAAAAAACGGTACCGAGAATTTGGTACCGCTCGCATTTGTTGTTGCTGGGATATAAAGACAATAAAATGACATTGACTAGTATGTGGTCATTTGGAGTCAAGGCCGGGCTGACTGGGTGGCCGACTCGCTTGGGAAACACGTGAGCTAGAGCTCAGCTACCATATTTTGCTATTAATGTACCATAAAATAAAAAGAAACCTTGATTTCATGTGGAACCTTCTAATACTACTACTAGTACACATTCTGAATTCATACTACTAGTATGTTTAGACCTGTATCTAAGTATGGTAGGGTGGTAAGTGCTTCCTAAAAGCTTTTTGTGGCACCGATATCTTGGTTTGCCGCTTAGCCAGGCTAACAAAACCGGGTGTCGCAAAGTGGCCCGCCCTTAAGGCCCCCCATCCATGGATGGTCTTTCTTTTCGGTCCTTGCCGGAGCTACCACTTCTCCACAACATAAAGCTTCCCAGTGATGCGACCCTGGAAGTAGAAATTCTATATGGGGCTTCAGCGATGAAACCATGAAATGTAGACACTCCCATTTCCGGGATTTGTACGACAAGTGGACTGACCATGACTATGGCTGAGTCTGGAACAGCCTCCCGACGGTATCCCTTGCATTTGATTGCTTGTTCCAGATTTCTTAGACATCATGCAAATCATTCCTTGGGGCGGTGCCGACGGTGGGGCCACAACGTATGTACAAGTAACAGGAATGTCCGTATGAAAGAGGAATCGCTCAGTGGTCGTCCACTCTGCCCATTCTCCTACCTTCTAATAACCCTCCTAGATGTACTTGCATCTAATCAGTCCATCTTCAACTTAGCATACATATTATCATCACCACTGTCATCCTACCAGACACAATGACTGTATCCAAAATCGTTGAACTAGCTTCCCGGATCAGTGATAACACTGCCAAGGTTGACGCCTACCTGCGCGAGAATGCTCTTCCATCGCCCTCCTTCCACGAAGATGGACCTGTCGATTTTGGAATTCGCTGCGAACAGACCAAGAAGGCCCAAGAAGAGGCAATCAACCTCAGCTTCGAGCTTCAGCGCTTGCTTCTAGGTCCATTGCAGTTCATGAACCCGGTTGTAAGTATTCGATTTTCGATGCCCAATTTCCATACAATACATTGATTGCTATACTGACACAAGATGCCTCTTTAGCCTAACGGCTTGAGTCTTCAAGCGATTTCTAAATACAACATGGCATCCAAAGTCCCCATTCACGGGGAGATTTCCTTTGGCGACCTCGCCCGTGAATGCGGACTCAGTGAAATTAACACTCGTCGATTCGTCCGCTACGCGATAGTTTTCCATCGTGTTTTCCAGGAGCCTCGACCTGGCTATGTGGGCCACACAGCTGCGTCTCGTGTGTTGGCCGAAGACCCGGTTATGCGTGATGTGTTGTCTCATTATTTGGAGGAGTGCTTTCCTTCTTTCGCAATGGTAATATCCTTTTCACTCTTAGCGTTATCCCTGAAGTCGCTGACCAAGTATTTTCCAGACTCTCAATGCAATCGATAAATTCAATGGCGGAACTGAGCCGAATCAAACGGTACGTTTTGTCAACGCTAGCCCCCTCTCTCCAGCCAAGCTAACTACTGAATACTACCAGGGGTGGAATCTCTACCACGAGACATATTTGAGCCCGTGGGATTACTACGATGCCAATCCGGAATCGGGCCGTCGTTTTTTCAGCACAATGGCTTACGAAACTGAGCGCGAAGGCCGATCTAACACCGTTCTTGTGAACAATTATCCCTGGTCCTCTCTCGCCAGTACCAGCAAGGAGGAGGAGGAAGAAGGGCCCGCCACAATTGTCGATGTCGGCGGTTCCAGAGGCTTGACCGCGATTCAGATTGCGCAAGCTACCCCTGAGCTTGAAATCATCGTCCAGGATCTCCCGGCCATGATCAAGGGCGCTAGTGCGGACCTCTCCGCCACAATCAAAGATCGAGTACAGTTCATGGCCCATGACTTCTTCCAGGTGCAGAATGTGCAGGCAGACATGTACATTTATCGACATGTATTTCATAACTGGTCGCATGAAAATGCGGTCAAGATCCTGCGAGCATTGATTCCCGCGTTGAAGACTGGGGCGAAGGTGCTGGTCAATGATTATATTGCCCCTGCTCCGGGGACCTTGAGCCCTTTGAAGGAGCAGAGGTTGCGGTTAGTACTAGCTTTCTGTCTTTTTAAAACTCTGAAAAAATACTAATTCAACACGGAATGCAGAGAGATGGATATGATCATGCTTACCCTCTGTAACGCGTACGAGCGGGAAGATCACGACTGGAAACGATTGTTCCGAGATGCAGATCCACGGTTTGAGATCCTGACCATGTTTGCACCAAAGGGAGCTACGGAGGGGATTATTGAGGTCGTCTGGAGAGGATGAGTTCATATGATAATCTCAACGAATACTTAGTCTCACTGTATTACTGGAAATTCTTCTCAAAGTACAGTGGTTGACCATTGTCCCAATGTTGAGGGCTTCGGTGTTAATCAATTGGAAGATTTTGAGCCCAACAAACCACATAGACACTACATATAATTTGAAAGCCAAAGATATGCAACAATTGAGATTCGGCTGTGGTCCCCCAACGTGCTACTCACTACTATGCAGCAGCAAGTGCGGCTGAGCAAGCGGCAAGCTCTGCTCTCCAAACCTTGTCGCCGTATGCATTAATACTACAATCGAAAAGAGCTATAGACGGAAGGAAATATGTAGCTTAGTCACAGGATTACCATGATAAGCCCGAATGGCTCCTGGGCCAGAATGAAATAAACAGAATTGGCGTACAGAAGCAGGATCTTGGATCTTGATGGTTGATGGCTATACTTGTCTGCAGTAACAAAATACTCTTGGCATTTACAAACAACGTGTAAGGAAAATCCTGGATAAAGAATTCACGATGAAACAACTCAATTTGTCAAGATGCCATTGAATCTAGGTCCAAGCTAGAAGAGCTGCATGAGTCGAAAAGCTTTTATCTCCCGCGGAAGAGGAGGGTATAACAAATACACACACACAAACCAAAGCCGCAATTAATCGGGCTGAGCGAACTTGCTTCGTTTACGCAGCGCGGGCCCAAGAAAATACAACATAAACATGCCCGCCACACAGCCTACAGTAAGGCCTGCCAACAAGGTCGTTCCCCTAGCCACACCCAGAGTATCATACAAGGGCCCAGACCACATAATGGCTGCAAAGGCAAGATATGCACGACAAAAATCATTCATCGCAAATAAACTCGCACTATAACGCGTATAGGCGACGGCAATATAACTGAATATGCACTGGAGGACCAACGTCATGCCGGCTACCTCTATGAGCAGACCTATAGTCGGTACTATCCAGTGAATCGATTGACGTGAGGTCCACGCAAACATAAATAGCCCAGCAGGCACAATCAAACTCCCAAAAAGGGCGGGAATGAGTCGCTTTTCGGGCCGAGGGAATATCCCCCGGCGAAAGTCCGCGTTCAGACAGTAGTGAATGAACAGATAGTAACAGGGGAGAACCAAGGCGGTGGCCACAACCGAAGCCAGGAAAATCAGGCCCAGCTCCCCGAGATTCATCTTGTAGACTTCAATGTACACGATTGGAAGAACTTCAAAATAAGAGTAGAAAATGGCATAGACTAGCCCAATGTATACTGTGGAAAAGAGGATGGCGGGGTCCAGCGCATGGATCTTCCAGGGAATGATCAGAGCATCGTACACAACCTGCATAGGCGAGACATTTTTGACCTTGATCTCAGACTCAGACTGGAAGGCTGGGTTGCCTGTGAGTTCTCTGAGGTGTTTTGCACGCAGGTGTAGGATGGCTGGACCGGAGGTTTCGGGCAAGAAGATGAGAAAGACAAAACAGCCAGCCGCGGCCCAGAGGACCTCCCACATGGACCAGTGCCAGCCCTTCACGGGGACACTGAACCCAGATATCACAGGGGCTATGGCTGGTCCTGCGATAGAGCACAAGCCCCAAACATATAGACCATAGGGTAGTTGCACTAGCCCGGTCACATCAGCGATAGAGGCGCCTCCAGTGGCCAGCCCGGGAGAACCAAAGAAGCCTTGGAGAAACCGGAGGACCATAAATCCCGGTACATTGTTGACAAGTGCAGTGGGGATGCTGAGGATAAGGAAGATCGTGATGGAGATCACATAGGGAGGGTTGCGACCGATGGACGGAATCTCTGACAGGGGACTCCAAATCATGGGTCCCGTGCCATACCCCAACACGTATGTCGACATGCCCAGTACGCTGACAGATCGTGACACGCCGAATACGGTCATGAATTCCCCCTCTGCAGGTGCAAAGATAGCAACGGACATGTAGACTATGAAGGTAAAGAGATTCACTTCTATGTATACCAGAAGCTTCGCGGCAAACGACCAATTATGCGGATTATCCGGGTCTTGGTCGGAGTACCAATCGACCTGAATTGCTCCGTCGGGCGTGATAGTTGGCTCGATCCATGGAGACTGCTGTGATTCTTGTTGCTCCAGTCTTGGCTGACTTGACGGAGAATGTGTCTGGGAGCCTATTCTCACCATCAGTTTTGTTGTCTCTTACCAGAAGTCGAGATACATTAACTTACTATCAGCGGATATGGAGTCGCCCTGGGCGCGTATCTCCTTAGTCTCTGGGGAGTCTGAATAGTCGAGTGGGGTACATCTACCACCTGCAGCGTCTTTGTATGGCGGTGGAAGCTCGAAGCCTGGTCTTTTTTCGGTGGGTTGGAATAGACGCCCTCCCGAAAGCCAGCGGCCGATCAGGCCGATTGGCGAATTGGTTAGGAGGTGAGCCATCACGCTTCATGAAGGCAGCGGGGGAGGAAGAGAGTGAGTAGTCAGATTCATTTCAATAATAGAATTTTTTTTTTTTACTATTTTCTTTTTCTGAACAAGAAAGCTAGAGACAGACAGATGCTGACATTCCTGGGCAATACCCGAACCCTTACAGCTACAGAGTAGACATTGAAAAGATTTGGTTCTGGGACCCGAAAAAGAATAAAGCAAAACCTAATTTCTGTATAAATAACGGTAATTATACAGCAATACGCAAGGTTGCAATCTGGGAAGATTGCGCAAGCGAAATATGTGGGTACTTTTGTACAGAGCACTCCTGGTGACCCGACTGCCGATTATTCTACTGACAAATATGCTCCGGGCCGCCCTAGGCCCGCTAGGATCCACATATTTGAACTAAGACGACGATCATTCCTTCATATGTCTAGATTCTGTTTACCCTGTCCCCACCTTCACCTTCACCGTCACCGTCAATGGGATATTCTCAAGTATGCAATCGGTTTCCAACCCGCTACTTAACTTCGTTCCCCGATGCAGATCCTTATCGGCAGGCAGCAGCTTTATATTGGATTTTGGCGAAAACGGAAGTAGTCTCTTAGAGTTGCCTGTGGTGACGACCACACTCCGCTTACTACGGGGGCCTTACCTCCTCCGACTGCCTCAAGGGAGTAAGGGAGTTAGTTGCTCGACTTGGCGGGTAGCTCGTCATCTCCCTCATTCGAGACTCAATTTCTTCCTCACACCTGTCCTCCTGTAGGAAAACATTGCGGTGTAAAGACAAATTGCCACCTGACAGTGGAACGTATAGGAGCTCTCTGATTCATGTTCGAATCCGTTTATGTAAGAAAAAATCCCCAGCGACACATGTGCAGGTTACCTGTCACGGCCTAATTATACACGCATTATCCTTTTTGTTGACTGCTTAAGCAATCGATACATTATCCTTGAGGGGTGGCTACACATTTTTCAATATATCTGTCCATGAGATGTATGTAATTAAGCACTCGAGAAATCCTCGCTACATATAATATCACGAATACAGCATCACTATGTAGCACCAACAAGCACTGGGAAGTTGAGTACCGACTTGCCCTCTCGATCTTTTGGCTTGCGGGGGACGTAAACTGTATCCTCATCCCCGTATTGTTCACAACTCGGAATGGTGCTGTCCGCGAGCGTGCTTGATATCGTCGGCAATTTTTTCAGCGACCATGTCTGAGACACAACAGTCAGCTCAATATCCTACTTGCATGACAGTCTCTAATTGGAAAGATGACTTACAGACAACACCCAGAGGAAGACCAGGAGGCAAGAACGGGAAGGTCGATGCATCTGCGATTCGCACTTTTCGTTCCTCAGTTAGCAAGGTCTTCCAGGTCCAGCGAAAAGGGGAGAGTAAAGAGAACAAGACAAAAAGAAACGAAAATGAGGAGGAAGAGATGAGAGAAAAAAGAACGTACAGTGATCAAGACCTAAAACGCGACCCTTGGAATCTACCACTGCATTCTTGTCTCCATCTTTGCCCATTCGACAGGTAGACGCCGGGTGGGACATGGAGGCAAAATTCTGCTTCAAGTAATGATGAATTTCATCGTAAGAATTCACGTCAGATCCCGGTGTGATCTCGGACCCGACGATGATGTTTTGTTGGAGGACGGGCATCTGCAAAATTTGTCGGACACGTCGGAATGCTGCGACGGCAATTTCAACGTCAGTGCTGGAGGTGAGCCACCGCGGGTCAATCACTGGGCTATCTTTCATTGAGGCCGATTTGATACTGATAGTCCCCCGAGACATGGGGGTCATGAGAGTGCAAAATAGCATTGCATAGTTGTATCCATCGGTCGGGAAGCCCATGTCGACAGGAAAAGAGATGAAGAATGCTTCCGGCCAGTCCTTGGGGAAGCTAGCCAGGTCTATTATCGAGCAGTCAGTAAGGACGTTATGGGTATGCGTAGTGGAATGGAAATTAGGCTGACCTGATTTGGTGCTCGCGGAGAAGTTGCGCAGATCCAGCGGAATATCGGCGAAACCGCCGAAGTCTGGCCCTGGGCTAGAAAGAAGTCCAGCTTGTTGTCCTTGGAACTCCTTCACAGCCTCGTCATATTGGTCCTTGTATTTCAGAGCTGAATTGGTCTGCACATCGACCTTGTGGCCGATTCCAAAGCTAATGTGATCTTCCATGTTCTGCCCTACACTCGGCGCATCGAGGACGATAGGAATCTTGTGCTTCTTGAGAATACTTGCGTCGCCAACGCCCGAGACTTGGAGCAGCTGTGGGGTCATCAATCCACCCGCTGTAATTATTACCTCATGTGCAGCAGATAAGGTAAAAGTAGTCTCTCCTCGGGATACTTGCACACCGCTCGCGGTTTTGTCATTGAACAATACCTTCTCTGCCAAAGTAACATTATACAAGAACAGATTCTTTCGTTGCCCCAAGATGGGCTGCAGAAAGGCCTTTGACGACGACGCCCGCTTACCATCAGTGTGATTGATTGTGTCCAAGACCCAGCTGCTCCCAAACATATCCCCAGACATGAACCCTCCGACAGGTAACATACCCAATTGGTCAAATGCCTTCTTGATCCAGGTGCTAAACGGCTGGCCGTAGTTCGCATAGGTAACGTCCAGGGGGCCCCCATGTCCCACATGGCTGGTATCTAGTTCCGGGGTTGCGTTGAGTCGTCGCTTGCTGGGATCGATGCCTGTAAAGTTCAAGCTCTTCTGGAAGTACTTGGCTACATTGGAATAAGTCCAGGAGTCATCGCCAACCTCGTCTGCCCACTTCTGCAATGCGCCCGTGCTGGTGGCCATGTAGGCCATCAAGTTAAAGGCAGAGTTGCCGCCCAGCTGTTAAGGCCTGTCAGTCTCCATTACACTCGTTTCTCGTCCGAAGCCCTTGTCTACCTACGGTCTTTGCATTCGTGAAATGTTTCACGCGGCCATCGGCACCGTCCTGTGGAACGGTATCGAATCCCCAGTCCAGGGCAGGAGGAATGTTTCCCTTCAAAAAGTCCGCGGCGTATCCTGGGACCTCACTGTGGTTTCCAGTTTGCTCATAAAATGAACCGGCCTCAACAATCGCCACAGTGACTGAAGGATCTTCGGACAGGCGAGCGGCCACAGTGAGACCCGATGCACCACCGCCCACGACGACATAATCCACATGTTTGTCGTCGGCAGTAGGATATCTTGTGGGATCTCCCAGGACATTTTCGCCTAATGGAACCTGGTACCATGGACCGTTTGGATAGGCGCGGACAGCAGAGTGAAAGGCCCATAGAGACAGGAAAACCTTAGAAAACACAGATGAAGCCATGTTTGATGTCGTTTTCTTTCTAACTCTTCATCATGCTCACCGTCAGTTGCCCTGGGTGTGACGCCCTCTAATTATAGCACTACTTGAATAGATTACACTAGCAGATTTGATTCGAGTTTCGGGCGTCCAAATAGCAGTCGTCATTCATGCAACTACGCTTCTAATCTTTGGGTCATGACGACTTCCTCTAGATGTTGAGTTGGCTGCCTAAAACACCCTGCAGTTCGGTCTTTCAAACCCAATCGATGATTTTGACGTAGTACAGGTTGACTGCCTTAGCCAGGTTGGGCAGATAGCAGTCTAGACTCGCCTCAATAAAATTCTCTTTCCGGCGACCGTCGCACGTTTTGCCTCACTTACGTTTCATTCAGTCTCTTTCTAAGGTTCTCTGTTTTCGACAACATCAGCATGAATGCAACCGTCCCGCATATGCTTCTTCAATGATGTACGCAGCCTCGCAGTTCAAAGTCTATGGAGTGGTCATTCCTGAGATTAGCTCAAATATGTCTTGAAATAAATGGAGGATAGAAAAGTATGGGGCTGGTGTTGGGATTTCATTTCCAAAAATGTCCGCTTTAGTGTGATGAGGCAAGCGAGAAAAAAAATGTAATTGTTCTAAAGGTCCTAAACCTGGGGAAAACACAGACGGGGGAGGAAGAGAAGGAAAGGAAACAAGAAGGGTACTTAAGGTTGACAACAACAGAAACTGCTAACCTGCAGGACTGAACAAAGACTGTCGACCTGTGACACCTGCAGTGTCCACGTGTGACATTTAGGTAAGTTCTACCAGCTTAGTCGACCACAAAGATAATTTGATTTCTGGTCGAGAGTAAGATACAGTATAGAGATTCTATCCACGGTCATTACCCGCAGCAAACAGAAACTGTGTAATTCACTAGGTGGGTCATTGTGGCTGACTAATAAATATACAGCGCCGTCGGGGTATCAGTTGTGCATGATATCTTCAATATCTGTCTCAATTTAATCCACTGGAACACGTTCTTGTACGAAAAAATAAAAGGAAAAAAGCAAAAGAAAACATTGTGAGCAAAAAAAAAAAAATTCTGCAGTTGAAGCCAATTATGTATTTAAATACCCACACGTGAAGGAACCTTGGAGACTGGTTTGAAATCGGACCCCACCGTTTCCACCCCTTACAGCAATACTGGGTCCACGGCACTGTCTCGGGAGTCGGGATCTTCCGCTCCAGTCCGTTTTTTAAGTTGCCAAGATTCGCGGAGCGTTCCGAAACTCTGAAACCTCAATGCTTCCTCATTACCGGAAAGGCTAATCAGCAGTCACCGGCTATTATTTCCAGCAGGGTCTTGATACAAGGGCCTCCCAATCAATTCGGTAGTAGATTTAACCACTTCCTGAACACGTTGTGCGGGTCATACTCCTGCTTCAGCAATTGCAATTTCGGCAAGTTCTCGCCGTAGACTTCTCCAGCCCGGCCGTCATGCGAGTAATTCGCGTACGCCCGGGCATGGGCACCCGCACCAGCGCGCTCACCGACCTTCCGCATCATGTCGCGCTGGATAATGCGCATGGTCTGATCAAGTTCTGGGTTATCCCATCGGAAGACACACCCGACGTTGTAGTAGGGCCCCCGAGTAGCGAAGGCCGTGGCATTCTTGGGGACACGCAGAACTTGTTTCTGGGAGACGAGCTCGAATAAAACTGCAGTCCGAGATGATTCCGGGTAGGTTTTGAGCATGTCTGTATAGTCGGCCCATAGTTCCTGGAAGAAGGGCGTCTCGAGTGGGAGTTTGACGAAGGCTCCGCTGAAGGACTTACGACCACCGTACGTGGCGAGGGGGTTTTGGATCGAGTTCAGCTCGCAGTAAGGCATCATATCGCAGCTGTTTGAGGTAGGTTCGATGGAGAGGATTGGCGCGAAGTAGCTCTCTGCTTCGCAGCGAGGGCCGTTGTAGAAGATCGCTGCGACAATGCTGGTACCGCAGAAACCGAAAAAGATGCCTTGATCCCCTGTATTACTGGCTTCTTCGAATTTATTGACAAAGTCAATGATTTGGGGGAGGCGATCGGGGGTCCAGCTCAATATGCCTGCGTACACCTCGTTGGTTTGATCGTAGCCCTGGAAGACGAACTCAGTGACGACTCCAAAGTTCTGGCCCGCACCGCGGAGAGCCCAGAATAGGTCTGGATTGTTTTTTTCAGAAGCTTCCAGGATGCTGCCATTGGCGAGGACTACGGTAGCTGCAAGGAGATTGTCGATTGTGAGACCATATTTCCCTGTGAGCCATCCATAACCCCCGCCGAGCGTCAATCCGCCCACCCCGGTATGATTCACGGTGCCTCCAACGGTCGCCAGTTCATAAGCTGCCGCCGCCTTGTCTACATCTTCCCAGATTGTGCCACCTTGTGCCGTAATCGTCTTTCGAGTGGGATCGATCACCACGTGTCGCATGCGTACGAGACTAATCACGATCCCGCCCTCGGTCGCAGAGGACCCGCTGGTTGAGTGCCCTCCGTTGTGCACCACCATAGGAATACGATGAGTGCTTGCAAACTTAACTGACAAGGATACTTCCTCTGTAGTAGTCGGTAAAATCACGGCGGCCTGTTGTTGATCAGCCAGGGTTGTTATCTTCCATTAGGCGGTTTTCTTACAGCCTTTTTTTCACATGTGTCACTCCAGCGTCTGATACTCTCCAAATATCCGCCGGACCCGGGCGTCAAAACGACAGCATGAGTGCCTTCAAGGTGTTTGCGCAGCTCTTCCATTGTGCTGATTAAATTTATGGTGTCGCAGAAAGTTATGGGGGAACCGCGGTTTGTATGTTAATGGCATGTGCGGATAATGGGAGGCCTAATAAATATGTGCAAACTGCCAGGCCACGTAACTTTTCTGGCCGATACGAGCAATATTCTACCAAAAGAATATGTGCCAAGACCCTTCTGTTCTTCCCCCTTCTTCCTTCTCGTAATATTCCGTGTGCAGTTTACAGTTTATTGTGACCCAAGGCAAGCTTCACGGGCGAACATAATCAAGGAGTCACCTATCATACCTCTTTTGAAAATTGCTGTCATGGGAGTCTTCTGACCCACCACGGACTCAAAAAATAAAATAAAAAATAAAAAGATAAAGATAAAGATAAAAAGGGATATACATTCACCGGTAGTAGAGTAAGTTCCCAATAATGGCTTTTCGCTTGTAATACATTGCCCGAAGGTGGGAATGGACTCAGAATGCCACTATAATGAAAGGAATGTCTCCACTTAAAGCAACCATCTATACGTGGAACAGGTTTCACGTACGATATTTGCCCAGAGAGCAAATCGTTTCTAGGGGAAAACGAGAGGAAAAATGACAAGGAGAAAAGGCGCGTAGCCACTTATCCCAACAGGTTCAGACTGCAAGGCAGATGGCTAGTCTATATTATATTCCTTAGTGGCTACTTTAGGAGAGACGTATTGGGTCTTCCGTGGCTCTAAAGCCTACATCGTCATTCTATAGAACATTACTCTAGTCTATAAGTCTTGTGAGATATACAGAGTTCTCCATTCATTGTAAATACCATTACTATCAACTCATCCACGCATTTTTGGAGCTCATTTACTGAGGTAATGGTTCAGCCATGCCACCGCTTGGCCGAAGGCTTGTTCTTTGGCGAATTTGTGCCGGCTTTTGTTCATATCACAACGAACCGCGAAACCGTGCTCCACCTCCGAGAAAATGCTAAGCTGATAGGGCACATCCAATGTGGCCAAAATTTCTTCGCTTTCATGACGTTTCTCAGGCGGAAAAAGGTAGTCATCGGCTAGAACATATAGATCAGCAATTAGACATGAAGGTGAGAGGATTATGAAAGGAGAATAACTGCAAAGAGTAGAACTTACCGGCCGCCGCAATACTCAACGGACCTTGAATCGCCTTCAACTCGTCCGGCTCAATAAAGGTTGGATGGGCAATGAAACCGACATCGATCTGGCCTGCACGTAAATAGCGGCAGACAAACTTTCCTCCATAACAGTATCCCACACCTCCAACCCGCTTACAGCCAAAAGAGTCTCGCATCTCCTTGAGCACTTCTGTGATTATTGGATCGGTATGTTGAGGGAGATGACCTTGAAGCCAGTCCATGACGCTGAAACTTTCCGGGTGGTCCACGGGGACCGGGTCCCCTTTGAAGAGATCCGGCATGACGACAAAATACCCATTGGCTGCGAATTGGTCTGCAATCAACTTGGAGTTGACAAGATCGAGACCGAATATATCAGATAAGAATAAGATCGCATTGCCAGTTTGTTTATTCGGGGGGTAGGAAAGATATGCCTGGGCTGACGCGACTCAGTTAGGAGGAAAATTGAGGGATGGTAACAGGAAGGGAAAAAGGACCGGCATACTGTTCCCGATGGTCTTGATCTCGCCTTTACTCTGGCCCTCGTGCAGTGAACCGCTGGCACAGCACTGGGAGGGTGGTAGGGAGGTCATGATGGATTAAAAAGTGGTTCAAGTGGGCTTACTATGGATAGAGGCAAGGAAATATTGACAAGAAAGCACGTACGACCTTGAGCTTTACTTCTTATGTATTTTTGTAAGCAGCATTTGGTATTATACAGAGCTAAAGTCCCCAAATGCGGCGTATTCTCAAGTAACCAAACAGTACAAATGCATGACTATCGAATGAGATTGTCCCATGGTTTAAAAATTAGGCCTATGCGGAGATCCTTTCCCTCTCCATGTATTCTAGCCCGACTCCTCCGCCAGTGCCTCAACATAAGGCTGGTAGCCATATAAGGGGGTGAGTGCACGATCCCAGCACCACATAGGGGCCCAGGTAAATGCAACCCTGCGAAGGAGCGGTCCCAATCCATAGCCCATTTTGCCGGTGTGCAGTGACGCAAAAGTACTGGAGAATTCGAACACGTAGCGGGCCCTCTCTTCCCTGCGTTGGCGGTATTCTTTGAGACACATCTGCAGCGCCTGCGTGTGGCCTGACCGATCACGGAAGTATGAGTTGAGCACATTGGCTAACTCGCCTGCATCTTCAATTGCTTGGCATGCGCCCTGGTAATGCATCATTGAGTCAATGGGAACTGCTGCAGAAGTGGGGGTGTGACAAATACCTGGCCGATAAAGGACGTCATGGAATGTGCGGCTAAATGAAATCAGCTTTGGGGCCGAGAAGGTAAGGGATGGTTCAGATCATACCGTCGCCCACAAGGGCTACCCGACCAGTAGCCATGGGGGAAATGCAGTCTCTTCGAACACGTCACTAGCTGTCACGCGTTCCGCCATATCCACCACTAAATAAAACCAGATTAGGGTATTTACTCCGATACTTTCTGGGTAAGAGAAAAAAATTACCATCGCGCACCTTGTGGTGCTTACCAAACGGATGAAATCGGTCGCCATAGATTTCATTGATCATCTCCTTCGAGGCGCCTTTCCAGCTTGACCGACTAGGATCTTTCAATTTCGATGACTATCCACTATCAGCTGGGATGTCATGCATGATGTAAGGGGGATATTATACCTTGACTCCTACAAACCATTGTCTGTTTTCGATGCATGGCCACGAGGTTAGAATGGCATCGTCGTAAAAAACCCAAGTAGCCACTCCCAGGTCCTGGGAGCTCAGATGTTCCAGGGGATGTGTGTAACCAGTCATGTGTGTGCGACCAGTAAAGCGGATGGTGTGGGTGCCATCCAGTCCGTCCTTCTCAGCTAAAATGCGTCTGGTTGCTGATCTAATACCATCTGCGCCCACCACTACTTCGCCAGTTATTTGTCGACCATCGGCCAGGCGCACCTTGACCGTAGGCTCAGTGGGCAGATCTTCAATATCGACAACCTCTGCATTGAGTAGAACATTCTCTGGCCCTGCGCCCTGATAGAGGGCTTGGTGCATTGAGTGTCTTTCAATAGAGTAGACGCTGTACCCAAACTTGCCCTCAATCCACTCCCAGTCAACGACACTCCACAAAGTATTGTCGCGAAAGATTTGGATCTTGCGAAGAGGCTGTCCTTTGCGTCGGATCTCACCCATGTGTCCCAGCTGATCCAAGATACGTAGGCAATTGGGTGCAAGGGAGATCCCTGCGCCGACGGGGGTGATTTCGGCACTGCGTTCGAGCACCTTGTAGCTGATTCCAAGCTTTTTACAGATACCTGCCAATGTCAGGCCTCCAATACCTCCCCCTACAATGAGAACCTGAGCATCTGTGGTTGGAGCGACTCGGGTCATGATATATAATGTAGGAAGTGAGTAGGATGTCTTCGATGTAAAAGGCCTCGTGAGAGAAAACAGAGATTGGTTGGATTTAAGGGGCATGGATGTAGTGCATACCTCCTATATATATATTTATCTACGTATTATTCGCCAGCACGGAAACACTGAAATTACCTAGCTAGGCAAGTATGGATGCCAGCTAATGTGGAGCATGAGTATTATGTAGGGATGTACAACTAGGTATCCATGGGTCCAGTCGAATTGCGTTGCGCTCCGGAGGAGTCTGCATACCATGTATATGGATTGGGGTCCAGAATCCAGGAAAATAAGTTCTAGAGAATGATGTCAGCACGGAGAAGAGTAGTAAAATTCAGATTTCAGAATTTCTGGTTTGGTATCCGGTAACGGTAACGCCTGCCATTCCAGGTCAGGACATCTGGAGTAACTTCATTCCGTAGTGCGAGATACAATTTTGTAATATTACTTTCTTGAGTAATGTAACTATAACCAACGATACAGGGAAGTGATCTCGCAGTAAGCGATCCATAGGTTGCTTCATTTAAGCATTATCCACACAATATTTGGAGAGTTTTGACGCTGGCCCATAAATAAATCAACAGACTGATAAACTCACTACACTTCTCTGCGATTGAGTCTAATGTATGCATCCCCCTAAAAGCCAAGGGCTTCCCACTTTACTGAAATCCAACATAGAAAGGTCCTGAGACGGGTCATCGTTCCCCAAGGCAAGATCATAGTTCTTGAGGAGATGAGAAACCAGCCCTTGGGCGATAATTCCGGCCAGTGCCTCCCCTGGGCATCGATGACAGCCAGCGCCAAATTGCAGAAATGCGACCTCCTGCGAATTGTTTAGATTCTGCATGCCAGAATCGTGCTCTAACCAACGCTCAGGAAGCCACCTATGTGGATCGTGGTAGATATTAGGGTCATGGTGTGTAAGGTAAGGGGATATGCAAACAATCGAATTTGGAGGGACCGTATACCTGCCTTCATCTAGGTCCACAGGGCGATGTGTGGTGCGAAACATGTGGACTCCTGAGTAATGACGACCAGTCTCCTTGATGCATGCAAGAAGCGCGGGAGTGTGGCGCGCATCCATATCATGTGCATCCAAAGCCTTGCGCACCTCAGATATGTACTCTGGATTGCGAAGTAACTAGAAACAAGACATATATTCATCAATGATTCGAACAGCACTTCAGATAGAGATTTGGGTAACTGACCTCTATGATTGTCCATGCAATGCTGGCTACTGTGCTTGTATGGGCAGCAAACATCATTACTGTATGATGGGAAGGGAGCCAGTCTTCAAGGTGGGCGGTTTTTGGATCCTCCAGGGTGAATGAAATATAGTCCAAGGCGTCCTTCCATGCTTGAGGATCCTTGCGCCGCTCTGCAAGCTGCTGTTGAAAAATTCGCCCGAACCGGTCTCTATGCTGTTTCAGTCGACGCGATGGCGGATGGGGGATCCAGTCGGGCAGAAGCATGTTAAGGGGATGACCTATATCTGTCTCCATATGATGCAAAATATCATAGAGCTCATCCACATGATTCTCATAAAAGTCTTGACCCATTAAACACCGAACAATTACTCGGTGCACAAAACGGGAGGTCTCTTCGAATACTTGGACCCTATCTTGCTTGCTCCAGATCTCAAGCACCCTGTCAGCTTCCTCCCCGACCAACTGAGTGTAGTGATCCAAAGCGACCTTGCGATTCACGCCACGGTTCAAAGAGGAGACCAGAGTGCGGAGGTGGTCAAAATACCCCGGCTGAGCAATCTTTTTGAGAAACAACCCCTGTAATGCATCATTAGCCTGGGGGAACTTGGTTCAATTGTGATAGAAACCCTACAATGCCACCACCGAAGGACCAGGTGTCCTCCTTAACATCGGTATAAATGCGGTTATATCTGGTTCCACGTAGGTAGATGAGGTTTGCAAAGAGTAGCTTAACCTGAAATATAGATCCGCATTTTTTACTTGCTTTCTGTATGAACCTAACAGGATCTTTCAGAAATGCAGCTGCGTCACCGATGCGCGGTATGCCAAAATTTGGGGCAGGAGGACTTTTCTTCCCAGCTTCAGGACTCAACAAGAGGAAAATGAGTGATAAACCAAAGGCACCGATAAAAACAAGTGCGCAGCCAAGCTGCTTCTCCGACAATACAGATGAAGATAAAACGTGTGCGATCATTTTGGCTGGTTGTAACGGCACTGATATTCAGGATAAGAGTTGGGCGGAGAAGAAAAAAATCCAGACAAGGTAACAAACCAGACTGTCATCCTATGTGAGAATTATGATTAGACAGCCCACATGTGCAATCCTCTCGAGCACCATATTCACATGTGTGGAAAACGAACATTCTCGAGGTTGGATATTCCCTACACCCTATGATGTGCTATACTTACGCGTTACACGGATCAGAAACGTAACAAATGTCCGTGGGTCGATCAGCCATGTTCGCTACTGAAGAGAACCAAGGGCGTATGATATCAATCGGTGTGGAATGATTCATCCTCGGGAGTCGGGAGCACTAGCTATCCGCTGATCCACCATACGCATTCTTGAGTGATTCCGAATGACGTGAAATATGCAGCGCTCCATTGCCCATTCTTCAGGTTGCCTAGTCGTTCGATATAAGTGAGCCAAGGTTTGCGGAACTAGAATAGAAACCGAGGTTGTATCGGAATATTTGGCAATGAGACATAGCGGGGCGGAGATCACGGTCCGTCCCATGAAATTCTCAAAACAGGGAGGCTTTAATTCTACTGTTATTTGGAATGATATCAAGTACTACCTCAGGGTACGAGATCCATGGGCCCAAAATTACAAGCTGTGCACTCCTTGGTAGCTCATATATGGAGACATAAAATCGAATCATAGTGGGACGAAGGATTCTTCACTTCAACATCGCCTAGGCCATTCCATGATGACCGAGTCTGAACGAGACATTTTGCCCCCTTAATGCGCATACGTACCAAATATACATTCTTAGATCATAATATGTAGTTTGTCCGTTTTCAACCTTGACGTGTTATAGATCAAAATCTTGGCATTGTTATGTGCTCTCAAGCATGACTAGCACAGTAGATAAGGCCTGAAATCTGTGTTGCCGCAAATGAATGAGAGTTCTGTCATCAATCTTAAAAACTCTCAAAAAGGCTTTCTCAAGTGAATGACTTGACTTTATCCAATTTTGCAACCGCTCACTATGGTATCAATCCCTGCGAGAGGGCTTCGAGGATCCGAAGATTCGGGGACGACAAGTAAAAATGTCTCGCCACCATTCTCTACTAGCCCATCGCAATCGTCAATGTCCTCGATCGATGGACCCAATCACGCTACTATCATAGGCTATGCCTGTCGCGTTGCTGGTGCAGATCGTCCAAGTAAACTCTGGGACAATATTGTTGAGCAGAGAGATCTGCGGCAAGAGATGCCCTTGAATCGTTTTAATATTGAGAATTTCTACCATCCTAACGGAACGAACAAGGGAACGGTAATAAAATCACCCTATTCAAGCCCACCGACTCTGGGAGAAGTTTATCAGAGCACTGCTAACTATCGAATTATCATGTCAGACGAATGCCAAGCATGGATACTTTCTTGACCAGGATCTAGGGGTGTTTGATCGTAGCTTTTTCCGCATTTCCGGCAAGGAAGCCGAGGCTATGGACCCCCAGCAGCGCCTCCTTCTTGAGGTGGTTTACGAGGCCCTCGAAGACGCCGGCCTTACGTTGGATGAGATAGATGGATCGAACACCTCGGTCCTATGTGGCTCATTTACAAACGACTACAATGCCATGATCACCAAAGATCTGGAGTACTATCCCAAATACGCTGTCACGGGAACGGGAAACGCGATTCTCGCTAATCGTGTGTCATATGCATTCAATCTTAAAGGCATGAGTCTCACAATTGATACTGCATGCTCTTCGTCTCTGGTCTCTTTCCACCTGGGCGCCCAAGCCATCCAGAATGGAGAGTGCGACATGTCCATTATTGTGGGCTCAGCGCTTCATTTTGATCCGAATATTTTCATTACCATGACAGACCTGGGCATGCTGTCTAAAGAAGGACGCTGTCGGGCATTTGATGCCGATGGGAAAGGTTATGCGCGAGGAGATGGAATATGCGCCGTCATCCTGCGCGGGCAGAACCAGGCTCAGCTGCATGAAGACCGGATTCGCGCCGTTGTGAAAGCCACCGGCTCTAATCACGATGGAATGACACAAGGAATCACTCTGCCTTCTTCGGAAGCACAGATGGCCTTGATCAAACGAACTTATCACTCCTGCGGCTTAGATCCCGCCGATACACAATATGTAGAAGCCCATGGCACCGGCACCGCTCGTGGGGATCCCCTGGAGATGCGAGCCATCGGTACGTGCTTTGCCTCCAAGCAGCGCAGTCAGCCTCTATATGTTGGATCTGTCAAAACCAATATAGGACACGCTGAAGGGGCGTCCGGACTTGCCGGCCTGATCAAAGCCACAATGGCCCTCGAAAAAGGGAAAATCCCACCGAATATGCATTTCAAGATACCGAACAAAGAAATTGCATTTGACGACTGGGGGATTCAAGTGCCCACGGATTTGATCGATTTCCCAACCAACAGTCAGGGTACAAAGAGAGCCAGTATTAATTCTTTTGGCTATGGTGGTTCCAATGCACATGTGATTCTCGAAGCATATGATGAATTTCCCAACAATATCGACCAATCAGTCTCGAGGCTCCCAAAGGCCTTTGAGGCTGATGTCATTGGTCGCCCGTTCCTGGTGCCATTAACCTCGCACTCGGAGAAAGCAGGGAAGGCGTGGATTGACAGCCTCGCGGCTTATTTGCAACAAAAGCTCGAGACTCCCGTATCCGATCTGGCTTACAGTCTGATCAATCGTCGAACCCTTCATGAAAAACGATCCTTCGTCATTGGAACGAGTGCAGGGGACGTCGCGAACAAGCTGGAAAATGTGCCCCCGTGGACAAGGGCAAAAAAAGAGCCTTTACGACTTGGGTTTATTTTCACCGGCCAGGGTGCCCAATGGCATTCAATGGGCCGTGACTTGATTGCCAAGGCTTTGATATTCAGGCAGACGTTGGAGAGAGCCGATCGTGTTCTATCCGGTCTACCGGATGGTCCAAATTGGTTGATTGTGAATGAGCTTTCCAGAACAAAAGAAGAGTCACGGCTCGCGGAAACCGAACTATCTCAGCCTGTCTGTACAGCTGTGCAATTGGCTCTTTTGGAACTCCTAAAGAGTTGGGGGGTTGTTCCCACAGCATGTGCTGGACACTCGTCAGGGGAGGTAGCAAGTGCGTATGCGGCAGGGATTTTATCTTTCGACAGCGCGATGTGTGTTGCATATTATCGCGGTCTGCATATGTCAAAGAAAGCGCTACTGTCAGGAAATGACGAAATCTCAGGGGCGATGTTAGCTGTGGGGTTAGGGGAAGCTGAAGCTGCCTTGGAGATCAAGGCCTATCCAGGTCGAGTGGTCATCGCCGCAGTTAATAGCCCATCTAGCGTCACTCTGTCTGGAGACGAAGATGCAATCATCACTGTCAACGAAGACTTGCAAGCACGAAATGTTTTTGCCCGTCGCTTGCAGGTAAAACAGGCGTTCCACTCCCACCATATGAGCCCCCTGGCGCCGGCGTACGAGAAAGCGCTATTCGAATGCCCTAGTTTTGCGGTAAACCCCTCTGAGACTCGAATGTTCTCTAGTGTTACTGGCCGAGTGGCCAAATCAGACAAAATGGGACCAGAGTACTGGGCCGCCAACATGACTGGCACTGTTCGATTCTCTGATGCCTTGATCGGAATCCTCCTCGACGATATGGAAAATGAAAACCTCGATGTCTTGATCGAGATTGGACCTCATCCAGCACTTAAGGGCCCATCTAAGCAGGTGATGAAGAGCTTAAACATGGACCTGCCGTATCTTGCATCTTTGACCCGAGGAGCACCAGACTTCGAGGGAATGCTGGCTTTGGCTGGCCAGCTCTTTCAACTGGGCTACCCAGTCGACCTGTCAGCGCTTAATAGTGACATTTATCTGACCGAAAACAACTTTGTACGTCAATCATTCTCTGCACAAAAGCTGTCCGACCTACCAACGTATGCATGGGATCATTCCGAGCGGTTTTGGGCGGAGACCCGAATCATCCACGAGCATCGTCTACGTCCCCATCGGCATTCAATTTTGGGCGCCATAATGCCCGGCTCGATTGAGAAACATACGCGTTGGCGGAATTACTTGAGGATTCGAGAGCTACCCTGGCTTGGGGACCATGTGGTGGACGGGAAGGTCGTCTTTCCAGCAGCAGGTTATATGAGCCTTGCCATTGAAGCTGCAATCAGAGCAAAGGGAGTAATCGGTGATTTCAATGGCCTAGCCTTACGCGACATCTCGATAAAAGCCGCGTTGGTGCTTGACGACTCTGATATGGGTACCGAGGTGATCCTAGATATCCGCCCTCAAACCACATCTGCCAAGTCTAAATCCAATGCGTGGCTTGAGTTCTCCATTTTCTCATATGCCGCTGGTGGTGAGACTTGCACAGAGCACTGCACGGGTCTAGTTTCAGTGGAAGATAATGCGAGTAGCCAGATGTCACGAGAGGAACATGAACAACGACGGAAGCAAAGCACCTCGTGTTCCTCTGCACGGGGCTTTTACCGGCATTTGCATGACCTTGGACTGCAGTACGGGCCAGGTTTTCAGCTTCTGACTGGGAATATAGAGTCTGGTTCGGGTTTTGCTTCCTCGACACTCACATTCAATCCCGAGCAATATACAATACAACCTGCAGATGTGACTGTTCTTCACCCGACCATGCTAGATGCCACATTCCACACAATATTTGCTGCTCTCGAGAGTCTTGCGGGGAGAGACTTGGATGTAGCCTTTGTGCCCACCTTCCTCCAATCATTGGAGATTTTGCCCGAGATGATATCTATCAAGGATGCCAAGGGGCCGCAGGATGTATGGGTGGCATCATCGGCTCATTTCTCCGGCCCCCGAGCTGCCGTCAGTGACTTGGTAGTCTATGAACCAGGCACCGATCGGGCATTGGTGTCTATCGCCGGCCTTCGGCTTACTTCATTGAGTAATGGGGATGATGTCAATGACCGCTCTTTGTTCTTCCGTACACAATGGCAACCGGCTTTTGATCAGCTGATGATGTCGCCTTCACCGGCTATACATCAGGCAAGCCTAGAGCACATGCTCCATCTCTTCGTGCATCAGCATCCGAACACAAGAATGCTCCATTTCACCCCTGAAATTGAGCATACTAGGAAGATTTTACACTTCTTGACAGACAAGACCCACGAACGACGAGTCTTCCAGTCTATCACAGCCGTTCCAAGCAACACGTCATTTGGTGATCAATTTAAAGATGAGTTAGCGGTGTTGCAAAAAGAGCGACCGGGTTTTGTGCTTTCTGAAGAACCAGAAGAGCAGAGTTTCGACCTGGTAATTGTAAGCAATGCCAGAGATCAAGACGTTTTACCCTATATCAAGGATGACGGTTATGTTCTCACCAACGGCTGCCGCATTGATGGTTTGAACTTGAAGATGGTCTTCGATGGGCAAAACGTCAGTGTGTGGCAGAAGCGCACAGATACTCTATGCCACCAGAAACCAATTATCTTGTGTCTGTCACCCAAGCCATCTCGCCGTACGCTAGATCTGGTATCGCAGGTCAAAGCTAAAAACAAGCAGCGGTCTATTTCTTCCGTCTCGATCGCTGAGCTACCAAGCAGATTGAGTGATGACTCCGATTTGATCATTTTGGCTAGCTTAGACCAAGATCTCTTTGCGCAGATGAACCAGGAGGATGAGCTCATTTTCAAAGCCACCAGGGAAGTGCTCACTCGCCCAGACATGAATGTCCTATGGCTGCTGCACGGAGCCACCTGCAACGTGACCAGCCCTATGGGTGCTTTGATTATCGGGTTGAGTCGGAGCGCGCGGTCCGAAAATGACAGCTTGCGGCTGCTGACTTTGGATCTTCCTGAGGAATGGTCTCACGAGTCGGTTCTACCGTTGATTCCTCGACTGTTGGATCCCGCAATCCAAGAAGAAGAGTTCTCTCTTCGCGAAAATGTCCTTTCCATTCCTCGCGTTGTCAATGATGACGGCCTTAATTCAATGGTTCCAGGAGGCGTGGCTTCAGGAGCCAAGACAGAGTCCTTTAGTTCCGAACATCCCATCAGGCTTACTATTGACCAAGTTGGTCTACTGGAAACGCTTGTCTGGGAGGAAGATCCTGAGATTATCAACGAAGATCTCACGCCAGATGATATTGAGATTGATGTCCGCGCTTCCGCCATAAACTTCCGAGACGTTGCTGCCGCTGTGGGTATTATCGATGACTATATGTTAGGCGATGAGTGTGCTGGTATTGTCCGGAAGGTGGGTAAAGATGTCGATCCTGCGAACTTCCAGCCTGGAGATCGTGTGGTGGCTCTGCGACCCGGCATGGGAGCTCATCGCTCCGTCGTCCGAAACCCTGCTTGCCACTGCTACCGGCTGGGTCAAATTCCCTTCGAACAGGCAGCCGCCCTGCCTTTGATTTTGACGACCGCATACTACTCCCTTGTTGACACCGCCAGACTACAGCCAGGTGAAACTGTTTTGATTCATGCTGCAGCTGGCGGAGTCGGTCAGATTGCAATTCAGATTGCGCAAATGATCGGTGCCAATATTATCGCCACCATTGGCTCTCCCGCAAAACGGGATTTACTGAGATCTCAGTATGGCCTGGCTGACGAGACTATTCTGAGCTCCCGAGATGATAGCTTTGTCGCCGGAGTGATGAAACTGACTGACGGGAGGGGCGTGGATGTCGTCCTGAACAGTCTGGCTGGGAAGCTTCTTCACGCGTCTTGGAACAGTTTAGCCACATTTGGCCGCTTTGTCGAGATTGGAAAACGTGACATTCATGAAAATTCGACTATTGGGATGGAGCCATTTCGACGAAACGTTTCGTTTTCTTCGGTTGATTTGATAACTATCTACAAAGAGAATCGTCAGTTAGGTGCCCGGCTGCTCAGCCACTGCTGCAACCTGGTTCACGAGGGAAAGATTAAATTACCCGAGACTATTCTCACCCTTCCGTATTCAGAAGCTGTGAAGGGGTTCAGAATGTTGCAGATGGGCCAGCACACTGGAAAAGTGGTTTTGGTGGCCAAAAGTGACGAGATCGAGGTTGCGGTCCGCGCGTCGACTTGGAATACCTTAAAAAATAAACTGAGCCCAGATAAGACGTACCTAATCGTTGGTGGCTTGGGAGGTTTGGGACGAACCTTGGTTGAGTGGATGATGCAGCGACAAGCTAAAAGCCTCGCCATCCTCTCGCGATCTGGTGAAGATCGTGAGGAGGCAAAATCTACAGTTTCGTGGCTACGAACCCGCGGTTTGAAGGTCGCTGTGTACAAAGGAGACGTCGCCAATCCCACCGATGTACAAAACTGCATCAGTAAGATTCAAAATCTGGGGGGCGTGATCCATGCTGCCATGGTTTTGGCCGATGCTCCGCTGCAGAGCATGACTTATTCTCAATGGCACAAATGCGTTCAACCCAAAGTTCATGGAGCGTATAACTTGCATAACGCGACAATGGGTATCCCGCTCGATTTCTTTGTATGTTTCTCCTCCATTTCCGCATTTTTCGGCGGCAAGGCGCAGGCAAATTATGCTGGTGCGAATGCCTGTCTGGACAGCCTGATGGGCTATCGCCGACAACTTGGCCTACCTGCTTCCACTATGAACTGTGGGCGCATAACTGGGCATGGCGTCGCAGCTGAAGATGCGGCGCTGGAACGGTTCATGGAGGATCAAGGCTATGAAGGGGTAAACCGACAGGAACTGCTCTACCAAGTAGAGAATGCCATCTTCTCGCACATCCCCTCGCAAGTCTCTTCGGATGGAGTTGACTTGTACCAGACCCTGACAGGTGTCACTCTTGCGCGTGACGATGTCTTTTGGGCCAAAAGATCCATCTTCAAAAATCTATATCGCAACCATGACTTCAACGCGCAATCCGGCCAGCGAGGAGCTGGAGGAGAAACCAGTCTGTTGGCTGTATTTAAACAGGTCACAGATCCTCAGGAGCGGTTTAATCTCATTCTCGAGCGATTTGTCAACAAGCTCTCCGTTTTACTTGGTCTGTCGCCCGAATCACTCAAGCCGGCAGATCCAGTTTATGGACTAGACTCATTAGTGGCCATCGAGCTGCGCAACTGGTTCACTAAGGCTTTGGGAGTCGACATAGCTTTGTTTGATGTGCTTGCAGCCCCATCTATCAGAGCCTTGGTAGAGAAGTGCGTGACTTTGTTTGGCCTGCAAGAGCTCAAAGCTCCTCGGTCTGGGCCACAGAATACCAGTGATTCCTCACCACAAGTTAGCGCTACGCCGCAAGACAGAGCATCTTTGAACTTCCCGAAAGCCGACTTATCGCAACCACTCCCCTTGTCCACCTTTCAGACCCGCTTATGGTTCTCTCACATGCTCGCTGCAGACAAGTCGCTATTGAATCTTCCAATCGTTATGCATCTTCATGGGCGGCCTGATCACAGTATCCTTGAGGAATCACTTTCGGAGATGATTTCCAGAAATGCCATTTTGCGGACCGCATATCAGGAGGGAGAGGATTATGCCGAGCAAAGAGTAATGCATGACCGAGAATTCATTCTCAAGTTTCAGGATATATCTCAAAATGAAGAGGCAACCCAAGCCCTGGAGCCACTTGTTGCGACTTTGAAGATGAAGCAGATGAAAATTGAAGAGGGAGAGGTGATTGATGGAACTTTGGTCAAGATCAGTGAAGATGACTTTGCCTTGGTGCTCATAATGCACCACATCTGCACGGACCGAAGTAATACACAATCATTTCTCACGCAGCTTTCCGCGATTTATGACACCTTCCATCAGAGAGGGAATATCAGCACAATCCCAAGTCCCAAGTTGAACTACGCAGACTTCACCATGTGGCATAATGACTTACTTTCAACCAGCTCCATGAGTTCGGAAATCGAATTTTGGAAGAATCAGCTATCTGGAATGCCTTCTAGCTGTGAACTGCTCCCCTTTGCGAAGTCGGAGCGGCCTTTGTGGGATAATTATGGCCGGGCAACCACCACGGCAGAGGTAACCCCAAGTCAACTCAAACGTATGAAGCGGATTTGCTTGCAATCTAAAACAAGTCCCTTCCAATTTCTTTTGGCCGCTTTCCGGGCATTTTTATACCGTTACACGGCAGACAAAGATCTGACGATCTTAATGGTGGATGGAAATCGACCTCACGCGGACTTGAGCGACGTGCTGGGATTCTTTGTCAACATGACCCCAATTCGCTGCCAACAAACATGCGAGGGCAGCTTTGAAACTCTTTTGTTATCCACGAGAGACCTTATCTTAGAGTCCATGTCCCACAGTGCCGTGCCATTTGACGTGATTGTCACCGAAACCCAACAAGAACGAAGTACTGGTCACTTCCCATTGGGCCAGGTTATGATCAATTACCAGCAACCCGATGGCCAAGACGTTTATCAGACTAAGGACTTTGTAATTCAGAAGACGCAAGCACAAGATATGGTCTCTGGTTGTGAACTGAATCTTCGAGCTCGGGAAGACCCGGACAACGCCCTTCAACTGCAGCTGGAATACTCCACCACATTGTATGGAGACACCGACATGCAAGTCTTTTTCGAGAACTTCGAGACTTTCCTGTCCAGCCTCATTCAAGACCACCGACAGCCTGTCGATGAAGTCATCATGTCCGGTCCCAAGGAGATTGAGCGACTGGCAACCGGTTTCTGGAATGGCAATTCCGGGCCTCATTCTCGGGAGCATCCGAGCCTAACTGGTCAAATCCTCCATGTCGCAGAGATGCAACCGAATTCGATTGCCATTACGACTTCAGAGAGTCAGACCATTACTTATGGTTGCCTGGTTGACTCCGCTCGTCGACTAGCCTTTTCGCTACAGAGTGCAGGTATCGGGCCCAGGCAACGCATTGGAATCCTCGCAACCCCGGGTATTGACATGGTGACCGCCATGCTGGGAGTCTTGTTCAACCGATGTGGCTATGTTCCAATGGATCCCACCATGGCTGTTGGACGCTTAGCATTCATCACTGACGATTCCGGCATGGATTTGCTGCTTTTCGATGAGGCGTGCAGCGACTTAGCATCTGAAATTCGGTCCCAGGCTCAAGGTCATTATGATACTATGAGCGTCAAGAAAGCTACTAGCTCGCAATGGCCGGGTGATCTTTATCAGTCTTTACCTGGTGATCCTTTTTATATGATGTATACTTCGGTGAGTTAGCTCCACATGGCACGCTGGAGAATAAGAAAAAGCGCTAACTATTGGCTGTTCAATGATGTAGGGTAGTACAGGTACACCCAAGGGTGTTCCACTTTCCCAACAAAATGTTCAGGAAATGCTGGTGGCGATGCAGGAACAGTTCAGATTCTGCCCCGATGACCGGTTTCTGCACCAGATTTCACCTTCGTTCGACCTTTCTGTGGTGGAGCTTTGGTCATCGCTGGCCATCGGTGCTAAGCTTTGCATTGCCAGCACGGGGGTACGGCATGATCCTGTGCTTCTCGGTGAATATATGCGCCAGGAGTCTGTGACCGTCACGTACTTTACCCCAACTCAATTCGCTCTGGTGATAGAGCACAACGGTGCTGCATTGACGGAATGTCCGGACTACCGTATTGCATTGCTGTGTGGGGAGCGATTGCCCTCACGCCTCGCAGATGCATTCTATCGATCACAATGCCCGGCGGCTCTGTATAATGCCTGGGGCCCAACTGAGGCAGTAGTCCAGACTACTCTCCATCCAGTCCGCTGGCCTGAGGATGATGTTATCAACATACCTATCGGCAAAGCTCTTGGGAATTGCCGACATTATATTGTGGATGGGTGTATGAATCCCCTACCAGCGGGCTTCATCGGGGAAATCTGCATTGGAGGCCCCCAGGTAGCGACCGGGTACTGGAATCGCCTCGAGGTCAATCGTAAGCAGTTCGTGGACAATCCATTTGCCTCCGCGCATGACAAAGACCGTGGTTGGACGACTCTCTTCCGAACAGGAGACTTGGGCCGTTTCCTGCCTAATGGAAACCTAGAGTTCCTGGGTCGCATTTCTGGCGACAAACAAATCAAATTGCGTGGATATCGAATCGATCTTGGTGAAATTGAACATGTCCTGCACCGGTCTGCATCCCCGGATGAGGCCCAAGGCGTTGTCGATCTTGCAGTCGTGGCCCATTCAACGGACAATGATTCAAGCTCATTGACAGACGACCGTTGGCTTGTCGCCTTCATCGTTCCCAAGAAGCCTATGACCACTGTGGTTGACAAGACCAGATTCGCCACGCTTCTGTACTCACGCGCCAAGTCTTCGCTCAGTCATTACATGCTCCCTAATGTGTATCAATTTATTGAAAAACTACCAACCACCGCCAGTGGCAAGACAGATAGACGAGCCCTTCTCGGGTTGGATATGGACTTTATCCGTCCAGATTTGGATGGCACAGCCTCGATGAATTCGAGCCAGAAGACCTCCTTGCACGATAGCCAAGCGCCGACTGAGCAGATTAGTGAAAGCACCATCAAGACGGTCAATCAAGTCTGGCAAGAAGTGCTCAAGCTGGAAGCCCCCGCACAACCAACGGCCAATTTCTTTGAATCGGGGGGCTCGAGCATTCTTCTCCTCCGTCTCCAATCCAAGCTCCGAGCAACAATGAATGTCTCTCTCAGCTTGCAAGATATGATACTGGGGCCAACGCCAATCCAACTAGCCAATCTACTGCATGGAAGGGTCCTTGGATCCACTACCGTCCCGGAAGAAAACACAGATCACGTCGACTGGGTCATGGAGACTACCCTGCCCAACCATACTCGTTATTATCCTTCAATTTCCGGGGTAAAGTCAGCTATGACTGATATACTCTTAACTGGCGCAGACACATTCCAGGGGATTCATCTGTTGGCCCATCTCCTTGTTCAGCATCCTGGTGTGATCATCCACGTCTTGGGCACGCATTCCCCCCTCGACCACGCCCGCATATTCACGTTGCTATTGGAGAGCAAATTGATCAACGAAACGCTAACGGGGGAGCAAATTCTCACTCGTGTTCGGGTAATCTCTGGATTCTTGGGTCAAGAATCCAATTTTGGGCTCTCGCCTACTGAATTTGAGAATCTTGGAAGGTCGATATCGACCATCTATCATCTCGCCTCAGAAGTCTCCTTGCTCAAAACCTTCCACGACCTGAAACACATCAACATCACCTCCATTCTTTCCCTCGTTGAGCTGTCTCATTTTGGAGGGAGCGATATCCACTACCTGTCGACCTGGAGTGTTCCCCACCTCCAATCCTGGTTTGACACTCAAAGCTCCCTTCCCTCCATGAATATTCTGGAAAACAACGCAGGCCACTTTACTCCCCAGCCCACAAGCCAGCATGGCTACTTCAAGTCTCGCTGGGCAGCTGAAATGCTTCTCACACGAGCCGCAGATCGAGGCTTCCCGATCACCATCTACCGGGCCTCTAGCAGTACCGGCAACACTAGCACGGGCGTCGCGTCCTCTCAAAATGATTTCGTCCGAGGCCTGATCCTGGATATGATTCGCCACAATGTCATTCCAAAGTCAGGAACAACTGATCATCCTTTTGTAGTCGATTTCATTCCTGTGAACTACCTCGTCGACGTTCTCGGCCGGCTTTCGATGCAACGGAGGAATGCTCCGGAGGCTCTTTCTTCAACTCCAGACCTTCAAATTTTCCACATCACCAACCCTAGACCCCTTCCTCTTAATCAACTTCCGGCTCTGACAGGGCTCATTCGTGGCGATGACAACCCAGATCAGATTGGGCAACATGTCAGTGTGGATGAATGGCTTGCACACTCAACTCAAGGCAATACTGGCGAGGACGAGCAGTTACGCCGAGAGGTTTTGGGTGATTACTTCCGGCAGGGTCATAATATGTTTGCGTTGGATCGAAGCCGCACGGATGCTGCACTAGACGGTGTGGAAGATCTGGCGATTTGCCCGTCAGTAGATGAGGCATATCTGCGGGCCTTGTGGAAAGAGTGACCTACATGACTTTACTGGTCGATTTTTGCTTTTCTAAAACTGTAACGCTCACTTATTTACTTTGTTTGAAGAAAATAGCCTTTCCCTTCTCTACATTAACATGATGATAATTTACTTTAATTTGATTGCAGTTTTTAACCTGTATGTTGCCGACTCCCCTTGTATGTACGTGTGTTCTGCATTCTCTTCACACTGAGTAAAGAGTCCATGGGTATATTCCAGGTATGAAATAGGCCAAGGAAGGCTTGGCAAAGTAAGGATTTTGTTTCAATAGAACGATGGGTGTAGAAGCCGTATATGGAAACAACGTCATACATGTGGAATTACTGCATTGGACATGGCGCACCCAATTTTGAGCCCTATTTGTAAAATCCTTTATATAGCCGAGTACTGCCACGACTTATATCTAATGGTCGGATGGTGTAGTTGGTTATCACGTATCGTTAACACCGATAAGGTCCTGGGATCGAGCCCCAGTCTGATCATTTCTTTTTTGCTTTTTATTTTTTCCTTTACTTTTGAAGTTGCTATTGGACAGCAATTGGGCTTATCTGCTTTAAATTTAGCCAAGTCGTTTGTCTTTTAGGTAGCCTTACTCGACCCGGAAGACCTCCGTTCCGATCGCCCTTATCGATTCAAAGACTCAAGGTTGCCTGAAAGGGCGCACAGGCGAACCTTTGCGGACAGATTTCAACCAGGTACTAGTTAGTTAGTTATGTTTTCCCTATGCGTAATCGACTTCTAATCTTCTACATGAGTCACAGACCAGAAGCGCACTGGGTTGGACCGTCGGAATGACCTCGGCGAAGGCTAAGTTTTCTTTGAATATTTTCCCCATTCGAGCCGCAATTTATTGAGTCCATATCTCGGCTGTACAGCATTGATAATGAATTCTGCCTTCAATCGTGCTTTTCTGGGTTTTTTTTTGATTTTCATCTGGCCCACGGCCCTTCACCGACCAATATCAATGTTTTTATGTCTATGATGTCGATGCCCGTACATTAGGTCATCATCTTGGTACAGCAGATACGATTGGTCAGTTCCGTCTCTACCCGTCATTAAGTAACCTTGGAAGTTGGAAGCATTGAAGGAGTATGTTCGGCGAATTAGAACAGCAATATGAACAGCCGAGGTATTCCACAACATTGAACACTGACCCCAATATCCTCAATATTAGCTGAATTTCCATCGGGAAGTCCGAAGTACTTTGATCTTTGTTTCCGAGAATGGTGTGGGGCGATGGGGTATTTGTTAACTAGATCCCGAACCTTACATTTTCTTGATCGGGCTTTTTTCGGCACTTCCACATTTCATCTTCCTTCTTTGAAGCAAAACTCCACTTAAAATTATGGCTGATTAATTGGACTGGCATCAATTCAACCTTTAAACTTTCATTGTTAAAAGACTTTACCGCTACTACCATGGTTATTCGCAAATTCAAGTCGCGGTTTCGACAAATTAGAGGCGAATTATAAAGTCTTCCATAGTAGTCAAGCAATCATTATAGGTATCTGGACTGTACCGTTTACACGGTAACTGAAATCAGATAGCCAGTTAAGCGCCATAGAATATTAAATATTTACCGCTCAAAAACTCCTCAATGTCGCACTTCTTTGGTATTTTTTGAACTTGTGTCTGTCTTTTTTCTTATCATAATCTTTGAAATTGCGATCCTAGCCTTTCTTTCCCCATTCTACTACCTCCTTCTCTCTGAATATGAAACCGCTCTATCTATTGACATGCTTCACCAGTCTATCCATTTTAATATCCTTCACTCGATTTTGGGTACGATTGAAACTTCGGAGCGCGGGCTTGGATGATATTTTTATTGGTTTGGCCCTGGTACGTAGTGATGAGAGAATTTATCCTAACAGCCATTTTTCAAGACTGTCAAGCTGACAGGGCTATAGCTGGCTAATATAGGCCTTTTCTGCTGCAAGATAACGGGTGGGTTTTCTCCAAACCCCCAACTCAACGATCTTTTTGTGTCTCTTAATTAAGAGGAATATAGCGATTCTTCACTACGGACTGGGGTCACCGCGAGATGAGCTGTCTGAGAGCACCTTTAAGTCACAACTCTTTGTATGTGTACAGCCCCTTCAGCCCTCGGGATTCAAGAAAAGGCTAGAACTAACTGATCTCTTGCAAGCTACTTTGGTTGTCACTACCATTTTATCATTTTTCTGTTATCATGACCAAACTCTCCGCCCTTGCGCTTTACAAACGCCTATTCAACATCCGCTGGGTTCAACTCTTTGTCCGCATAGTTTCGGCACTTCTCATTGTAGCGGGTCTTTGGATAGTGCTTACTGCTATCTTCTTCTGCACACCAGTCTCTCATTTTTGGAACCCCACTACAAATGACCCAGAAAGCCACTGTTTTCCAGAAAAGCAAATTTGGCTATCAAATGGTGCCATCCAAATCACGACACACTTTATCGTTCTGGCGCTTCCATTAATTATGGTACCGCGATTGACCTTGTACTTCAGGCAGAAGGTTGGTCTGTTTGTACTATTCGGGTTTGGATTCGTGTATGTATCCCGCTATCTCTTCCCACCTCATCTGCGTGCTAATTGCTGAGGGTTTGATAGTGTTATAGGAATCAGCTTGTTTCAGATTTGCACCGTCGCAGAAATTTTGGAAAGTCATGACCTAAGTCGTCCGTACACCATGGGCCCATGAATGAATAAATCGTTCGGTTGTTGCCAATACTGACCACCCAGCATGCATAGAACACACTGCAAGAACGACCACTCTTGCCTCGATTGAAGCCAGTGTATCGATCGTTTGCGCTTGCATGCCCCCGCTCTATCCTCTCTTCAGTCGAATTTGCTCTCGATTTATCTCATTATACGATAGCAAGATGGGAAAGAAGGAGAACACAAAAGTTCCACAGACCGATATTAACCTCACGCACGCATTGATACATGACGATATGTTGCGACTTCGACCAAACACGTATTACGTTGGGGTGGAAGTCATTGGATCTGAGTTAGCTATCAATGTTGGCAGTGCCAATGCAGTGGATGCAAACAATATAGGCATTCTTCAAACAGTTGATGTTGATGTGTATAGTATGAACAATCCTGGGAAGAATTTGGACCCCTGATAGCTCTTTTTTACACCATCAAATACAACAAATAGCCGGTATGCTGTGCTTAAGCGGCTCGGTGCTTGTTTATAGACTAGCATACATTGTTTAGAGATTAATGTCATACACCAGTAGGTTAGGTTTGATTTTTCACTCTCAGATTGTGACTATACTAGCGCATGGATTCTTTTATTTCAAAGTTTTCAAAATATTCATAAAACATCAATCCCTCATTCGATTGTTCAGCATTCGGAATCAAGGGGCCTTGCCAAAATTTGAAGTCATGTTGTAATGCTTGAAGCGATTGAAGTCATTGATCGACTTCTTTCTTTCCTCATCCATAGGTAGACTTTGCTTATAATGCCGCTCGTTTGAGATTAAGACATATCTCATTATTTCTCTTCCAATTTCCCTATGTACAGATCGACTTATGTATATTAAAAACCCAATGACAAAGTCTCTATTTGGTCCTGAAACAAGTCAGGACAGGCATGACTAACTAACCAGTCCATTGGTGCCTGGGTTTGTGATGAATTTGAATCCTCGAAAGTGTCATGTAATGATGGCCGACCGACAAACGAGCCAGCAAGTTCAAACTCTGTGAAGAGACTCTTCATAGGATTTGAGTCACCTCTATCAATACACAAACGCTTTGGCGTTGGATCTTGAGTCCAAGGACAGGGCGATATGGAGCCAGGCCCAAAGTTCGCAAGATTATGCTGACCAGTGGAGAAATTTAATTCATTTTCTTCTCCCAAAAGATTGTTGTCCATGGGCAAGACCTGGGAATGCTGCTTGTATAGCTGTAATTCGTTGGTTTTGGAGCTCTGTCGTCCATTGTGATCAATTTGGGTGATATTTTCCATGTCGGGTAGATTGGATAGCAAGATTGAAGTTGATATAGTCTCATCTGTACCTGGTTAGTTAAATTCAAACAACTGATGGTGTAATTATATCCATGTCTGTCCAGGCGATGCCTTACTTTTCTTTTTAGGCATATTTTCCTCCAATTCTCGGACGCGATAAAGTTCGTCCAGGAGCTGCAGTCGTTCACTCGGGACAATTTGTCTTCGAACAACCTGCTCTGCACTCTTAAGCCTTCGAGCTGTGATACCGTGACTTATATGCATATCACAGAGAATGTGGATGAGAAGGGCAATTCGTTCTTCCTCAGAATTAGCTTTGTTGACACCTAGTAGGAAGAGGGGTCATTTTCTCACCAGCTTTCCGGAGATGGTCAGGCTCTTTGTGACTCACACTGGGAGGCCACCAGGGTGGTTTAGTCTCTTCGGAGCTAAACCGTGTGACATTCCCTTCCACAAGCTTGCTTCCATTATATGGGTATTTGACCTGTTTTCGTGGTTCGACAAGTTTGACATAGACCTTTGCAATAATTCGACAATTGAATTGTTGAAGATTTTGGAAAACCTTCTCGTAGTATCGACGAAGAAATGTCTTGTCGTTAATTGATATAGTTGTCATGGGCGCACGGCAAATTTGATGAGAATCTAGTGGCTTTTCTTTCTGTTGTATTTCGGCTCTTTGCTCGTTTGTCCGATGATCTGCAGGCGCTGGCGAGGGCGCAAAAGATATGAGAGATGTTCTGAAAGTGTTCTGTGTCTTGTTGCTGTCGGGCGTGCCTAAAGTTGATTGGAAAGGCAGAATCTCCCTTGGGTGGAATTTCTGATAAGACGATTGCCCTCTTTCATGCGAATAAAGCACAGCCTGCAGAAATTCCGTAGTAAGTTGTGGGGACAGAATGGCCTCTTTACTGGCGGCGACCGAAGAGGACGTCTCATAACCAAGCCTGCCCCCTCGATCAATATAGATGAGAGCGAAATGTTTCATAGGTTCTTATCGTATCGATGACGTTGAATCATGTATCTGTTCATATTCCAGTCAGATATGTCCAGATATGATGATGATTCAGATTCCACGAGAATAGTATACCTTCAGCGCCGAAATCGTTTGTCTGTGGTTTTCAATAAACACTAGGAGATGATGGTATCGATATGAATGCTTTCGCAAGTTTTGCGAGCAGGTATTGTTCAAGGTGGCTTGCCCAATATTTATGAAAGACACCTCAAAAACTTTGTAGGCTAGTACTTACTAAAGGGTCTATAGTCTAAGCCTAGCTTCCTGGAATCCTGGAGCTCGCACAACTAGCCATTTTAGGACTAGCGTCATACTAGATCGAGATTATGATCGATTCCTCCTTATAAGTTCATCTATAGTCTTCTGAAATCACTATTTAACAAACATTCTATGATGCAAGGAATCGATTCGTGGCGCTATTGCACGGCAGTTGAATGAACGACTCTTAACCTCAATAACGAAACAACTTGCGAGAATCTTGCCAACTCTCATCCTGCATGGACCCTTCGGGATCCTAGACCATGATCATCCATGTGAATTACAAATTGACAACATACGCTTTCAGTAAAGACGCAGGCCTATGATGAGAAATCGCAAAGTCCAGATTTCCTCCCTCATTTACTGTCACTTAATCAAGATTTAGGATACCTGCATGAATCACTTGAAGTACAGGCTAATAATGTTGGGAACCCTTGGAAGTTGGGGTTGTCTTGGCGCCGTTATGACGTCATTGTCATTAACAGGACTGAGGCACCCAATGACAAATAGTTTCGACCAATCATGTAAGGCAGAAACCTCGGCGATGTTTTTCCGAACCGTGCCCGAATCCGTTCTTCATCAGTGGATCAGTGTCAAGCGCGCCGCGCCACCAATTACGGCAAGCGCCTCCCAATTCTGATCAAAAACCGAATTTATCGAGAGCACCGGGGTATTCAAGTGTTCGTGGATACCGGTAGTGAGATTACGCTGTCTTGTAATCATTTCCATCCCCGTATGGACCATACGGTGTACCACCAACGACAACATGGTTGGCCTCCCGTACACATCGCTGGCATGCGCAAACTGTAGACAGCGCAAAATCAAGGTACGTAGCACTCGATCGGCTGGACAGTGATCGTCAATTCACTGAATTCCTTTAGTGTGATTTCGGAAAGCCAGAGTGCGGAAGATGCATTAAGAAAGGCATCTCTTGCTTGGGTTACGACAAAGATCGGAATTTTCTTTATCATAATGTGGTTTCGCGTTGTACGCCTAAAGGCGAGACCAGACGTCCAATACGACAACTCATTGGACATATAAAGCCCCTAGGATTGCCACCAGTGTTCAACATGGCCCCCGAAGTCCGTACGCAGTTGTTTTCAACTTTCATGCATACCTTTTTCTCGCGCAATACAAAAACAAATAGCAAGGACGACAGCTTATACTTTTTGATGGCCCATTTCCCGATTCTGGCTGGGGAATCGGAACTGGTTGATCGATCTGTCATCGCACTAGTATCCGCAGTTCTAGCGAAAAAGGCAAATGATAGCTTGTTAACACGCCAGGGTTTGGAGATTTATAACAGTGCGCTTGATGTGATGTCATGCACCTTGCGGAGAAAGGCTCCGCCAACATCAAACATGCTCTACGCAACTATTTTATTCCACACATATGAGGTCGGTTTTTCTGTCACATGCACACCATACATTCTATTAACGAATCATAACAGACCATGTATGACAATGCAGACGCATTGCGAAAATGCTTTCTACATGTACAAGGGGCCTCTGCTCTCATAAAACATCACGATTTCAAAAGAGATGATACTCGAGCCCTGACCGAGGCAATGTTGAACAGGCAAAAGTGGGCAGCGGTAAGTGAAGATTTGGAAGAGGAATTTTGTTAATGCAGATGAATAATTTGCTCTAGTCATTCTTCCTTCTGAATACAAACTTCGAATCGGCGGCAGACTGGGAGTGTCTTGCCCTCAAACAGGATGATAGCCCAATGGACGAGCTTTTCCGATTTATTGCCCAATACGCCCTCATTCAGAGGCAATTTTTGGATCTCGTCGGCCAAGATAACTCGACTCAACAACGGGGCTGTGAAACACTGCTACAGCGCTGTTCAGAGCTTCAAGGGAGGCTTCAAACGGATTGGCTTTGCGGGACAGCCCGAGCGCTCAACGGCAAACCTTCTCCACTCAGCGACAATCAAATCCAGCACGACCCAAGACTGTGGCCTTTGGACCCCGAGCTGACCCCCTATACATTTCAAAATCTTAATAACGCCAAAACCTATCTTCTTTTTTGGGTGACCTCGCTGGCCACGCATCACCTTGTATACCGAGCAGAAAAATTACTCTACGGGTGTTCTGATCCCGCAAATATACTTATGTATGCTGGTGAAATTTGCCGTTCAATGGCATACTGCATGCAACCAGAAACACAGGTTCATGCTGGCCATGCCGTTCTGTTCGCGATATCGCAGGCTTCAAAGTGTTATATTGACTGTGGGGAAAGAGACCGGTTCGAATGGTGCCAGGGAATTTATAAATACATCAACAGACGAGGTTTTGACATAGCCTCTTGTGTGAGTCAATCAGACTGGCAACTTTGGATCAAAGCTCGCCAGTAGTCAAGTGATCATTCATGTACTTAATACACGCTTCATGGAAATGATCTCGTCAGCGCCAATATGATTTCAGAATGATTTTATCTTGTTGACCGGTGACTATAGCTCTCGAGGGCTGTTTAAGTAGTCTCTGGTGGTAAAATATGGAAGTGATTGGTGGGAAGATAGACCATGTGAGAATAATCCGTGTCTAGGTATGGATTCGGACATCAGAAATTTACCCCTGCATGACCATCATCCATGGATGGGGGGTTTCTAGTTCAGGTAAAAGAAGCCATGGGATATATTTTCTTAGGTATTTGATTGCGCAGTCATTTTTATTTCTTGTTTTCCTCGGAATTCCAAGAGCTCTAGAACAGGATCTATTGAGACTTCAATCTGACACATCAGATTTTGGTCTGTGCGGGCAACTTCGAAAGAAGGACCTTGCAATCTCACCATTTACGCGTATCTACGGTTGAGAAATCTGCCGTGGGACGCCTTTCATTTAGAAGTCATTTATCCTGAGTGGTATATTTGAAGCAGCTATTTATTAGTTTTCCCCCCACCTTCCATTTATACAAACGTTCTTCACATTTGAACATTTCGACCGGAAGGATGGATCAAGACCGACAGCCAACTAGGTCCACAGCAGCGCCCGCTCAATTAAATTCCCAAAAGTACTTGCCAAGCATACCCAGTCCGGTATATAAATATTCCTTCGATTCAACTCTTTGTCATGGCGAGAAATACTAATCAGTGCTCTTTCAGGAACCCATTGTCAGACAACAAGCAGACTCGTATTTTGCTCACCCATATTTTGCTATCATCTACATTGATGATGATGAAAACCTCCACATAAGCACCTCTTCGACGATCTCGGATTATTCGAACCAAATATTTACGAAGGACACCATGAATCGATTTAAAGAGGCGGCGTCATCTGGAATATAATCAGTGTCTGGCACCTGGAGACATACCTCAACCTAGAAACAAACCAATGCTGCGACAACTTTAAAATACGATGGGGAAACTTTGGAAATACGTTTCAATTATGTGTATGTCTTTACCTGTTAATTAAAAACAATTATCGTGAAGTAAAACCCTTTGTGGATCTGCGGATATTGAGGAAGACGTTGAACAATAGAAGTCTCTAAGGTTGGGTTTTTTTGGTGGCATTTCAAGTCGTAGATTCCCGGGCACAATCTTATCTTAAAAACCACCTTGGAAGGACTCCACTTATCCCACTTATCAATTGATTTTTGTTTAAAATACGCGTCGGGTCCTGAATGTTACTATTCAAATGTTAGCTTTCTGTATTAATAGAATTTACTGCATTACGGTCAAATGTCGTGGTTTTCAGGACGCAAACCACGGTTTAACACCGATAAGGTCTTGACACCTGGTCATTTCATTCTTTCACCAGTTTTACGATTTGTATTGTATCTAAAGCATGGGCTTAATGACCACAAATGGCCAGATATCCCTAAACCACCTAGAAGCTTTCCCCTGGTCGAAACGCTCTTTTTTCCTCTCGTGTCAACTCTCGGCGACCTCCGAGAATCTTGTTGAGTCGTGTCTTTTATTTCTTGTTAGAAAACAGGCCTTTAAACATGAAAGCCAATTTTTCACATACAAAGTCCAGTTCATACAAGACGATCAGCCATCACCCTACGCCTAGTCGGCCGATACTTGCTGTGCTCCCTTCCGAGCTAATATTGTTAATATGTGACTTTCTGCCATCAGCCGATCTGGCCTGCTTCTCCCTATGCAACCATCGAATTTTTGTTTTGTCTCGGAGGAAAATAGCCAAGTTGCCTCCTACAGATGGCGATAAGGCCTCAATCTTACCTCGATTGGACCGAGATTTCCCGCAATACTTTTTTTGTGATATTTGCATTCTTCTTCATCGGTGCGATAAGACAGAAAGCTTTAGACTCACCAAACGAACAATAAGATACGGATACTTTGGACCCAGCCGCAAGTTTGGAGGAAATTGCAAGCTCCCGTGCGTTAAAAGTTCCGCCTGGTTTCGGCCTGACATGGTCATGAGAACGCATCGTACCGAATTATACTCTTTCAACCGGTTTTCTTTCCTCCAACTTAAACTTGCTATGAAGAGGGTGCATGGAGGTTCAAATTGTGGGATCAACACCGATTTTTTATCCTATACACAAGTTCGCCGCTTTCATGCACGTTGGGATACCGATAAACGGAAGGAACTGACCTTATTCTCAACGGAAGCAAGAGTATGTCAGCCCCTTGGTCTGTACATCAGAATGCAGGATATAATGATCGCCGAAACAATGAGTGCCTTGAGTCCTGATCCGGGGCTGCGCGGCAGATCTGACCCTCCACGGGTTTTTGAGATATGTGCGCATACTCCTGATCTGACGGATCTGATAATCTCTATTGTGAATACCTTACAAGGTGGGAGCAGCTCTCTCAACTGTACCTGTGAAGTATGCGATACGGATGCCGTGGTTGAAATCGTTCCTTTCGACTCCAAGGTAGCCCTCATCATTACAAGGTGGGTCAACCTGGGTCTTGGCTTGACACAAAATGATATTTTGTGGAGAAACCACGTCTATTCGTCACCTGGATATAAGAGCCCGCTGCCGGATCACCTTGTTACGAACCCCCGTTTTTGCTTTGAAGATAAGGCATCTGAATCGTTTGAGGAGCTGCGGTCTCGAAATCTCTCCTATCTCAGAGACGATCGATATAAATTGGTAATGTCATCTGCCTCGAAAGCATATCGTGCATCAGATGGAACAACGCAATGGGCACCTGCGACATGGTTTATGCGGGACAAAGAGCAGCCTCCGAAGAAGAGAGGTAGATTTATGCAATATTTGCTGGACCGCCTTGTCCATGAATAGTGTGGAGAGAGAAATCTTGCCCCTTCTCTCTTCAATCCCCCTGTTTCCTGTCTTCATTTCCCCATGCACTGATTCAGTCAGTCTTCCTTTCTCCTTATCCCTCTCCGAGTCCCAAGGGGTAAAGATTCTGAGCTGGAATAGCAACGCAGATTTTGACACCCAAAGAATATTGCTTAATATATGGCTGAAGTAATTTTTCTGTCAACATTTGAAGCATCCGCATAATATCTGTAGTCTGCGCCTCTTTCTTGCCTGATAGCTCATCTTTTTTGGCTTTATCATTCTTATGATGGGGCACTTAGAAAACATCGCGAGATTCGCATAGTCTGCTAGAACGCCTATTTCAAATTGAACAAAGAAGATTATCTGGATACAGGTACCAGTTCTTGGACATCACGTCCGCCGTATATTCCATCAATTAATCTCAACCCGCTCTGAAATATCTTACTATTCAACCACAGGGTCCGCGCGCTGAGTCGCGAATTTCAATGGGCGCGGATTACCCCATGCATCACTGGGCAAGAACCTCCAAGCGCCAGCATGTTTGCGTGCAAGGATGTAATGGACGATGTGGGTAGCAAGCGGCGGCATATTCGGCCAATTATTTCCTCCCTCGAAGGTGACATCGCGCAGCCCAAGAACCATGGGAGGGACCACAAACTAGTACAGAATTATTGATTAGCCACGGAAAGAAATAATCAGAGAAGAAAAAAAAGCCGATTTACCTTATCCTGTTTACCTGCCTCGGCTTCAAACCTTTTCCACACTTTAAGTAAAGCAGGACCATCGTAGGACGCCAAATTTAGTAGAGTGGGAATTTCGTTCGCGAGATGCTCGCGGAAGCTAGGAGCCATCTGCTCAATCAAGCCACGTACAGTCGAGGCTTGGTAATCCTCAGGCTTGGTGTCGGCGTAGTGGAGTAGCTGTTGCAGGATGGGTTGAAAGGTGTGATGCTCCTCTATATTTTCATGTAAAAAGTTGGGCTTGCCTATGACTTTCTCGAATTCTGGAAAGACCTTTTCCTCCTCTGAGATGTGGTGGTGGTTTATCCATGTAGCCCAGCTGCGGAGGAAGAACAAGTAGTCTGCAATATCTTGCGTCTCAGATAGGTCCGCCTGGTGGTACAGTGTATTCAACCCTCGAATCATTGCATTGTGTGCAAAGGCCATCTCATTAGCGATGTGAATAGCTTCGTGGCTGGCCTATAGTATTATTTAGTCAATGGTCATGCAGGGATACGTGATCGGAGAAAGAGGTCCTACGGTGTTGGATTTCAAAGATGGCGTTTCTATCAGGGCCCAAGGACCATCGGCCCAAGGGCGGGTGTCGACCACCGCCTCAGCCATAATAGATCTCAAGTGCTGTTTGGTGGAAAGCATACTTAGCAACAAAAGAGAGAAAAGAGGGGGGAAAGAAGCAGATGAAAAGCTAAATATTTTCTCCAAGGCATAAGCATTAAGTCCCCGTACATCCAATTGCGGCGCTCCACATTTTGAGGCTGAATCACAGACCGCCATCTGGGCTGCCCTTGGGCGTGGGGGCCAAAGCACTGTACAAGGGCTGAATTGGGGCTGTAAGCTCCCGAATTCCGAGGCTACAAATCGGTCCAATCAAATCAATTGCATTTCCCATCCACAGCAAAGAACAGGCTCGGAAATAAAGAGTATGATTAGCGAAACACTGGATTGTCTTCAAACTCAGACTTTTGATGAAGGTAAATTCCAGTCGCTAGATGACTCGCCAGTATACTTCCATTGTGCTTTGTGCTTTGTGACTTGTCACTCTTACACCCTTCTCTTCAGTTGAATCATCAAGTCGTGCTTTTCCCAGAGCAAAAATGTTTTCTGCTTTTCCCAGCCGATAGACTCAGGAAGAAGGGTGCATTCGAAGTTCAATAGAACCTTCGCTAGAATGAGTCGCATCTCATGATACGCCAGGCTATTCGATCGCACAAATTTTAGTCTCTGGTACTTCCATTCGGGGGCTTGAATTCTTACTTCTTTCCAAGACAGTTGCGAGGGCCAAATGAGAATGGTTGGAATGCAGCCTTGTTATCACTGGCAAATTCGTCACCAATCCATCGCTCGGGGATGAATTCATCAGCGCGCTGGAAATTCTTGGGGCTGCGGAAGGTAGCCCATTGATTCACAGAAACCGCGGTCTAAAAATGTTTGAACGTCAGATATCGTCATCGCAAACTTCGAACATCGATCAACACCTACCTTTTCAGGGATTCTATCTCCGCAAACGACCAAGCCCCCCTCAGGAACGATACGAGGCAAGCCAACAGGAACCGGAGGATATACACGCAAACCCTCCTCAATGCATGCATTGAGATAAGTCATATGTTCCAGTGCTCTCATCTCAATATCCGAGTCTTTCTCAAACGTCTCCTGAATCTCTTGCATGATCTTCTCCATCTTCGCAGGGTTCATCAAGAGCTGATAAAGCAACCCACTCAATGCGGTGGCAGTAGTCTCCGTACCCGCAACCATGAAGATCTGGGAATTAGCATACATCTCCTCCCGGCTAAGACGCAGATCCTCTTTCTGGTTCATCACAATCCCCCAGATATCAGGTCTCTGCACAGCATGAGCCCCGTCAATCCGCTTATCAACACGAGCCTGCGAAGCTCCATAGTGCTTGATACTTTGTTTCTTCATATCCTTCGGAAGCAGTCTTTGCACAACGCGCGCAGTCCAGGGCCAGTATCGCGCCAATCGTCGCAAAGCATTCGTTTTCATAGCGGTGAACACAGCAGAGACCCAGCCCACGTCACCAGCTCCAGACAACAATTCCAGTGAGTCACCGAAAGTCAGATCGCCCATGATATCGAAAGTTGTCAGATTCAACATGCGGACAATATTAATCTTGGCTTTGGGATCCTTCTTGATGGTCTTGTCGAGGCTGTCAACCAACATATCCACATAGCCGCAGATCAGGGACTGTTGTTCGCGAAGCGCACGGTCCGAGAACGCATGCGAGAAGTTGCGCCGGAAACGCGAGTGGTCGGGTCCTTTGGCGCGAATGATATCTGGTGCCCCGTTGAATGATGGCCCGTAGAATCTCGCGTCTTTCTCGGTGACCTTTTTTCCGGCTGCTGCGTGGCCGTAGATTCCCTTCCAGGCGTCCGCGTTTATGCAGCTTAGTTCATCTGGTGCGATGCGGACTATATCGCCGTGTTCGGTGTGAAGAGCAGTGATCCATTCGAGGAGGTCGCCCTTGAAGGTGTGGTAGAGTTGGGGTATGCGGGATGCGGCAGCAAGCTTTGGACCTGGGTATTTGGCGAGGGGGTGGATGAAAATTTCATAATAAGCTCGCGAGATCAATAAGACTATAATCTGAAGCGTAGACGAGGGATGTTAGTAAGTTTGTTGTATTGGGTCGAGACGCTTTTGCCTCCGAAGGGCATGGTGAAATGGATTCTTTGTTGTCTTTCATTGGAAGGTGGGACATTGAAAAAATGTGGCGTGTGATAACAAAGAGCACACGTACCGAAGCAGAAAGAACCAAGATGGAATTTTGCTGAACAAAGTTCGAGGTGGATTGAAGAAGCATTTTGGCGCACGGGACCGGGTCGACCCGAATGACCTTCGGAACTGAACAATAAACAAACTTAGAGAACTTATGTAGATAAAGGACTGAGTATTTATTTAAGTATATTCATGATCCAGTCCATCTGCCAACTCATTTAGTTGTTGTGCCAATAAAATCCCGCATAGCATTATTTCGCACTTGAAGCTAAGCTCTCTGCTGAACTTTAGTGCGGCCACCGTGCTTTCTTCACCCGTAAATACACTGTATGCATCCACTTTTACACATATATTAAGATTAGTAATCCGAGTATTCCGGTATTTACTGAGGTATCCGGGCATATCGCGGCGCATGATTCATTACTTGGTGCATAAATACTTTCTGCAGAATAAGGTACAACAAACGTACTGAAATGATGTCTCTTCGTCGCACCTATCTTATGTCGTTCCGATGGCTATGGAAAATGGCGTTGAACATTTGAAGTTGAATCTGATATTGAGCAATTCTCAGCCATTGATGAATACTTTTTATGGAAATCAAGAGAATGGAGTAGTGGTATCTTTGAGGTATCGAATTGTCTGACATTGTGGGTCACAGAAGATTTCGGTGCGGGGTTGACACGTTTCTACAATTCTCGGCTTTGCCGATCAAAAGAACGTTGGAAAGATTATTTGGCGTGTAACCAAATTGCATCTCCATAACAATGGCGGACCACTGGGCGCCTTTTTTCCCTTGTTATTTTTCTCCTTTCTTGCTTTCCCTCACCGCGTCCTTATTGTATAACTACAATGCATTCTGCTCGTGTTTGCTGCTTCTCTAGCATAGCCCCTTCTATCCAGGAGTATTTTTCCAGGAGTATTTTTTCGACTTTCAGTCGTCGGAATTATTGCTAGATTTGCCGCCGTTCTTTGCGGGTTTATCTTATCACGATTTTTCATGGCCGCATTGACCACCACCGTGGGGGCGATGGCGTCTGTGACCTCCCCCACTTGGTCAGTAGCCGACCCTTTTATAAATTACATAAATTACAGACCGTCTCGTAGCGAGGCTCTTCCACATAAGCATGAGATACGTGGTCAGCCTTATTGACAAAGCAAGCTGAGCTCGAGTCTCTCCCTTCAGCCCTTCAGCCGCAACAAGGCGGAGCGGAACGGGACGGGGTCTCGCAATAGGGCGCCTTAAATCCCCAGCCCCCCTTCTTCTTGCTTTATAACACCACTAAAATATGTCTAGAAGCGCAGAAAACCGCGAACATTTGAATCTATGGAAAGCTTCTAGATTCTCACTTGCGCCCAGCCGAATGTTCAGCAGATTCTGTTGCAAGCCGTATGTGCGTCAGATTGTTCTGTCTTACAAACGTCGGAGTTTGAAGACGTTCTTCCATGATTTTCACACCCTTGAACAGGAGACTCTTCCACTGATCCCAGTCTGAATCTTTGTCAAGTTTAATGTTTTAAACGCCTTCAAACGTATTAATTTGGGATTTCGAATTTTCGATCAAGTCGACAGTCGACTGCATCGGCAGAGCTGGTGGGGAGGGTTTTTTTATTGCCATATTGTGTGAATTACCTGAAAGATCCGAGTCGGCAAGTGGATCCGGAGATGAATCATAATATGGAGGCAGAGTATTACCTTTGAGATTAGAAGACAGGGACCCTGTGAGTATTTGAGAGTATATAGTTTGGTTAGATAAAGCCGGAGGGAGGGTCGACAAGATCGAGGTGGATGGGTTTCTAGATCGGTTTTGTCAGAGTCGATCGAAGTCCGATTTGTCACTGAGAAAGACCTCTTTCTTAGAGGATTTCTTCGATCTGTCATATGTCGATGAAATTGTCGGGTCTACGGTATGAAGCGCACAGAAAGGAGGAGTGAGATGACAAGACACGTCAAACAAGCTCTCAAAATGTTGATCCTGGAGGCGACAACGAAGAAACAAGGGTCACAAACACGAAGATGGGCAAAATCTTGTTTTCACCTCGGTCGTTTCATCTAACGATCTTGCTGCAGGAGTCAGGACCCTTTTTTTCATCCATCGGACAAACTTCCCGAATCAGCCCCACGACTCAATTTTGAGTCGATCTATCCAATTTTCTGCCAACGGCGATCAACTCCCCAGGTTTCCCTATTTTGGTTCCAGTTTCAGATAAGATTTTAATATACCAAAGGACGGATCTGAATTTACGTCTTTTTATCGCATTAACAGGGTTACGTCAAAAATGTGATCTACTCGGTAGGTGAGGTCTTGCCAGTAGATGGTCTATAGCTCTACATAAAGCACCTAGATATGAGAGGTTAAGTATATCTTAGTATATTAAATTTTATCTTTCAAATGTTTTGTTGTAGTGCTCATTCAAGCAAGTAGTTGAAAAAGCAAAATGTCAAGTATTAGTATGAATCGTATATGCGAGATGAATGAAAATTTAAACTCTCAACGATAAAACGGACGCTATGAAACAAGTTCCACTATCCCAGTTTCATCAGCCTTGCCAATCGACCTAGTGAATTCTCAATTTTCGATTCTGGAACCGACCAGTCTCACGAGGCAAAGAGACAGAGATTAATCCTCGGCACGTTTGGCACTGGGCAGTACTGAGTATAAAACCTCATCAGATTCCTTCAGTCTTCAATAGCTTCAACACTTTCACGTTCACCCTTTGCCAAGTATTTCTTTCCACCAGAGCAGGTCTCTCAGTTTACCAGTCCAAGCTACTACATTCTTTTATTCTGTTTTTCCATTCCCTCCTTCATCATGAAGACGGCAATCATTCTATCATTGATCTGCTCCAGCCTCGCGGCTCCTACCCGAACCATGGAGAAACGGCAGTTCGACCTTGGTGGTACAGGAACCACGAGTGGGCTTGGCTCCCTGACTTCTCTTTTTTCTGACATTCCCAGTCTGAGCTCCCTGGGCTCCGACGACGACTTGAGTGGCTTGAGTGACCTGAGCGACCTGAGCGACTTGGATGACTTGACCACTCTGCCAACCTCGCTCAGTAGTCTGTCCAGCCTCGCTACCCGAACTATCAAAAAACGGCAGTTCGAGCTCAGCGACTCAAGTCTGACCTCTCTCTTCTCCGACATCCCAAGTCTAAGCTCCCTGAGCTCTTCTGACGACTTGAGCGACCTGGGCGACTTTAGTCTTCCAACGTCGCTGAGCAGTCTTTCCAGCCTTACCAGCGATCTGCCCAGCTTCAGTCTGCCCACTGATCTCTCCAGTCTCAGCGATCTTAGCGACTTGAGCGACCTCGATGAATTCCGACGCAGGGCTAAACGCGCGACCGTGTCATCGACCATGAACGGCGTGACTGAGAACAGCACCTGTGAGCCTTTGACGCTCATCTTTGCTCGTGGAACCGGGGAGCTAGGAAACATGGGGACCGTCATTGGACCTTCTCTTGCGACGGAACTGCAGACTTTGACTGATAGCAAAGTCACCATCCAGGGTGTGAACTATGATGCATCCATCGCTGTATGCTTCCCTCTTACATCATTGCGATGAACCATTGAGACTGACTATGTATGTGATAGGGCGACGCAACAATGGGCGAAGATGGTGGCTCCGACATGGCGACTCTAGTCAAGACCGCGCTTTCAAACTGCCCTGATACCAAGGTTGTTCTCGGCGGATACTCTGAGGGTGCGATGGTGGTTCACAATGCGGCGAGCAGCCTTACTGCTGAGCAGGTGACTGCTGCCGTGCTCTTCGGCGACCCATTGAAGTTTGAGAGTGTTGGTAAGCTCTCCACCAGTGATGTGAAGGAGTTCTGCGCCACTGGAGATCCCGTTTGTGAGAATGGGGAGGATGTCATTGCGCATCTTTCTTATGGATCTGATGCGACTACCGCTGCGACATTCTTGGTCAAGGCAGCTGGACTTTCGACTAGCTCTTAGATGGCTATCACGGCATGCATGCACTGCTGAGGTAACTTGGGGTGTGGTTGCAGGATCACATGTTACACATGGCTTTGTAAGATGTTGGAAGTTTAGACATCTGTAAATTTGCCATGAAGGGCTTGTCGGTTGTGTTTACATTGTGTTTTGAGGATTGGTAATGCGCCAGTTGGGGGGGAACATTTCATTTAGTCCCGATATAATCAAGTTTGAACTATTCAGGCTTTGTGCATATATTAGCATGTTCCTAATCTGAAATACTCTGGTTATAGATTCGTTTACAGGAAAACTTATCCATTTTGGTGATGGTTTGTCACCGCCTACTAATGATGAACAAGCAAAAGGGCGTATGGAATTGACTTGATTGTAAAGAAGACTGAAGAAGGCGAAAAAAAAGAGAGAAGCCTGGATTAATCTCTCCACGCGGTGAGTATTTTATTCAGTCTTTCATCCAAGATCGACTTACCAATACCCAAGTTTCTCTACTGATTAGCCAATGATAGTCGGTTAAAAATTACTAGTTCTTCATCTTACATGCATCTTCTCCATTTCTATTGGTTTATAAAAGTTACCAATACCATCCATACCACGCTAGTGAGCTTATTTGCATACCTGAAGTGGGGCCAAATGGAAAACAGGAGACTTAAGCGACGCGGCGATTTCGGCGAGCTCGGCGACCGTAAGGCTGATCTGATATGATTACAAAATCATCATTTGGATGTTTCACTGCAAAAGATTAGAAATCAGGTCAGAATAGATCTCAAGTGAAACTCTTGGATTTTTCAAAATGCAGATTATAAAAGGACACGAGAATCCATCCATCTTGTCTTATCCAGATCAACAATTCAACAGCTATCGAATACAACAATCAGTACCTTGAACCAACAAATCCAATCCAAGACAATTCAATTCAACCAAAACCAAAACCAAAACCATCAACATGACTCCCAGAATCTTCGTTACTGGCGCCGCCGGCTACATCGGTGGTCACACCACCGGAGCCCTCATCGCCGCTCATCCCGAGTACCAAATTGTGACACTCGTCCGGAATGAAGAGCAAGCTGCAAAGCTTCAGTCTCACTGGCCGACGATCATCACCGTCGTGGGAACTCTCGATGATGACAAGCTGATCAAGGAGGAGAGCGCCAAGGCCAATGTGGTTCTGCGTACGTCTGTCTCGTTTCTCGCAGAAGATAATTATAACAAAATCCTAACGTTCTCCACTTAGAACTCGCAAGCTCTGACCACATTCCCGTCGTGAACTCTGCCATCGCCGGACTAGCAATTGGCGGTGGTAAATTGATCCACATTTCCGGAACTGGTGTTCTCAATGACATGTCGACTGGCGCCGGTAACCCAGCGCCCCGAGTGTACGATGATGTGGAAGATCTCAAGGATATCACCTCGCTTCCCGAGACTGCTTTCCATCGTGATGTCGATGATGCTGTTCTGACCGGTGGAGCTAAGCACGGCGTTCCCACTGCCATTGTCTGCCCTCCCCTCATCTACGGTGTGGGCCAGGGTCCGATCAAGAAGCGGAGCATGCAGATTCCTTTCCTCGGCGAGGCAATTTTGAAGCGGGGACGCGGTTTCACTGTTGGTGAGGGCAAGAATATCTGGGATCGTAAGTAAAATTGTCCACCTCTTTCCGAGCGTTTTGCTAATGATGCTCGCAGATATCTACATCGGAGACTTGGCGAAGGCTTTTATCCTTTTGATTGAAGAGGCGCTCAAGCCGCAAGGTGGATCTGCTCAGTGGGGCTCGGAAGGATATTACTTTGCTGAGTCGGGCGAGTTCGCTTGGAAGGACGTCGCTGAGAAGATCTCACAAATTGCCAAGGAACTTGGAAACATTGATAGCGCTGATGTCGATCAATTATCCGTTGAGGAGGCTAGCAAGTTTCACCCTTGGGCCCCGGTCCTGTGGGGAGGCAACTGCCGCAGCAGAGCGACACGCCTGCAATCACTCGGTTGGAAGCCTCAGGGCCCCACTGTTTGGGAGGCTCTTCCCGCTATGGTCAAGGCTGAAGCGGATGCACTCGCAAAGTGAGTCCGCTTTGAATCGTGGGCCTGTCAGTGAGAATACGCGAAGTCGATATAAATATTTTAATGCCGCTTGCAACCTTTACTGATATTGTTATGATGACGACCTCGGGTTTTGCTACCATTTTTTGGCGAAAATAGATTTTAGCCAGATAATTTCAGGATTTTTCTTACATTTTTCCCGAGCCATCTACTACCTACGCTAGATACACAAGTAACACTAATTGCTGACTGGGGGTGGAGAGAAGAAGAAGGGAAAAGGGAGAAAGGAAGCACTGGATATCTAGAGGGGGTCACCTGACCCATCTCTGACAGCTTCGAAGTTCTGAAGCATTTTCTCTCTTGGCACCAGATTCCAGTGGGTCATTAACTGCCTCATCCAAGGGTCTATATGCGGTAGGACTATGAGTCCTGCGAAGGTATGGCCGTATTCCCAAACAGAAGGCCAGTACTCGTGATTGGCCGGCATCGTGCGCATAAATAGCGTGCATGTCCAGGGTACGTATTTTCGAGCTAATCACGAATTAGAGACATGTCTGAGACCATCATTGACAATTTTGCCTAAAATATGAGTGGCTTGCACTGACTAAAATCTGACAGGGCTGAAAATTATCATCTCGGATCTCCCCCGGCACTACTCCGTATTCGGCATTTCCCGCATTTCAAATGTTTGCGATGAACCTCACATTCTCACCTCCACTTGAAAGACAAGCCTTTTAATCGGCCACCGACCCCATCGATCTGGTCAAAATACACAAAATAAAATAGTGTCATACGATTTCCCTGGTGTATATTGCGAAATGGATAGGTGAGTTAACTCACAATAGCGCAATTTTCTCTCCAGTTTCGCCCTTACCCCTCCTCTGTTCCCCTTGCTTACCAGTATACTTTTTTCGGTGAATTTGATAAAAGACACTGACTCTTCTATTCTAGTTTCAATTGGGGTGAAAACACAGCTCTTCAAAGCCCATTTGCCTCGAGGCAAAGCACTCCTTCCTCGCTCGGGTCAGAATCCATGGGTTCGGATTCAAGCGATGAACTATTCTACGAGATTCATGAAGATGAAGCTGTGGATAGATTTGAAGAAAATTCTCAGGTTGTACCAGTACAAAATGGACCTCGTATAGGTAAAGTTGGATGCTCGGTTATATTTGAGCCGCTGATCTCATCCCACTCAGGCCACATTGATTCCCTTGCGAGAAAAGTTGAGTCCTTCATTTTTGCCGAGTATCCCACTTCCCTAGCATCCAACATTGTACAACAAGCTCTTTCCTATAGTAAGCACTTGAAACTTTTTTTTTTGTGGAATATTCAAGACTTTTCTCACATTTCTGGCAGGACTATCCGTCATGACACCCCGTGTGCTCCCTGCCACGAACTCATTGAACCCATATCTACAATTCTGGCTACCACTTTCCATGAACGATAATGCTCTTTTTTCCGCATTATTATCTGCTTCTCTCTCACATCAAGCCATTAATAGGCTCCTCGAAAATGGATTTTCATTCTCTGATCAAGACACAGAGCATCATCTCCAGGTTTCCTACAAAGAGACAATCAGTGCGATCAATGACTCTCTGCGGGACCCGTACCGCGCCACAGCCGATGGCACTATACTTGCTGTCCTTATGGCTGTCGAAAAGCCGGATGTACAAATGCACAGACCGTGGTCTCAGGAGTCTCCATTTCAGGCCCCGCTTCAAGGTCTACAGTGGCTAAAAGTACATAGTGCTCGGGAGCCGAATATTGCTCACCAAGATGGACTATGCAGGATCGTCAAGCTACGTGGAGGACTATCTAATATTGAAACACCGGGAATTGCTGCTGCAGCTTTCTAGTGAGTTCATGTGATCTGTGTTTGTATATTGAGTTGGCTCTAATTGTTTGGTCCCTTGTAGCCGAGTGCTTGTCAACTCAACATTACTATTGACAGCACCAGAATTACCTTTCTACCCGCTATCGGGAACATCTATGGAAGCACTTACCACATTTACAATTGGGGGCCCAACTGCAGCGGCGCGAATGACTCTTCTTGCCGACGCTAGCCTCAACCAAGAGATCATATTGTCTTTCTATGAGCTAGCAGCGTACACGACATCTATTGAAAGCTACATCAAGGGAGATACATTAAGACTCGACGCTCAAGCCATGTGCGATAGACGCAACCTCGCACAGTACAACCTAATGTGCATCGCTCCAGAAGGCGGCTTGCGAGAGGAAAAGGCATTGTCAGAAATTTGTCGAATAGCCGCAATAATCTACAGCGTCGGCGTCACATTTCCACTTGCGGGCGTCGGTGCACCATTTCACAAACTAGTGCAGATGCTGCAAGCCGAAATAGAAAACAGCAGGATACTGAACAACGAATCACTCCTTGCATCCTCAAATCATCTCCTATTGTGGGCCTTGACAATGGGCGGCATCGCGGCGACTGATAAGCCCGAGAGATTGTGGTATACAGCTGGCCTGGCAAACATGATGCATCGATGCAAAGTGGTGGACTGGAAAGATCTCAAGGGCCTCTTGAGAGCTATTCTTTGGCTGGATGGTGCATGCGACATGGCAGGCAGGCAGCTGTGGAGCGAGGCGTGCTCTCAAACACGACAAGTACCAGTACGCCCGGAGCTAGGGAAATGGTCCCCGTGTGCGCATTGTAAGACAAGGAAAATCAAATGTGAGAATCAACGGCCTTGTCATCACTGTGTCGATGGTGGGCTCGATTGCGAGTCTGCGCTTCCGGGTGGAGATAAAAGGAGGGTGCATGTCTATTCTACTCGAAAGAAGCCTTGTGAGCTGTGTAAGCGGAGGAGGGTTCGATGCGACAAAGGCAGTCCGTGTCAACGGTGCCACGATGGCGGTTTCAAATGTACTTATGTGGATTATAACTAGAATCTGAATATATAGAGAATTGATATACAACGACAAGAACTGCACGTGGGCCTTGCGACTACCGTCCATCTGGGCACGGTCCACGGTAATCGGTGTCGAATGCTCTTCTCCGCTATCAACTTGCATGTATTCATTTACTCTCTCCTGGGGGTTTTTATGAGTCCGATCGGGTACTATTAATCTCCGTACTTCGGCTCGATTCAGGGGAGTTAATGCAGTTGTTGATGGCCATGGCGTTCCGCCCATCCTGACTTGGCGCCCTGCGGCTGTTTGTGGGGCGGGAAACGGCGGGAGAAAGGGGGTCTTTGGCGTTGTCCATCTTGCCAAATAATTCCTTTTGTGTTTTCGGTATCCTGGAAGAGGATAAAACAATGGAGAGAAAGAAGAATAGCCGAGGCAGAAAAAAACATTATGGAAGACAACATACGTATGTCTGACGTTACTTGGCGCCTTCATTTTGTCATCAAACCTCGTCCCAGGTAGACCATCAAAGATCTTACAAATCGCTGAGAAAGTCGACTCATGCAACAATTCTGGCGCATCATTGCACCCGGGCGCAGAGAGGTGACGGGCTGTCTCGGCGAACTAGTGGAGGTAATTCTTTCTGGTAGTGCAGCCAAGATCGTACCTCTTCTCGCAGTCCCACTCAACACACACTGGTCTGTTGATTCCGACAATAGCATCATTAGACGGTTTCAGCGGCAGCTACTGACATATAATCTTCAGTCATGAAAATCTGGAAGTAGAGCCGGGCGAAAACATCGAAGACGAAGAGGAGGAAGAATGCACGAAACGGAGACACACCAATAACTTGCCGCAAAGTCATTGGAGTAAAGCTGCTCGAATCGACAGGCATGACGACGAGACAATGATTTTACACAGTCTTGACAGGTCGAACAGATCAGAGGCTTCGCTCGAATCACTCCCTTCAAAGCTGCATAATCTCGTTTTCGACAGTCTGGATGACATGGACGATATCTTATCTTTCAGCCTGACCAGTCGGTATTTCTGGGCCGTGGGCTTAACACATATCGAAGATCGAATTCTTTGTGCGTCGGCGCCTTGGGCCGGCGAGCGGATTATCTGTGTGAGCGATCATAGTAGCCCACAAGATCTCCCAGCGGGGCTGTTAAGCGCCGAAGAACAGGATGACCTTGAGCAGTTGAATCGGTTGCATCATCTCGATACTTTCACAGTCAATAATCCATGGAAGAAAATCGGGGGCCAGTCACTATCGGAACGACTTCGGGAGAGTTTTGAGAAATGGGAGGCGGCACATCCCATGTCCGAGGCGGATCGCACGGAGATTCTGATGGGTCTCAAGCCTGAGATGTTGGAATTTTATCCGCGGGATCAGCCGTGGGTGTTGCGCAACTTGACGACGAAGGAGTATGTTCTTGGCGAGGCTATTGCTCTTAAGGAATCGTTTGTGCATGGACCTCAGATCGATGTCCTTGGGTTTGCGGAGGTTTTGATCTCGCGTATTGCATGGTCAAATCGGCCTGTTGATGTTGGACATGGGAGAAATATTTCGCATGGGAAGTGGGCGGGGCATCGGTTTGATATTGTGCCTTTGACTTGTGTGCATAAAAGTGCTGGGCAGGGGTGGACGGATGTGAGTAATGAACTGCTGAGGGAGATGGACTTGATTATTACGGTTCAGAAGGGCGATGACTGGCGTGATAATCTCTCGCGACGATGTCAAAAAATCACGCCTTTTGTTGCCCTAGGGTATTGCGACTGATGCACATAGTAAGCTTGAACTTAAAATGAAGGTTAATTTTCAAGAATAAAAAATATCATCAGTCAAGTATTTGATTTTCTTAAATCACATAGTAAATGTATTTCATAACGTCACAGGAATCCCCATGCGCGTGAGCCCAGCTCACCTGCATTATAATTCCGAAGCCAGTAAGCAAGCGCTTTTTACTGCTTATTGCGGCTCTCTTTGCCCTTGGGAGACCAAGGGAAGTGCCAGACAGGAACAACAAAAAAGCTGTTACTGCTATCAGCAACACCAGCAAGAGCCGTCCACCATGCCAAAAAAGCGGCTATGAGTGCAAATAGTCCGCCCGCCTTGATTATCTTTGCATTTGGCTCCTCCTGGGCATTGCGTGTGAGGTATCCGACTCCAAGAAGGAGAAAAGCAATGTCAACCGAGAGGAATAGTGAAAAGAAAATGACGGTAGATTTGACGGTGCAGAGCAGCATGAGGAAAGTAAAGATGAACCATCCCTGTGAGATGTCAGCGAATGGAACTTAAGCATCTCGATAATGCGAAGAGAAAAAGACACCATACCATTAGGAAAAGTCCGAGAGAGTCATAGAACATTCCCAGACTCCCATTGTCTGCCTCCACCAAACTTTTCTGAATGCCAAATCCACCAGGTGTGAATGAGATCGCCAGCGAAATCCAGAACCCGCCATAAGATGTCAGAGCTGTAGCACCAAAAGTATTTCCGACCGCCATCTCCCTATCAATGAAACGTTAACATGCTTCTCAAAAGTGTTAAATCATTGCAGCACATACCACATTCCAGAGAGGATTTGAATGAATCCACCGTAGGCAAATGCAGGGCCCACAACCATATTTGGCTCTGTAATCCCACGGACCTGCATGTTAACACATCCCAAAACGAAAGTCGTCAAAGCAAAGCCACAGAGACCCAGTGGAGCAGGATTGGCCAGTTTCCGATCCGAAACTGGACGATAGAGTCCAGGTTGGAACTCGCCGCCGAAAGGTGCGAGGCGTGTCTCGGCAGTATTGACATGCGCCAGTGGGCCATAATTGTAATGTGAGTTTTGTTGTTGGTTGTATTGTTGTGAGGAGGTTGTGGAATTGGTGAAGTTGTTTTCACCAGCTTCCAATTTGTTCAAATCGGGTTGAGGTTCGGGATTGGTCATTTTTACCACCAGAATTTGAATGTATTCTCCAAAAAGCAGGGGAAGGAGAGGGTAAATTGGGGTATTGCAGGGGATAACTCTGGAGATTTATAGCCAGGGGAACATTTCCAATGCGATCATCTTGTCAGTGGGGATCGGCACTTGAGTTTTGATGAAACCCCGAGAGCTCAAGTTGGGGTAACGATGATCGTCATGATAGAGTCGGGCATGGTCATTGGAAGCAGACAAATGGTGAATGCGGAGGTCTGATCCCCGCACCAGGATGAGGGATGATGCAAGAACGTGGAGACGATAGGATGCGGATTTGCTCGAACGCAAGATTTCAAGATCGACGTGTGGGGTTAAGCCGAAACTAGCATCTCGGGCTAATGAAAGTTTCGCTTCTTCCCCACACCTTTTTGTAGATCATGAAGCCATTGGCCCGGGGAATCTCCACATCTCAATTGAACTCTGGCCATTGGGCGGGGATCGCATAAAATGTGGACAATTGCACATATGCATCTGTGGGATGCTGAAAATTGGGTATGAAGTCATGCACGCGATTTGTACTACCGCGAGACCTGATCATTTGGTTCGTGGGAAATAAAGTGGGACTGATTGACTTGGGAGACTTTCTTCCTCGGAGATTGAGAACTTGAAAAGTCAACTGGTGCTTTTTGAGGACGGGATTATATGTAGTGGCTCATAGTGCCCAAATTCTGTCAACTCCACATGAACTAGCATCATTGGTCTAGTGGTAGAATTCGTCGTTGCCATCGACGAGGCCCGTGTTCGATTCACGGATGATGCAAGCATTTTTCTTTTTTTTTCTATTTCTGTTTGTTAGATAGTATAGAATGTTTTTTAGCATACTGATACACGAGTCGTCTATCTGCTACAAGACCGGGCTGCGGAGTATTGCTTAAGAGGAATACGATAGCTCACATGCTGAAACATATGCATTATGCAGCCCACATGCATCATGCGGTGGGACTGCCGTAGGACAAGGATGTCAACACTGTCTTCCTAGTTGTAACAGCTCAAGATGATCATGGGTTCTAAATGTTTGCATTCAACTGTTGTGTCCAACACCGGAAATCATACAAATGGGGACCAAGTAGCCCGAAATCATATCCACCACTGTATTTTCCGAATGCCCCGTCACCAAACGCCTAATAACTCGGCCAGCTCCTTGGAGTCCTCGGGCAGTGTCAGTCATAATGACACGGCAAACAAAAAGGCCACAATCTGTGCATTAGCTCTCACAGAAAAGCTGAACAACTAATCTGTGTATCCATTTGGCTGGAGTTGATTTTTCACGTAGGAGATTCAAGCCGGTGGCAACGTAGCCCGGTCATAGAACTCTGGCTAGCTTCATCTTGGGTGTACTTAATTACTGGATCTGAAGCTGGGGTTATCTGCCCCTGATTTCTCTCAACGAAAAAAAAAATCGGAGATCCACTCAGACTCAGAGCTGCAGGTGTGGGTGGATTTGGGACAAAAACAAAAAGATAACAGGCCCGAGCCGTGGATCGAACACGGGACCTCGCGCAGGAGTGCTTAGGAGTTGCTGCCCTAAGCGCGAATCATACCACTAGACCACCCGGGCTGTTCTTGATGTAAGGGTTTCAACTTTTGGTCATATAAATCATTTACTCTCAATCATGGTATGTTGAAAATTAATTTTGGTGAACATTACTATAGAAAACAAGCTAAATGATAGGAGAGGTACATTGGCAATTTCAATGTTTCAATGGAGAAAATATTGACAAGACTATTCAAGTTTCCACCTGGGCATTTTAGTTGTTAAATAAACATTGAAGGTTCAAAAGTTCCAATCAATTTATCCTCCACATTACAAGGCTCAAATCAACAAATGCGTGTCCACACTTATGTATGCACCTGTATATATACATATCCATGTCTTCCCGCTGCGCACATGGTACACAACACGTCTCAAGCGAGGTCAACCCCGACATCACGTCTACCTCCACACACGTGCATACATGGAGCCATGGGTGGATGCACGTCATTGATGACTGGTGTTTTGGATGAGGCACGCACGCACCTTCGAGAAGGTTCAAACGTTGGCCTTGAAATTTCTACTTCAATGGATGTTGAATTGCAACCACCATTCAAACAAGTTGACATTCAACCACATGCAAGGTTCAATATTCTAAGATTGAACGAAAGGCGTACAAATATTCTACCAGCTAGATAATGTACATGAAAACTTGGAACATTTGAATGGATCTGGTTTTTCCAGCACTCAAGTGCACGTGAGGTGTTCCGGACATCGTAAGATTCGGAAGATCCAGAAAACATTTGAATAGATAGTATCAACATTTGAAAGTTCAAACATTGAATGTTCAGTGACCAATGTTTGTCATCGCGACACATTGGCACATAGTTATGCAGGGTATAATGATCTAGAATAATGTACAAGTCGAGCGCCGCCTCAAGTCAGCTTAGGACGCTTCTGGTTCGCAAAGCCCGAGTCCGGACGAGTTCGTTTGCGCTGCATAGCCTCCATCTCCGCCTTCATAATGCGTTCCTGCTCGGTCATCTTCTTAGGCTGCACCAGCATGGGGCCCTTCTTCCCGGCCAAAGGATTCTTCTTCCCTGCGGAAGAAAACACATTCTTCGGCTTCTGCGCACCAAATGACATGGAAATCTTGGCAGGTGCAGGTGTAGCATTCTCAACAGGTGATTCGGTACCCGATGCATCCTTTGTATCTGTAGGATCTGACTTCGGAGGAGAAGAGTCGGTCTTTGTATCTGTTTTCTTTGGACCGAGGCCGAGATTCAGGGACATTTTTTCTCCGTTCTGTGGTTGGAGAAGTTTCGCATCAGAGTCTGGGTCTTCGCCGGAAGCTTTGGTTTCCTTGAAGGCGTTTCGCGCGCGCTCCACCTGCTCCAGAATCATCTTTTGTTCTCGCTGTTCATCGTTCTTCTCTTCCCTTTCTTTCTTTTGAATTGCCTCCCTCTTGCGCATCGTTTCTGGCGAGTTGTCGATCCATGATACGAATATTCCCTTTTCGGTCTCCTCCACTCGACAAATTCCGTTTTTACCGAGGTGTTGGGCGAATTGAGTGAGAGATTGGAACCTGTGATGCGTTAGTTTCAGGTAGAGTCCCAGAAATAGACCGGGTTACATACTTGGTACTGTTCATATGAATGTGCTCGCGATCACTGATAATGGTATTGTAGAAGTGGTTGATATGGACCTTCTTTTCTCCGTGCTGGGTTCTTAGGTTGTTGACGAAGTTGTCGGTGAATTGCTGGCTGAAGTCGCTGATTGCCTTGGGCGCATTTTCTCCAAGGACCAACATTTGACGGACATGACTTTCGCTGGTAATATGACACTTAAACCCACTGTGACAAACTGTTAGCTACTAAGAGAGATGAAAGAACAAGGGAGGTTCTGTCTTACTTGGCATCTCGCATTTGGCGCTCGCAGGCTTGACAGTACCATCTCAAACGTCCTAATCCCTTCGCCTTGATCTTGTTTCCGATGGCTTTCGCCGATCCAGCTTCTGCGCGACCCATAGTGAACGGTGTTGCACGAGTTAAGGTTTGGGAAGTGGCGGAGGTAGCGAGCGATTTGTTAACACCAGATGTAGTATGTTTCCGATACGGTGAAGAAGTGAGTCGCAAAAGCAATCTTGGTAGTTTGAGCAAATAATCAGGTCAGAAGCCCTCGGGCGGGTTTCAGAGTGAATGTGGTGAAGTGGCGTTGTTCAGACGTGACGGTCGAAGATTATCAAGATCAAAAGGCGGGCGCGACCGATAAGAGATCTACACGTGATCCTATCGGCACCCCACCTAAATTCTTCCAATGATAGTCTGATAGTCAGTTAAAAAATAAGTAAGTAGAAATGAATTTTTCGCAAGCCTAAAATACAATGATATGATAATAAATCATATGAAATAGCAACCATATCCCATTCGCCAAAAATAAAACCAGATAAGCTAAACCGCGCTCATTCGTAGAAACCGTCAATCGACAAGCACCTAGCCATGCTTGGCTTACATAACATACTCGTGGATGGCCGATGGTCCGCTCTCGTTGTACTCAACACGGGTCATGAAGCCCTTGGAAAGACCCTGGTCAAGCACGAAGAAAACTTTAGCTCCCATTTGGGCTCCCAAGAAGCCAGCCTCCTCGGGACCATGTCCACCGGCAATGGCACTGGGGCCTGTACTGGCTCCAGGAGCGTTGGTGTTACCCTGATCCTTGAAATCGGAGAAGTACTCTGGAAGTCGCAGGGTCTTGACCGAAGTTGGGGTCTGAGAGTGACCAGTCGAACGGTGGTGAGTGGGCATGTTAGGGTCCATGCCAGGTGTTCCCGGGATAGGCATGCCGTGCTGGTTGTGAGTAGCGTTGACCAGGAGTTGGCTCACACCAGGTGCCGCGGGGTGGTACATAGGCGTGGGCATGCCCATGGGAGCCGGTGTGTTCGTGCCGCCGGTCGGGTGGGGAGTGGTGAAAGTAGAAGGGATTTCGGAGGTGAAAATAGTGGCGGATGGGGAGAGGATGAATTTTTTGTTAATGACGCCAAGAAGAGCCTGAGTGAAACCTGGATTATTGATGATTTGTTAGTAAGAGCTCATCTGTTCAAGAAGAGGGACCGCTTACCTCGAACTTTACTACCGCATCCTACAATGACAAGGGAATCCCACAACTCGCTGCGCTTAGTGGCATCGGGAACAGCCAAGATGGTATGATGAATCTGGGTAGCAATGTCCTCCAAGATCCCGTTGCTCAGACGGTCTCCAACGTTCTGTCGAGGAGTGGCCAAGAGGAAGCGTTCAACGCCAAGTTCAATTTCGCGAGAGTTGCGAATGTAGCGCTGAGAGCTGTTCTCACCCTCCATCTGAACAAATTCTTCAAACTGGAAGGTGGCCTTCTCCTTCTTGGAGTTGGGAAGACGAGGCTGCTTGGGGTCCATACCCGCTTTCTTGTTGCTTGCCTTTTCCTTCTCCATGTTGGCTAAATACTCGTTAGTGTCTCCGCTGACGATAGCCGCGACATCCAAGACGCCCTCATCTTCGTCGCCGTTGTTATCGCTGCCGGTTTGTGTTCCTAGGCCAGGGCCACGAGGAACGGCGGTATCGGATCCATTGGCTCCACCGGTCGAGGCAGCAGCGGCGGGGTTGACGCCCTGGCGAGCAGTGGCTGCGGATCCTGGAACTATAGCTCCAGGGGGAAGAATCTCGGCAATATTGCTCCGCTTAAGTTGTTCACACATCTCTCGAGTAAATCCCTTCGGGCCAAGCAGCTCAACAAGTCGATCGGTCATGGCATCACCACCACAATCCTCCAATGCAATGCCTCGGCCATGCTCATTGACGGCAAAATCTGTGACGGCAGTGACATCGACCTTGCTCTTACCAACGTCAACGACAGTTGCAGTCTGCACACCAAACCCGTAGCATGCAGCAAGGGCCGCATCCATCAAGCTGAAGCCTGGAACCTTGAATTTCTCAAAGACAAACTGGGTGATAGCCTCCCGATCACGCGCTGACCAAACCGGCTGGCAAACCATCAGGATGGGGGTGTGGAATGGTGGGCTGAGGGAGTTGTATATATGGGTCAACAGAGCGAAGAAACAGGGCCAATCGACAATGCGCCCGTCACGAATTGGGTAAACAGCGCCTTCTTCAGACGAAACATCCTCCTCAAAATAAATTTGCTCGACAGGTTTCTCTGCTTCCTCAGTGCCATTTGAGCCATTCTGAGGGGCAGCAGCAGCATCCTCGCCATTCTTCAATTCTACCTCCGGGGCCTTTGGCGCATTGGCATCATTGCTGACTTTGACTTCACGTTTCCGTTCGCGGACCTTGTATGGCTCAAATTCACCCTTCTTTTCACCGGGGAACATGCGCGTGGGGAAGCGAAAGCGCGCGGGCGTGAATGTTTCGGGCAGGCCAAGTTGCGCTAGGGTCATTTGAGAACCCGGCGCAAAGAGCTGGTGAGTATAGGATTAGTTGAGTTGATTTAGAGAAGACCGGGAATCGGGATTCAACCATACCAGGACATGCTCATCCTTGAAGGGTGGCATATTAAGACAATTGGTGACTTGGTTCCCTTTCTTCGGAGGCTCCTTGCGAATCCGTGGAAGAGGGCGCGTTGGGGCCATTGTCACGTGGGCGGTATCGGTTGTCAGTATGCAAGGGGAAGAAAAGTGGAGAACAAACTTGAACTTAGTAAGTGGTCAAGGTGGTAGCAAAGAACAACAAAAACGATTCGATGTATTAGTCTGTCTTCGTTTTTTTTTTTTTTCCTTCTAAAATAAAATGCATCGAATAGTACATGATGAATAGTAGTACACTGAGAAATCTATTAAAACACCAGTGGTGTATAAATAACCCACTTCCTTCCGACCAATATTGTTTTGCGTACACACTATATCCATGATGAATTCAGCCATAAAAGTAAAACAAGATAAAATAAAATAGAAAGAACTCTACTTACAAGCCCCCGAGATCCTACACTATACAGTAACAAAGAGTAAGATGTTGAAAGCACGCTTGAAACTACGCAGTAGGTGGGTCTTTTAAGATTTAATTGGATAATTACACATGCACTCGAAGCCGGAAGGCTAGATTAAACAAAGCATTGCGAATTCATAATGCATTGAAAGACCAGGACTATTAGAGCACTTCATGAAAAGAGAAAAAATTAAGTGAGAAAACATGACCTCGGGATAACGCCAGCCTGCCTCATCCCCCCATAAACATTAAAAACAGAAACGCCCGGCGCTGTTTTACTCTATGACCAGCATGAGTTTCAAGGTTGTCATTGGGAACCAACCACCCTACTCCGCCGCATTATACTTCTCCGTCGCAGAGCGGAATAGCTCCTGCTGTTGTCGCAGCAGCTCTTCTTCCGAAAGTCCACTCTGCTCCATCTTGCTCTGTTTTTTCTCTCGAGACTGATTTTGTCACCAAGAAGATTAGTATAAGATCATCCAGCTCAAGGCGCAAGACCGCGGACCGACATACCTTTAATTGTTCTTTGTGATCTTCAGCGACCGCAAGGACATAGGGGATGTAGTCCCCGAACCCAAGATCTCTTAGAGCTTTCTCCACGTGTTCGCATGCGATTGTCTTCTTAGCTTCTTTTTCGCTGATGTCATTGGCCTCGGAGGAGATCAAGGTGATAAACTCCACGCAGCATTCCATAAGCAAGTCGCGCGCATCTTTGGAGAAAGTCTGGCCGGAAGAAGGAGGCAAGATCTCAGTGATGATCTTCTGGACCGTCGCTGTTATAGATTTAGATTAGTGGGGAACTGAGTAAATCGGGGACGCGCTGGGTGATTGGGTTGGTGTCGCGACGCGGGAACATCGGAGGGCCCGTCAAAGAAAGCGCTTTGACGGAACAACCTCAAATAAACCAAGATAATGCAAAAAAGTGTCTTGCGGCGGACATACCCTTTGGAAGCGACAGGTCGTCGTTAGCTATTGAGCAAGTCCAGTTAGCAGGCATACTAGGAGCGCAGGGTTGATCAAGAAAGCTAGGAATGAGCGTACAGTTAAATTCGCGGTCGGACATGATGGAAATAGAACAGCGATAAGGATAGGATAAAAAAGGCAGAGACCAAGGCCAAGGTAAATGAAAGATCAAGGGAAGAATTTCTTGGAGATCAGCGTGGGGCTTGAATCGCTTCCTATTTAACATTTGCGGCGCGCGCTCTCGGAACGATATATTTTCCTGCCAGCAGAAATTCTTGACCGCCTTCGTGGGTACTTCAAGAGATTTTTTTCTTCTACAGTTCTACTTTCTTTCACTCATGCAATCAACTCGATTTCTCTCGAGTCTCTCTTCCTCAGAGTCAATCTTAATGCAGATTCACTCTGAGGTCGAACACTAATGGTAAGCTTTTGCTCCTTCGGGATTTTCCCTCACTTTCTGCCTTTCTATCTACTATGATGAACTTCGTTGTCGCCCCTATCATACAAAACCGTGGTGATCTACACTGTCCTAGCCAAACGGACGATCTGATCTTGTTACTTGCACAAATTACATTTTGCATGACTTTGGAGTTGAACGCACTCGCTAACTCTTCTTCAAGATTACAGATGAAAAAACAAGAACAAGAAAAATTCAGCTAGCTCAATCTTCGCAATCCACACTCTTCGATATTCCTAATGGTACGATACTTCTCTTCTACACTCCCCATACACCATATTGTATGATGAACACCCTACATTCCATGCTAAACCTGAAGGTGCGCTGCACCTGATGCTTATAATATGTAAATGCTTTTCATCTTTCAGCTGATTACAATCATCCACAATGAAAATTTCACTCATGAATTTTTATGGCCTTCATACTGATTGCTGTATAGATACAGATTCTTCATCTCTATAAACAAGAAAAATTACATTCAAATGAAAATTCTATTCCTGGAAATCCTTAAGCTCCTCATCGTTCCACCTGTAAAACAATTAGCACACTTTTCTCAGTCTTCCGAGTCGATTGCAAACACATACGAAAGGAAAAGACCCGTCAACTCCTTCGGCGCATCAAGCACAAGCTTCGCCATAACATGACCCGGTTGTTCGGGCTGCACAAGCTTGCCGCTAGAATGGGCGCCGGTGAATTTGGAGTGCATATCAGCATCCAATGTGGAGCCATGAACCTCGCGTAGCTCCCTCTGCATCTCAGTATCAACCATACCCGGCCGCACAGAGACAGATGTGACATCGGGCTCCTCGCAACCCAACGTCTGAGCGAAATTGTTCATCGCAGCTTTGGTGGCAGCGTAGATACCCCAACCGCGATACTTACCCACCGCAGCACCAGATGAAGTGAAGATGATTTTTCCCTTGGCCTGGCGGAGAGCTGGAAGAGCTGCTTTGGCCTGTATATCGAGTTATTTATTAGTGTCTGTTGTAAATTAGAATGCAAGAATCAATCAGTATTGTACGCACGAAAGCAACCAAGCTCATAAAGTTGACATTGAAAGCCGCCTGCCACTCTGCAACATCGGTGACAGCGACGTTGCCGGTCTGTCCGAGGATGCCGTGGTTGAGGACCATACCGTCCAGTTGACCGAAGGACTCGATGGCAATGTCGACGGCCTTTTGTGCGAGAGTGAAATCTGCCAGGTCACCGTTCACCACTTCGACTTGTTTGCTGTATTGCTCTTTGAGCTTCTGGAGGGGCTCAAGGCTGCGAGCTACCACCACCACATTGTGGGATTGCGGCGCGCTGAGAAGGTACTTGGCTATCGCGAGGCCAATGCCTGGGATGGGCACGTTAGTTGTTATCGTGGTAGACTTGTAGATGGGGGTCATTACCCCGAGAAGCTCCTGTAACGATAATTGTCTTGGGTGCCATGTTGTCTGTTGATTGAGATTAGCGATGGTTCCCAGAAGAGTGTCATTGGACCAATCAATCCATTGAGCTCGAAGCTATTGATATCAAGCCCTACAGTTTCCAACGCACGCCCTTAGGTAATGTGTATGGTTCAGGTGAAGAGATGCAGAGCTGCAATTGGGAGCGCAACAAACCTTTCTATGTCAAATGCGAGAAAAGAAGGTTGAAGTGTGACTGCTGACAGAAGCAGCATTCCTGTTCCACCGAGGCAGCCAGTGCGGGGCTTAATCATCTGGCGGGGCCGACATTTGCAACATTCGGGAGTTAAAACACGAAACCTTACTAGTACGCATCAAACTCCAAAAAACCCGGTATCATTTATAGAATTGTTTCATTTCAATCATTTGAGGTATTGAATCTATTTACAATGGATGCAGTATCTCATCTAGGGAGGCTCAGCTCCATATCAACATAGCGGCCCATTCAAATTAGACACGCACAACAGCAGACTTCGATACAACACGACCAGCCTGCACAGCGCCAACCTGTACCACCTTGGTACCAGCCGGGAGCGAGAACTGGGTCTCGAATCCCTTGTTCTCGACCTCGCCCAGCGTCGTAAGGCTGCTCGCGCTAGTGCCAACATAGACCTCCCACCCCTCAACACTGGTAGCTCCATTCCAGCTAACATAGCCTCGGAGAGTTGAGGACTTTCCAGCACATGCGCTCAGAGTATCCTCGGAGGCAGCGGTCTCAACGACGAGACTGGGCTTGTAGTATGGAGTGGCTGTCCACTCTTGCTTGTAGACGCGGTAGCTCTGGCCAAGGTTCTTGCCTGCATACTGAGCGGACCACCGCACGTCACCGGATGGACCGTATTCCTTGATGTAGGGCTCATCGCCGTATCCCATCAGAGTGTTTCCGTTATCCAGTGGGGTGAAGGAGCCCTCGGCGGCGGAAGAGACAGGGTATTCGTGGTCGTAGAAGTCGGTCTCGAGGGTAGGGGGGTTCTTTGCGTTGGGAGGAAGGGTCAGGCGGAGGGTGGTACCCTTTGTAGGGTTGGTTGCGGTGGCCGAGTCAAGGTCGTTGGCGAAGTAGCTCAGCAGGACCTCGTTGGGGTTGGAAGTGTTGCGGAGGCGGGCCATGTGTTGCCAGGACTGTGTTCGAATTAGCAAAAAGGTTGAAGAAGCATTGAGCGATGTTACTTACGAAGTTTCCATTGGTAGGGATACTGCCAAAGTCACCTCCGTCCTGACCGTCGATATACCAGACAATCTCTCCAGCGCGGTTCACCAAGAAAGTACGCCACAGATGACGGGAGTTGATCAGGTAGTGGTCTCCCCACTTCTGGATGGAGTTCATGTGGAACCAGTCAAAGGGAGCGGTTTGGCTGGAGCCGTCGTAGGGGTAATGAGTCAAGTTGACATCGACGTGAGCGAGCGGGCTCCAGCTCCAAATGGGTTTGTTTGTGGCAAGATCATATTCAACAGCGATGGAATCATAGACCCATCCATCACTGGGTCCACCAAGCGATGTCAAATCAGCTTGGGAGGTATTATAAGCAGTCAACAGCATGGTGTTGTCCTCTGTGATAAACGATTCGTGAACATCGGCATCGCAATTTGTCGTAGTACCAGTGGGCATAGTCAAGTTGATTTGCAAACACACAGTGTTGATCAACTTGTAGGTGTCATCATAAATCTGCACCTCACCCCATCCACGACCGACATCAGCGCCATAGGCAGCTGCACCAGTGCCTGTCCAGAAGGTGATGACAGACTTATCTCCCCAGTATTGCTGGCGGAAATTTGACGAATCGCCGACGGGACCGCCCCAGACCAATTTATTGTCATCAGAAATAATGAAGGGCGCAACTTCTTCGACGCCACTTCCGGAATCGTTCTCTTGGCCAATGAAGAGTAGGCCAGAAGCCAGATCCTCACCGGTACGGTTGATTGATAGGTATGGGGGTGTGATGTTGGAAGACTTGTAGGCCTGCCAGTTCCAAACGGCAGTGTCACTTGAGTTGGAGACAATCTGGCGACTATCTGTTGCGCAGAGAGTAGAGGCAGTTTTTCTTCCAGCAATGGAACGGGCCAGAGCTGGGAAGGGTGCTATCAAGCACCCGAGGGCGATAGTGGAGGACCAGGAGCGCATGGTGAATGAAGGCAATGATCGCAGCGTCTGGTCTTCCTCCTAATGGAGCAGACTCGCCTTTTATAACATTTTCATCAAGCAGCACAGCATCTGGCCGTCCTCTCCGCGACAAGTGGAGCCATTATGTTTGTACGGCTTACATGCAACCTGCTTGCACGGAGATGAAAACAATTACCCGTGGACATTGCGGGGCGTGGGTGGGTCCTTCATAAATTGTGCGGAGGAATTGAATCCAAAGTAGCAAGATCAGCAAGTTTCTAGAGTGAGTTCCAGTATGAAGCTCTGTGATCATCGTCTTCGTTGAATAGCCGAGGACGCTAAGGATGTCGTCATCAGGATAGGCAATGCCACCATCAAGCTCAACGTTGATTATACTTAGTAGATACTCCGCATTTGGCTACTGATGGCTACTGATTTGTTGAAATAAAATGTTTAACTTCATTTAGAAACCGGCCATTCGGCAGTTCATAGTAAGGGCTCGGCAAGTCCGGACCGCCACCCGTCAATCCAGGAACAATTGTCACATCTTCAAGTCAAATGGCGTGCTCTGATGAAGATATCCCGTAATGCAGGAACAAGTGGAAAATCGTCATTTCATGCATTGTCAGATTTTAATATCGGAAAACGTCCCTTTCATCTCCTTGGAAGCTAATGCCTGATTGATCTGTGAAAGTCTTGGGATTCTTCGGAATGTGGTCCTCCAAGCGAGCTGAGATGATTATCTCTTGAAATTCTTACGCCTGAGGGGAAAGTATGGCAGACAGTTTTTTTTTAAAAAAAAAATCCTACATTTGGTAGCTTTAAACCCACAAGGAATCTAGAAAAAACGGACTTATACATATACTATAAGTACAAGTTGTATAGCCAACGCGCACCAAGCTTTTCTTCTCCACAACAACGCCAAGAAAACAATCCTTCAACTCCACCCCCCGATAAGACAGGCCTGACGAATTTCCACAATTTGAAGCAGAGAGTCATGCAAGTATGGCGGATGGATTGTAGGAAATTGACTCAAATTATGTCGACTTTACAACATTGCTACTAACACTGCAAGTGTGGGGATTTCTTATCTAACGATCACGAACAAATATCATTTCCCCGCTATCTCATCGCCAACTTTTATCAAGACACGCTCTAACAAAACGAACACCATCTACGGCATCATTTTATCTGAGAATACAAAAACACGGCGCGCAAATTATTGGCCAAAACGGTATTACACATCAAAATTTGGTCTTCGAATGCAATGTCAACCGTCATCGTGGGAGGAGGCATAATTGGTGTCTCAATTGCCTACTATCTCTCAATCAACCAACCAGAAAACGAAATTCACATCATAGAACAGTCTCCGAAAATTTTCAGCTCAGCCTCTGGATACGCAGCTGGTTTCCTCGCCCGCGACTGGTTTGACCCGGCGGTAGCTTCCCTCGGGGCCCTTTCATTCGACCTCCATCACCAGCTTGCTGCAGAGCATGACGGTAGTAAGAAATGGGGGTTTATGAAGGGAACTGCTTTCAATCTGGATACTGTGTCTAATCAAAAAGCCGGCGGTGCCCGAGGAGATGACTGGGTTCATGAGGATACCAGTCGTGCGGAGACAGCAGCTGCGATACAGCCCATCCCAGCTGACTGGCCGGTTTGGCTGACAAAGCAGCAAGGAGGTATTCTTGAAAGAATTAGTGAAGGTGAAACTGTGGCACAGGTGTGAGTTTCTATAGAAAAAAAAAACATCTAGGACGACTGCTGATTATCTTGAATAGAGACCCGTTGAGGTTATGCCACTTTCTTATCAATGAAGCTGTTTCGCGAGGCGTCAAAATTCACAGCCCAGCTAAAGCAACTGCCGTTGTGAAAGACGATAGTCAGTTTATCACTGGAGTCAAGGTTCTTGATTTGGAATCCAAGGATGAGTCCATAATTCCATGCACAAACTTGGTCCTGAGCGTAGGCGCTTGGACACCGCAAGTTCTGCGAGAGCTCTTTCCTTCTACGAACACATCATTTGATCTGTCACCTCTGGCTGGATATTCTCTGGTCGTCCGCTCACCTCGGCATACATTGGACCACGAGAAATTCATATACAGTGGCAGAAGCCACGCAGTCTTTACTACTCATCCACCTTCATGCGGGTTCAGCCCGGAAATTTTTACACGGGAAGGTGGTGAAATTTATATTGCAGGGTACAATCCTGATTTGAAGCTTCCATTATGTGTTGAAGATATCAGTAAAGTTTGGGACCCAACGGAGATGCTGAAATTGAAAGACGTCGCAGTCCGCTTAATGGGTGATCTCAAAGAACAAAAACTGGGATCAACTGATGATGTGGTTAATATAGACGATTTGGAAGTTCTACGTGAAGGTCTTTGCTTCCGGCCGGTAGGTAAAGATGACATTCCTACTATTGGACGGATTGGAGGCGCCTCTTTGGGTAATGATCTGCTCTCACCTCCTGGAGGCAGTGTTTATATTGCCACTGGGCATGGGCCATGGGGTATTTCTCTGTCATTGGGCACTGGAAAAGTGGTGAGCGAGATGATAAAAGGGCTGCCTATATCTGCCGACGTGGGTGGTCTTGCTGTTCCAGAGAATGATTCGGAAGCGAACCTGGAATGATGCTAGGATCGGCTTGAATTGAGTCAACAAATAAGCTCAAAAGATATAAAAATAGTATCATTATCACAAATTAATGAACAATCAGTTCACCTGAGTGTGATTTCCAAGAAAAAGGTATCAATCAATTTGAATTATTTCATCCGCATCCATAGATCGGGGAATTGTTGTTCCGGAAGCTCTCCCTGCTTTAGTCAGCGGCGCCACTCGAGCTCTCCAGAAACTTCAGGCATCCGATATCATCAAGCAATTTGATTGTCCGCTCCGTGGCCCGTTCATCTCTCACCCACAGCGCAGAGCTTTCTTTCTCCTCCTTGATACCCCTCTCAAAATCAGCGCGTAAAGCCCTCAACACCCATTCACCATGGCCAACTACCTCGCGTCTATCTTCGGTACCGAGCAGGACAAGGTCAACTGCTCCTTCTACTACAAGATCGGCGCATGCCGACACGGCGACCGCTGCTCTCGCAAACACGTCAAGCCCTCCTACTCGCAGACTGTCCTCATGCCGAACATGTACCAGAACCCGGCCTACGACCCCAAGAACAAGATGAACCCTAGCCAGCTGCAGAACCACTTCGACGCCTTCTACGAGGACGTGTGGTGTGAGATGTGCAAATATGGTGAACTTGAGGAATTGGTCGTTTGCGACAACAACAATGACCGTAAGTTTGACAATTCCCCTTCCTCAACTCATCAGACCCGAACCGAGGCAGATGCCGCAAAAGTCCAAGCTACTAACTAACCCTCTTCTCCCCCAGATCTGATCGGAAACGTCTACGCTCGATTCAAATACGAAGAAGACGCACAGGTAGCATGCGATACCCTGAACTCACGCTGGTACGCCGCAAGACCTATATACTGCGAGTTATCGCCCGTCACAGATTTTCGAGAAGCGTGTTGTCGTCTGAATAGCGGCGAGGGATGTGTGCGAGGCGGGTTCTGCAATTTCATCCATCGCAAGGATCCGTCCGCAGAGCTCGATAAAGATATGCGACTGAGCACAAAGAAGTGGTTGAAGGAGCGTGGCCGTGACCCGCGGAGCGCTACTCGGAGCCCGAGTCCCGAGCCCACTCGGCGAAGGGGTTAAGCCTGCGTTGATGGGTGTGCTGCTTCTTTGACAAATGTTCTTTAACTTCCCCCCCCCCCCCCTTTCCTTTTTCTTTTCTTTCATCTTCGGCGTTGGGTGATCTCAGTTGGTGGTGCGATTCTGTCTCCGTGTCTAGGGGCTGGGGTTTTCGGCATTCCCTTGTGCTGATTGGCATTTTTGTACATTATGTCATGATATCAAACCTGCGAGTGAATCAATTTTCTACAATATTACCTTTATTCGGTAGGAAATTTACCTGAATGCCAAGCTGCCAAAAGGAATGTCTACATGATACCACCAATATTTTGATTTGCGTACAGGCTCGGCAGAATTAAATGGAGGTTCAGATTGGGGTGGAAAATGGCACATTCAATTTCAAAGTGAAGCTGCTCATAAGCTAACTAGCACATCTTATACTATTCTCCTTTCCTCCTTTCCGCTCCTTTCGTTTGAATCTCTCTCTCTCTCTCTCTCTCTCTCTCTCTTCTTTTACTACCGTCCCAACTGTTTCGCCAATCTACACCCACAACAAACTTGACGAGGACCCGACTCTTCATCGCTCTTCTAATCCGAACTATTCATCTTCAAGTGCAATTCTTAGTCATTATGGATTGTCCAGACAGCATCGTTCACCATAATGGTGCAGTGATCATTAGATTGAACGATGCAAATGCCCCATTTGCACCTGTGATCGAAAATACTTTTTCTGGTATGACCTTTCCGAAATCTGTTGGTCGTGTCCAAACCCCTGCTAAAGAAAAGAATCCAAAAGACTCTGATACCGAAGGCCAAGAGAAAGAAGACGCCCAAGATATACTCGAACCCTCCGACGCCAAACCCCCGGCTGCTGATAGTCCAACTGATCAACTCCCTGCCAGAAATTGCTTCACTTTCCAAGCCTCCACAGAACATCTGACATCTGTATCCCCAGTTTTTCAAATAATGCTCACTGGTCCCTGGAAAGAGAGTAGAATACTTTCTGAGAGGGGATCAGTTGAAGTGACTGCGAAGGAATGGGACTCTCGTGCCTTTTTAATTGTCCTTCGTCTCATGCACGGTCAGCATCGCGAAGTTCCACGAAAGGTGGATCTTGAGATGCTGGCCAAAGTTGCTGTGGTCGCGGACTATTACGACTGCAAACAAGTCTTGAATCCAGTCGCAGGCCTGTGGATCTCGAATCTGGAAAAAGTCCCCAAGACATACTGCAGAGATTTGATACTCTGGGTGTGGATCTCGTGGTTTTTCCAGCTCCCCTCTGAGTTCCAAAGAGCAACAGCAACTGTAATCTCAATGAGCGAGGACATAATTGACGGGCTAGACCTTCCAATTCCTGGACTACTCATCAGTATGTTCAATCAAATTTCAAAGTTGCTTAGTATCTAATGACATATTAGGAATCATGAACAGAGATAGACTGGACCTCATCGATATCTTGATCACCCTCCTTGACGCCACCTGCACAGATGTTTGGAGAGATGGTGAAGGTCATAGCTTTGAGTGCAGGTCCATGATGTCCAGAGCTCTCTCAAAGCACATGTTTTCAAATGGTCTGCGTTCACCGAGACCTATACATCCCTTTCCAGGTTTAAGCTATCAAAGTCTGAGGGCTATGATGGCTAAATTGCAATCACCGGAATGGTCTCAAGCGTGCTTTTTCAAGAAAGACTATGAAGCAAGCGCCGGTGAAACAAGCACTGGATGCATCCCGGCCTCTACTGCTTCTCACAGGTGCCCAAGCGAGAAGTCCTACTCTTTCTTTCCTGGCCAAAGTTTTTCGGCCAGAGGTTATTCTTTAAGTCGTTTCAAAGGGCGGAGTCACCTTTAAGTACCCCAGAAAACTTCAAGGGTTTAAATATTCGATCAGTATAATAAAGATCTGTCCCTACCTTACATCAATCACGATATATTCTTCTTGTTTGATAATCATACATATTAAACATGTGAAATAAATTGATGCTGTTTTTTGACGGTAATCTCCACTGGTAGTTGTCGGGAAACTCCGAGCACGGAGTGCCGAGTAACTGTCGACAGGTGAGAAGGGTCGACTGTTCAAATGTTCAAAGCGATCAAGAAAACGATGAAATTGTTCTAAGGTCCTAACTGCGAGAAAAACACAGACAGAGAGGGAAAAGAGAAAGAAGGAAAAGATAGGGAAAAAGCCAACCTTAAGTACCCGAGTACGTTAAGGCTGGTGACAGGAACTAAACGTAAGCCTAACCCTAACCTTCTCTTGCTGAACAAAGGAAACCTTTGAGAAAACCTTCTCAGCGAACAGCACCCTTCATTAGAGACGCGTCACGACAGCTTTACATGTGAAAGGTCATAGGGGGTACCCTTCCTAATTGGGAAGAGTGCCAGTCGCGTTTCTTGGGTATAAATTGAACTCCCCTCCCTCTCCTTCTTCTTCCTTTCTTTCTCTCTCTCTCCCCCCAGCCGAGACAGCAACAAATCCTCATTGCCCTGATATCTCCCTCCCATGAAACCTTCTATAGTGGGTGCTTCATTTGGAGATTCCCAATTACAAACGCGTCCTGACCTGAGTTCTGCTGCTTGTTCATGAGGTTTGAGGTCGGTCGGACTGTGTTGGTTGTACTTTCGGGTTCACTTTTCAGCTAGCAAAGACTCAAGGTGTTTGTTCTTATTCCGCGTGATGACATTCCTCTGCTATGACACATGGGATTTGGGTCTCTCTTCTACTGATACTCTGGAATCTGGGTTTTGTATACATACGGGATCCTGGAATCCGCTTATCAGTGGGAGATGTGCACCTCGATTCCTGACATGACACCGGTCGCTGGCTGTCGTTCATTCGGCTTTCAACCCAGGCAGACTATACAGAGTGAACACTGGCATGTATCAATCACACGTCTGACGGAACTATACAAACACCTCTCCTCTACTTCCCTTCTTCATCCACCTTTGCCCCCCCCCCGGCACATCAATACGAGCATCCTAAATGTCCAAACATCATTCTCTCCTCTCCGAATCTTCAAGCATCATCTATTTCTAGAAGCTCTCGTCATCCACTATCAACTCATGACACGACTGACACAACGTGTGACACTTCCCCCCTGTAAGACGTAGCTTGTCCTTAAGCAGCGCGATTATCGTCCTGATGATCCTCCACATAAACATCATCTTCATCAGCCTGTAACCAGATCTTCAGCCGTTTAGGCGGTCCCGGTGCCTCGGGATGCGCGGCGTGGAATGCAGCAAGCAATCGAGCGCTGTTCTTTAAGTTCGAAGCAGGAATCCACTCGTCTTCGCCTGGCATCTCGTACTCCCATTTGACCTTATAGATAAGGCGCTTCCGCTGCAATTTAGAAGCCAGGATCTTCTCAACGCCGTATTCCTCATGCTCGAGTACTTGAATCGGTGGTTCAGGATCCGCGATTTGTCCTTTCAATGGTTCGTCGGTCGTATACCCACGTCGTAGCTTATCTGGCGCAAATGTATCATGAATTTGCCAGTCGCCGGGAAGTTGCAGTTTGAACGCATTCCCCACTTTAGCGAGGATCTTGAACGGGCCTGCTGATTTGTCGCTTAATTTGGGACTCGGACGGTCTTGTTTGAGGCCCTTTAATGTAAGATACACTGTGTCACCGACGTCAATGGTGGCAGATATCCTTCTACTGAATAAAATGGGGCGACGACGCTCCTGGAAGTCTATGTACATGACTTCAACGTTGGGCCTCCTCTTCATGACCGATAATTTCTAAGGCTTCGTTAGATGTTAAGTAGAGCTTTAGGAAGTTTCTTGGCCTTAATTATAAATTTGTTTCATATGTTAGAATAATAAAGAGAGTTCTTCAATCATACCCAGGTCTTTCTGCATTGACATCCAGGTTCCATATTTCAATGTTTCTTCAAATAGACCACGTAGCTGCGACCCACCACTGCGAAAACATTTTCTCCAGTATTTCCAAATGCTCTTTCATTGTATGATCGACCTTCTTGAAAAAATCCAACCGGTACAGTAAGCATTTCTCGTACTACCAAGGCGAGGGATTAGTTTCGTTCTCGTGCTTGGCGCAGCGAGGAGTCGTGTTTGTTCACCGTGCTCGACGCAGCAGTCAGGTTTAGTTCGGTTCTTGGTTCGATGCACTTCGTAGAGTTTCACGCGTCGCGCGTCTCGTAGGTGCGGGGAAAAAAGGGAGTGCGAGGAGTGATGCTTTTGAAAGCAACACAACTGTACGCAAAAAGAGAAAAGAAGAATTGAGGGGGAAAGCGTTCACGGAGTTTCCTACACCATGGCACCTTGCGACCGGGGGTTTGCCCGCATGTACTCGAGAGACCTTGATCGTGGCGGCTCCATCCCAGCCGATCAACTTCTTGAGTTTCGTGATTTGTATAGAAATATAAATCCTCGAAGACTTGAACTCGACTGTAGATTCAATTTGGTTTATGCACCTACAGGGGGGGGGGTCTGGGGGGTCTCCCCCCTGTATAGAAATGTAAATCCTTGTCAGCTGGTCATAATGATCATCTGGGTGTGAATGTGCTTCCTGGCAGTATTCGAAGGCCGCGGAGAAGGTTGGATATGTGTAATCGTCAACAGTCATAAGATCGTCATCGGGGAAGTATGGGTGGTGAAGCATCAACTTTACCCGGGCGTGATTTTCTGCGTCATCTTTGCAAAGAGGACGCCGATGTCATTGAGCGCTTTCTGATCCTGGTCGTCGTAGCATTCTTTCAATGTTAGAGAAGTTCTTCTTCGCAACACTAAGTAGGTTGGTGAACTCTACCCACGAGTACACATTCGACTTGATGGTCGCTGATGGTACCACGGCGCGCCAATTTTCAGCGTTGAAATCGAGTCTTGCGTACGTAGCTTTGATGCTATATGGTAATCTGCTATAATGGCAAAGTTTGCCCACCAGAATCTCAAGATCCAGCTTTCGTGCTACTTCGCGGTGCTGATCGTGCATTAGACGAAGTACAATAAATAGGGCACGAAAGTCCCATTCCTTCGTAGTAGCTCCAGTTGATCATATACATATATATATGTTGATCCCCTTTGCTTTGGCAAAGTGTGCCATCTTCCAAGGACCAGTGAGTGTTTTTTTTTAATACCCGAGACGCAGACGCCAGATCCATCGCGCAGGATTAAACAGTGAAGCAAATCCTGGGAGGGTTTTGATGAATCCGTTCGTCGGCAGCATCGATTGCTCGTAAAGACGAGTCACCAACGATGGCCACGAAGTCTTCGGGCATACATGCAAGACCTTCGCGGGATAGTGTGATATAGGAATCAAAGTGGTGGTCCGTTACGCGCCCCGCGGGGTGGTGAGTGGTTCTGTGTGCCGTAGCAGTCCGCTCAATGGGATCCACATGCGTTGGCAATTGCCCGAAGTTGAACTCGCGGGGAATAGGTGTATCCTTGAGCTCGCCCATGTAGCACCTGGGCCTTTTGGTTATTTGCCGGCTGCATAGGATTGTTCCACCTTTTTATACCATATAAAAGTGTAGTTCGAGAACCAACCATCGAAAGGGGTGTTTGCGTCATCCAGTTCAATGAACACACCACCGTCTGGATCAATGATATAAGTTAGTTCATTCATATTGATCTATTGATTGTTCTTGCAATATGATGTTCAGAAGGGGGAAGGGTGAGATGAAGAAGAGCGAAAAGTGAGACCGACCCTGAAGAAAGAAGGAATTGGAGAGAATGAAGAGAAAGTATATTCCTTTGAAGTTTAGAAGGGAATTTGCCCAGGTGTAGGTGGGTTTTAACACCATGAGCTTTGGAAGGAAAAGATTCCAAGATTCCAGAAAATAGTGGACTGCCCTGGGCAGAAAAATAACCTCAGGAATCTTCCGTCAAACATCAAAGACTCAAGAGAGCCGAGGAAGCTTGACATTCACCAGGAACTTTACCAAATAAAAATGGATGAAGAGGCAGAGAATCTTACAGCTTTCAAGTCTCGCTCCAGTTCCAACAAATATCGGAATTTGCCGTCAGATAAAAGCAAATAGGTGGTCAATCGTAATTAAGTAATAAAGTGGCTGATATACTTCTTTGTCTGCAAGTCTTGGCGTTCCCCGCGTCGCGTCGGTTCGCGTACTTTCAATTTCTTTGATGCTCAACACTTTTGCCAACTTCATCCATTCTTCTCACCCCTCAAGTCGCCGAATAAATTATTGTCATAATGGGGGATAACAGCTACGACAACAGCAACCGAGCCTTTCTACAGGCTTTCATGGGTCGCTCGTCAATGACCTTTGAAGAAGCCCAGCCTGTTTTAGCAGCAATTTTCTCTGCTCATGGTCTGCACCTGCACCTCTCTCATATCTCATCTCCTTTCTCTGTGGAATCCCAGCTAATCAAAGCATGAGCACAGGCGGGGAAACTGTGGACCCAAGCGATGTCACCCAAGAGCACCTCTCCTCCTACATCTCAGCTGCCAACACTGCCATCTCTCCCTTTGACTTGGAAATCAGAAGCTCGTTCCGCCAGACACCGAAACCGACAGACCAAGAAAGCTCCGATAGCCCACCTACAAGAGTATATGCCCTTGTCAACACAACCAGCGACCCAATAACCCAACTAGCGACAACATACTCCGCAGATGAGATCGCTTACGTCAAGCGTCTACTTGATTACATGTTTGATACCAATAACAACCGGCTATGCGAAGGAATGGTCATAACATCCATTCAAGCCCTTAATATTCGCTCCTCAGCCGAGGCCAACCGCCGACGCTCGGCCAATGCGGCAACGCAGCAGAGCCAGGGAGCCGCACAGTCTTTGACGATGACACAGGCGGAGAATATGATGCAGAATCTCGTTGCCGAAGGCTGGCTAGAGAAAAAGTAAGAATGACTACTTCAGCCTGAGCCCACGAGGACTGATGGAGTTGCGCGGGTGGTTGGTTGCGGAATACAACGAGGAGGTGGATGGTGTGCGTAAGGAGCGCATTAAGTTTTGCGCTGCCTGTAGAGATATTATTACTGTGGTATGTACTATATGCTATTTGCTTGCATTGAAGCGCGGTAGATCTGACTTCTTACTAGGGACAACGCTGCGAGGATCGCAACTGCTTAGGCCGACTCCATGACCACTGCATGCGAAACTTTTTCCGTATTCACAGAGCAGAAAAGTGCCCCGTTTGCAAGAAGGACTGGCCAGGCAACAAATTCGTCGGCGAAAGAGCAGCCTCGGCTATGAACCGCAGGCAGCCTAATCCCAGAGCAGCGCCTGTCCCTACCCCAGCCGACCCAACTGAAGATGGAGCCGGCACAGTGGAGGCCAATGGCGAAGAAGAGGCCAGCGGCGAAAAAGAGGCCAGTGGTGAAGAAGAGGCTAACGGCACAGCGGAGGCCAGTGGCGAAGAAGAGGGTGACAGTGACTCGGAAGAGGATGCAAGCGACGAAGAAGAGGGTTGAGCACCTGACAGTGGGTCATTTGACATCACTCAATTGAAACTCTCTACCTTATCGGGAGCCAAGTCTTCATCGCCGTGGCTTCTTTCTTTGCATGAACCTGAACATCACTACCGGAGGTAAAACAGAGCTCGCGGTTTACATACAACCGATATCACTTGAAGAAGGGATTTTTATGGCGGGAAACAAATCATCAATGGGTAACACAGCAACCAGTAGACTGGTATTGGGATTCGAGACTCATGCACACCCAACACATTTCTTCATCGGACATGCGACACATTGAAGATCAATGTGCCTTAACAGAAATTCCACCTTCCTACACATCTGACAAGAGAACCACCTCATCAGCCCACTGGCATGTCCACTGACACTTGAAGCTGAATTCCCCGCATCAGATTTGAGGAGTGTCACTGAACATGGATTACACACACAACACTTGGGGCTACCCTGAACATATTATTGAAATAACGAATAGAATACTTTTTGTGGATATAATTTTGATCTATAGAAGTACAAGTAGGAACATCTTGCCATTAGTACTTGCATGTAAAAAGATTTGAATACTCTGGCTTCCAAGGTTGATATCAATGTAATTCCAAACTCTTTATAGATTCGACACCCCCAGCACATGAGTTATTGCCAGGACTGTGGTCCAAGATTAGTGTGAGAAGTCTCGGTCTTTTTTTGCACAGTGCTTTTGAGCAGCTGAACTGCATGAAGCCATCGTCAAAACTCCGTCAGCAACTACAGATGCCTGTCGATACACAAATTTGATGATCGTATCTAATCGGGTAAATCCAAGTGATCAAATCGGCACCCCGCTGACCAATCAAAGACCCGCTCCGTGCTAAGTAACCTACAACCATTTCAAAACCACTCAGGCCACCAGCCAAAAAGAACTTGCGATCCAAACCTCATTTTGTACCCAGGAAATAGTGTAAAAAAAGCAAAAAAGATATGCGACGGCTGGCGGATTCGAACCGCCGCCTCCGAAGAGAATTGATTTCTAGTCAATCGCCTTAGACCACTCGGCCAAACCGCCTTAAGATGCTCCCACGCCGGGAATTGAACCCGGGCCGGCCCGGTGAAAGCGGGCAATCCTAACCACTAGACCACATGGGAATTGATATGAAATAGGCTCCGAAATATGTTATATAACCACAACTCGCTATGCAAGGAACAAAAACTTTCACTCACGCGCCATATCGTGTACTGATAATTTATTAACTACATTTGCAGGCCCTTTTGTTTATTCTATTTATTTCATTACGCTGATGACGCTCTCATATTTTAATCTGAGTCTTCGGAACTTGGAAATGTTCTCATTTTCAAGTATTTGATTGGGTGTGTCATTCTCGCATCCATTGCTTGTACATGCACGGAAACATATATAGCCTCCCAACCATCAACACCGATGAGTGTCCATAGGTTCTGACTTCCCCACCACCGTATCGCGTGGTCTCTTCCCCGAGTTTACCCTGATGTGGAGTGTGGATCGTCCGTGGCGGCTTTCTTGGCGGCGTTTTTGTGTTCAAGTGCATGTGATTTTTGAATTCTACGTTGCATTTTTTCCGCTAGATGTGCAAACATCTGATGGGTGATGATGAGATCGGTTTCGGTCTCCCGTTTCCCTCGGAGGTAAAATGCTTCGAATGGGATGGTAATTTCCCCGACCGGGGAACCGTGTGGTTTAACTTGAAGCCTTTGGTGGGATTCGACTTCACCATTCTCATTTTTCGTCCACGCCTCAAGCGTCAATCGACCGGTCGCGGTGATATTGAGGGATATAACGGCTCTCGTTTCGCTTCCCAGCCAAAACTCGACATCCTTCCATAGCTTCGTTGGCCCCTCCATCCAGCCAATCTCCACAACAACAGATGGCCAATCCCGTTCTATGCTGGTTGGGTCCCATGCGCCATCAGGCCTTTTCCCACGCGAGTTTTGTCGAAGCATACTACCCGTGGATGGAGATAAATCTTCAGTCTGGTTGCTGGACCAACCGGAGATAAGACAAATGAATGCTGCTTGCGCAGCTGCGTGCACAGATGTCACCAATGTGAGGTTTAAGATAATTATCCCATAGGGGAAAAGACATGATTTCAAAAGTTGGGCTAGTCGCCCTTTTTGAGAAAAATGATGGAACTTGCGAGGGTCTAACCCCTCGAGGATAATATTTGAGTGGTTTGTGTGAGATACTACATGCTCAATATCTTTAAGACATCGCATTTTAGTATGGTATTGATACCTCGGTGTGCCAGCAGGAAGACCTTCTTGTTTCAAGAATCGTTCAGCCATCATGAAATTGTCGGGTTGTCAAAAAAGAGGTTGAACGTTGGGAGTATTGATGATGAACAAAACGGAAACGGTGCGATGGTCAACCTAAACCCAAAGCGGTTACATCATAGTGATCCAAAGGCCTTCATTTCCCATCTTTGCTGGATAATCCTAACACATCAAGAATTTCACCTCCGGCCTGGCTCCCGTTCAAAAATGCCGCTATTTGGGGCCGATCATTCCACCGATCTGCAATGCTCCCTTTCACCTCGCGACTACTTTGAGCAGCACTAGAGATAGCGAATACTCCTGTAAAAAAGTAAAACTCCTCACCCGGCTCAATATCCCGCGACAAGTCACGCGTAATGGTAGGAATGAGTGTCCTCTGATGTACCAAATTGGTGTTTGCATCAGGCTTTAGAGCGGAAGCATCCGTGATTATAGGTGGCGACGGGCGGTCTACCCCAAGGACCGAAAGGCCAGTAGCTCCAGCCGCTGAAAGGATCAAGACAGAGCTGTCTGTTTCAAGAATTCCTTCAGTTGTTCCAATTATCATATCAGAGTCGCTGTCAATGTTTGGAAGTTTTGATCCATCCGATCGGCGACCAAGAGAGGCAAATCCACCTTCGACAGTGTGGAGACTGCGTAGCGAGGAATTGATTCGGACGCGATGAATCCGTATATGCCAGTCTGGCCATCGATCCGTCGGTGGGATCAATGTTGTATTGATTTCCACCTGCCGATCCCCCCAAGGATACCACCGAACAGTAGCCTGAGGTACGATATGTGTCTGTCCACGCACTAAGAGAGAAGCTGTGGAAAGTACAGGCTCGGAACACTTCCACTTCACAGCCCATGTCTCGGCACCGTCTCGGCTAAGCGCTAGCGTGCAGTCTGGCGCAATTTGTTGTATTAAAGGTCCAGTGGGAACCGAAAACCCAAAGGCGGATGAGTATTCAAACTTGGAGTATTTTGCTTGACTGGCTTTAAGGGGCCACGCGACAAATTGAGCAGGTGACAGGAAGAAGTGATGATTTCCTGCTGGGTGGTTGCTAATGATCTGTCTGGGAGCTGGGATGAGCTCTGGAGCCTGTTGAACTGGGTGTTCCTCTTCGTCTGCTGTCCAGAAACTGTTGTTTGACGTGAGCGAGAGGGCAATTAACGATTTGAGGCCCCAGTAAGTAGACTGGGGTGAGTTGTAGTCTTCACACATGTACATATTCCTGCAGGCGAATGTCAGTTTATGAATGGGTTGAGAGTCGTGTAGAAGGGATTGTGTGGGTACTGACGGGTACAACCAGCCGATATTCAAGGTTCCATCCACATTGAAGATGTCATCTGAGCGAGCTGCCCACCACCGAAGGTGACGCAAGAGCATTCCCTTAACATGGCCAGGCTTTGATAGCGGATACTGCATGTCGGAAACGTCACTTACTGCCAGCGCAGAAAAGAAGGCGCCACATGCGAATCGATACGTGAGGGAGCGACCGAATGGGATGGCAGAGCCTAGCCAGTATAATGTCAGCTCTATAAATCTGGATAGTTGAAGCAAAACATACCATTGCAGTCAAAGTATTTCCAGAATGAATTTCCAAAGTCACGAGCTTGCTGCCGGTACCTTGCAGTCCTTTCAGGATCCATATAATCGGCGAATTTTGTATATAACAACTGGCTGAATTGAATGGCGAAACTACCAGAGTAATAGTCCACTTGCCGACCTTTTCCAATCGCATCTCTGCGGCGAGTCTGTTCAAATGCAGTCATTTCCTCCTCTTCCTCTTCAGTTGATAGCCAGGGGCCGTCGCCCGACCAGCCGTCTTCTAGATAGAACGAATCGAGAACAGCGAAATCCGCAGTAATCTCTTCTGTGAGCTCAGAAGCAGCAATTCCGCAAACCTTGATGAGCGCAAGATTAGCAAATACTCGAAACCAACGCCAATTGTTGCTGGGCATTTGCTTTCCATTGATCCCCCGAAGCCAGGCCGTAATATTATGTCTGGTCTTCTCATCGCGACCGTGAAACAATTTGTCTGGAGCAGACAGCAGAGCATAGCTAATAACCTCTGCCTCGACCATCCGCTGATCCATGTCGGAAATCGCTCCCCAATATTCTGGATGCTCGGGATCTGTACCAGTGGAAAACCCCGCAATCCATGGTTCTGTCACTTCCCGAATTTCTTTCGCGATGGAAGCATCAAATGTATTTTCCTTGGAAGACGAGGCCTCCCACTGCAGCAATGAAGCTACTGCCCACAATGGCCGAACGAATCCCTCAAGCTGTGCAGCAGCTTCATCGAAATGAGCTCCCGTCGAGACCGGGATACGAATACGAGCATTTCCAGGGGAAAAATAAATTTTCAGCGGTCGCAAAAAGGCCAGAGCGGCATTGGCAAGATCGTCTCTGGAGCGAAGTGGATTATCAGAAAACCCGGTCAATGGAGGCATGGTGACAATTGACGAATTGTTGGGAGGGGTAGCAGACAAGGAATCGTGATCTCCATATAATGCCACCAATGTATCGCGGGGTCCGGGGTAAGTCTCGGGCTTCGGGAGAGGTCTCGGGCCTATCGGCCGATCCCGCCAAACTGTGTCTCGGCATTTTCCATGTCACTGTGTGAGTCGTTAGTTATAAATGGCAATCGAACTACGAATTACCAGGCGCTCCAAAGCTCATTTTCGGCGTTGCCTATGATGTTTGCAAGCGACAGCCCCCCGCGTACCATGAGTGATTCCGACTATTCAAGAAGTCCAACCATGACAGAGCTCAGCCACCCAGATGCCGAGGGCGATGTTTTTAAGAAAACGCATATTGTGGAATCAAGTTCAACACAGCCGTTGAGGGGAAAACTGCAGGACTTGTATAGTGAAAATATCACTGCAAAGGTCCTACGTTCCGCTGTCAACTGCCTTGAAAATAATGCAAGTGCCTCATTTATAACGGACCAACTGCAGAGGAGGAATATTTGTACTGACTTTGTTTAGAGCCCCATCACCGAGTATCCTGAGTGGGTACCGCAGACTGGGCCAAATGCCGGCAAATACCAATGTCGCGAGGCAGACTTTTGGACGTGTGGCTTCTTCCCCGGATTGATCTACGGCGTCCTCGAGCGTTTGATAAAGTATCCTCAACAGGGAACAAGTGGACCAAGGAACGACATCATGATTCATAAACTCCGAGAGCTAGGCGAGATATGGTCCAATCCCATCCATCCCATGAGCACTCGAACAGACACGCACGACATGTCCTTTATAATCCAGCCATCAATGCGGCCTCGCTGGGAACTCTTCCACGATGAGAATGCCCTTTCAACTATCATCACTGCTGCAGAGAGTCTATACACTCGCTATAGTCCCGAAGTCGGCGCTATACGGTCCTGGGATCAATTGACCCAAAAGGGAGTCAACATCACATCCATGGACCATGATTTCTTAGTCATTATCGACTCCATGTGCAATCTCGACTTGTTATACTATGCTGCAGCTCACACCGGTCGAACCGACCTCTCCGTCGCTGCAACTAAACATGCCCATAAACTCCTGCGCACTCACCTCCGCCACGAAACCGGAGAATACTCCCAGCGCAAAGGGTATACTGGGCCCCTATTCAGCACATTCCATGTCACAAACTTCGACCCAGTGACAGGTTGTCTCAAAGAGGCCCGTACAGGACAAGGTTACGCAAAGGACTCAACCTGGGCACGCGGACAAGCCTGGGGTATCCTCGGCTATTCGCAAACATTCCAGTGGACCGGCGAAGAAGAGTTCCTTGTCGCAGCCTGTGGATTGGCCGAATACTTCCTTCTCAGATTAGAGATGGCCCCCACCTGCGTCGAGAAAACGATCCAAAGTGGACTAGAGAATGGTGCAAGTCGCACCTGCGGCCGCCTAGTTCCACTCTGGGATTTTGATGCCCCCGTCGATGAGGCAAACCCGCTCCGCGATTCATCTGCTGGCATCATTGCAGCTAATGGTATGCTGGTGTTAGCGCAGAGCCTGATTTCCCGCGGTGAATACTTGCAGGGTCGTCGGTATCTCGAGGCCGCGCTTTCGCTCGTTGAAGATGCGCTGGCGTTCTCGTTGGCAGAAGAGAAAGCTTGTATTGTCGTTCGTGGAGAAGAGATTTTGGTGGAAGATGTGCAGCCCAATGCGAGGTTTGAAGCTATTTTGAAGAATGCCACTGCGAATCATAATGCATCTGATCACCGCCGTTACTGGGATCATGGGCTTGTATATGGTGACTACTATCTTGTTGAGTTTGGGAATCGGTTGCTTCGGATGGGACTTGTGTAACTGAGTGATATTTAACCTTAGATCATTAATATAGAGGAAACCTATTGATGAGGAAAGGTCTTTCGGAAAAATTTGCAAATTTTTGAAATGGCTAGTCTCCAGATGTCATTTTCAATGTTCTTCTCGGACTATCTACTCAGAAGCGATTGCGCAACATCCCACAGTACAGCTCACTCACCTGCCAAGCCGCACAGACAAGCAAAGAAAAAAACCGGGTTAAAAAAAAAAGCGGGGAGTGACCAGGCTTGCAGTTCGAATGACACTTAGGCTGATACCATCACGGCCTAGTCACACCGATGTACAATTCATTCCAGGGCTTGTTTGCCCATCCCCGGGATTCCCGTTGTGGTTCCGGACCGGGTGATCCTTATTACCTTAACACCCAAGATAACCAGAGCCCCCATTTCTAAATTCTGACTCTCCCATTTGAAGACACCCAAGTGAGGCCTCATGACCCAAAGTCAGTTTATCTACCCACAATGATTCCTCGAATTCCCCAGCTGCTCCTATCCTATGTTCCGTCGTCGATTTTGCCATGGAAGGTTCAACAACCCCTTGCACCTCAGGCCCCAACATACCATGGAGGGTCATCTGTGGCTTTGACTGCCGCTTCTGTGATCCACCTGGGGTCCCGAGCATACTATATCCATTCCGATGGACAGGCAGGTCTCGTTTCAGCGCTAAATAAATGTCAGCGCGTGCTGACAGAGGTTGAAATATCTAGTGGGCGATTAATGTTTCTTCACATCATGGGCTTCAGCCCGCGAGCGTGCTTCGTTTTCCTGGAGGTCAAAGTGCGAGATGGATATCTTTGAATTACAAATACTGCACTGAGCCTAGAATAGCGGAAGGGGTGTGTTTCCAGCCTTTCTCAAGCACTTGAGGGTAATCCGGCAAGACTGTTGCCTAGGAACTGCTCTAAGGCCCGAATGGCTGTAGGTGGGTCCAGTCCCGCCAAGACTATCCACCCGAGCTTCTCCGCCGCGGAGCCATCTTGGCCCACCTGGGCAGGGACCAGGGTAGCTAAAGCACGCTAATTTTCCAATGTCTTAAAAGCAAGCCTCTCCCCACCAATAAACCTCCATCTTTCCCGATTCCGCGGCTTACCACAATTATTACCAGATTCCATGCATGCTCCATGGAGCTCTCCATAATCTACTACATTTTCCTCCTCCTGATTTTTATCTACTTCACTAAATATCACTTCCCACGCATGAACACCATCCAGATGCCCGACCCGGTCCCGGTCCTAGCCAGTGACCCTAATGACCAAGCCAAGGAACCCGACGAAGATGAATTCTACCACCACCCTGTGTGGTCCGAGTCGGAGCGGTGGTCCAACCCCGAGTTCACAGACGAGGGTCGTGCAAGATGGAGAGGGGAGCCATGGTATAAGAGCGAAACTAGCAGCACGGCCCACCGCTTTATAACTCGGAATGCGCAGAACTTCTGCTACCCATGGGGCTTTATCATCTATCGCGTGGTATACACAGCCGAGTCGGATAGATTATGGCCTCTTGCGATGGAAAGGCTTGCCTATTCGCTGAACTTGGCAATCAAGGATGGGAGTGCGGATCGGCAGGGCCGTCCTCAACAACTGGTTCAGACATCGCATAAGGACGTCATACTCTCTGATGCGGCTCGTTGGGATGGGGCTAGCATCGAGCAGGTCCGGGATCATTTTGCAGAGTATCTACGCAAGACTGATCAGGACGTTTACCCGAATGAGCAACGGTATGCTCTATGTTTTGTTATTGATGAGAAGGCTTTGAAATCCATCACTGCACCGGGGCATCGAGTTGGCTGGGTTGGGGCCGTTGATGGAAGATTTGACCCGGCGACCAAATACGAGTGGCCTGATTATCGTGGGTTCATGAGGGTGAAGGTTAGGTCTTTGTGGGAACTGTACCTGGATCTTGAGGGCAAGCATATGTGGGAGGTATGTCCGGCGCCACCAGAGGGGTGGATTCCTGTTTATGCTAGTGGGGAGAGAGTGGGACAAGACGAGAGTGGTGAAGTTGAGAGAGACTTTTCGCAGCAGCGGCCGGCGGGAGTGAGACCTGCACAGGGACGTGGAAGAGGCCTACCGAATTGAGAAGCAATGGCTCACCCAGGTGCCTTCAAATGTTTGTCTGACTTCGGCATACTACCTAGATATAATGGTTACTGTGCTACAGACGTACTTTATTGAATATTAGTGGCAATCCAGCTGACACTATCCGTCAACTGGTCCATATGGCTGGCTGGTTTGAACGATCAATTGGTTTTTCTCCACATGTGCAGCGTGTTCCGATCTACTGAACACCTAGGTAGATAGCGTCTTGAACAAGGGTAGCATTGTACATAACATTTGAACTAGCCACTGGAGCCAATTGCTGTGTGGCTGCACATGGACTTATAATCGAACCCTGCTTCGAAAATGGTCGGCGAATCAATGTGATTTATGGGCAGAATTTAGATCTGGCTTTGACATGCTGTCCTGATGTTGCCCGTTTAGGCCCTCTCAGGGGTCGATCTCCTTCAATGTTGTCGTGATATACTCTCGCTCGCGGTCGCGAATGAGCTTCCAAGGTTGTCTCGCTGTTCAAGCTGTAAAGCCAATTAGAGATCTCCATCCCCAGCAAGAACTTCATGTTACGCTTCCCCGTAACTCTTTCCACCTCGCGTTCTGCGTATCATCATGCTTCTAACCGCTGACGTATGGTATCAAGGAACAAAAATAAAAAAAATAAAAAATGATAGTAAAAAAATAAGTGCGAACAAGCTTCTCGAACGAATCCAAAGGGCAAGGTATCACTGGGAAATTCGTCACGCGTAAAAGGAGGCTGAGGCTGTTGGGAAAAACGGTCCCAAAGTCGGATGCGGATGCGCTGGAGGGGGAAAAATGATATCATATGGAGCCCCTCGTTGGGGATGGTGGGTCACAGAACCACGGAATCATCAGCGGAAATGGGAAAAAGGGGGTTAGGAACAACAGAAAGGAATTCGACGAGATTCTCAGCCATTGAGTCTTCGTCGGCGACCTCTTGTGCTCCCAATGGGACGTTGTGCAAGGACCTGGCGGAGGATAGGATCATCTTTGCTTTTATCAACGTGATGGACTCGAACATGTCTAAATAACCCTCAAAGTTAGCCAATTGATTCTGATTTTTCCAAGGTGTTCAAGGTGTTCAATTGAAGAATTGAGCCCCCTCTCTGATCATTTATATACCGTTGAAGATTATCCGGTCGAGGATACTTATGTTGTTGATCCGGACGGAAAGGACACACGTAGCCAGGCGAGTTATGCATAAGTCCATGTCGCATCATTTCATTTTTACGTTTAAATCCTTTCCCACCTACGCCGCGAGGACAGCCGTCTACGGGACAGAAATGTGGTCGATCTTGAGAATGCACATTGGCATGAGAGCTGTAGAAGCATTAGGAAGATTCTTGAAAAAAAAACACAATATGCGTCCACAGCTGTGAATTCAAGCAGCCATTGGAAGTTCACTCACTTGAGCTAGCCAATCAAGAATGATCTTCGACCGAGACGTCGCTTCACTCTTTCTAAGAGCGGCAAAATCACACGTTTGAGATTCATTGCTATCTTAGGTTATTGGGATTTGGATAAAACAATGACGGGGCATGGCACAAGCAAGTACGACTTGTGTTGGCCGTCAACATGCTTTGCAGACTCATGCAAACGCTTTCGACGGTCTGGACCGGGGACCAGCCTGAACGACCGAGGAGATCGAGGCAAATGATACCGTTGCTATAGATATGTGGGTGAATAGGGATAGGACGAGGAGTGTCCTGAGAATATCTGCTAGGTAGTAGCTAGGGTAGATAATCATACCTTAACAGATATCTAGAAACAGCCAGTAGATAAAAATTAGAAAGTATCACTTAGGAGCCATATAGGCGTTGATAAGAGTAGGTATAGGTGGCGCTGCTTACCACCTGAGAACAGTGCTCCGGTACGACGCCCTATGGAAGAAACATTGCTGCAATCTGACTACATTTATAATTCCAAGTTGTAGATCGAGGGCTTATATCGCGGAGCTGTTAGGTTTTCGAGCCGCTCTCCGTATGATTATCATGCTTCGCTGCGGGGCCTCTGTTGAGATATGTTGCTTGATAAAGGAGACTTAAATTCTAGAGACAGATCAAGTGGTAATCTAGTACCTTGTTTCGGGAGTATTCTGATCTATTAACTTCACCTAGATGAACTTTTCAATTAGGACCAGTATATAGGCTGCTTTCCCTTTTTTTTCTTTTTTTGTCTTTTCTCTTAGTATATAGTACCCCTTATATTGCATTTTCTCTCTTCTCATTGTTTGGATTTGTTGCTACTGTACCGTTCGATATATAAGTGAATAGACACCCCATAATACGTACAGTGCCGACCGCAATTGCCTTCCATATCATAGACAGAGAGCTACACTTAAGTACAAATATCTGCTGGCTAAGTTTATCTTTAGGAGATTTCTATTATACAATTAGGAGTTATTAGAGTAGCTCTCTTTTTGTGATAGGGCAGGTAGTTACGGTCAGCACTATACAGATCATTTCGAGAGAGATTAACAGCACATTATTTGTACATCTAAACTTGGCCAGTGAAGCTTGACTGTACTCAGGTCAATCAATTTCCATCCATTCATGTAGCCTGAGTAACACGAACGGTAGTTGTGCGATCTGGGGTGATTCTTACTTCAATCTCACCTCCTCTGCTATATGCTTACCCTTCTTACCCCTAATTGTGTAACCAGAAAGCGGTGACCGGTTGCTTCTCTATAAGGCTAGACTAGATGATTGGCTAGTGTGACCCTTCTATGTGTGGCTTAAACGTGGATAGTAGTTGGGTGGCTACTACTTGGGTAAGAAAGGGGTAAGTGCCGCTTTACCCCTATGTTATTAGGGGTAAGAAGGGGTAAGTATGTAATAGATGGGGTAAGAGAAGGGTGAGAGTGAGTAAGAGATAGGTAAGAGTAGGTGAGAATCATCTTGTTGTATGACCCTGTACTGACCCTTTTAGCTGAGCTAGAGTTAAATTATGATTAGGCTATATATTTCTCCCTGAAATATCTATAGATGATCTTATATATCTATACTTCGCTATAATTTGGGGTGTTATAGTATCTTAAAAGTAATTATATTTATCTCTAGCGATTAATATTTCTTAGTAAGGGATATTAGTAGGAATTATAGGAGCTATAACTCTAAATTATCTCCCTATATTTAAGTATAACTTTAATAATTATTTATCTCCTAGAGAAAGCATCATCGCCGCTCTAGGGTGATAGGGCTCTGGAGACTAATAGCCATGCGGATATATGTGGCTTAAGTACGGCTGAGCGGACAGGAAGCCCTGTTCTCCACACCCTATGGTCGTATGTACTAGTAACTTCTTTAATTCGTAATATATCGCGCTAATGAATCAATTATTTAATCGCTTGAACAGAGCGAAGCGGAGTGAGAGCATATTTTTCTTACAGTACTAAAATTTTGGGGGGGGTATATGGTGAAATCAGTTTTGCTTATCAGATCGTTTCTTATTGGAAGGGCTCTGATTGGCTGAGTTGATGCGATGTCAGGTGACTTATGCTAGTCACGTGACACATGATTTTTGCAAATATGACCGCTGAGTCATCCTGAGCATCATGTGACCGGTCCGGTCATGTGATCTGCTCTAAATAATGAGATAAAGCTGATTAAGTGATTTGAGGCAACTGGTCAGTCTTTAATATATGCTTAAATCCTGCATTTCCACCTACAAGGGGGGTCTGGGGGTCCCCCCCTGTATGGAAGATTGTAATTCCTTCTATTTGAAGCCCCCGAACTGCATCATATGCTTAAATTATGCAATTCCTTCTATATCGAAGCCCCCGAACTGCATCATATGCTTGATTTATGCAATTCCTTCTATATTGAAGCCCTCGAACTGCATTGTACGCTTAAATTATGCAATTCCTTCTATAATGAAGCCCCCGAACTGTATTGTACGCTTAAATTATGCAATTCCTTCTATATTGAATCCTTAAACTCTAGGATAATACCCCTGCCGTAGGCAGGGACTTGGGGGTCTGGGGGGAACCCCCAGGAAAAGAAGTTCATATATATATATATAGGATTTAATCGCTCCGTTCAAGCGGTTATCGGCAGGTTTATTCTAAAAAATAAACTAAGCCAACACCTGGTAGAATTAGACATAAGGAAGGAGCACTTGAGGAGAATATATTTTGACTCCTTGGTATAGCTATTGATACCTTTAGCCTACACCGTACGCTTTGAGATTTATTCAATCCTTATGTATCTTTATCAAGCTTCCTGACCATAACCCAAGGGAATGCTACAAAGGTATGTAGTAAGTATAACAGAGATTCTCTATCCTTTATAATCTCAACCGCAAGCATCGGCAAAGAAAAACCATCCAGAATTTTGGCAATCTCATCTCTTGTCGCCTTCCAGCGCTTCTAGCTATCAACATTAATCACCACACGAACCGTCGGGGCATCTTTAGAGGTTACTCCTTCCGCGACGGTAGCATCCAATACTGTGGATATCCTAAATTTCAACACTCTTCAGCAGAGTTCTGAACAAAAAGTCCCACTTGCCAAAGATATCATCATCTAGTTGAATAGGAGACGTGTCAGATGGTTTGAGTGCTTGGGGGTCATCCATCTCACCCGAAACATATCCAAAACTCTCTTCGTAGAGTAAAGTATAGTTCTCCTTCGTAGAGTAAAGTGTAGTTCTCGCGTACGACGGCTAAGTTTCCTCAATAATCTCCCGAGTTGCTGTGATGATTATCGTCGACACGGGGTTTGGGTCTGGGTTGAACGTGGACTGTTGGAAGTATAGCTCCATTGACGTCCCACGCACCCACTCACAGTGTGTTTGGATACTTTTGTTATAAATCCCAGCAAGAAGTGAGGAATTTATCGAGTGGTTGAGCGCGAAAAATCACTTCTTTGAATCAACAGCATAGTGAATAACACCAACAAACTTTTTGACGTAATAACAACAAGATAAGCACATTCAAATTGACATCAGAATGTAAGAATATGCTCAGAAACAAAATAAATGGCGCATTTACAAGGAAAAGCACATGTATGCAAGAGGACGCTGATCAGGGCCGATTGATCAAATCTGATAATCTGTCAAGCGGGGAAAGCAGCTGATCTTCTCAGCTGATCTTTTCATCCGAAAAACGCTAAGCCTTCAACCTTACTATAACTACAACCTTATTGAACAGGCTCGTACTAAGCACCTGTGATTTAGAAGTTCCAAACCACTCAATTTACCAAGAAAATATAGTTTTAGTTTAGCACTTGAGTATGGTAGCAATTTTTAGTATTAACATTTTGAGTATTTTTATAATATCACAAATGTCCAATTTTCCCGCACTAAGTACAACATATTATTCAGATCTCTCTATTTAGCTGCCTATAACTCGCAGCATAAGATCTTTAACGGCGAAAGTAAATAGAAGAGATTAGTTGAATTAAGTGATAACCAACTAACTAACTAGCGGTAACTATAAAAGGACCGGTAGTGCTGTCAGATAAGAGACCTATGGGGCTCACTTTTCACCTGAGCTGTGGGCCTGTGGCGCTTCTATGTACATGTAAATTTATACCCCATGTGTACTACGTGTTACATGTACTACGTTTTATAAGTGCAGCTCGTGTTACATGCGCAGCTCACGTTATATGCGCATCTCGTGTTTTATGCGCAGCTGAGAGGAAGGAACCAGGTGAGACGACGGGAACAGACTCTCAGTTACTCCGTAGATAAAGGTGAAGAAAGTATAGGGGGCGTGTTCTAAATATGTGTGAGGGTAAATTCGGGATGCTGGTGTTGAAGGCGACCCTTTTCTGCTGGCATAATTGCCCCTAATGACCTTTGGCCTTTGTAGAACCGTTGGAACGGTTGCGACTACGGAGTATGGAGTGCTGTAGTTGTGGAATCGGAGGTTGATGATCGCTGCGGTGGCAGTGGTTCGATCATCTGTTACATAGCACTCGAGAGCTGTAGGTCAGACCTGCAGGTTATACCCGTAAATTTGCAGCGCTACTGGCTGTGTTACACCACTAGTAGGTGTTGTGTAACCTGAACGAAAGTATCGGCTCGGACCCTGAGCTCGCTGCTATTTCAAAGTGGGGATTATGAGTCTATTATGTATGTGTTGTATATTATCCCTGTTCGATCAATTGGTTTGATTGGGACCGAGAAGTTTGCGAGATCTATTCTCTTCAACCGTGAAGTATTGAATATTATCTTCAATTGGATACGCATATTGTGTATCTGGTTTCTGACACCACTCCTTATTGTGTTCAATGAATCTGTTATTGGCAGGTTTGTATAGGAGGCGAGGGGCCCGGAGAAGTTGTTTTCATAGACATCTGGATGGAAAGAAGTATAAAGTCTGCCTGCATTTCTTCCAGTCCATATGTATTAGCAAGACGCAAAATTGACATTGAATATTTCATTTTGAGCTTTTCCCCCCCGAAATCCAACCCGGTTCCTTTGCGCTCCACCCCAACCACCCTTCAAGATGGGCTTGTTTCAAGTTGGTTTCCTAATCAAACAGAGCCAAGTATCTGATAAAGAGCTAGCATCCAGGGTGAGCAGAGCCATAGAAAGAGAGAATGAGATTAGACGGCCAGGGAAGAAGATCGCAGTAATATCAAACGAAGAATGGGCTGTAATGGTGAAACGATCAAACCAGGGACCCGAACTGGTCCGTCTGTTCAAGGAAGACTGCCGAGTTCGCAATGAGGCAATTGCCTGGCAATTGTTTGAATTTTTCAAAGATTGCTATAAACTTTCTGAGGAAGAGAGTGTGAAGGCACGTGAGCTATCGGTACTGGGACGAATGTCGAAAAACCTTAGCAAGGATCTCATCTGTTACTGCTTTTAAGAGGATAGAGAATATTTGACAACTGGACAAGGTATCGACGTTTTCAGTTAGCCTGAAACTATTATCCGAAATGAGTTCGGTTTGGAGGTGGACTCCCAAGACTTTTACGCTATAACAGAAGCGTGGTATAAGAAGGTATGATTTCTTCATTCTTACAACATAAAACTTAGTGGAATTGACTAATCATCTCTATTAAGAAAAACCTGTCTGATATCGGTCGTGATCTGCTGAAGGCTGATCTTGAGGAAGTCAGCCAGCTTCAAGGCGTCCACACTATCTTGGCAGATGTTCCCGGCTTTTCAGATGGGTCTAACGCCGATAAGATTCTCGAGAGTATATCGTCTGCGTCTGGAAAGGCATACCATACCATCTTCGAGAAGCTTATGGTGGCGTGGAAAGATTTTGACCAGGATGGCAAGGAGTTTGACCAAGAGGGGTACAACAACGTGTACTCTCAAGAGCAAAAGAAATTCCTTACCTATTTTCACCAAAACCTGTCTGAATCTGGTCTCCCAACTCAAACCATTGCCGCTTTGAAAGAGACTCTAGATGAAGACAAGACCAAACTCTGTCGAGCCATGTGGGAAGATAAGGAATGGTCAGATGGGAAAGAGAATCTCGAGCTCGAGAAAGAAATTCTTACAGTGCTGGTGAATGACGCGAAAGTGTTACGAGCAATTACCAGAACAATCTTGATTGCTTGGACAGAATGCAACGTGGTGGTTGATTTGTCCAGAAAGAATTTGGACGATTATCGCAGCGCCAGTACTGCAATCGAACCCCAATATAACCGCCAAAAGGCTTATGAGGAGCACGGAGATGTCCTCAGGATTCCTCAGTCTGGAGAAGACTTTGAGTTATTCAGAGCTAATTTTGATCCTCTCCCTGCCGGCTTTGACCCCCGAGACCCCAGAAATCCCAGAAACCTTAGATTCAATTGATATGGGATGTGGAATGTCCTTGTGATGGGTTTATGTTGGTAATTTGAGGGGCTGTAGCCTCTAAATTACAGTATCGTGAGTACAGGCCCGTTCAACACAGCGCTGTACGGTAAGATTGGAGGAATGCTTGGCATTCTTGCGGCAGATTGGAAGAGCTCATCTCTTAGCCTTCTTTCGTCTTCCACTACTAGTAATCATTATGTTAGAGAACGGCATGTGGTGCGTTCTCTTCCTCGGTTTTAGTGCTATGTTCTTATGTTCTTATGTTCTTATTATATTGGTTATTGGTGTTTATTGTTGATATTGATGCCCAATTTGAGCTTTAAACCCTTAAATACTTGAGGAATCCCATACTTATTGCAGGATTCTAAGCTAAAGATAACTAGTAGAGATTCCTCTACTATATAAGTTTTTCCGTATTAGCAGCGACCAAAGGGATAGGGCGATTCTTACGTGCTCTCACTCTTCTTCTCACCCTCTCTGTCACGCACTTACCCTTCTCGCCCCCAGTCGCGCGACGGTGAGATGGGTCTCGCACATTTCTCACCTAGAGTTTTGTGCGTTCTTATTATTTTTGCTATAAGTCCTGCTCAAAGAAAACTTCCAGTACATACGACCATAGGGTGTGGAGAACAGGGCTTCCCGTCCGCTCAGCCGTACTTAAGCCACACGCCGGTCAGTTAGTAGTATGGTGGGTGACCACATGCGAATCCTTGTTGTATGTTTTTGTTTTTGTTTTTTCCATTAAATTCTTAATGGCATAGAAGCCAAGGGCCTCTCGTTAATTATTCAATCCATTGCTGAATCTCGGGGGAGATAAAACACATGGAAGCTATGGTTTTCTTTAACATTTGAAACAGCAAATAATAACACCCAGCCGACAAGGGCTATGTCTTCGAATGTGTCGTGTGAGACTACTCGGGATAGAATTGCCCCAGAGAGCTATTTGGGGGTGATTGACGTGCAGTATGAAGTTCTAGACCTTAGCGGAGTAGAACATGGCAATGGTTGCCGAGTGGCTTCAAGGATCGTGGCTTGAAATGGCGCGACGAATCGGGTGTGTTCCAAGGTCTTGCTAAAATTGACGATATAATCATGGAAGGTTACACAGAACTGATGGTTGAGGCTGCCTGAGAATTTCCTTGGCCCTGTAGTAGGTCCACCCCGCCGTCCAGACTCCACGGGTAGGATGGCCCGTGGGAAGTGGCAATTTTTTCAGGACTCGCACCTTCCATTATCTAGTATGCTCCCCAGACGCAACTTAGACAACGCGATACAAATTGCGATTTTGAAATCTGTCAAAATTTCCCACAAAAATTTAAACCCCCATTGGCGTCTTCTCAAACATCTGATTTGCATTCATCAGTGGACCGTGCTAGGCGCGAAGAGTAAGCATCGGCAAAACTAACCGGCACGATACTGAAATCTAGTTCAGGTTCTGTTTGGTTCTTCACACCCCCACAATCGGTACCTCCGTGCGGGCCGTACCTCACTTGACCCTCGGTCGTTTGCTCTTCCTGAAGAAAAAGCCCCGCAGATGACAGGGGTCAGAACTAAGCTACTGGCGCCACTTCTGCTCTCACCACATGGGTTCAAATATTGACAAAACACATTCGAGCTTATGCAAGCCGTGAACTACTCACACGGTGTCGTCGGTCCCTGTACCTGACATATGACCCCTGGACTAAGGCCAAAGTACGTGCATACCGCAAGTTTGTTTGCGACTAATAGCTGCTTTGCGCATACGTACTCTGATGGGTCCAGTGTACCCTCTTGGCAAATTTACCATCCGGGTTATTTTAACTGGGTGATTATGGCACTATGCCATTGTCATTGGTTGTCTTCTCCAGTTTACGAGACATTAGAACCTTTGATAAATTTCTGAGTTCGGTTTTTTCGTCCCGATGTTATTTGATGAGCTCATCAAATATCGTCCCCTCAGTTAAGGTTGCCCTTTCAAACCGGTTATCGAGGAATCATCTACACGGTGTCGCCGAATGACAGCTTTGTGGCTGGATGTGACGAGCTGAGGATGAGGCTGGGCGTGTGAATCCTTCCAAGTTTTCTTGAAGAGGTCAGAATTCGTTGACAATGAACGAAAGGGCTGTTGGACACTTTAGCCGATCCAAGAACATTGAAGCGACGCGACACTTGAAGAAGACAGATATTCAAAATCTAGTAGGAACCTATATAAAGCTCCATCTCTTCATTCCAGGTTCTATTATCATCACCACTAAAGCAAACACTCAAGCAACCCGATCTATCTTCAATATCTTTCCTATAACTTCATCTGAGCTCAAGCAAAAATCACCACAATGGCGGCTCCTTCTCCTTCTCAATATGCCGGCCTAGCCGCGACCTGGACTTTGCAAACAGGAATTGCTCCCTCAACTGAGAGCATCTTTCTGCCACAGGCCGGAGCAAACACGGAATCTGTCTTCGAGCCTGACCACCGGGCCAAGGTTGACCAGAATGATTACAAGGATGGCGGAAAGTATCGCTGTGAGTATCATGACACAACTATGAAAATCAATCAAGTGAAAGCTAACATTCTACCAATAGCCATTGTCAAGCTGGAAATTGCCTATGAGGGTACTGGAGCTGAGATGTCTTCCATCGGTACTGGCTGGCTCATCCGCCCAGATGTCCTCGTGACCGCTGGACACTGTGTTTTCGACCACGCTGGAAACGACGGTCAAGGATGGGGTCGACTCAAGATCATGCAGTGCCACATTGGATACAATGGTCGCGACTCTTTGAAAGACCCGTCAGTGCAGACTCGATTTGCGAAGAGAGTCGTGACCACTGGTGAATGGATCGACAGCCGAGACAATCGTCATCGCGACGTTGCCTTTGTGCAGCTTGAGCAACCATTCACAGGCAACCTGCGAATCTTTTCATTTGCACCAACTCCGATGAAGGGAGTCGAGATGCTTGGTGTTGTTGGATATCCAGGCGATATGCACACCGTGGATAACGATGGGATTGATGAGATTGGAGCTCATATGTATGAGTTGTTCCAGGACATCAAATATAACTTGGAAGATGCTCCCCTGAAGATGCTGCAATACAAATTATCTACCTTTGGTGGTAAGTTAGTTCCTGACTTGAGATGCTACGTATCATTCGAAAAACATGGCTAATTGAACAAACTTGCTGGGCATATTTAGGCCAGTCTGGATCTCCCGTTCTCCGCAAGAAGAACCCTCAAGTTTCTATCGCAGCCCACTGCTACGGCGGAGCTGAAAAGAACTCTGCTAGTCCCATCGGAGGTAAGTATGGAAATGACTACAACTACTACCTCTCAGCGTTGAACAACTCCTTCCCAACCGTCACATCTGTTGCTGGTGTCAACTTTGTCAAGCCCAATGCCCTGTCTACAGCTCCCGCAGCTCCCGGAGCTCTTGCAGTCCCCGCAGTCCCCACTCCAGGCTTGATGATTGAAGGAGAGGAGGGCTTTTTCGATGCTTTCAAGTCTATCGTTGGTGTTGTTGCTCGAGTAGGGAAAGTCGCTCTCCCAATCGCCTCTCCTCTGCTTGGACCTCTTGGTGGGCCCCTCTCCGCTATTGCTGGTTCTGCCCTGTCGGCTGTTGCCAATGCCACTGGTGCTGAGTCTACTACCATAAGCATCCCACAAGCAACCCAAGGAGCCACGGAGCGTGCTGTTCTCGCCGAGGCGACTTTGCAGTCTGTTCTCAGAATCCACGACCCGGAGCTGACAGAGAGACTGCTCGGCGACATGGAAGTTACTTACTCCGAGCTGGCTCCGCATATCACCCACATTGCCCCCAAGATGGTTCCTATGTTGAAAGATTCTGCATTGAGAATTGCCGTTACCCAGGACTTCATGAGAAAGAGCGACAATATGAAGCTTAGCGCTCGCAAGCCTGAGAGCATTGGAAATGACACCGAGTCGGCATTCACCGGTGACATGATTCAAACTCCATTTGTGGAGGGGCTATTGCAGGCAACTAGACCTGTCGAAGGCGAGGAAGGCTTCTTCACCGGATTTGGATCTTTCCTTGGCAAGGCTGTGAAGACGGCCGCACCCTTTGCTATGAAGGGTGCCAAAATCGGATTGCAGCTTCTGAACAACGCATTGGCACCATCTGGACAAGAAAGTGTATCCTACACCCAGCCCGAAGACCGAGACGATCAGATCGCTGCCACATTGCTCACCAGGCGGGCTGTCATGGCCGAGGCTGCTCTTCGCGCCGTCATGAAGCTTGACAAGAAGGACCTTGAGCGCGCCTCTAGCTCCCAGACGGAGTCATTCTTTGGCCCCGAAGGGTTCTTCGATGGTATCAAGTCTATGGTCCAGGTCATTGGTAGTGCTGTGTCCAAGGCCGCCCCGAAGGTTATCAGCACTCTATTACCCATTGCGGCAGATGCCTTGGGCAAGAAGATTGCCGGTCCGGGTTCGAGAAACGATGCTCTCTCACCAGCACAGCCGGCCATGAGAACCCGTCGATCATTTGCTAATATTAATGCTGCTTACAATCCCGGCTCCGCTTTGGAGGTGAGTGCCACTGAAAATCTTGCCCCTGCCATTTCCACCGCTGTTGCAAATGGTGGAAATGAATTCAAAGCGCCGAACCTGGATGCTCCCATGACAATTCACAATCCTGATTTCTACGAGAGACTCCGATCTCATGTAAGAGGTCGATCTTGTAGAAATTTGACAAACAATTGCTAACATACCTTTATTTAGGCCAGCGCTTGAAGCCTTTGACTAGGCTGTGAGACTCTATGGGTCTCGTCCACTCGTTTGATCAATATTTCCATTTGTCATGTTTTTAAATATTACTTCGTGTGTTCAGACTTTTTATCTTGATCTTTCTTGCTGCAATTTGATGGTGCTTGGTTACTGATATCAATATTCGAAATAAATTAAATAAAAACCTCGAGTTCGACTTGGAAAGACCTCTCATATCATTAATCAGGCCATTATAGTCAGGGAGCATGGATTTGAGCGTCTTGAAAAATATAGAGGTATCTGGTTAGTGAACATTGAAGTGTAAAGTGCCCCGAAGAGGGCTGAATAGAGCTGCCGGCACGCGGGCGCCCGATAGGTGCTCGCTGCTCACTATATCGCTGTTGACCACCTTAGGTCATGCTTTTTCTTGTTCTTTTTTCTATTATTAATTAAAGATCGCGAAGGGACCTCGTCCCGCGGTTCCTCACTTTTATAACCACTCTGGATATTAAAGTTTGATTCTTGATTATGCTTCACATACAGTACTGAGTAAATAGTTACTATTATTGTAATAACATCTAGGCAAATGGCCACTCCGTCCAAAAGTCTGCCTGGTGTAGTGGTGGCGTCCACCCCATCCATCCAGTTTGTTCAGACTGGTCTGGTGACGGTGTTCGGTGCGTCCATCCCCATCCAGTTATTTCCAGTGGTCGCCTCGGTGATTCATCATGAACTTGCCAATTTATTGGAACATCAGGTGGCTCATGTAGTCCCTGCACCACGTTGCCCATGAGGTGTTGAATAGCTATGTCATCACTCTCAAACTGATCAAGCCAGGTACGCGTAGAATTTCCCTCCCAATTTTGATACCAGTTGATCCGGCCCTGAAGCCCTTTCTCGGCCAGAATAGCCTCAATCATCTCAAAGTTTGGCGGATTTTGCTCCAGTGCAGTCACCAAGAGCAACTCCAAAAGTTTATAATCGATATAGACTCCAGGGAAAGCAAGAAGTAACTTGACAACTTCAAAATTCTTCGATTTCACGGCCGCTTCTATTGTGTAAGTGGCCCTGCGACCAGGGTTGTGTTTGCCTTTCTTTGAGCATGCGTCTGTGTTTCCCCCGTCCGTAATTCGGGAACAATGATGTATCATCTCATCTAACAAAAGACGAACCACTTTTACATGGCCATTCGATACTGCATAGTAAAGAGGTCTTCCTGGGGACTCAGGACATGCGCCTCGGTTCATGAGTAAGTGGACGGTCGATAAATGACCATTCTCCGCAGCGCAAGAAAGGGGATGCCGAGTCGGAAGTATTCCAGAGATGCTCGGGCAATTAATATTGGCATTGAATTCCAGCAGAGTCTGAACCACCTCGTCATACCCCATCGAAGCCGCCAATGACAAAGGTAGGATTATTCTATCACCTAAAAACGGGAATCGTTGGTTTTTGAATTCAATCCTCGACGTTCCATCTCTTGACTTGACTATAATTTGCTGTTCCTCATCCACATTGCCATCCGGCCGTGCGCCTTTCTGTAGAAGGAAGCGAACTATGGTGCTTGAGCCAAGCCCCCCCGTAATGGCCCAGAACAGGACATTCCTAGCATCGGAATCCAAGAAATCGATTCTAGCACCATATTCAAGCAACAGCTGTATGACCGAAATGGAAGATTCTTTGGGGTCTCGAACTGCCCAGATCAGTGGCGGGTGACGATATTTTGGGTCTTTTGAATTTGGATCGACACGATTTGTTTCCAGTAGGACTCTGACAATATCGACGTATGCCTTTTCTGCAGCGTGTGACAGTGGTGTGCGGTCGAGGCGACTCGATACATGATCTGGATCGACGCCTTCCATAGGCAACAGAGTTTCCACAACACATGTTTGTCCAAATTGCACCGACAGTTCTAATGCGCGGTTCATATGTGGCTGTAGTTCCATCCGTCCTGGGTAGCCATTATCTTTTAGAAAATCCTCAACAACTCGGGAGTGACCATTTTTTGCTGCCCAGTCAAGAGTTTCCGCCCCATTTCTCTGGAAGCTAAGGCGGTAGACCTCTGGCATGAGAAAATCGTAAAGATCTTGGCAGATTCCCGCAAGGCTGACAATATCGCACATTGATGGCAAGTATTGCACAATGGCCATCTTTAACTCCGGGGGAAGAGTAAGTAAAGACATCTTGCAATGCCTGAATGCCTTTGTGGAAAATTTGAAATATAATCTGTAGAAACTTTAGTACCAGGGGGATATGTTCGCAGAAATTAAGCAATTTGAGCATACCTGTAGAGCAAGCAAATCAAAGATGGAAATATCAGCTATTTGGTAGTGCTTAAATGAAGGTGAGACCGGAAAGACACAACACTGATATGGCAGTGATAACAGAGTGTAAGGAGAAAAAAGAATGTAGTGTGGGAAACGCCATGAAGTCCGACCAGGATCACAGAACCGAGAGACGATAGGTGGAAATTATATTTGGAAGTCAGCTATTTATTAATTGATAAATGCCCGGTCGCCCTGCTGCCTGCGGAGTGACTCAGAGGTTCTAGCTGGTGGACACGGCGGAGCTACTATTGTCGCAGGGTTCTGTGTCTCCACTATGGCGGCCGATAACCGCCACCCCTCTGCCATAACCGGGTGGCGGTTATCGGCCGCCGCAGTCTCCACCGTCTACGATGTTGAACACTCTTCCGTCAACGACGCCATCAAGAATTGGAAGTCAAGCGACTCTAACCGTTCCACGACGCTCATCGTGCAAGGCACACAACGCCACACGGATGTCGGAGACCCAGACCTCATCCAGGCTGCTAGCATTGCAGGTCTGGGCAACTCTGAAGTCTGAACAAGATATTGCAGATCACTTTGCACTAGCGTATGGCCAGACTGCCGTCGCAGTTGCATCAGGCGCGTTTGAGCCACGTGTCGCGTTGGTGTCTCAATTGCGAGAACAGTTCCTTGTCGCACGCGTTCCTAAAACGCCACTGTTTGCCTTGGTTGCCGTCATTGTGAGATTGGGTATTATACTTGCTATTGTTGCACTGATAGCTGTGAGGGGAAACACAGGGGAGGTACAAGCGCGTATGACTGTTCCTGCGCTAGTAGCGTCACTTTTCGAATCGAATAAGGCAAAGCCTGTGAAAGAAGTAGAGGATATCTTCGTGGTGAGCGGGGACCTCGTATTGGATTTGAAAAAGCGCAGGAAGGGGGTTGGGTTTTGAAGAGCTGGAGTCAAAATTGATCAGATTTGACAGAACAAAATGGCTAGAGTATTTTTACGAGCAGTTGACTTCCTATGAACTTGAACCTGCTTTCAATAAGCCATTTACTATCGCATAATCTTAATTCTTGTATGCTTAGTAGGTTGTTGACCTTGAATTTGCCCCCCCTCAGCTGGCAATATTTGAAGAACGTCTTTATCTTCGATCTTCTTTCGTTTTTGATCTGCCAAGCTCCAGCCCAAATCTCTGTGTCGACCTCCCTTAATCCTCCAACGAGTGTGTATACGTTCTACCTTCTCCCTTCAGTTACAAAAGCCAAAGGTGATACCTGCTTCTACTTGATTTGAGAACTTCCCCACAATGCGACCGGTAAAAAGCTCGGCCGATCATCCCCCCGAGCCCGGCAACCCCAGAAAATCAAAGTCCCGCGATTCACCAAATGTGGGGAGATCGCTTATTCCGATGCAGAGTTTACACCAGGTCGCGGAATGTGGCTTTTTAGTAACTCACCAGACCGGAGTCCGCGCGATAGGTCGGGCCAGCAAAAGCCCAGAAACATGCCTGCAAGGTCAAGAATCACAAAAGAAAACTGTATAAGACCGTGACAGAATACAGCTAGGCGAGTCACCATTGACTTGTGACTTAATCTTTTCGACACTGGACCTTTCCACAGGTACAGGTACCCCCGAAGACATGGACGACCCTCAAGAATTCACAGCAAGGGAAAGTCCACCATACGATTTTACGGGCGTCGTTTTGAACGATGTGATTCCGAAGCGGGAAAAGCCCTGGTGGAGAGATGCGCGGTTGTTGAAGCTCAACACCCTCCTGCTGTGCGCCCTTCTGACACAGACTGCCCAAGGTTTCGACGCCAGCATGCTTAATGGTATGCAAGCTCTCCCGACGTGGACTGAATTCTTCGGCCATCCTTCAGGAACAAGACTCGGCGCCATGACATTTGGTCCGACAGGAGGAGTCTTGATTTCCATCTTGATTTCCTCCCAGCTTTGCGACCGGTTTGGAAGACGGTATCCGATCTGTGGTGGCTCTATTCTTATTATCATCGGGTCGATTCTACAGGCTGCATCTGTCAACTACGGGATGTTTGTGTTCTCACGATTTCTTGTTGGCTTCGGGCTGGGTATTGTGTCCGTGGCTGCGCCGCCGCTTCTTTCTGAGACTGCTTATCCGACGCACCGAGGAAAACTTGTTTCTTTTTACCTAGTCTCTTGGCCTCTGGGGTCCCTCATTGCGGCATGGGTCACCTACGGCACTTTCCAAATGTCCTCCACATCTTGGAGTTGGAGACTACCCAGTCTGTTGCAATGTACCTTTTCCGTGGTGCAAGCCGTCCTGAGCCTTTTTGCACCGGAGTCACCCCGGTGGCTAATTTACAAGGGCCGCAGCAAGGAGGCACTCGACATATTCATCCGCTATCACGGTGATGGCGATCCTCAATCTCGCCTCGCGCATTTCGAAATGGCTGAAATTACTGCGACGCTACAGATGGAAATACTTCAAAAGAAGTCACGATGGGGTGAATGGATTTCTTCTAAGGGCAATCGCCATCGACTCTTTCTGGCTTTATATATCCCAGCCATGCTTCAATGGTCCGGCAATGCGCTATCCTCGTACTATCTGCCTAAGGTTCTCGACACGATCGGCATCACGGATTCCAAGACTCAACTCATTGTCAATGGTTGCATATCAATTTGGAGTCTTATCTCTGCCAGTTGTTTTGCTTTGATGGTCGACCGCGCTGGCCGTCGTGGACTTTTCTTGTTTGGCATGAGCGGTATGGGGGTTGCATATATCATCTGGACAATATGTTCCGCTATCAACCAGCAGAAGGATTTCAAAGACCATGGTTACGCCAGTAGCGTTCTGGCCATGATCTTCGTTTACACAGCACTCTATCATGCTTGCTCTCCTGTCTCACCGACATACATCATGGAGGTTGTTCCCTATTCTCTGCGATCTAAGGCATCTATGCTTTACCAACTCACGGGTAACCTTGCTCAGCTGTATAACAGCTTTGCGAATCCGGTTGCGATGGACGCCATAGGATGGAAATACTACATAGTGTGGGTCGTCATGATTGCGATACATCTCACAGTAATCTACTTCTTCTTCCCGGAAACTAAGAATCGTGGATTGGAAGAAGTTGCAGAGATTTTCGATGGGCCGGACTCTCTTTCTGGACCGAATGCCATGAAGCAGTTGGGGTTGGATGTGAATGCGGAAAATGCAGTCGAGATTGGACAAGACCCAAAGTCAGCTATTGAGCAGGTCGAACGCGTTTGATGAAGTTTTACATACTGCAATGAAGGGGCTGTTTACTATGACGTACTATTCTATCCGAAGATCGCGTTAACCAATAAATTTCAATTCACTGAACCTTAAGTTGAAATAGCTCTGTTGCCACCAAGGAAAATAATCTCTGCCTCTTTCCCAGCTTGAATTACCTTAAATTCTGCACTAGATCACGGGTTCAAGCCTTAATCATCACAAAAAGGGGAAAGTCCCGGCGGGAAACGATCACCCGCGTCGGAAGAATGCTCGGTGGAATGATCCCCGATGCCCGTTTATCCCCCACAATTTCCCCGCGTCTAAGCATTCTCTTTCGTTTTCGTATGCAGATTCTCTGCAGAATGCGAGATTAGAATTGCATTTTCAATATTATCAGCATTCATTACACACATGATATATGCGTGTTGGTATCGCGAGTATTCATGGATCTGCCAAACGAACGCGAGGAAGCTAGTGCAACCACCGACCCAGACCGTCCATCTTGCCAAGGATGTCGACGTCGGAAGTTGAAATGCTCACGAGAGTCTCCAACGTGCTCACAGTGCCACCGAATGGGCTCGCCCTGTGTGTATGATACCAAGAAAAACAAACCCGGCATCAAGACGGGCGCAGTTGAAAGCTTAAGTCGTCGAATTGGTACGAGTGTCATGATATGCAGCATTTGATTACCATTGAGACTCACTATATCTCTACAGATATCCTAGAAGATGCACTTCAGGAAGTACAAACAAGAGATTCTTCTCACCACAGCTCGATACAGGGGCAAAATCCAGAAAACAGCAATCGTCTAGACGGCGTGGTAAATCTACTGTCGACCGTATGCATGGAATTGTGCAAGTTTAACAGCCAAAATAGCCGAACTTCTGAAAGTCTTGGGTCAGGACGTTTGGATCATCCCCAAGATACGCCAAAGGGCAGCACGGCCTCTATGCAGTCTCCAAACATTGACGATCATGATATGTATTCAACCCGACCTCGAAAAAGAAGACGAGTTGACACCTGTGGGAATCCAAATATAGAGCTTCAGCTGCCTTTGGAGAATTTGCTCGACGCTTCATCTAGCCTTCCGGCACCAGATTTACTGGAAAATACTGTGAACGCTTATTTCAACAAAATTCATCCATGGATCCCAATTCTCCACGAGACACGGTTTCGAAGCCGCATGCTCGACCCAGATCAAAGACCGTCGCTAATTGTGATAGTTCATGCTATGGTAGTGGCGGCTATCCGATTTGCTCGACCTGAAGCCCATGGTCTTTCGTCCTCTGATGTTGAAGCTAAGGCTCAAAGATCAAGAAGCATTGTTGTTTTGAACGCGATGGACAGCCTCTCAGTCGAAAATCTGCAAGCTTTGACGATTATAGCGTTTGATGACGTAAGAGCGATTCTTAAATCTTATAGTCTATACCTTGGGCTTATCATTAATGCTTGATAGATCGGTGATGGGAATACATCTAGGGCCTGGTCGATTGTTGGATCTCTTACTCGGACAGTGGAGTACCTGCGGCTTAGCGTTGAAGACGAAGGTCATGACACACAACGATTACTTAAACCTTTACTTTCCTTGCCACCTTCACAAAAGTGGGTGGAAGAAGAGGAGAGAAGGCGAGTATTTTGGACTATATTCAATTTGGACCGCTTCTGTTCAGTTGCGACAGGGTATTTCTAATCTCACCATTCCTGGAACCTTCTTTCAACTAATTTTGTCATGCAGCTGGAATACTAGCCTGACAGCAGATGATGTCCACCGTCGACTTCCTGCAGATGGTGGTTTTTGGCATCGAGAGGAACAAGTGAAGACACCTTTCTTTGGAATCTGGAATCGATCTGAAGCAAAAATTGGGAACTCAATCGCTTTCTTGCCGACTCAATATTCAAACATCCCCGACAGCCCTGAATCACCAGACTCAGCAACGCAACATGGTTCCCCATCCTCCACATCCCGGGGCATGACACAACCAGACATGTCAACGGTCGGCGCATTTGCGTATTCTATCGAAGCAACAGAGTCTCTTAGTCGAGTTACAACCTTCTTCCTCCAACAAAAAATCAACTTCCATGATCGACGAGAAGTGAGCAGCTGGCTTACTCGGTTTAAGGAACTAGACCTCCGACTCGTGCAGTGAGAATCCTTGGCTTTCAAAATAATGTAAACCTCCATCCAACAAAGACTGACATTACATAGCTGGAAAATGTTTCTACCACAGAAATGGAGAGACTCCGACATCTCTCTTCAGCCTACACTCATACACATGGATCCAAATCTGACTCTCGCCCATGTCACTCACAATACATCGATGATTCTTCTGCACCAACGCATGGCATACCCCCCTGCAGAATGGGCCAATATCGTTAAACTGCCTAGTGCCTGCAGTGCTGAGACATGTCAAAATGCGGCAATTGAAATTCAGAACATGACTGCCAAATATCTAAGCAACACCAATGAAACAGATCCCATCGCAAACCAGTTTGTATTTTGTGTTTTTGTCGCTGCGCGCGTTCTTTTAGGTATGAAAGTGACAATGATTTGGCAAAAAGTGAAGCAGAAGCTGAGAGAAATTGAACTAGTTCATTGGCGATACTACGGATCCTCCCTTCCACCAGAACTATGGTATCTGATCAGCAGCCTTGACGAAATGGCTCGACGATGGCTTGGATCTACAACTCAAGGTGGCTGCCTTGCAAGCACATATGCCGATCGTCTCCGTGACTTACATCAATATTGCGTGTCAGCTCCGAACTTCAGCGTCGACGTCCTCGGATACTCAACAATTGTTTCAAACAACAACGCACCCTCCATCGCTTCTACCACATCGGTCCAGTCCCCGCCCAATCAACGAATCCAACGAAATCAAGAGCCTCAACACATAATATCAGCGAATCAGATATCGTCCTCTGGCTCAGCAAGACCGCATTCATTGCCGCCGTGGAATATCCCCAATGAAATTCTCAGCCCAGGTAATGTACATGGGCAAATGGCTGAGCCTGTTGCACAGATTACAACCAACTATTCCAATGACCAGCCCCCGGCAGACGAGCTTTCCACTATCTCATATCTTCTTCTTGACCAGCGCTTTATGGACATGGATCGTGTCATTAGTCTTGATGATATGATGTTCTCTACGAATATGGGGACTGTTGATGACACGGTTGCAGAGGAAACTCATGCATGAAACAAGAATCATGAATGAATCACATCGACTCTTTCCCTCACGGCAAAAGCCGAGAGGTCCAGCTGCTCAATCTCTATATCCTGAACCCCAGGATCAAGAAGGTAGAAAGGAGCAAAGAAGAGAAGAAAGTAATCGGCAGTGCCTTGAAACTTGCCACGAGCCGGGCAACTTGAGTGCAGTCTATAAAGTTTGCTTCACCAAGGTCTAGGAGAAATATTGGGGTGACATTTTGTATGAATAAAAAACATGCAAGTGGACTTCGATTTTGAACTTCTTTCCATATATCATGCATCCATAATGGTTAATACAGTACGAAAAACTTAATGGAAAGTTTATGTATGGATGATATTCAAATTTTTTCCTCATTCTTTTCTCGCGTGTGTTATTCAATTCAATACTAGTACCCAGATCAACTGAAATCCAATTGCTGCTTTGTCTAATTTAAGCATTCGATCAGCCGGGCAGCCATCGACATTGCAGGCAATGTTTCAACTAATCCAAGGTGTTGATTCTAGTAGTTAACTAGTGACTAAGTGGTAATTAGTAGTCATGGGGACACATCCGCGCGGCGGTTGGAATTTGTATTAAGCTTGCTGCATCAAAGGCGATTAGATACAGAAAATTCATCAATGCTTTAATTCGAGGCCAACCCAGCTCACCATCTGAAACCGAGAGCATTATTGAAACCAAGTAGGATGACCGCGGCCAGTATCCATCTGCATTTTCTATTTGTCGTGTTCCTTCTATAGATTGGCCAAGGCTTCTAAAGCAGGCCTGAGGCATCAATTAATAACCATAACTTATCACGTGAAATTGTAATGCCTCAGGCGGAAAAAGGGAAACCGTCTCTTGCCCAAGAAATTTTCTTAGATACTTTCAAAGCCATTCATGCATCCTGGAAGCTCATTCATCCTGAAACTCTTATAAATCGATTCTTAACTGACTTTAGGAACCCACCTGCCTTTAAAAGCAACGGGGTTTTATCGGTTGATTTGCGGGACCTCAGCCACCCCACGTCCAAACCGCCAAACCCCATCAACCCCAACAAACCCCACAAAGTCCAAACCTTGACAAAAACTCTTTTTCCACTCGATGACGCCGTACCGAACCTCCACGGCCGTTCTCTGGTCCACAAATCATTGCAGCCTATAACATGTTTTCGCCTTCAAGTTCGCACGGATTGTTTAAGTGCCATGGCTTCCATTTCCGACTCGTACCCGGTTCTTCCGGCAATATAATCAAGCTATTGGGCCGAACAGCCGCCTCATACGACATCGCCAATCTTTTGCTATAAACGGTATCGGCTCGGTCCCCACAGAAGGAATCAACTCGTATCCTGGCCGAGTCCGATATTCCACCGTTTCTCCACATTTTGATTTTATGAGATCACGGAATGGGGTCTGAGCGTAGAAGTTGCCATTACTGCCTGAAGGGGCAGGTTGTTAAACCAAAGGTTGGCTCGTTCACTTAAAGCTTCCATGCCGTCCATAGATCGTTTAATACAAGGTTCACTTTCACGTTGATCTTCTGACCTTCTGACTCACCTGGTAATCCTCCCCTTTTTATTTTCCTGAATTCTACCAGCCACATTGATTGAACAATACCCGCCTAGCAAGGGGGTGAGAGTTGCAAAATGCAGTTAAAGGTGAGCAAAGATATTTTCAAATACCTCAAAACAAGTGTTAATTGAAAACCAAAGCCCTCTCTTTGGGCGGTGCTCCCACTGCTTTTGAATCTCAGTTCTTCAGTCCAGGGAGCCAGTTCACCTGCTTCAAGGAATCGTATTGCAAAATCTTTGCGAAGATACACCGGAGCTAGTCTAGGCAACTCCAGCAACAATGTCTACCAGACCGACTTCGATGGCGTGACCTGGGATGATGATAACTGGCTGCTATCGACCACAAATCTGGAGCAAGGACAATTCCAGACGCGAGGATCCGTGGCGAATGGTTACCTGGGCATCAACGTTGCCAGTGTAGGTCCGTTTTTCGAGGTTGATTCGCTTGAAGATGGGGGTGATGGGATTAGCGGCTGGCCTTTGTTCTCCCGCCGACAGTCATTTGCGACAATCAGTGGATTTTTTGATGCGCAGCCTAATACCAATGAGTCCAACTACCCATGGCTGTCCCAGTATGGCTGGGATAGTGTGATCAGTGGAGTGCCACACTGGAGTGGCTTGGTTTTGGACCTTGGCAACGGCACCTACTTAGACGCCACTGTCGACAACACGACTATCTCCAATTTCAGCTCGACTTATGACTTCAAATCGGGTGTTTTGCTTTGGAATTACACCTGGACCCCTGAGGGTGCAAGTGGATCTTTTGCCATTACCTATCGCCTTTTCACCAATAAGCTTTGGGTTAACCAAGCCGTGGTGGACATGCAAATCACTCCGAGCGTTGATACAAATGCCACAGTCGTAAACGTTCTGGATGGAGCTGCCGCCGTACGGACTGATTTCGTCAATTCCGGCGAAGATGACGGTGCCATTTATTCTGCTGTGCGACCAAATGGAGTGGCAAATGTCACTGCCTACATTTACGCAAACATTACAGGCCCCGGCATCGACTTGTCTTCGCTACAAATTGTGACTGACAAGCCATATGTCAGCACAAACGACTCATCTATTGCCCAATCTGTCACTGTTAATCTCAAGGCTGGCACAATTTCCCACATCACCAAATTCGTTGGTGGGGCATCTTCGGATGCCTTTGAAAACCCCCAACAGGTCGCCAAGAATGCTTCTTCGACCGGCCTGAGCAACGGATACCTTCGATCTTTACAGTCTCATGTAACTGAGTGGGCCAGCGTCATGCCGGATGATTCGGTCGACCACTACACATTCCCCAACGGTACTCTGCCACAAGATCCCCTTATTATCGATTCTGCTGTGATCGCTGTCGCAAACACATACTACCTTCTCCAAAACACCGTTGGCCCCAACGCGGTAAATGCGTCTTCATCAACCTCTCTGAACACAGACAGTATCTCGGTGGGTGGTTTGACTTCTGACTCATACGCTGGCCAAGTTTTCTGGGATGCCGATCTTTGGATGCAGCCTGGTCTCGCGGCATCACATCCTCAGTCTGCTCAGCGTATCACCAACTACCGCGTGAAGCTGTATGCACAGGCCCAGGAGAATATCAAGACTTCCTATGCTGGCTCCCAGAACCAGACACAGTTCTCTTCGTCTGCAGCCATCTTCCCATGGACTAGTGGGCGTTATGGCAATTGCACTGCTACTGGCCCTTGTTGGGATTACGAATACCATTTGAACGGAGACATTGGCATGTCATTCGTTAATCAGTGGGTCACTACGGGTGATACTCAATTTTTCAAGGAGACTCTCTTCCCAATCTATGACTCTGTTGCTACGCTATACACAGACCTTTTGGAGCGCAATGGGTCTTCGTGGACTTTGACCAACATGACAGATCCAGTGAGTGTCAGCACACTATATAAGCTTTTGCCAATTACTGATTTTTCCAGGACGAGTACGCGAATCAGGTCAATGCGGGTGGCTTCACCATGCCACTCATTGCCCAGACAGTCACAAATGCCAATGCCTTCCGACAGCAATTTGGGCTTGAAGAAAACTCAACCTGGGACGAAATGGCTGATAACGTTTTGATCCTTCGCGAAAATGGAGTGACTCTCGAGTTCACTACAATGAACGGGAGTGCAGTGGTAAAGCAAGCCGATGTGGTTTTGAACACATATCCGCTAGACTACACGTCAAACTACACTACAGAAGATTCCTTGAATGACCTAGACTACTATGCGGCCAAGCAATCATCTGATGGGCCCGCTATGACCTGGGCGATCTTTTCCATCGTGGCTAATGACATGTCTCCGTCTGGGTGCTCAGCTTATACATATGCCCAGTATGCGTTTAGACCATATACCCGGGCTCCATTCTTCCAGATGTCAGAGCAGTTGATTGACAACTCCACCACCAACGGCGGTACTCACCCCGCGTTCCCATTCCTCACTGGTCATGGTGGTTCTAACCAGGTTGTCCTGTTTGGATACTTGGGGTTGCGCCTGAAACCGGACAGCACTCTCCATGTGGACCCGAATTTGCCACCTCAAATTCCCTATCTCACGTATCGAACTTTCTACTGGCACGGATGGCCAATCTCTGCTTGGTCTAACTATACCCACACCACGATCAGCCGGGCTTCCTCTGCTCCTCTCGGCACTGCAGACATGCAATTCGCAAACACGTCGATCAACGTCAGCGCGGGCTCGGATTCGAACTTGACAACTTACCAGCTGCCCTTGACCGGCTCAGTGGTAATCCCCAACCGCCAGGTCGGGTCTTCGAACACAGTGGCCGGAAATCTAGTACAATGCCAACCGGTAGATTCCCTCGATTCCTACCAGCCTGGCCAATTCCCCATTTCTGCAATCGACGGAGCAGCTTCGACTAAATGGCAGCCATCTCTCGCAGCAAACTGGAGCTCTATTACTGTCTCGCTCGGCGAAGAAAAAGGCTCTATGGTGACAGGCTTCTACTTCGATTGGGCCAAAGCTCCCCCGGTCAACGCGACCGTGATATTCCACGACCAAAGCATCCAGCAAGCGTTGACCTCGTATGACGCGACCAGTCCGAGCTCAGACTACACCGTTGTGACTACGCTCAACGGAATCGCGCTTTCGGATCCCTATGATGCGACAACCACCAACCTTGATACAGTTGTCATTCCCACGGGAAATACCACCAACGTCACACTGCCTTCACCTATCCCGGCTACGCAATATGCATCGCTGCTGATTTTGGGAAATCAGGGTCTGGATGCTGTTGATGTGCAATACATGAATGGAACAGGTGCGACGGTTGCTGAGTGGGCTATTCTCGGCCCGACCAACACGACTTCGTCTGCTTCCAAGAACAAGAAGAGGAAGTTGGGAATGAAGGCGGCGAGCTTCTCAGACTCGGGATCGATGATGCGTCGTCGTCGTGCTCAGCACTAGATGATGCATGCATGTGTGTCTTCAATGTTGACCTTTTATTTCATGGTCGCGTAAAAATCTCATTTTTATACAGTGCTTCGATATGCTTCGATATTTATTACTATTTTTCCAATTTAATTCAGTTAACATTTGAATCAAATTACATGTACCGTTTGTTGAAACATTGAAGCCCCGAAGACTCCCATACATGTAGTATTTCATTGCCAACAGGTGGATTTAGCCAGAACAGGCCCTGAAGAGGTACATATACCAACTTGAATATATTCAAATAATCATCAATCATCGCCAGCCTCAGCAATCGGCTAACCATCCAAAGTGAACCGATCCAAGAACTTGAAAGTCCGAAGTCCATCCTTCAGCCCATCGGCAAATCCACCTCCCACACTCTGAGCAACATAAACTCCAGTCTGGTTAGTAGCAATGTGGGCGGTTCTCAACGCGCCAGCTCCATTTCCGATCGCACCAACAGTCTTACCAAACCGGAACGCATCAACAAGAATATCCAAAGGTCTTCCAGCCGGATAAAACGACGTAGCCACAGAACTCGACCCGAACAACCCCTGCGCCCCATCGCCGACGACAACAGCATCGAAATTCGTAGCGTCAGATGCCGCATACGTCTGATTAACACCATCTGCCATCCGCTCAGCAACAACAAGAACATCAACGCCCACAGAGCTCAGCTGCGCCTGCAACGCCGCACCCTGCGCAATCGAAGAGCCATTACCAACCGAAGCAAGTACTCCTACTTTCAAGCCCTCAAGCTTCAACAACTTTGCTCCAAAGGCTCCCACGCCCGCAGTCGTGTTATGGTGATAATACGTCGGATCCGGGCTCGGTGCATCAACACCAATAGCCTCGGCGACCCGCTTCGCAAGATCATTGCTGATCCGATTCAGCTGTAGAACGACATTATCCCTCACGACCTGGCTAACGACGTTCGCATTCTCGAAGCGCATGGCGTCGACGACGAACTGTTTTTCGGCGGCGATGAGCGAGTTCCAGAATAGACGCGGCTGGGACCAGACGTCGGCGAAGGTGGAGCTCACGTCGCGGACCAGGTGTCCCGATACGGTGCGGCCGGGCGTAGTGAAGAAACCGTTGCCGACGGTCTGGTTCGCTTGTTTTGGGGAGCCGTTGTTCGGCGTGTTGGGTGTGTAGGCGTCTTTGTTTAGTGGGATGTACATCTGGGCTGCGCCGTCGCGGTTGTTGTTGTGAATTGGGACGCGGGGCCGGTTGATGGGGATTTGTTCGAAGTTGGGCCCGCCATGTCGGTTTAGTTGGGTGTCTAGGTAGGAGAAGATGCGGCCTTGGAGGAGGGGGTCTTCTGTGAAGTCGACGCCGCGGACTATGTGGCCTGGTTGGAACTGGGATTTGTTAGGGGTGTTCGTTGGTTGGGGCTTGGGTTCAGGGACGTACCATGACTTGCTCGGTTTCGGCGAAGTAGTTCTTTGGATTACGGTTGAGCTGCATCTTGCCCAGTGGTGTGATTGGGACGAGTTCTTCGGGCACGATCTTTGTTGGGTCGAGAAGATCGAAGCCGAATCGAAGTTGGTCGTCTTCGTCCATGATTTGGACTCCGAGCTGTTCAAATGAGGTATTAAGTTAGTCATTTTTCCAAACAAAGAGATACTAGAGCGCTGTGAACTCACTTCCCACTCAGGGTACCTTCCGGCTTCAATAGCATCCCACAAATCCTGACGAATGAAATCACCATTCTTCCCTGAAGTCTGCTGCGCCTCCTCCCACACAAAGCTCGCTTTCCCTTGCAAAGTCTTCCAATGGAACTTAACCAACTTCGAAGCCCCACTATCAGTAATAAATCGATAAGTATGCACACCAAACCCATCAACATGACGGAAAGATCTAGGAATGCCATGACCCGACATAGCCCACATAAGCGTATGCAACGCACTAGGCTGTTGGCTAAAGAAGTCCCACGCAGAATCATGCGCAGTCGCCGCTTGAGGAATCTCATTATCACCTCGCGGTTTCACGGCGTGGATGAGATCTGGAAACAGGATTGCGTCCTGGATAAAGAAAACGGGGATGTTGTTTCCGACAATATCGAAGTTTCCCTCATCGGTGTAGAATCGTGTCGCGAATCCGTGCACGTCGCGGGCTGTATCGGCGCTTCCGCGACTACCGGCTACGGTGGAGAAGCGGACGAACATGGGGGTTTCTTTATCCTTTGCACCGAGGAACGAGGCGGCTGTTATGTTGGACCAGTCTCCATAAGATGTGAATACGCCGTGGGCGCCGACTCCGCGGGCATGGACAGCACGTTCTGGGACCTTTACTAGGCGTCAGTCATGATTAAAATTGGCAATGCAAGGGACAGGAGTAATCTGTTTGTTGCCTTACCCGTTCGTGATCAAATCGTTGGATCTTCTGGCGGAAAATGAAATCCTCGAGAAGAGTTGGGCCACGCTCTCCTGCACTAAGACTGTTCTGATCTTCAATTGGACCTCCCACGTCTGAAGTCATGAAGGCATCTTGGTCATTGAGATAGAATTGAGAAAGGAAGTCCTCGGTAGCGGCGGATGCGTCTGCATCATCGCGACGGTGAAGTGAGTCCGAGGAGTCAGGTAGATCGCCCGACATGTACGGACAAGCTGCATTGACAGTGCCAATGAGGCCTGTGAGGAGCAACGCGTAACGCATTGTAGCCACCAAATGTACTGACTGTGAAGATCAAGGCCGGGACACAAATTAAACTATTCGAGCCTGGGACTCAAGAGGAGGGGGAAGTTCAAGAACTGGAATCCAGGTGGCTTTTATACTCATGCAGGTTTTTTCAAGAAATACGAACCCTCGTGCATTGCCGAGTCGACATCCAATGACCGACGAAACATTAGGAACCTACAGTAGTGTAAAAGCTACTGCATCATAGAAACAGAGAGGATGCACGAGCTGAATAATAACCAATCCCCACTTGATTATTCTATCACAGAGGGCTAGAATAATGCCCCCAAAAATAAAGTCCCGAAGGTGTGGGGACAACGGGCATCCCTCAATGGGCTGTTCGACTGTTCCTACTAAGCAAAACGCCCATCCGAATGGGGTACTGTAGCTACTTTAGGCCATACAACGTCATTGGTTCTTCAAGGTACAGGGCCCGCCGACCAGTCAGAATCTTGTGTTCAATCCCAGACTTGGCAGGGCATCCCCAAAGTGCACCCATAACAAGGACGCGACGAAACCATAAGCCTCTTGGCGTTCCACTAGCACGGCAAATCAATTATAGAGAAACTCAAAATCGAGTCCTGGGCTGCAGATGGAATTCATCATTGTTCAGGATTTCTGTCTTGGCAAGGGTTGGCGTATGTTAGAGGTTTTGGCGAAGGGAATTGAATTGGTCGAGGCTGGGATGCTTGGTAATAGCAATCGGGTCTGGAGCCCGCATCACCGATTTTGCAAGCTGCCACTTTAATAATCGAATTTCACCTCATAGGCTCATACGATGGTTGCCTTGGCATCTTTGTGGAGCTAATTGGAGCTAGGGAGAAAGTACGGTCTCCTGCATGAAGCTGCGAATGATTGCTGGGCCTCGACCAAGTTGTGCCTGGATGGGAGCGAAAACCAGTCTGTGACTGCGAGTCCAGGCCGTTGATTACTAAATTCTTGGTTGTCTTGATTACTTGTATTTAATTTGGCCTATGACATTAAACCTCAATGCATGCTCGATTTTTTTCTCCTCTCCAATTCCTGCCGATCTTCACTAATTTCCAAATACATCTACCGTGACTGGCCACTGTAGTTTGAGGCCAAGTCACTTTCCCCGCAGCAAACATGGGATGGAATTAATCCCGCATATTTCATCATGCATAATGTGTCTCACTCTAATTGAAGGAACAGTACGGAGTAAGTACTTTGCATGAAGCCCATAGCTACTGTCCCGATCGGCTATGAAACAGTACTGCATCGGCTTGAAAATTGATTTATTTTGAGTTTTCAAGATCTACCTTGCTTCCAAAATCTCAATAAACATTACCTGTAATTGCATACATAATATATCAGAAAACCTTTTGAATAATGTATAGCAAATCAACGACAAATATATATGTATGAAATTCAATTAGATCGATCCAATTGCAGAACGGTGAAACTTTTTCCACCGGGGCACCCTAACTCAAATTATAAACTCAAGGTACCGAAAATCTAGTACTTGGGGAAAGTAACAAAATCCCAGCTCTTTCCACCCTCAATAAGCTGCGCATCCACCCCGTTATCCCCACTACTAACATACAGCACCTTAGTGAACGCAACAGAGCTATAATAACTGAACTCCGTTCCAGCCGGAATAAACGCCACATCTCCCATACTCAGCATCGCAACCGGATACTCCCCAATAGTAATATACAGCAAGCCCTCCAGCACCTCGAACGCCGCAGCGCCAGCCAGCGTATAGCTTGGCGGGCTGGTCTGTGTTTGCCGACTAAGCGAAATGGTCGACAGGGTATAGTTTGTATCCTGTGCTTGTGTGGATGTAACCAATGGCTGAATAACCTGGTATCCGTACTGCGAATTCAAGTACTTGGGTCCGTATCCGTTTGCGACAAAGTAAGGGTCGCCCGGGCTGCCGAGCGCATTGGCTCCGGTGTGCCAGGTGCTGTTGTCGATCGGGGCGGTACCGTTGACGAGATCGTAGCGGGGCTCGAAGGAGGTTTGGGCGTACACGTCGTAGGACTCGAGGGTGCTCATCATGCTGGCAGTGGGGGTTGAGGAGGACGAGCTCGAGTTGGAGATTGCGGGGACATAGGGCGTGTCTGTGCCAGAGGTGTAGTTTGTGCCGAGGTAGTAGAAGAGATCCCTGGTGGGAACGATGTTAGTATGTGGATTCGGTGCGTTTGGGGATGGTAGGTCGGGAGCATGGGGGGGGGGGGGGAGACTTACTCGAATCCACCGGGGACAATGACGCCGATCATCTCGGTGTCCGGGTCCAGGATCTGGAAGGTGTGTGTTGTGTTCCTGGTCACGGAGCCGTAGTCGCCTTGAGTGAGCAGACGAGCCTGCTGCTCGTTGCCATCCTTCTCGGCCCATAGCTGAAAGCGACCCTTCATAGCGAAGAAGTTCTCGTAGTGCTCTTCGTGGATATGTGGGAGTACACCCAACGCTGCGCTGGACGGGGCATTGGTGCTCATCAGCGTGAACGCATAGTCGGACGAGGGGCCGGTCACGGTAAACCGATACAGCTGGGTGCCGATTGTAACGGCATGCGAGTTGGCATAGTGCGGAATGACGTAGGGACGCGGAGAGGTAGGAGCATTCTCAAGATACAGATCGTCCAAAGTGAGGGCAGACTGGACGAGTCCAGTTCCGAACGAAGCCAACAGGACGAGTGTTGAGCGCAACATGATTTTGATATTTTTTAGATTTAGACTTCAGGAATTCTGGAAAGAAGCGCCATCCCGCAACCTTAATACACTAAAATTTTCGGATTTTCCGGACTTCTCTTCAGGAGATTACTTCAATATTAAGGACGATCAGGTATGGAATCGGCGATGGGCTCCATTGAAATCAGTGGGGTTCTCCACTGCGTCTCATGGAATAACTTGAGATGGACTTCCCCTGACCCTTGGTTGTATCGCGATTCGGCATTCCCGGATCGGCATCTTCACGCCCGCCGAGAGGCCGTCTTCGGTTGGCGCGTGAGCGATATCACCTAGCAATTTCCACAAAATGATTCCTGGAACTTTGAAACCTTGAATTGTTTGCCGAGATGTTTCCCGGAGCCCGGAGGATGTGGGTCAAAGGGAGTTAGTAGAGTGAATGAGCCCTTTATGGAGATGTTCCATAACAGGTGTCCCGACCGAATCAGATAAGATTGGATGGAGATTGCCTTTGCAAGGGTCTGGGTTTAAATTCCCGAAAATTTCAGAGGCTATCGAGAACCAATGCCAGGTTGATACATCAAGTGATGTAAGTACCTGCATTCTTTGAACCCATGCCCCCCGGGCCTCGGCTTTGCCCTCGGAATCGAAGTATCCACTTGCCGATTAGAAAATTGCAGGATTCTTCACAACCCGAGTCCAGACGCCGTCATTCTGAACCGCTAGTCCTGTAAAGTACAAAGGTTGGCATATGAAACAATTACAATGCACGCAAGTGGGGGTGAATAAAGTAAAGAAATAAATTGTTGCCGATAAAATGTATGTACAATAACGAAAGTGGGAGCACTAGCTCCTGAATGTGTATATATGCAAAGATTGTACGGAGTACCGTCGGTGGACCGTCCGGTCTTCCCACCCCGACTACCTATGAGTCTAGGTACAGGTATATGCTAAAAAAGAAGGAATGCATGCGCATATATGCAGGTTAGTCAATTAAGTAATGGGTAGCAAGAAAGCGCCGACACTATTTCCGGGTTAGCAATATGCCCCACGCCAAGATAGAACGAGACGGGAAAGCAACATACGAGATGGCGGCAAAACAGGCGCACAAAATAGCGCCTTCTAGATAATTAGTTTTCCCCTTGAGAACAAGGAAACTAACAAGCAGGGCGGAGCCGACCAGCGTCACCATCCCGAAACGATCGAAGTGAAGAGTCATGGGCTTATCCAAAGCCCAAGCGACAAGAACAATAACAGGCGCAACAAGCAACCCGATCTGAATCGCCGAGCCAAGAGCAACACTGATCGCGAGATCAAGCTGATTCTTGTGAGCGACAATGACGGCCGTGACGTTCTCGGCAACGTTTCCTGCGACCGGGATGACGATCAGTCCAACGAAGGATTCGCCGAGAATACCCTTTTCGTTCAGGACGCCGAAACTGGAGGCGAAGAATTCGGCGCAGATGGCTATTAAGACTGTTGAGGCGACAAGGATTACGATTGAAATTGCCCGGCTGGCGAAAGATAGGTTTTTGCAGTTGTGGATCCGAACTCCGTTCTGGTCTTGGTCCTGGTCCTCCTCGTGGGTATGGCCGCGCTCGGTATCGATGTGATCTAATGGTAGTCCGGACTCGGGGCGGAGGTCGTCCATTGGGGAGGCGGGGCCGGCGGGTTGAACTTCTTGCATCTCGGGTCGTTCGTGGTCCTTGTTGATTAGGGACACGGTGGATTCTTGGGATTCGATATCCATGAACATTTCGTCGTAGGATCGGCGGGTATGTAGTGTTTCGGACTCTTCACTGGGATCCGGGTGTAGTCCAGCGGCGCGAGAGCGGAATAGGTGGGCGTGTGATTTGAATTGGAAGAACAGGTAGAGAAAGTAGATGGCGAGGAGGATGACGGAGACGCCACGACTGAAATAGAGGGCCATGTGATCGGCTGATTTGATATCTTTCACGCTGCCATAGAAAGCGGTCTGGGAGATGTCAATGTTAGGCTTTTTTTTTCTTTCGGTCCAAGGTTGAGGTCGAAGGAGAGAAACATACTGGGATCATTAGACATGATACCGTTAGATTCAGTAATCCGACAAAGGCGTGTGTGAGATCGCTGTTATAGGTTTGGTCGGGAGATGCCCATCCTCCAGCGATGATTGCAGAACCCAACACAAGAAGCAAGTTGACCAGAATTGAACCAAGAAGAGATGCTTGTACCACTTTGATGTTGTTTTTCATCAGTGCCGTGCTAGTAAGGTTAGTCCCCCCGCATGTCACCAAAGCCGATAAGAAGCAACTTACACACTAGACAGAGTTAAAAGTCAGCAAAAAAAAAAAGCAAAATAACCGTGAAAAGCGCAGGGAAAAAGACATACAAAATAATTAATTCAGCCAAGTTACCGATGCTGATGTTCAAAAGAGCTCCCGCGGTCTCTCCCAATTCACGAGAAAGTCGTTCGGTCGCAAAAGTGAGGGTTATCGACAAGGGCACGATAGCGATCAAATTCCAGATAAAGATCACTAGCGGGGGGATATCGGATACGGAGAAAAGGATGGCTACTAGAGTAAAGGGAATCGAGAGTAGATTCTTGGATAGAAGAATCTCTCTGGCTCGTCGTTTGAATGCCGCGATGGGTTGGTCGCAATAGACGCATTCTACTCCTGGTAGGGAAATACTGGTCGTTCTTCGAGACCGCGTGTGAAAGAACTGTTTCACTTGGCGGGAGATGTTACCTGAAGCATTTGCAACAGCCATTTGTTCTGTAGATTCGAAAAATAATAGGGATTTAAAAAGTTAGAGAGCTTCGCTTATAACCTTGGAATAAAGCAAGAACAAAAAACAGAACAAAAAAGCCAGGTAAAACCATTTGGAAACATTGGAAACATTGGATACGCACGATTGATGCCCCATTGTCGAGCACGAGATCTATTTCCAGAACTGATGCTGGAGCCATCATCAATCAAGTGTGAATCGTCCCCGCAGGTTGAATTGTCACGGAAGGGACTGTTAATGTCATCTGCGTGGAGGCCATCTCTGACCATATTTGAAGATATTCCCGTTGGTTTGAGGTGTCGTGGAGGAAAAGGGGGGAAACGCCAGAAATTAAATGTAGCGATTACGATTATCCGCTAAGATTATCCCATGCCAAGAACTGGGCCTTGCGGGAATTGTTTCGGTGCAGATCCAATCAACCTGATGGCTTTTTTTAAAGGTGGATCTTGCCAATCAATTGCCAAGGCGAATAGGGGGGGTTTCCACCTCTCGTACACCGTATTGCTAACATTTGAACAGTGCGGAGTAGTAGATCTGTTGTCAACATGCGAACTTTGGGGGGTTTTTACATGTTTAACTGGATCAATTCAATTCACTCAATCCTGTCATTCGCATGGCTTTGATAACGAAGTTCGAATGATCCATTACATCGGCTCGGAAACATATCCGCTGCGAGTTTAGTGTTGATCATGTTACAGGTTTGTCTCGTAGATATTGGCACGAAATAATCACTCTTATATTCAACATAGCGCAAGTGCTGACCTGGAGATCTGTTTTTAGCTTAGACCAAGTTGTCCACATGCAACTTATTTAGTCCGGTGATAAAGACGTGCAAGATGACCATGTCGTATCGCAAAGCTTTCCCGAGTCGAAGCAATTGGCATTGGCTGAATCTTGATGTTCAAGATAACCATTTGACATAATAATGAAGCTATCGCCAAATTCGTCCCTCTAAACGAGAAGTTTATTTTCCATACCACAACCACCTTTAATGTAGTGTCACATTTGGTTCGCCATAATTTGCATTTGTGACACCAAATCAATCGGGTGGTATTCCGTTTCTGTGTGAGCTAGCTTTCAATAACCGTCGCGGCAAAGAAACGGCCTAAAAGTTGGCGCTGAGTCGCAAAAATATGTGGTTTTAGAGAGCTCGAAAAGAAAGAAAGACAAGTCTGAGAACATTACCTTTTGATAGAGATAAATCATTGCAGTCGCCATACTGTAAACCGTTCACTGAGCTGATACTTAGCTCGAGTCCATGTCATCACTGGGAGACGCGTCTTGCCACAGTGGACGTAGTGGGTCCCGCGCGTAGTCCAATAAAATATCGTGGCGCTGAACAGGTGGGTTGTAGTTCGTGTACTTTTTCTTTTCTGTCGAGAGATCCAGCTCTTATCATGAGTTACACACCAATGTGCTGGGTAAAATTCTAATTTCCAAGGTGGGTGGGTGGTGTCAAGAAAATAACGCTTATTTACGAGAAGCATAGGGCTGGCGTCTCACAACTCCCGGCACACAGAACTCCTCGCGGGCCCGACCTGAACGCCCTGTACCACCCAAACCCTTCTTTCTTCACGCAAACTCCAGACTCAAACAATAGTCTCTTTCACCTGCCTAACCAAATCCACAACAGTCTCCTTAAAACTCCGATACTCAACCCCGAGCTCCCTCGCCACAGTCTCCCCATCAACCCCATAAGAAGCACTCGGCTTCTGTCCAGCCTCATAACCATCCGTAACAACGCCATTAGCCCACTCAAACTCGCCCTTCATTATATCCGCCGCATACTCATACGAGAAGGGCTCCGGCGACGCAGGAACAAACCGCTTCCCACCAGCCTCGGGCGTAATCAATGCGCGTACATGCGCATCGGCCAGATCGCGCGCGTCGATCCACGCCGAAACACGCACGCCGGGCAGGGGGTCCGCGCCGGCCGCCACGCTCCAGAGATCCGAGTTCGACTCATTCAGTGACTCGATGTTGGGTACTGGGTGGACGACTGGGCCGAAGACCATCGGTGGACAGAGAGTGACGAGGTCGAAGGCGGGTTTCTCATTCTTGACGAAGTCCCATGCGGCTAGTTCGGCGAATTTCTTCGAGCCGCGGTAGGCGATTACGGATGTGGAGGCTGGGTCGATGGCTGTTTCGTAGGTCAATGGGTTCCAGTGGGCGCCTGTGTATGTGAAGCCTGGTGGAGGGGTGGAGTTCACGTCTACGACTGAGGCGAATGAGGACGTTAAGACGATACGCTGGATTTTGCTGCTTGGTTTGGCGGAGGCGGATAGGATTGATTTGACGCCGTTGATGGCGGGGAGAATGAGTTCTTGCTCGTTGTTCGTGGTATTGTAGAAAAACGGCTTGGGTGGAATTTGTTAGCTTGTGTCTCTTATTTCACCTCCGAGATTGGCCGCGCATCTGATGTGGTGGACATACGCTGGCGACATGGATCACGCCGTCAATACCGTCCATTGCCGAGTCGAAGACTCCGGTTTTGGTAAAGTCTTCCACAACCACAAAGTCTAGCTTTGAGGCATAGTGAGGTCGGGCGGCTTTCATTTGCTCGCCTTTTTGGGCCGATCGGGTTGCGCCGCGGACACGGAATCCCCGCGCTAGAAGGTTGTCCACGACATGGGCTCCGATGAAGCCGGTGGAGCCGGTGACAAGGATGTACCGGTCCTCGGGGGACTTTGGGGGAAACGATGACGAGGTATTTTGCGACATGGTTATGGATAATGAATAACGGTGAAAAAGAATGCGAAATGTGAAGAAAATGACATTCAAAAGACGCGGGGGGTTCTGGTGGACATGGGGTATATTCTCTCGGATGAAGTCCGATCATCGGCTCTCTCCCCACGCTGCACTATTGCTAGTGTGGGGAACCAACCCACGCTAGTGACCAGCCCATGGTCATTTCAGCTGTCAACTATTATTTACATCCAGGGATATACATGCTGACAAACTCTGGTATAGTGAAAACAAATTATCAATCTTCCTCGGGGTCAAAGATTGGCCCTGCAGGTGTCTTCTCCAGTCTCTGTCCATCCTCCGTGAAAATTTCCTGGCTTGGCACAACAACACCAAAGATCCGAGCAACATCTTTCCCGCGATTGACCCATTCATGGTTTGTTCCTCTGCAAACAACCACATCGTGCGGTTTCAAGGTCTTCTCTGCGCCGCCATCGGTAATAAATCCGACAGTCCCCGTAAGAACAACAAAGTAGTCCAAGCTCAGTGTCCGATGCATCCATCCCTTTTCGGCGGGGTACAAGTCCAAGATGCGGCAAGAGGGGCCTTTCGTATCGGCTAAGGGGACTAGGGTCTTATGTGGGTCGACTAGGGGCAGCATGTTGTCGACTGGGAACCCGCGCGACCGGTGGATTTGTATCACTCCGAAACCTGCATCGGGTCCTGGAGGGCTGAATTCGGGTGCCGTGGTTGGGTCGTAGGGGGTCAACGTTTCGTCAGAGGAGAAGTAGGCATTGCCTTGGGGGTCGTGGGAAGTAATGACGCGGCGGATTGGAGTGTCCATTTTACCGAGCAATGGTTCAAGTGTTTGAGAAGTAGAGATGGCGGGCTAGGAGTGAGATGATCTGAAAATATTTCATGGTTGACAATGGTCTTACTTATAAGGCTGTATATTCAAAATTGGCCCCCAAAGCTACAGCTGTGTATGGAGTTCCTTGCCAGGTGGAATTCGATTGCTAATCAGAACATTTTCTAGCTTAAAATCCGAAACATCACTGAAATTGAGCTGATTGGAAGCTCGAGAAGCTATCCTTCAAACAGGGATCCATAGTTAGTAAAAGTACCAGGCTGCGCTTACAAAGTGCATGAAGGATCGACCGATAAGCCCGAGAGATTACAAACCAGCTTGGAAGCCTTACACCCTACAACTTTCCAAGTTAAATGGATCATATCAGTCTGGGCTTATGTATGTTATGTTCACCTTCTGTTGAGAATTAATAATTGGATATACCCGACCATGGAACACTTGGAAAAACACGAGGTCTCGCAAATGCATGTTATAAAGTTGATCTCCCCTCCATTCGATTGCAAAGCTATATGTATTCCAAGATAATCAATTATAACAAGTGAACAACCAATCAATTGCGCACATTGCACGATCCCCGCACTTGAGTTCCCGTGACATCAATTAGAACAATCTCGCATATCACGTCACCTTCCTTCAGAATTATCAACTTACATCACAGCAAAACCGACCTCTGAACGCTGAACAAAATGCCGACCGCTACTGCTAAACTGGGCGACCTGGTATTGGCCCAAACTGACTCCTGGGAGACGGTCGAAGGAAATGTGTATGTACGTTTAACACCACTACCATCCAGGGCTACACCCGACTGCCAACGCAAATCCTGATTTGTGCTTCTAGTTTCCTCCTTCGGCTTTGAAGGACCAAGCAGCCTTTGTGAAGTCGTATACAAAAAGCTTTTGTCCTTGGAAGGGCGAAGCTGAGTACTACACTATCAAGAATGGAGGTGCGCAGGACTTTCTTTCGAAATTGGGGGTACGGCAGTAAAATAGTGGACTAATTGGTCTACCAGATGAGGTCGTTACAGATGCAGCATGGTACTATGCGACGCCTTTTGAAAAGGCAGCGAATATCAAAGACCACATTGCTTTCTGTGAGTATCGTTCCTGAAGTTAACATTTAGCTTGAAACCTTGAGACCTTCCAAGGTTTCCTGAACTGTATTGAATTTTGCTGATCATCTTTGCAGATAAATCCAAGGTTACGATCACAGTCGAATAAGAATGTTGCTTGATTCAAATGTCCGTGCCTGGATATCTACTTGGGAGTATAATCCGGATGCTTCCTCGAGCAATTTAATTTACCCTTGATTACTAATGCATGAATCAAATCGATTTATTGACCATAAATGGATGGTTCCCAGATTTGAAAACTCCCAGGAACTGATAGCCGTCCAGTAAATACACCCACTACTCACTCTCATCCGCATACTGAGCATCGTAAACTTCCTCACCCAGCTCCCGCCCCTTATAGCTCAACTTGTTCATGGGCAAAAACACAAATAACAACCGACACCACTCCTTCCCACTCCGATTTTTAAACGCATGTGCCGTTCCCCGCTGTATACACACATCCCCACGATGTAAATGCCGACTGGCCCCGGAATCAAGCACCAGATCCACATCACCCTCCAACACGACTCCATAGTCCAAGCTAACAGTCCGATGCATGGGGGTTTTCTTCCCGGGCTTCAGATCTATCATGCGGAAAACGGTGCCTGTGTCCGTTGTCAGGCCTGGCGGTTGGTGGAGGTATTCGTCGTACATGGCGATGTCGGCTTCGTCTTCTAGTGAGGCGGGCACGGTGTCTGTTGCGTAGAGAAGGGCTATCTCACCGTCACTGCCTGCGGGTTGGGAGGGCATGTAGTCGGGGACTTGGGCGTGTGAGAGGAATACTGCTTCGCCTTCTGTGCTGTGGGTTGTTATGTAGCGATGGATGTCGGGGAGGTCGTTGTCTTTGTGGGGATGCATTTTGGGTCGGCGGTATATGTTTCGGAGAGCCAGAGATCATGTGTGTTCAAGTTGTTGCGGATGTAGTTGGCAGACTGTGGTTGCAGAGATTGGATGTATTGAATATCGGAAAACCAACGCCGGTGCATCATGATGGCATCATAATTGATAAATAGGCTTAAATGCCGAGCCAAACTCTTAATTGCCACGTGCCAGCAAACAGGCTCATTCCTTGGACGGAAAAGATCATCCTCCATTTCTAGTAGAGATTTCATGTCGCTCAACGCGGAACGCTGGTATGTGTGAGCTCATCCAGCATGTCCATCCAGATACCTGTATCCAGTCCCAAATGAGCACTGTCATCAAGCATTTCGCTCCAAATATCTTCCAGTGCAACAGGGTTAATCTCCGTGGATGTAGGATCGAGTGTAATTTCATAAGGGGGTGGAGGTGTTTGATCAGATGTCCTGGATTGAGCCAGCACACTATTCTCTGCCTCCCCCAAAGCCAATTGTCGGGTCGCCAGTAGTTGCTCTGAGTGTGGTCCGGGCCCGGGTCTTTTTTGCTGCTTCCAGTATTTGTGCAATACGCCCATCATCGCATTGATGCCCTCTCGTGCAATACAAGAAGCCTGTTGGGCGCGACTAAGCATGCGACAAGCATCAAGGACCTCCTGCTTTTGTTTCTCTGCTAAAATATCATCCCAGTTAAAGCAAACATTGATAAGTAGCGTGACAGCTGCCATAAACACATGATGCATCACAGCCCAGAAAAAGGAGCCATTGGGTGCAAAAGTGGGTAGTTCTTCATCCATGATGCGCTTCAACTCGAGTACCTTCCGCGCTGATTGAAGCGAGACCACATGGGAGTAAGAGTACCGTGGATCTTTGGCTCCGCGGACAAAATACCGGCGATGTAATCGACAAAATCGTGCATGGTACCCCTGCTGAATAAAAGTTCTTTGCCATGACAGGGTCGGTCGCTCTTTATAGAGATCGGCATATTCTCGCTTTGATGCCTGGTCGTATCGGAAGAAAGCAGGGAGGCCCGCATATGCCTCTTGGAGCATACGCTCCAGGCTAAGGATCCTTTCATACGGCACCTCCTCGTCCTTGAAGTGTTCCTCTGCTGATCCATCAACGATTTCTCGACATACCTCGGCCAAACGGAGGCGGGCAAGTGTATATGACATGCACGTGGGGACAGAAAGCGGCATAGCAGTTTCGCTTTCTAGATCAGCATCCTCGATGTTCAACGGTAACCGTACGTTCATATGCTTGGGATTGATGGAATAAGTGAATTCCTGTGGTCCACTGAGAAAGCTAAGAAGCCTATAAAAAAGAGAATTGATCAGCAAAGTTCATGTACAGCTGATGAACAACTTACCAATCATAGGTAGCGATGTCCCACCACAGCCTCCGCTTAAGTTCCACATCAGCCTTATCGTAACCATTTACTCGACGATCATCCTCGGAGCTTGGCGCGTCCAAGAAATGAAGCCCAAGACTCTTTGCTTGGCCGATCATGGTACCGATAACAAAAAACGAGGCGACAGATGGAATCAAACTGAGGCCAGATAGATGGTGCCCAATAATGAGCGACGCTTGTAGACCGGCGACGGTCGGATATGACATAAAGTTGCTTTGAATCAGTGACGCGCCCGCAAGAAATGCGGCGTCCCTACTCCGACTTTCAGCACGCTCTGCGGAATCCGTGGATAGGACTTTGAAGAACATAGCCGTGGCGGATATGCTGAACAGAAGTGCAAGGACGTTAAGGTCTATTGCCTTGTTCTGTGCAATACTGTCGTATAATGCATGAATGTCCTGCCTGGTGCGGTGGGCAATAACAAGGTGGTACTGATAGTCCAGATAATTGCAGTAATAATCCACCAGGTCCAAAACCTCAGCCTCGGAGGGCAAAAATGAGATAAGGGGGACTGTTGCGGGATTCTGATGGGATGCGGTGCAGCTGTCATTCAAGAATGTAAACACCCCCGTAGTACCCATGCCCGCGCCCGACGGTAAACTGGATTCAATGTGCGGTCTTGAAAATTGGAGTCGAAGAGTAGCCGGGACAGCACTTGGGACTCGGTGTCCCATGACTATATTCTCCAGCCTTTCTGCCGTGAGATGCGGCTCATCTGTAATGCGATTTCGCGGCTCCGGCTGGTATGTGGGTAACTGAGATCGAGGTGGATCAAATGTGCCGATCGACGGAGTCTTCTCTGCGATTGAAACTGGACTCCTAAAAGGGCCGGGGTTTCCGTAGTTACAATCCAATTTGCGAGCAGTACAACTACTGCATGGAAGGGTCCGGTCGCATTTCAGCTTCTTTTTTCGGCAGGAGTCGCATGATACTGCATCTTGGCGGGGTTGCCTCTTTGAGGGTGGCTCTGACGATTCGGTGCCTTTTCTTTTCATCATGAGTGACTCCGGTGCGCAGAAGGGAAAGTGTCACGGAGGTAAGCGCTGGGAGAGTTGGAGATGTGAGCTGACCTTGACGCGACCGGAGAGTCCATGGAGAGTCCGGCCCGGGCCTTGGCACCGCTATGTTTTGTATACGCACCGGAGTCTCCGAGAGCTCTTATTCTTAAGAGGGACTACAATTCTTCTTGCGTGATGAACTTCAATGCATTACTATTTGAGCCTCAACTCTTTTTAAGCTGCTTTGATCAAGATCTAAAAAATGGCCACTGATCCTGAGAACGAATACACGTAAGTTTGTCACCGTACTACTATCTACATGAATTTCCTCTAACATCGAGCAGAACGCAAGCATGGCTCACGATTTTCGGGGCATTCACATGTCTTTTCTGCACAGTCGGGTTTCTAAACTCATTTGGCGTTTTCCAAGCTTACTACGCGACAACTTTACTGGTCCATGAATCTGAATCGACTATTGGATGGCTTGGAGCTATGGCTATTTTCTTCCTTTTCTCGATCTCCATGTTTTCTGGTGGAATGCTGGATATCTTTGGACCCAAGGTAAGTCGAATCAATCCACCGAAGCAAAGAATATGAAGCAAGTACTCATGTCTTCAGCTCCTAATATGGACGGGGTCGGTTGGTACAGTTTTCGCGGTGATGATGACCTCGCTCTGCAAAGAATTCTATCAGTTCGTGCTAGCACAGGGCATTCTTCTCGGGATCTCCATGGCTCTGGCTACATGGCCTGCACTTGCGCTTGTTGGACAATATATTAAGAAGAAGCGCGCGGCTGCGATGGGGATTGTCCTTGCTGGGTCCTCGCTTGGTGGCATCATCTGGCCCGTTGCGATCGATCAGTTACTCAAAAGACCGAACATTGGATTTCCCTGGACGATGCGCATTGTTGGTTTCATCATGATTCCACTGTTCTTGTTCTCCTGTGTTTTCTGCAAATCACCTCCGAAGGTCCATGTTTCCTTGGATGTTGATCCGGAGAAAGAGACCGATCGACCTGCTCCAGAAAAGAAAGTTGATCACAAAAAGGAGGCGATTGCACTCTTCCGACAGCCTTCAATGCAGCTGCTGTGCCTTGCGATGTTCATAACATACTTTGGCATGTTTGCGCCGTTCTTTTACACAACTTCCTACGCTGTTGAAAAGGGATTCTCAACAACCCTGGCATTCTATACTGTGTCGATTGTCAACGGAGCCTCGTTTCCCGGTCGCATTCTTCCAGGAATTCTGGCTGATAGAATTGGCCGATTCAATTGTATAATCATCTCAACCTTTTCAGCGGCTTTGATAGCACTGTGTTGGACGAGTGTGGATTCAACTGCTGGCTTGGTGATTTGGTGCGCTGCTTACGGTTTTGCATCGGGGGTAAGTGCTTCAAAGCTTTACCCAATGCTGATACCTATCGCTAATTCTCAAAGGGTATTCTTTCATTACAACAAGCCTGTGCCGCTCAGGTGGCTACGCCTTCTACATTCGGTCTCGCAATTGGTGGCGTGGCTGGATCCACTGCTTTTTCGTAAGTCGGCATAGCGCGCTTGAAGCTCAAAATTTGCTGATGAATCATAGTGCTATGGCCAATGTTCCAATAAGTGGAGCCCTGGTAGAAAGATATGGCTATTTGTCACTGTCGCTATTTTCCGGTGTGGCATTGCTCCTCGGCGGCGTATTACTGATCCTTGCACGCTTAGTCCAAAGCCGAAAACTTTCGGGAATAATATAGACAGTGCTGGCTTGGTTGGTCACTTTGGGCATATAATCTTGAGGAGTGGCCTTCAAATACGCATCTTCAAAAAATCAGTCCAGTCTTGGGTTCAGTTTGTGATCCTCAAACTCACCATTGCTTCTTATTTGAATTAGGTATTTTCGTTCCAGCCCAGTACCGCCAAACTTCAAATGTTCAAATATTATTGATATACGTCTTTCGCCAGTCATTCTAGCTGATTATCTGATTGATTTTGGTTTATTCTGCTTCTATTCTGGCTTTCGTATTCGTGCCTCAAGAAAAATGCCCCCTCGTAGTCATCAATAAAAATGCAAATTAATTACAGCAACAAAGTCTCTCTCAAAATATATCATTCACAATCCGGCAACTCGAGAAAGGATTTAAAAATCTTCTCCGGCGGCCCGGCGAATTGCTGCAGTTAACCCGTCAGGCTGACTGATAAACGGACTGTGGGATGCGTCTAGCGTCTCGGTCTTCATCCCGAAGCCATCGGCTGTTCCTTCGACCATCATCTTTTGTACTGGCAGGGGAATTGCCGCATCTTGTAGGCAGTACAAGTAGGTAGAGGGGACATGTTTCCATGCGGCATAGGTGCAAACAGTGTGGAAACACTGGTAGCTATGAGGCCTCAGAGCAGCAACTGCACTATCAATCTGCGAAGGAGTGCAGTCATTGTAGAAGATCTTGTCTGGATCCGCAGGGCTAGCCTCCAGCTTGTCATCTGAGACAATAAACCAAGGGAGGTCATTGCCACCGAATGCGCTGATCAGCGATTGTCCTTCTGGAATGACGAAGGAGCAGCAGAAAAATAAATGGGTAACGCCGCCGGCAAGGCCAGCTTCCTGGCGTGTTTTGATGTCCAGCCCTTTGATTGCTTCATTTGAGGGTAGGCCACCATAGGAGTGCACGACAAGCACCACATTTTGCCCTTCGTTCGCTGCTTGCTCAATCTCTGCGCGAATCGCTGCAACATCCTCGCTGAAGTCCAAGAAGTGTGTTGGTGGGTTTACCGAGGGAAGTGGGATCTTGCGGGTCTTGTAGTTGACTGCTTCGAGGCGTTCCACGATGGGATCGTAGCAATCGGGGTTGTGCCATGCACCTGGAACGAAGAGCACAGTAATTGATTCGTTCATTTTTGTCGGCTGGGATTTCAAGGTTGCAGATTCGGGATTTTTTGAAATGTATTGTTTTTTTTTTTTTGCACGGTGCCTATCAATGCAGGAGAAGTTAGTGAAGGATGGCAGTAGGTTTATATATTCCTGCACATGTGGAATTTTGGGTCCAGTCAATGCCGGCCGTGTCTGTACCACCAAGGTAATGTATACCACGTTGGGTCTGTATTACCATGCCAAGCGAATGAAAGTGATGCCAAGTGACCAAAGACGGCATATGCTTCGCGGGGCTGCAGGTATAAGTGGATCTAGAAAGCCATGCTAGCTCCTTGCAGAGGAAAAGCCGACCGAAATGAGCACGGACCGCTAGATCTGTGATCAGCGGCACATTTTATTCAGCGAAAATGTCAGTGACCACTTACCTAATTCATGATTTCATTCTAAATCTCCACTCGTGTTATCTCACACTCGTGCCAAACGAGAAAAGTCGAATCATGGAGGCTTCTTATAATCGAGGCTTTGTGTCAGGAGATCACGTGAGTAACGCGTGTTCCCGTTGTCTTATAGCGGGCTTCTGCCTTCCTTCTCTTCTGTCTTTCCCTAATCGAAATATTTAATTAATCCTTTACTTGTTTCAAGAAGTCATGAGCTCCTTTCCCCCATCTTTGATTATTGTTTATTATCAATTTAAGCAAGATTTCAGTGAGATTATCTTCTCAATGTTCGAATCCTAGATCCTGGTTATAAGTATTCAGAACTCGAGCCGCCTCACTCGCTTACCAAATAGTTTAAATTGCCAGAAATGTGGGGTATTACAAATTCAGTGTTATTCACAATCGAACATCGTTGATTGGCTACTATCTACCACACGTTCTGACAAGTTCTCGTGGCAGAGCCAGTACCGAATAGTGGGGTCTTTGCAGTCTATCGGACGCTTTGACATAGGTGGACTGGTGGACCACTTGTTCACCCAAATAGGTGAAGTTATAAATCGATAGAAAGAATTGAACATTGGTACGGGACGCGGTCCTTAGTAATTTTCAAGACCCGACTTAGTGCTTGGCGGTTCGAATTGAAAATTTGCAAGAACCAAAAAAAAGATTGTGCTGGTAAACGTGTAGCGGATGCTTTTCTTTACTATTGATCCTAATGTCGGCTACCGGGTGCTACAGGAGGTACGCTTATTTGCCAAGACTAATACTAAGTCCTCCAAGGATTTCGGATCTTTACCTTGGCGCATCAGGCCACTCGTTGCACGGATTCCGCGGATGCCGTTCTATTTTTTTGTGGTAGATGAATTACAATGAAGGAATTCAACCATCTTTTGTATTTTGATAAAGGCTCAAAATTGAGCGCTTTATAAAGAAGGGCTTTCTCCAAGATGATATTTATTTCATATTTTCGTTTATCAACTCCCTTTATTACTAGCTTGCGAAATTTATTATTCTAATGGTGGAGTCTCTCATTAGAGGTAGTAATGCCAGTACCCAAGTTTCTCACCCCTATTACCCTCTAGGTGTCATAGTCGATAACTATGTCACAAATACTATTCCTGCCCCGGTACTCGTGTTGATATTTGCTGTCGGCACCTTGGCCATTTTTGGAGGAACCCATCTTGTCATTAAGCATTCAAGACTCAACATACCTCCATCAGAGGTTGCTGCCACCATGTGGTTCGTCCTATGTGGTTTTATCCACCTCTTCTTCGAAGGTATACTTTCGATCTCCTTTTTAATATTTGCAGCGTACTGATTATGTCTATAGGCTATCTTTCAGTGAACTTCCGAGACGTGGCAGGTCGCAGCGACATTTTTGGCCAGCTGTGGAAAGAATACTCTCTCTCCGACTCTAGATATCTGCTACAAGATCCCTTTGTCGTCTGCATGGAGACTGTCACCGCTTTCATATGGGGCCCTATGTCCTTCGCTTGCGCCTACTGTATCATCAAGGATCACCCGTTACGTCACCCTCTCCAATCCATCATTAGTTTGGGACAGCTCTACGGCGATATACTCTACTTTGCCACTACCAGCTTCAACGAGACCATCGCTCAAATTATTTCCTGCCGACCAGAGACATTCTACTTCTGGTTCTACTATGTGTTCTTTAACGCATGGTGGATCGTTATCCCGCTATTGCTGGTCTTGCACAGCTCCAAAGAGACGGCGGCTTCCTTTACCAAAGTGAAAGCGCTAGAAAAGGAGAATGGTATTCGGAAAAACCTCTAGGTCGAGAAGAGACAACAGGGCTCAAGTGCTACAGACTGGTCGCAAAATGCGAACACGGACGGAAGGAGGAGTCTGGAGCGAAGAGGCCCTATGTAGGATTAGGGACTCAAGCTGGGTGGAGTGACTCATGTGGGTGTTACATTTATGTAATATATATTCATGGTCTGGAATCCCAACTGGTGAAAGCCGATATGCTTTGTTCAGGACGCTATCAATTGATAATTTTCTAATCGAAGCGGAACTTGCTACGCAGATTCGCCATTGCAGCCTGTTCTCGCTCCTGGTGCTGCGCATGGATATCCGCCGCCACCAAGAACCGATGTCGCTCCAATACCTTCTTAATCAGGTCTTTCCGTTCCTTTTCGCTGTAGCCCCTGTGCTCCCGTTTTCTAGCGAAGACGTGGTTCATCATAACATCGACTTCGGGCGTACTTAACCCTGGGTGCAGCCGACAACACGGGGCCTCACAGATACCGCATGGCAGCGACGTGAGTCTTTCCCCATCAGACGAGGGGCACTTGAGGACTAACGATCGGACGCTTCCCTCGGGGGCCTTCACAATAACCTCAAGACAATTCACGCACGGATGGCCGCCGTCCTCACCTTCATTGGGGTTGTCCAGAAGCTCCCGGCGCTCCCGCATCATCCGCATGGTGTGTTCCCAGCTGCGATCGCAGCCTGGAATCTCACTTGCTTCAGCACGCCCTGTACTAAATATTTTGTTAGTCTCCTGGCTTTCTTATTCCTGATCTTCTGAGCCCCGGCCTACTTTTGGTTCATGATAAATTGGGTGTAGTGGAAGGGAGTGAGTGGGTGTTGGGTAGAACACAAGATACCCGCATAAACATGACTTCCAGCAGCTAGGTCACAAAATGACAGTGCTGACTAGTAATGTTACATCCCTGCAACATGTGACCCCTGCACCCATGGGCCATAACCCCGTATAAAGAATTTTTAGGATATAAACACTGTGGTAAAGATTTCGATGCCTATTGATCGGCTGAAGGTTGATAGTTGACTCAATTATATTAATAGCTGTAATCAGAATTTCCGGCTCCTTTTTCTCTGCCACGCCACTTGCCAATAATGCCACACCATTGTTTGGAAATTTGGGAGGGCTACGCGCGGGTTGGAACGCCAAGACCAATTGGGATTGGCCCATTTCACCTCCCCCCAAAGAAAACTGCGTGCAACTACAATTACAACATTGGGCCAATACTACTTACCAAAATTGTAAAGAATTCTTCGCTACTCGTCACATCGTCCAAGCACGCTTGGAAGATATCAGTGCTTCAGAGCATACCTGGGAAACGACCAGCACAACATTTCATACAACACCCTGGGGCCTGGAGCAAGTAAGTCGGACGTGCCCCAAAAACAAAACATTGCCCATTATAATGCTAGCTCCTTGTGAGCTCGCAGGTGCGTCTAGGATTATGTGACTCATGTAACTGAAGCTTATGTTCAAAGCCCCAGGGGCAAAACTACATGTACTACTAGTTTCGAACCTTGGACAGTAAACCCTCTACAAACGGACATCCAGATGTCTGGAACCTTATACCAAATAATCCTTGAAGTTGCCTTGAGAATCATGGGTGAGGTAGTCTTCAAGACTACATAAATAATGAGATTATATGGATACAAATAGCTCCATTCAATCAATGTCAACATCCGATGGTACTGAAGGTTCTATCGTTTAATTTGCTGTCGGGGGCACAGCACAGGGCCAGATTGTTAAGTGAATTAACATAAGTTAATAATTTCGATTGGAAGGCTCCAAGGTGCCTGTTGGGTACCGTAACAATTTTTTTTCTCTCTTCTGTCCTTTCTTCTATTCTTCCTCTTTCCTCCCGAGGTCCTCAAAAGCGCAAGATTGAACCATCTCTTTCATTCAACTCGCAACAACATCGCAACTCGCAACAACATCGTGACATCCCACTGAAGGGTCTTTTCGGAGACCAAATTTTTTTCAAGATGGAGCAAAGTGGTATGTCGCTTTTCTCAGGCCTTTGATCTTTCCATGACCTCCTTCATGGCATGAATCGTGTCATTTCTTTGCTTCGCGTGAAATGAGTACTAACCATGCCTTCAATGCAAGACTTTGAGTACCAACTAGGACTTCTCAAGCTTGAGAGCGAACAGGACGAGATTGAAGATGCATCTCTAGCCCCAGTTTTTGCAGGCCCAATCCTCGATATGCCCATTCCAACCCCATCACAATATGGACTTCTAGGAGGTGTGAAAAGTGTTTCAACTCTTACAAATCAACGGACTGTTCACGACAAAGATCCTCGGTTGCTTTTCAATGTGGCTTCTCCATCAAGCACATTTATCTGTGGTTCTCAGGGCTCCGGCAAAAGTCATACCTTGTCTTGTCTACTCGAGGATTGCTTGATCCCATCCAGAGCTGGACAGCTTTCAAATCCCCTCACAGCAGTCATTTTCCACTACGACACGTTCATTAGTGATACAGCCGGCAGCCCTTGTGAAGCTGCTTTCCTATCCACTGACCCTAACATTGTAGTCCGGGTTCTTTGTGCGCCTACAAATATTCGCACCATAAAGGTGATACCATTCATTCACTTTGTATTCCTACCAGGAGACTTGGCTCACAATTTTTTAGCGAACCTACTCGAGATTCAGCAACATTACGGTGGAACCTCTGAAAATCGATCAAATTGATTTGAACACCAAGCGTATGCTGGATCTGATGGGAGTGGGCCAAGACAGTAGTAGCCCTCTACCCCTCTACATGTATACCATCCAGCGAGTCCTTAGGGAAATGCGCATTGACCAACAAACCCACGAAACCGAGTTCGATTATGCGAATTTCAAGTACAGAATTGGGGCAGCGGGCCTTCTTTTGGGACAGCTTGAGCCGCTAAAACAGCGACTTGATTGTCTGGAGAGCTTTATGCCTCCCAAGCAAACGATCACTGGCTCCAAGCCCACCGGGAAAAAAGATAAAGACGCTACAACACGAAAGAGTTTGGGTTCAAGCTGGAAGCCAAAGGTAAGGTTCTCATGATCAATATAGAGCCTACAAGTGACTAACACTTCGATTTAGGCGTCGCAGTTGACGATCGTCGACTTGTCTTGTCCTTGTATCTCGGCCGATACTGCCTGTTCCCTATTCAATGTCTGCTTCGGAATCTTCATGGAGCAGGATTCGCAGATCGGCAGAATAATCGCACTTGATGAGGCTCACAAGGTCAGTTGTATCTGATACTGTATTATGTGATGGGCATAAAAGCTGAACTCCTATAGTACATGAAAGGCTCAGTGGAAGCCAAAAACTTTACGGAAACTCTACTTTCGACAATCAGGCTCCAACGCCACCTCGGTGCTCGGATTTTTGTCTCTACCCAGGATCCAACCATCTCCAGTGACCTTATCAGTCTGTGCTCCATTACAATCGTCCACCGTTTCTCCTCGCCGGCATGGTTATATGCACTCCAGGGTCAAATCGCTGCTGCTGCCCTTGGCGCGGTATCGAAAAAGGGGTCCGCGGAAGACCCAGATGTTGTAAGCAAATACGCTCTCTTCCATCAGATTGTTCGTCTTCGAGTGGGCGAAGCCCTGCTGTTTTGCCCCAATGCTGCGTTTCCCATTACACCGGAGGATGATAAAGGAGTTCAAGGGTCCAAAGCTCCGAAGTTGATGACTCTGGGTGCTGGATATGTGGTGATCAAGGTTCGAGATAGGTTGACGGAGGATGGTGGGAAGAGCGTTTTATCTTCTTGAGCAGGCCCGCCAAAGTCTCTTGGTTGTTAAATGTGGTGGAATCTTTGGGAATGTGTTGACGAGAGCCTTCGGGCCGAGGGAAACTTAAAAGAGGAGCAGTTGGAGCGATCAGAGAAGAAAACATCACTGGGCTTTTTTGTGTGATAGGAGTGGTCATATGTGAAGGCTGTATGGTATTCGTGACTCTCTACATACTTTCAAATTTCGTTCTGCTCATGCTCCACGTTTCTCACATTGTAATTTTGCTTAACTGGCGAGTGCAATTCCGTTGCGGTCATGACAGCGGACTCGGCTTGACACTTTGCGCACGATCAGGACCGCTGGGAAGAGGCGTCCGGCTCACACTTGAACACCTCTTCAGATTCAGTTGACTGCATTAACTTTATGGGATTCCGAAATCCATTGTGACCAGGGAAGGTCGCGCAGCAACATAGACAGGGAAAGGATATTCTGAATGTGCAAACCGCAATAGAGGACTTAAAAAATAAAGACGGCGGCAAAAAAAGGAGCAAGCCTGAAGGGCAGGGTCGGAGTGGAAGAAAATAATCGCAAATATGCTTGCCGAGCGATTGGAAATTCAGGGCTGAAATGCTTCTCGTAACGAAGTATCGTATCTTTCTTTGTCTTTCACTTTTTGTTCAATAAAGTCGAACGTATTGAACGACCAGTACGGCATAGTAATGCGCCAAAAGGCAGGATCATCATGAGCCTGTGAGAATCTCAGTTGGATGTGATCATAGAAAATTTTAAACAAAGCTGTAGGATTAGCGAGGGCTAAAGAACACCAGAACGTGCCGTTCTCTAGTCCCTGTTTCATAATGGGACACAAACGAAAAGGTGGATCGAGCTTTTTTTCTTCCTCGGCAAAAGCGTCCAGAAACTCTGCATGGAGGGTTTTGTACTCATCCAAGTTGATCAGATCAACAGCTTGGTTTGTCAACCAGTGTGGAGGATGGATCATATCTACTGGGTGAGAGCAGGCCCATTCGAGATCTATAAGGCGCGCGATATTCCAATCATCGTCGACAAAGACGTTGCTCTGGTTGAGATCTGTGAGATTGAGGAAAAATGGTCCTCGGAGAAGATCCCGACGAAAAAAGCAAGGCCATATACTTCTCATTACCATCAGTGCAGATGTCTGATAGAAACCATCTTCGACACTGTTGACTGCATTGGGTTGGTGGCGAAGGCGACTCTCATGGAGAGAAAGAGTGTCATGAACAAACGATTCGACACTGGTGTGGGTCGAATGTCGCTGTATGTCGACCGGAATCTGCTCGTTTTTCAGTTGTTGGATTTCAAGGGTAAGAGGTCGATTACTCAAGCTTAAATAACCATTTTCATCCAATGCGAACGAGCCAATCTTAGGCAATGGAATCCGTGCCAGTGTCAGCATAATGCGAGAAAGGCCATGAAAAAGGTTTGTGCGCAAGGTCGGATTGAAACGTCCCTCCTCCCAAGTTTCAGAAAGCATCTTGCCTCTCGATGGATCGATATATTCAATCAAAATATAGGGCGTACCAAGGAGAGTCTGGTCTTTGGTGGCATTCTCAACGTAGAAAGATGGAACCGGATAGCGTAGTATCTGCAAAAGCCATAGACGTAGACGCTGGATGTTTCGAGTGAAAAATGGAAGGTTGTCGGGGTCGGTGAACTGGGACTGATTGTAAACAAAAATTCCAATCGGCAAGCATGTAAACGCGACATACAGATTTGCCACTTGATAGCCCGAATCCATAAAGATGCGGAATGGGGACAGTGGGACAGTTCTCTTTGAGCCACGCATACGTCCCAACTTCACAACGGACCTTCTCGTCCGCATTTCCTGGGCAGCATTTCTCTCCAATCCGATAGGGTAGGGGAAACCGAATCATGACCTGCCTTTCAACATTTCCTTTCAGGTCAACAACGTCAACCCGTATGCAAACATTGAAGCTTCCGTGTATCCAGTCCCCCACATCCACAACACGACATTGATCTGTAGATGCAAGGCCAAGGTGGTGAGCGACGATCGTCTTGATCAGGTCTCGATTCCGGTCCAACTGGGTGAAAAATCGAATCTTTTGATCTCTGTAGCCCAACTCATGGAGAATGTTAGCATCTTGTTCCTTTGCTGCGGCATATGTGATCTCGCCACGAAGCAAACGACGAGGCTTCAATGTAGAGGGTAAATCATGGCCCTGGTCTTGAGTCATTGCATTTTGGATGTTTTCAAGACGTGAAACTAAGGCTGAGTGGAAATTAGATAGAGTTGACATTCAGTTGAGATAGGGAAAAAGAGGTAAGCAAATGCCATCTCGGGGGAATAATGTTCCGTACATAGTACACATACCCAACTCTCGCCAGGCGTTTTGGGCGGCGAAGTGAAATGGCTTTTGTTCCCTAGACCCGATGACTAATTTGGCTAGCCACAGGTGATAGGTGATTTCAGCTTCGTGGCTACTTACTAGAACGATATTTTTTGGTCGTCCCCTAATCGCATAAGGAAGAATCATCTAGTTCCGTTTGAATCTCTTCTTTTAGGTGTATTTCCCTCTGGATGTATTTCCAGTACAAACGACCAATTAATAGGGTGCGGAGAACAAGGCTTCCTGTCCGCTCAGCTGTACTTAAGCCACATATATCCGAATGGCTAACATTTCAGTTCATTGGCATCGATCACCCTAATGTGACAATACAAATGCCTTCAAAAGCACTTGAGAGGATCACATGTAGTACTTAGTCTAGAAGAGAACAACAATCACGGTCACATCGTCTCTGGCCTCCTTGGAGTCTGGTGGCAAAAGACTCATGACGCTGCAAAACAAGTCCCGTTCCTTCCCACCAAATGCGTTTTGAACCAAATGGGTGGCTATATTATCATGTTCCGCGATGAAAGCTTCTCGTTCCATCTCCCAGTTATAAGGGTACATATTCCGTTCCGGGTCTTTTTCTGGTGTTGAGATAACTTCTGCAAGGTCAACATTTTCCGCTTGCTCTAGATTGTTCGCTCTGTCCTTAGCCTGCGCTTCAATCCACAACTGCACACAGTAAACGGCGTCCTCATTGGACACATGGTTCCAGAATCCATCTGTCCCGAGGATGAGAACATCGCCTGGCTGTACCTGTATGTTCCTCACATCTGGCAACGCGGTGGAATATGGCGGGGTTTGTATGTTTGAGTTATACACGCGTCCAAAGAAGCCGTTTTTCCAATCCTCCAATGCCTCCCTAGGCCATTTCTGCCGGTTATCCCCGAAACTCCGAGTCACTTCTGATCCTAAAAAACGGCCAATGGCAGAAAACAAGCGGTCTTCACCGGGATGCTCGGCTTTGATACGGGCCCTCTCATCTGGGTTCGTACTACTGTGGTCAACAGATAGTGGAATTGAGACCCAATCCCCATTTTCATCCTGCTTCTGACGACAGAGAACGGCACGTGAGTCGCCAGCACCAGCGACATGGAGGGTGGATCTCTCCGGATTATAAAGGGCTAGAAGCACACAGGATCCGGAGCTCGAGGGTGCGATGCGACACATCGCTTCTGCCTGGGGGATTGGCTCATAGATGGCAGCCAGGCCATCGGAGACAATCTCATCGTCCAGCTCAGTGAATGCGGACTTTATAGCTGCCTCAATCGCCCCGTAGTCATCGAGATCCTCGGCAGATAGCTGATCCAGTTTCCTACCAACGTACTTATGGAGATGATTTCGGAGAATTGACGAGGTTGCCCAGCCTCTAAAAAAGCCGCTCGCACATCAGAGACTGTTTCAAATAGAAGAGAAGCCCGTACTCACGAGTGGCCGTCGTATACCCCCCAGTACCGCCAGTTATCAATCTTGCCCTCCGTCATTCGGCCCCAAGATAAGTCGCCTTCGACGCGGGTGACGCTCCCAACTCTCACGGTATCGGTTCGAACTATATCGGCCTCGGCAGGCGAATTTAAAGCTGTTGACGTCTCTCCCTGCTTGAGCTTTTTGGTCGCCTCTTCCATGCCCAATGGGCGATGCGTCGTGTACCTCCATTCCATATAGGCGTAGATATTGCCAAAATCCTGGTTTAGCGCACTGGTTCTAGGTCGGGATTAGCACAAAACTGACTTGGATACCGGGAGAAACGAAATACATAATTGAATGTTGCCATTTGAATAAAGCTGTGATGGCGGGGCTGCAAGGAATCTCCTTCGGGTCATCAGCATAGCTAGTCGGCCGTGGCAAGAAGAGATAGGGGTGACTTATTACTTCGACAGGGGCTTGATGTGGTGCCAGGTGGCAACCCTGCTCGAAACACGAAGCGCGCGGCTTGGTGCGGTTCTAGGTGGTAATCCCGCTCAAAAAATGACTCGTATGGACGAAAGCCCAGTCTGAAGTGGAATCTACAGCCTCATTGCTGTGAGTTGGTAATACAAGCTCACGAATAAACTTTGGGACATGTTCTGACTTACCCGCCAAATGGCAGAGAAAAATAATTTGCCCTGCATTTTGCTCAACCTTCCATATTGCAATGGACCGCTCAATTCCACCAAGCCCCCCAACCAGCAGATATGCGGCGTCAGATCTAAACGATGGCAAGGTTTTCACATCGGGGGGAAGGTATATTACTCCAAGTTTCCGGAATGCGCAACAGAGCTTTGCCCATGTCAACTGGTAGGTTCCAGGTTGCATATACCGGAAGGCACTAACAACATCGCTCGCATCAAACACTTTGACGGGCTGAATGGGTTTGATGGCTCCATCGCGTTACATTTCCAGCATTTTCAGAACATTCCTACAAGAAATTAGCCTTCATCCCCTGATATTATGGTTCAACTAACCGGTTCAAAAATTCAGGGTTCGCTTCCATGGCGGATCCAATGTCAATCCTGAAAAAGGCTCGATTGACTTGAAAAGCACTCATTTCAAGCTTTCCGTGATTCAAGAAATCTCGCTTTTCAAGCTCAATCATTCTTCCAAACTCTGCTACACATTCCCATGAGGCATGCAGTAGCTCACCAGACAAGGAGTTTAGTACCACATCGACACCTCTTCCGGCGGTGGCACACAGGAGGTCTAGCTTGAAGGACACGTCCTTGGAGCTGAAGATACGCTATTGTCAATGAAGGCGAACAAACTCTGATATTAAGGCCCATGTAATGCATTTTGACTTCCACCTGCTCCGCGGATAATTTTTCACATGGCTTTTCATCAATCCAGTGCAGTGTGTCCAGAAGTCCATAAGTAGAGAATCAGATAGTCAGTTCTCTTTGACATTTGCCCTATATAACCAACCCTGAGCGGTATTCTAGTACATACGACCATAGGGAGTGGAGAACAGGGCTTCCCGTCCGCTCAGCCGTACTTAAGCCACACGCCGGTCAGTTAGTAGTATGGTGGGTGACCACATGCGAATCCTGACTGTTGTATGTTTTTGATTTTTTTCTTCTTTCCTTTATTTTGAACTGTTTGGGAGAGTGCCATTGCCGATCTATTCATCAAGATCTCTAAGATCCTTGCCAACATTGAACACATCTTGATGCCGACCGTGGGGACGATCAAAATCCAGGAAAACGAATGCATCCACTGCAAGGAGGAATCAGGACCATGCTCAAACTGCGTGAAGGTGCACATGTGAAAGGGGTCGTCAAATTCTGCGCCAATTGTCACTCAAGGGGAGTACCTGGACTCACGCTGTTCCATTAATTTGTAACTTTCTGCTCTCAAAAAGCGCCGATCTCTTCCGCCCCTTACTAATGAGGAAGTGCAGAAGAAAAATCCGATGGAAAGTGTGTAATCTAAGCACTATCTTCTTGAAAAAGAGTGAGATGTATCATGTATGTCTTGAACTTCAAGCACTTTGGAACTAATTCCAGGGCCTTAATGATGAGAATGTCGACAAAGGTACTATCTTGGTATCCTTGATACAACGATTTTTGCCGGAAGCTCCCAAAGACTGAGGACTTTAATAAAGTGGTGGCCAATGCTAAGGATATTCTCGATGCATCGGAGGAGTTGTAGATAGTAAGGGGCTATGTAGGATATAAAGTGAAAATTCCTGGATGAGACCATCACATCATTAATATTTCTTTTGGTCTAGAATATTCAATCTTGTCCACTACTTTTTCCATGTACCGTGGGTATAAAATATGCGGGGTCATTGATGACGTGGGATTCCGTGCAGATTCGCGTCCACCTGGGCATTGAGAACGCAACTGGCGCCTGGAACGTCGGACTCTGGATTGTCATGCAAATAGTGGTTTTCAAGTTTTTACTTCATCAGGATATGATGATAGAGAAACAATGACTGGTGAGCTTGTTGAATAATCACGGAGAGGTTGTTGAATAATCACCAGTTGACGGGTTGTTGAATAATCACAGTGAAGTTGTTGACATCAATAATCACGGTGCGGTCGGCACCCGAGGAGACGGAGGGACCTACTACTGGTAGCAAACTGCTTACGAATTTTGTTAATGATATCCTGTCCGACAGGCCGGCTTCTAAATCATATTGCATGGAATAAGCTAGAATTAGTGCTATCAACTTTGGTGGACTAGACCCAAGTATACTGACGCCGGATAACAACTGGATGATTCATGACGGCATGCTGCTGCATACTATTTTACGAGGTAGCTGACTGAGAATACGAGTATAAATGTATACATATCCATCCTGCCCCATCTCTTTTTCCACCTCTGTGATTATCCATCATTCACCCATCAATCAACTCAAGTGCTAGCATCAGAACAGCTTGAAATATTGCCTTCCAAACTCGCCTTTATATTTCCGATAAAACTCGCAAAATGTCAACAACTGGTGATACAGTCCTGGTCATTGGCGGCACAGGTGCCCAGGGAATACCAGTCGTCAAAGGTTCGTTCAATACTTTCTCATGAAGGAAAATTTTCCTAACAAAATTCATAGCTTTGGCATCTGGTTCTAAGTACAAAGTTCGAGTCCTGGCCAGGAGTGCTTCATCGGCGACAGCAAAAGAACTAAGTTCAATCCCCGGGGTGGAAATCTTCGAGGGTGATCCTTATCACGAGCCCACCCTTCGAGACGCATTCAAGGGCGTCTCTTATGCTTTTGCCAACACGAATGGCTTTGCGATCGGGGAGAAGGCTGAAATTTACTGGGGTATCCGGCTCTATGAGCTGGCTCGAGAATTCCACCTTCAACATTTCGTTTACGCCGGTCTGCCATATGCCTCCAAGCTTGGGAACTTTGACCCTAAGTACCGGACCGGGCATCTAGATGGGAAGGGGAAAGTCGTTGATTTCCTTTCTGCTCAGCCAACTTCCCCTATGGCCTGGTCTGTGATTACTTCGTGCCTATACGCTGAAGGACTCTCGGAAGTTATTCGGCCTTTCCCAGATACTGAGGATCCCACCACGATGGTCTTCGCGGCGCCTCTGGGGGACGGGAAGTGCCCTCTTATCCACCTTGAGGACTACGGATCTTACGTCAGATGGATTTTCGATAATCCAACCAGAAGTAATGGACTCGAACTACCTGTGGCTACGGAGGACATTGCGTGGAAGGATCTTGCTGCAGCTTTCACGGCAGTGACGGGCATCAAAGCTGTCTACAAAGATGTCACTTTTGACGAATACTTTCAGTTGGGAGTTTGGGCAAACCCGGATGCGATCTTGGGGGATTCTGCCCAGTCGAATGATTCTACTTTATTCACGGTGCGGCAGAACTTTACGGGGTTTTGGAACACCTGGAAAGATAATCTGTCTAAGAGAGATTATCTACTGCTGGATGAGATCCTTCCAACTCGAGTGAAGAGTGTGAGGGAATGGATGGAGAAAACTGGTTATACTGGAAAGCACATGCCAGTTTTGAAAAGCTATCATGCCGGTGGCAGGGGAGTCTAAAGGCTTACTTAGAACGATTATTGTATGGAAGTATCCATTGTTTTGATCTTTTTGGATTTTGAAAGCACCGGAACCTGTGGATGTGGCCTGGGCCAGCGACTCGAGTTGATTCCAAAACAAAAAGATCTAGTTGAGAAGCTGCAGATCTTGAGAAGCGATAGTTTGGATTAAGTTAGCGATATCGACTGGGGCTTTTAATTGAATGATAATTTGTTTTCTGAGAAATTAAACATTTTTTTTGCTAGTGCTAGTTTTCGCTCGTTATTATCATACGGGAATTCTTTGTGCAACCTGCCGAGTCTCAAAGCTACCCGGCTGTAGATAGCATGGGCTCGATCCACTATACAGCATTCTTGGGGGAAAACTCGAATATAAACAAACATTGAATTGAGAGATCCCACCCAGTCCAGTCCCAACATAAAGAAAAACGTAAATCATGAAAACTTAAATCATATTCGAAGAATACAGTCTCACCGACACACCGGCGTCATGCATCATAGTCAAGTTAGACAACTTGACCGGTTCCTCTGTCTGGTTCAAGCGTGGATCCGCATTTTCGAGCGTATCAAAGTACTGAAGGAGTCTAACAACAGTATAACTGGCCTCGGTGAGAGCATATTGTTCTGCAGTGGGTTGGAATTAGCATTTCAGTCCCAACGTTCTTTTGTTTCCGCGGAAAATCGAAAAATGAAAACGCGAAAACTTTAAAAAACCCAAAGAAAAGCCAACTTACGACCGAGACATATCCGAGGTCCACCGTTGAAAGGCAGATATTCCCATCCGTGTTTAGCGTTCTCTTCCCATCGTTCCGGTCGGAACGATCGTGCATCCTTGCCCCATAGATCTGTGCGGCGGTGCATAGCATACACGTTATAAGCGCACATCGTGCCCTTCTTGATATAAACAGGCGATTGTTTATCCGGACCTCCTCCGACCGGGAGGGATGTGTCTTTGGTTGCGACGCGGAAGTTAATCGGGACCGGCGGTTGGAGACGGAGGGCTAGATGGTCAGCGAACGCAATTTCTTTTAAAGTTCAAAGCTGAGTTGGTTGGAAACTTACTCTCATTGAGAACATATCGCAGGTACGCGATATCCTTGAGCTTTGTTTGCGTGATTTCGCCGAGCGGGTTCCTACTCTCGCCGAATACCTCGATGATCTCCCGGCGCAATCTGGCAAAGACATTCGGATGGCGCGCAAGGTAGTAGAAAGTTGAACTCAGTAAGCTGGCCGTGGTGTCTCGACCAGCGAGTAGAATATTCAACATGTTGTCGCGCAGGATCTTCGGATCGTCCGTATCGGCCGCGAGAGCATCAAGGAAAATATAGCGGCCACTGTCGTCCTTTTTATCGGGGTTCCGTTTAGATTCCAGCGCGACATTCACGTAATGGTCGACTACTTCGTGGACTTGGCTGTTCGCCTCGCGGAATGCCTTTGGGTTCACGAGCCAGTAGAGTCCCTGGGCGCGAGATCTCGCAGCGAGGTAATCCTGGGCGATAGTGAATGCGTCGGCGAAGCCCTGGGCGTTGCGCACTGCGGATTTGGCAAGGACACCGGTTGTTTCGGATTCGGGGAGCATGCAGCCCACTGACTCGCCGAAGAGGAAATGGGTAGCGGAATCAAGCGTGAGGAGGAAGAATAGGCGTTGGATGTCGAAGCTGGACCTGTCTTTGGGGATGAGATCAAGGAGGTGATTGATGTGGTCATCTAGTAGGGCCAGATCTGCAACCTGTGTCTGCGTTAACTCCATGCACATGAATGTTATACGATCACGAATCCGGCAAGAATACCTGATCTCTGGTAAATTGCGGTCGCAATAGACCTCTCGCGTGCGACCAACCCGCACCGTCCAACGTAAAGATCCCATCGCCGAGTAGAGGGTAGAACTGCTCGTGTCGTGTCCCCAAACAGAAATCTTGGAATTGAGTCGCTAGAATTGCCTTCACATTGGCCGGTTCAATGGTGGTGACGATCTGCCGACCAAATATATATTGGTTGAAAGTATTCCCGTAGGTCGTATATTGATTGGTCATGTAATCGATCCAGCGTTTTTCGCGCACCGCTTTACTGAGACGAACAAACGCTGGGATGCCGAAAAATGCGGAGGAGCCGGGCGCGCATGGTTGACAATGCAGGGATTTGGAGTGTTTATGGTGGTGGTGTAACTGCGTCAGGTAACGCAGGACTAGGAAGGTTGCATATAACGCGCCAACCACGAGGACTGCTGGGCTGAGTAGCATGGCCGAAGGAGATCTCCCGTGTTTGATGTCAATGTACAAGAAGTAAGAAATGAGCCGTTTGGACTTGCATAAAAATATTTGATTGTAAATGGAGGAATGAAGGATAGGTTAAATGGAATGCAAGACAAAGTGGATCTAATTAAGCACAACATAACAAAGACTACATGTATTGACATCCTCGGTTGGTCCACACGTGAGAAATGGAGAAATGGATGAAAGACTATCGGATCCATCGCAAGCTGGTATGAAAAGAGAACTGATGGCTGCTGATCACTCATTTACACATAAATCTTTCCCGGAATGCACCCGTTTCTCCGATCGCGCCGATCCACCTTTACGAGTCCTTAGTCTTCTCCACGAATGATAAGTGGGACATCCGGGTGCTTCCCGGACTTTACCCCGTCACAACTTATTGGCCGCGGCCCACGTTCCCCTTGAAGCAGGGAAGCCACTCTTTCAACGCGCCCTTGAAATGATCACGCGAGATCTGCCCGGGCGCAAAGTCATTCAAGAAGTCAAAACAGTGCTCCGCATTAGGCATGATGTAACCGAAGATCGTGTCCTCGGCCGTCTTCTCATTGCACTTGGGGATGTCGGTTGTGAGATGGACATTTTGTGGGGCAGCTTTATCCGTGGCTAAGGGTGATAGCGTGCGCCAGGGATCGAATTCTCCACCGCTCCAGTATACGTTTGACGGGCGGATCTTCCAGCCCCCTGTTTGGTTGTTGGTTTCTTTGACCAGGGGGTGGTCGGGGAGAAGACCTGCTGCCACGGCATCGGGGAACTGGCGATTGCAGGTATACTGCACGTACTCGAGTGATTGATATCGGGATAGCAGGGAGTGGGCACCGATGTTGTTGGTTTGGAAGTAGCCCCATTCTGTGCAGAACTGCCACGTCCAGCTGATGACGTCTGCTTCGGTGGCTCTGGGACTCAACACGCAGGAGACTGGCTGCGTTGTGTCAAGGCCGGCGCAGTTGGTGTAGTAGTTGAAGTTGACCAGCTCGATAAAAATTGGCCACGAGGCAAATCTCTCCGCCACGTACTTCTTGCCGCGATAGGGCGCGAAGCCTCGAGGTCCGGCAGCGGTCGCGGTGTTCGGGTCTGTCTCGAGGTGTTCACAGAAGGATCCAAGACTGCCGTCTCCGCCACCGAATCCGTATGACTGGAAGTAACCGAAAATTCCAGCGATCGCTGTGGTAAAGTCACCGTTGTTGTTTGTCTCGGCGCCAGCGCCGAAAAATAGTTTCTTGATGGCTGCAGCGGATGAGGCGTTCTTCGACAGTTCGTCGTCGACGTATTCCATTGCAGCTTTGATGTCCCGAGTACAGTTCTGATACCCGTTCGCGACCATGGCAGCGTACACCTGATCGAAGTAGACACTCATGTCAATCTGGGCCTCCACGGGTGCCGATGATGCAAAGGAAGCGAAAATAGTGTCGGGGTACTTGTCGCGAGTGAATGCCGAACGCATTCCAGAATAAGAGCCTCCAATCATGACCCAAGGCGATCCAGCTGGAGTCAAATCAACGTCTTCAAAGCCGGCTCGACTGAATGTCTTCGCAAAGAGTGGAATATCAGCCAAAGCCTGTTCGTTGTTGAGATAGGCGAAGTGCTCTGGTGGTGTGTCCACGCTAACAGGATAAGGCAGTGATTCGCCATAGTACCTGATGTATGTCAGTCAAGTTAGGTCTCTCCCGACACTGTCATTTTACTGACCTATGCTCCCAGACAATACCCATCGCACCATGTTCTTCCAGCATTTCGAGCAGAACTGAAGATGAATTTCCCAGGTAAAATTTGGCAGGCGTCTCTGCGTTTGATTCCCCCACGTCATAGATGAAAACCGGTCCTCCTTCCTGGTAGTACTCTTCCTGGACCCAGAATCGATTCTGGTAAGTCCCCACAGAGAGGTTGTTGTGGTCAATGGGCATCTATATCATCAGTCTTTTCCGCAGCTCACTGGCGCTCTCAAAACTGCAAACTTACAGTGAAGTATTCTGCAGTCACGTTATCGGAATTTGTGGAAGCAATTGTGTGAATCGACTCGCTTCGGCTTAGAATCAAGTCCGGACTCACGCCCATCTCAGCCATGATCTTCAAATCACGACGAAATGGTGAAGACAGCCCCATAGAGGCAGCAGCACCCACCACACTCAAAATCACAGCCCACCGCATCATAGCAAAGCCCGTTTTTTCGTCCAGAGGAAACCAGATAAGACTATACGCTGTCCTGGAAGACAAGAAGGAATGGAAGCATGATGCCGATCGGCGCTGCTCGTAGTATATATGCTGAAGACGAGAAAGTCATCATTTCCGAGAACAATACCAAGGAAGACAATGTTTGCGTCCACTAGTATGATGCCTCTGCAGATGCCCTGCAGGTGGATTGTTCTGATTGGTCTTGGGAACCCGTTTGATCCTCCCGCTTGAGACTAGATCGTGTGCGGATGTGGATCTCACATGTATCACCCGAAATATGGGCTCTTGGGTGGACCCGTACCTGGTCATGATCTACAGGCTTTCCGCTCAAGATAAGCTACGGCAAGCCACGAAAACATAAGACCCTTTCGCTGTTTGTTGTTTACCCCGCGTTCTGGACCTTACACATAAGTATTATGCCTGTAAAGCAGCAATCTAGCTGAAGAACTGGGCTCAAATGAGGAATACAGTACATGATGAAATGGATTTTAGGTATTGTCACTACCCGAGCTAATGCCCTTGGAATGAATCCATATTTTGCCTAAAGCAATTATGTGATGAATCTATGGATGTTTTGCGGTAATTTCCGAATTGAATCGGGTTCAGCCTTGCACTAAAAAAAGGAACCACGAGAGCAAAGGCTTAATCTCCAGCCGAAACCAGATTCGCTTTTGGCCATGTGGCTTGAACGGTGATCGGGAATGTTGCAAGGTTGAATTCGGCGGTAGAACAATATTAAGAACAATACTTGAAAGGGTAGTGATTTTCTTAGTATTGTTCTTTGTTGATCCACCTCGACCAATCCAATCTCGACGCAAGTATACTGTACCTGCACTGACTCAATTTAAAAGACTCGCTCTAATCAGCTCGACATACTTAAAGACACCCGAACAAATCAAAATTACCGGTCGCTCAGGATGGATTCTTTATTCCTTATGCTGAGAAATGGATCCGGTGTCAATACTTGGAATGTTGATTAGGAATGTCCGAATGTGGATCATTTTGTAACTTTTTCCTCAGCCCAGAGACTCCAATCCATGAATTTCTCTATTCCGTAGACATTGGTAGTCCACTACCTGGGCGGGTATCTACTGAATGTGCGATTTTTACCAGTTTCAAGTTAATCTTCTCGGGTTCCTCTAATTGACTCATTTGATGTTCATTCAAAATTTCCAACGCAGATAGTTCAGGACAACCAGGAATAACCGCAGGGGGGTTTTCCAACCTTGATTTGTCTGAACTGAACTGACACGAGCTAGTTCTTGTGAGCAGATAATGAGAGAATATTCATAGAAATGGCTGCTAGAAGTGATATCTTACTATATGCTGTTTAGGCTGTTTAGGCTGTCACATGTGAATCTTCTTTGAGACGTAGTGCAAACAAAAGTCAGGTGACTAGTACAGCGAAGGTTTTGTTTACTCCCCAGTCACGTGGCTCTTCTCTTCCGATTTTTCCCGATCCACCCCAAGCACCCGACCCACCTTGACTACGTCATCGTATTTCCATTGCTTCCTGTGCCGAAAACACCCGATCCACATAATATCACGTGACTTTTGTCTACGTCATCGGATTTTCTTCAAGATGGCCAAGCCTCGGGTTACTAAAAGCCTCAAGAAAGGCCATGCGCGTGAGTTAATTACTCCTCAGAGAATACTTGAAAGCAAAATATACTGACTTTCCCTGAAGGTTCCGCTGCCAAGGGACCAAAGCCCACTGGCAAGGCTGCCGTTGCCGCGCCCTCTGCCTCGCGCTCTGCCCCGCGTTCCGCTCTTCCCCGCCCCGCTGTCCCCGCTGTTCCCCAACAGCCCAAGGCTGCCGTTACGGCGCCCTCTGCCTCGCCCTCCGCCTCGCGCTCTGCCCCGCGCCCCGCTCTTCCCCGCCCCGCTGTCCCCGCTGTCCCGGCTGTCCCCCAACAGTCCAGCGGCCCCAGCCTCCCCATTCCTCCGCTTCCAGAGTGGATGGAATTCGACACTGTGGAAGAAGCGTCGACGTTCGCGAACCGTCACGCCAAGCCTTACGGTTTCGCCCTCGTCCGCGAGAAGTCCTGCAGGGACGGAGGACGCTACCTGACTTGCCGCCGAGGAGACAAAGATTATCGGCGCCAGGCAAAGGGGTCAGCTGGTCACTGCCCCTACGAGCCGATCGTCAGGCTGGACCCGGGAACGCTGAAATGGCGTATCGTCTTCACGAAGGACGTCAGCCGGACGCACAGCCACGGCCAGTTCACCCCGCGCTTTGCGCATTCCATCCATCGTCAGGATGAACTCAAGAGGAAGGCCGATACTATCGGGCTGTACTTCGCAGCAAAGATGACCTATAAGGCCATCGTTGCTTCGCTGAAGAGCCTGGATAGTGAGTCCTGTGTCCTCGAGAGGGACCTCCCGGCGTTTAAGATCACATGGAACGCTGGCCGGATTCTGGCCCCCCGGAAGAAGGCTTAGGCCTCTGGGATGGTTGCCCCGTTGTTGCTTGCTTCTTTTGTTTCTTTCTTTTGTTTCTTTCTTTTGTTTTTCTTTTGTTTTTCTTTGGTTTTTCTTTGGTTTTGTTTTTGTTTTGTTTTGTTTTCTTATTTTGTTTTATTTTTTTTTACTTTGTTTTTTTATTTTGTTTTCAGTTATTACGCGCGTGTTTTTTCTGCTTGCTTTTTTTTCCTTGCGTTATTATGGGTGCTCTTACCCTGCTTTCTTTTTCTTTTTTTCGTTTTTTACGCGCGCTTCTGCTCCGTTTTTCTTTTCTTTTTTTCCTTTTCCTTTTCTTTTTCTTTTTCGGCAGGCTTTGCTCTGCATTCGTATGTGCTTCTTCTAGACGCGTAGGCGGCGTAGCAGTATACCCATGCTGGATACATAGTAGGATACATAGTAGGATACATATTAGAATACATAGTAGGATACATAGTAGGATACATAGTATGATACCCATGCTAGGTACGTAGTAGGATGCACATGCTGGATACGTGGTAGGATACCTATACTCCCCATTTTGAAAAGCATACTAGGTAGTACCATAAGCGGCACTTTTACGGTAGATGGTGACCAGTACTTGAGAAGAATACATGCTCAATACTTTGGAAGGGGAGCATAGAAACTCCCTCCAAAGCCTCTAGGGGATCGTCTTCTTCTCTATCAATCGCACGCAGGGAGATATTCGTATTGATCGAAGGCAGGTGATTCTCAGCTTCTTCTGCTCTGAGTGCCGTGTATGGCGCACTGCGCGGCCATCTCCATGATTCCTTTACAAGTGTGCTTTGTTCGAGTAGGCTGGCTGTTCATATGCTGACTAGAGTGTGAGATGCGATCGGAACGGATCATGCGACCTAACGGGTTTAGCGGAGGGTTTGTAGAAGGGCTGGGAATGGTCATCTCGCGGGTCTTTCCGCACTTGTGGAGTACTGATCAATACAATCAAGTACCGCGGCTAGATTTGCTGCACGCGTGGATTCTGAAACATCTGTTTGGGCCGAGAAGATTGAATCCTCATACGGGACTGGGGGAGGCGGGTCTGGCTTTGTGGCCTTTCAGCGGGGGCGAGAGGAGGACGCCTCTGGTGAATCTGAGCGAGGGCGTTTGCTCGCCATAGGACGTGGTAGGCTGCGATATACTCGTGGACCTGTTGACTGTGGATGCTTGTATAGGCCCCGGGACCACGATCGGCGCAAGATTGGGCGTTCTGCGGTGCACTATAGCCGTCTGGTTGTGGAACGAACTTGGTTTTGGCAACCCAAGGAGATTGATAACGCTGGGTGATGCCCGTATCCTTGGCTTTGGGAAAATTTTCCCGTCTGCGATTTGCTCTCTTGCTGGGTGTAAGAAATGACCAGCCCTGCTCTCGGGACGGCGTTGAGAAACATAGGGATTCAACGAACGAGGAGTTTGGTTCCAGGTATTTGCTTTCCATCTACCGCAAAAAGGTCTCTCCAAGTGAACGGAATTTGGCTCGCAAGATTCCATTCAATAGTAGTCCTCATCCGACTTTTGCCAACAGCCCATAAGTTTTTTTCAAGCCAGTATAAGCACATAGTGAGCTTCACATCTGCGAGATCCCGGTAGTGGAATGCGAGACTTTTTTCGGTTGGGAAGCGGGCCTTCGGGGGTAGGGGTCGTGTATCGGAGGTATGAATCGTGTCTCGGGAGTATGAGGTCGTAGTTGGCTGATTGCAGAGCATTCTGTAAGTAAAGGCGCAGATCGTGCTTCGCGGATGAAGACTTACTTGTGGGCACACATCGTGAGGCGAACGGATATAATGCTTCGGCGGTTCGATATTGTGCTGCGAGTGAAGATTCGAATTGTGTCGAGGTGAACAGTAAAGCTTGAGTTATTGGTATGCACAGAGACGAGACTTTCCAGGAGAATGGGCTTTTTTCTCGTCCCCCGGACGGCCCAGGGATGGTCAATATCACGCCGACTATCCTAAGGTTAAGACCTGTCAGCCAAAATACACTACTCTATTAAACGAAGCCACCTCCAACTTATTGGACTTTCCGGCAGCCAGGCTCCTCTGCTGCTTATGCAGATTGGAGCAATATGCTGATCTGGATACTCAACTACAGTGAAGAGGGACAGCCAAAACATGGTAAATGTTCTTCTTTCTCACTTGTTACCTGTCAGGCAAATGCTCACTCATGATACTACAAGAATTTCACTTCCTCCACCACTCATCCTTGAACTCGCCGATCCTTTTCATCTCGCCTCACTTCCGCCTTGTCGGGCGAGTTTTGTACGAAAGCGTGGACCTTAAGGATGATCAGTCACTTCGAAAGAATGAAGTAAGAGGCAAGATCATAAAGGAAATGAACAAATCTCGCCTCACTTGGACGATCTACGACGGTGACGGTGACGACAAGGCACCTAACGGAGTCAAGCTAAGGGACAAAGTCGCCTGGTGACTGTCGGGAGCTGACGGCTTCGCAACCATATCTTCATCTGTCCGATGGCCTTGCGAGAGATTACCAGGTTAGATGACACATGCATCGTTGGGGATATTTCTCTGTTGACTGGTATGGACCAATTACGACCTGGACTCGATGCAGAAACGTCAATGACAACACACCGGCCGTGTTCGAGTTTATCAATTGGGTGATCCTCCCGCGTGAACGAAACTCTCTGCATACATACAGAAAACATCTCGAAAGATCGAACGACGTTCAAAAGAAAGTAAAAACGACAAAAAGAATTGACCGACGCAGGGATCGAACCTGCAATCTCTTGATTCGTAGTCAAGCGCCTTGCCATTGGGCCAGCCGGCCGTGCTTATGAAATACGAGAACAACTTTGCCATCATGAGCGGGGCACAATGTGGGGCCTCGAAAATTTTCCCCTTTCGGACATGTGCACCTAAGGACGTACTATTGGGACTGAAATTGATAGTGCCTAGTTGTGATCTTCAATGTTGGATGCGTAATTTTATCAAGAATTAATGACTAGATTCATGGATAGACTGGGATTGATGGATGTAAACATCAAAACATTTATTTGCGTCAACTCTTCGATATTTCAAAAGGGAATATATTCAATGTTGGCCATGCTCAGATATATACATCGGAAACCTTCAGAAACATTACATCTAGTTGTCCAAAGACCTAGGTCTAAACCCTCTCATGAACCAATCTCCCACCAACCCAAACAGCCTTCACATTCCGATCATCACCACTCCAAACCCACTTGTGAATCTTCTCCTCCCAAGTCTCCGTACCAAAGAGATCAACATTGCCCACGGGTCCGGGTCTAACAAGATTCTTCTCAGCAGCCCCATCAAGCAAGGCCTGCACCGTATCATCACCAACAGAGCCCAACTGAATCAACTGCGCATCAAAGATCATGCCCTCCTCAAATCCACCCAGATCATCTGCCATATCAACGACAGCTGCACCGCCGCGTGTGGCAAGATACAAACTCTCTTCAACAGAAAGCTTTTCCCTACCCGTCACATCCGCACTGGAATCACCGTTGCAATTTCCATTCGCATGATTGTGCTTCTGATGCTCCACAAACGAAGTAGTGTGATTCAGCAGCCGGGAAGCAAGACACGCCTGTCTCGCCGCTTCGAGTATGCTGGGACTATACCCGCCGCTCACGTCGGTGCCGAGACCAACCGTTATACCCTCGTCGAGGAATACGCGGACAGGCGCGATACCCGATCCGAGCGCGGAGTTCGAAGCGGGACAGTGCGAGATCTTTGCGTCTCGGGCGCGGATGAGCTTTCGCTCGTCTGCGGTGAGGTGCACGGCGTGTGCGAGGATCGTTCGCGGTGTAAGCAGGTTATACGTCTCGTATACTCCAGCGTAGCTGGTTGACTCGGGGAATAATTCTTGGACGAGGGCGACTTCGTTGATGTTCTCTGAAATATGTGTTTGGATGTGGAGGGGTGGGGTGTAAGATGCGGCGAGTTTGCCCAGGCCCTCGAGGGCGGGGCGGGTACATGTTGGAACGAATCTAGGTGTGACGATTGGTTTGACGAGGGTGCCTTCGGGATCCATGGCGTGGATATACTCGATTGTGGACTTGGTTGCGGTTATTGAGTCCTCGGCTGATGCATCGCAGTAGTAGTCTGGACAGAAGGATGGGTTGTCCATGCAGACGCGGCCGATAAAGGCTCGTTGACCTTTGTTGTGGCAGAGGCGAGCCAGAGCGTTGGTCGCGGGGATGTGGATGGTTGCGAAGTAGGAGGCGCAGGTTGTGCCGTGGGAGAGAGTACGCGCGATGACCTGGTCGTAGATGCGCAGGGCAGAAGGTGGTGTATCTTTGGGGTTATTGGTGTGGGTTGAGGCTTTGGCGCCGAAGCCAGATTCCACGGGGAATGTATATTCCTCCAGCCAGTCAAGGAGAGTAGTTGAGCCAAACAGGCCGGCATTTGGATATTGTGGGGCATGAATGTGGGTATCTAAGAGATAGTTAGATTCGAATGCTCGCAAGTTGCCTGTCGACGTGTGCACATGTGTGGGACGGACCAATAAAACCGGGGAAGAAAAACTCGTTTCGTTCTGCGCTGGCCGTAACGATTTTCACCTTCGTCTGTACTCCGTTGCCATTCGCATGAGTACTGATAGTATCGACATCCACCCAGCCATTGTGGGCTACCAGTGCATGAAGCGCATCTTCATCCTGAACCTGCCAGTCACAGCCCTTGATGCGGCCATCAATCGCGGATACCCAAAGCGCGCCTGAATTGCGAACCAACTGAGGCTTGCTTTTGGGCTGAGATGCCTCTAAGCGAGGAAGGTGTATAAAAGTGCCAAAATACACCGTCAACTCGTGTGTGGATGCCATTCTGAATATATAATTGGTATAACAGAGCAGACGAACAGCGATGAATTGTGGCGGCTGTCTATTGGTCCTTAGGTAGGGTCCTGGACAGATCTAATGCGAATCTAGGATATAGGAAGACTTGGAGCTTCTAGTTGAATCCAGCTGATGAATGAGGAAAGGGAAACAAGACGGAGGATCAGCACATCTCGTTCAGCAGAAGAAAGACGCTTGATATATGTTCTCTTTTCTCCCGTTCACCAAGACCTTCTAAACAGATAGACACAGTCTGAGCGGCGTAGTATCCGGCTGTTCCTTCTATATTCGATGGCGGTTTTGGCCGTCGTAGTATCTGCTGGTGCGGGTGGGTTGGAACGAAGGTGAGATCTAGTATTGACAGGAATATGCACTGTATTTGTACCCGGTGATCGGCCTTTTCCGATAGCGTATTGCAGATTACATCCGTACAGGCGCGGGTGAAATTCCTGTCTCGTCCGCACGTATAAGTTGACATAGTGGAGTTCAATTACCTGACAGGCGTGTACGGTATGGTAAGAGGGGCACTGATAAGAGGCTCCAGACTGACATGTGACCCGTGAGGGGAAGAAACAATCAATGCAAACCATTCAAACACGTGGTCTGTATTAGTAGTTCTGGTCTTTCCTACACTGCAATATCAGGTAGAAGAGTGACCGGAAGTAGCTACATGGTCACGCTATCTTAAACTCTAGGAAGGAAAGACTAGAAGAAGAATATTTGTTGTAATTATTTTGTTGAATTGTCAAGTCTAGGCTAAAGACCATGTTGAAAAAAAAAGAATCGTCATCATCAGTACAGGAAAAAATGTTGAATGTATACACAGAAAGGTAACCGCGGATTCGTTAAAGAATCTCGCGCGCAGAGATGCGCATTAGCGCAAGGGTATCATATAATCTATTCAGTCTCATCGACGGGGCCGCAAGTGCAGAACAGATTCTGGTCACCGAAAGCTGTGAAAACATAGTTAGCAAAAATACTTCAGACAAAAAGGCACGCGGAGGGAGATTTTAAAGCTTACCATCATCAACACGAGTCACAGAGGGCCAGAACTTCTTCTCAACCAGGTAGGGGAGAGGGTAAGCGGCCTGCTCGCGGGTGTAGGGGCGGTCCCACTCGGATGTGAGCAGATCACGCTGGGTGTGGGGCGAGTTCTTCAGCACGTTTCCTTCGCGGGGCTGGTTGCCGGCTTCGACCTCGGCGATCTCGGCACGGATGGAGATCAGGGCGTTGATGAAGCGGTCAAGCTCGGCCTTGTTCTCGGACTCGGTGGGCTCGATCATGAGAGTGTTGGCGACGGGCCAGGACATGGTCGGGGCGTGGAAGCCGTAATCCTGGAGACGCTTGGCGATGTCGATGGCCTCGATACCGCAAGTCTCCTTGAAGCTGCGCACGTCGAGAATGAACTCGTGAGCGCAGCGGCCGTGCTCGTTGGTGTACAGGATGGGGTAGTGGGGCTTCAGCTGGGACATGATGTAGTTGGCGTTGAGGATGGTGATCTTGGTGGCGTGAGTAAGACCACGGTCACCCATCATGTTGATGTAGTTGAAGGTGATGGGGAGGATGCTGGCGCTGCCCCAGGGGGCGGCACTGATGGGAGGAGAGGCATTGTCACCACGCTTGGCCTGGAGGTACTCGCTGGCAGGGTGACCGGGCAGGAAGGGGCGCAGGTGCTCGGCGACACCGATTGGACCGACACCGGGACCACCACCACCGTGGGGAATACAGAAAGTCTTGTGCAGGTTCAAGTGGCAGACATCAGCGCCAATCTCACCGGGCGAGCACAGACCGATCTGGGCGTTCATGTTGGCTCCGTCCATGTAGACCTGGCCACCGTTCTCGTGGACCAAGCGGCAAGCCTCCTTGGCACCGGGCTCGAAAACACCGAATGTGCTGGGGTAGGTGATCATGAAAGCAGAGAGCTCATCCTTGTGCTTCTCACACTTGGCCTTCATATCAGCGAGATCCAAGTTACCAGTCTTGGTGTCACACTTGATGGTGACAACACGCATACCGGCCATAGCGGCACTAGCAGGGTTGGTACCGTGGGCAGAGACGGGGATCAAGCAAACGTTGCGCTTGGCGTCACCCTGGGCCTCCTGGAACTTCTTAATCACACGGAGACCGGCGAACTCACCCTGGGCACCAGAGTTGGGCTGCACAGTAACCTCGGCCATACCAGTGATATCGGCAAGCTGAGCCTCCAAATCATCAATCATCTGAATGTAGCCCTTGGCCTTGTCAGCGGGCATGAAGGGGTGGATGTTAGAGAACTCGGGCCAAGAAACAGGAATCATCTCGGTGGTAGCGTTGAGCTTCATGGTGCATGATCCCAGGGGAATCATGGAGTGGGCGAGAGAAAGATCCTTGGACTCGAGGTGACGGATGTAACGGAGCATCTCGGTCTCAGAGTGGTGGGTGTTGAAGACCGGGTGGGTCAGGTACTCGGAGGTACGCTCCAAGGCAGCGGGGACAGAGGCGATGGAGAGGGCACCATCGATCTCAACAGGGGCAGCGGACTTGAGAGCAGCAAAGACCTTGAGGATATCCTTGACTTCTTCACGGCCAACAGTCTCGTCAAGAGAGAGACCGACCTTGTTACCGCCAAGGCGACGCAGGAAAAGAGAGGCGTCACGAGCGGCGGCAACGAGGGCATCAGCCTCGGAGGCACTCTCCAGCTCAATGGCAAGGGTATCAAAGACAGCCTCGCCCTCAGTGTTGGAGCGAACAGGGACATTGTAGCCGAGTCCAACCAGCTTCTGGCGCAGGAGAGCAGTCATGGACATGATGCGCTGGGCAATGGACTTGAGACCAACGGGACCGTGGTAGATAGCGTACATGGCAGTCATGTTAGCGAGCAAGGCCTGAGCAGTGCAAATGTTGCTAGTAGCCTTCTCACGACGAATGTGCTGCTCACGAGTCTGCAAAGCGAGACGCAGAGCACGGTTGCCAAGACGATCCTTAGACACACCAACGACACGACCAGGCACCTTACGCTTGTACTTGTCAGCGCAAGCGAAGAAAGCGGCGTGAGGACCACCGAAGCCCATGGGCACACCCAATCGCTGGGCGCTACCGAAGGCAATATCGGCACCGAACTCGCCGGGAGCCTTGAGGACGGTCAGAGCGAGCAAATCGGTAGCAACGCTGAAAGTACCACCCTGGCCGTGGATGGAGTCGCTAAGAGCCTGGAAGTCGTAGACACCACCCTCAGTGTCGGGGTACTGTGCCAAAACACCAATGAGGTGATCGCCCTGTTCCTTGACCACCTTGAAGTCCTCAGCGAGGATATCTCCAATAACGAGGTTGATTCCGAATCCTTCGGCACGGGACTGCATCACGGCAATGGTCTGTGGGTGGCAGAGGTGAGACACGACAAATGACTTGTTGGCCTTCTTCTGCTTGGAGGCGGGCATGGTAGCGAAGGACATGGTCATGGCCTCGGCGGCAGCGGTGGCCTCATCCAAAACGGAGGCATTGGCGAAGGGCAGACCAGTCAGGTCGGCAGTGAGAGTCTGGAAGTTAAGCAGGGACTCCAAACGACCCTGGCTGATCTCGGGCTGGTAAGGAGTGTAGCTGGTGTACCAAGCTGGGTTCTCCAGGACATTGCGGAGAATAACCGGAGGCACGATGGTCGGGTAGTAACCGGTACCAATGTAAGTCTTACCAGACACATCAATCTGCTTGCGGTAGGTATCCAAAAGCTTCAGCATGTCGGTCTCACCCAGACCGCCCTGCACACTGGAGCGGTGTAGCTTGATATCGGCATGGGGCTCGGTGATTTTCAAATCCTTCTTGGAAAGGATATCCTCAGGAAGGACCTGCTTGACGAATTGATCCAAGCTCTCAGCCGGTGGGTCAAGCACAGCCAGCATTTCAGCTGCGGCCTCCGGTGAGGGGCCGATGTGGCGACGGGGGAAGGTATCGAGGGGTTGGAAAACGTCCTGTGGGTGTGGGTCGCCATGGGCGGCCACGGAGCTGGTGTAGACACCGCGGCGAGGGGTAGACACTTGCTGCTGCTGTTGAGTGTGCAGGCCACGTCGAATATTGTTCAATGGGGAAATTGAAGCTGATCGGAGTGCAACTGGCGAGGGACCAGCTCGTACACGCGACCGCAGCGCGAGCTGGCGGCTTCCGCGGAGAGCAAACCAAGACGCCGCCATTGCTATAAGCTACCGGGAAGATGACGTAGAGAGTGGAAGCGGGCGCAACTTCAACACCTTCAACGTCAGGGTAACAGAATGTTAGAAGATGAGGGGAGAGTGTTTGGAGGAAAAAAAGAAAGAAGAATTGGAAATTTAATTTATGATGTACCTATAGCCCTTTTTTCCACATTACACATTCCCTTACTTTGACCGAGGGGCCGGGGAACTGCAGAATCCCGTGATCGGGAAACCAATGATAAGCTCCTTATCCAGCCAATCACGGGACACACCATTCTTTGTACTGCACCACTTTCTTCCACTTTCTCTTCTTTCCTTTGTTTTCCCGTCGGGAAACTAAACCGATAAAGACTCCACATTGCGGAGGTTCCTCTCCGGATTGCTTCGATACCGGAGCTACACAGCGGGGACACAACGGAAAGGTTGACATTCACCCTTAACTAATTATCCTCTTGATTGTGACATGGTCGGTTCTCTTGGAAATTGTACGATGATCCAAATGAGACACATGAATCACAAGCCCGAGGAGAGGCCATTCTTCTATTCTGCCCATTACACACTGACCCCCGGGACAAACACCGAGAGAAAAACATGAAGATTTCAAAAACATCCTACTACATATGGTTCAATTTCATCTCAATCGCCAATTCCAGCGAAGATCGAAGCTTGGAGCATAACCCCGAAGCTCACCATACAAAGCTCGCCACAAAGATCATCATCGCCACAACTATTTTTTACGCAGATCGGCGGGTGAAGGTAGACCCCGATAAGAGCTTCCCGATAAGCAGCTCCGCGATCGTGAAATCGATTTGGTGGGGTAGACAAAAATACCTACAGTGAGAATACTTGAGATTCATTGCGCACGAGAGAAAACCATACACTAGACAAAATATTGATACAATGCAAATGCACATCGCTAACTAATCAATGCTCCAAGTAGGTGACCCCCAAAAAAAAACAGACTGTTACACCACTCAGTAACGACTCGATTCATATCCATCGCTGTCTTCCTCTTCCTCCTCCAGCAATGGCTCTCTTTCTTCGTCATCGCCTTCTGCCTGAGCGCTCAATCGGTGACCCTGAACGGTGACAAAACCGACTAGTGCAATTCCGACCACAAATCCAGACACCGCAAGGGCCGCGTTGATTGGGATCGGGTTCTCATGGAATGTGTGATGGGTGAGGGCATCCAATCCATACTGTGAGAAGTTCGCGAGTCCGGACAGACAAATGATAGTTCCATATACACGACCGAAGGTTGCAAAACCAAACACCTTCGTGGCATAGTCACTAGTAGGTCTGTTAGCACACATTTTAGGACAAGTCCGGTTGGGTTACTCACGACATGGCAGAATAGTATAAGGGCCGTAACAAAACAAATAGCACGACTGTCATATAACCGGCCCAGATGGTGGGGATCGAGTTGAGAACTCCGATGATTGTGGTAAAAGCCACGATCAGTCCAAGCAGTGCAGGGACACTAAGACGATCTAGCAACATGCCGATGAAAGGAGTGAAAAGAACTCCACCGACCGGCAGTGCAACATCGAAAAAGGTGTTGATTTGCTCGGCTGCTTCAATGGAGCCGAGCATGTATTCATACTGTGATCGGATAGTGGCGATAAAATAATTCATCCGGATCATTTGTAAAATGGTCATGAGAGTAATGAGGATGAACCACGGAGTGGTCATTTGCTTGCGAGCGGGCAACCCGTGCAATACACCCCAAACCTGACTGACCTGCTGACGATCCTCCTCCTTTTCAGCGCGAGATTGGATCTCGTCCTTCGTGCCGAGCACGTCGTGAATCTTACGCGCTTTGTGCTTCCGACGTTCCGCACGCTTAATACGAATGCGCAGTAGTTCACGGTCGCTCTCGATCTCATCGTCGGATTCGTGTACATCTCGAGTTGGGTCCTCTGCTTGTTCAATCCTGTCCTCCAATTTAAAGGGTGGTACATAATCGCGACGGGGCATGAAGGAGATAAGAGCCAAAAAGATCATCACTGGGACTACCAGGTATCCCATGAAGAATTGGTCCGGCGTGAAGGTCCCGCCAGAGGCCTCATATACTGATCGGTAAAATAGAAAGACGGCAGCCGATGCGTCAAAAGCTCCAGTCACCAACGCGACGATCGACCCAGCGTATCGTGGGAAAGCATTGGCAATTTGGAATGACGGTACGAAGATGAACGTCCCGCTGAGAGCCAAAAAGAAGTTGCCAGCCAACAGGCCATCGAAACCCGGTCGCCGAAACGAGGACGCCATTAACAAACTTCCGATGGTCAAGATGACGCAGCCGATGAGTCCACAGACCCGAGATCCATAGCGATCGAGGATTGTACCGACCGGGAGCGCGGACACATTGGCAGTGATCGATGCGATGGTGAAAAAGAGGTTCAGTCTAGACGGAGTCAGAAAAGAACAAAAACATAAACTGAAGTGGCTGAAAAAAAAAATCCACAAATCACATACCTCAGATCCTGCTGTTTACACAAATCGATTCCCTCGCTCAGTTCGTCCTCGGTGCATTGATCATGATAGACTCCTTCCTCCACCAAGACCGGTTTCAACGCAGCGAAACCAAAGACGATTCCCGACGCGACCCAGCACGCGAAAACCGTAAATATGACCTGGGCTAGAGCTGTCAGCTGAGCGATCCTTTGTCTTTCTCGAACAGGACAATACCTATTCTCGTTGGTGCTGAATATTTATAAGCTGGGACACCCGGGGCTGGCTCGACGACCGGAACAGGAAGGCTGGGCGGTTGGAGAACATCGTAGCTGATTGTGCGACGAATGGAAGTGAAATCTTCTCCAACATCCGACTCTGGTTCACGATCGACACCCTCAAGCACAGAGACATGTTGAACCAGCGACATATCTGTGTTGAACAGGGAAGTCGAAGTTCCAAAGAGGAGATTTTGGGCGTGAGGGGAAAAAAAGAATATGTGGGACCTGATGAATTTTGTGGCCCGTTTTCGAGCTCCAGCCCGTTCCTGCCTCGGTATTTGGTAAAGGAAACTGTTTCCCTTTCTGGAAATGTGTCTGTTATCAGGAGTCCAGGACCCTTAAATGAGATTAAAGCTAAAGGACAATGTGGATCAGGGCTATAGTTATAGCTAACCTTGTGTATACGAGGTTAGCTGCATATTGAAGCTCACATGTGCAGAATTGAATTTATGGGATTTACTGAACTGGTGGCAATCTTCAATTCCTAAAGCTACTTTTGATACGCCAAAGTTTAATCTGCGAGTCAATTCGACATGATTCGACAATGATCCCGATCTCTAGTATGACTGCTTTGCTACAGAGTTTCACGGTCGGAAAATGGGCAAAAGAATAAATAGTAAAAAGCCTGAGGATCGGAAACCGTTGGAAGTGGGGAACATCCGCGACCGGTGTCTTACAAGTTAAAAAAGAGAGGACTTTTTTCCCGAAGGTCATACAAACCATTGGTTGATATTTAGCGAATTCCCAAACTTTCAACCTTGGAAGCTGCATGAAATATCCTTGCAAGCCCCCGTGAGCTTGGGGATGGTCAGAACTGACCTATAAAGACACAGATACGTATCTCGATGCTGGTCACGTGCATCTCCCCAGATTGAAGCCACAACATGAAGCCATACAGACCCCGGAGATTTGCCCAGGTGCTTCCACGGTTGACATGGCTAGAACATTCGGGAATTCTGTAATACCGGAAATTTAGAAAAATGTCAAAAGATAAAGCTTGGGGAATTTTGACTGATAACGTCGATAAGCGTTGGACCCGAGATCTACTACTAGACACCATATACTCCATTAATCCTTAGCAACTTGAACCTCATTAACCTATACTGTAGCAAAATCTCTTCCCGTGGCTCTTTGTCTGGTCCTGATTTACGCCCCCTGATCCAGAGCCCAAATTACTATATTTGGGCAAATTAATCTATTTGACCTGGCTTGTTCCATGGCATTGCGAGTACAATGACGTCGTGAGAAACCTGACATTGCGCCCATGACGTAGCGCCCGTTATCCGTCATGAAAGACTGCACCACGCCATTTTCTTTCCTACAGAATCACAAAATCACAGCTCGGAGACAGAATATCTGCTTTGACTGCTGAATTTAAGTTCCTGAAAAACAGAAGGGGAAAAAAAAGAGTGGACCTCGAAGACATCCAGCGCGCTGTACTGATCCATGCGAAGTATCGCATCCTGGTAAACAACACAGCTGAGCATCAATCGCAAAATGGCATCCATCTCAATCAACGCCCCGGGCCTGAGCAACGGCCTCTTATATAGCAACGGCGACAACAATGCACGACTTTGCATTACGGCCGAGACGGACGAATTTGACGTCGAGATCATCAAAGATTGGCAGGAAGAGGGCTTCGACGTGGTGTATTTACCGTTGAACGATGGCGGCAAGGACTATGAGGCTCGTCTGCGGAGTGTCAAGGAGGGACTAGGTGTAGGCGAGAACTACGGAATCATCGGTAAACAATCAATTCCACACCATTCACAACAACAAAAATCACCACTGGATAAAAGCTAACACCGATAAATAGCATTCGGAGAAGCCGCCAGCTATTGTCTCGAGTATTATACAAAGGGTACAAACTGCAGCAGACTCTGCTGTCTAATCGCATACTACCCCACCGTCATTCCCGACACACGCTGTCGCTTCCCGCTCGGCCTCGAAGTCCTCGTCCACCTCGCCGGGACAAGCATCGACGTCGTGGCCGTCCCCACTGCGCTTGGAATCCAGGGCAAGAAGCGCCGCACTACACGACCCCTCCAACCCGGCATTGGGACAGGCGAGCGTCTGAAACTGGCATACCCGACTTTCACCTACGATCACGCACAGCCGGGTTTCGGGGAGAGCGACATGGAAGAGTTCAACCACTTAGCCGCCGATCTCGCCTGGACACGAACAATCAAAGCAGTGCGCAAGGGCTTCGCGCGCGACACAGACCTGGAAAAACGCTGGGAAGATCACCAGGAGAGTACGTTACCTTGAATCGAATCCCCAAGCTCCAAGCTCCACGCAACGAGCGACAAATACTAACTCATCTCACCAGGTAAATTCTTCGCGACAAACCTGCACAACACAATGGACGGCTACGTCACGCACAAGACCCCAGCCGTAACCTACACCTCAACACTAAGCGGCGGCATAGGCGCGCAGTCCCTCCGCCGCTTCTACGAGCAGTACTTCCTCGGCAAATTGCCGCCCTCCATGCGCATCCGGCTCCTATCCCGCACAACAGGCGCCGACCGAATCGTGGACGAGCTCTACATCTCATTCCAGCACACGCAGGAAATCCCCTGGTTGCTGCCCGGCATCCCGGCGACGGAGAAGCGCATCGAGATCATCCTCGTCAGCATAGTCAGCTTGCGGGCTGGACGGTTGTATTCCGAGCATGTGTATTGGGACCAGGCGAGTGTACTTGTGCAGGCCGGTCTTTTGGATCCGAAGCTTGTCCCGGCTGGATTCCAGGGCGTGGACAGGTTGCCTGTTGTTGGGCGGGAGGCGGCGCGCAGAATCTTGCATGAGGATCCGGAGGTGGAGCAGGAGGATTATCATAATCGGATGATTCGGAGGGCGAATGCGAGGGCGAGGAGGGAGCGTGGGGAGCGGGCTTCGACTGTTGCGGAGAGCGAGGCTGAGATGGGGGATGTGGGGAATGAGAGGGGGGATAAGGGGAAGTCGGTTTTGCCGAGGAGGCCTGCTAAGTTGGGGCCTAAGGGGACGGCGAAGAATGGGAATGGGAATGGCAATGGCAATGGGAATGGGAAGAGTGAGGATGCGGGTGAGGAGGATGAGGGGGCGGCGACGGAGACTGAGTCCACGACGTTGTCTAAGCAGGAAAATGGGGAGCATAAGGCTTATGTGGAAGAAGCTGGAGGTAATGAGGAGGAACAGTCTTAGGCCGTTTATTTCTCTTCATCTCTTTTTCTAATGTCAGACTGCGATTGCGATCTGTGTTACAACTTACGACGTGAATGTTCTTGTTAGTATATTAAGTTATCTGCTGCCTTTCAAAGTTCATATTGGTCATATTTTCTTCTTAATTGACAGACTCTTCTATTCATGAATGGCCTCACCTACTATATAATACTATTTACATACACATATACCCGATAGTAAGTACCAGCCATCTAATAAACTCCACTCACTCCACAACCTTCCTCATACCAATAACATTCGTCTTCCCAACACCCCCATACTTCGAAACATCACTCTCCAACGCCTCAACATCCACAAACCCAAATTTCCTATACAGCGCCTGCCCATCAGCAGAGCCATGAAGCCAAAACAACTTCAAACCCTCCTTAACGCCCTCGTCAAGCCCAAGCTGAATAAGCGCAGACGCAACTCCCAGCCCCCGATACTCCGGCAGCGTACAAAGCACTCTCAGCACTACAAATGACCGCGTCCATGATTAGCCTATCTTCACCAACACACTATACAATCCAACCCACAATCCCAAATTGGGAATCGATCATCAGAACGTCACGTATCCGGAACGGCAATACATACGTCCATAACACTTCCCATCCATATGCCTCTTCTTCAACGCATTCAGCTCGCCAATCAGCTCATTAGACGCCACCGCATTCGCGGTAGAGGGCCACTCCATACCCTTCCATTCGGGCATATACTCAGGCTCGGTATAAAAGCACCATAGTGAAAAGCCGACTATTTTCTCTCCGGTGGGCGAGTCTGGGTCGGCGATAACTGCTTTCCAGATCTTGTTCGAGGGACTGCTTTTTAATGCGTCGCTGAAATTCTGCGCGCGGTAGGCGATGCCTTCTTCTGTTGGTGGGCCGAAGGTGGTGTACCAGAGGACATTGACGGGTTCGTTTTTGGTGCTGGCGAGGGCTGTTGCTTCTATTCTGGCGAGGGTGGGACAGTCATCTTCCGTTGCGGGGATGAGGCGGAATGGGAGGGGTGGGGTTTGGGTGGTCATTTTGGTGTTTGGGTTTGGTGGTCAATATGTGAAATGAACAAATGGAATTGAAATTAATTGACGTTAAATAAAAGATCGAGGGGCAGGGTGGTTGGTTTTATGGGAAAAGACTGGAATGAGTCATATGAGTTGTTGTGTCTACTAGTATGTTGTCAAATACGGGATGTGGAAATTAGAGTCATAGCTTAAAAGTGCCGGGACATTTAAAAGCTTAACCACGTATTTAAAGCCGGGGAGGATCCACCGTAGGAGATTTACCGCCAAATTTTTTTCAAGATTCAGATGTTCTTTTTTTGAGTTTCCCCGTTTTAGAGAGTGGCTTGGCAATGCAGCTGGGCCATCTACAATATGACTATTTAAAGCTGGGGAGGATATTATATCACCAGATGGTATAATACGAATGTTTGATATTCCCTGCCTCTCTTATTTCTTAAAACTTGTAACAATCCAGTTCCTGATTATGACTAGTGGGGCATTTTGTGCACTAACAGACTGCAGTACTGATAATTGATGACTTGTACTCATGTATCAAGCATAAAAGCTGTAAAATTGTGTCTATATCAACCATCCTTCCACCTCACCCCAATCATCGTTCCCCTCGCAGCTTACGCTATCGACTTGAGTTACTTCCATCCATCTTGCAGTGAGATCTCTACATCTAATGGCTTATCACCCTTACAAATCGATGTCACTAATAAAAATGATCAACATAGCCTGGAGTCTAGTGCAATCATGGCGAACCCACGATTCGAGACAGAGATGTACACAGCGGACAAATACGTGGAAAGCGCCGGCACCGTTCTATTCAAACTCTCGACTCGCGAAGTCTGTATCCTCCACCAGCTCTTCCGTGAGGAATACATCCTCCCCAAGGGCCGTCGCAACCTGAACGAGTCCCGCCAAGCCACTGCGATTCGCGAAACCACCGAAAAGACCGGAATATCTTGCCGCTTGTTGCCTGTCAACTTGGTTTCACGCGTGCGCCCCACCGCCGAAAATGAGGATCTACCGGACAAGGCAGCACGCTTGTTCAAAGGTTCCTGTGAGCCCATCATGCTGCGCACGCGATGTATCCGGGAAGGTGAAATTAAATTGATTTGGTGGTTCGTGGCTGCTGTTAATGAGGGTGAGCCTATTAGCTTCCTCGAGGAGTACAAACTCGATGTGGAATTCCACAGTTATGATACTGTTTTGAGGGAACTCACGTTCAAGGATGATCGCGATCTGGTTGAGAAGGCAATCAAGCTTGTTGAGTCCTCGGTCGATAGCCAATGATTTGTCTCTGGATATTCGATAGAGAAATAGCTGTGGTCAATTAATCTTGAAGTTCAAATCTGTATGTTTCTCACGTCGCCTAGGAGTCGACTGAGACTACTTTCACATAAAAAAGAATAACCTACAGGAACGCTGAAAGGATAAATAAAAACAAAAACATACAACAGTCAGGATTCGCATGTGGTCACCCACCATACTACTAACTGACCGGCGTGTGGCTTAAGTACGGCTGAGCGGACGGGAAGCCCTGTTCTCCACACCCTATGGTCGTATGTACCAGAAGCCACATTAATGTGGCATATATAGGGCTACAAACTTGCTCTGATGATCTTGTGTTCGTCACTTGAGCGGACAGAGATGCAATTTGATACTCTGCTCAAGTCTGTGAGACTAAGACTGTTGAAGCCATGACAGCCAAATCGTGCTGGTCTTCAAAGCGGTGCTTAAGGTAGTATACTACTTATGAAGGCCCTTGTTTTCTTGATATTAGAGGGTGGGAAAACAAGCCGCCACTGTGAAATGCATGTTGTTACTGTGCACGTAGACTCCCGAGTATCATTGAAAACGCAAGATCCAATACTTCACTTCAATTGTAAATTGATCTTGAAAAAAAGATCCGTAGTGGGTAGTTTACATTTGATATTGTAATGAGATTCAAGCTAGAGGTGTAAAAGAAAAAATATTTCTATTAGGTTGTTTAGTGGTGGATTAATAGCACGTAAAATCAAGGGCTTATTGGCACAGGCAAACCTCGGGCCCCCCTTTTTTGATAAAAAAATGCGCATATACTTACAAACCTTTGCGATAATTTTGACCGCCCGCGTGGTATTAGAGCAAGGCGCGTGGAAGAGAAAGTAAACACGTGGTTTGTTAACTGGTTTCTGCCGCGTGACGCGATTACTCGCGTTTCTGCCAGGCATTCAACAGCATGTGCTAGCGCCCACGGATCGGGCGTGGGCGCCTCGCCGCTATAGTTCAACATGCCTGACTCCAAGTTTACTGCCGGAAAACTAAAACAATACTTTTTATCCAATCATGCTTCGTACTGTCTCCGCCAAGGGTCCGTGCAAGTCAAGAGATTCCTGTGAGGCTACGAGGCCGGGAAAGTAGCTTTGCTTTGGTGGCTGGAGAGCAGATTTGCCATGCTTCCCTCACACTCAAATTGTAATATCTTCTCTCCTGGGTGAGTCTTTTCGAGATGCTTTGTTGCAAATGAATTTTCAAAATCGATATTTGCTTTTGTAACATACTATGTTACAAAGTACGTATTAGCGCCCGGCAACTCGATGTGACTGCATAAGCCTGCAGATTGTCATTTGGGGCTGAGCCGGACCCCACCTACCCCTCAAAGTGTGAGAGTCAGAGACTATTCAAAAGATTTCTCCGTCAAAACATCGCAAGATATTAGACCACTTCATTTACCTAACATCGGTCCGGTAGACTCACCATGTCAGACCCGTCGAACTACGTTGTGGGCTGGATTTGTGCCTTGATGACCGAATACGTTGCTGCCCAAGAGTTACTTGATGAAGAACATGACGGGCCCGCCTTCGTCTCATCAAACGATACGAATGATTATACCCTGGGGAAAATGGGGCAACATCATGTGGTTATTGCCGCCCTGCCTTACGGTGAATACGGGACCGCTTCCGCTGCCAATGTCGCAACGAATCTGCTGAACAGCTTCCCCAACGTCAGAATCGGCCTGATGGTCGGTATTGGGGGTGGTAGACCGAGCAAGAAACACGACTTTCGTCTAGGTGATATTGTTGTCAGTGCCTCTCGCAATGATGAGGGTGGGGTGTTTCAATACGACTTTGGCTAGGCAATGCAGGGCCAGGGACTTCAGATTACACGGTTCTTGAACCAGCCACCAACTATATTGCGCACTGCAATAACAGGAATTCAGGCACAATACGAGAGAAAGGGACATCAGATCAAGAATACTATTCAGGATATCATCGAAAATAACCCAAGATTACGCCGAAAGTACCAACGGCCAGCACCATCTACTGATAGATTGTTTCAACCCGAGGTCATTCATACCTACGAAGACTGTACCATGTGTGCTGATGGTCCATCGAACTTGATACTACGAGTTCAACGGGCAAGCGACGAGGATGATCCTGCCATTCACTATGGCCTGATTGCTTCTGGAAATATGTTGGTCAAAGATGCTTTGATCCGTGACCGACTTGCCGCAGAAAAAGACATTCTCTGTTTCGAAACGGAAGCCGCAGGGTTGATGAATTCTTTCCCCTGTCTGGTAATCCGAGGCATTTGTGACTACTCAGACTCACATGCACCTGAGAATGAAGAGTGGCAAGGCTATGCGGCTATGGTGGCAGCTGCATATACTAAAGATCTGCTGTATCGAATTCCCTCAAACAGGGTTGAGGCTGAGAAGAAGATTGGTGATGTTCTATCTGGTAGGTCTTATATTATATAATCATATCCCCTTATAGATCTAATGTCAGTCAATAGATCTTAAATCTACAATACATGACCACATGGAAATTGCACAAAAGCACCTTAAGCTACAACAGAACTCAGACATAAGGAGATTGACCGAAAAGCAAGAAGAATGTCTTCAATTGTTTCGCCTTACCACAGGTGACACAGATACCACATACGAGTGGTATAAGGACCGTGTCGGAGATCGAGTGGAGGGCACCTGCAACTGGTTCCTAAATCATGCGAATTTCCAGAGATGGTTAGAACAAGAGTCAGGGCCACTACTAGTCTCGGCAGATCCTGGCTGTGGGAAGTCTGTCTTAGCGCGATACCTTATTGACAATATATTACCGCGATCATCAACCATCTGCTACTTTTTCTTCAAAGATCAAGACCAGAACACGGTCCGCCAAGCACTTTGCGCTCTACTTCACCAACTCTTCTCACAAATGCCATTCTTGATTCAACATGCGATAGAGCATTTTAAGACGGATGGGCCAACATTGATCAGATCCACAATAAAGCTCTGGACTATACTAGAAAAGGCTTTAAATGATACCCAGGCAGGTTCTGTGATCATTGTGCTGGATGCGTTGGATGAATGTGCTGAGTCAGAGTTTGAGAACCTCATGCAAAATCTGAGGTGGAATAGTCTTCAGCCAGACCGCGGAAAGACAAAGTTCCTTTTGACAAGCCGGCCGTATGAGCAGATAATTGACGAATTCAGAAGCCTGCTTCATTCCTTCCCCTATATCCGTATACCGGGAGAGGAAAAGTCAGACGAGATAGGTCAAGAAGTTAGCCATGTCATCCAGTACCGAGTCGAACGCTTGGCGGAAGAGAAAGGGCTCCCAGAGCTCGTCAAAAACCACCTAGCTAAGAAACTACTTCAGATTACCCACCGCACATACCTGTGGGTCTATCTTGTGTTTGACTACCTCAAAGCCACGAACTTCAAGAAAACACTGAGAGGGGTGGATTCTATTTCAGCAATGCCAGCCAATGTTAATGAGGCTTATGAGCAGATTTTGAACAAATCAAAAGAGCAAGACATGGCCCGGAGAGCCTTGAGCATCCTTCTGGCGGCCAGCCGGCCATTGAAAATCTCTGAAATGAATATTGCATTGAATGTTGATAATACCCTAAAGTGCATACGCGACCTTGACCTGGAGGAGAAGGATGACTTCAAAATACGTCTTAAGACTGTTTGTGGGCTTTTCGTTTCAATCCACCATGACAGGATCTACTTCCTCCATCAAACGGCTAGGGAGTTTTTGCTTGCTGATGCAGTATCACCAGTCTCAGATACGTCGGGCTTACTTTGGCAACATTCCATCACCAGTCAAAGCGCACATGATGTTTTAGCGGGTATCTGTGTGATATATCTGGACTGCTGGAATGAAGATGATATTTCTCGTGAGCTTGGAAGTGAAAGCAAAGAGGAAGACCGTCAGGTTGATTCACGCGCTTTTCTGTATTATGCGGCCAGCAACTGGGGTATGCATGCCCGCACGGCCTGCATCAACGCTGGCTCGGATCTAATTGCTCGAATTTTGAGGATCTGCAGTCCGGTCTCTAAAATATTTTCCATCTGGGGGGCTATTTACTGGTATGATTCGAAGCAGGCTTCGGCTCCAGGCTTTAATGGTCTACTTATATCGTCTTATTTCGGGATTGAGGCAGTTGTGAAGCTACAACTTGAGAAAGGTGCTAAGATTGAGTGTCAAGATACATTATTTGATCAAACTCCGCTATCCTGGGCTGCAAGAAGCGGACATGAGTCTATTTTGAAGCTGCTGCTCGAGAATGGTGCTATGGTTGACTCTAAAGATGATTGTGGCCAAACTCCGCTGTGCTGGGCTGCAAGAAACGGACATGATTCCATTGTAAAGCTGCTGCTTGATAATGGTGCTATATTTGACTTTGAAGATCCATCTGACCATACCCCGCTATGCTGGGCTGCAGAAAATGGACATGAGTCGATTGTAAAGCTGCTGCTCGAGAAGGGTGCTAAATCTCACTCTGAAGATAATCTTGCCCGGACACCGCTGTTCTGGGCTATAACAAGCGGACATAAGTCGATTGTAAAGCTGCTGCTTGATAATGGTGCTATATTTGACTTTAAAGATGGATTTGGCCAAACCCCGCTGTCCTTGGCTACAGAATACGGACATGAGACGATTGTGCACCTGTTACTCGATAAGGGCGCGACGTTTAACCTTGAAGAGGAATAATCTCAACATTTGAACACAGCTGCCGGGTCAGAATGTTGTATGACTCACTCGCAATGGCACTTTCTCGTGCTCGCTCCAGAATTTCGGGGACACGTTACATTGATACATAAGATCCTATAGGTCTATATATCTCTATCTCTACCATGCTCTACAGCCACCTTCTACATACAACCACCCACATGTCCATCATTTCCCCCCACACATTCCATCTAACCTAGAGAATCTATATTTTGTCACCTTTTCTTTTTCTGCTAAAGCTTCCATAAATCCAATAAGTTTAAGGCTGGTTTCCAGATGTCTCGAGATCTATGAATTGCGCCACGCCGAGGGCTCGGCCCAAGCAAGGCAAGATGGCTTCGTCGCATTCTTTTTTTTTCTTTTTCTCACCCACCCTCATCATCGCACTTGGTGATTTCAAATTCTATATCAATCAAGTAGGTTCTCTTCTTGCGCCACCTCAGTGAATCTAGACATGTGCAAAGCCCATCATCGGTCAACATCCTCATAGGCTTTGGACCATGGGCCAGGGTTTGCACATGTCTAGTAAGTGAAAGCTTCTCTCTCCTTTCCCTTCTTCCTTCCTTTTCTCCCCGTCCCACTAACTGAGAAGAAATACTACATAGCTGCTTCTTCTTTCATTTCATTTTCTTTTTCCGGATCTATGCTGTAGTTCTGCTAATATTGCAGCAATACAATCTATTCATCAACCTCTGGTTTGGCTATGTAAGACCATATATTACTCAACCCCAGACTCCAGTATATTGACAGGATCTGGCGGCGCATGCTCAATAGGTACAACATAGACACAGAAATAAGTCTTAGTGCTATAAGCTTATAAAAGCCCCAGCGACGAGCTTTCTCGTTGTTGCATCGCACACTCATAATCGAGAATCATCTGGCGGACAGCCTCATGACCCTTGAAGGATGCCGCATAAAGAGCTGTTCCATATTTTCCTCCCTGGACATGAATATCTGCCCCATTCTGGAGCAACAGTTGAACAATCCGTTCATGGCCCTTCGCGCAGGCCCCTTGCATGGCATTGCAGTAACGTCCACCTTGAATATTGACATCTGCGCCATGATCTAAAAACATCTCAACGATCTTTACATGACCCCAATATGCTGCTGCTTGCAATGCAGTCCCGTACTCTCCGCATAAAAGATCGACGAAAGCCCCATGCTTCAACAGCAATGAAACAACGGCCTCGTGTCCCTCACATGAAGCTGCCTGTAGTTCTGATCCATAGTAGCCATCCTGGACATCGATAGCTGCTTTGCGGCTCAGGAGCATCTGGACTATTTCCACGTGCCCCCCAGCTGACGCACCCTGCAACGCTGTGCCGTAATTCCCGCCTCGCGCATTTACATCAGCACCATTGTCGAGCAAAAATTTGACAATCGCCTGGTGGCCACCGACGGAAGCTGCTTGGAGACAGGTCTCATAGTGTCCTGCGCGGGTATATGGGTTGGCTCCTTGTTCAAGTAGAAACCGGAAGATCTTCTCATGGCCTTCTGCGGACGCTGCCTGGAGCGCAGACCCGTAATACCCTCCTCCAAAATTGACATCAGCACCAGCATCTGATAGCAAGCGAACGGAATTTTCATGGCCGTTTGCGGCAGCGGCAGTCAATGCAGTACCAAACCGGCCACCGTCGTTATTAATAACGATATTAGGCTGCCGTAAGAGAAGCTTGAGAATTTCCTCATGACCTCCAGCCGCGGCAGTCTCCAGGGGGCTCCCATATGAGTCCCCTTGAAGGTTGCCATCGGCACCTCTGGCAAGTAGCAATTCCACAAGCTTTAGATGGCCTTCTGAGACTGCAGCAATTAGAGCACTCCCAAAGTGGCCCTTGGGTCCACCAACCACAGCACCATGGTTGACAAGCATCTCTGCAATCTCAAATTGCCCTCTTGAAGCCGCAGCCTGCAGAGCAGAGCCGTAATAACCGCCTTCGGTATCCAGATCCGCTGAGCGTTCCAACAAGAGCGACACGACTCCGACGTGACCACCAAGACAGGCATGGTATAGCGCCGTTGTATGGTTGTGATCTTTTTCATTTAGCGCAAATCCGTTGTCTATCAGCCGGGTCGCGAGTTCTGCGTGCCCTCCAGCCGCTGCCTGGTGAAGTGCCTGAATGTTTGGTTTCAAACCAGCAAATTTATCGTGAATATGCTCGAGCCTGAACAGCTTACTTGCATAGAAAATGGAACTCGCATCAGCCCCGGGCAGAATAAGCTTCGTGCTCGACACCAAGTCTGTGAACCTATCAGGACGTTGAATAGCACGAAGTTGCAATATACTTGCAAAGAAATCGCTATCTTGTTTGAAGAATTTTTCTAATGCTGTGAGGATGTCATTGGAATCCCGATTTGCGGCTTCGATATGATAGTCAAAGAATTGCGAGCAGTAAAACAGGAGTGGGCAGTCCCACAGATATTCCTCGAGCTGTACGGGGTCATGCCAGGGACCCTGGCCACTCAAAGAGTTTTGCAAGTAATGCAGACAGTCCAAAGCTAGCCTCTCATGGACCGAGTCATGATCCTGGAGGCTCCTCAATGGGCCTTGGAGTGACTGCGTGATGAAGAATTCCTTGACAGTGAAGTGAATTGGGCGCACGATGCCGTCTTCTACAACAAGCAAGTTTCCACAAGCATCGAGAATAACACTGATCGGGTGTATATCCTGACCGATTTTATCGCCATAGAGCGTGAGGGCATGCTGCAGTTCTAACTCGCGCAATGGCTGCTGGGCATTTAGAACCCATTTAAAGCATCTCACAGCGAGATCTCTCATGTAGTTATAATCGTTCTCGATTCGATCGGCAATGCGAATGTATGTGTTTGGGAGACCTCGTGGAAGTGTAGTCAGCGATTCCATGATGAGATGATCCTTTTTCGCTCGACTGATCCGGCAGATATTTTTCAGTTGAAGGTCGACCCAAAGAAACCTATTGTTTCCCTGTTAGTTCAGTATCACAGAGGAAGATTCTAGTGTTTACATACATGCCATCTGACTGCTCGGCCAGTGAAGACACAATGATTGGCTCTAAATTATCATCAGTCAAATACAGCCGTTTTCCATTGCGATGTTGTCGAAGCTTCTTGATTTGGCTGTAGACAAAAAGTCTGATATCATCGGCAACATCAGTTGCCTGGATCTTGACCGTTAAAACGTCCGTTGAGTGGAAAGCATCGAGAATGTCAGGTTCCATTCGACTCGTCATAAACACTTTGACTGGCAAATCTCGGACACAAGCGAGAATGAACTCAATTACCTCGCCTCTATGGTCGTTTGGGCATTCATCCAAGGCATCAAAGATCATGAACATACCATCGAAACATTGAACGAGTCTGCTCAAGGATTCCATTCTGCCAATGGCAGAGCGGCTTCGGAAGCAACGTTTATGTTCCAAGAGCCACTCCGGAATCTCTTGAACTTGCATACAAATCTGTTGTATAATGGCCAAGATCAGGGAGGGCAGATCTTTGAGTTTGTCTTCATGGTAATCATAGTAGATGTAAACCACAGGAATCAAAGCCGAGGCATGCTCTGTCGATATGTAGTCCACCACATTTGACCTAGCCTCTGGTTAGCGTTGCCTTTCCAATCGTCTAGAACACCCACGCCAGTACAGATTTTCCAATTCCAGCTAACAACGCGTCAGTATTATTAATTCTCTTTATATCCAGGAGTCTTGTGGTCATACGCTTTCCTTCACATCGCAGGATCGATGACCCTGGGGCTTTTAACCACTTAGTAAACTCCGATCGCTTCAAAAGCCAATTGCAGGTGTCGGGCTGCCTTTTTGCAGAGACTTCGAGATGCTTTCGCTCAAAGTCAGGCGCAGATAGCCAGTTTATTAGAGATTCTTGTTTCTTGTCTGTCACGAATGAGCTTAATACTGGACATGGGCTGACAATGACCTTACAATGTTCTTCTTTCCTTGCAACGGATTCGTATGTCTCTGAGCTCGCTTTCAAGTCCCGAACAGTTTCTAACACTGTGGCTGAAACTGAATGCCGGAGAACATCGAGATGGTGCTTGAAGCGTTTCTCTATGGCCCCAAATTTGGCCTCAAACGGCTCCCACTGACTGCGAACGAAAACGTAGGAGGATAGCCGCCATGATATTCGTTGATTCCCTTCCCGATCGATGAAGACGCCGCGAGCGTCTTGATAGAAGGTGAGAAGATCGACGTAGACAGCGACAGTACAGTTTCGTACCAAGGATGATGGGTCTTTTGTGTACTCAGCCAGAGGGCCCAGATAGTCACTCAGTTGCTCCAGCATATCTGCCAGTTTGGTGAAATAGTCTGCAAATCTCAAGGCGCTCTGTAGGATAATGAGTGTTCCCCCAACAATGATCGAAGAAATGGTGGGGTCGCTCTGAATTGCAATGGAGACGCTTGCTACAAAGCGCTCCAAAAACTTCAGGAAAATGGTAATCTTTTCAGTACGCGGCCGAAAATCTGACTGGTCTTTGTAGCCATTGTCGAAGTCTCTGACATGCGAAAACAAATCGTGTTGAGTTAATCTTTTGGCTTCCGCCTGGAAGAAAATCTTTTCTTGGCTGGAAATTTTCTGGAGATGGGTTTGGATGGCAGTTTCTAGGGCTGGATTGAGCAAATCTTGTTCTTCGCTTGCAAGGCTTTCTTCAGATGTATCCTCTGTGATCTTGTCGGCCGTGATAGAAGTATTTGAATTATTTTGTTGATCGCATTCTCCCCGATGCGTTCGCTTGGAATTCCGATAAAGAGCTTTGAGCAAGTGTCTGCATGACATGATTGCATTCCCGGAAAAGACTAATCAGGATCAATGCATTCGAAATCTGATTCAACTTTGTCCACGGTTATGAATTTAATAAGAGCAGTTGGAAAATAATTTTTGGTCTTTGGTGCTTTTGCTCTCATCAACTTTCCCCCCTCATCCACAGTCTCCGTGTTAGCCAGTGACAGTACATACAGTCTGCGGTCCAAGGGTGCAGGGTGATCTAGCCTAGCCAGCGTCAGGCATCAAACAATATTTTTATTTTAAATTCACGATTTCATTGGTGAACAGTGTATCGCTTCGCATGTAAGTTATGCACGGCGCAACTTGCCCAGCTGACTGCATTCCATCGATCTTGACGTGGCAAAATACTATTGGTCTGTTCAACGAGGCTGAGCTTGACATAGCCGCCCAAGGCCAACGCAGAGAGTGACAAAAGTACAAGCAGCTTCTGAGCTAGTGGGGGGCGGGGGGAGGGGGAATATAAGACACCATTAACCTCGAGACCGAACAAGGCAACTAATTCTCTTCTTGAAGCCTCTTTCAGTTAATCGCTCCAGATGTCCTAATTTTGGTCCACTTCCCTCAAAAAACTTACCTTTCACCACGCGTCACTGGTAACACCAGTTATTCAACTGAAGATCAAACGACAAGACTATGTGCAGAGGGCTAAGGTTCCATGACGCGTGCCGTCATTATGGTGCATCCTCTTTTTGCCCTCAGGCTACTAAAATAACATTCGAGGCTTCTACATCAATAAAGATCGTTGATATAGGTTTCAAAACTATAGGTTTCAAAACTATACTATGCGAACAGTCGGTTCCGTGCGAAGAATCTCGACGTCAACCTGGCCCAGCGGGCGTGGGGAGCTTATCGGGAAAATGTCCACAATGCCGAAAGATTGCGTTAGTGGGCAAGCAATGAGAAAGGGGCTGTTTCGATTGCCCTAAAAACCCTAAACATTCGCCCGTGCAGACGCCTGTGACATATCTCATCGGGGCTCCTGGAACAGTTTCAGGCAGTGGATCCTGTCGCCATGGGCATGGAGAAGGGGGATACTGAGGCTGCCGGCGAGGGCAACTCACAGTCAGAACAAACAAAACCGCAACCAGAAACATCATGCACCAAGAAAAGAACGAGGTCAGGAGAGACCAAGGGAGCACCATCCAGGACTGGCCACCAGGTCTGCGCCAGTACCCTCATGCACCACACCACCCAATATAGAGGGCGTCGACGAAGAAGATGACTACGCAGCAGCTTGGGATATCTGCAAACCGGATTTACATACGACTGAGTAGATTTGGTTGAGTGGAAGTGAATGTGCGACTGGAGGAAGGTGCCAGAATGGCGTGGTCCAGTGGAGGCGGGTGTCAGCTCAGAGCCTCAGTGACGGGGGTGGTGAATTCTGCCACTGTGGTTCCTTGCTTTGTCATGAGCACGTGAGGCCGTGGAAAACCTTAGGCATTTATAAGTTGTGACTCATTTTACGGAGCCGTGACTTATTTTCCGCTTTTTTTTTCATAATAAAACTGATGATTAAAATTGTAAATATAGCTCAAAGAAATACATAACTTTGGATATTCAATGTTATATTTTACTATCCAATTTCAATATTCTGATAGAAATACTATTTTTCTTTTAAAATTCCTTTATTTTAAAGAGATCGATTGAAGTAGAGTCTTGCTTTTTTCTTTTTTCAGTACATAGATTCTTGATGATCAATTGATGTTTTGTTCAAACATTACAGCATTTCCATTGATCAGCATCCCTCCTGATGTCCACAAACAATTCAAATGTTGACATCTTGGAAGATACATATATATTTCTACATGTCATCTACCAGTTGACGACACAAATTTGGATACTCCCTAATTTGAATTATGTAATCAATTGATCATAGTTAAATATCTGAGTAACATTGAATGTTACTAATCTTTCTTTTAGATTTTTTCTATCCTATAAAGAAAGGTGTCAGATCCACAAGGATCTGGGAGGAACGAATGGTAATGAGGAGGTGAAGAAAGGGCAATTGTATGGCATTCTTCTTCACTAAGCGGGATGGAGGGGAAAGAGGAAGGAAGGAAGGAATGAGAGAGAAGCTCTCACTTCCCTAGACTAACTACAACCCTAACCCTCTCGCACACAAAACCAACCCACGCGCTGGAGCATCTAGGAGCAGACCATGTGATAACATCACATGGTTCACAATCTCCCAACAAAAGGTTTAAGATTCACAGGCCGGTGCCTGAAGTGAAGTCAGGGAGGTTTGGCAAAGTGGGCAGGAAATTCGAACTAAAAGACCCAGATCCACCGCTTTCCTCATTAAGTTACAACAACGGCTCGGCCCGTTTCTGATTTTCATTATGGGCCCCTGAGTATCATGTGATTACTCTCGCGTCACGTGTCCGACAAGCAAAGAAAGTTCCCCTTTGAATGGGTCATGCCGGTTTACCTTTACATCCCTTGGCATCTATTCAAGCTCCTCCAGATGTCTAATGACGTCCTAACTTTACTCCTGGATCTTGAACCTATCCTCTAGCTTCACGAAATGGATTTCCTGGATTTATCAATCAATCTTATGGATAAACTCCGACCGATCAAAAGATCAATCTGTGCCCGATAATCAATTTGTGTGTGAAGATCAACCAGTGCTCGATGATGAGCCAGTGCTCGGCGATGAACCAGTGCTCGATGATGAACCAGTGCTCGATGATGAACCAGTGCTCGATGATGAACCAGTGCTCGATGATGAACCAGTGCTCGGTGATGAACCAGTGCTCGATGATGAACCAGTGCTCGATTATGAATCTGAGACGTCAACTCTCGAATACACGCAAGAGCCTTTCGACACGTTCAAAGAACGCGTTTCGCTGTTATGCCAGGAAGTTTTCACTACTTCCAATTCCAACTTGACGATCGACCGTATGCATGGAGGACTCTCCAATCGGATAATATGTGTTTCAGTGGCTGGTGATGAAAGAAAACCTCTTTTTGAACACTTCATCATCCGTGTTCCACGTTATTTAGGAGCTCCTCTTGAAGGCCTTGCCCCCCTGCAACTACTTCGCCAACAATCAACGATTCCAATTCCCGAAGTTGTTCAATTTGATACAACAACATCGAATCCCCTGGGTAAACCATACGCGATCATGAAACGCCTTTCTGGCTCATGGCTTTGGCCAAACTACTGGGAAAGGACTCATGAAGCAAAGTGCATTATTGCTCAAAGCCTTGGGAAGGTCTTTGCTGAGATGCATTCAATCACAAGCACCGTTGCTGGTAAACTCGTACTACCAGCTTCCCACGAAGAGTCGTCTCAGGGGTCTTTGATGATTCAGCCCCTTCATAAGTCGAAGACGGATATAGTGGTTCCATATAAGATTGGACCCGCCAGTAAAAACACTTTTGACACAATATGCGGAATAATAGAGCATCAGAAAGAGCTACTTATCACTCTCGGCCCAACTGGCGAGGTTGAGCTGGATTTCTTCGAAAAATGGGAGACTATAGCATTGGAAATGAATGACCTAGGAATATTTGATCAAAACGGTTATTGCCTTTGTCATTTCGATTTCGAGGCTCGAAATGTCATGTCGCAAGAACAGACCGTTATCGGGATTCTTGATTGGGATGACGCTCTCTTTGTCCCACTCTTCATGTCTTGTACCCCACCAATGTGGATTTGGGATGCGACCGCCTACGAAGACGAGGACGAGCGGCGTGCAGGGGAGATTCCGCCAACTCCTGAGCTTCGTCAAATCAAGGAGCTGTTCGAGGAAGCCGCTGGCCCAACCTATCTTCGATATGCGTATCTCCCTCACAACCGACTAGCTCGTATCCTTTTTCGATTCATCATTGATGGAATAACAGCCAATGAAGACTGGCATACATCCGAGCTGCTTCAGAGCGAGTGGGATGAAGTTCGGGACGCTCTGGAATTGGCCATGCATGGCAAAGAATCTGATGGCTTGGGTGACCAATAATAATCAACCCGCTTGTCTCCGGAAGGGCAGATGTGGATAAATGAGGCGAGAGCTGACTGCATAGGCGGGGTAAGAAACAAATCCAGGGTGCAAATCGCGTGTCTATCATACATTGGCCCTTTCAAGTTTAGCCTAGCGAATCGGGGTGCGCGCAGGATGACACGGTCAAAACACAACTTCTTCATTGCGAACCTTATCTATGACTGAGGCTCGAATCCGCATACTTGTGATCTTCGGATGTTATTTCTTAGCAGTAGATGAAAACTTATAACGCTCTTATGCCGTTTATTCTCAACACCGAACTTCATTTCCATGTACAATTCAAGTCTCTGGTATTAAGTTTCCTGCTACTAAGTCTGTATCCCTTCTCGATATTTAGTAATGAAGAACATTCAAGCTGGGGAAAGTCTTTAGATCTACTTGAATGAATAGGTTTTGATTGTGATAATCGATTTTAAAATTTTCTAATTGAGGAAAGTTTACGGGACGGCCCGGGAATCATGTTACACATATTTTATCGACAAAAGAGGGTCGCGACTCGCGACTCGCCATGTTACCAGTCCACTAACATAATGTGCCCGAGGAATATTCAGCAAATCCATCTTCCTGACAATTGCAAGGCTCCTAACGACCAAGCTAAGCCCAACCCCATTATTTGACTATTGGGCACGTTCGGTAGTCTATAACAATTCACACTCTAAAGTACTCAATCAGCTATGTCCCGTACTAGTCGGTACTGTAACAACCACGCACGTGCGTTTCGACACTTGGACCTATCCTAGCGAGCACAGAATGAAGCAATGAGAAAGCAATCATCAAAAAATGGTGGTTCGTCGACGGACTAAGAAAGCAGTCCAGCTTTCATCTCAATCACTTCCTGCTTCCTCCTTTTCTCTCTCCTGTCTTTCATGCCTCTCTCTCTGCATCTCCGGCAACTTTTTAACCCATCCCAAGGTATACTCATCTGCGTCCCATGCGAGGATCCTTTCTGACTTCTCTTCTTTCTTCTCGTCAAGCTTCAGTTTCACATATTCCTCGATCAGCTCCACATCTCCCGGCTCCAAAAGATGAAGTCTCTCCTTCCAAACATCTTGGTCATCGCATGCAGCTGGTCCAAAGAATCGCTGATCGATTTTTTTCCAGTATATCGCATCGAATGCGAAATTGTTCCTAGCAGCATACATGATCCAAAAGTCACCACTCTGCCAACTATCCCGCATCTGACTAGAGAGCCGCTGGCCGTCTCTTAGCTTTCCGTTGCGGACTAACTCGTCCTCGCATTGCTTCATTGCTTCCAGGAATGTCTGAAGTGCTTTGGTATACTCTGTACACCAGTCATCAAGGCCTCTGTCCCAGGATTCAGGCTTGCAGAGAAGAAGCCACCAAGGCGGCGCATAGTTAAATTCGACTGGGGCTGTATATGTGTACTCCCAATCCACTACCCCGACGATAATCCCAGCTTCATTGACAAGAAAATTTCCTGGTCGAAGGTCGTCACACCAAAGTGGGAATGGGCCATTCTCATGAAGTATCCATTTTTCTCTCTGCCCCTGGTCACAAGCAATTTTCCGAAAGAGGAATCTAGCAACAAATTGCCGTCGGTAGTCATCCGCTAAAGTATTCAGCTCGATATTCGCTTCGATATTTGCCTCATTCCTTTGGCTTCGCAGGTGTGTGATATGAAGCTCCGCCAAGGCTTCAAAATATAACGACGCTTTGTTGTATGTGGTGGTTGGTAGTTTCGATCGGGGGAGCGTCCCCAGTGACACAATCTCGTTCATAGAATATGATAGAGGCCGATGTAACACTTCCCATACACCTTCTTTCTGATCCAGAGATCCTATCTTGCTAAAAGAAAGGGTAGAGAGCGACAGGATGATATTGCCTAGTTGTCTGTAGAGATTCCCTAGCTTGCCAAGGTCAAGATCCGGATTGAGGACTGGGAGTTGGTCTGGTTGGCGTCTCGGCGTATTGAGAAAATCAGACATGCTTTGCTTGTGGTCGATAAAGTCCATAATGATGAAAGGACCCAAATATGAGGGACTCTCTTGTCTCTTTCCCCAGCAAAAGATCCGAGGCACTGGGATTGGAATTTTGTTTAAGAGGAATTGCATGACAGAAACCTCATTGCGGACTTTCTCCTCGGGAAACATGGTAGCTGCAGGTAGTGGGAACCGTATAATAGCGCTGTACTCGTTAGCGAACCGCATCCGAAAAACGGCATTGAAAGTGCCTGCGTTGCAGTAACCGAAGTCTGTCCACTGAAGAGAGCTATATTGTGCAGAAAGAAAGATTCCCACATCTCTATAGATCACCATATCGTATTCCAGAAGCTCTAACCATTCCTTTGTCATATCAGTAATTGTTTCCCAGGCAACATCATCAAAGGCCTTCATTTTGGGAGTTCAAAAGATCATAGAATGAAGAGAAGGGTAATGAAAAGAAATTGCAGAGTTGCCCAGTGACTTTTGGTGAAGCAAATTGGTGATGGTGATTCGAGGGACATAGGGGGCTCGTACCGAGACAGACGTGACAAAATCACATGATATCAACACCGCTACCTCGGAATAACAGTAGACCCGAACGGAGATAAATGGCCGAGGACGAACATACTCACCTGCTAATCGATATAAACAGTCTAGAGCGACCTCCAGATGCACCTCGGGCCGCCGCGACCGAGCGGGCGGCAATACCCGAGCTGACCGAGCAATTGGCGGAACCAACGGCACCGCAGCCACTGCGACTTCAAACATTTGAATCGACCAAGCAGACATCAGTGTTTTTGTTCGGAATTCAGCGACGTGGACATGGACATATTAAATAAGAATATGTGCTACGCATTTAAATATAGTCTATAAAAATAGGACTGGTGATCACCTTTTCACCACTCCACTCTCGGCCAACAAAATATATCGAGCGCGACCCGGTCTCCTGACCACTGAAAGATGCTCGTCCCTGGATCCGACGTGGCAGATCCACGTTTGGAATTGCTTCAACGCGAACAAATAGATCCGCCCCGCCAAGAATTTTCACCGATTTTCCGTCTGGACGTTGCACTTCTTCCCAAGATGCCTCAAGCTCAAATGTTGGCTGGGCCTTGTGAGGATTTCCGGCCAACGTGTCTCCAACCTTGACATACCCACCCAGTGAGCCTGCAACGCGAATTTTTCGTGTAGAGCTCTCGCCATGGAGAACAACATTAACACCGTCCAGGTCACCGCTGGTTTTGCTTGAAAATCCAACCGAGTTTCCATTTATCAACCGAGCGAAGTCTTCTGTGTTATCCTCAAGACCCCCGAATGGCAGCACATTCTCCATGGTACTCCCCCCTGAAACGGTGATGGTTCCATTCCAAACAGCCTCACGGTATCTGTCATACAACCTTGCTCCACCCCAAGTCACCCGTAAGATTGTCGCAGGCGCGTCGGACTCAGACCACAGGTGTCTTCGCCAGACTAAGCCCGATGCATCAAATGCCTCGATAGAGGAGAACCCTTTCTCACCAAAGAAGTGGTAATCGAGCTCTAGCACTTCTTGCTTTCCGATTTGAATCTCGTCACCCTGTATCGCAGACTGATCGGCTGTCTGAACCAGTCCTACCAATCGCTGCCCAGTGGTTGCGAATGTGTGGCGCGCCCGTAAAGCATCAGCAATATCTTGACGCTCTAACCTTGGGGCAAGAATTCCAGTTAGCCCGCCTCGAGTACCGAAGACTGCGGTTCCGGGAACACCACCACCGCATCGACCGCGATGCTCATCAGAATTAGCGGAGACTCCAAGTTTCCAGCCCCTGCGCACGGCATCCTGAAGGAGCCACTCGAATTGACCCCATGCACTTCCGATTTCAACCAAGCGCTCAAGTTTTGGGTGGTTCCATGCGAGATTGCAGCGACGACCACCGACATGGGGGATAAGGAGATGATTCTCTGCGTCCCTGGCGTAGGTGCAGTATACCTCATCCAGTGGCCAGGCTCCAGGGACAAGATCCTTGGGGCCATCTTCAGACCATTCAAATGACCGGGCAACGTTCCCGTGGCGATCGAAGGGGAACTCGGGTGGATGAGTCGCTGGATCCGCGAGGAAAACAACATTGTGATCTCCTCCCGCTGCGGAATTTCCGCACCACTCGGTACCCGGGAAGATGACAAACTCGCCAGGCTTGTTGAGCGATTTTATCAATTCGGTCGTGGCATCCCAACGTTCCTTTGTGATTTGGAAGTCATTGGCAGTGTATCCGAGAACATCAAGTGCGGCAATTTCCCGACCATAGGAAAAGTTGTAAATGGATGACTCGGTTCCCACAGTATCATCAGAGTGCACATGCAGGTCACCAAACAGGGCCCTTGGAACTGTCAGGTCAGAGGAGACTGTGATGAGAGATTTTTGAGATGCAATAATTGCATCATTGCTTTTAACAGCCACATCGATTGTGTAGTCTCCATCAGATTCTATGCTCAGATTGGAGAATATGGCATTGGTCCAACCTTGATTCGAGACATGGATTTCAGTTGCCCGTACGACCTCGGATTCCTTGTCAGATATTTTCAACTCAAAGGAAAGATCTTCTAGATCACTGGTCACATTTCCCCAGATATCCTCTGCATGAGAGTGAATAGCAAATGGAACAGAAGGTTGCAGCACTCTAGGTGAGACCGTTTGAATGCGATGAATGGTACCGGCCCGAATATCCCAAGAGATATCAGGCTGAATCGGGGCAAAGCGACTAGTTAGCGGGTAGAGTCAGCTTCGTCATCCCTGAAGCTAATGATTGCTCAAATACTCACGAAGTTCCGACAGGATCAATGTAAAACCTCCAGCGGAAGTCCTTTTCTATGAAAGTTTGGGCTCGCGTTCCTCGAGCCCCATAACGGCGGTCCCCAAGGCGAATGACAATTCGATCACCGGGGCTCATGTAACCGTCTTGAACATCAACAATCACAGCCTTTTGAAAAGGTCGTTCGTGACCCTTTTGATCGAATCGAATGCCCAGTGACTGTACTGTCGCTGGAGTCTGGTCCGGGAAGAGGGTGTTAGGAATATACTCGGCACTGACATAGTTGTCCTTTGTCCGGTCGGAGGTTTGAAATAAAGCCCAATCCTAATAATCAATGTCAGATCAAGCTGATTCCTCCAAGAACCTCAGTAATACTATGTAGTGAATATCAACTAACCGAGTAAAATTTGAAAGTACCCTTGATCCAAGCTCCATCTGCTAGACCAGAGGCGCCAACCTCATATTCAAGCGTGATTTCCGTCCACTCGCCAGCTACAAGAGATTTCACATTGCTCTTGACTCGACCAGTGAAGGGTAGAGTTTTGGTGTACTCGTAGAGTCCTTTTGGGGCAGAGTAATCCCCCGCGAGCTGAAATCTGTCATCGACACTGAGGTTTTTCATGCTGAATAAATAATTGCATCTATGAAAAATCCAACCTTGGAGAAAGTAAAACAAAGATACGGTGCACCTGTAGGTTCTTTACATTATTTAAGCTTAATGAGGGGTGAAGATTGCCGACGTAAGCGCCCCACATTGATATTGCGCCATCATAAGCCGACATTTCAACATGACTGCCGACCTATTACGATCAACACTCGAGATCATAGCTCGCCATTTAACATCCACTATGAGCACAGTGAAAAATCCCTTTCTGTTTATTTCACGTCTAAAACGACGAGATTATAGGTGTTTGTTTCAACGTTCAGGTTTCTCCCACACGATTTTACGGATGTTGTCCGAATATCTAATCAAGATTGCACACTATTTAAATACCGTCCGCATCCATTAGTCCGCCTATCAATTTAAACATTTTTAAACAGTTAATTTTTTTTATCCACTGGTATTGAGACTGGTATTGAGCGAGTCTATCTTGTTAACATTGAAAGCTCTTAAAGTCAGAATAATGACGACCGGAGCAAGGGGCCTAAGAAAGGCAATCCAGGATGATGTGAATATCAGCCGCTTCGTGGACCTGGCCAACACACACTTGCCCAAATTACCCAGAGCTTCAGCGAAATATATGGCTGCAAAGGTTCCTATCCTGCAATGGATCCCAAGATACTCTTTCCCGTGGCTGTGGAATGATTTAGTGGCCGGTAAGTCTAGATCTCACGCGACCCTGAAACATCAGAACACGAATTTGACAGGGAAAAGGCATCACAATTGGAATTCTTCTTGTACCCCAGAGCCTGGCGTACGCAAAAGTCGCGAATATCCCTACAAGTTACGGCCTTATATCAAGTTGGCTTCCGACATTACTTTATGCGATTATGGGCACATCAAAAGGTAAGAACTTGCCCAACGAAAAGAGAGAAAAAAGACAGATCTGGCTGTTCATATTGCTTCATCATCATCCTAACTATGGCTATTGATCCTTTTGACAGATGTGACTGCGGGCCCAACCGCAATCATGGGGTTATTGACTGGCGAAATCGTCACAGATCTGCTTGGTGAAGGGTACACGGCCGCAGCCATTGCAAGTGCTGCTGCTTTCTGGGTGGGAATTTACTCGCTGATCTTTGGCCTTTTCCGCCTTGGATTTTTGCTCGACTTTATCCCCATTCCTGTTCTTTCTGGATATGTTTCCGCGGCCGCAATCACCATCGTTCTCCAACAACTGAAAGGATTGTTCGGCGAGACCAAGACCGGCAGTACCACAGCGGGTGTGATCCGAGAATTCTTCCAACTGCTCCCCGACACAAAATGGCAGGACTTTTTGCTTGGTGTCTCTTGCATCGCCTTTCTTGTAGCACTACAATTCATCGGTCGCAAATGGGGCAAAAATTACCCTGCTTTGTGGTATTTGTCTGTTGCTCGGAATGCGCTCGTCATTATTCTATCAACCCTTATCAGCTGGGGTGTGAACAAGTCTCGCCGCGAAGACCCTGTATTTGGGATCTCCAAAGTGACAGGCACAGGAATCATTCCTCCGAAGCAGCCTGATAGCGAGCTACTTCTCAAGGTCGCCGGTCGCAGTGTCGCAGTCTTTGTAGCTGCTGCTCTGGAGCACCTTGCCATCGGGAAAGCATTCGCACGGCGTCATGGCTATGTTATCGAACAAGACCAAGAGCTGAGCTATATTGGTCTTGTAAATCTATTCGGAAGCTTCTTTTCTTGCATGCCAGTCACAGGGGGATTTTCACGTACTGCCGTGAACTCAGAATCTGGTGTCAAGAGCCCCCTTAGCGGGCTGGCTACGACTGCTTGTGTGCTCGTTAGCATCTATAAACTCACCGGTGCATTCTACTGGATCCCAACTTCTACTCTCTCAGCACTCATCATTGTTGCTGTATGGCAGATTATTCTCCCATTTCATGTTTTCTGGCATTACTGGAAGACCTCTTTCGCCGACTTTGTTAGCAGCATGGTTGCCTTTTGGGTGACTTTGTTTGTCAGCGTTGAGATTGGAATTGCTGCCGCTGTCGGCTATAGCCTCGTTTACGTCTTGATTCGACTTGCGTTTTCCAGTGTGACTATGGTCACATCTGATAACTTCTCGACATTGTACCAGTCATCCTCGTCCAATCACGAAGTATCCGCTGTGCCTGAGGATGCGATGATCTTCATACTCCAAGACTCGATTCTTTACCCCAATGCTGCTCGTACCTCGCGCCAGATTATAAATGCGATTTATACATACAGTTCAGGAATGCATGAAGCGCTCACAGACACCGATGCAGGTGAGGAAAATTCAACGAACTCCAGAGACAGACTGTGGAACGATACAAAGGTTGGACATATCAGGAGTCTACGCACAGAAGCGGGCACTGAAAACACACAAGAGAGCCCTCTACCCAAACTACGGGCTGTCATTATAGACATGACCCGAGTTACGCACGTTGATACGACCGCGATGCAAGTATTTGCGGATATCAGATATACTTTCAGAGAATGGGCAGGTCCGGATGCAGAGCTCAGGTTTGTAGGGCTGAATCAGAGAGTCAAGGACAGATTCAAGAGATCCGAAGACTACTTTCAGTCGTTGAATGACAGTCAATCCCCCAGAGATGAAGGGTATAGGGTGTTCGATGCTTTGCAGACAGCACTTTATGATCTTCAAACCATCGGCGATAGTGTGCATGCAAAAGTATGATGCGGTCCATACATCCTGTAACGCTATTAAGTTCTTTCCAAATACTCGATGAATGATATCACTTGTTATAATATCCCTACAAACCTATGTACATAGAGAAAGTTCTTACCGTAATCGTAAATTCAATAACCAACAAATTCAAGTGATCGATCTTGATCTTTTCAAATAGGCATCATGTGGACCGTCATCTAGCTTGAGCTTGCCATCATCTGCGCAAGCATACCTCTTCTTAAAACAGTTTTGTATCGCGTTGCTCCTAGTCTCTTTTCAACCGGTTGAAAATGGTACGGCGTCTCTGATCCTCAAACATTTGGACAGCTACAAGGTCCACAGACGGGCAATGCTTACCCAATGAATCGGTTCGACCATGAACCTATTCGTACCCATATATCGACTGGAATCGACGTCGAATCATAATGAAACGTAGCTGAAAAGGCAGCGAATAGCTCAGTCATATCCCGGGGCGTTGCGGATTCTTACTCGAGTTTGAGCGTTACTCCTCCTGGGAGAATCGATACAAACCAGGACTTTGGTGTACAGCACAGACTTTGAGATAGTCGATCTAATCAAACCCATTGTCTATTTTTGTTGTTTGAGAGTGACCCTGACCTCCGGACGGTTGACTCTCATTAGCCTCATTTAACTGACATGTCTCAAGATGCACGCGGCCAGCCTCGTCTTTCTATTACCTCAGACCCAGATGCAGTTCTGAACACAGAGGTTGATGAAGGCATCTGGTGGAGAGATATAGGTTCCTGGGAAGTCTCAGCCTTCTTTGACTGCATCCGAAGCCAAGGCAAGAGATTGAATACGCCACCGCAGGCAAATATGCCTAACCAAAGGGCCAGCTCAGTCCCGTAAATAACCATGCCAAGTATGTTAATAGTGGATCCAAACACTTGACTAAGTTAGCCTCAACCGCTCGCTTGTATTTATCACTATGATCCGTCCTGACTTACGAACAGACACGAGTGAGAAAAGATCACCGGCAGCATCGATTCCAACGAAAAAGAAGCTGATCCCTCGCACGGTTCGGTGAACATAAATATCCCAGTAATGACGCAGTACCCCTGCGGCAAGCAGAGATGCACTTAAAACGGCCATCAAAATAAGGGGCCATCTTGTATGATGAGTTTTTGCTTCTTTTAGTGCAAAAATTAACCCTGTCTCAATGCCACCGAAGATAATAAGAAGGGGAGCGACCGCGGCAATGCACTTGGTGACGGAATATCCCTACTTTCAATCAATACCAGGTGAAACATAGCTTGAGGAGGCGAAACAAAGCTTACTTTTCCATAGTAAAGACATTGGCCCCAAGTAGCAAGGCTCAAAGCTGTCAGTATCTGAGGCTGTATTCTTAATGCGATATTGAACTCTTCCACAATGTTGTACACCCCAAGAGGGACACCTGCTGCGGCCCACAGTAGCATCATTGAACCCTGGAGACCTTCGGTATTATGCCGTCTGTAATTGATAATGATTTGGGGAAGAAGCTAGGAGATATGAGCATAAGTAAGACTTCATCCAAAACCAACCCATTCTCTTCGGTTCTCGTTGTCTCGGCCTACCTGAATAGACCAACAAACCTGCGAGCGTGATTAGTGGGATGCACTGAATATGCCATGATGTATAGCCGTGAACGAACTGCGCCAAGAGTCCCCAACACAGTTTCCGCCACGGGTATGTCCATTGTGAGATGGAAATGTCGAGTTTTGGTGCTTGAATGAGACTTGGAGTTACGAAGAATTGAATCCATGGCGAGATGAGAGCGAGATAAGAGCGAGATAAAAGCGAGAAAAGCAAATCAATTACGTAATTGGGCTTAGTCAGAATCGGTAACGTAACCGTCAAGCGGACCGCCAACGTATGGCGCCAAGTGCATCCCGCCCCTAAACACAGCATTGAAGTGGATCATATCCAGGCAAAAGCAGACATCTGGATGACATCAACTCAATACATAATAAGAAAGCGCAGCATAAATGGGGCTCTTTAGTGTAACCCCTCAATTCAATGTTAGGCACTCTTGGTCTTTCTGTGCTTTTTCTTTTCATCTTCTTTAAAGAATCCACACTACAAACATGCATGTGCACAGGATGCTCGGTATATTTCGAGACTTCAAGTTTACACACGTGCGCATTTCAAGGTTGGATGGATAGACACAGGCATTACTTGGAATCGCTACTCAGGTGCCCAAATGCATCGAATTTAAATGGGTCCAAGATCTCGAGGCTGCACACATGTGTATTTGTAGGTACCTTTTCAAGGTTAAAAGCCTAAACTATAATCTTAATGCCCGACGACTTTATTTCACCACGATCCATGGATCTATACATTCTGATTTCTTTGGAATATTGGCCTCCATGTGTTTGTCGCCCGAGAAACAGTTTGTGCACGGTGAGATCAAAAATCGGATCTTAAAATCAACTGAAGACCAATGCGAACGTTATGTACGAGCTAAGGAGCACAAATTTTTATTAATAGAAGAATGCACGCGCAGTGCGATTGACACATAAGTATACCTATTTGAGCCATAGCGCGACGTGAAGGGGCAAGGCGTATCGGGTGGGGCGTCGTTAGCTCCGGTCCCTGTCCATTGCTTGGTCTGTCCCTGACTCAGACCCTTATGTAGAGCTCCCCCCACCACCACCACGAGCAAGAGCTTCATCACATTGGAGTGAAACAGGGGCAACGATAGACAGGGTGCAATCAGTGACTTTGAGGTTCTCGACAGACCGGAGGCCCAATCAAACACCTCAATTTTCGTCAGAATATGCTGACACCCGAAAGACGAGGGTTTTGATTTCTCATTGGGGCGGTCTTGAGTGGATCGGAGCCTCGTTTTTCCGTATTTTTCCGAACTATCAGAACTGGTGCAGGGGTTTTGGCCCCATTTGGCCTAGAGGGGACCCCATTTCGTACTAAATTAGCGTCGTCCAATGTCTCTGCTCGTTAGTGCGGCTCTAGGACCCATATGTTTGGGCAAACAATCACGCTAGGCGGGTGCAATTTTACACACGACCAGTTTCTAAGCGATGCTTTTCACATGCGCTGGAATTAAAAAGGGTGTTGACCCCAGTTCGAGCTTGTGTTTAATCCCCCGCTCCATTTCTTTTTCTCCTTCATTACCTCCGTCCAGAAAATCTACACCTACAATACCATCATTATGCAGCTCCTTACAGCTGTCGCCCGTGGCTTCCAGGTAAGCCATGATACCCCTACACTTTATCATCTCATCGGAAAATGCTAACGCGTCCAAGCTTATATTTAGCGTAGTCGTCCTCGGTATCTCCATCGCTATCGCCAGACAACAATACGTCGGCAACGTGCCATCCCAGACTGGCTATGCAGCCTTCACCGGTGCTCTCGGTGTTCTCGCCTCCCTTATCGGCATCGCTGCCCTGTGGGTTGAAAGCTTGAGTGGAATCATCATCTGGGTTCTGGATGGTGTTACAAGTCTTGCCCTCCTGGCAGCCGGTGTTGTACGTTTCCTTTCCAAAAACCAATCTCCCCTGGAATAATAAAACTGACCATGTTGCAGGTCTATGCCGTGACTCTAAAGGGCACCAACTGCTCTACCCCCAATGTCGCGACTTGGGAAAACCCGTTGATGAGTGGTGGATGTGTGGGCAAGGGATCCAGTAAAGTTTGCTACGACGTCCCCTATGACGCCAAGAACTTTTCCCTTCTTACTTCGCGTTGCAGGCGGGCGGAGGCTGATTGTGCTTTCATGTTCCTTGCTTGCATTGCTACTCTCGGTGTTTTGATTGCGTCTTTCTTGTCTCGCAACCGTTGAGTGGAACTTCTGTCTGCGAAGTGTCCCTCAAATATAGTGATAATATGAGCCTTCCAACTTGCACATTTGGAAACGGGGACAGAATGCTTTGATGTGGTTAAGCTTCTTTGGCTCCTTCCACGATTGGTCCTCAAGTGCTTGTTCCAAGCTGAGATAACCATATACCTTTTTTCGATACCCAATTTAAAAATATTTTATCCTTCCATTGATACCTGTCATGTCTCCTACAGGTAAGCTTCCAAAATCCCGCCTTTTGCAGTCTAGAAGTAGCACTATTGCAAGGTTGTTAAGCTATTTATATAATAGACATATATGTAGACGCTGGCAACAGGAGGAATAATATATATTCACGTAATAATATAAATCGTGCAGACGGAAAACGAAAAAAAAAGGATCAAAAGACCAGTTGACCGTCAGTCCGTTATGAGGTCCCACAGGCGACGAGCTCTCTCGGCATAAAAGTTCATGAAGAGCTGTTGTCCCCACCAAGAGACTTGGAAGAGCGCAACTTCGGCTTGAGCTCTCAGTCCGTTCTCAAGTTCGAAAGCGGCATTGCGACGCAAGAGAAGCTCAGAATATCCTTCACCACCAAGGTGGTGAAGCAGATTCCGTTCGAGACTGAGCCGCAATGTTTGCATTGCCAGGAATCCGTCTTCAAGGCGCAATGCCTCCCATAATTCAGGCGAATAATCGCTTTCAAGATCCGGGGCATCCTGGTCGAGGAGTGTCGCTTGAAGGGCAATCTTGGTCAAAGTCGTTTCTGGGCGCATCTGAGGCGGGGAGATCGACATTGCGTATAATGTGTTTGAGTTAGTAATTTATCTTGACTGAAAGTGCGGAGTTGATGTCCAGGTGAGAGATCAATTGACTTACATCCAGGGTGAAAGAGGCTCATGGAGAGTGAGTGGAAGAAGAAGAAGAAGTGATATAGCAGGAACGAGGTTTATATGGGTTTTTTATCGAAGGTGCTGAGAGAAGACTGAGTGAAGAGGTTTGTTTAAGAAAGGGGAAAGCGAAGACAGAATTTGATTATTCAAATTTCCAAGACCCCAGAAAAGCACCTTCGCGAAGGGCGAAGAACAAAAGCATGTCATCGCATCCATTAATCTACGCGCTGGATCTCTGTTTCCTCATGTCTATAATTGAATGCCGTCCACGAGTTTATCTGAACAAAGACTCTCGAGGAATTAAAAAGCCGTCTATTAAGGTACCTAGTAGTCCTGGGGGTTATCCAGCCTTGGAGTGAACATACCATGTATTTGGTACTTGGGATGTGTATATACTCCTTACTTGGGATGCGTATATACTCAGTACTTGGGATGAGTACCTACTCAATGCTTGAGATAGGCACTGTAATACATACTAACTACTCTGATATCCAGATTATGTATGAGCTTCTCAACTACCAAGTTACAATTGGGAAAGCCATGGGACGAAAAAAATTCCTAGAGTAGTAAGAGGTGGGAAAATCTCACAGCTTTGTGAGTAATTGTAGCTAGACTCCCCAATCCTACCCCTTCCTAGATCACGTAACGGGCAAGAAATCATGCTTTCCCGGTGTTGGACTTACGGGACTTCAAACAGGCTTCTTAGCTGTTGCCGGTGGGCTAGTATCATTACCTGACCATGGACCGTAACAAATCCCGGGAGACAATGAAAATGCTGTCCCAACGTCAATCAGAAGCACAACCAAGAAAACTGACGCATAAATCGGAAAGAAAACAAAGAAGACAGAGGAACTTTTAATGATGATCCTCTCGTTCAACCATCGGGCCTGTGTGTTCCGGTGCCACTTGCCGCATATCAGGATCGGTGATACTGTTGATTGCTTCGAACAATCTGACGAGATTTCAAACAGGCTTCTTAGATGTTGCCGACTGGCTAGCCTGAATGCGGTTGGGAGTGGGGATCGGAGTATGCGTGCTGCAAGTATCCCTGGTGGAGTCATGATGAGTGGACGGAGTATGTGTGCTGCGAATATTCCTATTGGAGCCCGAAATGCGTTGATGAGGAGTGGGCATCAGACTGCCGGAGCCACGAATGTTGCCATTGGGCTCGGGCTGAAACGGTAACTCTTGAAGATGGTTGGAGGTTGCATCGTCCATCTCACCCCTTTTGAAAATGTCACAGGGGCTGGATGGTGAGCATCTCAAATGGAAAGACGTAAAATTCATCTTGTGGGCTCGGGGACAGATACCTAGGACAGTATCATGGAGGTCTCGTTTATATTTAGGGATAGGTTTTCCGGTTAATAATGTCTTACCCTTCTCGGGTTCGGACGGTTCTAATCAAGGTTTGTTGGACGGGGGCAACTTGACTGATAATTCACATTTCCTCTCACATCCCAACGAGGTAAGTATATATGGATGATCTAAATATACCTTGAATACTGCGTTGTTCTGACGCAAAGACTTCTTTGGGATTGAGTCCAGATCCACTGAATCGAGGACGGAGAAATATTTGGACATCAGCAGCCCTTTCGTGGTACAGATTCCTCAACCGCTTTCGCACGGATGGTGACTGGTAGAAAGCGGATATAAGTTCCCAGACCTAGGTTGGATTAGTGATGTCCATCTACCTCAAAGGTCGTTCTCTCATCGTCAGTTAGTCCTTCCCAGCACGCAGGAAGTGGTCGTGACCGATCATATGAGTACCTGTAAAGTTTTGTTGGGTTTTCTACTGCATTGGAGAGCGATGTAATAACGGACGTCCTCAATATCTTCAAAGTCACCATAGAAGAGATAACTATCTCGGCAGCCGATTCATACCATGGAGACGGTCATTCCTGCGAACGCTGGGGAGATCGAAGTTTCTGAAGTGAGAGGTCACAAGGAACCGCGATGTATCCAATCTTGATGTCATTGGAGTCGACTGCGCGGCTGTTTCCCAACATTCACGGCATTTATTGTACCAAACCGTCTCCCAATAACACATAGCTTGTAACCATGTAGAACCATAGAACTCCATGAGCAAAAGCGACCGTCGCCTTCCCGCGAGGCATGCACCTAATTCTCATGGCGCCAGTAGAGTCCCAAGCGCCACGAGACTCTTTGCAATCCTTTCGGCGTCAAATAATTTTCCAGTGCAAAATGTTCGTATCGTCTGAAGTGACTCCTTCCTCATCGCGGGGGTCATTTATGTTTTCGAATGATGAGCAGTCTCTTCCATTATTTTACTGATTTTCATAAAAGCCACAGGTTTCTGTTCTGGCCACTTGGACGCCCACTCCCAACATGAATGGGTTGTTTTTGTATCTCTGACGCGTGGAATCCGACATTCGCCATCAATGCGAGCAGACGCACATGATAAATGGCATTGGATTTTTTCTCAAGAATAGCCTGTCACAGAAGAGAATCAATAATTTAGAAAATTTAACTGAGATTGGGGCTACGCGTAGCTCACGAAGTCACCATTGTCAAGGTCATCTGGCAGCTCGGTCTTTTCGATGCTGCCTTCAAAGTTGTTATTAGTATGCGGTGTTGCTGATTTACTGTAGTCATGTGTTGCTCACTAGAATTGTCCCCGCTATTATGTCCCCAAATTCCTGCCTGTTGGTTTTCGGAGGTTGTTTTAACTTCTGGGCGTGATTCAATTTTTCCAAGAGTCGCTCCTTTTCCTTCGATTTCATCAATTCATCATGGTCTGACTTAAGAGTCAACACGGATATTGATCATACATAGTATCATTGAAATGGTGAAAGACACCAAAGATTTTCGGGTTTCGTCAACGTATCCAAGAAAACCGATTCCTTGGATGGCTTTCTGAGTAAACCCGTCTCGTTGAGTGATTTTTGCTTCAGCAAAGATCTGAAAAGCCCCAGAACACCACAGACTTGACGAGTTCCTTTCGGAGTTCGTTTCGGAGGTTGTAGTAAGTATCTGGAAATGACACTCCTTCATGGTGAGAATCTGATACATGAGCAAACAGCTCAGGGGCACCAAGTAGTAGGGAGGAAATTTGAGTTGAATCCAAGATTTCAAAGAGGAGATTCAAAGGTGTGAAGAGAGATTTTCCAAGGCCGGAGAAGAGATATCAAGGTTGAAATGAAGATTGGTGACTTTGGAGGGTTCTGTAAGATCGTAAGATTTGATCGTGTCTTTCAAGGTTGATTTCACTCAGTAAGTCTTCAAATGTTGGAAGTGTTGGTAGAATTTTGAGATATCAAATATTTATAGTTATATATAATAGAGGAATGCGTAGCAGCCTAAGTAGGGTGAGTGTTAAGTGATCAGTGATCATATGTAAATCCTCACTGTTGTATGTTTTTTTCAACTTGGCCTTTGGACGATCACCTGACAGGCTTCATGTCAAGTATCTGTATGAATTACTTCCTGAGTCATCGTGAATCCCATACATACTAGTGCTCTCATACTACTAGTAGTATGTAACGAGTATATTCCCATGTGATGCCAAAGTTTGACCTCTTATCGTTATCGCACTTATCAACTCCGGACCGCGCAAGTGGGGCCAAACCGCGCCCAATCCGAACCAAAACCACGACCTCTTATTCAGAACAAGCCACCTTAAAACAACGACCAAGACACACTACGATCCTCCGCAAAACATTACTTCACCCCTTGAAGCCCAAGAAGCCCGACCACCAAGCCCACACAAACCACAATGTCCCGACCGCTCCGCATCGCCGTCCTCGAGTGCGACACACCCATTCAACCTGTCGTAGACAAGCAAGGCAACTATGGCCAGATCTTTGAGCGCCTACTCACACACGCTGCTGTGGGAGCCAATGTGAGCGTCGAGGTCAGCAAGTGGAATGTAGTTGGGAACCCGGTCTATCCGAATCCTAACGAGGTGGATGCGTTCCTTCTTACTGGAAGCAGTATGTCTCCCCGTGGGGGGTTTTATTTTACAAATTCGACGCTGACTGATGTGTCCAGAACACGATGCCTTTGCCGATGATTGCTGGATCCTTACTTTAACGGAATACGTCAAGGATGTTGTGCAGGCGCACAAGAAGCCCGTCGTGGGCATTTGTTTCGGTCACCAGATCCTTGCTCGGGCGCTGGGCGCTCGCGTAGGGAGAGGGCAGAGCTGGGAGATCTCTGTTGATGAGATCACGCTCACTGATGCTGGAAAGGATGTTTTTGGCAAGGACAAGTTGGTACGTGGTCAAACTCTCTCCTTGTTGATTGTGACCGTGGATTTGAAATACATTGCTAACTATCTCTATAGTTCCTGCACCAAATGCATCGCGATGTCGTCTTTGAGACACCCGAAGGCTGCGTGAATCTCGGATTCAGTGACCCGTGCGCCGTGCAAGGGTTATACATGCCGAAGCGGTTGATCAGTATCCAGGCCCACCCTGAGTTTAACGAATTCATCATGACCAACCTCTTGGAAGCTCGACATGATGGCGGGGTGTTTAATGACGAACTATATAAGAGTGGAAGCTCACGAGCGGCGAAGCAGCATGATGGCGAGTTTGTTCTGCAAAGTTTTATGCAGTTTATTGTTGAGTCTGTGGTATAATGTCCATTGCCAACAGATATGAGTGAAGCATTTATATAGATGAACATGATGACGATTGAAGACAATTCTTGTCTAACTTGCACATGAAATTTTCTTGTTTACATCATGCAACAGACATGTCAAAGGCTTGTAGAATTGAGTACGGTAGCATTCTCCTTTGCATCATGGCGGGCTTATCGTTTATCCTGATCGGACCCACATCGCGGTCCCGGAGCGCGCTCGTATAACTAGAGCCTTCGTATTGGCTCTTACTCCTTACTGTGGGTCTTCCAAGGTTTATTACCCCGCGAAAGCGATAAGAGGTTAGAGGCTGCAGCGGGCTAAGGAAAAAAAGCCGGTCAGTTGGAAATGCTGACTGTAGTGTTTTTGATGAAGTGAAAATTACTCTGTAGATGTAGTAGGTATAATTAAGCCATTCTATATATATATCAAAAATTGGCCATCTACGCCACGAACGCCATTCTTGATGCTCGATGGATGGTTCCAGCATGTACAATATCATACACCTTCCACGGGAGAGACTCCCACCCGGGGAATATCTGTCACCAGGACCAAGGATCATCCCAGCTCAAGCAAATGAGATCCAAATTTGCTTTTGTTGCATCGATCGGCAAATGTTCCAAGGACCTGCCTCGGATGGAGGTAATTCCCACATCGCCTCTAATAACTGCAAGGTACGGTGCATGTTTCCAAGCCCGAAATGGCTCGACATGACCGTAAGTCGGGTGCCCAGGCAGTCCTGCTGCTCGGCGGTTTCCAAGCAGGAACCCACAACGGCAATGGGCCAGCACATTCCAGAATTGATGCGTGCACTGGGCGATAATTGATTCAGGTAAGACATCGCTTCTGTGACTGCGGTTTGGATAAGTCCTCTGTACATCCCATCCCTCGTGTACTTGTAACCACCCAAAGACGTGTATAGATAGATGAGCATGGCCTGTTGGAAGATCAAGCCTGCCATGAACACCTCCGGCTCGACAAATGGGAATGGGGCCCATCGGAGAATCTGAGCTTGGATTGAAGCGAACATGGCCAAGTCATCAGCGGTCGGGGCGCTGACCTCCTCCTCCATCATCCATTGTCGGCCGAGATCAAAGATAACGGGTATCAGGAGCAACAGTTCTAGCCAGCAGCCGCATAGGTTCCCAACGTATTGTAGGGTCAAGAGTTCGCGAGCTCGCTGTTCTAAGTCGAAATTTAGAAAGAGTTGTCTACTTAGACGCGCGTCGACCGAGATCATGCTAACGGATGCTGTGTAAACGTAGTATTCGATCACGAAATCTTTTAGCTCTCTTGGTACAGCAGTGTCGCTCTGCTCCAGAAGCTTCACAAGGAGGGAGTTTGCTGCCGTAAGGTGGTCGAAAATAGTTCCTGTCATGTCTCCCTTGGCAGTCTATGGGCATTGTTAGATTGTTTTCACAAAGGGGTATCGGACTGGCTTAGCTGTACCTCTGTGAAGCACATAAGAAGGGCCCCAACCAGTAACATCAACGGATTGGGTTCCTTTCCCTCAATGAATTCGCCCACTCCATGTCGAAACAACTGGATAGCTTTCGTGTAGTGGGATTGAGCAACAGCGTCAGACTCATCTCGGCGTCGGAATGCCCGGTGCGCAGCACTCTGGGCAAGCACTAATTGTAATAACAAATCGCTCGTGAATGCCAATGGCACGATCTGGACCAAAAAGGGGTTGATAGGAGTCGTGCCATTAGCCATGCAATCAGCGGTGGTGCTGAGGTAATGGCTCAGCAATGTGTAGGATTCTGGATCATAGCCAGGGAGCATCGACATTGTCCGAGGCACGACATTCCCGACCGCCATCCTAGGTATAATAGCATTGTTCATGTGGCTGTTGTGTGAAATGTTGCTCGAATCGGAATCTCGGCGATCCGTTATCTTCTCCTCTTGGGCCGCATGATCAACACCGTCTCCAAGAATTGCAGATAAGCCCCCATTCGACGAAACTGAGGATTGTCGGTACGACGATGCAGGACTCTGAGGAGATCTCATCGTTTCTAAATCTTCAATCACGTTTAGGGGGCTCGAGCGCCGTGCTTCGGGGCTAATTCTCGAGTCGCCGCTTGTTGGGTCGGAATTCCTCCCGGGAACTGTTGTGGGCCATTGGCAACCGAGATCGTTGCGCATACAGCCCCCGCATATCGGTCGGATTTCGTCGCATTTCTTCTTTCGCCGCCTGCAGGACCAGCATCCAGTTCGGACGCGGACTATCCGTGTAGCGCGCTGTCGATCGGGTGGCATTGGAGTGATTGGGGAGGGGAGAGGATCGCGCGATCGGGGAAACGGGAAAAGCGGCGACTGATAAGAAACAAGGCTACAAGGCTAAGGATGTGGGGTAGCGCAACTTTATTTGGCTCTTTGGTCCTTGTTGAGCCGAATACGAACTAATATTGACTAGCACGAAGCTACTTGCCTTGGACAAGCGTCATTTTTGTTTTTGACAATCCAATAAATATTTCGCTGCATGCATACATATCAAGCTTTTACACGTGGGAGAATATATAAAGTCAACGTCGGAGAAACATTACATTTCTGAGTGTTGAGGGGCTACACTGCAAAGCCGGGCCTATCTCTGCACCATTTTCTTCATATTCATTTATCTTTGCTATTGATATGTGTCCTTGAAACTATAAGGGGACTGAATATGAAATAAAGTAAAACGCAAGGCGGTGAAGTGAATATTCGGTTTCACCGCCTCTCTGGAGGGGGCTAAGTATTTCAAAGTTGTTTGTTTGGAGTACTATTCTCTACAATTCCAATATTTTCGAACTTTACATCGTATTCAGCAGCTAACAAATTATTACAGACATGGCCACCCCAGGCGGTATCACTGGTCTTATTGAAGATGAATTTGCCTCTCCTCACTCCAGTGCAGATGACGAGTATGAGTCTGACGAACCACCTGAATTGAAACTGGACTTGGAGGAACTGAAGGCCTGCGCTTCAACCATCGCATCGGCCACTTGTACTAGCGCCAGAAGGCACACGCGTGGAGCATATCACGAGATATATCTCCTTGAATTTCATGCCGGCTCTGAAACATTGCCTGAGATAGAACGGGCCCGGCATTCATGCATCGCAAGGCTGACTCGCAGCGAAGAAAGTCTTTCCAAAGCCACAAGTGAACTCGCCACTATGCGGTTTGTCAAAGATCGCACGTTTATTCCAGTGGCCAAAATCTTCCATCAGGATTTACGCCCCAATAATCCGGTAGGCGCGCCGGTTGTTATTATGGAGAGACTCCCGGGAAGCATCTCTATAAGCTATGGGATGGCTTATCTCTCGATCATAAAAAGAACGTCCTTACCCAGATTGCATCATTTCTTACTCGGCTAGCCGCACTTCACTTTGATGAAATTGGAAGCATACAGGATAACGGCCTAGGTCCGCTGGTACACCCTTCATTTCCTCCGCCAGAAGGGAAGCCATTCAAGTCGACTCTCGACTACCTACATGCGTTAATTCCGGAGACTGCCGTTGATTTGCTGAATACGAAGAGCTTGTCGAGATTAGGCAGCACCTAGTAGAATACCTTTCTTCAAAGTCTGATGCCTCGTCCTTCGGTCCTCCATTTCGCCTCATTCATGCTGATTTTGATGCCCAAAATCTACTGTTTGTCAACCCTCGAGACTCCATGTTTCCAGACAGGTCACCAGTACTATCCGGGGTGATAGATTTTGAGTATGCCTATGTAGGCCCTCTCTACTATTTGTACGAGTACCCGATCTTCATTCAGGATGTTGATTTTTCTCCCGAATTATATGAGGAAAATGCGATTCTACGGCCATACTTCGTTCGGGCTTTTCGCCAGTCCTTTCCGAAAGGCTCACCAGAAGCCATTGCGGCAAAAGAGGTAATGCGTGAAAAGAACTACTTGTTGAACAATTTTCCAAGGGTTATGGAGCTGATAAAGTCGAATACCCCGGCCAACATAAAGCGGAATAGTTTACGTTTCTTTCTTGAGGGATGGAGAGACGGAAATGGCCTGGCATATGAAGGAAGGCAGGACTATGTACCCGATCCAGAACTAGAGAGCGACGAGAACTGAATCTTGTTTTTAATGTAACATTGTAAAAGATCAAAACCACCTGAGTCTTGAGTCTTGACATATATCACCAGTTGATAAGATCTTTGATGAACTGATAAGGATAAGATAAGATAAGACTGACAATAGCTGGGTTATGGAACTCCCACGTGACCCCGTGCCGAAGTGCCGAACCGATGCCTGTACCGGCGCGTAAATTCCCCGTTCGGGGCTTTTCAACGGCGTTAATTGGCTTATCTGCGTTTTCGATGCCGGTTCAGGGCTTGCAGACGGATAAATCTCCTTAACGCCAGACCCACACGCTCTGGCCCCTGCCAATCTCTGCCAATCCTTCTTCAATCTTCACCTTCCAACCAGTAAAACACAATGAGAATCCAAAAAAGGGAAAAGGCAACAGGCGGCTTTAACCTCTACTATCCCCATTGTCTCCACCAAGTGCATTGCAAAAACTCATCAGACTTATGCACTCTATCTCGGCGCAAGCCATCCGTGTCTACATGGCGTATAAAAGGCTTGCCCCGCTGTTTCTTTTTTTTTTCCAGCATCTGTCGTGTGCCTAAAAATATCCATAACGTTTTTCATCACTCGGAGAATTTATCCCATCTGTCAAAAACATTTGAAACCGTTCTTAATCTCTTCCGTTGATATAAAATTTCTTACCAACAACTTCGCGGGTTTCATAACCCTCCATGAGCAGCAGCCATGGGGAATGATCATAACTCGAGTAGATCTCGCTCCAACTCGACGATCAGCACAGATACGGACTCGACAGTATCAAGAGCCCAAACTCGTCAGAGTCTGGCGGCGTCTATCAAGTCAAGAACGAATCTAGAATCCTTGAGCCGCACTTATTCAGGATCATACCCTGACGATACAGCTCCATATCCCTCAGATGAACAAGATGAACATTTAGAAATCCCTGAAGGTAATTCTCGCCAGGATGCAGACCTGGAAAGAGGACCAAATGCGGGGCAGGTACTCGAAAAGTCAAAAACTGGGAGATCTACACTTGCCAACTCCAAACTGGTTAGTCATTACCAAAAGCATCCGTCATTTGAACTCTGAACTAATAATGTAAAGGTAACATGGGGTGGTCCAGAGGACAAAGAAAACCCAAAGAACTGGTCCAAGGGCAACAAATGGGCTGCAGTCGTCATGGTCTCAATGTTCACCTTCATTTCACCCGTTTCGAGCAGTATGGTCGCTCCGGCCCTTGATGCCCTCGCAGCAGATCTACACATCAAATCAGAGATCGTGACTCAATTGACCATGTCAATTTTCATCCTTGCATATGCCGTGGGCCCTCTCTTTCTCGGACCTCTATCCGAAGTATATGGCCGGACCATCATCCTCCAACTAGCGAACTTATTCTTCTTGGTGTTCAACATTGGCTGTGGATTCGCTCAAAATTCAACACAAATGATTGTCTGTCGATTCTTCGCAGGATTGGGTGGTAGCGCTCCACTAGCAGTAAGTTATCCCATGGTTTTTCGACACACCATGTTAAGATATCCTGTTAACACGCATTTCAGATCGGTGGTGGTGTTCTCTCAGACTGTTTCCCCCCAGAACAGCGAGGCAAAAGTCTCGCAATCTACAGTCTCGCCCCCCTCCTTGGTCCAGCAGTAGGCCCAATCGCAGGCGGCTTCATCGCCGAAAACACAACCTGGCGCTGGGTCTTCTGGTCCGTGTCTATCGCCGACGCAGCAGTTCAAATCGGCGGCCTCTTCTTCCTCCGCGAAACCTATTCTCCAAAACTCCTGGCCGACCGCGCAAAGCGTCTCACAAAAGAGACTGGCGAACAACATCACACTGAAGCAGAACTCCAAAAGATCTCATTCGCCCAAAAATTACAAACCTCCCTTGTCCGCCCGTTCCGTCTCCTCCTCACCCAGCCCATCGTCCAAGTCCTGGCTATCTACATGGCCTACATCTACGGCCTAATGTACCTCATGCTCTCCACCTTCCCAACTCTCTGGACAAGCGCAGACTACTATCACGAATCATCTGGAATCGGCGGATTGAACTACATTTCCATCGGAATAGGCTTCTGGGGTGGCTCCCAGATTTGTGCCCCAATGGTCGACCGTATCTACCGTGCCCTCGCAGCTCGAAATGGCGGGGTCGGCCGACCAGAGTTCCGAATTCCCCTGATGAGTATCGCGGCCATTATGCTCCCCGCGGGATTATTCGTTTATGGCTGGACTGCCCAGACGCACTGTCACTGGATCGCGCCGAATATCGGCGCTGCCATGTTTGGCATGGGCACTATCATGGCGTTCCAGTGTATCCAGACGTATATGGTTGATACGTATACGCGGTATGCGGCGAGTGCGTTGGCTGCGGGTGCTTTTCTGCGATCGCTGGCTGGATTCGGGTTTCCGCTTTTTGCGCCCTACATGTATGCGGCGTTGCATTATGGATGGGGAAATAGCTTGTTGGGATTCATATCACTCGGTATTGGTATTCCTGCGCCGATCTTCTTGTGGAAGTATGGAGAGACCTTGAGGAAGAAGAGTCCCTATGCGGCGGGCTAAGTCTTTGTGGTCTTGGTGGTCGGCCCCGGCGTGGCTGGTATTTCTTTTTATCTTCTTACAAAAAGCAACACAATTAATGAATCTACCATTCTCAATGACTAGTCTAACTCGAATTACAAAGCCCAAAATACCGATGTACCAGACAGCAGCCCGCGAGAAGTAGTTAAACCAATAAGAATGAAAAAAACCGAACGATGACCCCAAGTATCAATGGAGATTAAGTAAGGAAGATAGAAAGGGCAGGGATGGCAGGGAGGGAATGGGAGATGACGAAGCGCACGCACATCGGCCCACATAAGACAAAACGCAACTCAATTCAATTCAACTCACACCTTCATCCTCACATGTCAACATGCGCCCTCCGCAGATGCTCCTCCAGGTTATCCTTCCTGTTATAACCTTTTCTACACCCCGGACACTCGTAGGAGTTTGGATTGATATGCTGCGTCTCGACGTGGCGCTTCAATTCGAACTTCCGCCCAAACGCCCCTGTGTACCTACATCCTTCCCACTTGCATTTGAAGGGCCGGTGTTGGTGTGATCGTTCTCGGTCGAAGGGTACTAGGCTGCTGGTGCTTGATGCACTGGAGGTGCGGCGGTGGATTGCGTGTGGGTCTCGGCTAGGGAGTGTGGTTTCGGTTGGTGGTGTGATTTGCGGGCAGTAAGGGTTGTAGTTTGTGGAGTTTGGTGGCATGCGTGCGCTTGTGCCGTATGGTGGGGATGTCTGGTGGTGGTGCATTCTGGCGTAGTCTGGGGAGTGGGAGTGGGCATGCGTGTGAGAGTGCGAGTGCGGGCACGGGTATTGTCTGTCTTCGTGTCCTTCGTGTCCAGGGGATGAATTGAAGTCTGCTCTGGAGAGCCGAGGTGTTTCTGGGTACGTGGGGCTCATGTGTGCGGCTCCGGGTGGCAGGTGGATGTTCAACAGCTCCGGATCGGAGATGTGGAGGTTCTCTGGTACTGCGGAGAAGGTTGACAGGGACTCGTGGGAGTACAAGGGGTATTCCATGGCCCCGGGTCTGTTTAACCAGGGGTCTGGGTTGTACGGAGGTCCATTGAAAGACATGACTTATGAATATGGGATATCTAGCAATTGATATAGTAAAACGAGGACAAAGAACAGAAACCGCAAAGGTTGATTGAAGTGTAATTGAAGTGCCATGAATGGGCATGGGATAACTTTAAAAGTTATGGATTTCTTGAAAAAAAGAAACAAAGCTTCAAATTGATGAGTAAACAAAGAGCTTCTTCCCCCTTGATACAATTCAGGACAAGACGTCAAGATCTTCAGTGACAGGGCAAAAAGCATGTCTCGCCCCAGAATCTGCATATACCGATTCTCCAATCAATTCCACGATCAATGTTCCTTGAACAAATGAAATCAAATGTGGAACCTCCCTTGCGCATGAATCATATTGTAACCATGTGGTTAAGTTACATACTGGCAGTAACGATGATACACAACAACACCACGTGCTTTACAGCCCCTAGTAACACGAAGCTCCACAAAAACACCTGCCAAGCTAAAACAAGGGGTCAATAAAGAGAGCTATGCTCCGCACCGGCAGATGAGACGGCGCTCTGTAGGGCGGATCGACTGTGGAACGGAATGCACGTTAGGGAGACCAAGCTTCCGGGCGAAAAGGCCTAGCGGCTAGAACACCATAACACATGGAAAAGATGCACATCTCAAGGGATAGACGCAGCCTCCGAGCTTCACTGCCGAATTGAGCCTGTCGAGTGACCCTGATCGTCTGGAATGCGTTATCTAGCCAATCAGACTGCCGCATCACTTTCCCTGGTATGCCCCGGATCTTGAAGCTTGGGCATCCCGGTGCCTAAATGTGATAAGATTGTTACATACCTTGAGGCTCCGGTGACGTGGTCCCTGGATATCCCCGGGGAAGCTGTTTTGTTTTGGCCGCCAAGCTGCGGTAATCTGCGGCAATCTGCAAGCTTAAGGAGCTATGGTGGAGACAGTTTCATTTCAACCTTTTTTGCATGTGAGAGGTCTGGGGAAATAGGAATTCAAATTTTGGACCATAATTATACCAACTAATAGATTGGATTTGTCGGAAAGGGCAACCGTCTCGTTTCCAATGTGCCACGCAGCCATGATTGTGAACAATGAAAGAAGAAGAAAAGAAGGGGGAAGAAAGAAAAAAGAGGCCCCTTGGCTCCGCATTAGAAATTCGATCCATGAGCTCGTCGCAAATGTTCATTCAAATTATCTCCTCGGTTGTATGGTCGACCACAATCTGAGACTGGACATATGTACGACTTTGGGGCAATGTGCTGCGTGTCGACGTGCCGCCTCAGTTCGGCGCTGCGACGAAACGTGCCAGTGTACCGACAACCTTGCCAAAGGCATCTGTATGTTCTGCTCGGTAGAACTTTCTGCTGTTGCATTATCTGCCCCGCTTCGATCGTCATATCAAGATGAGAATCCCACGTGTTGATTTGGGTGTTGGAGCTGGGGCCGGGTCCAGCCTGACGGCGTGTAGCCGAGACCTGAGATGCGAAATTGTATCCGTTTTCGAATGGTTGATTAGAGCTTGATTGCTCCCCGGTTACATGACCTTGGGAGGCGGATAGCCCATGACGGAACGCGTTGTAAGAGCCATGCGTGTATTGTCGAGTGTCATGTGAGCTCAGCCACTGGGACCCGAGATCAATTCGCGAGTCGGCGACATCGTACGAACGATTAACGGTGGTTGGGCCGACTTGTAGCCATTCGGGTTGCATTTGTCTCCAGGGTATGTCCACATAATGGTTCAAGGCATCTGGAGCCATCTCATATCCTGTATTATCAGGCAAATCTGATGAGGTATGCTCGAAATTGCGCTCGTGAAACGCCATTTTGGCTTGATGATACTGAGAGAGAATAAAAGCATGGATGTGCAGCGGCGAAGCATAGGAATAGATATCTGCTATATACCAGACGAGACTACCTCTTAAAAACATTTGAAGGATCTCAGCGCAGTATAAGCGGTGACAGGTGGGCGAGTGATGGGCTATGTAGTGGGCAAAAGGCGACAGGCAACATTATGTGCCCAAAACCACGTATCACTGTAAGATCAAGAAAACTATTAATCCAAGTTTCCCAAAGATCTCTCATGTTTCCCCTGACTCGGACTTTATGGTGCCGGCTCCGTTATTTTGTTCGATTCCACTGACGTGGTTTATGGAAGCCCAGTAGAAATTCTATTTTCCACTCCCAAACAAGACTAGTAACATCTGTGATTCTGTCCTAATCGCATAGCTTGTACCACAGGTCAGATCGTGAGGCAGGGGCTCTGCGGTATATTTTAATGCCCAACTCCTGAAAATCCTTGCATCTACCAATGATACAGGCCCCAGCTGCGCCACTCTGCGCGGCCCGCGCCTCTTAAGGCTCAGATGAATGTAATCGAAACCCCTGGTCCTTGTTCTTATTTACCCGAACTTGGAGCTACATGTAGCAAGATGAACAGTTCATTCCTTGATACAGAAAGGCTTAATCAGGACAACTTAAAAATACCAAGCTCTTACCTCGTGACTCTATTGCACGTTTTATTCGGTTTTCCTTGGTTCCTAATTGGGATTAGTATGCTCGCAGGCTGCAGCTCACAGTCCGGTTCGCCTCTAGAGTCCGTGCACCTTCTGGTCAATTAGTGGGGTCAATGTTTTCTCCACTTTGTCTCTCTCTTTCTGTGTCCTTCGTCCCCCTCTGATTCATCCTCTTCCCCTTTCCTGGGCCTGCGAGACGATTCGCCACATGATCTCTCACCAGTTGGCTCATGGAAACTAGTAACCGCGCGGAGTTCACCCCCAAGTGCTTGTAGCAATATATACCAGTACATGCTGCTGCTGTCAGATGGAGTCTCCATCTTGCTTCTCTGCTACCACCAGGTTTGCATACTTCTTTCTTTTCTCGATACGGAAAGAAAACTCCAACTTGATCGCTTCTTTAGCTCAATGTTTATAGTCTTCGCTGATACTACTAGCTACTTCCATTTTCGCCCTTCTCACCATTTGACCTCCGTGCTTCTTGCCTTCTCCTCACCAAAAAAGAATTTGCTAGCGCACCTAATGCTCAAATATCTCCCGTGCTTATAATCTCTAGGAAATGCGCAATTTAGTTCACTTTCTCAAATTATTTCGAGGCTCTTGTCAATAAATACATCAACCTATAATCTCCTATCACCCGAAAATGCCCTCGATTCCCGATACAATCCATACGCAACACGGCTAACGAAATCCCATGTCGACGGAATACATAAAACACCATATCATCGCACGTTCAGGGAGAATGGAAAAACCAAGTCGCAGGAAGGTTATTTCACTTGAGGTTGACCTGATACCCTTTCAAATAAACATTCTTCAGGAAGCGCCAAATTACTTGGGTGGCGTAGATGGGTTGTGCATCTTCCTTCTGTGTCCTTGCAAATTGTCATTCCTGTTGAATGCTCTCCGACACTCCGGACATATGTGCGCTCTGGGGTTGGTGTGTATGTTGGCAATGTGTCGTTCCAGATCCGACTTGCGCTTGAAGGTTCCAACGTATGAACAGGGCAGCTTGTCGCATTTGAAGAGAGTTGAATGTTGCATAACATTTATCGGGGGAGTCGGTGGGATCGCCCCGATGAACATACCCGTGTCCGCACTGTAGCTATTTACCAGTGTGTGTTCAAGTTCGTGCGAGGTACAGTCGAAACTTGGAACCAAGCACGGGTGTTGTATATCTTGATGTGTTGTGAGCTGCACTGCATGTGGAGTTTTCTCAACATCCATCGCATTCAAGGATCGATTGGTACAATGCAAACCGGCACAGGTATCGTGAGGCGGGTATATACTGGTGGAATTATGAACGACATCGAGTGAGAGGCTTAGCATGGCTGGATTGACTGTTTGGCATGTTAGCTCTGATTGCGGATATTCTCCGGTGTTGAGGTCTGCTCGCGTTCCATGTACCTGTATATCCTTGCATGCCATGGAAAACCATGCCTTGTGGGAAACGACCACAAATGCAATTTGGAATGGACATCGATAAAGAATGCGAGCGCTTGAGTAAAATAAAATAGAAATCTATTACAAGGTCTTTTGGGAAAGCAAATATTTAAGGTTGGTCTCGAATTTGAAGCACCGTTCACACTTAACCCTTCCCTTTTAGGAAGACTAGTGCCCGCGCAATCTTTATTTTGGCTGACCTGGTCAGTTACACTTGAGTATCTTTACACACCCGCTTTACATGCTACCACGCCATCTTTGCTAAGTAGGGCTCTTCATTGCCCATAAGACTATCCTGATTGGAAAGTGGGATGTGGCAGTATGTAAGGGTGTGTGTGGATATTGGATCTCTGACAACAACTCTTTCTCTCAAGTTTCAACCCGACCCCCGACGCGCCCACTTTTGCTGCATTCGTGATTCGTCGGCCCTCTGAGATATACTGAGTTCGGAATTGAATGTTGCCTCTTTCTTTCATTTCTTCCATTCGTTCCATTCGTTCCATTCGTTCCATTCGTTCCATTCGTTCCATTTCCCCCATTTCTAAGCGATTAAATGGAATCTTCATGGTGATTCGCCAAAACCAAGCCTTGTACACGGAGATTCCTAGAAACCGATGATGTCAATTAGGTGAAAATTAAGAACGATTAACACTTGAGAATCCGAAGTACCCGATCAGGCGACGAGATACCTATGCTATTCATACTGTGTAAAATTTCAATTTCCCCAATGTCCTTCTGGGTAGCGTTGCCTTATTTGTTCAATGTTGTAATCTGAAGGTAAAAGTCGTTTTCTTTGGTATTCAAAATCATCTATCTGACATCTGGAGTTGACCCTGCCAAGTCGATTTTATCTGAGATCGAGATAGAAGTACTACCAGTGTGGCTGGAGGTCACAGCCTCAGGAGTCGGAGCTTCGGAGGTCCGAATTCGGAAGTGACAAGTCACAATTCACCAGCATAATTTCGGGCAACAACAAAAAAAAAAAAAAAAAAAAAAAACAAGTTGAATCTCACCAATCACCGGTCTCTTGCTCTGATGCTCTATAGTTTGTTTTTGTTGCCTTGATTGGCGAAAACTGGCAAGATTCTAGACTCTCAGGCTTCAGCTTAGCGCTTACGCCTCACTTCAGTATGGCTGAAGCGACGAATCGATTGATTTCAACGCCTCCTATTATCACCAACAGATCGTTCATCACAATATCATCTATTATTATTCCGATCTCTACAGCAGGGATTTTGTCTCAACCGAGCCATTCATCAATTAGTCGACGGGAGAGTCCGTGCAAGCCGAAATAATGCGTTTGCTCAAAACTACCCAGTCAAATGCGGGGAACTTCGAAATTGAGATCTTCACCAACTACAAAACCCCACCATATGCCATCTTGTCACATACCTGGGGAGAAGATGAAGTTACTCTTCAGGACATGGAGGGAGACGGAGCCCGGGCGAAGAGCAAGACTGGATTTTACAAGATCGAAAATTGCTGCACTTTCGCTTTGGCCAGCGGATTCAACTACGTTTGGATAGATACGTGCTGCATCGACAAGACAAGCAGCGCAGAACTTTCCGAGGCGATCAACTCTATGTACCGATGGTACGAGGAGGCCTAAGTATGCTTTACGTACCTGGCAGACGTCCCATCGAAATGTCGATTCGAGGACAGCAAGTGGTTTACCAGAGGATGGACACTCCAAGAACTGATCGCTCCCAGAAATGTCATGTTTCTGAACGATTCATGGCAAGAATTGGGGAGCAAGGAATACTTTCAAAAGACTCTGTTCAATTGTACCCGCATACCAATTGAAATTTTCTCCGGGGATGCCCATCTCGAAATGTTCAGTGTTGCTCAAAGAATGTCTTGGGCTTCAAAGAGAGAGACAACCAGAATCGAGGACCGCGCATACAGCTTGATGGGATTGTTTGGCATCTACATGCCATTGATCTATGGAGAGCGAGAAACGGCCTTCGTGCGGCTCCAGGAAGAAATCATTAAAGTGTCAAATGATCATACCATTTTTGCGTGGAGACAGGATCATGAAGAGCATCATACTGGGTTGTTAGCTTCCTCTCCGGCAGCTTTCGCCGAATCTTACAATATCATTCAAACCGAACCATTCAGAGCCACCTCTCTTGGCAGCCCTATTACGTTTAGCAGCATGGGTATTCATCTAGAACTTCGGTTCATAGGTATGGGTCCTCAGGGCCTGGGCTTGGCAATTCTCCACTGCAAAGACATACAGGAGGAGAACAAGATGATTGCAATTTATCTGAAAGATTGTTACTTGACGATGGAGCAATTTCAGAGAGTTGGGCATGGAAATTTCCACCAAGTCGATCTTACAAAGTTCAATCCATTCCAGTACCCGGTTAGGAGGATATGCGTCGAAGGTGGTCGTATGACACGCAGGTGGAAGCTTGACAAAAGAATTCCTGCTTTTCAGATTCACGTATACTCTAATGATGTGCTCGCACAACTCATGAACTTTGGAGATCCAACAGCAATTTTCAAGGCCGCCGCATCAGGGGACGAGGAACTTGTATGGTTGCTCCTGACACGAAGTGATGTCAACATAGAAGCAAGAGCTGACAGGTTTGACCCAACCCCCCTGGAATGTGCCATTGAGAACGGGAAATTAGAGCTTGTGAAGACATTACTGAGGAGAGGGGCTCGATCTGATGTGAAGAGTATGGAGTTTCAGAGCTTACTATTACTGGCCTTAAGGAATGGGCATGAGGCTGTTGTCAAGCTGTTCCTTGACAGGGGCGCGGACATTGAGCTCAATGATGATCAAAGACAGAAAATATTGTTTATGGCTGGTAGCAGTGGGAACTTGGAAGATACTGTGAACCTTGTTCTTGATAGAGGCGCTGAAATTGATGCAAAGAATGTCAACGGCCAGACTCCACTGATTATCGCCACTGAGAATGGCAACGAGAATATCGTTAAGCTGCTCCTCGACAGGGGCGCTAAAATTGATGCAAAGGGTGACTTTGATCGGAGTCCACTACATTTCGCCGCTGAGAAAGCCAACGAGAATATAGTAAAGCTGCTCCTCGACAAGGGCGCTGAACTTGATATAAAGAATCTTAGTGATGAGACTCCACTGTATCTTGCCGCTGAGAAAGGCAACGAGAATATTGTCAAGCTGCTCCTTGAACGGGGACCTAGAATTGATACAAATAGTCTCGTTTGTCAGAGTCCACTACATCTCGCCGCTTGGAGAGGCAACGAGAATATCGTCAAGCTGCTCCTCGACAAGGGCGCTGAACTTGATGTAAAGAATTCTAGTGATCAGAGTCCACTACATCTTGCCGCTGAGAAAGGCAACGAGAATATTGTCAAGCTGCTCCTTGAAAGGGGAGCTAGAATAGATACAAAGGGTTTCTTTGGTCGGACTCCACTAATTCTCGCCGCTGAGAATGGCAACGAGAATATGGTCAAGCTGCTTCTTGAAAGGGGGGCTAGTTTTGAGCTAAGAGATCACATGAACCATTCTGCGTTAAAATGCGCTGCTATTAACGGGTCAACGAATGTTGTCAAAATACTGCTGAACGCAGGTGCCAAAGTTGACAAAGACATTTGGGGCAATACGCCTCTGGAGGCTGTTAAAATGTTCAGGGGTAGCAAGCCTGAGATTGTTGAGATGTTACGCGAAGCTGAGAGGGCTTGTCAGGAGTTACATCTCACAGAAGAGGAGAGACAAAGTTGAGTCAGGTCATAATTGAGTGGAGAAGAGACAAAATAGAGAGAAGGAGAGTCCACCTTTGAACGCAAGCTACCTATAATAAGATATTTGATATAATATTCTCGTCCACCTGGGCAGTGCAGGTGGCATAACCTCTAGTGTTCCACCGCACGTGGCACATAATTTGACGATTTGACGGATCCCGTGGTCAAGTGGGGCCTCGGGGCTTGTTCTCCCCTGGTAAAAGCTTCAACATCGAACTTCGATGCTTTCAACCCTACTATATCTTCCACATAGTTTATAGCAATGACTCCAGAAGATACCTGACAGGCAGCAATAGAATTGGTGTTAGATTGATTAATATTTACTTATATAAGCTGCGATAATGGAATGTGGAGTCCCAGGCGTCTATCGTTATTTTCAACTGCCTCTCAGACAGATCACCTATGCGGTAGTGCGAGTAGTCTTCTTTCCCTTCTGCAAAGCTAGTCAGTAACGGATCGGCGTAAAAACAGTAAAAAGGAAATAAAATAACGTACCACAGTGCGCCAGTACTTGATACCAGAGTTGATACCAGACTTGGGGTCAGAAGGAATGGGAGAAGTGTAGTCGAAGGTCTCCTTAAGGCCCTTCCAAGTGCGCTTAACGACATCGGCAATGCCGTGGCCAGCGCTGCAGGTACCAGTGGTGGCAGGGATGGGCCACAGAGGCTCGTAGGTGGAGTAGTCATCATCAGACAGGGGGCCGGGGTAAGTCTCGTTAATGTAGAGGTTATCGTAATCAACCTCCCAGTTAGTGTAACCAGTCTTCTCGGCAACGAGCTTGAGGAGGTTGGCACCGCAGTCCCAGCGACCGAGAGAAGGAAGACCCCAGTTAGCAGAGAGGGAAGCAATGATGCTGTAGTGGGTGTAGAAGGTGTCATCGGTAGTACCCTTCAGGTGCTCGGGAACGGCACCGCCAACGAGGAAGGAGTAGACGCGGTTGGGGACGGAGTAGTTTCCAGACTCGTCGAAGGTGACCAGGATGAGACCATCCTTGGAGAAGTACTCGTTCTTCAGGAGAGGAGGAACGAAGCTGGCGATGAAGTCACCAGCGACAGTGATGTTGGTGTCGTGGGCATCGTTGGTCATGTTGGGGGTAATGAACATGTACTGGGGGATGCGCTCGTGCTCAAGATCCTCGTAGAAGGTGGTGAAGTTCTTGATCTGGCGAGGGCGCACAGCATCGTTGGTGACGGAGTCGAAGAGGATGAGCGGGTCGTGCTTGCGCACGTACGCGTTCGATCCGGACTCGGGGTACCGGTAGCCCTGGTAGCCGGCGTAGGGCAAGTCCTCCTGGTACTGGCCCCAGGCGATCTTCTTGGTGTCGAAGAGATCGGCAATGGTGGAGATGTTGGCAGGCAGCTGGTGGAAGTCATCGTTGTCCATGCCGAAGCTCTCACCGGCAGCGGAAGCGGCGTAGTTAGGCTCCGAGGGGTGAGTCAATGCGAAGTAGTTGGTCAGAAGGATACCCTCCTTGGCCAGCTTGGCAAAGTTCTTATCATCGGCAGCAGTTTGGTAGTCCTTGAAGAAATTAGTTGCTGGGCTTACAGACGCGTAGAAATGTGATGTATCAGATCAATTGACGCTTAATGGTCAGGACCACTCACGGTGTTCTCGATCCAAATCTGAGCGAAGCGGTCGAAAGCCAGACCCTTCACGTTGGAGACGGGAGAGTAGGGCAAGACGGAAGCCTGGGAGGCAGCGATCTCCGCAGCGGTAGGGTACTCATCGCTGGTAGAGATGGTCTTGGCCGAGGCCAGAGCCAAAGCACTAACAAAGGCGGACAGAGTCTGCTTAGTGAACATGACTTCGGATGTGTCTTTTCACGATCGGGGAGTAATAGTCGATGGAGAGAGAAAAGAGAAGTGATCAGCCCGGCGCTGCACAGGATCTTATATCTCACGCGGGTAATGCGGAGAATACCAGTCGGCCAGAAGACCTCATCCGGTACACATATTTCCCCCTTCGCTTACAAGCCTGGAGGCGCCGCCGCCAAGACTTCCGCCAAGATATACGCCAAGACACGTACATCTGGACAGGGCGCCGTTTTTGCAGCACGTTGCATTCCGGGGGAGACTGACTGGCCGTGTGCCTATGGGCAAATGCGCGCATTGGAAAGAAGTGGGGGATTTCATCACTATACGTTTGTTGTGGTTGGTGGGGGGTTGAAGTGGGTGGGGCCCGGTACCTTGCACGTTCCGATCTGATGCTGCATGACTGGCTGGGTGAAGGACCGATACTACATCACATCGGGCACAAGCGTGGGAACATCGAAGCACGAGATAAACAAACGATGCCGCGTGGCTGACATCTAGAATAATTCTAGACGTACCAAGCGGAATGTGCCGGCCTTACCAGCAAATTGCAACGTACGGTCCACTCCTATGTATACTAGTATCAATGTAAACAATGGAGACTTAATGTTAATTGTTCATTTTTCGCCCTAAAATAAAGCATCCATTTGAATGTTGATATGCGACATCTCGTTATCGATTATTCATCGACAAGCTGCAGAGTAATTTACAGAATAACATTTCAATTTCGCTGATATACATGCCCCGTCGGGTCCCCGTATCCCAGCATTGAAGTTGCCACAATATACACACAATAATTTCCGACACCATCCTAAGTGCAGACTAGAGAAAGCCACTTTGAAAATGTCATCTTAGCAGGACCGCCACCATTTATCAGATTAGAACCTTGGAAATATTCGACACCCACGTGGCTTAGTTGGACCTACATGAACCCATGAAGGGCCAACGATGTTTGAAGTTAGCTCAAATGCATGGAATTTCGAAGGTGAAGAATTGCTTCGATTCTCTGGGACCCATCACACAAATGGGCATTTCCCCGAAGCCATTACGACGCATACGAGTGGACCACCGAGGATCAACCTTGCAAACTGGGGAAATTGAAGTATCTAGAGGTACCAACGTGGAATTTTGGAATATGAATTCATATATTCGATGTTATCCTCAAGGGGCCTGTTCTAGATACCACCGTGTACTGAGTACATTCCAGTCCGGGTCTAGACTCCACAGCGCACGCGCCGTATTTTATACAGAATACGGTATGGATACGGTAATATATACAGAAACACAGTTTATTTCGGGAATCAACAGATCAGGATTCAGAACCAGCAAAATATGCAGTCGGGGTATAAGGTACCGGAGTCTCGTAATCAAGATTGGGGAGAGTGTCGAGGTCTGGAATTGGTGGGAAGGAAGTGTCATTGGCAACATTGATGAGGCGGCGCTTGTAGGTGGATATCGATGCTGAGCCGGTGGGCCAATCGGTTTCGAAGCTGTTGGATCCGAGAGAATCAACGGCGAAGATCACGTCCACTTTGCGCTTCTTTTGAATGAGAGGGTAAAGGGGTACGTTCTGGCTTGTCTCTCCTCCATCCTCAATGACCAGCCCTGTGTCTTTCGCAACTGGCGATGTGGCGGCGTTGTACTGGTAAAAAAGATTGGGGTCATAGCCTGCAGGTCCCTTGATGGTTGAGTTGGATGAACTGGTGGCGCCGAGGAACTCCTTGATGATGAACCCGTACTTCTCCGCCTCTGTAGGGCTTGTTGCGCTCGCTGCCCCTTGTCTGAGATACCAAACTAGATCTCCCCCGTCCTTGTTCCAGATGTCACTTGATGTACCAGTGATGAAGCCCGCGTTGTCAAAGCCACGGACACAAGTGCCATTTCCTGGCTCTACACCGCCGACGATTCGAGTATCAAGGTATTCTATCAGGACGAAGTGATATATGTTGTTATCGTAGATACCTCCCAATGTGTACATACTAGTAATCTCGTAAATTGGGTATGTTTCAGGGGAGGTCAACAATGTTGATATATTGTGGTGGACTGGAGAAACCATAGAATGGGGGGTTTTGAGAATCTCAGATTCAGTATTGCATTATTGTTTGATTTGGCAGCGGAAATATAAAAGCAATCTCTAATCGCATTCCATTCTTTCAACTCCAAACATTAGCCTGCTTTCTGTTTCCCAAAGTAACACCTGTGAATTCCTGGGGTTTCGGTCCTTCGTGTATATTAAATAGTCGCGACTTGACAATCTCGGCTGGCTTCCTCGTGGCTGGAGGATATCGTTCCCTTTCTCGTATGAAGTCGGTTTAATCATCTCGTGCTTGTTGTGTCGGTCGGAGCGATGGGGTTTATAGCATGAACATAGTAGGCCCAGTTAGGCTGGTAAGGAAAACGGATTTTAGCATCATTGATTGACGATGGGGAAGTATTAGATTGTATAGTACCTTTATCTCGTTGTAAATCATCCAGATACGTTGACTTTGGGGCTCACTGCCATGTTTCGTTCCGATGGTGATGACATCTGGGCCATTCTTGCCTGCGAAACAGGTTGAGGTGCTTGCTCATTGCTAGCATAGATTGCTCCAGCTTTCTTTTCTTTTCTCTTCTTCAGAAGGTATGGAATAAAAAAGAGACACATTGTGGTTCTGGGGTCAAAATATGATAAATAACAGTGAACAAGGCTGTTGAAATGATTGTATAAAGGATTGAGGAGAGAATTCCCAAACTTGGTTTCCTTGACGGCTTGGTTGGTACTTTCAAAGACTCTGTTTGATTGTCGATTTTTTTCTGGATCACCTCGGGTTTTTATAATTTTTGTCGCGTGAGTCTGGGTTTTTATTTCAGCTTCTTTTGCAAAATACGATCTTGTGCCTCTAGATTATGCTGACGCTATAATCACAGCAAGCTAAGCCTATTCGGGCAACCATTTCTTAGCGGACAACTCTTCAGGCTTCCACTTTCAGCCCCAGACCTTAGGCCTCACAAATTTTTTTCACGGGGTTTGTCGTCATCAAATGCTTAAATGATAACTACTAACTAACTACTAGTAACTAGTGGATCAAAGGTGATCGGGGGCGCCGTGTTTTAGAAGTTGGCAGTGACAATTTGCCGCACTAATAAAGTATAGGCTAGGCCTATTCGGGTAACCTCCTCTTAGCTTAAAATCTTAAACTTTAACTGATTCAGGTAGAAATCACCTTCAGCTCAGCCCCTACGCCCCCACCATGTATGACGGTGAGGCTGTAATGAATGGATAGCGTTGATTTGATGGTGCGATCTATTCATGCTCGTATCCTCAGGTTGGAGAAGTGGCGTTAAGACGAATGGTGGATATTACCATGTGCTACTGTGCTCTTTAACCGCCCCCAACAGGCACAGGCCCCACTGATCCATCCCGCGTCCGATCTAGTTACCCTACGGGGTCTAGTCTATCAACAGGCTTGTCACAGCCTCTCAATGTTGGCTCCATATGTTGCCATTTCTAAAGCTTACTAAAATAGCCTCTATGATGAAAAGGGGTACTTATAGAAGCCAGCTGGAATCAGCTGCCTATGTGAACAAGAAAAAAAAACTTCATTTAGACCAATTTGGAAATTACAAGGAAACGCACCGGGACAGAAGCCACAGTTTCTTAATTTCAAGTTGACTTCAAAATGGTCGACGCACTCTCTACAGCCAAACTTGTCATCTATATTATTCTAGCATTCCCTGCTGCCTATATCAATCTTGAACATGGGAAACCCGGCTTTTTGGGCTGGTTTTACCTCCAGCTCTTTTGCGCCCTCCGCCTTGTCACCGATGTATTGACAATCAAGCCCGGGCTAGCGAGCGCTGAAGTCACAATGATTCTGAAAAGTGTCGGCCTGGCTCCTTTGCTCTTTGCATGCGCAGGAGTTCTCCATGAAGCGTGAGTAACCACCCTAATTTGCAAACGATTAACACGGAAACTAACCACGATGTTGCAATAGGAGACTCGCGCGTGATTCAACTATCAACCGCAAAAAGGAGTGGAGTTATCAAATATTTTACCATTTTTTGGTCCTCGGAGCTACAGTCCTCAATGTCGTTGGGGTCGTCGAGTACATGACCAAGTACACCACCTCACCTGCCAGCGCCCTTACTAAGGTAGGCTGTACTCTAGCAGCCCTAGCCTGGGTGCTTCTCGCAGGCTTTTCCTTGCTTTCTCTCCGAAACCATGTGCTTCAGCAGGCTTCAACATATCGCGCTGGAACACTTGTAAGTTGTCTCCATCTTAGCACATCGATCATATCACTAATAAGGCTTCTGTTAGCTTCTGTATGGCGTTATCGCTACTATCCCTTTCAACGGACTCCGCCTCGCATATTCCGTTGCCTATATCATCCTCAAAATTCAACAACCCGAAGCCGAGTTTCTGAGCTCCTTGGCGGTCCAAGTCTGTCTCAGCGTCGTTCCCGAGATGATTGTTGTCATAATCCTCATCGTGGTGGGACTCAAGACTATTCACCTCAATCAACTGTTCAAGACTAGGCCTTATCAGCTTGGCCAGACTAGCCCAGGTCAAGATTATGTTGCCGTATCTGTTCCCAAAATCGTTTAAATCTTGATGTCAGCTTCGAATGTTTCCTATGAAAGTACTAGTATATGACAGTATGTCATTGAATATCCGTCTTCAGATGGACCTCGCCAGTTTATGGAGTACACCGAGCTGTGGCAAGTTACTTGTATATACTATAAAGAAACATTGAATTGACGAAAAATGTAATTTATGTTTGGTAAACGCGACGAATGCTTCGTTTGAGGGGCCTAAAGCTCAAGGTATCACTGGAAATATCAATCCTTAGTACTACTAGCTTAATATACTACAAGCTTCCAGATGTCGCCTTAATTCAATGTTTCATGGTTGACATATAACATCTATTTTACTGGTTTGGGGTGCGTCACTCGTTTCAATGTTGTTTCCAGCACTTGCTTGTGACATCGTTACGTTACTAGCCATTCACTCTGCACTCATATAGCCTCTCTCAGTCACACACATATGTATAGAGGGTGAATGCCCCACGACAAGATTCAATTTTTATATATACCACGTATACTATAAGTTTTCCTCATCTTCCTCTCTTCCTCTCTTCCTCTCCATCTACCTGTTGATCATATCATCTGGCCATACCAGGTGCCTCCAACCCACCCCCCCTGCCAAGCTCTCTTTCAAAATCTCCCCCCAAGCTCTCTCTCAAACACTCAATTGCTCACTTCGATCCCAATTCACCCATCTATTTCAAGACTTGGAATAGCTCAGCTACCCAGGTATCGATCATTTCTTTTTTTTTTCAGCAACTACAATATCTGAAAGCAATGGACCGCATTCCAGTGGAACTTTTGCATCAGATAAGCCTCTATGTATTTCGCTACATTGCGTCACCTCTTGCTGTTCTCTTTTCTTGGAAACACGCTGACAGGAATTAGCTCAGAGGCCCTCAACATGGTCCACACACGGACTTGTCCGCTCTCAGCCGCGCAAGTCGTGGTTGCTACAGCGTCGCGTCGCCAATTCTCTATCATACTCTCACCATCAAATTCTGGGATATGAAAAGCCTGCAGGCCGCCGTATCTGAAGTCCTGGAAACTTCTCGAGGAAATAACTTCAAGAAATACGCCCGGAGACTATACATCATATGTCTTCAGAAAAGGGATCTGCCACAAAAGCTGCCAACTAATCAACTTTCGGAACGAGAGCCAGCAACAATGGATTCCTTTCTGGATTATTGGTTGATCAACCGTAGGATGAGTCGGTGCGGCCGAATTGCGAAGAATAGAGACTGGGCACCGGTGGAGTCTCTTATCTCCAGTTTGTATCGTCTCAAGCAGTTTGATTTCATCACAGGAAACGAGTTCACCCGTGGTTTGGAGCAGGCACTTTCTCGCCATCACCCAAATTGCATCATTAACCTTGGCACTGAAGGACAAATGGTTGGCTTGAGTGTGCTCAATGGAAAAATCCGAGAAGAATTAAACCCTGACAAAGAGGTTTGGCAAAATTACGAATTCACCGTTCAGACTCTTCAACGACCATGTCTCGGCATTCTCACCGTTCCTCTAATCAGAAATCTTAACCGATCCGCCAGCGAGGAAGATCTTGACGAAATGCTCTATTTTCTGGTGACCGCCACAGGACTAAAGCATCTTGTCTTAGAAGGTCAGGCCGCTGTTCAGACATGGAAAATGACTCGGTTAAAAGAAGAATGGCAAAGACTGATCGATACTCGTACGCCCACGAAAGTATCTCAGCTAGAATCAATTTCGCTCCTGGATTTGGAGCAAAGCGAAACCATCCTGTTCAAGCTGGTGGGGGCTGGTCATCTTTCAAACCTGCGATCACTCAGCATTGGGGGTATCTGGAACCCACATAAGCTGATCAAAATTGCCGGACTCTTTCCCAATCTCGAGCGACTTTTCATGCAGGTGAATCGACCCTGGACAAATTTTGACCTAGATCACGACAATGTGATCCAAGCCATACGAGCATTCCGGCCTTTGAATATCTTGCGCTGGGCGGTCTTCGCCGCGTCGACAACCTCTACCGAATTCTCGCCATCCATGGCCCGTCTTTGAAAGGACCGATTGTAAGACCAATATTTACTCAAATATCATATGCCGAAATTGACGCTTCTAATATCATCCAAATGGCAAAAATCTGTGTCAATCTGGAGGAATTGCGGATTCAAATCAGAAGATCGTCCGGCAACCAGGCGGGATGTGAGGCATACAAAGCTCTCGGGGGGGTTCGGAGCCTTCGCAGCCTCGTCCTGGATCTCGATTGTGATACCAGAAAACAGCCCGCAATACATAATACTGAAATGGAAGATTTGTCTGTCCTCCGCGAGCTGTTCATCAACGCGGCCACCGATGAGAAACTATGCCTTGCCATCTGGCACATGATAAACAACAAAGCCCTATTCCCCATTCATTACCTGCGTATTGCGCCAACTGGAAATTCCCCCGTCGGTTCAACAACGATAGGATATCTACTTGCTGGATTTATGCGGTCGTTTCTGGTGACGAGGTACAACTTTCAAAACCCTGGGTCACCCAGTGTAGAGGAAGTTGGGAAAATGGCGCATGACGCGATGCGAGAATCAAAACCAGTCGGTTTTTTTCTCCCCGAACGGATTCAACGGCTTCTTGAAGATATTTGGCCGTTCGTGCCCGAGGAAAGCGATTGGTGGTCTTGCTGGACTAGCCTACCTTTGGCACCAGATACTATTTGAAACCGAACTTACAATATATATCATTCTAAACATTTGAGCCAACATTAACTAGTTTTGCTTATAGGGCTAATTCCTATTGTGTAGGTAGTACAGTATGTAATTCGATCAATTACTTATGCTTTAGAATTATGTGATTTAGGATAAAGTTGTAGTATATTGAGCTGCGAAAAATATTTCTAGTCCGGCTAGAACTTCATTTGAATGAAGAATCAACCCTCCAGACTGGATCCATGCGATACATTAGTGCACACAGCATGCACATGTGTCTATTATTCAAGTCTCCTTCCAAGAGGTCCAGATATAGCGCCTGCCTCCTTGATGCTCATAAAAATGCGACTGTATAGCGTGTCAACTACCAGTGTGTTTCCTTTCTGCATCTCGACCCGTCTGGACCACTCAGACTGCCAGGACTGCGTTTTCCCTGAGAATACCTCAAGTGCTACTATTTGACTTTCATATATGTTCACCTTGGTCACAAATACTTGCCAGAATGCGATATTGATCCGTGCCTAATGTTAGGCACGGATCACCGTACGACATTCACACATGGTTGTGAAACGAGCCCACGGTAAGGTTATTTAAACGACCCACATCTCCAGCTGCAGGGAAGAATATGTGCCTCAAGGAAGGGTCTGGAGCTGAAGCACAACGGCTTTATTTACGATTGATTGAATGTTAATGAAAGTCGAGTTGATTAATTGGTGATACATGAATTGAAGAGAGTGGGAGATTTGATACAATGCATGTGAGGTATTAGCAGTCAATCCTTGGCTCATTATTCTTGCCTCAATAACTATTACATATCTATTCGGTCCAAAAGAAACAAGGGGAACAGAAGAGAAAAAACATCATGACCATCGTCGAAAAGAACGACGTTCTACACCGGGTCGGGTCAGATAGCGCCATTGCGAAGACACGCCTCGTCGGCAGCCTGGGAGAAATAATGACAACAGAAGTGAATACAAGGTGGGAAATGTGAGGTGGAAGAAGCCGCGTGACGGGTAATAAATGCGGGAAGGATGCATGATCAAAAAAAAGAAACAGGAGAAGAAGGAAGTTTTATGTGAAGATTTACAAGGGCTTCTTGCCGACCATCAGGTACATGGGAGTGAAGAGGTTCTTCTGGGCACCCTCAACCAGGCAGTCAGCGGCAAGAGCCAAGCTGTCGGCGGTCTTCTGGGAGCCACGGGGGAAGAGACGGATGCTCTCACCGGCACCGACGAAGCGGTGGGCGAGACCACGGCCCCACCAGGTCATGCGGGCAATGGTGAAGAAGTCCCAGACGGAGCCCATGTGCTTGAAAGATCCCGCCAGCGGGTAGTACCAGGGGGTGGCGTCGGGACGGGCAGCCAGATCCTCGTGGTGGAGAACCTCGAAACCGGCATCCTTGATGGCCTTAACACCCTCGGAGATGCGGACCATGTTGGAGATACCGTCACCCTGCTCGATACCGAGACGGATGCGACGGTGCTCAGCGTTGTCGTTGTCGTATTCGTCAGTCATGAGCCACTCGTAGACACCGAAGGTACCACCGGGCTTGAGGACACGGAAGATCTCAGAGTACACACCGACAAGCTCGGGAGCGTGAACGGTGGCCTCAATGGCGTACACAGCGTCGAAGCTGTTGTCGGGGAAGCTCATCTGCATGAAGTCACCCTTGACGAAGGCCATCTTCTCAGACAGACCCTGCTTGTGAGCGTAGTGGGTAGCGCGATCAATCTGGTAGTCGTTGTTGTTCAGGCCGGTGACGTGGGCACCGGTGAACTTGACGATCTCGCGAGCGGGACCACCAACACCACAGCCAACATCAAGAACCTTCATGCCCTCGGTGATTCCAGTCTGCATGGCGAGGTAGTGCTCGTGACGGGCGATGGCCTGACGGAAGGGCTCACCGTAGGCGAAGCGGCAGAAGTGGAAGGAAGAGCCCCAGCCGTACTCGTAGAAGTCAGTGGCAAGGTTGTAGTAGCTAAATGAACATGTTAGTTGACTTGCGATCATTCAGGCGCGAGAGTCTGGAGGCTGAACGTACTGTCGGGTCAAGGTAGCGTATTCGGATCTGCGAGCCTATTTAGAGATTGGGATTAGTTTTCAGACTCAATTGAATCACGCCAGCGAATTATCTCACCTCACGATCGGCATCGGTCTCATCGGCGTAGTCCTTGTTGTCCCAGTGCTTGAAGTACTCGTCAACAGCGGCCTTCTGAGCAGCGTTGTCCTTGCCACGCAGGGCAGTGAGACCACCACGAAGGTTGGCAGTCTTTCCGTGCATAGCCTTGTTGAAGGCGGCGTCACGCGCCATATCCTCACGTTCCAAAGCAGTAGGAGCCATTGTGAAGGGGTAGAAAGGGTTGGTGTATTAAAAGGGGTAAATTGTTGAAGAGGGGCGACAAAAAAAGGACACTGGTCCGTTAATTATGGAAAAGGTAGTACGGTAATTGGATTGAACCAAGCAAACCGCACGAGAAGAGAAAAAGAAAGAGACTTGGGGAAGAGAGAGAGAGATTTGGAGAGGAGATGAAAGGAGAGTTTAAAGAAAAAGGAGTATCGAATGCGAAGCAACTTTTTGGCAATGCGAAAAATCAAGCCAATCACGGAGCCCCTGAGCGGGCAACCCGTGCAGTAGGACTAGACCCAACTAAGTCTGGGGTGGCGGGACGAGTCTCTTCCGGTTTGTGGCTGGTTCGGATAGTGGCTCTGCCGACCTTGATAAAAGGTGACCTGATGTTATACATCAAGATAATGAGAATGTCTGTTGAAGTCGACACGAGAAAGATGATTGCCGGAAAGAACCTTGAGATCTGCTCCGAGATCTTGTAATCTCGGAAAGAGAGAAAACAATTGAATTTAAAGAACAAACATTGAAGAAGAAGAGGCATACAAGAATCAACACCAATGCAAACACAGGCAAACACAGGCAAACATGTGATTAGTCACATGACCCAACGCCACAGTCACCGCCACATCATAATGTAATAATCAGCTTCGGTGTCTGAAGGTTCCTAGTTCCTTCACTTAATCTTGAGCTTCACAACGCAAGATCCCCCACCATGCCTCCTCAAATTAAACACGATCTTAATCGCTCCGGCCATGAGTCTTCCGACTGTCCAGCTGCATGCGAAAAGTGTTTCCCTGCAAACCCCAACGTTAGAGTATTGAAAGAAGACTATGGTGAACAATGCAAGTTTGTAAGTTTTTGATCCGATCAACCTTCAACTACGCTGTCTAACATCAAAAACAGTGTTCTCGTCCCTTCACCAAATTTAGCTGGAACGTTGACCGTCAATCGAAGCGGAAGTCTACCATCGTTTGCCTCACCTGCAGCCGCCTCAAGAACTGCTGCCAATTTTGCTTGCTCGATCTGAGTCTGTCTATGCCACTCCAAATCCGTGATGCCGCCTTAAAGATGGTTGCGCCGGGCCCCGAGAGCAGCATCAACCGCGAGTACTATGCGCAAAATCACGAGAAGGAAATCGAACAAGGAGTTGGCGCAGTGGAGGAACATGACAAGATCTATGAGAAGGCCGACGAGTTGTTGCGCCACTTGGCAAACAGCAAATACTTTAACCGCAACCCGCGTAACAATGAGGGCCCATCGGAAGGCGCCGAGGAAGGACAAGCATCTAGCTCTACCGATCAGCCCCGCACGAACAGCCGCTACGGAAACGCTCCTGGCCCCATTCGCACCGGCGAGAGTCGAACTGGTAACCGCTTACCTGGTCGTGGAGGCGCCGCTGGACGAGGTCGCGGTGGTGGCCGTGGCGGTCGTTCATTCGCCAGCACCGGGCCCGAAGCGGCGCAAAATATCGATCAGTCAAATGATCGCAATGTTAGGTCGCTCTTTGTGACTGGCGTGCAACAGGACCTTAGTGAACATTACCTGACATTACACTTCAAGAAATTCGGTAATATTCAGCCGGTCCAATGCTCGCATAAATCCGCCTGTGCTTTTGTTACCTACACGACCCGTGACGATGCTGTGAAGGCATACATGGCTTGCAAAGGGGGTGCGGTTATTGAAAACCCTCAGGACCCTTCCAAGAAATGGGTGCTAGGTGTGGCAATGGCTAAGCCTAGGCTACTCGATAACATGACGCCGGAGGAGAAGCACAGGAACATCCGGACAGGTCGCCAAGCTGCGGGAACTGCTCAGCGTGGTCAGTCCGATAAGAAGGCTATCACTGCTACCGGCGATACCAAGAAGGAGGCCCCTGTCCAGGACTTCGCTGTGGCTCCACCCCCGGGTTCTGGATCCGTCCAGTATGCCAGTATGAATGGAGATTAAAAGTCGTTGTGTTTCAGTCAAACATGGTGTAATATCAATTGGAAAAGGGTGGTTCCGGCATGTCATGGGTTCATAGTACAAAGCGGGCGTTGAATGTTGAATATGGATTGGTTCTTGTTTCTATGCAGCTTCTTATCACAATCAAAAATACCCCAGTGAGACGCCAAATGAAAATAACAAGAGTTGGGTATACTATAATACACATCCAGTCCTATGGGCGCTGGTTCAAATTTATATCTCCACTGACCATAGTCATGGAGTCGGCGTAGCATGCGAAATGGACTCTTCAAGTTTTGACCTAGTTCAAGAGGAGCAAGCCTTGTGAATCTTGACGTCCTTGCCACCAACCTTGATCGAGTCATTGTCGCCGCGCTCAATCTCGTCATGGATCCGGAGTTCTGCAGGATAATGTCAGTAACCCAATTGCAATATACAATGAAAAGTCTCCACAATGTTTCATTCCGGAGAGAACAATTGTACATACCCCACTTGGCGGCCTCGTTGCCATCTTCACGAGCACCCTGCACCAGATTGTGGCGGAGAATGTTGGCAACCTCGATGGCGTGGTTGATCTGCATACCGGTGTCAACGGCGACACGGCGGTTCTGATCGAAGTTGCGACGGGCTTCTTGACGAGAGGCAACCATCACTCGGACGTCGTCTGGTTTAGATGTTAATACATTGAATTATGAGCTTGAGCCGGGCGCTTGAGATATGTATAGTTCAGGGAACCGGGGGTGACAACATACCTCGGAAGGCAACACGAGTGGCACGTAGGATCTGGCGATAGGCGCTCAGGGCGGCAGTAGACGGAGATGCCATAATGTCTGGGGTAAAAGTCGGGTGTTTGGATACGAAAGCCGGGGCAAGACCGGGTGTTAGGCGCCGGGGGTTGCGGGATGTCGGGATTGGATCGAATTCGAAGGGTATGTAGATGTGGGAAAGGATCAATCAATTGCAATGGTGCGACTATCCAAAATCAAACAAATCCCGAGTCAGTGATCGAAGTGAAGGCGCAAGGAATCACGACTTGGATCATCCGAGCTGTGATTGGCGGGCGGCCATTCGGGGCAGAAAAAAATATCAGAAAAAAAACCAAGTGGGACTTCCCTCACCCACTTGTCCCTTCAACAACCACTTTCACAATGGCTGCCGTTCAAGTTGTCAAGGTTCAGCTTCCCTCCCTGCCTTCGGGCTGGAGTGCCGAGAAGGATTTCAAGCCCGTCGGCACCCTGTCTGCTCCTACCCAGCGCAACCTGGAGCCCGTTGGCCCTCACTTCCTCGCTCACGCCCGCCGTGTATGTTAATCCGAATTGCCCCGCAACAAATTTAATCATCGACTCTAATAAATTCTACAGAAGCGTCACAACCGTACTTTCTCTGAGGATGAGCGTCTCCAGGCTCAGCAGAACGTCAAGAAGACTGAGGATGAGGAGGATGATGACATCTCCGAGGACGAGGACCCCATGATGCTCAACCGTGAGGCTAAGGACTGGAAGGTCAGTGTTTCCGTCATCTTCTTTTCGTCTTTTTTTCTCTATCACCCGAAGAAGAAAGAAATACTAACTCCCCAATAGTCTCAGGATCACTACGCCGTTCTCGGCCTGACCCGCTACCGCTGGCGGGCAACCCCCGAGCAGATCAAGCGTGCTCACCGCAAGAAGGTTCTGCGTCACCACCCCGATAAGAAGGCCGCCTCTGGCCAGCGCGACGAGAACGACAGCTTCTTCAAGTGCATCCAGATCGCCACCGAGTTGCTGCTCGACCCCGCCCGTCGTCGCCAGTTCGACTCCGTCGATGAGGCCGCCGATATTGAGCCCCCTACCAAGAAGCAGGCTTCCTCCAAGAGCAAGTTCTACAAGCTTTGGGCTGCCGCTTTCGAGGCTGAGGGCCGTTTCTCCCTTAAGCAGCCCGTTCCCCAGTTCGGTCACGAAGAGAGCACCCAGGAGGAGGTTGAGACTTTCTACAACTTCTGGTACAACTTCGACAGCTGGCGTTCATTCGAGTACCTTGATGAGGATGTTCCCGATGATGGAGAGAGCCGTGACCAGAAGCGTCACACTGAGAAGAAGAACGCCAACGCTCGCCGCAAGCGCAAGAACGAGGATGTCGCCCGTCTGCGTGGTCTCGTTGACGAGGCCCTCGCTGATGATGAGCGTATCAAGAAGTTCCGTCAGCAGGCTCGTGCCGGCAAGGATGCCAAGCGCAAGGCTAAGGAAGACGAGGCCATCCGCCTGAAGGAGGAGAAGGAGGCCAAGAAGGCTGCTGAGGAGAAGGCCAAGTTGGACGCCGAGGAGTCCGCCAAGGCTGAGCGTGAGAAGAACAAGAAGAACAAGGAGGCCGCTAAGAACGCTGCCAAGAAGAACAAGCGTGTTGTTAAGGGTTCCGTCAAGGACGTTAACTACTTCGCCGATGGCGAGCCTTCCGCCGCCCAGGTTGACTCTGTTCTCAACGACGTCGAGCTCATCATGGGCAAGATTGATGTTGATGAGCTCGCTGCTCTGGCTGAGAAGCTCACCATTGCTGGAAAGGATGGTGGTGCCGTCAAGGCTGTCTACACCTCCGAGGCTCAGCGTCTGGTTGATGCTGGCAAGCTGAAGACTGGTGAGGTCAAGGTTTTCGCTTAGATTTCATTCTTGATTTGACTCTGTTCTATATTCGGACGAGGCTGCTTCATGTCCCTGATGACGACTTTTACTTTATTTTGCAGTTACTCACGCCCATAGAGAAGATGATACAATGCATTAAAACGTACATTTCCCACGTCTTCCAAGATACTCGCGAAATTTCTTTATATTTTGTAGCGGCCCAAGAATTACTGGCCTGGGTCAACCAACTTTCCAAACATAGACATCTGGAGGATATATCTATTGAATCTCCTCGAAAGCCCGAACAACGAAAGATTTTCCTTCAATGGTAACAGTCTCCCCAGGAACTCTCCAGGAACCCTTTCCTTCCCCATCAAATCCACTCTTCATCGAACGCACAGCACCCCCATCAGGACCCACAAGATACTTTTCTTCCCACCCAGACCCAGAGCTCCACTCCTCCTTTCTGGCACTAACCTCCGCCCCCGATCTCTTAACAGTGAATTCCCCACCCTCCTTCTGACGAGCATGAGTCTGAACCTGACGGAACGCCAAATAAGTTCCCCAAATCCGACCGATAAACACCTTAGTGATGGTAACTTCTCCCTCTCCGTTCTCTCCAAAATCCAGATCCCGATCATCAGATTCCAAAATCCATGAAATTCCCTTCTTGGCACCTTCGGGACCTTCCCGGAAAGGCAACTCGCGCCACACTTCCTCAAAGGCCGTCATCGGGGCGCCGGGGAGATCGGTGCGAGGCATTTCACCCTGCTCGAGATCATCGCCGTTGGGGAGTGGGCTGAATCTGGCCGCGTCTACCATTCCGATCTCATTGAAGGAATCGAGTTCGCGTGTGAAGAGTACTTTCACTGTAGGCGTGGCGTTAGTGATTGTGGTAATTTCAAGCCAAATCGCTCAATTGGAATAATGTATCCATTTCAAATAGGGCAAGGCAACGGTGGTAAGTTCAAGGCAACGTACAGGGCACTTCATTGGGATTCTCTTCAATCCGAGTACCGGCCATTGCCCAGTCAATCTGGCCAGAAGCCTTATCCATGCGGAGGTCGACGAACCATTCTCCGACAGAGAGGACGATTGTGTCTGTGGTCTCCTCGGGAACCTCAGGAACCCAGCGGAGGGAGATGCGGGTGGAGAAACTGCTCTTTGAGCCTAGCATTGCGCCGGTTGCAGACATGATCTGTATAGTGTGAGAGGTATTGTTAGGGATTCAATTGAGGGGAGATCTTTGGAGCAATTGAGGTTTCTTATGTTAGAGAGTGTGGAGTAGAAGAAGTAGGGTTGGTCTAAATCCTTTTGATCGGCGATGTTGACGAATGGGGAAGCTGGAGGAGATGGGACGTGGGGCTTATCGTGGGCGGATTTGGTGGCATGAGGTCTTTATCGCGTGTCCGCACATTGGCGGGGTTTTTTTTTGTTGTAGTTGAACTCGTTTATATACTTGGAAACAGGACAGTCAGGTTATTTATTCGCCGTCTAGGGTTATCCAAGTAGATGATAACTTCGTCGTACCAGTCAACGACTTCAAGACTTCTAAATTATCTTCAGACTTCATGACTCAAAAGTTTCTCCCATTTTCTGTTCAAAGCTAGTAAATTCCATTCATATTTCAGAGCTGATGCCCCCAGATTACGTCAACCCACATGGTGGGATATCAGAGGGGTTCTGTAAATAAAAGCTACACTTGTCTACAAAGTAGCTTTGATCAATAGCGCCAGGAAATGTAGCTGGCAAGGTCGCACTTTTACAGCTTCATGAGCGGCGCCCTCTACTATATCCAACTGACTCTCTATGCTGTCATTTTCCCAAACAGCCTGCAAAGCTTGTAATGTCTGCAATCTTCCCTGGCTCATAGTAGCCAGATTCACTCCCTCGGATGACTTCCCTTCTTTCCCTTTAACCTTCTGCAACCACTTCCAAAACTCATCACCACCGTGAACCTCATTATCCTCCGACCCGACTGCCAGATGTATATCGACCTGGCGGATCAGTTGCAGATCAACTACCCGTCCAAACTGACTATCAACATCTGCAATTCCATTCGGCCAGTTCAGCGCGGGATCCAATAAGGTCGCCCGGCCCGGCGCTCCCACGCTGACACCTAACAACCGCTCGGGGTGCAGGTATAAGAACCGATGAGCGAACTGCCCGCCCCCAGAAAAGCCCAGCATGAAGAACTTCTCTGTCTGGAGACCGGGCCACCTGGGCGCGATCTCGTCGAGCATGGACAAGAGAGCAAGGTCAGAGCGAAGCGTCTTGGAGCGCATGGATTTATAAGAATCCAAATCATTCGGTCCATCCAGACCGGCAGGGAACAACGGGGCAAGAATTGCGCAGGGTGTTGACTCCGCAAAGGCTACCAAGTCACCCCCATCTAGTGCATCGAGCTTCCGACGCGTGCTGTGGATCCAGACTAGCAAGGGGAGTTTCTTTGCGTTGGGGCCTGTTTGGTAGTGAGATGGGGGGATATATAGTGTGTAGGAGATGCGCGGGTCAGAGGAAAGTGCCTTGAGCGGAACGTGGCCGACAAGGTAGGCTGCCTTGAGGAATTGCGGTGGTACATCTTCTGTAGAGAGTGTTTTATTCATAATGATGGTTTCGAAATTTGAATATTCTGGTCCCTGCAGGAAAGGAAAGATGGAAAGATCCATGTTGGCTGCACAATAAAGTGGGGGCGGATCCTTAACGCCGAATCTAACCAAGCGGGAAGACTTTATCTCCGACGTCCGTAGCCTTGAAACCCAATCATCGAATTGTAAAGATCCTCGGCTCACAACATTGAATGATTGACTGATCTCTCAACTGTGATGAGCGAATCTCGAAGATTGTTAAATAGTAGCTGTAATGTGGAGACTTAGATAGCGATAGCGTTGAACAAACTATACATGTATGGATACTTCTACTACTAGTAGTGATGAGTGAAAAAAAAAACATTACGAAAACACAGGAACCAGAATCTTATCTCATGCTCATTCCCAGTCTCCATCGAGCACAATCTCCTCACCCTCCTCAGTAGCCTTCAGCAGTTCATCGATAGTCCACGGCTTGTAGATATAACCCGGGGGAGTGTTGGTGTTTTGGAACGAACCCTGGCCGGCCAGATTTGCGAGTGCAAGCTGATAGTTTTCGATCGCGTATTGCTCTGGGCTATGCTGCCAGATCCAAGCACCAAGCAATCCGATCGGCTTCGCCTGCGACACCTTAGCATCGGCAGAGCGATGGCGCATCTGGTGATTGAGCACACCCAGCATTTGCAGACAAGCGACACGTTCGAATCTGTACAATGAGTTAGTTTGATATTTTCTCAGAGAATCATGAGCAAACCTAAGTTTGTTATGGACACGAGTTGCCCAGGGCACATTGTCTTTTCCTGCAATCTGCAAGCATGTAGCAAGTGAGATGGCGTCTTCCATTCCCTGCGTAGCACCATTCCCAGACGAGGGATGGAAAGTATGGGCCGCGTCGCCGATCTGGATAACCCGGCCGGTGCAAGAAGTCCAGCAAGGCTGAGGTTCACGCCACATGAGCTTGAAATCGTTGATACAATCTTTGGGTGTTGCTTGGATCAACCGGTCTGCGTATTCCGGCCATCCCTCGATCATGGCTGTGGTCTGGAGGACGGTATCTGGGTCTACTATATTTGACCATGACTCCTTGCTATCTCCACGGCTCTATGAATTGTTCTTAGTGAATGTACTCCGAAGATTTGCAAGGAATGTGTGGTTTACCTGATATGTGAGATACCACGTTATCTCATTTTGCATTCTTCCAACGAGGAAATGCACATTTTTGCTGGAATACGACGTATTTAGCTTCATTCTCAATTGAGGCAAATTGGGGGCTGTGAAACGAACCCAATCCACATTTGAAACATTGGTCTGTCATCCTCTAATTCGGAGAACTTCTCGTTGAATACAGGGTCCGCCAGAAACGACTCGATGGAACAGGAGCATCGATATATCGAGAAGCCTATAGGACGGGCGCGGACTTCATGACCCAGCGTGATACGAGAGGATATGCTCCCAATTCCATCAGCAGCGATAACCACGTCGGCTTCGATCTTTTCGCCGTCTTGGAGAAATACGCCGGCTGTGGAGTAAGATGAACTCTCGTAAAATTCAACTGCCCGTTTACCATATTCTACCTCAAGTCCAATCCGTTCAAGCTGATCCGACAGCATCTTGTGCATCTTCGGACGACTATACCTGTATACTTTCACGGGAGGCTGGCTCTTTTGGTCTCCAGAGGTAGTCTTTGAGGGATTCAATTCGAAGGGTTTCGGGCTCGAGATCATCTCACCAGTAATCTTGTGCCATGAAATCCACGGCTCATAAGATAAATGCCGTATTTCCTTATCCAAATCTGGCCATTGTCGAAGCGCGTTGATTGCACTGGGACCTATGGCGAATCCATCACCTAAGAACCGATGCATTAGACAAGATCACTATCATGGTTTATGGAACGTGGTCAATGTGCTTTACCTGTCAATAGTCGCGAGGGACTCCTTTCGAGGACTCGCACGTCATGTCCCTTACGCCAACACTCAAGGGCAGCAAGTAAGCCCGCTACACCACCGCCTACAATGAGGACAGAGATGTTTGATGGTGGTGATCTAGCGGGCAGCCTGTCAGAAGTATCATTTGTATGCGGCAGATGCGTGGCACACTCGGGATTCACGGGGGTAGACATGATTTCAAGCACTTGAGTGAAGCAAGAAAAGCTCAGATGGTAGTATTTTCTAGAAACATGAGGACATCATTTGTTCTTTTTATATAGATACCAACTGAGGGACTTTATGACTCATGAGAGTTGGATCGGCGGAGCGGAGTACCGCTCTGATTGAGCCAGGGTGCATGACTCAGTTAAATACATCGTACTAGCCCAAGGCTGCCATCGACGGGGCTGAATGAGTATTTCCCACCTGGTACACGTGTGGTCACCTGATCTCTCGTCTTTTTTTTTTTTTTTGAGGGAATCCAGTATTGGTCACGTGCATGAATCCCTTAGATAGCCTCACTTCGTTCAGCTGTCAGTATCCACTCTGACACAGTCAAAAATATGTCCGAGCGAGACCTGAAGGGTCAAAGGTTTTCGGGGTTTGGCCGTAATTATCGTATGGAAAGAACAAATCCACTGGCATGTTGTAGAAAAAGCTAAGGTCGGTGGGCCCAAAGGTGTTGGTTGGTTTGCTCCTGAGCCTCTAGTCTCTTTCGGTGAACCGCTTTCATCAGACACATCCTTGTGGCCAGCCTTTGAAACCCTCCAGGCATCTCCGAAGAAGCCTCAGTATGTTGGGTTCTCTGTATAGAGGGGAGCGGAAGCGGGAACGGAGATGCGATAGGAATTCTCGGTTCTCGTTGGTCCCGACTCCCGCTCAGGTTTCCCCACTTATCCCCCTCCGAGTATATCGGCATATATTCTAAACAAGTGTAGGTCATATAGGTGATAACTCCCGATTTGAGATTTCAATAAAATGATTCTGACGGGAGAAAGAAAAAAACGGGAAAGACAAGAGTCTAGGACATCTCGATTCATTCAAGATAGCTCTCCTGCTCGCAGCTCATCCATCGCATCAAGATGGACTTTCAAGGTAGCAAACAAAGAAGCAGAAATCAGCACAGAAACTTCGTTAAACTGCACATATCAGTTCTCTATTCTTCTTGGTCAAGATCATAATAGGAAAGTGTTTATAGTGTGTGTTACTATAGAAAAGTATTGAAATCGAGGCGGGATGGCATCTCGGAGTCGCTGAAGCCCTTTCCCTTCTGACCGTGGTGCACAGCCATCTTCATCTGTTGATTTCTAGAGAGGTTGAGCTCCGGAACATTCAAATTTTCGATATTTGCTTTGGAATTTATTTGCTGTGCTTGGTAGTGGTTTTCATGTTGTTGCCTTGGTGGCGGCTTATGCCTATCGTCGGGTGCAAGAAAGGTGTTGATATAAGCTGTTGGGTTTTTCTGAAAACGCCAGCGGTGCTACCTACTATGGTGCAATCGAGTACTGCGGTCTTCCCTGTAGATGCAGCAACAGGTGGATCGTGAATCAGTATGTTTTGTTTGAAGCTCAACCTGAGCTTTCAGGTATCGATTCGATACCGTTTGGCTTTGCCCTAACACCGTTCAAGTGTACTCAAGTACATACGACCATAGGGTGTGGAGAACAGGGCTTCCCGTCCGCTCAGCCGTACTTAAGCCACATATATACACGTGGCTAATAGTCTCCAGAGCCCTATCACCCTAGAGCAGCGATTATAATTTCTCTAGGTGAGTGTGGGTGATATGGGTGAGAATTATGCAGACTGGGTGATAGAGGTGAGAATATTCAATAGGGTGAGATTTCTTACCAAGCAGGGTGATCGGGATTCGGGACTTAGAGGTAGCGCCTACCTAGGTATAGTTCCCTAATAATATTTGATGTAGATCGAAGTCGTCCTTAGCTATATAGAAAATACTATGCACCCTTGGCTGAATCACACATGTCTATACCGGACTTACAATAAACCTATAGGATGGTTGATTATTATAGAAGAGTCCTTCCTTATCTAGGTATAATATACTCTTATATTCTAGGATAATTTAAAGGCCTAGTATAGATTCTAAGTAAGGAAGGGTCTTAATACTTAGGAACACATTCATGGTGTTGGTTCTTAGCTTATAAACCAGCGATCTTACTCTTAGGCCTTGTGACATGGAATGAGTAATCATCCGCTAGTACAATATTAGTTAGAGTTGGTACTTTTGTCATCCAATAGCCTTATGAGAATCATGCAGCCTCTTGCTCATTGGTCTAGTCCTGTCCCGGCTCCGCTGGAAATATCCTAAAGCGGAAGATTTTTATGAGGTCACCAGTTGTACGTCTCGACTAATATCTAAACACAAGGTGAGTATATGAAGTAAAAGGCATTCCAGACAATTTTGTTATTCGGAGCGCCCTGGGAGATGTTCCAACCAAACCAACCAACAATTTGTAGAACATTAAGGAAAGCTGTATTATGTCATGGAAAAGAAGATAGGAACAAGCAATGGAATGAATATGAATTGTATTGTGTGTCGAAGAAAGAGAGACTGTCACATGACCCCCCGTTAGGGTCACCTGACGGCTCGATAGTTAGGATTAGTCGAGAGTCTTAGATAGTAATCCATCCGCATTACCATCAGATCACAACAGAGACGCAGCCTGCTATGTATCTAGAACAAGAAAGAAGCACATGAAGCCGGTCATCGCCGGCGATCACGATGATCAAGCGATCATAATGATGAAGCATGTCAATCATGATCATGTGATTCCAAGATTATGCCAAGGTTTCAATACTTCCCTGGCCAGTAACAGCCCAGGGAGGCCTCTGATATAAGGATCCAGAACAATCCATTCCGCAAGCGTCTTTCCTATTGTGGCGACCGTGTTTGGGAAGCGGTGAAGCCGGTTGGAATTACCCGTTTTTGTTGGTTTGAACCCACCTTCTTGAGCCTACCGTTAGCAAGCATTCCTTATTCAAATCATTATCATCACCGTTTAAACCGTTTAATCTACAGTTCATCAGATTCCATCTCTACAGTTTGTTTACGAGTTCGAACTGTGGTTCGTTAGTTTGTTTGGTTGGTTCGTTGGTTCTTTCACTATCTTCTGATAAGCTTTGTAGTCTTTATAATGAAACGGCAAACCAGGTCTAGAATAATGAAGTCATGCGCATGACCAAGGTGATACTTGACTGGTTGGCAATGTTCTGTTGGTGGCGATGTCGAGGCGCCTGCAATGAGATTACAGATGCTTCTAATCTACAGTGCCCTCACCTGGTGGCCAGCCGTAATTACATTGGAGAGATTTCCCTTATACATCTTTTGGGGGAAGTTTTCCCGTGGTGTGCTCAAGGCTATAAAAGACGGTGCAACCCACTAGTATATGATAATTTATCATCCAGCATTACTTACGAGTTTCCCACTAATTAATTATATTGTCTATACAGTTAGTCATGCTTACGTATTCTTGGGGCTTAATACCCTTTATTGTTTTGTCCTCGGCTACCAAACTTCCGTCACCACTTCTCGTCACATACTGGGGGCAGGATAAGTATCCTACCCAACAATCCCTGAGCTCATACTGTGATCTAGGCTATAATGGTGTGCTACTTGTTTTCAGTGTTGTCAATGCGTCTCTGACATCTATATCTTACAGTGGTTGTGCTCGGTTTTATCGACCAATTTGGCAATGAGACATTTCACATGCAAATGGACAGCGTCTCATGCTCAACAGAAAATCGCGTTGGATGTGATGCTATTGCAAGGAATATCACTTATTGCAAGAGTAAGACTCTCTCCAGTACATACAAATCTCCTACTAATACGATCTGCACCAAGGTCGTAATGTTAAGGTCCTTATGTCCATGGGTGGTGCCACTGTTCATGACTGTGGTGGAAGTGGCTGTACAGGCAAATACCGATTTGACACCATCGAGGAGGCAAACAAAACCGCTGATGAAATGTACAACATGTTCTTCGCTGGAACGATCAACAACTCATATTGGAGACCATTCGGAGATGTGCAGATGGATGGGGTGGATTTAGATATTGGTGAGATTTTAACTCTCAGATTTGAACTAAATACTAAAACCTGTGATATTGGTAGAAGAGAAACCGCAAGGCGGCCAAACCTATCAATGGTACTACGATGGGTTTGTTACGCGACTTCGAGAGCTCCAAGGGATGCAGCAGCTAATTGTATCAGCGGCACCCGAGTGCCACCATGGCTGCCCAGGCAACTGTAACGCATTGGAGCAGACTGTTAACCTGACTGCTTTTGACTATCTATTGTGAGTATTTCATACTCCTGACAACTTCAATACTTAATCTTTTCACAGCGTACAATTTTACAATGACCCAAGCTGCAGCCTCAAGACAGCTGGCTTTAGTTCATCCCTTAACTATTGGTTGAACTTACAGGGACCCAACGCCGAATCGATAATTGTACTGGGCGTCCCTGGCGACAACAGAACGAATGATGGCGGAATAATGTACTTTGTACCACCAGCTGAGGTTAGAATATCTTCCCTTATGTGAATGGACATAATGGACACATATCTTGACCTTCTTAGGTTGTTTCCATTTACAAGGACAAGCACAACCAGAATCAACGCGTTGATGGCATTGGTATCTGGCAAGCCTCAACCATTGATGCACAGTTTCTCCCTATCATCCAGGGCGGCATTCGTGAGTATACCAACACCAAGATCATATTTATATCCAGATAATTCCGGAATACTGACCACTGCCTATTTAGAAGGAAGTACACTAAATTCAGGCCCTTACAGCCTAAGAATCCTCGAAACATCGACCACCTTTTACTCAGAAACTGCTGGAACCTGGCTCATGGCTCATTACCTCACCACATTACTGCCTGATCTGTTTTATATCAAAACAAGCAACACTGGAACGGGTAGAGTGGAGGTCCATGTTGCCTCTGGTGTTTCAAATTATCAAAACCGTATTCTCGAGACGGGTACTACATTTGCACCAGAGAACAACGGTGTATGGCAGATTATTGATTTTGACGGAGACGGCAAACCTGACCTGGTCTACATCAAAACAAGTAACACTGGAACAGGTAAGGTGGAGGTCCATGTTGCCTCTGGTGCTTCAAATTATCAAAACCGTATTCTCGAGACGGGTACTACATTTGCACCAGAGAACAACGGGGTATGGCAGATGATTGACTATGACGGAGACGGCAAACCTGACCTGGTCTACATCAAAACAAGTAACACTGGAACAGGTAAAGTGGAGGTCCACGTTGCCTCTGGTGCTTCAAATTATCAAAACCGTATTCTCGAGACGGGCACTACATTTGCACCAGAGAACAACGGTGTATGGCAGATGATTGACTTTGACGGAGACGGCAAACCTGACCTGGTCTACATCAAAACAAGTAACACTGGAACAGGTAAGGTGGAGGTCCATGTTGCCTCTGGTGCTTCAAATTATCAAAACCGTATTCTCGAGACGGGTACTACATTTGCACCAGAGAACAACGGGGTATGGCAGATGATTGACTATGACGGAGACGGCAAACCTGACCTGGTCTACATCAAAACAAGTAATACTGGAACTGGTAAAGTGGAGGTCCATGTTGCTGAAGGCTGATACAAGGAAGGTCTAGGTACGTATACTTGCGCACTATTTTCCAACCGAGCGCCCGAAAAAACCATTTTGACTGGAATTTATGTACAGTCTACCTGGATATCAAACAGGAAACTTCCCCCTGTCGCCCTGACAGGTGTAACCTGATATGAGTCTTCCGGTAAAAGTATTATTGGCGGCAATGACCGAAACGTCCAAAGTGAGCGCAAAGGATTTTTACGAATAGTAGAGTACCTTGGTTTCGCCTCTTATCGAAAAGATGTTTGCAACTCTTTCAGTTTCTCATCCTGAAAGATGGGGAAGATTTCATCATCAAATTCTACAGGAAGAAACTATCTATCCAATTTCTACACATTTTCTGTTTTATTTGTAAGCAAGGCATTTCTCTCTATATCAAATGAACTGATCCTTCTGCTTTGTCTCTTTGTTAAGGTGTCGTCGAATTCTTACCCCTTACCCTGTTTATTATACACTCACCCTTCTCACCCCTACTAGTTATGTGATGCTAAAGCGGCTCTTACCTATTTCTCACCCTGGTGGCACCTACCAAACTACTAGCCGCATTTAAGCCACACGCCGGTCAGTTTTAGTATGGTGGGTGACCACATGCGAATCCTGACTGTTGTATGTTTTTTCAATTTTTTTAAAAAAAACATCATTTCTGTGTGCGGTGGGTGGGTGGTTGTTGGCTTTCCTTTTATTGCTTGATTTATTCAAAAATCTTCTTTTACGGATATATTACTTGACATCTGGAAGGTGGGTAGACCTGCATGCACATGTGTATGAGGCCCAACCCAATTGTCAACTCACTAAACCCACCAACTAATGCAATTGATTACTATCCAACTTGGTACAGCATGATAAAACATATAACAAATCGAAAACGATTATTCCACTACAATACAAATTTTCCCAATATGCTTTCCAGAACCGACCGCGTGATAGGCAGCCAAAACATCGTCCCGAGTGAACCCATACTCCTTCTCAATGTGGAACCTCAATTGCCTTCTGGAGGTAAAAGTCACCAGATCCTCCAGCATACACTTGGGGCCAACAATAAGTCCACGTAAAACAGCTTCCTTACCAAGAGCAAGAATCAATACATCTGCCGCCGACATAGAGTCGACTTTGGCAAGATAGCCAACTATGCTGATGACACCTCCGCGCGCGACAGCGGACAGACTTTCCTTGATAGTTCCAGCGCCGCCAATATCAATGATATGGTCGACACCTTTACCTCCAGTAAGTCTCATGGCTTCGGCGCCCCAGTCGGGAGTCTCGGAGTAGTTGATACACCAGTCGGGGCTGAACTTTTCTTTGACGAAATTCAATTTTTCATCACTGGAAGAAGTAACAATGGTAGTAGCTCCAGCTGCCTTGGCGAGAACTAGAGCAGTCATTGAGGTACCACCAGTGCCTAGATTTAAAAATTTGGTTAACGTCAAACATGAGGCGTGGATTTATGAGATTATCAATATACCTTGAACCAGTACCACCTGGCCGGGGACCAAGGGTTTGTTCCCATAGAGAGCATTCCAAGAAGTGACTCCGGTGCACACAAGTGTAGCAAGCTCACTGTATGTCTGAGGAGCTTCGCGTGGAACTTTGACGACAGCATATGCAGGGCGGGTGATATACTGAGCCATCACGCCATCCACGCCACCACCAGATTGACCGGCAACGGGGTGCGTCGATGGCCCATATAGCCTGGTCTGATCAAAGCAGACAACAACCCGGTCACCTTTCGCAAATTCTGTCACCAAATCACCCACTTCCACGATGTCACCTGCAGCATCGGAACCTGGAATGACATTTTCTTTGATGGCGAAGGGATATGTCGAGGTAGCAATTTGGCAATCACGCGAGTTGAGCGCCACGGCACGGACCTTGATCAAGACTTCATGACTGAGAGGCTTCGGGATGTCCTCTTGATGGCAAGTCAAGTCTTCGAAGGTGTTTCTGGTGGGAAGTCGGTAGACGGTGTGTTGAGGCATGGTGAGAAATCGGAAGTTTCGAATCCAATTGATTTGCGATAGCTAATGCTGATTATCTCCTGGGGATATACGGAAATTAAACTGGAATAGCATCCCTATTTATATTCCAATGACAGGTTTTGAAAACATCATTGATTTGAAATCCTCCACGGAGACTAAGAGGTCAAAAAGGGAATGTTGTTATGCTATAACAAGGGATTCCCGCGATTCCTATTGGTCAGAGCCCACCCTTTGGACCCACTCTACCACCGCCGAATAAAACCAACCAATCGGGACACCAGGGTGAACACGACTTTTCGCTGACCACCAATGTTTCCGAGTCTGGTGTTGACTTGAAATTCGGCTTTGCCTATCGGTAACCCAGCCCTTTGTCCGCCCGGTACTTCTCATTACCTCATGAATTCAAACGAGATGCCCGGAAATACATTGCCCGGACTTCCACGGGTTACGGTCGCAGCACGACGACGCAAGATTGCCAAGGCTTGCGATTTTTGCCGCGAGCACCGTATTCGCTGTGAAGCCGTCACTCCATGCCCTCAATGTGTGGCCAACGGTGTGGCCTGCCATCGTTCTCGTCCATCAAAAAATACACGGAGGAGTAGTATAATGCGAAACCAAGGCAGGTCGGAGGTACAACCCGCAGCCCAACCATGGGAAAATAGCACATCGATCATTGGCTCTCATCCCGATGAAGATATTGGGCCAACACCGTCGCCATCGGCAAATCTGGCATGGACTTCGCAAAAGACGGACTCAATTATGGGATTCATTGCCCGGATCAACGCTTTTTGCTCAACTCTATCACCGAATTCACCAAACACTATTCCATCTGGAGATGGCCCTCACTTAGACCAGACCTCGCCATTCCCGCCCAGTATTGCGCAGGAAACACTCCAGTCAGAATGCGACTTGTCGCCTGAGCAGATAAAACAGCTAATGAAAATTTTCTGGACTCGTTTTTGTCCACAAATGCCAATAGTTCAACGGGAGGATCTAAACACCCCTTGTCAAGAGATGCATGGAGCTCCCTCGCCTTTGCAAGATGCCATCATTGCATATTCCTTGCATTCTATCTATTGTTCAGGACTTCAGAACAGAATTGTTGGTCTCAACTGGCCTCAATTCCGCCGACCAAAATCAACAATTGGAATGCCTTACTTTCAGCGTTGCCTCTCGGCCATCACTCAATTCACTTCATTCGCAACTCCAACAATATCCATGATGCAATGCTTCTGCTATCTAACACTGTATCTGTTGGATGTTGGATATCACCAAGCTGCATATAACATGGTTGGACTGGGTCTTCGTATTGCGCAATCTCTCAACTATATGGATTCACGAAACGGTGGCTATAGGGAATGTCAGCTGTTTCGGCGCATCTGGTGGACCTTGATTCATCTTGATTTCCGCTGTTCGAGACACGTGGGCAAGCCTGTTAGCATCAATATCGATGATTTGATGTGCCTAAGGCCTGGCGGAGAGCTAGATGACATCAACCTCTCAAATGGCTTATTGTTTCACACAGAGTCCATTCGTCTTACAGCCGCTGCACTCGTTATGAATGACTCGATTGATCGCTACTCGGCTTCTCTGCCGAGTGGAGCAACTGATCCAACATCCGTTGAATCGCGTGCTAGAAATTTATCATCTTTGCTACATCATCTAAGAAGTTGGCGCGATGAACAAACCTGGGCGAAAGACTTTGCGAACATACGTTTCGAAGTTCTCAATCTACCAACTGATCCCAAAGAGGCCCTTGCCGATGAGGATCAAGACTCAGAACAGCCTCCAATGATCAACTTACTGAGCACTCTATTATTGCTGCAGTATCACAATGTTGTGGTCGGCTTTCACCGCGTGTTCATAGACCTCCCCAGTGAACCACTCGTTCCAAAATCTACCCCAAAAGCAGACGCACACGCCGCAACCGCACTTAACCATGCTTTGACGATGATTAAAATTGCCCATCGTATCATGGCAACTCAAGATGTTCTCCACGGTCTCTCTGAGTTATACCAGTACCTATGGAACGCAGTAATAACGATAGTCGGATACAGGCTCGCATATCCATACTGTCATCACTGTCTGCGAGTTAGAGAATACCTCCAACTTGCCCTTGAAATCTTCGACTCGGCTGGCACCAACAACTTCACAGCAACAAGGGCAGCTACTCTGACTCGGAACCTTTGCACCAAAGTTGTTACTCTAGTTCAAGTCTTGACCAAGCCTCAACTCACTCTTGGGACATCCTCATTTTCCGCTCCAAGCACCGAGCCACGATTCATCGAGAATCATCAAAGCGACCCGATGTTCTCTGCTGTTGCAAGCGATGGCAATGCAATGCCTGACTTGAACATGGACCTACTTGGGTCCTCGACCACTAACATCAATATGGATGCATGGCCTAGTTACTTCAATGAAGTCAGCGAGGCATTTATGGACCCGGCGGAATTCTTTACGCCACACAATCTGTGAAACACTGGCAATTAGAGGACTTCACCAAGCTTTTCCGCCTGTCGAGATAATGTGGGATCCAAAGTTGAATGATGTAATTTGCACTCCCTTTGTTATCTTCTTCGGCCGTAACTGGACTCGATGGGCGGTAATACTGCTTCCTATTATCACTACAATTTCCAAATTCTACAATATGGCTTATTCAGGCCCGTGTAAGGTCATGGTTTGTGTGCATTCTGCTTGGGTCATGATACCCGCTTGGATAGGGGAACAGAGAAGGGAAAAGGAAAAAATTGCAAATTGCAAGAAACGTAAAAATGAGAAGAAAAATCATTGATAGGCTTTCCTACTATATCTCAAGAAACGAGTTTTCGCAATGCCAAGATATGTGGCTTTTCCCCGTGGGCCGTGAGGTCATCGCCCCGGGGAGATAACAACCGAAGCTAAGATCTACACGCAGGTGGAACCACACTAAGTGGACCCTCATGTCGAAAATCAAGGTCGCCCTGTCGATATCCATGGATCTAGATGCTGTCATCAAGGTACAGCATATGCCACGGTTACTTGAAATACTTTATCTTGTTATTATCATGGTAAATGATGTTTCGGAGGTTAAAAACGAATCGTAATCAATTTGGATTGGCACAAGAAAACATAAGAACTCAGCGTCCGCGTTGATGGAGAACACAGCTTGGTGTCAACAATAGAAAAAACATATGATAGACTGCGGAGGAACACAATATTATATGAATTAGGAGGAAAGCTTCTAGTCCTGCACCCAACGATCATGGCTTGACATCCTCCTATGCGCTGTTTCGGTGGCGGTAACAATAGAGAGCAGGGAGTAAGCCTTTCGATCGGTACAAAGTCATTTAAGGACAGCCCCCAGCTTTTGTTCATGGCTGGGTTCAACTTGAGACGTTTAACGATCATTCTGGACGGATTCGTAACCAGAGTACACAATACCATCCCCAGATACAGGTATCATGGTGGATTGTTGTACATGTTCTGTTGCATAAGCCCTTGGAAGTCCTAGAATTCCAATCCCGACAAGACCATGATTGACTTGACATTTTTTTTGAAAGGGCCTTTGATAGAAAAATTTGTGGACAAAGGCAGAAGGTGAACCACATCATAATCTTCGTCCAGCTTAGGCATGGCAGCTTGCAGGCGGAAGCCAGGGATCTCGTGCATCTCCATGAGTAATCGCTCGGCTCACTTCAAGTTGGTAGTTGGTGGAATAAGAACAGTTGCATTGAAGGCTATGATCATCCTGGTTCGTGTAAACGAAAATGAAAATGAACATGACGAATGGTCAAATGGTCAAATGGTCAAATTTCGGTTCACTCCAGAAGCGTAGAGTTGGGTGTACTGACAGAAACCTCGAAGAGTAAGAGACGTTGAAGTCACTGTTGTTTGTGAAGAATGGTTGAGGTGAGAGAGGCGGAGGATTTTGAAGGGGAGCATTTGAAGAAGAAGCTTGAAGAAGGAGAATGAGAGAAACCAGAGACTAATAATCTGTCACTTATGGGACTCAGTTAGAAGCACGATATGTAGACTTCAAAGACAGTTCACCGCGATGAATCACATTCACTGTGCAGTAAGTAGTATGGATATAGTAAGATGTAATCGAAAAGTTTGGAATCTGTCTTTTATGTGATACGCGCTACAGCAAATAGCAAATCTCTGAAATTCGACATGCAGATCAAGAAGACCAAAGTCATCTCTACTATATATTGTCTCCCATCGGGTACACCTGCCTTAAATTTTGAGCATAGAATTGAAAATCCGTTCTATAGAAATCCAGACCGTGGCTTAGGATATCAACCAATGGCCTCCAATCCCACTCATGTGAGTTGGTTGTGAGAAGAGCAGCAGAAGGCGTGAAATGGAACAAGTCAGCTCTGAGGGGCATCAATTGTGAAACATTATGCGGGGGAGTATACAGATATGAGGTGTAAGAGAGATGTGGAGAGGCGGGGTGGCGGGTTGATTATGTCAGGCGCTTAAAGGAGAAGGCGGGGGTTTCAACAACTGTTTCTCATGCAGTGAGGAGGATATTTTCGATCAATATTATTGTCTCTGAATAGCAGACAAGTCTACGTGGCCATTAACATTCTTCTTCAGTTGTACAAGCTGTACAGCCTATACACGGAGATGCCAGGCACGAAGAATGTGTGGTTCGGCCCTCCGGTACAAGAGATTTGCCCCAATCATGTTGCCACTCAACTCACATCCCCACATTTAAATAAAAAATCTTGAACGATATTAATAGAAATGGACAGTCCGATCTGATACCATATGCTTGTTTGAGTATGGCCCAAGATGATGACATACTCGTACCTGCTAATCAATTCAAAGCCACCAGCCACGGTATACGTACGTTCCCTACGTAACAGCGACGATCGCGTCTCACGCGCCCCACTCAATTTCCCTAACCAGTCTAGCGACCATTCATGTCCACCAGAATGAAGTCACTAGGAATGCATTTTGCATGGCCTTCGGCGCACTCCGTGGGATGTTTAACCATCCCTGACTGGTGCCCCCATGATGGCTGAGTTCTACAAGTACAACCTGGGCTAGGAGCAGTGTCACTGGGGGGGTTTTTGTACCCGTGCAGGGACCGCCGCCAAGACCAAGTATACGTACCCTCAGGAACGGCCACAAACCTTGGCACGGACAGTGATCGTCCGGTTGAAACAATTTGGCCATGAAATTATTTACTCTCGTTGTTCTGGATCCAAAAGATTTATGAACCTGTCACGGCCCACTTTGTCCATTGTCTTTATCCTTATCTTGGCCAAAGACCCTGAATTTCTTAAACCCAGCTTTGACTTCTCCTCACACCACCGCTCCTAGCGCAACAGTATGTTACCCCTTATCTATCTTGCATCGACTCCCCGTACTAACTTGCGACTAGATAGGATCTCCAAAACACAAGTTCTTCAATATGTTCGCTATTCGCACCTGCATCACGGCCCTGGCCCTCTTCCTAGCCACCGCTTCTGCCTCTCCCCTCCAAAAGCGCGATATTCAATGGTCCTTCGACCTCTTCCCCACACCACAATGCAACCAGACCGGTGGTGATCTCCATGCCGGTATGGGCAGCACCGGTTGCCGCGCAGACCTACACAGCGTCGCCTCCGCATACCGATTAAACCTGGTGGCCGACGGGTGTCAAATCGAGTTCTTCGATAACACCATGTGCGATGCGACCGAGACAACCTCCGATATCGCGGGCCCAATCAGCAACGCGGGACTCTGTCAAGTGCCGGAACTCACTCGGCGATACGGCTCTTATCAGGTTACCTGTGAAGAGAGGGGTGAATTGAAATAAACGCCCAGTGCGAAACGGTTCTTGGATTTGGTTGGGCTGGTCCCAGCCACGATATTATACAATAGAATTCTTGCATATACAGTGGCGTTTTTGAATTGTCAAGTTTGAACAATCTTTTTTTTAAGGAGTGCCTTCCTGGTGGTGGCAAGGCCCTTCTGGGTCCATGTTTGGGCAAATAGAATAATATTATTAGACGAAATGATTTATGACTACCCCTATTCTCGTTTGTTTTTCTGTCTGGATTAGATTAGTACTAGTAGTTTTAATTTGTGGTTTTTTTTTTGATCTTGTTTCTCCGTGGAGCAATACTGTCTTGTGATTCGTCGAGGATGGGCAAGCGCTGCAGGATAATCCCAAGCGTTTCCTCATGCGCCATCGGTTTGGCAATCGCATCAGGAAGCGGGGTGATGGCGTCTAGGGATTAATAAGGTCCTAAAACCCACAAAGTACGCACCCAGGTAGCCTAACTTGATTCAGTAGACTCTTCATCTGGGCAGCGGACTACAAATTCCAAAGTTGAAAATCATTATTCAATTTTCAAAGTTACGGTCATTGAATTTCAATACTGGATTTTGTCGTTTGTTGATTGGTTTAACAGGCGGGTATAAGCAGAAATACGGTTCGTGAATACGACAGTACCAATTCTACTGCCCTTGAAGATTCTATCCACTAGTAGATTCCGTGTACAACCAAAGAATACTTATCGGATGTACCGGTGGAGTACCCCGGAAAGCCCTTGATAATGGCGAGTCGCAAGGGATGAGATCTGACACATCTGTTGCTTATTCCCCTGCAGATTGTTCTGTGGACCAATAAGAAACTTCCAGAACGTTTCAAGGTTCTGCAACTAATCCGCCGGCGTTTTAGGGTTAGAATAAGCTATATGCTTCCAATTAGAGCTAGTTGGTATAGGTCACACAGCATTGAAGTATTGTGTTCGTCCAGCTTGGAACTCAGGAACTGCACCCAAAACTGATCGCCGGATTCGGATAACTGTGTACATTCCAAAATGCTTGTTTGCACCCCCCGGATATAGGTAAATATCCGAACACTGAGATTTTATCAGCTTCGGAATTTAACTTATCCTCTTCATCTCCGAATCGCTAATGGACCCTTTTTTTGCATGACTGTGGACCCATCTACCCTTCGGTAATCGGACTAGTGAAAGGGTTTTCTATTCCACCTTCGGAGATAACACTGAGAGTTACCTAAAATGACAAAACCCCGAGCGTCCCGACGGAACAAGGTCGCGGATATGGTTCCTGAAATACTTCCTCAGTCTGTTTACTTAACAAAGCACGATCGCTCATTGACAACTCTGCAATCCCCTACACATTCCATCATGCAGACTGGAAAAGAAGAAGAGATGGCTGATGGTGAAAAGGCTGGCCCGCCGGCGCCCGTGGGATTCTTCGACCCTGCACTGAAGGAAGTGCGCAAGCGCGTGTTCATTCAATGTGCCCGAACAAGTACAGTGTCTGAAAAACACAAGTTAACACAAAGACATACTAACAATCCTTCAGTTCTCATTCTCTGCGTCTTTGTTTTGACCGTGCTCTCAATCTTCTGGGGATCTCAATTCCTCACCGAAAGCAAATTCCCCAATCTCCATGTTTGGGTCGTTGACTTTGATGGCAAAGTCGAACCATACATCACCAATGACGCAATTGTCGGTCCATCCGTCATAAATACCACGAAGAAGTATGAAGCCTCATCTAGCCTTCACCTGGGCTACCACATCAAGTCCGCTTCAGACTTCAACAATGACCCTTGGGCAGTCCGTCAAGCAATCTATGACGAACACGCCTACGCCGCCATCATAATCAACCCAAACGCCACCTCCCTGCTCCGCGCTGCAATCGCACAAGACAACACAACCTACGACCCAGCCGGCGCCATCCAAAGCGTCATCATCTCCGCCCGCGATGAAAACACATACTACAGCTACGTCCTGCCGGACCTCACCATCCTCCAGAGCCTCATCCTAGCAGACTTCGGCCCACAGTGGGCCCGCACCCTAGTCTCCTCCTCCACAAACATATCCACCATCCCGCCACAGGTAATCAACCCAGGCATCGCGTTCACGAACATCGACCTCCGCCCCTTCGGGCCCGCCGTCATCGCACCAGCCGTCACAATCGGCCTCATCTACCTGATCATCATCTCCTTCTTCAATTTCCCCTTCCTGATGCCCATCCATGCGCAGTTCATGAAGCCTGATCCCAGCCACCCACCGCTCAAGGTTCCGCACTGGCTTCTCTGGCGCGCATGCTGCAGTATCACGGCTTACTTCTTCCTGTCGTTTTTCTACTCGCTTGTCTCGCTCGCGTACAAGATTCCGTTCTCGAATTCGCCGGCGCCTGATACCTTGTCTGCTAATAATGCGAATGCGTATGGGCATGGGTCGTTTGTGGTCTTTTGGATGCTGAATTGGGTCGGTATGACGGCGTTGGGATTCCCGTGTGAGAATATGGCTATGGTTCTGGGCTTCCCGTGGAGTGCGTTCTTTTTGATCTTTTGGGTCATTACGAACGTGGCGACTGGGTTTTATTCCTTGGATCTGGCTTCGGATTTCTTTAGATGGGGATATGCGTGGCCTTTGCATCGGAGTAAGTTTTGCTTGCCATCTTTCTTGTTATTGTGCGTGGTGTGCTAACGGTGTTTTTAGTTGTCGAGGCATTGCGCACGATTCTATTTGGGACGACGTCGCGTATTGGCTTGGACTTTGGAATCCTGTTCGCGTGGATTGCAGCGTCGTTGGCCTTCTACCCCTTTGCCACATTAATCATGCGGTGGAAGATGAAGCGCGGAATGTGAGCTTGATTTCGGGGTAAAATTTAGATGCGATTTCTTTTTCAGCTAGATCTTCTGTTAATGGCTACGCCAATAGAATTTGAATTCCTAAATTAGGTAAAGAGTGAATTCATTTCGTGACAATCGTAAAGATCGTATATATACATCATTTTATCTGTTTAGTCTCTTATTCGGGACTAATCAGACTCGAGTGATCAGTTCTCATCTCGCCAAGATCAGAAACCGACCGTCTCCAGAATCGCAGTCCGGTACGTATCGACGACACCAGGATTGAGATTCTGGAGATTGACCAGACTCAGACCGCGCATGCTATCGTTCAAGTTCTGTTCCTCGGGACCGAGCGAGGCAAAACGCTCGATATTTTGCTCCGCCTTGGATGGAACGGGGCTGAAGATGCGAGGATCACGCGGTGCTCTTTTCATATTCACCAGAGGTTAGCATAGATAGACCCTCACACTCTTGAAAATTGCAGGGAAGACATCACTCACGACGAGATATTGTGAAACTGGCGAGCGGGACTGTCACTTCGAGAACCCATGATGGATATGATTTGTGTCGATTTGGTGATTTTTTCAGTTTTCAGTTTATCGTTGCGGCGTTGAACTTTTGATTGGACTTTGGCAATTTTCTTCTTTTTTTTTCGGTTTTGTCCGATTGTGATTTTGACGTCTTGTGTTGAATACACCTGCCTCCCCGATTCCATTTAACGTGTCGTGAACTTGGGGTATATATAGGGTTTGGGATCGCCACGGGTGGCTGAGTGGGGAAGTGGCTCGAGTGGCTAAGGTGGTCAACGTCGAAGTGATGTCGGAATTACATCGACTGGCGATATGGAGTCCATGGTTCATGACCGACGATTTTGGCATGATTTAATTTTTGCAGATTCGTGGTTGGGACAGAGCTGGTGGTTCTGGTATGGGGAGTAAGTTTGGTGTAAGTTATGCTTTGGATTCAGCTGTCAGCTTAACCTGTACTTCTTGAGGTTGGCATTTTTCTGTATTGAAATTAGTATTGTTTTGTTAGAAGGGCAATCTGAGAGCCTGAGGATACTGGTAGTGTCAGGATAGGAATCGGAGTTGATTATGGCAGAGGAAAGAGGGAAGAGGGAAAAGGAAAGAGCAAAGAGCGCATCATCATGCACGCGATTTCCGATTGTGAGCAAAGTTAAAGCTGAGCTTCCTTCCCCAGGTTGACATACCATGTGCTTCCAGGGAGCTCTCTTATTGGTCGAATCTGAATTGACCCTTTACATCCGGGCCTGGAAAAGGTTGGCTCTCAGGTACCTGACTTCCGGTATAATCTACTATACAAAAGATGGTATATTCAAGCCCACATCCAACTCTTGCGAATGTCCCACACGACTAGTTCGTGTCACCTTCTTTCTTCGAGAGTTTACATTTCTAACTTCTCTGCTCTTTTCTTCCTCTCTTCCAATCTTCCAATCTTCTAACTCTTTGTTTCTCCCAAGCAACCCGAAGCTTGCCATTGACCAAGTTTCGCCTTTTCTTTTCGCGAAGAAATCCAGTGATGGCTAGCAATAACGGGGCTACTCTCGTTCCGCGCACCAATCCTCCTCTTGGCCACGATGAGGAAAGTGCAACTCACATTGACAGTGACATGACTGATGCTTCCTACCTCAGCGACCCCAAGGAAGCCCGTCGACGTGCCCTAGCCGAGATTGACCAGGCCCGGTTCGGATGGCGCCATGTTCGTGCTGTGATCGTCGCTGGTGTCGGATTCTTTACTGACTCGTACGATATCTTCGCCATCAATCTCTGTGTCAGCATGCTTGGTGTGGTCTACTGGCAAAACGCTGCTTCCAACCCCGGCAAGATCCCCTCCAGCTCTGATACGGCCATCAAGGTCGCGACTTCCGGCGGTACCGTTATTGGTCAGCTCTTCTTTGGATGGCTGGCTGATCGCATCGGTCGCAAGCGCATGTACGGTTTCGAGCTCATGATCATCATCCTTGCTACCTTGGCCCAGGCTCTCGCGTCCGACTCTCGCGCTATCTCCATCACTGGCTTGTTGATCTTCTGGCGTGTTATCATGGGGATTGGCATTGGTGGAGATTATCCGCTGTCGTCGATCATTACTTCGGAGTAGGTCACCTCTCTCTCTCTCTCTCTTTCTCTCCAGGATTACACAGCGACATTGGCTGACGAAATAGGTTCGCAACTACCAAGTGGCGTGGTGCCATGATGGGAGCTGTTTTTGCCATGCAGGGTATTGGTCAATTCGCTGCAGCGATAATGGCTTTGATCGTCACTTCCGGCTTCAAGGAGTCTCTCGAAAGCGCAAAAGATGTCGCCCATTGCACAGGAGATTGCCAGCTTGCCGTTGACAAAATGTGGCGTACCATCATCGGAATCGGCGCCGTGCCTGCGTGTGCGGGTCTTTACTTCCGCCTCACCATTCCAGAAACACCTCGTTACACCTTTGACGTCGGCAAAGACATTCTGAAGGGTGAATCCGATATCCGTGCCTACATCAAGGGACAAAATGAAGGACACCCGGATGAGATTCGCCGTATCACTGTTCTCCGAAATCAAAACACCGAGCTCATGGTTCCTAAGTCGAGCCTCGGGGACTTTTACAACCACTTCGCCACATGGAAGTATGGCAAGGTTCTTCTCGGCACAGCTGGTTCATGGTTCTTCCTTGATGTTGGTATGTAATTCTCCTTTCCGAATATCGACGTCGACTAACCTGGCTTTATAGCATTCTACGGACTCGGACTTAACAACTCGATCATCTTGGGTGCTATCGGATGGACGGGCGGGCACAATGTTTACCAGGTCTTCTACCGCAATGCCGTCGGCAACCTGATCCTCATCTGCGCTGGTGCCATTCCTGGCTACTGGGTGACTGTCGCTACAGTTGATACGATCGGTCGCAAACCAATCCAGATGTTCGGCTTCATCATGCTTACCATTCTGTTTATCATCATTGGATTCGCCTTCACCCCCCTGAAGAATTCTCACAATGGTCTTCTGGCTCTCTATGTGCTCGCCCAATTCTTCTTCAACTTCGGTCCGAACGCAACTACTTTCATTGTGCCCGGTGAGGTCTTCCCTACCCGCTACCGTTCCACCTCCCATGGTATCAGTGCTGCGTGTGGCAAGATTGGCGCAATCATTGCGCAGTGTGTCTTTGGTCCTCTGGTCAATAAGGGTGCCCCGAAGGGTGTCACCGACAACCGCTGGCTCAACCACGTTATGCAGATTTTCGCTCTGTTCATGCTTTGTGGCTGTTTCACCACCTTGCTGATTCCCGAGAGTAAGCGCAAAACTCTGGAGAGCCTTTCTGGCGAAGACCTTGTGGATGACAGTGTGACCAACGAGCATCCATCTGGGGATTCCAATGGCAAGCAGCTGGAGATGACAGCTGTTTCTGCTGGAAAGTCCCAGACACACTAATTTGGGGACTTTTTTTTTTCTTTTTTTTTTCGCGCAATGGAGAGCTCGGTTGGAATGATTTCATATCATTTCCTTTTTTTCTTTTTTCCCCCCTGGCTTCGGTTGTTCTCTTGGTTTTTCCTTGATTTTGAATTCTTATTGCTCCAGAGGTCTGCGTTCAGCTACGAAGGAATTCTTTAATTGCCATAATCTTAATTAGTAGCTCATCGAGTCGCTATTTCAAAGCCTAACACCCAGGTGACTTTTCTCATACCTTGAACCCCAAAGTTTTGCATCTCATTTCACATTCTTGGCGACATCCATGAATGTATTGTTTTACAACACGAGACGATACTAAATACTCTGTTTTTTTTGGCTTATTTACTAATAGTAGCTCCAGAGTTTAGATGCTAGAGAGATGGCCTCAGCAATGAATAAATTCTTTGTTTGATTGGAAATGAATGTATGGGATCCAAGACAAGAGCAAAACTCTACACTGAAGATTCCATGGGTTTCTACTTTACTATGAAAGTAAGACAATGTTTGGAAGAGAAAGCAAAGTCAAAGTAACATGTGTCAAAGTCTTCATCCAATGCCCGAATCAACAGTCCACATCTTCAACCTGATCGGATGCTGTCTTATTTTCTTTGTCATCATTTTCTTTCTTTGGTATTGTCAAAACTTTTTAACTGAGGATCGGATTGTGAGTCAGCATGATCCTGCGATTTCTTTTGTTTTGCTTTGACCAGAACATCCACCTTCTATCCCGTTCCATCTGAATGAACAAAGAAAAAAGAAGACAATGTTTGACACACGACTTTTCCAGGATAGAATTGAGCTTCTCCACGACCGATAGATAAATCTATCCTCTTCTTCTCCCATGGAGAGATATCATACCTTTGCCAATACGGTTCTTTCGCGTAACTCGGCCGCCGGTTATCATGAAATGTTCCTTTGAAGAGAGGGAGAGGGAGAAAGACGACCTTGCTGCTCTGGGAGAGGGAATACCGATACACACAGCCGACGCGCATTTGCCGCTCGGCGATAACTTGAATCTTATCGACGAAGCGAGAACGACTGCGGAAGCAGATTTTGCTAGGCTTGGAGGGGGAATATCGGTCTTGACCGAGGACGCGATTCTACCGTTTAGCGACAACTTGACACTGGACGGTTATACGAGGGAGGCTGAAGAAGAAAATTATCCCGATCTCTCGGACGAAATCTCTATATCCACGGACGACATCAATCTCGCATTCGGCAGCAACGCGACTGTGCATAACAAGGCGAGCGTAACCGACGGAGACGAGGCTGGTCTAGCGAACATTCTAGTGGGAGAGGACGCATCTTCATTGACCGACGAGGCGGATCGGGTGTTTATTAGCGACTCGCTGTTGGAGGACAATATCAGTGTGACTAAGGAAGACGATACCAGTTTTGTCGACGAAGGAATATCCTTGTTCTCTGAGACTTTGGATTCTTCGCTCGATAACAACAGGACGCTGAACTACGACCTGCCAAGAGACCACGATTCGGACATCAGCAACCTAGACAGTGAGACGGAGGAGGGGGGATTCATAACCTTCAAGGCCCTAGATCTAGTATTCGGCAACGAAGTGACGCGAGACAGTTATATACCAGGCGAGAGCGCTCCGGACGTTGGTCCAGTCAGTATCAAGACACAGAGGATATCGATCAAGGATAAGGTCTCGCGCAATACCTCCCCACACACCAGCACGCCAGGCGGGATTGACATAGAGGGAATTGCTTCAGAGAATAACGCAGACAAAATACCAGAGAGCAGTCTAAAGAACACCCAGCCGCGGGTTGTATTCTCAGGCGTTGACCTCAATCTTCTCGCTGTTCAATTACCCCTAAGGAGACCTGAAACCACGCCTCAAATGGCAACTTTCGAAGTACCTTATGATGACTCCACCCCATCACCAAGTACTAGCTGCAGCTCCAGCTCTTTAGGAAGCAACAATCCGACCCAACCCCTGCCTCGACCTCCCCAGCATGCTCACCCAGCTCCTCATCACCAACAGCAAAGAAGATCCCAAGACTCATCACTCTCTCACTCGTCTGCATCGTCATTTCACACAGCGGAACATCCATCAGACGTCCGCAACGTAACCCCAGAACCAGCCTGGGTGCCAGATGACCCACAACCAACCCCACAACCCACACCAAACTCCGCAGATGAAGGCTACCTCGAAACAACTGCCGCAGAAACCGAGTACGACCTTATCTCTGCTCTCCAACTGATCGCCGACTCAGTCGCACAACAACGCCAAATCGCCGCAAACTCCATCCTCGGCAGCTTTTACTACTGGGCTCTCTTCATCGTTGTCTTCCAATACCTTTACAGCATCTTCTATTACACATCTGCAGACTGGATCATCATCATTGTCAGTACAGCCATCTTCGGTATCTTTTCGCTCAGCGGTATACAGTTCTGGACAAGTGGATACCTCGACGAGGCAGAGCGCGTCGGACGATGGTCTTGGCTATTCGGGTCACAATGGGTATCCAATTTCAATCACGGGGACGGAGATGAAGTTGGCCAGAATCATCGCACGGATTACACATCCGTTGCACCCCTGATCTGGACTTCATGTCAGGGAATCTGGTTCCGTGTTCCGGGCGGACATGTGGAGAAGATTCTAGCTTGGTGCGGTGCCAAGAGCGAGTTAAAGAAAAAGAAGGTGCTGAAAAGCAAATCTGTCGACGGAGTAAGCTCAATGGGAAAAGCATGGGAACAGTACAGCTCCGGCACCAGTCCGCGCGACACGGCTACCTGCGAGCTCGACGTGCTGAAGCTCAGCCTGGAAGAAGGCTGGCAGGAGGACAAAGTCTTCGTATCCCGGTTCAACGGCCGGGTGATTGCCACGCTAGTCGTGCGTATTGTGCCGGTTGATACTGATTCCGCGGTTATTGTTCCTCGGGACGATGATGAGTTGGATTCGGATTTATACGCTGATAATCGTCCCGTTTATCCGAGTCCTGCGCAGCGGCCTGAGAAGGTGGTTATTCGGGCTTGGACTGTTCTGCAGAAGTACCGTGGTCATGGTGTTGGGCAGGCGCTTTTGCAGTTTGCCATTCAGTATGCTCGGGAACTTGGGCTGCAGGGTCCGGAGTTTGCGATTGATCATGCTAATGCTTTGCGCGTTTTGCCGACTATGTTTAGCTATGGGATGGATAAGAGTGATAAGCGGGCGAGGCGCCGGCTTGATCAAGAGATTCGAAAGTTTGTACCAGCGAATTGAGCTCATTGTAATATTGATGGAGATGGATACTTCGAATGTTTAATTTTTGTATGCGAGGTACGGAGTTGGTTGATTGGGTATCGTCTAGGTGGTAGACTTGCTGTTGTTGGTTTTTTTTTTTTTGGAATTTCTATTTATTTACTAGTTTGCTTGAATACACAGATCAGGATCAGCTATCTGGTAACATGGCTAGGCTTAGGAACTTATCGCAGAAGTTTCAAGTAGTGCCCAGTATTTGGGTATGCAAATCTCCAATATTAAAATTTACATACTCCGAGTCCGTACGCCTCAGCAGATCCCGAAGATCCCGACTCCCGGAGCCTCGCCGGATGTCCAGATATCCGGCGGCAAACTCCCGCGACGCTAAAAATTCAACCAGTGGATTTTAGTCGGCTTTGCTTCGGGCGTATATAAGACATTTTAGGGTCCGGGGTGATTGGGTGGTTATCTAGTAGACTACTAGTAACTAGCATGCTGCCGCTGGATAAGCACTAGAGCATACTAGGAATAGTACCGGAATATTAATATTCCTGTACTAGTCTCGATACCACGATTTACTTGATTAAAATACGATTCCTCGTCTCGTTACCGTATTGGCGGCCCGATGTCCCGTAAATGCAAACAGCGAACATTGAACAATTCATCTGCATGACGCTAACCATTTTGGCTCGCTAACATGTAAATTATGATAGAATCCTCTTGGTATAATGATTTTATTGCCATAAATAAGTCATCATCACAGTATAGTGACAGGATGAAGAATTCATGTAGGTACTGGCTAGTACCGAACATGTCCAACATAGTTAGATCATTGGTTTAATTTTGAGGTGTATTGAGTCCGGTGAAGGGATTCTGAGCAATCTCCATAAGCGAGATTAGTCCGAATACTAACCCAATACTAGGGCTGCTTAGTGGTTGCTCGTCGTTATTGCCTGCAACATCTGCCCCGAGGGTAATGGCCCACACCATCCATATAAGTCGCAGCGACATTGTTCAAATTGAGGGCAGCTATAAATTACCGGAATTGTCAGTGAAATTCGTAAGCAAAGCGGGAAGCGACCGAAATCAAAGCAAACTCACTGGACTGCATCCATTCCGAAAAGGATGTGCCACAATTTTTCTAGCACCCAGCCGACTCCGAAGCCATCGGTCAAATCTGTCGTCGCCGCCCACTCCAGTATCCGTTGGTAATCCTCTTTCGGCCGTGCCCGGATCCGCTCTCGGCTCACGGCAAACTGTGCGCAGCACACATTCCCAATTTCGCGGGGCACCTCGTCAATGCCCACGTTGAATATTTGCTGGTACGCATCTGAAAATGATGCGCGGATGTCGTGGTTCTTGATATCTTCTTTGCTTGGGCTCAGGGGATATACGCCTGTCGGGCAACCTGGGTTGTGCTTACACCGGAGGTTGACGTACCCATGAGCATCGATTGATTCGAGACGAATGTTTCGCAAGGTATCGTCAGTGAGTGGTCCGAACAAGTCGTTGTGCCATTGCTCGTGGTATGCGTGTATAAATATTGAGTAATCGGGAAGGCGGTCGTAGAAGTCGACAATGTACGAAAGGTAGGCTGGTGATTCTCGGCCGCGGGAGGTGTAAGGAACTAGCAGTCCTGGCTTTGGGGTTTTGTCGGTAGTATAGATGAAAGGTGTGCTACCACTGAGTGCAATTCGGATTTTAGCTGTTGGAACTTGAATGAAATTCAAAATATTTGAAGCAACTCACCTTTCCTGGCAATATTCTAGTAGCCAGCTCAAGTCATCGGTGCGAATAGATGCGAGAACAAGACCGACACTTGAGTTGGCAGCATGTGATATGTACGCGTCTGTAAGGCTGGCAAGTCCCTTAACGGTCTGGCGAGATTTCGTATTGAACCCTGTATTTCTCGTCAAAAATGTCCATGGTCGGAGTAGGTATTGGGGGAGCAAGCGGTACCCTGAAATATGATCGACGGATCTGGATGAAGCAGTAGAAATAAAATCTGAACAAGAGCCAACGCGAGACATCCTGTGACAGCCCTTCTTAGATTAAGCCAATATAACAAGCGGGGCTTTTGTATATGTACAGGCCACATCCTCTAGAAAGCGGAGGGGCAGTCAGACAAGGTAGATGGTTGGGAACATCTTGCCTGTCCAGCTAGCAAAGCGCGCAGCCATCCTTGCGATCGGGAATGGTTTTAGTCTACCCAGGCAGCAGTTCAAATGTTTGCTTCCCCTTTAAAAACGGAACATGGGTAAAATCCTGTACCTATCACAGTATAGAAAGAAAGCCACACCGGCCTAATTTAGGATGCGCGTCGAACTTACGGTATATTGCGGTTCTGTGTAAATTACATCACGTAATGTTTTCCAGTTGTATTGTAAGATATGTATATATAGAAACGATTCAGCCTCAGGAGGCGGGCTGAGCCGTCGTCTTTCCATGTCAGGACTAGCGCACGCACGTACCATGCTCGAGAATCAAGTAAGATTTTTCAGAACTGTACATTGACAAACACACACAGAGATCAAATCCTCTTAACCGGATTGGTCAAGAGAACGAGGAACGGAAAACGGGAACTATGGGAAAACGATATGATTTGCGGGTGAAGGGAGGAGAAAGAAAAGAATTTCCTTTCCCCGCTATTCTAGTCAATACAAGTCACCTGTTGTGATGCGATAGAATAGGGGGATGAAATCCTAACTAATCTGAGGCTTGGCTCGCTTGAGCATGTCGTCGACCCCGTCGACCTAATCATGTGACCCTGACTAAGACTCTAATGGGGAGTCGTGTAACATCACCTGATCCCCTTGTCGGATGAAGATGTCATAACAGCGATGGTATTCCAAACTAATGCTAAGCTAGATGACCCTGAATAAGTGTCTGCTCCCACGTGACCTCACATGACACGAGAGACGCGGATTCTTGACGAACCAACAAACCAAACAAACTAACTAACGGAAGCGAGTTCAAGATACGAACTTGATGAATCAACGAAACTAGGGATGAATATGATGTATTACAGTATAGGGATTTCTAACTCTTGCCTATCTCTCCTACTAACTAGGAATGTTATATAATAATATCCAGACTCGGAACCGGAACCCACACAAATAACACATGCTTGTAATGATGATACACTTCAAACCCTCGCAACAATCTTCAAATTTCCTTCCACTCCGATTTCCTCCATCTCAACTTGTACCGTCACAATTTCCCAACATTCCACAAAATAAAAGAACATTCTGAACACCATGTAGGCTGTAATACACTTCTATGGTCACGTGGCACACGCCTCGTGGATCGGGCCCCGGCCCCCAACAATCCCCGCATCGAAAACCTCGGCGTCCTCGCTGAGCTAGAAGTGAACATGCAAAAGGAAAAAATACAACATAATCGATCAGCTAATCATACATGAATTTCGGATACCTTTCCTTCTCAGCCCAAGCGCCAGCGATCTTGAACCTCGGGTTTGTTGTCGGTGATAGGTTCCTCGACCACGTCGACGTCGACGAAATCCTCCCATGGGGCGTTCCGCGCAACCGTCACCAATTCGGTGGGGTCGCGGATGCATGAACGATCGAAGACTTAAGACGCCTCAAAATCCGGAATCTGGAGGTGCACGAGCCAGTGGTGCGCAATGGCGGCGGCCCGAGGGTTCGGTAGAGCGCGCAGACGAATTTCCGACCAAGCGGGCATGAAGAGCTTTTTGAGAAGCGTAAGCTCGCTTTTCAGGGATCCGTGACGTAACTATGTCGTCCAACAAGTCGTTGTGCCGGTGGGGGCTGTTACGCACGTGTATTCCTTCACATTCCCCACATTCCAAATTCACCCGCGACAGCATTTATGTGTCTAATACTGTGGGCCGTGTAGAAGCGGCCAAACCATCATTCAAACATCGCGGACATTCCTGGAGCACCAGAAATCATTCCCCGCAGGATGTGCAACTAACTGGACATCGGGAGAGGAAGTAGAGCCAGGGACGGAGGGCAACGGCGTTGATGGGCAACGGCGTTGATGGGCTGCGAGCGCACACGGCAGGGAGAATCTCGGGCCCGGAGGTACTGAAGTCTTTGACAGCGAGCGGGTCAGCAATTCAATAGAAGAGATCCCAGTAGATGGTATCGGTGGCCTCGGTGTACTCAAATTGAAGGACATCAGATTGATCACTTCAACAGAAGAGATCCCAGTAGATGGTATCGGTGAATTCGGTGTACTCAAATTGAAGCACGTCAGATTGATCAGGCTGAGTAGAGAGCTTGACCGAGATACCACCACCATTAGGGTTGGTTCTCCAGGCCTCGGTGTAGGTACCACCATTAGCAGAGAGTGTCTGCATATTACCTAAATCTTTGAAGACGGATCAAGCATATACATCCATGTCCAGATTATCGAGGATCAACACGGTTCAGCTTGCAGCCTCGGTATCATTGCGCTTGAGTATCATGCCAGAAGGAAGGGCAGAAGTCAGAGTAGCAAAGAGAGCTGCGAAACCGAAAGTCTTATTGAACATCATGATGTAGATAAAGACTGTGTTGGGTTGGATTTGTATAGTTTTTGACTTTGTTGAGTGAAGTCAAAGTGTGCTGAGAATGAGGTCTTGTGAAAAAAAAAAGTGAACTATGAAGTAAAAATACAATGGTCTTCAAAGAGAGAAAGACGATCGGATCAGAAAAGGGGATTGACCTGGAAATGACTCGAGGTGTGCCCGAGCGTCTGCAGTGAGCGGGAAAGTGCTCCAAGGTTTTGCTAGGCAGGCTGTCCTGCCTCCAGAGAACTGATATCAGGCGAGAGTTTCAAAAGAAAGTCGGCGGATGTCGGTATTTGCTGATCTGTCAAACCCATTGGGAGTCCTGCAGAGCAGCAGGATCTGGAGAAGGAGGGAGGGGTAAGCTCGATAATGCTTCATGTACCAAGCATCAGAGCAGCTAAGATCAGCTGGGCAGGATATGCGATCAGAAAGAAAAGGAGGGGGTAGAAAAGAGGAAGGAATAGGTAAAAGACGAAGTGAGGGAACGCTGAAATGCCAGTCTGCATCTGCATGGGAGATCCCGTGATCCTCGACAAGCAGATAGTGGAGGATAGAACTAATTCATTGGTATTGAATAGTGTATATAAATATATGTTAGCGGCGAAATACAGCCCCTGCTTAGGGAAAGGAAAGAACGGAGAGAGGAAAGCAACTGGATATGCTACTATGGACAATCTCTCTCGGGGGAATGGAGAAGGGAGAAGGGAAAAGGAACTTGAAGGAAGCAATAGCTAGTAGATATCTAGAGGGGGTCACCTGAACCCTCTCTGTCAATATTTGATCTCCAGTTAGTTACTGCTAATTCGCACTTGAAGTTAGAGCATCGTCAATCAAGCAACCAAACAACGCCCACGTCATTATTATCGCTGCAGAGCTCAACACTGACCGGAACGATAGATAACTAGTATGTACAGTATACTGCTTTACAACATACTAGTAACTGTGTTATCCCCTCTTTACTAATTGGGTGCCTACGGTGTTCTTTTGTCACTGATTTCCCGTACCTGAGTACCGAGTACATACCCGTTCCAAGTATTCAAATGTTAATCAAATACGTAGTACCTACTAATCTTCAAGATTGGATACATCCAGACGTCCAGGGTTACTGCCTCACTAGGACCTAGAGATACCTACTATACCTGGAACTTTCGCTGCGCGCCGAGAATCTCAAGTGTCAACTGGTGTAGACGATCACGCTGACCCTTTTGAAGTCATTAGTTACCGCACAGTACATAGACCTGCCATATCCCTGTGCGGCTTCTTGATACATATATATCGACTACGCTATTACACTTCCAAGGTTTATGATAAAACTTGGCGGCACTAGCGAATATTCTAGAACGTCAATCAAAGTCTGCAATGGTTGCACCCATGGACCAGTTTCGGGACGTACGGTAAAAGAAAATAGGCCGACTCGCATAAAATATATGCCGCTGATACGACAATGACGATCCATACTCAACATATATTTAACAGCCGACCGACCGAAACGGGCCCCCAACGTACTCCACAAAACCCGGTTTATTTACATTTGGTTCATGTCTGGGGAAGGCGACCGGGTAATACCCCAGAAAGGGAAAATAGAAAGCATGCAACTTGGGTCATTTAGCCAGACCTGTGGCTGTATTTGTCTCAAGTTATCGTCGGTTTGAAGAGCCCGCCTTTCCCGATAATCAGGCATCCCGGCTGAGAGCCTGCCGGTTGATGCCGAGGGCAACGGATGAGGCGTGGTGTGGCGTGTCTGCAGGGAAAAGCAAGGAAGCCAGGTGGATTTTACAGGCTAAATTCATTCTTGTCTTGGCCTTTTCATCCGCTGTACTGCGTGCGCTGTGGGGATTGGTAAGCTAGTGACTAGCTTCCCTCTCTTTTTCATGTGGGGCTCCGGGGTCCGTTTGACAATGCATCTTGGCTGTGTTTTTGTTTGTTGACATTGAAACTTAACAGAGGCTAGATTGAGATTTTAGATTTTTGGGCCCTTGAACTCTTTTAAGCAGCAAGATAGCTGCTCTTGAATTTGCTTGGTGATGTTAGATAACATGTTGAAGGAGTCTCGCAACACAAGGCGCGGGGTTCCCCATCTTGGACTGCGGAGGAAGTGGATCCTCAGAGCCAATCAGCTCCGCTACAGTGCAGGAGAACATTGAACAAGGAAAGGGTCGGTTGGATTTAGAGCACTTTGTTGAGATAATTTTCAACTTTCAAGTCAAATACTTCGGTATTCCATCTCATCTATATAAAAATGAATCATATAAAGACATCACAAAACCAGCAACAAAGACTCCATTTCAATGATTCCAAGGCTGAAGCTGATATCAAACGTAATTTATCCAAGGTTCCTAACCGGATAAATGGACATGCCACACCCGCAGCTAGAGCCAGCCAGAGCCAGCCACCACCGCACCGATCCTTTCCTTATTCCATAACCGACCCGGCTTAACCCCGGGTCCCGAGTTGTACTTTGAAAGTCCCCATGGGGGGTAAAGGGTCAAGTCCCGGGGAAATTTATCCAATCTTCCTTTTAATGCAAGTGAGGTAATGCAGCTTGCACGCATTACAGCCGGCAATAAATACTGCTGATCCCCAGCTTTTTTTGACGCGTTGGCCAATTTACTTTTGTCGCGTGTATACCGAATCTCCCTGATATAGGTGTCCGCACGTTCTGTTTTCTATTCCGAGCACTTTGTCTCCAGCCTTTCACTATGGGTCCTCTTCCGGGTGAGACGGCCATTTCGGCCAAGCGCGCTGAGCTCGCTGGTAAGGGTGGAATTTGGGGGTTGCTCAGTAATAAAAAGACCTCGTTGATTGGATTGTTTGCTTCGCTGGGTGGTCTTGTGTATGGATGTAAGTTTGGAGGAGAAGATGAGGAGATTGGATTTCGTGCTGGAGCTGGAGCTGACTGTATTAGACAACCAAGGAATGTTCGCTCAAGTCTTGACCATGAAATCCTTCCAGGATGCCGTATGTATTTCCAAAATGCCTGATGCTTTTTTCCCCTGCCTCTTGCATGTTCAACCATACTGACAAGTTTCATTGCAGACCGACGGATATGCTGCAACAACAAGTATCCAACAGGGTATGTTGACGTCGATTCTTGAGCTCGGTGCCTGGGTAGGAACACTCGCCAATGGATATTTGGCCGATAAGCTCGGTCGCCGTTTGACCGTCTTGGTGGCTGTGATCGTTTTCTGCGTTGGTGTTATTGTACAGGCATGTACACAAAACAAGAACTTTGTCTTTGGTGGTCGATTCGTTACTGGTTTGGGTGTTGGTAGTTTGAGTATGGTGGTTCCATTGTACAATGCTGAGCTGGTATGTCCAAGACGGAACAAAAAAATAAATGGAGAGTCAAGCTAACGGCTCGTGACTTATAACAGGCTCCTCCGGAAATTCGTGGGTCTCTTGTTGCCGTGCAGCAACTCGCTATCACATTCGGTATCATGGTTTCCTTCTGGGTGAGTATCGGTTTTCTCTACACATTGGCTCACGGCCTGGCCTCTAACATTAATAGATCGGATACGGTACCAACTATATCGGAGGCACGGGCGCTGGCCAATCAAAGGCTGCCTGGTTGATCCCTATCTGTATCCAGATTCTACCCGCTGTTACCCTCGCTATTGGAATGATGCTCTTCATGCCCCAGTCACCCCGTCACCTCATGAATACCGGTCGCGAAGAGGAGTGCCTGCAGACTTTGGCTCGCCTGCGTGGAACCACAACGGACGACCTGCTCGTGCGCATTGAGCACCTCGAAATCAAGAGCGCATACTTGTTTGAGAGACAGACTGCTACTGAGAAGTACCCTCACCTGCAGGACGGGTCGTTCTCGAGCAACTTCAAGATGGGTCTTCATGATTACATGTCGCTGATCACAAACAAGTCTTTATTCAAGCGGACCACTGTTGCTGTACGTGTTGTGTTATTCTTTAAGGGAGTATCCTGCTGACTTGAAATCGTAGTGTATGATCATGGTGTTCCAGCAGTGGAATGGTATTAACGCTATCAACTACTATGCGTACGTATCTCTATGTTCCACTCATTATTATGCTTGGAGCTTGCACTAACAACTCATATCCAGCCCTTATATTTTCCAAGATATGAAGCTTCCCGGAAACACTACCACTCTCCTTGCTACTGGTGTGGTTGGCATTGTGGAGTTCCTCTTCACCATCCCCGCCGTCCTGTTCGTTGATCAAATCGGCCGCAAGAAGATTCTTATCGCCGGTGCTATCGGTATGGCCTCCTGCCATTTCATTGTCGCGGGCATCATTGGATCGTACCAGAATTCATGGTTGGAGCACCGGGCGGCTGGATGGACGGCCATTGTGTTTGTGTGGATCTTCGTAATCAACTTTGCTTACTCTTGGGGTCCCGTCGCGTGGATCGTCACCTCGGAGGTCTTCCCATTGAGCATGCGTGCCAAGGGTGTCAGTATCGGTGGTAGCAGCAACTGGGTAAGTACTCTCTCCTGCATTTTCACCTTCCTTAATCCAGAGCCCGATCTAACGGAATGCCCCAGTTGAACAATTTCGCGGTCGCAACTGCCACCTCCCCCTTCGTCAAGGCTTCAACCCTCGGTACATTCATCTTCTTTGGATGTGTCACCACCATCGGTATTTTCTATGTTATTTTCTTCGTCCCCGAGACTCGAGGCCGTACTCTTGAGGAGATGGACGAGATCTTCGGTACGACAGGCATGGCCGCTGCTGATGCCGAGCGCAAGCACCGCATTGACAGTGAAATCGGTCTCCTCGCCCTGGTCGGCGTCGAGAGCTCCATCAATGAGAAGGAGCCCGAGGTAGTGGCTTCACACGACGAAAAGATCGTTGAGACTACGACTGGGGCCCCTGAGGCCCATGTCGAAGCGACACAGTAAATGATTGTTGCGTGCAGCAAGGAGTTGCTGTGTATGTCGTGAGAGATACCCTTGATTGATTTTATACTTCTTTATTTGTTTGTCCTCGTATACATGTAACATCTCCTGCGGCTGTGCAGAATGATGGGTCACCTGGTCAGTGTTTTTGCGAAGAGGATTTTGATGATCTTTGATCGTATTCCTCCTTCCGATTGGCTAGATGCAGTGTGGCTTCCCACTATTGTAATAGCATTAGCAATAACGCTCATCTTGCAGTTGATTCGTCACACAAATTTTAATCGCGTCTGATGTGTCCAAATGATTTCCAATGTTTATTCCAGATCCCTTGAGCCAAGAACTGGAGAAATGGTTTCCCTAGGCATCTAAGTAGTTTGGCTTATGGATTTCTGTGTATAGTTGTACGAGAGTGGGTCCGTTTCCCCACATATGTGGTTTGTTTGGTCAAGTTCCATCATGATACATCACTTTGTCTTACCTCTGTTCCTTGTTCAATTTTATGTAGTGGAATTTTCACGGAAGCCTTTTTAATACTTGACCTCCTTCACCTCCTTCAGCATCGCCATCTACACAAAGAGAATCCACGGCTTCCTCAACTCCTCAACTCATCGATCCTTCATCTCTCCTCCATCATCAACTAAACTCACATCCATCAAACTACTACACGCCGTCACAATGTCTTCAACAACCACATCCTCCGTCGCGGCCCAAACAACGGCCTGCACAGGAAATGTCTACGAACTCCCCACAACAGACGCTGCCTGCGCAGCCGTCATCACAGGCAACATGACCGATGTCTTCAACACCTGCTGCAAAGGCGATTCCCCCGTGAAATATGATAACGACTGCGGTATCTACTGTCTCGCCCAAGAACAAACTGTCGACCAGCTCCTTGTCTGCCTTCAAACAACAGGGAACAACTATCAAGACGTCTTCTGCAATGACAAGCTGAACGCAACTGCCACAGCCAAGGCAACCACCACTGCTACGGAGACGGGGACCAAGACATCGACCAGCACCTCAACGAGTACGAGCACATCGACCAAGAATGCCGCTGCGGGCCAACCCGTTTCTACGATGGGAGTTGGCGTTCTTGCTATGGTGCTCGTTTCCGGCATACTGGGTGTCTTTGCTTAAATGCGTCACGTTACAATATGGACTGGATTCCGGGGTTGAAGGTTATGGATTGTATGGGATTTTTGATATCTTTGCTATGATGGATTGGCTCGGATGAAGTGGAAGTGAAAATGAACAACGGCCCTTTTTACAATTTGACATAAAATTGCTTGTATGTACTAGTACATCATAAAAAATCTACATAATTTGATCTTGAATAATACGAATTATGATTCTTGCAAGTATATCCGTGGCCAATGAGGGCCGAGAAGAACCCTTGAATTTTCCGGATCGTCGCATTAGCGGATTTTCACCTGCATCGACTCCTCTTCTCCTCATCCTAATCAGGCAAATTCCCGGACATTGTCATGACAACTGGGGAAATTCAAAAAATGAAATTCAATATTTAAGGGCTTGTATACTCTGGTCAAGATTGCTTTTTTTTGTCAAAGGTTAGGAGCGGCCATATTCATCGCCATGTTTGTGAATATCCTTATTTACGGGTCATTGTTCTCGGGTCTGCTTGTTGATGCGGCGCCTCATGCGCCTCTTCGACGAGCAGATAATGGAATTGCAACGACCCCACCAATGGGGTAAGTCTTGTTGCCGAAATACCAAACACTTCAATTCTCCGTCACGGGGAGTACACTCTAATGTTTTGAACGTCACAGCTGGAATACATACAATCATTACTCTTGCTTCCCAAACGAGAGTATCGTCCACTCCAATGCTCAAGCTCTTGTAGATCTTGGGTTGGCCGACTTAGGATACAAATATGTCACCACTGATTGCGGGTGGACAGTCGCCGACCGACTGGCTAATGGATCTTTGACTTGGAACGCAACCTTATTCCCTAGTGGATTCATAGCTCTTGGTGATTATCTGCATGGGCTAGGGCTGTTGTTCGGGGTTTATGAGGATGCGGGGATCCAGACTTGCAGCGAGGGACAGATCCAGGCTGGCAGTCTATGTGAGCAAAACTATATCGAGTGTGAAGCAGTCATATGTATTGGATTCTCGGCTAATTATGATCACAGACCATGAGCCCCAAGACGCAGCCCTTTTCATGTCATGGAACATCGATTCTCTGAAATGTATTGTCCTCTTTCACCCCACAAAGATACACAGCATAACAATCCAACTAACTCTTCCAGATGACAACTGCTACTCCGACGAAGCGACCGGCTATCCAAACGTCGACTACACCCCTAGTACATCCCCGTCTCTCCGCTACGCGAACATGACCAAAGCGCTCAACGCCCAATCCCGCTCGGTGCTCTTCCAAATCTGCGAATGGGGCGTCGACTTCCCAGCTCTTTGGGCCCCGGCTCTAGGAAACACCTGGCGGATCGGCAACGATATCATCCCCGACTGGCGAACAATCTTCCGCATCCTCAACCAAGCAGTGCCCAACCAGCCCTATGCCGGACCAGGCGCATGGCCTGATCTGGATATGCTCGAGGTGGGCAATAATGTTTTTACCACTGCGGAGGAACAGACGCATTTCTCGCTGTGGGCTATTATCAAGAGTCCGCTTGTGATTGGCGGTGCTTTGAAGGATGAGTACACGAGTATTGCGCAGAGCTCACTGGATATCTTGTTGAATGAGGATGTCGTTGGGTTTAATCAGGATTCGCTAGGCGTTGGTGCTCAGCTGAGGAGGAGATGGAGTGATGAAGGTTACGAGGTTTGGAGCGGCCTGCTTTCGGGTGATAGAGTTGTTGCTGCGGTTATTAACTGGGAGGACGAGGAGAGAACTTTGACTTTGGATCTGCCCGATGTTGGAGTGCAGTATGCTGGGACTTTGAAGAATATTTGGGGCGCGAGCTCCGTTGAGGGAGTGAAGACGTCGTACTCGGCATCCGTTGCTGCTCATGGCGTCTTGCTAGTCGAGCTTGGGGATACCACTTCAGCTGGAACATATTCTAGTAGTCTTTTTGCAACTTCATCTGGGTATGTGGACCCAACTTCAGGAGAAAAATCACGCTAACTATCTGCAGAACAACGACCACATTCAACTCAGTCTACGCGAACACAACTAGTTCAAGCCACACAGTGTCGATCGAGTTCTCCACTGCTCCCTCAAAGGCAACAACCATTCAGCTAAGCACCTCAACCAACACAACATCCCAGACAATTTCAGTCCCAGCCTCAAGCAAAACCATCACAGCAAAACTTTCCTTAACCGCCGGCTCAACAAACACCATAACTGTCAAATCCGCAACCGCAATCGAGGCGATAACCATCCAAGCACCAACAGGAACATATTACGCAGGCGAGACAGACTTCACTCTCGCCGGATCCGCCGTCATCGAAGACTGCGGAACCTCCGGCTGCGCTCCAATAGGCTATAAAATCGGCTACATAAGCTCAACCGGCACAGCAACAGCCACTATCCCAGCAACGGTCTCCAGTGCCAACGGTACGGAGGCGAAATATATTGAGATAGATTATATCAACAATGACGTTGCGTTCTCGACGACCTGGGAGTGGGGCTCGAATTCGCGGAATATTACTATTGCTGTTAATGGGGGTAACCCGGTCAGACTTGAGGTCCCGCTTTCGGGTCACCAGAGCGAGCTTTTTAGTGCTGGGCTGGGGTGGTATGATTCGGCCACTTTGGGACTTTTGGTCGATGGGTGGAAGAATGGGGATAACACTGTCGTTGTGGCTAATGCTGCTGATACCGATGTTTCTGCGACTTGGGGTGCTGACTTTGTGGGATTTAGGTTCTTTGATTAGCTTCATTTTGATGAGGATTTCTGTAGAACGTGGCCCTTGGAACCTGTTTGTGATTTCCATCACTGACAATATCAATTTGATCCTTGAAGAGGGAAGAAACATGAAGTGATGCTTGATCAAAAGCCCAAGTTACGGATATAAATTTCTCAATTCTAGCTACAGAACCTACTAGTTGACTATGTGCATGAATGAGCAGACAATAGCTTCATCAATAGGAACCCATTGAGCCTACAATGTTAGACCCAACACGTCACACCGAATCTCAATTTCCAATACGACCTCAGCGTGTACTAGTATTTACTGACTCGCACCAGCTGACGCCACCATCTTAGCAAAGTCAGGCGTTCCCAGCCCAGTAACAGGGTCCCATCCTTCAGTAGCATTCCAACTAGCATAAGGAACAACAGGGCCACCGTTCGATGCACCACCAAACCGTGCATTCCCGTTACAACCAGTACTACCGCCCGTAGTAATATCGTTCAAAGCAGCTTGCCCACTAGACGAGTACAACCAAGGGTTCAAGAATCCCAGCGCCGGCTTACCAGCTTGGATGAGCGCATCGTTCACAAGAGCAATAACACCCGCAAAGGTAGGCGCAGCGCAGGACGTACCATCCACGGCGCTGAGAGAGCCCTTCTCGTAGATAGCGTAGTTCTGGCCCTGGGCCGCGACATCGGGGAAGGCACGGCCATTGGGGTTGAATAGACCGGACCACTGATCTCCCAACTTGTCTAGGTAAGCCTCAACGACATCGTCCTGGTAGCTTGGGCGAGACCAGAGATCCGAGAACCCTCCCGAGGAGAAGTAGACTGCTTTCTCTGGAGCGATGTGTGTTGTCGCACCGACAGATGTAACCCAGGGACAGGAGGCTGGGAACTGGGGCGGGAAGTGAGTGGCGTTTGTGCCATCGTTTGTCTCGCAGGCTGCACCTACGCCCGAGTCGCCGGACGAAAAGATGATCGAGACACCACGGCTGCCGAGCTGGGCGTACAGGTTGCAGACGCTCTGGGCGTATTTGGCTGGCACGCTTTGTTCGTCTTCGCCGTAAGAGTTGGAGATGACCTGTGGGAGGTCGCTGTCGTTCATTTTGACAACTTCCTGAAGGAATGCGAGATAAGGCTCGTTTTCATCGTTGTTGGCGTCGGGTTGGTCCAGGTCGGGAACTAGAGGGGCACGGCCACCTGTGCTAAACTCCGTGACTGGGACTGGGGAGCTGACGCCGAGAATGTACTGGAGATCTAGGTTGGCTTCGCTGCTGTCGCTAGCTGCGTTCTGATCGTTCAAGCCGCCATTGTATTGAATCACAGTGAAATTTTGACCCGTTGCGTAGGGAGCGATGTTTTCCTCGAACAAAGCTAGGTCTGCGTACCGAGCATACTGTTCCAGGTAGCTGGCAAAGGAAACCTTGTTGCCATTGTCGGACTGGGCCTTGTAATCACCAACGGAGTAAAGGTCCTTCAGACACTGCGGCGTGATGGCACTGTTGCAGTCAGTGCTTGCGTATTGGGTTGCTTTTCGGAAAGCGTCGTTCACGGCCTTTTTTCTGCCGTGCATGGTAGCACGATTGGCATGCATCTGACCGAAACGAACAGTTGGGGTAACCATATTAATATAGTCGACCAGCGAATCGGGAATCGAGTATTCTAGGGTTCGAAGGCGCTCTGCATGTTGGCTGCTGCTGACGTAGTACTGGAAGTTGGCGTCCAACAGCTTATTGGCGGTTTCAACGGTCGTGGAAAACTTCAGCCAGTCGGCGTCTTGTTCGATGTTCGTGATGCCTGCATCTTCCAACCATGCGCGGGTTGTATCTACCGCTGCAGCGCTGGGCTGCAGCATACGCTTCATTTCATCATGAGTCCGAAAGTGCTCGCCATACTTCGCATGACCAGGGGTCGACATGTCCATCAAGGCCTGCTCGAATCCAGGGACATCACCCTGTGTCAAAGCCACCTGCAGCTTAATCGGCTGGCTAGCACTAGGGGTTCGGGAGTAACGCCATCCTACACAACTTTTCTTAGCTTGGACTATTTTCTTTTGAATTTTATGCAAACATACCCTCGGGGACAGCAGCAAGACGTTCAAAGACTTCAGCCGCAGCACAAGATGCAAGAAGCGACACAGCCGCCAGCGACCAGGCGCCGCGGTTCATAATCGACACGAGCATGATTGAAGGGAGCGAATTGGTCCCTGGCTACAGAGGAGAGCCGAGCCAAATATTTAAATAGGCAAGGCACCGGAATGACCGACACGAGAGAGGGGTAGATGGATCGGACTATTTATTATGGTTGCATCGGCGTGGGGAGAATGACTGACAATCGACTCAAGAATGTGGTGAAAAAGAACCAGTCCTAACCTTCGTCGCTCATGTGCGATGGCAACCTTGCAGCTCCTGAGGTCTTGGCCTTGCATAGTCCCACTATTTCAGTGGACCCTGAGCGGATGCCCGTCGGTATCGTGATTCGTGATGCATGGTCTCATCTCATAAACTTGGTGCCTGGAAACCCTGATCCAATCGGATATTGCAGTCTGCAGCTTGCCGGCGTAGTTGGGCCAAGAGTAGTTCGAATAGCCAGTGATGTGATCGGTATGGGGAAACCCCCTCCCTTTCTGGGCTGAGACATTTGCGACCCTGGACGCGCGACGCGGTTCTGGGGCGATGATCGACAGGGGAGACCCACCCTTGACACGGAGCGAATGGGAGGAGTGACGTCTCTTCTTCGATGTGATGTGGATAGTCTAGGGCGCAGGATGTGGGTTAGATCGATCGATGTAATGCATAAAGTGTGCCTGGCAGCTGCAGAGAGTGAGATTTCGAAATCATCCGACTTGGAAGCTGGAATGTGGTCTTCTGAATCTGGGGGATTTTGCCGAAGGCACGAGCTCTTGGCATGATGATCTTGAACCTTCCTAGTGCTCGATGATGTCTGGGCACTGGCATTATTCATCCGTAGCCTGATGGGAAGACATGTGTTCATGGTTCTGAGTGTCGCAAGATGTCGACTGAGACGTGTTATTTCCCATGAGTCTCGTGCCATGAGACAGCCTGGTTTTATTGCCACGAGGTTTCAATATGGACCGGTACATGTCCAGCCACATTCAATTGCTTGCCTAGTAGACATTGAAATCTCTTTGGGTTAGTGAAAGATATGTTACAATACCCCGTAGTTATCTCCGAACCCAACACTTGCCGAGATATTCTTCAAGGTTGGTTTTTTGTCAGGGGTAAACCTGTCACGGGCCCGACCCGGGAAGTTCCATGGGTACAACAAACCCCGTGAACCCGTTGCACACATGTGTGCAGAGGGGTAGTATTTTCCAGGTCGTCTGAGATGTCAGACTTCGGAAAAAAAATATATTGAAGGTACATGGAGTTAATCTCATTTAGTATGTGCAAAGAACATTAATGCTCCACTCTAATCCAGTATTTATGTACAAAGCAGCAGCGTTGCCTTTCGGCGAACTCCCTACAGGTCACCAGATTCATTGGACGCTGCCTCCTCATTTTCCAAATGCTGGGCATAGACCATCTGAGCGATTGCATCCTCAGTCTGGAGATACGTGCGACTTCCCCGGATAAACCAGAAAGCGATCGAGATAACAAGCATAACACCAAAGACAGCGATGGCATAGTTCATGTCACTGGGTGCTGGGTTGGGGCTTCCTGGGAATAGGAAGAAGATGGTGGTGATGATGCAGTAAACGATGCTAACCCAATTCAACCAAGCGCCCCAGCGACCGAGTTTGAAGGAACCGCCATCGGGCAGTTTGTCGCGACCAACAACCAATAATGCGAGGATGGGCATGGCGTATGACACAGTCAAGGCGATGGTGCTGACACTGAGAATGGCCTCGAGCACGGTATTGGCGAACAAATACAATATTCCAACGACTCCGATCACGAAGCCCTGGCCCCAGAGAGCTCGGGCGGGAACTTGCCACACAGGGTCGACGTGGCTGAAGTAACGGCTCCAGGGAAGGCCGCCATCACGAGCGAATCCCCAGGACAAACGTGAGGCTGTTGTTAGAACACTGACACCTTGACCCAGTCCATTGAAGATGAACAGGGCAATCAGAACTGCTCCGCCCTTAAGTCCGACCGTCTCAAGCATCAGCTCCATGAACGGCAGGCTCGCGTTGGTGACATTGTCCAGATTCTGGATACATCCCAGACAAACCACCATGAAGATAAATCCAGTGATGGCACCGAATAGGACGGCCATCCAGATAACACGGGGGGCGTTCTTGCGTGGGTCGGGGATTTCCTCAACCATATGAATGACCGAGTCGAACGCGGTCAATCCATACGCGGCCTGAACAAGACCCGTAAACCAGACCACACCATCACTCCATCCAGTCTGGTTAATCCACTTTCCAAACACAAATGAAGCAGGCTGGAAGTGGAGGTCGCCCTTTACACCGACCGAGATAACCAGAGCCAAGGACAATACAACAAACAGTCCACCGAACCACACACCAACAAAGTTGTTGAACCAGGGCAGGATCTTCTCCTTGCGACAGCTGACAACGTTGATGAGAGTCAATAGGAAGACCACTCCGATGTAGACGAGGAAGTTGACCCATCCCTCGTTGACACCGTTCCAGTTTGGTGCAAACATGGTCTTCATGCCGAGGAGGAACTCCGTCATGAAAGCGACTTGCGATGCTGTCAGAGTCCACCATCCGAATGTGTTGATCCACGCACACATATAGGAGACGAATCGGCCGAGTGGCGTGCTCCAAAGTCGGTAAACCCAGTAGGCTTGGCCAAGAGCTGTGGGCATGCTGCTTGTCAGTTCGCCCAATGACAAGGCTACACAGAGATTGCAGGCTGTGACGAGCACAAGACCCCAGAGAATGGTGATAGGGCCGCCATTACTGAGTCCGCTGCTAAGATCCTGCGCGAAAGTAGAATAGGTTCCTATACACAGTGACAATTATTAGCTTCATTTCATGGCATCAATTGTTGTATGGCTGCACAGGTGCACCGTCCTCTGGCTGCACCTGGGCATCTGGGGCCCTTTTGTGGGTGGTATATTCCGCGATCTGGGGACCTCGAGGGCTCGGGTGGTACAGTGGCGAGGAATTGGCATACCAAGAACACAAAAAGCAAGAGCCAACATGCTCCACATATCAAATTTTCTCGTCAAGGCCTGGGCATGACCCATGGCGGCGAGGTCGGTCGCATCCTGCACATCCTGTTCATTTTCGAGCGGTGGTTTGAGGGGAAGCGAGTTGGAATTCGACTCCAAATCCATCGTAGTTTCAACCGGAAGCAATAAATATTAATTCGACGGAGAAACAAGTAGACGTAGCGCCCATTTTCTGCCCGAAGCTGATATCAAAAGAAAAGAAAAACGAGGTTAGGGGCGACTGGGCTGAATTCTATATAACTTGTTCTTGGTGGTACATTAGTGTGCGATCGTCCTAGGTTTGAACAGGGCAGGACCGGGCGCTGGTATCAGTTGTATCTCCGTCCCCAGAGAAAATACGGGGGCGGCAGATAAAGCTGGAGCCGAGCGAATTGGCCAATTACAAGTGGATTTGAAAGTGAATTGACGGGTGGAAACTGTTGAAAATGTTCAAAATTGGTCATGGGCTAAAGGTTGTTGGTCATAGAAACGATCATCGTTAGGTGTGGCTTTTGGTTTTTTGCGGGGAGCGTCGCCGCCTCGGAAGGACTTTCTAATGTCGGTTATCGCTTTCCCCACGCTTGATAACCCATGCACACGCGAGTAGGTACATTCAACTTCTAAAGGATGGTGCATAACTTAAAATCTATATCTGATAGTTAATCATCTCCTAGGTGATTCATTCATCTGCCCAGAAACATTTTGATGTTGATATTTCTGTTGCGGTATTCATGTATACTAGACCATCTATCATCTATCCGATGTCGGAAGCTTCGGTCATACGCCCATTGTTGCATCAATCTCCGTAGTATACAATTTACAATAGTAATATGTGAGTCAAATCTAACTGCTAGTGAGTACGCCGCATCCAAGGGTCCCTGCAGCCATCTAAGCCATCGAAGTTTACAGACATAAGCCGAGATCAGAAAAGCCATAGAAGCCGTCAACGGATCATCAGTGCCCAGGTGGCGACGCTTGGCCTGAAATGGAAAGTCCATGCGACCAGTTGACCGATAAGCCGAACCCACCCTTATCGCCTTTGACAGCGGACTAAACTCCGCTACTAAACATCACGAAAATATCCTATCGTCTTGGATTCGTTTTTTTTTATTTGTCTATTGTATGATCGATGGATTTGATGATCAGATAAAGATCTATCTCTGTGGAGCTTCTGCTTCTAGAAGGTCCCCTTTCGACGTATTTTCGCTTTGCTAAGCTAAGCTTTTGTTTAGTAAATATAATAAATACTAGCAAGCTCTGGAGTCTGGATGCATCCACAGACCACTGAAGCATCAAAGTTGGACAAATCAGATCTTTTGATAATAAAATTAACTGAGCAATAAGGGGAAACACGACACGACGGTTCCGGGGTATCAACATATCACCGGTGAAAGGGTTATTGTCGTGATATCACTTCGGTAATCCGAATGGAGAACTCCACACACGCAAAGCTTGGTGATGAGAAAGTGGAGGATAGTCGGTAAGAGCTTGATAAACTTTCCTTCCATTTATTTGGAGCTCATTTTGTTCATCCGGCTCGTTCTCCCGATTATGGTGTCGATGTACACCCGTAATTGGCCTAAATCGCCGTCTCGGTACTAAAGTCTCCTTCACCTTCCTTTCTCGGCACCCAATGTGGATTCATATTGATATTCGTATATCGTCACGAGGCTGAGATAAACTCGAGAACGGTGGGCATCAAAAGGCGGGGTATGTTTCTATGACATGAAGCTATCCACGGATCCCCACTCGGAAGTATTCGTGTTGTTTTGAAATTGACGACATTTGAATATCATCTCGTGTTTCTCGCGGAACATTTTCGCGATATACCACGGGCTTATTAGTCCCGATGATAGTCAGGTACCGCGCAGTATGCTAGACTTGTTTAGGCATTGCTAGGCAACTTGTCCGTGTTCGGCTTAGGCCGCCAGATTTGCTCCACCTGGGTCATAGCATTCTCGCACTGCCGATTGCCGATTTGATAATTGGATTGCTAATCACATTGTGCAGGTCAAATATTTAGTAGTAGTGGTTACTTAGTAGGAATGAATTGAGTCAGGTGACAGAGAAAAGGAGAAACAAGTAGTAGATGTGATTGATTACCTATCAAGTTCAGGTGACTTCTCCATATGTCAGTCATCATACAAGTATTACTCAAGTGCATTGTACACCTAATTATAGATCGCCTGCCCATGTGCCTACATGTGGTGCTACCTAGGCAAATGCTAAAGCTTATGTACTCTTCAGGTATACACTGTCTATATTTAAATATGGTATTCAATCTTTTTTTATGATTTCCCGTAAGTTTCCCCTGACTCCCGAAGTCCTAAGCTTGACATATCTAATTGGCCTCATGTTGTAAGTATTCGGTATATCTCCGTAATTTCTCAATTTATGCAATCAATTTATGTGCGCAAAAGGGCAGAAGAGGCTTTATCAGTAGTAGGACATGCTAGTAGTTACTCATGCAGCACGACTAACTCGTGTAGGCTTCATATTGTGATTTCAAAGAAAACGTGTTGTGTAGCACCTTGCCAATCCCGTATCACTACATGCCCCTTCCAAGTATTTGCTGACTTTGTCTAATTCATTGAATGCAGTGACTGATCCTCAGAAGAGCATTCACCTCTCACCTGCAATAGCCCCAGCTCCTCTCTCGACAATTCTCCAACAATCTTGCTTCACCCGTCACCCTTCGATTTCGAGCTGCAACCGCGAAAATGGCCTCATCCAATGAGTTGGAACATAAAAATCTTTACAAACACTACGTGCCGTCCGGTATCGCAGCCACCGTAGTCGCGATTTTGTTCTTGATTCTCACCGTGGCTCATGTCTGGAAAGTCTTGACGACAAAGCGATGGTTCGCCTTAACCATTATCGCCGGGGGTCTTTGTAAGTGACACCATCATATTCACACAGATTTATTCGCTGACCATCCCGTTAACACAAAGTCGAGTTCATCGGTCTTGCGGCTCGTGCGTACTCTAGTCGCCACCTATCTGACAAGGGCCCATTCATCATTCAAGTCCTTCTCATCCTTCTCGCGCCGATTATCTTCTCTGCCACTATTTACATGTTCCTCAGTCGCCTGATAAACGCTTCGAAACACCCTCAACTCTCACTAATTCGAGTCCGACTGTTGACTGTTACCTTTGTCGGCGGTGATATTTTTTGTTTCTTGGTGCAAGCGGCTGGCGGAGGGACGATCGTGAATGCAACTACCCCAGCGAAGATCAAATCGGGTCAAAACCTTGTTCTTGGCGGTATTGCTCTTCAGGTCATCCTTTTCTGCTTCTTTGCTGTTACCGCTGCTGTCTTCCACGTCCGCATCTCTAAGCGACGTTTTGACCGGATCTTAACTCCGGGCCTGCATTTAAATGCAATGCTGTTTTCACTCTATCTCTGCAGTGCCCTTATCACCGTCCGGAACATCTATCGCCTTATCGAGTATGCAGGTGGAGAGACCAGCTACCTACAGACACATGATTGGCCAACCTACGGGTTAGATGTTGGACTGATGGCCGTTCTGATGATTGTCACTCTCATGTGGTATTTTGCTGATACAAAGGGTGAACATTATAATGATACTGGAGCATACACTTTGCGCCCAGTTTATCCCATACCCCATGTTCGAGGTTGAGTTCTGGGGTGTGCTGTATTTCGTCATCACAAACTGCGGGGGTTCAAAGGCTTGTATTTTGACTTGAAATGAACATGTAGCTACATCTAGCAAGCTTTGGCTGCATTTCCCTCTCTTTCGCTATCCTTTCAGCGCTCTTTACTCGCTTCGTAAAGTAGGTCACGACTCACAACTAACAGTTTCACGAGGGTAGGAAGACGTAAGATAGTGGCGACAATGTTGGTCGCACAAAATGATTGAATGAAGCTTTGAAATAAATGCTGTGGCACAATAGTCAGCCCAGGCACTGTGCTGGATTTCATAACAAAAACGTGCATTTTCTTGTCCTTTCTTCCATTGTCTTGGCTTCGTTCCCCGCAAAATCGATGATCCACATCGAGTGGCGATCGATAAGCATGGATAGTCGGCAATTTGTTGTTCCGGTGGATTCGTCCACAGAAAAATTCATCCCCACTTAATCAGATCAAACAATCTGTTAATCAACAATCCAACATGGCCAAGTCCAAGGCTGCTAAGCGCAAGCGCAATGCGCAGGTCGACCTCCCGCAAAAACTCCCCAAGGCCGATTCCACCCTCACGCCGCCTCCTGATGGCACAACTCTGGAACCCAAACACCTCAACACGGTTGTCCCGGAGGAAGACCTCGAAATCACCATTGAGACACTCACGGCCCTCACCCAATATCCGAACCTTACCAAGTCGAAGGCATGCAAGGACCTCCGAGGTGCAGTCTACGATTTCCGTCAGGCCTGCACCACGGGCGTCAATTCTGCCGAGGGCGCAAACTTGACTGCACGAATCACCGGTGCCTTGACCGACAAGAAGTTCCTCGATGCCAGAATTCTGCTTGCGGAGATGAGGATCAGACGCGAGCAACCCAAGATTGGAGCTTTATGCCGTTGGGTCCGTGATTTGGACGTTGTGAGCGGTCTTTCAACGCAGCCCGGCGCAAATCATGTTCCGAAACGCAGCGCGGAAGACTTGGACCTCCTTGGTGTCCTCGATGCTGTCCTTCGTGTCAGCACTCCAATCGATAGCTTGAACGCTGCCGACTCGCCTGGACCCATTGCCTTCCAATCTATCTGGGATCTTCGTCCTTCGTCAGAGCCCCTCCAGATCTATGCCTCGGTTCTCGATAAATCAATCCTGGAACACGCACCAAAATCCCCTACCGCCCTCCGTGTCATCGAAACAACCCCCGGACCCATGCGCAAGCCTCCCAACCACCACCCTGCCCTTCTATATACCACCGCTCCCAACGCGGTCCCTCTCAACCCAGTCGCCCCATCTATAACATACAACCCCCACCCCGCCGTGCCTGGGCTCGGTATGGCCATGAATGTACTCTCTCCCACAGAGTGCAGAGCCATCATCGCAGCTGGCGAATCCGTCAACTTCGTCCCCGATGTCCCCCTCCGCGAAGACGGTGATATGAGTGTTTTGGCACACAACTTCTACTGGGTCATTGACACCACATTCCACGATATACTTTGGTCGAGAATCTCCCCATATGTCCCGCAGTCCATCAACGGTCGCATGGTACGGGGCGTCAACCGACGCTTCCGCGTTTATAGATACGTGCCCGGTGCCGAGTATCGATGCCACATCGATGGTGCTTGGCCGCCATCTGGTATTTTGCCTGATGACACATACGTGTATGACTCCTCGCCTGAAGATAACAGGCAGAGCTCCATGTATACCTTTTTGTTATACTTGAACGATGAGTTCGAGGGCGGAGAGACCACATTCTTCATGCCTGCAGCACGGGAGGGTACGCTCAATGCGTACCCCGTGCGCCCGGTGATGGGAGCTGTGGCCATCTTCCCTCATGGAGAAGCAAATGGGGCCTTGTTGCACGAGGGAACTGGTGTAAGGAAGGGGGCGAAGTATATTATTCGAACTGACGTAGAGTACGATGTAAAGCCACAAGAGTAAGTCGATCTCTTGCCCGTATATAATGAATGACTTATTGCTGCGGCCACATTTTTTGGTCGCAATCATCATGACTCGCCCTGAGAACATTTGGAACAACTTTGAATAGTGCTTGATTGACCCACGAAGGTTATTTATCGCCAGCTATATAGCACTTCATATGGGCGTATGTATGAGTCCGGGATTCTTGGAATTCCTCATGTACATAGTCCTTCTGCACACACGTGCACATCAGTGCTGATTGATGAATATATATTGATCACATCAATTGATGATGGCTTTCAAACTACCCATTACACCATGACCATCTCCCCCGCTACCTCGTAGTTGGATCCATACTCATCCACAATCCACTTGCAAAATTCCTCCCACTCAGCATTCCACGCTTGAATGTGCTTGGCCTTGGTACCGGTCCCTTCTTGACCGCGGTCAATATCTTGAATCCACTCCTTGTCAGATTGGTCTTCGAAATTTGCCCATCGCAGACTATTCTGCGCCAGTGCTCCCTGTTACAAACTGTTAGTTAAAGAGTCCGGTTATCAGGATAAAGGAACCTACCAATCCCGCGAGGCCAAGGTTATCAAAAGCTTGGATGGCTTCATAGAAATCATAACTCAAGCCCGCCACGTCTTGTCCAAGCATAGCAGGATCATCGTTGCTGATTGCAGTCGGAATACCGTGGGCAATCATCGCAGGCAGGGGATGGTGAAGGATATCAGTGTTCAGGCGAAGAACTTCGTTGGAAATGGGACAAACTTCCACAAGCACGTTTTGCTCGATCGTTTGCTTGATCAAGTTCGGATGCTTGTACATGGAGAATCCGTGGCCGATTCGTCGCGTGTTAAAGAGGAGCGCATCGAACAAGTTGTCGTCTGTGGAGTTCCCATCGCCTAGTGTTTCTCCTGCGTGGAAGAAGAACGGAATGGTAAGGTTGAGGGCCTCGGTCTGTTCGCGGAACCAGACCAGCTCTGGTGCCAAATCAGAGAGGGGACGACCAAGGTCTTCTTGTGCAACCAAGTCGTAGCCACTGAAGAGCTCGGGGAAATTTTGCTTTCTCTGGAGAGCGATTTTCATGCCTATCTTGGTCAGTAAGATGTTCAATGTTTTGATCGCGGGTGGTGTTCTTTATCTTACTTCTGGTAAGCGAAGCGCGGTTTTTCCCACGAGCGTCGGACCAAATAATCCTCACGCCTAAAAAGTTCTTACCTTGCTCGGTGGCCTTGAATTTCTCAATCTCTTCTACCAAGACAGTCCACCACGCATCGAGGCTAGGATCAACATCTTCCTGGCCATCATGTACAAGTTTCCCACTCGAGCCACCGCTCCGAATCTCCACCCAGTTAACACCGTCGCCCGCCAGATCCGAGAAGAGCGTCTGATAAAAGCTCCGAACGACAGGCTCGTACTGGATCATGGTATTAGTGGGACCGAAGCAATCCTGGAACCGTCTCCAGATCTCATCAACTCCTAATTCATGGCGAATAGACTCGGCCGGCGGAATAGTCATCTTATATTTGATGAACTCAATGAAGCCCGCTTCACCACCGACAAAGTTGGCTATGGCTGTTGTGACAAGAACTTTCGTTCCAGCAACATAGTCGACCGAGTCAATGTCAACCGAGGACTGATCAACCGGAACTGTACCATTATTGTGAGAAAATGTGATGGTGGCATTCAACTTGGCTTCGTCTGTAATAAGAGGCTGCGACGCAGAGATCATCATCCCCTCTGTACGGACAATGATTTCCACGAGTTTATCAAACGGCAACATAGCGGACAAGTGGGCGTGTAGCAAAGCTCCCTTTGGCATGCGCTTAATCACCTTCCAGAGGGTCGTGTTCGAGATGTATGGCCGGGCCAATGGGAAGACCTCGCCGGCAAACCGTTCCTTGTATATATCGTCCGGGGTGCCAGCTACACGCCAGTAGTTGTCGGTCTCATATTGACGGATTGCCTTGACGATCTCATCTGCGCGCTGGGCAGTTGGGGAGAGACTCTGGCGGAAGATGTGATCTGCATGGTCAGTTTCGCGTACTGACAAAGAGTTAGTTGATGGAAATTCTCTGAAACAAACCTTGTCTATGGGTCTTCTCCAGCGTGATCAGCTTTTCGCGGTTCTGGAGATGCTCAATGACCCGAGGGTCAGTAACATCTGGAGCTCCTTGTACGGTCAATGCCGATGCAAAGCCCGAGAGGGAAAGTGCGGCTATGACGAGAGTCGAGGTAAGATGCATGGTGGTGGGCTCGGTGGTCGCTGATACAAAAGATACCTGGTCCTTCCCTAGGAAGATACTATATACTATGTACAAATAGCCTTAGAGTGGGTCTACAATAGGGTTCACCTCACACAAAATATACGGATCGGTTCGGGACGTTCTTGCATTCCAAGGTTTATTACACTGGTGTATTGGTTGATATACTCATTCCGACTAGTGGGTACTCGATATTTTGCTCGTCCTACCATATTTCGAATGGAGCTATCCCTTGACCCTTCCAACAATTAGGCTCGTGTCACATTCTTACTTATATAGCCTCTCTATAACACTGTGCTCGAGTACGGTATCCCTTGCCTATATAATGTGCAGGTGTTGTAGTATCGCTTGTGGGGCAGCAATACTCCAGATATAATAATCAGCAAATAGTGTCCAAATTTTGGAAAGCACGCCCGCGCGCTGTAATATCGTGTACATACATATGAATTTCATTTCAAACATTGTGCAGAAGTGACCCTCTTCTGCTTAGACCGTTGTAGTACCGCAATCGTTTGGCGTTACTAAAGGGCATTTTCACTGGTGATCATTTCATCCGGCTTCGACATTCAGCTGTCAATGTGATGTTCTCTGAGTCCCATACCACGGGATGCTTGGCACGAAGCTCAATGCAACTAGATTTGGTCAGTTGATTGCCTCTTTCGCCCGAACTCCAGTATGTATGCTTTAATTTCCTCAATCAATGCTTGGCAGCAATTGAACACTCGAAACAAGTTGATCGAACCAAAACGGTCAAGATGAATGAGGCTAAATTGGTAAGACAAAGCAGCAAGACATCTTATGGGGGCGATGATGAGGACGGAAAAGAGAGTATTCTTTTTAATTAATGGACATAACACACCGGGACAGTGAGAGCACAGTCTGTACAAGAATTTTAAAAAAAAGAAAAACAAAAAATAAATGCATGCATCATCCGTGAATCGAACACGGGCCTCGTCGATGGCAACGACGAATTCTACCACTAGACCAATGATGCTTAGTCATTATAAGAGCGCAGGAATCAGAAAATATAAGGGGCCACAGTCTGTCTTGACTTGTGTTCTTCTCTACGGGACTCACTGGCTTATCTTTGAGGGTAAGAGATTCTCCTCCCCAGCCCCAATTTTTGGTTATAATGTTGCCATGAGGCACTTTGCATTTGGAAGAAAGTGAAAGCGAAGCTATCCAGCATGCACAAGCATCAGTTGTATAACTAAATCTCGGAAATGCGTTTAAGAACAATAAACTACCAGGGTATTGAACCTTGTCTTGACTCTTGGCGGGGTCTTGGGCTCTTGGCAAGATGGGGCGGAAATGACAACGATGACGAGCTTTCATGGACGATCTTCTCCTCAAACACAGCCTCGTGGCTTGTGAATTGTGGTCCCTGGATCACTTGAATTCTGTCTTTGCCCAAGTGCAACGACCTCACATGACGACCACACTCCTCGAAGTGTCCAATGCGCCATGAACTCAGCTGTGAATTGGGCGGGGGACGTCTTCCATAAGCTACCAAAACGGCTGCAAGTGTGGGCCATCTTCGCCTTCACGGTTGCCAAATCGCCCCAACTCTACCTCGATCGCGCATGGGGAGCTTCTCGCAAATATTTTTTCTCGTTGATTTTCATTTCCCTCTTGCTGGCAAAATGCTTCCATATTTATGTCAACCCTCGGTCAGTGGGACTTTTATCCCTTCTGTTCTGGGGGCCCACCTTCTTCCTGGTGGATATTCTGATTATCCTGGTCGCGTGCCGACTTGCCCGATCCTTTGAGTCGCGGATATGTCGCGATTTGGCGGCATTGGTTGTCGTGTTATTCAGGTTAGTTGTTGCCGATTGCGCGCAACCAAAAAAAAGCCATCGCTAATTAAAATGCAGTCTGCAAGCTTCAGGGTTCGCTTCTGCCAATATCTCCTTTTACGCTGTAAGGGGTACAGAGATTCCTTGGCGGAAAACCAAGAAGTTCCATAGGGATATTCCGCCCGTGAAAATGGTCCTCTCTGCATTGGGCATTGCGTTTCTGGTTCAGGGATTGCTTTTTGTCGGCGCATACTTCGCTGCGCCGTATGTGTTTAAGGCCACTGGAGCAGTTCTAGATATCTGGGCATCATTTTTACCTGCCAGGTTTCGCAGCTACTTTGACGGGAAATCGCCGACAGGCGCAGAGAACTATGAGCAGATTGCGATCGATGACTTCGACAATGACGAGAACGACAACGACTCGATATCCCTACTGGACATTCCCCAAGAGCCGCCCAAGCAAGGAAGCCCCTCATTTTTGAGTCGCGTTATTGTCGTGGCGTGCAGCACAGTTGTATTATTTCTTACTATCATCCGCCCGCACAATGTGGTCTACAGTTTCCTTACCCAGTCTCTCCCATTCGCACCTTTTGGTGGACCCAACTATAGGCCAGGCGAGGAAAGTGTTGCTTCAGTGCCTGGGGACTTCAGCTGGCTCGAAGGACACACTGCATTGGACAAATTTCCTACATTTGACTGGCTGAAAGGGTACAATTCGAGTGATGAATTTCCTGACTGGTCCCCATTTCCATTCAACAAGACCTATCTGGATACGCACAAGGACTATGAGTATGAACACTACAACCCAAACAAAGACCCTCTGCACATCCCAAACCTCCAGAATGATATTCTGGAGCCCATGCGCGAGGCACTTCACAACGGCAGTGCGAAGATCAAGCATATCGTTCTTGTAAAGCTTGAAAGCACCCGGCAAGATGTCTGGCCATTCCGCTCCAGCTCATATATTATGAATCACATCAAAGACTCTTACGGGGGTGAAATTCCAGAAGAAATCCAACAAAGGCTTTCTAAGCTTACCCCCACTGCTCAACGGTTAACTGGACTTGAGACCGGATTTGAAAATATCAGCGACCGTCTAACGCCCTATGGTGGCATCAGTGCAACTAACGCTTTCACAGCTGGCACCTATACTATGAAAAGCATTACAGGCACCGTCTGCGGTGTGAGTGCTATGGCAGTTCTAGGAAATCTAGAGTACTACCATGATTTCTACCAGCCTTGCTTGCCACACATATTCAATGCACTGAGTCGTCAATCGAATATTAGCAGTGATACAGATGATTGGACTTCCTGGCCATGGCACACTCAGTGGATGCAGTCGCATTACGGTACCTGGGACAAACAGGAACTTCTCACTCCGGCTTTGGGGTACCAAAATGTCATGGATAAGGAATCTATCAATGAAAATGGCTATAAGTACATTCCTGAAGAGAATGAAAAAGAGGTGCATTATGGTCACGAAGATAAAGTTTTGAAGAATTATATGCGGGATTTGATTGCCGACGTCAAGAAGAATAACACCCGCCTTTTTCTAACCCATCTCACTCACGAAACACATACTCCTTGGTTCAAACCTGGTGAGTACGAGAATATCCTTGGGAGTCCGTGGATTGGACGCAAAAAGCAGATCAACAACTACCTCAACACGGTTGTTTATCAAGACGAGTGGATCGCGGACATTCTCGAAGTTCTCGAGGAGGCCGGAATAGCTGACGAGACTCTGCTAGTCATGGCTGGTGACCAGTAAGTGTACCTGACCAAACAAATTTGATAAAACGTCTCAACTAACCAACTACCAGCGGCATTTCACTTCCAAATGACGGTGGTGTAACAGCGAACTCAGACCCTCACGTCGGAAACTTCCACGTTCCTCTATACCTCGCTCACCCCAGACTGCCCCAGATCGAAGTCAACGATCCTGTCGTCTCTACCCAAATTCTCCCCACAATTCTCGACCTGCTGATCGAATCAGCCTCTCTCACCGGAGAGTCCCTGCAAATAGTCAAGGATCTACTCCCCTTATACGAGGGCCAGTCCATGCTTCGTCCGCTCATCCAAGAAAAAGAAGGCAAGAAAGAGTGGCACTTCTCAACCATGAATCCCGGCGGAACATGGTTCTCCATGCGCGACGCCGTCAACCCGTACCGATTGGTGGTACCACTCATCCCCGATGCGCCGTGGCGATTCAGCGATATTATCGCGGACCCATTCGAGCACCACCCTGATGAAGAGCTGGACTTTTTGAGTTTGCTTCGGGACGTGGAGACGCGGCATGGAGCTGAAGCCTCAGCTTGGGTCAACGAGGCGGCTCATGTGGCTTATTGGTGGATCCCGGAGAACCATCGGCGTTGGAAGTATGAGGCCGAAGAGTCGTGATGATTTATGACCTGATGGCGTTGTATACTCGCGTAGGCGCTGTACATATTTGCGCCCCTGTAAAATCTCAATGAATGAGTGGTATGGAATGAACATATTTGTCTCTGGACCGTGTTACAGGTTCCGGGATCTGGCTATGGCTCTTGAGTCTTGGGGGCAGCTCTGCCCCGAGGTCGGGGGCGGCTGGGGTGGATCACCGCGGTCCACGGTCCACCTGCGCTGAAAGCGGGGCCATATGTTTTGAGCTTTCCCGTGCCCTCGAAGATTCCCATCCACTTTCTTGCATCTATGTACCATGGCGTGGAAATGTGGATCAAATTTTGAGATAACTAGAGCTGAGAATAATCCTGATCAAAATGGATTGGTCGCTGATTTGCACGTGGCTTAATTCTTTCTTCTTTTCACGGATTCTTCTTCCACAGTTCAGAGTAAATTTCAAAAGCCTTGAAAGTTTGACAGTGCACTATGAGTCTACTGCTAGCACAGTGGGCTAACACGCAAATTGACTCCTTGCTAGCGCATTATTGTGAGACTAAAGCGGGTTAGACTTCTTGGCTTCCCAGTAAAACCATTGCCCAAGCATTGGAACTGACCCGAAGACCTGAACTAGCTTCGCATTAGGGTTTAGCTCCAGGCCCTGGTCTCAAGTTAGGTTTTGATGAGGTCTAATCTCAATGAACTAAAGTTCCTGCTGTAGAATAAAACAAATTAAAATGCAGATCTTTGTGATCTATCATACGCGCGGGCGATGATCGGCTTTGAAAATGACCATTTCCATTCCCATCGATCGGAGCTAGTGCTTCCCCCCTCCACCAGATTAACTCTTTCTCCTCGCGGATCTACTTTCCATCTATCCGGTGACTTTTGACAAGATCGTTCTTGTTCTTCAGGTTTTGTACCCTTGCGTCTGATTTGTGGCTCGCTTACAGGTGTAACCCGAAACTCGGGATACTTCTCAGCTCCCCCTGTGCCGGTTCATTCAATAGAAGTGCTAGTGGGAAGTTCGTTGCGTAATTGTGGCTATTCTGTGTATTCCAGGCGATATTTAGGACACACCAAAATCAAAGACATGGCAACTCCTACCGAGAAGAACCAGTTTCACACACCGCTGTTTCACTGTTCAGTATGAGGTCAACCGTTGGGAACTCGAGATGTGTGACAGATCACGTTCTAACTTCATTGACGAGCCAAAAGTGGCGAAACCTGAATAAATCCGAAGCAAGGATTTTTATCTGCATGCTCCCGTCGTTGACAAGTGACAACATTCAAACGCTGAATAGCCTCGGCAAGTCCGGCCCGCGTGGAGACTCGCCAATCAACCGGTTACACCAGGCTATTTACGCACCTTCGTTTTGGCTCCATTACCTACAAGACATTCATAGTACATAAAAACAAAAAAAGAAATATCACATGCGCCGGAAGGCCGATCTCTTCTCCGTACAATGTTGTTATCTCCTTTGTTAAACAAATCAAGGTTGAGAAAAGGAAAAAGGTGAAAAGTCAGCCACCGGATATGCTAGTTTGCGTTAGTGATAAAGTGTGGATTGTTTACTTGTGGCTAGGGGCTATCTGCATGTATGCAGGAATGTGGGTCTTTCCATGAATCTTATAGGCCAAAAGACAATCAACGCACATCTCACCTCAGCTCTTATCGACTATTGATTTAGGTGCAACCTTTTCCTCAACTAAGAACTAATCGCGAAAGAGATATTGGTATACTTAAGCTGTCATATTGCCAATTCCCTTTTTGGGATCCTGGCCTATTTAAGTACAACTTCCTTTGTCTTGCATTTTAATGATACAGATTGAGAACTTTTGAAGTGCCCATCATGTCTACAGAGCGACATTCACAAATTGTACTGGAGAACTGGAGGAAGCTTCAACATCTATCCAGCTTAGCCAATAACAATGCTGTGGTTGTGAAGGGAAGTCGGTTGACACTGGCGGATGTGGTCGCTGTAGCTCGCTATGGCACCATTGCCGTCCTCGATGACACGCCTGAATTGCGGGAAGGAGTTGATAAGAGCGTTGACTTTCTGAGAAAGTGTGTTGACCGAGGTGAAGTTCTATATGGTAAGTACAACTCCCACGATCTAGAAACCGTGATCTTGCTCGAGCTAACCTCCTCTGCTCAGGCATCAACACCGGATTTGGAGGTAGCGCCAACACACAAACAAGCGATACAAAGAATCTGCAAATTTCTTTAATGCAGATGCAACAGTATGGCATCATATCCAGTGACGAGAACCGATACCCCGATGGAGGAAACTCAAAAGCGACCACGGAAATGCCCGAATCGTGGGTACGCGCATCCATGCTGGTTCGCTGCAATACCCTGATGCAGGGTCACTCGGGGGTCCGATTCGGCATTATCGAGGCCTTGACCGAGCTTCTCAATATTAACTGCACTCCCCTCGTTCCGTTACGTGGCAGTATCTCCGCCTCGGGAGATTTGAGCCCCCTTTCCTACATTGCTGGTGTCTTGGAAGGCAACCCGAAGCTGCTTCTCCGGAGAAAATCTCCAGAAACTCGATACAAGGAGCGCACGCGCGAAGAGATAATCCCGGCGGATAAGCTTTTGGACGACCTCGGAATACAGCCCATATCGTTTGGCCCGAAGGAAGGCCTAGGCTTGATTAATGGAACGGCCGTTTCCGCAGCTGTGGCGGCCATCGGGCTCCATGAAACCCATCACTTGGCCGTTCTGTCTCAGGTTTTGACCGCGATGGCGGTGGAGGTCATGGGAGGGAATCCCGAGAGTTTCGATTCCTTTATTGCGCAGGTTCGCCCTCATCCCGGTCAGATCGAATGTGCCGGCAACATCGACAGGTTCCTACAAGGATCGAGACTCACCCAGGTCGTTCACTCGTCTCAGGAGATGGGAGTCGGCGCATCCCCTTCACTCCGCCAAGACCGCTACCCACTCCGTACGGCATCGCAGTGGGTTGGCCCGTTGCTGGAAGATCTCACGCTGGCTCATAAACAGGTGACTGTTGAGCTGAACTCAACGACCGATAACCCTCTCATCGATTCTGAGGGGCAGCGCATCCTGCACGGAGGCAATTTCCAGGCTATGTCAGTCACTGTCGCCATGGAAAAGGCGCGTTCCTCCCTGCAGATTATGAGCAAGATGCTCTTTGCCCAATGCACGGAAATCATCAACCCGGATTTGAACAATGGCCTGCCCCCTAATCTGTGCTTTGACGAGCCAAGCTTGTCCTATTGTCTCAAGGGCGTTGATATTGGCATGGCAGCCTACACTTCAGAGTTGGGATTCCTCGCCCACTCCGTGAGTCCAAATGTGCAGTCGGCCGAGATGTCCAACCAAGCCATCAATTCCCTGGCCCTTATTTCTGCCCGTTACACACAGACAGCAATCGACGTCTTTTCCATGCTGTCAGCATCCTTTATCTACGTTCTTTGCCAAGGCCTGGATTTAAGAGTACAGCAGTTGGAATTCCTCGACGCCCTTCAGCCAGTAGTGGAATCCATCACGACCCGAACTTACAGCCACTTTTTGACTACGCCTGCTGCCTGCAAGGACCTCAACTCGCTTCTCTGGACACACATTACGAGCGCTCTAAAGTCATCAGCTGCTACCACGAAGGACTCACAGCCCCGGTTCGCGATGATCGCCGAGTCAGCCCAATCCGTGGTGGTGACATTCTTCGCTTCTCATCCCGGGGCCGCAAAGGAGTATTCGCCACGGATGGCTACCATTTATGATTGGGCCAAAGACCTGGCAGCCTCTATGGGCGAGTCGTTGAAAGCTAGCCAGCTCCTAATGATCAGCCCACAATGCCCGACTTCAACATACTTGGGCTCTGCGGCACGTATTATGTACACATACGTACGCTTTACATTGAAGATTCCTCTGAACCGAGGCCTGGTCGACCATCCTACTTCTCGTTTACCTGGAAATTTCCTCAATCACGATTTGGATGCGCAGAGCTCCACAAACGAGGATACTCAGACCATTGGGATATACATCACTAGAATTTATGAAGCTTTGCGTTCGGAGGCATTGATGGTTCCTGTTATGGAATGTCTTGCTCAGGGCAAGCAGAATGGGCATTGTGATTTGACTACGACGCATGCAATGACTGCGGATAAGGGGACGAGCATGTTGAAATCATCTGGCCCTCAAGTTGTGCATTGAAAGACCCGTTAACATTTTAGAATATTTTGCTTCTGGTGTTTTTTGCTGTCCCCCGCGCTTGATATGCATAGACTGTCTAAATTTCTAGATTTCACCAGCTGATTGGATTTTCTCCTATTTATGAAGCAACGATTGCTAATTTGCTGTTCCTCGCCCACATGTCTCAGCTTCTATCAATTACTCTACCTTGTGAATAGTTGGATTCTTCATATTAAAAGTTAGTTATTTAGGTAGTCGTAAGTCTGTAGGGTGTAGGTTGTTTAATTTCAATGTTCAAGGTTCCATGCTTTTATCGAAGGAATGTTTGTATGCACATGTGAACTCACAAATGATGGGACTCATACGTTGATATGTGTTAGGAACGACATACTTTTCTGGTATTGAGAACCAGTAAATACTGTAGAATCAACAGCTTACCTGGTGCCCAGACACCTGAGATCTAGCCAGAGGGTGGCACTGGGAGCTTCTAAGAGATTTCAAGCCACTGGAGGAGGCCAGTCGAGTAGTACTAGTAATTAGTTATATGAATTTAGAAGTGACTATAAGTAGGGGACAGTGGAAAGGGCTTTTGTTATGAATTTCGTTATCTAACATGGGTGTTAGCTCTTTTGTTAGGATACGCGCAAAAAGTTATTTCGTTTTGCGTTTCGTTTTTAAATGTGTTACATTTTGTGTTACGTTTTGCGTTTTGCATATTGCGTATCGCTTGTTGCGCATTTTGCGAAAGAATGTAAGAAAACGAGGTTTGATGAGGATATACGCGTTTTGTGTTTTACGTTTTGCGACAGAGCGCATATATTTTCCCAAACCTGCTTAACCTGCTGAGCCTGTTGAGCCTGCTGGACCTGCTGGACATGCTGGACCTGCTGGACACGTTTGATCCTGCTAGACATGCTTGACATGCTTAACCTGATCAGCATGATCTCAACAGCTAGTGAGCCTGATATTATCAACCAACCAACCTTAATTACCTAACCTGTCTGGCTTTGGAACCAGCAGCTATCGGTTTCTATGATGATCGAGTCTTGTGCAGTTGAATGCCCTATGGTCTCTGTGAGACGCACCCTTAAGGGTATAGAGCATGACCTCTACTCCTACACGCATACTGCCTGAGTATTCTATATCGAATCGGAAAATACTCAAGGTTCTCTAGGGTTCTCACCTATGAGCCTTAATTCTTGGCCTGCATGACAGCGCCTGTGGAGTACTAGGTATCATTTCAGCCACGGTGCTTAAATATACCAGACTACATATGTCTTTATGGTGACTGCATATGTTCTCTTCATTCTACTCTCTCCAGATGTCCCAAACAAGCCGCAGATGTGCTTGGTCAATTCATGTTGTCCGTTTTCAGCGAAAGTATACATGTATTCAAAGCACTGAGAATATCTGGCGCAAGTATCCAGATGGCCAGCGCATCTGTCACCGTGGACCCCGACTTCGTGATATATAATGGAGATATATGTACACTCCCGCAATCAATACCTTTTCCGGACAGACGTCGTCGGACAGCAAGTGCTTGAGCCGAATTGTCGGCCCTGGAGCGCTGGAGCGCTGGAGGAGGGGCTGGAGCTTAGAGCGCTTGAAAATGCTCATGATCTTGATCGAGAGTCTCCAGATGTCTACGCTGCCTAGATCTACGCTGCCTAGATGACAAAATTTGAATGTATTTCTTTCTCCTCGCGGTTTTCAAAACCAGTCCAGCATAGTGTTCCAAGTTTTGCTGTCTACGTATAATTTATTAGGTATGCAGGCTATGTACAGTCCTCAGGGCTGTGAGGGTGTGGCATCTGGATGCTCATTGAGTCAACTTCAATGTTCACATACGGGTCTGGGCGTTGGACACTTGTGCGGTCAGCCCTAGCATACACGGACCCAGCCAATATGTAGGTTTTGCATGCGGCCTTTATTTGAAGCAGGTGTTTTTTTACTTTCGTCAACATGTATGACCGAATTGGGATTTGAAAAACCATTACTGTGTCGTTTCTTTGTCCCATTTTTGGCGATAGTCAAAAGCCTTGCCAGGGGACTATTGTTTGGTGGCTTTAATAAGATTGCGAGTACAGTCATCTTCGTGGGGATGTTAATCTAAACAGCATACAGTTTGGTTAAGGGGTTTTGTTTTTTTGGTTTTTTTTTCTTGGATGGGGTGATTTCTTGCCAATGATCTAGTCGGTAATGAGCGAACCTTGGAAAGAGTGTGATTCCATTAGAGTAATACAGATGCATGCATGCACTATTGGGTTCTTCTTCAGGGTAATATCTCTTAATTTTCTACTCTGCTTCAATCCTTTCTGTTCGGAAATCCGATGGCCGAGCAAGTATTGGACCGGACGTGTTGATCGCTAGAAATGACCGTGTTGCCTAATCACCAAACAAGTTTGCCAACTCATATCTTGAACTGCAAGGCCTCCCGCCAGACAGCCGTTATCTTCTTTTTGATAGTTAAGCGAAATCTGAAGCTGACATTTGGCGTATGTCAGGCATCAAACTGTTAAGGAGCGGCTCGGCTAGGCTAATACATTACTACTAGTAGAGAACATAACGTGGCGGAACCATTGCGGAAACGTTGCCTGATCGGGCGCTGCGGATGGCTTTTATTTACCGCCATGTAATGAATGTGTTTGCTGCCTATCAATCCGCCACTCTGTTGTCATGTAATTCTTGGCTTACTGTATGTGTATGCGAAATGCATCTGCATCCGCAGTGTGCGTTGTTCAACAGGGGGATGATCAAGGGGACGGCTCAAATCCCCGCACCGCCCCACCCCTTCCGTAAAAACATGCCATCTCCGACCAATCACGCACTGTGATCCCGATGATCCAAGCAAGGGTTTGCAGGTGCATCCTTAGGCTGCCAGGACGGTACTTTTATTCGGCCGGCTGTTGTTAGCGGTGAATAGCGTGCATCCTTAGGCTGCCAGGACGGTACTTTTATTCGGCCGGCTGTTGTTAGCGGTGAATAGCGTGCTCCATCAAACTTCGAACTAAGCCTATATCCGTAGTATCGTGCGAAATCGCCTCCTTCCAGACCTCGCTTCTGTCTGCGACTACTGCAACTACTGCGACTAGCTTGGGACAAGTCCATTCCAAATCATTCTTTCGCTTTCCCGTCTTCGCCACGAAGCCGCGCTATTGGGACCAACGAACACACACTTGGTTGTCGCTCACCCCCGGATAACCCCTCATTCAGGGCTGAGTAGATGAAAATTTCTGTATGTTTGTTGATCCGCTAATGCTCTAAAATAAAAATAAAAACAAAAACAAAAATACCGCCATCAGATCAAGTCGCTGTCAGCCGCAATTATGGGGTGATTGTTCTAGATTTGTGATCTGGCGACACGGGTGAGCCGGGTGACTGAGCCTCTTATCGCTTCGAGTCGCTGTTGCTATGGCCGAAAGAATCGATACTGAAAATATTCTCTGGGCGGACTCTGCAGCGTGTTAGATGAAGCCCGGTAAATCTGACTCATTCCAAGGTCCCCGACTCCCCTTTATTGTAAACCCCGAATTATGTACACAGTCAGAAAGGAGATTATAGTCTAGACATGTTGGGTGACACAGAGCCGCAACTTACCGTGTGGATGCGTCCGGCAGTTCTGTATTGAAGGATTCTCTCATTTCATTATGGCACTTGATGCTCTTTGCAATGTCGCATTATTATCTATGAATTGGATTCGACCACAGCGACCGGGTGAACACTTGGGCTCAGAGGAGGTTTCAGACTGGCACAACGACACTTGTATTTGAGACCTGGTGGTTCGAGTAAACAAGATCGCGACTTCAAACTTCCAGGTTTTTTCTTGTTTTCTCTTCTTGCGCGACTGTTTCATGCAAACCCGTTTGAATGTGTACTACTACCTACCTTTGTAGTTGCACATGTGTATTGAAAGTCTCTAGTATGCATGCAGCATCATATCGAAGGTCTCACTTTGAAACCCATACTGTTTCTCTCCACACGTGCAGGATTGTTCTTCGAACTCCAGCTGCAAGAGCATCAACTTCAATATATATGAGGTCCACATCTGAGTGGATTCTAGAAGTCAATGCGCTCCAGGACTGGGGTATTAATTTACGATGCCTTGATCCGTGCAGCCAAGGCATGATCTGCTTCACCAATTGTTTCGTTCAATCAACATATGTTCGAGCTAAGTCAGCGTTCTTGTGTCCACTACGATCCACCTGTCACACAATTGATTTCCTTGAAACGAGCTAGTATCTCCGAGGTTCTGGGGAGCCTTGCAAACGTTTGAAAAACTGGGAAGCGCAATTAATTAGATTGGATGACGCGGCTATCCGGCCAAGATTGATCCTGCGGTACATTGTTTCTCAACATTTGAATTGCCTCGAAAGGTATGTCTATTTTTGTTGAGTTCAATGTTTTACGGAGTTCAGTTACCTGAACTTATTTTGAAAGAAAACTCCGATCTAGACTTGAAATGTTTCTCGTATAATTGAGAGTTTGGCTTCAACGTTAGTGGATCCGAAACATTGAACCGGCCCCTCTTGGCCTGGATCCTTCCGCCTAATTGTTCGATTTGCGGAATAGCTTCTACTCCGCATTTCTCGTGGAATATGAGTGTTGGAACAATGAATTTGGGGTAGTTACTAGTAAGAAAAGTGTATTTTGGCTTTCGCGTCAAATGTTCCAACGTTGAATGAAAGTTCCAATGGTCAAAACATTGAATGTTTGGGTTTTGGCCCTGAGTCTTCGTATTTGATCCATGGCTCACTTCTATTCTTTGTTTACTTTTTCTTTGTAGAGAACCATGGATTGATGTTCTGTACTTTTGTTTTTCAAATTACTAGTGGTTTTTCTAACAATGAAAGTTCTTGATCTCTTCCACTTTTGATGTTCTAAGATTTATTGAATGCACATATGGTATGTGGCGTTGGTAGACTACGTAATCTTCAATATATATCGCAACAGTCAGATATTCCAACTTTGAATACGCAACCATGAATTTTGATCTTACGTGCCAAAATTGTTTGATGATGGATTCCAAGTCTGCACCGGAATTTGTTACTTCCAACGTTGGAACTGAAATTGAAATTCCAACCAACATTGAAGTGTCAATACATGGGCACATGCATCATGTATGCATTCTCTGATTGTACTTGGTAAAAGATCAACATTGAAATCGAATAAAAAATTGAATTGACGCGAACCCCGCAAAATAAATGAGAAATCATAATTACCTACATATTCCACTGTGCAAATTAAACTATTACAAAATATTCTATCAAACCTCTATCGCCTCACGACCATCATCCGAGTCTATTCTATTGAGATAATTCCAAAGGTCCTCACAAGCATCCTGCAACGACTTCTCCGTCTTCCACCCAAGCTCCCGCGCCGCCCGATCAGGCGTCGCAACGCACGAACCCACATCTCCGGGCCTTCTCCCGACGATCCGAACCGGAATCTGCAATCGACTAACAGACTCCAGTGCCTCCACAACCTCACGCACCGAATGCCCCCTCCCAGTCCCAAGATTGAACGTCCTAAACGACCCGCTAATCCGTCCCTCCTGCGCAGCAGACAACGTCGCCACGTGCCCGCGCGCAAGATCAGTAATATGGATGAAATCCCGAACCGCACTTCCATCCCGCGTATCCCAGTCCGTGCCGTAGATACACAATTCGGGACTCAGCCCCGTCAACGCCCGCACAGCCGCGGGGAACAGGTTCGAAGCACAGTCTCGCGGATCCTCACCCAGCAACCCCGACGCATCACACCCGATGGGATTGAAGTACCGCAGACACAGAACCGTCCATGACGGGTCGGACGTGCAGACATCGGAGAGAATGGCTTCGCCAAACCACTTGCTGCGGCCGTACGGGTTTGTGATTCCCGTGCAGCCCGGTTCAACGCTGACGTGCTCGCCGTCCTCGCCGCTGTAAGTTACGCGCTCGTGCACGCAGTTTTCCTCGCGCAGTTTCGGCGTCTCGTCCGCCAGCGTGCCGTAGACGGCGGCCGAGGACGAGAAAATGAACGACTTGATCCCGTGCTCGTCCAGCAGACTGAGCAGATCGATCAGTCCGCGAACGTTGTTCTGGTAGTATTTCAGTGGGTACTTGATGCTCTCGGCTACGGCCTTGTAGGCCGCGAAATGAATTACGCCCGTGATCTGGGACCGCGCGCTAGTGCTGCCTGGAACGCGCAGGGCGTACGTGCCGAGCAGGACGCCCATAGCTGATACATCCTGGTAGTCTGCGCGGCAGAGCTGGGCCTTGGGGATTGGTTGGCCCAGTGGCTCGTAGTGCAGCTTTGCCGCGGCTAGGATCCGGTCGAAGACTTCGCTGTAGCTGTTGCTCAGGTTGTCGACGATGATGATGTTGTGGCCGGCTTTCAGAAGTTCCAGTGAGGTGTGGCTGCCGATGAAGCCGAGCCCGCCGGTCACGAGCACGTACTCGTCGACATTGTCGTCGACGTCGACGTCAATGTCACGGTCTAGTGGATCGTCAGCCTCGGTGGCTGGCGTGGATGGGTCTGAAGCAAACTGCGGAGAGCTGGCCCCTGTCGAAAATCCTGGTGGAGGAGACGACATGCTTGGGTATTGTTGAGTAGAAGAGGATTGGGCGAGATGGAGCTCGAGAGACTCCGTCACGGAGCGTCCATGATCCATTACCCGGCAAGTTTGAGATTAAGGAATTAGAAATTAAGGACTAGGTAGCAATTAAGAAATTAGATGCAATTGAAGAGGCCGGCATTTGTTGGATTGTGGATTTGGATAGGTTCTTTTACTCTTGTCTTAGAACAAAAAAATCCAACCAGCAGCTCGGGGAACTTTGCCACATTAACAAGACTAAGGCGCGGGGCTATAATTCCTTGGGGACATTTTTTTTTTCTGTCTTGAGGCAAACAGGGACCTGGACTGGGTCTGTACAGAGAAATTTCTTAATTGAAAAATCTTTTATTTCCAATTTCTCATTTTTTATTTATTTTATTTTACCCTACTTACCCCGTACGGAGTACATCGTCCCTGCAGATAGGCGAGACGAGATCGTATGTCTCACTTTCCCAAGTTTATTCTTGTCGGTTCGCTTGACTTCTTACAAATTCGGCGTGATGTATAATGCCAGGGTTCTAAATCCCAACCTCGTCTCCGCCACGTGTACGATGTATGGTTTCGCATTTGAGAGGTCTCGGGGACCTCAGCTTGCACAGGTCAAAAATAGCCGTAAAATACATCAGAAAGTAAGCTGATGCCTTAGTAGAGGGTCTAGGCCGGTGGGCCAAATGGAGCTGGTGTGACCCCTGGTAGCACCTTTGATGGATTAGCCTTACAGGAATTGCATCCGGATCCGGATACATCGGCTAAAGATCTTCAATTTGAAGATTCGGCATTGACCGAATTTAAGGTTGGGGTGATCGAGTCCATTAAAGAAAGTGATATGGACTTGTAGAACTTTACGCGCCTAGGGTGGAAATGAATTTTGTGATATGTGCACCTTTCTTTAGGGCTTAGATTTTCGGAGACATCTTTTCTGTACGACTTACATGTAACTCGTGTACGGAGTATTCTGATTTTTGTCACCCCTTGCATAGAAGACAGCGGGTAAGGGGAAAAATGCCAAATGTGATAAGGCAGGTTTCACCCGTTATCTGTTGCGCCATGAGGCGTAAAGAGTGCTTACGAGCCCAGCTATTGGTTTCGTTTGTTTTATTTTTGTTTTTATTATTGATTTTCGGGTATTTTTGGGCGCTGGTATTTTATGGTATTGCTCATATTTATTTTTGGTAATTTACCGGGCCACACCTTAATTACTCCGAAGCCTTCCCAGCCAATCAGAAGCTCTACAGCTCTTGGTTCCTGCCGCTCGGAGTGCGGACATATTTGGAAAGAATGGCGTTATATTTTACCAGGTACAGGAACGGACGACAATACCATACGAGCGCCACGCCCGTCTCTGACACACCGGAAATGGCTTTAGTGGCTTCCGTATACGAAGTATGCATTAAGGCCAAGGGCTATATAGAGACAAAGTACTCAGACAACACATCAAACAAAAAAAAAAAAATTATAATCATAAAAAAAAAGTGCAAAAAAACCCAAGCTCATAATACCCCATCGTTTTAATGTTTTCTGTATATTTCTTGAGTTATGTATTCATTCTCCACGGAGTATCCATTATCCCCCCCCCAATTGTAACTAGATCAGACCCACGTTGTTCCTGGATTTCCCTGCGGTCCCGAGGTCACCGACTTTACTGCAGAGCCTGCATAAGGGCATTCCAACTGTGGGGACCAAAGCGCTCATAAAAATCACCAGAGATTTCAGTCACGAAGATGTAGGCAGCCTTGTGGCGCAGCTCATGGACCAGATTTTCCAGATCATCCAATGGAACCTCGTTGATCATGACACCGGAGCGAATTCGTTCGTACTTGAATCGCCCCAGCCACTTCTGGACCTCGTCCGATCGGTAGCGCGGGTAGGGCTCCTCACTGATAAAAAACATATCGGCGGATTCACTAATCACCACGTCTGGTGGGGTGCCGGGATTGTGGACCACCTAGCCACATTTGTACAAAGTTCATTAGCCTCTTTTTTGGGGTCTTTTTTTTTTCCTTCTTTCTCTCTCCCTCCCTCTCCTCGCTTGCCTCTTTTTGCCATGCCGGATCCCCCGGTAGCGTCGGTAGCGTCTTCAAAACGAATCTTGGGTGCGGAGAATGGGTTTAGATATATCCACTTACAAATCGATCGGCAAGAATACCCGGAGTCTTCTTGATAAACTCGGTTAGTTCTCTCAGATAATCGGCTCGATCGGCCGTATAATGGTTGGGAGTCTCGTCGACAAAGATCCCTCGCACTCCCAGCCCGGTAGTTTCATAATCGGCTGACCAGCTCGCGTACTGTTCGATCTCCGCATAGGTTGTCGAGTGGGGCTTGTTGCAGTAGTCGATTCGAATGTAGCCTACGGTGTACACGTTGGGGTACCCATTCAACCGAGGAACTTCTCGCGAGTAATTGTCGTCGGGGAGAGCGCCTTCGCCTGGGCCACTGTTTGGGTTCACAATGACTAGAAAGTCAAGGTTTGGGTTGGCCTCGATGCTGGTAGAATCCCAAAAAAAGTTGTTATTAACTATTGAATTTTCTTTTCCCCTCATCAATGATGCTTTGTCGCCTATTGCTCTCTTCGTATTGCTCGTGTTTTTGATGGTTGATGGCTGATGGCTTTTTTTGGTCTTTTTTGTTTTTGTCTTCTTTCATGGCCAGACCTTTTCATGATCTGGTTGTTTGTGTGGGTGGCCCGTGTAAGAAGATAGAGAGAACTCACGCTGCATAGAGTGGAGCCCAAGTTTCAGAGTCCAATGGATAGATATACAACGGCACCACGACCGTCGATTTGGGCAGAGTCGCCATACTGGAACAATATTCGATGATAATATCGATTTCGTTCCTTTTGGGTTTTTGTCGATTTTGTCAGATTTGTTGTATTTCGAGGACCCTGAATCTCAAGGACCAATCGTTTTCACCGGTCTGGGGGATGCAAAGGGGACTCTTCCTACGTGGCTCCAAAGGCCGGATTTATAAGTGCCCGCGCCGAATTCCTAGTGCTGACCATCAGGCTCAAACTGAACAAAAAAATACCATAAAAAAGTAATCTGTAAGAAAAAACCAAAAAGAATACAAAAATACAAAAATACTAGGCTAGAAAAGGCAGGAAAGAAAGAAGTACAATTCTCGAATTTCTTGGGACGCTAAAGGGCGCTAAAAGCTCAGGAGTTCGCGCCACTCCGTTGTGGATAAATTTACAGGGAAAAACCATTAAAACCGGGGGCCAAAATGGGAGAAAAGACCGATATCCACGAGGCTGAAAGAAAAAAAAAATTGAATTAAAAAAAGATAACCAGCAAAATTCTTCATTACATTACATTCCACAGGAACAAGTCCGATCACCCAAATTTCCCCTGTCAAATCACGCCTCAAACCTTGGCAATCACCCGCATCAGCCACCAGCGCATCGCGGTCTAACCACGAGTTTTTATCTTTTCTTTTTTTTTTTCACTCTCTCTTCGGTAATTTTTCGGGGTCTCTCTTTGATACACCGGGGCGTTTCACTCGCTTCTTAATACCAACTCCAGTGAACCGCCCGGAGCAAAAATTCAGATCGGGTTGCTCAGTTCTTGGTGGGGACAACACTGAGGAATTGGTCCAACTCAGACCCAAACTGCTCATAGTAGTTGGAAGTTAAGGTAGTCAGGAACAGATAAGCGGCGCGATGGCTGAGATCATCCACAAAGTTCTTGAGGCTGTGGTTGGTCATGGTGGGGACCGAATGGAGCATGTAAGAGTAGTTGCCGCGATTTGAGGCACTTAGGTCCTCGGCAAGTACTTTCTCCTGGGTTAGATAGTAATCATAAGATTGCTCAAAGACGACCGTAATGTCCGTGGTGTCATCGTCGTATTGGGAGTCCGGGATTGTGCCTGGGTTGTGGATAATCTGCAACGATGGATCAGTAATGAGGACGAACAGGTTCGTGAGCATAAAAAGCAAGTACAAAAAAAAAAAACAGCCAAACAACGATTCAGGCACCGAAAAGCAAAGCCCAAGTGTAAAGAGCCGAGCGAAAATATAAACGAGAGCGAAACGCCCAACTCCACCTCCGGCCGTGTCCGTTTCGTACCAACGATCGCTAGATCGAGAGGTTCGACAGATTAGATGCTTCCAGATCCGAGACCCACTCTTACCACTTTTTTCCACTCCCATTTCCACAATTTCCACTCTTTTCCACTTTTTCATGCAGGTTCTTTCACACGAGAAACACGAGTACCAGAAAAAATAAAATCACAAGGCAGGAAAGAAAAAAGAAAAAGAAAAAAAAAGAGGACTCACCAAGTGTGGCGATTGGATACCACTGGAACTCTTAACCGCTGCGTTGATTTGGCTCAGGTACTCGGCTTTGGTGGAGTTCCAATCATAGGGGATTTCATCAAAGAAAATACCATCCATTCCCAGAGCTGTCGAGGTTGCGGTCCAATTGGCATAACTGGCCACATCATCCAAGACATCGGTGATGTTGCGGTTGGCATAGTTGGTAGGGATATATCCCACCTTTTGCACATTGGAATAAGTATCCAGTCGACGAACCGCGGTCGCATACTGAGTGTCTGGGGTGGAGGCCCCAGGTCCACTCGAAGGGTTGACGATGATCACAAAGTCAACTTCGGGATATGTCGAAATTCTGTTTGGCAAAGAGATTAACACATTAGCTCCATACAGCTTGGAATGAAACCAAATGATCTGTCTCTTTTGATCCTTTTATGTGTTTTTTTTTTTTTTCCTTTTCCTTTTTGTCTTTCTCTCTCTCGCTTTAGTGTTTCAACAACATTGAAAAAACAAACTTACGCTTCATATAAAGGATCCCAAGTGGTGTTGGTCGTGGGATAGACATACACAGGGTAGAGCACTTTAGATGCTTTTCCCTTGTGTGCATTCTTCTTTGGAAGGATCACCGCCAGAGGGACCACAATTACAATAATAACCACTAGGATTGCGGTGATCAGCCCTGCCAGGCACCATGGACGCCGCAGGTTGAACTTCCGACGCAGTGGTGGTGTGACACCCTCGGAAGGCTTAAGGGCCTCCATTGTGAAATAAAAAAGAGATGGGAGATAAAAGCAAAAAGCAAGCAAAGACGACAATTGATCACCCAACAACTGAGGGGGGAAAGAGACTTGTAATTATGGATTATGATAATGCTGACTTGGTTCAAGTTGGAGGGAACTTGGATTCTACCAGATATCCAACGACGGGGGGCAAAAAAAAAAATCAAAAAAATAAGAGAACTACAGTATGTACAATAAAATCCGAGCCGTCCCAAGACTTGCAAAAAAAAAAAAGAAAAAAAAAAGTCTTGGGGTTTATGATTGATGATTACTTTAGCGTTGAAATCCTTCAATACCGCTAGGCGAACCCGGCTTGTATCATCGGAACAAATGGCTTGTTAGGCGTGTTAGCCACAAATCCCTGTCTCCACTTGGTCTACCCCAACAGGGTTTTATTTCGCTATCCCCGTAATACTAGTCCATGGTCTTACTGAGACTTGCATGCAGAGGCTCGTTTAGACCCAAAAAAAAAATTAAAATCTATTTCTAGCATCGGTAACTGTGATACACCGTATTCTTTGGCCCCTCGATCTAGCCCACCTAGCCAACTTAGCCAACACGGACTAAGTATGAATGAAGGATACCCGAGACAGCATCTAAGCCCCTAACCAGTGGGTGCCCCCCAAGCTTCTCGGATCCGGACTCCTAATTTTGCATCTTGATTACAATTCATGTAATTGATCGGTTTTCGCCGGTGGACTAGACGTGTCAAGACCTGGTGGCGCTGAGCCCATATACTTATTCCACTTTCTCCCCCACTGTTCAAGAGAGCAGACGGGGAACTCTTTAGAACACGGGGTTTGGACCCTTTTACTTTCTTTCTTTGTTCACTCGTTACTCTTGACTCACCGTCAACATGAAGCCCGATTACTTGGGCTTGTCGGCGGTAGGATGGAGCCGAATGACCAACACCTGGTGGGAAAAGGTAAGTTGTGTGAATCAATTGGGCTTTTTTGGCAAGTTCCTCAATTGCATTGAGAGAACCTTGGCACCTTGAAAGCTGCACTTAAACAAAAAGAAGCCATTTCTAACTTCAATCTTCATCTTAGGTGTTGGCCATCGGCCTCCTCGCCACAATTGTTCTCGGTGCTTGCTATATAATTTACTTAATCGGCAGTAGCATTGTTCGGCATTGGCGTGTAAGTGATCGGCCCGAAGATTCTCAAAAAAATGAAGTCCGAGTTTGACATGTGAAATATACTAACATTATTCATTTCCTAGGCTCGACACGAACTCTCTGAAGTACCATCAAATGTTACACGTTATATTGAAAAACTAAAGACAGAGACACAAACATTATACACTCCCGAATCCGATCGAAAGGAACCCAAAACATTCGGTGTTTACCTTGGAAGCTTCGCCAACCCACCTACAAAGGATCAAGCTAGCATCTTAACTCAATGGGATGTTACCGTTTTGGATCCGCTGCAAAGCGGTGTTTTGGAAGCCGTCGCCGATGGCTGCTCTGCCACCCACATTCTCGCCCGCCTCGATGTCCGCAAACTGGTCGCAACCGACAGTGGATCGCACCGTGATGAAGTGATTCGCGCAATTCACGTCCTGAACGAGACCTTGAATTCCCTCAAGCGTCCCCAGGATGTGCAGGCTCAGTTCAGCGGTGTTCTCCTTGCCGACTGCCACGCTCATCTCCAACCCGTTGTCTTGAACGAGGTCGTCAAATTTGTGAACAGTCTTGGTCTGGATGTTTGGATGGAGTTCGGCCCTATCGAATACCTTGGTGAAAAGCAATGCCGTGAAATCGACTGGACGCCCATCCGAGGTGTTGTCTACCGCAATGGAACGATTCGAACTGATGGTGACCGCTGCAACTTCTGGCACATGGAGAAGATGCGAACTGTCATGCGAATTGTCGCAGCCCAGAAGCCCATTGGTGATTCTACTCTTGCCATGTGGGATACTGTGGACGATGGTGTTCAGATTAAGCACGATGTTCTGCACCGCAGCTTCAAGTGGTGCAACTACAACAGCGCCATGAGCTGGATTGCCCCCAAGGCTGCTCTCACCGATGCCACCATTGCCGCCGCTACGACTGTCTTCAACGAGCCCATTGGTGCCTTGATGTGGATGAAGAACGATCAGACCCTGGAGGCCCACGAAGTTTGGCGCCAAAATGAGGAAATCACCACCTTGCCTTCTGGAAATTCCGAGATTTACGACACTCTTGAATCTTTCGTGCCCGACCTCAAGAACAAACTCGCCTTGTTTGCTCCTCGCTCCGAATCCGCCGCCAGTGATCAGCAGATGGTTTCAATTGATGAACTTCAATTGGCCGCCCCGAACGAGCCTCACATGACCAACCCCTTCTCAATCTCTCCCGATGGTGAAGACTACACTGGACTGGGATGTTTCCAGATGGGTCTCGATCTCACCGCAAAGGATATTAACGATCTCCTCCAGGGTCAACGCCAGGTCCGCGATCTCAAGCTGCTGGATCCCATCAAGCCTGCGGCTCTCCGCAAAATGGCCGATGAGCTTCGTGTTCTGCAAGATTTCGGTGGAGAGGGATCCCAGGTCGCCGGAGAGCTGAAGGATCTTCTCGTCACTTGTGATGGTACCGACAACGACCGCATTCGCCTTTACTCTGGATTGCACTCTGGTTTCCGCACTCGCATGGAGACCCAGGTTTGGGGTATGTACGACAAGACCCCCGGTTTTGGTCCCCTCGACATTTACCTTTCCGGTAAGTGTGAGGTCGGCCGCACCGGTGCTATTCTGCACACCTACATGTCCAGCCGAGGATACTCTCGTTTCCAGTGTTTCATGGCCGAGATCGCTTTGGCTACCGCCAATGGTGATCTCTCTACCAAGTGGACCAGCCTCTCTCCCCGTATCATCAGCGACATTCAGCAGCTTACTCCTACCGAGGCTTTGCTTTGGTTGCGACGTCTGTCTACCACCCTGAGCAAGGAGTGCGCGCACTTGACTGCCAATGTTCGCTCTTGCACCGAGCACCAGCTCATCAAGGTTCCTACTCTTGGTCAGATTCGCGCTCTTGGCTCCAGTGAATACTTGAGCGGTCGATCCACTGCCGATGATGTGGTCAATGCTCGTTTGGCTTACTACCGGGACCAAGGCTGCTGGGCTCCTGATGCTACTGCTGCCAAGGATCTTTTCTTGGAGATTGATGCTCGTTTGCCTGAAATTCTGATGGGACGCGACTCTCGCACTCTCGAACAGCTCGCTGAGGTTATGCAAAACGTTCTCCAGAAGGGTTCGATCGATGCTGGTGTTGACATTCTCGCAACTGCCGTCTTCTGTGCCTTCCGCCGTATCTCTCTTGACGAAATCTACCTCGAGGTTCTTGACCGTAACCCTCTGCCCAACATTCACACCGTTCAGGTTGCTTGTTTTGCTGAGATGTACGCTCTCGGTGCTCGTTGTGAGATGTTCTTGGATATGACTGCCATGAAGCTGGGCAAGATCATTTCAGCTCGGTACCGCGAATACTGCAAGACTCACCAGCCCACTCGTCGTTCTGATACCTTCACTGAAATCCCGACCGCCTACGCTTCCATGGACATTGATCTGAACCCCGAGGGTGACAAGATTGTCGTTCCTTGGTACTACCGCATTACGTTCCTTGGTATCTTCGCTCTCCCAGCCCTCGTTGATATTACCATGTTGACCACCGTCGGTCGTGGTTTGTACTTGACTACTTTCATGAGTGACATTGACAAGACTTTGGCTACCACCGCACTTATGGTCGCATTGTTGATTTGTGGTGGATTTGGTAGTTGGATTACTTCCGGTGGAACATACTACCTGTACGCGATGGCTTTCCCTGCAATGGGCATGTTCATCATGACTCGTCTCATCGCTGGTCTCGCTGTCGTCTTCGTTGGTGGCATCATTGCGATGATCGTCATTGGCTGCATTCACGGCTTCGCGGCAGGTATCCTGTTCTTCCTCTACTTTTTCTTCCTATCCACATACCTCATGCTCCTGTCGGTGCTGTCCATCTACCAGCTACCTGGATTCCACTTCCAGTCTGGTCGTACAGTCATCATCAGCTGTGTTCCGATCCTGTTCATCTCGCCCCTCGTTACACTCTGGGTGGGACATGATTCGGTCATCTACCTGTGTGTTGTTGGTTGCTTCGTCACTTCCCTCCTTCTCGGAGCTCGCCGAGTCATTTCCATGTGGAACCACTGGTACCTGTCTATTCCCACTACCACTGACGGTGAAGTGTACGACTGGTATGTCAAGACGCTGAACAACCCTAGCCCGGCTTTGCTCAAGCAAATCTCCTGCACCTCCATTGCTCGCCAAACTCTCTTCGAGGCCGTGGAGAAGGAGACAAAGCGTTCACCCTGGACAAAGGCCACAACCGATCCTTACGTTCGCAAAATGGCCGAGGGTTACGACTCTACTTTCTTCCTGCTTGTCTGGTACTGCCGGTACTCGCGTACTGAGATTCCCCTTGCATTCAGTCCCACGTGGAACTTGCAGTTGAAGGCGGCTGTTGATACCATTGCTGATATGCAGAAGGGTATCCGCATGCACAATGCTTTCCTTCACTGGCGTCACACCGGTGCTGATGTCTGGTGTGGTATTCTCTACTTCGTCATTGCTTTGATCGATAAATGGACTGCCCTGCTCACTGGTGAGGCTCTTGTTGGTCTTTCCACTGCATCCAGCTCCGAGTACCGTCTGTCTGTTGGATTCGGTTTGGGATACTACCTGACTGGTGCACTTTTCCTAGATGCTGTCTCCCAGCCCCTTTGGATTGCTGTGACCAAGCGAAACGGTTCTCCTATCGGCTCATTGGACGGCTTGCGCAAAGTTCTCGATGTCAACCAGAAGGATAGACAGGCGCTGTACTGGGGTAACCTGACCAAGTTCTTCTTCCTCCACATTTGGGGTGCAGCCATCTCCGTGGCGCTCATGTGGGCCTTTGAGGATAAGCGAACTTCCACTATCATGTACCTTGCCTACCTTGGTGCCTACAGTGGTCTTCTGTTCTACCAATACAACCGTATCTTCACTGGTTCCGAGGCAGCTCGCTGTCTCGCCCTCGGATCGCTTGTCGGTTTCCTCACTGGTCTGATCCTGCACATCACTCTTCCTCCATTCACATGGAGCAGTGTCATCGGTCTCGCATCTGGTACATGGACAGCTGCTATCTACTCGATGTTCATGGCGAACATTGGTCTGCCCACCTGGAAGAAGTCTCTGATCCCCAAGCCTGTGGAGGGCGGAGTCCCCGCTACCTACACTTGCAGTTCTCTTGAGCCCTACCTGGATATTTCTCAGACCACCATGGCAGCCACCTTCGACAACATCAGCTCCTTGGATGACGAGCTTCGTTACCGCCTGGATGCGGCTACTCACCCCGGTTCCGAAGTCAAGAAGAACATCTTGGCTGGTGCTGGATGGAGAAGCTCGCTTCTTGTGCAGGCTGCATTCCCCGATGCCGACCGCCTTGTTCACGAGGTTGTTCGTCTCTGGGAAACCGGTCAGACCATTGTTGAGTTTGTCTCCTCCGAGCACCTTCTCCAGAAGGAGCAGCGTATCCGTTCCATTGCTCGTTTGACTGGCAACCAGCTCCGCATCTTTGTCGTTGTTGGACCTGGCCTTGGAGGACAAGACTGGACTAGCAACATTCGCCGCAACTGCCAGACTATCGCCGAAGCTGTTGTCCAGGCTACCACTGAAGCCAGATTGGGTCTTTCTCACGATCACTCGATGATGTCCGAGCTGTTGGTTATGGAGCACCGCGATCCATTTGAGCTGTCCATTCCCGAAGGTGTCAAGTACCAGTTGGAGCGCAACCCGACCGAGTGTGCCCGTGTCGTCAACCACGGTCGCGTTACTTTCCTCCGCCACCTTCTCTTCGGTATTGACGCTGATCTCGAGTGGGATAACCTCCCCGAGAGTGCCCGGTCCCTTTTGGTTCGCCGTTGCTCTGGACGCCCTGGTCACATTGCGGCTGATGAGCTGAACTGGCTCCAGGAAAGAGCCAACGCTGGTGATCTCCAGGCTGTCTGCACTTACATCGCCCGCTACAATGTTGGTGTTGGCATGTCTCTCTCTGTCAACTTCTTTGCCCAGCGCTGGATGGAGGCTGATACCTACCCGGATTACCCCATGCTCATGGATAAGACTTACGAGAAGCCCGTGGAGAGTCTCTTGCCTCCTCCTATTGGCGCCAACTTGCCTTTCCGCGAGTTGGTCAACCTCTTTGTCAGTCGCATGTTCCACAGCCTCAATACAATCGTCAAGTTCACTTTGATTTGTCTTGTGGCCGATCCTGAGTACCAGCGTGAGCTCAACTACGTTCTCCGTGGACAGCCAATCATCTTCGCCTACCCCATCAGCATCCTGCTCAACACTCTTTGGTCATTCTGCAAGCTTCTTCAGAGAATCCTCATCCCTCTTGTCCTTGTTCACGGCCGTGAGAACGTCTCTGAGCTGTATAAGGCGACTGGTGGCTGGAAGACTACCATCGAGAAGGACCGCATCGTTATCGAGAGCCTTACTGGACCCATGACCTGCTTCTACCGGCCTTTGCCCGATCGCACTGCTCGTCTTTACCAATACTCTGGTAACCACGCCCAGGAGCCTGAGGACCAATCAAAGCTCGTTGCCATCAACACCTACTCTGACAAGACTATTCTGCGCCGTCGCGAGGAGTACAAGGACAAGCAGGTCATCAACGATTTCACTTACGAGTACGCCGATGCCGGTGCCAAGAAGCTTCCCATTCAGCGAAACTGTACTGCTGGTGAAAACAGTGGCCAAGTCATTCAATATGATAACCGTGGTTACATTGTCTCCGGATCTGCCATGCAAGGTGTTAACCCCGTCAAGTTCCAGTACCAGTTCCGCAAGGATGCCAAGTTCGATGACGAGCTCCTGAGTGGTGAATACATCTTCCCTCACATCCGAATCAACGTCACCTGGTGCATGCCTCCTCCCCACCGACCTGAGCGCCTGAACAAGTGGATTCCTTACCCTCGTGTCAGCGAGGCCTCGTTCATCCAGGGATCTGATGTTCACTACGCCAAGTGGACTTACGACCACAAGTTCCACCCGACTATCGCTACTACGCTCAATGGTGAAGAGGTTACCACTCCGGTCATGATCCGTGATGATTGGTTCCACGTTTTGGAGAAGCCTACTAAGAGTAGTTTCCTGCACGACAACCCGCTGTTCTTCTTCAAGTCGTTCCAGTCGAACTTCTTGACTCGTCTGCTCCGCTTGAACGTCCAGTCTCGTCCCATCCCCACCTCGCGCTCTCGTACTCACCTGTGGAAGTCCTGGAAGAACAGCAAGAAGTTCGATGCTGTGACCACCGTTTTCCTTGATGAAGTTCTCCTACGTTCCGACCGTGTCCTTGCTCCTTACTGGCGCAACCGTGACTTCGGTCGTCTTGAGGCTGCTGGTGACTATATCGATGCACAGGCTGATACCATTCTCGCTCGTGTTGATATTGATCCCGATATCAGCTCTTGGACTCCTATGGCATTCAAGATCAGCGATCTGTCCAGTTTCGGACAGGGAGGTGATTCCAGAATCAACACCCGCACACTGTCCACCCAACTCCAGGATACCGACACCCAGCTCCACGTTCTCGCCATGGATACCGCTACTTGGCCCAACGAACCAGGTGGTGTTTCTGCTTGTCGTCGCGACATGATCAACGACCTTAACGGTATCAGATGGCACATTCTTTCTGAGAATGCCAACGATTACGGTGTGCCGAAGTTCCAGATCGAGAGGAATGTCCAGTCTTTGACTATTCTTCCTCAATGGGGTCTGGATTTCCTCAACCCTACTCACGGTGTTTTCCAGAACTGCCTCGATTCCGCTGTCGTTGAACGCGCCCAGGATACTCGCGTCAATGATATTGAGAAGCACTTCATCCCGATCCTGACCAAGCTTGTTCGTTGCGCTCGCACGATCAGCTTGACTCGTCAGCACATTGAAGAGGCCACCAATGCCCTTGTTGATTTGAACACCTACTTTGAGCACGGTCGCAGCTGGAACGATGTTTGGATGAGTGATACTGTCAAGATGGTTTGGCGCCAACTTTGGTTGTCTGATGATGTTGATGACGCTGTCCCGGCTTCCCAGTGGTGGGATGCTGAGCTCCCGTCTTTGCAGCAGCTCGATAATGCTTTGGACATGTGGCATCGCTGTAAGTTAATTTTCCTCTTGCTCTGATATTTTTCCTTCTTTTACTGACATTTTTTAGACTTGTTCATCTTCTCCATTCCGGTCCCCGAGAGAATTCCCGATGTCTTCCAGGTCTCCCACCACTTCACTGGCGCCACCTACGGTGTCCTGTGCAAGGCTAAGCGCAAGTGTGCCCTCCACGTCTGGGATCACTGTATCAGTTTCCGTGAGATGACTGTCTTCTGTTCCGCTGCCGTGTCTTTCGATTCGACCTTCGTCAACAGCACTCTCATCGCCCTTGGTCACCTGTCTTGTGTTCTTGTCGAGCACCACGCTGATGTGGTTCTTCCTTGCGCCGAGTACTTCAACCCCGGTTGGGAGCGAGAACTCGGAACTGCCGAGGGTGCCCTCCAGCACCGTCGCACTTTCGCCCGCAAGATCGACCCTGTCGTCAACGGTATCACAAACATGGAGAAGTACAAGCCTATCGAGAAGATCAAGACCAAGACACCCACTTGTGTCATGTTGTCTCACGTCCGTTACGTCAAGGATATCAAGACCGCCATCATGGCCACCGATCTCATCGTCAACAAGTGGGGATTCCGCGACTACCAGCTGCACATCTACGGAGATATGGAGCGCGCTCCTGCCATCGCCTCTCAATGTCAAGAAGTCATCGCCTCCAAGGGTCTCCGCGAGCACGTCATTCTCAAGGGTCTCGGTAACCCATCGGTTGTCCTTCAGGATGCTTGGTTGTTCATGAACTCTTCCATCTCCGAGGGTCTCCCGCTTGCCATGGGTGAAGCCGCCTTGACCGGTGTCCCCGTCGTCTGCACAGACGTCGGCGCCTCCTTCTGTGTGGTCACCGACCGCGCAACCGGCAAGCGATTCTCCGAGGTCGTGGCTCCTAACGATTACGACTCTCTTGCGCGCGCTCAGATCCGTGTCATGGCTCTCCTGGACCAATGGGCTCCCTTCGCCGAGGACAAGGAGGGCGATCTCGTCCCCAAGCTGGAATTCCACCCCACCCCCGAAGAAATCCAGGCTATCTCCGACCGCATGTATGCCAAGCAGGATCAGCGTCGTGCCCTTGGAATGAAGGGTCGCGATAACGTGCTGAACTCCTTCTCCAGTCATCGTTACCTGCGCGAGCACGAGCAGATGCTTTGGCTCGGCAAGTACCAGAGTCATAGCTACATTGCTCGTACTGCGGTTTCGTCTGGTGCTTCCAGTGGTCTCTTTGTTAAGGAGAAGAAGCATGCTTCTTACCGCGCTTCCTACCTCTCGAGTACTCCTACACTCCCTCGGACTCCGGATTCGTCGTATCACCCCGCTCCTCCCAGGGCTTGGAGGTCGTTGCGCGATTACCGGCAGTCTGGGTCATCCGGCACTCAAACGCCTGTCTCTCTCGCATAAACCCCCTTTTCTTATTGTTTTCTTATGTCCATTCCCATTTGTTTTCTGTTTGTTTTAGAGCGTGTTGTTGTCTGTTTTTGATACCGCCTTGCGATTAATTTCCCGGCATAACTCTTGACACTTGTTGTATACATAGAATAAATAATGTCTATCTTATAGTATTTACACATATTGACATTTACAAATAAATTTAAATTTACATACAAATTGGAACTCCTAGTAAAACAATAAATTTGAAGCATCTACGACAGTATGATTAGCATGGGGACTGGTGGAATAATCCTTGCAGATGGGAATAATACAAAGGGGGTCAAAAGGCCATTCACATTGTTGAGTGGAAGAACATCGAGAAAAATGCATGGATTGGAGAAACAATGAAGGTGAACAATTTTGTTAAGCAGTGTGCAAACAGCTCAGAAAGCGCCGTGAGGAGTCTACAAACAATTGGTTTGGCCAGTTAGGGGAAAAGAGCGGGATGAGCCGACAAAATTTCCACCGTTGGCGGTGACGTCACCCACATTTTCGAATTTTCGGTTGTTCTGATTACTAAGAGTCGGTGTGGTGTAGCGGTAACACAGCCACGTGATTCTCGTCCCAGTCTGGACTGTACAGCACGCTATTATTACCAGACTGGGATGCTCAGTATACTGAGAGGGGGATACGTGGAAGTGGGGGGTTCAATTCCTTCCTCCGGCAATTCTTTTTTTTCTTTTCCAAAATTTTTGTTCCCATGGAGCATATACAATCTGTCTAGATGAAAAGCCTTACACTATGACAAAAGAATATTTTTTCAGAGCATTCATGGATACAAGATTTTACCGAAGCGAATTTCGGTGCTCCTCGATAGCTACAGACACAGATTTACTAGGATGCCCGAGTAGACTGAAGCATGTGTTTTAATTCTCATTTTGCATCATCAGACTGTATTACACATACTGAATTCATTATTGATTCAACAATTATCCATAGTACATTTAGTGCTTCTTTTAGAGCCGCATAAGCCATGAAGCTCATCCATTGCTTCCGGTGCGGATTAGCGCCGGCCCCCCAATATTCCTCCTGGGAGGTTTCAGAGGGAACTTACAACCCAATCACCTTGTGTTCTTGTTCAGCTGGAAGGGTCAGTACAATGACCACGCGACTTGAGTGATCCTCGCCCTGAATCTCACCTTAGTATTTATAGCGCACTTACCCTTATCACCTCCGGTCGCCCGACCGTAAAGCGGCGCTCACTCATTTCCTACCCTGGCAGCACCCACCGGATTATTGACTGTACATGTACACAAGCCACACGCCGGTAAGTGAAGACTTGAGTAGGCGACCACTGATAAATGGCAAGCCGGTGTATGTCAATTTTTTTTTTACTCTTCGTTTTCCATTCGTGTGGGAAGCTCTCTTTTGCCGCCCTACTCTTGAGCTCTGCAGCAGCCTCAATGCACAAGGTCATTCCTTCAAGGTAGAGGGGCCATATATCTTCGTGCCTGACCCTACCTGCATTTTCACTAGGTTACAGTAAGCGCCGCTTTAGCTAGACTGTCAGATTCTGGTGCCAAGTCTACAGTAAACAGAAAGGCCAGTGGAAATTATGTGATGGGTTTTAAAAGCCTGCCTTGCTCTCGGTGAGCCACAAATTAATCTCGAGAGTAGATCATTCTTGAATGTTTTCTCATTGCGGTCCAAAATATATCCCTTGTGTGAACAGAACATGCTTCCATGCCCGTCGCCAGATCTCGAGTCTTCGCGTCTGCTTGAGCACGCGCAAAACGATGCATATTTGACTCAAGTTCCTCTTGACACGATTCCTCCAGGTTCTGTTCTAGGTCGATCGCATTGGAATGAAAGCTCAAGCACCGTGTTATCCACTATTTCGAATCCTTTGGATACTACCAGTGATGACCATTTGCTGGAAGATAAATTACCACGATTCGCCGCTATTGAATTCCTTCGACAGTGGCTTCCCGAGGTTCACCCAGAGGACCCAGGGTCAAACACCCTCCTGCGAAAATTCTCCAACCGTGATGTAGCTCTTATTGTCCATCAGTCAGTAGCAGGGCTAGTCTTGATATTCAATATCATTGTGACTTCGCTTGCCATCCACTCCTATGTGCCCATGAAGGGGATAGGAGGCATTGTCGACGTTCCTGGCGTCACAAATTGTGACGATGTCCATTCATACAATATGGGGATCCACTTTGCTATCAACGTTCTATCAACCATTCTACTCGGATCCAGTAACTACTGCTCCCAGCTTTTAGTTGCGCCCACGCGCAAAGATATCGAGAAAGCACACAAGACTCGGAAAACACTTGACATCGGGATTCAGAGTTTTCGGAACCTGCGGGCTGTTGATACTCCAAGAAGAGTCCTTTGGGTGCTGTTAATGATAAGTTCTGGACTTCTTCATCTATTGTGAGTACACAGCATTCAAATTTTATTTTGTGCACCACATTCTTACCTTTACAGTTGGAACACTGTTGTATTTGCGGCCTCTCCCAAAGTGTCGTACAATGTTGGGGTTGTTACGAGCGATTACCTGGAAGATACAACGCCTTGGAACTATTCGATGCCGGGCATTGACCAAATACGTCGAAATGCGACCCATTTAACACCTCTTTCTCGAGCCGATTGCATCGAGAGGTACACAAATAGCGACAATGGACTCAGCGACGTGCTTCTAGTTGCTCGCAATGTCAGCAAATATGACCAACTGTCATTTGCCATTGATAATTCATCATCTTTACTTTCCAACTTCTCGGCATTTGAAACTGCTTCTCATGAAAACGGGTCCATTGGTGTAGATTGGACAGAAGCGGATTCATGGGTATGCTCTGCCTGGGCGCCTCTTGGCTATTACGCACTGCCGCCGGACAGCCAAAGAGTTACTGTATGCACTGCCTCGGCTATGACAGCATACGTGGATTCCTGGACTTTTACAAGATGGCAGGAAACCCCAGCAGCCCCTTCTGGGGCGCAGCTATGGGCGGGGGTGGATCACTGCATTCCTGCTAGTGGACTTTATCCCATGGAGAATAAGTGTCAGCTTCGGGTAAGCTACGCTCTATTGATCATCGTGTGTGGATTGAACCTCATTAAGCTCCTTTGTATATTTGGTACCGCCCGTCTCCATCATTCAGGTCGTCTCTCCACTAGGCACGAGGGAGATACAAAAGCGAAAACAGCCTATCTTGTTACTGTGGGCGACGCCATTGCAAGCTTCCTAGAGCATGAAGACGACCATACCAAGAATCTCTCGCTCGTAACTCAGAGCGATTTCAGCAGAGGGAAATGGCCAGACGAAGAGAGGGAACACAAAGAGTTTGACCCCGGTGCTAAACTGAGGGTCAGGCGGTGGTTTTCCTCAGTTACTATCCTGCAATGGATTTCGACTCTTTTGTTGTGAGTATATTCTCTAACTTCTTAAAATCCAAACATTAATTTTGATTGAAAAGGTGCGCTGGGTTTATGACATTCACGTCTGTTGAGCTTGGTCAGAGCCTCAGCGCAAGAAAGAGTGGAGGTATCGCGATAGACCTACCAGCCCTCTGGTCATACGGCGTCGGAACTGCTCAAGCCTGGAGTGTATCCTTGACGGGTTTATTATCTAGCATGAACCAGGACGGAGGTTTCTTTCTCGCCACCATATACGTGAACGTCTTTCAAATTCTCGTCAGCGGTCTGTATCTTTTATGCAACAACATCATATCTGTCATGTTGATGGCATCTGAGTGGAATTCCTACTGTTCCCAAAGACTCTCACTCCGTGTGTCTTGTCCGCGTGGATGCCAAAGATCAAGCTACTTCCTATCTCTACCATATCGATATTCAATCCCTTTGATGGTCGCATCTAGTGTACTTCACTGGCTGGTCTCACAAAGTATCTTCGTCATTCAGACCATTGCATACAAGACACCAGAATTTGGCCGTGCCCCGGACCTGGACGGATCTCTCGTGGGGACATCACCAATTGCCATGCTTATGGCAGTTACGCTTGGCGGAGTCATGATTTTCACAATGATCGCCTTTGCAATTTTCTCAAAGTATAGGCCATTTCCCACTAATGATAACAGCAAGCCACCCTCATACCCTGCACCGCTAGTCGGCACATGTAGCGCTGCTATAAGCGCTGCGTGTCACGCCCATCCTGGAGATCGAGAGTCAGCCCTATTACCTCTTCGATGGGGGTATGTCCGAGATGGCTTGAAACACTCAAGCGGACGGTTTCGATTCAGCACAGCAAGGGATATTGAAAATCCCATGAACATTTGACGTGCAAGGATCATTTTCCCTGGCGGCTCAGACCAGGCATAGCGTTACGGGGTGCTTTAGATAGATTTATTTGCTCTTTGCTCTTTGCTGCTGCTTATTTTTCTTACTTAATTTTCTCATGTTTCCTTCTTTGCCGTTTCTCAAGCTTGAAAGCTAGTCAATGTAATCTAAAATTACGGTCGCAATTTCAACTTGGAGCTCGGGGTCATACTAGTATTAAGCAGAATTAACATACAGATATTAACACCAGAGAAGAATTTTACAAGATTCCCAACACTCTCCCATCATCATTGATAGTGTAAAATTTGTTTACATGAATAGCCTTCCACCATAACGACTTGAGAGATCTTTTTCAACGGAACATCCATGGACGCAAGGTTTTATCGAAACCAATACTATGCTTAGCTCCAGCCCTACATTTGCATGTGGGGTTTGCTGTTTGTTCCAATATCCCAAGCATTGAACAATTTTCGTGTACATACCTTCTTCGTTCTTATTTATTCATTCTGTGTTTTTAAGAACATTTATTTTACATTAAACAAGAGTTAAAAATCGTTCTGAATCATCCGAGTCTTGGCAATTACATTAATGCTAGATCACTATCGGAAAAAAAGCTCCGACTCCTGTCGGCCATGTAGAGGATATTGATATCCACAAAAACAGAAGACACTTTTGATATAACCAGGACCCGATGAGGATGAGATGGGAGGACCATGTAAAAAGAAAAGAAAAGATATCGCAACTCCAAATCCAAACACCAACCAATTGATAACCCCAACTCCTGCAGCCGTAACGGATGTCGGCTCTAGATATACATCACGTCACGGTCATGAAAAAGCCGAAGCCAATGAGTAGCAAGAAAAAGAAAATCAAAGCCAAAGCAACAACTTGAAGCAAATAAGAACAGGACATGGTAAGATCCTAGTCGATGCAGAATAATCAAGCACGCGACTGCTTGTGTCGCCACATTCCGCTGGGAACCATATTTTGCTTCAACACAGAAAGTTCCTTGTGCATAGCCTGGTTCTCCAGCTGAATACTCTCAATGTAAGCAAGAGCATTAGTCAGGATTTCGGACTTTTTCAACGACCCCGCACCAGCACGCGAAGTCCGCTTATCAATACCAGCAGGGGAAATGGCTTTCTCCAGCGATAGGAACTTGGTGTTCATATTTGTGCGGTAGCGTTTCTCGATGATGTTGTGGGCGGCCCGTTTAGCGGCATTACGCACTTGTGGGTCCTGTGTGGAGGTGGAGGTGGAGTGGTTGGAGTCTTGGGATAGGCTGCGTGTTTTGCGAGCCGATGTGGATTTTTCGCGTGGGGCGATGGTGTATTCTTGAGGTTTGATTTCTGGACTTGAGGACCAGCGGGTTGAGGATGTGTTTTGTGTTGATGATGAGCTGCGGGTTGTGGGCTTGGTGGAGAGTTGGCTTTCGGGGGCGGAAATTTCGGCGGTCATGTCGATTGAGGGGCGCATAGACCATGATTGATCGTCGCTGTCGAAGTCCTGATAAAAGTTAGTCTGGATCCATTCAAGGTTTCAGTTCCAAGATTGTTGGCTCTGAGCGGATTCTTACCGATGACATGGAAACAGTGTCTTCGTTGGGCATGGTGAAGCCGTTGATCGCAGATGGAGTTCCGAATGGATCCATGAAAAGATCTTTGGTGTCGCCATTTGTCAAGCTGTCGGCGAAGTCAAAAGATACTGGATCCATATCGGCGGGAGTCAAGGCGAACAAATCGATCGCGCTGTCATAGTTCCAATTGCCAGTAAGATTGTCGGAAGCTTTGGAAAAAAGATCCATTGGGCGAGATTGGGGACTCAGGTCTTGACTAAGATATCTGTCGTCCATGCATGTGGAGAGATTGGATAATTGAGATCGTTGACTGAATGGCATTGTGTGGAAGAAATCGAATGTTTCCAAGGTGATTTGAAGTGGCTGATTCAGGGGGGGAAGAGGCAAGAATAATTCAAAGATATAATATATCCGTGCACACAAGATGGGAAGTGGCGATTAGGTAGATCGAGAAAGCTGAGAGTATATATCGAATTGAGCTGTGTTACCGTGGAATGGAAACTAAGTTCCTATCGGCCGCAGCACGACTTATATACAAGTTTAATAGATCTTGCAAAGGAACAGGGGGGCCGGACGTTCACGGATTAACGCACTTGGCTTCACGGTATCTTGACCGAGACGTCCAGCCGAGATTGGGACTTGTGATGTCAGGCATTTCACGGCTCGAGACCCTGCAAGAAAAAAAAAAAAATTGAAAAAAAGAAATAGAAAAACACGAGTCCACTTACGGAGTATTGCATTCGGTGAAGCCTTGCCGAGATCACCTTAGCCCCACGGCCGGCTCCGAATCGATATAGAATCCGGGAGGACAAGAGTGCCACTGAAGAAATGCAATACTGAACAGGACAAATGGTGGAGTTCAGCGGAAAGAACCAGTGGGTTCCAACGGTTTAGCAAATCTTTAAGGGGCGCCAAGCTCATTCCGGCCGAAAGTCGGACCCGACGGTTTTTATACACGTTTCATGCATTTTTCATGCATTATGTCTCTTTTGGCCTATGTTTGGCTGTTTTTTTTTACTCCTTTAGGCTCTGATTTTCCTCTTTTGTCGTCGCTTTTCAATTAATGTCCTCTGATTGGTCTACGGGGTTTATTCCCCTGGCGGAAAAATTCATACCCTGCTTCTCTGAGCCCTGTCATAGGCGTAGAATTCACCTAGATCGTCCTAGCGTGGGCGATCCCCTGCTAGTGCACCTGTCAGGCAAAGCATTACCTACAAGATTCCGTTGAACAGCCATTGGTATGTCACAGATTCTTCTTGCCGCTGCAGCCTTCCTATGATGTATCTCGTGGATATCTGCAGAAAAGTGAACCAGGGTGAGGTACTCTCCAAAAGTTGCTTGACGTGACCATCCCGAGGTCTAATCCTGGATTTCTCTTGACGTGTACACGAACTACTCCGTAACAATCTGCCGAACTACTATAAGCGAACAAGGCCCGAGCAATAAGCAATATCCAAAACAGGGCTTTTGTATATTGTGCTATATTGGGAGATATCAATTGTGCGATTTCATGACGACATGGGGCCTAACAATCAACATTTCCACAAACAAAACAAGAAACTCAAGTATACATTGGAAAGTGAATGAGCACCGGACTTCCTGTTGCGCGAGTCCAACTCCGACGTTTCAACCCCATGTGCCATATGCAATGCATCAACGGACCAGGCCTACGCAGCAAACCCGAAGAGAAAACCCCAATTGGGGATGGAAACATTTAGAGAGTAAAGTTAGCCGTCAGTGCTACCGTGGCCCCTGTTCTGACCATTCCGGAGGCCCACAATTCCCGCTTACACAAATTTATTCCTTAGACAGGGCCTGCTTGCCACTTTAGGTCGTGGGGTGATTCGGATCGAGTCTTTCCTTTACTTTATCTTCGGACTACGCCCGGTGTTTGCCGATTTTTTAGGACCTTGTCCTCGTGACACTGACATTCAACCTTCTAGACACGAATTGTAAACGGGATGCAATTGTCGTGCTTGGTTTCGGTGAACCATTTTGAACGTTGTGTTCCCGGGTGCTATTGTCTCCTGATGTGGTTATGGAATACCCTGGTCAGATGAAGAGGATTGAAAACATTTGAATATTTATTCAATTGATTCTGTTAGTTTCGAGATGACAATGTAAATGTTCACAATTAATGATGTAGGTATTGATTGTTCAATGCTTCTTTAGGCAGTAGAGTCGCTCATAGATCGCATGCATACATTAACCGTCATCCCTACCTAGTATTGGACCCGGTCCGGCTCAACCATGTTAAATGAATTATCCGTTAATATAGACCATCAATGATAGGTGGCTTTTCCCCCAATCACGCTTACGTTTGTGGCGACGTAGATCAATCTCGAAAAAGAAAAACTCCACCCTCAATGATCTGCTAAAGCAAAGGACTGGAAACCTGCCGAGATCCCTTCCGAGGCAGGTGGGGCTATGACGGTCTAATGCAAGCTGACCGTTGCGCCCATGTCCCTTTAGGACTCTGGGCCTAGGTCGTCCGACGCGGCTCGCTCTCGGTCCGTGGTGGAGCCGAATGTGTCGCATTCACGGGTTCAAGATGGGATCTGACTGCCGATTTTTGTGTTTCCCCGGATTTCAGCTTCCGGGGCGGAATCTAACTCGGCAGCTAGATCATTTAGCTATTCTTTAGCTATTTTCCTGACGATCGATGGGAGATCATGAGGGATAAAATCATACCCGGGACTCCAGCTGACTGCCGGATGCTACGAAGTAGTTGAGAAGCTGAAGAACAATGAGTTCTGGTCAGTTGAATGTTAGATCATCCCTGTGCGCGGCGATAGAGAAGATCCTAGGTCATATGGTGCAATCAATCTTATGATGTCAATTCTTCCATATAGAGCATCGAAGTCATCGTTTTGCGAGTTTCAAATGTGCAATAATCTTTCCTTCTCATTCTTCTTCCTCTATGCCCTTGAACTAAGCCTCGCAAAATATTCATGTTTTAGCCATTCAAAACAGTACGTGATACAGCCTCATCAGGTGTTTTGAGATGTTTGCAATGTTTGCAGTGGCTGCAAGGATCCAGAATATGAAACGAGTGACGAGTCGCACGACGACCTGATTTGACCATCAATCTGAAAGTGCTGTCACATTGTTTCTAGCATACTATGTGCCTTCTAAGCAAGCCCGAGCATTTATGTCCATGCAAGCTCGCCATATAGGCGGTGTGGCTTGTGGCTGATTTGATCAGGATCTACCCAGTTGTGACGACACTTGTGGAACATGCATCAAGCTTATCAATGTCGCTTGCGCCCCGTGTGGCACACTGCATAATCAAGATGTCGCCGCTCCTCACAAAATTGTCCTTGACTGCAGTCCTAGTCATTATTTTGATTCTCAAGCTTTGCTTGGTCTTCTCCGAGTAAGGCGCGCGATCACCCCAGCCTCCGTGTATATTTTGCTGGATCGGGCAAGTTGAATGTATCTCAGTTCGTGGGGCAGCCCCCAGTGGATCCAAACCAAAGTTTCTGTAAGGCTGGCCGCTGAACCCCGATCTTCATGCACGCTGGTGGAAGACATGAACAAATAGTTCGTGCAGTGCGTCGTAAGCCACGTTTGTTCTCACGAACAAGTTCTCAGTTTGCGATATCAATGGGAATCTCGGCCTTGAAAAAGTCGTCGTGCATTATCTATGATGCACTTTATCCCCCCATCTGGAGGCTGGTCAGCTGAATCATTACCCATTGTGGAGCTTGATCGTCCAGATCCACAGATTTGCTCCACCGTTCATCTCAAAAGCGAATAACACGATAACCTCTGGATGGAAAAGACGATCAACATGTATGATGTGAGCGAATCACGTCCGCGGGCTAAAACAATGGCAATTCAATGACGCACCCAGTCCTACGTGATAGGGGTCCCGATTTTCGACTCCTGGGACCTATAAATTGGTCGCGCGAAGTGGGATGTTTTCGTTCCTGAACCAAAGCATCTCTGCTGTACTTATATCGTTACCTCTTTCCCATTCACACAATTGGATACCTCAAATCTAGAATAACAACACATTCAGAATGGCACTGTATGCGATTCCACACTCTCCCTTTTTGATTCAGTGACAGGAATCTGGCCGGCTAACACTTTACCCACAGTACCCCCGAAGAACAATACGTCCAGCTCGTCGGTCGCAAGAACATCACCGAGGAGGAATACCTTTCCGTCTTTGACCAGCTCAAGCCTGTCGAACCAGAGAATTTCATGGGAAGTTGGAAGGGCGCCAATGTCAACTCCAACCATCCGACCGAGCAGAAACTCTCAGCGATGAGATGGGCCGGAAAGGATTTCAGATCTACCGAGGACGTTGACCCGATTATGGTTACCAACGATGAGGGCGCACGCGTTTGGAATGAATCATGGGGCCATGCACGCGTAAGTTTGTATCAACTCGCTTCAATCGACAATACTGTATACTAACCCGTCGTTTGTGGGTGATAGCTTCGCCAGATCGAGTGGCGTGGTACTCTGTCCACGGCTATGGTTTATGATGACTTCCCTATTATCGACTACTTCCGATATGTCAATGATGATTTGTTGGCAGGTGCGATGGATGCGAAGACTGTGAAGGAGGGTACATACTTTTTCTACTTGCACAAATAGGCCTCTTACACGCTATGTGTCCTGCTATCAAAGTTCAGATATGACACCCATTTTATAATACACCTCAATGAAAAGCTACATGCCCAGGTGATTGACCTTGTTTCTTTTCCTAAGTTATTCTATTATACTCCACCACGTGGCGATAAAATGACTCAGAATTTCTACACGGCCTCGGGCGTTCTGTTTTGCCCAGAGTTTTGATGGCGCGCTTTATCGCCCCTGGATTTTTCTCAGATCAGTGGAATATCTCAAGTTCTGCTTGACCACAGCTTGACCTACCTATATATATATTTAGTACCATGGGGCACACTCCGCTCTTCTTTCTTTCTTCCCCCATGGACTCATACTAGGTCACCCTTGCACCTGTGACTTCCAAGCCCTGAGAAATTCCGACATCCAGTAGATTTATACATACTACATCCAAATGGGTAGCGGTCATCTCCCCCGAAGACTCTTCTCCTATTCAGATATGTACCTTTTTACCCTTTTCCTTCAGATTTCTTTTTTTTTTCATTCCTCTTTTCTTTTTGACCTTTTCCCTTTTACAACTCCCTCATCTCACTTTGTTATTCCCCACTGAGGTCTTCATTTCCGCCCTCTGGTCTTACTTCCTCCATCCTTTCACACCCCGTGAAAGTCAAACAAAGCCTTGCTATATCTAGGTTTCCTCCAAACCATCGCAATGAATAACCGAGCAGCTTCTACGAATGGGCCTGGTCCACTTGCCGCCTCTGCAGCCGCAGGAACTAAAGCCACCGCACCCGACGACATTGCGTCGACCTCCCACGAGCCTTGGGTAACATCATATGCCTCTTTGTAAGCTACTTCCCAACTTGCAGTCATGACATGTGTACAGAGTCAAGCTGATAATCTTGAAAGCCCCCTTCCAGATACCCCCGCAGTGCGACACCGTACTGGTTGTGAAGTCCCTCCAAACACGATTGGTTCATCTATCATGAACCCCGGTCCATGGGCCAGAATCATCATGTCTCTGCCGTTCAGGCTTGCCGGGAAGAGCTCTGACCCCAGAACCAATGCTCTCAAGCTGTTGCATGACAAACCTCTCCAACGAGAGCCCGTACTGCGACCGGTATATAGGGATTGGACGAGTCTCCACCTCATTCAGCGAATCGCAATTGTCACCAGCAATATTGAGTCCGCCTTGTGTCAAGTTGTTGGTGATGTTGCGGAGGAGGAATGCAGCGCCTGCGCCAGCAACTCGGGGCCATGGTCTCTCTGCGTTCGCTACGTCGACGCGAATAATACTATCCCTGAATGTGCAAACTGCAGATGGAATGGCAAGGGTAGAAGATGCATCTTCAAGAAATCCCCCAAGCCGGAAATTTCTTCCTCTATATTCTCGGTCCCTGATGAGCACGACATGCTCGGAAATCCAGCCCTGGGTATTACTTCAAATCTTGAAGAGCGCAGTCCAATCGAAAATGACACAAGCAGCAATGAGGAATCCTCGGCCACCCAGCACTGGGAATCCCTTGCGCTGATTTCAGACTCGACCAATGAATTTACGGAGAAGATTCATGAGGCGCTGAAGAAATGGGTGGGAGGCAGACAGGCTCATTAAGGCCTCTTTTTTTCGTACCGTGTGCCCAGAACATGAAGTACGATATCTTTTTTTCAGCATTAGGGTCTCCATTTAAACTTCGTGCTCATGATCGATTATTTATTTATTTTTTCGTTATTTTTAATTCAACCAGTTTCATGGCTTTTCAGCAATGACCTCACTAATAGAATTTTCGGAAGCGTAACTTAGCCATGCGATCCGGCCCGCTCCCGAGTCCCGATGAGATTCGGCAGTGGCTTCAAGTACACATTCTGATGAGAAATCATTTCAAATTTCGAGGGTGATAATCCCTCCCGACTAATGAAATCATGACCCCTTCTGTCCGAGACCAATAGCTGTATTTCTAACCGGTTTACTGAGAAATTTCACCCAAAAATAGAACTTCTACTACTAAAGGGGAAATACGCCGAGCTCACTCCGAAGCCATAGATCGGCAGTGGCTTTTACCCCAGCCGGCGGCTCCACGGGTAAATGCTGCAGGGTCTCAGCCTCTTAGCCTCTTCGTACACATGCAGTTTTCTACCCCCCTGAAATCAGATCTTAAATTTGGGCCGATGGGAAAATTCCAATATTTTTGCACGATCTGTCGAAGCCTTATTTCCTCACACCATGCTGCGTTGCTGTCTCTGGAATGACAAGTCATAATGTTATGAAAAATCGTGAAGAACATCCATTAAGAGAAGTGCAAGACATGTTTCGGTTTGTCCGGGTGATCGCCGAATAAACCACCTTAAATTGAATCTCTAAAATGGGTCTACCTTATTTTTAATGGAATAGACTCCGGGGCTATGATTTCAATATCTTGGCTATGTCTTAACGTCTCTTGGCGCTGAGCAGGGCCACAGCTTTCCAGATGGTTATAAAAGGACCATAAAATCCGCCGATATTCAAAATTCACAATTCTTCAACATCCTATCTTCTCAGCAACCTTTTTACACATACCACCTCAGTTCAAAATGAAGTTCTCTATTGCTGCTATTGCCGGTTTGGCCGGTGCCGTCACCGCCACTCTCCCTGCTGCCTTCACCCTCGTCTCCGATGCCGGCAAGACCGTTCTCACTGATGGCCGTGAGTGCTCTAGAACCCAAACCCCCTGATTCATTCCAAAATTGAAGCTAATACCATTGTCACAGAGAACCTCTGGATCGGCGGCAACACCACCACCCAAGAGGTTGCCATCCGTACGTTTCTTCATACTCGGGCTGATGGACGCTGTTCAACATGAATGAACAATACTGACAGCTTTGCAGTCCGCAGCAGCAGCTATGGCGATGTATCCTTCACATCCAAGTCCGAGACCCCAACTGGATTCCAGACCCTCTACATGATCCCCAACGAGGTCGAGCCTATTGTCTTCACAGTCCCTCACTCCGGAGCTATGCCTCAGGGTGCCAACATGACTGGTTTCGGAGCCAACGCGAAGGGCCTGTTCACCCACGGCGGAAAGGCTTGGTTCGCTGTTGATGGATACGGCGATCAGGACGCCAAGGAGATCTTCTGGTACGGCGCTCACAACGCCGAGTACGAGAGTGCCAATCTCTATGTCAAGGAGTGCAAGGGCTGCTAAATTGTCAGCTGGCTTTATTTCGCTTGCTTGCAAGCTCTTTGTCATTGGCGTCATTTTGTATAATACAAGTTCTCGAGTAGTAATGGGAAAGAAGTCGTTGTTTTATTTAAGATTCATTCATGGCCGTGAAGGTCAAATCTGACAACAGACATTCACAAGCACAAATCCCTCTATCTACTAGAACCTGATGATCCAATAAGAGCTTGAATAGTATCCTCATACCGCTCAGGTTCGCGCCCCAGAATCTCAACAATAGCAGAAGACACAGCCGCCGTCTCGCCCGCCCGAATAGCCCCCCAAGCCGAGGCCCACTCCCTAGACAAATCCACCCCATGATACGTATGCCTACCCGCATGCTCAAGCGCCGCATACTCCTCAACAGAAATCTCCCGAATGGTCAAATCTGTCCCGGTAGCACGCCCCAGAATCTCAACAGTCTCAGCGAGTGAAATAACCCTTTGGCCCGACAACAAGACCATCTGATTCCGGTACATGAACGCAGCCGGGTCCTGCGCATACGAAGCGACGAGCTTCGCGCTCGCCTCGCCTAGCTCGTCACGCTTGACCCACGCAACGCCTGGGCCATGCCCGGAATGCGGAATGGTGATTTCGTGCCTGGATCCGGGGCTTGTGCTCTGCGGATCGAACCAGGCTGTGTAGATCGGGAAGGACTCGCTGTATATGCCTTCGCGGATGATGGTGTGTGTGATCTCGGGCTTGGTAGAGAGGTATTTCTCTGTTGCGAGATGTGCGCCCATGACGTGTGCGATGCTTTTGTCTGTTGTTCCGGCGAAGGCGAGGGATGAGTAGAAGATGTGGGTTACGCCGCTTTTGATGGCTGTGTCGATTGCGTGGCGGTGGGCCTTGGTTTGGATTAGCTGTGCTACATAATGCACGAAATGAATTATGGGGTAATTGTTTTTGATTTATCTGCCTTGTATATTTTTCCTGGACTTACTTGTACGCGATGATCGATCTCGAAAGATGCGTATGAAATTAGCATCAAGATTTCAATGCCATCGAAGGCGTTTGCAAGACTGGAGGGATCATCGTAGTCTGCTTGACGGATTGTTGCGCCTGCTTCCTTGGCTTGAGATAGTTTGGAAGGGTTTCGTGCGATGAGGATGAGATCTGATGCTGGGATGAGACTTTGGAGATGCTCCACTATGCTTGATCCAAGGCCGCCTGAGGCTGGGAAGACTCCGATTTTGGTCATTGTTGTAGACTGTAGCGATTCGACTTTTCTTTCTTTGGCAGCAGTTTGCTTGAGTTTCTTTTGCAAGATTTCAATTTAGCCTTAAAAGCCGATGAGCTTTATATGATGATTAATCTGGACATTTCAACTTGGCATTGATTTCTGTTGCTTATAAATGAGGGGAGTAAGTGGGTCCGAATGTCCGAGGGACCGAGATGATTAATTTTTGAAAATCTCCCCGCACCGAGCGGGGACAAGTGCAAATTTCTCTTCAACATACTGTATGGAATTTGATGCAAATGTATTCACAAATTCATGAATTGTGCAGAGTTGAGATCTATCGCTAACGCCGGGCTGAAAATAAACAAAATCACGGTATATACTGCTATATCACATTTATTGCGGGATACCGCCTGTTCCGAAACGTTCCATCTTGATCCGATCATCGCTCACTCCCTGGGCTTTCAGACTGGACTCCATGTCGGTCATGAAAGACTCAGGTCCACAGATATAGTACTCTGTAGCCGGGTTCTGGATAAACAGATCCTGGGAAGAGAGCTTGCTCAGATCCACGCGTCCAGCGTACGCGTAATCCACACCTTCCTTGTCCTTTGCGGAGGGCTGGCTGGTGAAAAAGGTTGTCCGGAGACTGGGGTAGTGTTGTTTCAGGGACGTGACGTATTCTGTGAAAGCGCGCGCATCTGAGGTCCTGGAGCCGTGGATGTAGTGGATTTCGCGTTCGGATGGCTTGGAAGTTAATGTGTTGACGATGGAGGTGAGAGGGGTCAGACCCACACCAGCGGAGATCAAAACGATGGGGTTGGCAGCCTCGTTGCCCGAGTAGAAGAAATCGCCGGCCGGGTGGGAAACCTTGATCTTGTCGCCTGGGTTGAATTTATCGTGGAGAAGATTAGACACGTAGCCAGGTTGAGCGATCGCGTCAGCTTCATCACTCAGAGCCAGCCCCTTCTCTCTCTTCACGCTGATGCGGTAGAACTCCGGGTCATGCTTGTGGCTGAGCGAGTACTGGCGAGGCTGCAGGTACTTGAGCTCTGGGACATAGACCTGCACGGAGATGTACTGTCCAGGCTTGAAAGCGGGTAGCGGCTTGCCGTCGACGGGGTGCAGGTAGAAAGACACGATGTCCGAGTCCTCTGATTCAGGGACTTTCTGCTTAATCTCGAAATCGCGCCAATCGGTCCATCCCTGGCTCTGTTCGTAGATCTGGTGTTCGCGGCCGATCATGATATCGGCCAATTGGTTGTAGGCTGCTGTCCAGGCGTCTAGGATTTCGGGGGTGAGCGCATCGCCGAGGACTTGGGCCATGGCTTCCAGGAGGTATTTGCCAACTATTTTGTAGGAGTCGGGCTGGATGTAGAGGGATGCATGTCTTTGACAGATCAATTCCACGGCTGGGGTAAGAGCGCCAAGGTTGTCGATGTTAGAGGCGTAGGCGAATAAAGCGCCGGCTAGAGCGCGAGGCTGGTTGCCGTTGCGCTGGTTGGGGATGTTGAAGATGTTGTTTAGGACTGGGTTTTCCCTGATGACATTCTCGTAGAAGACGCTGGTGATAGTGTTGCCGTGTGCGGACAACACTGGTACAGTTGCTTTGATCAACTGGACCTGGTTTGGTGTTAAACCGCCGACGGAACCCATGATGTGTTAAGAAATTGCTTTGAAGAGGATTGAGCAACGGGTGCAATGTTTATTGTGAAGTATGTTTGTTGAAAAAACAGTCTTGCATATGCAGGTGGGCAATTATTTATATTTCCCGATGAACCTATGAAAATGAGTCAATTTGCAAGCGAGGTACAAGATTCTAGAAAACGCTTTGTCACACGTACCTGGCGGGATTTGCGGTTGCGTCGGGATTTCACGAGAAACAAGCATCTCCGCGGAGCGGGTCAATAACGTGGTCCATTTTCAATTTTCAATGTTCGGATTTACACCTGGACTTTTCTCGGCGCACGAAAACGCCCCGGCTTTTTCCAATGAAAAATCTGCAATTCTTTGAAATCGGTATTTCCATGCAAGCGATGAATATGTGGTTTATTGGAGAATACAAGACCAACGGTCTATACTAATAGGTTTGCAGTACAAGGTTAATCGCTATAAGGTTGCTGTCAAAGCGCAGATCATCCGCCAATGAACCATATGCTGCATACTAGTACTTGAGTGTTTGATATTCAAGATCAACCATTGAAACATTCTGGAAATTGAAAACTTACATGGGTTCCCTGGTTAATTCATTGAAATCCATTTGCGATCATGGGACATCATTGTGACTTGTCACGCCAACTCCGCCCGATCAGCCCATGCGCGGCAATTTATAGGAACGATTTCTTTGTTGCCATGGACGATGTCGGAATGTCTAGGATATCCATATTTTCCTTCTTTTTTTCTTTACTCAAACCAGATTTTACTTGATGATTAATGTGTATGCTAGGTGATTCTATTACAATGGTTACAGCCTACATGTTTGCTCAGCGATACAGAGCGATGCGGGTTATCTTAGAGCCATTGCGGGCTATCTGAATTCGACCCTTGATACCAACACATCCAAGGCTTATCGGATTTTTTTTCAACCAAGTTGCTGATTTGTCCCAAGAAATGACTAGCGAATTGGAGTTATCACCTTGAAATTCAGCCTATAAGACCCTCGGAATTGGTGCCGATTGCAACGGCTAAGGGCTTGAAATTGGCAACACCGACGGCGCCACAGTGGGAGCCAAATCCAATGCCATGGTACAGGAATAGATGCATCAACGTGAAAGGATAATTTTAATAGTACTGGATACTTACTTCCCATACTGCCTTTACAGAGCTTCCTCGAAATACGCACATTGAATACTGAACTCGGAAAGTTCGTGATTTTCTTACCACATGCCAAGTCCCTGGGCATTTTAAAACATGCTCAATCACAACTCAATCAAATAAATCATCATCTCTCGAATCTCCATATCAATCCAAAAGCGGCCTTTGATGAGCAGTTGACGCGGGTTCAAGATCCATATTCCATTGACCAATCACGGAGATTACCGAAGCTTCCATACCCGGTTCCAGATCTTCTATTGTGCGGGTCAAGTCTAGACAATCGATTAACACTCAATTCCGGACGGTCGCGGATTCCGCTCCATACCAGAACTCCGGGGGGATCTAGAGGGGATCTAGACAACTTGGGGATAATATGGCCCAAACACGGATTTCCCAAACTCGTGACCTCATCACTACGGAGCGTTTTCCAAATCAAGTCATCCACTCAACAAGCAAAACAAACGATAATATCCAATCACCGAGCTGCATCTACATCTCAACTTGCTAAAAAGCCTAATCTATAGCAAATTCGACTCACGAGCCAGGGCTCATGCTGCGGTCGATGATACATGGATTCCATCTTTGCTGCCCCGTGCAGGGGTGCAGGAGGTATCGTGACGTCTGCGATAACATTGGCAAAGAGATTCTTTGGTATAAATTCCCGGATTTTGGCCATTAAGCTAGTTGCGATGAGCGGCGCCATCTATATTTGAGGTGCTCCCGTGTCAACTGAAGGGATTGATCTTGACATTCTGTTCTCAATCGATCAGATCAATTAACCCCTCTTGACTCGATTTCATATCTTGACAAATACCCAACCAAACTCAAGCCAAGATGAAGCTCCTTCACAGGCGCGCTGTATCGGATTCGTCGACGTTGGCGGGTCCGTCGGGTCCCGGATCTCGTGGTCAGCTTCCTATGCTGCAGTTCCCCGATAAGATGCGCTATAATTTGCTCTGCGTGATGGGTGAATTTGTCGGCACATTTTTGTTCCTGTTTTTCTCTTTTGCAGGTACTCAGGTTTCTAATACGCCGATGCCTGCCCCTGGGTCGTATCCAAATACTTCCAATCTGCTGTACTCGTCGCTGTGTTTCGGTTTCTCTTTGACCGTCAACGTCTGGGCCTTCTTCCGTGTTACCGGCGGTTTATTTAACCCTGCGGTAAGTGCTGGATTAGGAATACATTTTGTTTTTGTGATCATACATGGTTCTAGAGGCTTATGTTTCGATCCTAGGTTACACTGGCTCTCTGTCTTACCGGTGGAATGCCCCCACTGAGAGGACTGTTGGTCTTCCCAGCTCAGTTGGTTGCTGGCATCGCATCGGCCGGTGTGGTCAGCGCTCTTTTTCCCGGCCCGCTTAACTGCTCAACCAGGCTGGGTGGTGGTGCCTCTATATCGCAGGGTCTCTTCATCGAAATGTTTCTCACTGCCCAGCTGGTGATTGTCATCATCATGCTGGCTGTTGTCAAGCACAAGTCGACTTATCTAGCTCCCGTGGGCATTGGTCTGGCCTTTTTCGTGGCAGAGATGATTGGTAGGTCTTTTCCCAGCCTCAAATTGTTTAAAGCCTCACATGGAACTTTGCTAACCCAATCATCTTTGTAGGTGACTACTATACCGGCGGATCCCTCAATCCCGCACGATCCCTCGGCCCCGACGTGATCAACCGAAGCTTCCCCGGATACCATTGGATCTACTGGGTTGGACCTCTCCTGGGCTCCTTGCTGGCCTCCGGATTCTATCATTTGCTCTGCTTGGTGCAGTGGCAGAACATCAACCCTGGTCAGGACTTTAATGAGTGGGAGGTGGCTAGGAAGGGCTCGACGGCTAAATCGGAAAACACAATGATGGATCAGGTGCACACCCAAGATGATTCGCCTGCGACCCAAGAAGTTCCTCCCCACCAGCAGGTCTAGAGTTATTACTGCCGACTTGTTTCATGGGGTGATCGAGTGCCTCGGTTGATGAGAATTCGCTGAAGCACGACTATGTAGTGAGGGAACGCACATGTGCAGTTGAAGCGTCACACTCATTGGATATGGGATTATGTATGATACCATACATGTGTTTCTAGGCGAGATAGGTCGCACATGCGTGTAATGGGTCTTGGTGTTTATGTACGATTTCGCACTGATTGTGAATAAGCATATGGTGACATGAGTATGATGATTATTAATAATGCAAATTTCTTGTTGAACAATAGGTGAACGAAATACGATTGAATTATTATATCCAACGAATAATGGCGCAACCTTAGTATAAGCGGGGCATTCAACCTTTCCAGCAACATCTATCCCAATTTCGGGCTTTAAAATCTCACATGGATGCTACGACGCATATTGGGATATCTTCAATCTACAGCTTTTAGTGCTATTGGATGATCAATCCATCGCCCCTCAACGGAATTCAATAAGATTCAGCCAAGAACATTAGCGAGTGGAGAAATATGCACCCACATTATTGAGCGGAAGATCAGCACGGGAGAGTTCCAGTTCCATAACGCGCCTCTGGTGGGCTAGGATTGAGGGCTAACTTCTCTAAAGTAAGATCATGTCAGGTAAAAAACCTTGGAATTTCAATCATAGGTTTAACATCATACTGACTTTTACCTGTAACAGAAACAACCAGGACCCCATATTCGTGAATGGGTTTGTCAGTGCCAAGCATCACGTAAAAAGGGGCGTCGCCGCGTCGAATTCGTTGCTGACACGCATCGAGTGGACGATCCACCAATGCCCACCCTACAATTCAAACGAATGCCAAATTATTGTCGCCCGTCCTCAAAATTTCATCCGTCATGGGCAAAGCTCGAGGAAATCAAGTCATGTTGTGATAAAAGAACTGGACGCGTCAAAGAGCCCAAACAACGAAAGAAGAAACACGATCGCAATCTCCCTTTTATCTGTGAAGCGTGAACCGTGATCTACCAGAGTCTAGACAGGAGTGAATCGACAGATATGCAAGATCCACATGATCAGCTCAACCCCTGCGCTCAGGATTATGGACCCTCTTAACTAGCGATTAGCCCGTGCAACCCTCCAAGATCTACGATCTCTCCAAAAATCAACATAAGACCAGATCTTCTCCCAAGTTCCAACATGTCCCATGTCCGTCCCGCTCTGGGCAGATAAAAATCACATCAAACTCCGTGATGGAAGACCGTCCAGCTTCTGTGCACGATGCAGAGGCCAATAACACATCAAGTGCCAGCGACCCTAGCGACTCGGCCCTTCTAGGTAGGTGTGCACGCGGCACTAGTAGTGTCTCCCCGCATTACTTCACTCGGTCGCTGATGGTTTTCCAGCGAAAATGGGATACAAGCAGGAATTAAAACGGCAGTATTCAACACCGCAGGTCTTTGCTATTGCATTCAGTATAATGGGCCTTGTACCTTCTATCGCATCTACGATTGCGTTTTCCTTGCCTGCGGGCCCGGTCGGCATGGTTTGGGTATGAGGGGAATAATCGACTTGAACTTCAAATCGAGAATCAAAAGCTCATGAACTGATATTAAATGTTCACGCAGGGATGGTTCACTGCTAGTATATTCATTTTCTTGGTCGGACTTGCCATGGTATAGTTTATACAGTTCTAATGGACCCCAAGTGCTGGATTTGCTGACTTTTGATCATTGCTTTCAAAGTCCGACCTTGCCTCTGCCATGCCGACCGCTGGAGGTCTTTACTGGTGGACTCATTATTTCGCAGCGCCGAAATATAAGCGCCCATTGAGCTTTCTCATCGGGTATAGCAATACTCTTGGCCTCATTGGTGGCGTCTGTTCTGTGGACTGTGGGTATAGACCATGTTTTCAAAAGCCCTTCGGCACTCCGCCCTGACAGATCTGCTCAGATACGCTTGCTCTCATGATCATCTCCTGCGTCAGTATCGCGCGTGATGGCACTTGGTCCGCCTCCCGCGGTGAGATCTACGCAATGTACGTCGCGTTAATCCTTATCCATGGATTCTCTGCATCTTTCACAGGACGAATCATGCCCAAGATTCAAACATTCTGCATCTACATTAACATCGCACTCGTGATCGCTACTGTGGTTGCATTACCGGTTGGTAAGGTCACGCGAGGCGGATCATTGAATTCAGGCAGTTATGTTTTCCGCCACCTTGATAATGAAACGACGTGGCCAGCCGGCTGGGCTTTTATGCTTGCGTGGTTAGCTCCGATTTGGTCTATTGGCTCTTTTGATTCTTGTGTGCATATGAGTGAAGAGGCGATGCATGCCGCCAGGGCTGTGCCATTGGGAATCATGTTTTCGGCTGGGTCGGCCTGTGTACTTGGTTTTCTGGTTTTGACTGTGATGGCTGCTACTATGAACACAGATGTGTCGAGCACGATTAATAGTCCCTTCGGTCAGCCTATGGCACAGGTGAGAATATCTCTCTCAATCGGCTTGCGCTTCTACTGGACACCGTGAATGCCAATACTGAATAGTATCACAGATCTACTATGATGCCCTTGGAAAACAAGGAGCTCTGGGCTTCATGATTGTTATGTGCATAATCCAATACCTTATTGGTCTGAGCTTGGTAAGTGCCACCTATCTACGTATTGATCCTCTGAATATCACCTAATAAATCAGATCGTCGCTGCTTCTCGCCAAGCGTGGGCGTTTTCCCGCGACGGCGCCCTCCCATTCTCCACCTTTTTCCGCCATGTCAGCAAACGTATCCAATATCAACCTGTGCGCATGATCTGTGGTCTAGTAGTTATATGTTTGATACTAGGACTCTTATGTCTGATCAACAATGCCGCTGCGAATGCACTTTTCTCTCTTTTTGTTGCAAGCAACTACTTGTCCTGGGGCACGCCTATATTTTGTCGTCTCGTCTGGGGACAAGACCGATTCCGTCCTGGTGAATTTTACACCGGGCGATTCAGTAAGCCGATTGCATGGATCAGTGTTTTTTATCTGATCTTCGGGGTTGTGTTATCTATGTTTCCCAGTGGGGGGCCTAAACCGGCCCGTGAGTTCAATTTATTTAGTTTGTGTTTCAATTTGAGAGGGCTTGCTAACTTGGAATACAGCTTCGGATATGAACTATACCGTTGTCATTAACGGATTTGTTTGGATCGGGTGTATGATTTATTACTTTATTTTTGCTCGCCATTGGTTTACAGGACCGAAGATGACTGTTGAAGAGAATCAATCGTCGGATTCGGATAACACAATATCTGCACCTGTCGATCTGCAGGCCTCTAGCGGCCGCAAGGAAAAATGAGTTATTTTTTTTTTTTCGTACTCGTGTAGATCAACCGAAGCCTCAATTACTGCCTTAAATGCAATTTTCATTGTTTCAAAATGTCTATAGCTTAACCCCTGGATCTTCAGAAATGAGACAGACATTAGGACGCCTTATACATTGAAAAGAAAAGTGCCTCGGCAAAAGTTTGTTAGGCGGGGCTAGCCTAATTAGGCTAATGGATCCCATCATGATTCATTCATGTTGGAACCCAATGGGCCAAACACTCACATCATAGTACATGTACACACGGTCTCTTGGGCTACAGGCGGTCCAGCTATACAAATTGGGCAAGTACCTCGACGCCGCTATCCACTTCTCCACCTTTGTAGAAAGCACAGTACACATAAGCTCCAGTTCAATGCATCTGAATTCGGCAAGTCCCAGTGCAGATCTGCCTACCATGCATAGACTCAGCTCTGAATTTCTTTAATAACTCAGAGAAAGCCCCATTCAAGTTCCAAAGTCCCAAATTGCAGGCTTTCTTCTCCCTCCTTTAATTTCCACCATGATACAACCAGACTCTATTGTACTCGCTACCGCCATGGTGGTAGCGGGATACCTTGCGACAGTCTGCTTCACACCTCCAAACGCATCCCCAGAGCGGAAAGAAAGACACAAGATCGATCGCACATCGTCAATGGGAGATTTTGTGCCCCTGGTCCTCCGCCAAGTCGTGATTCTCGCCGTGGCCTATCACGCCGCTCTTGCTATACTACCTGGACATGCACCCAGTGTTATGGCACAGGCTTGCCCTAGACCAAACAACCCTAATCCGGTATTGTTTTCTTGGACGCCTACTTCCATCACTGCGCTACTTTTGGTCTTCATTGGGGCCTACGTGCGCCTTTCTGCGTTTGGTGGCCTTGGTCGATATTTCACTTTCCATCTTACCGTGCCCGGTCGGCTTGTGACAACTGGCATTTACGGTTGGGTACAACACCCCAGTTATACCGGTCATCTGGCGGTAATGGCTGGGTGCACGTTGCTTTTCACGAGATGGGATGGTGCACTTGCTTGTTGGATTGAAAAATCGACTTTGGTTGCATTATCCGGATTGGGTTCTATCATTTGGGCGTCGTTTATGGGTGTATCTGTTTGGGCCATACTTACAAGGGTCAAGGATGAGGAGGATATGCTTAAGCAGACGTTTGGCAAGCAGTGGGAAGATTGGAATCGCTCGACTAAAAGATTCATTCCCGGTCTGTTTTGAATTGGTGGGCAAAAGTAATGGCTATGTGGTTTCTGCTTCAAAGACATGCACACAAGTTCAAAATGTACTTGTATTTCAATGTTTGAATTGATCAATTGCCAATTGATTGCCAATTGATTACAGGCAGACGAAAAAAAAGTCCTATTGGCTATAAAGGAAATTTGTTAAGCTATGCGCAAAATTCATAAAATCAATTGCCGATAGACTTATTCAATACAAGGTTATGTGGCAGTATCGGCTTTTCGTTGAAACAACTTTTGCTACCTACTAGGGGTATGAGCCACTCAGCAGCTACCTACCGCGGTGCAAATCAACACCTACTATCCCACCTGGGCAGATTTACGACATGATGCAAGGTCATTATGGAAAAATATCAATTTCAATTGTATCAACATGTAGAAATACAAGCACTTCCATCACTGGTATAGTCAGAATCCAACGCAGTTATCTCCCAAATTCAAAGAAAGTCGTAAAATCAGGGTCACCGATCTCGATTTAAGACCGCGAGAACCCGTAGTTGGTCATTATGTTCAGGTACCATACATATTTCAATGTATAGCATGAATCTTATCCACTTATAGACCGATCATGACGTAGACCACACCGGCAAGACCAGCAGCGGCCATACCCATACCGGTAGGGTGGGGAGCAGCGTTTGTACCAGTAGAGCTGGCCGAGTTCGAAGTTGTGGTGCCAGTAGCAGAGGTTTGGGTGCCAGTAGCAGAGGCTTGACTGCCAGTGGCAGAGACTTGGGAGGTGATGGTAGAGGGAACGGTAGTGGTCGAGCCGGCCGAGTCGGTTGTGGTCACATCGCCGGTGAATGTCGAGTACCTGCTCTGGGCGTCGGAAGCAATGCTCTCAGAGTCAGAGACAACACCGCTGGCAAATGTCTGGGCAGCGGAAGCAATTGCCTCGCCGCCAGATTCGGCACCCGTGGCAACGCCATTCGCAAAGCTCTCAGCGTTGGAAACGATGTCTCCGACGGAATCGGCAACAACCAGGCCGGCGGTGGCCAAGAGGGCGGAGGTGATCAAAGTGAACTTCATAGTGGAGTTTGAGGGTGGATTTGGTGGTGGATTGAAATGGAATTATTGAAGTATGTATGTGGTATGTAGTATGTATATGGTTCGCAAATGTACTTTCGGATATTTTGTGGTGGTAGATGTCAAACCTGCATGATTAGCGTGGGTCAAGGACATTTATATAGCCATGCTTCAATCAGTGGGCAGATTCCCGGCCCAAATATAGAGATCATGGGGAAGGAAATTGGGAATTGCTATAATTGGCAGTTGGGTGTGGCAGTGTGGCAACATGACGCTGTTTGAAGGTAAGTTTGGGGGCAGGTTTGGGGGTAAGCGGAACACGGAACACGAGTTTATTTCTTTCCACAGCGATCGTCGCTAACTGTCCCGAATGGATGGAGAAGCCAACCCGCTTCACGCCAAAACAGGGTGCTTCATTGTCGGGGCAATTTTAAAACAGCCAGCCAGTGATCCACTTGACCCTTGGCTGAATGCCTGTGACCAGTGAAGTTTTTGTATAGATTTTCCACTTCTGGCCTCGGACCCCAAGGGTCCTAATGGAGCAATAGGTAAACTGGGGTTTGAACTTGCATGATCGGCGATAATCAGGTGTGAGCTTCAGCCGTTTGGCACAATTTGGCCCACTCTGACAACTTGCTGCTATTCCTGAATTAGAAACAGTTTCGTTGTTATATTGCTGCCTTTAGCAGACCCCAGTGAATTTTTGACTGGGGCCTGGAATCGTGGCAGTGGTTACCGCCACCATCTCATGTGGATATACGTCCAACGGGGAAGATACCCATTGGTTCCTCTTCGGAATTAAGAGCCAGGTATTTCTAGACACTTGGTGCTGCGCACATGGGGGAGTGGATGTTCAAGTCGAGTTGGGTAGGAAACGCGTGCGCAGATCCCATCATCTTGTCAGTTGTCGCTCTCAACGCAGTTAAACTCCATTTCGCGAATCTTTGTGTGCCTCTGGCGGTGTAAGCCTTCGGGCTGGACCCGGCATGCGAAAGATCAAGCATCCTTTGTCCGTGTTTTGGAAGCCAAGAACCATGACGTCTGGATGGGGAAACGAGAGATGGATCTCCTCGGACGCCACCGGAGGGGCGAAGCAGGTTGAGGCGGAATCAACCGGAGAAAATCCCTTAGCACTTGAGCCACATAGGTCACGTGTAATGTTGCCGACCCAAAAAAAGAACTCACACCTGAGACATCAGGCTGCAACTTCAAGGCCAAAAAAAAAGATACCTCCAATTCGAATCACACTACTTGTCGAACAAGATACATAAGTTGAGATTCATGGATGCCTTGAGGATTGCCATGGATTTTTAATAAACAGAAGTTATTCGTCAACCCAGGTGCCGTGATTGGTTCATATTTGAAGGCTTGGAACATTGTTTGAATATTGATCAAAGCACTCCGGCCATTCCAAAATATACAATGCATATGCACCATACACATTACAGCTCCATAGTAACCACAGCTAGTTTTAGGAAACATTTGAACGGATCTTAAAAGGGGTCAAATATGAATACGATATTTAATTAAATATCATAGGACATTAGAAGTGCTAGATATTTTCTGAATACCGTCGCTACTACTATATTTAAAACATTGACCAGTTGACATAAGCTGCCGGCATAGGCCCGTGCATATGGTCATTGATCCAGCTGGTTGATCTGCATCCCTACCTAATACATACACCTCAAGTACTGCCAGTAGAGGCAGAGGCAGTATCCAGATGTCCGTCGACCTAGGGAATCACATGTCTGCATTGATGTGGGCATGTATTAATCTACAAGAAATAGCAAAAAAGAAAGGTCGTGCCCGGGATCGAACCGGGATCGCCAGAATCAGAATCTGGAGTGATGACCATTACACTACACAACCTGAATTGCTGAGATGACTAAAATCTTTGCGTCTATGACCCAAAGTCTCAATACCTGATAATAAATAAAAACCTAGCCTTACAAAAATACACAAAATTACAAAAAAGAGCCAGTATTCACATAGACATAGCAAAAATAACAAAAAAAGGTCGTGCCCGGAATCGAACCGGGATCGCCAGAATCAGAATCTGGAGTGATGAACCATTACACTACACAACCTTGAATAACCTTTAAATAAGGTTAAAGGCTACATGAAAAATATTGCAAGTAACATTGGGGTCGATGGGAATGGATTTATTACGTAGTTTACTCCTACTATGTACTATATACCTCAAACTTCGGAGGTAGTACTATATATGTTGGAGCATGTAGGTTCCCAAGGTGCGAGGTATTTTACCCCGCGCGTCAGACATACCTGAGTTTTCAGCGTGCGACTAGTCCGGATTTGGTAGTTAGATAGATCAATAGTCAGGAAGTCAGGTCTGGAGGTATGAGTGAGAGTTTCTCTCCCTTTACTTCTCTCCTTCCTTTCCTCTCCATCCCGCTTTACACAGAGAATCCATTACTGTTTCTCCGTGCCTTTTCTTTCTCGATCCACATTGTCCAGGGTAGACACATAGTGTGGCTCGAACAATATATATAAGTATTGTCGCCGCGCTACACGCGGCGATTGATCTGTACCTAAGGTCAATCAGAGTCCCTAGCTGTAGCATTGTCTTTGGACCTACTTTGGGCCTGTCGGCCAACATTGAATCAGGTGCTGCAAAAAAACACAGGTTCGCGTGTAGTAGAGGGGTAGATTTTAACATTCAAATGTTGATTGAAGCTTCCTGTGAACTTGAGCAATCCTGTACTAAGTAATGTTTACATATGTATGTTTAGATGATGCTTATGTATGAGGAACCTTGGAACTACAATTTGAACATTCTAGACCATCCATTATTACTAGGTAGAAGCAGAGAACTTTCCAAGGTTGCCAAGAAACTTGACAATAAATATTGACTTGGAACACTGGAGCTTCTTATTATGATTATGTTAAGTCTAGAACGTATGCATATGTCCAAAATATCATTTGATCAAAAGTGTGAACGAAAGAAAAAAAAAACCATTAGTCGGAAAACTCCCCATACGCTTGGATGATACCCTCCCAGCCACCAGGGTGATCAGCCTCACGGGGATTTGTCTTCCCATCCAAAATCATCACATCTGTCTGGCGCGTACCAACAGAGTACCACACAAGATTCTGAGGAGCACCCGAGACACGCATCATATTAGTCTGGCACTTTCCAGTGCATGGCTCATTGTAAAGTCCGTTCCAGTAGCCATCGAAGAAAGCCCAGGCAGCCGAGTTGTACAAGGCAATGTTGGACCCGCCTTCGATGTTTGTTGCGAGAGAAGTGCGACACTTTTGATCGTTGGGACCGCACCATGTGAAGTCTGGATCACCAAACCTCGGCTCTGCAGTCCACGGGGCGGGTGCATTTTCGTACTCGCCTGATCCCTGCATGTAGGGACTTTCACTTTGGAGGAGGCCTGCAAAGACGTTGGCTGCTTTGTTGAAGTTGTAATCGTATAGCCAGTGGTGTTCCGACCCGGTTCCTGTCAGCCAGGTGCCCTTTGTCGCTTCAACTAGGATACCGCGACCAGTGGAAACGATAGTGAGAAGAGAGCTGCTGTCCAGGTTGTGGTCTGCGGTCCAACCCCAGAAGTTCTCGATGTAGGCCGAGGACGACTCGGTAAGATGCATGACCATGAATGCAGCCATGCAATCTTTTGGATCTTGCGACGTGCAAATGTTGGAGATGCTAGTTTCGGCTGTGCCTCCAACCATCACATTGGTGTTCCAGAGTGCGACGTCTCCGGGCTGCTGGCCTGCGGCGTTGATCTCGAGAATCTTGGCACCCGGAAGGATTTCACCAACGGAGAACCGCATATCTTGGATCTCAATCAGACCGATGTCGCCTGGGTTACCAAGCTTCACCACTGCTTTGGGGTTCTTGGCATCCTTAAAGTTGTCACCGAATCCAGAGATGACAGCCCAAGCCTCACCAACGATCCGGGTGCCCACCGGAACGAAAAGCGTGTCAGAGACCCTGTATACACCGAAGGGAATATACGTGATCTTGCAATTCTCAGCATTTTGTTTGAGAATGGCATTGAGTGAGTTCGTTTCATCCTGACGACCATCACCCTTGACTGGGAATCCAGGTACCGACTTGACATTAACGACATCTGCGGTGCCGTACTCGGTATAAGTCGGCTGAGGCTTAGTAAAGAATTTGTCATTGACAAGGAGGTTGGCGGCTCTCTGGGTCTTGTGAGTGGCTCCTTGCTCATACTGTCCTTCCACAAGACTACCCCAAAGCCAGGTGTCAATGTGAGGGTTTGCGGCCAAGCGGATTCTTCCATCACTATCCACTGCGATAGGGTTGGTTCCATCATGTTCCAAATTTTGGATGAGAAGTTGACTGTTCTGATTGCCCGTGTCGTGAGATGAATCGTGGAATCTGACAGCTGGACCGGAGTTCTTGATTGTCGAGTCAAGGAGAACTAGACTTCCCAGGCCATTGCTTGTCATGTTGATACCAGTACCACAAGACTCAAAAAGGGCACCCTGAATAAGAACCGTCCATCCACCCTTTGCGTCAAAGGCAGTGCCACATTGTATGAATTGGATGTTCTTGAAGTTAACCTGCTGATTTGAGTTGATAATACCAGTCGCACCACCAACAATTCTCTGCTAACAGTTAGTACCAATACAGTTTCTTACATTGATGACTTAACTAACCACGTCGGTAACCGCAATCGTAGAACCGGCGGCGATGTCAATACCAGTGTGCCCTTTGGAGTTGGTTGGCATGTGCACTTGAACATTGGTCAACCCAGAGCCTTGAGCCACACCCCATTGAAGTGCGGTGATCCTGGTATTCGGAGCCACAGCAGTGGTGTCCAAAATCACATTTTTCACTAGCATCATGAAACTGGTTTCTGGGTTTCCATTGTTCTTATCATATCCCATGACAAGGAACTGGCCCTGGAAATTGGGACTCGCCCTAATAACAGGCGGATTCTGAGGGTCTCCGACAATGATAGTACCGACAGTCAGGGTCAAAGTGCTTCCCAATGTGTATGTGCCACCGGGCAAGAAGACTTCAGCAGGGTACCGAGTTACGCCCTTGCCCTTCCGGGTTCCACCATTGCCGTCGTCATCGATAGCTTTTTGTAATTTAGCCGTTTGGTCACCGGAACCATCGTTTACAACCCCATAGTCCATCACATTGCGATAAACTGGATAGACTTGGGTTCCACCAGCGTACGGAGCATAACCAGCGGCCGCCTGGTTATGATCCTGAGCATCTAGCCAGTAGATGTCGGCTGCTTTCCTCGACCCTGCGGGACATGTCTTAGTAGCCGGTGAGTTGGATGCTCCACTTGGCTTGCTAGACGGAACACTCGGTGGGGGAACCAATGAGCTTGTTGATTGAGGGACCGGGTGACTAGTCGTGCTCTGTGAGCTTGTTGAGCTACTGCTCTCATGAGTGGATTTAGGAATTGGTGAGCTGCTTGCGCTGGCCGAAGTGACGAAACTACTGCTGGTTGAAGTAGTAGGCACCGGCACTGGGACTGGCTGAACACTTGAGCTGCTTGGTGGAGCTGGCGGGGGAGCCGGTGGAGTAGTTGGCGCTGGGTTTGGTGCTGGTGTTAGAACCGAGCTCGGGGTGGTTGTAGGCTTCACCTGCCTGAAAGATATTAGCTCCATATTGTCTCAACGTCTGCATCAACAGTGCTTACGGTGTAGAATCATCCTGCGAAGTGCTAGGCAATGTTCCCCTATTCCCTAGCTTTAGCAAAACATGACATCAAATACCACTGTTAGTAACATACGACTCAATTAAACTTTCCAGCCATGGTGGAATAATATGAAATGTATTCGAGGCCGGAGCTTCAGGCGCAGCTTGTAGGGCTACACGACCCGATTTGTGCGAGAGTGGGAAAATGAAGCCTGATGCCGTTGCAGAGATAGCTGCCAGTGCAGTCAGAGACAAAGAACCATGCATCCTCAATCTCGTTATCCCAACCTCAACCACAAGATGCAACGAAAAGAAAGTGAAAGCACGACATGGCGCATTGGAGGAATGGCAGACATAAAAAGGCCTGGACCACAAATGCCAGCTGTCCGACACGTACGGCAATTGCGCACATAACAAGAGATCGGTATGAGCGCGTTGTGGGGATGTTTGTTCGGAATGTGGTTGAAAGTGTTTGGTTGCTCTGCACAGTCGCGCCGAGTTGTGTTGATCGACGCCCCCTTGCAACACCCAAGTTTTGAGAACGTGCCGAAAATGCTGTGCCTTGGAACGACGTGATACCTGCCAAGCAGGATTACTGGTCTAGACCAAGATACTCTTCTTTCTGTGAATAAAATTTATCAAAGAGATGTGTTTGTTATTCTGACACCCAAAAAGTGCTGACTTTGCATTCCCCCAGGAGGTACTAAAACTTTCAAGTATCGACATCTCCAGAACTAAGTTAGCCATTTATTATTCCTATCATCATGTACCCAAAATATTCAAATAATGGTAGAAGCCATTGCATTCAACATTCGAAGCGTCGATACTTCAACACTCGTCAACAATCTATTGTTACACCCTAGTAGCGAACCCACCTTGAGAGCGAAATCTGATAAATGCATTCCGTGAACCATCACAACAGGAGAGACAGACCAATTTACATTTATTGTGCGTGTCAGCTCATTGTTAGCTATACTTCTTCCAGTATACAAATTTTATCTATGGCACTGATGGAATAATATTCCCAAAATCAAATTCTTCACCAGGACCTGAAAGGTTCTTTTGCGATTGAGTCTTACCCTTTGGAATTCTTTCACAAATTGGAGTCAATATTTGAGCCAAGTCTTCCGAATGTTTTAGAAAGTTATGGATTGTGTTCCTTATCATTGGGAGCCACTGTCTGCCACTTGGTTGGTCGATCTGCTTTTGTTTTTTGTCCCCGGATTTCACATTTACTAGTGACCCGCCCCTATTCAAAACACCGCTATGAGTGCTACAAATTGTGGCCTCTAATTACAGGACTTTGATATTGCCATTATTTTTTCCACTGTCGCTATTTTTTTTGCTGAAGTTTGTCCATTTTTACTTTTCTTTGGCGCAGCTCTCAGGAATCCTGAGCACTGTCCGCGTAGACTAGCTAAGATACAATCCAACCTCCAAAAACAAGCCCTCTTTTAATTCCAAAATTTTTGCGGGCTACTAGTCGTCCCCTTCATCTTATCGTGATACAGGTCGCTGTGTCCGTAGAATATGGATAGCTTTAGCTAGGCGAATCCCCAATTTCCCGTGGACCAGTTGGACAGCTCATCCCTTGCATGGAAGACATTCGTTTGTCTCAAGCCACAGCCTACCACATACCATACCACTACGCCAGCGTATGCACTCCGTAGCATGTCGTTCTAAAAACAGGCTTGACACATGTGCGATTCGAATATCAGTTGAATGCAAGATATTACAACATTTCAGTGTCTGCACAACAAGATTTGAAGACTTGGGAACTGGAACCTGCACAGGAAGCGCGAACAGAGGAACAAATCGCAAATACAATGCCAAAATTTAATGGTTTGGTCAACTATAATTAGATGTTGGGATGGAGAAAGAAGGGGGGAATAATATTTGTATGCACATGTCAGTACTTGCTACTATGTAGTAGGCCAAGCAGCAAGCTTGTAAATGCGGGTATCGGTATCTAAGTGGGGTTGGCCAAAACTGGGGATGGGTCCACTCCTTAGTAGGTACATAGACTGGGGTGCGTAAGGTCCGGTCTCTTCATCAAGAAAGTCACTGAGAATGGGACCAGAAGTACGCATTTTCGTTGAGCATGTGAAGAGTGGAATGTCCAACGTAAGAGTCGGATTAATTTACCCATTGTGGTTCCTCATTATTGTGTGTAGACTCCAACGTGGTCAGACCGGCCTTGGATGCTAGATTGGAAAGTACTATTTCATATTTCGCAATCAATACTGGGAATGGATTGATTATTCGCATACAATTTATCCTCCACGATCAACTTTGTCGAATCTGATGATTTCTGTGATATCTCGGAGATGACAAATCAAACTCGGGATATGGGAGGCAAGACAGACCAGAAGTGCAATTGCCGACCGAATTTCCCGGTCAGCCTCGTTCCTCGTCGTTGGATTTCCCATCGCTTGACATTAATCTTCTTTTCTCTTTTGTCTTGTACTATCTAAGAGTAACTATCAAGAGTCAAATGCCATAAAAAATCCGCCTCGGAAATCCTCCGTCTGCCGTTCTTGTATTCATTCAAATCGGATGCCAATATGAACACCCCAGCGGGGACAACACCGGCCGCCGATCCCGAGCCCGAACGCCGACGGAGAAGGCCAGCTGTGTAAGAGCCATCAATCGAGCTATTTCATTTTGTGTGAAACAAGAGACTTCCACTGACAATATTCCAAGATCATGCACACTTTGCAGGAAGCGCAAAATCAAATGCAACCGAGAATTGCCGTGTAACAACTGCTTGCGCTCGAAGAAGTCCAAGTGCGAGTATGTGGTAGATCGTTCATCGCCTCCACGGCAACGCGCAAAAAAACAACAAGCAGAATATGGCCCTCCACGAGATTTTGCGAAGCCACAGGGCTGGCTCCCTGTCAGCACCAAAGATAGTGAAATCACCGGGGGAACTCAATTTCAGCGCACATCAATGTCCGTAGGACAGACAACTTCAACCCCAAATACTCCGATCAGCCAATCATCCACTCGAGAGACTGAGCTCCTCCAGAAGATAAGGCAGCTTGAAAATCAACTAGCAAGAACAGCAACCAGACCCGTCGGATCGGTGGCACTGAGTCCGACTTGGGACACTACTTCGAATGTCGGCCGAATTTCCGGGGAATTTCATATGAACCGTGAGCCTCTATCGGAGGGTAAAGGGCCTACTATCGTACGCACGATAATGCACAAGACTCGCATATTTGGGCAAAGTCATTGGATGCATGGCTTCACTCAGGCAAGTCCAAAAAACCGAAACTGGTGGATAATTATTACTGACCGAGGGCATTCGATCATGTTATAGTGTCAGGATATTCTGCGACAGTGTGAACCTATGATGGCAAACGAGAATTCGAGGGCCATCTTGGACTTGAAAAAATGCAAATATATCGGCAAAATGATGAAAAATCAAAGAACACCACCGTGGCCCACTGCACCGCTATCTGAGCTGCCTCCAAAGGAGTTGGCCGATACGCTCGTCGATAATTATATTCGTACCTTTGAGTCCAGATATCGCGTGTTACACATTCCAACCTTTCGAAGGGACTATGATGCCATATGGACCACCGAAGTTCCTGATGTGGAATTTATGCTTCAGGTAAAATTGGTCATGGCGATTGGAGCCGTGGTATACGACGAGAATTATTCACTGCGACCGAGCTCTGTTCGCTGGATATACGAAGCACAGACATGGGCGGCCGAGCCGGAATTCAAAGCTCGGCTGACCATGCGGTTCATTCAGACAAATATACTCCTACTAATGGCGAGAGAGATTGTCGGAATTAGTGGGCCTTTGATATGGATCTCCATGGGAGACCTCATTCGAACAGCAGTGTACATGGGATTACACAGAGACCCTTTGTATCTGCCAAAGAAAAGCACATTTGATTCTGAGATGTGCAGACGACTCTGGAACACAATCATCGAAATGGCATTAAATACGAGTTTGGAGTCTGGCGGTCCTCCCCTGTTAAATCTTGACGATTTCGATACGCACCCACCGGGGAATTTTGATGATGAGGATATCCTAGCTGAAGACCCGACACCAAAACCAGATGAAACATTCACTCAAATGTCTATCCCATTGGCTCTTCGAAAAATGTTCGAAGCCCGTCTCGCCATCGGAAATTCCTTGAATTGGATTGGCTTGCACAGCTCATACGAAGAGATGCTGCATTTAGACAACGACCTTCGCACGTCCTACAAGATGATCTGTCGCACGCTCCAAAGTTACCGTTCAACCGGTGACAGATCTCCAACTATATTTCAAACCCAGACGCTTGATTTCCTCATGCGCCGCTATCTACTAGCACTGCATATCCCATTCTTTGTGTCATCGCTAGAAGACGCCGCATACGCGTTTTCCAGAAAGGTAGTGGTCGACACAGCACTTCAAATATGGTGCACAACCAACCCATCATCCGGAATGATGGTTGCAACACGCGAAGCGAATAATTCACCTCAGAACGATGATCTTCCCCGACTTGCAACATGTGGCATGGGAATGCTCCGCTTAATAACCATCCAAGCGTGTTTCCTCATTGCCGCAGAACTCAAAAAACAACTTGAAGATGAGGATCATCTCGGATCCGTTCCTCTCCGCCGTGATCTTCTGACTGTGGTCGAAGATTCATTGAACTGGGGTTGGAAATGCTTGGTAGCAGGCGAAACTAATGTTAAGGGGTATCTAATGTTGGCCCTCCTCAACACGCAGGTTCAGGCGTTAATGTCCCGGATCCCAGAGGAGGAGTTTCCGGGTTTGTTCATGAAATCCGCCGAGGACTCTTTGTCAAAATGTCTAGTCTTGCTAAAAGAGAAGGCTGGATGGGACGATGACGTCCAGACGGGGCTGTGCGGGTTCAACGATATAGTAGATTTCGAGGGTTTATTCGGTTCAAAGGGCGACTGGAATTTCCTGGTAAGAATCACCTGATCTTTGTTTTTGGAAATATTTTCTAGACCCTACTCCGTACTGACTCTATCAGGTATCTGAACCATTTGACCCCGACGCAACCGACACCATTTACTGGCCGGGCAACTGGGTTGCATAGTCTAGACCGTGCGCATTGGTCGCGTATATCGCGGGTTCCAAAAAAGAAAAGAAAAGAAAAAAACGCCCGTTCGATGTTTCACAAACCAGATAGAACCTGGAAGCAGTGCTTGAAGGATTAAAACCCCCACCCACGTGTATCATAATAGCCATTCTGAGATGAATAGATCCTTGGAATAATGTGCATATGCACGCGAGGCTTATCAGGTTAGCTCAAGCGCTTATGCTGCACTGGCACTACGACTACCGAACACGAGATTCAATCGTATCCAATTGTCAATCCATCAGACTTATATAGTACCCACAATAAGCAAAACAAAGCAACATAGTACTAGAGGTTACATTCCAGGCCGAGATCTCTTCACTTGACTCCGAAAGAAACGGGAAAAGGAACAGATGAAGCCGACTAAACCCCATAATTCAAGAGATTCCAAACTTCCAGTATTATTACGTTCCATTCACCTGGTCACATCATTTCAGATCGCAAATACCGATGATTTGGCAGGCTAGGTTCATCTCCAGCCACCTCTTCAACAAATGAACGCCCGATCAGAAGAAAATCCCCCGATGAAATGCAATGCGGGGCGCGGGGCACAAATCCGCCCAAATCAGGCGATGCTTAGAAGCTAGCGCCACGATCGGCACACGAATCATAATCACCCACCCGCCCATGTCTTACCGATCTTGGCGTTGAATGGACCAGGTACAGACAGGAAATGACTACATGTAAATTGGTGTTTGGCAGGGTGGTATTTCTCTCTTCAGCTTGTCTTCAGGTACGGAGTACTCCGTACCTACGTGGACCATGCATGAGCTTGGTGGCGGGGCCTTTTTTCCGCAGTATTTCTATTGTGGATTCTGCAATTGGGACTATTGGATTTGGGGTATATAAGTCGACGCGATAATCTAGAGTTTCAATTATTGAAAATAAACACTAAACACTTTGCTATCATAGTGTTTGAAACTCTGCAACACCCAATTGCCATTTTTAAGTGAATTATTTCCACAATGCAGAAGATTCTTGTCCTTTTGGCTGCTGCCGCCTCTGTTGCCGTCGCCGACCCTATCGTCTACCTGATCCGTCACGGCGAGAAGCCCAGCAATGGATCCGATGGATTGAGCGCCGAGGGTCTCGAGCGCGCACAGTGCCTCACCAACGTTTTCAGTGCTAGCTCTGCATATGATATTGGGTACATTATGGCTGAGACACCCAAGAGTGGTATGTGGAACTCCAACCTTGGAAATGATCTAATACACTTATTCTTCGTCCTGCTTGATGCAATTGCTCGGGTTATACACATACTAAATCTTCGTGTCACATGATAGATGGAGCCCGTGATCGTCCGTACTTGACCGTCGAGCCCCTCGCTGAAGAACTTGGCCTGACTGTCGATACTTCCTGCGGAAAGACCGATTACAGCTGTGTCAAGGATGTCGTTGATGCCTACGATGGAGATGGAAACATCCTGATTTGCTGGGAGCACGATGCGCTTACTGATATTGTGTCGGAGCTGGGAGATGATGATGCCCCTACTTATCCTGATGACAGCTATAACATCATCTGGACGGATCCTTCCCCCTATACTAGCATTACGGCCGAGACTAGCGAGGATTGCCCTGGATTTGATGATTAGATTCATCCATTATGATGAGATTGGGCCAGTCGCTATGAATTGGAATGAGGATGTACTTAGGTCACTATACAGTCTATACGTACTGGATTTTCTTTGACGGGTGGGGATTTCCTATTTGGGATGCCGCCGCTTTTATGAGGGCGCTCAGACTCAGGCAGACTCAGGCAGACTCAGGCTCACTGAGCAGCTCACCGCCGTCACGTGATAGACCGGTCACGATCAGTGATCATGATTGGCTGCTCACAGACACCCATACCCCGTTGATTCCTAAGAGACATTTATTGTCCACCCAGTCTACTGCCAGTCTAGACTCTATCCCCGAAGAAGCATATGTTCTCCATCATTGAATACTGACCCATCAATATTTTGATGGCCCTCAATTGCCGCACTGTCTGTGCTTCATGAGCTGCTTCATCTCCCATCCCCTCCTTAACACTAGAGCATAACGACGTAAATCTGAAGCATGCCGTAGTGCTGAATACTAGTCCGCGAAAGAAAAAAGACAAAAGATTGCTAAGAACCAAGGGAATGTACTCGATAGCCTTTGATCTCTAGACATTGGAGTGAGTTGCTATAATCAATTTGCGACGTCATCGGCTAGATGTTACTTTCCTGAAATAAGATACCCGGTAAGTTGTAACCCACCCCGCGGGACTACTTGACAACCCGGAAAAGTACCCTTCCCGGATAATCTAGATTGAGCAGAAAAGAAAAATTACCTTAAAAAAAAATTAACTCAGCTATAGGAAAATGTTATCTGTGTCAATTCAAGCGGAGAGTTTTCCGGACTAGTTTATTTCTGGATTATTGGCTATGTGAGCCCTTGCTATTGTCTGTTGTATCAACTATTGTTCGGTTTACCGGTTTTAGAAACGAAAAGGCGAATCCAGGGATAGTAATTTCGAATGCGCCTTCCATGAACACAGAACCCCGCCAGCTGCACATGTGGAAGAACTGATGCGTGTTTGAGTAGTACTTAAGTGGGCCAGTCAACTTTATGGTATAGTCATTTATCAGAAGCCAGAGGTACTTACTATTCGCATATTACTTCTGTCTGATTTTTTAAATACATAACAAAATGTCTACACGCACAGAGGTCTCTACGGGGTTGCAGTCCACACTGCAAGCTACTGGGAACTATGAGCCCATTCGCGCCGAGGACGACAAGCCTTTTCAAGGACTTGCTCGAGGAGACCGACAAGGTGTATTGAAGTTGCGAGGAATCCCCACATTCACGGACATGCAAAAGAAGCGACAATGGATCCGTGAGCATATGGCTGCAGCATTTCGCTACTTTGGTAACCGTGGATGGGGTGAGGGCGTTTCGGGCCACATCTCTGTCCGAGGTATACTATTTCTCCTGTCCCAGGCCAAGAGAGGAACAAGGAGCAGAGTCTGATAAAAGAATAGATCCGGTTCAGCCTGATCATTTCTGGTTTAACCCATTTGCGATGCATTTTTCTCTCGTCAGAGCCTCAGATCTTGTGTTGGTTGATAGCTACGGCTACGTGGTAGAGGGCGGAAACCAAGCTATGATCAACGAGGCTGGTTTCATGATTCACTCTGAGGTTCATCATGCCCGACCGGAAGTCCAAGCAGTTGCGCATACTCACAGTATCTATGGGAAAACATGGAGCGGTTTTGGTAGAAACATCGAGATGCTTACGCAAGGTTAGTTTAGAGTACCCCAATAAAAATATGAGAAAAAAATTACTTTTCAACTTACAATTTCTCAACGCACAGATGCATGCAACTTCTATGGAAAGATTGGTGTGTACGAGGACCATGGTGGTATTGCCCTCGCTACAGATGAAGGGAAGGCTATCGCCAATGCCCTTGGAAAAGAAAACACTGCCGCAATTCTACAGAATCACGGGTACGTTCTCGAACCAGGCCTCCATGACTCCGAACTGCCTTTTTTTCTTCTTTCTTTCTCTGCGCATTACAACATCATCGCATCGCTGACATTTATATCGCAGTCTTATTACATGCGGTTCTACCGTCGATGAAGCCGCATTTCTTTTTCACAGCCTAGAGAAGGCATGTCATTCTCAGCTTCTGGCAGAGGCTGCAGCTGCAAATGGAATTCCCAAAAAGATCATTCCTGCGGACGTTGCTCAATTTACTGCAGATTCGGTGCAAACTCCGGTGAGTCTTTTATATATTGCCAAAAAAAAAAAAAAAAAAAAAAAGGGGGGTTGTCTAATTATTCTGTAGAACAACTTCTACTTGGAATTTCAACCCGAGTTTGATTTGATCGTTCGGCAATCCGAAGGCGAAGTCCTTCAATGAGCTACTGTTTTGTTATTCAGGCCTGGCTACTGTTAAATGAACTCTCGTTTTGATTTCCATGGCAATTTAATTCAATAATACGTCATACACTAGCAGTAGCAGTGATTAAAATAAAGAAACAACTGTAGGAGACCCTCGCTATGCGAAGACTCTTAATTCAGAACAAGCGAAATTTCCAAGATGTGCACAGCCTGAAAACTGTAAACAGTAATTCTTAAGTTATTAGACTATTTATAGGCCTCTATTTGGACCATGAGGATAATCCTGGGGATTGGCAGCACTTGGGCTCGCAGCTTGTGCTTTACAAAAGCTAGTCGGAAAGGGCAGCGCCCTAAAAGAGCGAATTAACAATTTCCTTTTTAAAACAATAACAATGTCAAGCACGCCCATAATCAACAAATTTGCAAGGTTCCCAAGGTCTAAATGGTCGTATATGCCAATTTCTATCATTCATATGTTTTATGGTTACTATAATATTGGTCTTAGATCGTCAAAAGAATTATTTGGAGTGTCATGCGCACTTTAAGCAAGAATGGATTTCAACAAGTTCTAAGTGATCATATCTAAAAGAGAAATTTACAGATCATTACCCATATTGACATGAACTGCCTTAATCTGAGTATATGCTTCCAATCCTGCCTGGCCCAATTCGCGACCGATACCACTGGTTTTGTATCCACCGAAGGGAATTCGGTGGTCACTATCCTGACTGCTGTTTAACCAGACAGTGCCGGCCTCTATATCAGCAGCCACACGATGACCGCGTCGGAGGTTTGTGGTAAATACAGCAGCTCCCAGGCCGTACAGTGTGTCGTTGGCAAACTCAATAGCATCTTTTTCCTCGGCAAAAGGTACGATTACCACGACAGGTCCGAAGATTTCCTCTCGGTAAATGCGCATTGATGGCTTCACATTCGTGAAAGTAGTAGGGGTAACAAAGAACCCTTTGCCATTAGCACTACTGAAGGGTTCGCCTCCAGTCTCGACAGTGGCGCCCTCCTGCTTTCCGAGGTTGATATAATGCATGACTCGGTCGTATTGAGCTCTGGTCACCTGTGGACCTTGGAATGTGTTCTCGTCCCACTGGTCTCCAATGATAGACGCTGTTTGAATGCGTTCTTTAAACAATTTCAAAAAGCGATCGTAAATATCTTGTTGTACGAAGATCCGTGAGGTGGCTGTACAGATCTGCCCTTGGTTTGACATAATACCGGCATGCGACCACTTAACAGCCTGGTCGAGATCCGCATCATTGAATACAATCAATGGTGACTTGCCACCAGTCTCAAGGGTGATGCCCTTTAATCCCCCAGCGGCATATTTCATGATTTGAGCACCTGTCGCAGTGGACCCAGTGAATGCGACCTTATCAACCTGGGGGTGCTGTGCAAGAGCGGCTCCGGCCTCGGCTCCGTACCCATTGATAACATTGACCACCCCAGGAGGAAATCCGGCCTCTCTAATCAGAGTGGCTAGAACCAAGATACTGAGCGGTGTTTGCTCAGCAGCCTTTATGACAACTGTGTTACCGCAGGCTAGTGCTGGGCCCAACTTCCAGGCTGCCATTGCCAAGGGAAAATTCCATGGAATTATCTGCGCGACAACTCCGACCGGTTGGCGAAGGGTGTAAGCGAATTTCTCGGGGGATGTTTCGATGGTTTGACCGAAGTTCTTGTCAGCCCAGCCTCCGTAGTATCTGAAGGTGCCGATTGTGTCAGGAAGGTCGTCTTCCATTGCGAGGGAATAAGTCTTGCCTATAGAATCATTCATGTTAGTATGACGAGCGACCCGGATTAAATCATAAGGTCACTTACCATTATCCCATGCATCGATCGTGGCCAGCAGAGTTTGATTAGCCTCGATGAGTTCCGACAGGCGGACCATAAGCCTTCCCCTTTCGGTCGCAGGGAGTTTCTTCCACGAATCCTTCTTCAATGCGGCTCTCGCTGCCTGGACTGCGGAATTGACATCGTCAGCGCCGGCAGCTTGCACGGTCGCAATCTCTTTCTCTGTTCTATACGTCTTGCATTAGCATGGCTCTCTCTTCCTCCCTATTCGGTTTTGATTTGGGGTAATCTCACGCTGGGTCTAATGATGTGATGGTCAATCCACTTTTGGCCTTGACGAACTCATTATTGATGAAAAGGCCGGTCGGCTGAGTGTAATTGTGCCCGTTCGGGGTTGTCAGGTTGACGGAAAGGTTCGAGTCGTTCGACATAGCTACGATTTGACTTGAAATATGTTCCTTAAAACCAGTTTCGTACTTGGATTCCTGACAGGCACTTGGTCAAAATGAAGGACGGTGCCGACTTTATGATCAATAGATTCTCATGTTGCCCGGAAGTTCCTACCTCAGTCCATCTTAGTGAGGGAGGAGGATCCGAAGGGAAAGTTGACGTATGGAGCCATTATTTCAGATGGCTTGCCTCTGTTGGAATGCAGAATTTAAACGCTAGTCGCTGTAAAAATGGTCTCTTCCGTTGACATAGGTCGTGTGGCCAGTGAGTCTTTCCGACGACAAGGCAGGGTTAATTAATCATTGCCTTCCTAATTCGTATGGCTGCTCTTGGCCCCTTAAATTTCAGAGGTGTTGTAGGAAGGTTACTCCGAGTCGTTTGGCATTGTCGGGGAAAGCGAGAAGTTGAGGAATAAAAGAAAAAAAAGAAATGTTATATCGATTTCCCTGGTGCTCTCAGAGCCTGTGTTTACAGGTACATTTCAAATTCAACATTGAATGTGCCAAAGATGATTTTCTGATCGTAGTAGTACTACTGTACTAGACTCTAGTTAAGAAGGCAAAACATCCAGCAGCTCCGAGCTGGCCGGTTGGGCGCTAGTCCTAAAACGGGGTTCATTCGGCCATCGATGTACACACTTCAACGCATGAAATGTTGTCTTTTTCACCTATTATAAGCAGCATTCGATATTTTCAAGCTTAATGAGGGCCTTGAGAAAAATACATGTCTAACAAGTACTCAAGATATTGGCACATGGACATCAAAGGTCTGCTTCAAGGGTGAAAGTCGCCCTCGGAGTCGCTTCAAATGTTATCTTATATTTGATCAGCCATTTCTAACAAATTATTTACCTTAATAACTCATCATTGTCGACTCAAATATCTTGGAGGATTTGGGCTCAGAATAAATTTGTTTCGGATGATCTCTATCTGCGCTGCAGTTTGAGTCGGAGGCCATGAGTGGCCGTGATAAAAGATAAAGGTATGGAGACGACAAAGATGATGACCCCACTTTGGCTGACATATTTCCAAGCTTGTTCGATTGTTCCAAAGCTCAGCTTGAAGTGATGCTGGCCACCGACCGATAACGATTCCTTCCCCGCACTTGGAAAGCATTTCCCGGCTATTAACTGGGTTTCGATCTTCCAACTCAGAGCCACTGGTGCCAAAACGCATATCACTATGCGCAATTCTCGAAATAGGCACTTGAATCGCCGAACCCATTCTCTTGGTGCTTGCAAAACATGTCGCAGGCGGCATGTCAAATGCGACCAAGCACGTCCGGCCTGCAAGACGTGTCAGATTGCAGATATCGTCTGTGAAGGTCTGGACCATGGTATACAATGGATCGACTCATCCCATGACCCCGATCAGGTCCCAGAACCGAAATCAGGGCCCAATGTGCGCCGTCACCTTTACTCAGGTTAGAAGAACGCTTTCCCATATTGCCATGATAACCAACAGCTTACTTACAACTTTTACCCGAGAAATTCAGAGCAGGAAAGGGTGATTATGAGCTCGGAGCTTGTGGACTGGGCCGCAACCTCTTCCATCGATCAATTCTTAAGCGATCTAGACACTCACGCCAAAGATCTCGAGAAACCTGACAAGCGCGCAAGTTTTATCGGACCTTTTGGTATTTTGAACTTAGCCGAAGATGAGTGTTCGAATTTCAATATCGACAAAGTCTCAAAACCTGGCGATCAACTCGCATCACTACCGGTCGCTGCTGAAGACTACCAGATCGCCAGTCATGATCCCCCTGCCGGACCTCTCGGTCGCGGAAGACTTTCTTGGCAATTTGGACAACTTTTTACAATGGGATGACATATTTAATCTTGAACCACCCAAAGCGGGCTACGTCGGGACACCGCAGTTTACGGCATTTGAAGATGGCTTTGCCGTTCCCTGGGCTATCCCTAGCAAACTCATTGGGTCGCCGAACGGACTGCCCACCACATCACCAAGGCACGACTTACCCGCCCTAGAATGTACAATGGGAAATTCGAACGCGCTACTGGAGGCAAATGTTCTACTGAGACATTTTGATGAGCATGTTGTGCCTCAAATAACTTGGGTGCCCATGACACAAAAGTCACCATTACGAATTCTGAATATCCCAGCTGCGATGATAACACTCGATCAACTTATTTACATGAAGCAAATACCAATAAAGCACGCTAACCTATCAAATCTTTATGCTATTCTTGCGTGTGCATCATATCACTTGTCCATTCATCCAGACTTTGTACCTGATAAGTCAAGTCAGTACTGGGATAAAATCACCATATCTTCTCACAGCGAAGCCAAGTCACATTTGGATTTATCTCTCAAGTTAGAGTTGAAGGGTCGGACAAAAGCGAAATATAAAGATCAGTTGATGGCGATGCTGAGCCTCACAACTTATGCTGTTAGTATTTCTGGCCAGAGCCTGTGATGAATTGCTTCTAACCTCTCCTCTCCTCTATAGGTTCTAACACAGAATCAGACTGAGGCTCGATACCATCTAATTAATATCGAATTTCTTATTCGGTCAAGAGGCCTGGTGAAAAAGCGTCTCTCCCGAAGAGCTCGACTTTTACACCATCAGTACACCTGGATCAGAATTTTGAGTGAAAGCACGCTGGTGATTCACAATAAGATTCCTCATTCAACTCCATGTGAAGCTTTCTGGTCACATCACTTGAATTCAGAAGAGACGAATATACTTGCTCTCAGACATGGGTCTCTGCCACAACGAGATGGAAATTATGAGCTCGACGACTTTTTACGCATTGAACCAAATGAATCGGATAGCGACTTGAAAGTGGGAGATCAGAAAGATGTTGAATGCAACCTTGGAGATATTCATCTAGTGGACTCACGAAACTACCCAGACGAGCAACATTCCACCATAAACGGAATTTCAGAAACTTGGCTCGGACTTCTTTCCCAAACAACACGTCTAGCAAACGTCTTGGATCAAATAAACAACAAAAGTTGCACCATGAGTGCTGAAAGGCAATTAGCTCTTCATCGGCGCTCCAATTATCTCGAGGGAATGATTTGCTCCTTTACATCCAGACGAATGCTCCCTGGCGATGGGAAGCCAAAATTTCACATGACTCGAGCCCTGAACGCTGCTTTAGTCATTTATTTCTACCGACGAGTACGACAAGTAAACCCGTGCATTCTGCAGGGATATGTCTCTCAGATTATTCAAGAACTTCATAGGTGGGATGCAGCTCTTGCCCAGAATGGTCTCAATGGACCGGGAACTGCATGGCCCGCATTTATGGGGGGATGTGAAGCTACCGAAACTAACGACCGAGGAAGTATCCTGCAGTGGCTAGATAGAGCAAGTGTTCAAAGTGGACAAGCCTCTTACTCTTCTGCCAAGAAGGTCATGGAGGAAATTTGGAAGCGCAGAGACAGCAGAACTAGCGACGCTGATATGCCTCCAAAGCCTGGCGAGTCGATGTCTTTCAGTTGGATGGAATACTCAAAGGAAAAATTACAGTGGCTTATCCTGGCATGATTCCTTGTTTATATCTTCTCTTGATGTCTTATCTTCTATTTAATATTTTATTTTCGTTGTAGCGTTTCTTGCTACTTTTATTCTGATAAAGCCATTTCCGTCCCAAATCCCGGTACAAACGTTTTTTTTTTCCAGAAAGGGCTAAATAGCATCCCTTTTACTAGATATGACTCTCTGTACCAATTAATTTGATTCAAGATACCTCCTTTACAATATCTGGCCACCTGTTTACGTCGGGGGGAAATACGAATGCTCTTTTCGGTCGGCAACTGCGGCCCTGCGGGGTAAGGTGAAAGATTGGTCGAAATTCCCATCATGAAGACTATCAGTATAGAGATTAGGACATGCCCAATGCCAATGTTCGGATGCCCGAACAGCAGATTGTCGCTTTCTCTTAGAAAATGTGGAGTCAATGCATTGGTGAGGGCCGGGAGATTCCCGCGATCCCTTTCAGAGTTGCCTTCCCCTTTCTGCGTTGCTTGCCTAACCAGGCGACTCTTCCTAAGAAACAACACCCAATTATGATGAATGTAACAACCTTGAGATATTATACAACATTAACATTAACGACTGATGTTCATTTAAACGCATATAAACAGAAACAATGTCTCTCGTTTTCATGTTTTCAGATCTCAAGCAACAACATTTGAAGCAAAGAGTATACCATTCTTCTCTACTCTCCCTCTATAACCAAACACCATGCCTGCCAAACTCTTCAACGGAATTCTTACTGCCTTGATTACGCCCTTTACGGATGATGGAAAGGGCATTGATGCTGAGCGCCTCAAGGCACACATAGATCGTCAATTCGATGCCGGAGTTCACGGCCTCGTGCCCGGTGGTAGTACCGGCGAGTTCACCGTCCTGACTCTCGAAGAGCGCAAGCAATTGGTAGAGCTCACAGTCAAATACACCACTGGACGAGGCCCTATTATCGCTGGTATCGGAAGCACCAGATCATCCGAGGTGATTGAACTCGCGGCCCACGCAGCACAGAACAAAGTCGATGCTGTGATGGTTGTGCCTCCATTCTACGACCCTGTCACCTACGAAGAACTCCAGGAACTTCTGTCAGAAGTACGAAAAGTATCGGGACTCCCGATTGTATACTACAATATTCCTTCCATTAGTGGCCTGCCTCTTAATCCTTCTCAGATTGCCGGCTTGAAGACGGTCGGCGTCGAATGGGTTAAAGATACTTCTGGAAACGCACCAGAGTTCACCGAGCTCGTCTTTGCGCACGGCGAACATGTCTCGGCTATGAATGGATGGGATACCTTGACTTTCTACGGAATTGCTGCGGGGGCACCTGCCGCCATTTGGGGTGCTGTCAATGTTATTCCCGAGCTTGCGGTGGAATTGTGGAATGCTTTAGCTGTCAACAATGATCTGCGACGCGGTCGGGAGATCTGGGCACAGATATATCCCGTTGCCAAATTTTTGGAGTCGCACAGTTACTGCGCTGCTATCAAGACTGGTATGGAAATTCGAGGTTATCGAACTGGAGGATTGCGAAAGCCCTTTGACTTTCTGAAGAAGGATGACCAGGCCGAGCTTCGTCGGTTGTTGATTGAAGCCAAGGTGCAAGTTGCATAAGTGGTTATTTTGATATGTTTCTCAGGTACCTGCAAGTAAATAACAACATTTGAAGTCACAATTTTCTCTTAGAAAGGTGGAATGTTCATAGATTTACTCGCGCCATATCAATCAGATTTTACTGTGCAAATTAAAGCTTCTTGGCCCCGTGGTTTGAATGTTGTATACGTAATCTCAACGGCGCTCCATAAAACTATCTGATATATCTTTATTCTTAATTCGAAGAATGTGTTTGATTTCTTTCTTTCTTTCTTCTTGAAAAAAGAATACCTCCCTGGTGTAGGAAGTGCAAACGGTTGATTGATGTTCTAAAGGTTTTCGGCGTTTGAAAGAAGGAAGGGAAGCTAATTCTATGATAGACGACGCGTTTTCTTTTACATTGAACGCGAGCGACTTACAGAGTAGGGTGATTTTTAATTTTGAGAGGTGATCTGAAGTTCAATGGAGACTGCGGGGATGAAAAATGGTGAACGGCAGGACTTGAACAAAAATGAAGTGGAAGATGAACCAACCGACCACGACTATTAGCTAAGGGGCACTTTCATCAATCAGTTTAGCCTACCAGGAAAGCTCGGGCTGCATGACCATTGAAAATCGAGTGAAATAGTTGTTGTCTGAAAATAATGGTTGTAGAATACTACTAGTAGTAGGTAGTTCCTCGGAAATCCGAAAAGGGACCATCTTCCGATAGTCAAATCGTATTCGGAAGTCAACATGACTCGCTACTCTACCGTGCACTGAACCTGGAAGGTCAACTTCCCGCGCGATGAACCTAGGGGGTCCAAATTTCTGGACGAGTTAGAATTCGCCAGTTAATAAAAACCTGCGTAAGCCAGTCAAATATTGACTTCAGCCCTTTTTCATAAACAAACTCGCACATTTGATACCCGCGGACCTTATCCACCTGTGAACGCTAGCCACAATGGCAAACCGAGGAGATGAATACGATCCCAATATATGCTGTATTGATGATCTCAAAATTTTAGGTAGTGCGATTCTTCCTCAGATGTACAAAGGTACCGACATTGAAAAAGAGATGCTCCACATTCGATGTTGTACTAAGATTAAATTCTAGATTATTACAATGAGGGCGCCATGGATCTTGTAACGTGTGTGCCTCGGAGCGTGAAGTCTAATATACACCTAAACTAATATTGATATATTTAGCCTTCGAGACAACGAAGCAGCCTTTGATCGATACAAGCTTAGACCCAAAGTCCTAGTCGATGTCGCCGAAATTGATACCAGCGCCGAGATTTTCGGCACAAAGGTTTGTTAACATTTGAATAGGATCAACAAACATTCATCACGAATCGTCAGATACTGATACAACTTAGACGGCATTCCCATTGGGACTGAGCCCTACTGCAATGCACAAGTTGGCTCATCCAGAAGGAGAGGTCGCGACATCACGGGCCGCAGCAGAAAAGGGAATCGGGATGATCCTATCATCATACTCGACCTGCTCGATGGAGGATGTCGCCGCCCAGGCAAGAGATAACCCTTATGCTGTTCAGATGTGCATATTGCAAGACCGCTCAATTACAATCCAACTGCTTCGTCGAGCTGAAGGTGAGCAATTTCACTCACCCAAATTTGTGACCTCTCTAACTTTTACCATGATGCAGCATGCGGATACAAGGCTTTGTTTTTATCAGTCGACAATGTCGTTCTTGGAAAGCGACTTAATGAGTTTCGCAACAAATTTACTTTGCCTGACAACATGTCTTGGCCTAATATTCTGAGCCATAGCACTGATAAATCCCCCGGAGCAAATTTTGGTAGTTCATTCACCTTCCGCTTGATTTGAAATTACTAATTCTATTATACTAGACCCGAGTACGAATTGGGAAGAGACCATCCCTTGGTTGAGGAAGCATTCAAAAATGCAAATCTGGCTGAAAGGAGGTGATTCCTACACTGTTTCGACTCGGAAACTTCCAATAACTAACAACTGTTTTTTTGATCTAGTAAATCGACCCGACGATGTAGAACTTGCGATCAAGCATGGTGTTGATGGAATAGTACTGTCAAATCATGGAGGGAGGCAACTCGACGGAGTTCCTGCAACACTGGACATACTACGAGAATGTGCCCCTGTGGCCAATGGAAGAATTCCACTCACTATTGATGGTGGTATTCGACGTGGATCTGACATTTTCAAGGCCTTGGCAATGGGAGCGAGCCATTGCTTCATTGGAAGGGCCGCAATCTGGGGACTAGCGGTAGGTCAACGAAGTATATCCTCCATCTGTTTCACCAGACAGCTAACTAGACTCTCTTTCCTTTGATTTAGTACCAAGGTCAGACAGGCGTCGAGCTAGCTATCAAAATATTGCTGCAAGAACTTCGTATCACAATGGCACTTGCTGGGTAAGTTGAAGATTAAACCTACAACCCTTTGAAGAGACAGGTCGATGTGCTAATTGTTTTGTCTTATAGCTGTCGATCTATTAAGGACATTGACCGTTCCTTTCTTTCCGTGTTGGAATCGAATGGCAAGTTGTCAAAATTGTAACCTCCGAGTCGGAATGCAGATCGACACAACACGGTGAGGAGGTGCCGCGTGCAACCATCCACATATTTAGCACCTAAGGTATATTTGAATATCTAAATGTTGCCTGCAAGATTATTGTCTACGGGCTTGAAATTGAGGAGATATATCATGAAACTTCCGAGTCGTTAGTCATTAAATGTGGGAGATGTCAGTAGTTCATAAGCGTGCTAGGATGTCTCTTTTTCTTTTTTTGGATATTCACATCCAAATTTCAAGCGAAGAACTGGTTTTTCGAATCTACTTTAGCTCTCTCTTTCTCTGTCATTTCCTTTTTTTCCCCTCAATGGCTTTCCTATCATTAGAAAAGAGATATTATCTGCTAGATAAGAGGATTTATTCTTTGTCTCCAAATTTGAATGCCAGCTAAATCATCATATGGCGATAGCGCGGTACTTATTAGTATTTGCCAGAGACATAACCTCTCGCGTCAAGTAAATACAGGAGAATGCTTTAATATTGAATGAATAATTCTATGATTGCAAGATTTAATTTGTATTATTTTAGAGACTTACATACTTAAAGCAGTGTAATGTAAGATGGAGCAAAATGAACTGAATTGGAGAAGAGAGGAAGCTAGCCACGGCGGAGAGTAAGGTTATCCCCACCTCACGCGCAGCGGAATATTCGCTGAACGTGAGGTCACAGAGTCTGAGCAGGTAACTCATTTATCAATGAGAGAAATGAACTTGAGGCACCGGATATCCGCCCGCGGGTCGCAAAAAGCACTTGGGAAAGCGATATGTAGATTGCCCACCCCGCGTGTGATCAACAGCCCCGGAAGGAACAATTTCCGCGTAATCGCCTTCCACTTGACAGGTTACCTTCCTTTTGCCACTGTAATCCAAAATGTCATCAGAAGGCGTAAGTAAGTACGGGGAAAGTCCGGGAATATCAAAAAAAGGAAATCGTAATTTGACTCACACTTAAAATTCATGACCTTATCATGGCTGATGCAGGTTGATATCATTCGTTGATCCAACACAGAAGGAGTTCTCCTATCACACTATTATCACACTATGCTTCCAAAGTTGGTCAAAACCACGAAATATTTAGCCAAAGGAAAGATAAGCGATAGAAAGATACGGGTGTTTCGTTATCCATGGGCACATAACTCTTAAGCTTGAAATCAAAGCCCATTTTCTCGAAATCCGTGTTAGATAATTTGTAAAGGATAATGACCAGGGAGCCTATTTTATGTGGCAAGGCCTTTCAAATGGTCCTTGTTCATCCTTGGGAATACATAATGATTAGGGGACAATAAAAGGGGTAGAATTCTGTGAAACAAAGGGGTAGAGGATAGACACTGAATCATATGGGTGTTGGTGCTCCCACCGACCATGACCAATGAAACGGCATTGATAAAGCTTTCTACGAGGTTATGAGGGCTTCTATTCGCCCATACCAATCTGGCGAGCGTATCCGGATGGCACTATTACAGGATGCCCAGGTGGAGTAAATCCAGAATCCGGGGTTAGACGTATATCAACCTGAGCAGGCCCCCTGGTACTAAGTGACAGGCGGAAAGGTATTTACAGTCTGCCAGATGCCAGTCCCCTATCTGAGTCGAAAGAAATCATCTTAGATCTCTTCTTCTGTTTAGTTATTCAATATGTCTAAAGATAATCACGAGAGCGACTTGCCGGACATTGCACCAACCCCTTCACACGTGGGCGAAGTTCTTGACCTCAAGGATCAACGCTACGATGCTGTGTTTGGGGATATGACAGAGGAAGGTCCCAACTACCGCAATGTATGTATTGATTCAAATAGAAAAACCAAATGAATGAATATTAACGAGTTATTTACTAAAATTTTCAAGGTTGGGTGGTTGGGGACAGCTGCCTTGATGATGAAGACACAGATTGGCCTAGGCGTCCTTTCAATCCCCGCCAATTTTGACACGCTTGGATTAATACCAGGCGTTATTCTTCTCTGCACTGTTGGTGCCATAACGACATGGTCCAACTACATAGTGGGAGAATTCAAAGTCAAGCACCGTCATGTGTACGGCATTGACGACGTTGGGGAGATGCTTTTCGGCCGCATTGGTCGGGAGGTCTTTGGTATTGCATTCTGCCTTTGTGGGTGACATCTCTCATATCTACCTCAAATTATCTGCAGCTGTCTAATTCCATTCTCTCTTAGTTTTCACTTTCGTCTCCGGTTCGGCTATGCTTAGCATATCTATCTGCCTAAACGCGTTATCGAACCATGCCATTTGTACCGCCATATTTGTTGCTATCGCTGCCATAATCACCTTCACCTTTTCGAGTATACAAACACTGGGCAAGATCAGTTGGCTGGCATGGGTCGGCGCCATATGTGTTCTGATCGCTGGTATGTGTCTGGAATTCTGCTTTCGGAACCCATCTAACACACATTAGTTTTTACAATTACCATCGCGGTAGGGGTAGAAGGACGCCCTTCTCTAGCGCCAAAGACGGGCACATGGGAGTCAGACTACAAACTGTTCAATAATCCCGACTTTGCGGATGCTGTCTCCGCAATTACATCCATGGTTTTTGCCTACAGTGGAACGCCGGCATTTTTCAACATTGCATCGGAAATGCGCGATCCACGCCAATATAATAAGGCCTTGATAGTATGTCAAACTGTGGTGACGATCACGTATATTGTAGTAGGCGTTGTTGTATACTACTATGCCGGATCCTACGTCGCTTCCCCTGCCATCGGCACAGCTGGCCCAGTCTTGAAAAAGATAGGGTACGGGATTGCCCCCCCGGGGTTACTCGCAAGCGCAATCCTTCTGACACATGTGAGTTCGATACAAAGCAAATATTTCCACTTTTCTCCCTCTGAAGCTTGAAAATCTAATGAAGAGAAGGTTCCGAGCAAGTACATTTTCGTTCGTATCTTACGAGGCTCCACACATCTTACCAAAAACACGCTTGTGCACTGGGTTGCGTGGCTCGGCTCTACGTTAAGTGTCTCCATCGTTGCGTATCTGATCGCTAGTGGGATTCCAGTTTTCGATAGTCTCGTGTCTCTTATCGGTGCCATGCTTGGTACTTTCCTTTCGTTCCATCCCATGGCCTGTATGTGGCTCTACGATAATTGGAGGAAGGGGAAATCTAGTCAAACATACAAATGGCGGATGATGGTGTGCTGGTGTGTGTTTGTACTTGTTTCTGGCACATTTCTAGTGATATCAGGGACTTATGGCTCGATTGTTGGGATAATCAACTCTTACCAAGGTGGTGGTTCTTGGTCCTGCGCCGACAACTCCAACTCCTGAACGGATGACTTTGGTTTTCATAGGGGGTCCATCTCGTCGTATCGCCATTCATCCAGGGCTCTCCCACTCTTTCTCTCTCTCTCCATCTCTCCTTAGGCAATCAACAGAGATACCTTCCAGCTCCACCTCCGTATCCATTCTCATATCAAATCCACCTGCTTGTATCCATGGGTTGTTCTCCTTCATGTGCCTGTTTTAATAGGAGCTTGTCCTAACAAGAAATAAGTTGCCTAGAATTGCGCGGTGAAGAATTTTCTTTTCCCATCTCCTTCTCGCTCTCCACAACCTTTGATGCTTCATTTTATTGTTCCTTTAGGTAGAAATGAGCAGAATGTAATTGGCCTGCTGTGGAGTGCGCTCAGTGAGCGAATCACATTATTGCGCAGGCTCGCCGCTCAGTGAGCCTGAGCAATGCTTACATAAGACTCCCTGATCAAATCAATGAGCCGAATGCCGTGCTCAGATCTACTGAGTGAAGTTAAAGCGGCGAGGGGGTGAGCACTAATCTAGAAAAGGAAGCCAAGAATCGTCAAAGGAAATCCGGTACGTAGGGGACATGACCATTATGAAAATTATAATGATATGATAAATCTTGCCTTAGGCAAAGGATAAATTGAATGACTAACTAGAATAAAATGCTTAGTAACCAACATGCTCAGCAAATCTAAAAAAAAATATCTTCGCATGCTATGCAATGGCATATGAATGACGAGCCAGTCGCCGAAAAACAAGTATTCTAAATATTATTTGGGCTCAAGGGTACCTTCTGTTTCGGTCGCTGTCTGATCCCGCCAGACGGCGTATCCCAATAATTCTAACATATGTCGCTCGCGATGCGTAAAGATTTGAACTCCTTCCTTGAGAAGAAATTTGGCGGCGTGGTTCAAAAGGATTCGGGAATGGGTGGGTTTGGAAATAAAGAGACGGAGGAGAACATCGGAAGAAATGATGATTTCGTCATGGGAGGTGGCCGTCACGGTATTGGGGATTTCGGAAAGGAGGGGACTTGTTTTCTTATCATGTGCGAGAGAGTCAACGTATGTTTCCAGCATACGGTTTCGAACGATAAATTGTAGCATCGAGCCTAAGGATTTGGTATCCACAATGGGTTGTGGGATGGCGTGATCTGGGTCGGCAAGACCACGCTGCATGGCGATGACGTACTCCAGGTCTTCCAGGAGAGGTGTCAACTGCAACTTGGCGAGGGAGATGTGATCCAATACGGGCCGGTCATAACCCAGCTTCTTACGCCAGAAATAGTTGCACATGATCAATGAGATGATACATGGGATTAGAACCACGTATCCTTCCCAATGCTCAGCTGTCACCATTGACGCAGCACCTGCGACCACTCCATTCACACTGTTGACGATCGAGTGCCATTGGAAGCGTTTGAATCGTAGACGCAGCCGGCGCCTAATATCATCACTAGGCTCACCAGCGACCACGGCTTCATCGTGTTTCTTGAACCGGTAGATCAGGTATATCGACCAGATGGCATTGCCAAGTCCAAACAATGCCGCCAGGGCATTACCAATGTAACCCGAGAGGAGGTTACTCGCCTTATAAACACGGGGGTTCGCGCCCCCGATCGCCATCAATGTACCAACACCAACAAGGACCGATCCCATACCCATAAGCATGTCCATAAGGATTCGGTCCACGACCTCTGTGCCGATCTCACGCACCCCAACGCCTAACCGCGCATCCAGCAGCCGTGTCAACTCCGGGTTCTTGCAATGGTACTGTTGTAATCGCTGTATATGCACTCGTTCCTCGCGTAGGAGTTTTACATTCCGCCAACTCAGTCGGAAATCCTGTATCGCAAGGAACACCATAAACAGCGCCAAGGTGCCACCGATCCCCATCAACACGGCCGCAAAGGTCGGCACGGGCGTAGTATTCCAAACATTTGCAGCAAAGTCTCCCGCATTTGCGAGCTCGAGATATCCGACACTGGCGAGTAGACTGTTTTTGAATTGCTGCTGGTGTAAAAGTCGGAACCTGCCACGTCGCCGGACGAGTGGTACCTGATCCTTTGTTGACTCGAAGGTTTCTTGCCAGGTAATGTCGCTTTCCTCACGAAAGAGCTTTGGAATATCGGGAGGCGGAGGGGATTCAAGATTAGAGAGTTCCAATTCTGATTCCATGAGGGTTGTTTGGGGTCTGGGGTGGTAGACTGGGGAGGGAGGGGAAATTAAAGTGTCGGAGGAGTCACCGGGTCGTGCCATTGTGAAATCATGGGACCTGGTTCACATGTCGAGGAGTCCTTTACAAGACCCCGAGGAGAGTGAGGAGTCACAAGGAGAAGAAAGGAGGACAAGAGAAGGGGATTGGAGGTAATAAAGAGAGAGAAGATTGAAAGGGAAAAAATGGGGGAATTTGCGGGCGGTATAGAATTGGATCCCGTAATATGGGATCCACTCGGTTCCTTGGCGCCGCCCTGTAGGGCTGAACACGATGAAGATCCCCATTTCTTCCTATTTTTGCTTTGCCATTTATTACGATGACACTCGTACTATTAATAATGGGTATTATAATGCATACCCCTTACTTGGCCGTCCCCGTTTCCTTCCTTTTCAAAGTTTTGGGTTATTACTGGTTCTAGCCCTCAGTGCGGAGTACAGCTGATCCACATTTGGCAGGGGGACCCATTCATAGGAATAATTATACATAGCAGGCAGCCATTTTCTACTAGGCGTGAAAGACAATACCAGATAAAAGGGGGAGGGAAAAAAGACAAAGATATGGCTAAAAAAAAAAGTGAAAAACTTAAGATATGCGGCGCTATACTCCATACATACATGCTCAATGGCTAACAAGAAACATATTTCAAATGTGTGAAAATTCGAAAGCTCATGCTGCCCGGGAGAAACCTTTCCCACTATGTGCAGGCTGTGTTCGGAGAGCACGAATCATCTTCATACCCGCTTGTTTGGGCTCACATGACATTCGCGTCCAAAACTCAGATTGCCGGTCAGATCCTCTTAGTAAATCGTCCTGCGGTCCTTCTTTGTCACCTTCAGGCGACGGGCTACCGTCAGGAGAAGGAGGCGGTTCCGACCCGTAAACATTGACTCGCTCATGGAAACGAACGCGCTGGTTCACTCGAGAACCAGAGGTACCACTTTGGGTCTTGCTGGCGGTTAGCATTTGTTTCCGCACGGCGTAGCGCTTGGCTGCGTCGCCACGCTTGGTCTCACTGAAGATCTTTTGAAATGCGGTCTTAGCAGTAAATTTCACGAACATGTAGGCAACCCCCGAAAAGATCACACTGAGAGCCAAGTATGTTGGATTGACTTCTTCGATCGGACCGCGGTACATGTGCACGATCATTGCGGTCGAGATTGTGCCAAAAATTGTGAGGGCTTCCAGTCCCAACATGCAGGGACCAATAGAGTCGGCCCGGATAGGTGGGGGTCGTTGGCACTCCCGGGTTAACTTGAATAGATCACCTCGGAGTTCAATCCAGTTGTTGACGAGGAATCCCAGGGCCATAAGGGGCCATGCAACGCCGAACAGGGCCAGGAAGCCAAACTGCACACACATCTCGAGAAGCTCGTCATCGGATTCGTACTGGTTGGCACCGGCTTCGCCGCGGACTCGTTCCAGGAAGTTGCGCTCATCCGAGGAATCAATGAGAAGAAAATCGGTGGCAGTAGAGAGGCTGCGCTGGCGCGAGACACTCTTCTTTTTATCATTGTAAACACTCCATTTTTGCCAAATGAAATGCTGGATATAGGGCATGACCACTTCTCCAAAGAAATCCACCACCTGTGCACCAAGAGACATGGCTTTCACCTCTTGTGCCAATCGCTGCGCGTCGATTTGGAAACTCGGATCGTTTGGGTCGATACGGAACAGGTTTGGCCAGTAAAGTGCCAAACGGGGCACAAGCTGTTTACCAAAGGGCACGTAAACGTAGGCCGTCAATATGGTCGGCAGGAAGGATATGATAAAGCTCATAAGGAATCCTTTTTGTGTCCGCGCCACCTGGTACTCATCTTGGGTTCGGTGATTCTCGTACGATGTTAATTGGGTTGCAAGACCGTTGAGCCACGATCCGATGGTGCCTTGAGAAAGTGCGAATATGAGCGGCGGCAAATATTGAATATAACCGTAGAGGAAATCAGGATAAAACTCCTCAATGTATAGTTCCAAGGAGAAAACCAGCGCAACCATAGTTCCTAGTAGGGTGGCAGCGGTTATCGCAAATGGAACAATGGGGGTTTGCAATAAGAATTGCTTCCATCCAGAATAAGTTCTCAACACCTGTCCAGTGGCTGCGTCCCTGACCTCCTTGTCCCAGTACCATTCGGGGCGGTTTACCTTTAATGTCCCAACCCCTTCCACACCCCATCGGATGCTCAATTCGTACTGGCGGACTTTCCAATACTCAACAAATACCACGGCCCATATACATAGGGAGCCGCCGAAAACTATTGAGTAGGAGCAGCCAAGGTATAGCCAAGCCAGAATTCCTAGGACGGTCGGTATTATCAGGAAGACAGAGTAGCTGCTGATGAATGCAAAATAGAAAGCGACCTGGAGAAGAAGATAAAAAATAAAGGTTAGATCCTGTCAATGATGTGTTCCGTCGGGGCTGATGCAGGTGGTGGGGTGGCATACCTTTTCTCCGAACAACGCGCGAATCGTGTCGAGGTCCTCGGTGGTCAAGTGTGCTTTGCGATTCAGTTGTCCTGATAATTCTGAACAGGCATCCATATCATGAAGCGGGAATGAAGCTGTGACATTCTCCCATTTCCCGTGGTTTGGAGTGATCCCCGCACCACCCAGTTCTTTGCTCCATGTCACGACGTGGTATACCGAACGCAACTCTTCAGCTGGGGTTTCCGAGTGGGCGACAGTATCTTCGTCACCGGCAGGGACGCTGTGAACGATTGAATGCAGAAAGTCCTTTACCCTAGAGACAAATCACCCAATCTCCGATCAGTATATTGTCTCGCAGCTCAATGCGCTTACGTGATCTTACCTAGATTGATGGACCATATTTCCCAGCTGTTCGCGGGGAACACGCAAGAACACCAGCAAAGAATCGCCATAACCATGGCGAACTTGGACGCGCAGTCCGGCCTCCTCCAAATCACTGATCAATGCCTCGAAATCCTGACTCGCTTGCTCCTTGTCTGGGGATTGGATTGTCAGTATATGCATCAATTATTTTCGGGAATAGAATGTGCAAGCAAGTACGCACCTATGCTGTCAAACTCATACTTTAGAACCCAATCAATGCCGAGGATGTCATTTTCTTCGTCACGAGGATTGCTGTGCCCCGCAAAGAGCCTTGGGAGCCGAAAACCCAAAAAGCCCGGGATCGGAAGCATTCGAACCCCGAACATAGTTGCCTACGTTCAGGGATCTAGCAAGTACAAAATGTTTCGGCAAGATCGGAGCACACAAAGACGGTGAAGAGCTGTGCAGTGAGTTGCGCAAGAGAAAAAGATAGAGCAAATTGGAGGTCCAGGATTGTGGGGAGGGGGGAAGAGAGACAAATATGCAGGGGTCCACTGCGGGAATCTTGGAAGCCCAGGTCGCTTAGTCCGGTCTATTTTGAGGACGATACGATCTTGAGTGGCTCAAAGTTCAAGCTACTAAACCAATACTAATACGCAGGATGGACCCTTGACTGGGAAAAAAAAAACCTCCTCAATTCGCCAGGGGGCGTTGGGATAATTACGAGGCTACGTGTGGCATGCAGAAAAACACCGTGACCTCATTGCCGGGATCCATAGCCAAGCTTCATGAGGTTCAGCCCTACGGGGCGGATTTGATTGCACGAAGTTCGCCACTGCAACCTCCCGATCGGCGGTTTGATAGCAATGTCCAATTTACTACCGGCCCCTTTTCAAAAATCGCAGCAAGGGTGTTTCAATACGGCATATTTGTCCTACAGATTTGAATATGTGGAATTCCTTATGTTAGGTCAAGACCTGATGCGCGCGCATAGAAGATGAACTGGTCTTTTAAAACAACTTGGCTGCAGTGTAACCAGGTAATTCCGCCCGGGCGCTAATCAGGATGTCTGAACGGCCCACAAATTGTGTGTTGGCCTGTTACTGGCGGTTCCACCTCGCCTAGAATGAACAAATGAAGCATAAAGTTTTGTCTTGCATCATGCAAAATACATATAACAGAGAGGGGAATTGTGTTCTTTATCAGGGGGAAGAGAGATCTTACGCTTCAAGCACGGAGTGAGAGAAAAAAAATACATATTGAAAAAGTTGCTGCCTTGAGGCCCTTGACAGGTATTGCCAAGACGAAGACCCAGAAATTATGGGAATTAATGGGAATTATGGATATTATGGATATTATGGGGTTTTTAAATCCGAACATCTTCCTTCGTAATAGCGGTGGCGTTTGAATACTAGTAGACCAGTAAGGACTTACTTTTCCCCCAGGGATTAAATTACGTGTAACTTTGCCTACGTATAAAGAAATCAGAATATGCATGTCCGATTTTTCCTTGATTTTGGTGGTAACCAAATTTCATTTGAACCTTTGCCAAGTCAATCTGAAATGAGAAAACTATCGCTCCACCGAGTGGAGAAATCCCTCTCGGATTTATGACGATATTCCCAACAATTGGTCAAGGCATCTCAGTTTCCGGACATACAAGCCACTTTTGGTTTCTGGTAGCCACAATGGCGGTGCATATCCGGAACTTCCTGGATCATTAGTAATTACAAAGGCTCAAACATTGCATCTCGGGTATATATTGACTATGGGGAAACCGGTCGATCATTTGGAAATCTTCAATTTGCCCAGGTCTCCTGCAAAATCTATCTCAAGAGTTGAGAGCTGGGAGGCTTCCTCACCTACTCAAGGGAATCTTCAGCCTGATTTTTGTTGAAGGCTCTAATTATTAATTCAAATCTGAATTCAAGTTGAACTTCATCTTTTGCGTTCTGGATTTTCCATGTTCTCTACTCTACTCGATATCATGGCCCGTCGTTTCCTTCAAGGGCAAAATGTCACCTTCGGGTTGAGTATGATTTTGTTCACCTTCATGTTCCTGCCCACCTTCTTAATCCTGACTGCTGTGGTCGTCTTCTTCCTACTTGCGTACCCTCGTCTACGAAAATCCATAGACGGCGAGCAAGGGGTTACGCCAAGAGAAGCGCAATTGGAGACTTGAAGAACCTGGACACGTCTGGTATGATATACTACATAACAACACTTTCAAGTGATGTGAACATTGCAGCTCAGACTGATTACGTTTGCGAGTAGGTTTGGATTTTTCCTTGCGTACCATACCATACACGGATGCGCGCTATAGGACACACGTCACGCATAATGAACATCAATTGATGAGTTTATAAGATCATCTTTGTGATTGGTCTCGAGTTTGTTTCTCTCAATATTTTTCTTTTCTCAAATGTTGTTATGTGATCTTTTTCATTGGATGTTTGTTCCACCTTGCCCAGGCGTATACCTGGAAACTGTCTATGATTTGCTGACTCCCTATGTCTGTGCTGAAATTGTGCTGAAATTGACAAAGGAACTGGTATGCCAGTTGACCATCTAATAATACAAGTCTAGTTATTCGTTTGTAAATGAAGGTTGCCTAACGCCAAGTCTAACTGGCTTTGGATTGCCCCCACTAGTGCCAAACTATAAGTACGAATGTGAGAACCTTGGGGACTATACGGTTTTATGAAGATTCGGGGAAACATCTATTCAAACATTCAGAAAACATTAGATATTGCAGAAATAGTTGCTTTGTGTATGAGGGTATTCAGCCCAATATTCAGTTCTGTGAATTATTCTATTTCCCTTCTCCCAAATAAATTGATTCATTTGTACTGGAAAAGCCCTGGAGACAAGCTTATCGGCAGGACGGCACCTGCTTCCGTCCTGTACCAAACAGCGCTCGGGGCCCTGATTTCTGTGTGTCTGCGTCTTCATTCCCTTGATTGGCCATGAAAATCCGCTCAAGTCCACTTTTTCTTTCTTGGCCTTCGGGTAGGGCTGAAGGGTTGGACTTGCCCGACATAGTTTGACAGGGGTCCTTCAGCCCGAGTCAACTGAAAATCTGCATTTCCCACTTTGTACCTGGGATACACACTCTGAATTCATGTAATTTGAGCCCAGCTCCCCATTGTATGATACACTGCATTTGCATCGAGCAAGAAAAAGCAGCCCTGGCAAACTTCACAAGCCAAATCCAACATATTGAAATGGGATGAACCACTCGATCGTTTTTGACCGATGAACAACATATTCGCGGGCTTCAGAATCCGCCTGTCGTGCATCGCCAATCCAATGCCCTCAGGCCAATCGCTATACTAGCATAAACCCAATCCTCCAGATGTCAACCACTACTCCTGTAGTCATGTCGACTCAGGCAAAACTCTCGGCGGAGTTGACCCTCCCAGCCCGCTTCAGCTTCTTCTCTTCGAAGACGCAGCAGACTGTCGTTTCGTCTTCTTGGGATGGTCTCTTCCCCAATGGCAATTCAGATGAGATCATTCAAGAGAAATTGAAAGCTAGACCCGAGCCTTCGCGCCCAGTGTGGTGGTTCGATATCCGCGACGCAACGACAGAAGACATCGACCTCGTCTCGCAGGAACTATCTATCCATCCACTCACGTCGGAGGATATCAAGCTTCGAGAGTCTCGGGAGAAGGTCGATATCTTCAAGAACTACTATCTGATATCGTTCGAGACTCTCGTCGAGCGTGCGGGTCCTATTGAAAATGACAGACCTGGTATTCCTTCTTCGGAGTCGGTGTATATGCTCATCTTTCAGTACGGGGTCATCACCTTCTCGCCGAGCGGATGCAACCATGTTTCCCGAGTACGCAACCGTATTCGGAAGATGCACGATGCTGAGCTGACTAGTGACTGGATCTGCTATGCTCTCATGTATGTTTTTGTTCCCTTAAGAATTTGATTGAGACTTGAAGAAATTGAAGGGCGAAGCGTTACACTGACTGATTTAATTATTCAGCGACGACATTATCGACAGTTTCCAACCCTTTGGCCATGCCGCCGCTGCCGAATCCGACGCAATCGAAGACCAAGTCTTTATCGCCCGCATCGACGACGTCCAACAGCTCATTCCGAGAATCGACGCGCTCCGCAAAAGAATCACCCACGTAGTGCGCTGTCTAAACGGAAAAGTCGACGTGTTGACCGCGTTCGTCAAGCGCTGCCATGCCGCTGATAAGGATCTCCCGGTCTTCCCGAATGGAGAACTCATCCTGTACCTCGGTGACGTGCAAGATCATCTTGTCACAACGCTTTTGACTCTATCTCACACCGATGAGATTATCGGGCGGGCGCAGGGAAATTGTCTTGCGCAATTAAGCGCTACGAACTTGCGTATTAGTTTGGCTGTTACTGCATTCATGGGCAAGGTTACACTCATGGCGACAATCTTTGTGCCATGTCATTTTGTCACTGGTTTATTCGGAATGAATGTGGTTGTTCCGGGGCAGAGCGCTGCTGGCTTGACATGGTTCTTTGGCATTGTGGGGTCTTTTGTGGGGTTTATGGTGATTTGTATTGCTGTTTCAGTCAAATATAAGCTTCTATAGACGATTGATTAGTCGATTCAAATGTTTATAGACACAACATTTGAAGTTGTTTCCCACCTAATCTATATGCCAGGGTACTTAAGGTTCACATGTGCATCAAACGAAGGAAGGCTATTCCTAAATTTTATTCGATTCATTACGCTGCAGGTATGCGCGGCAGCTAGGGAGGCTTATTTAGTATAGCCGAGGTCTATGATTCGTCCTCTCGACTGGGGTTATCCAGAAGTTGGGCAGATTCTGCGTATTGCTGCGTCTGCCTGATATGGAAATCAAAGCTGAGCTCCCCAACGAGTTTCCGCACGTCACTAGAATTCATCAGCAATATCCAAAAATCACAGATTCGGACAGGAAACTTACACAATCAAATCCTGCAAGCTGAAACTGACAACAGACCTCAGTACCTCCAGCGACACGAATGCCGAAAACGCCGGATCCCGTACGTGGCGAATACTCAGCAGCTCGTCGTCAATCTGATGCATCTGTCTTGCGAGCGGAAACGATTCTGGCGTAGAAAGGTACGGTGGTAAAGGCTGCGCATTCGCTATTGAAGCTGACAAATGACATAGCAAGGAGGTAATGCGATGGGAATTGAAATCCGTTGACTGTAATGCGATCTCCGCTAGTCGAGCTTTCCACTTGTCTCCATCGTCACTTTCTGGAGATTCGGGTTCAATGCCCAGCACTTCTAGGCTCTGTGTTGTATGTGCCATTAGCGACATGCTGGTTAGAATACGCTGGATCTCCGAAATGATGTTATCGTAAATTTCCTTTGGGAACTTGCCGCCGATAGGAGGCTCGTAGGTACTGAAGTGACTGTGCATACGGAGACCATTCAGGAGCATCATCTCTTCTTTGAATATTTTGTGTCGGGAGGTCAGGAGTTGGTGGGCTGGTGAGTTTTCATCCTTGATGTCCCCTAATTCGTTGCCAAGCCACAGCTCTATTGTTGTATGCATAGCGCTGTAGAACTTGGCAAGCACGAAAAGACTTTTGCCCAGGAGTTTGCGGAGTTGTGATTTTGCTGTTATTGGGTATGGGAAGATTACCCAGAAGAAGGAGATTGCGCATCCCGCTGCTACCGCGGCTAGTTTGTATGGGCCAAAGATGTAGATTGGGTAGTACGGTTGGCCATTTGATTCTGCTTCAGTGATTCCCAGTTTGCGAACCTGGATATTTTAGCAGTTATTGGGATCGGGGCTTCGGAAGAGACGAAGACATACCTGTAGCTCGTATCCGACAATCACATTCAAAGTGACAATTGCGATGATCGAGGCTCCAAAATACTGTGGTACTTTTATATAAAAGTAGTACTAATGCTTGTTAATACATGACCTTCACATCGGAAATTTGGGAAACATACCTCGAAGACGTTGGCAAGATACAGAAATACTATTACCCCAGCAGTCTTGCCATCAACGATGTACCAGACTATCAAACTCAGGGCAAGTGATATCGCCGTCGCTACTATTCGTGCAACGAATCCAAACATAGTCTGTCCACTGGTCGGGTTCATACCGATAACAATGACAATCATGGCCCAAATGCATCTTTGCCGAACAAACCAGTCTTGTGTTTGATGGAGGAATGCAAGGATAGCCACAGAGAATGAAGCGCAAGCCACACGGAAGCCGAAGGCGCTTTGCTCCGATTTGATGACATGGGAAATAGTGCGTAGAACGGTACTTCCTTTTTCCCAAATGTTCGCTGGTGGAAGATGTTCTGGATCAGGTAATCCAGTAAATACTGGAGCACGATGTATGTTCGAGGGGTCCACTTGGGATGACTGCCGACTATCTGATTGCTTAGTCTCCTTCTGGTCTGCACTGAGCGAGAGCCACTGGCGAATAGACTTCTGCTTGGGAAAGATCAATCGGGCGCGCTTCATTGTCCCATCAGCAACCTTGCTATCTGCGAACTTGACCAACTGCAGTGTGGCGTTAAGAAGATCATCTTGCAGATGTCCCATAAACAGGATCAAGAAGAATTCCTGCCTCACATCTGGGTCCGCGCCTAGTATCCCAGAAGGCACTCTAGTAGCAGCAGCAGCGGCGGCATCAATCTTTTCCGATGCAGAAAATGCCTCAAGAGATGCCAGCGCCTCCGGAAGATCTTTCCGACGAGAGTAATAACGATGCAGTTGTTGTTCAAAGCAGGAGGTGAAGTCTGGCTGGAGCGGGCTCAAAGTTTCACCCCTTGCTTCTTCGTCCCTGGCATGGGATCCACCACGGTGCGTCTTTTTTTGCTTGTCCAAATGCTTAGGTTTAATAAGCTCCAAGGCTAGCAAGAAATGGCTTAGTCCCTGCTTCACCAGGTACGAGGCATCCACCAGCCGCGCGTGGTTTGTCTCCACCACTTTCTGGATTTCAGATTGCTTCCGTGCCCCTTCGTCAGGATCATCACTGTCTTCCCGCGCGTCGTCATTTCCTTCATTCTTGATTATTGTCTCCAGGATCTCGGGCAACATCGACATTCCAGCCAGTGGAAGAAGAAGACTCCGGAAGAGAGAGACAATGCTGCTCAGATCGTCTGCTGACAGTTTACCCCATGCGATCTCATCTTTGGAATAGAAAAGATCAGCGTGCAGCTTAGTGTGTAAGCCATTGAGTTTAGTCATGGATGCCTGGAGCGCCTTTTGTTTAGACTGCAGATCTGCCTCACCCTCGCTCTGCATATCTCGAGTACTCATCGCGGTCCGTGCGCGGCGAAGCAGACCCCGCCGGCTGAAAAGTCCGGTCATGGAGCTGTCGTTCATGAATAGAATTTGAGATTGAAGAAGATCATCTACCGATGCGACATAGTCTTTCATGTCGTGAAACACATTGCCTCTGCTTGTTATGGGGACAATTAGCAGTGAGACACCGGTCGCAATGGCAAACCCAATCATGAACCCCTTCAGAAGTCGCGCAACAAACTCAAGACCTTCGGAAAGGGTTGTGAACATGCCTGCGCGGGTGATGGTGACCGAAGCAAAAATGGAAAACGCAACCATTGGATCCTGTAGCTCCATTGGTTTCAGCGCACGTAATGAATTTGCACCCCTAGACAAAATTCCAAAGTTTCAAGGTTAATCCATATTCAATATCCTGTTTTCTGGGTGAGCACTCTTACCAAATCATGAAGATCAGCCAGATCGCAGCCACGGCACAAGCGTCACTGTTGTATCCAGTACGCACACTTTCGCTGGCATCTGCAGGGGTATTGTGCTCCCTGGCCCGGACCGCACAGAATACAGCCAGGCAGCAGAGGGATGCTGATACGCATGCAGATAGTATGTCATAGAATATAATTTTCATAAACTTTGCTCGCGGCATCAAGGCCTGGGATAAAACCGATATCAAGGCTGACAGATAGCCAATAGTAGTGGTTATATCGGAGATTGCACTACTCTGGTATCTATTTGAATGTTAACGTAATGGCCCTTCCGGTTGAATATTTGTACTGGAACATACATGGCAATAGTGATAGTCGGCGCCAACGCGCCTTTCATCATCATGAGTACGGTCCGGGAGTCCAGCTCCAGCTTTGGCCACCATGATGTTGGATTGAGAAGACTTTTCAAGAATGTTTCGTATTAGCAAGATTCCATGACTAGGCATAAGCAATATGACATTTGTTTACCTGATGATCCCGGGCCGAGATGGCCTGGGTTCCTCCTGAGCCATGGTAGGCGGAGATCGCGCTTTGATCAAACAAACAAGTTATGATTCGCAAATTGACCTATACGGATCGAGAAACCAATGTAGTCAACACGAGTCAACAAATGATAATGCCGACCGTGTAAGAGATTTTTTCAACTCGGCATGGAGGCGTGACTGATGCAGATCGGCTTGCCGGCATTCGATCCGTGCCGAGCCAAGTGCCGATAGGGCTGTGGAGATAATGGAAATCTTGACTTATCAATCGCGAACCATCCACTTCGCAAGTACAAGGTCCAAATGGTGTTGATGAATCCCAAAGACGGTACCAGCCAGCGGCATTCGAGGTTAGAACAGAGTTCGGTCGTTCGTTCCGGTTGTCACGTGAATCTTCAGACTCTTGAACGCGTTCAAATCAATATTTGAAGCTAATGTTTGGAGATGTTTGTCAGAAACCAGAGGTGATTGGTTTGCTAGAAGCTCCATTCTTTTCAATCAAATCACGGTACAGAGAACTAGCTGAAAAATATGTGTGGTCATTCAATGTTATCGGGGTGTCGGTTGCACACCGTTCAATGTTGGCATGCGGAGTAGATCTTTCCCGCAACCCTCGCCGATGAGAGTTTCATTTTTTATCCACACGCAGATGTCAGAATTCACGGTATAAAATAACTGTAGGTTACTCGAATGCTACCCAGGTGATCAGTTCAAATTTGAAAATTGTCTACGCCTCCATGTGAATTAATTGTAAAGTAGTTTGTTATCCATGAGTAAATCTAAATCATTGAACATTGAAATATGTGTATGTAGTAGTATTAATATGTTCCAACCTACCAGATTACAACCTTATGGTCGGAGATATGTACTAGATCACACATGTGATAGGTATACCTGTATCTGAATGAAGACTGGGTTGTCTTTGACAATCCCTATCAATCCTCGTCAACAATACCACGGCGCATCAATGCCTAACCAAGTCGTCATGAGTCTTGAGACTCGGGGAGGCGATCTGGAAATAGTCAACGCCAAGCACATAGCCACAGTGGGGGCCTAAGCGTGGCTTGGCCTTCGGAGATGATGTCGCGGAATAGGAAGACTCCATTCACATCAAGTGTAATCTGGAAATTCGTATGTAGTTTGTTATCTCTGGGCAGCGGCGAATTACCTACTGCATCTGTCAACCTGTGACACTTTGGGGATATACTTAGCAAGTTTCCCGCATCAATAACGCACGCATGACATCATGTGGAGTACAAGGCGAGACTTGAATGGAACGAGTCCAACCGTTTCCTGTGGCTGCCCGCTAGCCCTGGCCTGGCTTTTCGTATCGAGGACTGTAAAAGTAAGCGATGCTAGAGCAAGTTCGGGCATCGTTGCGACGTGCTCGGACTTTCCACGTCCTTCTCGGGGGTTGAAATCGATCTCGGGCTAGGCCGGAGGATCTGCACCTTCTCCGAACCCGACGGTCGCGTTCGGACAAAGAAACGAGAATTTTTTTCTTGTTTGTTTGGGTGATTTTTGAAGTGACCAACCCGTAGAAGATCAGGGAAGTCAGTTCGTTCGTTTGGTACAGATCAGAGACAAAATCCGCAAGGTGAAGCAATTATTGAGTCCCAGACGGGTCGTCGATCTTGTGGATACGTTGCACCAATCAGAACGGATAACCAGGGGTCTGTCGGACATTGTCCATGGTGGATTCTGTTTGGAAATCCGAAATCCTCATAGGGAAAAATAAGGGAATGGAATCGGATTGGAAGTTGAACGCGTCATTATTCACTGGAACATTTTGCTTCTTGAATGGAAGTAGGGATACCCAATAACTCATGCGACAAAGGCTGACGAAGCCTACGAAGGAATGCAGCTGTCATTGCTCACATTCATGGATCGACGGAATTGCGTGGTACAACTGAACTGATCCCGAAATTCACAAGTTCATAAACCTGGAGAAGTTTCCATAATTCCATAAATCCATAATTGACTTATTCTGATCTTTTGTTCTGGTAAACTAGAATAGGATCCGCCAAGTCTTGCCAAGCTAGCGACACATAAGTTGGTTTCGCTTCCCCCCTAAATTCCACTTCTTACATTCCTTCTCTTCTCTTTCTCTTTTCATCTATCGGATAGTCTTCTAGACTTCTTCCACCCTCCACTTTTCTTGGCTTCGTCGCCTCACCTGAATCAGTCGCTGGTTCTAGAAATACATGCGTGAGTTCATGAGTTTTATGAGTTCATGCTTCCTATCTTATCTCAGTCTAAGCTAACCCCACTATGCATCAATGTAGACCGGATTAACTCGTGGGCGAAAGCTCACGCCTCTTCACGCGGCGATCAATCCGTCCAACCTCAAGCTCCAGCTCAAGCTCAAACCTCCGGTCCTACTCCTATACCGGAAGCATCTCAAGATGTACAAGTGAATCATACCCCAGAGGCCCCGACAACCGAGTCGGGGCCCGACGAAAAGAACTCCCAACCCGGTCTGCTCCTTCGCATGCGAAATGGTAGCGGCCGGTTCTACACCCACACCAAGGATGCCCTCTTCCACAGTTGGGTCAATGTCCTACTGGTCTTTGTGCCAGTAGGTATCGCCGCCAAGGCGGCTGGCCTGAGCCCGGACATCGTCTTCGCGATGAACGCGGTGGCCATCATCCCCTTGGCAGGACTACTGAGCCACGCGACAGAGAGCGTGGCCAGCCGCCTGGGTGACACAATCGGTGCTCTCATCAACGTCACCTTTGGTAACGCAGTAGAGCTTATCATCTTCATCATCGCTTTGGTGAAGAATGAAATTCGCATTGTGCAAGCTTCCCTGCTTGGTTCCATCTTGGCAAATCTGTTGCTCATTCTGGGCATGGCATTCCTCCTTGGTGGTCTCCGCTTCCAGGAACAAATCTACAACAGCACCGTCACCCAGATGAGCGCGTGTCTGCTCAGTCTGAGCGTGACCAGTCTGCTGCTCCCAACGGCCTTCCATGCTTCTTTCTCGGACACTACCGATGCAGACAGACAGACATTGAAGGTCAGCCGTGGAACCAGTGTCGTTCTTCTGTTGGTATACATTTTGTATATTCTTTTCCAACTCAAGTCCCACTCGTACCTGTACGCCAGTATTCCTCAGCGCATTATCGATGAGGAATCGCACCCCGGTGTTCTTGCCGAGTTCTTGAATAGCTCCTCCGACTCATCTTCTAGTTCAAGCGATGACTCTGTCGATACTACTACTTCGTGGACCACCGCCAAACGCATCAAGCGGGCAATGAAGCACCGCAGACGCAGAAAGTCTAGCACCAGCTCCAAGGGCACAAGCCAATCTGTTCAAAAGAAGGTCATGGTCAATGAGAACCAGAGCTCTCTAGGAAATTCCATCATCAGCAACAATGGCAGCACCTCAAATGCCGTTGACATGGAAGAGGCCCGCTACGACGCCGACGACGACGCCAACCCCCGCTCTCGTGATTTCGGTCTCCCCACCACCCGCGTTGAGAGTGCCCACGAAAGCGACAAGGCTCGGAAGAAGGAACGCAAGAAGCGCCGCTCCAAGCGATCTGAGAAGAAACAGCCTCAGGTCGAGCTCCCTACGGATGACGAGGCTCAAGCCCAGACTCAGTCCGACGACTGGCACCCGGGTATGAAGGGATTCGCATCTGCTCCCAACTTCGCTGGCATGGAGGGCGCGGGAGACAACGATAATTCTCGAAAGCGCTCGCCGTTCGGCCCCATTCCCTCCCTGCTGTCTAATACCGTATTCAGCTCGCAGTCTCCTAGCAACTCGCCTCGTATCGGTGATTTGTCGCACCCGGGGATCAAGCGTAGCAACTCTTTACCTGCCCACATGAATGCTACCGTTCGTGCTGGCAATGCTGTGCAATTTGCCCGCGGTGGTGCCCGTGTCCCTGCGCCCACTGACGTTGTCATTGATACCCCTCAAGAGGCAGAGCCGGCCATGTCTCGTACTGCGGCTGTGGTCCTGCTCCTGATCTCCACTGCCCTTGTAGCCGTCTGCGCCGAGTTCCTTGTCGATGCCATTCCCGACATGATTGAAAACTCGAATGTCAGCGAAGCGTTCATCGGTTTGATTATCTTGCCCATCGTGGGTAATGCCGCTGAGCACGTTACTGCTGTCAGTGTTGCCACCAAGAACAAGATGGATCTGGCTATTGGTGTATCTGTCGGTAGTAGTATCCAGATTGCCATCTTTGTCACCCCTCTTGTTGTCATTTTGGGATGGTGTATGGACAAGGACATGTCCCTCTACTTCACTCTGTTCGAGACCGTCTGTCTGTTTGTGACTGCTTTTGTGGTAAACTTCTTGGTTCTGGACGGCAGAAGTAACTACTTGGAAGGTGCACTGCTTATAGCAGCGTATGTGATCATTGCGTAAGTTCTCCTCTCCCCGCAGCTGGTTCCACAACAGAGTCCATCTAACCTTGTTTATTTTAGTCTTGCATCCTTCTTTTACCCGGACAGTCAGCAAGCTAGTAACCTAGCCGGGTCTGAAGGTTAATTCAATACTCTGCCGGCTGTACCTGAGCGATTTTCACCAATCGCTTAAAGTCAGATTAAGCCGGTTAAGCTATAGCCTACGCGCTATTTGGCTGAGGATCACATCATCCTCAACTCACTTTTTTTTTTTCATTTCTATGTAGCCAGTTACAGATTGGATATTAGTTTGATCCGCATGCCAATATGATTATTTAGGATCAGGGTGTTACTCTCTTTGACCCCTGAATCCCAACGAGATGCCCCACTTGCAATTTTTCCATTACTTGTACGGAGGAAGAGTACGGATTCGGCGTAATATTATGGATGCATCCTTGGCATGAAACGCCCCCTATAATCTAGGTACCACCCCAATGTAGCAGAACATCCCACGAGATGTATACGCTTGTGTCACAACAAGTGGCTGTGTTGCTACAGTACATAGCTGAGCCACAGTGGCTCAGCACGCGGCTGGACATTCGATTCTTTACCAAAGACTTCTCAAATGTTCCTATTTTCAGCCCCACCTAGAAGAGGGGTTGAGTGGTTTACTAGGTATCCTGCATGCAACACTTTCTCTGAACTTGGCGCAGAACGAATTACTCAATTGATTTCAAGTGCCATAAAGTACCTACGGAGTACTTTGCACGGAGTTCTCCGTGAAACTACGCATTGTTTGTTTGTGAAATAGGGGGTCACCTCGGGCCATGGCGAGTCCAAAGCATGTGGAGCCGTGGATCCAGTGGAAGAACAATCTTCTTGTTCTTTCTAAAGTTAGGTTTATTCGGGGTTAGTTACTTTGTTAGATCTTAGTCTGTAGCTTTCAGGATGTCCTATCATTTCTCGGTTTCGCACGATGCAACCGCCGGTCTTACGGTGACACGGCGTTCGCCTGCTGACTGCCATATGTCTTTCTGTATTAGATGCAATGAGTAAAGGAAATGTCAGTGCCGATGACCATCGCGCTGATCTGTTGCCCAATCGCGACACTTCTTGTGATCAGCTCCGTTTCAGGGTTTCAGGGGCTACAAGTCGCTTGGCTCTCAGCCTCTGATAAGTACTACTTTACTCCATTCTGTAGGGGAAAGGGAAAGTACTTGGCGTGAAAATCGCATCTGCCTAGTCGAACGCGGACCGGGCCATGTGCATTTCCGTAAGCGCCACGATAATAGGGAACGGGGTCAGTAGGGAACAATGATAGGTCATTGGTGACGAGTTGACGAGTGATAGGTGACAAGTCAAAAAAGCTCCGCAACGAATTGTGGAGACAACGTGAGGGTTTTCTGTGGAGGTTTCGGTTCTACGCGGATCTTGCCTTTAGGACAACTAAGTCATACTGTACTAGTCACTCGTTTGTTGACTAGTCAACATAATTAATAAAGTAAAGTAATCACTCTAATCTTTCCCTTGTATAATAATTCTACTTCCTTCTCTCTTTCCTTCTTCTCTCTCTTTCCCCTCTCAACCTTTCCCCTCCCTCTTCTCCCCCCACATATCACTCAGTACACCACCATCATGGCGTACTACGGCGGTGACCCCTACGCCCGCCCTCCTTCAGACAGACCTCCATACGACCGCCCTCCATACCAACAGTCTCCTTACGACCGTCCACCATACGATCGCGGCCCATACAGCGGCGGTCCCCCTCAAGGCGCTCGTCCCCCTCCTGGCCCCCCGCCTCCCCTCCCCCCAGGATGGCACCAAGAATGGGAGCCTAATACCCGTCGCGCATTCTGGGTTGAAGACCAGACTGGTCGTGCCCAGTGGGAACCCCCATATGGCCCCGGTCCTGACTACGGTCCTCGCGGTGGCCCCCCACCTGAGCCTTACTACCCTCCTCAGGGTCCTCCTCCCGGCGCTTACGATCAGCGTGGTCCCGGCGGCTACGATTACCCTCCCCAGCAGCAACAGCAGCAGGAACCCCAGAAGAGCAACACTGGAAAGTACATTGCGGCTGGTCTTGCAGGTGTGGCTCTTGGTGGACTTGGTGGCGCTTTCATTGAGCATGAGATTGGTATGTTTTGATTTTGACAGCGATTGATGTACACTGTAGAGTATGCTGACTTTTGCGCTTTTTCTTTAACAGATGAAAACAACGAGGAGGACGATGAGCGCCGCGCTTACGAAGATGGTCGCGAGGACCAGGCTTTTGACGACTGGTGATTGTGACACCAATTCGATGCGCGGGGTGATGGGAATTTTCAGGTCCTTCCAAAGCAACGTTTTTCTTCGAGGTTCATTTCATGGTCTTTTCGACTCGGGATTCGGCATGGATTTTTAGCGCTTGTTTTACTTTTTTTATCGCATCTTCTTCGGTTTTCAAGCTGAAAGCTCGATTATGTTGGAACATTCATTGCTTCATAGCCCATTTATATCCCCCTTTTTTTAATGGTTCATCTCGCAGTCTAGGTTCCATGAATTTCAGTTTCATCGCTCAACGCGATCAACAGTGAACACTCAACTTTCCAATCAATTACAATCTCGGTTCTTGATTCAACTGATGCAATTTAACCAGCCTCTACTTATTACATACTAGTGTCACAGAGTCATGACCTCTTCCAACACAAGATCTCTCCATGCATCAACCCAAACCACCCATCAACCTCCTCTACAAATTCCTTCCACCCATTCGCGATCTTTTCCAACTCCTCCACACTCGCAAACCCTTCTTCAACAGCGCTCCGACTGAATCCCGAGCTGCGCGCCCGCTCTTCCATTGATCCACCCCAATAATTCCTCTCCGCAGGCGTACTAAACAACCACGTCCCCGCACTCCGTTGCACATCCTCAAGCTCAAATCCACCCCGTCCAGCCCAAACATGAATCATCGAACCAGGATGAGGATTCCCACCCTTCGCCCGTCCCATCTTCTCCGTAACCTCTTTCCAAAGCTCTATCCCCTCATTAGCCGGATACCACGTCATCCCAGCCGATTCCCGACAAGAAACAACCCCGCCAACCTTGACTACTCTCCTCATTTCCCGTAGCGCAAGCACTGGATCCGCAATATGTTGCAGAACCTGATGTGCATGTACGATATCGAAACTCGAGTCTTCAAAGGGGAGGGCGTGGATATCGCCCACTTGGAACGTGATATTGGATACCCCCGCCTCGGTCGCGAGTTTTCGGGCACCCTCAAGCGGGTCCGAGACGTATTCCACTCCTGTGACGTGGCCGGCTGGCACTAGTTTTGCGAGGTCGATGCTGATACTCCCCGGGCCGCAGCCTACGTCGAGGATTGTCATGTTTGGTTTAATGTGGGGGAGGAGATGTGGGGCTGAGTTTTTGGCTGTGCGCCAGCTGTGGGTGCTCAGGACGGAGCTGGAGTGGTCTGTGGTGTAGACTGGCATTTTCGGTTGGATATAGTGATTACGTAGACTGAATTCACGGGTGTTGGATAAGATTTGTTCAGCTGGTTGTGGATTTGTGTTGTTTGGAGGTTCTTATACGGAGATGTACAACTGGAGGTTGGAGATCGACCCGCTTTAGACCTCGGGAGTCTCACTTGCCACTTCCTTTAAAGGCTGACCTGCCCGCATATCAGTTAGTGTCTTCCCCGGCCTATATTACAACCGAATGTATCTCTTTCTCGCAAACCCAACTTTTGAAGGCCTTGATGCTCCGGGGAAGACACTCGCGGCGACGGGCGTGCTTAGCGGCAGCCTCTTCATCTTCAACAAATTGTTTGACGATGGCTGCGCGCGGGTTGCGAGCGAGTTCCATTCACTACTCGTGCTTATGTTGTCTGCCGATTTGATTACTATTATTTTCGCTATTCAGGAGAATACCCAGAGTCAAAGTGTTTACCGCTAGTGAGCCAGGGACAGACACGCCAAGAGAAAAACAGAAGGACAGGCAAGATGGTGGCAAGAATCTCTTTTAGGGGTCGAGTTTGTTGACCCGGGGCATACACAGTTAGCGGGGTTGGCAGCATTCGCAGCGGCATTGGTAATAAATCGTGCCAACAAGCTGGCCACCTGTGCACCAAGCTGGCTGCTAAGCTGCACTAAAGAAGAGGTAAAGTTGTTACGGGGGAGCATAGAGCCAGACATAGTGCGACGAAGACATTGATGTCCACGATCGACAGCACTTGAGGGTTGAGACGATGTAAACTACCTCCAAGGACACAATATCTTGTGAGTGTGCACCGAAACACACGGAACCCCATACATATGCCCATACGATGACTTGGAAAGTTTATCGAACACTGCAGAATTCGGGTGGATTTATCGAATTTCTTTCAATTTAGTCTATTGTGAGATATTTAGTGGGCTGTTGCCAGGGCCGCCCACACTCAAGTACTCATTCTATCCCAACATTGAAACGTACATAGCAATGATGCCCGATCAACACCGGTATAGCACACAAAAACCTGTACAACAGCTACTACTAGGTATGCCTCAAAAACCGACAACTTTGTGAAGCCCGTGCATTACTTTTCCAGCATGGTTTTCAATACGTCCTCAGGTGAGCGTTTTGGCGCAGCAAGCTCCAATACCTCCGCACTGGTTGTAGAAGCCGAGCATTTCCCTTCCCATGCCGTCTCTGCGGCATGTTTGATAGAAAATATAACGTTCTTGGACTGAGAAGTCGCAGCATAATTGAACTCGTAGAGTGAGTCAAGGAAGGAGAGGTCTTTGTAGATGACCTGCTCAACATTTGTGCCGATATAGCGCTCCACCATATCCACAACCTGCTTCCCAGTGATGTCTTCAGGACCGTTCACCACATATTTCGCCTTGTTGTGTGGGGTAGGGTCTTGTTTAGACAGAAGATGAGCTGCGAGGATACCAACTTCGTCCGGATCGACGATGCCAACAGGCGCATCCTCGGACGCCATCAGTCGAAGCGTGTTCTGCTTCCCGGTTTTGCGGTACTCTTTGATAAGTTCTACCGCGTTGGACAGGTAGATGGGGGAGAATACGTTCGGCTGAAGAGAAGTCCATTGCAGACTGGCAAACTCTGGGGAGTCCAGAAGAGCCTCGATTGCCCAGTGGGAGCGTGGGTAGTAAGCCTTGCTGTCTGGTCGGACATTGGCAGCGGTGGTTGAAATCCGCACCACATATTTGACACCCGCGTTCAGAGCAGCAATGTAGAATGTAGATTCATCGGCGAATTGGGTCGGTTCGTTGTGCGATGCAACAAACGCCCTGACGACTTGATGCTCATGAAGCCATTCAGGAGTGATTTCAATCCAGTTTTGCTCTACCACTTCGACTCCGGGCAATGTGGCAAGCTGTTGTGCCTCCGGGCTCTTTGAGGACCGAGTAAGAGCAATAATGCGATGCTCAGACAAAGTGGTGCTGGATTGAAGCAGCCTTGAGAGTGTTTCAGTAACACTTCGGCCAGTGTTACCAGTGGCACCGACGATAAGGATTGTTGGGGCCATGTTGATATAAGACGATCTAATTCAAAGATGTTGTGTAATTGTTTTTTTTTTCTTCATGGTAGCAGTGATTTTGGGGGATTTATACCCTTGTATAGGATCAGATTTAAAATCATGGTGGGGATAAATTGGAAATCAAATGGAAATTACTAAACATTCTTGACTCTTGAGTTCTGTTCCCGGCATCCCACCATTCATTGAGGGCGGTGGGCGGCCTGAGATAATATGACGCGTGAATCGGCGCGATCACTAATTAGCACTAATCCCGATTCCCACACCTTCATCTGCAACTCACGTCTTAAATTTCCGAATAGATATCAAAACGCACTAATTACGCTGAATCATTTCAAATTCCCATGGAAATCCTAGACAAGGAAGCAAATCCTAAGGACGCATTCAAATGTCAATTTTCTGGCTGCAACGCGAGCTATCGGCGCAAAGAGCACTTGAATCGCCATGAAACAAAACACACCCAGCAAAAAAGCTTTCCATGTTCCAACTGTGATCGTACATTTGGACGAAGGTACCCAGATGCTTCTTTGCGTGCTGTTTGCTTGCTGTTTGCTTGCTTTCCCAGCCTAACCATAAAATATTGATCCTAGTGACACACTAAGACGGCATCTGCAACGGAACCACCAAATAACTGAGCCGCTTAAACGTGCATCCCGAGCTTGCGAGAATTGTCACGCAGCAAAGGCTCGGTGCCAAGGAGGTGTGCCATGCGATGAGTGCGTGCGTCGCAAGTTCAAATGCTCCTTTGATAAAGATAATAGATCGGAAGAAAGGGGGCATTCCGAGTCTTCAACAGGCCCTCCATCTAGCCCAAGAAATGAACACCCCCCTCTTGACCATTCAGATAAGCAGGCGGAGTATATCCGTCTTTACTTTCAATTATTTCATCCTCATTGGTCATTTGTGCATAAAGGCTCCTTTGACATGAAACATGAAACACCCTTACTCGTTCAGTCCATGGTTGTTCTAGGCATGTGGGCCAGCGGGGAACAGTCGGCACAATTGGCAGCAGTGGAACTACATAATACACTTCGCCTGGCTGTTCGAGATCAAACTGTGAGTGATTACATTGTGGAACTGCAATACACCCGAAGCGCTGTACTGACATGTCACATCCAGGAAAAATGGGATGCCTCCGAAGCAGATCGAGCCACCAGTGCATGCACCTGGCCATTACCGACATACCAAGCCATATTATTACACATTATTTTCTCCTTCATTGGCAGAGCCCCAGGGAGCCTCAATCTCGATCTGGGGATTTCTCTTCCTGCCGAAGACCTTGGGCTACTCCAAGCACTTGTCCGAAGCTGTCGCAGGCTGGGGATGTTTAATTACCTAAACATTCTTGCGAGATTTCGGGATTCAAATGTGCCCTCGTTCATATGGGTGAGTATTGAGGAGATCAAGCGATTCAATTTAGCCTTGTACAAGGTTTGTGGTAAAGTAAGCAGCTTCAGCATAACAGATGGACGCGTTGCAGACAACGCTGGACAAAGAGACTTACTAGCCGCAAGCGAGCTTCAGTTTCCCATGCCTAGTAACTGTGCTTTGTGGAATTCTGCTGGCAAAGATGAATGGATGATTCATATCAAGGACACGAAGCCGGTTTCTTTAGACGATGATTGCCAGGCAGACTGGATCTCCAATTTCGCAATGACATTAGAGCTCCTTAATATATGAATGCCTTGGCAAACAAGAAAATTTTATCCGGAGACATGTAATTCTCTAAATTATGACCAGAAGCAGAAACTAGTACTTGGAAGTATTGCAATTGGCGCTATCAATTGATGTAAAATTATCCATCTCATGCTTTCAATCTTCGTACATACTCCCTTTAACTTTTTACTATAAACTCCGTGGCCTACAAAACTTGTGGTAGGATAAGAAATTCAATTTATAAATATCAAAGGTGGTGATAGTCCGTATATAACCATCTTCCCAAATGTCGCATAGATACAGATCAAGATTCTCAAGTGCAATCAACGAAATCGTCTCCAGAAGCGCCAGTGTGGGTGATGACACCGGCAAGCTCTCCAGAGCCATTGAAGATGACACGGTCAGCGCCGGGGGATCCACCAGTGTAAACAGATCCAGAGCTCAGGATGGGGAACTCGTAGTAAGTGCCGGACACAGGGAAAGTGAAACCCTCGTAATCGTGGTAAACGTGGGGGTAATCGTCATCGGTCTTGCCAGCCTTCTCAAGCTTGTAGCCAGCAGCTTGGGCGGCGCTGACAGCAGTGCTGGTGTAGCAGTTGGAGCCACAGGTGTAGGCACAGGCACGAGTGACCTTCTCGAGGGGAGCGGCGAGTGCGCTGGTCATGAAGACAGCGAGAGCAAGGACCTGTTATTGGTTAGCATCAAATGTCGGGTATATAGGTATAGATATGGGATATGGGTACAGTACCTTGGCGTACTGCATGTTGGCGATAGGAGGATTGAAATGGATTGTGAACTGGGAATTTGCTTTGACTCTGGATTTGTGTCAAGAATTGCGGGATTGTAAAGGGTTTAAATAGACAAGACTTACCTACCACATGCAGTATTCAATCGCAAATTCAGCATTCATGATCATGTTGACCCCTCTCAGCTTTGAACAATGTTACATTTGTCCATCATCAATAGTGCAATTTCATTGGTACACACTAATGCAGGGTCGAAAGTATACAATCAAATCCAGCTAAACCACAAAGGGAATGTCAACCGATCTGCAGGGTGCAATCTTCAACGGGAGCGGGGGAGATAGACGGGTCTTGTTGTTGATTAGGACATCGTGAAAGATCGACTGGTGTTCGCCTTATCAGAGGCTGATCGACCGGGTTTGGCGCCGTGCAGAAGACCCTTGGCGGAAAGTGGATGCTACCGGGCGTGAGGCCAATCGGGCCTGGTTGTGGGGGCACGATGAGACCTATTAACTGTCGGTTGATGTAAACAATAGTGCCAAGCCTGCAAAGCCTGCAAAGCGAGATTGTATTCTTTGCACATGTCCTTCTCCTAGCCCATTTCACTTGTAACTTGTTGGTTTGAACGGGCAATCATGTGCATCCGTATATTGCATTGGCTTTGGCATTGCCAAAGAGTTGGTTGCTTGCTTTTTTCTTCAGGACGGGTCCCCGACGGAGTCCGTGCCGCTGTTTGAATTTATGCAGAAGTAATTTCAAGAATCTTGCCAATATTCGCGCTAGAAAAAGGAAGCTTCCATTTGAAACAAGGTACCTTGAGCTCAGTAGCATACTAGTATAGTAATAGTCCATTCAATGTCATGCACATGCACATTGCCTCGGCGGTGCTTTACCCAATGACAACTGAATAGAGCTTCCACCACCAACCTCGCTCCTTGTCAACTTCCTCTTCCTCATTTGCAAATTCTCTCCGGCCACTCCATATATCCATATCCTCTAATCTAACCCATTTTGTCTTGTTCCATACCTTGTAGGCAACAAAAAATAGGACGAACACGGGTAACAGAATATAGTTGATCACAAAGTCCGATGCGCTAAATGGATTCAGGAAACACGTGTATCCCTGGAAGAATACAAGAAAAATGTTCGCTGCGAGAGCGATGTAAGTGCCGTAAGGGTAAAACACGGCCTGGTAGGGCAGCTTGGATGGGTCTTCGCCCTGCGCGACTAATGCACGACGGAAGCGAATATGGCATATGCCAATGACGGACCAGACGATGAATGTAGCAACTGGAGCCGAAGTTAGCATACTTGGCATTCGGATTAAGACGGACACACATACCTCCAGACAAGGTAATAAGGGCCGAGTAGACCGTTCCAGCGCTAGACGATTGCTCCAAGAACACGATGCAGGCGAAGACATTGGTCATGACTAGTCCAATCCAAGGCACACCCGCACGATTAGTGCGCCCGATGAATTTGGGGGCTTTTCTGTTCCTAGACATGAAAAGCAATGTTCTTGAGGCCACATATAAGGAGCTGTTTCCAGCAGATATGAAACTAATAACGATTAAAGCGTTGATGAGGTGCGCAGCTGGGAGAATGCCGGCATCTGTCAAGGCAATTGTCAAGGGTGAGCTCGCCGTTTTCGAACTTGACCCTAAGAGTTGCTTATCATTCCATGGAATGAGAATTCCAATGAAGAATATTGTGCCTGGATATGTAAGTAGAGGGAGCGAGAATATGAATCAGTGATTGCTTACCGACGTAAAAGATTAAAATCCGCCAAAAGACCTGCTTGATGGCTCGTGGGACTGCCTTGCGAGGATTCGATGATTCTCCAGCGGTTATACCGACCCTAAATGACGTTAGTCACAGCCAATATGAATGATCATCTATACATACATCTCTGTTCCTGCATATAGAGTCCCTGCCACAACAAACGTCTTGGCCACACCATTTATACCATCTGCAAACGCCCCCGGATGGTGCCAATATTTGAATCCAATGGTTTGTGGCCCAATCGCACCAGCACTGATACAAATAGCCAGGATGAAAAACACGATAAGAGCCAAAACTTTGATTCTGAATGGTGTCAGTGATGTCCTTGCAATATCGGAATCATTAGAGCGCACATGGAAAGCCAAAACTCCATTTCTCCGTAAGCCAAAATACCCAGATTGGACAATGTCAAGAATAGGAACCAGAATATGAGGATCCAGCCCCATTGTGGTACTGCACTCGTCCAGTATTCGATAACGAGAGAAATTGAGTTATACTCATTTGCAAGAACCTATACCCTAATGCTTAGTAGATATTCTTAATTTTAGGCAGAGATTATTGCTCACAGTAACCCATAGATACCAATATGCCCATCCCAGTGCGAATGCCAACGCATCGTCGATGAAACGTTCAGCGTACTCGATGAATGAGCCAGTGACAGGAATAACAGTCGCCATCTCTCCCAGTGATTGCCTGGAGATATCAGAGATTATGCAAATATCCTAACAGTCATCATACTCACATTACGAAAAACACAATAATTCCAACCAAGGAAAAGCTAATCAGCGAGCCCGCAGGACCACCCTCGTGTAACGCATTTCCAGAGCTGACGAGTAATCCAGGTCCGATTATTCCTAGCATTATAATCAGTCTTCATCATTCTTCACTTTAAAAATGCGGCATATCTACCCCCAATAGCAATCATTTGCAAGTGCCGCGATTTAAGCTGCCGTTTTAATGGCGCCGCAAATGGGTCCGAAACAGCCTCTTCGTCACGCTCGGACTCCCCACCAGACTTCATACTTGTGTTATCTCCGCCATCCGTGGCGGGCGCCCGATAGGTTTTGGCATTGAAGTCACTCTTACTAGCCATGAGCGAAGGGCCGTATCTCTTCTCAATCGGATGATTGAAAAGATAGCGGAGGGCCACAAGTCACGTTCCAGCTGACGGGAATTGACCCGGAATTTGCGGTCACGCTTTTTGCCCCTTTCTGCACGCCATTGTGGGGGACAGGCGAACCTGTGAAGGGAATTTTCCGGGCTGCGTTCATTTGTGCCCGATGTCGTGATATGACCCGGTCGGCGGGACTTTAGCGGAGACCTCAGGGTATTGGGTTAAGATTGGCATTGGCGATGGTGGCGATGAGCGAGTTGACGAATTTTATGATGAGTGTTAGGAGGGGTTTTTTTTTGTTGCTTTTTTTTTGCACGTAGTTTTGGAGGATATGGCATGGAGCTCACATGCACTATTTAACACACATTTTGTCACCCAGAGTTATTATTTTTTTGGCATTCCAATTCAAGCATCAAGACTCAAGAGTTTGCGGAATTGTGGATACAAGATCTGACCCGAGCGTTGGAGTGGATCTGGTTCCTGGGATTGACGCCACTAAGCCATAAAGCGATTTGATTTGCTTGGTCCGGACTTACAGTTGCGTTAAATTTGAGTACAGTGACAGGCCCACAAGGTTAACATGGATAGGAATAGCAGATCTTTCAATGGGAAGAAGGTGGATGTATTGTACTAGTGCGGCGTGCCTATTAGTTGTTAGTAAACTCGTGGGGGAAGTAGAAACAAGAAGTTTAAAGAGTCGCGAATGAGTCACTTTGAATGAAGCCTGTGCCACTGGGGTTCTTCAGTAGTGCGAGGGGGGTTTTTGAGATTTTGGGTGTAAATTGTGCCCATGGACGCGTATCAAAAAAGAAACAAGAGAAATAAACAAGGGTACTCAGACAGTTTAAGTGGTTGCACTTTATCATCACGAGTTCCCATAGCTGGTACAGATGGCCAGAATGTGTCATCACGGTGTACCCTTGTTTATCCTGCGTGATGGGGGAGTTTTATCGGACGTGGGATATCATGCAAGAGAATAGGAAACGGCAACTTGCCAGGTTGAAGAGAGATTGATGAGTAGGGGCACGACGGGGAGACTAGCAGAGTGTAGATTGTCACTCACTGCAGGCTTGAGACCTTGCGAGAGGGTAAATTCCAGAGATCTAAACACTTCACCTCGAAGCTCATGTATCTCACGAAGCTCCTTCGATGGAGTCTCCTTCGACTGCTTGTCGGGGTGATTGCCAAAAATCAATCCAGACACATTTGTATCCTTGTTGAACTTGTCGAAAGTATTCCTGGCATGTTTCAACGACGAAATTGGGTCTTGGTGGTGTCGGGAAAGTGTGATAACATGCGAATTGGCAAGGTGATCTTGTAGGACACGGAAGTCTTCAGTTGCCTTTCAATGGCCGGTATCTGTAAAAAGAGAAATTTCATGTCAGTTTTTGGTCCACATAGCCATCCTTGAACTGTATTCGAATGCACAACCCATTTTCCGGTCAAGGATCCTTGTTATATTGGCACATGGAAGAAATAAGCTCATATGTTGCAGCCATTCAATTTTCAATGCCAAAGGACCTTTCTGAACTCATCTACCGTCTATCTTTCATTTTAAAACACGCCTAATCAACATATGTACACATGCATCCATCGATTGATGGATATACTTTGAATATTTACCTGAAGGACTTTAAACAGCGGATCTGCCAACCACTGTGTGCTCCTTATGTACTAAAATGCAGAATCTACTACTCATGTATACATTTGAATGATCCACATAGCATTATATAGGGGTATCTAACGATCAACTGATAGATCTCACATCTTGGGAGTCAACAGAATCCGAGGTCACGTAAGACTTTATGTTCATATAATAATATTTATGTGCCCGATCACTCTTCATTTTCCTCATTCTCCTCGCTTGGAAGCTGCTTTGGAAACCAGCCATAGCTTGAGAAATCAACATGTAGCTCATTCATGCTGTCAGAGGTCACCGCAACGCCTTCTTCGCGCAAAGCTTCTGCTTGGCGTTCTGCACTTCCAGGACCTCTGTAAGGATAGATGGTGGTTAGTAAGAAGCTGGGTAATGTATGGACCAACATCGGAATACATGTAAGAGCCTCATTCTCTGAGAATGGAAAGTGAGGAATGGACTCCAGGCTGCAGGACTGGTACATACCGGTGAGAAATCATTCCTTTGGAATTAATGACGCGGTGCCAAGGTACAGTCCTCGCGTTGAAATGCAGATCAGAATCCGCTGAAGGTAGAGACTTGAGACACACTCCAACCTGGCGTGGTCTTTGAGCTAAGCGTCGTCAGGTGTTGGGTTAGTCAATTTTGTAAAATCATTCAAGTGTTGACTCATGATATATCTTACGTTCACCCAGAAGTAGGGCGATATGGCCATAAGAAGTGACTTTGCCGCGAGGGATTTCCTGGATGGCCGAGTAGACGGCATTCGCCCACCACTCAGCTTCTTCCGATCGAGGCATATTGGAATTACCAGATGATACTATAGTGAGGTTCACATGAAATGATTGGTTCTTGGTCAACAAGTTGAGGAATCACGAATACGAGCGGAGTGTACAAACCTCGGGCCAACATTATTCCAGCTATCGATAAGCGGTAAATCACTGCCGCGACCAAAGCTACAGGACGTGCGCAGAATCACTTCGACGAGTCTTCAATTTACACCACTCGCCAAAATGCCCGGCTCACTGGCAGACTATCTTGCCAAAAACTACCTCAACGCTGACCCGGCGCCTGAACGCCCCAAGAAAAAACGCAAGAAGGCCAAGACAACCGACACCGCAGGCTCCGGCCTTCTCATCGCCGACGATGACCCACCAGATCTCCGACACACCAACACAAACCTCGATAACGATGACGAAGACAGCCCCTTTGTTGATACCTCAGCGCAAAGTACCGAGTTCCGTCGAGTCAAGCAATCGGGATGGAAAACTGTCGGTGGACCAGCGGGTAATGAACAGGCAGAGGCCGACGCAATCCTGGCCTCGGCCGCAGCTGAGCGCGCAGCACAACGAGCCGACGATGATGACGCTCCGATGATTGAAGGAACAGAAGAGGAGGGACCTCGCATGGAGTCCGGCGCATTGGCAGGTCTCCAGACAGCGGCACAGACAGCAGCGATGGTGAAAGTACAAGAACGTCGGCGCAAGGCTGAGGCGGCATTATTCAAAGACCCAGCGGCGACAAACGAAAAGGAGCAAGAAACCATTTACCGTGACGCATCCGGACGAATTATCAATGTGGCGATGAAGCGGGCGGAAGCTCGACGCGCCGAAGAAGAAAAGCGCGTCAAGGAGGAACAAGCGAAGGAGGCGCTCATGGGCGATGTGCAACGTCAGCAGCGGGAGGAACGGCGACAAGAACTACAAGAGATCAAATCTATGCCCGTTGCGCGCACGATCGACGATGAAGCTTTGAATGACGAGCTACGAGAACGTGACCGGTGGAATGATCCTGCTGCTCAGTTCTTGACACAAAAGAAGGGGCCCGGTGCTAGTGCTACGGGGAAGCCAATCTATAAAGGCTCATTTCAACCCAATCGGTATGGCATTCGGCCTGGACATCGGTGGGATGGAGTTGATCGGGGCAATGGGTTTGAGAAGGACTGGTTTACCTCGCGGAATAAGAAGAGTCGCAATGAGGCACTGGAATACCAGTGGCAAATGGACGAGTAGATGCCGGTGTCATGTTTGGCATCAAATTAATCTTCATGACTATACAATAAATTCTGGAATGGGTGCTGGCGCTTGTTCTTTATACAACATTGCATGTGCATTGAAATACGTACTCTCCGTAAGTATACTAGAACTAATCTTTCGAACATGGCAGAGTTGACGAAGGGCGGGTATTGAAAATTCAAAAAGGGAAATATGTCAGTATCTCGAGATGAATGGTGCATGGGCTTGTATTGCGGGATGGAGTGGTAGAGAGTGTATCGGAAAGAATGCTTTTTGAGTACTAGGTCGCAGTTGATATTGTAGGAGAAATGTACTAGTAGATGGTGCTGGTATATTCGGAAAAAATAGTCGTGTAAAACAGTAGGAAGGCACGTGTGGCTTGCTTGCTTATGGTATTTGTTTGAAGCGCGACTGTTTTCTCTCCATCCAGTCATGAGGGAGGGGGGAAATGATAGATGATGCTATCCAGGGCTAGCACATAAGACTATGCTACTCCTGAGGACCTCTGGCTTAGTTTCCTGAGATGATGTTAATCAGTAATGAGATCTGTGGAGATGTAGAAGGAAGGGGAAGCTTACATATATGTTTTTCTAGCCTTATCCGCCGAGCGGGTTGCCCCGGTGTTTTTTTACCACAACAACTTAATTCACCTCCATCCACCCCACCCTACCTGTCCTCCATCACCAGAAAATGGTACGAACTGCGGAAGGTCCGATGGACTTTGAATGGCAAACGCGTCCGCCAATGGATTTGACATCCCCCTTTTCCCATCTGGAAAACAAGAAACGTGCGCTTCTCCAACCAAATCCTCCGATCCCCCATGTCGCTGACCATCCCCACAGGAACACACAGCACATTCAATTCACCAGACAAAAAGCCACCATCTCTTCGCCCTCCGAACTCCCAACCCTTTTTGTTCTCGCGAAATGACCCTGCTCCAAGCTCCAAGTCTGTCTTCGGGCTACCAGCTTTCACCACGCCGCGCAAAGTGGATATCGACTTCTCCTCCGGTGCGGAGAACTTCTCTCCCCCGAAAATGCCGACAATGAAGACACGCCAGAGCAAAATACAAACAAAGAAAGACGGGGCTCGATCCTGGGGATGTATGGGCGGTTCGGAGGCAGCCCTGGCCGGGGGGAGATACCCCGCTTGAAACAGAAGGCCTATTCCAACGCGGCCCTGAACAAGGTTCACAAGAAACGGCGGAGAAACCAGGAGCTCAGTCGACAGGTCAAGATGGAGAGCGAGGACGAGAGTGACCGAGGGAGCGGCGACCAAAGAATAAGCAAAACAGCCAAAGGGAATGACAGCCTGCAAGTTGCCCCTTCGCGCATGTCATCCTTCTCCGAATTCTTTGCCTTACTCGAAGCGCATCCCAATGTCCCCAGCATTTTGTCTTGGTGGGCTCAGCTATTGGTCAACTTGTCGTTGTTCACACTCGCCGTATACATTGTTTTCACCTTTGTCGCAGCTATTCGCGCCGAGTTCGAGCACGCAGCCGAAGAAGTTTCCGATACTATTTTGGCCGACATGGCGAGATGCGCCAAGGATTATGTGGATAACAAATGTGGTGGAGGAGACCGACTGCCAGCGCTGGAGAGTGTCTGTGAGAACTGGGAGCGTTGCATGAATCGCGATCCGGCCAAGGTCGGACGGGCTAAGGTGTCTGCCCATACAATGGCCCTGATCATCAACAACTTTATCGATCCAATCAGCTGGAAGGCAGTTGTACGTATCCCAAATATCTCCCACCTGAGTTCTCTGCTAACATTTCCTTAGACCATTTTCCTTGCCACCATTTCTACCGTGACCGTTGTTAGCAACTGGTCGTTCCGCTCATTCAGAAGCCGACAAAGCCACCAGCCAGATTTCTCTCATAACCAACACAACTACCCCCGGCAACCCCCTGCGCATGATCCATATATGCATTCACAGCCACTTCACCTCCAACATCCTCCGACCTTTGGTTATTATGGACAACCTGATCCTCGACAGAACCACAGCTATACACAGAATCAAGATTCCTCGTTGATGCTTGAGAACACAAAGCCGATGGATTTTGTGACGGAACGAAGTCGCGATCGTGAAAACCACCTCCGCACTCCCAGTCCATCGAAGCGCCGATTCACATGATTGAAAAAACGCAAAGGTATCTTCGTATCTTGTATTATTGTTTGCATATTTGGGAGGACATGGAACGGGACGGATTTGGACGGTGTATTCTACATTCTTTCTTACTTTTTACCCTACAAACCCACGTTGGTGTTTCACTATTTACGGCTCTTGTACTCTTTGAGACTGAATACATGAATGGTATACCGCTTTTGATTCAAAATATCAGACATGAATGCCTTGAAGTTTGTTGACTAGCATGCGTCTCACCGCCTTTACTTCTGCCAGTTATTTTCTACCGCCCATCAATTCTGCCATCCTCTACCGGACTTGAGTATTTACCAATAACTACAGTCTTGGACTCTTGGGAAAGAAAAGAGTACAAAAATCGAAGGCAATCACTTTGTTTAACCATGCTGACACAAGCCTTGCTACCTAGAACGCGCAAAATAGCAAGCCGAATTACAAATCAGAAATCCAGTATTCTGAAACATGCATCAAGCGATCTAGACTATTTCAATTTTTAACAATCAGGCACTTTTCTCGGCATCCACGGGAAATGGGCAATGATGAAGACGGAAAACGAGGTCAATTTCGTGTCTCCAGTGACTCAACTTCGGCCAAAGCAATCATTTAAGCCTGAATATTCGGCTTCTCAATCAATGATATTTCGTTTTTGGCTGGCATGCATTGCTCGGCGATCGGGCCGAGTTCACATGACTTGGCCGAGCGTGGCGGAGCGGCCGGCGGCATCCAAGCGGCGAGTTCTGCACTATATACAACACTGCCCAAGTGGTTGAACCGGAGATTTTACTACTCTGTCTGCATTTAATAGCTGTCGCCTCGGTCACCGGCCAATTTACTATCTGGACCCACGGCCGACATCCATATGCATGCGATGGCGAACAAGACGTTGGGCTCAGGATGGCAATAATCAATGAAAATTTTCATGTTTTCCTAATGTATATAGGGTGTTGACATCTTCCAATTCGAAATACTTTTGGTGTTACCTGTTCACTAAGCATTCACAAAAATTCCATTATCGAAACCAAAATGCACCACGAACCAAAGACCGAGGCGGACATCTATCCAGAAGGTGGCCTACGCGCCAACCTGGTCGTCGCAGGTAGCTTCAGCGCCATCATGGGCGGACTTGGCCTGATGAATAGCATAGGTATTTACCAGGCCTGGATCTCAACACATCAACTGGCTCATCTCGGCGAGGGGCAGATTGGCTGGATATTTGGCATCTACAATTTCCTCGTCTTTTTCTGCGGAATCCAGATTGGGCCCATATTCGATATCAAGGGACCACGATTGCTGATGTGGTTTGGCTCAGCTTTGCTTATCTTGGCCTTTATCCTCATGGGCTTCTGTCATGAATACTGGCATTTTCTGGTAGTGATCGGGATTCTTGGCGGCATGGGGACGTCCTTCATCTTCATTGTCCCCGTCGCTAGTATTGGCCATTTCTTCTGTCGACGTCGTGGCGCTGCAACCGGTCTTGCCTTGTCCGGTGGAAGTATTGGCGGTGTCATCTTTCCGCTTGTCCTTGAAAATCTTGCTCCCCGCATTGGGTTTGCATGGTCCACCCGGATCATCGCCTTGATCACGCTGATCCTGTTGATCCCTGGCTGTCTTCTTGTTCGAGCGAACCTTCCTCCCAAGGCAACGGCACCTCCATCACTCAAGGTTTTCCTTCCAGACTTTTCAATTCTTAAGGACCCTGTCCTCGCCTTAACGACCATGGGGGTATTCTTTATCGAATGGGGATTCTTCATTCCACTTGAGTATATCGCTTCCTATTCTCTTGCCATGGGGATTTCACCACGGCTCTCATACTTGATGGTTGTCTTCCTGAATGCGGGCTCGTTCCCTGGTCGCTGGTTACCTGGTATTCTAGCAGATCGCATTGGCAGATTCAATACATTGATCTTGACAAACATCCTATGCTTGATATCTGTTCTGGGAATCTGGTTGCCTGCTGATGGAAACCTTGTTGCTGTCATTATCTTCTCTGTGGTATTTGGATTCGCCAGCGGGAGTAATATCAGTCTTGTTCCAGTTTGTGTGGGTGAGCTTTGTCCTGTCCAGAATTACGGAAGATACTATACGACCGTCTACACAATTGTCAGTTTCGGGTATGTATATGCGGCAATCCATCAATAGATCCAAATCATTTCCTTGCTTGTCTTGACTTGCTAATGTTTCCTGATGTAGGGCTTTGACAGGTGTCCCAATCGCAGGAGAAATCTTGAACCGGTGCGGTGGTGAGTACTGGGGGTTAGTCGTGTTCGCTGGCTGCGCATATGCAGCTGGGTTAAGCTGCTTTGTTATAGTGAAGTATTTACAGAAAGGTAGAAGTCTAAAATAGAGCGTTGTTTCATCACTTCCAAGATTCAGCCTGGAAATGTTGGGAGGTATTAAATGCAAGCAGTGCAGTCTTGGAAAGTATCAAATTGTGTTGATTGCCACCTGAATAGTAGATCCAGATCACAAAGCAATATCCAGCAAGAATGCAATGAAAAATAACCCCCTGCCCAATTTAGCGAACAAGTGCAATAAGCTAACAATATTCTAAGCCCATCAATTTTTCCCCTAGCAAGAAGGTGACTCTATCAAGAACCGGATCCAAGATACCGCCTAGACGTACTCTGCTTGCACCGATCCATACCTCTCTCCATTAAACTGCAATTCGAACAGCATTGACGCAGAGAATGGTGTAAGAACCAACTCAAATTTAATCACGTAATATTCCACTCCTCTGGAATTCGTGAGTTTCTCGAAAAGTTCTTTCGGTATCCTACTCAGATCCGATGTCAAGGTGCAGAGAACGGCGACATCTTTTCAGGTGGTCAGTTAGAATTACTGACTGATTGAACTTCATCTGGACTTACCTGAGGTGACTATGGGTGGGGCATCCTGTATCAAACAGAACTTCAGGTCATCCTGGAAAGTCAAGGAGGAATTCGTGGGGACACGTCTCCAAAACGGAAATGTAATTGGCCTATCCTCTGAAATCGCGTCGCCCTGCCAAATTTCAAGTTAAAAAGGCTCAAAAAGATGCCTCAAGAACAGTCAGCACTTACTTTGTGAATGTACCATTGCATTTGGTAGCGTGCTAGCCATTTCTCATAAAAATCACACCAGTAACGATCCTCTCGTCTATGTTTTGTGGGGTCGAAGATGGCGGAAATTTCAATGCCATAGTGACTTCGAGCCTTCCGATTTTCCACTTGGTTTCCTTGGATTCCTCGGTAAACAGCACCGCTTGATCGGTCAATTCTCCCGTCATTTCATAAAGATTGAATGGATTCGAACTTACCGAACGACAGCCGACCAACTAAACATGAAACGGTGTCTGTCAGCATTTGTGTAAGCTCAATCAAGTTAGAATCTTACGCATTAAGTGGTTGCATGATTTCCATTTCTTTGAAGTAACTTTTTAGCCTGTTGTAAAGATATGCAGAAGCACCGAGGCCCCCAACCAGGACTATGGCCTTGAAGAGAAATCATTAGTGACATAACATTAAAAAGAACCAACTCAAATTTAACCACGTATGGAATCTTACCTTTGCACTAAGCCCAGCGTTTTGAACGCTCACGTTCTGTGCGCGGATAAGGGCCTCGATCTTTGCTACCACAGGGTCGAAGATCTTTTGGACGTCCTCACTTTGCATGAATTAGCCTGGGTCTTCTAACGTCGTCAATAATCAAAGCTAACCTTTCCATGTGAAGTATTCCGTCTTTTATCCCGGGAATAGGGATAGCGTCGCCTGTATAAGTGAATCCGTCGTCGTCAACTGGCCCTGAGTAAAGAGGCTTGATGTCATTCTGCCATTTCTGCATGGCAATGCGTTTTGAACTTTCGTTCAGTCCATTGTACTCAGTCTCTCCAATTGTACGCTTGACATACTGCTCAAACAGCTCATCCAGCATCACCGATCCGCATATTTCGCCTGGCATAGAAGTAAGTATCATATCGCAAGATGCTCAAAATTAACTTTTACCTGTTCCTTCCACTACCTCTTCCATTCGCAATGGATTCATCTGCGTAATTTTGTATGTGATAAGATCCTGAAATGAAAAAGAAAGAATGAGACAGATATCGAATTGGCGGGGCTTTCATCAGTCGACACGGAAGGGGTACAAACCACTGTCCCACCACCTGCATCGCAGACAATAAAACAATCATCTTTCTAAGATATATTAGCTACCCAGGTATGTGCACAACGGTGTACCTATGTAGTTAAGACTTACCGCCATAGCGTTTGGCTGGATAGTTTTGATGGCATAAACTGCTGCAGCTTCGGGCTCGGAAAGTAAAGACAGATCAGATTGAGGAATACCGGCAAGGCACGCAGCTTGCATCGTTAGGTCCTTTGCCTTGTCGGAGCATACTCCCGGAATTGTCAGGACGTACTTGACATTCAAAGTGTTCATCAGACTTCCTATTCCTCGGCGATCAAGGACGCGCTTGACGTGGGAGACCATCATCATCATGTAGTCGCCTGCAATATCAACGGGCTCCTTTTTGAGGTCTTGAATTATAACTTCGCTTTCAAGGGCAGGTCCATAGGTCGTCATTTGGCGGCCTTTGTCGAGTAAAAGCTTCACTCCCCTCACAGCCGGTTTGTATTCATTGACTTGGTAACCCCATCTGACTTCGCCGTCCTGGTACGATATGACGGTAGGAGTCTTCTGCGATGTACCTGTCTCAAAGGTTAGATCAGCTATAGCATGAAATTCACCAGTCACTTACTGTTGCCTTTTCCAGGCCACTCCTGGATAACCGTGGGTTGGGTCTCTAGCCCTTCCAATGCCCAGGCAATACTGTACTAATCATCAGCTGAACATCCGTCAAACAGGACACAGTTTTGAATATACCCGCTAAATGTAGTTCCGAAGTCCATTCCAATAACCAGTTTGGCACGTTTATTGGGCTCCATGATAGGGTTTGGTGATCGGTTTAACATGGTGTGAGTCTTGTACAGTATACCACGCACGTGGAGCTGTTGCGATAGGTGACTTTCTTGATTCACAAGTGTAAAGCTCGAAATCTTGGAGTCGGTAATAGATGCCAGAATCGATGTAGAGATTCAGAAAAGTGTAAGAGGAAGAATGAAACAAATAATTGAAACGAGCTCGTCATGAGTGATGGCCACATGCATACTATCGTAGCGGCAACTGCCAGTGTTTGTCACAATATTTTTCTGGACCTTTCTTTTTCTTACTTTTCCTCTCTTACTTTCACTGTGCTTCTCTTACTTTCTCTTTACTAGACCTGAATCAATACTGCTAACATCTCTGACTCCGCACCATCCTCATTCGTTATGGCTTTCAAAAAGATTACCCGATCCTTAGGGTTTAGTAGTCCAGATAGCGAAGATCTCTTTGTTCAATAAAATCCGCCAACCCATTCTCAGTCTAGTATGAAGCTCCCAGTGCCGTTTGAAACGTTGTATTTCTAACAGTATTAGATGATTGTTTCGAGCACAAACCCCACGACAATACCACCCTCATTGGAGAACACCAGGTTCCCCAAAAAGAACACCAAACACTCGATACAAGGTCACAAAGGCCACAAATGACACAAAGGAGGTGCCAGTCTATTCACGAAAATCAGAAAGAAAACGAGTCATGGAAGAAGAAGTGGGAAACCTTGCAAGAGTATTGCAAACGCCGCCAACAGGAGTATTTATGCCTGCAGCAGCAGAACGAGACTCTCCTTCGGAAGTTGAATTTCCAGGAAGGTCGTGAAATGAGTCTTCGGAGAAGCTATGATGCACAGACGGAGGAATTGAAAAACTCCAGGAAGGCCCAGCTTTTTACCGAAGAGAAATATCGCCGTCAAGCGGAAATGCTTGATGAATCTCGTGTCGCACTCGATACTGCATCGCAGGCGAACACATCACTTGCTATCAAGCAACTCGAACTTCAAAAGTGGATTCCCTGTTTAGACGATGATGAGATAAGACAGGCCTTGGGTAAGCTTTACCAGGGCCTGGAGAGATGGGTGAACAGCAATTTCCCTAACCTTATTCCGGGTCGCAAGGCCAGGGACGTCGATTTCCACAACAACATGATACAACCAAGGAGTTGCTTCGATACTTGGTTGGAGATCCATGGCGTTGTCTCACATGATATCTTTAACAACCTTCTGTGTCGCACTCTGGTCGCCATCGAAGATTCGTGGTTCAGCCAAAACATTGGTGTGGTCGACGAGCGGATACGAGAAATTTGTTAGTATTATGTCTTCCCCAGTCTTAGTCCCTCTTCTAACTGCTAAAACTAACATTGAAAGGTCCTGCGCATGTTTCACACCAGTGGCGCTCTGCAACCAGTACAGCAATCTCGTCGCTCTTTCGCGAAAATCTGGAAGCAAACTGCAAGCAGTATGCTGCGATTGCGAATGAAAAACACGCTCAGTATTCTCCTACGGAAGCTGCGAAACGAATCTCACAGCTGGAAATACTGATGATGAAGTTTGCGGATCTGAAAGCCAAGCTGGAATGCCAGGCTGATCGCTTCTACTTTGAGTGGTTTCCAGCGGGTACCCCGTTCTGTGAAGTGCGAATGGCTTCTTTTACTGGAGAACGCTCCAGGGATGCACTCGTAGGGAGCTGTCTTGCACCGGCCTTGTTCAAGGTCCCATCGGAGGGGGGTCATGTATTGATCCGGCAGGCCACTGTGCTGGTTCGTGCTCCCCCGGAATTCGATGGCAGCAAAGAGGACGGGGATGGATTGGGATACGATGGCCACAACGAGGGCGGGGATGAGGTGGAATTCGATGATATCAAAGAGGGCGGGGGTGGGTTTGAATTCAAGAGCAGCCACGAGGATGAGGATGAGTCGGAATTCGATGCCCACAAAGAGGGCGGTGATGAGTTTGAATTCAATAGCAGCCACGAGGGTGAGGGTGAGTCGGAATTCGATGTCCACAACGAGGGCGGGGAGGAGATGGAATTCGATGATATCAAAGAGGACGGGGATGAGGATGAGTCGGAATTCGATGGCCACAACGAGGGCGTGGATGAGATGGAATTCGATGATATCAAAGAGGGTGGGGATGAGTTTGAATTCAATAGCAACGACGAGGATGAGGATGAGGATGAGCCGGAGTTTTGAATTGCTTTTATCGTTTTGTGGGGGGAGTGTTGTCGTATGCCTTGCTCTTCTCGCCAATCTTGCTGGTGATTTGGGAGACGTCTGGTGGATTTGCGTCTACCTTGTCTTATCAACTTAATCAACTTTATCCGTTGCATAGATATGACTCGGAATAGCAGAGAGCCTCGGATGTATGTATCAAATACCCACAGTTCGGCCATTTGTCACGAATACCATTATTATTTTGAGAATGAGTTCTGGCCGTTGTTGTCCAAGGTTCAATAATGTGGTAGAGCCTTTCTATAGTCGAGAAGCAAGCTTGGCATCCTTGGGATTCTGTCCAGCTTTTGACTCTTCAAATGTTGCGGCATACAGGCGTACGTGCCTCACAGCTACATTTTTCACGCTAGCAACGATGAAGATAAACGAGCCAAGCCATACTTGCAACCTTGGAACAAAGACACCATCTTCATGAATCATTTAATCTAAAGTAAAGATATCGAGTAAAGTAGAACAGTACAAGTACTAATCAATTATCGCCAGGTGAGGTCAATTCATGTCGGATCCATTCATCCAGTTCATTGGATCAGGCTGTGAAGCGTATCTCTGCTGCAGCGGGTGACTCGTGAATCTCAAGGCCGAATATAGAAAATGCGGCCCATCACCGTGATCTGCTCGCACAGAGACCAGTCCAGATCAGTTCTGCACCATTGTATGGGGACATAGGATGAGAAAAAAAAAAAACAAGGAACCAAAATCTATGAGGTTGGATGAGTGTAGAGTCGTAGGGAATATGGAGGTCAAGGGAGAGAGAGTATGAGAAGGGCATGCCAGTCCAAACAAGAGAAAAAAAAACAATCAATCCTCCCCATCCACCAAACTACCAAAAACCAATAAAAAATTTGGAAAGAGAGAATAAAAGCAGAAAACCAACCACTGCCAATCCAATAATTGGAGAAAAGGAAAGAAAAGATAGATCACAACCCACGCACTCACACACGCGCACACATCAATCGCTGTCGGGAGGATACATAGTCAAACCGCCATATTTGAACCATCCCGTCGAGGGTGCCGGAGCATTCACGAAATGAGAAAAAAAGTAACACAAGAAAGAACGCTTGTAGAAAAGGCCAATAGTCCGGTCCCTGCGAGTGGTGGTGGGAAAATTCTTATTGACTTTATCGCCTCTTAACTTCCGCTGACCAACCGTCAATTCCCTCGCCTCGAGTCCCCGGTGCAATTCCCAGATCAATCCCGCTCATACCGGCCGTATCCTGCAGCCAATCATGTGAAGCCATACCACCGGCATTGGCACGCTTATCGGGTAAGAGATCCAGCATCGGTAATAGGAACTCGCTTGTTCGCATGCTATCCTCGACTGTGTAGTGGTATTTTTCGCGGAGGACGTCGGGGAGGGCCCAATGACGGAGGCGATGGATATTTCGCAGCTCACCCTTGCGATTGAAGATATCTTGGGACCATTTGCCGCTTAGGCACATGGGCTTGGGGAATTGGCCAAGTAATTCGATAATCTGAGCGATGTGATCGTCGTCTTTGCCGTACTTGGTTCCAGATTGTGGGTCGAATAGGTAGTCACCGGTGATAAGTTCAAATGTCTGCGGAAATCAGCGGCGCTCAAAAGATTACGGAGGATAAGCACTCACCATGCATGCCATACTCCACACGTCAGTACTAGCGCCCCATTTTCCACCCAAAATCACCTCGGGGGAGCGGTATTGCCGTGTCTGGATGTCGTTGGTAAAGTGGTGGCCCACCCAGCACGCGTTGCCTAGATCGGCAATTTTGACCGAGATGATGCTGGCATCGATCTCTTCCTCAAGCGTTTTGGTTGATGAGCCTTTATCCAGCGAGATACCCGACACCTCTCTCTCCAGGAGATCACTAGATGAAAGATTAGTACTAAGTTCGGGTGGAGTGTTCTGATATATGGGATATGGACATACGCTGTCTTCTCTCGTTGCTTCTGCTTATCATCCTCGTCCTTGACACCGAGCGCTTCCTTCATCGATGGGATGTCCGGTGCTATTGAAGTCAGTATACAAAAGAACCGTTGAGGGGAAATTTTGGGGGCGTAATGTGGAACTCACTCGGGTCATTCACCATCTGGCTGAGGCTACTGTGTGAGTTGGAGGAACTGTGCTTGAAATCAAAGCTGCTGAAGCTTGTGTTTAACGGACTCGGCAACGGCTGACTGCCTGTGATCAAAGTGCGACGGCGCCGGCGCCCGTTGCGGTTGTCTTCTTTATTCTCCTTCTTGGCTTCTTCTTGCGCCACATGCGCCTCCACGATCTTCTCCACATCACCGATCTCAATCAACACGTTCTCTGGCTTCAAATCGGTGTGAATGATGCCACACTCCCGGTGGAGGTAATCCAAACCCAGGAGCACTTGCTTGGTGATTTGTTTCACTAGTGGCATGGGAATACCACGATGGTTCCAACGCTTGATGAGACCCAGCAAGTTCTCACCCAACACCTCAAAAACCATACATACGTGAACACCGTTGGGTCCCTTGTGTTCGAATGAGTCCAACAGACTGACAACATGCTTGCGGCCGGGGTGGGAAGGTTTCGCTTCAACAATCCGATTAAGCAGTTTGATTTCATCGATTGCGGTTTCGGTGTAATGAGCGGCGGAGCGCACGACCTTTAGCGCCACGTGCTTTCCAGTAGTGGTATCTCTTGACAGCCACACCGTTGAGAAATGACCCCAACCCAATTTGCGTACCACAACATAACGGCCATTGTTGTATGTCTCTCCTGCTTGTACGGGATGATAGCCACCCTTGCAGTAGTCCTCGGAATCTTCTTCTTCGGCGGTGGTTTCAACTTCATCTACGGATGAGGTGGATGGTGAGCGCGACGCTGTAGTGGTGGCGGGTTTGGAGTTTGATGGCGCTGCGCCACTGCTATGGAATAGAGAAAACGAGTTAGCGATCCGGTGCATCTGGGGCGGGCATTTCTTGACATCCGACGAAAAGGCGATGAGCAGATATATTTCTGCCGTAAAGAAGTTGGGCAGAGAAGGGGGGGGAGGGGGGGGGCAATAAAAATGCAAAATCACAAAACATACGCATCAGCGGCTGGGTTTGCATCATTAGTGACAATAGGCTTGAGATCAGTCCCCTTTCTCCTCTTCTTGCCGCCATTGCCATTGGCAGCAGCGGTTGCGACAGAAGCCATTTGTTTGCCCTTGTTTAATACAGCTTTTGTGAGATCAACACCGTCCATGATGTGGAGATTCGACGAGGTTGGTGTGGTTCGGAGCTGAAGAGGCGGGGCACCGGGATGCGAGTTGGTTGGTCGCGGGAAAACTGAAAATGGAGAGGGCGGTGCGTGGGTGCTTCACCGCAGAATAAAGTGAACTCGACAACAAGTTCAGAAAGTGATGTATCAACAAGCTTAAGAATAAGTCTCCAGAGGAAAGATTTTGAAACAGTTCAAGTGTTGGGAATTGTAAGTTTAGAGTTTAAGCCCGAACGACACTTTCAGTGACCTGAATCAGTTTAACGTGAACAGTGGGCGAATTCCGCTTGCAGCGTATTAGACGGATGTGGCAAAAGATGTCGCATTGACCAGGAACATGAAATCAAATGGATAGGGACTTGGTTATCATCAGATGATTATAAAGGGATGGAAGTATCAAAGCAGAATGAAACAAGTAGAAAATATGCGCGCTGGGTCATCACAGATGAGGATTGGTAGGAGGTGGAAGTGGCTGGGCTGATCTTGGGCTGTATATATTATTCTGGATGTGTTTTTTAGTATACAACCAGTGACATTTGAAGTCTCCGTATATTCTGCAAAGAAGAAGTATCAAGTTAAATACTACGTACTTTTTAATGCATATTGCATACAAATCAATACATCCAAACGCACATGTGCATCTCATTCTTAATCTAATAATCTGATCTGGTGATGGTCTCGACCACATCCTGATGTCACCGATTCCCCGCTTGATGACTACGCACTTACATAAGGCAACCTTGAACTACTACAACTGGTACGTTCATCAGCTTCTCAAGTAAACAAGTAGTAATCACTTCAAATATTGGGGATTTGACCATGGCAAATCCATTCATTCGCCCTTCTATTCCGGACTATTTTATTTCCTCCCCCTTGGTCGCACTCCTTTATCCCCTGCACCAGGTCCTCCTGCGCCTCCGTGGACCACCTCGGCTCCCGCCCCCAAATGCGCATCCTATCCGCGTCGTCTGTATTTCAGACACCCACACCCTCGAATGCCCTGACGTCCCAGATGGAGACCTCCTAATCCATGCTGGTGACCTTGCACAGGATGGCTCCGTCCGTGAAATTCAAGCCGCCGTGAACTGGCTTCGCAGCCTCCCACACCCGCATAAGGTCGTGATCGGCGGCAATCATGACAGCTACTTCGATACGCGATCGCGCCTCGAAGAGGATCGCGACGAACCTACAGCCAGTGGATTCGCCACCGTCTCAGAATCCACAGCTTCTATCCGTTCTTTAGACGAAATCACTGGCGTATCCTCGCGCATCGACTGGGGTGACATTCACTACCTCCAACATTCGGCCGTAACTCTCGAGTTCACTCCCCCATCTGTCTCCGATACCGACTCCACATCTTCCTCTACAACTGCGCTAACTAACTCGCGACCGCGCAACTTGACTATCTACGGTGCCCCGCAAATCCCTGCTATTGTACCTCTCGGTCCGGAACACGCTTTTACCTATCCTCCTCACCACGATGCCTGGTCGCGCACCGTGCCTTCAGACACCGATATCCTAGTCACTCACACCCCGCCTCAAGCGCATCTCGATATGTCCCCAATCTACTCAATAGGCTGCCCCAACCTTCTGGCTGAAAGCTGGCGTGTCCGACCACTATTGCATGTCTTTGGACACGTTCATTTCGCCGCGGGGAGAGAACCGATTTTCTGGGACGAGGCGCAACGCGCGTGGGAGCGGCTCTGTGCTTCGCGTCGCCCCCGTGCAAAGTTTAGTCGCCTGTTCGCCCTAATGGGATTCTTGCGGGATCTCTTCGACCCCGCGAGTTGGGTTGACGTGGCCAGAGTCGTGTTTTACGGAGTTCTCGGTGTTGTTTGGGCGCGTGTCTGGGGTGGGGAGACCAATGGGGGTGGATGGTTTGTTAATGCGGCGTGTATGTACAAGGATTCAGGGCGGTTAAGGAATCCGCCGCAGGTTATCACTCTCTGATTTATACCCTTTGGGGTTTGTGTTCTTATTTTCTTCTTGATGTTATGAGCGAGCATGGCAGGTTAACACCTGCTTTCTTTTCTTGAGTGGGGTGATTACTCTTCTCTCCTACTAAATTTTTTCGATTTCTCGAAGATTGTACATACAATATGGAGAACGCGGAATCCGTGCTTCAACTAATGTAAAATTACTGCCACAACATAATCTTTCCACTCACTCATATTTTCTAATGGTGTCTTATTTCTGTATGAAGGCGAACTCTGAAGCCGAAAGGCTCGCAAATTGTTTCCCTTGCTAATTCAATTGGAAAGTCCGCCTTCAATTCGAACATTTTTTTTTCTCGATCAAAGTAACCTCAAGCATATGGTCACATTTTTTATTGTACCTGGCAATGATTTGCGTTCAAAGGTAAGCTGCGGATAGATCCGTACACTGCATACGATCTTCCGAATTGCCTCAGGCTGAAGTTATACTATTAATCCCCTTTTTAGTAAGATGGAAACGATCCTAACCAGACGCCCATTTCCAGACAAAAGCGAATGCCAAACGTGGCAATTGGCCCCATTGTCACCTCGAGAGAAATCCTGTCGTTCTTCCATAGTCACATCCCCACCTCGTGGACATGGGGGCTATTTCACAGCATGTCCCAGATAGGAAATGAAGAATAAGATTACCGCTTACTGCAGTAGTAGGTTAACAGAATCATTAAATGTGTCAATAATCTGTACAATCATACATGTAGTGGCAAATTATCAAAAGAGTGGCAACGCAATCGAGTTTCATGAAGCATCTCGGGCTTGCTAAGTACTAGATGCAGAAATGGAGTCAAATGTGTATGGTTATCATCGCGGGTAGAAACAACTTGCCTCCCAACATTTGAAGGATAAATAGCTCGAGATCACCTCGACAATTGGAAGCCATCAATTCATTCAATAATCCAATCCATCCAATAAACCAACCGATCTCCCGATCAACCACCTCAACCTTCAAAATGCAGTTTATCACCGTCATCATTGCTACCTTGGCCGCCGTTGCCTCTGCCTCCTCCTCCGACTTTGAGAAGCGCTCTTGCGTCTCCGGTGAGCTTTGACCAGAATTCTAGGCTGTCGGGGTTCCATTTTCATATGCTAATATGCCATTCAAACAATCTAGACTCTGCCTCCTCCGCTTCCGACTTCGAGAAGCGCTCTTGCGTCGCCAGTGAGATTTTATCAGAATTCTAAGCTTTCGGGTTCCATTTTCATTGTGCTAACATGCCATTCAAACAATCTAGACTACGAAGTTGCCTGCAACTCTGAGAACGCCTGCTGCGACAGCTGGCAGTGTGTCGGCGCCACTGAATGGAACGCCGGTGTCTGCATCCCTAACTACTAAGGGAATGCGATCTTTTTTATAAGCGGAAACTGTGACTGCTTATGTATTTTTTGGATTCGGATTTGAATCTGGACTAGATTTAGAGTCAATGCATAGGCTGGTCCTATCCTTGGCTATATAGATAAATGGATGTTTTTTTTTTGATGCTGATTAAATGAGAACTTTTAATCTGTAAGCTTTGAATCATGTTAACTAGTATGTAGTCCTTGCATACAAATCATCCCTATCGGTCAGGATGCCTTGTTACTGGGGTGAGAATAAACAACAAGGTTACCTCAAGGAAAAGTTCTAGTGAAACCAACAAAGCAAACGGGACTAATGCAAGATGCAGCCTCAACCCCAACATTTACTTTGTGATAAGTCTCAATGAACATTCGCGTGTGACATCAACGATCTGACCGCTCTTTTGAGCCGCACATGGAGCGGGGCTCGTTACTGTACGATTATCTACTCGACGGAGTACAAAACTATCAGTTACCCCAGGTTTTGACGGTACACTCTTGGCAACACCGTCCTACAACACTTGAAATGGAAACCGAAACTACTCCCTGCTCAGCATGTAGCTGGACTCCAAAGCGCCAAACACAATGTTCCTACGACAGCCACGTCAAAATATTCTACAGCGCCAGTACCCGGGGAGGCTGGTCTCTAGGCTCGAAGCTCATCCTCAGAGAACGATCCGCCGCGCCGCCCAACTTCGAAGCCCCCAATATCCGATTCCTGTCCGAGAAAACCTCGATTCCTATACCTGAGCTGGTAGAAACCTGGGAAGAAGATGGGCTATCATTCTCTATCACGAGACGAATTCCGGGAAAAAACCTAGACGAAGCTTGGCCCACGTTGTCCGACGAGGAGAAAGAACGCATCGCGAAACAGACTGCCGACTACCTCGGTCAGCTTCGGGGGCTCCAATCCACTCGTATGGAATCAGTGGGTGGAGAGCCACTATTCTGTAATTTTCTGTTTGGAGGTGACCACGGCGTTGGATATGGACCGTTGTCATCAGACGATGAGCTATGGGATCAGTTAGCTCTATCTTTGACCCATGTGCCGGAGGAGATTCGGTTGAAACTACGCGAGCGCATGCCCACTGCTGCGCCTTATACATTCACGCACTCCGATCTCACGACTGTCAATATCATGGTTGATAATGGGAATTTGACGGGTATTATTGATTGGGAAAACTCGGGGTTTTTTCCTGTTTGGTGGGAGTTTGCTGCGGCTGGTATTTGTCTTGGCGATGAGGATAGAGAGTGGAAGAATACTTTGCGCAAGTACATGCCCGAGCATGAGGATATGCGTGGTTTTTTCATGGACCTCTGGTCATTGCGTCGGTATCCAGATTTGGATGAGAGAGGGTTGAAGTTTTTGAAAGAGGGCGGATTTAGCATTCCTAAAGTACCAGAAGTATCGGAGTAAATACTCCACATGTTTACATAGTAGCTTCCAAGATTACCCCGCGGGACCTAGAAACGATCGATTGCTTCCCCAGTAGTTCCAAGGCTACTATTAAGTATGCTAAGCTAAATTTGGCCTGCAAGCTGCAAGCTACGTACATAAGTCACTCGAGCGCTTGTTGGGGCTACGGCACGTCGTGATTGGTTGTAGCCTTGGAGGGGAGATCTGATTCATCTGTTTTCTTCCGGGCTGAATTCGAGCAACCTCTTCTCGTTGTCGCGATCCATCTGCAGTCCTGGTGATATTTCAGAGCTTGCGGAAATTCATAGCTGCTATCCTCCATGGATCAGTCAACGCTTACTCCCGAGTTGCAATTTTCCCTTGGCATTCGCGATCCTGTTGAATATAAGCGACCCAAGGATGTTTGGAATGTGCCTAGGAAGTTCCGACGATCAACACATTGCGTACTTTGTGGCGAACAATTTTATTCCAAGTTACCTGTCATTGCCCGTGTGTTCCCCTGGAGCCGTTTCGCCTTCATTTATCCACTTCACTAACAAATATCTTTCATAGTTGTCTGGGATCTGTCACGACAAAGTGCAGCTGTGCTCAACTCGAACAGTCACAATAATAAGTATGTATTGTATGAGGATGGTGAGGATCCTGTGACTCCCTGTCTACATAGCGTATGTTGGACTGTTTTGGGAAGCCAGATTGATGCAGAGCTGCTTTTCTGTTTTGGCATGGCCATGATACCTTTACTGGATGTGCCAACGGGTTTCCAGGGTAATATATTCGCGCTTTCGAATAGATTCTTTGCATCGGAGATGCTGGAGCATCTCACCAAGAACTTGGATAGAGCTGTGCAGAAAGGAGGCCAAATCACACATGCATACCATGACCAAACCACCGAGCTCACAAAGGTCTTCCAACTGTGGAAAACCCTCCCGGAAGAAATCATCTTTCTGATTTGGGAGCGTCTGCCTCTGACAGTGGCCAAGTGTTTATTTTCGCTGCAGACGTCCATGGACTTGATCCAGCGAGTTCGCTCAGTAACCTCATGGAGTGGGTTCTTCCTCATGCATGGGTCGGTCACGGTGTACTTTCGCCATTTCCATGGGGAAAGGTACATATCTGGGGTTCAGAATTCTGCTCTGCACGGATATGATAGCCGCGATTATGAAAAAATTCAAATCAAAGTACGCGTGGTTGCTGTATCTCCGGTCATTGGCCTCTTTGGTTTGAGGGGGATACGATACCTCATGGAGGATGGCAGGGAAAGCTATGTTGGATCCCCATTCAACAGCACCGAGTACTCCAGGTGTTCGAATATTGCATCACTCAATCATACGGAACGCCTATTTTTGAAAATTGACGGTGATGTAAGAGAAAAAGCTTTTTGGCTCAAGATTATTACTCAAGGCTTATCGGTTTTTCAGTGTCTCAAGATCCATACAATCGACCTCCCACCAAATCAACCCAAATTGTTTGGGGATTTGTTTATTTGGGAAACCCGCTGGCCGATATCTCTTCTGTCCGCCAGAACCGGATCTTCTTTTTACTTACATCGAGAAACAATAGACCGAGCAGATTATTTCAAGAAGAAAAAAGTTTTCATGCGGTCTGTCCCGTTTAAAGAAGACGATTGCATGATATATGGTCTGACGATCTTTTGTTCTCCTGCCGGGGGGACGATTGGGTTTGGAGTACATTTTCGTCGATACTCGGGTGATGGCATGGAATTTAGCCACTCGATTTGGCAAGGTAAGAATGAAGGCTGTGTTCTTCATATCCGGCTGAGGCACAACGAGCATATCTCGGCAATTTGGGTACTGTCTTACAGACCTGGAAAATCTGATGATGACCCATACTTGGGAGTAAGTCACCTACCATGTTCTACCTGAGCGATATTAAAACTTCCCTGAAACAAAACTCTAATGCTTACGACCTTTTCTGATACTTAGATACAAACCAGCAAAGGCCGTTCTTATCTATTAGCCCCAGAACTACCGACCGGGCAGCGGTTCAGTACTCGCCAAATAGCGAATGAACGCCATGGCGTCATTCTTGGGATATACTATGATGACTCCCCGAGTAAACCCGACCCCCGCATCAGTAGTTTCGGAGTGTTCTGCGATCTTCGAGCTAGAGTCATAGAAAATAGGTCTGGGGCCTTTTCAGTTCGTCCGCGCAATTACCCCATGCTCTCCAAGCTAGTAGGATCACCGTGGGAACGTTTCGGATCTCAAGCAGTGCTCGAGAATGTGTCATACTTGGAAACCTGCTCGATCGGTGTCAGATGTACTGGCATGCTCCTGACATATTTCGATGGCCATCAAGCTGTGCTGGGCCAATGGCATGAGGATAAGCCGGCGGAGGTTGTGAAAATCCGCAAGCTGGACTTCGTTCGACACCAAGGCTTGCGGTTTTTCTTATCTCTTAGAAGTGGCACGGTCTCTTACCTTGAGCGAGTGGAAACATGGGCAATAAATGACCATGAACCTTGCGCTCCCTCACTCGCTCACATTGTGGTCGATTTAGCATATGGGGTGAGTTTCTTCCATTTCTCACCTTTGATTCGGCAGCTGATGAGTAGTATAGGATACCGTGGTCTGGCTTTTTTCGGCTTGTTCCGACATCATATCAGTCCTCTGATCAAACTTGATACAACTCAACAGTGTGACAAAAAGGATTTCAAACGTTACCTTGTCTAAATACGTATATGAGCTTCCAACTTTGCGCGTTCAAGTCCTACCGTCTAAGTCATGTCCAAATGTCCCAAATCACCTAGCTCCGAGAGGTTTAGCCACGAACCATCAAAGGTTACAGAAAACCTCAAACCTTATATCCGTGGGTGCGTTCTTGATACTGATACCTCCACCTGGAGCTAGTAGTACCTCCAGTCTTGGAACTGGGGAAATCACGTCAGGGAAAAAAAAATGCAGGCACCCGAGTAGTAAAGTGGGAGAAGATATGGGTATTTAGTATAGATCGAAGGTTGTATCTACTAAGTAACATACATTATAAGTAACAAGTGAAATATTGAATCTAGGTAGCCTGCACCTTGAACACCCCCATTTTTTTTCCTTTACAGCTTAGCCTTCTCATTGAACCTCGGCGCTTCGAGGGGATCATAAGCGCCTAGTCCCAATGTATCGGAGGGAATGACACCCCCGTGTCCACTCATCAGACCGCGGACATCCAACAAACTGGGGTTCAACTCCTCGATGCTCGTGGCACCGATCAATCGCATGTTCATCTCCATCTCGTCCTTAAGCAACTGCATCGCGCGATCGACACCGTCCAATCCATACGCGGACATGGCGTACAGGAAAGGCCGGCCGATTCCGACACCCTTGGCACCGAGGCAAAGCGCCTTGAGGATATCGGTCGCACGGCGGACACCACCATCAACATAAACTTCAATACGCTTCTCCCAGCCGCGTTCGCGGAGGGCGGGCATGACCTCTGCGAGGACCTCAATACCAGAGCGAGCAGTCTCAAGCTGACGACCTCCATGGTTAGAAAGTACCACACCGTCAACACCGGCCTCAACGGCACGGAGGACATCCTCAACGCATTGGACACCCTTCAGCACGATCGGCATGCGGGTGATGGAGCGGAACCAGGGGATATCCTTCCACGAGAGAGCGGGATCGATGAAGCTTGAGATTGCGCGGGCGGCGCCCTGCGAGCGATCCACGTTACCATCGCCGGACTGAACGTCGGATCCAGCATCTGAGAACTTCGAGCGCATGTCCTTCTCCCGACGGCCGAGCTGGGGTGCATCGACGGTGATGAACAGTCCCTTGCAGCCACGCTTCTCGGCATGCGCGACAATCTTCTCTGTGATGGCGCGGTCCTTGTTCACGTACAACTGGAGCCACTGCACCTGATCACCTTGCTTTGCGTCGACAATCTCGTCGAATGAGCACGAGGCTAGCGTCGGAATCATTTGGATGACGTCATGCTGTTTCGCGGCCTTGGTGAGAACAACTTCACCTTCGGGGTTACCCAGCTTGCCTAGGGCGGTGGCGGTGACGTAGAATGGGATTGAGCATTTATCACCAAGCATGGTAGTTGACATGTCGATGTGTTCGACGTCGACGAGGACGCGGGGGCGGAACCAGATTTTGTGGAAGGCGGCGTGGTTCTCACGCATTGTCTGCAAATTGAAAGAGAGATTGTTAGAAATGAATGGGATCACATAGATGGGGTTTTTTATCGCGATGTTATTAGTGCTGTACGTACGATTTCATCGTCCGCTCCGCTGGAGTAGTATGCCCATGCTGTCTTCTTCATCACCCGTCGGGCGACCGCTTCAAAGTCCATGAGGTTGTAGCAGGCTGCAAGTGGGGGCATCTGCTTGATACGCTCTTGACGGCCGGCCTCCTCGGGGTCTTCGACCTGCTCCTCCTGCTCGACGGTGCTCATATCGACATCACCGAGGTGCTTGGACTGATCGAGGAACTTGTCCAGGGTGTCGCGAGGGTGAATAGGGTCGAATTCTTCGGTCGCATCTTTGCCGGCATATTTGAGAATGATCTTCTGGCCTCCAGGGTGCTCTAGATGGTATGTTAGAAGAAGGTGGTTAGGTACTGTGGGTAATGACTTGTCTGTCTGACCTGGTAGGAACTCGGTAACATCGTAGGCTTTACCGTGCACGATGACCCAGCATGAGTCCTTGGAGTTGTGCTCGGCGACCGTGGCGCCGGTAAGTTTATTTTGTGACATGGCTGCTATGGTGTGAGAGATGCGAAGAGGAAAAGATTATCGCTTTGGAGAAGTGTAGATTTAAGGAATTGGCGGAAGAGAAAGAGTTCCCAAGGGACCTCGGGCTAATGGAGTCCGGGGATCAAAAAGTTGCGGGGAGCTTTCTCGGCCGACTGCAGCTGATGATCGCGACAAAACCGCATGTTTTTCGGCATCGTCTCGTGCGATATTAAAGAGGATAAAAGATGGAGATTAGGTGACTTTGATTTCAAAAACACTTGTTGATTTTATTCTCGAAATACTCCAGAAATAACTACTTGTTTGGTATATCTATTGATGATTAGAGTGGTCGGTATCATCTACCCCGGGGTTAACAGTCGCATAGCTCGGGGGAAACGTTAGCCAGTAGCGATAGTCGCATTACAGACGTAAATAATCTTCTTCCTTCAGCCTTCCACAACCTCCACAATTCTATTTACATTCCAATCGCTTTCGAATCGTGCATGTGCAATGCACTCCCGATTGAAGTTTCAGTGCCACCCCCTTGCTACAATGTATACCACCTAATATTATCCTGCAAGGAGACTTCCATATGCATCGAGAGTCGAGACAGCCTTTCTGCACACTATATATACATTGTCAAGGGTGAGACCAACAGTTGTCCTTTTTCCTTTATTGTTCACGTACATGCATGATTGGATAAATTCAAAGAAATTAAAATAACCTTCGGTTGCATCCGATCAACAGATCGTTGACCCGAATGCATCGTATCGTGCATGGAAGATATGCTTTGTTGCTCATGGAATGTTTCTATCGAAGGAAAGTTGACACCAGTTGACTCCAGAGGGAAAGAAAAGCGAGCTGGGGAATGTTGAGGCCTGAGGCGAGAACATATTATGTCATCTGGTATTTGCCTCAGGCCAAAGAGCTTTTCCGCCTTGACCAACATTTGAAATTTGAACATTCAAGTATGAATGGACATGAAATGATATCCTGGAGTCTGATTGGTCTCCAAATTTGTCTCCCCAAAGGCTTCAAATCAAAACTCCCTCCAGGACTCCAATCTGTATATCCATGGAAGTTATATCCTGCAACTTTTGTACTTATTCACGAACTCTAAAACATCACAAACCGTTTCTACGGTTGCGGGATCATCTAGTTCCCGTCCAGAAAGCAAATCATCTCTTGGCTGACGGACGCCACTTGTCGATCCCTGGTATTAAACTTCATGGTCTGCCCAAGATCCTGGTCAATATGGTCAAATGGAAAGAAAAAACCAAGTTGTATCCAAGGCTACCATTTGCGACCGCAAAAGTAGATATCGGGATTGGAGACCATTCTCTATCTGCACGAGTTCAGCCACTGATGCAACACTCGGAGGGTTTTTTCATCGATGCCGGCGCTTCCGAAGACTCCGCTGGCCACGTACTCTCCGCTTCTTCTCCAGCTTTGACCTTTGACAGTAAAGTTGGGGGCCTGGGGATAAAACCCTTTTGCCTCGTGGCTGTTCAGGGTGAAGAGGGGACTTCCACACGGCTGTGGCGTTTTTCCCTGAGTCATGTAGATGGTTCGTGTCCCATTTTGCTTTGTACTAGTAGTGTATGTGAACGACAGACCACTCGAGTACACATTTAAATGATCCCCAGGCTCAACGCCGTCTATTCTTGGGAGAACCGATAAACGATATACTAGTCCAGTTTCAACTGAACCACGGCAAACTTTCCCAACTTTTACTTCCTGACAGCCGCAAAGTCAACTGGAATGACGTTGGTTAAGACCGACACAGCGGGAGCGGGGAGAAGGAAGAATCTTGTTTTTTTTTAACAACAACGTCATCTGCGAAAAAAACCATCCAATCTCAACTGGCACAATTGTACTTTGAATTTAATCTAGCATTGAACTCCGTATTTAGGTAGCGAATCGAAAAGCTGGGGGCGAGATATTTTACAAGGATGCATGCCACTGCATGTCTGTAGACATCAGTACGGACGCATCATTCAGTACAAGCCTAGACAATCTGTAGGATTTTGCACACACCCACTCGGGCATTCATTAAGATAATCTCATTGGCCCTTGAATGGGGTCTTAATTCCCCCTGAACATCAGTCGGCACAGTTAGATTGGGAGATTAAGAGACGCGCAATGCAACCATGCCAGAGAGATCCTCGTTGTTGTTGGGCTCACTAGTTTATGGGACGGGATCGCATGGTTAAACGAATTCCCCGCGTGCTCGTGGTTTTTGAACAGCCTATACGCAGAGTAGTATAGTGCCATCGATTAATCCGAATACAGTAGATTTCGTTGGATAAGAACAAAGATGAAAAACTCTTCACTTTGGGCGGGACCATGTGTTGATAAGTTTTGGCGTCCTTCCAGAATCGTTCGACGCGGCCGAAAAGTGGCACCTTGGACTCCTCCTACATCATCAAGCGGAGTTTCCGTAACGAATTTTGTCTAATGGATACTGTACTCACACAGCTTGGGTTGAAAGCCGAGTTTTCATCGTGGACAGGTCCGACCTCTCGAGACAATGACGTGGGTCGGGTATCTACGAATGAAACTGGACGAGAAATTGGACTTTGTTTTTTCCGACTCCGCTATACGACTTACTTGGGTCGTGATTCGTGGAGCCAAAGTCACGGTGGACGACCGAGAATTTTAGTTCGCTATAAGGAGAAAAGATTTGAGGATTTTAATGAATTGGGTAGAGAATAATCGGAAGTAACCAAAGACACATCAAAAAAATGAAAAATCGGTCTGAAGAACGGTTCAGATTATACATGTCTTGGCTAAGCGCCTTGGCTTAAGGTCTGGGTCCTGCAGAGCCAAATTGGGTACATGTACTTGACTAGAGCATTAGTGCTTGGCAGTTGGATTTGACAGGGGGTTTCCCCAAACTTTTGTTGCAGTCTCCGAGCTGGGGATGAAAACCTGGAGAGATAGAGACACATCGGTTAAGCTGCCCTGAAAACCACCTGGGGATTAAGCAATGACTCCTTTAGGGGGCAAGTACAAGGCAAGGAGCAATAGTCAACAATAATTGAAAAAAAAAAAATTTCATTTTCATTTTCCAATTTTCCTGTTTTGTATTTCCAAGTTTGATGCAAGAGTGGGTACTGAAAAGGGATCCACTGATCCCCTGAGGACGCTAGTTTGCGGACGGGCGCATTCTTGCATCATTCGACCTCCACTTTCTGTGCCGGCCGCACTCGTTCGGGAAGGACGGTGACGGGATCCCGAGTCCTGTCGCCGAACTTTTTCTTGTAGTTACTCCGTATAGAGAAAAGCACTGACAAGGGCACTGACAACCCTGATAACCGATAAACCCCTCTTTTCGAAGCCGTTACACCGCTCAAGCCACCGTTAAGCCTATTACAGTTCGCCCCGACTACTATCTTATGTATCTCGTCAGCGCATGGATCTTAGTGCAGCCTCATCGACGTAACTATACGTTGATAGAGATCTATCTACCTTCTCGCGACCGTGCGTTTGTCTACGGAAGTGTTGTAGTCGGCATTTGTCCGAGAGCCGGGTGATATCACACCCGATCAGTTTATTTTTCACTTCATTTTCGTTCCTACTGAGAATGGTTTAGAGTGGTTTGATGTGGCTCCCTCTGGTAGCGAAGGGATAGTAACGGCAGAACGGTCTCTGATTTGTACTGTACCTCCTTACTTCATACTGAAGTTTGTATGTACCCGATCATCTGGTAAGTTCAATTTTATTTCTTTATTATTACTTAAAAGCAAAGACAATAAAAAGTATTGTGACCTTGTTCAAATAAAGGTACCTTGTAAAATCTCTGAAAGTACAACACGAACCACAATTCATTTCTCACTACCACATCTAAATGGCTCGTCATTGCGGGCCTTCAACATCCAACAGCGACATCTCCAAACCCCACCACGGAAGACGAAACCAATCAGCAATTCGGGAGCATAAATCGACCCTCATAAAATCTCGGCCAGCTTTCTGGTTTTGAATTTTCGAATTCTTTTTTTGTTTTCTTTTTTCCAATTTTCCTCTGATGTCATCAGGGACGCAAACTACCGCGCCATGGAGTGGAGCAGCTCGGAAATGCTTAATCGATCATTATTGATGCATCCGGAAGCTTGGCCCCACAAGAGCGGGTTCCTTGGGGCGGAACCATTGGTCAGTGGAGCGGAGTCCTTAGATCGGAGACGCACTCGGCTTCTGTCCCAGTATTTTTGCGCTTTTTCTTTTTTTCTTTTTTTTCTTTTTATTATTTTTTTTTACGCTCGGAGTGTCTCCTGGCACAGAGACACGGGGAAGCGATGGAAAAATCATGGAGAAGAGAATATGCACGCCCCACGACTTGCACGTCCTTGCCACTTTCGTACGGCTGTTGGGTCGGAAAGAAGAACATTCAAATATCTCCCCCCCCCCCCCCTCGGTGTTGCTTTTCTTCTTGATCAGTCTTATCTCGCCTTCCTCCACTTCTCTACCCACATCCCTTTCTTTGATCCCATCGTGGTCTAAGATCTAGGGTTATCTAACCTTTGTGTGGAAACTTGTCTAATCCTAATTTATACACACACATACACACACATACTACACACACATACAACCTTCAACATGTCTGATAAGCCTTCTTTCGCCGGCATGTCCGGCAGGAAGCTCTCCCTGTTCGTTTCGACGATCGCCACCATGGGTTTCTTGTTGTTCGGTTATGATCAGGGTGTCATGTCCGGTATCATTACTGCCACCGACTTCGACGATGTCTTCACCGCCACTCAGGGTAACAGTGTCATGCAGGCCCTGATCACTGCTGTCTACGAGGCTGGATGTTTGTTCGGTGCCATGTTCGCCCTATTCACTGCCGATAAGCTCGGTCGTCGTTACATGGTTATGCTTGGTGCCACCATCATGATTCTCGGTGTCCTGATTCAAGTCACCTCGTTTGTCGACCACCTCCCTCTGCTGCAATTCATCATCGGCCGTGTCATTACCGGTGTTGGTAACGGCATGAACACTTCCACCATCCCCACCTACCAGGCTGAATGCTCCCGCACCAGCAACCGTGGTCTGCTTATCTGTATCGAGGGTGGTGTTATCGCCATCGGTACGGCTATCGCCTACTGGATCGACTTCGGTGCCTCTTACGGTCCCCCCGGTCTTACTTGGCGTTTCCCTATTGCCTTCCAGATTGTCTTCGGTCTCGTCATCGTTATCGGCATGTGGTTCATGCCCGACTCTCCTCGCTACCTCATCTCCCGCGGTAAGGTCCACGAGGGTGAATACGCCTTGGCTGCCCTTGCCGGTCTTGAGATCAACGACCCTGAGACCCAGCTCCAGAAGCAGCTTGTTATGGAGTCTATTGAGGCTGCTGGTGTCGCTGAGGGTGCTGGTTACCGTGATCTGCTTACTGGTGGACGTACTCAGCATTTCCGCCGTATGCTTATCGGTTCTTCTTCTCAGATCGCCCAGCAGCTATCTGGTTGCAACGCTGTCATCTACTACCTCCCCGTTCTGATGCAGGACTCCCTGAACATGGATACCTTCATGTCCGACATTCTTTCCGGTGTTAACATGATCATCTACGCTATCTTCGCCACTTTCTCTTGGTTCTTCATCGAGAAGATTGGTCGCCGTAAGCTCTTCCTCGGTGGTATGACCGGTCAGATGATTGCCATGATCATCGTTTTCGCTTGCTTGATTCCCGGAACCACCCAGGCTGCCAAGGGTGCCGTCTTTGGTCTCTTCTTGTACATGGCTGTCTTCGGTGCCACCATCCTCCCCTTGCCCTGGTTGTACCCTGCCGAGATCTCTCCCATCCGCACTCGTGCCAAGGCCAACGCCGTGTCCACCTGCTCCAACTGGCTTTTCAACTTCACCGTTGTCATGATCACCCCCGTTATGATCTCCAGCATCGGCTGGGGTACCTACCTCTTCTTCGCTGCCTGGAACGCCGTCTTCATTCCCATCATGTACTTCTTCTACCCCGAGACCGCTGGTCGCAGTCTTGAGGAGATTGATATCATCTTCGCCAAGGGATTCTGTGAGAAGATCAGCTACGTCAAGGCTGCCCGTGAGCTGCCCCGTCTCACTGATGAGCAGGTCGAGGAGAAGGCTCTTGAATACGGCTTCGGTGATCTTGGCCACCCCGATGACGTTGAGAAGGGTAACCCCAACTCCTCAGGCTCTGAGAACCACGAGGAGGAGGTCCACACCACCACTCTCCACGAGGACTACTAGATTTGGGTTCTCCTAATGTGAAAAGTTACTTTTTTACCTTTTCTGGACAACAGCGCTGTGCGTTGGCCTCGCCATAGTCTCTTTTGGTCTTATGGTTGTGCATATTATATCGTTGTCTGGGTGACGAAAGGCTATTGCCTACGTTATTTCCATATTATGTTTTGTCTTTTTTTTTTTTTTCTTTTGATCATGTTCTCAGGATCAACACCTGGAACCCCCTTTTTTATACCCATTGTTTTGCTGTTTTTAAGTGCAGACTGATGATTTCATGTTCATGTCTGGGTTTATTGACTGGTTTATCTCGGTCGGGCATGGGAATATTTCATGATTTCATGTATATGTGCTTTATGTACTAGAATTATAGACTGACATTATGATGTCCAATTTTTTCTTTTATATTTTTTTTTCTCTTTTATCTTCAAGTTTCGAATTCTCTTAGTATTTTTACAACTGTAAGCCCGGGTTGCCTAAAGGAGTAACCCAAAATAGTAAACAGTCAAACCTCCAGGGCCGAGAACTTAAACCCCGTTTTTGATCCCTGCATACAACATGTATGTCAATAAGTAGCTGCTATGTGAGTCATGCCTTGCGCCTCCAGAGTCAAAGCCTGACTTGCATGAACACGAGTAAGGGAGAAGTACGTGATCAATGGTCGGCTGATCCCGCCTCCAACCTTGGTAACTGTTGCTTTGTTTCGAAACTCAGAGTCACGACTTTCACCTTACACCTTTTTTTTCTTTAGAGCCCTCTTTCCAACTGTGGCTCTCCTTTGTTTATTTATTGCATTCCACTCATCCCAAAATATCCATCTTCACATCTCCATTTATTCACATCTACATATCTTGCATCCAATAGACCATGCCCATAACCACCCGCCCCCACCTCAACCCCGCGCCATGAGCTCCTCCCTCGAGGCTAAAATCGTCGTTTTAGGCGCACAAGGTACCTACTACCCCGCGAGAATAAAAAAAGAACTAAGACCAAAAAAAGAACCACGCTAACACGAACATCCACTTTAATCTAGGCGTCGGAAAAACCTCTCTCGTCCACCGCTACGTCCGTAACTCCTTCAACGATAACACAACCTCCACCGTCGGTGCCTCCTTCGTGACAAAACGCGTCCTGGACACAACATCCGACACGGTTGTCCGTCTACAAATCTGGGACACAGCAGGTCAGGAACGCTTCCGCAGCATCTCGCGTCTGTATTACCGCGGCGCGCACGCGTGTCTCCTGTGCTATGACATCACCGACGAGAACTCATTCTCGGAAATGGCCGGCTGGCTACGAGAGTTGAGAAAGAACCTGGGATCAGAGGGCGATGATGAGACCGGCGCTCCACCTTTGGTTATACATGTTGTGGGGACGAAATCCGATATCGTTGCCATGGAGCCCTCGAAACGGAGGGTTCCCTTCGAGAGGACGATCGCCTACGTAGCTGAGCAGCTTTATCCGACCCGCGCGTCGACACCGCCGCCTTCCGCTGGGATGGGCATGGGGCTTGGGTTCGGCTCGGGTGTCTTTGGGGGCGCGAATTCCGGGGCGGGTGTGAGTGCAGTTGCGGCTGGTAGCGCGGGCAGCGTGGGGGGAATGTCGACCGGCGCACTGCAGAGTCCGGATAGTAAACGGAGCTCTGCGTTCTGGGGCCAGGAGATTGGCTGGGATTGTTGTCATGAGATCTCGGCCAAGGATGGCGAGGGCATCGAGGAGGTTTTCCGGGTCATCACGCGGAAGTTGGTGGAACAGAGGAACAAGCGGGATGCTGATGCTTTGCTCAGTGTTGCGGGTACGCCTGGTCTGACACCTGGTCTTAATGGTCCCTTCACGCCTGGGAGTAATTTTGATGGAACTGGAAGCTTTCGGCTTGGATATGGGGATAAGAGGAGGAGCTGGTTGGGACTCGCGACGCCTAATGCTGGAGAAGTTGAGGAGGCTCGAGTCATGCAGACGGCTCAGCGACGTGGAAGATGCTGCTGATCTTGCTTTCCATCCCCTTTGATCACATCTGATTTGATACATTCCGTTTTGATTTGATTTATGTCCAGATCTCAGATGGTTCCTGCGTTTTTCTTTTCGTCTGGTGATGGGTTCTGGTTTGTTTCTTTGATATCCTGGCGGCCGGCCTTTGATTTTTTTTGCATTTGCATGCAGGCGTTGTTTGATTTCTCGATTAAAGTATGGTCTACATAGGGGTTTATGTTGATTTTACGCGTTCTAATATTGCAGCAAGACCAGTTTTCGGAGATATGGATGTTTTTCGTGTGTTTTTTTTTCTTTGTGACTGGAATGGCATTTGTATGTACCTATGATAAGATTTGAATACTATTAGTAGATCGTGCATTCATTCATAGTACATAGACCGCATGTTATATAGTATGCATAATCGTGTCCACAATTTCCCCAGATAATATGGAGCCCAATGATGATCTGATCTTTATTATGGATCCTGCCATTCCAGAATTGGAATTTATGTAGATCTGTATATGATGTCACGACGTGGGGTCTGGGTGGAGCAGTATAATTTTGGATAGAGCCCCGGAGATCTACCAGTTAGAGCATGGTAATTAGAATAATGCATGCCTGGTCATGTTTGAATTTAGCCTGGGTGTACTCTGCAGGTGTTTGCAACTTGTCACACTCCAAGCGACGGGCACCGTAGAGTCAGCCAATGAGCCACGTGAGCCAGCCATGCATAAATGGATGGTCCAGATTCGCCGACAAGTACAACAATCAGTGCGAGTGTAAGTTTCCAAGCGGTTTGAAGCCTGGTTAGTAGCTTGGACGTCATTAGGACCCTTAATGGTTGGTATTTAGGAGAAGCGCTTGAAGCTTTGGAAATAAGATGACTGTCGTCAAGTGGAGAAGTGAAGTATTGTGAATCAGGAAACGGAAGTTGCCTTCTCCGTGCAGCCCGTTGGCTTGGGCCGCTCCAACAGGGCGGAGCTTTTGGCCAAGTGTGCCTGATTGGCGAGATCTGTCCGAGGTACGTACATAGTAACATGACACTTACAGCCTCAGGTCAAGAGAGACCAACTAGGTCTCAGCAAACATATCTGCGAACGCACTGCTCAATTTGAAGTTACGCGTATTCAGAAGAGCTTTGTTACTTACTTCGATCTTTCCAGTAATTCTCTGTACTTTTCCTTTTTTTCCTTCGCTTTTCTTTTGTTAGCAACTCATTGGTGGCATGTACCGCGCCTCTGATGAGTCGTCAGCCCCGCTGTTCGAGTCCAGTGCCCTGTCTCTACGCGGAACAGGTATTTGACGCTTCTAGTACCCGGGCACATTTTCAGGGTACTGCAGGGGCCAGTCATACATGACCTACCGACCCCCCGACTCAACCTCTTGATTTCGATATTTGGAAGCTTGTTTCCTAGTTGTCCTTCTCTCTGCCGACTCCCCTGTGTTTCTCTTCACGCTCAAGCCCTCCCTCCCAAATGCGCCTATTTACTACCATCATCCAAGCTTACTTGGGCTTAAACACACCCACTTGTCGATTTCAACGCTTGTAATTATCCGTAAGCCCCACGAAATGTCCGGGGCGGAGGTGCTTGCCGTTGTAGCCTGCGTAGCAGCCAGTATGTCTCCACATCCCCAATGCAACAAGACTAACAACCTAACAACCCCGAGTCGTCTCCGCCTACCGAGATGGAAGCGAGCTCTATCAGTCCATGAAAAAGAAATGGGACCGACGACACCCGAAGGAAAAGGCTTCTTCGAATGACCTCGAGCGCTCCTTGATCCGCGGCCAGGAGGAAATCCTCACACACTGGAACGCCCACGTATCACGACTCGGACGCCGATATGAGGAGGGGGATACTATATCGCGGGAGCAGATGAAGGATATTGTGATCACGTTGCAGGGGATGTTATTGACGCATCTCAGTCGTGCGGTTGATAATGGAGTCAGCCTGGATGTTATGGCTGTCTTGCTTGCCTCAGATCATGGTCGGAGCCGTACCATCTCTGTGCTCCATGATTTATACCAGCGGATCGCGCAGTCAGCGCCGAATCAATGGCCGGTTGGTGGCGGTGGGGCTGTTTATGCCACTGTCGATCCCGCTTCGAGTATTGGGTATTATATCCAGTTGTTAGATCAGGGGCGCTCATCGTCGCAGTCAAGAGAGGCGGCGTGGCTGGGTGGTTTTCCTGCTACACCTGTCATGGCTTTTCCGGGTCAGTTATCTGGGCAGCCGGCAGATATTGTTGGTTTATGTAGACACGGTGAGCTGTCTAGTCCACCGCAAGGAGAGAAAAAGTCGTCTGGTTTTGTGACAGCCATTAACTCGCTGTTGGGACATCGTCCCAAGCGTGAAAGTGCTGATCGGTCCTCGAACGGCTCGGTGACACACTTAGTGGCCTCGCCAGACCATACACCTCAGCCTGGTATATCTGTTCCTCAGCGCGCAAACCCGGAGATGATCGTCACAGCAGAACACCCTGACAATGCCGACACGAAGTTCCGGCCCAAGCGACCCTTCGAACGAAAATCTCGTCGAAATCTGTCTGAGATGGATGAAATCACCGACAGTATGACCCGCCAGCTGAAATGGAATCCGTGGACAAATGACGGGAGATCCGAATGTGGGAGAGATTCTGACACCGAGCTGTCAGACGCGGAGGTCTCTCCTACAACAGATGAGCCTCCCAAGCTAGGCAAACGGGAAGATCCGGATCGTCTTGAAAACCAAATCCCGCCTACTTTAGCTCCCCCACCCGCCTCGGTGATCTCCGATCATACCACGCACTCCAGCGCTCCGACCATCCACCTTCGCAGATTATCAAGAGGTCAATACTGGCCCCCAAGTAAAGCCAACAAGTACTCCGGGTTCTGCAAGGGTGCCTGGAAGCTCAGCTCCGGCCTTGGGGGATTTAAGGTCCACTCCGAGCCCGTCGGCTACTATTTCCTTATGCCCAAATGGCGCTGCTACCGCTGTTATTTCGGTATGCCGCTTGCGCCGCGGGCGGGTAGTGACGGACGGGATCTACAATTCGACCAGAAAATCTATCTGGATAAGTCAACGGGGATCCGTTACCGTTGGCCTTTTCTGGCCAAATCGCATCTCCCGTATACGAGGCCTGGAGCGTCGGCTTCGACACATATCAATGGCACATTTGGGTGTATAATCTGTTGTGCTGAACTTGATATTGTTGCACCGACGATGAACTCTTTGGATGAGTTTATGGCGCATCTGGGGGAGCAGCATCGAAGTGTAGATTCGGCTTTGTTGGAGCGGACCCGCTGTGTTGTGGGGAGAGTGGCTTTGGACGAGGAAGATTTTGATATCAACATTCCGCCAGCTCGAGTCGTGACTCTTGAATGATGGATGTTGTTGTTTGTTCTTCAATTGTTGTTTCCAACCTTTATTTTTGAGACATTGGTACTCGGCACTTTTAATGTGCTTTTGGAATCTGGTGTTTTGGCGTTGAAATGTTGGGATTCAAAAAGTGGAAAGTGGTGCCATGGTTTAGTGTGAGGGTCTCGGAAAACCGATGGTCTAAGCTTAAGGCTTCCCGTCGGGGCGTAAGAAAATCAAAATTGCGGTCTGATTAGTTCCTTTTATTTCCCCCCACAGCCGTAGTAGCCCCTGAAAATGAAGTTCGTATGGATGAATTCTGCTACTTGGTTAACTTCGCTCTGACCCTGTGCCACTGAAAAGGGGGCGTTCGTGATCTAAAGATGAAGGCTTATTCTGTAAGCGCTTTAGTTTCCCCCTAACAGCTTTCGCCCGTGTCGCTGGCGTCGCTGACATCAGCCATACACTTGAATGTAGCATTCCCCCTGGCGTGGGATCTTCCCCGGGTAAATGCACAACATCTGTTGTCCCTTGCAGTGTCCAAGACCCAAGCCGTTCGATACTTTTTGACTTTGGTACCACCTGTATTTCTAATGAAAGTAGTGCCGAGTACGGAGTACGGAGTACAACATAGCCTATAGATGATCCCAGCTCAGTTGAGCCCAGTTCCCGTATGGGTCCGCCGCTAAGACCACAAAATGTGTCTGGGCCCCGCTGATCGCAGCTTTCTGACTCCCCGATGTGATTCAACGCGGATTGGTGACTGTAGAGGGTCCAGGGGCTTCGGCGCAGCAATGGATCGGCAGAGGATGAATGTACTGGAAGGTACTGTTTGTATTAGAAGTACATAATAAATATACTTTGACGGTACCTTTGGGGGGATTTGGGCGGATTTGCACCAATCAGAGAGAGACAATTGTGCTGGGTGTATTGGGCGTGTTGGGTTGAACTGGGTCGTTCCTGCCGCAACTGTATTTCACGCGGTTTCCTATTTTGATTTTCGTTTTCCAAACTTCTGATCTGTGACTCTGTACTTCCCCTTCTTTTTTTCTTTCTTTCTATAGTCTGCACCCTAATTCCATCACATCTTTGTCTTCTCCAATTCACTCGCTTCTTTTTTCTCCAACCTATTTTTCATTGTTTTCTGGTGTTTTGTGCCGACGACCCTTTCGAATCCGCTACTCCGCATGAGGACCCGCCAAGTCCGTCCCTGAGATTGATTCGCTTTCTTTTCCTTCCCCTCGATCCGTGGACCTGTGTCTCGGAGAAAAAAAAATTAAAAAATAACACACCTCCTTTCTCTTCTTCCTCCCCCTCAGTTCCCCTTCACTCTCTCTTCAAGTTTGCTTTACGCTTCTATGTTATGAGATGAGGCTCTCACTACGTGTCGGTTTGGCCGCGGCGCTGATCATTTTCGCGCTTGTCCTAATCAACCGTCAACTCCACAAGGTTGGCCAGGCCCCCCAGTCATTCTGGAATTTCGATACCACATCCTTCCGCGCTTCTTTGCGGCCACAACAACAAGCTGTTCAAGATGGTGTCCAGAGGAAATGGGGTATTGGCACCAACAAGAAGCTGGATTTGACCTACAAGACAACCCCGATCGAGGTCCCCAATGAGGGTGTTATTGTCATGGGCAAATTGCGTGAGGAGAACACTGCCTGGGTATCAGCAGAGGTCGCCGAGTACGTCTCCGATGTTTTTTTTTTGCTCCCTCTCATTTCTATTTTTTACCCAATTACCCTACAATTCTCTTCATGTCTCAATGGCTTCCTTCTGGGGCTGTTTGTTCTCCCGTTCAGGGGAAATACAGAGACACCGTGGGACTAGCTTAATCTGTGGAACCACAAAAATACTTACGTGAATTTATCCGCAGATGGCGCAATTACGTTTACACCGTCGATGATACCAACGCTCCGGTACACACTCCCAAGAACAAAGGCCGTGAGGCCTTGCCATACCTCCAATATATCGTCGATCATTATCAAGATCTCCCTCCGATCGTTCTCTTCCTGCACAGTCACCGCGACGGCTGGCCCGGCGCCTGGCACACCGATACCATGGATTACAACAATGTGGACTCGATCCGGGCCCTTCAGCGCGACTTTGTCCAGCAGGAAGGTTTCGTCAATCTCCGCTGTGTATTGTCCCCCGGTTGCCCGGCCGAAATGCAACCTTTCCGCAACCCCCCGAAGCCAGGCAACACTGGTGAATCGCATTATGCGGATGCCTGGAAGGAATTGTTCGGCAACAGTAAAGTTCCCGAGACCATCGCCGCCCCTTGTTGCTCGCAGTTTGCCGTCTCCAGGGATCAAATTTTGATGCGCCCGCTATCTGACTACAAACGCATGTACGATTGGGTGCTGAACAATGACCTGCCGGACGAGGTGACTTCCAACATTATGGAGTACTCATGGCATATTATCTTCGGCAAAGACCCAGTATTGTGAGTTTACTCCACCCCGCAAATTGATTAATTTAATTACTTTGACTAACCCGTTCCAGTTGCCCTGATGTCTTCCAATGCTACGCCGATGTTTATGGCGAGGAAGTCTACGGATTTTAATTTACGCCCCCGCTCCATTTTCCAACCTTCCACTTCTTTTTCTTCTTTTTCTTCTTTCACTTCACTTTACCTTTGTATTCTTTCCACCTTCGATTTTCGACTTCCGACTTTTTATTTTCTCATTTCAATTCCCCCTCTGTATTATTTCCGGGCGGATTTTACTCCATATGGTTAGGGCATTATGAACCGCGCCAATGCACATCTTACGACTCGCTTCACTTTCTGTTTATTCGGGAGCAATGTACATGGAGTTTGAGAACGGCGATCGCGTCATTGCATAGCTTACCACGATCGCATCTGATTGCACTTGAGCAGGAGCAATGTTGCTATGCATGCATATATAAGCAGCGAATAAATTACGATTGAACATCCCTAATTCCAGATGACTGCCTACTTCATAATATCCATAACTCCTCTCTGTTCATCCCACCGATACACGGGCCCACTCCCAACATTATAATGGTAATAATTATTCGTTCCAGCAGGCACAACCGCTTTTCGAAAAGTGATGTTGATTCTTCCCCGCACCGCATCCCCCGCCCGTCCCCGTCTTTTCGGGATACTATGCAACCAATTGGATTGTGTGTCACCCCGCATTACCACCATATCGCCCGATGCGAGGGGCATTTTGATCTGCTGAGGTGCGGCTGCAGGTCCTTTCATCTGCGTCTGCAATTGCATCGGCCCATATGCTCGAGGCTGTGAAACCCCATGTTGAGAATCGGTCGTACCGGAGCCTGGGGGTTGGGATTTCGCTGTATGACTCGGGGTAGTTGTTTCGGCCGGGGACGTTGCAGCCGTGCTACCGATATCCGAAACGGTCTCACTGTTTGCCATACCAGCACTTTTGCCGCCATTCTTGATGCCATTCCCCGGCCCGAATGGATATGAGCCTGTTGTGGGGGGAGGTTTGTGCTTCATCACAAACTCCCTCTCCCCGCCAAGCGATAGCGAAGCAATATTCGGCTGATCGCCGAGGAATCGTTCATCATCTGAGTGAAAGGATATGCTATCCTCGCCACTGGCGTAGTAATTCACTAAACAGAAGTTATAGCGTGCGCCTGTTGCGGCTTCGACTTGTTGGCGGAGTATGTCGAGGCATGAGGGTATGGGTCGTGGTTTGTATTGGTATTTTGTTGGAGAGATGGCGGATTTTGTTTCGGCTTGTATAAGGATCAAGTCGTCATGTGTTCCATCTGGGGTTTGATCTGCATTGGTGTTTGGGTCTCGGTTCTCCGCTGGGTCCTTGGGGCAAGACCCTGCAGGCTCGTTCTTATGCACAAATCGGGCTGTATCATCAACCCCGAAAACAGTCGTGAAGCGAGGTGTGTTTATGGACGTTTCGACTCCACCCCGCTTAATCGAGTACTGCACACGGTAAAATGGGAGTTCCCGACGCAAGAACTTGAACAGCTCGTTTGCCGTCTGCCGGGCGACGTAGGGCTGAAAGTGTAGCAGGTCGAGGTGAGGTTGGTTGTTTATATTGCGTGCTTGGCGCGCTGGTGTGCCATGCTGTATACCGACATCGATGTGGGAGGGCAGTTGTGGGATTGGGATTGGGTAGGTTGGATGGTTATCTGGTATGGCTTTGTTGGGCTCATCCGTCGGACTGGTACCCGGTTGATTGGACTGCGATTGCGATTGCGGTTGCGGTTGAAGCGCGGGTTGGTCGGTTTTGATTCGTTTCTCGGTTGGAACTGGTGGGGAGATGGGCTTGAAGAAGGACTCTAGGGTTCGTTTGGCCATGGCGCGTGGATTGGGATGGATAGTGGGCGGACGCGTTCTGGGTGCAAAATAAAGTGATGCGTGATGTCATGCCGTGCGGGTCAGACAGCGATCCGATCTATGATTTCCCGATTCGATGGAGCCATCGCCTGGGAAGAGCTTTTGGTGCTGATGATTTGATAGTAATGCATTATTTTTTCAAGAGTAGTGGAGAGCTTAGGATTTTAGATTTGGTGATATGTAGCATACTATGTATACTTGTAAACATCCATGGATGTTTGTTGGATGATAACCAAAATAGCTTCACCTGAGGTATCCAACATTCAGATATGCCGGCGGTCAATCGAAGTGCAAATCAGCAATTGGTCATTTCACCTCCGCAAATTGCTCTAGACCCAGATACAATCTCTCAAACACCCCATCATACCACCCCATAACCTCTTCCCACTCAGCAGAAGGCAAAGTCACTTTCATCATCCGCAACCACCCCCCAACGATGCAATCCGCATAACTGGATCGGTGCCCAAGGATAAACGGCCCACTCTGGTCCTGATTCAACAGTGTGGCCAAATCAGCAACTGCCTCCCGAAACGAAACCATCATCTTCACCCTATCCTCCTCTCCGAAAGAAAAGTTCTTCGAGGACGCACCCCCAGACCGTCTCGCAAACTCCGCTTGAATCCCCTCCATCTGTGACTGCTCGAATGGCATTCCGCCCGCCATTAGAAGCACATGCGCCGTAAATGCAGCATCAATGTTGGTATTAAATCGCACATATTCGCCGAATTCACCCTCATCGCGCTCCGAGAGGGGCACCATCAACGGCGTTTGAAGTGCGTATTTGAAATCAAGTTTTTGGGCTGCGAATAGATCCGCACAAGCTCCAGAATTGGGATACTGCTTTTGCAGGTAGAGAGCGATATCAAAGGAGTCACCGACTACGGCATTGGTAGTTGAGTCGGTAAGCATGGGGAGAGTGTAGTAGTCGGTTCCATCGGCGAACTTGCGACATGCCGGTGCGCCGACTTTTTGGCGGATATTTGAGATTTCTAGCATTGGGACCCAGGTTGTCTTGTAGGATATTCCCTTCATGTTTAGGGCGTAGCGCGCCTTCCATGGGTTGGGGGCTGAAGTTGATTTTTCGTATGGCTGGCTGAATGCGATGTCGTAATAGACGACCGCGGGTGAGGTGTCGGATAAAGCCATTGTGTGATTGAGAGAGGTAATTTTGGGTGACTTCGGTGTCGATTTTGTGTGATTTGTTGGAGGATGATTTTTGGGGATTCGGCTTTGGGTTTATATGGACAAAAGCTTGAAGGTTGTCCTTGCTGCAGGGTCCAGTACAATCTGAGACATGATGAGGGGGCGTGAGCCATTGTGAGTAATAGTGGGGGCGATCGGGAAATTCACCAATGAAAATAACACCTGGTGATTGAGGGGAGCATTGAGACTCGAGAGTCGAGAGCAGAGTACGGCGGTCCACTGAATACAATAGGGGGGCCATATCTATTGATCCATTTTTTACCGCCAACTCGGCTTTGGAAGTCAAGATAGTGGGTAAAGTGTCAATGGCCTTTTGGTGCTTTGATTAGCCAGAAAATCTAAATAGACTTTTGCCACACCAAGCGGTAATAATTCCACAACCTTTTCTGGAAAGTTGGAGTATTACGCGCGGTCTGAAACGCCAAGACCAACCGTGGTTGGCCCGCCTGCCCTCTCCCCAAGGAAACTTGCGTGCAATTATCAACTGCTGCAACATAGTAGTTGCAAACACCTGAATAATTCACCAACTTGACCACCATTCCCATAAAAACACATATTCTAGAGCTATACGTTCATAACGTCTACTAACGAGTATGGTCAAAAAATAAATTTCAATAAAGTCTCATGCTAGCAGTACATACACGGTCATCTCCAGTTTTCTCAATCAATACATAAATCATCTACAGCGCTTCCAAAGTTTCCAGGCTGCCTTATATCAACTTCCAAGGTCTCCTCTAAGTCACCCAATTACTGCCTCACAAACTGGGTCTTGTGCGACTTGTACAGAGTGCTGCTATCCAAAACATCACCAGTCGAGGACTGAATGAAGTCAATCTGCAGGTTTTGCTCATCCAACAACTTCAGCGTAGCATAGCTGTAATCATCCGCATAAGCGAACTCAGTGTAGTCTGGCTCGGTTCCAACGGAACTCAATCCCTCAATGTTACCCGCACCACCGGCAATAATGTACATGGTAGCCTTGGGGTCAGTCAAGTTCGCCGAATCAACAGTGCCGTTGTAAATGGGGGTGAATCGCTGCGAGTTGTGGACGTGTCCGAACACACCCAAATCCACACCGTACGTGTAGAACAGCTCTTCAAAGGCATCCTGGCAGGAATCACAGATGTTGTCCGAGTCACCGGTGCTGTACCACGGTCTGTGGCCAGCAACAATGAGCCAGGGGGTAACAGTGCGGTCAACGCTAGCCAGATCAGCCTTGAGGAACTCGAGTTGCTGGCCAGACTTGCCGAATGGACCACTGTCGAGATCAGCGGAGCCATCTGTGCCATCCGGAGCATCGGTGAAGTCGGTCTCGGTGTTGATCATAACGATGTGAGCCATGCCGTACTCGAACGAGTACCAGAATGGAGGCAGGGCGTAAGATTGCGCCTGAAGGGCCAATGCCTGAGCCGTTGTGTTTGTGGACGACGACGTGAATGGGCTAGGCATGGTGTTTTCGAAGCGGTGCATGAAATCGGTGAAGTTCTTCTGGCCTTCGGGGCAGAGCTCGAGAAGGTACGGGATCTCGGAGCAGTCCGCCTCGTGGTTGCCCGGGCTGGCCATGTAAAGCTTGCGACCCGCGATGGGAGCCAGTTGGTCGTAGAACTGCTCCAGGATGGATTGGTAGGCCTCGGTGCCATCCAAGAGGTTTGAGATCTTCTCATACCAGTCGTCTGCGTAGGCAAAGTCACCGGGGTGGATAACGAACTCATAGTCGTCCACGGTCTCAGCGAGACGACCAATGGTCGTGTGGTTCAACTCGGGCTGCACGTAGGGAATGGTATCCTTCTTGGAGCTGGTAGACGAGATGGTGAAACCATCCGCACCGTAGACTCCCAAATCAATCACAACATCAAGATTGAATGCGGTCTTGTCTCCGGGGGTACGGGGACTGAAGAAGTGACCCACGGTGGAGTTGGTTGAGACAATCTTGTAGTAGTAAGTGGTGGCTGGGGTAAGATCGGTCAAAACGACGGCATTGGACCATGTCCGCGAGGTCGAATAAGTGGTTGAGCCGGTGCTGGAGCAAATTTCGGTGCTCAAGTCATCCTCCGAGGTACCGTAGGTCACACAAGTAGAGTTCAATTGCTCATATGTGTTCCATCCAACGGAGACAGCTACAGAAGTTAGCATATGATTCTTTTTTTGGTCAATCACATATGATGTAGTCTCTCACAGTTGGGTCCATAGATTGCCAAGCGCTGCTGGACTGGGGTAGTCAAGTCTGAAGGGATGGTAGGATAGTTGACGCTAGCAAGAGTGCCTGCAGCCAACGCTGGCAGAGTCTTGAGGAAAGTGGTGAACCCGACCATTTTGACTTTGATCTTCCAGTCAAATCAATAGCTGCCAAATGAGTTATCGAACCAAAAAACGACATGATAGCCATGTCGATCTCCCTTTTATATGGCAGTGATTGAAAAGTTGCATGTGCACAATTCTTTCAACTCCTGCATACTGCATGCCGAACAGACCAATCACTCGGAAGTTGGAAGCCACGCCTGAGTTTCTTCATTTCGTCGACTGTAGATCTTTCGTCACCCGCCATACTCAGCAGGCTTAACGCCGGATGATGGTTCTGTTTATGGGATCGCTTAGATGCACTATTAAGCTTCCGGTCATCGGACCATAATATTGTCCCGAAGCACGTGGAGCCTGCGGGGATCGTGAATCGTTCAAAGTTGGTACCTGACCAATGACTAATGCCAACACTTTCATTCGGACTTTTTCTTGAGTGGATCCAAGTAGATTAATTTGCATTGGACAACCTTGTTCTGATCAGACTATTCTCGTTTGGTGTGCAGAAACTAATTCAAACGGTACACTATTCCCATTGCTTCCTGACCTCCGAACCCACAAAACCCGCAACTCCGACGGTTTATTGTGAGACACCGTCCGTTTCGCCGATCCTCACAACATACTTGACAGCTGAAGCTTTTCCGTCGGCGAGCCCCTGTAAAGCCCCCTGGAGTCCACCTAGTCCACCCGGGCGTACTTCATAAGGGTGTCCAGAGAACCAGCCACCCGCCAGGCCCCGACCGATGAACGGGTAAAATGCCGCGCCAAACTCGCGATCTTCAATTGTCAACCCCTCAGAAGGAGGCATATGAACTGTACCGACCATGGTTCGGTGGATGACAATTTTGTTGTCGTCGTTTTCGCCTTCACAGGGCAGCACTGTGGTAATCTTGCCCGGGGCTGTCAGGGTAGCGCGGAGGTTTTCCCAGCTGCCCTTCTCCGAAACTGCATCATAGGCGTGGTGAATGGGCTTCCCGCCAGCGGCAGCCTTGATCTGTGCACGGATGGCCTCGTCACCTTCGCGGTAGTCGATGATGGTGTCGCCCTTGCTGCGGTCAATGAGTGTCTCCACAAAGGAAGCTCCCTTTCCGGCGACCACGATAAGTGGGTGGATGTTGGAGAGACTGGCGAACTTCAGGGCAAATGCACCGACAGCGGAGGCTCCGCCGTAGACTACCAATGGGATTTGCTCCTTGGTAGGATTCCAAGGGAGCGGTAGGTCCAATCTCTGGTATAGACCAACCGCGGCAGTCATGGCCGCCAGGGGCAGAGTCGCGGCCTCTGTTTCTCACTTTAACTCTTGTCTAAATTTTGAGACTGGGATTGACAACATACCTTCAAAACTGGTCTTGGCAGGAATGTGGAAAGTAGTGTGGGCTGGCGCAATCGCATATTCCGCATAGCTTCCATCGGCGGTCATCATCTCGTGGAACGCAGCCACCTTATCTCCTTTGGCGAAGCCAACTACTCCCTCTCCAACAGCCTCGACATAGCCGGCAATATCATCTCCCTCGTTGGCACCCTTGGCGTTTCCGGTCCAGCGCGGGAGTTTCCAGTCCTTGGGGTTGGTGCCAGACACCACGACCCGGATAAGGACCTGGCCCTCCTTGGGGACGGGGATCTCCGTCTCCCGGATTGTGACGATAGTGTCCTTGTCGACGAAAGCTTGCTTCATTTTTAATTGCAAATTAAATCAATTGATTGTATGAGTACTAGAAAGCGCAGATTTTTTGTGGCTTTATGCACCCCGGAATCAGATTTTATTTGTCAGATTGTGAAGAATCGCTAATCAAGAGTTCTGCAGGGTTCTGCACAAATATGCATGAATCTGCATAAACAAAGGTGATGATCTGATATGACGTCATTTAACTACATCTTTAACCAGATGGATTTGTCATCAATTTGACAACTCTTGACACTACTATTGTATTGTCTTAGTCTGTCTACCATTCCATCACTCCCTGTTGCACAATAATCTTCCCCATAGAATCGTCCCTCTCGCCCTCCACGACCTTCCTCAACAATTGTCCCCCAATACTTGGGTGCTTGGCTCCCATCGCAATTGCCAATTCAGGCACACCTCCCAGATTGGTTGCCAGCATTCCTGGACCCACGCAACACACTTTCACGCCATCCGCCTTCAACTTATGGCTCCAGTCTAGCATCATCATGTTCAAAGCAACCTTACTGCAACGATACCCGATAGTTTCAAAATCGATATTTTTGGGCCACCCGGCTGGCTGAGGGGGCGTGGGGAAATATGACTCTGCAGCTTGGTTGATAGCGGACAGACCGGTCACAAATATCAGGCGAGGATCAGCTGACTTGAGCAGAAGGGGGATGAAAGTTGCAGTCATGACGTTTGTCCCAGCGACATTCACATTGTAGGCATTGTTGAAACATTCGCGAAGAGAAACTCGATCGGCAAGGTATTCCAGATCGAATGTTGCACCTAATCTGATTAGCTAGGAACTGGAACGGAACCTGTGCTTGAGTTTTTCTACTACTACTTACCGGCATTGTTGATAAGTGCATCGATGTGACCTGGGCCAGATTTCACTTTCTGAAATGCACTCTCGATGGACTCATCGCTTGTCAAATCGACCTGGAGTGATTCAACTCTATTGGTCGCGGAAGGACATTCATTTTTGAGCTTTTCGATGGCCTCGTCTGCCTTTGCTAGTGACCTGCTGCCCATGAAAATGTGATAGGGCTTTTCGCTTTCAAACAAGGCTTTCACAGTCTCATACCCAATTCCACCGTTCCCGCCAGTGATAAGGACGATCTTTGGGGTCATATTAAGGATATTATTCATGGTTCAGGGAATTATCGTTTTGAATTATTCCAAAAGTTATAGTTATAGCCAGATTTACAATAATACTTGGCTTATTTATACATCTACTGGCTCCGCATCTGTTCAAATTCCCACTCCAAATACCGATACTTCCGTTGCTACAGTTGTCTGGTTCAGTCAGATCGGGTTTAAAGCTTGGCGACGGAGATAAGTCTTTGCTTCGGGGTTAACAGCCGCCTGGGTCGACTGGGCCTGGGCTCAGGGCTGGGACCAATCTTGCCCATGGGGAAGCCTTTGCTGCCTTTCCCTTAGCTCTCGTTCAGATATCAAGCATCACGAAGTTTGCATGTCAGAAAAGTGTGGCGCATATCACACAATGGGCGGGATTTCAAATACCCGTTGTCCAGGTACCTCGGCTAAGCATGAAGCTACTGGTTCGATCAAGCTAGTCTCCCCAGAGCCCCTCATTTTCGCCCTCCACGGGGGCTGCTTCTTCGATTCGTCTCTAAACCCCAACTTTGAACTTACCAGCATTAACCTTCCCTGATCGCCCAATCGGAATCAAATCAACTTTCATTTGCTTGAAATTTCTCTGTTCACCGGAGCCACCTTACACCCGTCATTGCCCTGACACGACTTCCACAATGGCACCTACACTGCAACTCGCATTCACCTTGCATGTGGACCTCTCACCATCTCTTGAATTCGGAGATACACACTGTGGCTCCCGGCGATTCATCCCTATTACTGGAGGCACCGTTGAAGGTCCAAAGCTAACGGCCACTATTGTACCTGGGGGCGGAGATTGGAACGTACTCAGAGAGGATGGGATTACGCATCTCTTTGCCAAATATACGATTCAATCATCCGATGGGGTTTTCATCAGTGTCACGAATGAAGGATGGATTCGCAAATTTCGAAAAGAAGCTGGAGAAAATGGGACCAAGAAGATCCCAGAGGATCAGTGGTATGCGAAGACCAGTCCACGATTTGAGGTTCAGGAAGGCGTTCACGGTTGGTTGAATCGGACTGTCTTTGTGGGCGAGCTTCGCAAGCCGAGTATTCCGAATCACGTCGTTATTGATGTGTATTCGGTTGAATAAATGGAATAAATGGAATATCGAAGATCGCGTCCTCGGATTCTGTGGCAAAAATAATTGTCCATGAGGGAGAACCTGGAGAAGTGCAATCATTTGGGTGGTCCCTACTCCCGTGTTTTCTATTGGTTGGCTCCTCCTGAATTTCCTATTGGTCTAGGAAGGGAGTGTACTAGTGTACTAGCATCCACTTTTGTTAGCGATGAGCTGTAATCGCAATTGTTTCTCTCTACAACTCCTTAATGCAGAACCTCCGCATTTGAACTCGGCCTTTTCTTCGTCATGCTTTATAATTTCGCTCCTCTGCAGTCGGGGCCCCTGGCAAAGCGAAGGAAAGTGCGACGAGCATGCGAATTCTGTCGCGAGCACCGTGTCCGCTGCGATGGCATGTTGCCATGTTCACAGTGTATGGCAAACAAGGTCAAGTGTGTCAAGCCTAATCCCTTGCACCTCTTATCGGCGCCTCGTTCGGCTAGACCACAGCATATCCGCCCATCTGTGCTCTCCTGTACTCCAACTCCCCAGTCAGTGGCCTCGCCCGCTCTGGTTGATTTACCAAGGGACCCGACTCATGTAGTCGCCCGCCATCCGGACTGTCTCACAGGCTTTATCTCGCGGATCAACTCATTTTGCTCTGTAGTCTCACAAATCTCGACACAAACATCTCCAGACTCTAATGTAGTAATCTCTGCTGAGACCTCATATTCGACTCCGGATTTGATTCAAGATGCAGAACAGACCGCTGCGCGACCGAGCCCATCAGACTTGCCAGACCTTCGAGAAAGACTTTCAGAAATCTTTTGGGCTCGTTACCTGCCATTAATACCGATTTTGACTCAAACAGACGTACTGGATGTTAAGCCAGACCGAAAGCGAGAGCCTTTGCAAAACGCTCTGATGGCGTACTGTCTGCAATCAATCTTTCATGCTGGACTCCATGATCGACTTTTGGGCATCAGTGCAGGAATTAGTCATGCCCAAGAACCCTCTTCCGACAAACGGCAGAGCCCCCTTGTGGCTTTATTTGTCTCCTACTTCCAGAAAGCCTTGGCGGCAAACAGTCACTACCTCCTATATGCCGAACCATCTGTGTCGGACGTCCAGCGCCATATTCTGATGGCCTTATTCCTGCTGAACTCTGGGGAGGTACTGGCCGCATATAACATTATAGGGGCGGCTGTACGACTTGCACAGTCGCTCGACCTGCATAAACTACCGACACCCCCTGTTATGGCGAAAGAGGCAGATATCTGGGGCCGCGTATGGTGGATGTTAGTTCATCTCGATTTTCGCTGCTCGAGATATCTGGGTAAACCCATGGCTGTTTCTCTTAGAGACACTGCACTTCCTTTGCCCAATTATCATCCCTCCGTTGACCAGAAAACCTCGGAGTTGGTCTTTCACTCAGCCACGATCACGCTAACAGTGGTTGGCAAAGGAGTTGCCGAATCGTTGGCGGCTCGCCACGATAAAATTAATGGGAATAACTTCGTTCCACAAATCGAGTTGTCTGCGGAACATCTCACTCATGAAATCGGTCCCTTGTTCGAATGGAGAGATCTTATCGTAAAGGTGGACCCATTCAAGAACTTGATGCTTGACGGCAGTGTCAATCACCCTCAGACACACCCAGCTGAGGGAAGATTTCAATATCGTGATGATGCGTGGGTGTACGATCAACCATTCACTCGCACCTTAGAGCAAACACTGCTCGAACTCCAATTTCATGACATTGTCATTTGGTTTCATCGCCCATTCATACAATTTCCCAATCATGGCCTGGTCCCTCAACGCAGCCCACGAGCTGACATTCATGCGACAACAGCTCTACAACATGCTCTGAAAGTCACCGAGATTGTCCACCGGCGCATGCTCAACCACGATGCTCTTCATGGATGCTCCGACGTATATCAATACGTCTGGAATGCAGTCCTGACTCTCATAGGCTTTCTATTGGCTTATCCTTTATGCTACTGGTGCCCCGTCGCTCGAAAACACCTCGAGCTATCCTGCCAAGTTTTTGACTCTGCCAAAACCTCAAACCCCTGTGCATCTCGGGCTACCCACCTGACTCGTTACCTCCTCGGTCGCGTAGATGCTCTCATAGAAGTACTTAATGCGCAAGCTTCTGCATCTAATTCGCATGCCCATTCGCCGGCTCGCGAGAAAGTTGCAGAAAGTCGGGATCGAGTGGAATTGGAGCAGTTCTCCGAGCCTGACTTACCTACCTCTGGGGCGGATGCTTTATGGTCCTGGGCTGAAACGGTAGACCCCAAGGCTTGGTCGGGGTACTGCGATGAAATCAATGATCTATTAACAGCTTTCCCTGAGATACCTCCAGGTACGGACTATTTTCCTCTTTAACGACAAAGTCAAGTATATTCCAGCTAGCTTGCCTTGGTATAACTTTTGTTTCCTTCACATAATTTTTGCATATACAAGAATTTCATAGCACATTCAGATCCGTATCACACCAATGGTGATCGGAGTGTTCAAACGAATTGACCAATTTTCAACTTATTCGAAGAAGAGAACTCAGACTGGCGGGTCTCCAATTCTTCCAAATCCCAGTTGACGGATAGGTGGCGGCCGCTAAGATACTCGGGGCGTTTAGCCGCCAGGTATACCGTCACAGCACCAGTGAGCTCAGCTATGTCAAAGGTTAAAACGAAAGCGTTAGAAAAAACAATCTCTGAAGGAAGTGAGACATATTGCGACATACCTGTGTCCTTGGCAAATGGTTTGAACGAATCCAGCGTCATGCTCGTCAAGACAATACCCGGTGACAGACTATAGGCCGTGACGTGGGGGTTTTCGACGGTGACAAACTCAGTTAGCTTGGCCACGCCTAGCTTGCTGATGAAGTAACTGCTCAGTGTCGGAGGTGTCAACGCGATTGTGCTGATCAGGTTTACCACCGTGGGCTTAACCTCTGGTGTTTGTGCGGTCAAACGCAAGAAGGCCGCGGTCACATGGTATGTACCGCGCACGTTGATTTCAAAGTCGCTCCACCAAGTGGCTGAATCGGATTCCGCAATCGGGGCACCAGGCGCAAAAACTCCAGCGTTGTTGACTAGGGTGTGAGCCGTTCCGAATGTGTCTTTGATGGCGTCGAAGCTTCGGGACACGGCCTTTTCATCAGCAATGTCGGTGGGAAGCGTGAGAATCTCGACCGAGGGGAACTCTGCTTGGATGATGCTTTTGGTCTCCGCTGCAGAGGACTCGGATAAGGTAATGAGGACCAATCCCTTCACGCCAGACTCTGCGTGGCTTCGTGCAATTGCCTAGAATACAGAATTAGCAGAGGAAGTTCAATCTTCGTTTTGTTTGCCAAGTGCCCACTCACTCTTCCAATTCCCTTTCCTGCGCCTGTGATAATTGTCACTTTGTCTTTCTGAGAGAATTCTGGCTTGGATGGGTCAATGGCAGGGTAGACGTCTCGGTAGTAGGTTTTGGTGATTGAACCCTCTCGGGAAAATTGATCAGGGTCAATAGGAGGGTCAGACATGGTGTTGAAATAGGGATTCAATGAATACTGAAGTGCTGGGGTTATGGAAGAAAAAGCTCGTGCCCCTCAACGATTATATAGGAGGCTATTGATTACCCCTCCAATATTGAACTCAACATTGTAGGCTATCTTCAAAAAAATGTTAGTCAATTATTATAAATCATGTTGTCCAACTTCCATCCCGCTACATTGGATCTTTACTTGCTCCACCCTTGATGGCGTTGGTCACTAGTGCATAGTGGCATAGCTCCACATGATCTAACCAAAGGGAGTAATAGTTACTCCTTTGGGTATTCTGCTGCACGCTACTTATCGTTTTGACTACATACTAACATACTAACATTGAAAAAGTCTACTACTGTTCTGGACCGAATAGGAACTTTGAAGTGGAAACTTTAACTTCAGCCTTGGAATGAAGCCTTGGAGCCTTGAGAGAACCGTACAGTGAGCTCCTGCATTCATTATTCGGAACTATGTCAGGTGTATGGATGGAGGGTTCAATGTTCCTTGAGAACTAGTACTACATATGTGATTGATTCTCCAGATGTCCAAGTGGTGCATCGATCTCCGTAATATACATATATGTTTCGCATGGAAATTATGTAGTACACACACTTGTATACATACTTTGCGTTCTCGAAATTTTGGACTATTTCTGAGCTGTTGAGAATATGATTCTTAAATTTGTACAGAAAATCCAGGCTTTCCATAGCTTGAAAGAGCACTCTTTGCAAGACAGTACTATAGACTCTAGTTTGAAGTGTTTGAGCCATTTGCTCTATTTGCTCTGTTTGCAGTGGAGAATCCATGTGAGAATATGTATGACGTCAGCACTTGGAGTTCCGAGGTCTGAAGTAGCATCTCCACAACGTACAAGGCAACAGCCAGAAACAAAAGAACAATGGAGAAGAAAAAAGGAAAAAGTTAAAGGAAAACTAATGATGGGGAAAAATGCAACGGATCTCTCTACATGTTCTCGCAATGGATTCCTGATCTTCTAGAACCCCATCCTCATGGCTCCGCCCTTGTTCATCGCGCAAGAGGCTCTGTGCTTTTACCCCATCAGCACTATTTACGACTCATGCCCACGGTACCTCTTTTATGCCCTACTACTGGCTAGTTGTGTTACCCGGTGGACGGGATGGCTGGCAAACGTGTTCCTGGGAGCCGCTGCCACATATGCAGGCACCGCAGCTATAGAAGCCTTCATCTTGTTGTCAAGTCCCCCCAAGTTACAAGAGCCTGTCCCTGTCACGATTTCCTATCTCGCAGAAAACAGCACACTATGGGACAGCTTCCCACAGCTGATCACTCAGACAGACCAAGTTATCCTTCAGCCCAGTGCGCTCGACCTTGACGGCGATGCCGTCATGGCAATAGTAGTCACCGGCTACCTCGTCTTCCTCCCACTACAATGCTGGTCTCGTGTGTTGACTCAGGACAGAGCTCGGAATCTCCTCTTCTATCTATGGAATATTTTGATGCTGGCCGGATCTATCTGCGCTCTTGTATACGCTGTGAACAAAAGTGAAATCCCGACCCAGTACATGTTCTGCTACCCTGACATTCCTCCATATGAATCAACCACCAGCGATGGGTGGCAGGACTCTTGGAGAACATCAACGTGGAATACCAGTGTATGGGAAACATTCTCAAACATCACAAAATGGGGGGAGATTGGCGACATATGCTACAACCCTTGCTTCAATACTAGCCAGATCTTACGAAAGCCATCCATGTTACAATCATGGGTCGCAGAAAAGGGATCTGAGGTCTCACATGGGAATCGCTTCTGGGACAAACTTATCTACTCAAAGCGGTACATCTACAGCCTGATTATCTTGTGCTTCGTTTTGAATTTCATCCTGTTGACTTTCAAGTTCCTGCCATACAAGTCGAGAATTCCATCTGCTCAGATTGTGGTCATCTGGAGAGCAAGAAAGGATATTTGGAGGAGTTTTAAAGAAGAGCTAAAGCAATCACTGTCGGCCTCACCCATCAATGGAGTGGAAAGGAAGGAAATGTCAAGTTTTGGCAAGCCCGCGTCCCGCTGGAATCGCATTCGACCCTTTTTCACCCTTCGCTTCCTCAAGGCATTTCTTCGACTACTAGCCGACTTGGCTATTCTTTTCGGCTTGCTATTCAGTATGATTATCAGCCCACTGACAATCATCGGGTTCGTCGCATGGATCGAATGGTGGATTCATAATGATGGCCCATCGCAGGAAAATCCACAACAGGTTGGGCAATGGTCATATCTGGTTTCCATAGCGCTTCTGGTCATATCCGCCGCCATTTTAACGTTGAAGTACCGAATAGCGTCGGTGGCAGAACTTGACTGTGAGATAGAAACATTGAGAACACACCTTCACAACTTGGAGGAGAGGAGAGATGCGCGAGTGGAGTCTGAGAGAACTTCATTGACGGCAGAGAATAATATAGGCCCGTGATGACAGTGCCTCGAAGGTTCACGCTAGCTGAATAAACATCAAGGATGCCGATTTTTCGGCTCCTACTAGCTACTAACTAGTCTCGACGGTGAAAACGTACTTTCCACTTTCCCCGCAAAATTGATCATTTCCCTCGTATTAGTTTAGCGTTTCCGTGTCGCTAGCCTTTTCCAAGAGACTATACCTCTTCTGCCGTCATCTCCAAAACCAGAATGTTTCTTACCACATCTCAACATTGAAGCTATATTAAAAACTAATTACATCAGACACTTTGGCGTCTCCCGTCATCTGCCAAGCGTGCGGGGATGACTATCGTTTACAATTGATTGGTGCAAGGATCGGCAATACCTCCCAAATTGGCCTACCAAAGCGCGATATCAAATGTTGAAGACATGGGATTCTTGTAAGATGAAGTTTATTAAGTTGAATAAGTTGAATCTTGGGGCTCGCTTACAGAGTATATGCATCATGTGATGCATGTCAAAGCTCATGTTACATCCCTTGCTAACAACCATCGGTGATCCCCCTCTTCGTCGGTACAGAAAACAGGGCTTATTTAGCCCGGAAGAACTTTCCTTTTGCCTTTGAATTTAGAGTCTGGTGTTCACATGTGCACTCACCCTCCTAGTCATTATGGGTGATTCTGTCGTCAAACATACTCAACAATTCCTCGAAGACGTGTCTCCAACCAGTACAGGTACACCGCCTCTCACTCACAACAAACACACTCCGTTATGGCAACTCCTGAAGCGATGGCCAAAAGTGGTAATTTACTGCCTTGCACTAAGTTCAGCCATCCTTCTCTATGGCTACGACCTAGTAATTGTGGGGACGGTATCCGCCATGCCAGCATTTCAGTACGTTCCAACCCAAATAAAGTATGAACATCACAGCATCTAACCTTGGAACGAGAGCAGACATCGGTTTGGCGAGAAGCTCGGAGCAAAATATATCATTCCGTCCATGTGGCTGTCATTGTGGAATGCGGCTAGTCCGATCGGCATGATGGGAGGATCAATCTTCGGCGGTTATTTCCAAGATCGGGGTGGTCGTCGACTGGCTCTTGCGATTGGCAGCTTTCTTTCTGCCATCGCCGTTGCTATGTGTTACGTCGCTGACTTACCTGATGATATGGAATCGCGTCGTGGGCTCTTCCTCGCCGGAAAGCTGTTTCAAGGAGTCTGTATTGGCATTCTGCTCTGCGTTGTCCAGACTTACATGTCTGAGGTCCTGCCTGTCGCTCTCCGTGGTCCGATTATTGCATTTTTGCCGATTTTTACATTGCTTGGTCAACTCCTTGGTGCTATTGTTGTCTATGTCTCCCTTCAAAGAGAAGGAGCACAGAGTTATCGGATTTGTTTTGCATCACAGTGGCCCTTTTCTGCTGTTCCGCTTTGTCTCTCCATACTCTTGCCAGAGAGCCCAACATGGTTGCTGAGAAGAGGCAAGCCCGAAAAAGCGCTCAAAGCTCAGAAGAAATTGGATACTGTACAAGTCGACTCTGCTGCGGCTATCGAGGAGCTGCATCTATCGATTCTAGCCGAGGAGGGAGAAACTTCCTCCTTTGTGTACATGGACTGCTTCCGAGGGACCAATCTTCGGCGAACATTGATTGTCTGCTTGGCTAGCGCTTTGCCTCAGCTTTTCGGTCTCCAATTACTTGGAAATGCTTCTTACTTCATGGAAATAGTAGGAATGGGGTCGACAAACAGCCTGATTTTCCTCATTCTTGGCATTGGTCTCGGTCTGATCGCGAATATCGCTAGTATATGGGTTCTAAACTCATTAGGTCGACGATCCTTGTGCATGTTTACACTGGCAGCTGCTATGGTATTGTGGCTAGGTATGGGGGTTGCTGGATGCTTTGAGGGGGTTGTTACTATTTGGTATGTACACCCGATACAAGTGTTATATAAGATGCTAACCTCCTTTACAGGTATACCGCAGTCACAATGATGATTGTCATTATGGTCTGCGGATTAGGAATTTGGCCAGCCTCACACGTCGTTGCTGCTGAGACTTCGTCATTACAGTTACGGGGGAAAACGCAAGGCATTGGCTGGTTTGTCAATGGTATTGCGACCGGTGTGTTTTCCATCATTCTGCCTTATATCTACAACACAGACGCGGGAGATCTCAAAGCAAAAACGGGATTCTTCCTGGCGGGGGTGGCTGCCATCGCAGTTCTTTTGACCTGGCTATTTATTCCAGAGATGAAAGGCAGATCGCCCATGGATATCGATCGTATGTTCTCATTGAAGCTTCAAACCAGAAAGTTCAAGGGCTGGACCAGTGAAAGTGTTTCTGAGAAGGTTGTTGGTACACCGGAAAATAGCGAGCGTGTATAGACCTCTCAGCTTGCTGAGGAAACAATTTATACCTGACTATATAACTAAAACTACCAATCACACACTTCGACTCCGTGCGTCAATCTCCTGTCATTATTCATGAGCTGCAGCCTCCTAGTAGTAGCGAAAGGCAACGAAAATATTTGTGCAACATGTACTCGAGCGTAATTGGGAAAACACAAACCACCAAGAATTGTTGGCTGTAGAAACTTCAGACTGGTGGCCCCGAGAACATGCCGTATTTGTCAGGGATCGGAAGTTTTCTTGCTCTTAGTTTTTTCTCTCTGCTCTTTCGCTTCTTGGGGCTCAACTGAGACCAGTTATCATATAAATCCGAGGTTGGAGGTTCAATGTGAGGAGGCTCTTCCAGGACATGTTCGTAGACAGGCGCCTCGGGCTCAGGCTCAGGCACGGGCTCAGATTCAGGCGTCAACTCAGGCTCAGGGACGGGCTCAGATTCAGGCGTCAACTCAGGCTCAGGGACGGGCTCAGGCCAAGGTTCAGTGGGTACAGGCTCAGGCTCGGGCTCAGGATATAGGTATTCTTCGGGCTCGGGCTCGGGCTCGGGGTAAGGTTCGGCCAACTCAGGCTCATGCTCGGACTCAGGCTGGAATTCGTGCTCTTCTGCGGCAGTCCCAATTTTAATGTATTCTCCTGTGTCCTTGTCACTCCCTGCGACCGACGTTATCTCGATATCATCCTCGTGCCCATCAGCACTCTGGTTCTCAATTTGGGACCTCAAAGAAAATATATGAGATGACAAGATCAGAATCACTTCCTCCGTGATCACCGCAGTAAAGGGATCTGGGCTGTTGCCTATGTCCATGAGGGCAGTTTTATCGGTGATATGAGAGATGGAATTTCCACTCAATAATTCGTCCCGGACAAGTTCTTTCACATATGTCGGAAGCTGGATTTCGGAACGGGGGAATACAGAGAGGGCAGTTCTGGTCGCGTTGATAACTTGATGGAAGGTCATCTGGTTCCCGAAGTGGTTCATATTATCTTCCGCCAGCGCCTCGAGATCGTAAAGACCGTATCTCCTGGAAATACGATACACTTGCACGCTTCTTTGGTATTCCCTGGCGTTGGTTGATCTGAAGTATTGAGAGGACCGGCTGGTCGTTGAATAAGCGCCAGTGTATAAAAAATGCATCAATGTGTGAGCAATATCTTGAGGAACATAGGAAAGCGTATATTTGGATTCGATAAGGGTTTTCTTGAATATATGGTGATTATTCAAACACTCCTCCGATATGCCGTATTCGTGATCTTCAATGCGGATGGCGACGAATGGGTGTTTGTAAGGCCTAGTAGTTATGGTGAGTGGGATGTCAGCAAAATTCGATGTCAATGCATCAGAAATTCTCACGAGGACGCTGGGTGGTGGTAAGGCACTTTGGGAGAAAGCGCGCTTGTACCACGGGCCCCCTGGGCCATATCACTTCTGGTAGAAAGCTCGATGGTCATTGTCATATCAGTGGTAACTCCCCGAATTATAGGTCAAGAGAGGAAAATGGGAAACCGATCGTGGAACGAAGACAAGGGCTAAGAGCTTGTCTTTGTAGACGACGGAGATTGGGAATGAGGGGAAACGAATGAGTTGTTCATGCATGCTCAGTCAAATCGGGCGGCAAACTATAGGTCTCTCTCACTGGTCATATTTGCGCGTTGACGTTGACCCCTGCAATCGCGATTTCGAATTGGGCCAGCGGGAGCCACTCGTCGTGAACCACGCACTTCAGTCATATGCAAGAGAGAGAGAACTGCAGCATCTGCCAGAATGGGACTTCGACAGATGGCCTATAAGAAACCATTGTGACTTGGCCTTGTATTCTAAGAGGTCTGTAGCAGGAGGAAAAAGATGGAGCGCGTTATAATTTTGGTTGTACAAACGGAGATTGGGGTTTCCACCGTGTGTAACACTTTGTTGAGCCTCATCTAACCTCCAAAAATGTTTCAACGCTGATATTGGTACCAGGTTTACCCAAGCATTGCCTCTAGTCCACCATGTAAAAAGAGCCACGTACTCCACGATAATGAACAGCATAACACGTCCCATCCAACGCTACTCACAGCCGGATGCTCAAACATCGTATCCAGCAACTTCTGGCCCAACTCGACCACAGAACCTCCGGATAGAAGGGGATCATCCATCATAACGATGTAGGTGGACTGTGCTTGAATGGCTACGGCAACCGCTATGAGCCATTTGAAGACCGTGGCATATCGGCACAGAGGTCGTAATATATACGCGCCCCAGCTTTGTGGGAGGACACGAGGAGATAAAAGGCCCGGTATAAACAAAAGAAGATGGGGAACAGCAAGAACAGGCATGAAGTAGGGGGTATTCGCGACAAAGGGTATAACGGCGGCGCTGAGAAAGGATATGACGACGGGTGCAAATTCTAGGACTGCCGGGGGAGTCCACGAAGGTCTCCTGGGTCGATTGGAAGCTGGGCCTGACGCGAGAACCGTGGCGAAGAACAGGTTCTGGGCGAAGGAGATCGCGACAATTTGCCCGAGCAGCATGTAAACCCACACGCTCGAAATATTGTATCGGCGACCTAGTCAAATGTCAGTCAAATATCAGCGATAGGCGAGAGAGAGACCCTGGATCCAATACGCACCCATGAACCCCAGAAACAGACTCCATCCGATCGTCCATAAAAAGATCTGTCCGCTCCACCAGAATTTCGCTGGCGTCTCAGAGACACTCTCCCATGCTTCTCGAAATAGTTTCCGATCTCGCAACCATAGCTCCAATTTTACCAACCAAGGTTCCAGATCGATCGACGCTTGCCGTGTCAAGTCATGTCCGGCTTTCCAGTCCTGGTAGGAATACCGGAAGAATGCAAACATGTAGTACCATGTCGTCGCGAGGCTGAAGGCCGCAAGGAGGAGGAATAGGACAAATGCAGGACCATGGGTTCCGCGCCAACTCGGTTGGATCGTTCGAAGCTTGTAGCGCCGGTAGATGTTAAGGCATGTCTTCAATGCGAGGCTGGCGCACAGCGTAAGGTAGAAGGCGAGGATGGCGAGGGAGCGGTGATCCTGGTAGGCTTGGCCGGCGAAAGCCTGCAGCGATTCCAACATATTCGGTCAGTTGGCTAGACCATTAATGACTCATGACTGGCATTTTGTCGTGAGAAGAACACGCCAAAACCGACAGTGAGTGCTAGTGGGTATGTTGATGCGCTTATCGCGTTATGTGAGGGCGGTGAATTGATATCCTCGGCAACAACCCGCGATTCGCGTCATTTGGCCTACGTGATTTATGCGTGTTATCCGATTTAAAATGTTCAATCTTTGCATTCAAGCATTATGAGGAATTTATTGTGAGATTTATGATGATCACTGATATTCGAGGTGCATGCTGAAGTTGGTACCATGTATGCCATAATTTCTCTCAAAATTTACGTTTCTCCTTTCCGGGCCCAGCAACTTCAATCGCGGGTTCGCGAGGGAGCAATCCGACCAAGTCAAATAACAAGGCTACAGAATTGATGATTCCATAGAAGATCATCGGTATCAAACCAAAGAAAAGGTTTCCGGTATAACCACGTCGAAGAATGGTCTCGGCTAGCTCTGTTCGAGCGATGCTAGGTGCAACAGTTGATTCGAATGGACCCATCAGTCTATAGAATGTGACGAAAGATGCACCAAAGCAGTATATGAGAAGAATCTGCAGACCATGGCGGCGATAGAGTTCGAAGAGGCCAGGTGCACCGCCGAAGTCTTTGGCAAGCGTGCTCATGTATGCACTGTGGTCGACACCGTATTGGATACGGGATCCCTTGGCTGCGAGAAGATGATAGTGGTCGGGATCTGTGGGCATTTCCATGCGCCCGGTGATAAGTGCCGTCCACCACATGGCTTGCTGTTCAGCTATGGGTGGGATGGCACCCACCCCAGGGCGGACAAAGCCGATGAATGCGATGTCTGGACGTGTTGGGTTGATGATGTTTCGAATTTTGGCGTCTGATGCCGTGGGATACGACGAGTCGAGATAGGAAAAAGTCTGTGCATAACTATGATGGGCAAAAAGCGATGTTAGCATGGATTTGGCCGGGATTGGCCAATGGTAGTATCTTACCCCGAGCAATAGACCACGCAATTGGGTCGGATGGTTCTATCCTTCAATCGCTGCCAATCCTTTCTGTCGTGTTTCACTTGGAAATGAACACGGCCCGTTTCATCAATAGATGTCGGCCAGGTACAAGTGTCAACGGCGCGATCGGAGTTGGCATCCTCCGGGGGGTCAATATAGCGGTTGCCTATGTACGCCAAAAACGGAGTGTGTGTTTTGTAAGGGCGGTTAAGGTATGGCATCGCTTTGTTGCTCTTGTTGAGAAAGACAAAGGCTCTTCCCAATTTCTCTTTGGGCAGAGCGCCGACATGCTGGTTCATACCAGCCTGGGTTCCGGTGAGAAACCAGAGAACTCGCTTGATCACAAAGTCCGAGATGAACCATCTTAGCCTGCTCTGCGCGATCGCTCGGTGGACGTATGCCGTCTCAAAAAGGTTGGTAATGAGGCCATCAATCGGAAGCCCTCCGCTGAAAGTTCTACCAAATACCTGGAATCGACTGAGCTGCTTGGGAAATGAGAGGAAGCCAGTGCGAAAACACATGGTGACTGATTCCGCGTCGGCTTTGATGGACTCGTAGGCAATATCTTCAACGTGTTAGATGAGACTTTCAGGTTTAAGGGATTTTACGTACCCATTGCCGTTTCACCGCACCCCAAGATCAGGACTTTCTTTCCAGCAACCTGATCCCGGCCTTTGTAGAGCGATGAGTGGAAGACATCACCCTGGACATTCTCGATGCCGGGGATGTTTGGAATATTTGGCTCGACATGAAGTCCGGTACAGACAGCGACATGTGAACAATCAAAAGTTGCCTCCTTTGTTGGGTCCGGATCGTTCCGATCAACATAACTCACTCGATGCGCCCATCTGGATGCATCCTGGAGCGGGGATACACGAACCACTGGACTGTTGAACTTGATATGTGGGCCCAGCTTAAATCGCTCGACATAAGAGCGGAGATAGTTGACATATTCGGGCAGTGACACATGGTCGGGGGTCTCCAGCGGCAAGCGGTGATCCGAGAAAGTTGTCAACTGCTTGCTGCTTACCAATTCGGCGTTCTCGTAAGAACGATAATTGAAGGTACCACCGACATCGGACTCACTTTGAAACAAAGGTTAAATGAGGTCATTGGAACAAAGACAAGATAACATACGATTCGAAGAGACAAGCCTCAATTTGCTGGTCGGGCGTGGACGCTTCCAACAAGGTCTTAAGAGTCACCAAGCCACCGGGGCTGCAAGATGTTAGCAATTGAAGGTTCATACAGAGACTTCATCATACCCGGCACCAATGATGGCTACTCGTATTGTCATTGAAGCTGTTGCTGAGTTGTAAGGGGAGAAATATCATGCAAACACGGAAAATGCAGCAATTGCGGGGATGCCCCAGGCTCCACTCAAAGCTTAGAAAGCTTGGCCAGTGACGCCATCGCTTCTATTTAAAGAACTTACTAGTAGTACTAGTAGTATATGTACTTGTCAACCTCTTCTATGTGGAATTTATTATTGATCTACAGTTTCACTCAAGACAGCTTTAAAACCTCAGCTTGGGCAGTGTACACGTCAAGGAAAAAGAATGTGGATTTTTTCATGCTTTTTTTAAAGAAAAGATCTGGTCAAAGGCTTACAGTGGGGGTGCCCAGAGTAGTGGAAAATGGCGCTTCCTCTTTCTCTCTCTTTCTTTGAAAAAAAAATAAAAATAAACCCATGAAATTCAAAATCTCAGCACTTCAGCATCTCGCTCATGATGATTCCAGTCGTTCTATTTTAAATCATCATCATGTTAAAAGGCCAAGTTGTGATCATGTTCTTTGTATCATCCTTAGAGTTACCTATTGTTTCCACTGCAGTTTAGAAAGTATGGGCTTGCATAACAAAGGCAACCGTCCCAAGAGCTCAGATGCCCCCCGCTAAGACGACTCGGAGTATTAAGAATTACGACTCGGATGAGTTTGAACCTCCAACCAAGAAAAGCAAAGCTCGTTACGACGAGGATGAGTTTGAGCATCCAACCAAGAAGAGCAAAAACATGCCCCCCACCAACACGAGCGTTAAGATGTACGACTCGGATGAGTTTGAACCTCCAACCAAGAAGAGCAAAATTGTGTACGACGCGGATGAGTTTGAACCCCCAACCAAGAAAAGCAAAAATATGGACGACTCGGATGAGCCCAAACCCCCGGTCAAGAAGCAAAAGAGAACACACGAAGCGAGTAAAAAGATTCAGTCAAAGAAGGACACAATAAAAAAGAGAAAGCGTTCATTTGACTCTACTAGTGTTTCCAAGTCCACCGGCCACACAAACCCCCCGGAGAGAAATTTCAAAAGGCCAAAGACTCAAATTGGTCACAAACAGGTCAACAATCATGAGGCAAATGGCACAAGATCGAATAATCTCGTCGTTGCCAAAAGGCCGGCGCCAATGAGACCTAGAACAACCCGGGCGCAGTCAGTGGAGATCCAACATTCCCCAATTTACAATACTCCTACCCAGAAAAATGGTATAGTGGAAGAAGTCCAAGTGGTGGATCACACTCCCCAAAACACTAGACGTCCGAGGCAAAGATGGGGTCCTTTCTACCCACCAATCACGCAACACCATAAAATTCCTAATGGTTGGAACCCCACCGAGTACGATATTGATGAATAGTGAGTAGCATAATTTGCATACTTCTCATTTGAGACAACTTCCCCATGGATAAAATACTGACACTCAGTTAGCGATATCGATGCAAATATCGAACGGAACATTGAAAGAATTGAAGAAGGAATCCTGCCCAATTTCTTTGAAGCGCGCCTGAAACGCTACTTGGAGATGAAAAGAGACAAAGAGTATGACCCTGACAGCCATTTATCAGATTCAGAGATAATACTAACCGAGTCTAGGGAAATGGCTGCCTTGGAGCCCGGTCTGCCTTGGGCCGTTGTTCAACGTTTGGACACACTTGCCGCGATGGAGAAGATCCTGATCCAAGAGGACCAACGTGGACAGGTTGACAATGTCAGAGCTATAATGCAGGCATATCGTGACGGAAGTTTGACCTGGGACCCACCAAAAGTTACCTTTTGGGCGAACGGAGTACTATACAAGGGACCTGAACAACTTACTACGCCGAGATTGAATAGGTACTGGCGTGAGCTCGGGTGCCCAAAAGCTTGGTTTGTCGAAGGTGTAAGTTGCATTCCAACTTCTGTATGAATATCACTGATCCAAAAATTATAGATGGAGGGCCCCGGACCTGATTCTGTGAACTTCTTCGGTGCTGTTTCACCTCGTTCGGCTACGAACTATATGCACGATGTAGGTGTCACTTAACTTCATCATAGACTTTTGTTGATTCAAGTACTGATTCTGTCTATAGCTTCGAATTGCGATCAGACCTGCAGATATGAGTCCACGTCTCAAGCAGCAGAACCGATATATTGAATACGATTTCATGGATGACACAGGATCTAAGCATATGCTCATATTTGCACAAGATCTTTTTGATATTGAGGAGATCTGTAATGCAATGTGCCCAGAGGCGGGTCAGTCATTTGTCCGAACTGCGGCTGGGTCGGGAGTTTTCAACGTCGTTCATGTTGAAGCAGCCATATTTTGGGATCGAAGGGAAGATAACACCAAACAGCAGGTCATTCCCTGGACTACTATCACATGCTATGTAGCACCTAGTCCTCGTCGCAAAAGTCAGCCTAGATTGAGTGGCGTCTGGCTCAGGCATTTGCTATTCCATATTACCAGACCCGACGGCAATGGGAGATTGTACTTGACTGACCAGGTTATTGACGACTCCATTAACCTCACTGCATTGCAAATTCAAAATAGGGCGCCTCCTCCAATCGTATCATACTACGACCATGCAGCCGGACCGACAAGACTTGAGTGGGCATATGGTCACTGGTCGCACGGTAAGCGAGAATATAAGGCGGGCTACTACGTTGACAACCTGCCATCTGATAATCGTACGTGGTGGGATACAACGGAAGATTTTCTACATTGGTTGTTGGACCGACTGGATAGTTTCTTCGCCTAGGTAGTGGGTTTATTTTTGAATGTTCTCATCAATTGATTGATTTTAGCATTGAGTATTTTTATTGTTGAACTGGTTATTTACCATTCACATGAATTGATGTTGTCTGTGTCATTCCATTTTTTTTTCTTTTTTTTTCTGTTTTCGTTCCAATGCTTCCAATGTTGCAATTCTACTGTACTTGAATTGATTCGAACCATATTGATATCAATAGGATTGCATCGTTTTTTTTTGAATATGTATCGTATGTTTATTTTGCGTCACAGGTTAAGAAAACGTAAGACTTCAAGGTTTGCTGTGCTGCTCAGAATTTTCTTTTTATCCAATTGGAAGGATACACATATGCAGTTCGGCATATTAGCGATACTCCTCATCAATTTGAATCAGAGCATCCATTCCATCGCGCTCTAACACATCTGTATCCAGGATCATCGTAGCGATAAGTACCGCAGACTCAGTCTTGCTAGCATTGTCGCTGATACGGTGATGACAACCCGGAGCCTCATACCATGTGCCCCCAGTGTTGATGACTTTCATTGGGCTGTCATTCATTTTATTCAGCAGCGTACCACTGACGACATATGCTGAGACTGAACAGCCGCCATGGCGGTGGGGCGGAGTTGAGCCATTCGGTGGGAATGTGACATGAAGGCCGACGATGCTCTTTCCAGGGCAATTGGTCAGTTTGTATTGGTACGCCAATTGAATATCAGGCCGAGGGCGGCTGGCACAACTTGTCAGAACATCTTTGGCTTTAAAAAGCCCAAGTAATATACCAAGGTCGGGGCTTTTTACGGAGTGCATGGTTCATACCTGGAGTCATAGGTTGGCTCTTCCATTTTTTTTTGAAGGGGATGATGAATGTTTGAATTTCTTGGAATGTGTGGGCTGGGTAGATAGGTGATTTCGATCTGCGATGATTGATTACGATAGAGATGCTGCATGCGCAGTCTTATTTATAGTTGTCAAACCCAACATGTTGAACTTTAGTTCAACAGACTTTATGTTGAGGTTGAATCTACGAACCTTATTGATGCCGAATAGCCTTGCGGCTTTTTAGGCCTGAGTCGCCCGAGCATAACCCGATTAAGGTTGGATAGGCTATTGATAGCCTATCCGCGCGACGGGTACCCGAAATCGGGCCGATTTGCCACTTTAACCAAACTTGCAAACGCTCTATCTGAATTCTGGACTAATAATGTTTTTCTCTTGAGGTTTTTCTTTGTTATTCAAAAAACCACAACGTGGACGTAATCTAATTTGGTAATCCCGTTCATGTCGTGGATACAGAATTCTCCTAACATCATATTTAACCCTGTCCAATAAGTAAATGTGCAGTAAATCAATAATTAAGCAACACCTGAGATGTTGACTGGAGAAACCATAGTGACTCATCCCTCTAAATACCTGAGTCATGCTGAGTGACATCGTCAGCCACAGCATAATTCGACCAAGCTTTGCATGTAGAGTTAAGAGTGCTATCATCAATTCTGATCTCTGATTCGCGCTCGAGTAGCTGAACAGCAAACCCTTCAGATGTGTGCCAGGCGATGTGGCAATGCATAAGCCAGATCTGCGATGGAAGAAATGTTAAAAGTGATCAATCAGAAAATAACAATTCTTGGCTCAACTTACACCAGGGTTGACAGTTTTCATGGCAATAACCACATAGCCACTGGCAGGCAGCATGACAACATCACGTCTTGGGGCGTTCACCAATGTCAGAGTATTCTTCATAGAAGTATCAAAGTTGCCATATCCTGAGCCGAGGACCCAGAAGTCATGGCCATGCAAATGCATAGGGTGGTCTTGCGCAAAAGGGGAATGAATGACAAAGTACACCCACTCGTTGGCTTTAGGGAGATGAACAATACGCTGCTTCGCAAGCCAAGTTTGGTTGTTCTCGGCCACCTGCATCAAGGTAGGATATTCCCACATACTGTCGAAGGAAACCCCGTTCATCAACCAGAGCATCGCATTATCCTGTACTTGCACTTGAACGTTTTGTTTCTCGCCATAGTAGTAGGTGTCAGAGGCATTGACCTGGAGGTAAGGTACGAGATCGGAGGCTGCCTCATCCGTACAAGAGTCAGTGTAGCTCCAAGCCGTAGTTTTCGGGTCAGCGGTAGAGGAATTATCATAACGAATGATACCCTTCACCAGGTCAGTCGCATCAGTCTCAGAGCAGGCAGCTTGAGGGATAGCCCTCAGCCAGAAGTTTCCGCTACTTATTTCTTTCCCTGTAACGATGACATCATATCTTTGACCCATACCAATGCTCAGCTGATCTGTAGTGAAGGGAACAATCGGTACGAAGTCGTTCGCAATGACTTCGAGGGTGTGGTTGTCGATCATGAATCGGAAGTGCTGGTCTGCCCCAGCATTCAAGACACGCATACGGTACCGAGTGCCGGGCTCAAAGGTCGTTTCCCAGCGTGAGCCCTTGTCTCCCCATACATTGGTTCCATTAATGAGTCCATTCGGGGCTGTAGGTGGTCCGCCGGTCGCTGCTGCAAGAACCAATTGGTCGGCCGTTTGCTATACTTGTTAGAGCAAATTGGAAATTGAGAAGGGTGTCTTGACTTACATGGTACCAATCATTCAAGAAGACGTGGCCAAGATCGACATCGTAGTTGGCAGTTGCTGGTCCATTAATTATGATGCCACCAAACACTCCATCCCAGGCCTGAACGTAGAAGTGGGAGTGGTACCAGCCGGTTCCATATTCGACTGCTCGCCAACGGTAGGTATAAGAGTCTCCCGGGGCAATCGGGCATTGGGTAAGGCTAGGAACGCCATCCATTTGGTTGGTGTAGTTCTGGCGGATCCCGTGGAAGTGAAGCCCGCTACCATTGTTCTGCAAAGAGTTTGTGACGTGGACAACTGGTTTAATAACATTAGTTCAAGATGCACGGGATCTACTTCATGTCACATACCAACGGTATCACCCCAGTCGGCAATGATAGTAGGGCCTGGGAAGGACCCATTGATCAACTGAAGAGGTAGCTCAACGCCATCAGGGGCCGCAGTGGTGTTCTCTACATTGAACCAATACTCTCGAACGACACCAGTGTCTGGAACTTCGTCGTAGTAGTTGGTCAAAATGTCGAAACCATCCTTCCAACACGTTCGGTTAGAGGCACTATTGACGCATTCATCTGTGCCTCGAGGGTGCTTGTGGTGCAAAGATGCTGCGAAGGCATATGGTATGGCCAGAAGGGAAGGTATGATAAATGAAACAAAACGCATTTCAACTTCGACGCGCGCTATATCAACGAATGACTAGCCAAATTAGAAACAAGAAAAGAGTGAAAAGAGTGAAAAGAGTGAAAAGAGTGAAAAGAGTGAAAAGAGTGACCGGAGAGCTGGTTCTGGATACGGATATTCAGACTATTAGTATTATAGGTGATGAAATCCAGAATTGACGGTGGACAAGAAAGCCGGAGAACATTCTGCTCGAAAACCTGGGAAACGTTGAAAATCCTGGCTCAATGTTTCTTGTCTTCACTACCCACTTACTCTCTCTCTCTAGTGGAAGCTTAGAAATACTAATCCCCACAGATCGTGATCTTCCTCTCGAAAGCCTTTTTTGGCAAATCTTAGCCATGAGCTGCCGTGGCCAGTATTCACACTCTGCTGAGCTATTGTTTTCACGGGATAGAGATTCATGGGTAGAGTGGGTCATCGGACGGCAAGAAATCAAGGTTCTCGGTCGTGTTTAGGCATCCATCGTGTGTCGGTCAATGTCTACATGGCCTGTCTAAAAAAGGAGCTAGAGCACGCGCAATCACTGCATGCGACCTCGCATTGACCCAAAATAGGCATGAGGCCGATTTTCATGGCGTAAGAAGTTGAAAAAAAGGCTATGTTATCTAGTACTAAGTATCAGGATTGGCATCCTCAGCCACGGACGGGACGATCACATCGGCGTTTTTTCCTTTCAGCAATTCAGTGGAACAATCTCTGGAAATCAGATTTTCCGGTACTTGACAATTTTGATCCACATTGAAAGTTCAAGTGAAGGCTTACGTTCTCTTTGATTCGAGCTATCCAGCCGCCCTATGGAGCCTACCCGTAAGACCTGAGCTAGAAGTAGCTGGGAGCCGCTTAGTGAACGAAAGTCTCATGGGTGGGATCTGAGGTAAAATCACGAAATGAGTCAATGGTTTCTCTTTCAAAAGTAAACAACGAGGCTGTAATCTCGCAGCCTACGAAGACGATACCATAGAATATAGTAGAACACGTAGATATAGCGGAGCAGACCCACGTAAGTCAACAGCCAAGAAGTGCCGGGTGGAGTGAGATCGTCAGCCACACATTCCACGTCCCATAAATTTCCAGATTCACACCTTTTCCGGTGTAAAGTCAATATTGTCGACCTTCCTGTGACTGATCAGCAAAAGACTACGTACTTGCCCTCTAGCATCGATCCAGGTGCAAGCTTCGATTTAACTTTGCTGGCGTGATACTAGGGCTAGACTCAACCCAGATATGAACCGGAACTCCACCAATGTATAACCTACATGGTATTTTTCGGTTCATTTCCGCAGATCTGCTTCATTGATATGTGATTCCAAGGTTTATTCTTTTTTTTCATTCCTATTTCTTTTGCATGAAGTTGAAGTCCCTCATTCGAGTTTATTCTAATATTCCGCAGCTTCCGTTCTATGTTTGTGAGTACCGAAGAATCAACCCTGTTTCTCACCTGACATTGGATTCTAGCCCTCCTTTTTGGGTTATCGACCTTCGGATACAAACATATCTTCTCCATAATCTATCAATAACTACTAGTATTCATTACTTTTGTGATAAATAGCCGCCAGACACCAATATGCACTTCCGCAACCTGTTCCGCGCCATTCTGTTGCAAGTTGGGCTTGCATCAGCCTTCCATCAACATAACAAGCGTGGTTCCGAAACAAACGCCACTCTCTATGCATATGGCACCAATGCCTCTTCTTGGCCAATCGCGTACAACGCCGAGGATGGTAAATATCATCTTTTTACCCCTTCACTCCAGCCGATATTCAATGTCTCAACCCTCTTTACATACTCTATCAATACATACTAATGCAAGCGAGTATGAATATAGGTCTTCTCTACGTTTCAGAGGATCCTTCAGACTCGAATGCAAACCTCACCCCCCTGACTTGGGACTTGGCTGCCATCACGGACGAATGTTGGATTGCCAATGCCAGCTACGTCAACAACAGTGCGGCCGGCTCGATGTACATTATGGACGAGGAAAGCTATGCTATTGGCTTGCTCCCCAAAGCTAAAGCTGCCTATATAAATGGCACTGTCTCGGGATTTGCGCTGTTTGCCACACAACTAGTCTACAACAACGACAGTTTGCTCGAAGCACAATTCTGGGCCAAGAAGACAGATTTCGATGGTGTCTATGCTTTGACATGGACTTTGGATGATGGTTCTCCTAATGGAGAATTCCCGGTTGTTGTCAAGGCCTCTGAAGACTCATGAGCGTACAAACACATCTGGAAGTCAGATACCCCTTGACATCCCAGGTTTCTCTTACCCCAAAGGCCTCCTTGAAGCTTCATGAAGTGAAATCCGAGTCCTTCATTTCAATATTGAAAGTTGAAAGGTCAGAGAGAAATTTGGGTAAGTACTTGGTTGCCTATATATTGGGGTTGCCTACTGGTATACAGTGCACATGACTATGCACATGTGCAACATTTCAAGGCTGAAGCAATATTATTACTGCCATCATCTAAGAAAAAATACTGCATGTACCACGTTAAAATAAATGCAACATATAAGGTTGGCCAACACATCCACCACAAAAAAAGAAACAATGCGCAAGAGTAGTATAGGCAAAAGCTTCCAATGTAGGCAAGCGGTAAATCCAGTGAATAACCAAAATCTGACAAGTCTGGCGTAGAAGGGCTGGTTACATGAATGAAGTGACCCTAAGAAAACCAAGGCAGTGGCAGCTAGGTCTTCAGCTGATGTCTTAAATCCATAAAATTTACATCAAAGAGCAGCAAGAGTTCTGTTTCTTGGCCTGAGTAAAGAGTTAGCAATTTCCAGGGCTGTTCGATCTATAAAGGAAGGTTGGTTCAACATACCTGGGTATAGAACATCTTACTCTGGGCGGATAGACCGTCACTCTTTTGAACCAAAGAGTCGATCTTCTCACCACGTTCCAGCACACTCTCAATCTGAGGTGAATATTAGCAAACATTTTTTCTGTATGGGGCCAAATCCTGCAAGAATTACGTACAGTCTTGTGTAGAACAATCTTGGTCTCGTCCAACTCTTGCTGGATCTTCATGATACTGTCGGCCTGCTTGGGGTCCTGGTATTTGACAATGTATTCCTTCAGCTGCGGCAAAGCGCATGCATTCTCGCGAAGGGAGGGGTCGGAAAAGGCGGTACGAGGGTGCTTCGCAAGGAACTCGTCAACGATCTTGGAGAGGAGTTGGTGAGCCACCAGGGCAGGATAGTCGCCATCTGTAACAATCACACCAGCCACTCCCTCAGATCGGCCGTATGCGTGGAATGTGTATGACTTCTCCTCGACATCCTGGCGTTGTCCGGGCTTCGTACGTTCGGCGACCGTGCGGCAGAAGAGCATGAGGAATTCTTCATAGCTGCATTGAGCAAATGTTAATATGGTCGAGGAATTCTGATCGCTTGGGGGCAATAGGCCACATACTTTTGACGGGTGAAACGGGAAAAGCTATTCCATATTAGCGACTCCTTCTCAAGATGTATCCACAGGGCATGTGCACATACGAAGAGAGGTCTTTTTCGGCGCAGAGCTGGAGAGCTGGCTGAGAATCGTTCCGGAGAACCTATTAAAGATAATAAGAATCAGTGTATATTTGGGAGAAGCATAGAAATGGCCTTGCGACTCTTCATAGACGTACGCCCATATAGAGGATCTTCATGGTGGCGGGGAGGTCAAGTCGGTTGACACAATAAGCGGTGGGAGAGATATAGCGAGGATTTGAGAAAATCGCCCAGCTTTAGTGAAACAAAAAGTGAGAGAACCTTGACAGACTTTCTGTAAGGTGGCAGTGCTGGGGGGCGGAACAAGGAGAGATCAGCTTTAGGGGAATAATGGAGGTTGACAGACTCCTGATAACTAGCGATGATGGCACTGCGGGTCCGACCCTTTGGCAGAACCCCACACCGCCCAGATTAGGAATAGGCATATCTTGGTTTCTTTATTGATGACTCTAGCCCCTCATCGATTCCTTTCTGCATAAATCTTTTTTGTTCAAATTGCGGGGAACTGAGCATTATGGCTCATATATCCGAAACTCAGTCGCAATGGCTGTCTCAGCTAGCTGCCATGCGCCAGGCTATCGCCGATCTTAAGCTTCCCAAAGAGCTTCCCCACGATACAACCGGCTATGGGAGCGACTTGGATTTGGACATCGACGAGGACTACTCCTCACCCGGGACAGTCGACGATGTCTGGGACATTATCAGCTCCGATGATGAAACAACCGACGACATCGATGATGTGAACGACACTCCTTTCTCGCAAACTTTACCCTACGATCGACTTTGGCTCGAGGCGAAATGTCAAGAACTGGCAGCTCGCTCGAGCATGGATGCAGCAGAGCTCAGCCAGCAGATTATCGCTACTCTTGCGGCGGCTGAAAGTGATGACACCGAGTTGCAAATGTCGCTCGCTGAGATTGTGGGCTTCGAAGATTTGGATCTGGTCATCGAATTGATTGCGCATCGCGGGGAAATTCTGTCCGACGAACCACACAGCGTGGAGGCACAAACAGATGGATTAGCGGCTGGAAAGCTTCTGACCCGCGCGGAAAGAGAAGAAGCTTTGTGGCAGCGGGATTTTGAGCATAAGAATGCCGCGCTCATGCCAGCACAGAGTCGATCGGAACCCGTTTACCCACATGTTTTCAAGCAGCACACCGCTGGAAATCTTCTCTCTGCCAGTGGCAGAAAATACGGCCTACCACTTGGCAGCACCCATATCGACGAGCCCAAGTATGAGGAATATGAAATTCCCGCCCAAAAAGTTGGGTCGTTGGCGAGAAGCGTGAAGTTAGTGGAGATTGCTAGCTTGGACGGTCTTTGTCGCGGCACATTCAAAGGCTACAAAAGCCTCAATCGAATGCAGAGCTTGCTTTATGAAGTCGCCTACAAGACAAGCGAGAACATGCTCATTTGTGCTCCTACCGGTGCTGGTAAAACCGATGCTGCCATGCTCACCATTCTCAACGCGGTCGGGAAAAACACAGCTCCCAATCCACTAGAGCAACCCGATGCAACTGAGTTCACAGTACAAGTTGATGACTTTAAAATTGTTTACGTCGCCCCAATGAAGGCTCTGGCAGCCGAAGTAACAGACAAGCTGGGCAAAAGACTAGCCTGGCTGGGAATCAAAGTCCGTGAACTGACTGGAGACATGCAGTTGTCTAAGCGAGAAATCGTGGAAACCCAGATCATTGTTACAACGCCCGAGAAATGGGATGTCGTGACACGGAAAAGTACCGGAGATACCGAGCTCGTTCAAAAGGTGCGCTTGCTTATTATTGATGAGGTACACATGCTTCACGATGAGCGAGGTGCCGTCATTGAATCTCTAGTTGCTCGTACGCAACGGCAAGTTGAGAGCACGCAGTCTTTGATTCGCATTGTGGGTCTGTCTGCCACCCTACCCAATTACGTGGATGTTGCCGATTTCTTGAAAGTCAATAAGATGGCTGGTCTGTTCTTCTTTGACGCGTCTTTCCGACCCGTGCCACTCGAGCAGCATTTCATAGGTGTCAAGGGCAAGGCTGGATCAAAGCAATCTCGAGAAAACATTGATGTTGTCGCTTTTGAAAAAGTGCGTGATATGCTGGAGAGAGGGCATCAGGTGATGGTTTTTGTACATTCTCGAAAGGATACTGTCATGACAGCACGCATGATGAAGCAACTGGCCGCGGAAGACGGATGTGAGGATCTTTTCAGTTGCCAAGATCATGAGAACTATTCTTCGGCATTGAGAGATATGAAGCATGCTCGAGCGCGTGAGCTTCGAGACCTTTTTACCAGTGGATTTGGAGCCCATCATGCTGGTATGAGTCGCAGCGACCGTAATCTTATGGAGCGCATGTTCGGTGAGGGTCTGATCAAGGTTCTCTGCTGTACTGCCACGCTCGCATGGGGTGTCAATCTTCCCGCTGCGGCAGTTGTCATCAAGGGTACCCAGCTGTACAATCCCCAGGAAGGTAAATTTGTGGACCTCGGCATTCTTGATGTTCTGCAAATTTTCGGTCGAGCTGGTCGTCCCCAATTCCAGGATACGGGTATTGGCTTCATCTGTACCACACAAGATAAGCTACAGCATTATCTATCTGCAGTGACTTCCCAGCAACCGATTGAGTCCCGTTTCTCCAGTCGATTAGTTGATAATCTGAATGCCGAGATTTCGCTCGGCACAGTCACCTCCGTTCCTGAGGCAGTACAATGGCTTGGTTATTCATATCTATTTGTGCGAATGAAACGAGAACCTCGTCACTACGGTATTGAGTATGCTGAGCTTCGTGACGACCCGATGCTTGTTCAGCGACGCAGACAGTTGATCATTCAAGCTGCGCGAACTCTCCAAACGAGTCAGATGATCATCTTCAATGAGAAGACCGAGGACCTGAAATCGAAAGATGTCGGACGCATTGCCAGTCAATACTATGTGCTTCAGACCAGTGTCGAGATATTCAACACTATGATGCGCCCACGTGCAGGCGAAGCAGATGTCCTCAAGATGATTAGTATGAGTGGTGAATTTGACAATATCCAAGCCAGAGATTCGGAGTCAAAGGAACTACAGCGGCTTCGAGACGAGGTAGCCCAGACAGAGGTTGAAGGTGGTAATGACTCGCCGCATGCCAAGACCAACATTTTGCTCCAGTCGTATATCTCACGTGCTAAGCTCGAGGATTTCGCCCTGGTATCCGATACTGGATATGTGGCTCAGAATTCAGCTCGTATTTGTCGAGCTCTCTTCATGATTGCCTTGAACCGCCGATGGGGTTATCAGTGTCAGGTCCTTTTGTCATTGTGCAAGTCCATTGAAAAACAAATTTGGCCATTTGACCATCCATTCCGTCAGTTTGATCTCCCCCAGCCAATTCTCAGGAACCTTGATGAGAAGCTACCAGCTTCATCCATTGAATCCATGAGAGAGATGGAGCCCGCTGAGATCGGTCAACTTGTTCACAACCATAAGATGGGAGGGGTTTTGACTAAACTTCTAAACAATTTCCCTACTCTGAGTGTCGAGACCGAAATTGCACCCCTCAACAGAGACGTTCTTCGCATCCGCCTCTCAATTTATCCAGAGTTCACATGGAATGATCGTCATCATGGTGCCTCCGAGTCGTTCTGGGTCTGGGTTGAAAATTCTGAAACTTCTGAGATCTATCATCATGAATACTTCATCCTGAGCCGCAGGAAGCTTTACGATGACCACGAGCTCAACTTCACAATCCCATTGTCTGATCCGTTACCGAGTCAGATTTATGTGCGAATCATTTCCGACAGATGGCTTGGCGCAGAAACCGTCAGCCCGATTTCCTTCAAACATCTCATTCGTCCTGATACTGAGAGTTTTTACACAGACCTGCAGAACCTTCAGCCATTGCCTATCTCGGCTCTTAAGAACCCCCTGTTGGAAGAGCTGTACGCGCAACGCTTTCAATTCTTTAATCCTATGCAAACTCAAATCTTCCACTTGCTTTATCACACATCGGCCAATGTCCTCCTGGGATCTCCCACTGGTAGTGGAAAGACGGTCGCAGCTGAATTGGCGATGTGGTGGGCTTTCCGTGAGAAACCTGGCTCCAAGGTGGTCTACATTGCTCCGATGAAGGCACTTGTCCGGGAACGTGTGCAAGATTGGCGCAAGCGTCTGACAGGTCCCATGGGAATGAAACTTGTTGAGCTTACTGGTGATAATACACCTGACACGAGAACGATTCGCGATGCCGACATAATCATCACTACGCCTGAAAAGTGGGATGGTATCTCTCGTAGCTGGCAGACCAGAGACTACGTCCGAAAGGTGAGTCTTGTCATTATTGATGAGATTCACCTTCTGGGTGGTGATCGTGGACCTATTCTGGAAATCATTGTGTCCCGAATGAACTATATTGCTTCTCAATCAAAGGGTTCCGTGCGACTGATGGGTATGTCCACTGCCTGTGCGAATGCTAGCGACCTTGGGAACTGGCTTGGTGTGAAGGAGGGCTTGTTCAACTTCCGTCACTCCGTTCGTCCGGTTCCTCTTGAGATCTTTATCGATGGCTTCCCGGAACAGCGTGGCTTTTGCCCTTTGATGCAGTCAATGAACCGTCCAACTTTCCTTGCTATCAAGAATCATTCACCCGAGAAGCCAGTAATTGTCTTCGTTGCATCTCGCCGACAAACCCGCTTGACCGCCAAAGACTTGATCAACTATTGCGGTATGGAAGACAATCCCCGCCGATTCGTTCGTATGTCCGAGGACGATCTGGATCTGAACCTTGCTCGGGTCAAGGATGACGCTCTACGAGAAGCCCTCAGCTTCGGAATCGGTTTGCATCATGCCGGTCTAGTGGAGTCAGACCGACAGCTATCCGAAGAGCTGTTCGCAAACAATAAGATCCAGATTCTTGTCGCCACCAGTACCTTGGCCTGGGGTGTCAACCTTCCCGCTCACCTTGTGGTCGTCAAGGGCACTCAATTCTTCGATGCTAAAATCGAAGGTTACAGGGATATGGATTTGACTGATGTTCTGCAGATGCTCGGTCGTGCCGGACGTCCCCAGTTCGATACGTCCGGTATCGCCAGAATTTTTACTCAAGATTCAAAGAAGGCGTTCTACAAGCATTTCCTCCACACTGGCTTCCCCGTGGAGTCAACCTTACACAAGGTCCTAGATAACCATTTGGGTGCCGAAGTCTCTTCTGGAACAATCACCACGAAGCAAGACGCCCTTGACTACCTGACTTGGACATTCTTTTTCCGCCGTCTCCACAAGAATCCGTCTTACTATGGACTTGAAATTTCAGCAGAAGAACAAAGCACGATGGCTGCCCAGACAATCGCCCAGGACTTCATGGTGGACTTGGTTGATAAGTCTCTAGATGATCTGGCACAGTCGTCTTGTGTTCTCGTGGACTCTGCCACTGGTGAAGTTGACTCGACCCCATTCGGCAAGATCATGAGTTACTACTACTTGTCGCACAAGACTATCCGACACCTGGTGTCTCATGCCAAACCAGATCCTACTTTCCAAGATGTGCTCAGCTGGATGTGTTCTGCCACAGAATTTGACGAACTCCCAGTTCGCCACAATGAGGACCTCATCAACGCCGAGCTTGCGCAAAATCTGCCTTTGTCCATCGAAGCTATGGGTGATCTCCCGATGTGGGATCCCCACGTGAAAGCTTTCCTGCTCTTACAAGCATACATGTCGCGGATCGATCTACCCATTTCAGATTACGTGGGTGACCAAACCTCGGTCTTGGATCAAGGAATTCGTGTTCTTCAAGCATCTATTGACGTGATGGCCGAGCTTGGTTTTGTTCCTGCATGTCAAATGCTGATGACTCTGCTGCAATGCATCAAGTCAGCGCGCTGGCCAGAAGATCATCCACTATCGATTCTGCCAGGAATCCCCGTCGAGAAGCCACCACGCGGTCTTCCGTCTAATCTGGTTGCCCTATCATCGCAGCCAGTGTCCTCGGTGGTTGGAATGGTTAAGAATCTATCCCTTTCTTCTCAATTCTCTCGTGTGGCTTCCCTCTTGCCACATATTTCGATTTCGGTCGCTGGCATGTCAGCCAAGGGGTTGGCCGTATCTGTCACTCGAAAGAATCCCCATACACACTCTGAGTATAGAATTCACGCTCCTCGGTTCCCGAAGCCGCAGACCGAGGGATACTTCTTGATTGTTTGTGTTGCCCGGCCTGATGGTACTGACGGAGACCTTCTCGGCTTGAAGCGCGTATCATGGCCGCCTGCGTCCAAACTCAACAATGGTAAGGGCCGTATTGGAGCTGGTCCCAGTCGCAGTGGTCCAAACGGCAAGGAAAAGACTGGCGGTAGCTCGCTCTCTGTCCGTTCCTTGGTTAAATTCCCTCCTGCCGCCCTCGCCGACTCATCTTCTGCTACGACAGCCGGTACTGCCCGTGTCAATGTCAAGCTCATCAGCGATTCATACATCGGCATGCAATGGGTGTTGTCAAATGTCGAACTTGACGTGGGGTCTACCGATGGGACTCAGACCATTGAGCCATCCAGTGTGCCTCTCAAGGGTTGATGAGTATATCTCAAAAGGAGGCCATGCGATAACTACATCAAAGTCGCGTTATGATTAGCAGTCACAATTTCATGTACAGGAAATCAATCATAATCTCAGCATATACTGCTACTACGGAGGACACCATCTGGCTATGATTATAACTGTCATGGTAGTTCAGCGAATTCCCAACGAGGTTAAAAAAACGCCCCCTATCCTATTAGACGGTAGAATAAAAACAAACGGCGGTCCGGGGGTCTAAATCTATATCCCCCAATGTTCTTAAAAAAAAAACACACACAAAACAGCAAGCATCTGGTTTATCAGAACTAGAATGAAAAATCAAACCACTTCTTCAATCCCTCCCGTCGCTCAGCATCTGTTTCAAATGAATCGATCACCCTCGTCCTGCCACCCATATTCAACTTCACAAGCCCATTCACGTACATCATCTTCCCAACAACCCCAACCTCCTCGATCCCATCAGCAGTACCCTCTCCTTCCAGGAGAGGTAGATCTCCTGTCTCCCCAGCGCGAATGAACTTCACGATCCAGTGATTGTTTTTAGTAAGGGTATCCCAACTTGTATACCGATTAATGATTGCAAAGTCATCCTGGAAAAACTCGAATTCACCAAACGAGTAGAACGAGTTCCACTCCTTGTCGCTCCCATTCCGATACTGATATATCCATAGTTTCTGTGTCGGGCGCGACTGTTTGTCCATGTTGCCATATATCAGACGCACTTCTTGGGCTCCTAGGTTTTTGGAGCCTGAGATCATGGGGATGGGTTGTGTAGGTCCGTCGCCGCCGAATGCCACATCGATATGATACTGCGTTCCACATGGTAACTCAAGGATGTTGACGATGTGCGTCCTATTCAATATCTATCAGTACACCTGCAGTACCATCAATGATTGTTCTGTGATGTTTAGCGGAACATACCATCCCTTGAATTCACCTTGCGGGACCCCATCTACCCGCTCTCGATTCCTTACCCCGGTCATGTATACCGAGAATCCTAGACCAAGGAGTATGTGATGGAAAAAAATACTGCATTCGAGACAGTACCCTCCACGTCCTGTTGGGGGCGTTTCGCCCGATCCCATGAATTTGTCATAGATGCTAAGAGGCGCGATGTCAATTACCGGGGTGTCGGTGTAATGCAGTGTAAGATTGTCATAGGGAAAGCGCGTGATCTGGCAGCGATACAGGGTTGTTAATGCTTCTTTTGTTTTTGGAAACGCTGTCGGGCTGTTGATGTAGGGGTCATATTTTGGTGGGAGGGCGAGGTGAGTGAGATATTTGGTCAATTGAGATTGTGAGAATTCGGACGTCATTTTGAACAATCAAATGTTCAATTGGCTTTATTTTGGAGATTTTAAGGTGGTGAATGTGGTATCGGCAGGTGTACATGGCTTTATAGTATGTAGCGGTTAGTTTGGTTTGGTTTATGACTCAACCCGGCTCGACTTGCTTTTTTAGGCTCTCAGGGCATGAAGGCGTTAGGGCGTGTAATCTCCGTGAGCACTAAGCCAAGCATGCATGATAACGCATCAAAGTAAGCCATTTCTACTTGAAAAATGACATCATTCCAAAGGAATGCTATCTACTAGTCTAAGGTGAATCGTACTAGATCAGTTTATGGAAAATTTCGAAATCAAAGAAAGCTCCATTCAAAGAGGGTATTAGAGTTAAAAGAAAAATAAGTCAAGGGGCCTTTAAAAAGAGAAATAACCGAATTCGACGTATGAAGCCTCACATCGACTCAATCTGAAGTTCTTGAGAAACTCCATGCCGATGTCCATGATGCACATCCATAACCTTCGCCGTCAAGGCTTTTCGGTCAACGAAGCGCTCATTGGGACTTAATTGATCCACTCGTGCTCCGATTGGAACGAGCATCTGTCGTTTGCCCTTCGATACAGATATCGATCGCGCAGTGGAGACTTGGATTGTTGGTCCTTTTTTCTTGGGCTTCGAAACTGGGCTGCGGATTTCGCGCTCTGTGACAACCGGCTTGGGGACCTTCAGTGGTAATGGCTTCATCTCCATGGGGGACTGGACTAGTACAGGTGACATGATGCGGGACACTTGCTCCCTTGTTGACAGCTTGGTTGATAGGGCTGGTGCCGACTTCGGTGTGGTTCTGTCTTTGGCTGGGGTAGGCGGTCCTTTCATCTCCGTCTGAACTTTTAGACTGGGTTTTGCCGGGCGAGTTGGTTCTGTTATGCTCCTCTCGGGCTGATGAACAGTGTTGATTGTTCTCATGTTTCTGTCTGACTGGGACCGTTTGGGATGATGGGGGATCTGCGCCTGAACTTGGGCCTGGATCTGGATCTGCGGTGAGGATATTCCCGACCGAGCGGCCGGCGGCTCGGGCTTGATAGCTGGTAAAGGTTTGTCTTCCTTGCGAAAACTGTTTGTTGATGTCGGGGTATTGGAACGGTCCGAGAATAGCTTGGGAATCACGGGTGATCCAAACGAGGAAGTACTATTATTATTATGGAATGGACGGGGTAGATCTCGTGGTGATGGTACTGGCTTGGGGCTCTCCACGGGAAGCGTATTGGATCTTAGCAAGGGGCTTGGTCCGCGTGAGAAATTCTGTGTAGCAAGGGCCTGTGCAGCCTTGGATGGTTGTGAGCTGGGGAAAAGGGTAAAGCTCGATCGTGCATGCGACGGCGAGGTAGCGCGTCGTTGTGGAACGGGTGGTAGCTTTGCAGTCAAAAAGTCCTGATCATAAACAATCAGTGGGGGTAAAAAAAAAAAAAAGAGCAACGTTAGTTTGATTCACCTGAGCACTGGGTACGCGCAAATTATCCAGCGTCTTGCTCCTCCTGGCCAGCAGCGAGGGCTTGTGGTTTTTGGTCATGACATTGCTAAACATGACGCTGTATCGTTCCATCTGCACATCGGGAATGTCGACATCCAGCATAAGGCCTAGGCCTCCAAGTCCCTTGTCCTTGGAATCCTTTCTACCCGAGAGAGAAAATTTCCGGCTTCGCTTCGGGCTGATACTATTCCCAACTTTGGGCTCGACCTCGATCTTTGGCCATTCCTCGGTGACATCGTCCTTCTTTCGTGGCGCCCTGGTGTTCATATTCGGTTTATCTTTTGGTCCCATCTCCTTCTGAGGACCAGTCCGAGTACCCGTGGGCGAGGTCAAAGCATTCTTTGCCTTGAACAAACCGCCAATCTTCTTCCATTTGCTTGACTTCCGCGGTTGGGACCCTTCCTCATCAAACATTCCTACATTGAACCGCGGTGGAGGTAGCGTTCCCTGTGCGTCCACCAATCCGGGACTGCCCAAAGCGACGCCTATTGAATGCATACCAACAGGGCTTCGGTTGGATCTCGCGCTCGTAGGAATGTCTTCTTCTGGTGGCGCTGTGAGTTGAAAATCGAATTTCGTACTGGGGCTTGGACTTGGCAGCTTTTTCGATAACCGTTCATGAGCCGATGCGGGCTGTGGGAGATGTTGTTTGACATGGTTTATCTGTCGCTGGGAGTCGGTGATATCGCGAAGGTCATCCCGTGGCAGGGCGTCGGTATATGTCAACACTGGAACAGAGATGGTGTCATGTTGCGCACGAGCTTTGGTCATAGTCAATGCTCTCGCCATGTTCTATTTTCCGTCAAACGGTGGCTTCAGTTGAACAAGAAGAGAAAGTAAGAAAAATAAATATAAGATGTAATTAAAGATGCCGGATCGAGAAAGGAATGGACGGTCTTCCAGAAGACCTGATGTAAGACACAAAAAGCGAAGAAAACAGAACCACAGGTTTGTTTTTTTTTTCAAAAAGAGGAAAAGGGATGAATATAGTACACGAATCCATCAATTTAATCAGGACCAGCAGGAGTGGCACCGGAGACGATATAGTCGCAAGAGTGGAGATCGGGGGTTGCGCCAAGTAGTGTACTTGAGACACCGGGGCCAATCTAAAGCCTTCAAACCGTTACATAGCGGAACAGCCATCATCCTAGTTTCCAGTTCATGTTTGGTTCAGCTCTGGACTAGAACCGACCAGCGCCAATCGTAACCAATTAGAGACAAGCAGGATTGCCGGAAGAAGCTGAAATGGGGGGGGAAATACGACGTGGTCGCTGAAATGGAGGCAAAAGTCGCACACGGACACTGAAATTTGGGCGAGACCAAAAGGAGAGTTAGAGCAAGCGAGAAAGTCCAAGGTACGAGATGCTTATTTCGCTAATGGCGAATGAGCATCTGCGTCGCAAATTGATTGTGGTTGATTAGAATTGATTAGCTCGCTACCACGTGAACGGACCACTCAGCTGGTCGCATGGCCCATAACCCGCAATGGGGGCGTGTTTCATCTTTTCCACCAACTGAGACAGGGTCACCCATTGACCTTGTCATTGGTCAAGGGCGTTTTTTTGGAGACTTTGCAACTTTGCAACTTCCCCTCCACGCGCCTTTGCCTGGTAGCCCGTGCTGAATCTGAATCGTCCTGGATCGCCCTAAAATCGTGCGCCACTTTCCAAAGGCTGTCTTTTCCCTGTTCTGGGCTGCTGAAAATCATGCTCTTGGTTATTCAGCTTGGCGTGGTGAGACCCTTGATTCGTCTGACACCTTGATCGGATCGTGTGATGCCAAGTTTGTTTTGGTACCAATCGCATTGAATGTTGTCCTGAAATGTTCCAAGGTTGTTGAAGGTTGATGCACATGTGTTTGCATGGTTTGAGTCCCGCTTAATATTGACCTTTTTATCCACCACTTATATATCCGAGTCCACATCAATTTATAGTACACACTGCATATCATCAACTACTAGTAATATACATATATGAAGTGAGATCCACTCTTGACGGTCTTTAATATAAATAAACAATCAATATTTATTCAGCTGACATCACTTCATGTTACAACCGATGGGCTTTTTACTTCTTTTTACAAGCTTCCAAGCCTTGGAGGTACTAAGGATGGGACACAACGTTCGAACTGAAAACACTGGCCATTCCAACTTCAACCGTGGAAATGATGGAAGATTTGAATCCTCCAGGATTGGCAATTCCTGATACTATACCTACCTAGTAGGTATGCTTCCATCGATACACCCATGTCTAAACCCGGGCGGACTTGCAAGAGAAATGGAACCATTGCTCCAGTTTACATACAGGGCCCCTCGAAATCAGCTTTAAACATCTCTTTATTCTTTCTTCAAATGTTTGAACTTTCTATCAATTTGTATAACACCATACATATTACGCTTAGACCAGTTAACTACTCCTGACGCCGCAGTTAGCAGTAGTCAACTGGATGTCAATTTGATTTCAGTACAATCAATTGATTGATCGTAACATTCAAATGTTTGAAGTTTGAACACATGTGCATTGAATTGATTAAACATTCAAATGAACGAATTAAAATTAAGTTCTTGTAAGCTCGAACAATTCTACTATCCTCTCTGCCGCAACATTCTAGACCATTCCCTTTTCCTGCTATTAACATTTGAACATTTGAAAATTTGAACCTGACCTTGAGTGTATGGTTTTGCAGGCAGTTAAATGTCATCTTTGTTGAGCTCCGTGGCCTCTCCTATTTTTTTTTTTTTGGTGCTCGATGCACATCTATCAGCGCTGGAAGGGAGGGGAAAGCTGAATTGGCTGTCAAATTGGCCCCAATCCAGCAGAAATATGCCTCTTAAATTGTGATCTTGGAGAATTTTGCAGCTGGTCTTGTGGCCTTTTTCCTTCCAGCCATGAACCTGACACGTCTAACCCAATTAGCATTAGTACAGTTAAGGAAGGATAAGATGTCATAAGTACCTTATTGCAGTATCAAAAAAAGGAGCACTTAGAGCACCTTTTCATGCATGTGGAGGCCGAGCTCTTTCCGCACCCGTGGCATTTCCAATGACCACCAGACTCTGCTGAGACTTGCTGGATTTGATCGCTCAACTCAAGCAGTCTTTGCAAGGACGTTGGAAATATCTGCACCGAGTGGATTTCATAAGCGTTCGTCTTGGAGCAAACATAATGGTCTTGGGTGAACAGACACGAGGAATCGAGTCTACGAGGGAAAGGAGGGCGTGAACGCAATACAATAGTATTGTGTGCTGCAAGGAAGAAAGAAAGAAAGAAGAGAGATAGAGAAGGAAGGAAGAGAATAAGCTATCTATAGGAGAGTGGAGTGAGAGTACAGATCATATGATCAAACATTGGGGATGGTACCTTTACCCTTACTGGGTCTTCTTGACGGATACCTGGGTTGTTAAACTTGAAAGCGTGCTGTTGTGCGTAGAGAATTGCTATAGTATAGCCCCTTTGGATCCCTATATACTCCGACTCTCCTCGACTATCAGTATAGAAAAACAGAGGAACTTCTCTTCCATCTAGATCTCTTATCTCTATATACAGACAGGTAAGGAACTCAAAGTCTATAATCTCCGCTAGAAAGCACCAATATCAATATAGCTCGCTAGGACTCCGAGGATAGACCACTTCTACAGTTTCTTTAGTTAGTTGATCACTAAAGGGAGGGAAGATAGCACAGTTACAAAGGTCTACCCGCGCCCCCAAACATAGTGGTTTCGCTCTCTTCCAGAGCCAGTCTTCAAATTCTATAGGTTTAAGCATATTTAGAACTCCCTCCACTACTAGACTGCAGCACAATCCGCAATATCCATAGATATCCGCAATCCACATCCGTAAATTACGGATTTGGATATGAACCTTATATCCGTGGGATATTTATGGATATCTAATAGATATCAAACGATATAAATATACTAAAACTTATGACCTAAAGGGGTATATATTATTTTATATTTTCTTCGGTATTTTTTGTGTAATAATAGGCACATGCAGTTTATGTACATGTATTCTAAAAATAAACTATGCCAACACCTCAAGTGCCATGTGGTAGGCTACTAGATATATAGAGTTTATTGAGCTCTAACTGTAATTCTAGGGATAGGATTCAGTCCTCTATTAATTGATCATTATTAATTTTATTAATATCCCGATTCTGAAATTCTATAGTAGCCAGCACTTGAGAGCTATTCTTTCCGGCTATGCTCCGCTGGTATTAGAATTTAGGCGTATCATCGATTGGTTTCTCCCTAGTGTTGCTCTCAATGATCCGATTCCTGACTTGCTCAAAGAACTCGCGACGAACAGCCACTAAAGCTTTGTGGCATAGTCTTCTTCTTCTTGCTTTGATCTTGTTTCCTAGTCTTTGCACTTCATGAAAACGGTTGTCACCAGATGCTTTTGCATTCTTTAATTGCCCGTACTGCGATATGATATCGCTCCGAAGCCTTTCGCGGTTAGATAAGTAAGTCTGAATCAAATCGTCTGATTTAACCGCCTCTTTTTGCGTGGTCGTAAGTTCTTGTGGTGCTGAAGGGTCCCGTGTTATACTTGCATGAGTCGAAAGACCAAGTAGGGAGTTTCTAGTCGGCGTCTCTATAAATAAAGATTGAGTATTATCCGTCACTAGATTTGAGATATAGTGGGCAAATGTTTGCCCTCGGGCATGGCCCATGATCTTGTTCCGAGTGTGCTTATCGAGCTCCCCTAGTGATTGAGGATATTAGCAAAATATTCATTGGCTTAAAACTGTCACGGGCATTATGGCACATGGGAAAGACCCACATAAACACGGATGTGGCACATGACTAGCACATGAGCCACAGGAGCCACACAGCTGAGGTAAGCAGACCCTCAGCCGAGGAACACACAACACCAGAATCCCAGGGGCTCCTTAGAAGGATTATCGATTAGTTTACTATAGGATTAGACCTATACCATTATATCATCACATTCGATTACTTTTCACTCTGAAATCACCTCCTACGTCCCATGTCAGCCTCTTCTAAGCCTCACGTGCCCCAACGGACCTTACAAAAACTCCCCTAGTTATACTTATTTTTGTAGCTGCTCCTTTGCGGTATTTGTAAAGAGTTCCTTCGTTCTCGAACCTGGCTGAGATACTATAATTCATCTCCTAGGCTCTGGCCTGGGAGTATCGGAGAGCACTTTGGGGGATCTGTAACAAAATAACCGCCCTTATTTCGACTGCCTCGTAGGATTGGATCCTCCTTTATGCTCTTCTTGAAATGAATTGGAGTACTAAGGCGATGTTCCGGTATAATAGTCAAGCGCCAAATATCTCGGGGGCACTTTATATGTTCGCTAGCGAATGCGTCGTCCAAGAATGCATATATAAGTATATCTTGAATGAATCAGAATGATGCAGAGCCCTAATTTATCATTCCTTGCTGTATAGGTGAATATAGACCTTTAAATAGTAGAGTTAGAATTTGAAGATAGGGCCCGCACTAGAAGTTTCACTTACGGCGCTCCTTTATTCCTTTTTCCTTTATTTAATCTATGCCTCACCCTTATAAGAAGTACTTGGGATATAGTACTTTCTAGGTGCTTTACTATAAAAAGCTCAATATCTTTCTATTTCAAAGCGTCGTTACGATCAACGCTGCCTCAGTCGCCATGGCTACGGGTCTGCGACGGGACTGTGGGTTCAGACACGTGGGGACGGGTGTGAGAACGGGATTTGGAGGGTGAAGTTGAGGTGCTTTTAAACGCCGGCAGGGCTTTAGAATATCATAATATGCAATTGGAAATGAACGAATTCATAAGATTTCATAGGGATTACCCATCCGCAAGAGCGGCACTGTTGAGTATCACGGGGTCCAAGACCTTGTGGTGGGGATCATCAAGAAACATAAATAGATGAGGAGTCCTACCTCCGACGATGCAGACACGAACATAATGTAATCTCTTACTGTTAGAGAGGGGTCAGGTGACCCCCTCTATATCTAGATTCCAGTGCTTGCTTCCTTCCTTCCTTTTCTCTCTTCTCTCCATCCCCCCGAGAGAGATTGTCCATAGCCAATCCAGTTGCTTTTCTCTCTCCGTTCTTTCCTTTCCCTGAGCAGCGATTGTATGCCTTCCGCGCCGACACTTACATTTCAACAGGCACGAGTGAATGTGACGAAGCTCGGTGGAGAAGCGGCGACGCCCGACAAACGCTAGCCGTTTTGGGAAGGAACTCTGATAAAGGGACTGTACACGTGACTTATCTGCTATCACTAAGGCGTCAAGGCCAAAAAATGATGTGCGAGTTAACCATTGGCTTCATACTAACATACTCAATCCATAGTTCATCTTCATTAAAATGTAGTCCTCTAATGTGAGAAAATCAGAGCCCGAAGGTAAGAACGGATTATAGGAAAATGATTGCCCCTCCCAGGGCGGCAGCGGCAATTGAGACTCCAGCGACAACACCCAACCCATCCCATGCAGACCTTGATGGACTCAGTCTTCCAGCAGCATTGAAGGTAGAAGTTGCAACTCCGAACCCAGATACGGTGTCTGTGCCAGAGCTGATAAGACTAGTGGAGCAAACAGGGTTGGTAGAGCTAACAGAGCTCGTAGTTACAGCTGTGCTAGCTTTGGCCATCTCCAGATCAGACTGATGATGCACTATAGTAACCATGGGCATAGCAGAGAAGCCTTTCAAGTTTGGCCAACCTTCCTTACTCAGGGTAATCATCTCAGTAACTGTGGGCTCGGTTGTGCCTGTAGGTATTCCGAAATACTCCGTAGCCGTGAGAGCATTCCAGGTGAACGTCTTGGTGTAGTCACCATAATCCGTTTCAGGTGCATCCTTGTAGCAAGCCTCGGTGGGGGTGTAACCCGCAATCTCAGAGTAACATCCGCCGAAGAAAAAAAGGTCCACCGTCATGGAGCTACATGACGAGTGTCAGAGATAAACACCCTCAAGCATGGGATCATGCAAAAATTGAAGACATACATTGGACAGCATATGGCAAGTGTCTCACTTGTATCCAGAATGCTCGCTAACATTTTGGCAGGATTGTCCCAGTCACCATAATTATACCGGTGTGTAGTTAGAACACCCGATGAGCTAATGGTGTTGGTCTCGCGGGCAGCCGTGCCCATTGTTGCCCATCCAGATGGACAGTAAATACCGGGAGAGAAATAGGCCTTCTCCCAAGGCAAGTTCAAGTTTCTAGTGGTAGCAGTTGCTGTCGTCGTCATACCGGGTGGTATACATCCCGAAAAGGAATCCGCCGCGCAATTTACGGGCCATTGAGAATTAGGAACTTCAGTGCCGCCGACGAATAGGTTATTGGTGCAGGTTGGAGCTGGCGTAAAAGTCGTTGTCATAGGACCGATATTACTAAAAGTCCATCCGCCATTGACTGAGACGCTCGGCATGGTTGGAAGGGTAGGTACACCAATGTTGAAAAATTAATGTATTCTGTGACAGGTCGAGAAGAGGCGCGAGGCGCATCTTGTCTACTTAAAAGACGGAAAACTCCGGGGCATTGGACCCTGAAAGAATTTCCAAGACTTGGGCACTCTCGAATGCGGCTTAAAGAAGTCTCGGTTAGCCAAACGAAGGGCGAGAAGCCATCAGGGCGTTACTTGGCAGGGACTGTTCCCTAGCCTCTGGCTCCGTTGGTTTTAGCATTGTCTTACAGGGTTGCATAACCGAGCACTTGAGTGCATAAGAAGAGTGATAAGATAGAAACTGCATGTGGGGGTTGCCGAGACTACCAGGGATCTGTCGAGTAAGTTCCCCCCAATGGAAATTTTAGAAAGATAAAATAAGACAGGTTGAAAAAACTAAAAGACAGAAAAAGAAAAAAAGGGAAGAGGGTTCTCAAGAAAACCCTTCACACTGCATTGATTGCGAGTCCAATCATGAAGATGGTGCTATGCAGAGAATGCATCAACAAACACAGAACATTTCCCGGAGAATAACCGCAGAATCCCCCAATGCAGGAACAAATCTCCACTTCCCACGCTACTTCTCCTTCTACCAATAACATCCCTCTGTATACCCCTCAACCCGGACGCCAAAAGACCCTCAGATGACCCAGACGATTTACCAATTGACCCTGAAAAGATACCGAGACAAAACCATCAAGCACAACAAAGATGATAATTTCCTATCTGCACAGACAACAAACAACCCCACAAAATGCAGAAACCCACGAACCCATGAGAAAGTCTCAAATCGCCGATCCCACCGGTTCATCGGGGCCCTTCAAAACCCACGGGAAGAGATCAGCCGTTGATCAGGGGTGAGGGGGTTTATAGGCGAGAAAACCGAGCACAGATGACAGTATGGTACTCAGTATACCGAGTACAACATCTATATGTACAGCCACCAATGAGCCAAGAAAAACCTTGGGAAATTTGGATTGTCTCACTTACATCCCCGACGCTGATTCGCTGCTGCCTTATGGCTATGTCCAGGCCCCAGACCCGGCTAGCGAACTCTGAGAACCGGTGAATCAAAACACTGTTCCCACTTTCAATTCATCCATAATACAGCTATTTTTCTGGACAATGTTAATTAAAATTACGCAGGTGCAGTACGTGTTGGCTACTGAAATATTTTATGGAATACCGTGAGGGCAGGTTATCATGATCATTGTCATTTCATTATTCACAAGGTTAAAATATATCTCACTGTAGTCGTAATTTCAGGCGCTACCGCTTGATAGTCAATAACAGTACATATGGGCCGGAGGCGGTCCTCACAAGCAAGTTAAATAATAATTCGTCCAAGTCTCGCCGGGGGTTCGGAGGTATTGGGAAACATTTGAATGCACGGACCTGCGCATTTGGCGGTCAACGATAGGCAGCCAATTATTTATTTCTAAATGTCAACTGGTCAACTTGTAATTTTAGTCGATTTCCACCGGTCAATCACCGCTTGAATTCATTCAAAAATTAAGACTACCAGATCGTTTACACATGGCGTAAACACGACCGTTGATTATTATTATTATTATTATCATTATTATCATCCATATTGAGCCCTCACAACCATTGACCAATCCAGCAAAGCCAGGAGTGTCAAAACTCAACCGTTTTAAATCAATCGATCTCATTCTGCTTTTGGTTACAAAATATAGAACAATCATCATCCATCATCTGATTTCCACATAACAAAGTGTTCGCGTAGCTAGGCGATGTAGTTTACAAAGCGGGAGGGATTCAAATGTTGTAAGGTTCAACCACTTACTAGTAGCACTCGGTTGTACGCAGAAAGATGAGCAACTGCACCAGAGTCGCCCGATAACATCCAAAATCTCATAAGCTACATACTCTACTACAGTGTCTGGCCATGAGATTTACAAATCTCCGAAGTAGCGCCAAGAAGGGGATCTTGCATAAATACTGTATTTGAGTATCTAATACGATTGGAAACGACCCAGTCCCTATATAACCCAAATTATAGATAGCAGATGGTTATTGCAATACGGACTGATATTGCGGCTACTAGCGTAGAGTGACTTCGGAGATTTGTAAGTTTCGTGGCCAGAGACTTCAAATGTTGAATTATTCCTTGTAGGTTGGGCACCCTTGCATACTATGTATGAATATGCACATGTTCGATGTTGCTTACCATCAATTAATATGTTGAATTAGGTAACAAGAAAGAAAAGATAGGAATAAAGAGGTGAAGTTGACTTCGAGCGGCCCTATATGTCTACCCCGCTCTATTCTTCAAAGAATCTCACATGCCACTCATTAACAATGACGAAGATTCTTTGTGATGTTTTTCCAGGGCTGGTCACTGAGGCACCTGGGCATCTTTGAAAATGAAAGACTACGACCTTTCACTGAATACGTGCCTCCAGGGCTATGTCAATGCTCAGTCAACGTAGTTTTTCATATGCTTCCACCTCAGGGGTACCAATTTTGAACCTCCAGTCGGATCTTCCAAGGTTATATTTTTATTTCAAAGAGTATATGTAGTTCAAAAGGGCTTTGAATGACTTGGAAAGACACGCGTGCAACCTTGGAATCACCCGGATTCATTTTTACAAACATTTGGAGTATACCTCTTCTAAACAACCCAACACTAATCAGAAGTCATTACAAAATGGTGGCTATTATTCCACTGGAATCCCGGGTAAAAGGCGCTATTTGGGGAAACTGTGTCGCCGATGCCCTTGGTGGCCCAGTTCAATTCTTGACACCAGGAACTTTTTCCCCAATCACAGATATGGAGTTGGTAAACCCAGTTCTGTAACCACCGGGCACGTCAACCTTTACAACAAAGCCAGTTAGCTAACATATAGACAGAGTTGGCTCTTATTCCGACGACGGCGCAATGACCCTCGCCCTGGCACAAGCATTCATTGACAGTGCACCTAGCAACTACGACCATGCCCTCGCCATTCAATACTTTCTCGAGTGGTGGAAGTTCGGACGTTTCAGCACCGCGGACCAGGCGTGGGATGTCGGTGTTTCAACGGGCGAGGCGCTTTCCATTTGGAAGGCGCGCGGCCTAGCCGATCTGGAGCAGACAACCCAGATTATCGCGGACAAGTTGAGGAAGGACGAGTGTTCCGGGAATGGAAGCCTTATGCGCATCGCGCCGGTCGGGGTAGCGTTGTTCTTTAGACCATACGCGGCGCTGCAGATTGCAAAGGAGCAGAGTCAGGTCACTCATCCGTCTCTTGCTTGCGTCGAGGCCTGTCGGTCGTATACGGGTTTGATTTGCGGGGCTATGAGGGGCGCATCAAAAGCTGAAATGTGCTCTATGTTTTATCAGTATGTAGGCATATTTGATCATCCTGTGTTGGCCCAGCGGTTTGCGAGGTACAAGACCATTTCGGACTGGAAGGCTCGGACCGAGGTCGATATCAAGAGCAGTGGGTGGGTGATTGATACGCTGGAGTGTGCGTTATGGGCGTTTTTCAAGTTTGATACTTGGGATCAGGGCGCCCTGCTGTTGTTAATCTGGGAGGGGATTCAGATACAGCCGGTGCGGTATATGGTGCGCTGGCGGGTGTTGTCTACGGGGTTGAAGCTATCCCTCGGGCGTGGATGGAGGTCATAGGGAATGCAGAAGTAGTTCGAGGGATTGCCGACAAGTTTTCAGAGCGGGTTGCTTCAAACGTCTCTCGTGGATGATTTGCAGTCTGTGCTTTATATAGAGATTAGAGTGTTCAGTGGTGTTGATTGGAAGTTGATTCATGGTCTCATTAATTAATCCTGGTATACAATCTAGCTGTTCAAACTGGCATTGCGGCTAAATGGCGTGCTCAGTTTGAGCTGGACGCTTTCATAGGGCGATGGGTTGCTTCTTTTTGCTCGGCAAAAATGTCATTCCCACCAGTCCAACTATCACAGACATAATCGCTACATGGATATTTTAGTAACCTCATCTTAGAATTAGACAGCGCGAGAGACTTACCACAGGTCAAATTCATATAATAGTATCCAACAGACCGTGTTAGGAAACCCGACAAAACAGGTCCGACCAGCATTCCCGCAGTCCAACAGAAGTTTGTCATGGAAAATCCGGAAGAAAAGTTCTTCTGAGATCCAAAGCGCTCAGGGTGTTCTTCATGAATTTCTCTCATGACATCTGAATCACGAAGTCAACGTTAGTATTGTACTCTGACTTTTCCTACTTCTGCGAGTCACTTACTGGTAATCTCAATTGTACCACAGCCACTGATAAAGGTTCGCGAAATACCAATTCCGATCACGGCAACCATGTATATCGCTTGGCCTTTCTTTCCAGTTCCCACGATAGACAGTCCATCGCTGCTGGCTGTACCCAAAAGCCAAAGAAAAACACTGGCGGTCAGGAAACCTATGCTAGTGGGAAGCTTGGTACCAACTTTGTCTTTGAGCAGCCCAGTTACGGAGCCAAGCAATAGGGATGGAATCTGCAAAAGCAGAAACATCAGACTGACTCGAGCGGTATTCCAACCAAATTGTTCGATGCAGTGAAGAGGTAATGTGGTATCCAATGCGACCAAGATCACAGCCTGTGTGAAGTTACAGATCAATCCACCGGCAGCGCGCGAGTCGGACAAGATCATGGTGTAAATATTGGATGTAAAGCTTGATTTTTCAACGTTGGTCGTTGGAGCTTTATGAGGCGGGACGTCACGTCTTGGTGGGTGTGGATCATCGTCGTAGTCGTAGTACGCATTGGGATTTGGGGACTGGATATCGACAAGGGCCGAATCTTCATGGATTAGATCATCAACACTGATTTCTCCGCGCACGCCGTTCTCAATTGGCGCAGTATCATCAGAGAGATACTCCTTCGTAGGCGACCGGTGACCGTTCTTGTTCTCGATCATGATCATGCGCATCAGCATATCAAGGACCAGCATCAAGATAGGAAGCATCCAAGTCATCCAGTATCCCAGCACCTGGAGAAAGGTACCGGCGGCCATCGGTCCGAATAGTAAGCCCGAGACGAAGAACGACGATATCCCTCCAAGGACCTTGCCCGTGTTTTCATGTCCGACTGTATCGGCAACGGTAGCGAGGCCGACAATCCATACTGTGTTGCCGCCTATCGCTTGAAGTGCGCGTCCGAAGAGAAGTACGGGAACTAAAGAAAGTCAGCGTGAGTGGACTTTGATGTCTGGAGGGGGGGCGCGGTGGGGTTGGGTCATACGATTCGGAGATAACATGATGATCACCGTTCCTACCAGCTCAGCTCCCAGCGATAGAAGTAACGGGAGCCTTCGGTTTGGCGCTTTATCGGCCAACCAACCTGTAAGTGGACCAGCCACCAGACAGACCAAGGCATGGACCGTTAATACGAGTGAAGTTGTTTCTTGTAATTCCGATTCATCGATGCCCAGCCTCTCCTCCAGCATGACCTGGAGAATAGGAACGATATAGCTGTATAGGAAGTTTTCTAGAAGAGAGGTTCTTAGTTAGTGGCGACGATCATCAAGTTTAGTACTTGCATCGGATGGGATTTATTGATACGAACCCGAAAACAGAGCTATAGCAATACAGCTAATGATGAACCAATTTGAAGAGCGCCATCGGTACCCGATAGGGAGGTTGGATTTGTAGGCCATCTTTTTTCTTCTTTGGCAAGCTTAGAATGATCAAGGAATGGAGATTCAAGAATTCAAATTTAATCAAATTAAATGGGATTTTTCAAAGGAAAGTGAATATTTCGACCGCCTTTTGCTTTGCTGCTTTGCAAGGGGTCGGCGAGGGCCATCAGTGGCAATATGCAGCTTTGAAGAGAGCATGATGAATGCAGGGGAGGCAAGAGGATTAAATGTGATGGTTGTCAAAAGGCTTGCGTGGACTGGAGTGGGTACTGGCGTTCGGATCAGATCGGCCGTTGAAGGTGCCGGTACTCAATAGGGGATTTAACGCCGAGTTTTTTTTTCTTGATTTCTTTTTTTTTTCTAATGTACTGTATACTTGACTGCTTTCCCTGTATGATTTCTGATGAAGCTTGAGAAGATGTTGATTTATGGTTTATCTTGTTTTTTTTAAAAAGATTCTAAAATTTCCAGTCTTTCTTTTCTTCCTCTTTGCATGTACCTTACATACTATGCAGGAGCGGTGTGATGGTAACCCTGGAAAGAAGCGGTCACCTGGAACAAAAGTACTCAAGTACTGCTTCAAATATTGTTCTTGAATCCAGTTATTTTCTACATTTCAAATGTTCATGAGTTCTTCAACCTTGGAAAGCCAAAGTTTAGGCTTCTTCGTAGGGCCGTATTTATAGGCGCCTACGTATGTGGGTCCACGCGTCGACTGGAAAATCTCTGGCAGAGAAAGTCAATACAAATAACCAACATTGATACTAGTAGAGTCAAGACATTCAAATATTAGTACTAAGTACTAAGTACCTTGACTCACCTATAGGTATAGCATCCATAGTCAAGATTATGCAGTTTCCAGGGCCAATCATATATTCTCGCCTAGCCCACATGTGCAGTTGAATGACAATATGTCAAGTCTGTTGATAAGATGAGCATCTTCGACCTCGGTTTGTTTCCCAAGGCTCCATGATTTTGATAGCGCATCTGACCCACGCAGTAGCTTTATTTATTAATAAAACCCATATAGACGAATAATTACTATAATGCGGAGATAGTATGAGAGAGAATGTCCACTCAAGGGCCAGTCGTCATCATGCAGCCAAACAGGATACAGGGATACTATACGGGAAACTTCAGGGTTTGGGGGGTTGAAGCGACTGGACATCAGGACACCAAAATGTTCCGATAAGAAGAACATGATTTTCAATGTTTACTCTCTGCTCTCAAACATTCAAATGAACCATTTACTTCAAAGTGAAGATTCCCTCAAATGTTCTCTTACTGACTCCTGCTCTGAAGTACTACATAGTAGTAGTAGGTAGGGGAAATGCTTGTAGCACCTTGCCTGCGATTCTGCTTGAGGCACATCTGGAACACGGTAGTTTCAAAAGTGACGAGATGCAAGAGTAAGGAGCCTGGTACCAAATCCGAAGGCTTTATAAATGACTCAGGGGGAGCATTTGAAGCTACTGGGGCGATCAGTGGACTCTACACCGCCATCCCATGATTGACGAAGACTTTTCCAAGATTTCTCCCCTGACATCTACTCGACATGCATTATGTGCAGACGAAGCAATGAAGAATGGAGGGGGAATCAAGACCCAAGAGCCCCTCATTCCAGGAACACGTGGAATGGCATGCGTGCCGAGATACAAAGGAGCAAGGTTGATCGGCTATGCAGGGAGACACTGAGGCGATATAACCTTAGTGGACAACAAAAAGCTTAGAATCAAAATTATTCCTTAAGAGCCTCATTCCCAGTTTAATTGGTTCCAATACATCAATCCCAACTTTCTCCCCTAAGATTGTGGGAAAAGAAGAAGAAAAGCAAATGGACCGGTTGGCCCCGTACTCACTTAAAAACGAGGATCGACACCGACTTCTCAAGTAGAGTTGGCGGGGTCTTATTTACCGCCAAAACAACCCCCCACTTTAACCTCTGCCAACCTTCCAGCTCCCTTATATTCTCTGTCTTTCCTCACGACCCTTTTTCTCCCTTCTCTCTCCCTCCAATCCTCTCTCTCCACACAACCTTCACCATGGGTGCACACTCCGCAGTTTGGCAAGGTAAGCATCCTTGTTCATGATCGCATTCGTCATCGACTTCCCCCTCACTGACGTCTTTTTTTCCCTGATGTTTAGGCTATGTCGACTCGAGGTACGATTTCCTCTTTAAATTCCATCTCCATCGCCCTTGAGCTATTCCGATCATTTTCTCTGCTGCACTTGGCTCGGAGTCGCATTTCCGATAGCAATATGTGCAATATGTGCAATATGTGGCGACACACCTGACCCCGACCGATGCTGACAATCCTCCAACAGCCTGATGGGCTCCGGCCAATTCGACAAGGCCGGTATTCTCGCCGTGGACTTCTCAGGACTTGAGGCCAAGTCCGCTGGCTTTGAGGTACGCTTCCCAATATCCCTAGCCCCCTTTCTGCTTCCGGGAGTCCGTCCTATCAATGGAATGCGGGGTCGATGTGTCACATTTGACAGTGCCACCCACGGATCGCGCCATGAAACTGACCGGTGCCTTGTTATTGCCTACAGCTCTCCCAGGAAGACATCAACTCCTTGGCTGCTGCCTTCACAAACCCCGACAACGCTTTCACCACAGGTTTCTCCATCGGTGGTGAGAAGTTCGTCACCATCAAGGCCGACCCTCGCTCTCTATACGGCAAGAAGGTACGTATCTACTATAACACATACTCCCCACACAAGCTCCTGGTCATACGAGAATTTTGCGGCAATCGCATCTGGATTGAGATGGCTGACATGTGTTGCGTGATATAGGGTAAGGAGGGCGCCATTGTTGTCCGTGCCTCCTCTTGTACTATGATCGCCCACCACGGCGAGTCCGTTCAGACTACCAACGCTGCTACCGTTGTCGAGAACCTCGTGGACTACCTTAACGGTGGTAAATAAATTGATTTTTTTTTTGGGGTTGGAATTGATGCGATCATCGAATGCGATGATATGAGAATATGAGATGTGTGAAGAATAGCCAAATAAAGGAGCATCGATTTTTTTTTCTTGTCTTTTTTTTTGCTTTCATTTTGATTTTGGGTTCTCCCCTGAGCTTGGTCTGTGGTCTGTGGTCTGTGGTCTGCATTTGTCGCACTCGCACTACAGGAAGTGGACACCAGCGACGCGTAAGTAGATATCTTTCTCCCCCGGGCATGGTCAATCAAACCTTGGAAGCATCAGGTTCCCTTGGAATGTATGTCTTATATGCTCAAGGTCGTTTAATTCATGTATCTTGAAATACATACTCATATCAAGCAATCCCCCACGCTGAAAAGTGTAAAAAGGAATCATTAAGTAAATTACATCAAGGCTTTATAAAGCGTAGGCATGATTGCATCCGTCTTCATCCATGCCCCCGGAGGCCACGGGTTTGAAGAAACTAGATGCCCCAGCCCGCTGCAAGATCATTCTATGCAAAATCGAAGCAGTCTATCTGCCACGTATTCTGACAATTCAGACTCATCACGGTCACGTCAAAACGCAAAATCCGATAAAGTCTTATACGGGCAGCTCGGCATTGCTCCGACCACCTGCCAAGACCTCCAATCCACGCTGGATGTACGGTCCAATAACGGGAATATTTCCTGCAAACTGCCCAATTGTAATTAGGAAGTCACCAAAGAGGATGAATAGTCCGTAGAGTTCGATCATGAAACCACAAAGCGGCCAACGGAAGAGGATGAGAAGGATGCCAGCCGCGAAAGCAGCGGTACCCTTGAGTTTCTGAGGACGGGAGAAGAAGACCAGGGTCTTTTGGAAGCCGATGATCAGGGTAAGGCCGATGAGGAAGAGGATCTAGGATGTGTGAGTTGAGAGCGGTTAGGGAGGTGGGAAGTGGGGATTGTGGCGTACGTTGCCCATGGCCAGTCTAATGACAAGATGTTAGCTTGCGGTCGCATTTTGTCTTCTTCGTATGTTGTAGATATGCATATACGCAGGAACGAAAAGGAGAACGTACAATGACCGGTCAAAGAACATAAGGACACCTCCGAATAGGAACAAGCCACCTATACCACCACGGTTAGGATTTGTTATTTGTGCTTGGATTGCGCATCACTGTCGATATCGCCACCGCTATATCCACATACCTGCACAGCAGAAGACCACTCCAAATTCTAGAGAAAATGTCAGCCATGATTCGCTTATCCTTGGACTGCGCCGATGCGCTTGGACAAGTGTCGCGCGACACTGTTTCAGGCGACGAGGAACTCACTCTGGTGCTCGGTAAGCCACATGCTCGGCATTTTGGCGTAGTGTGTCGTATACGGCGTAAATGAAGTTGTAGAAAGGAACAAGGAATAGCAGAACGCGCCAACAAGATCAATTGCAAATGGAAACAATAAGGATTTCGCCGTAAACAGAAACCCCTTTTTCTGCCCGCCACCGAAGGCGGTCGGGACGAACTTGTTTAAGCCGCTCGAGCGGTCTTGTCAGTTTCCTTTTTCCTTCACCCCACGAGTACAGCTTTGATCTTGAACCATCTGAGCTGAAAAAAAAATGCCATTGGTCAAGGTTGAGGCTCTGGAATCTGTATTCAGCAGAATATAGCTGTCCTTTATGTGACCATTTCAAAGGCTCGGACTTAAATGTTGGTCTAAGGCTTGTGGTTTGGACAGCTTTTCTGGGACACATTGTCCTCTGCAATATACCTGGTACGAAGTACCCATATCTATACATACCCCGCCGCGACGACAACACCCTCGGGTGCTGTAACTGATATTCCCTTCCGTGGAGTTTCGGTACTAGTTGCGTGCTACCTGGCACGAGGCGAAGAACAGAACTTTTACGGTTACGAATAAGCCGGAGCGCTTTCTTGAGCCTGTCTCGAAAGGGGCAGGTGGGATGGAAAGGGCTTGACTGTGTTGGCCGAACATTCATTGTCTTAGTATTAGGTTTTTTTTTGTATCCGGGGGTTTCGACTTTCAATATCAATATCATCTTCAGAAATTCGTACACATATGCCCCCTCCCTTCACAAGCTGGAAAATTGATCGTAATTCGTTAAATGTGACAAGGTTTACCCTTATTTCAAGACCGTGTGTGCTCCACGCGCTTCGAGGTACATCTCTGGCACACCCTGGGCCAATGTCCGAATCACTGCGAAGATCTCTTTGTTGTGATACCGGAGTCGGGTCTTGGGGTCGGTGTAGGGACCGGCCAACCCGGTAATATCGCAGTAGTTACGCTGGTTGGCGGCGCTCAGCGATGGTGCCGACTCAATGTTCGTGTAGGTGACTGCCGGTCCGGTTGAGAAATTGGCGCGCGCATTCTTCTCCAGCACCAAGGTAGAAAGGTTTTGCGAAGCTTGTGCTAGGTTGGGAGTCTTGCCAGTTCCATCTGCTGGGGTTTGTTTGCCATCGGCCGTGGTGCTGCCCGTGGCAGGGAAGGGGGTGGTTGCGCCCGAGTTGGCTTGGGTGGCCATCACTGAGGCCTCCTTTCGAGCACTCTCGGAGATGATCTGCTTGAGGTTCCGGTTGCGACGCTGGGAGGGCTTCCAATTTGGGTTGCGGAATGGCTTCTGGAGGCGGGCAATATCCAGCTGGTCCATAAGCTGCAAGTGCGCTTCGTCGTTGGCGGGAGTTGCAGGAGGCATTGTTGCGATCGAGGAGGGAAAACGCAGAAGTTTGGAGGGGAAATTAATGCCAAAAGATTTTGTGTATATAATGTAGATTAAATAGTGATTTGAAGAAGTCAGAAGGATGGGCGGTTGGCCAGAGGATACGAGCAGTCGGCGACTGTATGAACCGCCGGGCCATGCGAACCGCCATTTCTCACATGACCGCCCAAACAAATCATCCTCCTATGTTTCTTCGCAACCAACAAAGAAGTATATCCCACCAAGACTTCAAACTATGGTAAGTTTATTTTGCTAATTTATTATCAATATCAAGCCTGGTATCACCCAGGTATTGTTTGACAGCACAGTACTAATCCCATTTAGGAGAGTCCTCATGAGCACCAGCAGTCAGTGCTGCTCTCGCGTATCATTACCAATGTGGTAAGATATAACAACTCGATGGCAACCACAAAATGCAGTAGACTGAATCATGAAACTAGGAGAAATTGAACGAGGCTGTTATGGTCATGAACAAGGGCCTTCAGGTATATGCCCCGCGAGTTTGGATGCTTCATGACATCGATTGTTGACAACCCATAGGAAGTCAATATCCAAAACATGAACGTTGAGCTGGTGGCTCAGATGTTCAAGAACTATCAGTCCAATGTCTTGTTCCATCTGGAAGGTATGCTTCTTGACTTATCTCAATATATCATATTTCAAACACTAAAAATTCAATGTCCAGCTACGGAAAACCTCAAAGAAGCCTCGCCGCAAGGATCTACCTAAAAGACGAAGTTTGATTATCACGAAGCAATGTATGAATGAAACCGGTTATTTTTAAAACATGATAATTTTAAAGATGTAGTCCATTTCATGGAATGTATAAGTATTGAAGCTGCAATTTGCCCAATACTACTACTAGTTGAGATAGCGAGCGCATCACCGCTTCCCCGATCTTGGCGCAAAGCAAACTATCCAAACCTCCGGCTTTCAACACTTCACCTCCAACTCCCACGCCATTCGTCTACGCCTGGTCGCTTGGTCGTTCCGGATCCTTTTGGAACCGTGCTCCGCGACTGACTGGCTTCTATATAATCTCTGTCGCCATCCCCTCCTGCTATGCAGTAATCTCTCCATAACTGATCTCCGATCTCAAAGCTCCTGGTTTCCGCACCGGAGTTGCCCACCATGACTATCAGTTCGGTCAAGACCATTTTACCGGCCCGATTCAAGGCCAATTCATCTGAAAAGCCTGATGCCAAACCACCACCCAGGCTTTATCCCGCAACAGACTTTCCCTCCAAAGGCTACCAGCCTCCACAGACCGATGGGTTCGAACAGAGCAAAGCCCACCCCGACACTAGCGCTATTGTCATCGACAATGGTCAGTACACTGCAAGATACAAATCCCTATAAATTTCAGATCTCTAACTATCGTTCTTGCGCAGGCGCCCATCTCGTCAAGGCTGGCTGGTCCTTTGATAAGACCCCGCGCTTTGCCATCCCTCCCGTTACAAGCCGTTACCGCGATCGCAAGTTGAACCGCCCGTGCAACTTTGTTGGACACGATGCCTATCTTGATGCAACAACCCGTGGCCAGCTTCGCGGGGCTTTTGACTCTGGGTCTAGCGTTGTCGGCAACTGGGACGTCATGGAGGGCGTGTTGGACTACATGTTTCTAAAGTTAGGTGTGGACGGTTCCAACGGCGGCGTCGATCGGCCGATTGTTATGACTGAACCCATTGGCAACTTCGCATACCCAAGGAGAAGTAAGTTGTTGGATCTCATTAATCTGGCAATCAAAGCTAACAACGCATCTAATAACTTTTAGTGATGAACGAGATCCTCTTCGAATGTTACTCTGCACCATCCGTCTCCTTCGGAATTGATTCGCTTTTCGCGTACCGCTACAACAAAGGAACGGACGGATTGGTTGTTTCCTCATCGCATACATCTACACACGTTATCCCCGTTCTGGGTGGAAAGCCGCTTTTGTCCAATTGCACCAGACTCAACTGGGGCGGCCTGCACAATGCCGAATACCTTATGAAACTCATGAAGTTGAAGTACCCTACCTTCCCGGCAAAACTTACAGATATCCAAATGGAGGACTTGGTGCGCAACCACTGCTATGTGTCGCAAGACTACGACCGTGAACTGAGTGGATATCTTGATTGGACGGGCCTGGAGGACCGCGATCACGTTATCCAGTATCCATTCACCGAGCATATTGTCATCGAGAAGACTGAAGAGGAACTTGCCCGTATTGCGGAGCGGAAGAAGGAGAGTGGTCGCCGACTCCAGGAACAGGCGGCTAAGATGCGTCTTGAAAAGCTGGTGAAGAAGGAGGGGGAACTTGAGTATTACAAGAGCATTCAAGCCAAAATGGCAGATGAAACGAAGAAAGAGATCCGTCGTATCCTTGAGACCGAGGAACTCAAAGATGAGGCTCAACTTGAGCGGATGATCCGAGAATTGGAGAAATCTATCAAACGTTCTCGCAATAAGGATCTCGGTATCGAGGAAACGGAAGAACAGCCCGAGGAGATGACATTCCCGCTACTCGAAATCCCAGACGACCAGCTCGATGAAGCTGGTCTGAAAGAAAAGCGTCACCAACGCCTGATGAAATCAAATGTCGATGCGCGTGCGCGCGCTAAGGCTGAGAAGGAACGTGAAAAGGCTCGCCGTGAGGAAGAAGAGCGCCTTGATCGAGAGAAGCGTGAAAATAACTTCGAGAGCTGGATTGGTGATCGACGAGATGCCCGCCAGGTAAGTTCCTATGAGATCTATGAGTCTACTACTACGTACTAACGAAAATAGATTCTACTGCAACGAATTAAGGACCGCGATCGCATGAAGGCAGACCTCGGAAATCGGAAGTCTCTTGCTAGTCAACAGCGCATGAAGACCCTAGCCAACTTGGCTTCTGACGGTCCAAAGAAACGTCGCCGCGGCGGAGAAGACGATGACTTTGGTGCCAATGATGACGACTGGGGTGTCTACCGGACCGTTGCAACGGGCGACGGAAGTGACGACGAGGAAGAAGAGGACCTGAATGCTACTCTCGGTGGTTTAGAGAAGGAGCTGCTAGAATATGACCCCGACTTCACGGAGAACCACACGCTCGCTGCGCAGTCCGATTGGACCAAGAGTCTTGTCCATGGATTCCTGCGTGGTCCCTGGCCCTTTGACCCGGAAAGCCAGCGTGAAGCGCACCAGCTTCATCTGAATGTGGAACGTATCCGTGTTCCCGAGGTCGTTTTCAAGCCTTCTATTGCCGGCGTGGACCAGGCCGGTCTGATTCAAATTTCTGCGGATATCGTGAACCAGCGGTTTTCAGGCACCGCGGACCGTGCCCGTCTCCTCAAGGATGTCTTCCTGACGGGTGGTAACACTCTTTTCACTGGATTTGAGGACCGGTTCCGCAACGAGCTCCGTGGGTACCTGCCGCTTGATATGGAGTTCAATGTGCGTCATGCATCTGACCCTGTCTTGGATGCTTGGAAGGGTGCTGCACAGTGGGCTTCCAGTGCTGACTTTGGTCGGTCGTCTGTCACTCGACAAGAATACCTGGAAAAGGGTAGCGAGTATATTAAGGTAAGTCTCCACGTCTCGATCTATGTCTACTATTCATATCTGTTCTCGGTTTGGTGCTAATTGATTCCACAGGAGCACGATCTTGGTAACGCTACATGGTAAAGAGGTTAAAGCGGTTCCAAAACTGAGGCGCAAAGGAGTCAAGTTGCACGGGTTCTTAGGCTGGCAATGGGCATTTTTTTTTCTTTTAGCTTTCAATCAAAGGTTTTTTAACAACTTTATATCCTGAAGTCTTGGGATCCCCTCATATTGAATTTGAAGCAGCTGTCGGGTACACCTTTGCCTGGGTTCCATAACACTATGGCTATATTATCCGATGTGTATCTATAATGGATTCAATGTTGTGGACAGTGTCTTTTGTCACTGAAATTGAAGCCAGACCCACCGGGAGTTGTGATTGATTATCGAAGTATAGAAAGCTCAAGGGACATGTTAGTACACAAGTCGATTCAAAACCAAATCTTGTATTTCAGCCTGGACAGAAAGGACTTGTTGCATCTGAGTACTTCCGGCCAATCATTTTGCACAAATGTGTCACCACGAGAAGTATAGATCATTCCCCTGCTTCCAAGACAACCAGGACTTGCAGCGGGGTATCGGTATCTACTAATAGTATACTATCTTGTGTTGTCTAAGAAGCTCGTCTGGACGTCCTTCCAACATTTGAAGGTTGTTTTGTCTTTTTTCCATAGCATTTGTAGTAGTTCCACGAGTGTATTGGTTCTCTACCTGATAGTAATAAACTCAAGAGTCAACTACATATCCACCTATGAATCTTATAAAGCTACCGACTAAAAAGCTGAAGCTTTTCAAGACTGAAGAAGCTACATGTATTCCATGCAGGAAGATCCCTGTCCTTTTAGTGACACTGCGTCTGTTTATGGTTTTCGGCGATTCGCTTCTTCTGCCGTCTGTTCCGTAGTTATACCTGAGTTCCTGTTCCCATACTCATGGCGATGGTGTGATGTGTCAATAGCCTGAGCGATTCTTATGATTGGTTCATGCGTACATATGTATGAGTTGGCTACTAGTATTATCAGATGAGGGTGTTTCCCGCTGTTCCGCGGTATGCCGAATGGGCTCCTTTCCAAGGTTGCCCACGACATAATTGATAGTATCTTCAAGTTAGTACTCCGAGGATTTAAACAACTACCGTGCTGGTCTAGACGATAATATTCAAGTCGTACAGCGTTAAACTATATATCATCTCTAGCAGTTGACCTCACGTGCTGGCAAATGCAAACCAAAATTAGGTCAATTGGTATTACTTTAGGTACATATGTATAGATGGCAGATGCGGTACAGGGATTTGACTTCATGCAATAATGACGCAGCTGGGGAATTGCAGCACTTGAGCACAATGGGAATTCAAATGTTGAGTGTTGATTTTTCATTTGAATCTTTTCTCGTTAAACTTCAAATGTTCCATTTGACTCGGCGCCAAGTCGTGTCTGTATCTCATGGTTTTTCTCGTGTCCGGGATGATGCCATGATTGAGAGAACATAAAGTCTTGCGTTGCCACATTTTTGAGATCTCTTCAAACATTTGAATGTTTATTGTTCCGATATTCCAACCTTGAAACATTGAATACTTTTCGATATCGATCGGATAATACTGTCCTCGTTTATTCAATTCTTGTTCATTGCTATACCCGTGGACCTCCCATTACTCATCCTGACCTCGGCATAGCTGAACGAGGACGTCATGCGCTTTTCAACGACCCTCGCCCGACCATTGCAACTGATCCTGAGATCTCTGCAGTGGATCAGTGCCGTTGTCGTCCTAGGATTGACCTCACGCTTCATCAACCAAGGACCTCATGGGCAGCACATCACCTACCAAGAAGTTATTGTGCGTGACTACCTGATATATACTAAACCCAGACACTATTTTCTCGAATGCAGACATCCACGCCTGTACACACTACTCAAAAGAGTGATCATTGCTAATAAGCCTTCAGTCCGCTCTCTCGATCGTCTTCTTCATCCCAGCATTCATATCTCCCTTCCGCCCAGCATTTCTAAGCAAAGTCGTCATCCCGATTGACCTCGTGTTTTCCTATCTGTACGTTTCCCCATGGACTTCTTCACAACTTACAAGCAAATGTTCCAAAGAAAAATTTTTTCTAAAAAATACTAATACATCACATTATCATCTCATTAGATGGTTGACTGCTTTTGTCTTTGCGGCCCAGGACTACAATTGGCATTCGTGCTACTTTCATTCCCCGCCTGGTGTAACCTGCCAACGCAAGAGGGCGAATGAAGCATTCATCTTCTTAGCTTTGTATGCTCTAGTTCTTTTCTTTTCTTCTTTTCTAGTCTTGCGCTCCCCCTCATCTACTCAGCTCACGATGTCATATTTAGCATCTTTACTTTCTTAGGGATCCCTCTCGAAGGTGCCGCACTCCATGCATATAGAAGGAACCGGGTCATCCAGCCCGTTGTGGAGAAGCACGATGGCGCTGGCGCTACCACTGGCACTGGGACTCGGGCCCCGCTTGATGCCCCCGCAGAAGTTGCTGCTCCGGTTGCTACGGTCTAATTGACTTTTCATCTTGGTTTTCAATGTTGGTTTGAGTAGTACATTATGTACTACCTTGCTTGGTTCAAGTCTGTTGCTTGTCCAATCGACTTGGTTGGGATCTATGCACCTGGATGCAGATGTACATTCCTGTATGCAGTTGATCCCTGCTATGTGCGCTAATTGTAATACCTGGTGTCGTCAATCAAAGGAGATGTTATGGCCAAACCTTGTAGGCTAGTCCAATTATTGTGATACATGTCCTTATACGAGGGTAAATAATTGAGGGGAAAATTGAAGCATGTCAAGCTACATTGATATTCAAATGTTCCAAGGCAGATTGGTCTTGTATAAGATAGACTTAGTAGTTAGCTCTAACTCATTTGATTTGTGGTTTGTAGTATGTACAGTTTATGACAATTGACAGTCAGACTTTCAAAGGTCGGAGTCCTCAGATGCAAATGGGTGTATCTTGTGCGTGTAGGTAATTCAAGAAAAATTCACGTTCAAAAGGGGCAAGGCCCAACCGTATGAACCGCCAACTCCAGCCAAAATTAGAGAGCCTAGAACTGTGCTGAACGCCAGGACCGAACGCCTCGGGAATCAAAGCGACGACAGATTAGAATGAAATGTGATATGAATACAGCGAGTACTTTTAGATACTAGCGCGTCGGGGAGCCATGGTCCGCTGCAACTTGCGCTTCTCCTCCGTCTCCTCGGGAATAGGAAGAGATCCCTCGTTTTTGAGACGATCGAGGAATTCCTTTCCATACGCATATCCAACTTGGTAAATCTCGTCGAATTTACCAAATTCGAGTGTTCCATAGGGGTCGATTGGCGGGCGCATGTAAAGACAGCCGGAGAGATTCTTAGCTCGTTCCAGGTTGTCAATAGAGGAGACGTATGCGAGACGGGCTTGAATTTCAGAAAGTGTAGGCGGGTTCGGGAGCGAGGAGAAGGGATTCCAACGGTTAAACATCGACCAGAATCCAGACAATGAATCGCCATAGCCCTGGGGTGTATTATCATCGAGGGAACCCACGTCGACGGCGAAGATGACGTCTGCTCCGAGACTCTTCATGTGCGCTACAGTGAGATTGTCGATATATCCACCATCCAGGAGCATGCTGCCCTCATCACAAATTGGAGGAATCAGGCCAGCCAGGGACATGGACGCACGTACGTATCGCCACACGTATCCAGAAGAATGGTATTCGGCGCGGGACCGGCTGATGTTGGTGGTGTTACAGTAGAACTCGAGCCAGAAATCCTCAATCTGGCTATCACCAAAAGTCTTGAAAATTCCGCGATTGAACTCGTGGCCGGTTGTGTACGAGACCGTTGGGTATGTCAGATCCAAAGCAAATCGCCACATGCTTCCCATACGGCCAGAGAACTTCTTCGCACGACCGTACATGGGAACCACGTCGGCGTCTCGTGCGTAAAGGGCTCCGATAAATGACCCAATGGAGGTACCACCAACGATATCAATTGGAATTCCAGCCTCCTCGAGCGCCTTGATCACACCAACTTGGGCTATGCCGCGCGCACCTCCGCCACCCAGCACTAATCCAACAGATTTGCCACATAACCGGCGAGCAAGGCGGTGGAAATCACCCTTGAAAGGGGTCTGTGATGAATACAGCGGCGTCTGCTGGATACGTCGAGAGGTGTATTTCTGGATCTCTGCCTGCAAAATCTGGACACGTTGCTTGAGAACAGTTCCAAACTTTTTGGGGTTGGGGTGAGAAGGCTCAGCGGTCAGGCGGAAAGCCATTTGGATATGATGATGACCACCATTGATCCACAACCGGTTCTTGAGCCAGCGGCGCGTCAAGCCGGGCGAACAGTACCGTTCAGAATGCAAAAGTACCAACTCCTTGCGTGCGGTCGTCTTCATGCCAAGCAAGAATCGCTCATATTCTCCGATTCTGGACGAAGCCTCCGCGACACCTACCAGCAAGATAGAATCCGCCTGTGCGATACAGGTCTGTGTCCAGGGCGCATTGACATTGGTATCCGCGATGTACAAAACCAAGCCATACTTCTCCTCCAAATCTGCCAGATACTGTGATAGTTTGAGCTTTCCCATCTTGGTAAAAGCGTGGCGGCCTAGGTGGTTCAGAATGGCAGCTTGGTTGAGTGAAGTGACACCTCTGGTCACACCGACCTGATGCAAGGCATTCAGCAGCCGATGGCCAAATTCAACTACAGGTACACCTGCAGTGACTGGAACGATGGCCACTGTGCGGAGGTTAACGGTCGAGGTCGCCGTCTGGACACCACCAACATGGGCCTGCTCCAATGCTTTTTCGGAGAGAGGGTGTGCTACCAAATCACGCATGCGTTGAGCAATGAGCTTGGACACTTGAATTGTGATGCCTGGGTGCTCTTGCGCCAGGCTGTTGAACAATGATCGAGGGAACTTTGCTAGCTCAGTTTCTCGAATTGCGTGGAGAGTAGATGGCCGAGTAGATTCTGTCATGACCTCGAGTTCACCGACACTCTCGCCTTGGCCGTATTCACCGACTACGGTCATTTTGCCATTGGGACCTTCCAAGACAGACCTCAGGCGACCGTTCAGCACGAGATAAATTGCGTCACTTTCATCTCCTTGGTGGTAAATAGGTTGTCCCGCGCTTACTTGGACCCATTCAAGTGCAAAATCAATGTGGAGCAGCAGACGAGGTAGGAGGTTTGTCAGACGCTTGGCCAGGGTTAATAGAGCAATCGGATACCGGTCTGCGATACGCTCTAATGATGCACGGGGTAAAAATCCCACGTATACATCTGTCTTCGCAACAACGTCCGTGTATGAGCGATATGAGGCTAGAGCGCCGACATAGCCTTGCATGCCTCCAGGTTTAATCAAGTAAAGTGATTTGCGTGACTGGGACTTGCGGCGAGAGTCGGCAGCAGCACCACCACCACCTGTTGTTGTGCCTGGAGTGCGAGAAGAGCCTGTTTTCGTTTGGCCCAGTGTAGGGAAAAGTTCCTCCCGTGCATTGGATGCAGTAGACCGCGATGAGCCAACCAGGTCATCCCCCCGCTCGTTGACCGGGATGCCCACATCTAAAAACCCATCAATCACGTAGTAAAGACCCGGATGGCGCTCACCCTGTTCTACAAGAACTGAGCCTTGTGGGAAGTAAACGACTTCAATGTCATGGCGTAGTTCTTCGCGCAAATTGACCACCGGCGATGTTCCACCAGCACTGGTCACGGACATGGACATCATAGATTCCGTCTCGCCATCTCCGGATCCTTCATAGGGATCAATGAACCCAAATGCGTTAGAGAACACAGCCTTCTGTCGCCGAGAGTCATAAGACAGCAGCCTAGGAGATGCGTCACCGGAGGCATGGCTACCCTTTCGAAGAGCATCGCGCGTACTCTCCATAAGACCAATGCCCTTCATCATGCATTCCAGAATTGACTCTCGGAATAGCGTTTCTTCGTCTATTGATTCCTTACGTTGAAATGGAGATGATGAGAGACCATCGATGCCTGCAGCTGGTCGGAATAGAGGACGCTCTCGCTCTGTCAAGGGACTTTGGAGGCTAGGGCCTAGATTGTCGCGGCGAGGTCCAAAACGAGAGAGCTGAATTGTAGATAGCAAGTCGCCAGGACTGACTCCGTTCGAATCTCGCTCGTTGTGGTGAAGTGTTGGTCGCCTCTGGGGAGTCAGAGCAAGGGGCCGGCTCCCTCCATCCATACGAGCTTGCAAGACCGCCTCCTTTCTGAGGGAACTACTGGAACGGCGTCTCCGTCCCACAGCTGGGTTGTGGAGAGCTATACCCTTGCCAACTTCTTCGGGTCCGAGGCGGTCTCGTTCCTGTGTGAATTTGTTCTTCAAACGGTCCAAGGCACCGCCGCGCAGATCATTGGGCAGATCATGAGACGTGTATTTCGACATCTGTCGCTCAATACCCAGCACGTCGGTTCCCAGTCCCAAGTATGAGTGGGCGGTCGCGAACGTCACTCTTTGGAGACGAGTCAAGATCACTTGCACAATATGAGCGGTCGCTCTTGGGTATACGCGTGTTAATCGGCGGAATGCACTAGCGGGAATAATGGCAATGGTCGTATCCACCGTCGCTCGGGCGACGATATCTGGATGCACTGACTTTCGTCGTCTGGCGGATGGCCGGGTAACTTGCGGCTGTGCGGGTCGCTCAGGAAGAGTAGCATGGCTCTCTCCCAAATTCAATGGAGGGACTGCCGATAACGATTCGCCGGCACCATGAAGACCAGGCGTCAAGTCGGAAAGATCAGCTTCTCTCGACAGCGGGCTCCCTAGTATGTCAACACCAGGACTCACTGGAAGGGAGCCAGGGCCGCGGGGGGTATAAGCCGGTGTTACGCTCGAGTTGCTAGAACTAGAACTATGCGTGTTACGCAGCTTGATGTCTTCAGTGAACAGCTGCAGGATAGAAAAGAGCGACGACATGGAAGCGCCATTTTTCACTTCGGTCAGTAATTGATAACCCTGACGACCATTGGAGTTGTGTTCCTCATCCTCTGATGTCACATCATCAAAGTGTACGTCTTCTTCCATCCCCGACTTGCGATCACGGGTTGACTTGACGAAGATCTGAACCAGGCCATCTACCACCAAACAGAAGCCCTTCTCTTCTTCCAACATCAAGGTTTCACCGGCGATCAATTTCCTTGTCTGCATGGTCCGGGTCAATTCGTGAAAGACGGGTCGTTCTAAATAACCGAAGACTTTGATGGCGCTCAGGAACTCGTCAAGGTAGCTGGCCAATCCGGGCTTGGAGTCTCCATCTTGAATATCGGGGAAGAGGTCGACTTGGGCTTCTTTGCGCTGGGGCTCCGGGGGCAGGCGACTGTACATGTTCATAAAGCGATAGCGAATGAACCAGCTCACGGTGGAGACGACAGCTAGGAGGATCAACAATCTATGCGATCATTCATATCTGATCAGCTCACACTCTTTTCTTCAATTGATTCTGGGGTGAACGGGGGGGTGGAAAGGGGAGAAGACTTACAAGGTGGTGAAATTCATGGTGAAGGTGAGGCTCATGGAAAACAGCGTAAATAGCCATGTGGGCAAAGTGAGGGTGGTAAAAGTGATAAGCCAATACAGAGCTCGTGGGACGACTTGAAAGGCAAAGGTAAAGATCCAACCAATCCACCCCGCCATGGTTGACGGTATTGGCGGAGGAAAAGGCGGGGGAGAGGAGGAGATATGGGCAGCGGATAGAGCGGTCGTGGTCAAGGAGGGTACAGAGGAGACCAGTGAAGAGACCAGTGAAGCCGGGGCCGATATGGCCGTGGTGCCGGCCGTTAGGCTCAAGGACAGGGACGGAGCCAGGTTAGGCATGACGTGTGGTCCCGGCATGAGATCAAAGCTCCGCTTTTTGACCAAGAAAGCCAGTCACCAGTCACCAACCAGGGTATCACACTAACTCAAAACAAACTCCCCGCGACCCTCTTCTGGGCCACCATGTGCATAGGCATCGGAAACGTGCGGGACCTGGTATCGGTGGATGGAAAGGAAGATGAGGGGAAGTAGGAGAAGAGGTCCGAACTGCAGGGATGACAAGCTCCCGATCAAGGCAGGTGACTTTGTCGATCAGATGAATGTAAAAAAAGAAAAAGAATAAAAAACAAGAATTGGAGGTTACTGATTATTTTCCCCAGTACCTTGGTAATATGAGAGAGAGAGAGAGAAAAAGCACTTGTAAAATTACCAGAGGAATAATCAGAAAATGAATTGAGGTAACTACTGTGTAGCTAACATTGAAGAGTGAACTTTGGTAATCCAGTACCAACTGTAGCTACTAAAACGTGGGCTGGTCCACACGTATAATCGGTGGAGCCTTCAAATGTTCACCTTTGAAACTTCAGGATTGAAATCTTCAAACATTGAATGACGGAACCTATCAGGATGTCTATAGTTATCATTCTATATTGATTATAGATCTTTCGGAATTAATGTAATTTTATGATTTGTGTGAAGGTCATATCCATTGGTACTATGTATAAGTAAGATCTCAGTACACACCTAGTACTATGTACTAGTATACATACACACAGGGTACCTGGTGCTCTATATATAGCACTCAAGTGCTGATGTTCCTGCATTTAATTGTAACATTTGAACTCAGGATTTAACATTTTATGTATTTATACTGAAATCCATAAAAATGTGATTAAAATAACCAGTTGCCTTTTATTTTATATTTATTTTATACAAAAAATGTGCTTGAATGCTGAAATTTAAGAAACTCAGCTAATATCGAAGTTGACAGTGCCTACGTACTAGTAGCCGATAATCTGGAGTGCATTTGTCTTGGCCAACATAACTCCGATCCCCGATGCTTTCGGATCCCGTTCATCAAACCCCATGCTCCCGCCTTCCTCTATCCTTCTACTTCTCTGTATCCATCTACTTTTCTACTTTTCGGATCTTATCCACTTGCTGGTCTTGGTCCAGAGACCTCTCGCGGTCATGTTTCAGGTAAAACTTGCACTTTCCTTCAACATTGAATGCTCACTTCCCCGGATTGCATGAGCGCACAAGACCAACCCACTCCAGCCGACAGTCAACCAACTCAACATATACTAATCATTGATTCTGCTAGCGGCTCCGCGACGCCATTGACTCGCGCATTGCAGAGGAACAGGCCCGCCAAAAAACAGCCCAGGATAATGTCTCCCGCTCCAACTCCGCACGGCGCCCGGCCAACAGTAATCTGCCCCCCGGCCAACGGTCCCGCCCACGGCGTAACACTGGCACTCCGGTTCGAGGCCCTGACCCAAAGGAATTCGAAGCTGAATTCGCCATCGGTGATGATGAGTCGAGTCGGTCGGGTACGCCTCGTGTAGAGACACCCGATCCGGCGTCCGAAGTGGCCAGCTCAGCGGGTGATCGACCGGAGGAGACAGAAAACCAGACGACCGAATCCTCTACCGATACAACAGGAAAGACTTCAGCCAATGAGAAGGAGACCGCACTACCGGCGGCGGATGTCGATACTAGCAAACCTGCCGCGGCGGAGTTGCCCATAGACGTGAAAGCCAAGCTGCGCCGACTAGATAAGTTGGAATCACGATACCATGGTATGGGACTGGCAAATAAATCTTAATACTGTTTCTATGACGAACCTCTAGCCAAACTGACAATTTGACGTGCTCAGAACTTCTCAAAGCCTACCGCGTGGCGCATTCGCGCGTCCTCTCGATCGAACCCTTTGAAGCGGCCCTGCGCGAAAATACCCCTCTTACCTCGATCGGCGAACCCAAGGCCCTGACCGAGTATCTCAATCAGATGTCACTGAAGACTGACATGGTCATGGAGGAGATGAAGCGAGTTGCAATTGAGCGAGACGACTACAAGAAGAAAATGGACGAGGCTCAAAAATCAACCAAGGAAGCGTGGGATGAAGTCGCCGGTCTGAAAGATAAAAACAAAGAGATTGCATCCGAAGAGAAAAAGTCGCTCGATGAGAAGGAAGAAACGAGCGAGGAATTCTTTTCTTATGACAACGAGGTTCCCCGACTGGAAGGCGAGCTGAAAGAAAAACAAGAAGAGGTCGACCACCTCAAGTCCGAAGTCGAGAAGCTCAAAACCGATCTGTTTGTCACTCGAGAGTCGACCGAGGGTATGGTACAGAACTTGGAATCGGCCACCCGGGAGCTGGTGGAGCTGCGAGACACCAAGGATAAACTGGATGCCGAGATTGAAGGCTTGAATACGTCGAAGCAGACCGATGTCGACGAACTCAAAGCGAAACTTGCGACCGTCGAGTCCTCTCTCGAAAGCACCACCGCCGAGGCTGAGAAGCTGAAGAATGATCTAAAGATCAAGAATGATGAGATCGAGAAGCTGCAAGCTCAAGCATCCGAAGCTGATAAAGTGGAGAAGGCGGAGGACAACTCGGAACTGGTGTCGCAGCTGGAGGAGGCCAAGAAAGACAAGGAGACTAGCGAGAAGCGCCTTGGTGTCCTACAAAGTCTAGTCGATACCGTCAATACGCAGCTCAAGGAATCGGAGAGCACTGTGCTAGCCCTCAAAGCTGATATCAGTCAAAAGTCCGAAAGTAACGGTCGCCTCCAGAAGATTGTTGATTTTGTGGACACCAACCTGCAGGACAACGAAGCCTGGCAATCATCCAAGGACAAGGTTTCTGCTGGGGAAACGGCCGACTTCGAAGAGATCCGCAAGACCCTGGCTCCCACCGAGAAGGTTGTTGTGCCCAGCACAGCTGCCCCTGAAGACGACTCGCAATCTGCCGCAGCGGTGCCTACCGCTGGTGGAGGTGGAGGAGGCAAAAAGAAGAACAAGAAGAAGAAGAAGGGCGGAAAGGTGGCTGAGGAACCGTCCAAGCCGGCCGAGGCTACTCCTGAACAACCCCCGAAGGAATCCCCAGCCACATCCACCGCATCCACTGCAGAGCTGGAAGAGCTGAAGCAAAAGATTGAGTCTCTCACTAAACAATTGTCGGACAAGGAGGACGCCATCGACCGCCTTAGTGCCAAGCTCAAGGGAGAGGAAGACCTGAAAGAGGAGATCGAGTCTTTGCGCGATGATATTGTCAATGTTGGACAGGAACACGTCGAAGCCAAGGATAAGATCAAGGAGCTGAATGCCCAGAAGACAGCGCTGGAAGAAACCATCGGCAAGCTCGAGAAAGAGCTGGTTGAGCTTCGTATCAACAGTGCCTCAACCTCTGCAGATTCGGAGAAGATGCACACCTCTCTCAAAGAAGAGTTTGAGGGCCTCAAGGTTCGAGCAGCCACTCTGGAGACAGATCTTTCAGCCGCACAGCAACTGGCTACCACCCGGTTCAAGGACCTGACTGACCTGCGTGAAACTCTCCAAAAAGTTCAGCCTGAGTTGCGCAGCCTTCGAGCTGAATCCTCAGAACTGAAGACATTGAAGGAAACCCTTACTGGCAAGGATAAGGAGCTCAGAGTTCTGGAGTCCAAGCATGAGGATTTGCGTGCGGAGCTGAAAACCACAAAGACCAAAATCTCTGAACGCGACACAGAAGTGAGCAGTTTGAACAAGAAAATCCGCCAAGAGACTGATGGTCGTCTTAAAGCGGAGGAGAATCTTAACGTTGCCCAATCAGATCTCCGCTCTGCCGAGTCAAGAAAACAGGATGCTATCAATGCCAAGGATAAGACCGCAGGAGACCTCGTCAAGTCTCAAAATAATCTTAAGAGTTCTCGTACCAAGATTCGGGAAATGGATGAGCAAATTTCCCAGCTCAACAAAGACCTTGGAGGCCTCCGAGAAGAAATTAGCCTGAAGACTGCACAGCACACGAGCGCACAAAGTCTGATGAACAACATGCGAGATCAGACCGCTGAGATGGCCATGCAGATGAAAGAAGCTCGCGAAAGATGCGATAGCCTAGAGGAGGAGCTTGGCGAGGCGCACCGCCTCTTGAGCGAACGCACTCGTGAAGGTGAAACAATGCGCCGCCTTCTCAACGATATCGAGAGTCGCTGTGATGCTAAGGTCCGAGATTACAAGGAGCGTATGGAGGCCGCAATCGAAGAACGAGACCGTGCTGAAGACGAGGCCAGTACCCAGGGCCGCCGTCGTGCACGGGAGATGGAAGAGTTGAAGTCCAAGGTGCGCGACGCTGAACGGACCTTGCGCACGGCTGAACAAGACAAAGAGGAACTAGAGAACTCCCAAAAGGACTGGCGTCGTCGTCGGGATGAACTGGAACTTCTCTCAGAGCGTTCTACCCAAGAGGTAGAAGAGGTGAGACAAGCCATGTCTGGTCTACGCGAAGCACTGGATGAAAGCGAGAAACAGGTCCGTGGCCTGGAGAAAGAGAAAGCCGAGCTCCGTCGCTCCGTCGAAGAAACAAATAATCGACTTGAGAAACTTCGCAAATCACACAAAACTCTGGGTGAAGATGTCCGTCTCCGTGGACTAGAATCTGGTCGTCAGTCCTCTCGGTCATCGATTGATTCCGGCTCGAGGCGTGGCGTTGTCTCGCCGTCTGGTCAGGACCGGAGTGCGTCTACTCGTCGGAGTGATGCTCCTTCAGCTGGACCAAATACTCAATCCATTGATTACATGTATCTGAAGAATGTTTTGCTCCAATTCCTGGAACAGAAAGATAAGACTTATCAGAAGCAGCTGATTCCGGTTTTAGGAATGCTGCTCCATTTTGATCGGTACGTTTCTTCCTATTGATTGATTTTTCATCTACATGCAAATACTGATTATTGATCTAGCACCGACGAACAAAAGTGGATGTCTGCCATCATGTCGAAGTGATATGGGTAGTATATGTATGTTTTTGTTTTTTCTTGCACTATGTATTATATCCACCCTTGCGATCGATAGTATTTATTCAGCCTCACTCTAGAGATAACATTTGAATACGGGTCGTTACCATCCATGATGTCAAATTCTACACATGCAGATTTTGCCCTCAAGTGCTGTACACGATGAATATACCTGGTAGTTAGAATTCTGGTCCAGTATGCACATGTGCACTTGAATATTTTGTAGTAGGCACATGCACGGTTCAAACATTTGAAATGTTCATTGTATTGAGGTGACAAAATTTCCTGTGGCAAGCGAACTTGATTGAATCAACAGCAGGGTATAGTAACTAGTAACATTTGCTGGTGATTTCTACTAGTAGTACTTGCTAACCGCAAGGGGTCGTACGGGCACTAACTTGTAGTAAAGCTAGTACCTGCGGTTACATAATCACGTGATCAAGCAGCTGGTTCACCGCTTCCCCAATCCGGCCGCAGTACTGAATGTCTGAATACTTCGCCTTGCACGTGATCTTAACTTCCTTTACAACCAAACACAGTCACGTGATCACCATTTTTTGGCAAGTTGCAACAACAGAACGAGTCAAAAACACTCTAAAAAGAGACAAGAAATCTGTTCTTCATTTGAGCCCGGGTCTATTCTTGGAGTCGAAAACGCTCCATCATTTGAAGATGGCTCTTGCCATGCCCGTGTGAGGCCGAAGACTGTATATTTTGGCGAAAAGCTTCACGCTAGTCCTAAAGCAGCAGGATAATCCAGCAGCATTCACCGCCAAATCCCCACTGGGCAGAATGATGCCGCACTCAACCGGACCTGACTCAGATTCCCTCTTCCTCTTCCTGCTTACAGCATCTTCAACTGCTTACCTCATTCAGCTTCATCATTCAACCTCCCCAAGAACTACCTCTCCAAGGTTTTGGGTGTTTTTCGAGTCCGGATAGTCTTTGCTCAATTCTCCTTATCTGAATCACCTTGCTCCATATTCTCTATGCAGCCTGCGCTGGCTCCAGCGCCGCCGCATCCCAGCATGCAAGCTACTGATCAGGTAAGCAACCTATCCTCGACGCGTTTGTCATCAGATCGTCTTCCCGCCGCCAGTTATCTTAAATCGGGGCATCAAGTGGCATGGGATACTCCATCTCCTGCACCCGGCCTTACGACGCGTCGCAGTGGGCTGCTTGCTTTGCCGTGCCCCCCCGGTCGCATATTATGATTGTGTTAAGTCTGGTCACTAATGGTGCATACAGGATCACGAGGACCAACGTAAGTCACTTTTGTTGTCGAGTTAGGGCTAGGTGGTCGCGCAAGCTTACTGGCGGTCCATCATGGTGGCTGACTTGGGGCAAAACCCTACCAAGCCATGGTGGCCAGGTAGTTCACAACGAGTACAGATACTAATTGATATCAATATAGTCCTGCATGACCGACTGCTTGCAGTCCAGCACCATATTCCTCCTGGACCCCGTCACCAGGGTGGCCCTGGCCCCCAGCAGGGAATGGCCCCAAACACTGCGAGCCCTCGCGACCAGGGCAACATTGACCCCGCCATCTCCGGCGCGGCCATGATGGGTGCGGTGCCCCCGCAGACCCCCACCCAGCCCCAGCAGGGTTCTCCCGATAGCGAAAGCCCCAAGGGGTATGGCCAAGGCAAGCGCGAGCTTTCCACCTCCAAGCGCGCTGCCCAGAACCGCGCTGCCCAGGTAGGCCCATGTGATTTTAAGCCAGTTGTTCTGCCGACACTAACAGTGCGATACAGCGTGCATTCCGCCAACGCAAGGAGACTTACATCCGTAAGCTGGAGGATGAAAACAAGAATATTGACAATTACAAGGAAACAATCTCTAAGCTATTGAATGAGAATTACTCCCTTCGCGACTTCATTATCGTTCTTCAAGGTCGTCTGATGGAGGCCCAGATTGAGGTTCCGGAATGCCCTTCCAACATCGACCTGAACCAGAACTCGCGTCACGACATGGGCCTTGCTGGACTCTCTGCCGGTGGCACCGCAAACGTCCCCAACTCCGGTCCTCAACAGGTTCAGCACCAGGGCTCTGTCAATGATGATATGAACTCTCTGAACCGTATTGCCGTTGCCGGTCTGGGTATGCGCAAGCACCCGGACGAAGCCAACTTCATGGGAAACAGTTTTCAGCAAACCAAACGTCCCCGCGTCGATGACAACACCACCGACCCGGACCTTGTCGCTAAGCAGGAGGGTCAGCATGCCCACAGTCTTCCCTTGGCCTAAGCGCCTCCGCTTCTGCTTTCTTTTGCCGCCTTATAGCCCATGGATCCAATCTTTCGATATCCCGCTTTGTTTTGCACGCTTTTTGACGTCTCATTGCCATTTATTTTCTTATTTTCGGGGTTCTTCTTGGTGTGTGGCGCGATTCGTGGCTTTTATTTCTATTTGTGTTCGTCGATCTCAATTCTCAGGCTGGGTGGTGTACTGTTACCTTTTGAGCCCTCTTTAGGCTTTTTTTCTCTCTCTCTCCAATGTTTGTCCTTCCGAGGATGCTTTTTTCCTTTTGTCCCGTCTCAATTCTGTGACAGTAGGCACCTATCTATATCCAGTGCTTTGAAGTCCCGAGAGTCAATTCAACTTGAAAACTCTTTACTCTTTCCCCCTAATATTTCCGCAAGTAGATAGACGATGTATATTTCAAGACTATGTAGATTTGAAAGGCTGACGCTAGGCGGTTCTTCTATAGTGAGATACTGGGGGTACGCCAATTACTGATCCAAACTATACTCCCGAATCAAAACATCTGCACAGGTAGCACCCGTCACATATGCGGTGGCCTGTGTATGGTTGTTTGTCAACACAGGCACAACGCTCATATCCGCGACACGAAGATTCGCAACTCCAAACACCTGGAAGCGGCTGTCAACCGCCGCATGGATGTCTCCTTCTTTGCCCATCTTCACCGTCCCGGTCATATGCCAGCTGGATGACGCATTGGCTTTCCAGAATTTCAGAATGTCTTCATCGCTTTCGGATTCCGGCGCCAACACCGTGGATACGGTATCTTTCGCAAAGGATGAGTGCTGGGTCAGCTCAAGGAGATGCTTGTAGATTTCAACAACCGCGCGCTGGTCGAACGGGTGTTCCAGCACCTTGGGATCGAACAGAAGAGGATCATCTGGGTTGGCTGATTGCAATCGCACCTCGCCAATAGATTGCTCATTCATCAGGAATGCGAGCAAGCAGATGTAGCTGTAGTCTTGGAACAGCTGAGGGAAAATATTGTGAACCGGGAACCCGCTGAGAATCTCGTACTGAGGGATTGTTGCCTTGTTCATGAAAGCTTGCACTGGTTCAGGGAGGTCCTTAAACTCCTCGGAGGACGTTACTCGATCGGATTTGAACCATCCACATCCAACCTGGCATCCATACCGAGTCCAGGGTCCTGTGTTGTCTTTATCCCATTGCGTGACAGCGTTATCCATGGCCGATTCCGAGCCATAAAATGTGTTGCGATCGTTTGTTTCAGGCTTCCGCATTAGGATGATTGGTGCAAAAAAATGGTCTTTTAGCCCTTGGCCGACTGCGGGCAAGTCTTGAAGCACTGGGATGTCGAACTTATTCAACTCGGAAGCGGGGCCAATGCCCGAGTGCATGAGAATCTTGGGTGAATCAAGTGATCCGGTTGATAGGATTACTTCTTTGCTGGCAAGATCTGTGTAGCTTTAGTTTCGGCTCATGTATAGATGTTATGCTGATGTTGGGAAAGGTGCAATACTTACACCTCTTGGCTTTGGTCTCAACGCCAATGGCCTTCTTATTTTCGAACACAACTCGTTGAACTGGTGTATCCGTAACAATGACCAGATTATCTCCAGCACCAACTAACAGATCAACAGCAGTGCTTCTGCGTCCTTTCCCAGCAGAATTGATCAGCAACCCCATTCCGAGGGGATTGCCAGAATTATGATCGAAATTCCGCTCCAGTCCAGCCTCTTCAAGCTGATCCAGAACAAGAGGCAGATCCTGCTCCCATTCTTTCGCAAACCCGACCTTCAAACCACCCTGGTCGCCATGGTCTTGCGACTTCGGCTGCGCATACTTGTGGTTTTCGGGGAGATCGATGGAACCATCGAATGTCTCAAGACGCTTAAACCGCTGCTGCATGGCTTCCCATCCAAAAGTGTCATCAGATACATCCTCAGCCCATGTATCGTAATCGTCCTTTGCGCCGACAGTGTAAACACCGAAATTGATCGCTGAGCCACCACCCAATCCCTTTCCGCGCGAGTAATCAATTTCTCGCCCATCACATGCTGCTTGAGGCGTAGTTTTGTAGCCCCAGTTCATGTTCTCACCCATGAAAGTTGTCCAGCGTTTCCCGTCTACACGCTGAGATTCATCGTCATTTTTCCCACCCGCCTCTAGTAGAAGCACGCGAGGCTTGGCGGCAGATTTGCTTAGTGTGGCTGCTAGTGTACATCCCGCAGGGCCGGCTGTTGTAGAAATGTAGAGATGATATGAGAAAAAGGTCTGCAAGGCACTGCCTAGTCTCATTGAATGAGGGACACTTACCTCCAACAACAATAAAATCAAATATATCTTGTTCATACATCTTGAAGCGATGTTTGGAGAATGTACCGGGGGTAAATAGGGGAACCCACGTAAATATGACAGCAGAATGAAAAAGAGAAAAAAGGTCAGCACCCGGAACTCTCTTCTGCAGTGAGCTTTATAATTTGCATTTTACTCACCCCCACCGGCCAAGAAACAAAAGACTGAAACAAACTAGTCGTGCTGATAGTTTGCCAAGCTTCCGTTATGCATGCGGTACGCCTCTACAACGCATGTCTTGCCTAGGAGGGGTAAAACTCGTCCGGTGAGGGGAGTTGCTTTCATTGGTGGGGGTGGAATGCCTCTGTGGCTCTGTTATTCCTGCCCCGCGCAGGAGATGGTCGATCATCAATGAGAATACCAGCGTATGGACAAGGCGGGTATAGTGGATAATGCGATGTGGATATGGATGGGGCCTTCTCGGGCCTCACCCGCAGCCACGGCCTTGTCTGGTTTATGGGTGATTGGAGATATGCGGTGTACGGAGACACGTTTGATTCTGGTGATTTTGGTGATTGAAAGTAATAAGAGTGGATAAATATGGTGTTTGGTACTAATGCTTCAATGGCTGGAGAAAATGGTGAAGAGGGGACATCAATAGTGTTCAATGTTTGCGGGCCGGATCTTTCCCGATAGCTGATTAACAAGATGGAACTTTGAAGGTTCTTCCAGTAGGTGTCTACTATATACTACTACAGTAGGTACTATGTATGTGCTAGTCCTGACCAGGGTTGGAGCTGTCAGATATCGTTCTTATCTATGATCTCCAAACTATTTTTTTTGCATTTTATACTAACATATACTATGGCTACAACCTTGGAAGTCACCACAGATGGAGGTCATCAAGAATGCTTTGCTTATATTCCTCGCGCTTGAGATGGAAGATAAAGCCTTGGAAGTGAGAAGACAATTGGAATATTCAAAGTCATGGGGAGTTCTGGTGTAATACCCAGTGCGGGGCATGTTTTCAGGGGCTATTTTTAAGCCGAACAGTATGGCATGAGTTCCAGTGGGCCAAACAATTGATATCTCTAGCATGAGAATAAAAAACAAAAAACAAAAATGAAAAATGAAAAATGAAAAATGAGAAATTGAAAGAGTTGATGAATGTCTTTGGAAGAGATATTTTCCAGCATCAACTTCCCCTTGTATACGAATTCAATGACTTTACAATGCAAGTGGAGACTGGCGGAGTTCGACCTGGTGGGGCTTTGACGCCAGCCCCGCGCGGGATAATTAACGAGGTCTTGACTCTTACATCTCCAAAAGGGTAAATGATGAGGGCTTATTTTGAAAGGATCGGGACATGTTCATGCTTGAATCTTGGAATGCTTTCATGGTCACCACTTTCCCTTTTGAAACAGTTCGGACTTAGTGGACTTAGTCCTATAGACAACAAGAAGATAACTTGAATATTAGCAAGATGAACATCCCCGGATGTGGCACGTGAGCTGCTTCTCGCCAGTTGACGACTCGAGCTGGAAAAGTTGGCAAAGTCAGATTTCCTCAATGTATACCACTTTATACTTAACTACATACACAATCCTAGAGAAATGGATGCTCTTGTTCTGCATAAATTCCACATGATCAACTCAAGGAATCCGTTCCAGACGCTATAACCGAGGATCTGCGGATCATTATCGTCCCGTTGTAAGCCGTTACACCTTGTGCTCCACGTCCCCATGAAAGCCGGGGATCAATCGGGGACCAATGGAATGTCGGGGTACTCAGACGATTATAAAGCGGTTTTGTACTCTGGACATTGACCCTGTGGCGAAAAGTCCCGAGAAAAATCGGTAAAAAGCCGACGAACCCGAGGTTTTTCAAACTTTGAAGTTCCAAGGAGCTTCCTGTTGCAGGTTAGCGTCACCTGTCGGCTCTTTCCCCAGAAAATTTTCAATCTGGGAACTTTGGGGGTTTCTTCTCTCTTTGGATTCAAAAGAGAAGCTTCTCTTGTCTCTTGTTCTAGGATCATTCTGATCATCTCAGATCAACCTCGAGTCTCCCGACTTGGCTCGTGCGGAAGGGCGAACTCCTAAAATCACCACTAGGAATGCAGCAGATGGAGTGAATCCACTTTTCACCCCATCTTTTCCCTCTTTTTTCTTTTCCCTTTTACTCTTTTTCGCCGTTCGCCCAGACGGGGGCGAACTGGTGCCACTCGGCATTTATATACAAGTGGGAACATTGGACATTGGCCAAATTCACCTCGGGGATTCTCAGTTGACAAGTTGATTGCAAATCCTCGCATTCCCTCTCTGATCTCATCTCTCTCCGCTCTCCGCTCTCGGCAACCGCAAAGTTACATTCAACGCCATTCAATCGGCCTTTGCACACCTTGGGAGCGGCAATTGAAAAGACCCTTTCTGCGATTGCATCCAAGTCTCGAGGATACATATAACCTCTCCTTCCGGCGTCCATCTTTATCGCTCATTAATAAAATCGCACGAATGGTCGTCTTCTGCTAGCAAGATCATGGCGATGAAACTGGTCTTTTGGAACAAGTTACGTTTACGACAGGGCTCCCTCCGAAATCAGGACACCACAAATCGCGACCTCTTTTGCTCTCCATAACCACAAGAAGACAGTTCCAATCTCCCCATCATGGTCGACGCCCTCGACCAGGCACCCGATGGCCTCATCGGAGGCTACCACGGCAACAGCCTGACCGTGCGCATCTTGATGATTGTTTTTTCCTCCATCGCTCTTTACAATGCCATTGAGCTCTTTATTCTATTGTTTCTCACCTTCCAATCCTATCGCGGTCTATATTTCTGGACCATGCTTCTGTCCGTCGTCCTCGGGGTGATTCCTCATTCGATCGGATATATTCTCGAGTTTTTCTCCTTGGCTCCGTTATGGCTGTCCTTGACCCTATCGACTATTGGATTCTATGTCATGGTGCCGGGGCAATCGGTCGTCCTGTATTCGCGACTCCATTTAGTCGTGCAAAGCCGGGCAGTCCTGCGCTTTGTCCTCTGGCTCATTATCGTCGATTCGATCATCCTCCTCATCCCTACCACCATCCTCACCTTTTCCACCGCCTACGTACAGACCGATCCGTTTATCCGGGGATACAATGTGATGGAGCGATTACAACTGGCCTGGTTCTGTTGCCAGGAGTTTGTCATCTCCGGAATCTATATCTGGGAGACCGTCAAACTGCTCCAACTAATGCCCGACAAAGATCGGCGCCGGACAAGAATCATGTACGAGTTGCTCGCTATCAACTTTGTCATTATCTTACTGGACGTCGGCCTATTAGTGGTCGAGTACATCGGCTTCTATTCGCTGCAGACGACTTTGAAACCCATGGTGTACAGCATCAAACTGAAACTGGAGTTTGGTGTCCTCGGCAAGCTTGTGTCGCTTGTTCATACATCGCGGTCGCAACCGACATCCTCCGAGCAAGAGGAATACCCGCAATTTGTGGACCCGACTCAGCTCACTTCTGACGTTACGCATGCTGCCCCGATTGATCGTGCCCCACGCGGCATGCCGGCATGGAATACTATCTCCATGGAAAGTTTGCCCATGTCCGAACGACGCATCCGTCCATCCACACGCTCCAGAGTATCCAGCGAGAGCACCTGCCCATCCTGATTTCCTCGATCCATTGAAATCGTCCTCTTCTCAAATACCTCCTGTCGCACATGACACAATTGGTTTTTCTGCTGAGTTTTGTTTACTCGTGGATGTAAAGAGAAATACTACCTCTCGCCATGTCATACTGTGACCCCATCAGCTTCGCTGCAATTTGCGCGAAAGCCCCGCGCTGCCTATCCAGGCGCCAAATACGGATCTGCTGGAAACGCAGCAGATCCAGCATCTTGCCAAAATTGCAAATGCACATACCGATGATTGACTCGATGTGGGATTTGTCTCATCCATCAGTCGTGTATAATCCCATTTTGTTCATACCATGCCATATATCCTTGGCTCGTTGCCTTTTATGTGTATAATTATTTTATGACTGTAATTAACGATCTGAATACATTTTATTGGACATAATGAATTTCTTTCAACAACGACTTCTTCACCAGCCTCCTCTCCATACCACTACGTTACTATGACGAAACCCGCTCGGTGAGAAAAAACTCCCCATTCAATGTGTCTATTTGTTCTTGTCCTCTTGCAAAATCACAATGCAGGGCAAAATCTTCACTCACAATGGACCCTATGAATCTATTCCCGAAAATGCCTCTCCGGGTCTTCGATTTCTACACCGTTTCCTTCCAGCCGTGGACTCGGTGGAGCCAAGTCACGACCCCATCGGTTCCTTCTTCACATCCAATGCATCTATCATCATCGGTAGCAATCCTTCCAAACCAGTACAATCGACCACGAACTATGAATCCAAAAGTCGTTACCTGACTCACTTTCACCGCGACGTTCATATGGCTTGGGACATGGAGCTGCGTAATACGAATCCCATTTCCTTGGATCCAAATAATCCAACAGTCTGTCTCGATGAAACTGCAAAAGACACCCAGGATCTACAATCTCCCTCGATGAAACGCACCGTAATGTTCGAGGCCACATCCGAAACAGTCTTCAAAGACGACCCAGACCAATTCCCCATCAAAGTTCGCGAATTCAATATTCTCGACCTCGAGGGAAACAGCGATACAAATCTACAGGTCATTCAGATGCGTATTTTTCTTGATGCAAAGCCTATACAAGCCCGCGCCGCTTCGTTAACAAAGTCATCGGCGTACGGTGAGTCGCAAACGGAGACTCAAGCCGACTAGGTGACTGGTTTCTCTTGGTGGGGCATGCTCCAAATGGTTTTGGTCATCATCGCGGAATTATCGCGGAATCACCGGCACATAACTATATCTGCATCTAATCTTATCGGGGCTAGTGTCGCTTTCACTCGGTGTTATCTTGCGGGGCTGTCGTGTCATTATCGTTGCCGATCGGCAATGAGGTCGCGCACTGCCGCTTATCAGGGTAACCCAAGAAGGATTGGGGTTATACATAATGAGGGGTAGGTGCTGTTTGCCAATTGGAGCTCGCTCGCCATTGAGTCAAAATAATTCGCTTTTGAGACAGCAAGATGCAGTCTTTGCAAAGTCAGCAGGATATTATCAGAAAGGTCCGCGAGGTTCTGGAGAAGTATGAGTTTCCACTCAGCGAGATCAACCAAAAGGTACCAATTAAACATTTGCCCCCATTCAATGTTCAGCTCATGGTGTATGCTGATAATCATGCCAGATCTGGTCCAATCCCGAATTAGCCTTCAAAGAATACGATGCCCATGATAACATCTGTGCATTCTTCGACTCCCTCGCCGAAGACGGAATTCGAGTAAAACGCCACGCATATGGTGTGAGAACTGCCTTTGAAGTGATTTACACACATGGACAAGCCGGGCGTGTAGTGGCCTTCAATGCGGAGTATGATGCTTTACCGGGAATGGGCCATGCCTGCGGCCACAATCTGATTGCTACAAGCGCGATTGCGGCCTTTCTAGCAACCACCGAAGCAATGAAGGCTCTTTACTCCGATACTATTGGATTCTCGATCCGCTTACTAGGCACCCCGGCCGAAGAGGCTGGCGGTGGAAAACTGAAACTTGTTGAAGCGGGCGCGTACAAGGGTGTTGATGCCTGTTTTATGGTCCACCCCTTCCCTATCCTATCCGGCGCGCCAGATCTTTTGAGTTCCAGCTCAGACTCCAGCCAGTATATCGCAAATAATAACATCGAGGTTACATATACGGGGAAACCGGCCCATGCCTCTGCTGCACCCTGGGAAGGGATTAATGCCTTGGATGCTGTTGTCGCGGCTTATGTCAATATCTCCATGCTGCGACAGCAAATCCTGCCTACACAGAAGATCCATGGTGTCGTGTTAAGGGGTGGAGACAGGCCCAATGTTATCCCTGCTTCTACTACCGTCGAGTATTATATACGGTCACCGACGAAGGAAACGCTGGGCCCTTTGACGGATCGGGTGATTAATTGTTTTGACGCTGCTGCGCTTGCTACAGGGTGTCAGGTGGAATACAAGTGGCAGCCTTCATACACGGATATGAAGGTTAACAAGCCCCTTCGTGACAGTTATACGTCAGCTATGAATGCCATGGGGTACAAAACTATTTCCGATGCGGCGGGACAGGAAGGTGGATTAAGTGGAGGATCTACTGATATGGGTATGTCCACCGCGCCTGTATGGTCATTTACGTGACTTTTAACTAACGGTGCTAGGCAATGTTTCTTACGAGGTTCCTGGATTCCATGGAGGATTCTACATAGAGACAGATGGTGTTAATCACACGCCACAGTTTACCGCTGGTGCAGGCTCCCAAGAAGGCTTCAAACGCAGCCTGTATTGCGCTGCTGGTATGGCGGTTGTGGGTTGCCGTGTGTTGGCTGATGATGGGTTCGCGACAGCCATCGCGGCAGACTTTCAGACATCTGCCTAGTTAAATGAGTACTATGTAGTATGTGGATAGTACTACCCTGAGAGAATGTGAAGAATGAATGCGTAAGCAATAAATATCTCATCTGAGCCATAAGCACCGCAAGACAACTCAGACATGGCCCTGACCTACTGGGTAGAATTCATCCAGACTCTTCTGGACCAAATAGGTAGTGTGAAATTGAAATCATCAAATTTCAACATAATTAAACATTTGTAGATGCCCACAAAAAGGGTTTCCAAGGTTGAATCGGAATTCGAATTGACGTGAAAGCAAGCAATTCTTCTCTACCCACGTCTCTTCTGCTCAACCATTTTCTCAAAGACAATCCTTGATTCAACAGCAGCGGGAATGTTCAATTCATCCAATCTATAACGCCTACCAACAAGATGAAAGAAGATATAACCGGAGATGAATCTGTTGAGATTTTCAGCCATAACAGCATCTCCAGACATTATTCTGCAAATCTTTCTTGCTTCCTCGACAGTTTTCTTTCTGATATGGCATAGTGACTGGAGGGAGGTGAGACCAAAGGCTTTGGCATAGTTTTGTATTAGTCCAGAAGGATCACCCGCCTCGCTCTCTTCCTTGTAAAAAGATAAGATGTCGTTTATGTAGCACAGCAATACCATGAGGCTTGGAATAGCTGTGATGTATCTAGTCAGATCTCGCTCATCAGGAAAGCAAAAAAAGGCATATGCCTCAGAAAGACCTGTTTTCGCCCTGAAGAAAAACAGATAGTCGGATGCATCACGACAGAAATGCAAATTATTCTCTTGATTCTGCTCGACGACAGTGACTGAGATGTATTCAAGAGTTGATTTGACAATCATGTCTCCACCAAACTGTCCGAATATTCTCCATGTTTGTTGCCCCCCCAGGAACTTCGTAAGGCCACGGAGTAGCTGGTGTCCATGTGTCTTTCTGAGGACCAAGCGATTCATATAATCCCGCAAGTCTGTTATAATCTCAGGCGCAAGGTCGTCAATGGCCACACAATATGAAGTGAATATGGCAATGTAATCCCGAGCTTCACGCGAGGCAAAGGGATATGCGAAGGATGCTATGTCGATCGCTGTATCGATATATGGTCCAATTCGGGACACGAACTCCCGCGAAAGCCCATGGGATTCAAAGGCACACTCCACCCGAGTCTTTAGTTCAATGTCAAAATCATGGTCTGGTTGCTTGTACGCAATTTCCAGTAGAAACCCTTTCACAATATCTTCGTAATCACATTCGGGGCTCGTATTGGAAGGGCGCATCCTTGCTGAAATCAGCCCGACATGGTTAATGATGATATTTTTAAAGCTAGCCAGAATGGCTATCAGGAGGAAAATAATCTCAACAAGGGGTTGGAAGATGATTTTGAGGTTGGTAATGCGTAAAAAGCCCGGACTCGTGGCGTGCAAGGGAGGGTTTGCAACGTGATCCTGCTTTTTCAGTAAGCTGCACACTGTTCATTCATATATGCGTGCGTTATAGTGCTGACCATAGCTATCCATGGAGTACTTAGCCAAGGGGGCCAGTATTACTTCGAAGGGATGGACTTAAAACTCTCAAGCCTCCAAGGTTGGAAAGAAGGTGGATATAATGAGAATAGCCTAAGAAACATCGACCACTTGTTATATTCTCGGTGGGAGACTTGTGTTTCCACCGTAACTCAAACATTTGAATCATCGTGATCCTGTACTCCCGAAGGACCGCGAGTGCTACAAGCATGGTGAAGTACCTGCGGACTTATCCATCAATGTTTGTTTGTTTTTCCTACCTCAACCAAGTGTCCTACCCGTCGAAAACTTATTTTCGTGACTCAACCAAAGAACACTCGCCCAGGTAGATAAGCAGACAAGCAACAAGAGTCAAGATGAACCCATGTCCTTGAACATCTGCGGCGCTTTGCTCAGAAGTGTGAGTTTGGCGAGGATGAGCGATTGGGAAAGTTCACTTGGATTCGCATGCCTTCGATAGATAACATCACTTGGATTCGCATGCCTTCATAACCTTCGCACTGGCTATGACGTGAAATATGGTTTCATGTTCCTTTTTCTGCGATCCCCTTCGATGCGTGGCAAATTCGCTCTGAAGGAGTGTCTGCGAGTGGATCGATTCGGTCGGATCGCCGAGTGCTCGGCCGACGGGTAACGATCCAAGCCACGATGATACTTACATTCCTAAGGCACCAAAACGGATATGGATCCACATTTGTTCGCCGAATCATGTCATCGTGCATGGTACCTTGAACGATCTCTGTATGTACAGTGATGAAATATAGGGTATGACGTCAGTAGAAATGTCTTGGTGTGTCATTGGTGGCCGGCTGCGCCATCGAATCATGATGATGGTAAATGACTCCACTTGTGGGAGTCGAAAATTTTGATTCGGCCGCGTGGAAAGCCCTGTCTTGAATTTGCCACACCTTACTCGGTACCGAGAGGCTCACTAGTTCAGCCACCGATGGCTTGGCTCAGGGCGGGTTGTATGGCCAGTGAACAAGGGATCATATTGGGGAGAAGAAACGGAGTGGTTTCACAGGCTTAATAACTCCATTGTGCAGTACCTAAGACCTACTTGGGAATAGTAGTGGATCACGTAATCCACACTGGGGCCCCCTCACCACTGACCGCCCTCCGCCATTGCCGTATGCCCCTCCATACTGACAGTGTGCTTCGGACACTCCGCCTCGGATTTTCTCCAGATCTGGGATCGTCGCTATTCTCTTCCTTTTCTCTTCGTACCACCCCATATTCCCCTAGGGTCGTCACACCTCGTGGGCGTGGTTTTCCCTCATGCCATCAACTGCAAGGACCCACTCAACTTCCTTTCTTCGTACAGTTCACCTGGTGGGTCATCATCGATAATAACTGTTGGTGGATCGTGCGCTCGTTATAAAAACACTCCATCCTCCGGCCTCCCACTCACTTGCTCTTTTGCGCCGCCGAAAATTCTCGATTTAAATTCCGACGCCAAGTATTGTACGACCAACAACCAAGGGTACAAGCTCGATGCCCCTATAATAGGGCAGTTGTCCCAACCCATTCCCGACATCGATCCAGTCTGAGCACAATGTCGACAAACGGGCAGAACTCTCGGCCAGGGACCCCACGGAAACGATCTGAGAGTGTTGCCGTTCACTCTCACCCGGAATCGATGTCGTCTGTTTACGGTGGATTTGAAGGAAGAGACCGGTCGCAGTCGGTCACACAACCAGAGGGCTCACAGGGACAGCTTCCTAGTACGGGCTTCGACGCTGTGGATCGAGTTTTTCCAATTCGATCCGTAGTATCCGTGGACCGTAAGGCGGCCGACCAGGCAGCACAAGCGCGTTCAGCAGTGTCACCCACTCGCGAAGGTGCCATGCAATACCCGATCATCGATAGCCAAACTTGGAACGAGCTACAATCCCAATCGTCGCATCCCCGCTCCGAACCGGGTCCAACCATCCCCACGGATACCATTCGACATGAAACACATGCTACCGACGATACAACGGAATTGGCCACACATTCGATGGCGTCTCACGTGAATCAGCACCCGGAAACATATGCACAGGAAAAAAGTGAAAGCCAGTCGGGAAGCGCCACAACCGCGATGCCAGGATCTCAACCAACAACACGACCCAATGAACCCTATGATCATGTCACGGCTCGATTTACCCACGTCATAACCGACAGCGGCCACGCTGTGATTACAGGAAGGGATGGGAAGTCATTTCAATATTGTGAGGATGAACCAATCCGAGTACCCGGGGCTATCCAGAGCTTTGGCGTGATGATTGCCATGCGCGAGGAGGCCCCAAACAAGCTCGTTGTACGAGTGGTCAGTGAGAATTCGGAACAGTTAATGGGTTATACGCCAAAGCAACTTTTTGAAGTGGACAACTTTTGTGATATTTTGGGCGATGAACAAGCGGATACTTTGCTTGATCATGTCGATTTTGTCCGTGATGATGCCTACGACCCCAGTGTGGACGGTCCTGAAGTCTTCATCCTGACAATCCGAACCCCGTCAGGTGATAAACGCCGCTTTTGGTGTGCGGCACATGTTAGTCCATCTCAGAAAGACCTGATAATCTGTGAATTTGAGTTAGAGGAAGACGAGCTCAATCCATTAAATGTGGATGGTCAAGCCACTCCTGCCACTCCTGCAGACACAATGGGTGCTTTTCCTACCCCGGAGCAATTTGCTGCGAGTACGATCAACATCAGCCAACCCCTACGTGTTCTCCGAAATGCTCGGCGAAGAAGGGGAGAGGCTGCTGCGATGGACGTCTTTAGCATCTTCACTCAGGTTCAAGAGCAATTAGGTCGGGCCAACGATTTGAACCAATTGCTTAACACCACGGCTGGCCTGGTGAAGGAGTTGACTGGCTTCCACCGAGTCCTGATATATCAGTTTGATAGCAGCTGGAATGGCCTTGTTGTTGCTGAGTTGGTCGACCCCAAAGTCACGATTGATCTCTACAAGGGTCTCCATTTCCCAGCATCCGATATCCCTGCACAGGCCCGTGAACTCTACAAGATTAATAAAGTTCGTCTTCTATACGATCGGGACCATATCACATCTCGTCTTGTGTGTCGAACATTAGAGGACCTGGAATCTCCATTAGACATGACCCATGCCTTTCTACGGGCCATGTCTCCTATTCATGTCAAATACCTCGCACATATGCAGGTTCGCTCGTCCATGTCGATAAGTGTTAACGCTTTCAATGATCTCTGGGGTCTTATTTCATGCCATTCTTATGGAACGGCTGGCATGCGTGTCTCTTTTCCTATTCGAAAGATGTGTCGTTTGATTGGTGACACTGTCTCGCGAAACATCGAACGCTTATCGTACGCATCTCGATTGCAGGCACGAAAGCTGATCAATACTGTCCCTACCGAGGCCAATCCATCTGGTTACATTATCGCTTCCTCGGACGACTTACTGCAACTCTTTGATGCAGACTACGGGGCCCTTTCCATTCGCGATGAAACAAAGATTCTCGGAGACAATGCCCATTCACAAGAGGTCCTTGCCTTACTGGAATTTATTCGCATGCGTCAAATAAATGCAGTCCTGGCTTCACATGATATCATCAAAGATTTTCCTGATCTACATTATGGGCCTGGACTTAAGGCGATTTCAGGACTGTTATATGTTCCACTTTCCACTGGAGGCAGCGACTTTATCTGCTTTTTCCGCAAAGGCCAATTAACTGAAATTAAATGGGCCGGCAATCCCTACGAAATCGCCAAACGGAAAGAAACGGCAGGATACTTGGAACCACGTGAAAGTTTCACGGCATGGCGGGAGACAGTTCTGAGCCAGTCACGCGAATGGTCTGAATCAGATGTGGAAACTGCCGCGGTCCTGTGCCTTGTCTATGGTAAATTCATCAAAGTGTGGCGACAAAAAGAGGCTGCAATGCAGACTTCTCAACTAACGCGCTTACTTCTCGCCAATTCTGCGCATGAGGTCCGCACGCCTTTGAATGCAATCATCAATTACTTGGAAATTGCACTAGAGGGCGCTTTGGACGCGGAGACTCGTGAAAGCTTGACTAAGTCACACTCGGCCTCCAAGTCTCTCATTTATGTTATCAACGATCTCCTTGATCTGACAAATACCGAGACAGGGCAAGCTCTCATCAAGGACGAAGCCTTTGATTTGAGATACACTCTACAGGAAGCCTATGACATGCTTTCAGGAGAAGCCAAGCGTAAGAATATCGCATTTTCTATCTCCATCCAGCCCGGTATTCCCTCCAGGGTCATTGGAGATCAGCGGCGGATACGTCAAGTCTTCTCGAACATTATCTCCAATGCTATCCAACAGACCGCATCCGGTGCAGTGATAGTGGATATGTGGCGGTCGGCCAACCAAGATTCGAGCGACCACATTGCAGTGGAGATGATGGTTGTTGATACAGGGGCCGGGATGTCAAAAACGAAGCTCGAGGCACTTTTCTCAGAACTGGAGCAAGTTTCCACCGAAAATAATGAAGGAGAAGATGAGAAACAACTTGTGGACGATCAACCCCAGCAACAACGCGTGCTTGGCTTAGGCCTTGCCCTCGTGGCCAGAATTGTATACAGCATGAAGGGCCAACTTGGAGTCAAATCCGAAGAGGGCAAGGGTAGTCGCTTCAAGGTCAAATTGCAGTTCGGTCTGCCAGATGGATCCTCAGTTGATACGCCTACCGAGTCCAACATCCCTCCTCATGCGACTATTCCCCCTACGCCCATGATATCAGACCAGGAATTCACTTTGCCGCGAGGTGGAAACGAACAACGCGAACCTCGTCGTGATGACCGGCGAAGAAGCTCGGAGAGTTTGCGATCCGGGGGCAGCTCTCGAAGCGGACGAAGCCATGCGGATCGACTTATTAGCGCCATGCAGGAGCCGCCTCTTCTCAAGCGAGCGCCTAGTGAGACCTCAGACATATACAGATTCAGACATTCTACTAGTCCTCAGAGCACTGGTTATCTGCAGTCCTCGGTGGGGTCGCCCTCACATTCGCACCAAAGATCGCCATCAAATGTTCAGCAGGATCCACTTGCTACTCTATCTACCGTGACGCATACACCGCCATTGACTCTACAACCCATGTTAACTCCGCCGATTCCAGGTACTGAGAATATCAGAGACTCGGGTGTGCCAATGGGCCCTGTGCGAATTTCAGAGCGCAAGCCCAAGTCCTCGATTTCCTATCTGAGGGAACAATCCTACTTTCCTCCGGTGTCCCCTCGGCCTACCGATCCTTGCGAGACAATGTCAACTGTGGATAAGTCTTCCACAACATCAGCGTCAATGGCCCTTAGCAATTCACAGCCTCTGCGTGTGCTTGTTGCGGAAGATGACCCAATCAATAGCAAAATCATACATAAACGCCTCACCAAGTTGGGGCACACTGTTGAGCTCACGGGCAATGGCGAAGCTTGTGCAACTGCGTTTTCTACGCACAGTGGAGCTTTCGACGTCGTCTTGATGGATATTCAGATGCCCATTGCAGACGGCTATGCTGCTACCCAGATGATTCGCGAGTTTGAATCCAAGGCAGGCCTTGAGGCGCTCTCCAGCATAGCCCGCAGCAACTCCCGCATCCCGATTTTTGCAGTCTCGGCTTCGCTTTTGGAATCCGAAAAACAGAAATATATCGATACTGGATTTGATGGCTGGGTTATGAAACCGATTAGCTTTTCTCGACTGAATGTCCTTTTCGGTGGAATATTTGAGACCGAGGCTAAAGAACAAGCCACATATCAACCAGGTCATTGGGAGATTGGCGGCTGGTTCTAAGCACCTCATTATCTTTTGAATTTGACATCGGTTTATGATCATCGTTGAACATGAACTCGAAATTGCATCTCCATCACATTTTTCACGCCTTGGGACATTGGAGCCTCACCCCCTCGCTCGCGTCATTGATTTCTCATTGATTTTGTTTCCTCTTTCTTCTCTCTTTCTTCTTTCATTTCCTTTTATCTATCGCGATTTTTTTACCTGCTCGCATAAGGAAATACGGAAATACCCAAATGTTGGATGTTTTTTTATGGATATACGATTTTCATTTTTTTTGTCAACTTCTACCTGCTGCATAACCAAGCCTGTATACCCTAGATGCCTGGAGCTTTGTTCGGGATTTCTGCCTTTTGATTTGATTCATTACATTTCGAATCAAGACCACAATCCCGAATTGCATTTTTGTTTTCACTTTCTCAAAACTGTTCAATTCCCCCTTGGGGGCCTCTGTTGTGATGGATTCCAGATTAGAGATAAAAAGTTCAGCGACCTTTTCACCAGTACTGCCCACTTTTGCCTATGTATTATACTGAACTGTCAGATTTTTATCTCACATATAAGAAATTCTTAGAAAACGTTTTGGAGATATGGATCCATTTATCTGGATTCCAAGATTGATATATGGACAAGTAAAAACATATGAAAAAGGTATATTGTAAATTATAAATAATGTATGAGACAGATTAGACAGGGAAACATTGAAGTGTATCGCTAGAGGGTATAAAGCTAGAGAGTAAAATGCCGCCCCAAGAAATCGAGATATTGTACCACCCAAGGAAAATACATAAGAAAAACAAGATTGAAGAAGATTCAGTTCAAACATCGAGACAGTTCAACAAGCACAGCCGATCAAAGAGAAATAGAACTTTTTAGATACCACCCCATGGGGAATCATTTGTTTCTACCTGGGTGACTCTATCAGAGCCAACTCCACAGTAGACCTGGTGTCCGCTGAACCAACCCTCGGGCGAACAGTCTTCTCTGTTGATGAATCAGGACGATGATATGAAGGAACAGGTGAGATCACAGGCATTGTTTCAATAGAAGCCGTTTCCCGCAATGCCTGATGGAACTCAAAGGTGCTATTCTGCAAAGAATGACGGCGAGATGAAGGATCTAGACCGACGAAAAGAGAAGGCGACTCGATATCAGGACGAGCCCGAGATTGCGCCCTTACCATATCGAATATGTTCACATCGCTTGATCGGCGCGGCCTAATGGGTCCATCGTTGCACATGCATGAACTTGTGCGGGTTAACTCACGTAGTCGTGTGAGGATGGCGAACTCAAGGATCAACTTGATGCTGTAGACCATTGTTTTCAAGCTAACTTCCAGATAGTTGATTTTGAACTCGGCAACCAGGAGGAAGATGTTGAGCAACATGACGATGATATTGACCCAAATCAAGTGAAGAATCGTTTTTTTGCCTTGGCGGCCTCGTGCTTCGAGAACAGGCTGTAGGGCGCGGAGCGATTCGTAGATGTAGATTGCGCAGATGATCAAATCTTGTAAACTGAATCCGATTGCTTGGAATCGGTCCCAGATATATGCCAAGTGGGAGAAGCGAGTATCACCCACATTAATGGCTATGAAGAAAATTGACATTGGGACGTGGAGAATGAAGGCGTTGGCGATGATCATCCACAGAACCCAAGACACCAAGAATCCATTGGGGGCAACGAGATGAAGACGAGAGTAAAGGACCAAGGCTTGTCCCGTGACCATGGCATACCAGCCTAGGAGGAAGGGGATACATGAGTTCAAGCTTGGTGCTTGTGACATGTAGCGGATTTGAGCAGGAATCCCATGTAACAGAATGCCCCAAGCCGACACTTGCATGCTCCAGAAGTATAGGCCGCGGTAACGAGTAAAATGATTGAAAGTCGAAATAGCAACTGAAAAAGCGTTGAATGCGCCTATTGAGAACATTGCCACGACCTCCAGGATAGCGATGTTTTCCATGAGCAGGCGGCTCACCTCCGGAGGGAGGTATGTGACTGTGTCCATGACACAGGTGTGTTTACATGGGAGATTTTGGTGCACAGAGAGAATGAAATTAAATTGAAAAAGGGCAGGGGGGAAAAAGAGGGCTAGGGTCTAAGCCGGGCTTTTTAGAACGATCAAGATCCCCTGACACGCAGTGATGGCGTCAATGACACGGCATATATTGTGGATCTAAGATCGCCGAGGCAAGTCGATTGCAAGGTGCTTATCCAGATATGGGCCCTGGATCTCGAGTTGTAGAAGGGGAATAAAGTTGGGAAACCAGTGATCCCGGTCAACGGCGGTCGTTTGTCCGATGCACCTCGAGTCATGAAACAAAACTATGGGACGAGCCGTTGAATGGACCGTGCCCAGTGTCATAGTGGGGGAATTCCCATCAGATTCCAGGGGATTTACATAGGTCACTGAACATGTAGCTTTTCCTTGTCGAAGCTCCCGCGCCCATCCTCAATCATCTGGCTATAGATCTCGACGGCCCCATCAACGCCGACCTGGTGGTACCGATGGGATTGGGACAGATCAGTCGCCAACTTCCGTATTCAGAATGAAAGATAAACATGCCATGCAACATGTTGGTGAGAGTCTAGCCAGGTCTGTTGATCCATTTGGTACAAAGCCTACCTTTGTTGTTTGATATTGCGGCACGATTTCGGGTCAACTTCCAAGGTAGAGTTCTTTTGATAATTAATTCACTATCGAGTCCAGTGGATATTCGCACAAAGAGAGACTTTTCTCATCACACAGCCAACAGAAGTTTGGACATATCGATTGGTGCTCCTTAGCGAGGCGGGCCACCGGGGAAGCTGGAATGGCAGGCTATCGGGACGCCAAACAGGGATCTGGGGTGGCGCTTGGCATATGGAACAAAGAAACCCACAGGAGTTCGTGCACCTGTCAATTCTTGGTTGTCAGTGGCGTTGCGACTCCAGTTGTCCAGACCCATATTCGGCAATTAATTATCAAAAGTTGATCGGTGATCTCCGGGGACCATTTTGTTCACTATCCCGGAGGACGTGTTGATCTGTTGATCTGGTCTGCTGCGCAGATGTCGAGTCCTTATTGACGGAGATGCTCGGAGGCTAATTTTATCATGGTCCTACACGAATCATGTCAAAGAAAGAACGTTGAATACCATGATCATGTCCCCAATGAGATCTGGACTCTGACGATATCATAAAAAAAAAGATGGGATTAAGGGGGAAGAAAAGAAAGGTGCAGTTGTAGTAATTGTATAGAAGAGGGCTTGACTACTGAGTAGATGGAGATGGAGCCCGTGCACGTGGAATCAAACAAGCCAAACATACGTCAAGTCAGCTCCCGCTTAGTGCTCCAAACAGTTCATTGGAGCTTGTCAACTTCACCATGGTCTCTTTTTGGCCCTGGAAGGTTAGTCCTTGCTATGTCTTTGTCTGCTTTGTTGTGTTTGTTCTCTGAGACGGGCAAAAACTAACTCACTATGCCAACAGGGCGATGACAACTCGGCCGCGTCCTTCGAAAAGACACTATCCACACTCTCTACCAAGATCGCCCAGACCACCGCTCGCCTAGATCAGCAACGCCAGAGCTCTCGTCGCTTCAAGGCTCTTTGGACTCTATACTCAACCTTTGCCTACCTGTTTTATTCCATTGTTCTTGCACTGGTGCTAGGATGGGAAAGCTGGGGCGTGAAAGAGTATGCTGCCATCGCCGGCGGTCCTGTTCTGTATGACGACTCTTTGCCATTAGAAAACACCAGTCACTAATCTCAGACTCTTTTTCTTATAGAATCTATGGCGTTCGAACAATCAGCGCTCGCCTGTTTGAGTATCGCATCTCGAAGGGTCAGCGCGGCCTAGACGATCTACACAAACTACGCGAGGAGACTATTGAGAAGCTCAAGGTCGCTACCAAATACAACTCCACGCAACAGTTGCTCGAGAAGTATGGTGGCGAGTCTCCCAAGCAGTCTCCGAGCCCCAAAGCTCAACCCCAACATCCCAAGCATGCCAACCAGCAACCAACTCCTCAACGCACCGGACTTCCTCCCCCACCAACTGCAAACATTCGCCGCCCTCAGCCACCCACCGGTGCAGAAAACACTCTCCCTCCATCCTACCAGACTCCGCCCCACCAACAGCCGCAACAACAACAACAAGAACAACATCAACAACAGGTTCCCCACACTCCGTCTCCGATCCCACAGACACCCATCGACGAGCCGGGCTTCGCGCCCAACGCATTCCCCAGTTCGGGCCAATATATCGAACAGCCACACTGGTATGATCGCCTATTGGACGTGCTGCTAGGCGAGGACGAGATGCAGCCTCGAAACCGCATGGCCATGATCTGTACGTCCTGTCGATTGGTCAACGGCCAGGCACCCCCAGGTATCAAGACACCGGAGGAGCTCGGTCGCTGGCGATGTGGCAGTTGTGGGGCGTGGAACGGTGTTGAGAACGAGACCACTCAGATGTTATCCAGTCTGCGTCAAGGGTCTGTCGCCGAGGGATCTTGGGGACCGGGCCCTGGTGTGGAGGTGGATCCGCAGTCTCAGTCTGAGGTTGAGCATGAGCACGGGGATCTGACACCCCCGACGGAAGAAGAGCAGAGTACCGACTCGGAGATTTCACAACCGGAGGCGGCAATTAAACAGGAAGAGCCCCGCGCGGAGCCTGTACGCCGGTCCACACGTGGCAAGGCGAAGCAGTAGAGGGCGGTTGCATATAGGTTTTTTTTTTTTTCGGATTGATCTTGCGGATTCAAAGTCACTAAATTAAGTATTGCTTCTTGCTAGTTCACTACTTGCTGTATTATTAGATAGGCCTCGAAAATACATGCTCTTGGCATCGGAAATGTTGCAATATTTGAATGGGTAAATAAATTATTGGTATTCTTTGACCTCTTTAATTATACAAGGGTATAAAATCCATCTAACGCTAATATACAAATCAAACCCTGTCAAGGGGTATATGGACCTTCTCTGGAACTTCGTGTTGCATCGATCCAGTACCTGAAAATGAACCAGCTTCGTAGCTTAATCGTACTTCAGTCGTTTTCCTAATCCCACCTTCCTCCGCGAGCATCTCATCACTATCATTGTCCTCTATAACGCTCACAAAGTTGGATGTCATATGTCGTGCATGTGGCTTGGAATGGGAGTAGGTGTGAAGCTCGGTAGATCGGCCATGGTGGTTCGTTGTCTGGCCAAGGGTAGATTTGGCAGATGTCAAGAGGCTATGGAAGACAATCATAAGGAGTGGTCTGATGGGAGGGATGCATCCGACAATGAAGACGACCCATTTTTCGGTTTCGTTTAAGATGACTAGTTGAGCCATATAATCTGCGACCCGTTAACATCATTCTCGACGGTATACAGTATGTGATGAAATCTGAGGGGGTTCTCATTCCACGTACAGGTCACGTCTTCTGTCTCTGCGAGTACTTGTAGAGTTATAGTTTTCACAATAGCGCAGACACAAGCTGCCACGCCGAGACCCATCAAGACACAGAGACCTATTTTGACTCGGCGGTTGAGTCGCACGTTCCAAAAGAACACCACTGGATATAGAGCCAACACCAGATCACACAGTGAGGAATAACCTAGACGATTCTCTCATCAGTATTCTTGCTTTGCACGTTTTTGGAAGTCGACATGGAAATGTACTCACTGCCCTGGAAGTATGCGACCTGTTGATTCCGAGTTCTCCCACTACATGTTCCAGGTAGCGCATTGTTCCATAGCTTGGGAGTCGGAGAACATTGCTCGAAAATCAAGGCAATCGTTATACAGTTGACCACAAGATTGCTCAGACCAACGGACCAAAGAAAGATGACTTTCTTGCGACTTTCAGGACCATGGATCTGTTGTAAAAAGGCGACGATGGCGAGTTTCCCGGTGGCCGTTGCGAAGATTCCGAGTGACTGGTTAATCCAATTCCACTTGATGGCGTTGGTGATTTCAGCGTCGGTGAGACCGGCTTTGTGCGCACCGAGGCCCGAGTTGACCCCCAGACCCAAGAATACTGATCCGATCGAACCAATAATCTGCTCTGGCAGTCAGTTTTCAGTTGCGAGAAGGAAATGCAGGGGATGGGGGAGGGGGTATAGCATTACAAAGGTGAGCAGACTCAGGTATAGATCGCTTCGAATGTGTCGAGTAATGCGCCAAGTAGTGAAAACGCGAGCGATGATGAGAACCAAGGCTACGCTGCCTTCGATGATTGTTAAAATCACGAGACCTTTGCCATTACTAGCCAAGGCCGCCTGGGCACCTGAATTGGCCATACTCTCTCGCAGAAAAGAAGGAAATGCCAGAAGAGCAGAATATCCATAGGTGAAAAGGCAGATTGGAGAGGAATCATCGTGCGATTCCGCGAATTAATATAAGAAAGTCTTTCTCCAAATTGGATTTCTTTTAACTCGTGGATGAACCCTGGATGGGACATCTCAGCGAATTATTGGAACGGGGGGGGGGAAGACTAGTACCGGAGTCGGTCCCAAGTGGAGATATGGGCTTGAATGGACGGGCATCTGTATGGCTTGTACCTGCAGGGATCTTGGAAGTTGATAAATTGGCCCCAGGTGAGAAAAAGAAATTTGTCGTGCGAGAGAGTGATCACCTTTCGGCACTTGTAGAGATCTGATCCGACTGTCCAGTGATGATTGTCATTATTGGTTTGACTGGTCTCTTTGTGGAGGAATGATCTTTGAACCAGAGATGATGATCCATGGAAGGAGGATCATTACTTCATTAATGTCGCATTCGGATTCAGTGCCCCGGATTTTGAGAATCGTGTGGATCATTGACTTTGTGGTGAGAACGAATCAGAGCCATTTTCCAATGGTCTTTTGTAGAGATTGATGAATAAGAGACTACTACTGTTAGTAACTATGCCGTCTGATTTTATTTCCAATTCCTGATTCTGCTATTTCCAATGCTCTTTGACTCTCTCTCATTACTAGTACATTTTCTTTTCTTTTTTCCCCTTTTCCCCCCCCTTTTTTTTTTCTTCCCTTTTCTTCTCTTCCTTCTCGTAATATTACTTCTCCGCGGCGTTCTTGTACTTCCCCCGCATTCAGGGCCCCACCGGGGTTCTTTGGTGGAAATTGTGGGAATTGTGGAAATTGTGGACCTCAAGATTATATTTCTACAAGAGCTGATTCGATGTTCCCCAGCTTAGACTGACGCGGTGCATCAGAATAGACTTTGCGGCTGTTACCAGCCATATTGTCCATACAAATTTTCAAACCCCTTGATTCCAAACTCCTGTCACCTTGGACATGGAAAAGATCCTGATCCAAGATTCATTGAAAGTCCACGTTCAATATGATCGTCGGGTACCGAATCTACCGACTCTCCCGTCGGCTAACGGGGCTCCACTGTTTTCCCCCAAATTATCCGACATCGTCTCCAATTTGCCCTTCACTGATGCAATCGCCTCCACCTGGGCACCAAGGTGATTCCAATATCTAGCCATCAGCAGAGATATTCAGCTCGGTACCTGTATCACTGTTCTTGCCACATTTGGAGGTTAAACTGGCGCGCCTAGACATGTGCCGAGGTATGACTTTGTGTATCGTTGGAGACTTGGTTAGTCATGTCAACTCACAATCTAAGTAACATTGTACAGTGGTTGATCAGGGTGGTTCACTGTTCGCGTGCGAATTTGCCAAAATTAAGTTATTTGATTCTTCGAATTTAAAATTAGATAACAAAGATCAACTGAACATTGAAATTATACATTGTGACAACCCATCCGAGTCTTCAATATTGAGAAGACAGGAAGTGATCAGGGAGATACTTTGAATGCTGCCTGTATACCCGTGATAATTGCCACAATACCACAGGCACCAGGGTCAGGGATACCCTTGGTAGGATTCTCGTCTCCAGCACTAGCACCCACATAGGTCGACCGTCCAAACGAGGATTGCATCCACTTAGTAGCCTCTGCTCCATCTTGAGCAGCCTTCAGTCCTCTCTGCAATGCATTTGCAACATTTTCTTTATCAGTAAATACCGCCGTCGACAATTCGTTGATGAAAGGAATCAATGCATCCATCAAAGTCCGGCTGTTTTCCCGCGCATTGGTGTATCCCTTGAGTGTTTCCAGAGCCTGAGTAGCGCTCTTGGCAAATAGTTCGATATTCACGTTTTTCATTTCATCGTGATTCTTTTGTACAGCGGAGACGAAAGAGTTCAGGAAAATACCATAAAGCGCTCCGGATGTTCCACCCATTCCGCTGCGGACGGATGAGGCCACTTTCATCAGGCCCTTTGATAGGCTTGCGAGATTTTCGTCGTTTTCTCCGATCAAGGCATGGGCGGCTGTTGCTCCTGCTAGCAACGTGGTGCCACAATCACCATCTCCCATTAAAGTATCATACTCTGTGAGGTTCGGCTCTTCCAATGTCACCTGAGAGAGAATGTTTTCAAGAACAGCTGTGAAGATACGTTTGTCGCCTAGTTAAGAAAAGAAAACGTTAGCAATCGAGAGCGGATGTCTTCGGATAAGAGACATTCAGAAACTTACATAGGATTTCCTCGTTCAATTTGGGGGAGCGGGATCGCTCCTCTTGTTCTGGTGTGAGCGTTCCTTGAGCGATTTCTGGCAAGGGCTGACATGTAGCCCAGCTGTTTGATTTCACCGGTTCATCGAGCAAGGATAGCAAATTGATATCTGATTGGAACAGTTCGGGTGTGAGGTTGGCGATCGTAATACTAAAGCCTGGTGCATCCAGAGCTGTCAAATATGTGTTGACGTAGATCCGTACCGGTTTTATGTCGTATTCGTCTTTCAAACACTCGAGCACAACATTTGCAATGGCCTGGAGTTCAAGCACGGATAGACCACCCAGATCATTAACCATCAAAGCAAGCTCTGCTTTGCTGTGAGGGATTCCGTGGAATTTCAGGAACCCATGTTCGGGGTCATTTTCATTTAACAAGAGCTTGCACATTTGGCTCACCAGCTTTTCGATAGTGGGCTGTGGTGAGATTCGCTGAGCTCCCGGCTCGTTGTGGATACCCATTCCCAATTCGATTGTGTTTTCAGGAATGGAAGGCAAATCAACACCACCTGGAAGGTTGGCATAATCCAATGAACATCCGATCGTCGCCATGTTGTCGGACAAGTGCTGGGCAACCTTGGCCACATTGGCTAGATCCAGTCCCCTGGCTGCGGCGGCACCACTAACTTTGTGAACCAAGACCGCGCCGGCCAAGCCTCGACGACCTACTAGCTTGCCCCGTGAATAAGGCACCGAGACGTCGTCCGCCACGGTCACGATATGGGTTGGAACTCCAGTCTGGGCTTGATATGTCTCGGTGGCGAGGCCAAAGTTTAGCTTATCGCCTGTGTAGTTTTTGACGATCACGAGAATTCCTCGCGGTGTGGCGACTCGATCAAAGGCCGAGATGATCTGGTCGAAGTTTGGTGAAGCAAATACTTTTCCACAGACTGCTGCGTCGAGCATTCCTTCACCGACGTAACCTGCATGGGCGGGCTCATGACCCGAGCCACCGCCACTGATGATACTCACTTTTGTGCTGGTATGGCTGGTTGGACGATATAGAACTGTGGGAGAATTATGTTAATTGTAAATTGTCTCATATTTCATCTGCTTTGAACACTCACCCTTGTTGGCAGAATCATATCGAAGACTTGGGTTCTGTTGCGCCAGTGACTTGCACATATGGTCGACAATGCTAGTCGGGTCACTGAAGAAGGCTTTGGACTTCATATTGGAGTATGTATTCCTCAAACTTTGATTTCCAATAGACAAGGGGGAGTGAGATGGTAGAATGATGCGACGACTCTTGGAAACGAGGTCTGGTCTGGTCCCAATCCCCCTCTTATACCTTGGGAACACAGCCTCGGAATATCTAGCGATCCGCATAGCCCCGCAACAGGGTAGCCCCCACGTCCGGTAGAATTTCTTAATCTGAATTTGCCGTGTAGCCATGCCTGTGCACAGACCTTTGTATATGGTCCATTGTGATGTTCTCCTGATTTTCCTGATTTTCCTGATGCGCGGAGTCGGCGGCAATTCCGGGAGAAAAAGTGGGTTCTTTTTACGGTGGATACTTGAGCTATCGTTCCCATTCTTGGTTGAGGCGAGTTGGAAGGCTCAGGTGACACTTGAAACATTTGTTCGGAATTAGTAAAAAATGTTTTGTTAAAAGGAAGGTTTTCCGAGTTTTGCATCGTGTTGTTTTTACATGTTCTCCACTATACTATATACGCAGGGGCCGGAGTCGCTAGCATCGTGCATGCAGATCCGGTGTTAAGGTAAGGGATCAGCATTGATCTTCAAGACATTTTGTTCTCGTGATGTCGCATCCCCTTTTTGATTCGTGTTTATGAACTACATAGTATGTAGCAGTGGTACGTATATCCCAACAGTTCTGACTTGCTCCACCTTTTTGCCACTTGATTGTGTTGATTTACTGCCAAGAACATTGAATTGTACTGTATATCGACACCAGTCGATCAATCAACTATAGGTAACTACTGGACTGTACTATACCACACAGTCAATGACTCCTGTGATCTTGAAAAATCCCGAAATAGCCACAGCTTCATCCATGGATTTTCTATGTGCAGGTATTGAAGGGCTGTCTGTTACTTGGAACCTATCAACTTCTCCAGCTACTTAGAAGAGTTTCTATATATTTACAAAATATCAATGTATCTATGAAAGAATCGATTGAAATTCCGACCAGCATCACCGGATCAGGAAGAACGCATTTCTCCGCGAGCCTTGTAAGCCCCTGGGAACTTTGGGAAAACAACTTCACATCTCGTAGCCTTGGTCGCTGAAATGATTCGTTTCCAACTCCCCAGTTTTCACCAGCTAGCCTTTGCTTCTTCTTCTTCTCTTCGCTTCTCCACTTCTCGAACGCGTTTCCACGGGCTTAACCGGCCCGCCTCCACCATGGCCCACATCCCACCGGCAAAGGTGACAGTTCAGGGGCCCCACAATGAATCAGAGCCCGATCACAAATCACATCTCCAGGAACAGTTACAGTCCATCTCAAGCACTGTGACCCATCTCTTAGTTGACAATGATACTCCCTCGAATACCGAGTGGGATTTGCTTGGGGCGCATTTCAAACAGGTGGAGAATTTGCAGCTAGAAAGCGGGTTCAACGAAGAGCTCAATGACAAAAACATCCCCCTCCACTGGCCTCTGAAGAACCTCGAGTTAGGTTCTGCGTGTGGGGAACTCATTCAAAGTCCCTTTATCCGCCAAGGGCTGGTTCAGCGCCTGAAGCTCTACTTCACATGTAACCTTCGATTTGAGGGTCCAACGACCAGTGAGCTATATGACACACACAGTGAGGCGGTTTCCAGGGGAAAGATAGAAGGGGAATACATGAATGGTGAAGGTGATAAAAAGATTGAGATCACATATTTGCCAGAGCTCGTTTGCAACCACATGAGCAAGATTTACTCTGATCCTGATCGAAAATTGGATCCCGAAAATGAGCCCCCGACCGGGCCCATTAGCCTCCAGACACTGGAGATTTGGGAGAACGACGCGATAGATACCTTCTGTCGAATGTTTGGTGCACTTCCTCATTTGGTTGACAACCTTCATACACTGCAGCTCAGGTCCACTAGTGGGCTGGACTTTAGTTTGATTGGAGAGGAGACCTTTCGTCAGCTTCTACCTGCCATGACAAATCTTAAAGTCTTGAATTTGACCGTGGGGGATGTTTTCCAGGATCCCACATTTCTTCCGATGCTTCACAAGATTCTACCTCCCAATCTGAGAACCCTGTACTTCCGTGCTCCAGCCTCACTCACTAAATCCGACCACTGGGCCGACTGGTTGCAGTCGTTCCAGTCCAGTGAATTTCTCCCGCATTTAAAACATCTCGCCTTTGTCTTGGATTTGTACTACAAACCCAATTCCACGAGATCTTTCGGGAAAGAAGAAACCGAAGCACCTCTGGATTTGCTTCTTTATGCCCGCCAGGAATGCCAAACCCTTTACGATGTTGCGCAGAAACGTGGAATTCATTTGGAGGTCATGCCGAAAGAACCCGATTTTGCTCTTCTGAGACCGGTGGATTCTCGATGGTAATGAGTTATTCAGTATGAAAATAACAGATATCTCCTCTCCTGTATCAATAGTATAAGTCAAGCATCTCCACTTAAAAATGCATCTACAATCTTTGGAAATTACGAGTAGGGATCAAAAATTCTCTATTTTCCTGAATCTATGTACATTTCTAACATTAATACATCACAGCGTCAAAAAAAAAAAGCTCATCCAGAATCTAAAGGTATGTACGCAGATACTCTCCCAGTGCCATGATACCCATTGCCTGCCCATATGGCATGGATGTCAATGGAATATCCTTATAAAATTGAAGGCAGTCACCCATTCCAGTGCCGAAACTCGTGTTCTGAAGCTCGCCCTTCTCATCAATATCCTTAATCACAGACTGGATGGCCTTCTCGGCCACGGGTCGGTATTCGGCACCGATGTATCGCTTGCGCACAGCCTTCAAAATACCATAAGCAAAGCCAGCGGTGGCGGATGCCTCAAGGTAAGAGTCAGGGTGGTCTAAGAGAGTGTGCCAGCCACCAGACTCGGACTGGACGCGCTGGAGTGCCTCACATTGCGCCTCCAGAGTCTCGATCAGATGCAACCGAATAGGGTCGGTAGGCTCCAGATCCAGCAGCTCGATTATTTCGGGAATCACAATGGTGACCCAACTGTTTCCCCGTGCCCATCGTGCATCCGCGAAGTTGTGACCCCCTTCCTCAAAAGTCCATCCGTGGAAGAAAAGACCCGTCTTGGTGTCGAAGAGGTACTTGATGTGAGTTAGGAACTGCTTCTTCGCTTCTGTGATGTATTCGGGGCGGTTGAGAAGTTTGCCAATCTTGGCTAGAGGCATCACTGTCATCATGAGAGTATCATCCCAGAGTTGTTGGTAGTTCTCGGTGATGTATGTGATGTGTTGCATACCACCGTAGCGGGTGCGGGGAAGCTCATGCATTGCCCACTCGGCCCACGCGTCCAGCCACGGCAAATACGTTGGATTTCCGGTCTTCTCGTACACGTATGCCAGTGTCAAGAACACGGCCATAGTATTGATGTTCTTGGTTGTTCCACCCTCGGCAAATCGTGCAGCGAACCAGTCCTCGATGATCTGGAGTAGTCTGGCTTCGCCCGTGAGCTCATAGTATTTCCAGACACCGTACAGGCCAATGCCGTGTGTCCACTCCCAGCCATGCCAGGACTTGGTGTCGATAACGCGTCCGTCGGGGAGGTGGAGGAGGAATTTGCCGGTTTCATCTTTGATGTTGACCAGGTTGTCGATTAACAGGTTTACGGCGCTGTGGACCTCAGGGGCAGGGGGGCGTGTCGAGGCCATCACGTAACGACTTTGGTAAGAACTATGTGAAAGATGTGAATAGATTGATGGGTATTCCTTTGCTGACAGCCAAGACAACTTTTCCTTTTCCGCCGTGGAATGGTACTCCGATCCGAAATAAGTACTTGTCACCGGTGCAAGTTGGTCGGTCAATCGCCGAAACCAACTCCAATTGCCCCTCCATTTCACGCATCTTCACCCCGCGCGAGCCAAGGTTAATTCGGGGTAGAGAGACCCGAATCTAACGCAAGGTCAGTGCTAAGCGAGAAATGACCCACGTTTTCTTGAGCATAGTGGATATTTCGGGTGATTGCTTCCCCGGACTTCTACCACGCGTGGGGGGAATAAAGGATGGGGTAGACAGTGGAAATAGTGGAAATAGTGGAAACGGTGGGGGTGGAACGGTCCTCTCCGCCAAGAACACGGGGAAAAGGGTCCCCGAGTCGACTGCTGGCCATTGGAGCTTCGGTTAATATCGTGATTTATTCTCGCTATATTTCAAAGGTGTGCAATTCTCTCCGGGGCACATGATGGTTTTTGAACTCTTGGCCCACGGGAGGAAGGCCTTGGCGAGGGCCCCGGAGGCGTTTAGTGATGGCAGTGAAGGGATAAGCCCATCTGGGTAGAGTCGAGTCTTATTTGTTAAAAGGGGGCAGCAGTCTTTCTTGATCAAGGGCTTTTAATTCCAGAAAGGCTCACATTCTACTCCACTATTTAGCTAACAATGGGTCAAGACGAAGCCCGTTCTGGCGATGGAATCGATCCAGTGGGCGAACCGCACCCAGCGGTCGAGATGAGTAACTTCAATACCAAACAGGACATCTCTCACGTAGAGCGAGTCTTGTCGCCAGATGATGAATTGCAGAAAGAAGACATGGACTTTTCCAGGGTGGATAAGGAAATCCAGATGTATGCCTCTCGGGGGCAAGTGGAAGTCGACGAGGCCACCAACAAACGTCTAAAGCGCATGATTGATCGTCGCGTATTGTTGATCATGATCGGCACATACTTCCTACAGGCCTTGGATAAGGGAACAATGTCTTTCTCGTCTATTATGGGTATTAAGAAAGACGCCCATCTAGAAGATGGACAGAAGGTTTGTCGCTCTTAACCCTCAAGACGATTCGCTTTGATACTGATTAGTCTAGTACTCGTGGCTCACGACTTGTATCTACATTGCAGTCTTGACGGTCGAATATCCTACCAACTGGATCATTCAACGAGTCCCGATCGCCAAATACTTGGGTATAAACATCTGCCTTTGGGGAATGACCTTGGCAATGCATGCTGCCTGTCACAACTTTGCCGGTTTGGCCACTGTGCGAACTTTGTTGGGTATCTTTGAAGCGTGTTGTCAACCTACCTTTGTGCTTCTATCGTCGATGTGGTATAAGAGAGAGGAGCAAGCTGCCACGGTTACGTATTGGTAAGTCTAACCGGCATTATACCTATTGCATTCTGGATAGCTGGCTTACTAGGTCTAGGTACATGATGAATGGTGCTCAGCAGGTTGTCGGTGGTTTGCTAGCCTATTGTTTTACTCTAATTGGAGGCGATAAAGTTATCAAATCCTGGCAGGCGTTGTTCCTCACATATGGGGTCCTGTCTGTGTTCTGGGGTCTCTTTGTCATTTGGTACATGCCCGACTCTCCTATGCGTGCCAAATGCTTCAGCGAAGAAGATAAACATTTAATGGTTGAGCGCCTCAGATCCAACCAGACAGGTATTCAGAACAGGCAGTTCCGCTCCTATCAAGTATGGGAGGCGCTAAGCGATCCTCAAACCTGGTGCTACTGTTCCATCCAGATCTTTACCACCCTCCCAACGAGCGGTCTGGGTGCATTTGCAGGTATCATTATGACTGGCTTCAAATTTACCACTCTGCAAAGCCAGCTGCTTGCTATGGTACTAGGCTTTTATATCATTATCATTCTGTTGACATCTGCCTGGCTCGTGAAGAAGTACAATCAGAATTTGCTCGTTATGCTTGGATTTGTCGTTCCGTATGTCTACATACGCCTTCCGAGTTGGTCTTGCTTTCGCTAACTGGTCTTTAGATCATATGTTGGAACAATTGTGCTGATGACTGTTGCAAACACTACATTAGCTACAAAGGTGGGACTATTATTCAGCTACTACATCACGCTGTCTTTCTGGTCCGCTCAAACCCTCTGTCTCTCCATGGTGTCTCGAAATATTGCAGGGCAGACGAAGAAAGCGACCGTAGTAGCTGCTACTTTTATTTCATGGGCTGCAGGCAATGCGATTGGTAGGATCTTGCTTCTAAATGTCTACTCTCGGTTTTGGTGTATACTGACCAGATGTATGTAGGCCCTCAGGTGTTTTTGGATTGGGATGCGCCCCGCTATCATATTGCCTGGAGTGTACACCTTGCTTGCTACGCCTGCATGACTGCGGCTGTTATCTTCTTGCGCTTCCATCTCATTCGCCAGAACAAGAAGAAGGATGAGATACTTGCTGCTGCGGGTGTCACGACTGCCGATCCCAACTTGGTTCACGCTTTTGAGGACAAGACCGACCGGGAAAACATCAACTTCCGATATGTTTATTAGATGCACATGTGCTGTGTATCGAAGCCGTACAGCCTGTTGAGAGATAGGCTAGCGATTGAAAATGTTGTGACTACTATTGCTCCGTAATACATATAATTCTCGGAGATGGCCATTGATTCGAATGACATGTGCAATGTGTAAAGTCAATCGATGGTTTATCTTATCGCGTCTCGGCGACCTCCGACCGCTTAACATTCGGGTGCGAAAGCGGAGAAGAGAAGAGGAACCGTTGCATAAGTCAAGCAGATATCTGCCAATCTTTTTATTCATTTCATCTGCTAAAAGGAAATTCATTTTTAAAAGTACCTGCACAACAGAACATCTAAATCGTCCCAAGATGCTGTACACCCACGCCACTATCATCACCGTTGACGGCAATCGCCGCATAATCAACGACGGTGCCATTCGGGTGTCAACCGATGTCATTGCAGACATTGGAAAGAGTGCAATTCTCAAGGAGCGATACCCTGCCGACGAGGAGTATGATCTCACTGGCCGAATTGTGATTCCCGGATTGATTTCCACTCACATGCATACGGCTCAGACTCTGCTGCGGGGTACCGCTGATGATCTGGAGCTTGTCTCGTGGTTGTGCGAGAGGATCTGGGTTCTTCAAGGTAACTTTACGGAAGCAGATGGCTATGCTGCTGCGAGGTTGAGTATCGGCGAGATGCTCAAGTGTGGAACCACTTGTTTCTTGGAGAGCATGGTGAGTGTCTAATCATTTGTACAAGTTTTTTTTTTTTTCTTTCTTCCTTTCCTCTGACCAAATCAGTTTGCCGATCGCTATGGATTTGACGGACTTGCCCGTGCCGTCGAAGAATCCGGTATTCGAGGCTGCTTGGGCAAGATCGTGATGAACATTGCCAAGTACGCCAAGGACGACGCTTGGGCAATGCATCCCGGCCTGGTTGAAGACCGTGAGATGTCTCTGCTGGGGAGCGTCAAGATGTGGGAGAAGTGGAATGGGGCCGCGAATGATCGCATTCGGGTGTGGTTCGGCGCTAGAACTCCTGGAGGGTAGGTCAATTACTTATACCGACTAAAACCATTAACCATATTATAGGGTTTCTGATGCTCTTTACAAAGAGATGACTGCTATCTCGCGGGAGAAGGGCATCCCGATCACCATGCATTGTGCCGAAGTCAAGGCCGATCGCGATTTTTTTGCATCCGTGTCGCACACTCCCATGTCATACTGCGAGTCGGTCGGGCTACTGAGTTCGAAAACCGTGTTGGCGCATATGGTTCATCTGGATGACTCGGATATCAAATTGCTGTCTGCGTCGGGCACCCATGTCGCTCACTGTCCTACTTCGAATGCCAAGCTCGCGTCCGGAATCTGTCGAGTACCTGATCTCCAGCAGGCTGGCGTAAACATTGGACTGGGGACCGATGGTGCTCCTTGCAACAATAGTTGCGATCTGTTGCAAGAGATGAAGCTCGCGGCTATCATCCACAAGAGTATCTCTTATGATCCCACCGCTGTTCCCGCTGAATCCGTTCTGGAGATGGCGACGATCAATGGTGCCAAAGCTCTCGGGCTGGATGACCGAATCGGCAGTTTGGAGGTTGGCAAGAAAGCGGACTTTGTGGCGATTGACGTGCGGGGGATCCATACGCAGCCCTGGTTCAACGCGCCTAGTGCCGTGGTCTATACGGCGACCGGGAGGGATGTGGACGTTGTGGTGGTGGATGGTAAGCGACTTGTTCAGAATGGTGAGCTTCTAACGATGAATGAGGACGAGATTGTGGCGGAAGCAAAGAAGCGTAGCCAAGAAGTTGTTGAACGAGCTGGTCTGTCGAGCAAGATGAAGGGTCGCTGGCCCGAGGAGTAACTGTGACTTACTAGTGTTGTATTAGCTGCTTCTCAAGATAGCATTTTGAGACCATGTAACATTTGAAGTAGCTTCAGAGATAACTATGGCATCTTTTGTTGTTTTACCTTATTAATACTTGCACACCGCTCCTGCCTGATTAGGAAGTGAAGTCAGGTGATGTTTAGTTCTGCCGGGTATAATCAACTCCCAGAGCACTTACCGCCCGGCAAGCAGTCCGGCAGAATCGAAAGAAAAAAAGCAGGCGGTAAAAAAGCATGGCCCTCGGTCCATTCTGGTTTACTGTTTACTGTTTACTCAGTAAATCCTACACTTTTGTTCCATTCAAGTTGTTATGACGCGTCTCACACCACCCGTGGACACAATTCTGTCAACATATCGCCCCATTGCTTCGGTATGCTTCCCAGCATAGAGACTTACCCCTCAGATACAGATACCTACCAGTGAAGGCCACTTCGCCGCCGCTGCTACCCAAGCGCCCGCATCCGCATCCGCAGCCGCGCCCAACCACCGAATCGGCGCCTTTCATGTGGAATTTAGAATATACTCAGAATGGATCTAGGACTCAAAGACTCGTGTGAGGCCAGCTGATCTTATCTCAGCTGATTGCCCTCCCTTTTGTTCACATTCAGATAAATTCAATTATATCATCATTGATTCATAAAGATGCGCTCTCAAAAAAGGGCAAACTTTCCGAAACCCCTTTGATATTGGACCTCTTCCGATATTTCTGGCCACGATCCGAATCATGATGCCCAACGCGTTTGAGAAGCCGAAAAGGGTCCTAATGGGTCTGATTTTCGGGATTGAGAAGATCGGCATAGAGAAGCGAAAATCCCCACTTCAGGATGAATACAGTACGAATTCCCCCGCACGTCTTATCATTGCAGAGTTCAGATGATTGGCTTAGAAGCGGCGTGGGCAGTCTGATTATGCGGTTCCAACCTTGGAAATCTACTGTCTATCCAACCAAAAATCAAGAATTGTAAAGTTTTGCGGGGTGAAATGTATATCAATTTTGGAACAAGTTGCCATGTTGCTTTTTCCGGAATTTTTGTCTCAATTTTAGCTTCTGCAGCTTACCCTATTCTAAGCTGGACTTAAGGCCAAGGTGGCACGGGTTTAATGTGCGGCTGACAAGAGGGGTACTAGAGTACTAGAGCCGTCTAGCTTGTGAGGTGGCATAAATAGTGCGCAAGCCACAGGCGGCATAGGTTATTCCTGCCGAAGTTTTTTTTTTTTCACCTTTAAAAGCTCGTTGCAGACTATTCCCACAATACTCTATCATAATTTCTTTCTCGCTTCTGTTTGAATTCTCCAAAATGGCTGCTCCTTTGCTGGATTTTTCCGTATGTGTTTGAGATGCTTGCTTAGTTTCTTTCAAAATTCTGACCCAATCCAGAGCTTCCACAATGTCATCAACAATGAGTTGACCTCCACGGCTATCACTCGTCACAGCATCAACCCCGCCAACTTACAGCCAAACCCTGAAGTCCCAGTCTCAACCCAAGAGGACCTCGACCGAGCAGTCCAAGCTGCTCGTCAGGCATTCAGCAAATGGTCCAAGACATCTATTGCCGAGCGCCGAGCCGCAATGGATGCCTACGCCTCCGCTATCGAAGCCAATGTCGATGGATTTGCCAAGACACTCACCATGGAACAGGGAAAACCTTTGGCTCAGGCGACAACCGAAGTCGGCATGGCCTCTGTTTGGGTTCGTGGAATCAGTGCGCTTGAACTACCCGTCAATGTCATTGAAGAAACCAAGGAGCGGAAAGTCATCCAGCGTTATACCCCGATGGGTGTTGTTGGTGCCATTGTACCATGGAATTTCCCTGTGCTCCTAGCGATCGGAAAGGTTGCTCAGGCTGTGTATACGGGTAACGCTATCATCATGAAGCCCTCTCCTTTCACACCTTACTGTGACCTCAAGCTAGCTGAGCTAGCGACTCATTTCTTCCCTCCTGGTGTGGTGCAATGTCTCAGTGGAGACGACTCACTGGGTCCTATGGTCACCGAACATTCTGGTATTGATAAGATCTCCTTTACTGGTTCGATTGCGACAGGTAGGCTGGTTATGGCCAGCTGTGCCAAAACTCTCAAGCGAGTAACTCTGGAGTTGGGTGGAAATGACCCTGCAATCATTTGTGAGGATGTTGACATCGATGCGATTATTCCCAAGGTATGTGTGCAATCCGACTGGAGTTTTGAACAAGATAGCTCACAAAATTTCAGATTGCCGTTCTGTCTTATCTATGCAGTTCCCAAATCTGCATGATGATTAAGCGACTCTATGTGCACGAAAAAATCTATGACACTTTCTTGGAGAAATTCGTTGCCTTTGTGAAGGAATTCAAGGTCGGCGCGGGTACAGAAGCGGACGTCTTCATCGGTCCTGTACAGAACAAGATGCAGTTCGACAAGGCCAAGGAGCTCCTTAGCACAATCTCCAATGATAACATCAAGACCGCCTTGGGAGGAAGCATCCAAGAATCTGCTGGGTACTTCATTCATCCAACTATTCTTGATAACCCCCCCGAGGACTCCCGGGTGGTTCAAGAAGAGCCTTTTGCTCCTATTCTACCAATCATGAAGTGGTCCGACGAAGACGATGTTCTTGCCAAAGCAAATGCTTTGGAGACAGGACTAGGCTCATCGGTCTGGAGCAAGGACATGGAGCGTGCTAGTCGCATGGCTGATCAGTTGGAATCCGGTATGGTCTGGGTCAACTCCCACTTCCAGGTCGATCCCAGAGCTCCCTTTGGCGGTCACAAGCAAAGTGGCATGGGAGTCGAATGGGGGTTGACTGGTCTCTTGGGCTACTGTAACTCCCAAACCCAGTGGTTCAACCAGAGCCAATAATCTGACAGGGATGTCTGCCAGGTGACACATTATCGAGACTGACCTTGATGAATTCAATTATTCCTTGATTGGCGATTTCCCACCGTTGACACATTATCTTACGTATAAACACTAGTAGTCCTAGTACATATCATTTTTTTTCGTCAATATGAGATCACTTCTAGTGAAGACTCTTAAGTTTCCAGTTTCCAGTTTCCAGTTGACTTTCAAGATTTGACTCATTTCTATGTTGCTATTCAAACTAATACTTGTATTCTTCTTCTCTGGAATCCCCATCATATTCGCGAAGTCGGTGTATTGATAGGGGTGACGTCATGCCAAAAACACAATCAGCGACATTCCGACATTGATAGGATGACGAGGATTTGCACACGCCACAACTCTTTTAAATTGCAATAGATCAACATTGATAGCAGCCTGTTACACTTACCTCACACAGCGCCGATCTTCCTACTGATGACGCGCCCGCGCTACTCCTGCCACTCAGCACCTACGAGCTGTCTTTTTGAAAGGCGAAATGGGTCTTGGCTTACGTGAGTGGTTTGGTTATCCTGCTTCCTGCAATGAGACATTCAGATGATGAGATGACGGTCTGTTAAGAAAATTTGATCATAAAACTGCTTGTTCGCCTGGCAACAATTAATGTTTTTTTATCTTTCTCATACCTGAATATCCAAATAACTACATTTATCAATCGAACTTTCATTATCATTCACAATGTTCCACCGCGGTCGCACAACAACTACAAGGACCACCAAGCCGACATTGATGACTCGGCTTAAGGGTCCATATGCTAAAAGCAAGACTGTCAAGACCACAACCACCACACATCCAAACGGCACCTCACACCGTACCAATAAGCGCCATCTGGGACCCCACCACAATAACCGCCATGTTGGAGGTGTCCAGCCGCAACATCATCATAGACGCAAGGTTACCTTTGGTGACAAAGTCTCGGGCGCTATGATGCGGATGAAGGGTAGTCTCACCCATCGTCCTGGTGTCAAGGTAAGAGCTTTTTGTGTGTGATTCTACCATTTTCATTTATACTAATAATGATATCTCTCTCTAGGCTGCTGGAACTCGTCGCATGCACGGCACTGATGGTCGAGGAAGTCACCGCCTTGCTTATTAGACGATACCCCATATACGATGTTACGACGATATGTGATCTCATCCCGAGGTCGACTCCAAGTCCAGATGGGTCGATCGGTCTACTGGAGTGCTGGATAATGTACTAGTATTTTCATTGTGACCCAAGTGTTATGTTTATGTATCATATGTAGTGTTATGACTATTTGAAATCGAGCTCGAATTTTTTCATTTTGAAGATTTCCCAAGGCCATTCACTGTAACGAGGCAAGCAAGAAAACAATAGAATTGTTCTAAGGTCCTAGATCCAAGAAAAAGACAGAGCACTGAGAAAAGGAAAAAGAGAAGGAGAAGAAGACAAGGGTCAACCTTCAGTACCTCAAGGTTGACTACAGGAACCAACTAACCCCGGGGAAACCTTCTCAACGAACAAAGCAAACCTTCTTAGCGAACAAAGGAAACCCTGAGAAAACCTCCTCAGCGAACGGAGACTGTCAACTCGTGACTCTTGCACTTGCAGTGTCGACGTGTGACATTCACCTCCTCCCAGGTATCAAAATGCGGTATAGACTTAGCCCGAATCTTGGTGTTCGGAATAACGGTGTTTTTCCGTTTTATGCATGAGTCATGAATTCCGTTGGTGGATTTCCAAAATCTCCCCCAGTCCTCCAATATTAAGTGTGCCTGGAGATGAAGTGCAGTAAATGGTGCATATAGGTAGCATTTTGCAGCGACGATCCCCCGCAACTCGGGAAAGGATAGGCCGGGTCCACTTTACTAGTAATCACTAGTAGCTTGCTCGATCGCGTTCAAGATATTTAAAGAAGTCGCGAAAACATGTCGTCAGTACATTAAGCGCGTTAGTCTTTACTACACACTACCTGGGACGTGAACAGACACCGAAGAGAGATAGTCGGAATGCATTTTCATAGGAAATTTTTACTGATTGCTGGTTTAGTACCAGGCCTGATATCGGCTTCATCTTTATCCCGGTCGGGGATAGTGGATCTTGGGTACTCAGAGTATCAGGGGATAACGTTGGACAACGGCGTTGACGAGTTTCTTGGTATCAGATATGCAAGACCACCCTTGGATGAGCTGCGATTTCGAGCGCCACAGGATCCTGAAGCGACGACAGGAGTCTTGGATGCATCATCGGTGAGATATTGGATCCCCAGGGTCCCAAAATTACGAACTGTACAGCTCCAGCTAACCTGAATCACACCCGAAAGTTCGGTCCTGTCTGCGTAGGTGTTGGACAATCCGCCAGTACGTCACTTGCAGAAGATTGTCTATTTGTCAATATTTGGCGACCAAATAACGCGTCAACAAAGGCCAATCTTCCCGTGTGGGTGTTTATCTCGGGGGGTGGGTACGCGGATCTCTCCAACGCCAACTACAACGGAAGCGAAGTCGTCCAGCAATCGGGTCATGACATTGTTTTGGTTAATTTCAATTATCGTGTTGGTGTGCTAGGCTTTTTGGCCAGCGAAGAGGTGCGCAAGGGCGGAGATCTGAACGTGGGATTGCTTGATCAGCGAAAGTTGCTCTCTTGGGTTCAACAGAACATCCATCTCTTTGGTGGGAACCCAGATCATGTGGTTATTCATGGTGACTCGGCAGGCGCAGGGTCTGTTGCCCATCATATCACAGCATATGGTGGCCGCGACATGAAGCTCTTTGCGGGCGCAGTTGCCGAGTCAAACTTCTGGCCGACACAGCGAACGGTCGCGGAGATGGAATTTCAGTACACGAGATTTGCACAGGATGTCGGCTGTGATACTTCTGAGAGCGTTCTGTCGTGTCTACGGGCTGTCGATATTCAGACGATTCAGGATTACGACGTGGATGAACCTTTTCCAGGTGGCAGTAGCAGCCCTGCGCCCCTTTGGTACTTTCTCCCCGTGGTCGATGGTGACTTGGTGCCAGATATCTTGTATAACCTCTTCGAAAGCGGCAAAGTGGTTCATGTCCCAGTGATGGTCTCAGATGACACCAACGAAGGGACTGCTTTCGCAGTCAACGCGACAAGCGCAGCCGAAGTTGCACAGTTTATGAAGAACAACTATCCCGGACTTACTGAGGACCAGCTTGATACTATCAACCAGGAATACCCACTGACTACGGCCCTACCTAAACATGCTGCGTATTTCCCCTCCGCAGCAGGTGCATATGGTGATTCGACCTTCACCTGTCCCGGAAACTTCATGTCGGCCTCGATGGCGCGGTTCGTCTCGTCGGACCAAGTCTGGAACTACCGCTGCAACATCCTTGATCCAACCGATATCGCCGATGGACTGGGCGTCCCCCACGTATTCGAGATGCCGGCTGTCTTTGGACTTGGTGAAACGAATGAAGCATCATCTTCCTTTGCCACCACCAACGCGGATATCGTTCCCGTCATTATGGACTACTATCTCAGTTTCGTCAAGGCGCTGAACCCAAATATATTCCGCAATGACAATGCCCCGGTTTGGAATAGTTGGGGAACTGGAACTGGAGAGCGACTACGATTGCAGACTAATTCCACTGCAATGGAAGAGGTACCGCAAACGCAGGTAGAACTATGTGCAATGTGGCAAAAGTTGGCAACGACGATGGAGCAGTGATACGTTACGCAGATTATTGTGTAGCGACCTTTATTTTTTTTTTCTTTCTTTTCCGGGTGCATATTGTTATCGTCATTATCTTTAATATTCTCTTCTCATCTAGACCTGAAGTAATTAATAATCTCGTCAATACTACAAGTTTATATGTCATCCTTTCATCCGATGCCACCCGCAGAATGAGGGGTAGGGGAGAAAATCCGGGGAATAGCTCCACATAGAACTGGAGAACACATGTGCTTCCCCTCTTTTACTCTCATGACTTCATCACTCCTAATATCCTCACGATCTTGATTTCCTTCCATTATTTGTATTAAAGAAACACACACAGAGAGAAAATAAAATTATGTGCAAACGATGTCCAAATCTTGCCTTTTCCCCTCTCTCGCAGTCGAGCTCGTCGAGCTTATCGCTGGTGATGTGGATACCGAAAGCCTTTTACGACTACGTCTAGTCTGTCGCGATCTACAGAAGAAAACCTTCAACCATTTCGCACGTCGGTGTTTTTCCACTATCAAGACCGATCTCTCAGAAGAAAGTCTGGATCGCATTAACGCGCTCTCCCATAATAAAGCGTTGCGGCCTCATGTGAATGGCTTAGCATTTATGCTCCAGAATGGAGTGGGTCGTGGCTTGGTGTGGGATCGTCATCCGTGGGGTCCTTTATCCGCTCCGATGGAAGTGGAAGCAATACAGCGATTTCGCGATAACTTGGTGAATCATCTAACAAACTGTCGCTCATTCTTCATTTTTTGTCGCTATCCTGAAGGCCATCCCGATATGAATCGCGTCACCATCACCGATGCCGTCGCCGTCTTTTTCGCTCTCGTTGTCGACTCCCGATTACCAGTCTCTTCCTTTCACTTGATCTATGCGAATCAACAGTCTCGAACCCTGATGATGGATATGCGCCGCTTGCCAAAACTCCTCTATCGACAACCAAAGTTCAGAATAGTTTGGTCAAACTTGCAGAAACTCTCCTTGGAGCAGTATCTGACCCTCGATAACTTCGGCTTTCTTCTGGAGCTCGTCTTAAGTGCCCCCAATCTCAAAACATTATTACTGAACTTGGGATCCCACGACTTAGCGGCCGAATTTATGCATGAGCTAGCCGAGGCGGCCTCGTTCTCACAATTGGAAGAACTAGCTCTATTCCGCACAGCCGTGAGAGCGCCGGATCTTCACGTGCTCATCAATGGCCTACGTGGAACTTTACAGACTCTCACTTTCTATCATGTTTCTTTGGCCCCAGATGACAGCTGGCCATCGGTTTTGAAGGACCTCAGTCATGATTTCCTGGCTCTGCGGAGGGTGTCTTTGTATTACCTCTGGAACAGCACCCCGGCTACACAGCTAATATCCTTCCCTGAACTTCAAAAGGCACCACTTATCTGTGAAACACCTGTCCAGCGTCTTCAAATGTTTTATTCGGAAAATCCGAAAAGTCCGGCTGTTCTAGGCGTGGAGTATTCGGGTCCGAAGATGTCTCAGTTCCTCGGCTTGCTACAGAAAACAGCTATCTGTACCTGAGATCGCTGGCATTTTTGCACGTGTGACTGGTCATTGGAATATTTCCTGATGACTCGATCTTTTTTTGATATCTTGTATCTGATTACCTTCTTCCCCTTATATTCATGCATATATTCAGGCTGGTAGCATTTAACATTTGGAATAAGCAATTGAAATTGTGATAAAGCAAGATCCTTAATAATTATTACAGCAAAGATTTCTCATCTCAACACATGCATCCATTAACTCAACTGTCTTTTCAATACTCAAGATGCCACTGATGCACGGATGTTGCGTCCGGAGATTTGAAGCAAACTCGAAGCGTTTGTCAATTGGCCTTCATAGGAGACCATGAGACGAAACTTTTCTTTTGGCCAAAGAGTAACATAGTTATCAGACCAGTACAGGCCCTTCAATTTGCTACCATCTGTTGGATTGATCATATCCAAGTGAATAAAGACAGCAGGAACTTTTGATTTGTTCTCAAGCAGGATCTCAATAAAGGTCCACTCGCTGTTTAGCTGATCACTCTCAATCACTTTCATTTGGACCTTCACATTTGCCAGGGCAAGTCTGTCCAACTCCCTGAAGTCTGTATATTCTGTAACTGGGGTGGAAATCCAGGTGGAGTTTGGCCAGTCTAGGACGTCCGGTTTTGAAGTTAGCCAATACACATTGCGACTCAAATCCTTTTTGCTCTTGACGTCGCGAAGAACGAGACGGAGGAATCCAACATTCTTGATTTTATCGATATCATCAACTATGCGAACTTCCTTCGAAGAGTTGGGTATGGTATTTGTTTTGACTTTGGCACTCGAGATCTTTTTGCCCTTTGTATCAATGAGATCGATTGAAATCTCTCGCTGTCCTTTATTTTCAAGGGAGTGGTCAATAAGCCAAACTGATTCAGTCTCATAGTCATAAGCAACATGCTCCATCCGAGTCCCAACCTTGGTGCCAAAGTAAGAGCCCATGGGTTGGAGATGATAGTCAAATAACTGCCAATGCAGATTTGGCCAAGCACTATTCAACATCCAGTAAATTACCCCGGTCGCAGGTCGAGAGGCATTTTGCCGAGCTGAATATGCTTCAAATTGGGCACGAGTGGCTTCATAGTCTGCCATCTGGCATTTCTCGATGTAGTTTTCGAGGTTGATTGGCATGCCGTATCGAGCAAAGAGTCCCCTGTTGTAAATAGAGCGACCGTAGAAAGAGGAGATATTATTGGACATGTGGTAAGACCCCATATTTGGTTCTCTCCAAAGAGTCTCTAGATCACTGTTTGACATAAATTGTTGCAAGCTGTGTTTTTCCGGGGTTCCCACTCCTGCGCCTAGCTCGGATCCGAAACCAAAGGCTGCTCCTTCTTCATCACCATACCAGTAGTTCGGGGGGACCCAGTCGTATGGCCCGTTCATTTTCATCCCGGATGGTCCTAAGGCCTCGGGATACCCTCTTTTACTGGCCGATGCGATTATCGGGAGCTTCCAGTCCATTTCGTGTAATGCATCGATAAAGACCTTTGTCGCATTGTCATTGGGCCAGTAATCTGAGCCGATTAGGAACCCGAGAAGAGATGGATGTGGCTGCATCATCTGAGCTTCATGAAGCATAGCAGCGTGGGCAATTGGGTAGTCGGATTCACCCCATTTAACACCATCATTGTCGCTATTATACTTAAGCAAATTATTAGTTCTTTTGCATCCTCAATATGTGAAGGGGGTTATTCAAGGTTGAATGAACTTACATCCCATGCTTCCCATTTATTGCAGCATTCCCACCCACCTAGAACCATCAACCCCATTTCATCAGCAAGGTCGTAGAATTCAGGGTGTTCTTGCTTCCCTTCTAGACGAACAGTGTTAAGTCCTAAGTCAATCATGTTTTGGAGTGTGTTTGCGATTCTTTTCACGTCAAAGCGCATAAATATGTCTGAGCTGTATCCGGCACCTAGCACCTGGAATGGGTGCCCGTTGACAGTAAATGCCGTGTCGTTGTGTTCATTCAGGTAAGATGAAACATGTCGAATGCCGAATCTCTGAGCCGAGGAATCCGAAAGAATAAGTTTGTCTTCTTGAACCATGGCGTCGGCGTGAACAAAGTATAAGGGCTGCTCTCCCCAGCCAAACGGCCACCATATCTGTGGGTTTCTAAGCGCAGATCTGATGGAGATTGTCTTTTCCTCGCCTGGCTCCAATTCGAATGTGCCCCAGATTGCAGAAGCGTCCGCCGCGATTTGTCCTTTGATCGTTCCGTTGACCTCTACACGAACTTTGTGAGGCGCATTATTCACCAAGTTGGCTTTCAATTTGACGTTCACATTATCATTCGTTCCATTTTTGGTGAAATCGGTGATTACTCTCAAGGGGGACATTGACACTGCGCCTGTTTGGATGATTTCCACATCGCGCCAAACACCAGTCCCATTATCAGCTGGGTATGGATTCCAATCTAGGAATCCAATGGCAAAGTCGCGGAGGTAATTTGTTGGATAAGCACGGATCAGAAGACAGTTGGAGCCTGAACGAAGGTGGGCTGTTATGTCGTACCGGTGTCCCCCATATGAACCTTGTTGCTCCTCACTGGAAGCGATTTGAGCGCCATTCAAATAAATATCTGCCTTGGATGTGATACCGTGGGTATTCAAAGCAAAGAACTGGCCACTGGAAGGGAGAGCTGTAAACTCCTCTCGATAAATCCATGGCTCCTTGAAGATCGGAATATCTGCCAACGACTCCATGTGGTTTGAATAAAATAAATCCGTCTCATTGTAGACACCATTATCGATAAGACCTGCCATCACGGTGCTGCGACTTCCGACTCGATACCATGAGGAGACATTGATACCAGGTTGAGACAGGCTAGGCATGTCGGTTTCTACCTTGGCTGCGGATTGCATGTTCCATCCTGGGATGACGGCTCTTTTGCCTGGTCCCGAGACGAGAGGCCCAGCATGGACTTTTGGCACGTAGAGTACTGCGGTCAATAATGCTAGCCTCATTAAGAGCCACATTTTGGCGGAAGGGAGCGGATAGCGATTGATGGCAGACCTGATAAGTGTACTGGTATGTGGTGAATGTTACTCGTTTGTTGTTTTCTGTCAAAATTTCAGTGATGGGTAGGTGATTAAATGTCGTGTATTTCAATATTGTCTGAGAGTCACACTTTGATCTTGAACATTGAATAGTATGAACTTTAATGTCAAGCGGATCTGAAAATGGTATCGCAAGTTAGTTCCCTGACCATTTTAGAGATGATCAACTCCAAATATAGACTAGTCATGTGTCGATGAACCGTGGAATTCGCCGTCGGTTCTAAGTCTTGATGATTTCCTATTTTGGCCGACATCTAGAGAAGCCGACCGAGAGATTCATATTGACATTACATAGAAGATGCCGAATCTACGATTCAGAATAGACAGTAATAATCAAAAGGGAGGATTGTTGCTGTAGTTGTTTCCAAGGTTCCAAGGTTATAGTACCAATTCCACATACGTACAGTACGCCATATATTGTAGTAATCATCTTTTCGCCGGTGAGGTGCTTACTAACATTTGGATATGATATTCAAATGATATTCAAATGTTACTGTTTTTACGTCAGAAATCCTCTTATCAATTCAATGCGATAGCTACTAGTACGTACTAGATGTTACTAGATACTAGAATACTTGCTAATCAGGCCGATTGCCTCAAATGCGGGGCTGCAGCGGGTGCTTGCCCGCTTCTTATTCCATTTGCCCTCAACTTCCACATTCTTTGTCACCTTGAAAACATTTCTCCTCCAAATACCCCTCCAATAAGGTCTATCACTTCAAACACTGACACCCCATCATGGTAGAGATTTATCCCCTATGGCTCGCTGGTCAAGATCAACCAGGAGAAGAGCCTTTGTACGTGACACTTTGACTTGGTCGAAAAAGAAACAAAGCTGACAATCCAAGAATTCCCGTTGAGGATCCTTCAACGCGTGAAGTGTTTGCAGAGTATGTCAATCGTTTGATTTATCCCGATTTCCGAGTCTAACACCAATCAGATGTCACGCGGCCTCGGTGAAAGATGTTGACACTGCGGTCCAGGCTGCTCATTTGGCATACAAATCGGGAATTTGGTCCCGCGCAAGTCGTCATGAACGTGCAGATGTTCTTGAAAAGTGTTCCGCACAACTCTCCGACTTCTTACCGGAGCTCATTAGAATCGAAGTAAAGCAAACAGGTCGCCCAGTCCGTGAAATGAATGCCCAGGTTCCGTCTCTTGTCAAGTGGTTCAAATACTACGCATCTCTCCTCAGAGTTGAGGAGCGATCGGTTCTTCCAACAGCTGGGAAATTGCATAACTTTGTCGACCGTGTGCCTCTAGGCGTGGTTGTTCAAATCACCCCATTCAATCACCCATTACTGATCGCAGTAAAGAAGCTTGCCCCAGCTCTCGCTGCGGGAAACAGCGTTATTCTCAAGCCTAGCGAGTTGACTCCCATTACGTCCTTGCTACTCGCCAAGATCCTTCATGGTGCGGGGATACCGCCTGGTGTGCTGAGTGTTTTGCCTGGCTACGGTATGGTTACGGGAAAGGCTCTCGTTTCTCATCCCTTGGTGCGAAAAGTCGATATTACCGGAGGAACGGCAGCCGGCAAGGCAATCGGGTCGATAGTCGGTGGAAACCTATCTAAATACACAGCAGAGTTGGGCGGCAAGGCCCCCCTAATAGTGTTTGAAAAAGCACAAATTGACGCTGCGGTGAATGGAATTGCCTTTGGGAGCTATATGGCCAGTGGCCAGACTTGCATTGCCAGCACAAGGATCATTGTGGCCAACGAGATTATGGGACAGGTGGTCGAAAGACTGAAGACCAAGGTCGAGAGCATCGCAATGCGCATAGGATCTCCTAGTAATCCCGAGTCGATGATGGGGCCCCTGATCTCTGAGAAGCAGTTGAATAACGTGGAAAGACTTGTGGAAGCTTCTTTGGCAAAGTCCGCAGTCACCATCATGGGAGCCCAACGTATGCTCGGTCGGAGTCCACTAGATGGACTCGATTTTTCACAGGGGTATTACTATGAGCCAACAATTCTCACATCAACAACTGGCAACAGCATCGTCAATTCCCCCATATGGCACGAAGAAGCGTTTGGCCCAGTAATTGTCATTGTGGGATTTGATACAGAAGAGGAAGCCATTGCACTGGCAAACGACACCGAGTTCGGCCTTGGAGCAGGAATTTGGACGCAGGATCTGTCGCAAGCCTTCCGAGTATCAGAAAGAATTGACGCGGGAATTGTGTGGGTGAATACCCATCATCGAAACGATCCTAGCAGTCCCTGGGGTGGCATCAAAGCGGCAAGTGGTGTTGGAAGTGAGAATGGCATTGACGCCTATCATTCCTACTCTATGACGAAGAGCACGATTATCAATTTTGCGTCAGCCGGTGAGATTTTGGCTCAAGACGACTGGTTTGGTGATGTTTCAAAGAATGTCAGATACGGATAAATGTGAACTCAATGGCATTCGATCGCGCTCAAGTGCTTGTGACTAGCACTGTGGGGCTACTCCATCCTTTGACATTATGCTTTTATTTACATAGTGTGATCAATAAAGGGCGCCCAGGGGTCTTGTAAAATAAAATATAATTGATCAATCGTTCTGAGAAGAACCCGGGTCAGTTCCACGAATAAATGTATAGCTAATTAGAGTATATCCAGGAATATTAAACAAATGAAAGACAGGCAATATGTTCACTCAAGAAGAAGAAGAAGTGCCTTTTGCTTAAAGAAGAAGCTGCCAGGCAGTCAAAAGACCGGCGATGGATACAAGCGATCCGGGAAGGAAAGCAGAATGAGAGGCCGAGGCGCCTGTGTAGACTGACTGGCTTGCAGTTTCTGTGAAGGAAGCACCAGCATGAGAAGATGACACCAAGGTGCTGCTTTCAGGCGCAGAGCCGGAACCAAATTGGGGACCGGAGCTAGAAACAGGGTGGGAGCTGGATCCACCAGTAGGAACAGATCCAGTAGCATGAATCGTAGTTCCGGTAACAATGGCCTTGGTGAAAGAGCCGGAGCCAGTAAAGTCGGGGCCAGTAGAGCCGGAGCCGGAGCCAGTAGAGCCAGAGCCAGAGCCAGTAGAGCCAGAGCCAGTAGAGCCAGAGCCAGTAGAGCCAGAGCCAGTAGAGCCAGAGCCAGTAGAGCCAGAGCCAGTAGAGCCAGAGCCAGTAGAGCCAGAGCCAGTAGAGCCGGAGCCGGCGATGGAACCAGAACCAGAGCTGAGGCCACTTGTGGGAGCAGAGCTAGCAGGATAAACTGTAATTCCAACGGAAGTGGTCTCAGTAACCACATGAGCAGTTCTCAAAGCATAGGGGCAGTTGGTAACAGTCGATGCGCACTCGTAGATTGTAGAGACCCGGGTAGAGTAAATAGTCTCAGTGATTGAGTTTCCTCCAAAACCAGAGCCAGAGCCAGAGCCACGGGTGGTTGCAGAAGAAGAAGTAGCAGTAGCAGTCACAGGGCAGACTGTCGTCGACACAACAATGACCTCAGTGGTGGTATATGTAGTCTTATCGCTTGCTGGGCAATTGGTGACCGTCGACGGACAAGCGGTGATGGTAGCGGTGCGGGTTGAGAGAACGGTCGAAGTGGTAGATCCCGCGCCACCAGACTCACTTGTTGGCTCTGACGTTGACGTAGCAGTCACAGGGCAAACTGTCGTCGACACAACGATAACCTCAGTGGTGGTATACGTAGTCTTATCGCTTGCTGGGCAATCAGTGACTGTTGATGGACAAGCGGTGATGGTAGCGGTGCGAGTTGAGAGAATGGTCGAAGTAGTAGATTCTGCGCCACTAGATTCGCCTTGGGGTGTGTTAGAGCTAGATCCTCCGCCAGAAGCAGTAGTCGTGCTGGAGCCGGAGCCTGAGCTATTTCCACCACCGGGAGCGGAGGTTATGCTGGGGGAAACGCCAGAAGTTGAGCTGTTTACACTTTCAGTGTTGCTAGAAGTGGTAGATTCTGTGGTGGAAGAGGCAGCAGAAGTAGCAGCCACTGATGAGGAGACAGCTCTGGTTGAAGATGGTCTAACTCCGACCGAGGATGGCGTAGTTCCGGAGGATGACTGGACAGCGCTGGATGAAGATTTTCTGGTTCTAGTTCTGCATGGCTTAGACGAGTGTCGGACTCTTGTTGAAGATGGTTTGACTCTGGCCGAGGATTTGACAGTGCTGGACGATGGGTTGACTCTGCTTGAAGACGATTCAACTCCCGATGCGGACGAGGCGAGTGTGGCTGAGGATGCAATAAGTCTGGATGAAGATGATCTAACTAATGGTGTAGTTGATCCAACCAAGGGTGTAGTTGATGCAACTCTAGACGAAAAGACTGAGCTGGGGGCTGGCGTAGGTGTCGAAGATGGAATAGTCGAGTAGGAAGTAGTGCACACCTGGGTTTGTCCTTCAATCTGGAAGTTATCCCATCCCATATACCATGGGTAATCGCGACCGGAACCACAATCTGGAGCAAAAATCAGGGTATGACTCGTCGCTGTAGCTGCAAAGGTCAAGGTATGTTCTGTCCATGTGGTGGATGGGTCGTAGTCAAGGGAGGCGATGCTGTTGGCGGTGGTATCCAAGTAAACAGAATCCCAGCAACCAGTCAAGGAACCTAGGGATTGAGGTAGGTGGTTCCAATACGTGATCGTGTATGTAGAGCCAACTACAAGATTGGAAACCGTTTGAGAAAGGCGAAACACGTGATTGTAGCCGTACGTTTGAAAGTAATAGGATCCATCTTCGGCTGAGCCTTGGGCGTCTGATGTGCCAACCTGTACGACGCTGTAAGACTGCGCGTAGGAATTGCTGAAGGTCCAGTCATCAAGCGATCCAGACTCAAAGCTGGGATTCTGGAAAATTTGGACGCCCGTGCTGGTAGAGCAGGAGACAATAGGCACGCTGTCCGCGGATCCGGGGGCGACCTGGCTCAAGAGAGCGAAGAGAGGGAGAATAACTCCGGATGAAGTGAGCATCTTCGCCTCGGTTTTGTCGTGATACACAAAAGACTTCGGGAACTCCCAATAAAGGGGAGGAAAGCAAAGAAACAAACAAACAAACAAAAAAGAGGAGGCAAAAAAAAGAGTGTACGACCTCGTGAAGATAGAACGAAGGACTAGGAGAGGTCAAGTAGTATGTCGGGGGAAGCTTGTCAAGTGCTGAGATAGTACTCCATACTAGTACTTATATGGCAGCGATCTCAAGAAGAATCTAAGGAATGAATAAGCGAGGAATTACCCACGCAGCTGGGCCAGCCCACCTGCCACATGGCGCAAAGTCGGTTGACCAAGTATTAAGCGAGAGTCTATGGTGAACTGGCTTTCCTACTTTGAGGATGGATATTATTGCCGGTGGTGGAGATTTAACAGGTTAAAAGACCCTAAAAAAAGACCCCTGGAGGCTTCGGGAACCTATTGTGGGGGCTGTATGGAATCACTCTGTGGAGCCTTGAATCGCGCACGATTTCATTTCCAAGGTGCTCAATGAGCTTATCCGACCCATGGAGGCCGGAGCTACCGCCATAAATCCGATCCTGGGAATTATAGCCGAGCACAGATCTCAAAAACCAGGTGCGAAGCACTCGAGCTGTAATAGGAACCGATCCGTTCTGAATGAGAGTATTAGAAAAAGGTGCCAGAATTTGAAAGGAAGAAAAAGCATGGAGCATGGAGCATGGAGGACTCGTCCTCAATCTGGCCTAGTGTCCGCCGATGGCGCTGGTCCCAACAGGAACAGGGAAAGCGCAAGCCCGATGGTGACTATGGCGGCCAAGTGCTGCGATCGGCTAAGATCATTGTAGGCTCAGTAACTTGGAGGTCGGGGAGTTCAGGCCTGCCAGTAATCGTTATTGTTGCTTAAAAAATCCGGCTTTTTATTCAGGGGTCTTTTTTCTTCATAAAAAGGGGTTCTCAAGTTAGAGCCTAAACAAAAACGCCACCAAAAGTAAGTTGAACATAGCACTTGAGGTAAGCAATTTGAAGCGACAGTGGGCCTTGTATGAATGGGCGTTGGATCCAGAGGAAGTTTTTCGTGTGTGAATCTTCAAATTTACAGTCATCCAACTTTACATAATCGTTGACATGAAGAGAACCGATACACGTTGAGCTATTGAGGGGAATACATATACCACCACGCACGGGCAGGCGCAGACCGGTCAAACGCCAAACCAAAAGGCTCATATAACCAATATTATGTCATTCTTACATCAACATCCGATATGGTGTAGTGGCTAACATCGTCGTCTCTCACACGACAGCCGGGGGTTCGATTCCCCCTATCGGAGTTTTCTTTTTGTTCGTGTAACTTCTAAATTTGATGGCCAAAATTATTGGGGAGACTTTTCTATCTTGGAAATAAACAGCCTGGAGCTTCTCTGTTTTGTACTTCTGAGTGTCTTGAAGATCTGTGGTTTGTACTTATGTACTTAGTATACTAGTAATGTCTCCAACCTGAATGCGGGGAAACGTGGGGTACCTCGGAACTACTAGTATATTGTATAATGGTCCTGAATGTAACCCTAAGACTACTAGAAAATCAACCAATTCCGGTTTCGGCTCAACAGGAACTGCAGATCTACTTTCCTTCCAACGGGTAACTGATTAATCCAATCCAATCAATTTATGTTTCATTTGCCAAGAGACTTTATAGTACCGAGGATTGCCCGGATTGCGTAGGTGGAGAGCTTTAACTAATAGAATCTGGGTTTCTGAAGAGGGGTCCAACAATACTTAAACTCAGATAACTTTCTCCCCGGGATTTTGATCAAGTCGACAATAAGCTTGGAGTGTTTGACATCAAAAATGCTGTTTCTATCAATATGCGTCGCTGTTTTGCCTATAGCTGCAGGGGCACAAGAAATTTATGTTAATGGAACTTCTTCTCGTTCGCACTGCACAAATTCTCCTTCACCAACTTATCACTTCCACCCATTCTCATACACTCTCAGCGAGACAGTCAGGTCAGTAGTACACACATGTGCAGCTTTTTTATCCCCATGCATCTATCCCTTGCTAAGCTTAGAAACATCATTAGATACGCAACGTCAGTTCCCTCGCCAACAACCACAAGAACATTTGCGCCTGCCTATTCAAAAGCTGCCAAGCTTTTGACCACAAGCCTTTCCACATCCACCTGGGGTAGCTGGCTTCCTGGGCAGACTATCATCAGCGCTACCGATACTGCCGATCCTTATGGACAAGCAGCATGGTCATCAATGTGGCTACATGCTAATCTTCAAAATTATGTTTGTCAATATTCGGAGAAATCGACAGACTTAAGCTTTCGCTAATGAATTCCAGACTACAACCGGTCTTCTTTCCACCACCGTTCACCCTACTCCTGTCCCCACCAGTGAACTTGTTCTCCCACCAGCGGACTACTTTGGCCCCATAGATTGCTATGACTTTCCCGAAGACTTTGTGTTTGGCGTGGCTGGTAGTGCCGCCCAAATTGAAGGTGCAATCGCCCTCGATGGCCGTTCGCCTTCGCTCCTGGAGAAACTGATCACGGGGGACAAGCCAAAGGACTACGTCACCAATGAGAATTATTTTCTATACAAGCAAGACATCCAACGGTTGGCAGCCATGGGCGTGGAGTACTATAGTTTTACTATTCCATGGACACGGATCTTGCCCTTCGTCTTTCCCGGCACTCCCGTGAACAAGCAAGCCATTGATCACTACAATGACCTGATCAAGACTGTTCTTGATGCTGGAATGCAACCTGTTGTGACGATGCTTCATTTTGACAGTCCACTCATGTTTGTCGCTAGTGATAACATAAGTATGCTTTTTTTCCTCTTGTCACTTTTCTTCTTCTCAGACCACTAACTTATAATAGCGAGACATCCTGATATTGGGTATAACAATGCTGGCTATCAGAATGAAACATTTGTTGATGCGTAAGTCAGCCACCTCTATCTTGAAAAACCATTGGCATCAAGTACTCCCTTACTGATTCTCCCTACTAGATTTGTCAATTATGGAAAAGTGCTACTGACGCACTTTGCTGACCGTGTACCGATCTGGGTTACATTCAACGAACCCCTCCTCTACGCCTTTAATTTCCAGGGAGTTGATAATGTCATCAATGCTCACTCCCAGGTCTATCACTTTTATCACGATGAACTTAAAGGCACGGGTAAAATGGGACTTAAATTCAACGATAACTTTGGTGTGCCCAAAAATCCGATGAATTCAACCCACGTCCAAGCTGCCAATCGATTTCAAGAGATGCAACTGGGCATCTTTGCGAACCCAATCTTTCTAGGCCATCAATATCCAGATTCCGTGCTTCACACTCTACCGGGGGCCAGACGACTCAATGACTCAGAATTAACCTATCGGAATAACACAGCAGATTTCTTCGGCATTGATGCATATACGGCTACAGTGGTATCTCCTGCCGAAGAAGGTATCAATTCTTGTGCTTCCAACTTGTCAACCTCCAACTCTCTATTTCCATATTGTGTCAACCAAGAAACCACAAACATCTATGGATGGAACATCGGATATCGGTCGGAGTCTTATGTGTATATCACACCAACCTAGTATGTTGCACTACATCGGGCTCCGAAATCCCATGCTAACGAAATTATGTAGTCTCCGGGAATTTCTTTACGATATTTACAACACGTGGAAACACCCCATCATCCTATCCGAGTTCGGCTTTCCAGTTTATGGCGAGGCGACCAAAGAGCTACCGGATCAATTATTTGACTCACCTCGTAGCCAATACTATCTCGCCTTCATGTCTGAAGTTTTAAAATCGATATATGAAGACGGGGTCGAAGTTATCGGTGCTCTCGCCTGGAGTTTCGCTGACAATTGGGAGTTTGGAGACTATTCGCAGCAGTTTGGCATGCAGGTTGTAAACCGCACCACTCAGACACGATACTACAAGAAGAGCTTTTTCGATTTGGTGGACTTTGTCAAGACTCGACAACCTTCTGGGTAGGATTTTGATGTGCATTTGATTCAGGTCGGGACCAGGATGAACATATAGTGCTAGGTGGTACTTATATAAGTGTTGCATGTATGTACTAGGCTGTAGCAAGCATTTGAGCTTCACTTTTAAAAATTTTCAACTTTGCTCTTGAGTTTGACTCTTGAGGCTTTTTTGAAAACAAATCACGTGACGTGCATTTCCCCGGAGTTAAAGCGGCGCGCCTGTACCTAGGATGTAGCTCACCACATCCCCACTCTGACAATCTTCGATCTTCAATCTTCAATCCTCAATCCTCAATCCTCAATCCTTACTAATACTCTCATTGTCGCATCCCATCGCTGGGTCCGAGTCCATCGGGGTGGCACTCCCTTCATCATGTCTGACTCCTTCACCCTTCCTCTTCGTGCCGTTCCAGAAAAGCAGGACCGTCCCGATACCCTGCCAGTCGAGATCTCTCAGATCAACAACCAATGGGGTTCATTCCGAGATGTCAATGAAGAGATCCTCCGAACCCAGATCGCCGAAGAAAAGGAGTGTGGTGACACACAAGAATCAGAAGATGGCGACCAAGAGAAGGGGGATGTTGACACCACAGAGCGTCTGGAGCAACTGTACAAGAAGCGTGCCGATATCACTCAGTTTGCAGTGTTGGTGGAAGCCTCTCATAGATTCCAGGCTGAATAGAAGCTAATTAATCACAAATCAGACAGTCCCACATGGAAGCCATGTTTGCCCTCGATTTCATCTCTCTCCTCTTGTCCAAAAATGCCCCGCGCCAAGCCGAAACCTCCATGTCACCTTATTTGAAACAGATCGCGCCTCTCGGTTCTTTGAATGCGGAGGTAGTCAACCCGCCTCCGAAATCCGAAACAGCTACTAAGGACATCTCGTCTGTCTCCAGAGGTTGGAGAATTCAAAACTTCAATTCGGCGTCCGGCAAGCTACTGAAGGCCGCCTCCCGGTTGGAGACAGAAGTCGCGTCGGAGAGCCGGTACTGGAATGAGGTCTTAGCAGTCAAGGACAAGGGATGGAAAGTCTGCAGGTTGCCACGGGAGAGACAGGCACTGGGGGTGCAGTACGGGTTCCTGGAAGCCACCGCGGTCTTTCGCGACCGTGGCCTTGCTTCATTAAGGCGATCTGACGATGGAAGCTTGATCTTGGATAAGGGACTGATTCCTTCTGGGGCCCGCTTTGTGCGAGTGCGAGTGAAACAAGGATCTCATATCTCCAGCAGCACAGGGCCATTTGCATCCATTTCCAATGATGCTGAATCGATTGAACATCGCATCCTCCAAGCCCGTGACTCCGTCTTCGAGGAGGAACTGTTTCACGAATTGGTTCGAGAAGCCCGATCTATGGCAAGCTCCGGTGTGACAACTCGTCAGAATCTTATTCAAGTTCCCGCTTCAGAAGACCTCGAAATCATGTTGGACTTAGTGGATGCTGACGATGAGAGTCTCAATGCCGACGAGGCTCCTACGGCGACTGATAAACTTCTTGCCGACGGCCTAGCTCACTCCATGCGTATCTTGCTCGCCTTTTCTCATCGTCAAAACCTCCGCCGTCGTACGCAAGTGCCGCCACCATTGACGTCAAAGAAGCGGCCTACACCTGAATATCACCTTCTTCGACCTGCTCTGGCTTACTTCCAGCATCTGGCGCAACTTCGCCGGCTGGAATCATTCCTTCATGAAATATTCAGTGTCTTACGATCATCTGGCTTGGACTTTCCTGAATTGACTACCAAAACATTTACAAATGGACCCTCACCTCCACATATTGCTTCTACTGCTCCACTTGAAACGCTTATCCAAAAGTTCCTGGCGCCGATTGAGTCTGTGCTTCGAGGAAATCTCTCTACTCCCGATAGTTTCTTCACTGTCACAGTCCGAACGAATCTATCGGCTCCGCCTTTTGGCACGCATTACGATGTGGCCTTCAACTTCCCCAGTTTCTCCGATGTCAAGTCTCCAGGTCGCCTAGCCTTGAGGGATGAAGTTGAGGCTGCCATTAGCCACATATTACTATTAGATGTGGTCTCCAGCATTTCATCCCATGAGCGACCGTCGGAAAACAATAATTCCGACGCCTTGAAGACTTGGGATGCAATCTACCCCCAACTAGGTGAACTGTTACTATCTGGAAGAAATCCTGAGCGCCATAAGAAGATGAAGGTGATCTTGTCCCGCCATGAGCTTTCTCTCTCCACCTACCTTGTGCGCAGCATTGACGGAGTTGGGCGTGGTGTGCATGAACTCAGGTCTCACGCCACCGAGACGCATACCTGGAACTCATCCTCGTCATCCACCGCCAGCCCCAATAAACATCCCTCGATGCTAGATTTTGTCAATGCAGAATGCTTTCACTGAACCGGCTTATAAGCCCGCTCTGACCCTGTGGGCGGGCCTAACTTCCCATCTACGAGTCGTCCTGAACCACACTTGGCCCTTCGACTCACATGAAATGGGCTTGTGGTTTAGTCGTATAATATTCCCTTCAGCATGGGATTGTCCCCGAGTCTATGGTTTCCGCTTCCTACAGATTCTTTATTCAAAGAAGCTTCATGGCGGGGGTGCTTGCTATATCTCAGAAGCGGGAGTGGAGAGCGGGCGCCTTCATCGCGGGTGAGGCGCCTCGAAGAAAAGATTTTATGTTGGGTTTTTTTGCATTGAAAAGGCGTCAAGGAAGATACCCCTTGTAAGGAATAAACAAAATAGATCACGTTGACGTTGACATCAAACAATGCGTTTCAAACTGGGCTTCGTTTTATTATGCTAGGAATTACCTATTGGTACGTAAGTGACCAAGAATGATCCACGGCATTTGAGTCTAGGATTCTGATTATGTACATGAAACCTATCATAACTTAGATGTCAATGCCTTTATTGACTCAGGCGCTGTGAGAATGTCTCGCAGTCGCTTCTCGCTGAGTCCGTAGGCATTCGGAAGCCAATCAGATTCACCAACGCTTTTTCCAAGCATCTTAGACACTAGTGCCTCGCCGCTCATCAGGCAATTGGCCATGCCATATCCATTGAAAGCCGCAGCAATCCATTCTCCCTCGCCATTCCGCTCTGTTAGTGACGATGGAAGTCGTCCAACCAAGGGGAGTCCATCGGATGAGAATCCCATAATCCCACTCCATGAGCTAACAACCTTCCAGGGTGGCGTGGGACTTTTGCCAAAGAACTGTGGGAGAACTGACTGCAAATGGGCCACAGATTTCTTTCCCACAAAGCTATCATCGGCCGAGACAACGTCCTCTATCCGGGCATTCTCACCTCCGAAATAGAAATAGCCGGTCTTCACACTTTGTCCCAAATAATACAGTCCATGTCCCGATTCTTTCGTGGCGGGATCATAAGTAATTGGGTAGTGGAATCCCCACGAAAAGGACTTTCCTTGGTTTGGCAGAGCATTCCCAGGGTCTTGAACCGTCATGGTGCCTTTAAAGGGGTGAACGCGTCCCCGCAGTTTGGGGATGAGGTGTCCCGTGTAGCCATTGGTACAATAGACTACATTTCCGACTCGTAGTGGGCCACGAGGGGTGCGGACAATGTACGGAAACACAGACGTAATTGGCGTGACATGGTGAGCTTCGTGCTCGACTGCTTGAACGGGCGTGTTTGTCTCAATGGTCAGTCGGTCCGGGTACTTCTTCATCAGAGCTGCGAACACCTTCGTCACTAGACGATAGGGCCATACGGTCCCGGCTGGGAGCAATGCTCCGCCTGCTGCTCCATGGATTCCGTATTTCTGGAAGAAGGTTAGATAGTTCATATGTTTTGTTTGGGGGATGTAGGGGGGACAGACCGTAATGAGGGTATGCTCGTCAAGGATCGTGTATAAACCTTTCCAAGAAGGGTGGTCTGCTTCCAAGCGCGCGATGCTCAGTTTGAAATCTCGGAAATTATCCTCGGTCAAGAAGGCCCGCAACTTTTGAAGCTGCTGCATTTCGCTCGTCTCCACAGCATCATATTCTTTGATCAAGTCTTGCATCCTCTGTAAATTCCGAAACGTAAATGATACAATCTTCTCGGCCATCTCTGGGCCGTGGGTTTCAGCAAGATGCATATATTCCTCGCCAACGTTGGCGGCCATCTGGCCTCCATTTCGCCCCGTCGCACCGGAGCAGAGAGTTCGAGCTTCCAATACGGTCACCGTTGCTGCTGGATGTTGCTCTAGCAAGGTTTTGGCAACGGCGAGTCCAGTAATTCCTGAACCAATGATCGCAAAGTCTCGTTCGGTCGGGAGTTCGGGGGACTGGGCGTTTGCCAGTTCATGGGGTATTTTTTGCCAGTATGACTGGGTTGGATTCGGTCGAGGCAGGCCTGGATCAGCCATCACCAGTTTGGCAACTATGGCATTGTCAATAGACTGCATGCGGGACGAACGGCACCCTGGTGACTAGTTGATTCAGCCACGAGGATTTGTATACCCATACCAAGATCTTTGTTGGGCTCCATAGCTGGAATTAGAAATGAGCAAAGCAATGCAAAGCAATGGGGCAATGCGATGAGATGTTTAGATATAAAATGGGTTGTCGTGCGGGGTTTTGTCACATAATCTCATATTATTCTTATCGTGAATCGTGATAGCGCGTTCCCACTCGGCCCTCGGAACCAATAACATCACAGCATGTCGGAGATTTGTATACCTTATCCAATGCGGGGGAAAGCTGCAAGGATAGGATCGAGACTTCTTGAGCCACTGTAGTTCCGAGGTCTGTGGTAAAATTCGATCAGTAGTCACATGTGCATGGGTGTTGTGTAGAGCCGTAACTCTCTGCAGGATCTTTCCCGTCGGTGTAATGGACGCGACAGGGACTAGCACGGTAAGTGTTGTGGGGCAGGAAGAGAAGAGTAGTTGTTTGTGGATGTCGATCACATGGTGATCTGGCCAGGGGTTACTGCTGACCTAACATAACATCAGGCGTAAAAGCTCCGACTATTCTGGTTACGCTAGTATGAGTTGGATGTTTTTCCGAATATACTGTATAGAACGTTTTTTTTTTTTTTTTTTTTTGGTTTCAATCATCATCTACAACCTCTTCGATTAGATTTGAGGTTTTAAAAAGTTCGGTATGGTATGCACCATGGCGTAGCTACATACCAACTTGCATTCCACCTGGAACGTGCAAGGCAAGCTTTGGCGACTACAGGAATGCCAAACTTGTTTTTCCTTACTTTGAGTCTAGATATAAAGCCTTTCTTCTCCCTCCGAAGTCAGGCTTGCAACCACTCTGTATACCTCTTTTAATTCAAGATGCAATTCTCTTCTGTGATTCTCGCTGTCTTCGCTTTGGTTTCTACTGGCCTGGCTGATAAGTCATGCGTCCCAAGCTTTGATTACTGCTCGGATGTTCTCATCAAGGACAAGGGTAAGTTAAATACCTCCGAGTCGTTTATTTAATACGTCATCTGACTGGTTTTTGTAGGATTTACCGAGGCGGATCTGCAGGCCGTCATCAATGGAACTGATGTTGCTGATCAGCCTTTGGAGAATGTTCTATTCCATTGCAAGAACCCCGGCATTGTCGGTCACCCCAAGTCTTGTCCCAATGGATGCAAAGATCCCAAGCAGGAGGGCAGCCATGGATGCGACGCGTGAGTTTGAATCGACTCTGGACTTTCCGATGATTTCGGTGGCTGAACTTCAAGGCAGATAAATGATGCTTCAAGTACAAATTCCTTTACGGAATATTAGTCGATGAGTTTCATCTAGATCCAATGTTGTACCCTATCGCTAAGAATCTTAATACTTCTTCATCCTTTTTTTTTGGAAACAAATGGCATGAGCTTAGACTGTACGATTCTTTAAATTTGTTCACCAAGCTACTTCTCCACCTGGGTATTGGTTTGAACCCGGTGCATTCTCCCATCCTGGGACATGAATGTTAACTAGTTTTCCATGCTGGGAGGGCCCAGCATTTTGCACAATGTTCAAGACTTGCTCGGCTCCAACTTCGACGGGAAGATCCGCCCGAGATGAACCCATATCGGTGCGCAGCCACTGTCAGCGTTAGCAAAGCGTGAAGATTTATCGCTCTGGGGATTGATGTCTCTCGGCTTACTCCAGGGCTGACAGCCAGGATGGTAAAGCCCTCTGATTCATATTGTTGGGCGTATTGCACAGTCAACATATTCAGCGCTGCTTTGGTCACCTTATAAGCAGGAGTCGGCGAGACTCGAAATGCTTCGGCTTTGGCAAAAGTTCCAACAGTAGTCGATCTATTCGGGTCAAGTAAGTTTTTCTTCATTTGATTAGCGCTTAATGGGGACTTCGACTCTCACATGTTGACAACTGTCTTCTTGTCGCCTTTTCGTAGAAGGGGCAAGAATGCCTGTGTCACCGTATGAACTGAAGTCACGTTCATATGGAAAATCTCGTTCAGGTTTTCCCTGTGGGTTATAGGTCAGTGGTTGTTCATTGGCTTGGAAGACAACTTCTCACATTCCCTCCACCCCGGTTGGCGAGTAATCCATCATGCCGGCATTGTTGATAAGGTAGTCAAGTCCCCTACCTTGTAGCTTAGTTTCAACTTCACTAGCAGCTTCCAAGACACTTTCCTGGTCCGTGACGTCTAATTTGACCCAATCGATGCGGCCAGGCAAGGCTTTTACAATCTCCTTCAACTTGGGTGAGTTGTCGGAGCGCGCAGTGGCAATAATTTTTCCCACTTCAGCTACAGGCAAGGCAGCTAATCTGGAGACCAATGCCAGACCAAGACCACGAGATGCACCGGTGATTAAATATGAAGCCATATCACACTCGTGATGCCACGCTAGTCTTGTGTTAGACGAACTATTTGGCGGCAGATGTCGGAGAAAAGCGAAAATGGTTGAGAATTGAGACAAATTGCAAGTAGTAGTAATTTGGTAAATCAAGAAGTAGATGTTGGGAATAAATCTCGAGGTTGGAGGTCGGTGTTATCCATTAAATGTGGTTATGCATGTGATGTTGCTTTCCAAGGTTCAAATGTTGGGGATTAATAATTATCACTCTGCTTCTCCGCGCGTGCGCTCAACCCCGCCAAGTGAGATTCACACATGCAACCAGGACCAATGAATATTATTGGACAGGCGAGCCTAGAGTTATATGCAACATTGTATTCAAGCTATATACATTGAATTATGGGCCCCATCAATATTACATGCAAGACAAGAGTAGCCTTCGACATAGATAAATCCGATGCCTTTCTCCTTATCAGTACTACCAACATATCATAATACTCACACCATTTCACGTCTTTCAGATGCGGGAGAGACGGGTGATCTCATTGGCCATTCCTGCAGGGGTAAAGTCGGATTATCGTTGGCATGACCATTGTTATTGCTATTGTCGATTTCCATGACTACCTCGGGCGTTTCAATGTTGCGATCGCTGCATGCATATGCCCAACTATCGATACCAAGGGAGCTTGGGAACCCGACACCACGAATGAAGGCTCTCCGATGAGCTCTCGGTCCCCAGGCCCAGCCTGCGCCTCGCCGGATGGGGAGATGGTACATATTGAACCCGATCCAGGCAAAAGCCATTCCCATAATAGATCCGAAAATGATATCGAATCCATGATGTCGATAGTTGAACCACCGAGACGAGGCAATGTAAAATGCAGTGGCGGTAGGGACGAAGGCGACAACCATCAGTGGAACCGGGGGCGCTGCGCCACGCGTGCGGACTGAGGACTGGTCATCGGTGTGGGTTTTCCCTTCCACGGGGTAGGACGGAAGATAGGGGAAACCAATAGAGAATTTGGCGCACAGCCAAAGTGTCAGATACCCCAGCCCGGAGAAAGAGACTGGCAGATCGCGGTATTAGTCACCTGAATATACTCGTCGGTATGAGGGCTTGAAGCTGCAACATACAGGATGAATGGCCACTAGGAAAACTCGAAAATCCATCCACGGTTACCAGAGACGACTGGTCTTGGCAGATTTTGTATGAAACAAGGGTAGCGGCACCTGTCAATTTCTCACCAAGGCCCCCGACGGTGTAGGTCGTAATATCATCAAGGTTTGGGTTGCAACGTGCAAGCAGATCCGGACGTGGTTTGCCAATCAAGACCTTGAGTCCCTGGGTGGACATCCACACACCAGCCAAAGCTATGCCTAGTCCCATCCATCCGGCATTCCACTCCCATAGTTTACGGCGAAGGGTTTGGTATTTGGAGGGCTTGATTCCCGCTGGAGCTGCAGTGCCGGGGATAATTGCTAATGCGGTAATTAGGATGACAGCAGCAGGCGCAAGAACTGAGACGAGGATAAGGGTTGTGTCTGTGACTGTCTCGTGCTCTGTGTACGGATATGAAATGCTTGGGTCGGTCAAGGAGAAGGGATGCTGATTCGGCGTTTGTTTGTAAAATGCATATCCAAATAATGCAACGGCTCTGGAGGTTCAACGTTTCTTGGTCAGATTTCAAATCACTCTCATGCAAAACAAAAAAAAACTATTCAGGCATATTCGGCGCACATAATGAATACCCAATCAATGATGTAAGAGAGCACCACGAGCTTCGAGACACGCGCGACCAGATCCGAGACACCCATGGCGGGAGGTGTTCAAACCCGTGGACCTGGGCAACTTGCAAGCTTGAATCGGATTTCTAACAATTGTGTAGACCACTGCCTAGGTGCATGTAGAGGAGTTTGGAGAAGGAGGTCAACGATTCCACGCCGCGTCAATGATAACTGGCGGGTTCCTGCGCCTCGGGATGCGCGGCGCTAGGCAACGATCCCTAGGTGAACGAACTGGTGGGTCTGGGCTCGACGCGCAACATTTGTTTGTGGCCTGTCGACGCCACACGATATAAGATCAGAGTTGTTAGAAACCAAGGGGGAAATAAGAACAAAGGCTGATTTGGACAGGGGTGGTAAATGACTTTTAAAGGGGGGGAAGGAACCTTCAATGGAAAATTAGGCGGCAAAATAATAAAAAAAAGGGCCAATGTTTGTCTGGGTGAGATCTACGCTTTAGAAAGTCTAATTTTTGGGCGTCAACGTGCATTTGAACCCTTGGAAGGAGCAAATGGCCCCAGATGCATACATATTCAATTTTTGCACAGATCAACGACACATGCAAGTGGCTTTTATCCATTCAAATGTTTGAATATTCAATGTTCAAATGTATGTATGTTTGACTGTTGGTGTTGCCCTCTAGTGCTATAAATATATTTGTAGCCTCTGGAAATCTCTATCAATATTCAAATGTGGGATCAAGCTTGAGTTTGAGGATCCATATTTAAATATTTCATTTTCCACCTTGCAAGCCCTGGAGGTTCAAATGGATGGGTTTTTGTATATATATGTAAGAAAGAAAAGCCCAAATCCGAACTTTGGAAGCAATCAATGGAATACTTTAAGCTATATATGCGCTGGGAGTGACTAGCGTTTGAGTCTTGACTTATAGCGCACAGATTCCGTCACTCTGACATCAAATGGGCTTGTGGTTTAGTGGTATAATACTCCCTTAGCATGGGAGTGGTCCGGGGTTCGATTCCCCGCGAGTCCATCTTTTTGCATTTTTATTTTACTCTCCTTTTCTCTCACTAATTTACCCCCTGATCATTCTTTTCAATGTTCAAGTCTGCTATACTTGAAAGCTTTTCTTCATGATGAGTCTCAACAGTTGTAAGACCTGAATACCACTACGTAATAAACGTTATAATTTAGATGCCATCACCTGCTGAAATCTGCCCTAAGGTGAAGCCCTGACACCCAAAAAGAGGCAATGCACGTGACCAGCCACTAAACACCGTGCCCCGCACTAACCCCAAAACGGAGTACGGGCGGTGATCCACTTGCTCAGTTACCAAGTGTTTTTCTGCCGCGATGACTGCATGATTTGCGTGGGACTGCAGCTACAGCGTAATGCATGTTACTCGTGTTGAGAATTACTAGTATCAACTTGGGAAAACTGTTGAATATGTGATTTGAAAGCCAAATGAGAATTCAATCCTCCTGCTTATCTCAATCCATCATTTCTCCTCAATTTTCCTTTCTTTTCCCTTTTCCCGTTTCCCTTTTCGAATTTCATTACCAAAATCTGTTTCTACGCTAGTCCGGTTTAACAATTTCATTGATATCATCCGTGTCAGTGACGTTATTCCCCCCACTTCTGCTTTGTCTCACCGGATTTGGGCGCAACCCCTCCAACTCCATTAATTACTTTGTGCCGGCGCGTCTCAGTCAATAATTTTTTCCTCCAAGTTTAATTTCACTTCACTCTACCCCCTCAATTAATATTCCATTGGTTTTGTGTTCGACCTCCCTAGGTCGACCCTTTCCCACTTCGCCATGGAACCCGTGAAGATCCCCGTCCAACCGCCCAAGAAGCGCCGCATCGGTGTACTCACCTCCGGAGGTGATGCCCCCGGTATGAACGGTGCCGTACGGGCCGTGGTCCGTATGGCCATTCATTGTGATTGTGAGGCCTACGCCGTCTTCGAAGGATATGAGGGTCTAGTCAACGGCGGCAACATGATCCGTCAGTTGCACTGGGAGGATGTCCGTGGTTGGTTGTCCCGTGGTGGTACCTTGATCGGTTCCGCACGATGCATGGCCTTCCGAGAGCGTGCTGGTCGCCTGCGGGCGGCGAAGAACATGATCTTGCGTGGCATTGATGCGCTGGTCGTCTGTGGTGGTGATGGTAGCTTGACTGGTGCCGATGTTTTCCGTGCCGAATGGCCCGGCTTGCTGGCAGACCTTGTCGCTGCCGGCGAATTGACTGAGGAGCAGGTTGAGCCTTATACGGTTCTTAATATTGTCGGTCTCGTCGGCTCCATCGATAACGACATGTCTGGAACTGACGCCACAATTGGCTGCTACTCTTCCCTGACACGCATCTGTGACGCTGTCGATGATGTCTTTGATACGGCCTTCTCTCACCAAAGAGGATTTGTTATTGAGGTGATGGGTCGTCATTGTGGATGGCTGGCCTTGATGTCGGCCATCAGCACTGGTGCTGATTGGCTGTTTATTCCCGAGAACCCCCCCAAGGACGGTTGGGAGGATGAAATGTGCTCCGTCATTACCAAGGTGTGTTTCTGTCAATTTTTTTTTCTTTTTTTCATAAGATCCCTGTTCCAAACCTGCTGACCTATATAAATACAGAACCGCAAGGAGCGAGGCAAGCGCCGTACTATCGTGATTGTCGCCGAGGGTGCGCAGGATCGTCAACTCAACAAGATTTCGAGCTCAAAGATCAAGGATATCTTGACCGAAAGACTCGGCTTAGATACTCGAACCACAGTGTTGGGCCACACTCAGCGTGGTGGTGCAGCATGCGCATATGACCGCTGGCTCTCCACTCTGCAAGGTGTTGAGGCCGTCAGGGCTGTGCTGGAGATGTCTCCCAAGTCCCCCGTTCCCGTCATCACTATCCGCGAGAACAAGATTATGCGCACTCCCCTGATGGATGCCGTCCAGGCTACCAAGGATGTGACAGCTAAGATTCATGCCAAGGACTTTGATGCCGCCATGAACGAGCGCGACGCCGAGTTCAAAGAATATTACCATGCATACTTGAACACGTCAACCCCAGATCACCCCAAGATGTCTCTTCCTGAAAACAAGGTACGATTCATATCATGCAACTTGTTTTTAGAAAATCATATATTAACCTGAATTGTAGAGAATGCGCATTGCGATTATCCATGTCGGAGCTCCCGCCGGTGGTATGAACCAAGCTACCAGAGGAGCCGTGGCCTACTGCCTGACCCGAGGTCACACCCCGCTTGCTATTCACAACGGCTTCCCCGGTCTTGTTCGTCACCATGCAGACAAGCCCATCAGCTCCGTTCGGGAGGTCAAGTGGCTTGAGTCAGACAGCTGGGTCAACGAAGGAGGTTCGGATATCGGAACCAACCGCAGCCTCCCCTCGGAAGACATGGAAGGCACCGCCAAGTGCTTCGAGCTCTACAAGTTTGATGCCGTTTTTGTCGTTGGTGGATTTGAGGCCTTCACTGCGGTCAGCCAACTGCGCCAAGCCCGCGAGAAGTATGATGCATTCAAGATCCCCCTCATCGTGTTGCCAGCCACCATCTCGAATAACGTCCCGGGTACCGAGTACTCGCTTGGTAGTGACACATGTCTGAACACACTCATCGACTTCTGTGACGCCATTCGCCAGTCCGCATCGTCTTCCCGCCGCCGAGTCTTCGTCATTGAGACCCAGGGAGGCAAATCAGGTTACATTGCAACCACTGCTGGTCTGGCAGTCGGTGCCGTAGCCGTTTACATTCCCGAGGAGGGCATTGATATTAAGATGCTCTCACGCGATATTGACTTCCTGCGGGACAATTTCATTCGCGACAAGGGCGCCAACCGTGCTGGAAAGATCATTCTGCGGAATGAATGCGCATCGAGTACTTACACTACCCAATTCGTTGCTGACATGTTCAAGGAGGAGGCCAAGGGCCGATTTGAGTCGCGCGCTGCTGTACCTGGTCACTTCCAGCAAGGTGGCAAGCCATCCCCCATGGATCGTGTTCGTGCCCTGCGTATGTCCATCAAGTGTATGCAACATATTGAGACTTATGCCGGCAAGAGTCGCGATGAGATTGCTGCGGATCCTTTGTCGGCCGCCGTTATCGGTGTCAAGGGCTCCCAGGTCTTGTTTTCGCCGATGGGTGGTGCTGATGGATTGGAGGAGACCGAGACCGACTGGGCCCGTCGTCGCCCCAAGACTGAATTCTGGCTGGAGCTGCAAGATGTCGTCAACGTTTTGTCCGGCCGATCTGCTTCCCGTACTCAGGAGACCTGGTCTTGTTACGAGAGTACGTAATTGCCGACAATTCTTCTTTCTCCCATGACCAGTCACCCCTTCCAATATTAACATAGCATCGGCTTGCTACTGCCTGAGCAATGCGTGGATCGTTTTCATCCTTTCTACCCTCTGATTTTTCTGCCTCCCTTGCAGTTCTAGACGTTAACACCTCATCCTCCTTCAGATCCCTCGACGGTCCATTCCATTCCTTCCGTGCCTAACTCACCATGAAGGAACTTTTCAACGTCTCCGAACATGATATTTTAAGTGCATAGGAATGGTCCTCATTGGTCACTTCCAACACATCGGGGTATTTTCTTATGACCGAGACAGTCCACCTAGGCATGATTTCCACATAGACGGGCAATCTGCTTCGGCGATAAGAGGTGGACGTCTCTCTTCACGCTTGCATGATACTACGCCAAAATCACCCCGGTTCGATAACCTGGGTCACTCGGGCTAGAGAGTGATACAATCCTGCCCTTTTTTACCTTTTACCTTTTCGTGTGTCTTTCTCGGAACACTGGCTTCAGTCGATAGCCTTGCAGACAAGACTTGTAACATAGCATTACATCAGCCAATAGAACGCTTAAGTCAGCTTTGACTTTAAGCTAGCCATTTATAGACCCGTTGTGCATGATAGTACTAGTAAAGATCATCTAAACCAATCCTCATTCCTACTATGAACCATTCATATGAAAGTCAAATTCGCTATTGAATGAAATAAAATAGTCACCTGCATCGTTTGATTAAATCCATTAAATCCCCATCAAGAGCGGTTCACGGCGGTCTCCAGTTCATCCAGAAGATCAACAGTTTCTGTGGGACTTGCAATCCAAGCGGTTGTTGATGCCAAGCGAGCCTAAAGGGAATTTTTATCGTGAGCTCCCTAGTCATGAAGAGACACATGATATGCACATACCTTGAAGTCATTCGCACCAGCCGATAAAAATTGATCACCAATGTGCAAGGTCTTTGAAGGGTCAATGCCACCAAAGTATTGTTGACAGACACGTACACCCCATGACTTGTCGCCGATATCAACGAAAACGTCATTGCCACCTAAACCAAGTCAGTCTGTGTTTTCGGCAGCCTCTTAAAAGGAGAAAATACCGTTGAAAGCACAGAAGGGGAGCCTCGAACCAACGGGCGACCTCTCCACTGTGTTTTGAACTACAAGAACAGTTTCTTCCAATTGCTCACGATTGATTCGAACTCCATTCATCGGGTACACGCCCACAGCGCGATCTTTGCGCAACACGCCTGCTGGAAGATTCAAGTTCGTAGCACAATCGCGAAGAGCAGACTCGGCGAGATCAAGAAGCTCTTTGATATCATTCTCCTGCCAGGCCCGCATATCCTCTAGCAACCACTGCTCTCGAGGGACGTAAGTTAGACGAGCATCAGAGTCCGGATCGAATCGGAAAAGGAAGTTGCTTTCGCCTCCCATCACAATGATGCCCTGCTTCTGGGTTGGGGACAAAGTGGTGGAGTTGTGCACGGCGTCCAAGAGGCCATACAATCGACCGTAATATTTGGGGGCTTCCTCGTACCCTGCGGCGGTCACAATACCGACTTTACGATCCTGTTGTAGGAGTCGTAGGATTCGTGGGATAACCGGGTTATCCGGAGTTAAACAGGCCCCGTCATCATAGAGAGTGACATCTCCGTCAAAAGTGACCAGTTCGACCTCGCTGGAGCCAACTAGGCCAAGTAGCTGGGCTGAATTCAAGATAAGTCGGATATCGTTGAACGAGGGTGCGACAAATCGTCGTCGACTGATGAGCCGCTGTTTATCCTGATACTTGAAAGCATCTTCGATGTGTAATTTGGTAAAGAACGTGCCGACCGAGGGTACCAGTAGCTTCAGCTTGGATTTGCCGGGAGCCTTCCGTTCGTGGTGTTGAACTGCGACCGATAAGCCAAAAAAAGAAAATTATGTTCGCTGCCTAAATGAGAACTGACTGTGATCGATGATCAGGTTTTCGACATCGCGCATAATCTCTGCATAGCGCTGATAGGTGTCGGCGGCGACCGTCTTCAGCCCCTCACTATGCTCCTGGTAATCGACGTTGGGCTGAGAGTGTAAGACAAAGGGAACTGCCAATAGGCCCTAAGAATTTTTTGTTAATACCATCTGCTCCGTAACTCTCCGAACTACACAATGACGTACTTTAATCCATTCTATCTGTAAGAAAATGTGAGTGAGGTGTGTCTCAAGGCATCACAGATCTGTCAAGGGGGGTCCACGTACCAGTTGATCCCGACGATGGGTCTACCGTTGCGGAGTCAGTAACCAAAACTAGCCTGTCTATTGGACAATTTCCATACCTTGAGTGCATCTAAACGGGGGTCAGCGGAGTCAGCGGGGTCCAAGAACGGGAAATGATCTTACATTCAACGCGGTAACGAGTCGTCATTGTTGTGATTGAACGGAGATGTGTTGATTTGCGCTTTTGTTTATCTCCGATTTCCCTCCCCGCGTGCACGGTCCCAGTCTGACTCATGAAGCCACATGAGTCAAATCAAGTCAAATCAAGTGATCGCGCATGATTGGCCGATTAGTTAATCAATTCCTGATTGTCCAGGCACCTCTCGTTTTAATTCCAATCAGCCTCACTGCCTCATATGTGGTGGCTGCGCTAAAGGAGTCAAAAGCCTTTCCAACCAGTGGGAGAACAAAAAAAAACCATGCGTCTTGGCTTTTCAAGCAATTACTGACCCGGGTCTAGATTATTCGCACCTTGTTTAGATGCGCAATCATGAACCAAGATGACTCCCCAGGCAGCACTGCCACGACGCCCACAACGCCCACAAACCGGAGTCATTCTTCACTCACGAGAACTTTATGCAGCCACGGTGAGATGTTACCGGGAATAGATGCCTGGAGTCCTGGATGCCGGAGAATTCTCCAGGCAAACTAATTCCCAGATTAAGTATATAAGGCTGTATGTACAGATGATCGGTTATACTTTCAATCCGGATTATCATTCAAACAAGCAACTTCAAAGAATAGCCAAGCTCTACACAGCTTTCAAATTCTACAAGTCAAGTAATGCTACTAGCAACATCATTGCCACCAACATACTTTTCAACCGCATCAATGATGTCAAACCAGGGCCAAGCCGATGTCCCACCTCCATACAATCCTTCTGAAGAATTCGAATATGCCTTCGATGAAAAATCCATGGAACAATTGCTTCTTCCCAATCATGCCGATGAACCGGGCTTTGCAATTTCTTCCACGTTAACTCGAGGCTTGCAAGTCCCGTCACGAAGCGCCACCTGCTCGTCCGGCTTTGATTACCCGGAGGAATTGTCACAAAACAGAATCTCAGAAGCACAATGGAGTCAATTTGCCCAAGTTATTCGCGACGAAGCAAAGCTCTCCAGACAACAATGGAGCACTGTGATAGGCAAAGGTCTGGGTACGCTCGCCATGGGCGGACTCATGGTCGGCTTCTTTGGTGCCATTCCGGCAGTCCTAGTTGCACGCCATATCCGACGAAGGAAGGAGAAGCGCAATCTTATCTCTGCAATGGCTGGTGAACAGGGCCAACGTCTGGCCCATCACATCTCATTCTGGAATGAAAATTTCTTCCAACCCCGAGGTCTCTTGATTCGTGTCGACTTACCGAATGAGCTTTTGGCGGATATGAAGAATATGGATCTGCACCTGGAGGGTTCCGCAACCCAGCCTGACTCAAAGGCCCGAGAGAAAGCTGCACCCAGGGCACGCATTGTCATTATTCCATTTGAAGCGTCTCCGTCGTCATCAAGGCGGGATTCAGAAGCAACGTTGAGGGCTGAATAAGATATAAAAACGGGCTGTTATTCTCGACAAGGATCAATAGTGATGGGATTTTGGGGACAAATCATTTACGTTAATGTTAAAAAGATTTTTATTATCACGACTAGTCAAAAGCATCTCCTGCATGTGTCATTCTCCCGAGGCCGTCTATCTATTCTCAACCTATCATATAAACTTTCAAATGCTGGAATACCAAGGCTCCAAGGTCAGGACTTGAGAACCATCCCCAAAGACCCCGGTGCGGATTCCACAAATCCATTTTTGAAATATAATTTCCGTCCAGCCTCATCCGCCAACAACGAAATGTAAGGCTTTCCGTCGGAGGGTGCCTGCTGTTTAATCTCCCGAAGCAACTTCTTCAAAATCACATCCCCGAGGCCTTTCTTCTGGTGTTCTGGATGGACGGCCATATCTGCGATATGAAAATACCAACCGCCATCTCCAATCACCCGTCCCATCCCGACTACTTGTGATTCTTCATTGTTACCATTGGTGGTGACGAAACACCCGAACCAGCTACCCGTGGAGACAGCAGCGGCCTGGGATGGAGTTTTGGGAGAGAGCCCGGCCGATGACCGGAGATGTAGATATTGTGGGACTGAAGGATAGCCAGAGTGGAGGGTGTACTCCCGAGGAAGAGAGGAAGTGTCATGGGGACTCATCTCTAATAGCGTTGCGTGAATTGATATAGTGGCTTGGGGAGAATCCGGATCGTCAAGACTCAGGAGTGCAGATGACAGAGTTTCCATCCATATCTTACGAGTTCGACTATTGCAACTTTACTAATATACCTGCGTCCCGCGTCATGTGATAGCGCTAGGCTAGAAAAATTTGACAAATTTTCATCGCTTTTCTCCTTTTTAATACTTGGATGTGGGTGATTTGAGAAAAAAAAAGTAAGGACTTTAAGGGCCCATTTGCCTTATATTATCAAGACGACCAGCGCTACTTTGATCAAGGCAAACAAATATTCACAAAAACCTTGGAGATAATTTTCTATTTTCCACATCCCCTTTGAATAAACTCCCATTTAAGCAGCACTTGCGACGCACTGGTAATAATAGGGATTCATCGAACTGCAGACAGCCTGAGTTGTGCATGCAGTAGCACCTGTCCAGTTAACACCTCCACACTGTCCATATAAAGATTGCGCCGAGCCCCCGGCAGCTGTGACGCTGGTACTCGTAGGGGCGGTAGTGATGGTACTAGCGGGGGTGGTTGCGAGCACTGTAGTCGAGCTGGTGGACTGCACTTCGACTGGAGTCGCTGTGTCAGATACATCTACCTCAGCACTCGTGCTGAATGAGGTTGTGGTAGGTACAACACTGGATGGGCTGGTGGAAGTAGAGATGGAGGAGCTTGTGACAGCTGCAGCGACCGAGGTTGTAGCCTGGGAACTATCGCCTGACCCCGTTGTTGCAGTGCCAGTTGAAGTGATGACAGAGGTAGCCTGCGTGACCGAAACAGCACCGCTGTAAAGGGTGGGCCCAGGAACATCATAGGTGGACAGAGATGAATAAATGTTGACCAAGATACCGGCATCAGTGGCGCTATATAGATCGGTTCCAAGAACACCTGTTGGACTTTCCGTCCCAGAGCCTGTAACGTGCAAGTTAAAACACTGAGGGTAGTTTTGGGCACCATCCGACTCCTCTGCACTGTGGAGTGCAATGATCTCATTTCTCAGTACATAGTAACCGGCTTCAATGGTTGGTGGAATCTCAACCAGCCAGCTGTTGTTATTAGCAATCAATTGATCGTCACCCCAGGTTCCCGGGACGTCCGTGTCGCTGATCAATCCCACTCCACTGATTTTGAAGAATTCGAGAGTCGTTTTGTCCACTGTCTCGCACGAGTCTCCGCAATTGGCGAGATAGGTGATAACTGGTCCATGGTGAGAGCTTGGCCAGGCGGTCCATTGAAGATTGACCTTGTCTCCAGCCGCAATAGTTGCATATCCCTTGGCATTAGTGGCATTTTCATGACAGATGATATCAGAAGAGCCATATGCATCTGATATGATTGTGTTAGTAATGCACCTGAGAGGGGTAAAAATGTTTACGTCGACTGTGGGCAACTACTTACCTGGAGATATGAAGCCATTTCCGGTGTTTGGTGTACCCCACGCAACCACATTCGGAGGATCAGACTCATATGGAAAAGTGTCAATATCCCATCCATCGTAAGATACACCATTGATGACAATGTTTGTGATATGGCCGTGACCGGCGACCAAACTGGCCAGAAAGAGTGGTGTGATGACCTGCATCATGTTTGGGAAGCCGGGATTTGAAAGGCGACAGAAAATGTAAGAAAAGGGAGTGGATGAAGAACTCGAGGAGGGTTCAACCTGTTGAACCTTTCCAAATCCAAGCGATCGACCGCGGTAAAAAGTTGAGTTTTTGGTCTGGTTTTGAACCTCACTCCAGTGGAAGGGGAATGACTCTAGCTGTATTTATATCTCGATTTTCTCTCAAGTTTGATGCCAATATTGGCGATGCTTCATATTGAGTAGGATATCAATACAACCCCTGTCGATTCCAGGATTGAAACTGCTAGATTATCCCCCCAAATTGGCGGATCATGAATCAGTCGGTGAATAGCAGAGTGAATTGCTATACGCTATTTTTTTTTCATGCGGGGGTCCTACTGTTCATCAAGTTAGCGCCCATGGAGAAAGACTTGTTAGATACGCTCCGTGTCGAAAAAAGGCCGAACAAAAGGACAGTGAAGATGGTGAAACCTCCCAAAGTAGGTAAATGGCCGAAGAAGATCTCAAGATCAAATAATTCCGAAACCCACGAAACCCACGAAACCCAGGCGTTGACCCCTTCAAGTTTCTTCAAGATGACTGTGATGGTTCGTGGTAGTAGGCGCCCTTGGCAGGAGAGACCAAGACAAAAGAACATGACACGCTAGTTGCGGATAAATTGATTCTTGACCCCAACATCAAATATTTTCAAATATTTGTTTTGCATTTTGCCCCACTTGACCCTATTTACTTTCTTTTTTTTTTTCAAATTGAAGGTGGATTGTGAGACAAGATGGATTTGAATGTTGAAAATGGATATTTTTACATTTCTGCTGTTGAAGTGGCAGTGGCATATCCGGATAATTAATTTCCAACAAACCAAGACCAGAACCAAGATCACAACTTAACTGGCTTAAGAACTTTCAACGTCCAGCTGATCTCTCCGATCAGATCCTAGACTGGGTGCCAATTCAGGAGAAACCATGTTAATCTCGGTGGATGTAGATGGAGCTCCGCTACCCAGGCGACTGATGCTTTTCCGCACGTTTCCCATCCATAATTCAAACAAAGGTTTCATGAGAAGTAATGAACCACAGATGATCGCCATGTCAAGCTCCAGGATTGTCCAGATCAAGGTCATGGAACTATCAGCTGTACGTTTATTAGCCAATGGAGGGTCTTTTTCCGTTGTTCGCTGTATTTCGACCAAACTAACCTGTCAAGTTTTCGGTCTGGAAATGTTTGAGAGCGACCAGACGAAAGATGCTAAAAATACAAACCCTAGAAATTCCAGGTTAGAAATATAATGTATCGAAGACAAATCAAAAATGGCAGTCTCACAGGCACCCGATCGAAAATAGTAAAGTAAATTCAATCTTCTGCCACATTGGAGTGTGCAACTTCCATACAATTGGCAGTGGAAGGCAGAGAATGAGCACATCTCCCACAACTGATAGGGATCCAATGATGATAAAGAGGGTGTTCTGCCCTTTCATACAGTGACCAGGAATATGCTTGATCCAATAGTATTGGACTGGCCAGCATTGAAATGTATTGCCAATGATGGCAGTGGTTCCCCACATGACCACGAGTACGATGATGGCCGTTGCAAGCCTTTTGAAATTCTCAAGGCAATTAAGAAGCCTTCGGAGAAATACCACAATAGACACCTTGACAAATACTTGGGCAGGAGGCCAGCATTTCTGCAAGACCCAATTGGACTATCACGAATCAGCAATCTTTCATGACGACCGACTATGATCTTAAGATTTTTTTTTATTTTACCAATGCAATCCGCCGTCGCTCTTCACGAGGTAATAGCCAGATGGATTCTCCAATTCCGATTCCATGTACGGCCGCTTTGGAAACCAAGTTAATCGAAAGGTTTATTGGTTCATCGGAGAAGGGAACTCACAGTATATGGTACATACCGCGACGCCGTATGTGCACAGCAACCCCATACCCATCAGAATGTCCTCTACTCGTAGCCTGCGGACGGTAATATAGCGAGCATAAAGACGGAGAAAAAAAACTACGGTCGCAACCGCTGTCCCAACAACTGGAACGATAATCAGAATATCGCGCCAATGATGATCTGGGGAGGCTCTCATCTCTTAATAATTGACCGGAGGAAGTCCCCTGTGAGATTCACCTAGAATACCCCTAAGTTGACCGGTAATCGAAATCTAGGCTCGATTTGATGGTGAATAAAGGAGTCTTGGCTGATCATCATCTCAATGTTGATGCTGTACGTTGAGAAAGCCATGAAATATGTCAATTGAAGAAATCGAGATCATCTTTTAGTTTTTTTGAACATAATCCAACAAAGACCAGGAGAAGAAGAAGAAGAAGAAGAAGAAGAAGAAGACAAGAAATGAATGAGAAGAAGACAAGAAATGAATGTATCCAGAGAAAAGGAAAAAAAGAAAAGAGAAAAAGAGAAAAAGAGAAAAAAAGGCCCACCAGTTGGAACACTTGAAGGGAAAAAAGCAAGACGTCATGTGCAAGGTGGAAAAGAACCCCGCGCCCACAGAAACATTTGAACGCAGCGAGGAACAAAGAGCCACGGTTGAACTCTTTCCAATCCTTCAACTCTTCAATGTTCCAAAAGCCGAAAAAAAAAAAAAAAACATCCAACCTCAATCTAAGCATGACACCAGAGCAAGAATATCCCCCTGAGCTGAGCGAAGAACGGCTTCTTTCTTTAGTAACTCAGATTAAGGTTGTTTTCTCCTATACAAAGTTGAGAACATCAAGCTTACAAGATTAGGACTGGCAAATGAATCATGGCTTCTTATTGAAGCTGGTTCAAACCGAGAATGAACATACTGCTCTTTCTCAGCCAGTAGGTGTCAGTGTACGTACTGCGGTCTGTTTTTCACTGCCATGAAATCGGCCTAATCAGTTACAAGTGCTTTCCAACAATGTTTCCTCGGGCGCAATTTCAGCAAGCACTAGATATCCAAAAAATCTATAACAAGCTTTATTGTGCAGTTGCAGAAGACGATGAGTTCATCTACAATACTATCAGAGATCTCCTTCCGATCGAGCCTCTTGCAGCTGCGCTTTGGGGAATCTACGAGGCTGCAAAGAAAGCCGGATCGGTCCAGGACACATCTGTAGGCATTTTTCGCTCAGACTATATGCTTCATATTGACTCAAACGACTTCAACTCAAATAATTTCAATGATCTCCCTGGCTCTATCTCCAATACAACTCTCAAACAGGTCGAGCTCAATTCCTTTTCCTGTGCTGGGGCTACTCACGCCAACAAGGTAGTGGATATGCATCGGTACTTGACTAGATGTGGAGCTTATAACGTCGGAGACATCACGTTTGATATAGGATCACTACCTGTCAATAATAATGTCGAGTCTCTTGTTTCATGTCTTGCTTTGGCGCATAATACTTATGGACCACCAAGATCTGATCGTGCATTGAAGACAGCGGTGCTGTTCATTGTGCAGCCAACCAATGTTAGTACTATAGCTCACATTTTCCATCAAAACCAAGGAAAATGCAACAGCACTGACAACAAAAAAAATAGTTTAACATCGCTGACGAGAGACCAATTGAATATGGGTTATGGAACAGGGACAGCCCTGTGCCAACCTACCGGTTAGAATTTGGCCCAGAAGTTCTTCAGTATACATCGTTGACCGAAACCCGCGAGTTGCTTTTTCAGCCGCCATGGCTAGAATCAACTCATCCGGTTGAAATATCGGTTGTGTATCTGCGTGCCGGCTATGAGACACGTGAGTACGACCAAACAGGCTGGGAGGCTCGTCTACAGTTGGAAAAGTCCACTGCCATCAAGTGTCCCTCTATTCTTGGTCATATCACAACTTTCAAGAAGATTCAACAAGCGTTGACAAAACCTGGGGTCCTCGAGCGCTTCCTAGAGGAATCAGAAGTTGAGGTCATTCGCAAAACCTTTGTACCCGTCCACCCTCTGGATGAATCCGAAGAAGGTCTTCACGCACGAGATCTTGCTGGTAGTCCGCAAACGGCGAAGAATTATGTTCTGAAGCCCTCCCTGGAAGGAGGGAGTCACAATATTTATGGAGAGGATATCCCGGGGTTTTTAGCATCCATACCCGAGTCTCAGTGGTCATCATATATCTTGATGGAAAAGATCAAACCCCCAGTCTCATCAAATCTTCTGATGAGTCCGGTCGGAATTGATGATGGAGAAGTTGTATCCGAGCTTGGAGTCTTGGGGACCTGCTTGTGGAAAAGGACGCACAGAGGCCGTTGTGTTATGCTTCACAACTCAGTTGGTGGATGGACATTCAAAACGAAACATGCCGAGGTCAATGAAATGAGCGTGGTGAAAGGATATGGATGCTTTGACACGCCATATTTGGTAGATAGTTGATCGCAAGGTAGATACATAGATTGTTGAATAAATGAACAAGCTTACTTCATTGCTTCTTTTCCTGTTTACCCCCATCTTGTGCCAAGACCTTAGTCTTGAATCAAAGAATGCGGGGATTTGGAAAAAAACCCTGGAGCCTGGACTTGTTTTTTTTTTTTTTTTGCCGAAATCCGGAATTTCAACGTTAAAGAGAGATATTTGTGACTAGTATTTCAGCGGCATCGGTAACATCAAAATTTCAGACTTGGAGGCAAAAATTATGAGAGCATGAGGGCGACCCGGTGGACCTCGGGGAAGTTCCGTTGGGTGATGGCGGGCGTGCCGTGCCAAGATCGGGGGATACGGTGGGGGATTGTACATCCATGACAGCCAATGCGATGATGATTGGCTCGTTATCAATAACAAGGATTAGACATGGAGAGAAGGTTACCTTTTTACCCTCTTGGCGTGGGGGAGAACCAAAGGCACAGACATATTTGAGGATAAGTTCGAATCATGGCTTCGAGTCTTCGACCGGCAACCTAAATAGGCTGCGGAAGGTGACCGTGATTGTGAACGTTGTCAAGTATTTGTGTATGTACTAGTACTGAGAATACTAATACAGCATATAGTATCATCTTCGCTCGAGATGTTTGATTTGTGTGATGCATGACAATGTATCGAATAAATCTTGCATGACCGGTGACGAGGGAACATCTGCAGTGCCAGAGTGTTTGCCGGGCAACAGAAACACACAAGGATAATAGAAACGAGTGCCATGTGGCTTTCTGGCTTTCTGGCTTTCCGGCTTTCTCTAGGTACTTGGCGATGCAGACAACCTTTTTTGGCGGCGAAGATATCGAATCAACGTGGCATGATTCAGGTTGATCGGGATCCAAGCTCTCTTGGCAATGTTCCCCAGTCTTGGCCAAATGCATTTTTATTCCCCAGAATGTCAACCTACGGTGCATTTGGTTGTGATAGATCGGGGTCTCCGGGGCTTGGCCTATGTAGAAGTATGTAGTAGCCGCAAGTGGAGAGAAAGCCGTGAGGATGATATCGTTTGCCTCTGTACCGTGTGCATATGGAACTTTGTCTTGATTTCCCCGAGAAATTTCCCCGCATCGATGTGATAGTTGGTAGTATTTTAAGCTATTAAAGTGTTCTGGTGTGGAATGTTTTTCTCACTGTTTTTTTCCCCACTGCTTTTCTCACTGCCCTTCAGGTGCGCAATGCTGGTGTAGCGTTATTCCAAGTTCGACGTGAACGACATACCTTCAAGTTCCCACCCCTCTTCTGCCACTTCACTTCACTTGCTTCTATCTATCTATCTCTTTTTTTTTTTTTCTTTCCCGACTTTTCCCACCTCTCTCTTTACGTACCTTGTCCTGAATTCCTCTGACCAGTTAACCATGGCGGGAGGAACCAAGAAACCAGTCAATATCTTCCGTTTGAGGAACCTGGGTGAACCAAGTGAGATCTTCAATTGGAAGCTTTGGTTCGCTGTCATCTCTTTCGGTTTGATGGGTGCCGCTCGTGGTGTCGATGAAGGCCTCATCTCTGGCGCGTTCAATTCCAAGGACTTCCAGAAATACATCGATTACAGTTCCTACAGCAAGGTTGAGCAGACCAATATTAAGGCCAATGTTTCCGCTATGGTTCAGATTGGTTCAGTCGGAGGAGCCCTCTTGTGAGTGAAAGTATGCTTGATGAAATGGAGGAGAGTGTTTTCTCTGACAGCTCTTTAATCGAACAGTGCCTTCCTAGTCTGCGATCGAATTGGACGTATCTGGGCTACTCGCCAGCTTTGCATTCTCTGGATCTTGGGGATTGCCATTTTCATGGGAAATGGAGGTAGCTTGGGGGCTGTCTATGCGGGTCGCTTCATTGCCGGACTTGGCGTCGGCCAGACCGTTGTTGTTGCACCCGTCTACCTTGCAGAAATTGTACGCCCCGGAACTTGAAGTCGTTTGTCGTTTGTGTACGTGATACCAGAGTTAACAAAGACCTCTAGTCGCCTGCCTGCATTCGAGGTCTCTGTACTTGCGTTTTTACTGGCTTTGTCTATCTCGGTATGTTATTTTTATTGGGGCAGTGGTACATCGGGTTATTTTGATTCTTTGAACTAACAAATTTCCCTTAGGAATCGTTCTTGCATACTTCGCAAACTATGGATGCCAAGTGAATATTGGAGACAGCACACACAAGAGATGGGTGAGGAATTGTGGTCATCGGAAAGAGGTCTATCCACTAACGGTATAAAGGAAATCCCCACGAGCCTACACATCATCTTCGCTGGGCTCATCTTCCTTCTTTCATTTCTACAATACGAGTCACCCCGATACCTTGTTAAGCGAGGACAGACAGAGAAAGCCATCAACAACTTGGCCTTGATTCGCAATCTGCCTCCAGACCACGATTATGTTATGCGAGAGTTTGCTGGCATCGAAGCCGCCCACGAGGCAGAAATGGAGGCCACTATGGGCTCGGGGCCTCTGGGAATCATCAAGGAAATCTTTCTGATCCCCTCAAATCTGTACCGCGTGTATCTTGCCTTCATGGCGCAGCTTCTCTCACAATGGTCTGGTGCAGGATCGATCACGGTTTATGCGACGGATCTCTTCAAACTCTTGGGTATCTCTGGGAGCAACGAGAACTTGCTTGTAACCGCCATCTTCGGCATAATTAAGCTTACCGCCGCAGTTATCTGTGCCTTGTTCTTGGTTGATGTGATCGGACGGAAAAGATCATTGCTCCTAGGAATCTCTCTACAAGCTATTTCCATGATTTACGTGGCTGGGTTCCTCACCGCTGTACCGGAGATGGGGATCGTGAGTAGCTTTGTCCTTCCTGAAAACCAAAAGGGCGCTAGCAAGGGGGCGATTGCCATGATCTACATATCTGGCGCTGGATGGGCTCTCGGCTGGAACTCGATGCAGTACGTTCTGACCGCTGAATTGTTTCCTTTACGGATTCGTGCTCTGGCTACATCCATGGCCATGACATTGCACTTTGCCAATCAATATGGCAGCTCGCGTGCAGTACCAAATATGCTTCTTTCCGTTGAGAACGGAGGAATCACGCCCAAAGGTACATTCTGGTTCTTCAGTGCCGTGACCGTCATCGGTGGTTTCTGGGTATGGTTCTCCGTACCAGAAACAGCTGGCCGTAGTCTCGAGAGTATGGATCGCTTGTTTGCATTGCCATGGTATCAGATTGGTCGACACGGCAATCGCGATGCTGAAGCGCGGGATGAAACCAAGATGGAGATGGTGGAAGCGACCGAACACATCGAGAGAACTGATGTTCCGAGCCGAGTCTAGTTCTTGTCTGGGATTTTCCTCCTCTGCTCTGCTTATTTTGTTATCCTCTATACATTTATTGAGCATGGCTGAATCGAAGACTTCAAATATCACCCGAAATCACGAGCGTGGACTGTTGAGAGTAATGGCTATATTTTATCCCGATTTTTTCCTGATGTGGCGAGTATCATACGTGGATTTATTCAATGTTGGGCGATTTTCCCCCACAACTCCTCCCCACCTATGCATCCCACAGGTGAATAGGGAATGCCTTCAAGGCTTCCCCACATGCCACATTCACTCAACTTATAAGAGACTTCCAACCAAGTCCCCAAAGTTTTGATTTTCGCTAACACCATTGAAAAAGAATTTGATATCATGGCACCTCCATTCCATGCCGAGCAAATTGGATCTTTGATGCGGCCCCCAGAGCTCCTGGCAGCTCGGTCCGCCGCCGGCCTAACAACCTCATACTCCCGACTGACTCAGGAAGTCCGAGAAGCGACTGAGATCGCGATTGCTGGGGCTGTCTCAAAGCAACTTGACCTTGGAATCCGACCGATCACGTCTGGGGAATACGAGAGAAATAAATTTTATTCTGGATTTTTTGAAACTCTCGAGGGAATGGAAATAACCCACGATATCCCGATCCCAGAAGGATATAGAACGAATTTTCCGACCCTTAAAACACTTAAATCTCTGGGAGTCACGACTCGAGATTCCGTTATTGCTGTTGATCGGATTCGTCACAATCAGAGTGCTTATATGTCTGAGTGGCAGGCGTTACGGCGCTTAGTTCCAGAGGACAAGTGGAAAGAATGCAAATTGACGATGCCTCCTATCACTCATAATCATATGCAGGTACGGCTCTACTTGGAAATTCTTAGATTATTTTTGTTCTTTCCCTTTCCAAAGGCTTTCCCTTTCAATTTTATCAGTTTATCATGGCCGGTACTTATCTATCTCTGACTGACTTGGTGTAGCTGGCGGTCGGTTCAGCATATCGTCAATCTGCTTATACATCCGATCGAGAATACTTCCAGGACCTGGCGGGTGCATACAAAGCGGAGTTCCAGGCGCTCTACGATGCTGGACTGCGGTCAATCCAGATCGACGATCCGTGTTTATTGTTTTTTGTGACTGATGAATTCCGCTCTGGTTGCGAGGCGGATGGAATTGACCCCGACAAGATGCTTGATGAATACATCGAGGCCCATAATCAGTGCCTAATCGGAAAGCCCGACGGTCTACACGTGGGATTGCATCTCTGTCGAGGTAATATGGCTGGTTCCAATCATATCATGAGTGGATCTTATGAGCGCATTGCCGAAAAAATGTTTACCGAGTTGGCATACGACACATACTACCTTGAGTAAGCTTTAGCTTGTTTTCACCACCTCTTTTTTTTTTTTTTTTTTTTTTTTGACTTCTTTCCGGGTTATGTTTGAGTTCTTCGCACTAGCAAAGACGCCATCATTAACCTATTCTAGGTATGACACCGAGCGCGCAGGTGACTTCGAACCGTTGCGCCATCTGCCCATTGGTAAGAACGTTGTTTTAGGAGTGGTTTCAACCAAGGTGCCAGATCTGGAAGACCTGGATGAGCTGGTGGCTTTGGTGTATTCTGCTGGCAAGGTGATCGCTCGAGGACAAGGACGAAGTGTTGAGGAGGTGATTCAAACGTCCATTGGCGTCAGTCCTCAGTGTGGATTTGCCAGTATGAGTTCAGGAGGAGGACGTGGAATGACCATGGATGGGATGTGGGAGAAGCTTCTCTTGGTCCGAAATTTAGCCGAGCGGATCTGGAATGTCTGAATTTGATTAGAAGTGATGAAGTGATCTTGCAAGGAACCAAAAATTCTTAGAATCTTCATGCAGATCTTGAATCTTGATCCACAATGATCCATGCGTATCCGTATCCGTACCCTGTTGACAATGCATCATGCATAGAATTGTAGTGGATGAAATAACAAGGCTGAACAAATTGACTGAAACATTGGATTAGAAATATTCAAATACTATGTTTTTATATTTTTAAATATTTTTGTTTATTCTTTCGAGAAGAAGCTTGTCTCTTCATGCATAATAGAAGTGTTTATGTTCCTGTTACTATCAAGTTGTACCTCGGCAATGATTCATAAGCGATGCTCTCCTATAGACTCTAGACTCTACACATCTTTTACTAGGAAATGGAAAAGGGAAAAGGGAAAAAGAAAAAAAAAACCCCTACAGAATTAAATTAATTTACCTTCGCTTATTCTTCCAATGTACAAATAAACATATACGGAGTAATTCTGTGTTGGAAAGAGTGGAGACTAAGCGTTAACATCAGAAGCCCACATGTTATGATCCTGAGCTTCCTGTTGGAAGAACTTCTCTCCCGTTGAAATCTTAGCGCTCTTAGTGTCCCGGGCTGAAAAACCTTGGAAAAGGTGCTCCGTACTCCGAATTGTACAAGTTCGCTCTAATCCACATTATTCAACATTAACTTGCTGTGGGTCACGGATAGATTTCCCCCTGACAGACGAAACAAGTCACGATCGGCGCAGAAAGAAAGAATCAAGTCACCCCCCCGGGTCTGGCACAAGCCGTGAGATCCGCGATCGATCATATAACAGTGAAGTTTCCGTTACATTGAGAGAGAGAAAAAAAATCCATTGTCTTCAGCAATATTCAATTTATCAGCTCCGTTACGCTCTTCTCTTCCAATTCCAGTATCTCTTGTTTCCGTCACTTCCCGTCATTATGCGGTTCGACACGGTCGCCCTGGTGGCATCCTTATCCCTTGCGGGACCCGCGCACGCGATCAACATCATTTCGTCTAATGACGATGGCTGGGCAGAGGTTAACATTCGTGCTCTCTTCGAGTCTCTTACCTCTGCTGGTCACGTAACCGTGGTCTCGGCGCCTGCCCAGGACGAGAGCGGAACAGGTCAGTTGTCTACCTTCTCTTTTCCTATTATATTTTCCTCGCGACTAATCAATTCCCTCTATCACAATCGCAGGCTCTGACCAGGGAACTCCAACCGTGCTAACGGAGGCTTGTGAATTCGACAGCTGTCCGTCAGGCAGCCCCGCCATTGGATATAACGCGTCACAGCCTCTCCTGAACTATGTGAATTCGTACCCCGCAACTTCCATCAAGTACGGCATTGAATCCATCGGGCCTGAGCATTTTGATGGTGCCGCCCCTGATCTAGCAGTCACTGGACCCAATGTGAGTAAAAGTCACCATGATACAGTGAACATCTATTAAGTTATACAGGTTGGTTACAACATCGGCATCGAGGCTTTCTTATCTGGAACCGTTGGCGCCGCCACCTACGCTGCTTACAATGCCGGCATTCCGGCGATTGCTTTCTCAGGTTCAACTGGCTCTCAAACCGCGTGGAATGCCTCCTCCACCTTCCCGACCTATAGCCAGATCTATGCGGATTTGGCAGTGAACGTCACTGACACTCTGGTCGCCTCGGGCACCCCCTACCTGCCTGACAACATCTGGCTCAATGTGAACTTCCCGTCCGTCACTGACTGTGCCAGCACGGATGACTTCAAATTTGTTTTGTCACGTATCCATGTTGCCGTTCCCCTGATCACTGCCGATGACGTGACCACCTGTGGTAGCTCTCGCTTGCCCACTGAGTACGCGGTGGCCCTGACATCTGGGTGTTATGCAAGCATCTCTGTCGGTTTGGCAAGTGATAAGTTGGATGCGAACGCCACTATGCAGGAGGTTGTGTTGAATAAGCTTAGCGGTATTCTGTCCTGCCTGGATTAAGAGGATCGCGCCCATGTGCATGAATCCTGGTCGCTCAGACGGCCATGCAAATAAATTAAAGGAAAAAAATAAAAAAAAAAACATGGATTCCGCACGGATAATGCCAACGACCGCGACACTAGTCCTTGAAAGAGAAACAGTGGCGTTCTCGTGTATATACAATGCAGGCTAGTGAATTATACCCTCAGGGCACATATCATTTTTAATTTCCTCGTGAAGAATGAATAAAGTACCTTCAAGACGAATCAACCCTGATCCGAAGCCCACGAGCATCGCATTTGCAGTCAAGCGCATAGTCGTGTGGAGCATAAATCGGCCACCATTCTGTTTTGGGACCCAAGGCCGTTTCTTAGCCTCCGAAAGCTGCAGATCCCACCCCCAATTATTCCGAAGTTCTTCTGAGCAATTCACAGCCGTGGAATCTTCGAACCGAGACATGAGAGATACCCGCGAATATAAATAAAGCCATTGGCCTGGGAAGAGTTAACTTATTCACTACTCAAACACACTATAGCCTTGGGAATCTTGAGCTATGGCATTCAGACTATCTGCCGGTCTGGCAACCCTTTCCTACTTGGGGGCTATCGCGGCTGCCAGTCCTTTGTCCCGTCGAGGAACGATTGCTTCCGACGAAATTGTCGGTTTCAACCAGACCGTTCCCTCAGGAATTACAGGCGAGGTCTATCTGGCTTATCAGCCTTACCTGTATGTGGTGAACGGCTGTGTCCCTTTCCCAGCCGTCGATGCGGAAGGAGATACAAAGTAAGTTTTCAGAGGCTCAGAAGTGTTAGTAGATATATAAATTCCATGGCCCGGATACTGACATTGCAATTTTCAGCGCTGGCCTTGCGACCACGGGGGCTTCCAATGGGGACTGCAGCAGCAGCACTGGACAGATCTACGTCCGGGGAAACAGCTCCGGGGATTATTATGCCCTGATGTATGCCTGGTACATGCCAAAGGATGAGCCATCAGATGGCCTTGGTCACCGACACGACTGGGAAGGAGCAATTGTGTGGCTCTCCGATTCTACTAGCACAACTGTGGACAACATTGTCGCCGTCTGCCCTTCCGCCCACGGTAATTGGGACTGCAGTACCGATGGGTACTCAGTTGATGGTACCGAGCCATTGATCAAATATGAAAGCATCTGGCCCATTGATCATAGCTGTGGTCTTACAACCACCGTGGGTGGTTTGCAGCCTTTAATTGCTTGGGAGTCTCTTCCGACCGTCGCGCAAGATGCTTTGGATACGACTGACTTTGGATCTGCCATTGTTCCTTTCATCGATGCTCACTTCTCCACCAATCTGGCCGATGCCACATTTTAAGGAAGAAAATGTGCATTATTGCGAACCCCAAGGTCTGCTTGCAAGCAGCATTGTATGAACCATGAAATCTTGGAATCCGTACATGTATTTCTAGAGTGCAGCTATGCCAAAATTTAACTTGGGTATATTCTCCAGAGCTAAAAAATTATGTCGAAATTCGATGTGTGCGGGTTTACACCAGTCGTCCACGGCTTGAATAGAATCGGAACATTGAGAAACATTCAATATTGATATCGTACATATACGTACTCAAGCTATCAATTGATAGGTGCACACCCACATTTGAATCCTTTTAAAATTGAACATTTGAAAAATGTAGATGCCTGGTATGTACAGATGGCCTTTGCATCATTGATTGACAAATTCAACTATCTACCAGATTGCCTGGGATGTCTACATGTATGTAATGTTGAAAGTAATATTGAATCTCGAACATTGAAGGAAGGGAACAATGTTGAATAAGATATATCAATTATGTAAATGAAGTTTGAGAATTTATTTGCCAACAGTCCAAACAGAAGAGCCATAATATGTAAATAAATAAAAAAAATAGTTATTCTATAGCTTCGGTATATGTGTGTATATCTATAAAGCACCAAATTTATGTAAGGGAATTGTGAGGAATGATTGCAAATGTGAGAAGGGGAAAAGAAAGGAAAGAAAGAAGAAGAAAAGAAGGAACCAGAAACCCGAGCAAGGATCAAGGAATGGGGAAAACTGAAAAGAATTGAAAAAACCAAATGAACCCCTCCTAGTCAAATATATTGATCAAGAGGGAACTTGAGGATTGGGAAATTGGTGATAGAGAACTTCAAAGAAAAGCGCAAAGGAATCCAAACATTAGAGACTTCAGCCGGGGAGATTGAATATATGTAGTAGATTCGATCAAGTGATGTTACACGGCCGACTTATTCAGACCGAGCACTCTTGGTTTTCTTGCTTCGAAGCTTCATCATTGTGAACACCAAAGCATAGGATGTGATGCAGAATAATGCCGTAATACCAGTCTAGAGCAATGTGTTAGATCAAAGGAGATTGAAATTGGAGACAAATTAGGACTCACATCTCTCCACGCGTAATACTTCTCATTGATGTTGAAAGTCTTTGCGTAGTCTGCACCAGTGGAATACTGACAGAAGGAGCATGTGCCGGTGGCATTTGAGTCCAGCAAGTAACCGGGCTCGGAAGAAAGGAAGTTGGCCATATATTCACCACAAGTCTGTGCAGATGGAGCACTGAACGTGATGTACTCCGAGGGTTTGCATTGGACTTTCACATCCCAGAGAATCTCACCTAGAAGCCCACCAACAAGATAATTAAAGGGATCAAGGTAGTATAGCCAATATCTCCAGAATGGCTGCATTGAGGCATATGGAACAACGACTCCACAAAAGCTGACCAAACCTGCTCCAAGAAGAAGCGGGTTCATCACTGCGGCGAAGTACTCATTTGGAGCATATGCTGCGATAGCCTGGCCAATTGATGTGTACAAGAACTCATAAACTGTTTGATATTAGCAGCATATCTGGCAAAGCGTACTTTGTGAGAGGAGACCTACAGATCATCTGAAGATAAAATTGGCCCGAGATGCTGGAGGTAATTGGGAATCCTGCTGTGAAATAGAAGCAAACAAAGTAAAGAGTGGCGCAGATAATAAGATACGGAATCTCTGTTACTGCTTGAGCGCCAATAAAAGCAATCCAGTGATACGTCTTGGACTAGAATGCAGAACAAACAGGTTAGTGGTGCTGAGGGACCAATATTTCGCAAAGGACAAGTACCTTCTTTTCGCGGGTTTCAAATATATCCCGATTTTGCAAGAAAAAGGGTTGCATTTGATTGATACAACCAGGTGCAACGAAAATGAAGTTGAAAATAGCAAACAATCTAAGCTGCATAGCGAAAGTGCCGTCGTCAACTTTCCAAAAAGTGAAACCACTAAACAGTGCCGCGAAGATGTGAAGAATCATCTTGTTCCACATATAATCCTAGGATACGTTAGCGTATAAAGAATAAATATCAAGATTTTGGCGATTGAACCCGTACCGGTGAGCGCCAAATCTGAATGGTAAGGCGCTTAGCCACCAATTTGAATTGGTACCAGTGAGATGTAGCAAAGTCCGCGGTATCCTCCACATAGTCGAGATCGGCTAAACCGGCCGCATTGAGAGATTCCAATTCTTCCAGGGCCGATTTTCGTTCAGGAGATTGACTCCAGACATCAACCCAGTCAACCTGTTCTTGGGTTGCGCCACCTTGAATAACCTCGATGATGTGCTCAGCCGGATTGGCATCTGGTGGACAGGGTGCGCCGTTCCGAGTGAAGTAGTCTAAGATCGTGCTTGAATCTTTTCCAGCTGGAGTTCAAATGTTAGGATCTGTTCTAGCGCAGGAAAGAATAGTCCAATTTGATAAACTTACTTTCACCAAAATAAGTCATTCTACCGCCCTTTGCAAGTAGTAAGAGACCATCGAATGCATCGAAAAGAACTGCGGATGGTTGATGGATTGTACACTGAGTAAGTTAGCATTGCCTGGACTTTAAAAATCCAATTTCTCATCGATCAAACATACTAAGACCGCCTGTCCTCCTTCCACAAGCCTCCGAAGGAAGCGCACAATGTTGAAAGCACTTTGACCGTCAAGACCAGAGGTAGGCTCATCCAAAAAGAGCAATGTTGGCTTAGCTACAAGCTCAACACCCAAAGTCACACGCTTTCGCTGTTCAATGCTTAAGCCGGCTCCAGGAACTGGGACACGTCAGTTGGAAAGCTTATCAATGTAACAAAAAATATGAGAACACATACTTCCAATAAGAGCATCGCTTATTTCCTCAAGCTCCAAAAGATTGATGATGTGATCCACGTATGCCATCTTTTCCTCATGAGAGGTTGTGGCAGGCTGGCGAAGAAGAGCTGAAAATACCAGAGCCTCTTTAACTGTTGCCGTCTTCTCATGCACATCCTGTTGTTCACAGTAACCGGTCGTGCGTTGGAAGCTAATACCCTGAGGCCGACCATCAATAAGAATCGATCCATGAATTTCACCAGAATCCTTTCGCTGAGCGAGAACATCCAGTAATCTATTGTAACAGCGATCATTAGAATTGCAAGAAATGATAAAATGGCCCGCGGTATGAAGGCCGAGATTAAAACTCACGTTGTCTTTCCAGCACCAGAGGCGCCCATCAAAGCAACCAAGTTTCCAGGCTTAACAAAACCAAATACTTTGTTCAAAAGCTGTTTGTTTTCACCGTGGAATGGCACATGATAGTCAAGATTGTTCCAGGTAAAGGTCGACTGTTTGAGCGAGCTAGATAATGCATTCGCATCCATTGGCTTTTTGACATCATTTTGTTCTCTTTTTTCACTTCCACGCTTATAGAGTAGCACGGAAGATCCACTCTGGCTATTGCGCAGTTCAAACCCAAGTGACGTCAAGGCAATGAAGAATATCCAGAAACCGACGATTACTCCGAAACTGCGCCAGATATGGCTATCTGAGTAGCTATATTGATCCCGAATATAAGCAGCCCCGTTGATGACCCCATTGCTACTTCCAGGAACAGAGCAGCCTCGGTATTGAGATGCCGAACTCGGGTAACTTTCGCCATAGGGGATATAGTCAGGTTCGATACACTGAAGTTCACGGCCAACAAATTCATTGGCCATCAGTGCTTCAAATGCATAGGCTCCTGGGTTAAGATAAAAGATCCAGCGAAACCAAACGTGCATTTTTTCGAATGGGACGAGATAGCCTGCCAAGAAGAAATACCAGGTTAGCGAAGGAAATCGACGAAAAGGTCAAACATGGGGGGAAGAATAGGGAAAAGTAGGAGAGGGAGATCCTGGTGGGGATTAGGAGAGTTCTTACCTCCATAGACAAAAAAGACCGTAGAAAGAAGTCCACTAATCATGGATGCCTTTCCAAACTTCTTGCAAAGAGCACCAACCGAGCGGAAAAGCTGAATGAAGCAGAGCGTGTTCACAATGACAATGATCCAATAAGTGAAAAACCTTCCAGCATCCATCTGCAATGCGGCCATGAAGTAAAGAATCAAAGAAAAGCAGGTGACCTGAACCATAACCACCGGGATGTCGGTGATTGCGTTGGCGATACAGAATGCAGTGGGTCGATAAAATCCAAATCGTTTTTGACGAGAAAGAATGGGACGACCCATGAACGAGCCCGTGGTTTCAGACATGGACTCCAACAAAAAGTAAAGAATTGGGAAGAAGAGGGCTCCCGGTCGCATGAAAATCGAGGAACTGTCATCGGCAAGGTTGTAGAAGAGAGATCCGCACACAAGAGCTTGGATGATGGCTGAACCGACTCTGACCACCAAAGAGAATTTGTCTCCCCACATGATCTGGAACTGACGAACGGCGCATGAGCCAATCTGGTCCCATAGACTTGAAGTGTAGACACTATTTTCGCGAGGAAGGTGTTGCTTTCGCTTCTCGCTCGATACGGCGACTTTGAGATCGTCTGTCTCGTAGGTGAGTTTCTCGGGGGGCTCAATAGCATCCAGCTGGGCCTGGTAGATAGGACTGTTGTGATATCGAGACTCAAATTCTTCCGGTGTATTTGGTACCTTCTCCTCCCAGCCGGGACGAACGATGCGCTCGGTCAACACAGTGACCGAGGTCAAGTAATCGGCGACATTGGCTCCCTTGGGGAAAACGAAACCCAGATCTTCAAAGTAGGCTCTGGCTAGCCCTCGTGGGCCGTAGTAGGTTACTCTACCTTCCGCAAGGACAAGAACTTTGTCGAATTGATCGAAAATCCCATTTCCTGCCTGGTAAGTTGTCGCGATGATTGTCTTGTCATTCTCGTCGGCCTCACGTCTTAGCATCCGAGAGAATTCCACAGCAGCCTTGGAGTCTAGGCCACGGGTTGGATTGTCCCACATTTGTACGGGGCTCTGGTAAATGAATGTTAGAACCCTTGCCTTAAGCAATATCGAAAGATGTTATCTTACCTGACCCGCCAAAAGTTCAGCCAGAGAAACACGCTTCCGCTCACCACCAGAGACTCCACGAATAAACTCATTACCGACAAGTGTCTTTTTTGTGTGCCCAATACCCAGTGAGTCGAGGATTTGATCGCGTTTTTCCAAGACAAAGTCTTTCCGATCACGGAGCTCGTCAGGTCGCTCATTGGGGATCTTGTTACGCAATGCGAATTTCATTGTTCGATTCACGGTAAGCGTCGGGAAATGCAAATCATCTGTCGATTGCAGAGTTAGCTATTTATCGACCTCAACGGCCCATCAAGCCTAAACATACCCTCGTTGTTGAACATAATCTGTTGACGAAACTGCTTTGCGGCTTTGTGGTCCATGCTTCCGTATAGAGTCTCGCCGCTAACTTCATCAAAGGTATCTCGGTCATTTGAAAGAACTCTCAGCAGTGAGGTACATCCAGATCCTGGGCGACCAAGAACAAGAAGCTTGATTCATCAGCTCAGGCGACTCTTGGAATTTAGAAGTTTCAACAAGACTTACCATTTCTCCAGGCTTGACTTGACCAGAAATATCCTTCAAAATTGTCTGTTACCTCTGTCAGTGAAAGTCTCCAGGCACTTGCGAAAGGTGGGAAATTGTACTCTTTTAGGACGCTGATCTCGTTTGAACAATCCTGCCAGCTGGCGAGGGTCAACATTCGAGAGCAAAGTGCTTCCAAGAGCAGCATCCGGTGCTGTCACGCGGACATTCAAGTCACGAAAAGTGATGGTGAGTCTCTTTCGAATTCCGTCGACGCCATTTTCCACGTCGACTGGTGTTGCAGTACCGGATGAGGGAGTCTCCATGGTGGGAATCGTGATTGGGCGACAGGCCCTGAGAAGCACTCCTTCAAAACGATGCACCAGCAAGGCACAACTGTGCGATATAGATAAAGTTTATATGCAAACACAAAGTTTCAACAAATATTGAAATATTGAAATTCGCCTGATTGCCTCTTATTATAGGAGTAGCTCAGAATTGATCTGTATCTTCATACATCCGCATTGCCGTTGAGTGGGTCCAAGATATTTCCGTGTCGATAATTCACTAGTTGATTCGACAAATGAGGGGCAGTCAGCACAATTCTATTGGCCAAAAGATGAAAATGGGGACTGACACGGAAATATGTCGACAGCTCTTCGGCTTTATGCTTGATACCCTTGGCAATCAATGGTCGCTATTTGTTGATGCCCCACCTGCGCCCAGTTTCACGATTCGTGATCAAATTCTTCAAGATTTTCGGATATAAGACATCTGGATGCATGTACATTGGTTTTGACTCATAGGACTTCAAAGAAGCTCTGGCCATGTTGCTGGGTAAATTTGAAGCATGGATCCACCCTGCCATGTACTAAGGTTCCCACACGCTGGAAGTTTGGAGGATGAGCCCTCCGCGCCCTTCCACACATGTGCATACGTAATAATAGTAGATCCGACCACATGTGCACTGGTAGACTTGAGAAGCTGAAGATGTTATTCAATGCTCAACGTAATCCATGTATACATAGATAATTTTGTCCCATCTTCTACCTGGGCACCCCATACTGACTTTCGAATTTCAATCAGACGCTGGGAAATAAACCGAAACACTCCAGTGCTGGATAATTTACCTACAGCTTGGTATAACACACACTTGAGGGGTGAAGGCGAGCGAACTTCACAGCATAAAAGACGGATCGCCCGATTGATAGACAGAAAAGAATGCCTCCATATCCATTGTCGAAAAATCAAAATCCCACCCCATATCAGATTGAGTAAAATCCAGAAGGTCTTCAGTCGACCCAACAGACCGAACAGTTTCGGGTCCCTCAAGCTGAGTTAAATTCCATTGCGTTGGTGGCAGATCAGGGCCTGGTTCTAGCAAAGACTGCGAAGAGAAGGCAAGTCCAGTCAGTGGAACCTGTTGATGATTCATGGTATCCTGTGTGAGTGGAGCGTAAGAATTATCCCCGTCACGGAAAACGTTCTTGTCACCAGCTTTAGGACATTGTAACCATTCGTACGATGGGTTGATCTTTCGTAGGGTTGTTTGGATGGCTGATATGGAGCTCGAAATTGGATCACCAGGTCTCATTGTAGACATAATCTGCAAGGAAGCATACACCCATGGTAGATGAGCGGCGGCGGCCGAGGTATCGTGAATTAAATCGTATATCAGTGTGAAGGCGGAGCTTCCGAGAAAGTATCCGTGATACCGCAATTGCTGCCAGTAATATCAAAATAATTAGCTACGTTATCAGGGAAAGCCTTGCGAGATTGATATACCTTGACAAAATCATTGACACGAGATGCTTCGCTCAAATGATGAATAGTTTTCCGCGCAGCCCCGAGAGCATGATTACATGCCTCATTCAACCAAGAAGGGATTTCCTTCGGGTGATTGGATGACACACTGGCCTGGCGAGCCGACACTTTCCTTTCCCGCAGCAAGTGGCCGCGAAAGATCAAGAAAGGGCGAAATGTCAGTAACATTGTGTGATAGTATACTAGAATAATTCAGTATCGATCTGCGGTTATGGGTAAAGTGGAACTTACGGGTCGTGAAAACTGTTTGCCGAATACCAGTAGATCCAGTTTGGATAGGGGTGTCAAGGCCAAACCCCAAGGTCTGGCGAACAAATTCCTCATGTCCCCGAAGGTCATTATTAATTGAACGTGCAACGCGCCACATGTGTAGTAAAGATTCATGGTTTTGCCCATATATTTCATCTGTAGACCGAGAAATTGTCTTGCAGAGGTGAACCAAACTTCGAATCAATGGATCTTGTGTATTCTCGATCGCAACATCCTTTAAGGACAATGAGCTCGGGCGACCCGTATGGAAGCAGAACCACCTGGAAGCTCAAGTCAGCATCTGTAAAAGGAAACAAACCTTCCACAGGCAGACCTACGTTTCAAAAAGGTAAAGAGACCAGAACGTGACTCGACGCATCTCAACGGTTTCCGGAGTCTGTATGTCACCGTAAGGAACATCTTTATGCAGACCGGCGGCGAGTGCTTTTCGAGCGGCTGACCCAAGATGAAGAAATGCAGAATTTGGCCGACCTTGCTCATTTTGGTAATTGGCGTATACGAGAATCTTATTAGTAAACCAGCGGAAGAACAGAAAAAGAGAAGACTTATCATGAACAACGCGATTTGAATAGTTTGGACATTGACCACATCGTCGTAGGATGTGAGCGATGCTTTCACCCGTTCGTATAAGATATCGCCCCACGCAAAATATTCCGTGCCTACAGATGCAGTTGCCATCCCGATTAGAATTAAGGCCTGGGTGAGGGTGTCGGGATGTTGGCCAGGAGATGGGTTATACAGCTGTTCTAGACCGTTCTCGAAATATGCATGAGGGTGATGAGGAGTCAAATGATAGAGTGTAGAAAGGAATCGAGTGAGAAACATCTTGGCCAAATCGTATGGCAGAAACATCATGGGAACGTCGCTAGCCCCAGATGATTTCCCTGCATCCTGTGTATCTGGGGTTCCAAAGAAGATGCGACGGAAGCTGAACAGATCTAAGCCAGCGCCCGCCTCATCAACTCCAGTTGACGGCCCCGGACGAGCCGTGGGGTTGGCGACAAGGTCCCGATAGATATGCTGCATGAGAGCAAAATGGGATGTGGGGCCGTAATAAAGTTGCATTTGACATGAAGGCGATGCCATATGAGTCGCGGAGACGCTGCTTGGAAAATTGTTCATGACCGACGAGCGCCGTTGATGGGAAGGCTGCATCGCTGAGTCGGGAGAACCGCGACCCACCTGGTCATCAGCACGAGCGCCTCGATACTCATTTTTCTTCCTGCGATGTCGAATGAAATCTCTATAAACACAGGGGCTCTCCCTCTGCTGGCATGTTTTGCAACTGAAGATTATTTTAGCAACGCGCTAATTTTTAAGGGCGTAACATTTGAATGAGGCTCACGGGTTTAGGCCATTGCATCGGATCTTGCGCTTACGGCACTCCTGGCAAGCCTTGGGAATACGCCAACCAGAGCCAGGGGGGTTGGATTCCTCCATCCGAGATATATCCAGCAAGCTCGGCACAGGATTTGTTGGTCACTTCAATGTTTGTTGTACTGCAGACTTGGCGGTTCATTCAAGTTCCTCCACTTCCTCCGCTTGATCCGTGTATATCCGAAGGTCACCTGAATTATGGGGCTTCCAAGTGTCTCCCCTTTTTTCTTCCAAAGGTTCGCTGTAATTGGTTAACGATCAGATTCCCCACAATCAAAAGGCAGATCTTTCTCGACCATACATGGATGTAGATAGGTGACATGTGAGTCTTCATAATGAAGCTTCGAGCATAATGGACGATTTATTCATGGGCTTGAATTTCCGCCATTGCAGGCATTTGTATGATTGTTACGGACGTCACGTGAAGGGCACATGATTGGACTGATGTCCTCGCGCTTTTCTGCCCATTCGGTTTTGAGTTCTTTTCTCTTCGCAAGTTCAAAATCTTGACCTGCACATGTGCACAACTGATGAATCATCTCGAAAGATAACCAATGCTTTTTCCAACTCACCATCACCCTCAGTTTGATCTGACCCGCTCGTGATACCCCGCAAAAATATCGACTCTCAGATCTGCCCCCCGCAGAAAAAAACCAGCCAAGCCATACATGGCTTGGCAAACTAGCATTGATGGTTTACCCTTCATTTGAGCCGAGAGACAACATCAGGAAATGCCATGACTTGGCATGGTTATACCCCGGGACAGGCCATAATTTATCCTCGAGGGGAAGGGGAGGGTATGGAACGTGGAACGTGGAACTTTGCTGATCATCCTTAAAGTTTAAGGCTGGGCGAATTCCCGTAACTACTTATAATCAAGTTGACGAATCATTGACATCTGCATAGGTGACCTCATACGCTTCACAATGGCTTGCTTGTGGCACTATTTTTTTTCTTTGTGGCTCGCCTCTGGTCAGCGGCATAGTTGCCAACCGCAAAGCGAACCTTCACAAACAAAACTGCCGACTGCCAAGACGTTCATTTGCCAATAACTTTCCGATATGAGTATGACCTCGCGACTTTTCCTTGGCGATGACAGATTTTGAAATGGAAAATGCGGTTGTACAGCCGGCTTCTCCGATCCTTTCCCCGCAATTCAAGAAAGTTCTGTCTGGCCTTTTATCGGTTACACAAGCGATAAATAGCGCAGTCTGCCTGCTCTTAATATGACCAGTTAATTCGGATAGGCTTTTGATCCCTCCGATATTCTGCTGGTGTTTCTCTTTCTCGTTTCTCGTTTCACAGTAACACCGAACATCACCTATCCCACAACAGCAGCCTCACTACTCGCGATGTCCACTGATAAAGCCCGTAACGAGACTATTATGGTTGAAAAGATTGATGAAGTGCAAAGAGAGAATGTGGGTTTCGATATTTCCTATGACGCTGCTGATGGCCATCTGGCAACCGATCAATATGGTTCTCCATTGCTGGAGATAGATCGAGCAGCTGAAGCCCGACTGCGACTGAAGATTGATCTTTACATCGTGCCAACCGTGGCACTCATGTACCTCTTTTGCTTTATTGACCGCGCAAACATTGGTGAGTACACTGAAATGTTATTCTTAGTTTTTCATGGGTGACTGATCAGTCATGACAGGAAACGCCAAACTGGCAGGGTTCAACAAGGATCTCGGTCTCAAAGGCTATGACTACAACATCGTACTATCGATCTTTTATATTTCATACATTTTATTTGAAATTCCAAGCAATGTAAGAATATATTTACTTCATTGAACCCGCGGATGGGTCTAACTGATTTCCACCTAGCTTGCATGTAAGTGGATTGGACCTGGCTGGTTTCTGCCAGCCATTACACTTGGATTTGGCATCTGCTCGGTTGGCACATCCTTTGTCACGAATATACACAATGCCTGTGGTGTGCGATTCTTGCTAGGTGCATTTGAGGCTGGTCTGCTACCTGGTATCGCTTATTACCTCAGCCGTTGGTATCGCCGAAGTGAGGTGGGTGTTGTCTTGTATCTGGGTGGTTTGTTTTGAGCTAACATCGTTCATAGCTTGCCTTTCGCTTGTCTTTATATATTGTGATGGCTCCTCTGGCAGGTGCATTTGGTGGCTTGCTGGCATCGGGAATATTAAAACTAGACCATTTTGGAGGTCTCCGCGGCTGGCGTATGCTTTTTGCCATTGAAGGAATTATCACAATCGGGGTCTCCATGTTGGCGTTCCTCACCTTGACTGACCGACCAGAAACAGCGCGATGGCTGACAAAGGACGAGAGGGAACTGGCCATTGCCAGAGTCAAATCTGAGAGAGTTGCGACAACTGAAGTTCTTGACAAGATTGATCTCCCCAAGACCTTATGTGGAATTTTCAGCCCCGTGACGCTTGCCACGGCTTTTGTATTTCTTCTAAACAACATAACCGTTCAGGGTCTGGCCTTCTTTGCACCGACGATTGTCCAGACGATTTACCCCAAGGCCACTGTCATATCACAGCAGCTTCATACGGTGCCACCCTATGTTGTTGGTGCCTTCTTTACTGTTCTTTTCCCATTTCTCAGCTGGCGATTCGACCATAGGCTGGTATTCTTCATCATTAGCCCTCCATTAATGATGACGGGATATATTATGTTTCTTGCTAGCGATGACAACACGGTACGATACGGAGCCAGTTTCATCATCGCTAGTGGTGCATTTGCCTTGGGGGCGCTGTGCAACGCTCACGTATCGGCAAACGTCATCTCAGACACTGCTAGATCATCTGCCATTGGGACGACTGTTATGTTTGGCAATATTGGCGGCCTGATTTCTACATGGTCCTTCCTGCCATTTGATGCCCCGCACTATCACATCGGCAACGGCCTCAACCTTGCTACTTCAAGCCTCACTTTGGTCATTGGGGCCTGTCTGTGGATTTACATAAAGCGGGACAACCAGAGGCGTAAATCCATTGATGTGAACACTGCGCTGGCTGGACTTTCGCAAAAGCAAGTCCAAGATTTGGATTGGCGAAACCCGGCCTTTCAGTGGCGGCCATGATTGGTTTGCACTCCGTTTTTCGCTCGGACTCGAAAATGCTTGGGCGCAATACTGAGATTGTTTCTACGTTCAATTAATTGAACTCAAAGTCGTACTGAATACTTTGAGGCAGTGGATTGAGATAGTCACACCGTACACGAGTGGGTTGGCATTGAATTCTATTCATGGATTTGAATTTTGGGGATAGGATGTGGATCGCACGAAGCCGGTAACGGGATCAAGGGGAAACAGGATTTCCAAGGTTGGAAGCAGATGTCTTGACCAAAAGTCCTGATGTACAGGTGCCAGGTCTTTTCACTCTGCAATTCCAATGTAAGCAGGTAGACACCAAGCTCCCAGTTAACTGCCCAACACGAATGAATACTCGACTGCGTACTCCGTAGTACGTACATTGTACCTGATTCTGTAGAAACAAAAGTTTGAGCGTGACGGTTGACGCCGACGCCAAATTTCCACATCAGGAAGCCACTTTATGCCCGACAAATAAGGCATTCATGCTGGAGCATCCACGTGATCGGGATATCATTACTCCGAATTCCAATTGGCCAATCTTGCGAGAACAATTCACAGCCAAACTACCTGACCAACTGCTCCACCTTTCCCGTTCCCAGTCTCATGCCGGTAGCGGCCCGTCACCGCAAAGGAGAATGTCAACCTTTGTGATTTGGTTCACAATTATTGAGGGCTGAAGCGTGGATTTACGTGGGGCCCTGGAATACAAATAAGGTAGGCTGCCCCTCAATTTGTCGCCAAAGGACTTGTGATACTACTCGGACAGGCACTGATGGAACCCACCCTCCTCTCCAGCCCTGACTTACAAAACGTGCACTATCCTTCGATTCGCGAAGATGCTTTGGAAGATGGGGAAAGACAGGAATCATCGCAGCAACGCGACGAAAAGAAACCCCCAGCTATTGAAGATGCAACCGAAACAAAAATCACCAACCCGCCTTCCGATGTGCCATACAGTGTGCTCCCTCCAGGTGAAAAAGCTTTGGTAATTATCACGGGTTCCTTTGCGGCCTTGATCTCCCCGTTATCAAGTAGTATTTACTTGCCGGCCATGACATCCTTGGCGCGGGATATGGATGTCTCGGTTTCTCTGATCAATCTGACCATCACTACTTACCTGGTAAGCCAACACCCAGGGACCTTGAATAATGGCGCAAAATTTCTGACCAAGCATAGATTTTCCAAGGGTTGGCTCCATCCTTCATCGGAAGTTTCTCGGACTCTTACGGACGACGACCGGCGTATTTGATTGCGTTTGCGATTTATCTCGGCGCGAATATTGGCCTTGCTCTGCAAGACAGCTATGCTGCCTTATTGGTTCTCCGCTGTCTTCAATCGTCCGGAAGCAGCGGGACCATCGCACTGGGGAGTGCCGTCGTTGCCGACCTCACAACGCGTTCTGAGCGGGGGAAATATATTGGATATGCTGGTATCGGAATGGCACTGGGACCCTCGCTCGGGCCTGTTATTGGCGGACTGCTTGATCACTTTCTCGGATGGAGAGCGATTTTTTGGTTTTTGGTAATCTTCTCAGGAGCCTGTTTTGTGATTTTGTTCATGGTATATCCGGAAACTTGTCGAGCTGTTGTCGGTAACGGTTCCGTGATTCCCAACCGCTGGAATCAACCTGGGTGGGCTCTCATCGCCCCGAGATCTCGGTTCCGACAGGGAGAGACTTCTCCCGATTACTCCTCAATCCAACAACAGAAAATTCGGCCGAATCCGATCTCTTCATTGTTGATTGCCGTGCAAAAAGAGTCCGGACTGATCTTGTTGTATGGTGGTTTCGTGTTTGCGGGCTATATGGCAGTCCTTAGCACTCTGACGACCCAGCTAACGAGCCGGTATGATTTTAACTCCATCCAGGTCGGTCTGTGCTATTTACCATTGGGGATTGGAAGCATATGTTCGCGATGGACAGTGGGAACCCTTCTGGATTGGAACTTCCGGCGTGAGGCACATCTCCAAGGTATGCCGATACAAAAGAACCGCCAACAAGACATCAAGAACTTCAACATTGAACGAGCGCGGTTGACTATCACATTGCCTTTGATGTATTTCGCTGCTCTTTGCATCCTTGCTTATGGATGGACAATGGAATATCGAACTTCAGTCGGCGGACCGATCGTGACATTATTTTTTGTTGGCCTTTCCACTACTGGAGCATTCAACACTTTAAGCACTCTGATAGTGGACATCAACTACCAAAGTGCCGCAACTGCCACAGCAGCAAATAATCTGTGCCGCTGTTTGATGGGCGCTGGTACCACAGCATTTGTGGGACCCTTGATCGATGCGATTGGAATTGGATGGACTGGGACCATCGTTGCGATACTTTGGGTCGCCTGCAGTCCCCTTCTATGGGCCGTTCGAGCTTGGGGACATGACTGGAGGAAAGAAAAAGCAAACAAGTAAGACAAGAAATCATGAAGAAGCTTCAAGTTAAATATAAGACATCTAAACGGAAAGCCGCTATCACTCCACACGCACTGGTAGTTATGAATACCGGCAGTTGGATACAGTATCATGCACTTCGGGTGCACGGATAAGATTAAAGCCGGATTGACAGGTTTTTTTCCGTCATGCCCAGCTTCTTTATTGGCAGTCATTTTGGTCTAGAATAGGTTGAAGACAGGGAGGAGAAAAATATATTTACAAACATTGAACACTTGAGAACAAGTTTCTTCGGTCGGCATTCCTCGGGTAGCCTTCTTAAGCTGTAAGACTAGTGACTGGCTTCGGGTTGAAGTCTAGAAATGACATCTGCATGTGGAAAGAAGCATGAAGCAATTCATGAAAAAGGAGGATCAACCTTCTATATTAAATCTTCTCCGCGGTATTTAAGATCCGATAAAGTCGGGAATGATCTCCAAGGCTACTATTAGATGGTGCCGATCATCCCGACATCTTCTTCAGCCTCAAAAAATGACACCTGATGTAGTGGACCTTGGAACATTACAATTTACAGATTGAAAGAGGATCAGGGATATAGTGGGGGGGCTTGACCTTTAAAAGCGCCCCAGATCAAGTTTTCCCCTCTTTCAACTATCCGTCAAAGCCCCATTCGATTTAAAGGACCCTGGCGAGATCATTACAATCCCTGGACTCTCCGATCAGACAAGCCCGAAAAAAAAGAAAAGAAAGAAAAAAAAAGCTTGACATGAAGCTTGGCGGGCTCCACTGATTGGTTCCACTCGAATAGTGATGGGCCTGATGGCGCGTGTCCTTTTCTCCACAATAAAAGTTGACGACGCTAGCGCCGAGGATTACGCATGCTCTCTATATTTAATCCCCCATGGTGCAAGATGGGGCACCCACTTTCATTCCTGGTGTTCCAGAAAAGAAAGAGAGAAAAAAAAAAATCCCGTGGACGATGCGTGATTCATAGTCGTTCCTGGAACTCCCACTTTCTCTTCGTCTCCAAAAATCAACACTTTCCATCTGTTCATTGCATAACACTTCTTCTGTCCACTTCTCATTGGCAGACCCACTTGCGATACTGGGAGGTGGCCTAGCCTCTTTCACCGTTAGCGATGCAGTTGCCTCGCCCCTGGCCTGTATTGAAGGGCCTTTTGATTACATTGATTTTTTCTACATCAGTGTGTGCGATCGATTTGGACCTAACTGATGAACGTGCGTCAAAATCTATATACTTATCCCGATACTCATTCTGGCCTGTCAGAAAACCCCAACCAGCTAACAATTCCGAATCTTTAATATTAGAATCCATCAAAGATGCGGCGAGTACATCGGCCTACGCGATGATGACCTACTACAAGGGCAATGAAACCGGTCATATTCCTGGAGCTTTCGCGAGTAAATGGTGGGAGGGTGCAGCGCTGTTTTTGGCGCTTCTACAATACTGGCACTTTACGGGAGACACAACCTACAACGACAATCTCCGTGTTGGATTGGAGTGGCAAGCCGGAGACGATGATTATATGCCAACAAATTACAGTTCCTATATTGTAAGGCCACTTTGCCTTGTTTCCGTGGCAGGGAAATATCAGTGCTGACTGGCGAGTAAAGGGAAACGATGACCAGATGTTCTGGGGTATAGCAGCTATGACTGCTGCGGAGCTGAAATTCGCTGACGCCACTGATGTTGGGGATAACTATTCGTGGCTTTCCCTCGCACAGGGTGTCTTTAACAGCCAGATCGACCGATGGGACACTACTAGCTGTGACGGTGGACTACGGTGGCAGATCTGGACTTACGAGTCTGGCTACACAATGAAAAACTCCATCTCCAATGGTGGGTTGTTTCAGCTAGCAGCACGCCTTGCACGATATACCGATACCGATACCTACGCCACCTGGGCCGAAAAGATTTGGGACTGGGCTCTGACTTCCCCCCTCCTGAGCAACTCCACCTGGAATGTGGCCGATTCTACAGAAACCACAAATGATTGTGCTACCCAGGGTAACGATCAATGGTCCTATAACTATGGTACATTTTTGATGGGTGCTGCTTATATGTATAACTACGTAAGTTATAATTTGCTTTTCCTTGTCTTTTTCAGAAGGCTCTTTTGGGGAAGAGAACAACTCACCCCTCTACGACTTCAATTCATTTCCTATCTAACAGAATATAGACAAATGGTAGCTCCGTTTGGCTTGAGGCTGTTGATGGTCTATTGAATAAGACCTTTGAACACTTTCTCACCGATAATATTCTTGAGGAGAAGCTGTGTGAGCCAACGGAAGTCTGTAATGATAACGAAATCCTCTTCAAGGGATTGGTTTCATCTTGGCTATCCTTCACGGCTCTCTTAGTTCCATCGACCTATGATACTATTTTACCGGTCCTTCAAGCTTCTGCCACGGCCGCCGCTGCATCATGTACAGGGCATGACAATAATACGTGTGGAGTGCGATGGTACAAGTCGACATATGATGGATGGATGGGCATGGAGGAAGAGATTAGCGCCACAAACATCTTTGTCGCAAACTTGATTGCTTTTGACAGTTCGGCTCCAGTCACATCCACTACCGGCGGAAACAGTACCAGTGATCCAACTGCAGGTGAAAACGATACCACCACATCCGATACTACAACCACGATTACCACGGGAGATCGCGCAGGCGCTGGAATTCTAACTGTGCTGTTTGTTGGGAGCTGGGTTGGGGTAATGACCTGGACCATTTTGGGTGGCTAAGACCATCAATTATGTTTGTGCATGTGGGGTCATCTGGTGGAGTTTCCTTTCTTCTTTTCTTCTTTTCTTTATTTCTATTTCTGGGGAAAACGAGGCGTTATATATCGGGAGCCTCCTCGGGATAGGCTATGTATATACATCATCTTTCTTTATCTGTTTTGGACCGTTTTCCCCCCATTTCTATTTTCAATTCTCGTATTAAGGAGCATTTTAAATTGTCATCGACCTCCATATTCTAACCTTTTCGGCTACTGGTGCGGCCAATACCTACGCAATTGCAGCCTCCCAGGGCTGGAGTCAAACATGTAAATCTTGACGAATTGGACGATTTAAACCACATGCACCATCTGAAAAAACATCGAAGAGCCTCACTTTCTGTCATTTAACTACTCCCCTTTAAATAAGGTAATGGTTGCTTCGATTTTAAAATTCTGTTTGAGCACTAAAATGGGCACAAATTTGGAAGGAAATAGTAGGCCTAAAAAGTTCAAAGTAAATGCTTAAGAACATTGTCAAGTCAAAAAGATCAGCGTATCCCTCGATACCTAACATTCAGTGTTCGAAGGTAACCCTCCTTAGGGATTGAAATGCCCAGGCCCTCAAACAAGAGTCCTCCAGGGCTTGTCCCTTATTAAGTCTACTTTCAAACATTGAACTGTTCACTCTATATCTATCCAATGCTGCCGTTCTTCATTGAATTGAAACACTCTATTCATATGCAGACGCAAGAGGCGTCATGCTGCCATGCTTCTTTGCAAAGCTTGTAACAGTATCGGAATTTGACTTCAGGCTTGAAGACCGGAAACCAACTTGTCGCCAAGATCCTTGATACTGGATTCAAAGGTATCACGATCACCTCCTCCCCAATCGGCACTCTCTCCAGGAACGGCATCTTGCCCAATGAAGCCCAGATAAAGGATATCGTCTGCCCCATGACCATTTTCTCCGTCGATATCATCATCCGAGAAACACATTTGAGCAAGAGAGATGGAAGCCTCACCAGTAGAGTCTTCACCGTTAGTATCGCCCCAGATACCGTAGATCTATACATATCAGCCAGCAGTCAGAAAAACCGATTGGAAACATGGAAAGCATACCACTTGATTGTTACACACAACAGCCATTACGCTGAGGGGCTCCATTCCATAGTTCTGAGGATCGAAATTGGCATTTCCGAACACCACATACGGATGAACGTTGGCATCTAAATCCGAGATACCATACTGTGTTAATTGATCTTTGAATGCAGTCTCATCTTGGCCGGTGTTATCATCACCACAATCGCCTCCTTTGAAGCTGAGACCGTCGCAGTCCACGTCCATGTTGTCATATTGACCACCGTTGTCCTCGGTGTGAAGATAAATCGCACCACTGACATCGCCACAATATACAAAGTTGTGAGAAGCACCACTGATCCCATCGGTGAAGCCACCTCCAAGTTCATTGTTGCATTGTCCTGCCTAAGGGATTAATGTTAAGAATTAATAGGCTCTTGTATTCAACCATGTCGATTCTTACCTTGTGGGTGTTATAGATTTGTAGCAAATTATCAGGCAAATCGTAGGCTAATACCAGACCCACTGAAATCAGAAAATTGAAGACATAAAGAAAATGCATGTTTCCTTTCAGAAGTGGATTTAGTCACAAGTTAGTTGGATAGAAAGTCGGGATTTGACGGGCTAACTGACCATTCTTATGCAGCCCAGGACTCGTCAGAGGTTGGCACACCAGACTCCTGAAGATTGCTCTATTTGGCAACCTTTGACTGACAAGAGGGTTGCATTTCATATGATCTCAGCATGACTCTATGGTAACGGGACATAATTCCGGAGCGTACCATTATTTGAATGTTGATGTTGCATAGTACATGGAGCATAGAGCAAATGGCATGAGAACATTTTTAGAAAGATGACTCCCAGACCCACGATTTCAACCCAACTGGAATTCAAAATAAATTATTAGAAGAAAGCTTCAAGTCAACGGCAGTTTCCTGTGAGTCAATAGGCGGATAAGAACTGGGGTGATCTGAACTGTTCAGATGTATGTGGGGCCACGTCAACAGTACCCTCGGGGATCTCGGACATTTGAAGCAACTGATCAAATACTGCTCTCAGTGCTGGCTTAATAAGAATAACACACGTGCACTGGTATTCTCGAACACTGAGTAGTATATCGTAATCAAAGAAATTAGAAGCATATATTCACTGTCTGATTGAGGAGAAATTCAAGGATTACTGAATGAGGTTTTCGCACTTAACAAATGACGCTGACTCAGTTTGAAGTAAATCCGTTCTTTTCTTTTGCCCATCAATTACTCAATAGTATCTTTCACTTTGTAACAGCGGAGCGCCGTTTCAAATTTGTTTTCTTCTCTCGGCGCATCAAGTTCATCGATTCCTCCCGTAACTTCCGACCAATGAAAGCCACATCGCTTCACAGTCCACTTGGTTTTCGAAGCCACAAAGGAACTTTGGTGTTGGAGGTGTGAGCCTTCTGAAAGGCGGTGATGAGAACGTGGTCAATTTGGGGAAGTGGGATTGGCGGGTGGTGAGAAAAGTATCGGGGCTCTTTCAGCTTCGTTCATTGTCTACCATCGCGACACAAGAGGAGCTTGTTACTATAATCACCAGTGACTCGGGCAGAAAATGATCGGAGCCTATGCGAGGTGCGAATAACTTTGATTTGCTGGCTTACAGGACCGCCCTTTTCGACTTGAAGTTCGGAGTTGAACAACGCTGGCAGAACAAGTGGTCTCTACACACTCCATGCTCAACCGGCCTATTCGGGCCAGAATCGGGTGAACTTGGAAAAGAAATATTCCAAAGGTCAAAATATCACCATTTTGAATGCTTCTTGGAGACCCTTTGCTTCTAGCCACACTTCAAGTGCCTGCATGTCACCACGATTTGCCCGCTGGCCTCCTCGCTCCCCCAGGGAGTCTGTTATTTCTTCCATTCCAGAAAATACTCTCTCAACGTTCTCTGTTTGTCTAAACCTCTCGCTGACTTTTTTCTGGTGGCTCGGAATATCGCCCCAGGAATGCGTCTTGATGAAGCTCATGTAAGCGTCGACATCTATTGAGGCGCCCTCGAGACATAATACTCCTGGCTTGCCCGCCAATACGAAGCCTGTCAAAGAATATCCAGGTGCAAGATTAACCATGTCATCTCTCTTTTTCCGAGTTGACAGAGATGGAAAATAGAACCATACCCTCACAATCGTGCTCTTTGAATTTTGCAATCTCGGACCCTGAGAATACATGGCCTGGCACTGCTTGTTTTCTAGAAGTTGACTGGCTCCCTCTTGGATGTATTCAAACGCCTCGAAAGCATCAACTTGTGGGACTGAAGCAGCGAGTTCCGCAACTTCAGCTTTGGTCATCCAGTCTGGTTGACGGACAGTATAACGCAGTGACGGAGGCTGGTCAATTGTCGCGGGATCCTCGCATTTTAGCGGCACCAGAATGGTCACTTGGATCGTCTTGTCGCCACCAGCAATCGGTAGAGTGACAACGAGGGGTAACATGGAAGGGATAATCGGTGTAGAGGTTGGGTCCAAACACCAATCTCGAAGTGTGTCAATGCACTGTCTTGCAGATTCAGAGATGATTTCTATCTCCCTTGATGATGTAGGTGGGAACATTGCCACCAGTAGGTCAATTAAACCCAATTGTTCTTGCATAATGTGCGCCGGCAAAAGGGATGGTATTTCGGCTTCCATCTTGGCCTTTGGATCCACGGGTATTCACTTGATACTCCGTGCCTAGGTACTTAATTGCTGTACTCGCTGCTGCATATTGATAGATTTTCCCCTTTCTGTCCGTCATCGGTCCCACGACTTCCACCGCCTTGGCCGGTGTGGATACCGAGATCGGAACATTGAAGTTGTCACGAAAGAAGTTCAAATGTTTAAGTACCCAGCGGCGTCCTCGAGAACCTGGATTCGGAACCTTCAGCTGGTGATCAGGTGGTCAAATTATATATACCTGACCATAAATGTCAATTCTTGCCGGACATGTCTAGGTAATTGCTCGGTTGACACCTCCAGACGTTATTCTCGTAATTACTGGTTTCCCTCAAGCTAACGTTATTCCGAACCAAGACCGGAGAATTAGTTCTTCCAGATACCCGGTTATCGGCCGTATTCAAATTTCATTAGGTGTATGTATCGTACCAGGGCTAGTTGTAACAAGTACATAGCATTTGAAAGCAGTTAGAATGGATTGAACATTTACGCCTACCTCGAAACATTGATTGAGCATACTTTCTGTACATATACATAGTGTGTAATCCACGTGTTTATACTAACTAACTTCTAGAAATACCTACGTCGTGTTACAAAAGTTTGAATGTTAAAAGGACATCTGGATGTGATTACATAACTTTCTGCCGCTCCTTTTCCTACTGTCCCAAGACTGCTGGTCTCTACAGTTTGCCTATATACAGTCGGGTTGGAGATATCTGAAGCTGAATATTATCTGGAAAGTCTTCCTAGAAGTTTCTAGGAGTCGTAAAAATGGTTTATAATCATATATTGGCATCAAAATAGTGCTGACAATAGGCGGTGAGTATAGGTGAGGAGACTGGTGGCTCATTACAGTAAGCGGTCCGAAGGGCAGTAAAATTCGGTTTATCCAAGGACCAGTCAGCAAACTTATGCACCGCCTCCTAAGTTGAGTCACACGGGCAATTGTCGTCCGCAGGGAAAATAACAAGCCAGAACCAGGAGAACAGGGGGGAAAAAAAACCAAAACCGAAGAACACAAGCAGAGAATCAATATTGAATAGAATAAAAAAAAAGAGCCAGCTGATCAGAAAAGAGGAGATTTGTGTGGGGGTTCAACTCGCAAAAGTAGCAAGAAAGTCAAACACAGCGAGGACGTGCTTAAACGGGCAAAACCACCTTCACGCCCATATATTCCCGTTGGTGCATGAGCTTGCCTTCTATGATCACCTGATCTTTTCCGACCGAATTCCTAGTTTCGTCTGTGGGATCAGTAACAGTAGAGATCTGAATCTCGCGCCATTGTCGATTTGTTGGCACGAGCTGTCCTTGAGATGTAAGATTCTTGAACTCCTTATAGACACCCTGCTCCTCAATACAACCCTCTCGCTGGATGAGTGGAGAATCTAAGGTAGTGTAAGTGATTGGTAGTCATTTTATCCAAACTGTCCTGGATTTACTCACCCTGTGCTGGGGTCATGCGGAGATCGCCAACCGAGCTGTTGAACAATACCAAAGAGAGGCGTTCTTCATGGATTTGATCGACAGGTGGCTTGAAGACTCGATGCCGAGTGGCTTTGAAATGGCCCCCAGAAACGATCTCCAATGTGTCACCAATGTTGATTACAAGAGCGCCTGGCTTGTACGGCACGTAGTACCATTTCTCGTCGCGACCCCAAATCTGCAAGCAGGAGATGGGGACAGAGAAAAGCAATGTCGTTAGACCGAAGTCGGTATGCCCATGCATACGAAGGCCTTTGGATGCCTCTTCAGTCTTTCTCTCGACGGGCTTAAAAAGGGCATGTCTGAAATAACCTTCACCTGTTGGAGAAGGGCCCTGTGATTGGACATTATCCCAGAGATAGTCATCGTCAAGTTCCAACACACGCGAAAATAGAGTCAGAAGCCGGCGGTTCACGGATTGAGTAAGATAGTTGCAGAATGATTCGATCTCATCCATGAAAGGGTGCAAACATGTTGGGACGCGATCTAGGGTTTCCCAGTCGGGTCTGTACCAGTTGAATTGCTCAATGCCATCGGCGGGACCGCGCTCTCTCTGAAGTCACCATAATCAAGGTCAGCACACTCAAACCGAGATAGAAGCCCTCAAGTCGTTCGAAAATAACTTTGGAATTCTCACCTTGAATCCATAGGGATGCTTGTAACCCGACCAGACACCAGTCTCGGGGCTGAAAATAAGACGCTCTTTATCTTCTTCGCTGATATTTTTGTACAGGTATTGAGCAAGACTGAATTGCCGGTGAAGCTGTTCAGAAGAAAGGAAAAATATATCCATCATTAGTCATTGAAAATCTTTCCTTATTATTTTCTGTCTCAAGGGTTGAAATTCGATTTTTACCTGTTCCAAAGACACGCCGTAGTTCTCCAAGAACAAAAATCCATCATCCCGAATGGCAGCTTTGACTCGCTGAATCAGGTTGTCAACTACCTGGGGATCATCGGAATCGAGCAGTGACAAATCAATTGACTGAAGTTCGGCAAAATTCTCTTTTTCCTTTGTCACTGGAGGTGGGATCCAAGCAGGGACAGAAGGCTTGCCAGGAAGGTCGGCAGCAGGTGGACAGAAGGAAGCAGCAGGCATAGTGGGCAACATTTGAATACTCGGAAGGATAAAGTTTTTCTCAGCAGACTTGATATTCGGTATTTCAAAATAACCCCATGACGGTGCTTGCAAGAGACTTTTATCTTAAACTGACCAAAGGAGGAGAGCCGAGATCAACAGTAACCAAAATATACAATCGTCACTCTGCGAATGAGCTCCAAACCAAGGCTTGAAGTCAAGAGGAGCCGATATCTCGAAGTCTACGCTGCTGTCTCCGACTACGACGAATGTGGGACTGGCAGCACCGTCCAATCTGAGCTCACTGATACCAGGTTCAAACGCTATCTGATCTTAGTCCTAAACTGATGGACAAATCAATAGCTGGTATGGGTATAGACGTCAGATTGTTACTAGTTTCAGAAAGTCCCCGCTCTCTGCTCCTTCGAGGACCCACTTAAGTCTAAAATAGTGGACACGTTGAAGACTGCCGAGGCCCGGGAGGAGCTCCTCCTCCAAATTCGGCAGCCATATCAGCCCTGCAGATAAGATAAGATTCCTCAAGAGTCAAGACAGAGCTCCTCCATTGTCGCTGCTGCTGCGCGAGGAACAGAAATCGGAAATTTCCAACCTTGGTCAGCATAAAATATGCTTCTTGTTGATATTTAGACTGGGTACCCAGCACTTTCAAGTCAAAGTCTGAACCGAAATTTTATTGAATTCCTCCACCCCTCAAAATATCTCCTTCAAAACAGTTCTTGAATACTTGGAAAATGTCGCGTCAACTCATTTCCAGCGAGAAGTTCCCCACAAAGCCCCATAACTGTGAGTGCCCCGGCATAATTTAACTCATGCCAGAGCACTGCGAATGTGGCATGAGAAAAGGTCTAACAATTTCAGGTCCGGCTGTCAAAGTACCAGGTCTCGTGTTTTGTGCAGGTCAAACGGCAACTGGAGAAATCAAACAAGCAACCGTAAGCTTATCCTTTTGCCGAACCATTTCAGACTTTCGACAGCACCAGTTGTATTGACATTTCAAATTAAAGAGAACCGTTTTACAAAACCTGAAAGAGGTTCTGGAGCTTGCCGGTTCGTCACTTGAGCAAGTGGTGAAGTATAATGTTTATCTTGCCGATATGGCCGATTTTCAATCCATGAACGAGGTTTACATTGATTTCCTCCCCCAACCCATGCCAGCTCGATCCTGCTTGCAAGCCTTGGCCCCAGGGAAAGATACCGTAATTGAGATTGAATGTATTGCACAGGTGTGAGTCTTGTAAATTAGGGTGAAAGAAACGAAATATTCCCATCATAAATTCAACTTTAAAGAGAATGCATGGTTGCTCTCCTAGCCTATCTCTTTTGTAGATGCTTGACGCTTGCCATTGATCGATGTTATGCTCTTTTTATTGGCTTAGCAGATACACTGTACCTCTGTTTTGCTCCTTAAAAATCTCACCCTCAAATCGTAACCTTTGATAGCTTACCATCACATGCTTGGTATTGGCTCATGGGTCTCACCTTTTCCCATGCTTCCTTTGTCACTCTTCCGCTAAAGGCGATTTATAATATAATATTGAAGCGATTGAGTTACGATGATATTTAAAAAGGGGATTATGAATACCAGAAGCAAGAATAGCTTAATTCCTAGCTGTAAAGAATAGTTTGATTTACTATGTATGCTCCGCGCCCAGATATATGTTGCACATATGACAACATTATTGCGGTTGAAGGAATTCGGAAATATCTTGCTATATCTACATAGTAGTAGGAAAAGTGCTGTCTAAAATAATGGAGGATCTTCATTTGAATATTCAATGTGATAAACTTCAAATGTTTGTTATCAATCGATTCAAATGTTTTGAAAACTGGAAGGCCATCTGTTCTGCATACATATGTGCACATCAAAAAACCCTGCCATGAGTTGCAAGTTGCAACATTTGAACCGTCCAGATGTCGGGAACATTGAAATTGAGCAGCCGATCTTGGTAGTATTAATCTTAAGAGAGGCATTGCACCTGATGAACATTAATTGAAGTATTGATTGTTATGCATATTTATGTGCAAATATTGATTATATTATACTCGGTAGATGCATGTGGATGTGCAAAGTCCTTTCTAAATTATATGAGCTGTCCCATGTTGGAAGAAAAGTTTGTTAAGGCTCGGAACAAACCTCGAAACAAAGTATCAATTGATGTTGACTAGCAGTGCTTTGAAAGCTTATGTTGGAATGGAAATGAACAGGCTTATGTACCACCAGTTGACCTTGGGAACTGTAGGAATTATACTATAACTTTGCCCCGGTGATAACATGTAAGAACCAGTTACTAGTAGGCTTGAGTTGAACAACATTATGTATCCTCCAGACCCCCTCAAACAAACACTTCACAGTCTGCTCAGGTGTTATTGGCTAGGGTCTTCCAGGGTTCTGATGTCGAACATTTAAATGTTTGAACAGCGTGTATCCGTCGATTTATCGTCATTGATTAAAATACCTGTGTAGTAATATCTCTTGCTCACATCTTTAAATGTTGCTTTTTGCGAAAATTAAATATGGACATGCAGTATGATTTCCTTAAGACCGAGCAATCTCAAACTCTGACATGTACCAGTTTTGAATGGCCTTTGTATCACCGGTAATGGCGACCGTGTCATATCTCTCTCTAGCCTAGAAAGTAAGTTAGCAAACAGGCCACACTTCCAGAAAACGGGTTATCAATTCCCATCATCAAACTCACTTCCTTTGCCATGGAACCGTTGTTCACCATACGGCCAGCCCATTTCCCATATTTCCGTGCAGCAGCGACAATCTTGTCAATTGCAGCAACAAATTCGGGTTCATCGCCCCGAGCAGGAGTATATCCAAGGAGGGATTGTGCGAGATCATTGGGTCCGATGAACACGAGATCTACCCCAGGAACGGCACAGATTGCTTCCACGTTCTCTACGCCAGCACGGGTCTCGATTTGAATCATGGTGATAATGGTTTCGTTGGCGCTTTTCATGTATTCTGGAGTTGTGAGGCCATGACCAATTGCAGGGAAGGCGGATCCCTGTCCACGGACGCCTTGTGGTGGGAACTTGGAGGACGCAACGACTTGCTCTGCCTCTTGGGCATTGTTGATCTGTCAATTGAGAAAAGAGACGTTAAATCTTGTTGCATGTATGAATCGTGAAGGAATCACCTACCTGGGGCACCATTATTCCGTGGGCGCCAGTATCCAGGGCACGCTTTAAAATATCATGTGCGGGGCCGCGGATCCGAATTATGGGAGAGACACCAAGCGACGAGATAGCTGACACTGAATTGTGCATAGCATCGTCACCAATATGTCCATGCTGTTTTTTCGGAATTTTGGTCAGCATTGAATCGAAATTTTTGATAGGGAAACCTGGGGAAGAATGTACCTCGCAATCGATGATAATCCCATCAACTCCCGTCAAGGCCACGATTTGGGCCTGGCGTACACTGGGGATAGCCATGAAAGTCATAAGCGGGAACTCTCCAGCCTTGATCTTGTTGAGTAGCCTTAAGCGAGAGTTGTTGACCTTGGTCGTAAGGGGCGTGGTATAACTCATTGTGTATAGCAAAGTTCGATTGATATTGGTGATAGATTGTTGTGTTTGGGAAGTTGAAGGGCTGAATAGATTGGAAGGAAAGGAGTACAAAGCCGTGACTGAAGGATCTTAAATAGCATTAACATGTTGAACTTGTGTTTTCTTCTTTGCTGCACAATATCCTCGGGTTGGTGGTGGGGAGTGAGAGGTTGGATGGAGTCTTGGACTCTTGGTGACTTGGAAACTCTTAGCCGCCCCACTTTATCCCCATTTGAGCTCCTCCGACCAGGGCGCTATTTCTCCCCGTCATGCCCGTCCTCCCCCTCGTATTCGGGTGATTGGGACTTTCACAATCTCTGTACGCGTCTCATGCACCCCGGATTCTTCCCGAGCTGTCGATCAATCGATGACACTGGGAATCTTTAGTCTTTAGACTTTGAGCTCCCCCGTTGCCTTATCTTTGCTTAAGTTCCTTACTCCATAACTTCGACTTCCCCGCACTCCGTGAACCAATCAATGAGTCACGATTATTCGCACCTGATTGGCATTTTGTTGAACTAGATGATTGTCTATCACACGGTTGAAAATGTCGCCCAAGATAAGCTTCTCATTGTGAGGTTACCATAACCTTTTAATAAGAGAAACATCACTCGCCAAAAGTTAGGAAGTGTGCCAAGTTCACCAGGCAAGAAACATAACAAAGAACCTCGACTTTTGGTAAGTCCAAGTTTCTTTAGGCTTCTTATTCAAATATGCTTATTCTGAACTTGTTCCAACTAGAATCATGGAAGACAAGAAAACACCGGCATCAATTCGCAAAGATGTTGACAACGTTTCATCTGCCGAGGGGCAGATGGATAGCACTACTACTGCATACCAACGACTACCGGAAACCCTTCGAAATATGAGTGACGAAGAACTCAAGGAAATGAATGTCAAACTTGTACGCAAAGTTGATCTCATTGTATTGCCGACTATTGGTATTCTATACATATTGAACTACGTCGACCGTCAAAACTTGGCTGCAGCTAAGCTCCAGGGGATTATGGAGGATTTAAATTTGACCACTCAACAGTTCGCCACCGCGGTTTCAATTTTGTTTGTGGGATACTTGCCTTTCCAAATCCCAAGTAACCTCATCATCACCAAGATCTCCAGACCGGGCATGTACATCTGTTTAGCCGTGGCAATTTGGGGCTGTATCTCAGCCTCAACCGCGGCAGTCAAGAATTATGGCCAGCTACTTGCGGTCAGAGCCGTCCTGGGAGCCGCCGAAGCAGTCTTCTTTCCCGGCGCAATATACTACCTCTCTGCGTGGTATACAAAAATGGAACTGGGCAAGCGAATTGCCGGTCTATACATAGCACAACAAGTGGGGAATGCCTTTGGTGGACTGTTCGCCGCTGCAGTCCTGCAGCTGGATGGTGTTCGCAACATTGCAGGTTGGCAATGGCTTTTTATTATTGAAGGTAGTGCCACGGTAGGTGTTGGGGTCATTTGCGCCTGTGTTATGCCCGAATTTCCACACAACAGTCGCATATTATCGCCCTTGGAACGCGACTTGGCAGTTTGGAGAATAGAGGCCGAGGCCGGTCCCGCCGAAGGATCAGAAGATGAGAGTGCTCTCAGAGGTTTCAAACAAGCCCTATCAGATCCCAAGCTGCTTCTACTCATATTTTGCAACATGCTGTCCCAGACACAAGGCTCAATTGCGAACTACTTCCCAACGCTCATGAGCTCCCTCGGATTTTCTAGCACGATCAGTTTGCTCCTTACTGCTCCACCTTACATTCTTGCTGGCCTCGTTTATTTTGGGATTATGTTTTATTCCGACCGCAAAAACCATGTCTTCTTCCTGATCCTGTCATGCATCGCCATTTCAATTGTGATGTATATCATCCCCATGACCACAGTCAACGTTGGAGCCCGGTACTTTTCCATGATGATTTTACCTTTTGCATCGGTGGGGCCACAGCTTCTTCTCTACAAGACGATTAACCTCCATCTGGCACGACCTGTTTCAAAGCGCGCAGCAGCATCAGCTTTGGTTAATGCCATTGGAGGAACCTCAAACATTTGGGCCTCATACCTTTACTATGCAGGCCCGCATTTCTATGCTGCATTCGGGACGTTGATGGGGGCTGCCGTTTTGTTTGCAATTACAATCACCGTCTATCGATGGCTAGTACTACGTGAGAACCAGCGACTGGACTCGGGCGACCCAGACAAGATCGCGCAAGTAGTCAAGGGGGGTGTCACTGCCGAAATGGTGCAGCTGAATTGGCGCTATGAAATGTACTGAGATGTACTATCTAGGTAGTATCTACGTTACAATGTTGATTTACTTGTTGATGTGAACATACGCCTATTCCTGAAATTCAATGGTCAGTATATGTATACATCCATAGTAAGTAGAATTGATCAATCTTGTGTAGTATATACAGTACATGTGTGTTGTAATATTACATATTTAGTACCTGCGTAGTTCCAAAGCTAACATTTTAATTCGAAGGTTGCAATCAAGAAGAAGATTTCATTGCTGGAATTTAGTACATACTACTAGTACTGATGCAAATTCTATCAATTACCTACATAACCACCAGCTGTCCCGCTCACAAGGGGCGGCAATACAGTGATTAAAATGGAATGAAACATTATGCATTGAATATTGGCGCTCAGGAAACCATCAATAAATTATGTATTGTTTGAATCATTTACTGAGATCGTCTAGACAAGCCAATATGAGCTTGCCAATTTGCCAACGCTCTCTCTGGCGAAAAGCTAACTTGGCCCACTTCAAAGCCCCCTCCAGATCACCATCTTGGATGCGTATGACGCTCATGGCACCGGATAGACCTCCACGTAAGAGCTGCCAAGCAACTAAAAAGGCTTTATAAGCGTATAAAACTACCCATGGAGCTTCAGAATCTGGCAAAGCAGCATCCAGGTACCGGAGAAACCAGTCAACGTGTGGTTGAATTATCGCAGCGTTCTCAACATCGCACAGTAAGTCACAAGATGGAGACAAGTAAGTGGACTGGGTCAAGACAGCATCTATACTTTCTTCCACAATCCCTCCAGTGTGTGATGGACTCCAAAGTTGTATTTCGATCATGGCAGTTTCCCAGGTAGCCTCGCATAATGCTAGATGTCCTTCACATGGTTCTTCTGGTTTGGAACGACTAAAGGGACCAAGTGCGACAAGCGATGACCTCAATGCCCCGAATCTTTCAATGCTAAGCATACCTGTCATAGTAGACCATCCCGATATTTCGCGACCGCTTGAAATCAGAAACTGTGCAATATTGACAGTGCCATAAGGATCGAATGTGGGCATTGATTGCACGCCCATGTCGGGTGATAGGAACCGACGAACAGCATCTGCGTACTGTACTGATGAATTGACATTTCCAGTGACAAGTTGACAATGTGCCCATTCCGCAGCAGAAGATGCAAGCCACTGATCTATAGGACACGGCAAATCATGCTTAACTTCTAAATGAGAAATTGAGCGAGGGATGGATAGGCATTGATACCATAGTGCATCCATCTGATGCACTGCGAAGATGGTTCGTTTGTGTGACTCTGCTTTGATAAAACCATGCCATAATGACTCCAGATTGCTAGAGGCCACAGGCTCCATTGACACTGGCTGCATAAGCCCGGATTTTCTCGCCAGTGCAATCATGGTAGAGTGGATCTTCAGCCCATAGACGGAGTCTTTGCCACAAAGATACATCATGGAGCAGACCTGGAGCAGCAGATATGATTGAACCGTTGTGATATTCTGAAATGAATCACTTGATTCGCGTTGGTTTGGAGTGATAAGGGTTCGAGCTTGGTAAAAGCATATCTTTGATAGCTGACTGCCCGTGGCTGGTTTGTCTCCAAGGTCGGGGTCCTCGCCGTATTGATACCCAAGAGAAAGGATGCCGAGGAGTAACAGAGGACACGATTGATAAGGATCAAACGTAGCTTTGTGAAGAAATGGCAGAAACGGCGAGACATGAGTGAAAAACAATTGGCACCCCCGTGATATTTGTCGCGACGATGGCGACCATTCACTTTGACTATGAGTCAAGTTATCTGCGGACGATCTCCTCGGAAATCCATGATGAACATCCACCACAAGACCCAGCCCTGGCAAATCGATATTAGAGAATTCGGACCGCAATTGGCGATCTGGCAAAGACGACGCCAGAACCAAGTTGGGTTGTACGTTGTCAGAGTTGGAGAACACTGGGTGGATAGAGTACGGCTCGCCGCTGATTGAGCGGGCATAATCCTCAGGAGAACTACCTCCCCCGGAGAATATTGATTCCAAGGGTGTATTTTGTTCTACTGATGCGTGACGGTCGTGGCTGGGGTGGTATTCGGTGTTTCCAATCGCTTCCCATGCCCCTTGATCGATGCTAAACACTCCAACCCCACTCGACTCATGAAGCTGGAGAGGGATTTTGGATGTATCCGGAAGAAAGACCGATAATTTGTCCGCATGGCTCTCCGCGCTATCGGGCTGTTTAGGTTCGTTGGATCGCTGTCTCTTGGTGGGTGACTTTGGCTCCTGCTCGGGATGCTTTCTTCTGACATGACGATGGCGAAGATCCGATCGTGAAAAAGTTGCCTGGCAAAATGGACATGGTAGAGAAGCCTCGCCCGGGAATCGTGAATGGAGGGTTGCGTGGCGCTTGAGGTTTTCATGGCGCGTAAAGCGTCTTTGACAGATGACACATTGAAATGGTTGATAAAGCGGCCTTTCTCGGGAAACTGGGGGTGATGACATGATTGCAAGTCTTCTGGGTGGTGTTCGTTTGCAGCGGGGAGCTCGAGTGTGATCAAAGAGGGGGAATCATTTGAAATTGGAGGGAAAATCTGGGGGTGTTGGAGTTGTTCTCCCGCGGAATCATGGATTTTCCCCGCCTTTGGGGCTGATGGAAACTTTGATGGATCTAAGAGAGGAAATACTTCAAAAAGCCAAGTAAGAAGCTGGAATTCTGGAAATGTAAGTTATGTTTCAATATAGCTTGCAATTGCAATTGCAAAAGAAGAAAAAAAGAAAAAAAAAATCAACATTACTGATGGTAGAAGTTGACTATCACCTACTATCAACGATAAACCATGCCCAATAGGAGTGTACCGATACCTTATCATGACATATGGGGACTCGGAGGGAAACCGCGACGCTTAATCGCTTGAACGATAATATCAAAGAATTTACTTTGGATTTGATGAGGGAGTGTCATACAGTTGATTAAAGAGTCAACTATTAACAGGCATAAAACGAGTATGAAATACTTTCATTAAAAGACTCCAAAAAGGCGTTTTACTCCGCACATCTGCTCCACATCAGCTCCGCGATGTAATTCGGGCCGTTACGTAACAGAAAGCAATTAACTTCTCTAACTACTAGTCAAACAAGATGATTCGCCTGGGCAGGGGTTAATACACTCGTGACAGACACAATGACTAAAGGTAAAATGGCAAAAGGGGATTGGAACAGACCGGAAGGAAGGGAGGCCTTTTCGGATTAGTACTAATTAACATGGCCTCAGGCTGGAAACTGATTAACTAATGTAGTGAACCCTACCATCTTATGTAATATGTTACAGTAAAGGAAGCGGTGACAGCTGGGAAGCGGCGCTCATGTCAATAAGTAGGGCTCTCAGCACCTTAGAAAGAACACACACTTCTTGTCCTCTCTCTTCTGACCCATACGGGTGTTCTACATGACTTAGTATCCGGTTGCGCTGCGCTTTGGTGGTGTTTGAATAGCGAGGTCGAACCGCACATCGTGCCGATGTGTTTGCCAACGAGCGTTCCCCTCTTCACTAACTAACTACTAACTGAAAGGTCGCATCAATCATTTGAAGACTTGCCTTGAGTATTCTGTATTTCTTTCTACGGAATAATATAGAAAATATTTCAATGTTCATTAATTGATGGGAAGAAAAGTCTAGGATATTTGAAAATTTGATTCTCCGACGCTCATCCCTAGTGCCCCACCTAACATTGAATCTATCTCGCTGGATGTAGTTATCCAGTTCCTGCTACAATGTCTTATAAGCAAATTTACATTTGAATAATCAAAGCTTCATCTTTTTTTTATAGCATTACCAGTTGACCTCATACCGTATCAGGATACTGCCAAGAATACAATCAAGGGTAGAGCGACCACAATTGATAGGTATAGCTTATATATAACATAGAGCTTGATAAAGAATTGAAGAGAGTATGTATAGAGGTGAAACTGATTCGAACGCATCTTTACAGTTGACCGCTTGATGATGCAGCACATGTGCATGGAAAAAGCACTTGAGCAGCAAAAGTCCTTGTTTTTTAAGATTTCCGTGCACTCTACCTCTAGGCGAACATTATATTTGGTTGGTGGCCCCAAAATTTCATCCATTCTGAAAACCACCCTGTCTAGAGCCGGCCGGGATAACAGTTTTCTATACTGAGGCACACCGCGTATTGCACACCGCGTATTTTAGGACAAGAAGTCATTTTGCCTTGATTTTCTTAAATATAATTATGATTGAGGAAGTAGGAAAGAAGGGTGGGGTTCCAACTTCAATTTATTCGCCCGGCTCAACGGTTATGTCAACGGTCATTCGCTACCTCCGTTGTTTCGTTCTTTCAACACAAATCAAGCCGGTTTCAACTCAAGTGCTGGATTATGACAAAGAATATAAAGTCCAGTTTTGACTTGGAGTATCTAGAAATTCATTGGGAGGAGAACTAAGATTGATGATCACCCCCACCGTAACATTTGAACAAATATAAATCACAGTTTTTTTACTTAAACTTTTGATCAGTCAAGGCCGTAATAAAAGAATTACGAAGAACTTGAAGAGTTCGAGGATTTAAATGGAGGGGTAAAGCCCAGGTGCCTCGATGCAGAAAGCCTGTCCTGCAAGGGATGAACTTCAACCTTAAGGGTTTTCTCTCGAAACACCCAAGTAACAGATATGTAAGGATGTCTGCACATTATTGTAGTGGGGAAATACGTCCTTACATATCATTACGGTATCCTGGTATGCCGTTACGGTATTATCAGCACTGTCATTACGGTATAGCGGCTGTAGTGATTAGATTGGAATACACACTCCTACACATCTTTGATTCGACCCCTAGCTACTGTTCTTGGGTAGTAGTTTCGGCATTGTCCACTGCTGGATCGACTCGTGCACTTAGATGGCACAGCATAGCGTTCCCCTCGTTAATAGTGCATACCTAGTAGTACATATGACGCATGTCTCGCACGGTCCGGCTGTAAGGCTGCCAGGTGTTATGCAGAGATGCCAATCGGGCCCTTATAAAGCAACGTTGTGAAACCGAAAGAGAAGACTACATCTAGTCATGTACTCTGAATGCAGCTTTCCAAGCTGGAATCCTGTTTATTCAATGAACGGTTCTCGACTGGCGGCGGAGATGTTCGGTTTGAATTATATACACACAACTATACACACAACAATGTGTAACTGTAAAATGCTGTACATACTAGCTAATTTGAATTTCTATGTAGCTTTCACCTTCAAATGTTTTGAAGTACAGTCTACATGCCAATGATAGTGATACATGCACACCTGTGCATGGGTGGTCGGCAATGCTTCAAAGGTTCAGCACTTGAGATTTAGGTCCCTATTAAATACTCGTCCAAGAACAATTGATTTGAAGTAATGTTTTCAGTAACTTGAGAGCTTCTGGGCCCATAGACGCTGATCCTACATAGGGAATTTGAAAGATGCGTTTCCAATAGCACTAGATATATCAGGCAAGCGGCAAGACAAATATCAAGTATCTTATATATTTTATGATCTGTTAAGTGGCTGGAGGTGCCTATTGGTCTGCCTCGTTAGGTGCAGGGCATGGAAATCAAGTCTTCATCAAACGATAGCGGTGTCACGAGGCGCCGTATAGGTGGCTATACCTGCAGTAGGCGTAGCTGGATGTAGCAGAAGTCCTATGCAATCATATTGTAGATCCAGCTACACCGCAACTACTCTGCTGATTATTTCTTTTTCAATTGGTCGCTCGTTTGAAAGGTTGGGTCTGGAGGTAAGCTGCACGCCTAGCATCCCGATCCACCATAAATATGGGATTGGTTTATTCCGCAAGCAGAAGTGAACGTACATAAGTACGTACATAGAAGTGAAGATCAGCTGGTGTGATTGAGTCTCCGACGTCGTATCTTCCCAACGTTCCAATGAGCCCAACAATCTAATGGATTACTTCCCTTGAGGTCTGGTTCGTGGGCGGCCCGGGCCTAATGCATTGATGGAATAGTACGTAGTGATTTTCCAGCGCCGCTGGGTACCAAAGCTATAAAGAGCCCCTCCCGGACTTTTGAACCACGTCCTCTTCTTTTACTTTTACTTTTCTCCTATCAATTATCTATCGAACTCAAAACTTGTTGTCAAAGAACTATCAAACGCAAAATGGTGGTTAGCAAAGAGGATTACGACGATATCCAAGGAGATATCTGGTCAGCTCTTAAGCCTGAAAATCCCCACGGATATTGGCGCTGACTTGGACCTAGGCCTGGTTTGTCGAAGCAATACGAAGAGTTCTACTTTTTCACCATCGAGGATGCCGAACTCTTCAGGCCCGTGCTGCAAAAACTTGCGGATGAAGTTATCACCAGCGCCACCCATGCCATGGCTGCTCGCTATGAGATTCAGATGGTCAAGAACGCAGAAGCCGGAAAGAAAGCTCAAGAACAGCCGAAGAAAAACACTAATACTCGGGGCTCAGGAGGGGGTGGACTCTTTGGCCTCGTAAACGATGCCTTCGATACCGCGGGCTCCGTGGCGAAAGGCGGGATCGATCTTGCAGGTAATGTGGCAAACGCTGCAGTGGACATCACCATTGGCGTAGCCAGGTTCCCATTCGATGTAATCGCAAGTCTTGTCCCGAAAGATCCGAAGGATATCCCGAGGTGCAAAGGCGACAAGACCAAAGTGAGCATCGCTCATGTTAACATATCATTCACCCACGTGGGTATTAAAAAGGTGAAAGGAACATTTGAACTGTCTGCCTTCCTGCCTCCAAGGTCCGGCTCTAATCATTTCTATATTAATAGCTGTGGAACCCGACCGAAGATTTCAATGATGACATATACTTCAAGGGCATGGAACAGGACTTGATCGGTGAAGGCAGAGATCAAGCGAAACACTGGGAGAAAGAATTCCTCAAGACTGCCTCAGCTCCTAGCAAGACCGATGGCATGGTGATAGTGTGTGGTACCAAAGAAGAAGTCCAAGAAAAATTGGCCGATCTGAAACATAACTACCTGGGCGAGAATCAAGGATGTCGTTACGTCACGAGCTGGAAAGGCCAAGAAAGGCCAGATAAGCTGAGGGGCCATGAGCAGTAAGTCTGAGATCCTAATACTGAGAAAGCAGAAATCTAATCGCATCTTAGCTTTGGTTATTTGGACGGCATTTCACAGCCACTCCTGGCAGGCTTCGATGATGACCTTCTCAAGGCAGAAGGAGCTCGCAAATACGCCACTCGTCCCGGGTAAGTTCAAGTAGCCGAGAAGCGTTGTCCTCCAAGATTATCTCAGGATGCTTACATATTCTAGTATCATCATTTTTGGACACGACGGGGAGGGAGACAATGAACCTGGAATGCAGCACCCGACTTGGGCCAAAAATGGAAGTTACCAGGTGGTTCGAAAGCTCAAACAGCTCGTGCCAGAGTGGAACACGTATGCATAAGGCCACCCTTTGTCTCAAGTTTGGAATCCCTCTAACGGTACAATTTTTAGCTACGTGGAAGAGGAGGGCGCGAAACACGGCTTCACTCCGGGCCAGTTCGGTGCTCGGTTAATGGGACGCTGGAAAAGCGGTAAGTTGCAAGTCAGGTCAAGCTTTCTATCTATACAATGTACTAAGAGATCTTTTCAATTAGGGGCACCTGTTGAGCTTCATCCCTGGGAGGACCACCCGGAGCATGCGAGGTTCAACGACTTTGACTATGACCCAAAGAGTGGGGCCAACTGCCCATTTGGATCGCACATGCGCAAGACCAAACCTCGAGCAGATGTGAAAAACAAGGACAAGTTCGACATTATGCGTCGTGGTCTCCCCTACGGACCGGAGCATGATCCCGCAACCGAGCCTACGACTACACAAGATCGTGGTCTTGTATTTGTTTGTTACCAAACGACCCTACAAAACGGCTTCTCGTTCCTCAAAAACAGTAAGTCATGCCTCAATTCAAAAAGTTTCTATCAAGCCGCTGAATCCATATTCAAGAGTGGTGCAACGCGGACAACTTTCCAACAAAGAAAGAAAAGTACATTGGAGGCCTTCTTCCAGGACAAGATGCCGTAATTGGCCAGTCGCTTCCATCTACTAAGCAAGCTGACGACGCGGTATTGACCTTGACCATCACTGATAAACAAGGAGAGCACAAGACTCTTCAATTCCCGTCCTTCGTCGAGGCACAAGGTGGCGATTACTTTTTCACCCCATCGTTGACGCTTCTTCGTACTATATCTGGCGCTGCCCCTAATTAGTTGAGCAGAAGCCATGATTTGGGGCGCTGTTCGGCAATCTGACAGTTCGAATCTGTTTTCATCTTGCCAACTAATGTTATAGTGACCTTTTTTTCATTAAAATTATCACAAAGATATTCTCTTCGGGGATTATTTATCCCACTTTCGGGTTATCAATCGAAAAATGAAATTGAAATATTACCTTGCGTTCAATGCTGGGCCTGAGTTGCTTACATGTTGAATACCTACTCTGTAGAGCGACGACGAGTTGGTGTACAGTTCACCGTTTAATTGATTGATCTACTTTACCTTCCACGAATTCAAAAATTTACACTCCGAGCTTAATGTTGGAACGGAATTAAGCCGCCCCTTCAAGGTACACACATTCCCCGGCGAGGCGGGTACCAGTTGCTGTAACCTTAACCATAAGTGTGATCTCCACCAATTAGAAAAAATTCTAGATATTTTCAATGTTGAGTTTTACGGCGGAGAACGACATTGTATGTACATACTACTAGATCGGCCTAACCTGACTAGATAGAACCATTCAAGTTCAAAACTTGGAATTCAAAAATGGTCTAAATTCCACAAACACACATCGCTGTGTTCTACATTCTGGACAGCCTTACAAGACTTTAACCAACTCACTTACTTGTTTTAAGTGCTCAGAGTCAGATAATCAACCTTCAAATGCTCCGGTGTTGGAGGCGAATGTTGATAATTTTTCGCAGGTGCGGTGAATTGCCCGGGCTCATAGCCGATGGGGCCCGGTGGGGGGACTGGGCGGCTTGGGCCGGGGCTAGTGGGAATGAAAGTCAACTTGATGTTTCCGCCGAGCCTTTGTCAGATTAGTACAATGACCGAAATTCTCCACCACGGAAATGAGGAAATTTGGTTGGTGGATGCAAATGTGTGGACCTTCCGCATTCTACGGAGGAGTATGTAGGGAAATGCATAATGTAGTATTGTGGATTTACTGCATTAGGCCAAGTGATGTCAACCTACCGCTGGTAAATTTTGAAGTACACTCTTGAACCTCTGGCATCTGCCGTACCTCTGCCCCAGCTTCCAAAATTCTGGCTAATACAGTGTTTGCAAATTCCGATGATGGGGATAATTGAGGTACATATGCAAGGTAGGTAGTAGGAATCGGATATATGCGAGCTTGGAATTAGATCAAAAAACCATCTGCCAGTTTGGTAAAGTGGTAGATTAGTGGTATGGAAGGCCAATAAGACTGTGATTGTTACTCAAATTTTCGGCACCTGGGGTCTCCCAGTACCTAAATCCAGGTCTGATGGTGATCCTGTCTGAAGACTGAGTTTCATTTAGCAATTAATGTGTCAGTGCTGGGCTGGAGGGGTCTCTACAACTCATCAACCGAGGGTAAAAGTGATAAAGTTCAGTTAAAAAGGGGGTACGTTCCTAAATGTTCCTTGACAATGTAGGCCAAATGCGAAGGACTCTTGAAAATAAAAGAGAGAGAAGGTATGACCCGAGAGAGAAACAAGACTTAACAATAGGATGACCATTTCACCTCAGGTCTTCTCTTGGGAAGGACTTGACTTCGCTTACAGCAGGAAATCACAACAACAGCAGCAACAACTGGCAGAGTACTGGTCCCAGGCATTGCATCAAGGTGGCTGCCCCATTGCTGGGGCAATCTGCATTGTAGACGTTCAGGGGCTTCGCTACATACTACTGTCGGGGTTTACACTGGCAACTCACTACCAGCGATCAATTGGTCGCAATGAGATCCAACTTCCCATACGGAATAGAAAAATTTTCTTTGTAATTTTGGGCTCAGCTGCGACCTTAGAATTGTAACAGGTCACTCAATAAGTTGAGTTTGAAAAACAGCTACACGTGCGTTCATTGTGTGTGGGATGATCTACACCCAATTTGTATCTGCAGGGTCTTTCTGAGCATACCTGAAGTAGGAAGCATTCCAGTTCTTTTTCGGGTTGTAAAAAATGATAAACCAATACATATCTAATGAAATAAACAGCAAATGAGACAATAGTCGCTAACTCTTGCTCTGCATGTGTCAATTCTCCTAGCTAAACAGGTTAATGATCAACACCGAAATTATTCAATGCACATCCATGAAGGGGCTTGCCAGGGATAGGATGCTACATTTCATGTACATTCGTATGTATGTCTTCAAATTTCAAGTGCTGTAGCCCAGCAACACACTTTGCTGTCGAACGAACATGAACACTGTCCACAAACTGCTGGCAAGTACATAAGAACTTGGACTTGCCCACCCGGTATGCCGGATTCAATCAACTATTCATTCATTGATTAGTTTACTCATTTTCGTTCTCGATTACTCCTCGAGCGCCATTGCCCCCAGCTCGCATTTGTTTGAGCTCCAGTCTGCTTTCTTGTAGGCACATATAAGTCAATCTCAAGATGAAGCACGAGTGGCAGGCGTGGGCATTTCTACTGGGTGCCGTCCGGGCCCTGGACATGGAAAAGCTTGAGAGTTCATACATAGAAGGAACGACTCCCGATCGTACGAATATTCACGGAATTGATGTTGCTACACTCTCACAGACTCCACCAGAAGGCCAACCGCTCCCTGCCGATGGCTGGACTGCCGACTGTACTTCCGTCGCCACTGGCCATGACTGCAACTCGGCATTCGATGCCGACAACACCACCTACTGGCAGAGCGCCAACAGCGATAGTGTCCAAAATATCACTATTCACCTCGGTGATGAGGAAAAGGTTATCAGTGGGATCATAATTGTGCCAGTCCAGACTGGTAACGCAGCGGATGCTCACTTGATTGAGGAGCACGAGGTCTTCTTGAGTACGGATGAACAAACTTGGGAGCGCGTCGCGTATGGAACTTGGTGGCCGGATCAGAGTCTGAAGCTGGCAGCATTTCAACCGCGTAAAGCAAAACATGTCCGATTGTCAGCTCCTGCTCCCAACGCGATTGCCATCGCGGATATCAGCATATACGAAGACCGCTACATTGCTCCTGACGCCAGCCTAGGCGCTTGGGGCTCAACTATTGACTTCCCCCTTGTTCCAGTCTCGGCTGCCGTCGATCCACACTCTGGTGAGGTTGTTGCATGGTCTGCTTGGGGTTACGACCAGTTCGTTGCTGGCAAGGCAGCGAAGACCCAAACCGCTACGTGGAGCCCCCGGAACCAGTCTGTGACTCGCCGCACTGTCCAAGAAACCAACCACGACATGTTCTGCTCGGGCATCTCGATGGATGAGGACGCAAAAATCATTGTCACTGGCGGAGCTGATGGAGGTCAGACTAGCATTTACAACACCACCGTTCGTGACTGGTTCACTGGAGCAGGTATGGAGATCGATCGCGGGTATCAAGCATCTACCCTCTTGTCTGACGGTCGCATGTTTGTCATTGGGGGATCCTGGAATGGAGGTGTCGGCGGCAAGAATGGCGAAGTATACAATCCAAAGACCAACGAATATGAGGAGCTTGAGGATTGCAAGGTCGGGGCCATGTACACACAAGACAGACGGTTGTACCGAAGGGACAACCACGGTTGGCTATTTGGTTGGACCAATGGCTACACTTTCCAGGCCGGTCCATCCGAACAGATGAACTGGTATGGCTCTGCCGACAGTGGTAGTACACAAGGTGCAGGCAACCGTACTGGTGATCAGGATGCCATGTGTGGCAATGCGGTCATGTATGAAAATGGCAAGATCCTGTCATTTGGTGGTTCCCCATGGTACGAGGATAAGAATGCCACCAAAAACGCCAACATTATCTCGATTGATCAACCCGACCAAGAGGTGTCCGTCATTCCGGACGCAGGTGGTGGTATGCACTATGCGCGAACCTTCCACTCATCTGTCGTTCTCCCCGATGGCTCAGTGTTCGTTGTTGGTGGCCAGTCCTATGGAGTTCCTTTCGGTCAGGACGATGTCCAGATGACCCCAGAGCTTTTCATTCCTGATTCTTCGAGCCCCAACGGAGGCACCTGGAAGACTCTCGAAACTGGCACTATCATCCGTGTATACCACAGTCTGGCTTTGTTGCTCCAAGACGGCACTGTCTTCACCGGTGGTGGTGGTCTCTGTGGAAACTGCAGTTCCAATCACTTTGATGGTCAAATCTACACACCCGCCTATCTGTTGAATGCTGATGGAAGTCCTAAGGATCGTCCTGAGATCCAAAGTGTCTCTCCTAGCTCCGTCAAGCCTGGTGCGACTGTTGAAGTCACTACTGCTGGGCCAGTCGATACCGCTGCGTCCATCATTCGCTATGGTTCCACTACCCACACCGTGAACACTGACCAGCGTCGCATTGGTATTGAATTGAAGCCGGCTGGAGACAACAAGTACACCTTTGACATCCCGTCTGAGGCCGGCCAGGCTTTGCCCGGCTACTACATGCTCTTTGTCATGAAGGATGGAACACCTAGCTACTCCGTCAACCTCCAGGTCACTTCTGACTAAATCAAACCGAATGCCTCAGCTGATCATGCTACAAACTGTTCTCAATAGCTCCAGTGGTGGGTTAGAAGTGAAGTTTCAACATCCGAAGTGGCCAACATTGAATGATGAGCAGGATTTTTTCTACTCAAGGAACCTCCAAATGTTCCTGATCATGTACCAATCTTCTTAAACTAAGTGCTGAATTTAATCTTCTGGTTTTGTAATTATAAAAGCAATGCTCATGCCCTATGTAGCTTCTCCAGATACTAAGATGTTTCCAAGGTTATGAAAAATCCTGTTCAACTTACAGACGCCTATCGATCACTCGTGCACATGTGAGACCGTTTCCGAGCACTTGGGGTCTATATAAGCGGCTACTTTAACTACCACCTATATATATGAACAGCGCTACTATGAAGTTCGAGCTTGAGCCTTGAGCCAAACTTAAGTACTTCAGAATTTCGACGACAAAGGGAAACAAGACTTCCACCTTAGGTGCGGCCCACTACGACAGTCCTAAAAATCTCAGATAGGACAAGGTCCTAATTTAGAATCCTAAGTAGATTTATAGGTCTAGATAGGTCGGTACCCTGAAGAAATTAGTCTTCTGCGAGTTTAACCAGGGATCAAAGGGCTTGTGAGCTGAAGTACGATAAAGAAAATTTGGATATAACAAATTTGACCTAATCGGCCTGATAGAAGAAGCAAAAAAAGAAAAAGCAAAGTAATATGAAGTAGGGGATACACAATAACAACGCAAGTAGAAAATTGGATCTGAAGAATAGCGAAGGATGTTGTTCATGGCTAGGTGGCCCAGGCCACAGGTCATATAAGGTCATATAACATCACATCTGTGACAGGAGCTGCTGGGTATCCACCGCACTATCAAACCCGTATACGGATTTCAGTTACCCCGGTCTTTGCCAAAATATTGTCGAACAATTCGTGAACATGAGTGAAGTAACTCAATGTTCCATCTACATGGCCTCCAAAACATAAACCAATAACTTCTCCATTGGGGCTTTGATCCCCTGGGGTCAAAGGGGCCTGTCCACGCTGCCAGAAGCTGCATCGCTCATGCTGCCCATTCCAGACACAATTTGTACAGGCATTTAGATACCCCTTACGGGCCTCGCTCTCCTCGAGCTGTACGCATTTTGCCTATTAACTCATTAGTCACCTTTATTCCCCATTGAGTATTAAAGTACCTCTGAAAGGAGTAACATACCCAGGGGCCCCATCCCTGTAAGCAGCTTTCACACTGATTCGCATCTGTCATTACGGCTCCCTGGCAGAAGATGGCCGCAGACTCCACATTTACTCTGTGGTTGCTAAGTATTTCATCCTGGTGTCTGTTCCCTGCAAAGTACCGGACACGCTCCATGAGCTCCCGTACCGGAGCTGATTTCAATAGCGCCGGTAGCTGGCCCTTCAGGAATTCCCCCCTTCGAGCAACTTTGAATGCGGCCTGCCAGATGTACCGGGCCCAATCCCCGGGAGGTCGATCTGAGTCTCCTTTTTGAGCCTCTGGGATGACAAATGGCTCCCCGATTGTAGAGCTATCGGGGGTGCTGGGCCAACTATTGTTCATATAAGTTTCATGCCACACTTTGATCTAATATGGGAGACTTACTAGGTAGGGAGGCGAGGGGCGATCCCGCGAGATGTTGCCTGGCGGGTGATTTGCCATGGAGATGGGTGCGAGGATTCTGCCCTGGTATTCTGGGTAGTAGATTTGGGGATCTTGGTATTCTGGGAAAGATTTGGGGGTCTTGGCATTCTGGGTAGTAGATTTGGGTGTCACATTCTGAGTAGATTTGGGGGTCACATTCTGAGCCTGTTGACGGGTTGATTCCATTTTGTTATCCATCTTGGTAACAGTGAGAGGAAGACCAGATTCCGCCCTGGTATTCTGGGTAGTATTGGGGGTCAAATTCTGAGCCTGTTGACCGGTTGATTTCATATTGTTATCCATCTTCAAGTTGGTAATGGTGAGAGGAAGACTGGATGGAAATTGGGATAAGAGACAAGAGAAGAAGTGGGATAAGGGAAGAGAGAAGAGAGGTGAAAGGAGAAAGAAGAGAGAACAGAGATTAAATCAGAAAGAAGAAAGAAGAGAGAAGAGAGATTAAAAGTGAGAGATGGAAAATTGACTGACAAGTGTTGACTTGAGGGCCACAGTGATCTGTGACAAGGCAAGCGGGAAACAATGTAATTTGCTCTCAGGTCCTAAAAACGAGGAAAGCAAAGACAGAGAGAGAAAGAGAAAAGGAGAAGGAAACAGGGGGAAGGAGTCAATCCTTAAGTACTCCGGTTGACAACTCAACCCTGACCCTAACCTTCTCAATCGAACAAAGAAAACTAGTGAAAAAACCTTAAGGGTTTCCCACGAAGACCTTAAGCGATGAAACTTAACTGTCGATGAAACTTAACTGTCACTTCGTGACATGATCTGCCTGATTGAACCAAACTTCTAATTACTCCCTCTCTTCCATCTCTTGAGACCTATAATCTCCATCTACCCTTCTTCCACCCCCTGAGACCCATAATCTCCATACACCCTTTCCAACTGACAACTGACGGTACGTACCGACTATCAAGCCCTAAGGAAGAAGCTCACAGCTAGTCAGTCATGGATGCTGAACATTCCGATGTACCTCTACCCCTTACCGGAGGAGATAAGGAGGGGCCTGCTGCTGATGAAGAGCAGCCAGGCTACTGGGCCGAGGCCGCACTTGAAAATCCGTGGAGAAGAGGACGCCGTAACATTCAGATTTCGAACAAAATTCAAAGCGGGGAGTTTGTCCCGCCGAAGGATCAAAGGCTTCACTCAATAACGCGCGAACGGATTCAACGACTTGAGAATGATGCCAAAGACCTACGAGCCATACTAGAGCGAAAGGAAAATTTCTTCGGCTGGGTGTTTTGCTCCTCTGGTCTCATTGAAGTATCCTTAAGAATACCAGGTGGCGAGTCGATTATGGACTGGGCATTGATCCTTCCGGCTCCGGAGCGAGGCCCTGGCATCACAAGTCCGCACACCTTTGGCCCCTTCATTGTGGAGGGCGATTCTGAACCACTTCAGCTAAATGGAATTCTCGACCGTGTAAGTGACCTACACCCCGGCCAGATACTCATGAAAACCGGGCACAAGACTCTCACCACCATTGGGACCTATAATGGACTTCGGACATGCCTTATCTCAGAGAAAGGAGCCCCAACATGGGAACACTTAATCCTACCGCTCACGGGAGCAGAACTTTCTGGTTCACCCTTTCAACTTGCTGGAGACTCGGGCTTGCTGGTCTTTAGCCGGGGACACCAACGGAACAAACCGTCAATCAGCAAGCAAGTTGCCAATGAAGCATGGGAAGAGTTGAAACGGAATGATGGCATTATCAAAGAGCTCACCGCTGAGCTTGCATAGGCTTATGCAGATAAGCAAGAGGCAGTAGTAGGAGTGCTTATTAGGCAGCTACAGCGGTGGCTTGATAGCTGTTAGCGCGTATGCGATATTCTAGACCAAGTCCACCCTGGTGATCCCAACTCACCATAGTCAACAACAGATTTGAACTGGTTTAGGCATAGCCTATGGTGGTGTCTTTTTTATATATATATATTATTTTATTAGGGAAAGTGGCCTTTACTAAATAATATTATGGCTAAGGGATAGTTTGTTGGAATTGGAGTTAGATTTGGGGGATTGCGATCGATGAGATTCCTCATATTGAACACCCCGTAAAATCAATGATTCATACCTCGTAAAAACGATGATCTCAAGACTGGAGATTTGCCCCAAATCATCATGATTTGCCCCCTTCTCTCGTTCTATTATGCGCTACTTGGCGTATATCAAATGCCTCATATTCTATTGTTTATGTCAAACAGCAGTAATCTCTCGCTTAAATAGCATAAGAATCCTGCACTTATTACAGGATTCAAGCCAAAGATATTATATGATTTATAATACAGCGAAAATTGTTTTTGATATTGGTAGTATCCTAAGACTAGTCTGTAGCGTAAAAAATAAGGGGGTCTCAACTATTCGAGTCCTCCTGACCGTCCTCGGTTCCTCCCAAAGGGGGAGGTATTATTTGCCACCAGGCGCCATTAACGTGGAATCGAACCCTCGTCTAACCGCTCCCCCTAGAGTAAGTTATCAATACCACTATTATCACTATCCACCTCTATATTAGGGAAAGACGTCCTTAAGTAGCTTAGGGTACTATTATACTATAACTATATACTATTACTATATTCTTATTATCCTAAAATCCTTATCTATTCTCCTATTTACTAGATATACTATCCTACTCTAGGGATAATCTCCTCCTAGATATTAGGGAATAATTAGTATTACTTTTATACTAAGAGATATATATATAAATAGGGCCTTATAAGATATATATATCTTAAGGATATTATCCTTATTTAATACTAAATTTATTCAGTACGGGAAAATCGGGTGTTTGTGATACTAAAATAATATAGGTATTATACTGGTATTTTATAATATACTAAGATAATACTATATCTAACCTATAGGGGTAATTCTATTAGACACTAATAGAATTAAATAAGGTTTCTTAAGTATGGGAGAGAAAAAGTGGGTCGGGGTCCAATAGAATTAATTTTCAGGAGTCCAATGGAATTAATTTCCTTACTTATATAAGGCCTAGATTTTGGGGGTGTTTAGGGTGTTTAGGGTG